AGCTTACGACTGTGGAAGGACCGAAGAGAGCAATCGTCGTGACGTAGGACAGAAGCCACATGGCCACGAGTGCCACCCATGTACGGACATGGAACTCTGGCTCCACCTCCTCATTTTCGTAGATCTGCGCGGCGTCAAGGACTGGCACAGCGATCTCTCGATGGTCAGGCGGAGTGTCTGAAGCCATCTCACTCTTGGTGTCGGTAGAGACTAGCTGGTTGCTCTTCTCCATCGTGTAGATAGGGTGACGATCAGGGTTTGACAACTGATGTGACAGGCGTTCCAGATGCAAGAGACACCAAGTCAAGCATGGCAGGGAAGAGATGAATGGCTGATTAAGTATATCAGAAGCCGGACGTGGCGGATGAGGTACTGTTGGGTGGGCAATCTAGAACCCAGACGCCGTGGGTGGGTGTCGAAAAGAATGGCTGGTCACTTTCATCCTGGCCCACTGGTGGAGAAGTTACAAGAACACACGACGCGTGGTTTGGACGCCCTGGAACAGACAGATGTGCGCTGGTGTTCGACACTGACTTGGGGCAGCTTTCACACATTTCAGCAGATGGGAAGTGAGCATGCGCGGCGCTCTTCAGGTAACTATGCTGGATACATGGCAGGAAACCCGTGTGAATGTCGCAGCATCGGCGCCCAAGTTGCTGGCGCCCTTGCCCCCAAGAATCTCAGAGTCTAAAGAGCTTGCTGTACATCCAAAGTCCGGTGCAGATCCATCCGGACATAGTGCGGGACGATTGCTGCATAGCCTCGACGTCGCTGCTCCATGGCCGCAAGACTCAGAGTCTCAGTCCCCGCGCGGAGGCTTGCAAGAACACAGGGATCGGGGTGGGGAGGTGCTCTGGGCCTGTCCGGGGTGCATTTGGTCAGCTGGGGTCCCCACCTACTCCCCACCCAGAGCTGGTAACTTGGTATGGCTGCAAAGCTTTGTCGGCGACACCCTGTGAGATACTTTGTCTAGGTTGGACCATCGAGATTAGAGAAGCGTACAGGGACAAGACCAGCTGCACAATGTGGCCTGTCCCGTCAACAATAGTCTTGCTGGGACCTTAAAGGGTGTCGACATAGTAGACTGGACTTAACATCTGGGGCACTTTGAGGTTGAGATAAAGGAAGTAATTAGCCTGGGCGTGGGGTGCGCTAACCAAATACGGCACTCCAGACCCCTCGATATCAAATGTTTCTATTGGAGGGTTGGTCATTATCTCTCAACGACTACAAAAACCCTGGCACAATTTGACAGAACCGTCATTTTTATCTGGTTGGCCCTAGTCCAATAATGGCTTGGCTATTTTCTGTACAATTACGGTGGTAAGCAAGGAGGACGCAACTCCTATACGAAAGGATGCCGCCGTCTAACACGTCTCGATTCTCGTCAACCGTGGGATACAAGAGGCTACCCCTCTGATTCGGCTGCCTTTAGTGGTGTAACATCTAGCAACAGCTTTCCACCTTTCGGGAACATAGCCCACCGGTCCAACATCCTCATGTCATCCTCTGTCATAGAGGCGTTGAGGCGAAGTTCCACGCGCCTGAAGATGGTACCAAGTGCGAGCCACAACTCAATTTTCCCCAGGGACTGCCCGAGGCAGTTACGCGCTCCGACACTGAAAGGTGTCAGTGCGGAATTCATATCTTTCAGGTCGGTGGTGAGATCGCAGCTGCCATCCTCGAGCCATCGCTCCGGTACAAATTTTGCGGGCTGCGGAAACAGCTCGGAATCTCGATGGTGCACGTAGTTTTGCATGCCGATCAAGGTTCCTGGAGGTATCGTAGTGCCGCTCTGGGTGACGACGAGCTTGTCGTGAAGGATGCGAGGAAGTGTCGACATGATGACCGGGTGGACACGAAAGGTTTCTTTGATGCAAGCCGAAAGGTATGGCAGATTGACATAGTCGGCATAGGTCGTGCCTACAATGGACACCTCTTTGCGAAGACGCATCTGCATACTCTTGTTCTCTGGCCTCGACAGCTGGTAGAGGAAGTAGACCATGGTGTGCTCGGTGACGCCAGTGCCCGCAATAGCGATGCCCATGGCTTCCTCCACGGCTTCCTCCAGGGTGTACTGCCGCTGGATATGCTTAGGTTTGTCATCCACAAGAGGTGCAGCTAGGAACGTGGCTCTCTTTTCGCTATCGATGCTCTGGTTCTGGAATTGGACTAGCATGTCTCGTGTTATGCCTTCCCAGACATCGAAGCAGCGGAAGGATTTCCCTAGGGCCCCTGGGATTTTGCCTCGATACTTGGTATTCTGTAGTAGCTGGGGAAGTTGTGGCGCTAGCAGCAGGGCAATGGTACTGCCCTCCAGAGCCTTTAACAATCGATGGGAGAGGTCGGAATCCTTGGAGAATGTGCAGTTGAAAGACAGTCTGCAGATGACCTCGAGACTGAATGTGCCACAAAGGTCGAATAAGTCGGCAGTGCCCGTCGGAGAAGTGGCAACCTGGTCCAAGGCCCGGTCGAGGAGGACATTCACTCTTTCCAGAATGAGGTCTTCGTTCTTGATGAGCTGCGAGTGGGAGAAGACCGAAGACATGACCTTCCTCCGGGAAGAGTGTACGGACGGATTTCTTGGTTCTCTCAGAATAGGCCCGGCTAGCACTGTTGGTTACTCACATTTCGGCAAAGACATTGCCCAGACCCAAGAATCTCAGCGCTTCATAGAAGCTGGGATCCTTCGTGACCGTGCGGTCCGAGTAGATGTCTCGATACGCTCGCCAATTCGAGATTGAGACCTCATTGGGTCCAACACGAACGATAGGGCCATACTGCTCGTGCAGCTCGAGAAGTTTCTAACACTAGGTCAGTCTGTGTAGTACGACATTCACCCTCTGACTTCTTACATAGGCTCGACGAGCTTTGAAGGTTGCCCAGCTCAGGTAATTGGAACTGAGCTTTGCAAAGAATGGCCCAGGTATGTGACGTAGACGATGGAAAAGGAGCCGCTGAATGGCCTGGTCTTGGTGAGCATTTTTCTCGCAGCCTCGTAGCGTCCGCAACACACCCATGAGAACAGGATCAATAATACAATTGAGCCTAGGTTGGTGGCCGTCACAAGCCCGCTGTGGCTGGCCCGAAGAACGGTCGTATCAGCCATCGTGACTGGACCTCACTAGAACGTGTTCGATCTCCTCGCACGGCAGTATCGGTCAGTTGCTCTTTATATGAGGTCAGTCTATGCTGACACTCTGCCAGGATGATCGGATAGCGAATGGGTGGGAACCATGACCAAGCGGCTTGGCAGCAGGTGGCGCTGCGCCGATGCGCACCGCGACCTCCCCACCCCCCATGGGGAGGGCTCGGAACCCCGCCAGGCGCTTCCACCCAACTTGGTCTAGACAGCTGCAGATCTTGCTTAAGCAAGCGACATGATTCCCTCGCCTTTGAAACGCGCGCCAAATGAGCACCGTGACATGATTGGTAAATTGTGGGAGTTCGTGACTCACGTGTTGGAGCCCCAAAAGAAGGCCTTGCTGAGTTCCTTCGGCCATGGTTGGAGCAAGGGCTGTGTGTTGTACGTACTGGGTATCTAGCTATTTACTCGGAGGATTAGAAGGGCCCGGGCTCCAGCTAAGTACGAGTACAGCATCAGAGCGCCAAGAGATTGTCAAGGCACTAATGACTAATGCCGCCAAGCTCAAATAGGGACTAGCCTTATTGAAATAAGCGCCGGATGACTGGACAGCACGGAAAGAGGCCAACGGCGGAATTTCAGGCACTTTGACCACCTTTGGAGCACCTAGAGAAGTTTACCCCGCCCCTGCGGACCCTGAAGCTTACATACCTTACGGGACTATCTAGCAGGGTTGCCTCAACTTCACTTCCTCCAGAGCCCAGAGATGTGTTACGATCCATCACCACTGCCTCGTGCTCTTCGTTGCTGAGCCAGTACGCCGCTTGAACAGAAGTCTAAGCACGATCGAACGCAAGTTAACCTCGTTGACGGAGTTGATGCTGGGTTGCGCAGCCACACACCACCGCCATACAACCAGAGCAAGACAACATCGATGCCGTGACGCGGGCGCAATGACCGTGCTGGAAGTCGCTGAAGCTGCCGGAAGCAACAGTCGAACGATGCCAATCAAGCCTCGGCCATACTCTTGCTCGCTGTGCGACACCGCGTTCACGCGTGCGGCGCATCTAAGACGCCACGAGAACTCCCGTAGGATCACCAGCGATACCCGTTTGCTATCTCACACTCATGATCTCGACAGATACGTCGGAGAAGAAGTTCTGTTGTCCCACATGCTCGGTGGTGTCCACACGAAAAGACGTGATCGTGCGGCATGTAAGAAAGTTTCACCCAAGTATGCCTCACATCCCCTGGCTACGATGCTGGTCGACTAACTACTCGCAGCGCCTGCGCAACAACCGGACTCGGGAGGCGGAATAGACGTGCCCCCGCCACTGCAGCGCGTGCCGGCTCTGTCCGAAAATGGTGGCAGTCCCGAGGAGGGGGCATCCCAACGAACACCATCCGTGCCACCCATGTACTTCCCAGCTTCAGAGACCCTGAGCCAGGTAGCCCCCGAGAACATGAACTTCCTGCACTCCAGCCTCACCCCATTCGAAGGTTGGAGCATCCCGGATGTTGTTATGGCAGACGGAACGGCTAACAGCAAGGAACTGCCCGACCACTCCGCTAGAAGTGCGTCGCAAGGCCAAGTACTCAGTGTTGGCGATCCCGTCTTGGAGCTACGGGATCAGGGGTCTGCGGTCGCTGCCATCCCGGGCTTTGATGAATACTTCCTGAACCACTTCAGTCAGAAGTCTCCGCCATATCGATTCAGCGACCAGGGCTACGAGCAGGCTCGGGCCAACCTCATCCTCTTCGCCAAGGGCAAAGACACTGCGCAACCATGGTTTCCATCAAAATACGTGGTCATCCGCTTCGTAAAGGCTTTTTTCCAGCATATGACACCACATCTCCCCATCATACACGAGCCGACCTTCGATATCACCGTCGCCCCACGTAAGTACCCATTTGAGCGCAAGTTGAGGGATACTGACACCCGAGATGGTAGCGCCGTTGCTCTATCAAGTCATGGCGTTTGGCGCTTTGTATCTGACCGAAAATGACATTGCTTTTAAGCTGCACACAATTGGCACAAAGCTGATTATCGAAGTACGTTTCATGTCCCATGCCTGTCTACTTCAGACATAGGTCTGCCTCATGACAAGCACGTTGTAGAGCTGGATCCACCACTGACGCCGGATTAGAACCAACAAGAGGCCCTCTTTAGCATCAATGAGAGCCCCTTCGCGCTCTGGACCTTCCAGTCATTCATACTCATCAACGTCTTCAAAGCCTACACCGCTGCTTCGCTTACGGATTCTCAAGCGCTAAGAATTTTCTCCTTTACGATTCAGGTGGGCAGCTCCAATATAATGTCAGTGCAACATGTCTAACTGCTGCTAGCTCGCGCGTCAATCCTTGCCAGAGGTACAGAAGCCCCGCTCTATGATATACAAGGAATGGGTATATGAAGAGTCAGTCAGCAGGTGAGTCATGTCTGGAATGCAGCCAGTACCCTTTTATGCTGACAATGGTCCCTAGGTGCCTGGCTTGGTGTGTTGTTCTTGCAGCCATGTTTGGTTCTCAGACTCGAGAGCAATTCTTCTCCTTTCCTCTATCGGAAAAAGGCTTCCCTCTACCATCCCACCACGGCGAATGGCAGCTAGATGAAGCCCAATGGCTCGGGCTTGCCACTCAGCCGCTGGACCATCTGGAAACATTCACAGGCATACTTTCCGGGCAGCGACGGGCCGATGATATTAGCACATTCGGACTCCTGGCACTCACAGCGTCTCTGGTTTGTCGGATCTGCTCGTTCGAAAGGAGTTTTACATTGGAGCACCCATTCCTTTACAGGGCCTTCGCAGCACAAATGGACCAACCACTGGAGATTTTGAACGACATGTGGAGTTGGCAGGCAAGGCCCCTAGAGGAATGGGGTTCGACGCGGGATCCGTTGGCGCAGTGCACGAATGCTCTACTGAGTCTGGCATTCCTTCATCTCTATGGAAGCCAGCCACTTGACCGCATGAAGAAGATTCTTATAGACCCGAGTTCTTACACCGACGTCGCCTCCTTGTTCGACTTTATGTCTGACCAACCGCATGCCCCAGTCGGTTTGCATAAAGCCCTTGTACGAGCAGCTGAGGACTTCAGACACGATTGTCGGATAGGCATAGGATACCTTCAGAAAGTTGCTCCTCACAGGTTTTCCCCCCTTTCGGCCAGCTCCATGTGTGAGACAGGTAAGTCTAGTACCACGCGTGTAATTTATGCACTGACGAGTCGGTGCGGCAGCACTACTATTGACCTGGTATCAAGCCTCCAAAACTTCCGGACAAGCTTATGTAGAATACTGGCATGACATTGAGGTCTGCCTCACCGAAGCTGCAGTAGAGCTTTGCGGGTCTGACGTCTCCGAAAAGCCGCTCGAGCTGTCCTCGTCTCTCGATACATATGCAAAGATGCTTGACAAAAATACCGTCTGGCAGTGTAAGGCTCTTTGCTTCCTGGTGAAAAGGTTATGCTAATACTATTGACAGGGCCCGTCACCCTAGCTCGTCTCATGAGCAGTGCTGCGGATCAAATAAGGAAGGTTGGTCAGTAGCACCACCACCACATCGTAGTTCCGCTTGGATGTTTATCATGCTGCCAACCTCCCACTTTGCACCTTCGGATACGCCACCTTCCTAAGACCAACGGAAAGGGCCTCGAGTGGCGTCTCTCTATGAAAGCCTCTGTGTTGCAACCTTTGACTCGGTTGTTGTGCGAGGCCATATTCCCTGTTTTCCAGGAGACAAGATTCCATTAGGATCGATGGTCGACTTCATGCAAGGTTAGCTCAACAACCAAAAGCTCAGAATGTGACCACACAAACCTTAAGCTCTTCAACAAACCTCTTGTAGGCGTGGTTGTTGAAATCGAAAAAGCTCTGGACCTCATCTGACATGGTTAATGCGGCCATACTTGGACATCGACATCAGCAACGTACCCATATATTGGAGATGGCAGCGATAGCTAACGTAGCCTTTGGTTTTGGCCTTGGCAAGAAGCGCACAGATCATCTTCTGGCCACGCTCGCGATGGTCATGCTGTCTTCGGTCAAAGACGTACTCTTGGACGAAGAGGACGTGCTTGTCCAGTACGTGGCACCCAATAAAAGGGTCAATGCCATATGACTCCATCAGAGCGTGCGCTCCTGTGAACCACTCACTCACAGCCTGCCCGTTCGAAGGCAGAATCAATGTCGTATCAATATGTGCGCCTGGAAGATCATCTCCTTTAGCAAGATCATAATCTGCAAGAGACATAGCCCGCATCGATGGAAATCCCGCGCCAAGGGTGCCGACAATCTTATTGTCCACGGGCTTTCCATTCTCGCCCTCGACGAGATGTTTCTCTATCCTCACACCGGGCACCGCCTTCCCTATCGCCGTTTCAATAATGGCCGCTCTGGCCAAAACCATGCTCCTCGGCCCGTACAGGTCGAAGATGCTTCGCCAGTAGCCTGTACCGAACTTTCCGATGAGCGTGGCGATTGTTTCTGGAGTCAAAGGGCCGGTTGCGCGTTGGTATTCGTGCTTCTGACTGGCATGAGATGCAAAGTGATTGATATTTACAATGAGAGCTTGATTCTGCATCACTTTGTCGCGAAGAAGGTCATGGTAGGTGTCGATCAGGGGTGCCAGATGTTCAACGTTCGGCACGTGCACTGCAAAACTCATATACGCTGGTGGTGCCGTGTCTATCTCGATAGCAATCTTTGTAACGACGCCCAGGTTACTTTGAAGAAAAAGCCCATCTATCTGCGGACCAAAGCTGTTGGCACAACAATGCGCATTGGGGGAGTCTATTATCGCCCATTGTCCGGTCCGGAGCAGCTCTCCATTGGGAAGAACGACCTCCATACTTTTGATGGAGTGCTGACGATCCCCGTTGATCGTATACCCGTGTCCCCGGTCCAAAGTCTAGTGCTCGAATCAAGATCAGTCGTCTACAACCAGCACAGTTTGGGGCCGGTGGCTGGAACATACATTTCCCATCAAGCTGCCCCATCCGAGGGCAGGGCATGAACACCAAAGACCAACCTTATTATCGTCGAAATACTTCTGTAAATCGAAGAATGTCACACCAGGTTCGACGACAACGTACGAAAACTTTTCATTCACTTCGAGGATGCGGTTCATGCGGTGTAGGGCAAGGACAACCGTACCAGCTACTCGAGGCGCAGCACCTCCATATCTAGGGTCAATTAGAACAGCACACCATTGAAGACGGGCACTTGCTGTACCCGAAGTTTTTGCCCCTCGATGTCGTCCACAGAGGGAGCTTGTGATGATTTGCGACATCCAAAATCGCACGAATTTCCTCCACGCTTCCGGGACTGGGTCTATTAGCGAGGCCGGAGACGGTGACCGTTGTTGACTCACCAGACAGCAGCTGAAGGATGATGTTCATCCTCGTTGAGAGGATACGGGTCGCGGAAGTGCGATAGATCCGCGCCTGTAATTACGTTGCTGTCCCCCGTAATGACCTTTAACTTTGTAATGATTGTTGCAAATTCCTCCTCGCCGATGTTGGGAGGCAACACCGGCGCGCCCGAGAACTTGGTGTAGTAAACCCTGTCATGCTGTTCTTGGAGGCTGGAGTCCGCATAAAAGGTAGGCATTTTATAGGGGAGAGTCGAGCGAATGTATTAAGTTCCAATTTAATGAGCGCCAGTGAGAAACTCGGGAATGGAATACGCCTTTACTGTTCGCCTTTAATGCTCCTCGACGGACTGTCATACCCCACGCGCGTTTTACAGGGGGCCGTTCCAGGCTTTGATTAGTGCCTCAACATCACTCGATGTCAAACGGCTGTGTGTATGGGAGAGACTCCCCACTGACCAGGTACCCGCCTCTCTGCGCCACCTGAGGGGCTCGAGAACCTGTCTCCATGGGCAGCGAGTGCGAGTGCGAGTGCTAAAAGCGAATGGGGCGAGGTCCAGCGCCACATACTCACAGTACTCGTACCCGGACGCAGACTTGGAAGATTGCTGATATACTACCCAGTCACCAGGTCTGTTTTCAAGAACAAAAATCTAGTGATACGCACATAAAGAAAGATTTGCATGCGATCTCAACAGTGTCCGAGGAATCTATAGCGTTCAGCTGTACTAGTTTCGACATGGCGCACGTTACCCCCAGTACCATCTTTCCGAAGATGTTTACTGTAAGTCCCTGGAACCAAGACCACACGCGTTTTGAGGGCGAAGTTTTCTCGCTCGAGATTGAGGGAAAATTACCTAGCGATTTGCACGGGGCGTTTTTCCGTGTGCAGCCAGATACTGTGTTTCCGCCGTTGTTCGAAGACGACATCCCTCTGAACGGAGACGGGAACGTGTCGAGTTTTTATTTCAAAGACGGCCACGTCGACTTCAAGCAGCGATATGTTCGCACGCCCAAGTTCCTGGCCGAGCGGTCTGCAAGGAAGGCTCTATTCGGCCGATATCGCAACAAGTACACGGATGACCCTCGCGTCCGTAACGTCTTGACCAGGACGACCGCGAACACACACGTCATCTACCACGCCGGCAAGTTGATGGCCATCAAGGAAGACGCCCTGCCATATGAGATCGACGCAACCACCCTCGAAACCATCGGTCCCGTCGACTACAATGGCACGCTGAAGAGTCCCACCCACACGGCCCATCCAAAGGCTGACCCGGAGACTGGAGAGCTGATTGCCTACGGTTACGAAGCCAAGGGTGATGCGACTGAAGATATTTGCTACTTCATTGTGGATAAGCACGGAAAAGTGTCAGAGGAATTTTGGTTTAAACAACCTTGGACGTGCATGATCCATGACTTCTGGGTGACCAAGAACTACGTGATCTTTCCCATCAACGGCATTCGAGCCAGCCTCGACAACATTAAAGCGGGGCTTGACCACTTCTACTACGATGACGACCTGGACCACCAGCTATTGGGTGTCATCCCACGTTATGGCGCCACACCCGAGGATGTCAAGTGGTTCCGCGCGCCCGAGGGCTGCTTCTCACACACCATCAACAGCTACGAAGAGGATGGCAAGATCATCCTCGACGCGTCCGTGTGGTCGCACAACCTATTCCCCTTCTTCCCCAACAAGGAAGGCGTGCGGTTCGCAAAGGATCCCAGCACATTGCGGGCGCCCGTGTACCGGTTCCGCTTTGATCCTAAGGCCGACCCAGAAAAGACAGTCTACCCGGAAGCCAAGCTGATCGAGGGTGTCAACGAATTCGGTAGGATCGATGACCGCCTGTTCGGCAAGCCGTACACCCGCTTCTGGATCCTCAGCGCTGACACCAGCCGGCAGCAGTACCAAAACAACGCTGCGACCCAGACCGGGCTGAACACGCTGGTCATGCACAACTTCGAGACCGGCGAGACGCAGCGCTACTACCATGGCGACGACACCACGTTCCAGGAGCCGGTCTTTGTGCCTCGCAACCCCGACTCCGAACCAGATGACGGCTACATCGTCATCCTGGTGGATTTGTACAAGACAAACCGATGCGATCTCTTGCTGTTCGAGGCCCGAAACATCCAGGCCGGGCCCATTGCGACGATGAAGTTGCCGCTCAAGCTGCTGGATGGGCTGCACGGCAGCTGGGTCGGTGGTGAGGAGTATGAGTTCGCGTCCGGAAAGCGCCCAGCGGAGACGAACGCTTCCAATGACGTAAATGGTGCTGCACATTGAGAGTAAGAATCTCAGACACTCTATGTACAATGTCATTTCCCATCGCCTCTCATCTATCCTGTTCAATTCCAGCTGCGTGACTACTACTACATATGTAGTACCCGTTGAGGGTCGTATCACTGGAGTTCTGGCGAGGGTCGAGGTGCTGACCCATTCACGTTGTTGGCCTCGTTCGCACTCATTTCACAGGGCAATTGGCTACTATGTAGGAAAGTAAGTAACCTTGCATGGCCATAGTTTCTCAGTCTGTCGCCGTTACGAAAGTGACTCACACCAGGATACTAGTACATTCTGAGACTCTCTCTCTCTCTCTCTCTCTCTCTGTGTGTGTGTGTGTGTGTCCCCGAGCGGTTGTAGCAAGGCGTGTTCCTAGGCGATAGGACTCTATATACAGCACTAACATCACGCATCCTTTTTATTCTCTGATTTTGTAAAAGCGGTTACATACAGGGACACTCATTGCCCTCCGGTACAGTATACATCTTAGGGTCTCTCCTATCTTATTTATATAGCCTTTTAAGCGTTTTTCTAAGCACTAATTTTCTTAATTTTATTATTGTCTACTCTGTGGAGCATGGGTATGGGTAACTTGATGAGAACACTAATATAATCGGTCAATTACTCCACAGTCCTTGGAATATCGACTCCAAGAGCTTGAGGAGAGTAAGAATCTCGCGTGCCCATCACATGCCTCTTGAGGTCTTAAGTACCTCGCACTCCTTGTCATCTTAGCAATGATAAGGAGTTGTGGGGACATAACCCCTTACTCTTTGTCACGGCCTCGGGGTTTAGCGTTCTAGAACGCCTTCTGTGATAAGTACCGATTAAGAATAAAACCATCAGAGGACGAGTGATTTAATAAACATAAGAATTGTATAACTCTGTTGCCGCCTTTACACCCAAGTAGCGTACTATCGTGTATCTTATTCCCTCCAAAAAGCAGCCCCGGAAGGCTAAGCGAGGCGTGTAGTAAACCGATGTATTTGCCGCCACACCACCCTACTTAGAAACTCAGTCGAAAGCAGCAGATGTGCACTCCCTGCGGATCAGAGCCTCATGCGCTGGACTGCGCACCCTAATCTTAATCTGGAAGGGCGCGTTCATGATCCTCGTCGAGAATGGTTTGCCCACGGGGATCGGGTGGCCCTCGACGGGCAGGAAGTCGAAGCAGTACACTAGGCGCGAGATGGACAGGAATAGGTTCCGATTGGCGACGACGTAGCCAGCGCATACTCTCCGCCCTGAAGTGTCTGGGTCAGTATGATGGATATACCTTGGGTGCCACGGAGGAGGTAGTACACATCCCCCTTGGTAAGGCGCAAACTCACCAACACCAAAGCCAAAGTGGCCCTTGGTGGGTTTATCCAAGTCTTCGTTCAGGAAGCGATCAGGGTAGAAGCGCTCAGGCTCCGGGTACTCGTTGGGGTCCATTGCGATGGCCCAGTGGTTCCAGGTGACGTTGGTGCCAGCGGGGAAGTGGTAGCCCTCGTAGCTGTCGTCCTGTGTCAAGGAGTGCGCGATCTCGCCGAGGGAGGGGCTAGGTTGTTATCGTTAGTGCTGCTGCCTCAAGTGCATGACGCACAGTAGTAGGGAGGAGGTGAGATGGGTGATGGGTAACTTACTTCCAGCGGAGGCTCTCCTTTGCGGCCGCGCGGATCAGTGGTAGAGAAGGGGCATCCTCCGGGACTGGGAGGCGTTCTGCGTTGCTGCCGCACACGGCATCGAGCTCCTTGCGGGCGCGCTCGATCCAGTCAGGGAAAAGAGCCGACCCAGCAGCAAGTTGGTTCAGGGAGATGCGGGTGGTGTCGGTTCCCGCCTCGATGAGAGTACCGGCCATGAATAGTAGTTGGTCTCTAGTAAACTCCTTGTCTTTGCCCGACCGGATGAGTTGCGACATCCAGCAGTCTGACGCAGTCCCGTTCTTCTCATGCTGGAGAAGTCTATCCATTTCTATCTCGAACACTCTGCTAATGTTAAAATATTCTCATATAAGGGCTAATAAACGGGTTGAGAAGGGGGGAGGGACACTCACTTTTTAGTCCGCCGATATTCTGTATCTCCCCACCACCGCCACGGCTGCCAGGACTGTGGAATCGGCGTCTTCATTAGGATTGGGAACGCGTCTATGAAACTGGCTCCTGGCTCCAATAGCTTTAAGAAGTGCTCTTGGAGGTCAACGACGTCGTTGACCGTCTTATCGCCCAGCTTAGTCCTTCGTCCAAAAACCACATTCATAATGACGGAGCTGCTGTACCGGCTATGGGAGTGATGCCACTGCTCCGGTCGCGTGAGATAGTCGTGGAGGAGCGTTCTTGTCTCGATATCCTGTGAGGGAGCAAAGCGGTCCTTTGATGCTGGCCCGAGAGTTTCGTGCATGATCTTCCGTTCGCGTTTCCAGAGCTCGTTGTGGGGAAGGAAGAGCAAGCGATTGCCCCCAGAGACAATATCGCCGGCCATCGGCAAGTTCTGCCTTGAGACATAGATAGAAGCACGCTTCTCCATAATGTCATTAACCACGCGACTGGAATTGAGAAAGACCCATCGATTGGTGCCGAGCTTCAGCGTGTACCTAGGCTCTAGGATCAGTCACGACGTATCGACTGGGACCGGGCTTGGCTCATGCTCACATTTCTCCATATTGTTTAGCAAGTTTCGCAAAGTACATCCGCGAGTCCTCCTTTGGAACCTGTAGCATGTTGCCGACGATGGGCAGCCCAGGGACAGGGTTGGGGAACTTGTATTTGGCTCGGAAGTGGATTTTCTGGATGATGTAGTGGCAGATGCAACCCAGCACGCCAATGGAAGCAACCAAATGAAGCAGCGTTGTCAGTGCCATGGTTGACGACTCTTAGAATGCTCTCGAGTACAATGTCTGCCGTTGGAGCCTCGGACTTTCGACTCGACTCGACTGGATTGAGAACCATGCAGGCGTGGATATACGAGTATTAAGGCCCGAAGGACCTGGCTTGCTCCCGGGTGGGCTGGATGTGGGGGTGGGTGGGGAGGCACCAGAACAAATGGGGGAACTGGTGTACCAGCAAACCCGGCTTTAGGAACGCAGACTGCCCACCTCAGCGCCATGGATGGCGTCGGCGACTTCTACGGGGCAGCGGTGCAATGGGGCTCGCATGTTGGGTGGCATTTCAACAGCCAAGGCTGTGCATCGCTCGCTCGTTGTCTGTGTCGAATTCGTGCTCAAATACTCCGACGCTGCTCAGCTACTGACACTACCCCTTCCAAGACACGAACGTTGCTTTCTTCCAGGAAGAGTGGGACTCTATGAATCGTAATTTGTCTACGGTCACTAAAGATACCATGTCGTCTCTAGGGGGCAAGGTGGCCGTGGTCAGTGGCTCATCGCTTGGAATCGGGGCGGCCGTCATCCGAGAGCTCTCAAAGCGTGGTGCCAAAGTCGTGATCAACTACCCAAACGCACGCGAAGAGAGAAACGCCATCAAACTTCAGCAAAGCCTTCCTAACGAGGCCATCCTTGTGGAAGCAGATCTATCGACGCTCGAAGGAGCCCGCAAGCTAGCCGACACCGCAGCCGCTGAATTTGGCAAGATCGATATCTTGGTCAACAATGCCGGTATCAATATCGCTTTACCTCTCGATGACCCCGATGACACGAAATTTGACGAGATCTGGGACCGAATTGTCAATCTCAACGGCAAGGGGACTGCCAGGCTCACCCGGGCGGTACTGAAACACCTCTCACCTTCCAACTCCCGCATCGTCAACATCGGCAGTGGGGTGTCTCACAGTGCCGACCCAGGGCAGGGGATCTACGCGGGGTCCAAGGGCATGATCGAATCTCTTACAAGAGTGTGGGCGAAGGAGCTTCCGCGTAAGTACGGCTGTACCGTCAACCTGGTGGCACCCGGCCCTGTCGCGACGGAAGGATTTCTAGCGGCGCCGGCAGAGATGACACTGGCGCTACAACCCATGTTGGATGCGACTCCAGTGGCTTCTCGCGCCGGCTCGCCGGCTGAGGTTGCTTATGCTGTAGCCATCTTATGCGAAGTTGAAGCTGGCTGGATTAATGGGGTCTACTTACCCGTCACCGGTGGATCTGTAGTACTGTAGCTACGGGAATAGAGGTTAGTGCCGACATTGCACACGTCAATAAGACACACTCTCTTCCAACTTTGCGGATCTGTTGCTCGAGCTGGGATAATTCATAAACATATCGGAAACTTGCTCACAACATCGACCACAGCGGAGGACATGGGGGGGGACGAGGTGCGGAATTGGTGCCAGGATCAGGAGTACTGGCTGATGGCTCATGCCCCGCTCCTTACGTTGGCTGACGATATTGGTGGCGCAGTTATCATTGCTGTTCTACGAACCGAGTATGAACCACATCTCTGCCCTCCCAAACCGGCTTGTCTAACTAGTGTGCGCAGACGCCACACGGCGGAGTCGCGCTATGGCTGTTGCCACCTCCGTAGATCGTGGTGGATTATACTCTCTGGGTTTGCAGGGCCTGTCCATCAGGGTGAAAACTCGCTCAAGCCAGGATTGGAGCACGTTTGCGACAAGCTCAGCTGCCCCGTGTCGGTATTGCAAGTTGGCTTAGGGAGCCAGCCCAGGGACTACGCCCGCCCCAAGCGACCCGCCCGAGGCTATCGCAAAGGCCTGTTGCTGGTACCCTAATGCTACTTAGACGCCTTTGGGCATCGGTACATCCTCACTCAGTTGCTTTTCGAAGGCCCTGTATCCCACGAACATATCCTCCGGGTCCCACTTGGAGCGTATTCCCAACCACTTCCTCAGTGCCGTGTCAGACATAATCTGTAGTTGTCAGTCCTTGCAGCCACTATGAAAAGGCCTCATACCTTGGCCTGCCTCTGCGTTGGATCGTAATCCGCCACATACTGTCCAATAGCGACCTTTTCCGCTTCACGGTACGCCGCCGCCGTCCACTGATCCACTGCGGCATCGCGACTGGCATCCTGGTAGCACGTGATGGTGGTGACAGTACACTTTTGCGGCAGGCTGAGGCAGTGGTCCGCTTCGTCAGGGTAGTAGTCGCCCAACGGGCAGATGTTGCCGGTTGCCCGCCGTGTCGGGAGCTCGTATACCGCGGGGGTGACGGCGCCGATGACCTAAGGATGCTATGATCAGCGTGGGTTGAGGGGCTGAAAGTCGTGGAACTTGCCTCATCGTAGGACTTCTCTGGGTCCGTGAGGATGCTGTCGACCCTGTAACGCGTGCCCTTGCCCGATGGCTGGAATGAATCCTGCACTTTCCATATAAACTCCCACGTCCGCTCAGCCAGGGGCACCCGCTCAGCCAGAACTCTCTGGAACTCCTCCGGCACGGCATCCCACAAACTGGCGAGAATTTCCGCCTCGCCCAGCGAATCCGCCCAGATGGTCTGATTGATGGCCGCCATGATGCGCTTCGCACGCGACTCATCGCCCAGATCCGGCGTGTCCTTGTCCGCATAGAACGTCACAAACATGAGATCACTCCCATACTTTGGTACTCGGTCGGCTGTCAAGAAGAACCACTTCAGCAGCGGTTTGAACACGTCCGTCACATCGAACACTAGCGTCGTGTCAAACAATTTCTTGGCTGGCAAGGTCCGCCCCCAAATCCGCGTCACGACCCCGAAGAACCCTACACCGCTGCCGGGCGCTGCCCAGTAGAGGTCAGCGTTCTGTGTCGCGCTCGCGATAACCACATCACCGGACGGAACGACCACCTCGATCTGCGTCACCCACTGGTCGCACGTGTAGCCCCAGCCGCGCAAAAAACAGCCCTGCCCGCCTGCCAGATAGAAGCCACCCGTGCCAACTTTGCGAGCGTGGCCGAAAGGGAAGAAGCGCGCCAGACTCGTCATATACGAGGCCAGGTCCTGTACCGTTCTTCCAGGGCTGAACGAGACGACCTTCGTGGCAGAGTCGTACGAGATTTCACTGTTGAGCTGGGAGGTGTCGATTAGTAGACCATCCTCCACCAGGGAGAGGCAGGAGAAGGAGTGTCCGCCGGAGCGGACACCCACTTTCAGGTTGCGTGCGCGGGCGGACTTAATGATGGCCGCGACCTCTGCGGTGGTGCGTGGGCAATGGATCTCCGCAGGCTTGACGTTCGGGACACGCGAGTTAAAGTAGCGTCGACGAAGGGGCTCGTAGGTTGGGGATGAGACAGCGACCGTGGGTTCGGATGCCATAGTGGTATGCAAGCTTGCCGTAAGGCGTCGGCGTCTTTGGAAGTATTTGGATTGAAGGGCAATGATGGAGACCTAGACAGTGCTTGGGCAGTCAAGATCCTTGGGCTTTGCGAGAGGCCTTCAAGTTCAAGACGGGAGATCGATAGGCCAACAATATGCTTGGCTGCCCTGGAGATCAGTCATTGTGCTGAGCATTCTAATAGCTGATTCCAAGTGGCGTTTGGTGCCACCCACCATGGTGGATAAAGCCAGAGCCCTTCAGCATATGCCGTAAGTGCGTTGATGCCCATTCAGTTGGGCCACCACAGTCAGTGGCTGCTATAGTCCCCATCTTCCATGATGTTTGTAAAGGAGGTGACCCGCTCGTTAGTGCGGGCTAAATCGAGTTGATTGAGAAAGACCTGACGCTGACCCCTGTTGGAATCCGTATATACTAGTAAATTATTAGATGAGGTCGTTCCGGCGTAGAAGCCGATGATAGCTTGTCTTCTGCAGACACCTCTACGGATTCTTCTTAGCTCTACTATCTCTCTTGCATTTCTATCCTGCGTACCTTGTCACTGGACTCGAGTTTGCCAGACCAAAATGTGTCATTTATTGACGTTTTGTCAGAAGTTTACCTGCCAAGATAATCAGGTATCACCGGCCCTCATTGCCCCGTGGCAGCGCAATGATCACATGTATCAAGCCAGAGAATGCCATGGAGTGCCTTACCATTAGACAATGAGTATCACTGGACTTTCCCAGGAAGAATGGTCTATGGTCTCGCTGCGCCTCACGGCCGTTGCTAGAGCTCCTGTCTATACCAATGGAGACAATTATTCTCCATGAGATCACTGAGCTGGCTGCTCTGTAATTCATTATGTCCGCGTACCTAGGGTCCTCCACCGAGGTCCAACTACCTATATCCGCCTACCATATTCGCTCATCTATATCCTATCATCAATTCAGTGCTATCGCTAGTGAATACTTTACTCACGTGTAGTCGGTGCCCCAGAACTCTGGGGGTTTTTATTTAATGCACAATCATTTTTAGATTAGTGATGAGGCGCTTCTTGTGTTGTGAATAACATCAGCTATTAGTCCACTTAGGAAGGATTTCGATATCTCCAGTGATTTTCGTTTCCTAGCATTTCTCAACGGTTGAACTATGAATATCGCTTAGACAGTATAGGTAGATATACTATACTCAGGAGCTTGGAAATAGAAAGTGCCATGTTCATCAATAGGTCTGCGCAGGAATGTCCAGGGGTGTGGGCCGGCGGGCTGGTCGTTGAATTATTGTATCTTGGCTCTCCAAGCTCGCAGCACCGCTGGTGAACAGTAGCTCCACGTCAGGAGTCGATCCAGGGTCTTCGAAAAAAGCATCATACCCAGGGACAGTAGCTATGCATATCTTGACACGGCCAATCTGACACATTTGTATTGGTGATCGGCTATGTCTATCTATAGCAGTGTGGATCCACCTGATACGGGAACGATTGCACCATTCACCCAAGAAGCGTCGTCCTCGCATAACATGGCAACTACCCACGCGATCTCCTCTGGCTTCCCCAGTCGCGCACCTACAGGTGTGGTGTCCAACACTGGCTTCAAGGCGTCTTGCGCTGGTTGTGACGTAGACAATAAGCCCTCCGTCGCAACAGGTCCAGGGGCCACCGCGTTGACTGTACAAGCATACTTCGGGGGGAGCTCTCTTGCCCAGGCGCGAGTAAAGCTTTCGATCATGCCTTTCGATCCCGCATAAAATGACATAAACGTAAGAGGATTACGGGCCATGCATGCTCCAATGTTAACAATCCGGGAGTTCTCTCTACTCAGGTGAGGTAAGACAGCCCTTGTAAGCAACATAGTCCCTCTTCCATTTAGATTCATCGTTTTTTCCCAGCAGTGTGCGACTTTCGTAAGATCGGGTTCGTCAACGGGCGAAGGAAGAACCACCCCGGCGTTGTTGACTAGAATATCTATCTTACCGAAGGCCTGAACAGCTTTATCCACCAGGATCTGTGGCCCGTCGAGTGTGGATAAGTCCGCTTCCACCGCGATCGCCCTCGCGTGTTGCGGAAGGCTTTTCACGATATTGTTGGCGCCGTCCTGGTCTGCAACGAAAGGGTAGTTGATGACTACGTCGGCACCGCGTTTGTGGAGCTCTTTTGCGATTGCGGCTCCAATACCCATAGAAGAGCCACTGACCACTGCAACCTTCCCAGAGAGGGATAATCTGTTCGGCCTTGTTTGTTCAGCCATTGGATGATATGTTGGGAAACCACGTTGGACAATGCTGGGAACACGATATCGAGATGCCTGCCGGAGCCTATGTACACGCAAAGAAGATGACTTGATGCTCGGGAATGCTAATATTGACGTTGATTCTGTTGTGATATGGGGCTCAACCGACTATCATGAGGTTGACGGAAAATCTCATGGAATCATTCCGCAGGTTTGGAAATGATAGGGAAGCTTCTGGTATGTCACTTCGGGGTGTATGCTCCTACATTCCAAGGATGTAGATGAACCAGAATAATTGACATATGCCTCCACTGCTGTAATTCATGACAGATACAGCGTGTAATTCGTGACCAGTTATGGCGGATATATGCCATCATACGGTAAAAGACACTCGGATCTCAAGAATCGATTAAATCCGTAAAAGCCTGCGGGGCACATTACCCACCCCCGCTAGTGTAGAAGAATTCCCCCAAGAGAGTGGCGCTTATTGTACTGAGCTAATTGGGCTTCTTCTCCTTTTTGAAGACGACTGGATACCGCATTTGTACCAATGTCCACTCACGCTAGGCCGGTCTTGCTATATTCTAAAGTGGACCGACTCTAGGCAGAACAAGCAAACCTACAGCCCCGGCCGGTGAAATCGTTGGTTTTGGACGGACTGAAGGCGAGAGGAAGTTCCGGTGGGCGCGGTCAACTAAGAGACACCGCGCTGAAGGAAGTGGCGCTTAGCCTGTGGAACCAGTGGGACTTTCTGCTCAAGCTCGGTCTTACAAGTGAGTCTTGGCCTAAGGGTGGGGATATGGAGGGGATCTCCGGGGATGTTATATCCATCGCTCTTCGGGAAAGCCTGAGCTCTTTCACGACTAACGACCGCGTTCCCTATAGCCGTAACGCACCCAGAACTGCACCATGGGACTTTTATCAGCTCTCGAGAGCTCACTTCCGCGAAGTTCGGGCACGCGAGCTTTGGGCCTTCAGACTCTCCTTGATAGGGACTTACGAGGTTTTGCCGCCCCAAGCTTGTTCCTGGTCTTCGTACTGTTCTCCTTATATTGGGTAATTCCATTACTTCATAATCTCTTTGTTTCACCGTCCAGAAATGTCCCTGGCCCTTTCTGGGCTAGAGTGACGCGCTGGTACGAGTATTTCGCGGTTCTTCAGGGTGATTCAAACCAGCTCTACCGCCGCCTACACGACAAATATGGTAAGTGGCTGAACCTCTTGCCAGTGAAACGACGCGGTGGTGACACGTCTCTCTAGGCCCCGTTGTCCGTATCGGTCCGTATCGGTACAGTTTTACTCGACCAGAAGACGTGAAGGTCATTTACGAGCTTGGTGGAAAATATCTCAAATCAGCCTACTATAACCCGCTCAATCCTCCCATCCGGGAACAGCAGAACATCTTCGCCATCAGAGACAATGACTGGCATAAAGAAAAGCGCAGAAAAGTCGCCGCTCTTTACAGTATGACTAGCGTGGTTTCTTACGAAGAACCCGTCGACAAGATGACAAGCGTCTGCTTACGCAAGATGCGCGAATTTGCAGATGCAGGTCAACTGGTCTCTATTCCCAACTTCATGCAGTACTACGCGTTCGACGTCATTGGCATGATCACCGTAAGTGCGATGCATTACGTGAATCATTCCCATTCCCATTCCCATGCTGACAGATGATGATCGCCTAGTTTGATCAGAGCTTTGGAATGATGGAACATGGAGGCGATACCACGGGAATGATTGAAGGTATTCGTGGCGTCAACGACTACCTTGGACACATGGGAGTGACTTACAATTTGCACCCATGGAATGCGTGGCTAAGGTCTCTACTCCGGCTGCCAATCAAGGGAGGTGTCCTGGCGCAGTACTGTTTCACTCAGATTGCAAAGCATCGTGCACAGCCATCGGCCACTACTTTGACCAAAAAAACAAATTATGAGACTTTCTTGGCGAAACTACTACGCATGGAAGCCGAAAAGAAGGTTGCAGCGACCAATATGATCGATACCTGTGGCAGCAATATTGGAGCCGGGTCTGATACTACGGCCATCTCCTTGAGTGCAGCGTTATTCTACCTCTACGCGAATCCTGAAAAAATATCCAAGCTACGACATGAGATCGAAACTGGGTCTGCAGAAGGTCGTATTTCTAACCCTGTCACTTTCCAAGAGGCTCAGAACATGCCATTCCTACAAGCAGTGATTAAAGAAACCCTGCGCCTCCACCCTGCGGTTGGCACAATATTGGCGCGGGATGTTCCCAGAGGAGGTGCACAATTGGGCGGATATTACTTTCCCGAAGGCGTAGGTCGGCCCTGTTCTAGTTCAATGCCATGCGTACTGACAAGTCAATTTTAAAGGCCGAGGTTGGTTGTAATGCCTGGGTGCTCCATTACAACAAGGACATCTATGGCCCGGATGCCGAAGTATACCGGCCAGAAAGATGGCTCGAAGCTGACAAATCAAGTCTCAAAGATTCCATGATGTTTGCGGTAGGTCCCTCTTGAACGTGGAGAGATCCAAAAGCTGATACATGTCTGTGAAATTAGTTCGGAGCGGGAAGTCGCACCTGTATCGGCAAGAACATCAGTCTGCTCGAAATGACCAAACTGCTTCCACAGATTGTCCGGGATTTTGACATCGAACTTGAAGGCCACTCCCCATACTTGAATACAACGTGTGCATGGTTCGTTTATCCTAGGTATAAGGCCCGAGTCACGCTGCGGAACTCTAAATAGTCTCCATCGAACAGAAAGGGGACGAGAATAGGATACTGCACTTGGACACCTTCTGCAGGGTCCGGAGTGAAGCGCTGAAAGAGAGAGCGTGGACCGAGATAACCTTTTCGTGCCTTAGCCTCTTTGGTAGAAATACCTTGGAATTTGGTTCATGGACACTTGCAGGGTTTGCATCGTGAGACCGCCTGACTCTGTGACTTTCTCTTTTATAATCTGCTTGGCAAACGATCTAAAGGGGTCTCGGTCGCCTTGCTGGGGGTGAGATGACTCGTAATGCCGCATAGGTCAAAACACTCTCACATGTTGAAGAGGATTATTCCTTATAACTATCATTACTGTTGCAAGTTTGGAACCTTACACAAGTACCCACTCATGCAGGTAAGGGCAGACAAAGAAGTAAGCGCCAGGAGGTGCCAAGTACGTAAGTATTAGTCAACCTCCATTCTCACAAGCAGTCCGGCAAGCAATTCATTACATGGCTCTCGACCAATGAAGGTAAACTAGCTTTCTCTGGTCATATCAGTGTGGACAAGCGGACAGATCTGCGAGGTCACATAGTTAATTACTCGTCTCTGATATCTTATCTTAACGAGTCTCAGTCAGCTGCCAGAATCTGTCTTTAACATAAGAAACGACTTGCTTCAAATCCACCACTTGTGCAACTGCCTGCGCAATTGCACTTGCTTCCTGTAATACATCCAACGAGTATCGCAACAGCGTCGCAACACTGAGAATTTGGGCGACCGATTGGCCATCCCTTTCCCAGAGACATCCGGGGCGCTGCCGTGGATCGGCTCGTAAATTCCCTTCGCACGCACGCTCTCCTAGTATGCAAGAGACTCGCACTTGAAAGAACCTCAAGTGTGCCATTGACGCCTCCCAAGATATCGGACAGGATATCGCCAAACGTATTGTCAATATGAATGACGCCGTTGAAGCGCTTTGGATCCCGAACCATGAGCATCGTGTTGAAAGTAAGGGCTATCAACCTCACGACAGCCTCGCGGCAGCCTAGCTCAGGGAGTCGGTCTAACATGAGTGCGCTGTACTTAAACACACTCCTCTACCCCTCAAATAACAAATGTACAACCGATGTTGATTGATCGATTCCAACTACGACTATCCAGTCAGAAAATAACATCCTTTGCTTGTTCATGGATTCGAACGACGGCACAACGGACTCCTCAAACTTCCCCTTGAAAAATGATGATGACTCCTTCCAACCTTCACCTCAAGACGGTATATATTAAATGCAGTTGCGTATCCCTCTTCCCCGGTTCGGCACGCTTTCTACAGGAAGTGAGCTATCATACTTCCCAATCAATACTTTCCACCCGGAGGATCCTGGCTAAAACTCAAATTTAGTATGGTCCCGGAGCAAGGCTGAGCATGTTTGCCTGTCAAGTATACACAATGAGATCATTGCCCCCCTTCACCGTCCGACATTAGCCGAAACCCTCATATTTGGGGGCCCGCCCCGACCGTGGGGCTGTGCTGCTTATATAATTCCAAAACCTTCCCTAATTTTCTGTGTAGAGACCAATGGTCCTTAGCGTAGGCACTTGTGCTCCATACGTACCATGTTCGACATCCTCTTCAACCACTTTCTATTGTTTATCCACTGAGACACAGGAGAAGTGTCCATAACAAGTGAAGAATACCTCTAAATCCCTTTCACCTGTTGAGTTGAATGGTTGAGAACATGGGCTCCGGTCGGCCTGGCTCTCAATGGGAAATATGATCAAGGCTCGTTTTCTCTTTTGTTCGCCAATGCGAGCAACCATTATCTATAGGTTGTGCTTTCTGTTACCACCCGTCTGCAGTTCTTTCAACTCTACACCCTTGATATTTGCTGCAATCGAATTCTTCAAACTTGTCCAGCCCGGGCGTCCCAGCTCCTGCAGGAGTTCTTCCGCTTTTTGTCGAGGCTCAATCTCATTTGGGTCTTCACCGCCCGAAAAGTTGTCGGGTAAATTGCGCTCGGGATCGAGCCTCCGCATGGCGTCCAGGATTGCGTCCCAACTAAAGCGGCCTCCAAAGGCAAAGATACGCTGATCCTGGATGCGTGTCAACAGCGCTGCCGCCACGTGAAGGACGGCGGTGTCCTCGACGTCGACATAGTATTCTGCCAGATATTCAGCGATCGTTGACAAGGGACGCCTGGGGGCGCTGTGACTTACGCCTTGGAACTGCGGGGTGGAAAGGTGTCACCTTTCCCTTCCACAGGGATGCGACCATACCGCAGCTACTCCGAAAGCCTTGGCCAACCGGATCAACCGTACGTCCAACGATAAAGTTGGGCAGAACTGGGAGCAGTCATTGTGAGTGAAGGTAATTCCCGTCTATGGGTCATTCATCGTAACATACCTGCATTTACTATGAGATCTGGGCGCTTACTGCGATTCTCCCTGTGGAACTTCCAGATGGCCTGCTCGGATTCTGTCTTGCTTGCTTCATAGACAATCAATGGCCGCTCCTGCTCAAAGGGCGGTCCTGACCAAGCCCTTTCGACAGCTTTCACGTTCCATGACTCTTCGGTCACAGTAACGCCACTGTCGAGGACACCGACTGCGGCGGCTGACGAAGACGTCAGGACGAATCGTTTCACAGTCGGCTCGGCGTACGCAGCCTTGAGGGCGTTGACCGCTCCTGCTACAGTGACGGGAATTACCTTGTCCGCCTCGCTAACGAATGACATGAAGGCAGCAGAGTGAGCGAAGACATCAACCCCTGATTTAGATATTATAGGATGAGCATTTGTTCGCAACCAGCATGCATGATGATCTGTTGAGATGGATGCTCACCCTTTGCAGCCTCGTCATAAGCCCCCTCAAGCTCCATTTCGGGCACACCTACGAGCTCGAATTTGTCTTTCCCATAGAGCCTGCTGAAGATATCGAGGGCCCAAGCTTCCTTGATCGGATCACGTACAGTACCACGGACTTTATAACCATTTCGAAGAAACTGGTCAGCGATGTGCGAACCAAGGAAACCGTTCACTCCAGTGACAAGCACTGTTGAGCCCGGAGGGACTGCCGGATTGTGGATGGTCGCCATCACAGGTAAAATTTGCGCGATCGAGATGAGCTTCTTTGAAAAATATTGAGACTAGTACTGGTGAGCTTGTAAGTGCGTCAGCAGCAGTATTTGAAGCAGTGGAGCGATCGACGACTTGTTTAAGCCCGCACCCAAGACCTCCGAGAGTCCCACTGGTTTAGATGACTAGCTGCCACCTCCCTTGCTTTCTAAGCAGTGCTTGGAACATCCTACTATGCCGCCTCGTGGCTAACCCATACCACATATAACCCCAACTTTGTTGGCCCGGGATTTTCTTGCAAAGAATTATGCTCCGCGGACTTCTAGCTCGAGTCGCCTAGCCAAAATCTGCCTAGTGTATACCCGAGAACTGTCAGCATGTTGTCTATAGGTCGTCCCGAAGGCCGTCTTTGGGAAGAGCGCTACGGGCGTACGGCTGGGCCATCTCAACTGAAGCACTCCCTGGTTGGGTGTGGTGAACATTCCTTTTTAAGCTAGTAGGTCAGCCTTGCGGCTCGACCTTTCTACATGGCCCTTCAGATCTTATGTGGGATGTCGAAAACGCCAAAATTCTATTCGAACTCGTGTATCCCATGTGGAACAATTTACCAATCAAGCTTCGACCATTGAAACGCTTTGGACCTCTGGGGCCCCGCTAGATCAACATATGTTCCTCATGTACAGGCCACATGAGTTTGTCCTGTACAGTCCAAAGTCTTTGCCTCACAAACTAGGCTCCCCCCTTCCTGACGACTTCAATTTCCTGTCCCTGAGACCCAGTTTTGAGGTCCTGGGCTAAAACAATATCGCTGCTAACATCGTCACCAAATAGTGCAGCAATCTCTTCTAGTGGCAATTTGTTGGTATCCGGACAGAAAATGAGTATTAGAACGATGGCGACGAGGGTACAGCAGATGAACACCAGATAGAACTTCCAACCGATATTGTCAAATGCAGTCGGGGCCACCTGCAGCTAGATAATATTCATTAAGCTCGGTCTGGAGATGCAGATGGTCATGCCTTGGCTTCTGATATGCGTGGGGAAAATTTCTCCAATGTACACGTACTCAACACCACCTGGTCCTGCTTCTACGCAGATGATGAAGATGTAAGTGACGGCAACGGCAGCTTGAAGCGCAGCATGGTTCGGACTCTGCAGCGATTCCGCACTAGTCGCATATTTAGCCACCGAACCTGCCTCAGCCAGCTAAGCAGGCGGCGCGACCAAATAGACCACCAGCGATCAGGTACGGGCGAGAGAGCTTTTGGATCAGGTACAGGCCTGCGCCAGCCCCAATGATAGTCGAAGTAACAAATCCTCCGAGAACTTCAAGCTGCTTCTTCACTGGGAATCCTAACACTACATGAATTCTAGTAGCGTACTGCAAACAAGAGTCGGGGGGGGGGGGGGGTCATTAAGCGGAGAATGGATGCTGCACTCACATTGTTAATGACCAGAGGTCCACACATTTGGACCGCACAAGCGATTCCGAACCCAGTAATGCAGCGTCGACGGTACGAAGGCTTAGTGAACATGGACAAGAACGATGTCTCAAGAGTTCGATCGAGCTCAATCTGCCGCTGGATCTGGATCAACTCAACCCGCGCTTCCTCAGCTGGGTGCAATCTGTGCAGAATGATCTCAGCTTCGGTGGCGGAGTCCTGAAGGATCAACCAGCGCGGCGATTCGGGAACCCAGTAGAGCCCTGAAACCATCAGAAGAGCCGGTAAGCAAAGAAGCGCAAACTGCGCCCGCCATGCATTGTTAGCACTGGTGGTGATGTGGGAGGACCCGTAACCAGCCCAAGTCGCGACAATATACTCCAGCATTAAGCCGACATTGTGGACTTCGACCAGGGTACCACGTATACTTGGTGGAGCCACTTCGCACATCCAGATCGGGACCGCTGCGATCAGCATGAACGCCCAAACACCAGAGAAGAAGCGGAAGGTGATAAAACATGCTGATGCCAACACTACCAGCCAGTAAAGCCTAGGTCGCGACAGTTAGCAGACCCGGGATGGCAAGACCCCATCGTCTCCCTCCCGTATCGGTCGGAGAGGTAAAAGGAAGTCAACGAGCCAATGAAGCCTCCAAGAAAGTACATTGAAATTACCAAGGCAACCACTTGATTAGCATCGGGGCGAGTAGCCAAGTTGAAGGTAGCCACGAATGAAGGTTGCGCCAGCACGGTCGAGATGACAGCGTTCGCATACCCGACTGTGATCGATCCGCTAGCCACGATGAAGAGCATGAGGACGTTGTAAGATCGAGACTGCTTGCCACCATAATGCTTCAAATGCGCCACCTCGTCCGGCGCCATGGTATCCATGTTCCCTCTGTGAATGAGGAATTTCGACTAGAAGACGCAAGGCGAACGCAGTGATTTACTCGTTGATTCAAGCTATGGGAAACAATAGTAGCAAAAGAGAAGTATTGAGCTTGACCAGTGCTGTTCGTCACGAGGATGTATCTCTTTTAAACATTACCTAGCAATCTTTCGATATATATGATGTTGAGATAGCCGCCTAGCCTCCAAGATCCCCGGTCTTGGATTTCCTGGAGACGATCCCGGGGGTAAAAACGAAGTACTATCCCAGGTTTGGCAATCCTTGAGCTGTCTGGGACAACTTTGCTAACACTGTTCTCCGCGATTACCGCGTGGATGCGGGCGGTCTAGACCAAACGTTCTAAGCACTGTCTCGCAGGTTTGGCAAACCTTGAAATATTATGTCCGGGGTAAGCTTGCTGCCACGAATCTTCGACAGGAGTCCAAACCCAGGCCACTCGTACCTCCTGTCACAAAGATTGCCTGGTTGGAAAAGCGCCCCATAATGTTCTCTGTGCAAAATAGAAGATCAAGAGTTCGTGGGAGAGGACTGGCAACCAGATCCAAGAGCTTAATGTCTGCGTCTATCCCTGCCCAATTCATGCCAGGAACTGACGCTACTGATCTTGGAAGCCACTGCTTTGAACATTTTTGCCCCGAATTTCGCCAAAAAACTAGAAATGGTGCAACAATAATTGTTGCGGAGCACGGATTCGGAAGTGGCTCTTCTAGGGAGAGGGTGCTGTTAGAGCCTTAAAGGGTGTAGGAGTACGGATGATCATTGCGAGAAGTTTCGCATTCATTTGTAAGTGGGTCCTATTTGTTCCTGTTTCAGTCTTTGTTTGACAAACTCATACCTGCTGCCCATAGATGAGCGGAACCAGCTCAATATGGGACTATTCAACGCCCGAATCTGTGAAGATGACTTCTACGAATATGCAGAAGTATGAGCACTCCGCTGTCGAAACCGAACTACTAGAAGCTGGCGGAGTTCTCTCTTTATACAACTTGTACGGTAACTCGGCATTCCGCAAGCTGAAACGTTCACGGCAAACTATCGAATCCCACTCCACGACTATCAAAGACTTTACGCCGACAGGGTTCTCTAAAAAGCCGAAATCAGCATTGGCATGGTAACAACACCGATGACAGCCGGCTATACTAGACTATGGGTGATGAGTCAGTGGATTTTGAGCGCTCAATGCTATTAGCTCAGCGTTCATAGTCATTCGTGGCTCATCTCAACACTGGCTACATGTTCATGGAATACTTGGTGGTGAAACTGAACATCTCGGTAATGAATTGCTGAATAATGGTAAAACTAAGGCTGATTCTACAATTTGACATTAATTAGGCATCATTTGACCCGCATGGCTCGTTCTAGCCTTTTCGGCAGAGTCAAGGCAAAAAGTTGTAGGCTTGCAGCTTATATGTGTGATGGGAACGATAATATCAACATGCATTCCCCACGTCTTGCGTGTTGTGCATTCCAGTCGCGTCCTCCTTTGGCCACAGGCCATCGAGAGCCAGCGTGTATTTCTTAAGTTCGCCAACTATGGCTGGGTTCAATCCATAACAGGAAGGCCTAGTGAAAGGTAAATAAGACTTTTGCAGCGGCAGATCGGGCGAGATGAAGTGGCAGATACTGTCGAGCCTCTCGCTCGGCTCTCCTCTCGTGGGAACGGCACTTGGATATGGGACAACCATCTCGATTGGCGTCAGCTACTGTCCAGCAACGTACACTACTTCTACAACGTCAACCAGCAGTATGAAAGCCTCATCCCCGACGTCGAGGTATGTCTTTCTCAATCCACTATGAATGGTTCTACTAAAACGAGACAGTCACGGCCCAGACGAGCCCTTCTATCTCTCATTTCTCGTCGACTCACTTCTGCCACGCCGAGCTGAGAAACGTGCTACTTCAAGCCGTCGCTACATCGCAGCTGATGGAATTGTTACAGAGGATCCTCAGGCAGCAGCAATTTTTGCCATTACCACATCAGGACAGCTCATGAATAGTGGAGACTACATTTCAACAACAGGCCTTGTCCAGTCACAACTTTTCGAGGCGACACCAGAATTGAAAGATATCTCAACTCGATTCGCTGTCCGTTCCAACGATACTTTAACTTGGGAAAACGATGCTTTCGTTGGGGGCGAGGCCATCTTCTGCCTTCTGGGGGACCTGTTTGTGACTTTCAATGGAACTTCGCCTTTTGGTTGCACCAGGACATATCTTGAGATCATCCCAGTGGATGAAGTTACAATGCCTCCGACTCCCACGTTCACAACATCTTTGGCAGACTCAACTATAACAACCAGTATCATCTCGGTGACCACTTATCCTCCAGGTACTGTTTACGGCAAGCTGGTTTACGGGATACCACTGGGCTGCCTGTCATCGCCGCTTGATGATCCCGCTCTGCTGGGACCAAACACATTTGTGTCTAATCTCGAGCAGTGTGCTGACTACTGTTTTGACTTTAACGTCTTTGGTGTCAAGTCTAGTGAGCTATGATGACCCTGCGCAAAGGAGTCTTGTTCCACTCTAATTCTATTCACAGGCAATTTCTGTGTTTGTGGCAACGGCCTACAAACTAGCGATCTGGGCCTTTGTGATGTCCCGTGCGAAGGAAATGCCACTGCTACCTGTGGTGGATCGAACGCATTTTCAGCCTACGAAATAGTCTTCCGCAAAAGTGGCTCCGTGAACATGGCTTCAACGATCTCCAGCTTCATTAGCTCTACACCTCACCTAACGTCAACGATAACAACCCCTCCAGTTACAGCCTCGATTCCTCCAAGCCACACGGCAAGCACTACCGTCTCGGGAGAAACTCCGCCTTCCTCGACCGCTTTAACCACCTCAGCGTCTGAGTTCCCGGCTCCAACTTCTACCGGAACGCCAAACTGTTTTGATGGCGCGGGATTCGATGGAACTGTCAATTCCGATTACCTCATCCTATGCGACACCGAGCTTCCAGGTTCGGATCTTGATACTGTTCCAGCCGCCGATCTCGCCAAGTGTATCGGAGCCTGCAGCTCGTACGTTGCGTCGTCAGAAGGGATCTGCGTGGCAGTCGAATTCGATATAGTAAGTCATTCGTAAGTAGTTTGCATAGCCAATTCTGATCTCTTCCAGCTAGCAGAGGCAAATCCTTGTCATCTCAAGTTTAATATCGGACTCGTTACTCGAGGTGGCAATCCCTTCGCTCAAGCGGCCATTGTTGTCAATCTGCCCTACGCCCCTGAAATCACATTTTCTGGAGATCCTGGGTTCTCAACGACTACTTCGCCTTCTCTCGAATCAACCACCGCTATTTCGCCGATTCCCACAACAACGCAGACACCCCCTTCGACATCATTGTCGATCGCATCTACGATGACAACCATGAGTTCGCCCCTAGTCTCATCAACAGTTTCACCTACGTTATCTCACCCACCTACTACAACAAATGTTGGCGTTTCCTCCACAGGGGCTCAAAGTAGTCCTAGTCTTTCGACCAGTAGTCCCCTGACTATCCAGTCGGTAGGCTCTTCTATCACTACTCAACAGACTCCATTACCGACTACGATACCCAGCTCCGTTTCAACAGGCGGTGTGCCGAGCACAACTACTAATGCTCCACAGCCAAGCTCGTCTGCTCGTCCCTCTTCCACTGTGGGGAAGCCCACATTTCATTCCACTGGGTCCTCTCTCAGCAGTATAACCACTTCGTCTGCTCTTTCGAGCACTCCAGGAGCAACCACTTCCTCCCCTCCGGAGACCAGCGCTTCTAGTCCAATGTCTAGGCCTCCATCCTCAACTTCTCCTGGTGCAAATTCGACCAACCCCCAAAGTACATTGTCCACGTCCACATCCTTGAGACCCAGTTCAACGTTCCTCCCTACTTCGAGCACCACAATCCCCCCAACGGCTGTACTTGCTACTTCTACTACTGCGGCTCCGTACTGCTCTGGTGCGACTCCCACGGCCGCATTATGTCCAGCCTACAATCACCAAGCGGTGAATGTCAATGGTGATGGGGCTTGTTACGAGATCGAGTGCCAGACAAATCTTGATGGAACGATTCTCACTGGGAATTCTACGAGGACAGTATCACACAACGTCTGCATTGGATTTTGTAGTCTATACAACGTCGCAATTCCTTTTGGCTGCGTGGGTGTCAACTATTTCGGTATTTCAGTTCCAGGTAACAATTGTGTGCTCTTGTCAAGCATCACTAGTACTAGATATCTTGCTGGTGTCGACAGTGGTCGCTTACTCTATGCCGGATATCCTTCCATCAGCGACCCCAACTATGGAACTATCAGCGTCTCCTCCGTTTCACAGACCGCAGCACCAACACAAACATCCTTGACTTCAACTGCTACGTATTCTGCGACAAGCTGTTCCGCCGGTCCTACCTCACCTTCGAGCCCCTTATGTCCAGGAAGCTCCCCATTCTGCAATTCATATAATAGCTGGGGCACTCCGGACAACTTTGAGATCGAGTGCGCCACATCTTTCACCGGTTCGAGCTTACAACCACTTCTGGCTTTTTCATTGGCTGATTGTATCAGTTGGTGTCAGTATGCAAATGCATACAGTACCAGTCTATGCACTGGCGTTACTTTCAGAGAAGGCAATGTTACTCAAGGTGGCCAGAACAACTGCTTCAGATATTCTTCCCTCATATGCGCAATACGCGGGAACTCCACATTCAACAGCGCCCGCGTCTTGAACTCTGCTTATCCACAAATGACAGATTATAACGATCCTAGCTTCATGTGTAGTGCTCAAGCAAGCTCGACAGTTGGGCCAGGCACCAGTACCGTACCTGATTCAGGCGGTTCCTCCTCAACGAGCAGATCTGCTACAACAGCAACAACAACAAGCCCGGCAGCCACCGTAAGTACGAGCAGACCGGCGACTTCGACTACTGTGGACCTCTCTCAGCAAACCTCGACTGCTTTCCCATCAGCTTTTCCTCAAGACCCAGTCTGTGAGAACAACCTGATCTCTAAATTTGAAGGTGAGAAAAGCCACAATCAAGTATGAAGCAGTATCCTAAAAGCCATTGCAGGTGGCCAAGCATTAGTCAATCCAAATCTAGGCCGGTATTATGATATCGAATGCGCGGTGAGTGAACCAATGACGATGGGTCGATCGCACTGACATGATCCAGGCCGATTACAACACAGGAATAAACCTTCCGTTCGGCGTGACTACTCAGCCAACATATAACAGTTGCTTGGATCAGTGTGACCAAGCCGTAGCGGCCAATGCTTCCGTAATTTGTGCAGCATTTTCCTGGGTTTCGAGCACCGGAGCCTGTACTCTTCTGGGGAAGACCTCCAATGGCAGACAAACGACCACAGGTATGACGAATACCTTAGGTACGCACTCGGGCCGTTGGCTCTTCAATCAGGGCGGCAGTACCCCTGACGGGCCGGGTCTGCAGGTGTACCTTCAACGTCCAATCCCCTTCCCAACAGGACAAAACCTAATTGGTGCAACTCTGCCCTCCTTTCCGGGGGGGACGAACACATACTTCAACGGCTGGGCGGCGAACTCCCACACTACCCCCCTTGACTTATCGGCCCTCGGCATTCAATGGAGGATTTTTGGGCAAACAAGTAACAAACTCTTTGTCTCTGCGAATTTCTGGCTTACTACGTCCCAACTGGAGCTTAACTCCTCAAGCCAGAACACCTGGTCTCAGGGCGGACGAAACAATGATGCCACACCGATTGCTTTTCCAGCCTCCAATCTTCCAGCCTACACCATTGCTCCATTTTGGACCCAAGGCTTTATCCTCATGGCCAGTCAGCAAGGTATCTACTACCAAGTGGACACTATCTCTCCCGGTCGATACGGCATCTCCATTGAATGGTACTTCTCTCACTTCCAGATTGACAGCGCCGTCCAACATGCCATAATGACATACGACACCGGAATCCCAGGTGTCTGGACCACCTATTTCTTCCGAGCTGGTAGTACAACTGATGATCAGGGCAAACGGCAGACAGTCGGTGCTCAAGGAGGCTCTGGCCAGAGCTTTAATTATTGTCGGGCCCAGACGAACTGCATCACGCCTGGTGGTAAGTTGGTCTTCGACACCGAAGTCATGGATGCGTCAGCTTCCCCAACGTACACCGCGAATTATTTTGTTGCAGCTAATGTGCAAGCTGGTTCTTGGACCTGGTCTAACCGGCCAGTGTAGATCGATAGAGACTAGAGTCTTATACTTCGTTGGGATTTTCTACTTGGAAGAAGGAAGCGCAGTTTCTAGACGAGGATGTCGCACTGATGATGGATGAGTAGGGTGTACGAGGCATGTGCGGCTTTGCTGTCTAGCAGAAGGAATATGTAGAAAATTCACATCTTGTCCCACATGAGAAAGGAGAGTCATCGACTGTGCAACTACAACTACAATCAGCCACAACGATATCGCTAGCTAGTTCGAGGAAGGGTCCTAGTAGACGTCAAGACTGAGTTTAACTAGGTACTCCGGAATGAGAGGTAAAACTACGCAAGTGTATGGTGAGCAGCCCTAGTGCTCAGAAGGCCCCAAGCTACAGGATTGCTGCTTGAGAAGAGATCGAGCCCAAGTTCACCATCCGCCAGCGTTATTACTTGACTTCCCAGATACTAGAACATACACATAGCCCATATACTATCTTTTGGCGCTACTTATATGACTCTACGATGAAATCTGGAAAGGCGCCGGGTCAAGGTTGGCCTTTAGGGGCGATTCCAGGACGGCCAAAGGCCAGGCCAGGCCCCACTGCCACTCCTCGGGCAATATACTTTGGATGCCGTAGATCTCTCGTTCAGCACGGCCCTGCAGCCACCAGAACTCATCAGCAACATGTTTTACCATCGCCATGTAATGAGCAAATATCAACATGGCACGCGGCCTCTTATCCACAAGCAGGTCGATGAAATGACTCGGACAGAGAGGGCCGAACGTCACGACTCGCTGGCATAGATAGTGAGGCGGCTCGCCCTCCTGTATCGCAGTATAGATACTCCCGATATACGCCAGGGCGAGACGGCAGGTCTCTTTGCTCAACGGGTCGGATTCTCGGAGATCCATATGGCCGGATGGGTTGATATTTGCTTGCTGGTAATCCAGGACTTGTTGGAAGGGCTTGGTGTGTGAAGGGCTGAACAAGGCCTCGCTGTTCACGAAGCTTGGCTTCCTGCCCTTTTGGAAGTAGGTCATCATGATGGAATCTTGCCGGACGTGCGGTGCGGCGACATGAAACACGATTGTCACAGATGCAGCCATGCGCAGCATCTGCACTGGAAGCCTGTACCCGGCTTCAATGGAGCCTTCGGACTCCGGCAGCAGGCATGTCGACATGATGCTGAGCATGATGGATGTGAGACCGACAGCATCGGAATTCGAGGGGCCGATGGTCGCGACGGCTTCTCGTTGTTGCTGGATCGCCTGATTCAAGTAGATGCGGTGGAGCTGCGCAAAGTCCAAACCGCGGAAGGACTCCGGCAGCTCGTCTCGCTCGGTATACCCTACTTTCTGCGGTTGGACGGTTTTGCAAATATACAGCGCGGTAATTGCAAAGATGGCGTCGAACAAAAATCGGTTATCACATGCTAGATTCGGGGCTTGCCAACTGTACATGCCCTTCAGGCTCTCATCCCGAGCGGAGGGAAACGTGGTGGCGACGGTAGACGTGAACCTATGCAGCAGGAACAGCTCCAGGGCATGGCGTCGTGGCTCTGATATGATGAAGTTGGAAACAATGTCCGAATATGGAGTCTCTGGCCCATTGAGCGGTGTCTGACGACCCACTGAGGCAGGGGATGGATCGGCTGGCTGACTTGCAGCGCCTTCAGAAGCAGTTGGACTCGTTACATGGGACGACGAATAATCCGTTGTAGGCTCCTGCAAGGCTCTGCTCGCAGGCGCTGGAGCCGGAGCATCCCCATAGTCACAAGGAACTCCATGGCGCAGACAGGCGCTACAGGAAGGGTGTTCTTCGCTGCATTTCACCTTTCGCTCCTTACACCGTCGGCATCCAGCGCGGGACTTTCGATGAGCTAGGCGAGGCGGCATGTGACGGTGCCGAAGAAGAGAGATTACAGTGTTTTCGCCAATACTGCCCTAGTGTGACACCACAAGGCAGCCTTGTGCACTGTTCGATCGACGTCTGACTCAGGTGTGGTAGGAGCGAGCTTCGTGCGCTGGCCATATCTGAGGATCCGAATCCGAAAGCGAAGGAGAGAAATACAGCAGATCTCGCCAGTTGCAGGGCACTCACATGATCTGGAATTTTCAGGCCCCCCACGGCCGGGCAGGGCCTCTCGGCCCGCTTGTTAATTAGGCCAACAGTCCGTCAGCCTTGCCTATCATTCCACCGCCAAGGCTTACCATCTGACGTCGAACTGCTGCCTACTTGAGGAGGATCATCAACAGTGTCTCTCTAGATTCGCCCATTGGAAGGTCCTTCTACGCACCTATAGAACAATATTCTTTCATACAAGGGCATGTCTCTGGCTAGAAGTCTATGAGGTTGCGTTTTACGACTAGGATATTTCTCGAAGAAAGGTTACTAGGTGGTGGGAATTCCACATCAGGAACCCCCCAGAGTCCGCTGGTTTATCGGATTGCCAGCTTGACCCAGGTGGTGACTTGATCAATGGGCGCAATTCGCTACCAAGTCCCGCTCTGCCTCGCGGCCGTTCTCGGGTGTCTTTCGAGATTACCTTTTGGTGGCGGGTACAGCGGTGCAAAACATCCCAATGCACAACACACCACGTCGACATATACCGACTGGAAACGACGAGAGTCGGCCTCCGCTCACTTGAAATACCAGAATTCAGGGTTCGACATCGACCTCGAGAAAGGCAGATAGCAGGGAAGATCAAATACCTTGGGAGAAAGCCACACCGAAATCGACATGCTACGGATGATTTCGTCCAGGTTGGGTATTTGAGATAATCTTCTGCTGGCTAAGGGACAGTCATTCTTCGAACACCTAGCATGAAGGCGACCAAAGTGCTCTATGCTACATTATGATATTGGCCCGCGAACGACTTGAATATCTCCAGTAACCTTTGCACGACACAGGCTATAGCCGTCAAAGATATCTCCCTCCACATGTCCAACTTCTTCTACCAACTGCGCCTGACCATCTTGCCCCTGGCGGCGCAGGCAGCAATGCACTCTTCCGGACCAAAATGTGCCTCAGTGCCGGGCTGTGGAATCTGGCCATCAACATTTTGTACATGGACACCGCCATCAAGAACCGTACTCGAGATATTCTGAGGAAGGCTGAAGGATGCGTTGGCCACATTCAATGTGCCAGTATCGTCAGTCACTATTGAGGGCAGAGATGAGCTGTGCATTCTCGCACCCTATATTCATCATCGTGCGGATTGGGCCGATGGGGAAGATTGTCATCTCGCCGGCATGAAGGGTGTTCTGGACCGTGCGTGCGCCGTTCTTGTTGCTCTTGTATGTCTGAATTGTCCCGAGGATGGCAACGACGTAATTGGCGCCTCGAAGATGGAGATGTGACGGTAGCATGGAGCAAGGCCCAGGGTTTAACATAGCCTATGAAAAAGTTGAGTTTCCAAGCCACACACACTTCACATCGGAAGACATTGTTACCTGGTTCCCTCTTGCTCAGATTCTGAAAATTCTCTTGAAACGGAGGCGTTCTGAGAAGTGACTAAGATTTATATTCTTGCTTCGCGCACTGCTATGGAGAAGGGTTAAATAGGACTCTAAGAAGGCCAATCATGAGTATCTAATACTTCAAGATCTCCCATCCAGAAGCCTCGCCTATCTTCGGAATGCTGTGCTTGTCCTGGTCATTCCAGTCAAACCCAAGCTTAGCCCAACCTTACGACGATTGCTCTGCTACGAACAACAAAAGCACCAAACAGCCCATGCGCATACCCGCCCCTGCTAGCTGGCATTACTAGGCTAGCACTCGAGTTGTTGATTTGTCTCTCGCCACTCGCGAGCTTGATCCATAGAGCCGGCACTCGTTCATATGCCAGATGCATGCCTAGGGTGTCCAATGGGAACATTCTAGAATTAGATACCAAGCAGAATCTGATCGATCGATAGGTGCTTATGCAACCAGGCGGTTGTGGTTCATTCCCGAAGTCTCCTGGCTGTGCAGAAGTTCCTTCAATCGTGGGTTCGCAATGCGTTTTCGGCGAAACTCATCCCTCCTGCGGTAATGAGGTGATGCGTTGTAGTTCAAGGATTTGGGGACTCAACGTCGAATAGCGGTCTTACGCTTGAGACACGCTGCCGGCAACCCGAGCCCATGTCTATGTATCAGCATAGCTCCATTTTGCGTGAACTCGCAAAGAGCACTCTATACAACTTATCTGGGGAGTCCGCGCCTACTCACGGTCAACGCTGAAGATTGACTACCCAAGTTATTGAGCACGGAATACCGGAAAAGGGATGGTATGCTACTATGATATCTCGTGACTTCTCTTCTGAGAACTTGGGATGGCTGGAGGAAGCAACCCGCATCGCATCGATTCCTTGAGATCTGTTTCATTTCTACAAGGATGCAGGGAGCTGGAGAACAGCACAGCAAGTATTGCCGGCATCCAAGTCCCCGAGATTAGGCGTACTGCGCAAACATCGAACATACCGAAGGTGCAATAAAACTTGTCCACCCTATTAGGTTGCCCGAAAGGGCCACGAGAAACGACGTGGGTCATCAGAAGTCATCAGAACAAATCTGTGACGGCTCCATGACTGGCATCACTGACCAGAGCGGCATATTTGGCCAACACACCTCTTGTCACGGCCATTCGTGGAGGAGTCCACTTCTGCCTTCTTTTTTCAAGTTCCTCATCGCTCACAGCCACGCTGATCGAGTTTGTTTCAGCATCGATGGTGATCTCGTCTCCGTCGTGCACCAGCGCAATCGGGCCTCCTACTGCAGCTTCCGGGGCAACGTGTCCTACAATGAATCCATGGCTAGCTCCGGAATAACGTCCATCTGTGACCAAGGCAATGTTGGTAAGCTTTGCGCCCATGATGGCAGCACTAGCCTTCAATTGCTCAGGCATACCGGGTCCGCCTTTAGGTCCTTCATAACGCACGATGAGGACCAAGTTCTCTCCCGGCGGGATCTCGCCCCGGTTCAATGCTTCATTAAGCTGAATTTCTTTGTTAAAAGTGCGTGCCTTACCCGTGAACTTAAGGCCTTCTTTGCCGGTAATCTTGGCGACTGCACCCGCAGGCGCAAAATTGCCCCTCAGGATCTGGATATGACCTGACTTCTTGATCGGATCCTCCAGACTCTTGATAATAACCTGGTTTGCAGGCAGACTTGGCCAACTTGCTACATTCTCGGCCAGGGTCTTTCCTGTAACTGTCGGAATGCCACCGTCCAACAACCCAGCCGCGATCAAGAACTTCTGCACACTAGGGATGCCCCCGATTTCGTATAGGTCGGCCATAGCATATCTTCCAGAGGGTGCAAGGTCGGCTATGAACGGGATCTTATTGCTCACTCTCTGGAAGTCATCTAATGTAAGTTCTACCCCGGCGGTCACAGCCATGGCAAGAAAATGAAGCACGGCGTTTGTGCTTCCGCCTAACGCCATGGTAATAACAAGAGCGTTCTCGAATGATCGTTTTGTCAGAAGCTTCTTTGGGGTTATGTCGAGCTCTAGACAAGCCTGGATCGCATCTGCAGCCTTTGCACACTCTCGCATTTTCGCAGGTGACGTGGCTGGTGTGGAGCTTGAGCCAGGTAAACTTAGGCCCATCGACTCAATCGCAGTGGCCATGGTGTTTGCAGTGTACATACCTCCGCAAGCCCCAGCACCAGGACAAGCATGCTCTTCTAGGTCCTCCATAATTTCTTCTTGAGTCTTGGAGGTGTCTCCGCCATCATCTGGTTGGCGCAGCGTATTATATGTATACGCACCGAAGGCCTCATAGCAGGTGGCAACGTTTATAGGTCTTCGAAGTGTCTTACTATATCCTTTGTCGATTGTCCCACCGTATATCATGAGACTAGGTCTGTTGTGCCTCGCCATTCCCATTATGCAGCCCGGCATGTTCTTATCACACCCTGGGATCGTAATATTTGCATCATGTGCTTGGGCACAAGTGACAGTTTCGACTGAGTCGGCTATGATCTCTCTCGTCTGGAGACTGAAGCGCATGCCTTGATTGCCCATTGTGATGGCATCGCTCACGCCGACTGTATTATACTGCCATGCCAGCATCCCGCGAGACTGAACGGCTTTCTTAACTTCTTTGGCCAGGTCGAGGAGATGCATATTGCACGGGTTTCCTTCCCACCAAACGCTCGCAATGCCGACGTGTGGTGAGGTCTGCATTGCGAGACGGTCTGGCACACCTGCCGCGAACAGCATGGCTTGTGCACCTGGGAAGTCATGTTCGCGAGTCAAATGGGTTGAGTATCGATTCAACTTAGGTTTATTGTCAATCCCGGTTGGAGATGATGAGCGCACAAATTCAAGGTACCGGGCCTCTTGAAAGCCACCCGACTTGTCCATGCTTGCTAGCCCCAATGAGTGCTCAGATCTGTTGACTTGAGCAAGAGCAAGCCGAGTATGGTGCCCAGATGATGAGACTGGGTTTGGCTCGGCTCTTGGACCCTATTATGGGTATTTGTGCTAGTGTCGACTGACTTGGAAATGGAGCCGTGCTTGCTTCGGTGGAACGTCAGGACACAGAGAACTTGACTCGAGCAGATTTCGGCTTGGAAAGACTGTAATGAGTGTTCTTATACTTTGGATTCGACACCATGAGCACAAATATCCGTGCTTTGGTGTGCAGTTGTTCGTGACCCCACGCCCTGGCTAGCACCGGCAACCTCGGGCTGGTGTCCGGTCTGAGGGGTAAGTTTAGATACGCCCAATGAGGTTGACAGTGATTGTAAACTCCAGCATGGGGACGCATGCCTGTACATCTCATCCCGGGGAGCCAAGAGCAACTCCGATTTCGAACTCTCAGCCTTGCGCCTCTTGACCCCTGAACAGGGACGCTCACACGCTTTATTGGCCAATACATTGCTTGCAATATCGCAGAATCTAGATATTTATTGGAGGCCAGCTGGATGACAGATCATACAAGGCCAAATGGGACGAGGAGCTACTCCTCATCTTCAGGAAACGCTCAACGCTCGTTTAAGAAGGGATGAATCTCATAATGACTTGCGAGCAAAGCTGGATCCATCCTTCGCCTGCAGAGCCCTACCATTCAAGGTGGAAGAACACAAATCAAATACCCCATAGAACTAAATGATAGTGGTTCTAGAATTGCCCCAGGCGGTCATAAGTGGACAAGTTCACAGCCATCACTTTCCAGCACACGGCAGATCATAGCTCCCCTTGTGTTTTCTTGTTTTGCATCACCTTCAACTGCCACAAGCCGGCCGCCGTCAATACAAGAGCTGCGCTACCAAGTTCCAGGAAGGCCAGGTCCGAGATATTACGCTCAATCAAGCAGACAGTAGCGCTAAGGATGTCGACAGCGTCACACGCTACACCGAGCCAGAGCGCTGTCGTAACGTTGTTGTGTCGAACGGTGGCTGTGGAAATATAATTCCCCTGATCCTGTGCGAACCCAGGAACCCCATCACTCTTCGCGGCTGTACCACTGCCGTGGCTGGAAGAATCAGTTCTCGAGAGTAGCCCCTCTCTCACTCCCTCTTCTCCTTGGAGCTGCTGGACCTGACTGGTGTCCCACTCTCGAGCCGTCTTCCAGAGGTACGCCCCGACAACAAAGTCTCTTGATCCAAACAGACGGGCTAGCAGGCTCGATTCTGGACTCATCGCCAGTCCGAATAGTGGACCGACCTGTCGCGGAACGATGAGCGTTGACAGCCCCGCCGCCATGCGCATCACCGAGAGCGTCTTGATGATGGTGCTCGACATTGTGGCTTTTTGTTCTCTGTCTCCGAAAATCGTAAGTTGTTGAGATCTCACTTCGCCGATAGTGGTATAAGTGCTAGTTATACTTGGCTAGTTTATTTGGCCGTTCTCCGCTGTTGTCAAGTCTTAGCATCGACTGCAGCGATCCGTGGTAGAGGGGTGGGACAATGTCCTATGGAGAGACAATTCGGCGGCCAAAAGGTACACTATCAGAGGCGACCTGGAACCGGGCCGAAAGGAGACAATAAGGCAGTGAGTTTTATTCAAATGAGAACGAGCTACCTGACAGAACAAACGCGGACTGAAGACCCAGGCGTTTATCTATGAAACCCTTCCTCCATTCTTCGAATGGCCCGTGTCCCTGGCGAGCTTAACGTTATGCATTTCCCGTGGCGCCCAGCCTCGTATCGTACCCAGCACCTCAATAAAGCACACCCCAATCGTTATGATCGATCTCCGTGTTCATTGCCACAAAGAGGATGCGCTTCTGGCTATGAGGCATTTTCAACTCATCAGGTCCGGCTCATTGGAGGTTGTCTGATGCGTTGATATCTCAGAATGTTATTCTGTAATATCAAGAGGCTGACATTAGGGCAGACGATCGAGGGAGAGAATTAGCTAGAAGCCGCACATGTCTTGAATACTGATTGCTAACTGACTGGGCACTGAACGACTCGGTTACTTAAGTGGACCATTGCGTTCTAACATACTTAATTGTGCTCCCGGTAGTCCTACACGATCTTTGTCATACTTGCCTTGCATCATTGATCAATGGGGGCAAAGCGAAATCAAATGCTCAGCACAACCATAGCCGTTACCATCTACCATCCATGCAAAGCCTCATTAACTATGCCACCTGTATGAAACTCCAATCATAGCGGCGGCGAGGTTGCAATGAGCAGCCTCCGCGCCTTTACACCACCTGAATCGTGTCGTGTCCGATACTCGTTACATACAAGCCGGCCAATCATCAACAACGTGCTTTTCTTGGTAAAACATATTAACCAACCCTTTCAAAACCGTAGTGCGCCGCGCCAGAGAAAAGAAAGTCATTCCTATCTGGTATGGACACTTTGCAGGTCTTCATTTCTTCTTTCCCTTTCCCCGACTTGGAGCAGTCGTGGATGACACACTCTGAGCACGCGAGGTGGCTGGGGAGGTGTTTTTACTGCCACGACCTGACTTGACTGCTTTTACAGCTTTGTTCTGCGAGGTCTGTCAGTACAAATTTCCTACATGAGCTTGATCCACAACTTACCACAATGCCATTCTTCGCCTTCTTTTTGGCCGGTGCGGCCTCACTGTCATTCTCTTCGTCCTCGTCTTCATCTCGATCTCGCCCTCTACCTTTACCAGGTGCATGGCCATTGGGAAGCTTTTCGTCCGGATCCTCAAATTCTCTTGAGACAGTATTAAGCAGTGTCGTGCATCGTCTGCCTAATTCAACCGGAGTTCGACTGAGGAAAAACCAATCAAAGCGGAACAAAGGAGAGTCTCGTACTTCGTCTCGGATCTTCTCATACAAGCCTTCCCCATCGACACCGTGCTTGTCAAGCATAACCAACAAAAATCGGTCTTCCTCCTCCGTGTAAACCTTTTTGTTCGTCGTCGAAACTGTGTAGTTGACTTTGAGTTGTTGCAGTGGTACCCGATATAGTTCCATTTTCTTCCGAAGCATTTTTCGCTGTAGATTGGTCTTGCGCAATTTCTCTTCCCCGGCCTCAATCGTCTTGATATGTTTGTCGAAGTCCGCAATTTCCGTGTTTCTCTTCCAGAAGACCTTTGCATATTCCTCAATCTCTTCAGGTTCCTTGCTGTCGACCTCGGTAGATATGCCTTCATAATTGGTTCGTCCGAACTTCGCTGATCCGTTGACAAACTGTTGAAAATCTCGCCGGTTCCAATTCCCGAATCCATGCTCCTGCATTTCAGCCTTGCGCTGCTTTTCTTCTTCGGTCAACGGCTCCGCATTGTCGATTTCGTCTTGGCCCAGTCGTTGGTCAGCCTCACGATCACTTAGGTCCTCATCTGTTCCTTCGGCTAGAGGGACTTTGTAGCCTATTTCTTTGTGATAATAAGCAGTCTCCTTTTCTTGCAGTTCTTGAAGTCCAGGGGGGAAGAACTGCCAGTCATGAACGTTGACCTGTTTCGGAGCTCTGGGGACTTTTGGTTTCGTATCTGCTGGCCGACCACCAGTTGACAGGGCTTGCTTGTAGTATTTGTCGATGGAGTAAAACTGCTCCTTTCGTTCACGTTTGGCAGGGTTGATCCAGGCAACCCCAATGTCTTTCTTATGCTTAGTGAAGTCTTCACCGTTCCACTCATACGCATTCTCCGAAGAGAATTTCTGAAGATCATCGATACCAAGCTTCTCGTATTTGGCATTCAGCTCCGCTGTGCGGGCCTCACCACGGCGCAAAATCTCGTCAATGTCGTCGAGGACATCTACAGCCCCTTTTTTCTCGAATACCTTTTCTGCTCCGTGCTGTATCATGCTCAAAAGCTCGTCCTTAGATGCAGCCTGCTTGACCTGTTGCTGAGCTCGACCCTGTTGAATGACCAGTTGATCTAATCTCAGCTTTTGCGCAGCTCTTTCCAATACCTTCTCCTCGATTGCTTCCTCAGTCACAAATCGGAAGACCTTGACCTGTTTGGTTTGACCTATACGATGTGCTCGATCCATGGCCTGAAGATCGGCCTGAGGATTCCAGTCGCTGTCGTAAAGAACCACGATGTTCGCACTTGTCAAATTGATGCCCAAGCCACCGGCGCGTGTGGTGAGCAAGAAGACAAATTTCTCCGAGTTTGGTTTGTTGTAGTCATCAATGGCTGCAATACGATCTTCATGTGCAGTACTGCCATCGATGCGGCAATAAGGGTGGCCTCTGAAGACACAGTAGTCTTCCAAGATGTCTAGAACTCTGCTCATCTGAGAGAAGATCAGAACACGGCTCCCTTCCTCCTTCATACGGGCTAGAATTTTGTCGAGGATGATCATTTTGCCTGAGTTGTAGATGAGATGTTCGTCGGTTGTGTAGGGTGGCCCAGGTTCAGCGCCTTCGAAAAGATAGGGATGGTTGCAACATTTTCGCAGTTGCATCACGATGTTCAACAACCGAGTTTTAGACTCGCGTTTCCCACCTGCACCATTGACAGCATCAATATCCCTCTCCAAGATCTTTTTGTACCACTTGATCTGCATATCCGCCATTCCAACGTACAAATTGAGTTCCTGTTTGGGTAAGAGACTCTTCTCGACATCAGCCTTCACTCGCCGTAGCAAAAATGGTCTTAGGACTCTGTGTAGTTGTTGAACCACAGTATCCTGGTCGTCGTTTTGACCGGAAAACCATGCATCAAATGCTTCAGAGTCACCAAAGACGTCCGGAAGGAGGAAGTTAAGTAGAGCCCAAAGCTCATGGAGGTTGTTTTGGAGAGGAGTGCCAGTGATCAGAAGTCTGTTCCTAGAATTAAACATGCGGATGATTTGAGCGAGCGAGGACTCCTCATTCTTGATTCGATGAGCTTCGTCAACTATTATGTACTCCCAGGCAAATTTCTTGAGATGGGATTTTTCCCTCAGGATCATTTCATAGCTGGTGATGCAGACGTCAAACTTCTCATCTATCAGTCTTTCGTTGATCAGGGCATGTCGATCTTCCTTGGCCCCTTGCAGAACAAGAACGTCAACCTCAGGAGTCCAGGTCAGGAATTCTCGGCGCCAGTTGTCTAATGTTGACTTGGGAACAGCAATGAGATGCGGTCCCTTGATATCGCAAATGTGTCGCAGGTATCCTAAGAAAGATATCGTCTGCAGAGTTTTGCCTAGACCCATCTCATCCGCTAGGATGCCAGAGATCCCGTTCTCGTGGAGGGAGATAAGCCAGTTGAGACCAGCAACCTGATAGTCACGCATCTGCCCGCCTTGGATGTAGGATGGAGACTCTCGGAAGATGGTCTGTGAGGCAGTTCCGCGCTTTTCATCTCGTAACAACTCGGCATCCTCTTCCTGTTCCGTCTTTCGCTTGTTCGCGCTCGCCGCGCCACCTTTGCGGGATATACCCTTCTTCGCATTTGCGTCGTCTTCAGCATTCTGGCGATCGATCTCGACCATGACTTCTCTAATCTTGGGGTTGGGGTTGGTTACGATGAAGTGGCGGAACAGGTCGGTCAAGCCAAGAAGGTATTTGAATCGACGTATGGTGTCATCTTCCTTGGACTCGTCCAGCTGGCCATGCTTCTTGCCCAAAATACTTTTTCTCAATTTGAAGGCTTCCGATCTCTTCTTCCGGCCATCTAGCTGTGGGGTATCGCCCGCAATACTACTGGCCGTAGTGTTTGGGTTGGTGTCGGAATCGGTATAATCGGGAGTGTCATCGACATAGCGATTGAGGTGTCCGAAAGAGGGTCTTCGAGGGTGAATTTGAATGCTTGAGTCATGCATCGGAGTATCAGCAACGGAGGAGGTTTCTGAATCGGGTTGTTGAGATTTGGGTAGAACCATGGTGGTGTTTGGGATGGCCGGTTCGGCCTCTCAATCAAAAAGTTCACTCAGTCGCGCAACGCGAGATTGTGAAAGTCGCGAAAGCTGAACGTGGTGAGAGAAGGTCTGACGACTGAGAAGCACGTAACTACTCCCGACGCGTAGCGTTGGTGTGACTTAAAGAACGAAGTACAAGAAACACTTGTCGGGGAAAAGGGCAAGGGCAAAGAGAATATGGAGGCTCAGTGGTAGATTTGGTAGAGGGAGTTTACACGCGCATGAAACCCGCCAATGACGCCATGTGATTGGCCAGCTGAAAGCGCACTCACTACGCGGGAATGGAGGCTCTCTTGGCATTATTCACGTGACTTAATTCACATGTATCGAAGCACGTGATAGAGGCCAAAATTGGGCAGCTCCACGTCACCACGTGATGACGGCAAATAATAACTGCAATTCGAGATCATCCAACGGCGGCTGTGGCTACCTTCTCTTTGTTTCTGGCCTTCCTTTTATGCCTCACTGGAATCATCGAGCGTCAGGTCAGATTGGATCCAGAAACTATACAGTTAAGTCCTCTTCGTCCTATAAAACTTCTTCGAGTGTGACGACTGCCTTTCGACGGTTGGGCGGGACACACAAGCCCCTCCACATCCAACCGATCACAAGACACCAACCACTTCCCCTGGAGACGAAGACGACTGAGCAACCGTCTTTATTGTTGGTTTTCTCGCGAGGCCCCAACCTCCCGTCATGGACTCGATGAGATCCTTGAACACCTCCTTACCTCCATCGACCTCACGTCCCCCACCTCCAGAACAGCTCCTCCAGGCCTTCCGCACAGCTGCCCTTTCCGTCACCAATCTCTACAAGTCAGCAGTCACAGACCAAAGCGCCAGCCGGCAAGCAGGCTATCAAGACGCCCTCGAGGATTTGCTGAGTTTCCTGGACCGAGAGAACCTCGGCTTGCAAGACGGCGAAGGATGGAGAGTCAGACAATGGGCCACTGAGCGATATGATGGATCGGCCCATCAACAGCAAGCTGAAAGTGATGATGAGAGAGGCGAAATCGAGACCAGACCAAGGAACAACTCAATATCACGGGCCCAATCTCCAGAACAAGTCCGAACCCAGTCCGAACCTCCGAGGATGGAATCTGCTGTTCGTCCAGCAGCGGTCGATGATACACAGCCTCCTCCAGCTCGAAACCTCGCCTCAGCCACACCCATATTTCGGTTTACGGGTCAGTCGTCATCCGAAGAGATGCAGACAGACGACAACTCGATCACCGTGGACGAACCTCAATCGGCTCCAACAAATTCTGAGGGACCGCTCCGTCTAGAGGTTATTAATAATCGCGCGGTGCGAACACCTACGAGGCACAGCGGCCAGCGACATAGCTCAAAAGCCAACGGAAGAGAATTCACGTTCACGGCTGGGACCAAGCGGAAACTACAGTTCCCCGACTTCTTTGACATTTCGAATATTGGTCCACGAGACGGGGCGGGGGGCAGCAAACGCGGCCGGTTATCGTGACGTTGGCGGTGAAAGTGAAGGATTTCATCGCGGAGCATCTTGAAGCGTTCAGCATTGTGCCCGGGGGACATGGGTAGATTTTAACACCAGGAGCACATCATTATGAGGACATGAGCCATGAGATAGAGCATAGCAAGCATCCTTGTTCATACACTAGATTAATGTATTTTCTCGTGAGAAGGAAATTCTAGAAACCACATTTTACATGACAATCAATTGCATTAAAAAGTGAGTAGCGATTCTTGTCGAAGGATATTGGGTATCATCTGAGAAACAATGCTTGGTTTGGAACATGATAGAACCAGTGAAACAGGTCCATCAAGCCTTCAAAATACAGGAGAAAGGCGTGACCACATCAGAGAGATGGCTTTTAGTTGATCATTCGATAGAAGCCTAGGCTGACCAGTGTAGCTGATAAAGTCAGAATCCCGAGCTGACGAGAACCGTACTTGTATTTTGACTTGCTGAGCTCGATTACCCTCCGCTGAGCTCTGAGTTGTTGCATGCCAGAAAAGTAGGTATAGCCCCCTAGTGATACGAGGGCCGTTGAGCCTAAGCAAAAGTGAGCGTCCCATCGTGTGAGTCTCAGAGTCTACGTCTGGTGGTACAAACCTAGGACCCGACAAGACAAACAGTCCTCCTTTTCAAACGCATCAGGACTCTCAAAGTCATCGATCTTGTCTTTCTTGGCGTTAAAGAACTCCATGAGAGCCATGGCCTTTTATCCTGTAATACCTGTAAATGTCAATCCGTAATAAGGCTATCTCAATGGATGAGCCTCCTGATGTGTTGGTTGGTGATCGTCAAGCGCCAAGTCCAGCCGTGTCACGTGCAAGGTCTAACCATAAAGACTCTAGACACTGTTTGGAAGGTTTTGGCTTCACTGTTACTGACGGTACGGCGTGTCTCTACATTACTGTTACAGCTTGTCGTATGGGATTGCATTCCCTCAGAAGGGTCAAGCATAGATGACAGGGTCAGTCCTTGGCTGACGTTACATGCGGGCCATTGATCCACGGAGATTCACATATGAACTGCAGCCCATGGGCGCTTGACTGCAGCAACTGTCTTCACCCGGACGGAGTATGGCTTACCAGCGCTCAAAGATCTGGTCTGCACGTTACAGCCAATGATTTATCCTCCATACCGTGCCATTATACTGATCCGATTCTTTCAAAAGAAGTCCGAAAGCCGACAGCCTGCGGGTGATCAGCGATCAGCGAGAGTCCCGGCTGAGATTAACATATATGAGGTACATGAACATTAGACGAAGTACACGTTATTTCGGACTTCCTGCCTGATTGCCCACATGCAATGACGCTTTCATGCCATCAACCCTCCATCGATGGGACAGACCACTCCGGTCATAAAGCTCGATTCATCGCTGAGAAGAAATGTACAAAGTTGCGCGATTTCCTCTGGCTTTCCCATCCTCTTAAGTGGCATATTTGCATATGTACTTGTGAACGGGGCGTCCTTCTTCTCCGAGACATCGAATATCCTCTGAAGCATCGGTGTCTCGACGGGTCCTCTGCAGGAATCCTTGTAAGCCAAAGGTCTTGCTTCTCAGAGCCATGTTCAAGTACTCACGGAGCAATTGCATTTACTCTAATGCCTTTAGGTCCAACCTCTTTGGCAACTGTCTTTGTCAAGCCAACGACCCCGTGTTTGCTCACGGAATAAGCGGAAATTCCTGGACGGCCCATCAAACCGGCAATACTGGCTGCGTTCACAATCGAGGCCCCTGCCTGCATAACTCTGATCTGAGCCCGAACACAATACATCAAGCCGGTGAGATTGATCGACAGAATGTGATCCCAGTCCTCATTCGCGAGTTCTGCGAGTGGCCCAGCCAGCTGCTTTGGACCCGATTCAACGCCGGCAAGGTTTGCAGCGCCATCAAGTGTGCCAAAGTGATTGACCGTTGCATTGATCCAATCATCCACCTCCTGATTTGAAGCAACATTCACTCGGCTACCTATTACCTCAATGCCACTCGCCTTGATTTCTGAAACCAAGGCATCCAGCGCCTCCTCTTGGACATCTGCAAGAGCCAATTTGGCACCCTTGTATGCACAAAGCTTGCTCAGCTGCAACCCAATTCCCGAAGCAGCTCCGGTAATTGCGATCACTTTGCCGCGTAAAGACATCGTGGAATCAATCATTAAAGCTCGTGATTGGAGTAATATTTTCTGGCTGAAAGTACCCTATGAGTACCCAGAGAGGAGTCTGCCAGAAATGAAATACAGTAACCAGACTTTTAAAGATCGGATTATAACTACTCCGGCGTATCAATGCTTACCTCATTTTATGTTGATGTTGTGGCACAGTGGTCTGCCCGCCCTTGCTAACCGAGGAGATGTCCCCGCACGCGGGTCAACCTCATGGACTACTCCGTTCCAGACTCGGTAAAGAGTAGCCTATGAAGGTTGCAGGAGAACCACCAGGATGGGGAAGGTTGGATGGCTCAAAAGTCAAGATGAGCAATCCCACAAGCAGCGAATTGTCAAGTCTGGACATAGACAAAGTTAATGAAAAGATTCGTCATCATGCGGAGGTGAGAATATGTGAGGCGTGCCAGGCACCATTGTTCAACTCTAATCGGTGCGGAAACAACACCTTTGCAGAAGGACCAGGCGATATTCGGGATAAGCCTGAAGAGAACTCATCACTTCTGCCGCTTGACTTCGATGTCCTGTCTTCGCATAATTCCAGCGGCAAGGGTGAGGCATATGCCGTCAAGGAACTTGCTGCTGAAGACAGATAGCGATACGCCTTCCGGGGCCTACCTTGATCACGCGTAAGTCCAGCTTTGTTCTTATGTTGATTGCTACAATTACGGGTGTTTTACAGCAATGGGAAACGCTGCAAAGTCATCTTCGATAGATGCTCACCTCGATGACTATGCTCCCCAGAAAGGCAGGCTCGCTACCACGATTCTGCGCTTGCAAATTACCCGCATTCCATTGTAACTCGAGCGCCCAAGAATGCACGTCATGCGTTAAGCCAGCGCTTTCGTGCTTGAAAATGTTTCAGAGTCGTCGCAATTCTCATTCCTTTCGAGCATAATATTCACGTTTCAAAATGCCTTGCTGTTTGCATGACGAGTTTCTCATCCGATATGCTTCGTGCCGGAGATTAGAGCTTCAATATCCGAAACACTGGCACCTACTTGACTATATGTAGGGCTCGAAGGACGACGAACCCCCACAATAAAACCAGAGGACTCTCAACGCCGACGAGCCTTGCGGAGATTGCTCCACCCATGCCATGTTCGTACCTGCATCTTAGGGGTGTTTGGACCCAGACAGAAGCTGCAACCATCCAATCACTCCCACGGTGCGAACATCCCCAAGCGTCCTTTGTCTGCAGAGGCAACGATAACCATGTGCTTTTGCAGCAACGCATACATGTGTTGAGGCTCCACACAATTTATCTCGGTTCTAGCTTCGTCTTCTCTCAGCGAGTAACGACCAGATCCAAGTAGGTGCCGCTCTCCTAGATCCTAATCAAGCACAAGTTCTATGCGATTGCGTGTTCGAGAAAAACTGCTACTTCATCACATCACGACATGAAGATCCGGTCTACATCAAGTCAACCATCAAGAAGAGCATATCCAGCTGTGCCTTCTCCGTACCTCGCACTCTCTTTAAGGGGTTGACTTTGAGCCACAATATGTCAACGGCCGGCCATCTGCCCCGTACTGAGTACCAGAACGGGATCTCGGCTGCCGCATGCTAACATTCCCGATGATCTACGCACATTTCCTGCAGCTCCTGCCTGACATATCGCCAGGCCCCAACTCACTGTACAGCAAGATCGCTTACGGAGTCTTCAACACGTTGAGCAAGCTCGAGGGTCTTTGAATTTACGACACAAGAGCTTAAAAGGTCGGCAAATGTGACAATCGCTCGCTGTGGAGATTCATACAGAGTACTGTTCGCAGAGTCGCAACACTACTATTTTGGTAGGCAATACCAGAAGCTAAATCCGTTAACGTGGTCAAGATTTGGAGTACAGTTGGGGGGCTGAGAATAGAGCTGCGGCTAAACTGGTCAGACAGTGCAATTTATGTATGTACCTGCGGGAGTATGTTCGTTCTGCTCTGTCAGACAGGACCGACAGCTACTCCGCCCCTCGCCAGCCTCGGAATCGTTTTACCTCCAAGCCCCTCCCGACGAGGCTTTGCTATTCCGGATTCGGTAACGAACCTTTCTAGCTGTCCGAGCAGGCCAATGATAACTCCTTCATGGCATTGTGTCGAGGATGCGCACGACCCTACGCCGCTTGCCACGACGATCTTAAGAATGAAGGGCTCACAGACGGGGCCTAATCTAGGAAGATGGATCCGAAGTCAAGGGAATCAGGCCGCATCTATAGCTAATCTTCTTTGAGGCAAAGCCTTCCTGGTATATAGAATTACCGGGTTGAAGCTGGTCGCTGCGAGTTATATAACTTCCTGGTGAGCCTTCTCAAAGCCAGCTACAGATCTCAATCATTTGCACACGCTTCTACTTGTACATTCACTTCAAACCACCGCTCTGCATAATAAACATCATGGGGCGACTACTAATCCTTTACTCATTGCTATCTTTATGTCTTGCTCAAATTCAGCCCGCCCAGAAGTCAAACAACTGCCCCTTGCTCGGACCAGTATTTCCAGCGCCTACGGATCCCATCGCTTCTAAAGCTATTCAAGCTGCTGCAGATTCATTCCCCGATCTCCTCAAAGAGGCGCTTGGTGCCGGGCTCCTCGACAATCAAACTACCTCATTTTCAATCAATGTTTTCTCAGCAAACCACACCCTCTTTGAATACCATTATGCGGCACCAGGACTCAATGGTTCTTTAGCGGCAGGTCTTCTCAACAACCAGACCATCTATCGAGTCGGCAGTCTCTCGAAGTTGTGATCTATGTATACGCTTCTTCTGACAGCGCCCGGGAATTCGCTCGATCAGCCGATCACCAAGTTCGTCCCTGAGCTAGTAAATGCCACCAGCGAGAACCTTGGTGATGGGCCAACGTGGGAGGACGTCACCATCAGGTCGTTGGCAGGACAACTTTCCGGCTTGGGAAGAGATTGTAAGTCGCATCCTGTCATGCACCGAGGTAAATTCTAATTGTTACCTAGATGGAAATTATGATTTCGCGAATGAAGCCGCCAACCTCACTGCATTTGGATTCCCTGCTCTTACTGCAGCCCAAGCGCCAACCTGTGGGCAAGGTTTCACGAACAAATCTGCAATCATAGAATGCACACGCGAGGGTCAGTTTGTCCAGAGCACCGTGACATCAAACATTTACTAACTGTGAATACACACACAGACTTCATTCAAGGCATTATTGGCAAACGTGCTGTGACTTCACCATTCAGCACGCCTATATATTCCAATTTTGCATACATCTTCATTGGTTACGCCATCGAGTCTATCACTGGAAAGAGCTTCTTCGACTCCTTCACAGATGCCGTTGGGAAGCCTCTGGGGCTCAAAAGAACATCTCTATCGATCCCAAATGACAAAAATACCATCATTCCGGGTAACCCTGCGACCAACTCGTGGACGGTAGATGCTGGAGACGAAAATCCGTAAGTCAATCCGTAACTAGTCAAACTCCGAATCCGTTTCAGGGGCTAACACGAGAACAGGACTGGAGGATTCTACAGTAGTCTCTCGGATGTCACTGCTATTGCTCAATCCATTCTGAACTTAGATCTATTGCGACCTGTGGTTACGAGATCATGGATGAAGCCCCTTGCGCACACTGCGAACCTCCGCAATGCTGTCGGAGCCCCCTGGGAGATCTACCGCCAGGAGATCCCTGTGTCAGGAATATCTGCTGCCAACAACACCCGTGTGGTCGACCTTTACGCCAAATCGGGTGACCTCGGGGGCGCTGAGCATTACTACGGCACGCTCACCACGTTCGACATGGATCATCACTTTGGCTTCAACATCCTAGCCACTGGTAAAAAGGCCTCAAGTGTGCGATGGACTCTCGGCTCTATGCTCTCCGAGGTTTTTGTCAACGCTTTTGAAGCAGCCGCAAGGGACGAGGCAGATGCAAAGTTCGCAGGGACTTATGAGTCCACTGGGAATGGCCCGGCCTCCAACCTCACATTAACACTCGACGACAGTCGGCCGGGTCTTGGTGTTTCTGAATGGTATAACAACGGCATTAACATTCTCAACAGTCTGCGCACGTATCGCAACATTCCGACCGCGGCGACTCTCTCCCTGCGTCTATACCCCATGATCAAGTTTGGAAATGAGCTTACTTTCCGATCGGTGATTGAGGTTTTCCCCCAAGGCTACATCACCGGTCCAATGGCGACAGACTGCATTACATGGCCAACGGTGGATGGATTGCAGTATGGAGGTGCGGGCGTTGATGAGTTCGCATTTAAGATAGAAAACGGAGCACCGGCGGCGGTGACCCCCAGAGCGATGAGGCAGACGTTGACGAAGCAAAGGTAAACGGCCTCGCCGTCTCGCCTGTAGGCCTGCAATTTTAGAGCAGGGAGTGCAATCCTCTAATGGCCACGTACATAACTAACATTTTATTTATTCACTCACCCATGTCGATTCTTTCTGTTGGACTTGACAAATGGTAACGGCGTGTGAAATACTGATCTAGCAAGGACGCGATGCAAGTTATGTAGTTGGCAACCTGGTCTTTAGCCTTGCCGAAGCGGCAGGTGGGGTTGCTCAACGCTTAAGGGAGGCGCAATCCACGGCCGTCGGTCCAGAGGGGCTTTATACATCCATCACTGCCTAAGTAGTCTTCAGGGAGCAAGACACTGCCTGCTTCTGGGGGCGATGGATCGACAACCAACGAAGCCGAGCTCATGATTTAAACAAAGAGATTTTAGAAGCAAACGTTATTGCTTTGCTTGTTTTGTACCTTTACTAAGTTCTCCCTAAAGGGAGAAGTCTTTCCATCCTCCGCGGGGTCCATGGTGAGTTCTGGATGCCTTTCCTCCACATGTGGGGAAGGATCCCGACGTAAATCACCTGCTAGAAGCTCCATCTGCCGAGTATTGATCCTACTGGTTGGGTGAGGAGATGAACCTGTCATGCAGGCTCTCTTGTCTCAAGGAGCAATCTCGACGATGTCCGATCATGCTAAGACCTGGAGTCAATGGGCCGTTATTACTTGCATCAACGTTATATTTCCAACGACCTTGAATCAGCAATATAACTAAATCAACAGTAAAGAATGGCATTCACAAGCACCCAGATCCCAAGCGAGATGCTTGCGGCCCAGGCTGTCGAGGTAGGTCTACAGGGTATATTGGCAGGAGCACGTATGAGCCCGAGAGTTGTCATAGGATCTGGAAATGGCCCCTCGGCCTTTGTTCTAGGACTCGAGACTAATTATTGTCGTATATCTGGGTAGTCCTCCAAACCCCCAAAGGTTCATCGAATCCCCGTTCCATTGCCAGAGTTGGCGGAACAAGATCTCCTCCTGAGAACCGCAGTCGCCTCTTTGTGTCACACTGATCTCATGGTACTCGATGGGGTCTTTCATACGAAACTACCAATCACGATGTCTCACGAGGGTACCGGCGTTGTCGTTGCAGTAGGGAGTCAAGTGTCAGGTTTCAAGGTTGGCGACCGCGTCATGACAGGCATCAAGCTACACGCCTGTGGGAGATGCATCAACTGCAACCCGCCCAACGGCGAAGACTGGAACCAGTACTGCTTTCAGTCAGAAGGTGCCGCCGGAATCATGTCTGATGGTGCATTTGCGGAGTTCCACGTGGCTGACTCGAAGGAGAGCAGTCACATTCCGGACTCGGTGCCGTTCACCACTGCAGCACCACTAGCATGCGCTGGAGTTACTGTTTACCGTGCGGTCCTCACCAGCGAAGTCAAGGAAGCAGGCGTACTTGCCATCGTTGGCGCTGGAGGCGGGCTGGGGCATATGGGCATTCAATTTGCAAAAGCACGAGGAATACGGGTGATTGCCATTGACGCACGAGATGAAGGCCTAGAAATCTGTCGAAAGTTTGGTGCCGAGCATGTGCTTGACGCGCGGGAGGGCAAAGCCGAGATTGTCCAAAAGGTACAAGCCCTCACGAACGGCCAGGGTGTCGAGGCAGTTGTCAACGTCTCGGATCATCCTACCTCAGCAGCGCTCTCAGCCGCAATAACCCGCACCCATGGTACTGTGATTCAAGCAGCTCAGCCTGTCGAAGTCTGCGTGCCTTTCCAAGATATTGTGCTGCGAGACGTCACCATCAAAGGGACCATGTTCGGTGGCAGGAAGCTTAGCCAGGAGATGCTGCAGGTCGTGGCCAAACATAATATCAGGGCAGAAACACAGATTTTCTACGGTTTGCAGGAAGTCCCGAAGATGGTTGAGTTGGCCAGAGCAGGCAACCTGAAGGGCAAGGCGGTTTGTGTGGTCGATATCAGTCTGACGTGAGCTGAAATATGGTGAAATGCATCGATAGAGGCATCCATGGACCCTCCGTAGTTTCTTGTCAGTGGTGAACATGGGGTACATGTTTGTAAGCTCTCAATATATCCACCAGAAGTGACGAAGGAGGATTCCTCCGCTTCCATCCGTGAAGCTTGTATACTTTCTAGCGAAAGGAAGCATAGCCAGGTCAGAGCTGTAATACTATTCGTAGCCTTTAATGTTCAAGCGGTTGAATTCCTGCTTACTAACTAGCCAATCAACGAGCACTTTTGTGCCGGCTGTCGGTTCTTGCTTGACGCTTCTGCCTGCATCGGCAAACTCCTTGATAGCAGAAACATAATGTTCCGGGGCGTCTCGGGCCGAAGTTGACATAGGGGCGTGGAAGTTGATAAGCTGAGAAGCTAGCGAGTAAAAGAAGTGAGTCACAACTCTTTCAAGCGACATTTGGCCTGCCTCTCTTTTCTGAATACCTGACAACGCGAAAGTCCTCCAAGATGTCCATCGCATCGTGCTGTCTAAAAGGATTTGAGTGGAACGGCACACCGACCGGGAAGACAGGGCGCGTCGCAGGTGTTGATAACGACACATACATCGCGGGCGATGAAACTACTGACGCTGCTGTCCTGCTTATTGCCGATCTCTTCGGCTGGACGTTCAATAACATCCGGCTCCTTGCAGACCACTACGCCCGTGAAGCCGGCGTGACCGTCTACGCACCGGACTTCTTTGGCGGCGAAGTCATTCCTGCCGATCTGCTCGTGAACGAGGAGTTCGACAAGTGCGATCTCCCCGGCTTTCTGCAAAGAAACGGTCGCGAGGCTCGGGAGAATGAGATCTTTGCATTCGCAAAGGCCCTGAGAGCCAAGTACAAGAAGGTCGGCGCCATAGGGTTCTGCTATGGTGGATGGGCCGTCTATCGGTTGGGCGCAAAGGAGCATCAGCCTCCGCTAGTTGACTGCATCTCTGCGGGTCATCCTTCCCTGTTGATCAAGAAGGATATTGACGAGGTCGCCGTGCCGGTGAGTCGCCTCCATTCTTGTTGTCTGGGCTCGTCCAAGCTTATTCGACTTGGCCAAACATACTACATGTCAGCAATATACTGACAAGCCTGGTTCTTCTACGTAGGTGCAAATGCTCGCTCCAGAGATCGACTTCATGTACACCGCCGAGCTAAAGAGCCACACCTTCGAGACGCTCTTGAAATCAAATTTGACTTTCGACTACCAGCACTACCCAGGCGTGGAGCATGCTTGCTTCGTTCGCGGTAACGACAAGAAGCCGGGAGAGCTTGAGGCCATGGTGAAAGGCAAGGAGGCCGCGGTGTATTGGATGAAGCGGTTCTTGCAGGTAGACTGAGTTCCTGGGTGATGAAACACGGTAGTTGCAGGGCGATGTTGACCAGTCTAACTGATCCGATGGGAGGAACTGCCGGAGTCATTCTCTCGTCTAGTCAGGTAATTCCGTATTGCTGTAATGGAATATCAATGATACCAATCGTAATGCTCTTTGAAAAGTGTCTTGATCCTAAACCTTCCGTACTCAGGTGTGTTAACTGTCCGGTAGGACTTCCACTCAGACAAGCCTGCTTCGATATCCGCGTACTTCCCGGCCGATGATTCTAGCTTCAATTAGGGACCTAACTCTACAAGTGGTCTACATAGAGTTCCGAATATATCAGCGGACCTTGTAGCTGGCCGATAGTGGGAGACAAAAAATGACGTCACTGTTCGGTCTCCCGGCGACTGTGCGATCAAGTCGATCTCAACTCTATACTTCCTCCTGAACTAAAGAGGCATCTAATCTGCGATGAAGGTATGAAAGGTCTCCTTAGATCCAACTTAGTCAAGGCAGTTCGCTCCTCCTTCCCTCCCCCTCCTCCTCCTCCTGCTGAAGGTGTATTTCCCAGTCACAACCGAGGTCAACTGCGGGGCATTGACACCAACTAACCAAACCAGCTAGTCGCTTACCTAAGTGCCAACGGTCAAACGGATCGCGACGTTGTGCTGGCTTTTGACTACCCGGCTTCGTTGGCTTCAGATTAGGCGCGCGGACGCCTCTGCATGTTTTCTATACCGAACTATTGATGGAATACAAGTTTACTCTATCCATTATGAAAAACATGACGCAGGAAGATTGAATGGGCTAACACGAAGATCAAGCCCACCAGACCCCTGCTGCCCCTCATTATCCTAAGGATTCCCAGGGTCCTAGGAGGCAGAAGCTAAATTGCGCAAGTCTGGGGTCGAGATCCTGAGATCTGGATTTGCTGCCGATAAAGTTTTGCCATCACTTCGAACGCCGAGTCAGAGCCCAAGGGTAGCTACCATGGCGCAAACGCGGGGTCGAGTCATTGTGGAGGGGTATATCTGCGACGGGATGCTGCGTTTCAATGATCGTTCTGTTCATGCAAGTTTGAAGGCGCCCACAGCACTGATTCAGCCACGCGTTAGCTTCCTCACCCGCCACACGATCAAATTTCAGTCATCATTCGGTCGGTGACAATCTAGCGAAGATGCTCGAGGTATATGCCGACCCATGCACGGTCAACTGCCGCAAGGTACTGGCTGGGCTCGACCTCATCGGCACGAAGTACAATTTCAACCACATCGACTACTTCACCAGCCAGCAAAAGAGCCCCGAGTACATGAAGATCAACCCAAACGCCACTGTTCCATCAGCCGTTGACGGTGACCTGCAGATCACCGAATCAAATGCTATCCTGCAATACATCGCGGACGATGCTGGTTCCGCATACCCCAAGGAACCCAAGGATCGATGTAATGTCAATCGCTGGCTATTTTGGGAGGCATCAAAGTGGTTTCCCAGCTGCTACATCTACCTTGTCGAATACGTGGTGAAACCACTGCTGAAGGCAGAGCCTGACCAAGCTGTCATTGACCACGAAGCACCGAACTTCCATCGGCTTGCTGGAATCCTCGATGATCAGTTGGCAAAGACAAAATGGCTTGCCGGCGATAACCTCACGATTGCCGACATTTCTATGGCGGCTCCTATGCACCTTCATGAAGCACAGAAACTCCCACTTGACAACCATCCAAACCTCAAAAAATGGTTGGGAGAAATTGAGAAGTTACCTTGCTGGCAGAAAACCCAGGGGGCAGTCGACAAGGCCTTGCTGCCAGGTAGGGTCGCCTCAAATGGCACCGCTGCTGCCCGTAAAGATGTCAAAGCTAACTTCAACTACACGAAGGACGTTGAAAAACGTACGGAACTGTACTTCTATGACTCCGAGGCGGCCAAGGACATTCACGAGCCTGGCGATGATGCGCACGAGATGGCGGTACATGATGGATGGTATCGGGCGGATTCATTCTCCATCGACAAAGAGGGGTTCTCGGTTAAATCGTTCAAAACTGATTACCAGGATTGGGAGGATGAAGAATCTGTCAAGGAAAACTTCTACCCAGAGATTGTCGACTTCATTAAAAAGACCACGGGCGCCAAGCGCGTCCTTGTTTTTGACCATACTATTCGCACCAAGGCTAATGAGAAGAAGAAGTTGACACAGGAGACCAACACTTCCCAAAGGGCTCCAGTGATGCTGGTCCACTGCGACTACACGGCAGAGTCTGGGCCAATTCGAGTGAAGCAGCTGTTGGCAGATGAGGCAGACGAACTATTGACTCGGCGCGTGGCCTTCCTTAATGTCTGGAAACCCATTTATCGTGTCGTCGAGGAGAGGCCACTTGCAATGTGTGATGTCAGCACATCGCCATCCGACGATTTCTTCAAGCTGTACTTGAATTATCGCGACCGCGTGGGCGAGAACTATGTGATGCGGCATTCTCCGAATCATAAATGGTGGTATTTCCCCCAAATGACTCCGGAGCAAGTCATCATCTTGAAGACCTTTGAATCAGAAACAGACGGCCGTGCTCGCTTTGTTGGTCATAGTGCTTTCGATGATCCTACCTCAGCACCCGACGCGCCTGCCCGAGAGAGTGTGGAGATTCGCACAATAGCATTCTTTTAGTCTGCCAAGGTCAAGGGGAATGAATTGATCTGATCAATGCTGGATCCGTTTTTGTTGCTGCAGCCTTGATTACTCCCGCCTGTTTTACCGTCTCGCCGTTGAAAGGAACAGTATATGTGTCTAGTAGCTTGAAGATCGACCTACAAGCTCCCACGTGTGATATAGGGTACCACTTTCCCTGGGCCGAATTTGGGATTGAACTCATGCAAGATCTTTTCACGCATTTCAACGAAATCAGGTTGTGCAAAGCCATTCTGTTGTCAATATACCTGTGCTGGATCTGACAGCAGACTGTCGTGCTATCATTTCACTCGATCGTACCAACACGAAATGCCAGTGGGGGGTCTACATACCCGACTTTGGGGATGGAGAGGGATCCAAATCTCCATCCCCATTTGTGAGCTCAATCTTAAACTCACATTTCGTATCCATCCCCACGTCCGATCTCAGAATCGGACTTGGCATGCAAGATGATCGATCATAATTAGATCGGCCGTCAATCATTGCTTTCCCCGTCTGATCCCGGTGGCTTGGCTTAACTGGGAAGCCTACTGTAAGAAAACTAATTACTCCTTCCGTCAGAAGTCAGAAGTGCTAAGAGATTAGACATGTTTTCATTCTTCGCGAATCTGGGGAGCCAGACGTGCCATCTGCGATCCTTTTAGATCTCACCTTGGCCTGATGCGATGCCGAGACCGTCAATGTGCCCATGACGCCAACGAGGCGCGCTTTGATGTCCGGGAAGTCGTCGGGCACGGGGATCGAGGGCTTGGATCTGAATCTTGCATACTTATCCTGCAAACGCCTCCCTATCGCCCAGCCTTACGACGGATGTCAAAAATGTCTCCGGGGAATGCTCGACTCTGAGCACAACAAAAATGAAGTCTTGTACTGCCTAATCTTTTCGACGCAATTGGCCGCATTGCAATCTTAAACCGCTCTACCGTGTCTCAGACAGCTCGGTATTCCCGGGCTGTGTACATTGGTAGGATATTAGATGTCGAATGTCATTGTTTCCTGCACTGTTGACAGGCCAGCAAGACGTGTCCTCAATACTTGGAATTAAGAGAGGTCCATCAGCGCCTGATCCCGTAGGTACTTCGTATATATAAGATGTTTGTTGACCTGCTCGGTATTGATGTCTTATCCGACCTCAGCCTTAGACCTCAATCAAACGCTCCTTCCAGCCTCAGTCATTCCTTACAATCCCGGGCTAAGTCACTCATTTTTAATATTTTCTTCCTTGGGCTTATCTTTTCTCCAACAACATGAAGACCATCGCTGTTGCTGCTACTGTTGCGGTGTCTCTCGCAGGACTCGCAGCCGCCAATCCGATTGCTGAACCACAAGGTTTTGGCGGATGGTTCCACCGACGCCCAGCAACCACCTTCACGACTGTTACTGTCACGGTTCCAGCACCAACCCCCGCGCCAGAGGCAGGCAACTCGAAGCCTGCTGACAACGCAACACCGGCCGGAAACACAACGCCCGATGAGTCCCCCAAGCCTGCTGGCAATGGGGGATCTGTTGGTGGAAAGGGCCCAGCCTTCCCCTTTTACTTCACTTCAACATACGCAGTGATTGCAACCCCTGATCAAGTCATCAATGGCACTGTCGCTGCCCCTGGGGAGCCTGGAGCCATCGGAATTTACAATTACGGTATCAACAGTGACTTGGAGGTCATCTGCTACGTGAGTACAAACACTCCAAATGCCGAGGACACACCCAAAGGCTGACATCGGTATCAGAACATCACCCTTGGAGGAGTGACCGGAGACTACCAATCTGCTGCCAAAACAGCGACTCACATCCACCAGGGCGTCAAAGGCGCCACCGGCCCCCCACGCATCGCGCTTCCCAACCCTCTTCCAATCAGCGACGATCCCACGGTGATTCGTCGCTCCGTCGGATGTTTGACTGGCCCATTCACCACCGGTATCCTGGCAAACGGAATTGACACCGGTGCCGGATTCAGCCTCAAGCAAATCGAAGCCAACCCGGCGGGTTTCTTCACCGACGCTCACACCGTCAAGTATGTCCCAGGTGTTGTCAGAGGACAACTAGCATAGCGGCCGGCCCGAGAAGAGGCTTTTGTGGTCATGTATGCCGTTGGCGTTTGATGGAAGACAGTCAGGGATGTTCAATTCTTGTGCTCATGATGAGTAATGTTTTTGTTTATCGCCGTTGTAATCGCTGGTGGTGTGGAAAAAGGCGTAGCGGCATAGAAGTTAGTTGGAATCGAGATTGTCTAGGAGATTTCAAAGATTATGTTTTGCCTTCATATGCCATATTCATCTGCAAGCTCGACCCAGGCTGCGACAATTCGGTCCACGTCACTCTTCTTGATGGGGATGCGATGCGGCCCATCCCACTCGACAAGCGTCGTTGTGCCGGCGGCGCAGTAGTCCTCGACGAGCCTCCGATGCAAATGCAGGCCCTCATCCTTAAGCCCGTGCACGTGAATCGTCGGGATCTTCAATTTCATATCCGGGCGCTCGAAAATACTATCCAAATCCGCCGCGTTGGGCAGCCCGCCGGCGGACTGCATCCAGGGAAACTTCTCGGACTCGTCGTTAAGACTAACCATGGGCGCGCGCCCGGCAAGGATGACAGCAAAACGCCACGGGCCGTCTTTACCCTGGAGCTGTTGCTCATATAGCAGACTCGCCGCTAGCTTTGCGCCCTGGCTGAACCCCAGCAGGCCGACCCAGTCGCCCGTGCCCTCGTCGCTCTCCATACACCGGTCGATCGTGTACCCGAGCTCGTATGCACACGCGCCGGGGTCAATCTCAGGGTGTGTCTCCAGCCAGCGGAACCATCGCCGGAACGGGCCCCAGTCCGAGTACACTGGGTGCACGCCGACGCCCTCATCGCAGAAGAAAGGTGCGTCCACGAACACGAATCGAAACCGATTCTTCAGCTGCTCGTGGTTCAGGAATGCCCGCAGCTGAGCTTTGAATATCGCCGAGTTGACGCCCCCGCCGTGGATGCAAAGTATTCGCGGTAGGCGTAAACTGGGATCTACCGACGACATTTTGTTTGGTGGGCGTTAGATACAATTGCGTTAGTGGGGAAAGGATACTCCAGGTCGGTGGGGTCGTCGTCGGTTCAGGAAAGGAGAGAAAGAGAGACAGACAGGCTTTGGTGTCTGCTCTCAATATAATCCCGAGGCTATTGCTATGGAGACGATGTGTTATGTTTCTGTCCGCACAACAATTGCGTCAATTGCTCAAGGACATATAATAATGAACCTCTGGGCTGAGCCTTTCAATCCTGCAGATCCGAGGCTGACCTTCGGGGTGGCCTCGTTTCATGCGGGCCGCGATACTCGGTGATTTGCCCTAAAAATAGGCCGCGTGGATGACGCCAAGTGTGCGATAAGCATCCAACTTCAAAGCAGGCTACAATGTAGCATCTGCCATGGTTGATGCGCTTTCCTTGATATCGCAATTCTGAAGCCTTACGAAGTAGAAGACCTCCTCTTCAGGATCATTTCTATTCTACATCTAGCTGTAAACGGTGAGCAAGACGTGATGGGATCACGGCACGGGGTCTGTATTATTGTTCGATGGGGGCGGTTATCCCAGGAGGGAAGGGCTCGGGTTTGTTTCGTGAACTGTATTGACTATTCTGTCCTCGAGTTTGATTCATGCTTTTCGCATGGATTGTCGATCCAGATCGACGAAAACTCGTTGAGAGTTGCAGTGCTACCTAGAAATCGCAACTTCGTGGCCTCGCCATCTGCATGCGAAAGAGCTTTCCAACTTGCTCATCCAGTCAGTCCCCCTTCGCTGGGCGCGGATCGACATGCGAAACGCCCAAGCTATTGGTGCACACTATTCTGAGAAGCATTTCTAGCCCGACACCACATAGCGTAGCACAGCATGAAGCTTTACTTAGGCTAGATGTCTTCGCTTCCATCCCTTCCGCCGCCCTGGGTCTTCTTCTCCCGTCGTGCCACAAGACGTCATGCCATTTGCCTCTTATGCAGTCTTGTTGATCTCGGTGACATCCCTGTGTAACTGGGCGAAAATGAATCCATTCCCCATCGTTTCAGACTCTGCAGGCACCAATGGCTGACGCTCCTCCTCCATGGTCAGAACCCTGCGACGCTCGCGATGTATTGCTTTCAATTTGCGCCGATATGATGTCAATGTGCGCCGACGCAATGCTCTCAGCTTGACGTCGAGAGCCCACTTCTTAATTCGGAAGTTCTTCCAGAAACACTTGCCCAGGTTGCATCCCAGAACGCCCATCAATGATCTGGATGCTCGACGACGTTTTTCGAGGAGGATCCACGGCGCGACGTCTCCGCCCTTGAGGTGCTTCGGTCGTTCTAAGTGGTGGCGAGTATCCTTTCGGATGGAGGCGATCTTGTGCTCTTTGGTGAAGCAGACTTTCGCAGCGAGCTCCTTGCAAGTCAATGCGAGACAGGCTTGATCACCGAGGCTGAGGTATTTCAGGACCGCAGACATAATTTCTGGCGATTGCCCTTGTAGCGTGACTGGGTGTCGATCAGTAGCCAGTGGATCCATAGTGGCACTGACACCACTAAGGATTGGCAGAGACACCTATGGCGGAGCGAATCTTGTAAGTCAACTTGTATAGCGTGTGCACAACGCCTCATCGAGCGGATCTTCGCTGTAAGGCTCGTTGCGGGAAGATCATGGATCCGCTCAACGAATACCAGTCCTCAGCGCATTGGGAACAAAGCGAATGAGCATTCTAGAAAGGATGGCAACTTCAGAGCTTACCGAACGAGGAATTTCAACACCCATCCTGTCGCTTCAAGCTATCAGCTGGTGATGTGTGCTCTGTGGGAGAGAGAATTCGAGTTCTGAGTATTCGTGGTGCACCAGAAAGTTGGTAGTAGAGATTGTACAAACAAGAAGAATTTTCAGGCCGTGGAGGAAAGAAGGGGATCTGAACGCCAAAAGAAGGATGAATAGATGAGAACTATGCATGTGACATCTCATTGTGGTGAATGCAGAAGAATAAGGAGAAATAAAATAATAGATAGGACAAGCATATAGCGCGAGAGCTGTCCTGAAACGCCGTCCCAAGCTTCAGGATTGAGTCGCGCGATGGATGCTCGCACTGCCATGTCAAGCTGCCAGGCTCTCAGACGCGTACAAGGAAGCGGATGCAGCCCAGCCCAAGCCTTGTTGAACATCTGTCTGCATGGGCAGGGGACCAACAATGGAAACATGCTTCATTGGAACAGCAGTTCAGGTCACCGTAGATGATGGTTTCCGGAGAAATCCGCCAAGGTTCAAAAGTATTGGAAGACCGCCATGGGGCCTCAAATGCACAACAGTGTCTGTTCAAAGTCCGTGCAAATTCTTTCGTGACAAAAATCTGTGGCGACCGAATAAGTGAACGGGGGTCGCGCGAGGCTGAACACGGAAGGGGGTCACAACATATGAGTGAAATATTGAAAGGGCCTAGCAGTAACTAAGAATCTGTGAAAAAGTGGGGGGCACGGTTGTATGATTGCATTTGTGAGTGTGTGGCACATAATCTGACCGAGTATACTGAATTGACTTCCTGACTTGACAGCCTTGAGAGTAAAGGCTAAAGACATTGAAAGTGGCTGTAGCAACGGCCGTGACCTCGCGTTGCATCGCACAGGCTGGTGTTAAGCTAGTTGCGTCCTAGACACTTCGGTTTCTATATCCTCACCAAGTCACGGGATTGTCAATCGTGAAGTAGACTGAGGCTTCTTGGGTCTGATCCCATCAATGTATTCGAATACATGAATCGTATAGCCGTCGGTGTTGTGAATAGAATATGCACTATGCACTTTCTGTTCTTGCATGAGCTTACCATTGTGCCCTTTCTTTGATTAAAGGCTACTAAGCACATAGATTGGAGTCTCAAAAGGAATTGTCTTCAAAAACATAAACGGCAACAAACCGCGCACAGTCTTTGACAGGGACAATAATGCAAGAAAATGAGGGCAAGTGACGCTCAGAAGATTGTGAAAGTGCCATATGCCTCAGATGAAATAGCTAGGCCCAGATGGTCAAGAATCTTCTTCCTCCTCAATGAGAAATTCAACAAAAGGATCTAGTTCGACCCATTTAAACATGGGTCCCCACTTAGATCGGAATTCCTTTCTCTTGTAGAGGCTGCTAGTATTGAGTTTGAAGCTGACGAGCTCCACCAGCCATCCCCTTTCCAACGCTCTTTCCACCATGCGTAAGAAACCGCCCGAGTATTCCGCCTCAGCGGCATCACCAGTCGCAAGGACAATAGTGCTGGGCTTCTGTGCGTCGACAATAGATTCCAGGATCTTGAGGTGCAGAATTTCGTCCACGCCCTGTTCGACCCATTTTTCAGGTGCAAAGACAGGATTGTTCGTTTCAGAACCACTAGTCTCCCCACCTGAACGGTATTTCTTTTGTCGCGGTGTTAGTTCCTTTGCCTTGGTGACTCGTTTGAGGATGTTGGTTTCATAGCCAAGTGATTTGGCTTGAGTTATAGTAGGATATGTATCAGAGCCTCCCAGTACACGCTTCGCGGCAGGCCTGCCTCGTTCCAGGACGAGTGCAAAGTTATGAAATGAAAACGGGACCCGCTTGAGACGTGTCTCGCGAAGCATGCCTCTGGCTAGCTTCAAACAATCGTGGAAGCCAATCGTGATGTTCGAAATGTCGACGAAGACATGGACGCCAATTTTGGAAACATTCAAGGGGAGGAATGCAGGCTCCAAGAGACCTGAATTCTTCATGTATTTCTTTTCATCCGGATATTGCTTCATAAGCTCGGAAATGAGAGCTTGCTTCCTCGCTCGAGGAGTCAAGCCATCTTGAGGACCAACGAAAACACGTTTCGGGGATAAGACGTCTGTGGGAGTCCATAAAAAGGGGTGAGAGACCGGCCAGTTGCGTTTGGGGGTTCGCGGTTCGGCCTTGGGTGGCGATGGTGATGTCGGTGGAGAGCTGTTGTAGCCAGGAGTCGGCCGAGGTCGTCCAATGATACTGTCAATGACAGCTTGTCGATCAGAGGGCCGACGAAGCGACTCGAGCTCTTCTCCGGACTCGAGGTCTGTGGTGTCAGAGACGGGGGGATCCTTTCCAATGCCGAGTTTTTCGGCTCGCTCTTTCGCCCGTGCTCTTCTCTCGGCGCGCTTTCTGTTTCGGAGAGAGGCTGCAGTAGGTTTGTTTGGCTCGACATTGTCCTCTAGATCAGCTCCATCCACCTCATCTCTCCAACGAACTGCTTTACTCAATTGATTGAGGTCCAGCTCGCCCACAAGAACGTCATTGACTTCGTAATTGACAAGTTTTGCGGGTTCGTTGTCATCTGGAGGTGTAGGGTGGCCAAGATAGTTCCAAATCTTGGAAAAATCGCCAAGATTTAAATCTCGGTCTGAGGAGTCCTCCGGCTCTTCAGAGAGAGGGAGTGGGAGGGAAATTGCGCTCGAGTCATATTTAGAGATAGACAGACTATTGAGAAGGCTGATCGCAGAGGTTAGGTCCCACGACAAAGGGTCGGGATCAAGGTCGTCCGACATATGCGAAGCAAAGAGCGTCGAGCTCTCAGAGGCGGGTGGGCGGCGATCAAAGAGGGGAAGGGTTGATGTGGTGAGTGTGTCGTTGCCGGCGGTGGTTCATATCTTGTATTTTGTGCTGATGGGTAAGGTGGAAGAGGTGTTGAGGGGAGGTCAGTCTGCTCGAGACTGCGAGTTGAGCAATGTAGCAGTGAATGATATCAGGGTGGCTGTGGTGATCTGTGGCTGTGGGATGGAGGGAGTCATGTCGTCTGCGTTTGTGAATCATCGGAACAAAGATCGGCGCTAATCGCTTTTGTAGAGAGATCTAGCCTTTCTTGGAGTTGGCGCTAAGATACCGCATTAGCCTTGTCCGAGCCTTCGTAACGCCATATTAATCAACCTCCTCAGACATAGGAATAGAGGAATAAAACATCCTCTTCCCTCTTATTATCGTGTATCTGGAAGGGCGCAGATGTCTTTGATATGAGCTGTTTCGAGACCTCATTGTGTTATCTCCTACGTCGACTCCGTCGATCAACGTTCTTGCTCTTGATCATCCAGCTCGGGAACACAATGGAACTTGGTAGAGAATCAAAGTCACATTATGTTTCTACGGATCCACGAGAGATGGCAGACATCCCTGACATGCGATCCCTCGCAATTTGCGTTACAAAGGCCTGTTTTCTCACCAAGCGACGTGAGCGTTGTAGTGGCTTGAGGGGATAGACTAAACTTCGTTATGCGGCTCTCATACACGTTAACAAAATTGCAGTTCCCAGAAGCACTGACGGGGCTAAGCAGATGATATAAACCAGCAGTCTCAACAGGGAAACCTTGTATTGGATGCGGGTGGATAATCACCCATACATATACTCGACCGTCCCCGTGTTGAGCAAGCTGCCTAGCTTGGTAAGCACTGGTGTCATGTTCAACCAAGGTAAGTCTATCCAGCTACAAGGAGGAGCATCGTTTAGAGAGTATTCAGGTGCGATCAGTTTCTGGGCGCAGACCAGCCGCTCCCCAACTCTCCCGTCAATATCTTACCAACATCGGGGGAGAGGTTCAAACAGAATCTTCTACCACGTAACTGTCAACAACCCTGGAACCTACAGTGACATGGTATACCTTCCCTTGGCCAGTAAAACCCCCGCTCACGCTCTTGACAAACGTTTGGAAGACTGGGCTGTAGCAGCTCTGAGCAGCTACGGTGCATGGATGGTCGCTGGAGAGCTCAGAGGTTTAACAAGCGTGGGGCAGTACCAATTGATGTTATGGCTACGAATATACCCCTATCAGCTCCCAGGCTTCTGATGCAAGCCTCTCACCACATAATATTAGCGTAAGAAAGATAAGGAAAAGGGATACAGCCTCCCAGCACGTGACCCATTCGATGTTGCCAATGTCCGCTTAATCACAGAGCAGTCAGAGTCTTCATCAGAATGACGACTGATGTTGTGCAATGACACAATCAATTTCAAGCAGAAATTACCAAGGCATCTGGCATCTCAGCGTTTACCCTTTCCATCGGCACTTGATGAACACTACCTACAAACTTTGTTCCTATTCACAAAGCCGCACTGTGCATAGTCTTAGGGTCAGCCCCTCGACTCATCGACTCAGCGCTGAAGACATTTGTCCTCCTTCATGACAAAGGAAAGCTCACATGTCCCTGCCATTATCATGACACAATCTCTGGTTGTGGCTTGTAGACGAGATGTCACATCGCCTGGTGACCCAATCGAACAGACGAGCGACCGGGCACCAGGTGAAGCAATGGGTGCTGCACACATTTAAGTCTTTTCACCAAGGGTCATGCGGTATCTATTTAGATGAGGGATCTCAAAAACGACAATTACTTCTCTTCCTCCATGATCAACTCTCTGGCACAATGGCGCCGCTACGATATTATTTGTTTCATATCTCACCAGGCGTATGTATGCCGTGCCATAAGTGCTCTGCAACGAGGGAACTTGCTGACAACATGCACAGATCCTCCAGCAAGACCCACAGACTCCGCACAACTACTCAGGCAATTTGGACAGCGTCAAGATCCCGCGAGAGGTCTACGATTTGATCCTGTCCCATCTCTGGAACCCTCTTTCTGAGGGAGCGCCTGAGGATACAGCCATCAGAGACGAAACATTGGCCGACTTTATTTGTCTTGCACTTACTTGCAAGGACGCAGCCAAGGCGGTATTGAGCAATCGCTGGTTCAACATTTGCGACTACGGAACAAAGACCATTTTGTGGCGCGAACCTGGAACAGACCGTGGATATGATGCCTATGGTCTATGCCACGCATGCCACCTCAAATACCCTCCACCGGAATCCCTGAGTTACAGCGATAGGCGGCGACGGGAGTGGCTACGTGACCTTGGCGGCAGAAGGTTGGGTAAATGGGTTGGGAATGGACGCCGCCGTGGGACCTTACCGAAGGGATTGGCTGTTTCCTTTACAACGGTTGGGGTTGTGCTTGGGATGATGATTGCTGTTCTCCTGGGCCAACTCTAGGCTTGAATACTTGCCTGCATCTGATATGTTACCCTCCATAGGGGCACTTAGTGCTGAAAGTGACAACTGCTTTGCAAGAACTTTGGACTTCTGTCGCGAGGGCAGAGCCATGCATGATGCGATTAGGCATTGAAGGATTTTAGCCTTCAGGCTCGGATAAAGTTTCAAACTCATTTTCATTATCAACGCTGGGACCTGACCTTATCATATTTGCTGGTTACGTCAAAGTTCTAGAGAGGACCTCTATCATCAATCAACAAATCCCATATGTTCTATGCTAAATCATTTCGCTCACTCCGAGAATGTACAGTATCTATATAAATAGCCAGCCCTCCGTGGAGAAGAGCATTTGAACGAGGCACAAATGAAGTGTTGCCATGCCTGCGTATCTCACTTTACACCTTGACACGCCTTTTCAATCCTCCAAGCTTAATAAAAAGCACCAGATAAACAATGAAGCCACCAGCCAACATAGCACCGCTGAAGCCTTGCATGGTCCTGAATTTACCGTGATCGTGGCTGATCAGCTCTCCTCCGATCGGGCTGCCGATCAAGACCGCCACAGCATTGACGCTAAACAAAACTCCGTTCCTGACGCCAATCTTCTGGATGTCGCTGATCTGTGCCAAACAGGCAGGTAGAAGACTGAAGACAGCACCAGAGCTGAAACCGAAGAGAACCGTAAATGTGACTATGCCGCCGGTGCCCGAGACCGGCAGCCAGATTCCAAGCAAAAAGATTGTCGTGATGAAGCAAAAGCCAACAAAGACGGTGAAGCGGCCTACTTTGTCTGCAAAGTAGTTCGGGATGGTACGTCCAAAGGTTGAGCTCGCATTGAGGATTGCGACGAGGTATTTTGCAAGGTCTTCTGGAACGCCGCGACCGCGGGCGGCGACGATGACGAACGTGAAAGGGATGAAGATACCTAGACAATGTATTAGTATTTTGTGAACGGACTGTTGAACAGAGTAGAGGAGACCCAAGAAAGCAAAGAAACTTCCGAGTGAGAGTAAAGCAAATGGCACCTCTTTCCAGGGTTCGACGAAGTCTTGTAACTTGACCGGCTTAGCCATGGGCGGAAAACGGCTCTTGACTGTGAAGACCGTGATGGCCATAAGTCCGAGGATCAAGAAAGCGCAGGTGCGCATAGTCCAGCCGAAGCCAATTTGGGGAATCAGCCTTTGAACCATGATGGGGAGGATGACACCACCGATGGAAGAGCCGCTAGCAACAAGCCCAAGTGCCAGAGCTCGGCGCTTGAAGAACCAGGTTGCGGTTGCAGACATGCATGGATAGAAGATCATTGAGCAGCCCAAGGGTGAGCAGACTCCTTGGGCCAGAATCAGTTGGTAGTATTTTGTGGAGAGCGATGCCATCATGAGTCCGAAGACGTGGAAGAATGCTCCACCCGCCAGGATGTAGGTAGGGCCATAATTGTCTTTGGTGAAGAAATTGTCAGCGAGAGCACCTGGGATGAAGGTGTGCGAGCGGACTAAGGCCGCTGAGTGGGCTTTGATATCTTACCATATAGTCGGCCGATCCAGAGGCCGCCGAAGAACATCATGAAGGCTTCTAAACTGGGAATCCAAGCAACCTCTTGTGAGGAATAGTCCTTGAGCTGGTTACTTTGGTAGTATTCTTGGAATACACCGACACCTGCAAAAATTTCCAATAATCAGTCCTTACTTCTCGTGTCGATCTCCCTGCTAAGCATGTTGCACCTCAGGTGGGCGACAGTAGTCACACCACTTACAATTAATCCATCCGAAACTAACAATGAGGCCAATGAAGCCTCCCAAAACGACGAGCCAGGCTTGAAGCCCTCCGTCGGGAAATTGTGAAGGATGCATCGGGCCGGCTTTCTCAGCGACAGGAACATGGTTGGCGATATTATTTAAGTCCGCCTGTTTCTCAGCGTCGACATGACTTTGGGAGGAATCGGACCCGAGATCTTCCTCGTTGACTTTCTCTGCTTCTCGATTCATAGTCGAGGTCCAGGCGTGTGAAGCAGCTGAGTTTGTTGCGGTCATATGGTGATCGAAGCTTTGGGGTGGAAAGAAAACCTCAGTTTGCCAGTGGAAGCTCGAGTGGATTTTGTACAGATAATATCCTCTGCAGTATGACAACTTCAGGTTCGTCCACGAGGCGTGAGCTCTAGTGAGTTCTTGATGCTAGGAAGGAGACGATCTGGGCGAGGCGTAGTTTATGTAGGGGTAAGCCCGCTTGTGGAAAGGTGATCCAACGAGGCTGGAGGTTTTGCCTAAAGGACGATCGAGTACAACGCTACAAGTAGTCTTACCAAGAGGTAGGAAACCTTTTTCTGATCACCACCTTTCGCGTCGCAGATTCACAATGTAAGCAAGACCTTGATTGTGAAACGGGATCGGATCTGACCCCAGCTCGCGCGTCCGACAATGATCGTACCACTGATTGTTAAGCATCGTGAGTAGTTGTAACTACAGCCAAAGGAGGCTTTTGGTAATGAGGATAGGCGCTGAATGGTTGATGGACAAAATCTCGGACGATATTGAAGGGCGAGCCTGTGCCTGAGGGGCCCCTTACCAGTTGGATAGAGCCTGTTAGTGGCCACTTTGGGCAAACCTACTCCACCGCTTGTACGATTTGTACGAGGTGGATTCTCCTTTTCTTCGCGATGTGAGCGAGTCCAACGCAACGTTTTCATCCTCCGAGGGAGCCCAGGGTGCGTATAGGCATGTGATTATGTCCCTCGCAAAGACTACTCGAACTGTCCTTTGGAGTTCAGCTCTTGCTGGGGCAGTACACAGATTCACTCCTTCGTCAGCTGATTGGAGAATACTCTTCCATGCCCAAGGTTGACGTAGCTCCCATCCAGTAAACGCTGATCATATGCCAGTCAGCGCGTAATCGAAAAGGTCTCCATGGTCAATGAAACATCCCTAACCCAGGACTTGTACGCTGGACTCCATTTGCTTGTTGGACAAAGTTCCACCAGAAACTAATGGAGAGAACGGCCAAGAATTCGGCCCGGAGTTACGCCCATCTCCCTCGCCTAAACACCGCCACAGACGGTGTGTATGTGGGAGACCAGAGTAAATGTTCTCGATACTAGTTCCTCTGCGTCAGCATGGCTTGCAGAGCTGTATGAAACACCAACAATATATGAACTGTCTATGAGGTATGCAGCTATTGGACGCCGACCGAGCACATTCGATTGATTGGCACCTGATGCGTTCGACTGCAAATGCCTCAGCTGATATTGCTCAACCACTGAAAACGCACACTGATTTGGAGCTGGCTTCATCTCGGATGCTAATATAGCGGCCCCAAGCTTAAGCGGCGAATCGCCCAGATCGGACGAGAATCCCAAATCTCGCCAACGAGCTGCCGGGGACGTATGAAAGCAACTTCACGAATATACTCATGGTTTCCCCGGATTTCCTTTCGCGAAAATATCAGCTTTGACCATGGGCTTTCACTCGGTGCTCGGTCGTATACGAGGACTGCCAATGAGAATAATCAGGAAAAGGAAACCCAGACCGAGCATAAGCGAAATTGGCAAGACGGAGATTTTCGAGAGTAATATCCTTCTTTCTAAAGCTTTATCTACCATTTTGCAGTGCTTTGCATTGGAACGAGATACATCGTGACGCCCAGTCCATACTTGCCCTGCTGCAGTTCTCTCCCATTGCTAGCGAGCACCCACACTACACCACCGATGGCGACAAGCTCTCGCACTTGAGATGAGGAAATTTGGCTCTTTGTCGATATTAATATCGGCCGGATACTAGCCACACGCAGGTGAGACCACCTCTTCATTGTACCCTCGAAATGGCTACGCCGAAAAGGAATCCGATTGAAACCTCGCTTGCACAGCCCTGTATGCCCGCAACTATGTCAGAGCCAGCTGGTCGCCTACCTGGGAAAGCTCTCAAGGCCAAACAACGGGAAATCGTACCCTCGTGGTGCTGAAGCTATATTCTTTAGCGATACTATGTACCTGTGAACCGTGGAATCCAAAATGCAGTTCCTAGAGTTCCATAACTCACCACAACGTCTTGTTTGATAGGCCTTTTTCCTCCATACACTGTTTCAAGTTGGTCTATTCCATACAATCTCGTTTAAGTTATGGTGTTTAATCCTCGTTCATTATCTATGAATTCCAGTCATTCGATCATCATTCGAATTACTTCGTGTCTGGGGCTTTTCACCCAGACTCTGGCCTCTCCCGAACCCGTCGTTATGACAGTGACAAAGGCTAATACACATTGCGTCTATTCTTGTGCGAGCAGCACGACACGGACCCCGAGTGCTTTTTTCTCAACCTCTGCCGCCCAATGGCGGGACTGGAGTGGAAACACAGGCATCAATCCGACACGGACTCGACCTTCACCATTGCCCACCAGCTCATCTCATCTACTGAGAGGCCGCCCGGCTATACATCGCAGTCTCATTAAAGCAGTCAGACTCATACAAAGAGTCATGGGTGTGCTGGCGAATGACCTGCAATGTGCTGTGAGAGAGCAGGATGGGCTACAGCTTTTTGTTGGCCCGGCTAGGCGTTGCGGAGGACGATCTAAGTGGCGGGGTCACTGCTTTTACGATGGTGCAGGTCCTTTGAAGTGTTTTCCCCATTTGAGTGGAACTTTCGTTGGTGCATTCTAATTCAACGTCTCCAGGAGGGGTTGCCTCCTTTCAGGCTTTGGTCCTCAATTCCGAGCCTGGGCTCGTCATCAGACAAAAGTTGAGTGCGTCGAGATTGGTGATGATGGACGAGAGACAGTCCTCGAATGTGCTACCTTGCGCCTCATGCTAAAACCGCGCCTAAGATAATAGTAACAATGATGGAGAACGGTGTTGGAGCGCACAGACCACAGTATTTCCAAAATCGCCAGATCAAAAATTGGGAAGATAATTGGTATCGCGACTCATATGTAGGGGCGAAGGATCGAACCTGATAGCTCGCGATGAGAAGCATTAGACTTGAGATTTACTAGCATTGTCAATGTTTCTCGAGTGTTCGTATTTAGTTACTTCTCAGGACCCATGAAATAGGGATGATAAACCAGCAATACTTTGGATCCAACGACATCAAAGTGTGTTACAAACTGCGTCCGGGCGAATGGACGAAGAAGGGAATCTTTTGCATCGGCCATTGCAAGCAGTTGCAAGGGCACAAGTGTGAAAATCCGTCACCAAGTTGTTGGGACCTTGGGATACTCCATCGACGTGATACCGAGATCTGCAAATACTGCGTCATCACCTGGGAATTTGTCAGTCTGCATATAAACTCGAAATGAGGATGCTTTGTTACCTTTCAAGTGTTTGACACGGATCTCGTCCTCGCCCTCTAGCTTCTCCAGCTCATCTGATGGCAAGCCGTTGCCTTCCCGCTCATCTTTTGGCCTCTGCTCCACGGCGTTCTCGTAGGATTCACCAATCACCAAGAACTGACTATTGGCGTAGTCTAGAAACTTTGGCTCGAGAGGTTTCCAACGCAGGCCGCGGAACTCGTCCAGCAGCTCCTTGGGATAGCCCGGGCCCTTTGGCAGGCTGGCATTGTTTGGAGCTGGGGCACTGGGATTCTTCACGCTGGTGATAAAACTGCCACGCTCTTTGAGCCCGAGGTCCTTCTGTACCTCGCCAAGCTCTCCTGGGATTGTGATGATGTAGGCAAGATGCGACTCCCTTCCGGTTGAGGTGATGGCATAGACGCCCTCAGCCAGAGGAGTCACGGGTGGTACGTGGCTAGTGCCAGCAGTCTTTGTCGCATAGTCAGAGCCAGACGTGAAGGAATCCTTGAGTTCGCTGAAGCTCGTCTTTGCCTTCTCGACAAAGGTCAGAAATCTGTCTTTCCCACTCAGAGGCAGGACTTTCTTGGGGAGAGCGAGGAGTCGACAGTTGCCGTCATCCCCAATAGGCCCATCCCCAAGTTTCGCATCTAGCGGCATGGGGCGCAGGATCATGTAGGTCCTGGCAATGTCCTTGACGTCTTGCGGATCATCCACATTGACACGGGCCCGGAAAAAGAAGTAGATGATACCCTTCTCCAGGATGCTTGATGAAACCTGGTCGTCGCCTCGCGCCTGGGGCACAACAGATTCGCCGTTGGTGGCTCCTTGTGCTGCTTCCATTAGTTGCTCAGGCTTGTGTTCTTCGCTTGGATGGAGCTTGTTGTCTGCTTGTGGTTTCTCATCTGGCTGCTCCTCCGGTTTTCCCTCTGGCTTGTTCTCTGTCTTCTCCTCGGCTTCCTCGGCTGGCTTCTCTTCTAGTAGGGCATCTTTCTTGGGCTGAGCCGTGCCAGCTGCCATAGGGTCATGTTCACCATTGGCCTCCTTCATCTCGACATCTTCTGATTTCTGAGCTTTCTCTTCACCGCCCACCTTGTTAGACTGATCACCGTCATTTTGAGCAGGTGCAGGCTCACTTTCAGGCTTGGCTTGAGGCTTTACACCGTTCTCAGCAGGCCCTGGTTTTGCCTCTTTTGGCCCATCACTGTAGATCCAGTGTCAGCAATTATGGAACCGATGACCCAGTCAATGAACTACGTACTTGGCAACCGTTTCCTCTAAAGTCTTTTGTTGAGGCTCAACAACCGTTTTCCCACGTTTGGCGGTAGGGGACGTGCCGTTGCTTTCGTTTTTACGCTTGCGCCCTGCCGGTGGTGACGATTTTGGCTGAGACTGAGGGTGTGGTGGGGAAGAATTATTATTCTGAGATGCAAGCCGAGCGGATTGGCGTCTTCCTGTCATTGTCGCAATAGGTTCACGAGAACGAACACAATAGGAAGGGGACTACGTGGTGATAATGGTGGAACAAACGTCGAAGAAAAGATGGGAAATGAGAGAGGCAGTCAACATTGAATGAAGTGGTTGACGACGCACAGGTATGCGACGTTCTTTGGCGGTCCATGTCTTACTCTGCAGCTACTGATGCTCCACACCGTTCTCGGGTTGGAGGCACAATGATGTAAGATCTGGCACCCTTCTGAGAGTGAGGGCGATGCACAACGATGCTGCTAGTCAGGAACTTGAGTTTGTGTTCCGCATCCCGAATGGCTGTCCCGCCGTCTCCACTGCTACCCCAGTCTGTTGGCGATGGGATCTGCGCTTCCCTTCCAATCGAAGCCAAGTTCTATCGAACCAAAACCACTCTATTCCACTGCGCCGAAGCGCTGGTGACACAGATGTCCCGCATCCAGAAGACCTATTTGAAACGCCAGATAATGATCAACCGAGGGCCCGAAAGCTGTAAAATAAAAGGTAAAATGGGATGGATGACAATCCACAACTCAGATAGTGATGATCTGTTGTCCTGGTGTCCTTCATCCAACATCCATCGCGTCATCATCATCGCGTCCAAAGCCTTCTGGCGCTGGAGTGACTTCGGGGGTGCCGGAGCAGGAAGACTCCAGCAACAATGGCATCTCCGTGTCATCTGTTCTCTCTGAACTATCAGACCATGTCCCGTTGACATGCTTGCGGCCCAGTCGATGCGCCATGCTCTGCTGACTGGGCCGCTTTCTTCTCTTCCTTGCTGGACGATGGTCTGGCTGCCCTTCCACGAGCTCCGATATCTCCAAGTCGCTGTGCACACCCTGTGATGGCATCTCACTTTCCATTTCCTTTGATCTTCGCTTCTTGCCATGTTCGGCGTCATCGTCCCATGGGGAATCACCGTGTTCTGGATCACAAACGAGCAGTCCTAGCTTCCGTGCGAGCTCCTCATCTGTGTCAGGCCATTGTTGGCGTACATTTCTATCATCTTCGAAGTCCGAGTCGATTTCTTCGTAGTGATCTGGTCGGAGCACTTCTCCATCTCCCTCATAGCCCATATCATCTGGCGATAGCTCTTCAACGCACAGCTCATTAGAGGACTCGCGCCGCTGGCGTTTACCCGGCTCCTTCTTTGTCAACGACATTGCCACATGTTACGGCTGGCCACATTGGCTGTAAATGAGGCGTGTAAAAGGCAGACAGTTGACTATTATGCTGTCAAGCCTGTTTGTACGACGTATCAGAGGCGAATGAAGTTGTGGCTAAAAGGAAGGTTGTTAAGCGTACTGCTCCCGTCCTATCCATTCTAGGTATTTCCGTGGGCTTCCAGCATTGTTTTCGGATGTGCCCGTAGATAATAATTGTACAATCATCAATGAAAACGGCTTACTCAAGCTACAGAGAAATGCGTAACAGCAATCATGGAAGCATGCGATAGAAGATTCATCAACGCTAGAGGTTCATGTAAGAGAGACAAATGGTGTGGATGCACGGGAAGAAAATGGAGTTATGCGTGTTGAAAAAATCTAGGCTGTGCTGTAGAGTTGGGGGTTTGGTGCCAGTTGGTGGGGCCGGAGTCGCAGATCCGAAAGTACCTTCGATCAATCCTCATCAAATTTCGAGATTTCTACGCGTGAAGACCAGATTAATCCAGTTGAAGATCTGAGTGTGACTTCGCGTTGTCTCAGCTCCATAGCAGCGGCAGTTCAAGTAAAGTCAATCATGCTTGATCTGGCCGCTCTTTACCATAGAAGCTAACCCAGATGCAAAACGATATTTTGGACCATCCCAGGTGAGCCCCTGCCTCATCATGGAATGAGCAAGGATAACAACAGAGACTGTTGTATCAAGTGTATGTAGACACAGTAATGATGGACCACTGCATCCACTGCCCACGTGGACAGGATGCCGAGGTGAGTAACGTGTCAGAAGATAGTTCAATCTTCTTTGCACCAAAATAGGCCTATATCCTGGAATGTTTCCAATCGCAACGAGAGGAGGGATAAAGGCCAGAGTGTTGGCAAAGTTTCAGGGGAGCAGGTAGGGATGAGAGAGCGCATTCGACTGCAGACATGATGCAAGGCAAGAAGCTTGAGTGTGAACATTAGATTGATTGAATGGTTCGTTCATGGCATGAGCATGATCATGGGTATCATCGTCACCTAATTTTTTGATCGTTCTCTACGGAAGTGCGTCGATCTATTCTTCAGGAACTGCAAGGTGTTAGCGGTGAAAGCGCTGCACACGGCTTTGGCACTCACTCTCAATGTTACCATCTTTAATGTCATCGCTGATGTCCTTTGGTGATCGACCATCGACCTGACAGCCAACACTGAAAGCTGTGCCCAGAATCTCAAGAACGGTACCCTTCAGCTCACGAGCAAACGACTTGTTGGCACCGCGCATCGTGCGAGCGATATCGATGATTTCATCGAGAGGGATCGACTTGGAGTGCTTGATGTTCTTCTCCTTCTTGCGGTCTCGAGGTGGCTCCTTGAGCGCTCTAATGACTAGGGAGGAGGCAGAAGGGACGACAGAGACAGCAGCTTGTCGGTTCTGGATGGTGAGCTTGATGGTGACGCGGAGACCTTTCTGTGTCACAATGAGAAGCTGGTACTTGATTGAGGGGAAGGTGCAGTCATACCCAGTCACCAGTGGCTTTGGCGATATCTTCACCGACCTTCTTGGGAGAGAGACCAAGAGGACCAATCTTGGGAGCAAGAGTTGCTGAGGATCCGACCTCACCTCCAGTGGCTCGGAGGTGGCTGTCAAATTGTCAGCCCTTGTAGCTTCGAAAGGGGAAACCAAGAGGAAACTTACATGATCTTCACCTCATTGGGATCGAGTTTTGGAGCTGGAAGAAAACATATTAGCCGCCAGGGTGATCATGCTCAAGAAGACGATACTTACCCATGGCGAGTGGGAAAGGTAGTCTGTCTTTCTTGAGGGGTTTGTTGAACTACTCTCAACACTGAGGAAGTTCAAGAAAATACCCTGCGTGAGTTGAAACTTCCTAATGAATTTTGGCTTGGCAATTATTTGTGGGCGCCGGAATAATGTTCTTCCAGCCATAGGGGACTTATACGGTGAATTGTAAGCCTCCGAGGCGCAAGACCTTTTGCTGAGACCTCGACCTGATTTGGACAGCGAACGGCACAGCTGGGTATGCCCCATTCTCAATGACAATTCATGTTTGGATCTGAAGCATATCTCACTTTGAAGTTCAAGCTATTCTATGCTAGGAATTTCCTTTCACTGCTTTCAACTCACAATCACGTGCATCATTAGACGCTGAAAGGAGTACAGAATCTATTACGTTATAGTCATCCCAGCGAGTCTTCTCATTGACGATCTGGTCGCATCACGTGCTTCTAGCTTGAACCAGAGACAGCGAGTCTGTAAAATGATTAGCAAAAGTGTAAAACTCATGTTGAAACTTAGCTTACTTCATCAAGTGATCCATGAATGTTTGCAGAGACACGTCATCCGTAAAGATTGTCTGTGCTGTTTGTGAAACTCCACCGTAGCCACCAGTTGCATGTGTTGTGGAAGGGTTCAATTTCGACAGTAGGAAACGGGCTTGTGATCCTCCGGCGTCACAGATGATGAATCTTGGTAATGGGAAGCGATCTTGAACCAATTCTCGGGCATCCTCCTTGGGAGCATCAAGGATAGTGCGGAAATTCTCGTAACCTTCTTGCTCTTGGTAGCCAGCCTTTCGCCATTCAGCCATTGTTTCGCCGTGGAAGATGAGGATTTGGAAGAATGTGTCAAGTAGCAATATTGTTTGTGGCTGAATTGAAGCAGAGTCAAGGAGAACAGGCTGACCGCCTTCGTGCTCAAGGCTATATGAGTCCAAGGTGGGCTGGATCATGATCAAGGAATCTCCTACATATTCATGGTTCAATACATGTCGGTAGAATGCAGTCTCATCTGGTGAATTATTGAACACTTGTAGGAACTGCGACCGCCGGAGATGGAACATGAATTGAGGATATAGTGTGAAGTTCTTGTCAAGTCTGAACGAGGTCGGGTCGTCCTTGCGGTAATCTGCGAAACGAGAGCAGAGCCGAATAAGCATTCTGTCAACCCATCGGAGAACGTCTGGCCCATCATCGACCTCTGCTTTGAAAACCGCGATTCTCGCCATGAGAACTGCTGCAGCCTCTTGGTCGAAAGATTGTGCCAAGGCCGGATCGCCTGCTGGGCCACTCAAGTTTCGTGCCACCGTCGTCACACGAAGGTGATACTGTCCGGATGAGTGCTGGTAATAGGTCAAATATTGCATCATACCTCGTTGTGGACCCTGCTGCATAGGTGTCGGGCCTCCTTGATTTGCAACCTCAAAGTAGATGCCATAACTTGAGGTCGGGTTAATGCCACACATTTTCCAAGCTGAAGTATTGCCAATACCACATTCTGTTTCGCCAACGGAGCTAGACTTCTTGTTTGCAGACACGGCGTGGCCAATGAGACCTGTCACCTTGAGCTCTTTCGTGGTGATAACCTCGATGTTGGCGTTGAATCCCATGAGAAGATTGTCGTTCTCATCCTTGTCAAACACTCGGACAAAAGACTGCTTGAATTGGGATGAGGTGAAGCTATCGGTTAGGACCATGTGTCCTCCAGTGGAGTTTGCGAGGCCTTTCATTTCAAGAAGACCGACTTGGTCGAGGCAGCCGACATAGAGATCGATAATATGTCCGTTGTGGGCTGTTCGTTTGGCAAGGCCCTCATAGAATTTGATGGCCTTTTTGAAGTATTTGACATTGTCGCGATCGATATCATGGTGTGATCGAATAGGCTCGCGAAGTTCAGGAGCAACCACCAAGCCAGGCCCCTCGGTAGCTGGACCACCTGCAAAAAGCATGATGCGAGCTCCAGCGTTCTGGAAGGAGGTTTCCAACAGACTGGCAGCGACACTAAGGGCTACGCCAGTGCATCTTAGCGGCCGTCGATCATTTGCAACTGGCCAGGGATCCTTCTGCAACTGCTCAATTGTGTTGGTGATCTGAAATTCTGCTTGCTGGACTGGAAGGAGGAATCGAGCAGCAGGGCCCATAGGCGGAGGTGGTCGTCCCTGCTGAGGTGGTACATTTGGCCTCAGGCCTGGAGCAGCCAGGCCAAGCATCTCCTGGACCTGTTTTGCGGCGTAGTCCTTGCTTCCCCTAAACACATAGGCCTTCTGGCATTCCGTGTAGCCGATTTCATGGACTGCAACATTGGTGCCAAAAGTGATCAACCCCACGAGGGCATTAGGCGGCAGAAGTGACAGACTCATGACAAGAGTGTCCTTCAGCGCCTGCAAACCGTCCTCCTCGATCGCGGTATCTATTACATAGACGAATATCGGCGCAGCAGGTGCCGGTCTAGCAAGCTGATATTCAACTGTGGTATTCAAACTGTGCATCTCAGGGGGAACATTCTCAGCGCTGATGTCTCCGTAGTGTCGCGGCAAGGCGTTTCGCTGCAGACAGAACGGGCAGATCCATATTTTTGCTCGTACGTCGACGTTCGCGAAGGGATTTAGGACCGCGCGACAAGGTGCCCGGCAGGTGACAGGTTCGTAGTTGAGAAGAGGTTTGTTGAGCTCCTGCAAAGTAATTAGGGGTGCTGAGCAGACTTGGATGTTCCTGTACTCACCTTCAGTGGCGTCAGTAAGCAACTCAAGGGAACTACCAGGCGGTTTGCTTCCTAGAAAAAGAATTAGTCCTGAGGCAATGTGGTAGTCGCGCGTTGTGGGAGACAGACCATCCGCGTGGAAGGAATAGTATTCCAACTGAGTCTGACCCCATCTCGATCCTCCACTTCTCCCCAATTATCTTTGATGGCATCATACTGTGCTTGATCCATTCTGTATGGTAGTGTTTATCTCCCTCCCTGTCGTCTCAAAAGCGCATGCTGGTGAGTTGGGATATGGTCCTTTGGTGATTCGTGAAATCCGGAACTTGAGCTATTAGGCTGACTGTCCCCAATATTGTCTCAGAGACGAACTTAGGACACCTATCACAAAGTATCGTTGTGCGGATCTGGCGATGTGAACCCGAGCCACCCTGTCAAATTCACCCACTATGATGAGGTTAGAGGCTTGCAGTGCAGCGTTCGTATGCTTCACCGTAGGATTTTTGGAGGCGTACGTAGTTGGCAAGTGCTGCCACCGCGTTGTGTGCATGGCAGGTGCGGGCCACAAATTCCCCTGCGCAGTAGAGACACCTTTACCTTTTATTTAATGCGCAGACTCAACCTCACGCCGACAAAACTACGGGTCTCCTCTTTTCCTCGACAGACCAAGCAGTGACAGGATATGCTTTGATCTCGATGCCCTGAATTGTTGACCGCCGTTCCAGACCAAAGTACCAGCCTGGCCACCATGGCGTCTCCTTCAATGCTCACCAAGGCAAGGGTTCCAGTTACTAAACAACGCTGCCGTAATGCTAACCCGACCGCAGTTCGAGAGCAAAAGCAGCCGAGCCAAAGGTCTAGCCTTCCATCCCAAAAGACCATGGATTCTTGTTAGCTTGCATAGCAGCACTATACAGTAGGCTTGCTCCAGTTCCTGACCAAGGCTCTCGGTTGACCTCGTTCACAGGCTATGGGACTACCGTATGGGTACGCTGATCGATCGATTTGAAGAGCATGATGGTCCAGTTCGCGGTATTGATTTCCACAAGACTCAGCCGCTCTTTGTTTCTGGTGGAGACGACTACAAAATCAAAGTCTGGTCTTACCAGACGAGAAGATGCCTGTTCACCCTTAACGGCCATCTTGATTATGTGCGAACGGTCTTCTTCCATCACGAACTGCCGTGGATCTTGTCTGCATCAGATGACCAGACAATCCGCATCTGGAATTGGCAGAACCGCTCATTAAGTATGTTGATCTCAGGAGTGCTTGGCCTGCGCTGACAAGTCTCTAGTATGTACCATGACAGGACATAACCACTACGCAATGTGTGCACAGTTCCATCCCAAAGAAGACCTTGTCGTTTCAGCTTCGCTCGATCAGTCTGTTCGAGTGTGGGACATTTCAGGCCTACGAAAGAAACAATCTGCGCCCACCTCAATGACATTTGAAGACCAAATGGCCCGAGCCAACCAGCAGCAGGCTGATATGTTTGGCAACACCGATGCAGTGGTCAAATTTGTTCTAGAGGGACATGACCGCGGTGTCAACTGGGTAGCTTTCCACCCAACACTGCCCCTGATCGTGTCCGCTGGCGATGATCGGCTCGTGAAGCTGTGGAGAATGAGTGAGACCAAAGCATGGGAGGTGGACACATGTCGTGGCCATTTCCAAAATGCATCTGCATGTCTGTTCCATCCCCACCAGGATCTCATTTTATCTGTCGGAGAGGACAAGACGGTCAGGGTGTGGGATCTTAACAAGCGAACATCTGTGCAGTCCTTTAAAAGAGAGAACGATCGTTTCTGGGTTATTGCGGCTCATCCAGAGATCAATCTTTTTGCTGCTGGCCACGACAACGGAGTCATGGTCTTCAAGCTCGAACGAGAGAGGCCCGCTTCCTCGGTATATCAAAACCAATTGTTCTATATCACCAAAGACAAGCATGTGCGCTCCTATGACTTCAGCAAAAGTATCGAATCCCCTTCTCTACTATCTCTTAGGAAGTTTGGCAGCTTGTGGGTACCACCACGCACTTTATCATACAACCCTGCTGAAAGATCTATTTTGGTCACTTCACCGACAGATAGTGGCACTTATGAGCTTATTGGTCTGCCACGCGACGCAACCGGAGCCTCCGATCCTACCGACCTCAAACGTGGAGCTGGAAACGCTGCGGTTTTTGTGGCAAGGAATCGATTCGCAGTATTCTCCACGGCCACCCAATTAGTCGAGATTAAGGACTTGAGCAATTCCACTACCAAGTCTTTCAAAGCACCGCCCGGTACTACTGACATCACCTATGGTGGGACCGGAGCTCTGCTTCTCATCACTCCTACTACAGTCGCGCTCTATGACATCCAGCAGAAGAAGCAACTAGCCGAGTTAAGCGTCAATGGGGTCAAATACGTGACTTGGTCGAATGACGGACTTTATGCGGCTCTACTTAGCAAACACAATGTCACTATCGTGAACAAATCTCTCGAACAAGTCAGTACTCTCCATGAGACGATAAGGATTAAAAGCGCCACGTGGGACGATTCTGGGGTTCTGTTATATTCGACTCTCAATCATATCAAGTACACTCTGCTGAACGGGGACAATGGTATTGTGAGAACATTGGACCAGACGGTATATCTTGTCAAAGTGAAGGGCCGCAATGTCTATTGTCTGGACCGAGCAGCGAAGCCGAAAGTGCTCAGCATTGATCCTACCGAGTACCGGTTCAAGCTAGCCTTGGTCAAGCGTAATTACGACGAAATGCTTCAAATAATCAAGACTTCAAGTCTTGTTGGACAGAGCATTATCTCATATTTGCAGAAAAAGGGCTATCCTGAGATTGCTCTTCAATTTGTTCAAGACCCGCAAACCCGATTTGAATTGGCGATTGAATGTGGCAATCTTGAGGTCGCAACAGAAATGGCCAAAGAGCTTGACCGCCCAAAGGTCTGGACACGTCTCGGCGCAGAGGCCTTGCTTCATGGCAACCATCAAACGGTTGAAATGACATATCAGAAACTTCGACATTTCGACAAGCTTTCTTTCCTGTATCTTTGCACAGGCGACGAGGAAAAACTTATCAGAATGTCCAAGATCGCGGAACATCGAGGGGACTTCACCTCTCGCTTCCAAAACGCTCTCTATCTTGGTGATGTGGAGAGTAGGATCCAAATGTTCAAAGAGATTGACTTATATCCACTTGCTTATCTTACAGCCAAATCCAACGGCTTGGTGGAGGAATGCGAGTCTATCCTCGAACTAAGCGGCTTGACGGAAGATCAAATTTCACTACCAACAATTGGTCAGAGTCTGAATACTCCAAAATCTGTTGTGCCCACTTTCAAGACTAACTGGCCCGTGAAAGAAGCATCACACTCTTCGTTCGAGAAAGCCCTTCTTGGCGAAGTAGGAGTTGCAGCTGATGAAGAACCCGGCTCTGATCTACTGAATGAAGACTTACCCGCTGCAGCCGAGAAAAATGGGCTCGCGGTTGAAGACGAGGCTGATGCTGGCGAAGGTTGGGACATGGGCGATGATATGGGGCTTGATACGGCCGGCAACGATTCAGACTTCGTCAACGTGGACAACCCTGATGCAAGTGTTGACGCAGCTGGGCCTGGCAGCTCGGAGGCCGATATTTGGTCTCGCAACTCACCGCTTGCCGCTGACCATGTCGCTGCCGGCTCCTTCGATAGTGCGATGCTGTTACTAAACCGCCAAATCGGTGCAGTCAACTTTGCACCTCTGAAACCACGATTCTTGGAAATCTATCAAGCATCCAAAACTTACCTACCCGCAACCACTGGGCTGCCTCCGATTTTGAACTACGTCCGGCGGGCACCGGATGAGACGGACAGTCGAAAATTGCTGCCTTTTATTCCACAAAGTCTTGAGACTCTTTCGACTGTCGACTTACAGGAGGGATACACTGCCATGAGGACGAATAAGCTCGAAAGTGGTGTGGTGGTATTCAGAAATATTCTTCAGTCCCTCTTGGTAAATGTGGTCAGCTCACAGGCCCAAGTGGATGAAGCCAAAGCCTTGATCACGAAATCCGCGGAATATGCCCTTGCCATGACTATTGAACTTGAGCGGCGTCGCCTAGCGGCAGCGGGTAGCGATTCGGAGGAGCACTTAAAGAGGCAGCTAGAACTGTCTGCGTACTTTACCGTGCCGAAACTGGATGTCTCTCATCGACAACTTGCTCTGATGGCAGCAATGAAGCTTGCCTTTTCGAGCAAACAATTTTCAAGCGCCTTGTCGTTCGCGAACCGTGTCCTTGCCAATGGAGGAGCGGCCAAATTGGTCGATCAGGTCAGTCTGGCGTAGGCAGCATTTCGTGGATGCTCATGCTAACGTTTCCTAGGCAAAGAAAGTCAAGCAACAGGCCGAACGATCCGGGTCCAGTGACAAGCTTGACATTGAATACGACCAGTTTGCTGATTTCGACGTGTGTGCTGCATCATACACCCCGATATATAGCGGTGTTCAGAGCGTGTCCTGCCCATTCGATGGGTCGAAGTACCACAGCCAATACAAGGGTAAGGTGTGCAGTATTTGTGAGGTCTGCGAAGTGGGTGCCGCGGCCAGTGGGTTGAGGCTATGGGTGAAAGGATTGTAAAGCCAAGCGAGCACTTGAACAGGGAGGTACAGCTGGAATATGCAAGGCACAACAAGACCCCACCAGTTCTTCCATAGCCTGGCGCAGGATTAATTCGACCAGGAGTGGCATTTGAGATGGAACGAAACAGAACTTGACTACGAAATCAATGAAATGGTTAGACACTGGGAACTACATCACATCACGATGCAAATCGGTGCCTCTACTGACAGTTTGTCATGTCTATGGCCTACGAGTTATCGACGGCGCCAAGCAGTACGTACGTATGTCTCTGTTTGACTGCACAGTTTCCACTTCTTGTTGTTCTCATGTTCTGCCACTTGTCCATCCTCCAGAAGGGAAGGGTCTCTGGCATACTGCGCGTCGTGACCTGTTCTTGCTGTGGACTGATCAGAAGCTTGAAGTCGGCTCTTTCCGCTCCTCCTAACTAACCACCCGATCCATCACTCCGCCGATCAAAACAGCGCACCGCCTACTCATACCATTTCTGACAGTTTCTTTTACTGTTCGTGCGACCGTCACTTTTGTATCAGCGATTGGCTGGCGGTGAAGCAGAAACCAAAGCTTGGCGGCATCGAGAAAGCATTGCCTTGGGAAGGAGCGACGAGGAATATTCCATCTCTTTCCTGCCACGAACCTTACTTGCTCTTCCTTCTCTTTTCTCTCTTCGTCTTCTCTCTGTCTCTCACACCCACTCCTCTTTCAAACGAACTCCGGTCTGGCTGCATAGACAGTGTTCTCCGTTAGATCTTGCCCCTTCCGTCGTTGTTCAACTATCTCTCTGCTCTCGAACAGCCTGCAGTCATCTTCAGGTAAGGCTTCGTTGACCGCCTTTTATTGCTTGCCTTTGTGGGAGACGTCGAACTTCAACCTCATTCAATCGCAGATCCATAAGAGCTTTGTCTTGCTGCTTTCCTCTCTTCTCCTTCATCCTTTCTCTCCTTCCCACCACGCGTTATTGCCACTACTCCCCTCTAAAAATCATTGGTGCTACACCTTACCCTCACTTCTGTTTCATTCTCAAGATCATACCTATACTGAACCTGCTCTTCTAGGTACTAATGCTCTTCCATCTCTCTGAAGCTGCTTCTTTCCATGCTACTAGTGGACCTATTGTTCATCAAACAATTGACATCTCATCCTTAGGCACGTATCCCACAATGTCTGACTGGAACACTCAGGGTAAGTCACTCATACATCCTCATCCGTCTTCGTATCGACCACTCCCCATCCTACGTTCTCCATTTTGGATAAAATCACGGCATGTTCAGGCGCAGGTTTTCTAGAGCAACGAAACCATGCTATCGGTTGCCGGATCTCTGGATGGTGGAAGAGAATCCAACTTCCGGTCTGCCACCTAGCCACCCTTCGTCATTGCAACCTAATGTCTATGTGAAACAACTGACCCAGGAATTCATAGATGTCTCTGCCCCTGGCAATTGGAACGATGGAGCTGCTGCAGGCTCTGCGTCCTTCAACGACGGATTCGGTGATGCTGCCAACAGCGACGTAGCCAATGAGTTCGGCAGTCACGGTGGCACCGAGAATGCAGGTGGCGGCGGCGATCAGGGCTGCCGTAATTGTGGTGAAGGTAAGGTCTGGAGTATCTTGGAAAGCACATCTAACTCTTCTCAGAGGGCCACTTCGCTCGCGAATGCCCACAACCACGCAAGGGTGGTGGTGCTTGCTTCAATTGTGTATGTGTCCCCAACGTAAACGGAATCTTACACTAACATAGTTCTAGGGCGAAGAAGGCCATGTATGCTCGTTGGCCATGCCTAGATATATATCCACTGACTCACTCGGCAGAATAAAGCGGAATGCACGGCTCCTCGCAAGCCCAATGGTCCTTGCCGCACCTGCGACCAGGAGGGTGAGTTGATTATACGACCCATAGACTCCATGTAGACTGAAGGTATCTAGGTCATTTCTCGGCCACTTGCCCCCAACGCAAATGCAAGAACTGCCTTCAGGAAGGTGAGTTAGCACTGTGACCTTTTCGTCTTCATTCACTAATTCCCTAACTTTAAGGTCATGATGCTCACGAATGCAAGAATGCGAAGCTCGTCAACGTTGATCACGTTGCCACCAAGTCCGAAGATGAAGCTTGGGCGATGCTTGAGCAGGCCAGTGAGGAGCGCGACATCACCGACTTCAAGGAAGCAGTTCAGATCCTGGCCAAGGCGGTTCCGGCCTACAACTATCCTGAATTGGAGAAAGAGTTTCGCAAGCGAGGCTTCAAAGTCTTCCTTATCGCTATGGTTGGTTCTTGGGGCTCTGAAAGATTAATACATCACACCGTGCATTGTGCTGACTTCCAATGCAGGAGAAAGACCACGGTGACACTTGGACCAATGTCAACCTTCAAGGTGAAGTCGAGAAGAAGTATGCGGTCAGTTATTTCCTTTCTGACAAGCCTCAACGCCCGACTCTTGTTCCCAAATGGCCTCAAGATGCCGAGGACAACCTCACCCGTCTTGCGGATGCCGGTACCCCACTTGACCGTGGTGTTGACAAGTGCAACAACTGCGGCAAAATTGGTCACAAGTCCCGAGCTTGCACTGAAGAGAAAGCTTCGACTGAGCAACCAAAGATCTTCTGTCATTTGTGCAGTGAAGAAGGCCACCGTGTTCGTGACTGCACCCAGGAACGCAAGAAGGGTGGTCGAGCCTGCAAGGTTTGCGAATCAGAGGAGCACTTGGCGAAAGTAATAACCCCTATCTCCGCGTCCAGTCCAGAAGACACTAATGAGGACAGGATTGCCCGGAGCGTGAGAAGATGACCTGCCGAAACTGTGGAGAAGAAGGGCATATGGCCAAGGTAAACCGACCTAAGCAGAAGCAGGGCCAAGATGACTGATTGCCATCCTAGGACTGCACTGCCGAGCGCAAGATCATTTGCAGAAACTGTGATCGGGAAGGTCACTTGTCGAAGGTGCGTATGCCGCCTCGCCGCCGATATCTTCACACTAACCATGTTGTCCAGGAGTGTCCTCAACCCAAAAATTGGGCCAAAGTCGTGTGCAGCAATTGGTAAGCACTATGATCTCATATTCGGAACGGCAATATTGACGCCTCAAAATAGCAAACAGTCTGGTCACGGTCGGAAGCGTTGTCCAGAGCCTTTAGTCGAAGCTGACGCAAATGGAGATAACTGCGCTAATGCCGGCAATGCCAATGGTGGAGGAAACGACGCTGGCGGTGGTTGGGAAGGCGACAATCATGGTCCCTCCTCTGTACCAGCCGATTGGGAACAGAACGGTGTTTCAGCTCCTTCCGCTCCCCCTCTTGGAGTTGGTGGCGGTTGGTAAACAACGCGTCTCAGCAGGAGAGCCCTTGTCATTCCAAGCGTTCGACCCGAAGGTGTCTTTTGCCAACGTTCCCAAATCCACAGCAATCTTGGTCTTGCAAGACTGTCTGTGGGTTACAAAATTATTCTCTAGGTGGTATCACGTCAGGGAAGCAGGGTGAATATGCTGTGGCACGATTGCGAGCAGGAAGGCAAACACGGAATAAGTGCGCTACTTATGTCCTGTATGATGAGAATCGAAAAGCGATAGTTCGAAAAACCACAGAGCTAGGTAGCCTTGCTCCGCAAGAAAACTACTGTCCTTCGGCATTGACTTCGTGTTTTCAGACCTGATCCTTATGTAGTGACTGCCACAACTGAACCCTTGACATGTCTCACAGTCTAACTGAGCTGTCTGTGCTCACATATCAGCTCCGGTGCTTGCGGTCTCCTGGGAATCTGGGACTGCCCGATTCACTCACTCGCCGAAAAGTCCTTGTAGCCTTCTCCCTTGACAAAGGTATGCAGCCAGGGGCCCTGATCTTTCCGTGCCGCTAGCTTCCAATATTCCTCTGCAGCTGCAGGTCCAGAAACAGCCTTTCCGGCAGGAGCACCGGAAGACTGGCGTTCGTCGGCGAAGTAGAATCTATGTGGGGCGGGATCATCGTCAATGGATATTCCCGTCTCCGAGCATATGGGGGCATCCGAAAAGGAAGAAAGAGACTTCAGGCTTACTTGACACCATCCTTCTCATACGGCTTCGCCTCAGCGAGGTTCCAGATGGCATAGGCGCCGGCGGCCTTGGTCAGGCCGAACGGCAACATGCCGGGCAGGACGTGCTTGTTGAGGAAGTTCCCCGTCAGAATAAACGTCTTGGAGTGGTCGGACCCCTCGAGTGACTTGAAGCCCTTGACGGCCTGCTGCAGCGAGAAGATGACAGATGTCACGTTCACATTCAGGCCCGCCTGGTAGCTGTCCAGGTCGAAGTTGGCGAGCGGGTCGTCCGCGTCGCTCCCCGGGAAGAGTGCTGCGTTGTATACCACCACGCTTGGGGGAGCGCCGAGTTTGGATTTGATGGTTTCGAAGGCGGGCGCCACCGTCTCAGGCTTGGTGAGGTCAACTGTCACATGGAGGCTCGAGCCGATGTCTGAATCGCTGCTGGGTGGCTTTCGAGATGCGAGCGCCACCCGGTAGCCTTGTGCGGTGAATGCCTTTGCGACGTGGGCGCCGATCTGGTGCCGTTGGGGTTAGTGATGCGTCTCTGAAAGGACGAAGGTGGAATCGATTGAGTGGAATTTCTTTCTTGTGAGTACCCGCCGGTATGGTCAGGCAGGCAAAGCTTGGATTGGCCCTGCCTGTGATGCACGTTTCATGAAGAGCCGGTAAGATCAACTCACATTGGGTCCTGCACCGAGGATGAGAAGAATTGGTGAAGACATATCTGCGGTCTTGTTCTGCTACTTGGGATCAAATGGTCCTTTTTGGATGTGGGAGTGGGATCTGACGCGAACAACTCAGGCGGAGGATGTGCAGGCGTCGAGTAAGTAGTTGCTAGATGATAGAGAGGGCTGTTCTCTCAAGGACGCCCACAGTTGTACGTCCAGGAACAACTCGTCAAAGAGCGGGTCAAGTTGAGTTCTTATTCTATAATCCTTACCTTGCTCACGGTCCATCCGCTCGGTCACAGCTGAACAGGCGACAGCATCCATAACTCCATAACTCCATAATTCCAGATCGGAATGTGTTCGGATCTTGCATTATTACATCCCACCCAGGAAGTCTTTATCCCCGGCCGTCTCGGACGACATGTTTTGAGGTTCGTGGTCCGCCAATCGTGCAAGCCTCCCCACCCCTTAGACGATGGCATATGTAGTCGATCGAGGAGCTTGGCTGACAAATCCGAGGGGCTTGGTGCCTCGCAACCCCCTTGCACCAGCAAACCAGGACAAACGAGGGGCTTGCCTATCTTTGCTAATCCAGCAGGGAGGTGAGTGCGAGTTGCCTCGCCAAGTTAGACTGTGACCAGAGCAAGGCTCCGCAGCATTTCAGGAACGTGGTTCCGGCCCAGGCTTTTCGATCCCGTCGGTTGTGGGGTGAAGATAGCGGTGACCACCTCAAGCCCGCACTGACATTCCTCCGTCCTGCTTCTGCGAAAGTCTCCGGCGGGCGTATGCTTATGTGAGGATCTGTTGGAACTACGACATATGTAGACTCGATGGTTAGTTGGTACCGCAGTTGCGCCATTGAAGCGCGTATAGCTAGGGCTTTTGTGATTTGCAAGATCTACTGTACTGATACATATGTATCGGTGTCGGGCATCCGCGGTGGACCTCGGCGCTGTGCAAGGCCGCGGGTGCGCCGGTAGTGGGACCTTAGGTAAATGGCTGGGAACATGCGGGCTCGTAGTGGTTAGATCTTGGGACAAGGAGGCTGCACTAGCTGACCAGCCTTATTCAGCCTGCCCCCTTGCATGATGTCTGGTAGCATGTCTGGATTTCTTACTATGTACGAAGGCACCCGTGGTCGTCGTATCAGGTACCTAGGTATATAAGTCTGTAATGTGAGGGAACGTCCATGACCGAGTACTCCGGATACTTGAAGCCAGAGCCGCCTGAAATATCTGGGCTACCACTAGCACCTCTGTCTAGTCTTGTGCACGAACGATTATCATCATATCCACATGCAGACCAAACCGTCAACTAATTACTCGCAAAATTCATTATTGGCACTAATAGTATTTGAAAATATCTGACTAAGAAGCTTAAGTAAAAGAATACATTTCCGAGTTGGATCAGAACATCACATCGTTATCACATCGTTTCATTTCATCCGACCCTTTGACAGAATGGGGGTATTCAAAGGCCTGCCTGCCTGTGTCTTAAACCTGAAGTTGACTCCAACCTGTGGTAGAACCGAGGCACGAGCGTATAGTGTGTCTACTTGGAATTTCGTTGCATGTCGTGAAAGAAGGAGATGAGCGCTGACCCAAAGAGGGTTCCATCAAAAGCACTAGCGAGAGTATGATAGTTGGGTATTGCACACCGGTATGCCCACACCTTGTAAGCAGTAGTGTTATAGGAAATAGCCCTCCGCCATAGTTCAGGTTTGCTCCAAACGCCTGATGAAACATTGATGATGGTATGAGAGACGAAAATGGCCCGGCTGAGATTCGGAGGGATAAATGTTGAAGCATGAAAGCCCTGCTCAGTTGGAACTTTCGCATCACAATCGATGGGGCACACTGTGAGCTTGCAGCGTATCAGCGAAGGTAGCCTCTGAGATGTAACTGCCAATGATATATATCCTAGGAATGGTAGCCTAGCGCAGAGGGGTATTGGGCTGAGAAAGTCATTGTGTTTGAAGTGTAGTCCTGCGGTGACAGATCCTGATGGAGATTGAAGCCTGGTGGTTGCGTCTGGATTGGGAGATGCTGCATGGGCTCCTGAGGTATCCTGAGACTTTGAGGCTCGTTTCGCTCTTGCTTCACGGTTGTTCGTCTTTTTTGAGAGCCATCTTCAAGTTCCAGGACTCTTGGATAAGAGTAACCTTGATCCTTCTGTATGTGGCGGCGTGCGAGCATCCTGGCTTTTTGGACAAGCATCCGGGACTGCTGAAGCTCTCCTTGATCATCAAAGGTTTCCCCAACCTGGAGGCCGTCCATAGAGTACACTGACCCTTGCAGAGAAACTTGTCCCTCGTGCTTCGGGCCAGCGGGTTTGGACATTTCATGACAATAGGCATTCTGCAATCCATTTCGCTTTCGTGAATTGGATTTATCGTCACACCCTTTTTTTACTAGCACTTTCACGCCAGTCTCTCTCTTTGCAATGGCTTCCATGTGGAACCCACGAAGGTGTTCGACGAGGTGGTCCTTGCGTGTGAAGCCGTCTTTACCTTTCCTTCCGCAATTTCGCTTGGGACAGTCCATATATTTGGGATTGTGTTGAGAACTATAATGTCGGCTGACATCTGCCTTACGACTGAAGCGTCTCTGTGGAACTCCTTCTTCATTGTGGCAATCGGAGTGCGGGCACCACATTTCTGAATTCGATCTCTTGGTCACAGTCCTGCGGATCCATTAGAACAACCTTCAGAATAGCTTGGCGTGATACTAGCAATAGACCTCGGATAGGAGATGAATCAGACCAGACAGGGTGAGATTAGATTGAAGAAAGAAGACCCAATACGAAACATAAGCAGAGCGGCCTTACTTGTCACTTGAAGGACTACTTCCATCGTTCGCAACCCTTGGTGTTTTGTCCCCATGGTCTCCACTTGGCGGCGATCTGGTTAAGTACCGTTGTGCTGAGGTCACTGTATTGGAGCAAATCTGTTGACTGCTCTGTACTGCATACTGACTGCTGAATCCATTGAGATACTCTGTTTCTGGTGGGGTTGTAGGTGTACTCATGTAGCTGGCGGTATCTCCACTGCTGCTGCGGCCTCTCGTGGTTGTAGGCGAAGTGCTGCAGGAATACGCTTCGAAATCGTGATATTGATGATGTTGGAACGTCTGAGCGAACGGGTTTGGCTGAAACCTTGGTGTGAACTCATTGCGGTAAATTGGCTCGTGCTGTTGCAGTCTCACACCAGGGGAAGCTGAGACTGAGGCTGAGACCGGGGAAAGCGACATGATATAAGTATGTGGTTCGTAGCTATCATTACGAACATTGAACTGATGCGTAGAGAATTCCGAATGTGCCCACGACATGATGCTCATTATAGGCCTTGATGGCAACGTTTCGGGCTGATGCTACTCGAATGACTTGAGATGCGACTCTTCGTGGCAACAAGAAACTTGCGTGCGCTCATAGAGGAGGTAGTTCAGCCTTGTAGGTGAGAGATTGGATGATCTGAGGCGAACGCTAGATCAAATATCCGCCCCAAACCTCGAGTCTCAGGATAAGGCAGCAAACTCAAGATGATGATAGAGGCTATGTTGCAGCAGCGTTGAGTGAATCGGAAGACTGGCAAGCGGGATATGCTTAGTGGAAATGTAGGCTCTTGAGTGTTTGATTAACCTATCAGGGATTGGCGGCTGAGAACGATTCAAAGGACGCGTGCAGCTCTATGGCGGAAACCCTGTCTCGAGCACAAAAGAGGATGAAGATCCAAAATCACGCTTCTCCGACGTATCGAGCCGCCGTGCGTGGCTCGGTCTATGCTTGGTGCGCCATGAGTTCGAGCATGAGCTTGCCAGAGTTGTGGCACTGCAACCACAGTAGCTCGTTGCAAAGCCAATCACACCGAACAGCCTTATTGGCGAGGCTTACTTTTATAATGTGAGGCATACACCCTCAAAGGCGTATATTGCCTTGAAACTGCGACCTCTACATGATTCGCTGCCCTTCGAGTTTTCGATTTTCCTGCTGTCCTAGGTGTCCTCCCCGGAGCTGGCATCCGCGTGAGGTATGTGGAAGAGAGCAAACAATTCTTGACGCAGATTGTGTCACTCTTCTTCCTGGGACACCGTAAGTCAAGCACTCTTTAAGCCAGCGGGAGGTTGCCGAGTGACTGGTGGGCTCTCATAGCTCCTTGCCAACGCGGACTCTGTTACTTCGCTCGAACCACCTCAGGTTCGGCTTCGGCACAAAGCCTGAGCACAAGCATTGGCCCCAAAAATGTGTCGAGTGCCGGCAAACCATCAGTGAACCTCCCCGAGGTTGGCTGGCTCCCGTGTGACGCAGCAGGAATTTGTTCGACTGCTACCGAGTGCTATCCCCACGCTTCTCCTCGCCAGGCTGTACGGATACTCGTAGGAACAAACTCGTGGGAGACCGGCTGTGTTTCTGCAAGGTTGCCTAGTAAGGTGGATCAGTTGGGCCGTCTTTGTATCTCATGCAGACGACGAGCGAAGCTGAGGCTGAGAAGGAACTGACAGCAGACTTGAGTCAGTGGTCTGGAGGGCTTCTGGCCTCGTGGCCCAAATTTTGCGGACGAAGGAGGCTCTGCTGCGGTTCAGGTAGGCCCGATCTGGACTAGTCACATGATGTTAGCGTGGTGGTTGCCTTTTTGACTCCCGACTTTCAAGGTTCACAGCCCCCGAAGTATCCAGCCTTCGCCAGCTATCCCTCCTACGAGGTGCTAGGGTGCGATTGAGCATTCCGCTGCATCAAAGTGAGGCGGAGCAGGGTTGCCTTTACCTTTACAGACGGCTTCAGCCAGCTCGAGGAAAGCGAATTTCCGATTTCACGTTGCACGAAGCATCTAGGCTTGTCCAATTACTTGCATAGGAAAAGATTCCCCATTGACATGTACACAGGCACGGTTCGAGACGAAGCTTTGAATTGAGAATTGAGCTCTGTTGCACTCTGGAAGGTGACCATATCACTGCATCATTCTGCAGCGGGCCGATAGGCAGTCAATAATGCTGCTCAGTACGAGGTACTTGGTATTCTACAAATCATCTTCGAGAAATTTGTATACAAACTTAAAGTCGGCTTTCCGACGATTCATCCTAGCAACAGGTTAGAAAATTAAGCGAGACTGGCAGGGGTCAGGCTGTCCTCACCATGTACTTTCATAGTCAAAGAACCGATAGGTTCCTTGCTCATACTCCTCCGTGATCTGCTTGGGCTCCTCATGCCGCTGGAACCACGTTTGGTACTGCTTGTGGAATCGCCAGCTCTGTTGCTTGAGTGCTCTTGCTGCTAGCCACTGTTGATACGTGTTTTGGCGGTAATAGAATATGTAGAACAAGGTGTCTGTCTCGAGCCTCTGAGTGTCGTACAAGGCTGGATCATCGAATATCGGCAGTACATCTTGGGGATAGTGAGCTGGCGTATTGTACTTGTACGAGGGTCGATAGTGTTGAGGTCGGTCTCCATCGGATGGTTCCGGGCACGTTTCTTGAGAAGCCTGAAGCAATCGTGCCAGCTGTGAAGGTGGCTGTGTAGCTCGGCTCTTGGTAGTTTCGAACGAGTCTAGAAGATCTTGCAGTCCTGGAGGAAGGTGGTATACTGATTCCACCGCTGAATGTTCGTCACGAGCTTCTCCATTCGTGGTTGGTAGCTCGTCTGCAATCACTGGTTCCTGGACTGCCTCCGAGTTCTCCATGGCTGGGGTCGCTGGAATACTGTTAGGCACACTTGCAGCGGGGGCACTGCCAGAACTTAGCGTGGGAGATTTAGAGTGGTTGGTTTGTTCTTGAGATCCTGGACCGTCCATACCAAGCGAAGGAGGTGGCCCGGGTGAGGCTGTCTGATCAGCGGGTTGCGCTGGATTAGAAGCGGGAGAAGCAGCGGCAGATGACTTGACTGGTGCTGGTAATCCATGAGAAGGCGCAGCAGCCGCCACTCCAACAGGAGGCGGTAGAGGTGCAATACCAACTCCGCTTTTGTCACTGGCAGCGGCAGCGGCAGCAGCAGAGGCATACTTCAGAGTCTCGCCCGGTAGTCGATTCGGTATTGGTGCCGGCTTCATCGTTGTATCCTTGGGTATTGACGGTGGTGGAGGCATGGGATTCAGAGTTGCCAACGCGGGCAAGGGGGATTTGAGTTGTGTTGAAGGTCTTCGTGCTGGCGGATGTTCAGACTTTGTCTTTTTCAGGACGATGGGACCGTCAGGCTCGTTGTCCTCTTGTATCGACTGCGTATCTTGAGATGAAATACGATCCATTTCATTGTTCAGGCCAAACTGCGCCTCCTCGCTGTCAAGATTGCAATCATCGTAAATGCCTTCATAGGCGTCTGCTTCAAAATCCGGCTCACGCCCATCCCTCACCACTTCTTCGATCTCGGATTTGATTGAAGACACCATTTCATTCTCCACATTGCCGTTCTGTAGAGACCGAAGGAGGAGTTGGAGTCTGGATTCGTGCCATTTGTAGGTCTCGGTAGAGTTCTCAATCTCCGCTAACCGATCCGCCTTGCTGTTGTCCTTTTGTTTCTTCCTCAATGCAGCCTGTAGCGAGCCTGCTTCTGGTTCCAGTTCTTCGATCAAAATTCTCGTGATCTCGTCCAGCTGATCTGTTAGGAAGTCACATAATTCGTCACGCTCTTTCTCTTTTGGGTCTTGTTTGATGTTCTGCGATAGGCCTTCCTTGGAGAATGCTTTGGTCTTCATCTCCTTTTCGACGGCTTTGAAGATTTCCATACACTAGGATCATTATGATTAGCCTCAATTTGCGCGGTTGGATCTGTGACAGCGGTCATACTTTCTCAATCCGCTTTCGCTGTTCCAAGAGTGCAGATTTGTCCTTGATCTCATTGCCTGCGGCCCAAGTCTTTATCTGATCGCGCGATCTCTGCAGCTTCTTGATCTCTTTCTTCAAGTTATCTTCCAGTTTTTCCTTCTGGGCGGCATTTTGCGATGAATAGATCTTCTCGTAGATGCCTTCGAACGCTTGGATGCCTTCGTCCACCTTTTTGAACGTCTTGTCGATTTCTTGCTGCGTCTTCCGCGAAGCCATGGTGATGTGTCATTAAGGGGGGTCGTGGGAGGTGGTGAAGAAGGCGAGAGTGAACCAATATGGAGATACAGGATGAGCAGTGCGCAATATACGTGTTTGCAACCGTATCGCAGGTAGAGTCGGTTCAGCCCATGGAAGACTGCCGCGCGCCTGTCTTTCACTCTAGCCCTTCCTAGACCCTTATGATCCCCGGCGGCTGGGTTACATTGATTCCCGATTTAGGCTAGTTCATTGCACTAGAGCCTTGGCATACTAATATCGATTTCTGTCCTAATTCGGAAACATCTCGATCTCGACACGCGACGTGTAGGAAATTATTTTAAGCGAGGTTTCAATCTCTAGAATCAATTCTTGCAACGCGTCACAGTGTCGGAAGGTCGCAGATCCGTATTTTGCTAGTGAGCATTGCTTCTGAATATTCCCGGACAACCACCTCTGTCTTGCCAGAGAGTGCCGACACCTACACCTACCCGCAACCACAGTTCTGATCTAGACTGGCTTCTGCTCTCTGCAGGATCCTCACCGCAATACAAACCATAGCTTTATCCTTGAGGTCGTTGCTTGTGCTCTGTTTGGAAGTTGAGGCTGTTGTGTAATTGAGAGTCGATCCCTGGAGATGAAGGCGGTTCTGCAAAGGGTGCTTTCTAGTTCCGTTACAGTCAACGATCAGGTGGTGTCCGCGATTGGCAAAGGCGTCCTCGTTCTCGCTGCTATTGGCCCAGATGACTCGAAGAAAGATGCGGAAAGGATGGCTTCCAAAATTCTCAAGATGAGACTATGGCCTGATGAGAACGGGTTGCAGTGGAAGAAAAGCGTACAGGACATCGATGGTGAAGTCTTGTGTGTCTCACAGTTCACCTTGTTTGCCTCCACAAAAAAAGGTAATAAGCCGGACTTCCATGGAGCGGCCAAGCCAGAAATTGCAAAGGAACTCTATGAACACTTCCTCAGCTCCATTCGCGCACAATATCTTCAGGAGAGGGTGAAAGATGGTATTTTCCAAGCCATGATGCAAGTTGCTCTTGTAAACGACGGACCAGTATGTGCACAAAAAGCAAACTCCCCTATTTACTGCGCTTGGTAAGTATGGTGATACTAAAACCGTCAGGTCACTCTCGAAATTGATACTAGTCCTGCAAAGAAGATCTCCGCCCCAACCACTCAGGAGAATTCTCGAGTTCCTTCACCAGGTCCAGAGCCCATCAGCTAGAAATTCGACGTCTCCGGATTTATCTGAATCTCGATCCTGTCTACAATGTAATAACACCAAATGTCTCTTTGATGTGTCTTTTCAGGGGCTGACGTCAGCAAGCCACCCATCCAAAGGAGGAGACAAGGAGAAGCCCGCCCCCGAGATAACTATCTATCTTGATATGGCTATTATCGAACTCTACCTGTGTACCTTGTACGTAACTTGCGGACACCCCAGGAATGGTGGAGAAAGCCATTTCCGCTCGTCCAGGAGACATAGCTGCCATTCCTGGACTAAGCAGAACCAAGATGCATGCTGCCATTGGGTGCAAAATGAGGAGCCTTATCAAATGCCAACATGGGCTGCAGTGGCTGCGCCGAATCGATGACAGATGCTTTCCAGCTTCCCAGTAGGTGATCAATTTACATGAGGGGTATTGATTACTTTTGCCCCGCAAACGAGTTTGCACGTCTAGCCCATGAGAGCATCCTTACGCGTAGGATAATTCAGATGCTTCCTTGCAACAAAGCATCTCCTCGACAATTGACAAGGTGATCAGCCCTGCTTGTACCTCCTGAACGACGAGACAAGTCAAAGCAAAGCTTCTAAAATATGCCTGGCCCAATTCGAACAGCTTTGAAGGTCGACCTTAACAAGCCAGCGAAGGACCAACCTTATTTACATGTAAGTGAGCCGGGCCAAGGATATGCATCTTACTGAGCACATCACAGAACAGATGGCACCCTGACGGTATTATGATGCCAATGCTTCCATAAACTAGACGTGACTGACACCAATTTAAGTACCATTCTGTGGAACGATCAAGAACGGGGAGACCGTGAAGATTGAATGCCTCGACTGGACAGGCGGCCAAATCAAAAACGACGACAGCGCCGATGATGTTAAGAACGTAGACTTGACCCAGGTCCACTACCTGTCTGGTCCATTTGAGGTCGAAACTGCTGAACCAGGCGACGTTCTTCTCGTTGAAATCCAGGATGTTCAGCCTTTTCAAGACCAACCATGGGGCTTCACGGGTGTCTTTCACAGAGACAACGGAGGTGGTTTCTTGGACGAGATCTATCCTGAAGCGTATGCTCTCTACTAATTTATCCATGTCTCCCTCTTTCACACGCAATCCTGTCTTTGAACTTGGCAGCGCTAATCACATGGTTTCTGGAAACAGTGCGAAAGCAATCTGGGACTTTGAGGGAATTTTTTGCTCATCACGACACATTCCCGGCGTTCGTTTCGCTGGTCTGATCCACCCCGGGATTCTTGGTTGTGCTCCATCACCCGAAATCCTCGCAGAGTGGAATAAGCGGGAAGCCGAGCTGATTTCCACCACCATGCTCGCGCGTGTCGTCGCCCAGCCTCCACAACCCCACAATGTCCATGCAGGTTCCGCCGACGAGGAAACCAAAGCTAAAGTCGGGGAGGAAGGTGCCAGGACAATCCCTGGTCGTCCTGAGCATGGCGGGAACTGCGATATCAAGAATCTATCCCGTGGCAGCAAGGTCTACCTGCCGGTCCACGTCAAGGGCGCGAAGTTCTCGGTGGGGGACTTGCATTTCTCTCGTAAGTCTTGTCCCCATTAGCAGTACACATACCCATTTCATCCTCTTCCCCCTCGCTTCCCCATCCTCATGCTCATCCCTAGTCTTATCTATATCTGAAAAAAACCCCTCCCCACCACGCACCAAACTAATACACCAGATCCAAAGAGGGCGACGGCGAGATCTCATTCTGCGGTGCGATCGAAATAGCCGGAGTAATCACGATCAAGTTCGAAGTGATCAAGAACGGCCAAGCGAAGCTAGGAATGGTGGGCGGCAAATCACCCATCTACATCCCGGGTCCCGTGCAGCCGCAATTCAGCCCCGGCCGGATGATCTACTTCGAAGGATTCAGCGTCGACGAGCACGGACAACAGCACTACATGGACGCCACCGTCGCGTACCGCCAGAGTTGCCTGCGTGTTATCGAGTATCTCCGACGATTCGGGTACAGCGACTACCAGATCTACCTGATGTTAAGCTGCATCCCCATCGAAGGCCATGTCGCGGGGATCGTCGATGTAAGTCGCCAGTCCCTCTGCTTATCACATAGAGATACCATCGATTGCCTTTACAGCATTTACGTCTCTTTGTTTTCTACCCCTCCGATGTCCTTATGGCTAACTGGCCGCCTTTTCTTTTCATCAAAATAACAGATTCCCAACGCATGCACCACCATCGGTCTCCCGATGGACATCTTCGACTTCGACATCTCTCCGTCTGCCGAGCCCAAGAAACTCGATCTGGGTTCGTGCGCCTACGCAAGCAAGTAATCCCAGAGCCCAACAAAGGAAGGCATGCAGCTTCCAAGAACCAAAAGGGAACATTTCATGCTCCCATCGAAGCTACCGCTTTGGTGTGTTGAGAGTGCTGACTTGACCTTTGCATATGAGGAAATGATGGTTTGAGGAATGCAAACCAGTTAGTTGTTCTGTCGTTTGCGATGTTACGTCATAATTATAGCTAATTTGATCTTGTATTTTCGAGGCATTGCTATGAGCCTATGATATTCCGTTACACTGTTAACGCTCAAAATGGGAACGGGATTCAAGTCCGAGCGTATTCCCATTGACTACTACTTAGCTACCTATTCGTCTGTGGTCGTCGTCCTTGCTCCTGTTCGTGCTCCTGTAACGGACGAGTTTCACACACAGTCGACATCGACTACCCCATCATGAGCAGTACAAAGACCTTGACGGAGAAGCTGCATAGATCCCAAGCTCCGTACCCTCGGCTGCTGCGAATGAACTGATTGAGATGAACGACTGAGGCTATCCAGAAACCCAGCCGAGCCAGTCGCACGTAGACTCTGAGGAGTGAGGTCAGCCCCACAGCGAATCTATCCGCCAGCAGGATCTTGAGACATGCTCGTTCATAGTCGACGAATTGTTGCGAATCCGCCGTGGATCTCGCGTGGTCGTCCAAGGCAACGATCTGAATTCCCGTAGAAATATTGCCGGTCGCTGGGATAGACTTGTTCCTGCCTCGGAGCCATGCAGCGAGCGTGCCATAGCTACTCGAGCGAAGGCTGACACTTGAAAGTGGGCCATCACACTCAACGCCCTCAAGGATCTGATAGAATCTTTCTGGATCGGTAAGATGTACCATGGCTTGACCTGGCATTGCTTTAAAGCAGAATTGATCAAATGCCCGTCGCAAATCCGGATTGCGAGCCAATTCCGTATACCAGGCTGGTGTGAGAACCCTGATCTCAAGAGCCTCTCGCTTCGCGGCATTCTGCTGGCGATCATTTATCTCTTCCGGGTGGATTGTTGCCGTCTGTTTCTGGCCTGCCGCAGGGGAATATTTGATCGACGCTCTTGAAGAGTTGGATACTTGCTGAAGCCAGGAATGAAAGAAAGGCTCGAGCGTGTTCTCCTCTGGAGTGGGATTTCGACCAATGCTCGTTGCCATGACTTCCGGGCGATAGAATACCTGTAGTCCCTTGACCCACAGGACTCGCGCCTCACGCAGTATTCGAGGATTGGTCATGAAACCAACCCACCACCATCGTGCAAGGAACATCATCATTCTGAGCCCTGATATGGTTGTTGGAAGTGTTCCAGGGCTCGTGGAGAAGACTCGAGCAATGACCTTGGGCTTGCCTTCGTCAGATCTGAGGACGATAGTATTGTCGATTTCGTGCTCTGCCCCACCGTCACCATGACTTTCGAAAGGATCAGTAGCAGAGAGGCTGTAGGAACCGGCACGGTCGTTGAATGGCGAGACGTGAAAATCCTTGGCCCATTGTTGTGCAAATTTAGTCGATGCTTGCGCATTCCCTGTACCCTCTCGAGGCAAGAAGTACATCCTCCTTTCATCAAAGGTGTTGTTGACTTCTAATATCATGGCAGCCAGGGTCTTTGCCCTGTCATAAAGATACCAAAAGGACACGGGATTGAATGAGAAGCCGAGAAATCTTGGAGCAGTGACCAAGTAGGCAAAAGGGTAATCGTCGATCGAGGCGCCTTGGTCCGCCAAATAGTCCTTCAGCTTTCCTGCCAATCCATCGACATGAGTACCGCGTTCAAGATAGTCTTCAGCGTGAACAGAAAACCAGGTTTTTGATGAAGGCGTAGGGCCATGGGACGCGGGGGCATCGGATGATATGATGGGTATGGCGGCGCCTTGCCAGCCTACCGGGACTCCAACTAGAAGATAAGAGTACTCAAATGAATGCTTTTTAGGAAACAGGCGGGTGTGGGTCGTGCGACACTCGAAGAATTTGGGTACCAGATATTGACCTTGTGGTAGGTATAGACATCTTCTTTCTCCCTGCTCTTGTCTCTGAGCATGGCTGTGAAGCAGGATCCATACTGCGGGCAACCCAATGGCCGAAACTACCAAGAATATATATGGTCGCTGAACCAGCGAAGGTGCCACTTGCAAGATTGATTTCAAGTTGAGGGCAAATATAGCCATAGCAGTGAGGTTTAAACACCACGCAATCCGCATTGCCATGGGGCCATGAAAATAGTTACTGCTGTTCACACCCACCGGTCTACCGCCAAGGATGCCTTGAAGAAAGGGAGAGACTTTGTTCCTCCAGAGAGGGATTGGTGGAAGAATAATTCCTTTAGAAATAGAGCCATTTTCCTTCGTCTGTTGTTTCAGCACTTGTCCATCAAGGTCGCGATGCGACAACAATCGTTCCAGGCACGCACAGCCTCCGCGATCACCGAGAAAGTTATTATAATCTCGGACTGGCCCTGAATGACTGGGCCACTAGGTTTCGATATGGCTGTACCGCTACTATTGACAGTATGCTGCACGATGACATCATGACTCTGTTGGTGGTTCCTCGGAAGCACGTCGACATTGAAAATGCAACCATCTGAGTCTATTGATCGGGAAAACTATTGATCAATTGCTGATAGTCGCAGCAATGTAGTCTCATTGTCATATGATGATTACCTGACTATTCTTGTTTTAATTGAGAGCGTTCAGAAGATGCCTTTTGAGTATTACGAGGTATCAGGGGTATTTTTCACAAGAGGGGCGTTTTAGGCCACTGCGACAATTGACCCAATTGAGATCACGATACGCGCAAAACCTGATTAGTAAATTTGCGTGAGAGGTTAATACAAGCCAGTCACAGCGTCACGGGCTAACCCGTACTAGGTCTTGGTCAGGACCAGCGACGCTTTACAAGGCTGAGCAAGGCTAAGAGTCATCTAGCCCCATCCGTAATAGTTGTTGTGGTTACCGTACTAGCTACGAGAGAAGGATAAGAGCTGCTACTACGTACGGTATCTAGGCTCTTCTTCTTCTTGTTCTTCTTCTTCTTGAGGAGAGCTTTGACGTCCTCATTACACAGTACATAGGGAGGAGCTCCTCACCAACTTTCCGCGTAATCTATACACGACGATAAGATCTAGCGTAACCTGAATTTTATCGCTCTATAGAACTGTACTCTATTATGCAATTACCTAGTCCGTATCCTCTAGTATAAATTGCAGTAGGCGAAGCGCCGCGTACCTACTAAGTATTGAATAAAGGAGGCTTAAGGATTCTACCTTTTTGTCTTGTCTTTTTGGACAACGCTTAGCCTCGGTGTACTATAAATACTAGTTAGTACCCTTAATAATACCTCAGCGTTATTCGTAACGCTCAGACTAGTCCCAACTCGTATATATAGATTATGATGGCTTTCGTAGTACTTATAATGACGACTTACTTTCTCTCGAGCTTGCGCGGCACGATGACAAATTTAGGATTACAATTCAATTTCCCAATGAGCAGCGACTGTAATCTCTTGGTTGGACGTCGATCCCCTGATAGGCACCATCCACCTTGTGGCTTCGCTCTTTAATGCGAGCTTCGTACCCGGGCGTATGCCGTCCAAGCCTGATTGCAAAAACGTCCGTGATTCCTGGTATCGCCCTGGAATCAGCCACTCAGACCCATCAGCAGTTAGAACAATGACAAATCTACGACTGCTGTCGGGTCTGACCTCAGCAACCATGATCTCGCGTTGCTGTTGCGAGACTTGCGACTGTTGGGCAGCAATGTTAAGCACCCATTGTCTCACTAATTCTGCGTTGCCATTGGCCAAATAGTCATGCTTCCCATTGCGTTTTGAGGGCGAAAAAACATCCGGAAGATCTGCCCCAGCATTGATCTGAGGGCCACTCGACATCTTGGAAAGAGACCGAAAGGCGCTTTTTGCCACAGAAGCTATCGGCCTGGGGCCTGGCATAGTGTCCTTAAATTTAGATGCAGTAGTCACTTCGCGTTGATCAGGAGACTTGATAGCCTCGACGAGACTACCTTCTGATGACCATTGGGCAACAGGAAGGTTTGGTGCCTGGTGAGGTGCTGGATGCTCGTCTTCATCTTGTTCTTCATATTCGGGCGACGACGAAATTGTTATCGGTTCACGTTTCTGGTCTGGTGGGTGGAATACCTTCCGTTTGTTGGTAGCCGGAGTCGAGGGATCGAGCTCTTGTTGAGACTCAGCAATGTCATACGTTGTCCTGGTCATAGAGTCTTCATGCCCTTTGCGTCCAATATGACGTGTTCTGTGCAACAGAGGCGACTGCTCCTGCAGATAGTCATCTATTGATTCAGCAAAATCGTGTTCCTTGGCGGTGGAGCGGCTTGGGAGGAAAGTTAGTGTGTCATCCTCGTCATCAAAGCTAGTGTCTATTTCATCTCGAGTGAACGTCCCGGGTCGTCGTTGAAAGCGCGGAGTGGACGTAGATGGAGGTCCAGAAGACAACAATTGCGTTGATCGAGAGGTTTGAAATGCATTCCTAGAAATGGAGGCCGGGCCAGACGATTTGGCAGCTAACGAAGTGGAAGCAGGAAGAAAGCGCCGAGTTGGCGCAGGCGTCTGTGTAGCATCAGCAATGCGGTCCTCCTACCTCGAATCATATAGATACATCATTATGGGCTGGCATATCAAAAGCGATAGCTGTAACGAGCTTCTCTGCAGCCTCCGAGAAGGTCTGACAGTGTTTGCTGCTATACGTTGAGCAGTAGAAAAGGAAAGTCAAGTCAGTACCGCGATTCATTCAATTCTTTGCTTGAAGACTGACTAGAAGCGGCATCAACCGGGTTCGGATTAACTTGGGTGGTACACCACCCGATATAAAATGAGCAGCGGCTGAGCATATTAAGTAAGAAGATCCCAGCCCTCCAAAATGGTCGAAGCTTGGGGAAGTGAAGTAAGTGAAGTGCCAAGATGAGCAAAAACTGCTCGCGCCTCACCCCGCTTTCGGCTTAGGATGATGCCGCCCTGTGCCCACTCCCGGGCTTGCGCGAGCCGGGTGAGAGATTACCCTTAGGTAACTCAAAATGCCTGGAAGGGCGGCCTTAGACTTGAATATATCCTAGCCCGTATGTCCTGGGGCGCTCGCTGGGCCAGGCCAGAGTATCTAGATGGGACAGCCATCCCGCAACAGTGGAGGTCCAATGATCCCCCTTAGCCTAGGCAGAACGTCCTGGAGATGAGATCTCTCTGTCCCGGGACAACTGGCCCAGAACAGATTCGAGCCTGGAAAAGCGCGCCCAGCGCTACGCCACTTCAGGGTTCCCCGCTTCCAGAAACCTCGCCGCTACGCGTCACGAACACCTCAGGCATCACCTATTAGATTCGGGTGGGAGAAGTCTCTTGTGAAGTCTCCTCTATCTATCACACGGAGTCGGCATGGGCCGGTGGGATCCGGCAGCCTCGTGTGCCTTCCTAGCCTTACGCTTGACGCTCTTCTTCCCAGTCATTCACCCGATTCGTGTGGGAGATCGGGTCTCTTGGAGGTACCGGTAAGTTCGTCGACGGTGAGTTCGTGATAGCTGCCCACGATTTGTGCTCCAATGCTTGATCGGGTGATAGGCCAAATCAATAATCTCTACAACGCGATATTCTGGGCTCTCCTTCAGCAAGGTGGCCTGACGCACACAGCTGTGGAAGAGCTTCTTAGAGGTACCGTGTCAAGCGACGAGAGTTTCTTTGGTCGCGATTTAACATCAATGATAATAACGAATTGGAGGTGTGCAAGAAAGTGGAGCGTGGTTTTCCGTAAGTACTCGACAGAGGACTTCGAAGCCACTGGGAATAAGTTGAAGGGGAAGAGGGTCGAGGCTGGTACGTGAGAAGATGAAGACAACGAAAGTGCTGTCCCAGAGCTTGTATCGAAGACCTACGCGGAGAAAATGAAGACGGCGAAACGGAAGACGAAAGTTGTCACTACGCATGTCGATATCATCCGAGATGACTTCTGGGCTCAGAGGCCATGGTCGAGAACCGGAAAGCCAGGTCAGCTTGTGAAAGACAGTACTGGAAGGTGAGAAGAAGGTGGTTAGACAACTTGGCTGTAAAGTTTAGAAGCGGCGTAGCGACTTCTTGTCAACTGACGGCACAAGTGATCATGTGAGAAGGATGGCATCCCTCCACCCTCCGTGCTTGCCCATTGATTTTCAATTTGTCTCATACATGTTCATCTCATCGCAACTTGGTATTCAATCGACGTGCCGCCCTTGATTTTTCCGCGGATCTGGGAGCCCCAACAAGTATCATTCATGCGAGTGGTAACATGGTCCAGTCGTTCCATCGTTTGTACAGGCTTCACATCCGCTGAGGTCGAGCCAAGATCTACAAACACCTCCTTGCACTCCATTTCACAATACGACACTGGCGGACTCTCCTTACCCGCATCTCCGGATAGATCGTATAACAAAGTATACTTGTACTTATCTAAATATCTTGACCGTTTCACAGTTCTGACACCGACTGCGCTGGCAGACCGGACATGTATTGACTTTGATCGAAATCGGGCTATGGCCGCACCGGCACTTTCAAGGGATGTTATCGCTGAAATTACTCAGTAGCAGAATGGAAAGACATACACAAGTCCAAACAAACATTGCTACTTTCTTCTTGCCTTTGGATGGTGGATGCCTGATGGGGACGTTAGACGAGCCCGGTAACAGATGTTTCTTGATGCGGGTGATTTGAAAACAGTCAAAAGAGTAAAAGTGAAGACAAAGTGTATTTTGACAGTCCTGCTTCCATTAAATTCACGATCCATCGCCATTCCGGAGTCAGGGGCTGGCGTCTTGTCGTCCTTGTGACAAGCCGGTCTTGAGTGACCATTCATCCTCTATCATCAAGGGAGGATTGGCCTTGTCTCGAAACACAGCTTGTTTGATGTTGTCAAGGAAAGAAATGGCCCGAAGTTGTTAGAGAGGTTCAGATTCCGGAGTCTCCTAGTAGTTGAGCACCACATGTATGGAGAGGCGGAAGGGAATTGTTGCCTGTGCCTGAGTTCCGGTGACAATGCATATCCCTCAGCAAAAGCGCAAGGCTCTGGCCGAAGCATTGCATGTCCAAAGCGGGCATACAATTATCCGGAGTCCGGTAGAGCTGTTGTATTCAGAGGATGATGCCAAGAGAGATAGATCCCTGTAGAGTAGACCATGCCTAAACCGGTCAAGCGCACAACCATCGAACTTGAAACCTTTATATGATCCCCCACGCAATCCGCCGCATTGTATGCGCTGGAATATTGCATTACGATTGAGGAAGGACCGGTGAGCAGGATGGCAAAACTTTCGGTCGTTACTGGAGAAGGGGTATAGAAACTGGGCACTTACGTCCTGGGTTCCCAAGCCTCATGTAGAGCATCTTTCCTTTGCAACCAATGGAATTCGCGGCTGTAGTAAGACAAAGTCCAATCACTCCAATGCCGACATCGTTGGTTATGGCGGTAGCAAGGAGGCTTTTGCGCATCGAAACATGAGATCTCTTGAAATTGTTGAATCTGATGTCGTTCGGATGAGCTTGCCGAAACCGGGAATTCCATGAATTCCCTCACGATAACTTCGTCTAGGTCTAGTTTTCTCCAGCTTTGGACTCAGTTGGGCCTCTAAATTGACTGGAATTGTGCTGTTCTCGTACCAGGACATGATTTTAGTAGTTGCCTTTGACCGCTCGTTCCGCTGATATCGCGACTTTTAGGGTCGATATATTATCAAAATAGACCAGAACACGCGATGGGGAGACACATGTGCAACGGAGTAGGTAATAATCAGAGCGATCGCAAACGCATTGTCCTACTTATTTTCTTCCGAGAAATGCGGCCAAGGCAGCAAGCAGGCGATTGGACCCCGCAGTTTCGGCTACAGCCAGAGTTTGATGGGGCTATCGGTAACCAGGTCGCAGGCACCGATTGAACCTTTAAAGCGTCCGGGCATCCAGACAAGTTCCAGGGAGCCACGCTTTATGCCGTCGTCTCCATAGCTGGGATGATGTACATACATGTAGGAACGAGATTGTAGGGTTTATCTGTCATTTGCTCTTGTCCGGAGTGGTGAGCAGAATGTGCATTTGTCGGGTCCCTTCGAATTTTCGTCGCATCTTCGCAGAGTTGGTTGATATCTTATGATGCTGCAGGACAAAGTACCGAACGGTACTTGTTGAAGCCCAGATTTCGAGGCGAACTGGCACAAGATCTGTATAAAGAGAGTCCTGGTAGTTATTGCAATCGCCCTTCTCATCACAACCCACCGTGAGGAACCAAGCGCCATAAACCCCCACTATTGTTTCTCCGACCTTCATTTTGCGAGTTCGTCACCATTGAAGGCAGATGGGGCTCTGGCCAGAATGAGCGGGCTCACAGTGGTTCCGCCGATGATAGGGTACTGCTGATCTTCAATTCTAGCATGGCGCTGGATAGGCCGAAATGTAGGCATTATGGAATTGCTGTAACCCAAATACTGGAGATACGTGAGAGTTACGAGCTTCAAAGGTCTCTTTTCTCGGAACAGAGAATACATAATCTTTGAGGGGACGTGGAGGGCGTTTTATGTTGTACAACATCTGACCACTCGAAGAGGGTCTCTGACTGGTCAGGCGTCACCCAACAGAAGGAATTGCGCACTCAAAATTAGCAGTTCGGGTAAAAGGCAATGCTGCTTGCAGGGGAGCTCATGCCCTCGAGGGGTCGAGAAGATGGACAGTAGCGGTTATATGACGCATGTGATGATCAGCCAAGTCGTCACGTGGATCACCATCGACGATCGTCAGTCTACTTTACCACGCACATAGATATTGAGAGACTGAGATGTCTTTGGGTGGATTTGTGAAGATGAGAACAGGAAGACGAGGCGCAATATTCACAGCGACAAATCAGCGGCCAATTTTTGCCTCTTGCTAACAACATGCACAGAGTTGATAGCTGAGGGATGACAGCGCATTGTAGCATCGAAGGACCTGCAAGGATGCCTCAAGACCCTAGCTGGGTCTTGGTTTGAGAAACTGGAGCCTGATGTAGGAGACGATGGTGCCCTTTCTGAACACAAGAAACAATCAAGTATCAGGGCCTCATGTTCGCGCACTGCCGAAACAAGGGGCAGCGGATTCGCCCGCAGTATCTACTATTCTGCCCCTCCATCCTCCTCCTGGGGTAGTATGTTATGTTCTCGGAATTGGCCGCGGCGATCGTACAAGTGTGATGGGAAGGGGACATGGTCATTCCTAAGACGGCGGTCCGGGGGACTCGCCAGACTACATAGTATCCTAAGTACGTACTAGACTAGCGCCTGGGCGCTCTCGGGTCCGCTTCGGATAGCGTTCGACTAGCTCTCGGAGCTAGTTTGGATGCGGCGAAGCGATATAGGTAGACCACGGTCTTTATGACACGGCAAGCCGTCCAGTAGAAATGTCACAATCTGCTGCCAAAACTTGTGTACAGCACGCTCTACGTTGTAGATAACGGAACAAATTGATCTGTCTCCTTCTAGTCGCAATTTGGCAAAGACTGCTGGAGGCGGCAGAGAAATATCGTCTATTGTCAGACTGACTCTGGGTCAAGCTGGTCTCGACTTTCCATCCCACACTAGCGATGTCTCCCAGCGTAGCGATGGCCGTCAAGATGGCCGAACGTAAAGCGGAGAAGACGAATGACCAAACTTGTTAAATAGTCACAAGCGTGTGCAATGTGTACCTCAACGTCCTCTGGCGGTCAGGCTCGTTTGGATCTAAACGACTAAGGTATATTCTCGTTGATTGTGAAGCCTCTGAGGATCGTGTCAGCATACCGCACCTCCAAGGTATTAGGGTATATTCATCCATCTATAACCAAATCGTGTCAGACCTTCTTATCTCCTACGGTAAGCAGAATGCTCGGTGTAATAGCATTGACTCGTACGCCATGGCTTCGAGCCTCAAGAGCCGCCTAATCGGGCGGAATTTGAATGAGCGGAATAATGACCAACAAGCCAGTGGGACAGCCTACTGCTCTGGCGATGCCTACAACAGCGTGCTTTGAAGCCGCGTATCCTATCGTGGCTGCTCCCGACTGAATCGCGTTGACGGAACTGCAGTTGACAATCCAGTCACGCTGAAGCCGTCGACCTTTCTCGCTGAGTAGGCTTTCAGTCATCCTCGGTAAGTGGAAGCACCTCCTGCCTTGCACTTCGGCCGAATCCTGCTTCATCATCTGCCGCAACTGGTACTTATTGCAGAGCTAGACACCTGTGGTGTTGACCTCGATAACGCGTTTACAGTCGTTCGCATCGGTGTCCCATGTTGCACCTCAAGGCCCAAAGATGTCCGCGAAGTTCCTATCATTATCAAAAGCCCTCGTCGAAAGAGATTTAAAGAACAAAGCCTGAGCCAACTCACGCTGCATAGTCAGTGCGTCCGAATTCCTTGACCGTTTTGTCGACAGCTCATTCGACACCCTCTTCTTTGGTCACATCTGCTCGAATACATAAAACCTGCCAAGACTAGTTTATCTTCACAGATTCAGTGCCTCGGTCTCGACCTCCTTTCGCAAATATAAGAGGTGCTACGAGCACAACCCGAGTTTGCCAGGTTGTGGTGCAGATAGTAGGCTGGCCGGTTTCAGCAAGCGGCTTCAGAGATGATATTGGTCGGACATTACGTCGTTGCTGGAGGGTTGCTTCTCTAACACAGCTTGCCTGTATTCACCGAGGGCACAGTCGGGCTTGCAACTCGAAAGTCTCTTGTCATTACCCCCTCTCCTTCTACACGTCCTTTCCCAACAAGGAAATTTGGAGCTAGCAGCTTGTCGGTGCCTTGGGAAACATGGTGAGTTCTACAGCATTTTCATCAAGGGTCAAGAGATGCAAGGGACTATTCGTAAAGTTAAAGAGGCCGAGCAATCATCGAAGAAGCGGAGGAGCGATGTACTGGACGGAAACCTAGACAACGACGCAGGTACACCTGTTGATTCGAGACCACAAAATGGCGCCGCTAACTTCGAACAAGCTGGGGCATGCTTCGCTTTGCGTGATGAGGATGAGAAGCGTCGCCAGCGGAATGAGGAACCGAACCCCCGCGAGTAGTTCTAGCTAGCGAGTAAAATCCTCGAGGCTCGAATAGAAAATAAGAGAAAGGAAAAAGGAAATTGGAAGCAGTTGAATCTGAGTCCAGCATGCCCCTCGAAACCGACACAGCGGGACACAACGAGCTTGAACGTATTGAAACAAAGGCGAAAAGGCGCGAAAGGCGACGGCGGCGCAAGGAGGACAGGGGATCAGAAGCAGAAGACATCGACAGACCGAGAGAACGAGCGGATCCTGCGTCAAAGATCGGGAGTGACAAAGAAGATCATATTGCGAAGGCTGCTTGAAAGGCCGAAAGGCTTGCACACTAACGCAAACAAGCTGACGTGCCAGTCGAACGGGTTGCTATGTGTGGCGTGGCCTCTGGGAGCAAGGTGTCTATGAATGAATCCTCGTTATTTATAAGTTTTCTCGTTGGAAGCCGGACATGGCGTTTCCATGGCGAATAGACCTTACTACATGTGATGATCTGATGCTGGGTCAAAAGTACATGCAGAGCCAGATGATCGAGTAGGATTCGAGTTTGTCCGTCACTTTAGTTGAATGACAGGCAATAAGTGACGGATATCCTGACACCAATCACTTTTAAAGGCTTGGCAAACAGCTAAATTTTGGTGCCAAGCCGCTAGTACCTAGACTATTTTATACCAATACTTCACTTTCATATAGATTTCTGGATGTATCACATGATTATATTTAAGTAGAGTCCATAAATTTTAGCTCCTAAGAATAAACGACAGACATCTTGGCGCCCAAATAAATGACAGACCTGTCACGTCCCGTCTGTCACACAACATCCTAATTGTGAGTTGCGGCAAGAGCCCGCATGGTAATTCGCATCGAACCTTGTGGATTTGTGGGACCCAAATAAAGATCCGCCACCTTTGATTGTGGTGGCTGACATGCATAGTCCAACTCCATTCTTGGAATTCTACTGTCCGCCGATTATATACCTCGTCTCTTCTCACCCTAGTAAAACGGTCTTTACTCTACTGCCTACCTTTTCGAACACTGCGAAATTCTTGCCTCCCACCCTACGTCCCTTTCTTCGTAACGAAACAGGCTGCGCCTCTCCCTGCGTTTAGCCTCGAATGTTCCTTTGCCAGACTCCTTTGACCTGCCTCTTCCGACCGCAGAAAAGTTCGGAACCATGTTAAGAGCAGGAGAATGAGACAAGAGAAATGATTGGAGCGCCCTCCATCTCACTCGCGCCAGTTTATACGCGTTGTACCTTTTCAGTTGTACGCCTTGTCGGGCACAAGAAGCTCAGCCTCCCTTGCCAACGGCGGTCACCAAAATGTTTCTTTGACATCTTCCCTGGCTCCTTCTTACACGTGGCTTGACAGAGGTGGTCAATTATCGATACGATGACTTGTGAAAGAACTGTACTCCTCTTTCACACTGGCTTTGCCTAGGGCTCTACTGTTCCGTGCCTCATCGAATTATGTCTTATGACTCGAAGTTGGGCAGCGAAGTTTCCTGCTTCGCACCAATAAAGCGCTCCGCTTGCCAAAAAGGCGTCGGCCACTACATCTTGCACCAACGAGACGATCCGAGCCGATGACGAGGCCGCCACGAGCTTGGTTGTATGACAGCTTCAGTAAGATGTACAGTTGGATTCCCAATCTCTGAACACGCTGTTGCCTTCCCCGTGTCACCTCTCGCTCCGAGAGAGAATTTGAATAAGTGTCATCAAGGAAAGAGTTCGCGTAACTTTGGTTTCCCATGCGTGGGAAGACTCGTGGCCTCGAACCCTTCAAGACCTCGAAGGCCGCGGGTTTTGGAATGCTCCGGCATTGTCCAGAACTAACTGTGACATGAATCGATTTCTTTGCTGATTATTTGGTAACACTGGGGCACGAAATGATGAGATCGACCTGGTACGGACGCGATTGCAAGGATCGCGAGATTTTCCTATCATGTCTTTGGCAGAACGTGCAGGATGAAACTGACGCATCCATAGTACCTGGCGAGAAGAATTTTCGACGTCGCGGGATGATATCAATTGGCAGGACTATAACAAAACCTATGTCGAATATCAGACCGAGCTACTGCGAGAACAGGAAGGCTCTACCGAGACTGACTATGTCGAAGTCTTTGCGAAGGGTTTTCATCCTGACGATTACTTGATACCCCAAGTTTACAGAATAAAAGACTTCTGCAACGGTACTACGCTGAGAACAGTGCTGCAAAGCGAAGTAGCAGAGTGTACTGCCTCTACCGCCTGGCTGGACGAACAAAGCTACAATGGAGGTGACTCACGCTCGAGAGTTCAGTACGGACCACTGACGCCACAGGGCCTCCATGCCCGATTGATTCGACGCGTGAGTCCTGCTAGTACCATCCCTCTTCCGGCGCAATCCTGACGTTGCGCTATCCATTAGCGATTTCGAAGTCGCAAGTTTTCTGAAAAGAGCTTAGTGGAAGTTTCGACGCCACAACCCGCGAATCACAAATCATTGAAAACGGTATTTTTCTATAAACTAGTCTAGGCTGATCTATATTAAAGGAAGAGGCTAATTTTTGTTGAAGCGACTGCGGCAGTGCCTTCGACAATATGTCCATAGGCACAAAGCGAGTGCTCCCGATGTCAAATTAGTGTCACAAGGTAAAGGCTGTGTTCCCGAGGAGCCAAACGATGGAGACGACGAGCCAGATGCCGAAAGGCGCCTCATCTTCATTACAAATATCGACCCGCCGATGGCGAAGGCGCTGATAAGAACCGTGTCTTACCACCAGGCTCCAAGCCTCCATGATGCCCTTGACAAGCACCTTGCCGCCGAGGCGTTTATTGGGGTGGAATTTTCTGTGCGTGAACTTGGAATGCAATGTCCAACGATGTTGTTCGAAAACTAACGTCCCGTCCTTAGCTGATAGGTCTCTCACGGTTTAGATTATCATTCCATCTACCGTTCTTTTCTTTGAGGTTCCGAGACGAGAGAGATAGTCGTACACATGGAAATGGAGAATCCCTGCGGCACACTGAGGATGTCTCATTTCTCAACTGGCCATCTGCGCGACCTGACTTACTGGAGTTTCTCCATGAAGGTCAGATATCGTCTGTCATTGCCGGGCCAAATAACTTGTGTTGGGAAGCATACTGCTTTGTCGACACCTATTTTGATGGCGAAGACGGGGAGTCTGTGCTTGACTATGAACAGGAAGCGAATATCGGAGAACGCATGGACCCTTTGACACGCGGCAAGCTCAAGGTGGAATCTCCTATCTAGGATCCTCGAAGATATTTCTTGAGTGTCTTCCATTGCCGCCTTCTGCAGATCGCAAGCGAATGGCAGTACATAGTTGAGAGAGTGGAAGAAAGTTTCCGATTCTACGATCAGGTGAGTCTCTTTCTGTATACGCAGGTTCAGACTACTGTGATTGCCGTCGTGATCTTGGTACACCGCTTGCTTCATGCTCTGCCTAGGCCCTTACGATAGCGATGACAATATGCACCATGACTTGCTGACGTCTCTGACAGAGCCATGAATGCCGTTCGTCAGTGGAATGTCAATCATCGGTGGAAGTCGAAACGCATAACGACCGCCTTCAGCAAGATATCGCCTGGACAAAGCACATCATACTTCTCTTAACCAAACTGAGAGCGAGCTTGTCGAAATCCATTGATGCATATGACACGTTCTGCATGAGCTCTAGGGATCTCTTCGAGGATCCCTCAGTGCAAGGCCATGAGCTACTTCAAGCTCTAGATGTCAGCTTTAATAGATTAAGGCTCGAGAAGAAAAGGCTCGAATCTCTGGTGGATCGTAGTAGCAATTTGGCTAGAATGGTAAGGTTGCCTTCACCATTGACCTATTCCAGCCTGGCTAACAATTTACCTCCATGCAGCACGAACTCGGATTGAACCAGGAGGCGCTCAACGTCAACAAGAGACAAAATAAGACAACACGGTCCTCCTGGATCATGATGGTGAGCCACATTTAAGCACGGCTCTTGCCGATTTACTAATACCCATAACTGCTTTAGCTTTGCGCTTCCCCATTCGCACTGACGACAAGCATTTTCTCTATGCAGAAGATGACGATCCCATTTGTGCGGTATAATTTTCTATCATTCATCGTGGTGTTCATCATCTTCATCCTCATGGGATGTGCCATATACGCCAAGTGCTTCAACTGGCAGGGTGGTAGCGTTACATGCGATATCCTACTGCGCTTCTTTCGACGAACGAAGAATGCACCGGATGACGTCGAGAACGCAATTGCCCAGACGCCTGTCACAACAACTGTTGGGGTGAGCTTCCATCCAGGTGCAAGTGATGGAGACGGTGGCTCGTATGCAACCACTGTTCCAGTATCGAGATCGATGTACACCTCTGCCATGAGCGGCGTTCCAATTACTTATTCAGCCAGCCAGCATTATACAACAGAGCTCGCAAGTCAACGTTACAGCGTTGCTCATCGATGAAACATGAGTGCACAAGAAAGAAATGTTGTCCCAACGTAGCGCTGTCGGGACTTCTTGATTATTTACAGCTAAACGTTGAAGTCCTGTTAAGAGCCTCGCTCTATGGCGTGGCCCGCAGGGACAATTATTTATGATCGTGCTCACTTCCTATCTTAGCCTTCCGTGTTCCACGATTGTGCCTTGATAATCTCCGAGCCTGTGGCTCCATCAATATGACAACATCCTTTCTTGGTCAGGGTAAAGGGACTCGGAAGACATAATAATTGCTTTCTGTCGCCAGCACTGAGGAAGATCGAGTATGTTCGCATCGGCCAAGAACAATACAAGTCATTGTTGGAGGTTGGACTTACTTTTGACATTTCTTTGGATAAAGAAATCGGGATCCTGATCCTCATATACTTGCTCCAGACCGAGACCTTCCGCTATGGTTCCATCGCACGAAACTCCTCTTTCAGCAAGGGGCCTTCGACTTGCAACTGCTGCCATTTTTCACACTTCTTCACGGCGACATCACGAGGGCCACGAATGTCAAGGGCCGTCATCATCGTGTTTCTCGAAGGATGCCGTTTGTGGAGCTTTCAACAATGCCGGTTGAAGATGTCTAGGCAGCACATTCGTAATGTTTATGGGAGATATATTAAAAGGAGACATCGCAATCTCCTAGGCCTTCGATCTTGTCGCTGCTGGTCGTTAGCATATATCTGTTCTCGCACGTCGTCGAGGAGCATCATTATGAGCCTCTAAAATACCACCTCGTTTAACGTGCCGGATGAGTGTGAAGGTGAGCGAGATGAGTGCCAAGGTGAGAGGGAGGTGACTGGTTATGAAGGCGGCACGGCTGGGGGTGAGCGGCACGTGAACTCCGAGCAGCTTTTACTTCTCTTCAAGTGCCAAACCAATGCCTAAGCCATCTTCCTAGCCATCTACGTGGCTACGTACGTTGCGTGAACTCGCAACGAACTCGTCGAGATTTTCAAGTAGAGGCTCCAGGAAAATAAATACTCGTTTTAATCAATATACAATTTGTGACCTTAATGTTACTATATACTATCAGACGTTTTCTCGCCCTCGTGCTCACCTGACAATGCACTAGCATCAACAGCTTCTTCTGCCTTCTTCCTAGTCCCCAGTCAAAACCAGTCGACACATCACTCCTCGCCCGCTATTCTTCCACATCGAACTCCTCTCCAACGCCAAGCAAGTCCAGCATCCTCTTCACACTCAGCTGTACCATGTCATTGATACTCTGTGGCCGAGTGTAGAAAGCCATGACAGGGGGCATCACCACGGCGCCAGCCTCGCTGAGCTTGAGCATGTTTTCGAGATGTATGGAGCTCAGAGGAGTCTCTCTGGCAACGAGGACCAGTCTTCTCCGCTCCTTCAGCGTCACGCTTGCTGCTCGCGTGATGAGATCGGCGTCGTACCTAATTCGAATGGAGGCAAGGGTTTTCATGCTGCATGGAACAATGATCATGCCATCGGGTCGGAACGAGCCTGAGGAGAGCGAAGCTGAGACGTCCCTTGGTGAGTAGCTGTAGTCGGCTAACGACGCCAAGTATGACGATCGGTCATCGGGAGCGTTGAGCTCGTATTTCAATGTCGCCACCGCCCAGGTGGAGAGGATGCGATGTGTTTCGATATTGACTCGGCGCAAGTGTTGCAAGAGAGCAACCGCGAGTGGTGAACCTGTAGCGCCAGTCACAGCGACTACAATGCGTTTTTTGCGCCTCGCTGGCGGGATGCTTTTGGTTGTAGATTGTTGCCAAAAAGATCGTGTAGTATTTAAAGTCCTCTTATGGCACACCGTCAATGGATTCTATGTTGTTCGACCCTCCCCCCAACATAGTATACCGAAACCATACTTTGACCTTGAAGAATATTTCAAGTTCTGTCTCAACACACGACTCATTTGTTGACACATAGGTACAGACCAGAGTTGAAGCATTTTTGTTGGCGTTGTTGGATTACTTGCCAGACAGGTCGAAGGGCCCTTTTCATTCCCACCCCGGGTTATCGACCAGCAACGCCATTGACGTACTGCGGATTGCTGAAGACCACTCGTGATAATAGTTTTGCCTGATTGAATCTTACCCATCTCGTCAATCCTGAGCCTTGATGAAACGCTAGTAGTGATGCATATTGAAAGGTTGACTACGAGGCTGCGGGATGACTCTCTCTTGGCATTCCCGATTGGGGACCACCCTAAATACTCAGCGACAAGGAGACACAAGACGAAAGGGCGTCCTGTTTATTGTGCGTGGCGCGGAGACAGACGCAGTTTCTGTCACTGCACTCATTACCATGGCCAGAACTTCTTTGCTACCCTCAATGCGATCGTTGAGACCCAGGCCGAGAACCTTCCACACATATTTGACGACAATGGAGCAAGACCGAGCACGAGGCTGGCTCATAGCGACAGGAAGCCGGCTCCCCATCTCGATTTCCGTTCCTTCGTCGATGAGCTCCGCTCTGACAATGACCTGGCAGATATCAACGCCGAAGTTGACCCTCACCTTGAAGTAGCAGCTATCATTAGACGTGCGTACGAAGTTCGTTCCAAGGCGCCACTGTTCAACAACGTCAGAGGCGCCAGAGATGGACTCTTTCGCATCCTCGGGGCACCAGGAGGACTTTCGCATGATTCAAAGTATCCTTACAAGTGTCTGGCCCGCCACCTCAGTCTTCCACCAACTGCTCGTCTGAACGATGTCATTGACAGAATGCTTTCGGCCAAGGGAGCAGCACCAATTCCTCCAGTTCATGTCTCCGATGGACCGTGTAAAGAAGTCAAGATATTCGGTGACGATATTGACCTCACACGTCTTCCAGTGCCCCTTCTCAACAAAGCCGATGGCGGGAATTACATCCAAACTTTGGGAATCAACATAGCGTTAGGAGCACCGCCTATCGCAGTGATGGCAGCGAGTATGCCATTACCCCAGGGAGTATCCGAAGCAGAGTACGTGGGATCGCTTTGCGGATCGCCTCTCGAATTAGTCAAATGTGAGACGAATGACATGTGCGTGCCTGTGAACAGTGAAATTGTACTGGAGGGCACCATTTCGGTCAAAGATCGATGCAAAGAAGGTCCGTTTGGTGAAATACAAGGGTATAGCTTCTTGGATGAGAATTCTTTGCAGCCATTGTACAAAGTTTCGGCGATCACTCATCGAAAGAACCCGATTCTTCCAGTTTGCGTGCCAGGACGAGCTACTGGGCCAGACAAGACGCACACAATGATAGGCACTCTTGCGGCCGCGGAGATCAAGCATCTGTTGCAGCAGGATGGGCTTCCTGTCATGAATGTCTTCACCCCGTTCGAGTCGCAGGTCATCTGGGCGGCCGTTCAGATTGATCGAGCTAAATTGGCAAAACTCAGCACCAATGCCAACGAACTCTGCAACAAGATTAGGAATATGGTGTTCCGCCATAAAATGTGGTATGCAGATCCACCGTTTACTCATCGTCGGCGATGACATCGACCCATTCAGATTCGAAGACGTCACATGGGCGTTTGCTTCGCGATGCAGACCTAGTCTCGATGAATTCCATTTCGAAGACGTGCCGGCTTATCCGTTGGTATCCTCCATGTCCCATGGCATTGGGACTAAAGTGACGGGCGGAAAAGTGGTAGGGAATTGCCTGTTGCCTAGCAAGTACAAGGGTGAGCAGGGCTGGGTTACCTGCGATTTCGAAAACGGGTATCTTGACGACCTCAAGAAAAGAGTGCTGTTGAGATGGGCAGAATTTGGATTATAGTTGGCACAGTGGACTTAGTGGGTCAATCAGCTCTCTTCTCTTACCCGGATCAGATTAGAGACTGATGAAACGATGGGAAAAAATGGAGCACACCGATTTTAATAGACAGATAGGTACTTTATCGTTGAGACGTGGCTTATAGAGATGTGGCTTATAATTTCTGGATCCTAGGCAATTGTCTGATCCAGTAAGCTGCAAGATTTTGTTGGGATATGTGTACAGTTCAAAGTCGAGCTGATGATCCGAAACCCAATATGATGGGGTACTAATCTAATCCTGCCGAATGTTCGTGGCTGGTACTGTCCTTTTACTTTTATGGTCTTTCATGTAGTAGGGTCCTGTAGACAGCTGGCATGCACTTAGCTCTTGTGCTGAAGGGTTGCCATAGATTGGGATCACTATTTGAGATGCTTTGACCTGGATCCTTCATGCAAACTCTGGCCATTCTGACAGTACGTTTGGAGTACATGGTATGGAGCTCAAGGAGATAGATATGCCGGCGTTGTAGCTGGACATTTATTGTGACAGTCGTAAGATTTATATGGCAGAAGTGGAAGCTTCCGTAAATGAAGTCTCACCGGTTCCCAGTGGACCTTTCATTGGAGCCGGCGGCTCTCCTCGCCGCATGTTGCTGTAAGACGTCAAGCCAATTGCTCTGCATCACCGGGTGCAGCCAGACCTCGTCTCTTGCCTCGTCTCCATCTCTGACAACAGATAAATCCGGGCTGGGCGTCCTCCTGGGACTGTTATAATATGAAGGTGGTCGTGTGCTTCGACTGGGATATCTGTCGAGGCTGGGTCTGCCCAGGGCAGAGATAGTCTCGCCTGTTGGAATGGACGTTAGGTCGGTCAGGCGCGTGCTCGGAATTGATATGACGGAGGAATTTGGCGAAATCGATGGCGGAAGGCTGTTGCTTTCATCCTCATCTTCTGTGACATAGTCGTCATATGCAAAGACGTCAAAGTCCGCTGCATTTTTCTCGTCAATCGTTATCAGAGGATGATGTGCTATATCTCCATATTCTGGCGGACTATCCTGGTATCGCCGGGACTGCGGGCGTGAACGAGGGCGGCTGACGGTGGCATTGTGCTGCTGAACTGCGGAGACTATGCGGGCATGGCGAATTTCTGCTTCAGCCTTTTCGGAGACAGATTGAGATGCACAGCAAGAAAACAAAGACGTGAAAAATGCCATTATTGCATTCAGTAACTATCCCATGATAGAGTTACATTGAACCTCAACCAGGATACGGAGCGCTATCAAGAGACCCGGGATCTGAGTGAGGGTGTCAGGTGGAATATGTACTCCAGACCCTTGGCTGGGTAAGAATCAGGCGTTCCCCTTGGCCGCCCAGCCCCGCAAGGCAGACATGATTCCTGCCATTCCACTGGCTGCTACCTGTCGCTGCACCAAACACTGTCAGCGTGATCACGTGCCAAATCACAACATATTCTATGCCAAGTTCCGTTCCCTGCCAGTGCTTTCGTCCATGTTTGTGTTCTGTTCTCAATAGCCATTATTCTTTCAGACATGCAGTGCGACGAATGTGACATTCAATCCACCCACAGGCGCACCGGCGAGCCTGGCGACGCTTCGTCTGAATTCCTGTGCCAATAGAAGGTCGCGTGCCTCGAGCACTTCCTTGTCCAAATCGATGCTAATTTCAAATGTGCCGACGAATGCCTTGCGGAACTTATTGACGTCGTAAACTTCAGCATCCTCGAATTCAGTTGGTCCTGAACTTTGATGGTCAGTAGACGAATATGCCTGCACCATCAATGTCGCAACTGGAAATTGTTGAGGCGCAATGAGGTCAAGGGTCAAGACACTTCTCCATTTGGCTGGTCGCATTGTCTGTTGCATGGACGCGTGTACACCTATGATGAGATCTGCAAATGGACGCGTGTGATGTCTCTGACAAGAGTGTTCGGAAATGACTTTCTTGCACGAAATCTTGTCGATCTTTCTCGTGAAGTCGGGGTGGATTGATGTCAAGAAGGATCGGAGACAAGGAGCTGAGCAAAAGCCAAAGTTCTTCGTCTTTTGGAGGAGATCGACGCATTCTTGGGAAATTTGCTTGTTGACAAGAGCGACTCCAGGGCATTGTTTCTTGTGAAAGGAGAGGCACTTGCTACCGGCGGTTAGATGGTTGGCGGCGGTGCCTGCGTCGGCTCTGCAGACAACGAAATTCTTTCGGCCAGCGGATGGCAGGGCGAAAAATAGGATCCGCTCTCTGACCTCTGGTGGCAGGCCAGGAAGCGTTGGCTCGGGGGCCACGCGCGCGTCTTGCTTCGTCATCATCGCTGCGGATCGTAGATGATTATCTGCAAGAAGATCGGTGCGTCGCGGTGTGGTGCGCAGAGAAGCAAACTGCACTTAAGATACTGTGGCCTGAATGACAATCTTGGCGAAAACCGTCAATTCACGAACAGGTAGGTGATGAGGGCGGGCACTTGAGTGTCAAAGGATGAGAGTAAACTGTATAGATAGTGGTGCGTAGTTGTTGGCCTGAAGTTATTCTCTTCACGTACCACGTTGACTCAAGCGGCTTCCTCGCTGTGGATATAGCTTTGGCGTTGTGTGCAATGAGTTCCTGTATATCACACGTGGTCACCCGCCTCAAATGTTGACGCTCATGGACTTGACTTAAGCCCCAACAATATCCGCCACTGATCTTAGTCTTGAGTATGCTTTATATCGACGCTATCGCACTTGGTGGTCGTGGTTCGTTTGCATCAAGTAGATGTAGCGCTCCATAATGTAGTCGTTGGAAGCGTGCGGCCTCATGGTCTTGGTGTAGGCACAGATAGAGCCAGATTATCAAAGGAGAACTCTTGGCAGATTTTCATCGTCTCAAGATGCAAGATCCTTCTGCAAGGCTTCCTTCAGTGGTTCCAGTCCATCGATCATAGCTTCCAGCTTCTCGTCCATTTTCTTCAGCTCATCCTTCTTCCGAGTGTTCTCCTTGACCAAAGCGTCCTTGATCTTGACCAGGGCCAGTCTCTCCTGCTCCATTTTCTCCCGCTCCTGTTTTTCATGTTCAATCCTCAGTGGCATGAGTTCCTGCTCTGAAAGGTCCGCTTGTTCTGGAAAGAGTGAGAGGTATTCGTCCAGTGGATGGAGAGGTAGATGTGTGTATGCATGGCTACAATATGTCAGTGATTGTCCAGAAATCCGGGTAAACTGCAGTCTTACTCATAGCCTTCACAAGCCCCTATCTCACCCATCAAGTGTCTTTGCTCGTAGTACAGATTCTGTAGTTGCAATAACAATCGATCCACCTCTTGTCTTGCTTCTGCAGTCTCTTGCTTGGTTGTTCGTGCACCAAAGGCGGCTTTACGACTCTGACCTCGCAATTTAGCCAGGTATGCGTTGAGCACTTTTTGTTGCTGAGAGAGTTCGAGCTTTGTCTCTAATGACGGGTCTTGTCCTACAGGGTGTTCTTGAAGCCATGCTAAGGCAGATGATGTTTGAGCCAAGGTTGCTTGTGAGGTTTGCAGTAACGGTCGAAGACTAGGGTCTGAGATGAGGTTCTCGATTGCCATGATGATCTGCTGCTCAAGCACAAACACGCAGAAGATTGCGGCAATAGGTTGTGCGGTTTTTTGGGGTGGAATTATTTGATGTTTGGATTCGCAACGTCGCAGTCGCAGGAACTCATGATGGACGTGGTGGCACATCAGCCAATCGGAAAATCAGTTTCTCCGCACTTTTCATAGGCGCCTGAGGCACTCGGAGTTTCCTTCTCCCCATTGAATATTTTATCCATCCTTTGCTAAGGCTTACGATCAAAATGTCGCCAGATAGAGGCCTCCAAGCAAATATGTCTGATTCAGAGAATCTAACATCGCCACTGGAGTCGTTGTCGCTTGCCGAAAAGACCGAGGGCAAGAAAGATATTACTGAAACAGCCGTCGAGGACTCTATTCCTGCTCATCTTTCCCATGACCCTGCAAAAAACGCAAAAACGTCAGATCCATTTCAATTTGGACAGCGATATCTGTCCGAATTCGATGATGTTTTCACATTTAATGCGTGGGATCATGTAGTGCCAGATGAAGGCCATTACGAATACTGTGAGACTCAATATGCTGCACAACGTGCAACTCCAGTCTCCGATTTTGATCGCAAGCGCTTCAATGAGCATCCAGAAAAGTGGTGGGATCTATTCTACAAGCAAAAGACTAGTACATTCTTCAAGGATCGGAAATGGTTGTCCCAAGAATTTCCCGTCCTAAAAGATCTGACAGACGCGGACGCCGGTCCAAAAGTAATTCTAGAAGTTGGGGCAGGAGCCGGCAATACTGCCTTTCCAATATTGCGAATGAACCAAAATCCTCACCTGAAGCTATATGCCGTAGACTACAGCAAGAAAGCTGTTGAGACTATGAGAGGAGTTGAAGAATATTCGCAATGCAACGGTATCATGTCGGCCGACGTCTGGGATGCAGCTGGTGGACCTTTACCGCCTGGTGTGGAAGAAGGATCGGTCGATGTGATCATCATGATCTTTATCTTCTCAGCTCTCAATCCTAAACAGTGGGAACAAACTGTCTGTAACATTCATCGGCTACTCAAACCAGGCGGAGAAGTGTTATTCAGAGATTACGGCCGAGGCGATCTTGCACAAGTCCGATTCAAAGCCGGTAGATGGATGGAAGAGAATTTCTATGTTCGTGGAGACGGCACTAGAGTATATTTCTTTGAGCAAGCAGAATTGGAGAGCATCTGGGGCGAGAGATTCACGATCAAGGATCTTGATGTGGACAGGCGACTGATCGTCAACCGGCAACGGCGAATCAAGATGTACCGATGTTGGATCCAAGGGCGGTTTTGCAAGAGAGAGATCTCGCTCTGAACGTGAACTTTTCTATTTCTCAGATCTAGGCCATTCGAGTCCCTTGAACAATAGCGCCGTCAATCCCACGATGGAAAACTCCCTGACCCTTGCGAGGCACCGGGAGGGGGTCGTCGTTCCCCCACCACCAATGGAAGGTCATCTTGAAGGCGTGTGCTCAAGACGCCTTCAGCCGGAACTCATGACAGGACCTGAATGGTTGCATCCTGAGAGGATGAGCGCTGCACATGTCAAAGACAAGCGATTGAAGATTGCGAAGTGTGGAGGAAGTCAACATTCATCTTCTCACTGATGGCCAATGAGGTCATGGTGACTTGGCATGTGAAGAGTACGCTGACGGAGGATTGGCGGTTCGAAGATTGTGGGAGACTGACGAGGCTCGCCAAGGCTTTCACCACTTCCGATACGTTCTTCCGGCTCCGCATTCCCAATTTCTTCCGCTTTTTGAGTCCTGAGTCCTGAGTCCTGAGTCTTGACGTTCTACCGAGAACTTGTCCAACTTCAACAACCTTCATACCCTTCAAAGCTGTCAGCCCGCCCACTTCGTCTTTCATACCTCTCTTCTACCCCACCTAAGTCGTTCCTCCAAAGTTCCTTGTTCCTGCCTCCCCTCTAAACTATTGTATATACCAATCACCGAACATTTTGCACCCTCTCATCCTCTCGCATCTCATTCACGTCGAGTCCTGCGCCACACCAATTTCCGGCTCTTGAGCAACGTTTAACCAGCACTTGTCTCTGTTGACAGCCAATTCTACCGCATCGTCTGCTGCGGCATATTATGTGAACCCAGAAATGACCTGCACCGCTCCCTCGGTTACAATCGAGGCTTCCGCTATAAGCGATGGATTAAGCTCCTCCTGTGATGATGAACGCACCGCACTCCTGAGACGCGGACGACGTCATTCCTACGATATCAGCCGTACGAGGCAGTCAAGCATATGCAGTGCCGATGCTGTTTTCATGAGGGTGGATATCTTCCTCACCGAGCTCAGGAGAAGATTGGATGGACTAGAGAAATACCGTCAGGACAGTGTTGTGCAATTTGATGCCTCGCTTGAGCGTGCTTACCATGCATTAAGAGATGTTTGCGACTCATGCTCACCTTATCACTCAGGCGAGCATCTTTGGGGGGCAGCACGCCAACGCGCTTCCATTCTGGTCGATACGCTCGAAAGCCGCTATAACGAGGCTTTACAAACGAGAGAATCTCTCGAACACAAAGCACAAGCAAGTCTGAAGTTGTTAGAAACATATCTGGCGGAACTCGAGGCACGCGCACATACGCGTAAAAGACAACTGATAGATTCAGGTTGGAAGACTGTGGATCATTCATTGGTTGCCACTCGGGAAATTATCGAAGAGGGCTACGACAAGGCTATTCAGGCAAGACACCTCCTAGCGAATTCAATCGCTCACGCCTTAAATCGAGCTGCCGAAACAAGGCTGATTCACTATAACGATCTACCGATACCTTGGAGAATTAATCCGCACATCCAACGGGGCTATCGTTTCAATAAAACCAAAGTCGAGTGCGTCGCCTCCATGTTTCGACCCTCTAACGAGACTGTCAATATCTGGTCTCATGCAATTGGCTTAGTTATGGTTCTCACTATCGCATTTTATTATTATCCTTCATCGGCGACATTCCCTCTATCGTCGAAATGGGACGTCTTGATAGCAGCGTGCTTCTTTGCTGCTGCATGCAAATGCTTAATATGCTCAACCATGTGGCATACGATGAATAGTATCGCTGACAAATGTCTTCTTGAGCGATTTGCATGCGTCGATTATACCGGTATCTCCTTTTTGGTTGCCGCGAGCATTTTAAGCACCGAGTGGACCGCATTTTATTGTGAACCGGTGTCCCGAGCAATATACATGACACTGACAGTTGTACTCGGCATAGCTGGTGTTATTTTACCATGGCGAGAGAGCTTCAACCGATCTGACATGGCATGGGCTCGCGTGGCTTTTTATGTCAGCCTTGCAACCACCGGATTTGCACCAGTTCTTCAATTGAACCTTACCCGCGGCGCGGCTTGGACATTTTACTTCTATGCTCCAGTGACCAAGAGTGTCATGGTTTATCTAACTGGAGCCATTATTTATGCAAGCCAGGTACCAGAGAAGTGGTGGCCCGGTCTGTTCGACTACGCAGGCGGCAGTCATAACATTTGGCATCTTGCAGTTTTAGGAGGCATTTTGTTTCATTATACAGCCATGATGGAATTTTTCCAAGGCGCTTTCCAAAGAGCCGAGAGTGGCGGTTGTTGCATCAGTTAGCAGGCGAGTTTAGACAGGCAAATTTTTCTGTTCGCATAAACATTGGAGTCGGGTCAGTGGTCGCCTCTAACAGTCGCCTGGACACTTGGGCATAGATGGCAGTCGGTGGGTTTGCATGCTTGGATAATGCATTGTCTGGTTTGGTCCAGCTACATATGATAGATGTAAAGCGTCCTGCAGGAACTTTGATACCTACCTAAGATGGAGTACGGGTTTGGAGTACTTATTAGTGTTTATCACATAACTCGTTTACCTACCTAGTAGTTCCACCCTGGCAAGGCTCCCTTCTCGTCTTGCAAATATGGAGAAACATGTGCTCGTACATCGCAATGTTTGACTGGCGCCGAGAGCCCCCACGCTCCGTGCCTCGCGTATATTTCTGGCTTTCCAATGGGGACTTCCGCCCGTAACGTCCTGCCATCAACTTTGCGACCGCACTCGCTACTCAGCTCGTGCCTCTCAACACCATGTGACCGTACACGTATACCGAGTACCGTGCTCCGCGGCCAGATTAAAAATGGGCCAATGGAAGGGCCAAATCTTGCAAGCCACAATGTCGGCAAATCAGTGGTAGCTTATTCAAGGATGGCCATGCATACACGATGAACTTCAAAAACAAAGGCAGGTTGTTATTCAGGCTCCCGCTTTTATCCCCTCCGTGAACTATCCTCACGCCATATTCGACACCGGAAGAAAGAGTTATATTGCTGAGGCTTTGGGAATGTCTAGCTATATTTCCAGCTTAGTACACAGAATTCCTACTGAGACTGAGTTTACATCTCAAGGCAAACTTCTACAATGGCAGCTCCAGCTTCAGTCCATCATGATCACTCTCAGCCACAAGTAATCCCACCGGGCCGCATAGCCGAATTCATGGCTTTTCTCAAGTCAATGCGCAACTTCAAAGGCGATCTCAGCACCGTCTCCGCCCCCATTTTCATTCTCGGTCCAACCTCGCTGACCGAGTATGTGTCGTACTGGTGTGAACAAGCCTCTCTGTTCGTCGCTCCAGCTAGTCAATCAACCCCAGAACTTCGCGCTTTGGCCGTTCTCAAATGGTACCTTTCGACTCTCCGCGGCCAGTATGGACGACGAGAGGGGATCGGCATCGCGACCGGCCCGATCGCCGCAGGGCGAAAGGGACCTGGAAGGAAGAAGCCTCTGAACCCCATCTTGGGGGAAATCTTCAAGGGCCACTGGGACGATGAATATGGGAGCGGAAGAACAGAATTGATTGCCGAGCAAGTCAGCCACCAACCACCTGTGACGGCCTATCATATCAGGAATCTGCAGCACCAGATCCGCCTTGAGGGTTACCATCTTCAGAAAACATACTTTTGCGGCATGCCACATATCGAGAAGATCGGGCATGTCATGCTCTCCCTCGATCAGTATGACGAGTCATATGTAATGACAATGCCGGATTTGCACCTCAAAGGCTTGCTGCCACCACCCCCGTATCCTGAGCTTGACCGTAAGACCTTCATCGCCGGTAACAACGGACTCACAGCAGAGATCGACTTCTTTGGTCGAGGCTGGATTAGAGGCAAAAGGAATTCCTTCCGCGCGAAATTATTTTATCGAGACAAACCTAAAGACATCCTCTACCGCATCGAGGGACAATGGCAGGATGTGTCTTTTACTGTCTTCAATGCTTCAGGGGGAAAGCTCGAGAACTTCAATACTGATGGCGTTCATGAAATCACCCCAATAACCGTTGCGCCGATCTCAGAGCAATCGCCTCTAGAGTCTCGGCGGGTATGGCAGCACGTCGCGAATGGTATTGTGAAAGGAGACTTGGCCACAGCGGCGATGGAGAAGAACAAATTGGAAGAGGAGCAGCGAGCACTCAGGCTGAAGGAGAGCACGACAGGAGATCCATGGGAACCGAGCTTCTTTCGAGCAGCAAAAGATTGGAAGGAGGCGGAAGGGCTGCTGAGGAGCGTCGGGGTGAAAATGGCGAGCGAGGAGACTAGAGGTGTCTGGCGATGGGTCGGAGGTGAGCATGGACAGCAGGACAGATTCCCTTAGTCTTGATACCTCGATCAACAAGCTTCAGAGTGGGTAGGGAAACGGATACTTTTGAGACGCCATCAAACTTATGTTTATGAAAGGAGAATTGACATCTGCCCCCAAGGCCCTATTCCCATCCCTCCGGACCTGATCAGAAAGGGCCCGATTGGCTAAGGAATTTGCAAAACACCGGCTGGCTCCACCTAGAACAGAGAGACGGTGGCATCAGAAGAGCTACAATTGATTTTAGAAAGATACCAGGGTAACTTTATGTCAAAGTTGAGAATAGTTACATATCCACCCTCTACGTAGGTTACTCGAGAACGAAAAACCCAATTGTGATATACAGCTTAGTTATAGAGCGTGAGCAAAGGCCGCTTGAACTCGGGCTGAACAGCTAAACCTGCCTCTCAGCTGGGCACCTATTTCAGCCCCTGCCTTTCCGCAGCTGCCTCCGCTCCTGGACCCAAAATGGTTGATTTAACAGGTCAACGAAGAGCCGCCTAGAGTACTTATTTGCTCGGAACTGTTCTAACAGCTGGTCATTTCTTGCGATACTTGGTAGTTCCGAGCGAGACCGCCTATTTTTTGTATACAGCCTATGTCGAAGAGCTATACGGAGTATGCTGAACTGTAAGATGAAGGTGAAACTCACTCCGACCTATCCATCGTGCCTAAATATATCTCAGGTCTTCAATTGTCTGAGAATTCTTTAACCACTGGCACGCCCTCATAGACCCAATAATGCGCCGAGGACCTCACATTTGCTGCTCGTCTCAGTCTCAATCGCATACACTCAAATGTTCTGGGGAGCTTTCTTTGGCTCACGTCGGGGAAAGCCCCTGACTCTGAGCAGGACAGATACGGGTTTCTCAGCGCTTAGTAGTGTATCGGCATTTGCTTCAATTTCCGGTATGCCGTTGTTATCCCGTGCTTTCTCTCCGCGACCATTACGTGGTGAGCTCTTATTCTTTTTGTAGGATTAGAACACATCATTATCACTCCCCGATTCTCTATCGCGGTTGGACTTCTCTCCGTGGCCCTGGCCGGTACCATCTAGCTTGTCTCTAGATTCCTCTTTAGCCTTAAAGGTCTCACCCGCTTGCGATAGTCACTCCTTTTACTGTGCGCAAGGGCCTCTCTTAAGAGTATATTAAGTGGAGATCACGTGAAGAGATGCCCTAGTTTCTGCGTTATTCCAACACGATCGCACATCAAGTTTGATCTATTATGCCATGCATTGTAGAGGATAGAAACTATTATAGCATATAACACTACGAGGCATCAATGAAAGACGCTGGCCTGATAAGACCAAAAAACGAAAAAAAGTCTGCACCTAGAGGTTTATCCTCATGGACCACAGCGGAGAACCACCGGAAGCACATAAGCCTCCCCGCAAAAAGATAATTTCTCCTCCGGGTGGGCTCGAACCACCAACCTCCTGATTAACAGTCAGACGCGCTAGCCAATCTGTGACTGTGTGTTAGTTGCAATTCACTGCCAACCGATTCTTGCATCGAAACTTACTGCGCCACAGAGGAATAGTTCCTGGTATGATTGTTGACACGAACTTCGATAATATTTTATATATAAGTATTGGTTCGAACGCTTCTGCTTCTGTATAGCTTCCGTCTTGGCATGACGTCTTATCTAATCTAGCGCCAATCTGGTAAACCACCGAGATTTACTGAAGACGTCAACTGCCAGAAGGCGAACAATAAATTTTGTATGTTAGATAAAGATTGCCCATCTTCCTGGCAAATCGGCTGCCGTTTGATCAGCGCAATTTTCACAGGGGCCGCTGCCGCGAAGCATCAGCTGCCTCCCATGGCCACGAGATGACGCAGCCATCACAGCTAACCACCTCGCGCTCTTATCCCCCTTAACAAGCACTTTGAACTATGCATTCGGGCAATGGATCGTTCTCCCGCCCGCTTTGAGGGGCCCATTCCCATATTACAACAGCTGTGGAAACTCCCATACCAACCTTTGCTTCGTCAGTCTGTCGGTCAAGGATTCCATGTCCACAAGGTGGAGCCACATGTGCTGCTCATAGGGCCTGATGTAAGCCGCGGTATCTGTGAACGCTCTGGAACGGTGATGGGCCACCGTGATCGTTTTAAGTGTTCAATATGAACCCTAGCAACTTTTACAGATAGTTGAAACCAATTCAAGCGAGCTCCCAGGTATTCTGCTCAACTATGAACTGGAGAGATACATCTGGGTTCGTAAGATAGCGGCCCCCCGATCAGAGACTAGGTCAATGGGAAGACGACCCGCCGGTGTCAGTTCGAACGCTAGGTCATCACCGTCTCGGACGCGGGTTTTACATTCTAAGGTCTTTGCATTTATCGGTAAGCCCTGGTAGATATAGATCCATTCCGGGCTAACCGTAGAGGGATCTATGTCACCATACATGGGAAGACTGATTGTCCACCCAAAGTCGCTGACCGTGAATACATGGCCATCTTTACTATCTCCCCGGCGGAGAAAAAGATCCGATCCGACAAGAAGACGACATTTAGGAGAGAGATAGTTATCTTTATGGCTAGGGAACAAGCGACCGCACTATCAATGGAATCGGCCCCGATGGCAGCTCTCAAGTGCTAGCAACTCTGCCTGCGGAAGTCGCCGGCATTGTGGCTTGAGACATTGATATCAACGGGCGATACTGGATTACGGCACAAGTGCGGAATTGCTACCGAATCGATCTTGCCCCTGGGTCCAGCAGCTACGCCCAGGTCATCGAGTCCGGCAACACCAATCTCGCCACCAGTTTCAGTATCATCGACTGGGTCGCACTGGCCAATGTGAATAATTACCTATACGCCGTAACTTCAGAAAACTCCCAGACTCAGACATACCTCATGCAATTTGACAAGACCACCAAGCTGTTTACCATTATTGCAAGCTACGCTCCATCGCAGGCAATACCTAGTGTGCTGGGTATTCGACCGCAGACTGGAACATATACGCTTCGGAAAACACCTCCGGTCAGATATGACAATTTCCCATAAACCGAGGAGCCCCGTCACTTCAAACCCAGGGCAACCCGACAAGCGTCAATGACGGGCCTAGATGTGCTTATAACGGAGCGCCTATTACATCGTGATCCCGGCGTGTCATTCATGCATCTGTCGACGCGCGGCCTGGACAAAGCTTCATCTAAGTCTGTCAGGCATACTTATCACTCACCACGGCAGGCCCTCATGGTCGAAGTCTCCCTGCCCCTAGAAAGGTTGCTCGTTGTTAAGCAGCAGACCAGGACATAGTTGAGCGCAACGTCTCTGTCTGTACTACAAGATCCCATTATCACGGAAAAGTGTGTTTGCTTTTGAGTTTTCGGAGAAAGCAACGCCTTCACCGGGGCTGCCGAAAAAAGATCGCGAATCCTCCGGTGGAAGAGGCAAGCAGGGAGCAGGAGAACCACTGATCCATTGACTACGGAGTATGGAGTACAAAGTCTAGGTACATAGGTAGTAGGTAATTTTGCTAGTTTCATAGTGCCCTCAACAATCATTTTTACGTTCCCCTACTCGCAGCTTCAGAAAGGGGCCACGAGAAGACCGTACAGATACTGATTGAACCAGGGGCGGAGGTGGACGACCTTAATCGTGCTCTCTCAAGAGATTCACGCCATGGCCTCGAAAACGCTAGCCAGTTGTTGGTTGGGCAAGGAGCGGACGTAGGTCATTGCCGCATACTTCCTTATACGCAGCATCACAGGCTGGTCACGAGAATATTGCACAAACGTTGATCCAACAGAATGTAGAAGAAGTGGACGAAAATACTTCGAGAAGACCTATATAGATGTGCCCTTGCGGTGGTATCATTTGCGGAGGTGTCGAAGGTACGCTGACCACTGCAACCTCTGACTTCACCCCAATTGATGAACCAGTTACCAGACTAAAATTGTGAATCCTGTAGATTCCGCATTTAATTTTGGGAGCAGGCCAGATACTGGTAATAAGAGCCTCTAGATATCTTTAACTAGACCGCATTGCATGATCCAAGAGGATGCTGGTTTCAGTATTCATCTGATCCATGAAACTATGCTCCAACTACGAGCGGGAGTGAGATCTCACAAGCGAACCCACAACCTGAGAATACGTATTAGACGAGCGGCGAACCGTCCAAAGTCTACCATTTGAACAGTTTTACATAAGTCCGCTGCTGGATCGAAAGGAAGTCCGACGGGAATTCCTCGCCACCCAGTCTATACATAATTCAAGCCTCTATATCCAACATGAACTTTACAGACAGCCGTCGAATACGAACGTGGTCTGGGACCTCGCTTGCAGCCGCCACCAGGGGGTTGATGTTGGAGGATTTGGACTGTGCAATTGTACAGGCCAATCGATACCAGGCAAGTCAGCGTAGATGAGATTTCTGTCTTCTTCTACTCTATGGTCACCGTTCTGATTTATATAGAAAATCACTAGGCAAACAACCTCCTGGAGCCAATTTTCCATGATTCCAAAGCATTCCAGAGGCTGTAGCACTTACGCGTTTATCGTCGTCATGAGGTTGCCTGTGCCACTGACTTTAGTGCTTTATCTTGTTAGCGCGTTACGTGTTTGAGGTTTAGTGTGCACTAGTCACCTTGGCGCCAACAGTTGAAAAGACGACCAGATCTCTGGAAATGCCTCAGGGTTGCTTGCTCCTCCAGATCAATGGCCATCTCCGCTACACGGGCAGTGAGTAGCGAGTCCCAGATGCCTTCCTTGCGACTGCAGATTTCCAAGAGATGGAGAACTTGGTGCTGTATTTGCGCATCTCGGCAGTGGGCGCAGACGATGAATAATGAGTAGATGATACCGAGGCCAACTGAGGATGTGGGTTTGATGATAGGGCTAGCGTCATGACTGAGTGTTTGGCTGATACTTCTCCTATCCGGTACCTCTGAGAGAGTGTCTAGCTTGCCGTCGACGTTGCAGCTGATCCTAGATTTGCTAGGCATGGATGACCGTAGACTCTAGAACAAAAGTGGTGCATATCAGTGACCCTGACCCTCTAGATAGTAATGAATCGGCATCAAATGAGGTATCCTTTCGACGCGGAGATGATGTATACTCTACCCTGCTTCTAGTTTGAGGGATGCAATGCAGACTTGAAACACTCAGGTTGATGAATCTAGCAGCTGCGCTTGTTACGCTCGGAATTCGGACTCAAACGTATCTACTGGATTCTCGTAGGACGCAAAACTAAAGCTCAGCGTGATAGTAAGAGTTGTCCTGTGTATCTGAAGCAATAGAAGCGCCGGATTGTCTCCAATAAACGCAGATCGCATGAGATCAGGGCTTGCCGTTAACAAGGATCCGAAATCCGCAGACCAACTTTCAACTGTTTCTGTCAATTCTCTCACCCTTTACGTCAACACAGCTTTCCTGTCGTTTGTGGTGTTGACAGCCCGAGTAGAATAATCAAAGCACTCAAGGTGGGCACTTCGAATGATCTCTAGCCTTGTCATGGCTTCTTCAAGAGAGGAGAATCCAGCCAAGATTCTGATAGGGGTTTCCAGAAATCTTTCAGAGTCAGCACACGCTTCTCCACGATCCCCGATCTCTAGAACCTGCGTTTCTATAGTACGAAACGACCAGTTCATGGCCTGAAAAGCACCAGGAGATGCTCTAGTGACCCGTCCTCCGACGACTAGTCCATGTAGTAGCTTCAGCCCAGAATTCAAATGCGTTAATGCTAATGAGTAATGTCCTTGTAGACTCTCGAAAGAAGCGAAGAGAAGGCAGGTTCGCAGTGCTACATTAGTAGCTTCAGGTGATTTAGCGACATCAAGCCGCACAACCTCCCGGATAGCCTTACCGTATTGCTGCATTGAAAACTCGAGCTTGTCTAGATGGCTGATCTCGCTTCTCATAGTGTTCGTGCAAAGAGCTTCATGCGACTACCGCGTGCAAGGTTGCTTTCTCATAGTGCGTCTCGCGTGTCATAGATGACCACGCTTCGCTGGAGAAAGGACCTCCCATCTCGGGCGCGGTACGCAGGCGGAAAATTGAAGAGAGCGAGCCTCTTGTGGAGCCACATATGGTTGAGAGCTTGGATATTCCGGAAACAATGCGACATATCTAATTATCCTCAGCTGATCAGTGGTCAGCCTCTGCTTCTTTTCATTGGTCCCATATACTCATTTCCGGCGACCTCTGACACAATGTTGGCAAACTTGGTGCTCCTCATCGCACTTCAGATGTCGAGTCCTAATCGACAATATCAGCGAGCGGCGGCTTGGGGGGTTCGATGTCATACTTGCAGGTCACACACCCCGACCTCACTCTGCTCGTCCCCTGACGAGACTTCGCACTCGTAATAACCATTCCAAATAGGGGTATCGTTACAACTGGAGCGGCTTGCGAAGCACCTTGAATATGGAATCTATCAGAGACTTGCTCAGCATACCCATGAGCAGAGTCTCTCCTACGAGAAATAGTGCCAAATTTTAAGGAAAGGCTGATTCGAGGCAGCTTGCTTTCAGGCCTACCATAGGGACCCAGGACCCATTGCTCTATCAGGGGTAATATTTCCGTCGCTTCTGCGCCTAAATCTTCTTGCTCAAACGTGTTAGTATTATACGACGGTGCATTAGCAGCCGCTTAAAGAATATCGCCCTCGAACCAGAAATTGTGGAGAACAGCCCCATCTAGAAAATGTGAAATTCAGAGACTGAGAACCGTCTAGGTTGCGGCCGCTCCGTGAATCGCCAGGCTAAGAAGAGCAAAAGTAATACTGTAATGACGAGGGAGTCGAGATGCAGAGTGTTTTGATGAGCAGAAAGACTTTTGCTGTCGCTATCCGTCTGTATGCCATCAATGCCGTCAATTCAGCACTCTTCTGACTGCATGATGGCTGTGAGGAAGGAATGCAACAGATTCGATGTCGCAGCACTTTCCTATCTCAAACCGATGAAATTGATAAGTAAATCCGCATTGTGGGCATCGGCATTGCTTCCGACAATGTTCAAGTACATGCCAGAAGAAGCGGTCACTTATAATGGCAATGAAGCGATCGTGAAACAGAAAAGTTGTCGCTCAACACTTTGTGTACATTGCAAGCTGTTTGTGCTATCGAGTCGCAGCGTCGGTGTCTCAATGGGCAAAAATGAAGAATTAGTCATTGGGAATCTCAAGTCTAGGCACTTACCCTGAAACTTCCAGGAGAGTGCGAATAAGATAGCGTACGCCATGTCTGCAAATACCCACGGATCGTGTGCAGCCTGATCGAAGGAAATTGCTTTCATGGTATATGCTTGTACTGGGTGAAACGAGTAGCAACACTCATTGTTCAGGAGTGCGCGTCAGAGAGCCCAGTTTGATGCTTTTGATATCGGAGTCAGGACGTCATGGAGCGCTGCAGATAGTCTTTCTGCATTCTCACTTATGTACACCAATTGATCGTGCACTAATGAACTCCGTGAATGGCATACACAGTATAGCCGTGGGTAGAAATGAGGTGGAATAGGATATGGTATATGCTCGGTCAAAGAATGGCGTCACCATTTTCAAAGTGCTTGGTAGGGTGTCTAACCGCTAGCTGCCCCCCAGCAAGGAGTGGTAGACACAACTCAGGGGATCTAGCGCTTTGAAGGAGACAAATCAGAGCATTGAGACCCTAGTTACCGGTTGAGCCTGGCGGCTTTGAAACGACTGACCTTTTTCTCCTTGCCCGTCTGCTCATCTTTTTCCCTCATGGGAGTGATTGCCTCACCGTAATTATCGTCTTCGCCGTCTCCGGTGAATCCACCCTGTTGGGCATGTATCCTTTTCATGCGCATACGTTGATACTCCATTGTTATCTCACGCTGGTGAGATGCATCTGAGAAGTCGTTTGGATCAGGTGCCGCTGTAGTCTTTGATGCTGGACGCTCGACTAAATCTCGAGAAATTATGGTGGATAGTGAGATTGGTCTAGTTGAGCTCAACTCGGCTTCCTTCTCAGGTTCGGTAGAAGAGTTTGCGGAGTCTTTAGAGATGGGTTTTCGTGACCTAGATTCTCGACTAGACTTGGAGAGAGACTTTTTGGGGGTTGCTGATGGTGGCGCGCCGGCCGTGATTGCATCGTCTTCACTTGAGGGAACTGTCCGTTCAATGACAGACTCAACAACAGGCCTCACGTATGGCTTCTGGATGCTGCTATTTGCCGTCTGACCGGATGAAGGATTCTCATTATTCGAATTTCCGGGAGCAATATGTAGCTCTGAAGAAAAGGCGACACTTTTCTTCTTTGGCTTCTCCTTTGACACATGTCCACCTTCACGGGCGTGAGGCTTCAAGCTACTCTTTGCAGCCCCAGTTTGTCTTGCTATAGCTGCCCTACGAGCAGCTTCAGCTGCTGAAGGCCGATTGCTAGTAGTATCTTGACCGCAATCGTGTTTAGGTTCCACTTCTGCTCCAATATTCTTCACTCCTAACTTGGCCTGCAAGTCCTCCATTTGCTGTTTGTACGTTCGTGATAAGCGAAGACGCTGCTTACTCTTGCCAGCCTCGTCCTCGGACTCGTCGTCGTCCTCATCGTCATCAAAGTCAGATTCGACATCAAAGTTGTCATCATCTTCGTCGTAGGAAAAATCAGAGGCACCTTCCTCCAGGTCAAGTTCTGCAACGATTGCACCAACTTCATCCAGACCATTCCGATAATCGAGCATTTCTTGTCGCAACAGAGCTTCCTCTTCAGTATCGTCAGATCTCATCTTTGCATCAGTTTGCGATACAGTCCCAAGATCGTTCTGGGGATCCTGTTGCTTGGTCAAATTTGACTCAACTCTGTGATTGCCGGCAGAGACGTTGGTTTTTGTGATGGTGCCGTTAGTTTCTTTCAGATCATTAATTCCCACCTTTTTCAAAACATCGATCAGTTGAGGCGCATCTGTTCCTGGATTCTGCACTTTGCTCGAAATGACATTTCCGGATTCGTCGAGCTCTTCCGTGATTTCTGCTAAAGGAAGTCCGGCATCGTCCCGATGCTCCGGCTCCTCTGCAAGGAGTAGCGCGTTTCTTTTCTTCTCTGCATCTGAAAGCTGCTTTCTCACTGTCTCGACATTTTTGGACACATAGTCGATACGATTAGATAGGAGATCCACTAATTGTGAGGGACGGCGAGTGGGTGGGGTGTTGACCCTCAGAAGAGATTTTAATTCCTTCTCATCGACAAGCTCAGCCTTAAAGTCGAGCCCGGCTTGGAGACACTCGCCCATGGAAGAATCTTCCGAAAGTCCCATAAATTCTTCCTTCAATCCCTCATAATCAATTTCCAGGGTTTGCCAGTGCCGGAGTGATTCACGTAATTTAGTGATACTAGACTCGAGCCCGAGTCTTTGCCTTTCCACTCTGGCTAGAGCAGTGGCATCCATTTTTGATCGGGCGGAATGTTGAAGCCCAGCCGCCGCACCCGTGATAGAAATTTGGGCTCAAAGCACAGGAGAGGCTGTTGGTAAAAATTTGGGAGTCGATGAATAGGGAGGAAAACAAGTGCGGCACGTGGAATGTGACAGAACCCTGCCGTCTGACAGCTTCAAATGACCACCGTCTCCATTACTTGTTGGGACTTCATCTCATCTCTCAATCCATAGAGGCGTTGCTCCTCCTTTAAATGAACGACAAGATTGCATTTGTCCCTCATGCAGCTGCTGTAACTATGCAGGGACAATTGCAGATTGTGGCAAGCAACTATCATGGATGAAGACGACACCCTTGGTACGCTCCCTCTCCTGTCCTTGGCTATCTTGCTCTCTTGAACTGCGAACTGATATTGAAGGCTAGCACCAAACAAATGTCCAGTCTGCGGCAGTGATCCTCGTACCCACCCTGGGTTACGCTTCAAAATCAATACGAAATGCTACCACAGGATATGTGAAGGATGTGTCGACCGAAATTTCTCCAGTGGCAAGGCAGAGTGTCCAGTTGGCGGATGTCACGTGAATCTGTGGAAACGGGAATGGCGGACACAGACCTTCGAAGATCTGAAGATTGAACGAGAGGTTGAAATTCGTAGGAAGGTGAACAGGTTGTAAGTTTGAGACTCACGTTGAGGTATCGTGTCTGCTTACTGAAACACTTAGGCTTGAACGTCAAGAAACGGAATTCGAGAGCAAGCGGGATTTTGACGATTTCTTAGAACTACGAGAGGAATTGATCATGAATCTTGTTTTTCGCACGGACGTAGCAGCAACGAACCGCAAGCTCAAGGAATATGCACAGGCAAATGGCATCAAACCGGATACGACCGATCCTGCTGAGACAGCATTGAAAGTTGTTAAGCGAAAAGACACAGATGCCGCGGATCCGAGTGGGCTGATTAAAGGCCTCAAAAAGATCATCAGACCCAAAGCGAGAGCACCGTATGATCCCTTCATGGGTATGCCACGAACGCAAGACTATTATGAAGTCAAGGACAGCTATATTACTCGCTTGAAACAGGGAAAGAAGAACGATGTCAAGGACGCTTCAGGTTACAGCGATTGGGACTATGCCAATGAATGTCTCAATCGAGCATTCGCAGGACTTGGAGTGTTCATCGACGATGAGGTGTCCACCAAAAACAACACGAATGTCCCACGAGCCAGCGTCCCTGCTTCCAAAGCTACAGGTGACGTATTCTCATGAGGGGACGATGGCAGCTTTGGAGTAGTTTTATCGAAAAAGCATTTGTTTAGATGGTGATGGAGGAAGTTTCAGTTCACTGAAAGATGCGACAGAAAGACTTCTCGCTAGCCATGAGTCACCCACTTCGCTTACCAGTACAACAACCCCTTCCCCAACTTGCTCAAAGGTTTTAAAAACAAAGTTAAAAGACCGAACGTGGTCCGAACACGTGACCTAGAAGTGTTTGATATGGACTGACACATCGATCCAGCCATTAACCATAAAGATAAATAGTTCATCAACTGTGTCGAGTATGTGAGCCAAAAAGTCGGCCCGCGTTGAATAACTGAGAATATGCTTTGCTTATATAAGTGTTTGGCGTGAAATTTCAACCCTGTCTCCATGACTGCCCCAGGAGATGGGGAATGTACCTAAGGCTATGGTCAAGGGAAATAGAGAGGGTTCCTGAGGACACCAAGACCTTTTTGTCTCGAATCAGCTTATCACCCTCGAGTTTGAAGCAAGACTTACCTCGTGATGTACGTGAGAAAGGATCTGACCGACCCCACGTGACCTTGAAATGCTCCCATCTAATCTAATCTCTGCCAAGATTTCATCCAAGACCAAAGTTTCGTTTCCCACATCGCCCGCTGCATGTATCGAGGAGCGACGACGAGGTATCCAACCGCATCAAGCGCATCTCTACCACATAACCGCCGTCATGCCAGGCCCCTCAAATACCCTACTGATTGAGGGTACCTTCTCCGAACTTGCTGAAGAACTCGCGCACTATATCGATGCTCTAGCCAAAGCAGAGGAAGGCGCTGGCGTTCAAGCCGAGATAGAACAACTTTTGGGTGCGATCAGAGAAGTAGAACAGTCACCGGACTCCGCAGATGAAGCGTCAATACAAAAACAGAAAGACGAGGTGTTGAAAAAGGTGGTCACAAAAGCGACTGTCCTCAATTCCGCGCCTGAAAGAGGTACAAAATTCCCTCGAGGTTTAGCGAGTACCATAACTAACATTCAACATAGAGTTCACCGCAGCTTATAACCTTTTGATAAGCCTTTCATCACAGTCCTCAATTCGGGATCAGATCTTTGCGCGTATATGCCAATATCTGTCCGAACATCCCATTACCTCATCCCCAACATATGGCAACTCCCTCGCCGTTCAGACTCTTACCACCATCTTCAACGTCCTCCCTCTGACCAGCGAGTCGCGGTACCATGTTTTCCTTGCAATACTTAAAGTTCTCAAATCCATCAGTTCGCCTCAATCCTTCGACGCCCTCATCCCGCAACTCGAGTCCAATATCCCCAACTGGCTATCCGCCTGGCAACTGGACGAGGAGGATGCACGGGCTCTCTACCTAGCGGTTGCAGAAGTCGCCAGCACAACAGGCAATGAGAATCTTGCATATGTCTACATGCTGAAGGCCCTCGAAGCGATCCCGCCTGACTCAGTCTCCGAGCATGATGCTCTCGAACTTGCCAAGCGCACTCTACGGGCCGCTCTGATAAACCCAAGCGTCACTGACTTTACACCTTTGACCGCCTCCGACGCCATCCAAGCAGTTCGCAAATCGGACAGCAATCTGTTCGACCTGCTTGAGATCTTCTCGTCCGACGACTACTCCTCATATATTGATTTCCTCGAAACCAACGAACTTTCTTCTCTAGGCATCGATGACTCCCATGCCGAGGTGCTCAGCAACAAGATCCGATTGCTCACACTCGCAACCATCGCTGCCTCGTCACAGACTCGCTCCGTCTCATACTCGACCATCGCTTCTGCCCTGCAGATTCCCTCAGAGGACGTGGAGATGTGGGTCATCGACACGATCCGCGCGGGTCTCGTTGAGGGAAAACTGTCGCAGCTGAAACAGGAGTTCCTGGTCCAGCGCGCCACGTATCGAGTGTTCGGCGAAAAGCAGTGGGCTGAGATCCAGGGCCGCCTGAACGTGTGGCGTCGCAGTCTCGAGTCAGTGTTGCAGGTTGTCAAGACTGAGCGTGAGCGTTTTGCGCGTGAAGGCCCTGGTGGCGGCCCAGAGAGCGGTGTGAATGGGTTCGCCAACGATGGTGAGGGAGGCGGTAGACAGCATGGAGGTGGTGACAGACAACAGCGACGCCAGGGTGGAGGTCGAGGCGGACGTGGAGGTCAACACCGCGAGCCCCGTGAGCCTCGTGAGCATCATCACCAGGGGCCTCGTGAGGTCGATGCAGTTGGTGGTGGAGATTAGCGGAATCCTCGGCAAGTAACTAGTTCTGCGAGCTTCTTCTGGCGCTTCAGATCGTGGTACCCCGGGGTTTCTTGTATTCGCCAAAGAGGCCGAGGACGCTAGGCGTCATTACTAAGAGTGCATTTCATGGAGCGAGGAGGAAACGAGCCGCGTAGCATGCAAGGACTCGATGAAAAGATCGACTTGCGGGTGATGCGCTGCGGGCGTATTGCATGTCTGGACGAGAAGCACGCAGGACCGAGGCCACGAGACTCCAATTTAGATATGACTGCTCAAAAATTCCCGGCACAGCCTCTCTCCCTGCAAATGTAACTACAAACACAAACCGATTCCAAACACACTTGCCCCATGATCTAGGCATTTTATCCAAATTCCCAACTAGTATTGACAGTTTGTTCTGCTTGGAGATAGCGAGGCCTTTGCGACGATTCATGTCCCCTCGACAATAGAAAATGCTCCAATAACTAAATGGTGCCTCCTACATCTGCATCATGCGAGCGAAGAAGATCGAGCGAAAAGATGGTTTATTTTGAAAGTATGCTTGAAAATTGCACGCTCTGCGCTTCAGGGCCTTGCTCCTGAAGCGAAAGTTGAACTATGAGGCATCGTCTGACTACATGATTACCTAGTACATAGTACCTATTCCTGCTGAAATATGATGCGAAAGTGCTCTATCCACTCCACACGCCAGTGCTTTGGCTTGACTAGAACACCGCCTGTAACCTTGCACGAATGCATCCGATACAACACAGTAGCAACACAGATACGGGGCTGATATATTCCGAATAACTTCATCCATCTCTGAGTGTGCATTAACGCAACACGATATGTGTGTCCAATGATCCTTGACCATGAAGCCTTTCTTCATGTCTGCATGGTTGGTTGTGCTTGCCTCGGGCTGCTTTGCGGACCTGCTCCATTGCCATTGACGTTGCTTTGGCTCCCAGATCTTTGATCTCTTGGAGTCGCACTTCGGCTCATTTGACCTTGGTTTGTATGCTGACTCACTGGCCTTGCGATATTCATCACTGGTGAATTCGACATGCCATTCGGCATTCCGCCCATCATTCCTGGTTGCATTTGTCCTTGCATGCTTCGTGCCGCATTCTGTTGAGCTTGTTGCATTCTCAGGCGTTGGTTGTACTGTTGTACTTGTTCGTTGGTCATCATACCTGGATGCCCATATTGAGCGGCGGCGGCAGCGGCGGCGGCGGCGTTAGAAGCATGATTCCCTGCATTAACGGCTCCAATAGCAGCATTCAGAGCAGCTTGATTGTGTGGCGGGCGCTTGAGAGTTTGACCAGCGGCTGCTGCGGTTGCTTGCTGTTGGTAGGAGGAGATCTGCTGGGATGCAAGCCGTTGAATATCCTCTTCTGGAAGATTTGGATGGTGCTCCCGGATCTTGTTGGCGACCTGAGTTAGGACAGGAATGTGACCACTCGACAATGCTTGACCAGAAGACGGCGGACGAGGTGAGGCAACATTACCACTTATTGGGCCAGAAGGAGAAGGGACGCCATTTGCACCGGCCATTGCTACCATGTAGGCGGGATTATTCATGCCTTTGCCGTTAGCAAGAGTAGCATGTGGACCACTTGGCGACGAATGGGCTCCATTTTGGGCTTGCTGGGCTTGTCTCATCAGTTGTTCCTGTTGGACCCTGGAGGCTTCTTGCAGCATACGCATTTGCTGAGGAGAAGTTGCCTGGCCCCGAGCAGCCATCTGCGCCTGCATTTGAGCTTGCATCTGTGGAGTCATACCCTTCGGACCCATCATGCCTGCTGGCATAGGCATGTTGTTTTGCATCGCCATCATACCCGGATGAGGACGAGGCTGCCCATTGGGAACTTGCAAATTCCCATTTGGCATTCCAGGCATTCCACCAGCAGACGGGGGCCCTCGAATACCCATTCCACCTTGAGGCATACCGTTTGGTATACCATTCGGCTGAGCATTTTGTCCACGTTGCTGCTGTGCCGTAGCTCGCTGATGTGCTATGAGTTGTTGTCGATATATTTCTTGTCGTTCAGCCATCTTTTGTTCACGTTCTTGTTTGAGTTGCGAAAATTCGGCAGGAGTTTTATAAGTAGGCTTTGGAACGTTTGCATCATTGACTTTGCGCATGGCGGCCAAATCAGCTTGATGCTGTTGCTTCTGGATAGTTGTTTCGCGCTTCTTCGCAAGCTTCCGCATGGCATCCAGCATGGCCAGGTGACGTTGGGTTCTCTTGCGCTCGACACGTACTGGCTGCGTGGTTCTTTTGCGGTTCGAGATTTGGACATTGGCCCCAGCCCTCCGCTGAGCTTCCTCAATCTGCGCAGCAACATGCCTCCCGGCCGCCTCGATTCTGCCAGAATAGGTCTTGAAGTACGCGGTCTTGGACATGTCGGCCGGTAGGCCTTCGAGTCCGATCCATCGTTCAAAACATTCCCATGGTGTTCTACGGTCAGCTCCTGAAGTATACGAGGTTCGAGGATGCAGGCAGCTTGATATGAGGGACCAGTTGTAGGAATACTCTTTGACCAGCTTTCGGAGCTCATCATCCTCAGAGTGTGTCCATTGAGACGATGATCTGGTCTCAAAAAAGGCCTGGCTTGGCATTGGGTGTTCTGATGGAGGTCGGAAGGAATGCCCAGGATGGATCCTGTCGCGAATACTCTTGTTCTCAGGCATGAAAAGTGCAACATTGCTCTCCTCTGGAGGCAGAAGTGGGGACTTCTTCTTTGTCGGAGGCTCAAGTTCGTATTCGTACCGGCTCCGCTTTCTCGGGGGCTTGTAGTCCTTGATGGGTAGCTTTTCTGTCGCCCATCGCGATACTGGTACAATGTCTGTCCTCCATTTGGAATCTAGCCGTTCGGCAAGATTCGATTTGGACAGACCAGGCTCAACAGCTGTAGGCTCGTACAGAGGTAGCTCATTTAAGAGTTGCTCAAACGCCGGGGTTTTGTCAACCGCAAAGGCAAATTCGGATGGGCCCAGAGAGAAGATAGCAGCAGGAGCACTTGCGAGCTGTATCTCGCGGGGATCGGCAATGTCATCACTCATAGAATCGTCCTCACTAGATGGCATCAATTCTGGCGTTGGTTGGGAGGAGATGGTCTGGCCTGCGCCATTCTCCATGACGAGATCTTCTTCAGATCGTTTTGGAAGGAACCTCGGAGATCGAGTTCTCACTTGTAAGCGCTTTCGCTCCTCTACAGTGCTCGAGACCCATTCTGCACAGCAATCAGCCAGATCCTTAGCTGCTACCATCTTCCATTTTCGCTCCTCTCGGAAGTCCGTCCTGAGCCACTTAACGTGATCGAGCAGGAAATCCCAATGTGATGTTGGCCTTGGGGCCTCATCCGCTCGCTTGTATTGCCTCAGCGCCCAGCGTTGCTTTTCTTGCAGTTGGTAGAGCCGCTTTAAGATTCTACATTCTGCAGAAAGCTCGTACTCAATCAGGTGATCCGAGGTAGACAAGGTCTTATGGGCGTTTTGAATCAGATAAGACATCGAGGTTTGGCGTGACATGGAATGCGCCTTGTTCTCGAATAGCGTGTAGAGGTAGTCTCTTTCTCCAGGATTTGCCTTTTGATCAACACGACCATCAAGCCTTGCTAGCTCCAGGCTCTGCTCGCCATTGAGAGGTTTCTGCGGTTTAGCGAAGACGACTGTGGACAGTCGACTTCTTTCCCTTTCTCGACGATCACGATCAGCTGTTTGGCCTTGCAGAGATGCCGCTGGAGATGAGGGGGATTCGCCTTGTGGCGTTGATGGCTTGGGAGTTTCTCCTAGTATCTCGGACACCGACTTCTTCTGTAGGACGCCAGACGATATTCTTGTCGCTCTCTTTGGCGGTTCCTGTGTGGAAGGTGTTGTCGCCGCATTTCGCCTAGGTGTGGCAGCCGTGGAAATTGGCGCCGGACTCTCGACAACAGCTGAACTAGAGGTAGGCTTAGAATATGAATCTATACCTATCTGTGTGTCGATGCGCATGGTTGGCTTCGGTGTTGTCGACGATTTCGTCATTTGGAACTGTTGGTTGGAGTGGATGGACGTTGGCGCTTCCATGTTAGATGATTGATTTCTAGTCATATCGACATCTGCAGGCTGTTTTGGTTCATTATTTATTTGCTTGGGTGACATGTTTGGAGCCTCTTGAGATGCTGAGTCCGCGTGATACTCATCCGGCGGTTTGTGTCCGGTGGCAGAGTTCTGCGATATCAGTGGTAAATCTACACTGGGACTCGTGCCTGGTGAGCCAGCAGTTGGGGCCGGAGTATTGGAAGAGTCGACTCCATTGGTAGAAGCTGGAGAAGATTGAGCATCTATAGCGGGCGCTCCGGGTGCCTGAATATGGACAGCCGGTAATTCAACCGAGCCACTATGATCGGAGGTGAGGGCGTCTTCTCCCAAGGAAACACTGTTCAGAGGGTCTGCAGCTCCTCCTGTACTGACTCCAGTGCTCTCTTTCGTCACGGCATTCTCGGTCGAAATGACTGGAGACTTTGGGGGATGGCTAACGTTTGAGTCCTTCGAAACAGCATCTGGTTCGACATCCAGCGCAACTGGGTCTATGTCAGTCGGTGTCTCGACATCCGTACCACGAGTTGGATCCACAGGCTTGACTGGTGCGTTCTTGTTGTTTTGTTCGTCGACGACGGCTCGCAGAGGCGTTTGACGGCTGGGTGATTCTGACTTGGTCGAATTAATCGGGACAGGCGACGGCGACGCGTCGGAATTGTGGACGACTGATGATTTCTGGGTGCCATCGCTAGGCCGTAGTGTAGAGGGAGACTGCGGTAAGGGCTTGTTCTTGCGTGTTTGAACAACTATGGGTGATCGAGATGGGAGTGTGAACTCGTCGAACAATCGACCTCTGAAGAAGAGTGAGTAGAGTGGTCAAACCACGACAGAGACGTGTGATATTGTAAGGGAACGACCATGGGATGATAGCGACATGGGAAACATACCGTTCCAGATTATTTGCATCGTGGAAAGCCTGGAGTTGCTGTTTATAGTTGGGCTCGTCGAGGGCTAGTTGGTACGCGGTGATGGAGAAGAGTTCGGACAATTTGCGCTTTCTCGACAGCAAACGACTTCTGAAATTCACCAAAATTGATCAGTGGACTGTGTGGAAGATGGCCATGGGTTTGGAAGGCCATAAGACAATATTGCAAGAAGACTACTGACTGTGCTTCAGCCTTCTTTTTCCGCAGCTGCTCGACGTGCATTTCATTTATCGAAATCGACGTGCTTCCATCGAAACAATTGCTGATGTTCGTATGACGGCCAGCTGGTAGCCGGCAGAGATGAACAACCCGATCAGAATGGATTGTTTGGGCGCGTTGTGGTTGGTTTGAGGCTGTTGAAGTTGGTTGACCTGGTGGGTGCTGGTGACAGATTTAGGTGTTCTGGCAAGAATTGCAGGTGGTGCAGAAAGGCAGGCGGGGGGAGACTTGGGATGATTTGGGGAGGAGGCACGGGGGGGCACTTCAGTTGCAGTCGTGCCCAAAGCCTCACTGAGCTCCCCTTCGCCCACCGCACTGGCATGTCATGGACTCATGGACTACTGGACCCTTTAGGGCAGGGGGGTGCTAACCAGAGGTATTTGGTCTTAGCCAACCTGGCGGGAGGCCGAGGGCTGCCTTTCTGTCGGTTCCCTCTCCTTTCTGCCCGTGCCTTTTGGTCCCAGTCCCATACGAAGTACGGAGTCCTGCCATTCTCTACCATTCTCCCTCCCGCGACCGCTCCCACTTGGGCTGCCGCTACTAATATTGTTATTGCTCGTCCCCAATCCCCAGTCATTTCAGATTCAGCCAGTTGATGGAGCCACTTCGTTGATTATTGAACCCACTGGTACGCTAAACCACCTCTGTTCCGCGGCATAATTAACTTTTTTCCTTCCCATGACAAAACCTTTGGGCTCCAAACTTTCCATTTTTGGTCTGAGCAATATTAGCCCGTTGGCCTACACAACATACATACATCAGGTACACAGTCACGCCTCTTCGGGCTGTTTTGGTATTCATTTAGGGCCAAGAAGATCTTTTGCAGTCGTTCGTATCTAATTACTCATTTGACTGGTGGCATTTTTGTTCCAGCAAATTTTAATCATGGCCAAAAGAAAGCGAGAGGCAAACACAAACACCACATCAAAGCCAGCCTCCCAAAAAGATGATACCACAGTCTCCAAAATAACAAAAACTAACGGTCACATCGACGTCAAGACTATAGAACCAGTCATTCAGATTATTACCGGGTCATACGAGCGAGTCTTGCATGGCATCACGGCAACAATATCAAACCTGTCACAGTCGGCTCCGTCTGTCAAATTTGCAGACTCCTTTCTTTTCAACGCACATGCCTCGGCCATCCGATGTCTAGCACTATCACCCCTTCCAGAGCCAGACTCGGATGAGACTCAAGGCGTATATCTGGCAACCGGGGGCTCCGATGAGAAGATCAACGTCTACAGCCTATCCGCCTCTCCAGTGGTTGAAGATGGCAAATTCCCAGCCATGCCTTCAGTGGGCAACAAGGCGATATCAGAGAACCCGCAGAACCGTGAACTGGGCACTCTGCTCCACCACTCATCCAACATCACTGCACTGCATTTCCCAACCCGGTCGAAACTACTCTCAGCCTCCGAAGACAACAACATCGCGGTCACGAGGCTGAGAGATCTCACTGTTGTGTCAGCCGTCAAAGCTCCGCATCCCAAAGTCCAGGGTCAACCTAGCGGCGACACCGCACCGCCAGGCGCGACACCAGCTGGTGTGAACGACTTCGCCGTCCATCCTAGCCTGAAGTTGATGGTTAGCGTGGGACGCGGTGAGCGATGCATGAGACTATGGAATCTCGTGACGGGAAAGAAAGCCGGCGTCCTCAATTTCAGCCGAGACATCCTGCAAAGCGTCAAAGAAGGAAAATACAGCAGCGGCGAAGGACGCCGGATCAGATGGAGCCCAGATGGCACGGAGTTTGCAGTGTCGTTCGAACGCGGCGCCGTCGTCTTCGGCGCGGATTCAAAACCAAAGTGCCGGATTCTACCGCAGCCACTCACCAAACTGCACCAGATCGTCTATCTGTCCATACCCAACGGCTCCAACGACGACCCCCCGACCATCATCCTCGCCGTGTCGACCGAAGACGGCAGGATCTTGTTCTACAACACCGACAGACTCGCCGCCGCCGCTGCGGCTTCACCATCATCTACAAATGGTAAAACTACAGGCCCAGAAGTCTCCCCGGCAACGTCGATGCCGGATGCAACTCTCCAGGGCCAGATTGGCGGGAAGACTGGCGGGATTACGGGCCGGGTCAAAGACTTTGAGGTTCTTGTAGTCCCCTCCTCCACGCTGCCTTCATACCCGCGGGATGACAAAGGCTTTATTGTCGCCACGGCAGGCAGTGACGGCTCCATTCGACTATTCTTGCTCAGTCCTCAAGACTTGGGAAGGAAGGTCAAGGAAGGTCAAGCACCGCCTCAGATAGGGATGTTGGTAGGGACGTGTGAGACAGGCAGTAGAGTCACGTGCTTGAAAGCATTTGTGATGTTGCCGGCACGGCGAGTTGGGGAGGACGATCTAGGGGACGGATTTGAGGGATTTGATGAGTCGAGTGCAGAGGAGGATGAGAGTGAGAGCGGGAGTGAGTAAGGCGGTAGTAATGGATGAATCGAGGTGTCATTGACCCCCCAATCTTCCCAATCTGGGACTGAATGAGCTGTTGTGCATAAAAACATTGCTCAGAGCAGTAAAGTAGGAGCGTGACTTCAGAGTACTATATTACATCAAATCAAAGCACCATCGTTCTAGGCGGGAGAAATGTTCTTGTCTGCCAAGCCCTTGACAATATTCTCGTATACGTCGCCGACTGAACCGGTGGCGGAGACGTTGATGACTCTGCCTTCCTTCTCGAACATATCCACCACGGGCATACTTGTCTCCAGAAATGTCCGAAACCGCTTGACGATACTCTCCTCATTATCGTCGATTCTGCCGCTTGTCTTTCCCCGGTTCAGTAAACGTTCCCTCATGACATCCTCGGGGCAGTCGAGAAAGATGGTGCATTTCGAAGGACAGACAGATTCTTCGAAAAAGATGGCCTGATCTAATTTTCGTGGAAACCCATCAATCAAGAATTTGCCCGTGTCACTACCACTCTTGTCTAGACTGGCACGGATGGCGTTTTCAAGTAGTTTGACGGTGATCTCCATCGGAACGATCAAGCCGTCTTTGATGTAGTTTTTGATCAGTTCTCCATATTGGCTACCTTCAGTGTTCTGCTCTTCTCGCAATAAATCGCCAGCAGAGAGGTGGACGAAGCCGTAGTCGCGGACTAGGTTGGCAGACTGTGTTCCTTTTCCAGAGCCGGGGCCACCCAGGATGTATACGACTGTGACTTTCTTAGGATCAAACTCCGGTGAGATATTGCCTGCCGAAGCTCTAGGCAGCTCTGGTTGGGCTAGAGGATCTGCAGTGGCCATGATAAAACAGATTCGAGTTGACGCAACGTCGTTATCGCTCTGTGTGGGCTTTTCTGCGGTTTTCAGGGCCTACTGTTCCTGAATTGCTGTTACGCTGTCTTACAATGAGCGTATAGGAGCCGCTGCTCAGGAGGAATAATAAGAGAAAAGGCCAGAAACGAAGGCGTTCTCCCTGGCCAGCAGGTGGGGGTCTAGTGGTGGTTTTATTGGATGTAGGCGGTGACGAATAGAATCGGGGAAGGCTTGAGGATATGCGAGATCCAGATGATGGACGACCTGGACTGCCCAATAGTACTCTAGAACTGGTTAAGCGTGGGATCATTACTTGTAGGAGGATATGTGAGGATGACTTGGTGGGCGACTGAGGTCAAATGCAAGCCTGTACATAAGATACATCGACGACTTGGACTGGAAAACGTACAGGGGACAATGACGAAACCGAAAGTTGCAGGGCTCTGGGGGGTTAGCAGGCTGCTAGGATGGCTAGTATGTTGATTCGATACATTTACGGCTAGTCTGGGTTAAAAATGGTCAGCACGTGAAATTGGAGCTGAGGGAAAGTGCAACCTGCGTGCTGGTGCAGTAGCCACTGCCAAAAAGTTGAGCCCGACGCGCAAGTTGCAGTGAGAGGAGCGCGGTCTTGGCGTGACCGTTCCGCAGGCATCCCAACTTCCATGGGCCATCCGTCGCCTTCCCCAATTCGACGTTGGCACTCGAGGGTTCCCAAAGTAATCTGTCCAAAGTGTCTCCTTACAAGCTCACAATCAACAATCCATTCTACACCTTTCAGTTCTCCTCCTCCATCAAACTCTCGTATCCTGTCTTTCTCCCTTCATACACTCCCTTCTTTGGTTCACACTCCTTTGGACCTTGATTTCTTCACACCTTCATCCCAGCTTCCTTCCAGTTGCATGAGGCCGCCGCGCCGGTCGCAATTATGGCGCTCCCCATCAAGTTCACTGAACTGACCCAGGTATGTTGATCAAATCATGGATATGGATTCATCATATATCTAACATCTTCCCTAGTTGACCTCACTTGATATTGCGGTAAGCTTGCCTCCAATGCGATTCCACCCACCACATTTTGGCAACATTTGATCTGCCTGCGCCCTCGAGCCACGATACCAATAACATCAAGCAAAACACCATACTAACTCACCATTTTCATCTAGCCACAATCGATATCATTCAACACATGTGTAAGTTATTCTGATCGTAGTCTTCCCGCCCTCGACTCACCTGTACAGACACTAGAGTCCGACCACTTTGTCTGCGTCCGCCAAAAACTTAATGAACAAGACAAACCTCAAGTCATAATCATAAACCTCAAGAAGAACAATGAAGTCATCAAGCGAGCTATCAGTGCCGATAGTGCTATCATGCACTGGTCCCGCGAAATTCTGGCCCTCAAAGCTCAGGGCAGAACCATTCAGGTCTTTGACCTGGGGGCCAAGGCCAAGCTCAAATCCACACAGATGAACGAGGATGTTGTCTTCTGGAAATGGTACAGCGAGCGCAGCTTGGGACTGGTAACGGATAGTTCCGTATATCACTGGGATGTCTTCGACCCAACACAATCTGCCCCTGTCAAAATCTTCGAGCGAAACGCCAATCTCAATGGCTGCCAGATCATCAACTACCGCGTCAGTGATGATGAACAGTGGTCTGTAGTAGTTGGTATCTCTCAAAAAGAAGGAAGGGTCGCTGGTACAATGCAACTCTATTCCCGGAACCGGGGTATTTCCCAGCACATCGAAGGTCATGCGGCAGCATTTGGAACATACCAAGGAGAGGGTATGGCCGCACCCTACAAGTTGTTCACCTTTGCGGTTCGAAACTCCGCGGGTCAGGGCAAGCTGCACGTGGTCGAAATCGATCACGACGAGAACAACCCACGTTTCAATAAGAAAGCTGTCGACCTCTATTTCCCAGAAGAAGCCGCCAGCGACTTCCCGGTTGCCATGCAGATCTCCAAGAAGTACAGTATTATTTACCTGATAACCAAGTATGGCTTCATACACCTCTATGACCTGGAGACTGCAACCTGCTTGTTCATGAATCGCATCTCCAGCGAAACCATCTTTGTCACAACTTCCGACTCCGAGTCGGCCGGTTTTGTTGGCATCAACCGAAAAGGACAGGTTTTGTCTGTGAGCATTGACGAGAACACTGTCATCCCATATCTCCTTCAGAATCCCGCCAATTCGGCCTTGGCTGTCAAGCTGGCTTCGAGGGCAGGCTTGCCAGGTGCCGATAACCTCTACCAACAGCAATTTGAGACTCTGTTTGCGCAAGGGCAATACGCGGAAGCGGCTCAGATTGCGGCAGACTCTCCAAGAGGCTTTTTGAGAACCCCCGAAACTATCAATCGCTTCAAAAGTGCACCTCAGCAAGCCGGCCAGCTGTCTGTCATCCTCCAATATTTCGGAAAGCTCCTAGATAAGGGAAAGCTGAACAAGTATGAAAGTGTCGAGCTGATCAAACCCGTCCTGGCCCAGAACCGAAAAAATCTACTCGACAAGTGGATGAGCGAAGGCAAATTAGAATCTTCCGAGGAGCTTGGTGATATTGTCCGGCTCCACGACTTGGAGATGGCCCTGAAAATCTACAGAGAATCGAATGCCGCACCAAAGGTTGTTGCAGCGCTGGCAGAGACTGGCCGTTTCGAAGAAATCCTTCCATATGCCCAACAGACAGGATACCAACCCGACTTCACCAACTTGCTACAACATATCGTCCGATCTAACCCTGAGAAGGGTTCAGAGTTTGCCACTCAGCTTGCCAACCATGAAGGTGGCCCGCTTGTCGACATTGACAGGGTGGTCGATGTCTTCATGTCCCAGAACATGGTCCAGCAGGCTACAGCCTTCCTGCTAGATGCCTTGAAGGAAAATCGCCCAGAGCAAGGGCAACTTCAGACTCGTCTATTGGAGATGAATCTTCTCAATGCTCCTCAAGTCGCCGATGCTATCCTTGGGAACGAAATGTTCTCTCACTACGACAAGCCAAGAGTTGCTCGATTGTGTGAACAAGCAGGTCTCCTTCAACGTGCTTTGGAGAATACGGATGACACAGCCTCCATCAAGCGCATCATCGTTCAAACTGACAAGCTGAACCCTGAATGGCTACAACAGTACTTTGGCAGAATGTCAGTAGAACAGAGCCTAGACTCTTTGGACGAAATGCTAAAGGTCAACATTCGCCAGAATCTTGCTGCTGTTGTACAGATCGCTACCAAATTCTCTGATCTCTTGGGTTCAAACCGACTGGTCGCTTTGTTCGAAAAGCATCGTACCGCTGAGGGTCTCTACTACTACCTCGGAAGCATCGTTAACCTCAGCGAAGACGCGGATGTGGTCTTCAAATATCTTGAGGCTGCTGTCACCATGCAGCAATTCCAAGAAGTTGAGCGAATCTGTCGCGAAAACAATCACTACAACCCCGAGAAAGTGAAGAATTTCTTGATTGAAGTCAAGTTGGCCGAGCAACTTCCACTCATAATTGTTTGTGATCGTTTCAACTTCGTCAAGGATTTGGTCAACTATCTATACCGCAACCAACAATACAAGTCCATCGAGGTTTATGTTCAGCGTGTGAATCCTGCTCGAACCCCAGCTGTTGTGGGCGCCCTCTTGTCTCTTGACTGCGAAGAATCTGTCATCAAGAATCTGCTAGCCTCTGTCGACCCATCTGCTGTGCCCATTGATGAACTTGTGTCTGAAGTTGAGACACAAAATCGACTCAAGATTCTGCTGCCATTCCTCGAGGCAACTCTTTCAAGCGGAAATCAACAACCCGCAGTCTACAATGCCCTTGCAAAGATTTATATTGACAGCAACTCGAATCCGGAGCAGTTTTTGAAGGAGAACGATCTCTATGATACTCTGACAGTCGGCAAATACTGCGAGAAGAGAGACCCTAATCTGGCTTATATCGCTTATCGCAAGGGCCAGAATGACCTTGAGCTTATCAACATTACAAACGACAATTCCATGTTTCGAGCGCAGGCTCGGTATTTGCTTGAGCGTGCGGATCCTGAGATCTGGTCGTTTGTTCTCGGCCAGAACAACGAGCACCGGAGGTCTCTTGTTGATCAGGTCATTGCTACTGCAGTTCCGGAATCGAGTGAACCAGACAAGGTTTCAGTCGCTGTTAAAGCGTTCCTGGATGCTGATCTTCCCGCAGAGCTGATCGAGCTGCTTGAGAAAATTATCCTTGAGCCATCTCCATTCAGCGACAACAGCAGTCTTCAAAGCTTGCTCATGCTTACTGCGGCCAAGGCCGACAAATCTCGCCTGATGGACTACATCCAGCGTCTCTCCGAGTACAATACTGAAGAAATTGCGAATATGTGTATTCAGCAAGGCTTGTACGAAGAAGCTCTCGAGATCTACAAGAAGGTTAATGATCACACATCCGCCACAAATGTCTTGGTGGATCATATTGTTAGTATCGACCGTGCTCAAGATTATGCGGAGAACGTTGATCTTCCAGAGGTCTGGAGCAAGGTTGCCAAAGCCCAGCTTGATGGGCTGCGAGTCACCGATGCGATTGAGTCTTATATCAAAGCACAAGATGCAAGCAACTATAACGAAGTGATTGAAACTGCCACTCATGCAGGCAAGGATGAAGACCTGATCAAGTTTTTGAAGATGGCGCGAAAGACCCAGCGTGAACCAGCTATCGATACCGCGCTTGCCTTCAGCTACGCGAGACTTGATCTGCTCCCGGAGCTGGAAGACTTCCTCCGGTCCTCGAATGTCGCTGACGTGGAAGCTTCTGGAGACAAAGCGTACGAGGAGGGCTATCACCAGGCTGCCAAGATCTTCTTCAACAGCATTTCCAACTGGGCCAAATTGGCGACAACTCTTGTGCATCTCGAGGAATACCAGAACGCTGTCGACTGTGCTCGCCGTGCTAACAGTGTCAAGGTTTGGAAGCAGGTCAACGAGGCCTGCGTTGCTAAGAAGGAATTCCGCCTTGCGCAAATTTGTGGGCTGAACCTAATTGTGCATGCCGAGGAGTTGCAAGACCTTGTCAAGCAGTACGAGCGAGAGGGATACTTCGAGGAGCTCATTTCGTTGCTCGAGGCTGGCCTGGGGCTGGAACGTGCGCACATGGGCATGTTCACCGAGCTTGGTATTGCCCTCTCCAAATATCACCCCGACCGAGTGATGGAACACCTCAAACTTTTCTGGTCAAGAATCAATATCCCCAAGATGATTCGCGCCACCGAGGAGGCTCATCTTTGGCCTGAGCTAATCTTCCTCTACTGTCACTACGACGAATGGGACAACGCGGCCTTGGCGATGATGGAGCGGGCTGCCGACGCTTGGGAGCATCACTCATTCAAAGACATCATTGTCAAGGTGGCCAACTTGGAAATCTACTACCGAGCTCTCAACCACTATTTGCAGGAACAGCCACTGCTGCTTACCGACTTGCTGCAGGCTCTCACCGCTCGAGTGGACGTCAACCGAGTAGTACGAATGTTTGAGAAGTCCGATAACATTCCAGTCATCAAGCCATTCCTCCTCAACGTCCAAGGTCAGAACAAACGTGTTGTCAACAACGCGATCCATGATCTCCTCATCGAGGAGGAAGATCACAAGACCCTGAAGGACTCTGTGGAGAATTATGACAATTACGACGCAGTGGAGCTTGCACAACGTCTGGAGAAGCATGAGCTAGTTTTCTTCCGACAGATTGCCGCGCAGATCTACCGCAAGAACAAGAGATGGGAGAAGTCAATCACGCTTTCAAAGCAAGACAAGTTGTTCCGCGATGCCATTGAAACGGCTGCGATTTCTGGCAAGTCGGAAGTTGTGGAGGACCTTCTAAGATATGTAAGTCTGCCGTGAGAGATTCAATGGAAGAACTAAGAGCTAACGATTGGTAGTTTGTTGATATTGGCAGCCGTGAGTGCTTCGTGGGCATCCTATATGCCTGCTATGACCTTATTCCTTTGCATACGGTGATGGAGGTGTCGTGGCGACATGGCCTGAATGACTTCACCATGCCGTTCATGATCAGCTATATGAGTCAACAGGCATCAACGATTGAACAATTACGCAAGGACAATGAAGAGCGCAAGGCCAGGGAAGCCAGCCAGCAACAGACGGATGACAATACTCCAATTATCGGGAGCCGCCTGATGCTAACGCAAGGCCCTGGAAGCAGTGCACCTCACACTAATGGTATCACGCCTCAGCCAACCGGATTCCCTCGGGCGTTCTGAATGGCAATGTCTGGATGGCAGAAAGATGACGATCGGAAATAGTCGGGAGCCATGGGAGCGCCCGGCTCAGGGCGGGACGAATCAGTCTGGGATTGTGTTGTGTAGCCGGAGAGAAAGAGACAAGTGTTGATACTTACCGAGGGGGAGAATTGAAGCCGAGCTTGTGGGCAAGATCCAGCCGGGAAGTGAAGTGAAGATTTGCCACCAGCCGGGCGGTTTTGTAAGATGTAGTTTTTAGTACAATTGAGGCTCAGTCATTTTCTGGGGAAGTGGCTGGCGTGTCGACTTCTAACTAGATACGGAGTACAGCAGCTGAGTTAATATCGCCTTTGCACACCGGGGAAACAAAAGCAAAGCTGGCCAATTGTTTGAGAGATAAGCGAAGCTCATTGTTATCAACTTATCAGCAGATCAGCAGAAGCAGATCAGCGCGACCAGTGTTAAAGTGGGTCTGCAAGGGATGCAGTATGTTATCCCATTACCAACGACTTGACCGCGAGGACCAGAGTTCCCTGTTGATCTATCTTGATCTCAACCTCAAAATCGATACGGTTGAGCGATGATGGTGTATACTCATCCTGCCTGCCTGTGAAGACCACGGGGAGCTTCGTACCTCTCCCAAACAACAAAGCCAGATCTACGGGCTATTTCCGGTGTATTTCGGAGGTTCCAATGGCTTGTAAAATTGGGGATTCCGAAGTCCGCACATCAACCCGAGCCTTGCACAACTAGAAAAATTCTATGTTTCCGAGACAATCAATGATGTCCAGCAGCGAGTTTAGAATACCAAAGGCTATGGAAGGACGGAGTAGCCAGGTGGAAGGGAACCATTTCAGCCTGTAGCGTTTGGTCCCACATTCCCAGCCTATGGCCCAGCAGGCTGAGCATGTACGAATGGGTTGAAGGAATGCAGGGCTTTTTTCTCTCATGAGGCACTGGTTTTCTTCTTTGTTTCCTGAGCCAAAACCAAATAGAGCCCCCCCCGGAGTTCTGTGACTCGGTGAGTTCCTGAATAGAATAGAATTCCGAGAGTCGACCGTAGTCTAGTGGTGGTTGTCCGGTGGGCACCAAGCACGGGTGATCAGATCGTAGTTGCTTTTTAATTCAGGGCTAGGGACACTAATCAGCGGCATAGTGACTGGCTCGGCGAAAACAGTGAGGATCAAGAGGGGACTGGGGGGAGATTCCTCAGATAGCCGGAGTAAGCTTCTACTTAGCTGCCCCCTTAGCCTTACGAGCACTCGTAGGTAGGTGGGCCTTCTCTTGGCCGGTAGGGGCACAGGGGGTGCTGGTGGGGGCCGAGAGGCCCCCATCAAGAGGGCCGAACAACGGTGAGTCAAGCCCGAGGCAAGCTGGTCCTGCGCCTGGAAACCCCGTCCTGAAGGTCGTTGCGGGCCATCATTCCCAATTGGCATCCGGTTCCCCTCGCTACATCATTTCCCAAACAATAATCCGTATCCAGCACTGGCAGCCCACCACCTCCTCCTCGTAGGTCTGCAGTAGAGCTTCCATCTCCCATCCTCCTACTTGTCCCACTATTGCTAGCTGCTTATCACAAGGTCCCCAGCGTCAACACCCAGCTTCCAGTCATATTTCACCAGATTCTCTGTGCCCGATAGCTTTTTTCACTTTCTTCCTGTCATCCGGCATCCACGCCACAAACTCAACATTTACTTGGACCGTGTCCTAGCTTTGCTCTCTCCAGTTCCTTATTTTCTTATTTCCTCCCTCGCCCTCCCCAGGTACACACCATTTCCCCCTCGCACTTCTCAACCTTCTTGTTGCTTATAAGAGCTTCCGTGCCGCAAGCTGCCTTTGCCAGCAGCCAGGCTCAACCCCGTCATTCACCATGGCTGATCCTACAAGCGGAACTGCCACTCCCGACCATGATGGTCCCCACCACCATGAGCACTCCGTCCATACTCGGCTGAGGGCAAACTCCACGATCATGCAATTGAAGAAGATCCTCGTAGCCAACCGAGGCGAGATCCCTATCCGCATATTCAGAACCGCCCACGAGCTCTCTCTCCAGACCGTAGCTGTCTTCAGCTACGAGGACAGACTCGGCATGCACAGACAAAAGGCGGATGAAGCATACATGATCGGCCAGCGAGGCCAGTACACTCCTGTAGCTGCCTATCTGGCTGGTGACGAGATCATCAGAATCGCTTTGGCACATGACGTTCAGATGATCCATCCTGGCTACGGCTTCTTGTCTGAGAACTCCGAGTTTGCACGAAAAGTCGAGGAAGCTGGAATCATCTTCGTCGGCCCCTCCTACCAAGTCATCGAATCTCTTGGAGACAAGGTTTCCGCAAGACGCCTCGCCATCAAGTGCGATGTTCCAGTCGTCCCGGGTACCGAGGGACCAGTCGCCAGATATGAGGAAGTCAAGGAGTTTACTGACAAGTATGGCTTTCCCATCATCATCAAAGCCGCCTTTGGCGGTGGTGGCCGTGGTATGAGAGTTGTTAGAGAGCAAGAGAGCCTCAAAGACTCCTTCGAGCGAGCTACCTCCGAAGCCAAGTCTGCCTTTGGGAACGGAACCGTCTTTGTTGAGCGTTTCCTCGACAAGCCCAAGCATATTGAAGTTCAGCTTTTGGGTGATAACCATGGCAACGTCGTCCATCTGTACGAGCGAGACTGCAGTGTTCAGCGACGACATCAGAAGGTCGTGGAACTCGCACCGGCCAAGGACCTTCCTTCCGACGTCAGAGATGCTATTCTGAACGACGCTGTCAGACTGGCCAAGTCAGTCAACTACCGCAACGCAGGGACGGCTGAGTTCTTAGTCGACCAGCAAAACAGATACTACTTCATCGAAATCAACCCTCGAATTCAAGTCGAGCACACCATTACTGAAGAGATCACTGGAATCGATATTGTTGCTGCTCAGATTCAGATTGCTGCTGGTGCCACCTTGGAGCAATTGGGTCTGACTCAGGACCGAATCTCTACACGTGGCTTCGCCATTCAGTGCCGTATCACGACCGAAGATCCTGCCAATGGATTTTCGCCAGACACCGGAAAAATTGAAGTCTATCGATCCGCTGGAGGCAACGGGGTTCGTCTTGACGGTGGCAATGGCTTCGCTGGTGCAATCATTACTCCCCATTATGATTCCATGTTGGTCAAGTGTACATGCCATGGCTCAACCTACGAAATCGTGCGCCGGAAGATGTTGCGAGCCTTGGTCGAGTTCCGCATCCGTGGCGTCAAAACCAATATCCCTTTCTTGGCATCTCTGCTGACCCATCCAACCTTTATTGAAGGCACGTGCTGGACCACTTTTATCGATGATACCCCAGAGCTGTTCCGACTCATCGGCAGTCAAAACCGAGCACAAAAATTGCTTCAGTATCTTGGTGATCTGGCAGTCAATGGCAGTAGCATCAAAGGCCAGATCGGCGAGTCCAAATTCAAGGGCGACATCATTTATCCGACACTGCATGACGACCAGGGCAAGGCCATTGATGTATCAGTCCCTCCCTCAACAGGATGGAAGTACATTCTGGACAAAGAAGGTCCAGAAGGCTTCGCCAAAGCAGTTCGTGCGAACAAGGGTGTACTCATTATGGACACAACCTGGCGTGATGCCCACCAGTCACTCCTTGCTACCCGCGTCCGAACAGTCGACTTGTGCAACATTGCTAAAGAGACAAGTCATGCATTGGCTAACGCATTCTCCTTGGAGTGCTGGGGAGGTGCCACGTTCGACGTCGCTATGCGCTTCTTGTACGAGGATCCATTTGTGAGGAAACCCGGTAGACCCAAACTCTAGGATTTGTTGTGCTAACGAACTGACTAGGATCGCCTCCGTAAAATGAGAAAACTGGTTCCGAATATCCCGTTCCAGATGCTTCTACGAGGTGCCAATGGCGTCGCCTACAAATCACTTCCAGATAATGCCATCTACCACTTTTGCAAACAAGCCAAGAAGAATGGTATGGATATCTTCAGAGTTTTCGACGCTCTCAATGACATTGACCAACTCGAGGTTGGCATGAGAGCTGTCCAAGAAGCCGGAGGTGTCGTTGAGGGTACCGTGTGCTATTCAGGAGACAGTAAGGTTCTTCTCTACCACCTTATCTGTCCATTGCTAACCAATTTATAGTGCTCGTAAGTCTTTCTTGCCCCTTGTAGCTGGGCCCTCCAGAGAGTTATCCTGCCCACTTTCTTTGTCATCCCGTTCCCACTGACGACCTCCAACAACTCAATCTCAACCCCCCCATGGGCTTTGTCCTAGTCCGGTCTCCGTCATTCACATACACTACAGCATCACTAACCCCCTACTAGAACCCCAAAAAGAAGTATAATCTGGAGTACTATCTCGACCTCGTCGACAAGATTGTGAAGATTGGTACGCATACCTTGGGTATCAAAGATATGGTAAGGCCCCCTCGACGTCAAGGCTCACTAGACAACGGCCCTTTCTAACTCTTCTCTACAAAGGCGGGCACGATGAAGCCAAAAGCAGCGAGGCTATTGATCGGCAGTATTCGCAAGAAGTATCCAGACTTGCCAATTCACGTCCACTGCCATGACAGCGCAGGAACTGGCGTCGCATCAATGGTCGCTTGTGCTGAGGCAGGAGCAGACGCTGTAGATGCTGCGACCGATAGCATGTCCGGCATGACTTCTCAACCCAGCATTGGTGCCATTCTTGCTTCTCTCGAAGGCTCTGACTACGACCCAGGCTTGAACAGGGCCAATGTTCGCGCACTCGATCAGTACTGGTCACAGCTTCGGTTGCTGTACTCTCCATTTGAGGCCGGATTAACAGGACCTGACCCTGGTACGTTGACTTCCAGTGCATGTGGATTTTTTTTTGACTGACCTGCTTCAAGATGTGTACAACCACGAGATACCCGGCGGACAGCTCACCAACTTGATCTTCCAGGCGTCTCAACTCGGCCTTGGGGCCCAGTGGCTCGAGACAAAGAAGGCATACGAACAAGCCAACCTCCTCTTGGGAGATGTCGTCAAAGTAACACCAACTTCCAAAGTTGTGGGCGATCTTGCACAATTCATGGTTTCCAACAAACTATCCTACGATGACGTGAATGCAAAAGCAGCAGAGCTTGATTTCCCTGAATCAGTCCTGGAATTCTTCGAAGGCTACATGGGGCAGCCTTACGGTGGGTTCCCGGAACCTCTCCGCACCAATGCATTGAGAGGGCGCAGGAAGATGGATAAGAGACCTGGGCTCTATCTCGACCCTATTGATTTCCCAGCAATCAGGAAGGAACTCAAAGAGAAATTCGATACAACCTCGGAGTCGGATGTGGCCAGCTATGTCATGTACAGTAAGGTATTCGCCGACTACTTCGAGTTCAAAAAGAAGTACGGTGACCTGTCTGTATTGCCAACAAAATACTTCTTGAACAAACCCGAAATTGGTGAGGAATTCCACGTTGAATTGGAAAAGGGCAAGGTTCTTATCTTGAAGATGTTGGCTATCGGGCCTCTCTCAGATGCTACCGGCCAACGAGAAGTCTTCTACGAGATGAACGGTGAAGTCCGACAGGTTACTATCGACGACAACAAAGCAGCAGTCGAGAATACTAGTCGACCAAAGGCTGATCCGAGTGACAGCAGTCAGGTCGGGGCTCCCATGGCAGGTGTGGTAGTCGAGGTTAGAGCCACGCAAGGCCATGAAATCAAGAAGGGAGACCCAATTGCTGTGCTTAGTGCCATGAAGATGGAGATGGTTATCAGCGCTCCACATTCGGGCAAGGTCGGTGAAATTCTAGTCAAGGAAGGAGACTCTGTTGCTGGCTCAGACTTGGTTTGCAAAATTGCCAAAGCATGAAGGGCAATGGGGCAGCTTTAAAGTGGGCGGTCGGCGTCAAGATTCGGTACAATCAAAGGCACTGAAAAAGGGCTCTGAAGATACAGATTATGGATGGCAGTTTTATGGTTTGGATATGAAACAGTCTGGGTGTTCATGAGATACCTAGATACCTTTACGTACCCCGTTATCAGCAGATTGTCAATGAAAGAGATCGTTAAAGGCACATAACGTGACATCGTTACAAGTCAAGATCAGCCATGGCTGACATGTCATCCAACTCGAAGACTAAGCCAGGGCAATGGGTTTGAGACCTTGAGTGTCCAACGGCATCGATTCCTTCACATCCATAGGCTTGGTCTCCACCAACTCTTCTCGAGCGAATCGCCTTTCTAGATAGTTATTTGCTCTATCTACGTTGTTGGTTAATAACCTTTGCCCACCATCTCCACCAAACATCGAATGCGCGGGGTAAGACCTGGGTGACCCCTGCTTGCCGTAGCGGACACTTCCATTGGTTCTGCAAAACATTCGTCTTCGGCGGCGGATTAGCATTTCAAGTTCAGACTGGTGTCCCGTTGGATAGTATGCCTCCGTATTGGCCGAGGGACCGGACGAGATACGAAGTTGTGCGCCAGTGCCTTGCTCGTCCATCGTCTTTCGCCTACGAAGCCATCAACCAGGGAGACAGTCTGAATTACAGCAAGAAAGGTAAACAGTCAAGTCACTTGCTCATTTGTCCTTCATGGAATCCCCAGACGGTGGTCATCCTTGTGGTCCCTGTTTTGGTGGAGCATTGTTCTCCTGATGATCACCGGGGACACCACTCTATGCGGGCAACATCCTCCAAGCCATTTAGGATGATCCCTTTTGGCAAAGCTTACTACTTGGTCACCTCTTATTAGTTTGGAATTGGACCAGAAGTCTACTTGACATGACGAGCACGGGAGCCCGGGGAAGCAAATATCACTAGCGAACCCTGGCCACTCGGGCACCACCTCACGCTTGATGCTGGACCTAGGCAACTTGGGATACGTACGAGGTGGATGAGGGGCAGGCCTCTCTGGTCAGTACGGCGAGCACTAACTGATGACCCAGTCGTCAAGCCGTCGTCAAACAAACCCAAAATCCAACAAGAACGCCCTGCCCTGTACCTCGTGCTTTGGGTTCGTTGGCCATGATACTTACATATGTACACAGAGCGCACGCCCCGTGCCCCACCCCTCCTACCATTCCCCTCGCAACCAATTTCCTTGCCCATCTCATCTCTATAGTGGACAGTCCTGAGACGTCGAACCCCTTTCTCTTTTGACGGGAGCAGGGGCAAAGAAACACCTACTCGTAGGCGTGAAATCTGATTCAGCCTTCCTACTCTGCTGGTTACGTCATTCATCTGCAGCCGTCATCGTTTCGAAGGGCACGGATCAGCGAGCAGCGGGAGCAAGCCTGGTGACCACTGACCAGTGAGTGACCTCCACTACATATACTTAGGGTAGGTCCATCGTCAGAGAGAGCCCTTTCTCTTTGTAAAGGTAATATATAACGAACAGCGAAGCATAGTACCAGACGTCTCCTCTGAGTCGGTCGCCGAATTCAATCTCCTAACCCTTGGGGAATCCACTGACAAATACACTCCCGTGATATTTTTTTTAGGACACTCAGTGCTGGATACTACAGTGACATACCTACTCTTGTGTCCCTCCAGATTAGGCCCCTCGGCATCTGCGAACGACCCAGATCCAAATCAAAATACCACAAAATCAACAAAGATGTTCTTCAAACAGTCTGGCTACAAGCCACGCACCAACAGCCAGTCGTCAGGCAAATCCGGGTCGTTCATGGCAGGCAGCCCACCCAAGGAAGAAGCCAAACCAGCGGGTTCTGCCACCGGGGACCAGGTGGTTTCGGCGGCGGTTGCCGGGCGGAGACGGGTAAGTGCATAACACGTTCAAAAAGACCTAGATATTTGTGTCTATTTGTGTCCTCCGAATGTCAAGACTCAAGAGCCAAAGGCTAACCCAAAAAACCCTCCTTTTCGATGGAATAAAGTCCTCAGCCTCATCAGCAGACAAATTCGCCGGCCTCCAGGGCCAGAAGCGGTCTAGTGTGGACACCAACGCCGCGAAATGGGCGGAGCAGAAGCCGGGCCAGACGGGCATTTTGGGCGGCATGTGGAATAGCTTTACTAAGGGTGGTTGAGGGAGATCGAGAGGTGGACATATCCTGAGACGGGTGGCGGGAAGGGTCGAGACGACGAAAGTGAGCGTGAGGATGGTTCAAATGGGATTTTACCCGGCATGAAGTGATCGGACGCTTACCGAATCGAATGTACTTGATTGCTTATCAGATTGTAACAAAACAATGTGTGGATTCTTATGACGGGAGTCGATTGACAACGGCGAACATGCCTACGCGGGTATGGGCGTTGTTGGAAATATCGGCACGTCAGTTACTTTCTCCCATCTCAGTAGCACGGCCATCAAATTGAAGTTTCGGACCTGGCACGCGTAATGCCATTTGTTTTGCTCCCGGTTCAGCAGAAAAGATATTCTGAAGAAAGTCAGTAGCGTTGACATGTAAGCTGTCAGGTTACGTGGAGTCCTATAGAGAACTTCAGACTGTGTCGGTATGTACATGAGGACACACAAACACTCTCTCTCCCTGTCGGCAAGATCAGCCTACAGTTGTATGCCCAGACTCCTTTACTCATGTCATAAATGTGTACTGTCTTCATATGTAGTCTTCCAAGTTCTGATCGGACATTTTCATATCTCGTCACTGGCAGACTGGCGCATTTCTTCTAGCCCGAGGAACCTCAATGCCACGATCCAGCACCTTCTGACTTCTCTCATATGCGACTATCCCGCCAAAGCAACCTCACGGAATGGGGGTCTTTTTGTTCGATGGTGGAATCCTTGACTTCGTCACTAGTGGACGTGCAAGTTTGTCCTTTGGCTTCTTGATGACTGCTGCTGCCTCAGACATGCTTCGGCTTCGAATGCTTAGAACTGTTTGGTGGCGACGTTTCGCGGTGCCAATGATTATGATACTGTCGTCACTGTCGGCATCAATAGACGTATCTTTTTGTTCTTGCGTAGTTGTGGTAGTTTTCAACTCCTCGTGATTTAACCCTAAAAGTGTCGTCGTTGTTTTGGTTGTCTGCTGGAATGTTGAGCGCCGTCTTCTGCGCCGAGGGCGATGACGCTCTCTTGTTACATCTACGACGGGAGGTTTCTCGAGCCTTGATGTAGGAGCTTCCTTGTTGGCCTTGCTTACTCCCAATTTCCTGCCACTGGTTGTAGGCGACACTTTGTTGATCGACTGGCTTCTGTGTAGTTTTTGTTTTGGCTTTGATATGCATGCACAATGTAGAACCTCTGAACCCATGGGTGATGCGGTGTGTGTCTCTGTTGGTGTCAAATCTCTGCTAGCCACTTCATTTAATTGTCGAAGAAAGACATCGCTGATCGTAGGACCCTCATCATCAATTCGGCTGGCTGGACTCGGTCCTCTTGAAGGGCCTACTAGAATCCCAAATCGAGATGCCTCGTTGGCAATTTGACGGTCTATTAGGTCTTGGGTATTGTCGGTAGCAGATACGGACGATGATGTAGGAGCTGCGTTCTCATACTCTCTAACCAGAGATTCTCGTAATGGAGGAATTTCAATGGTCAAGTTCTGTTGCCTTTGAATTGTGCTGAAGGTAAATTGAGAGATTCTAGAATCTTCAGGCGAATTCTGATGATCGGAGATCGAGCTTGTAGACTGGCTCCAATCGCTCCAGCCTGCTTCAGAAACGGTATCTGTCGGCGTTGATTGCGTGGATATAGAAGACTCGAAGGTACGATCTCTGTAGACTCCGGCCAGGAAGTCTTGGAAGCACCAGTTATTTCTGCCTAGGTGGTAACCATGGACTTCAAACGCTCTGATAAGTTTGTATGAAAAGACCGCTCTGTACCGATAATGAATATCGTTCAAGTACTGCAAAGGTTAGTAGGATGTCTTAAAAATCGTAGAGAAGTAACTTACGTCTGCCAGGTATGTGCCTTTGTCATAACTAAGCTCTGTTATGCGGTTCATAGCTCTTGTCAGCTTGATAATAGATCTTTTGTCTAATATCCCAACGGGTTCACAGGGTAGTGAGGCCCAGATCAAAAACTATGATAGAAGATAATTAGTTTGTACACACTTTGTAAAAGGTGTGGAATAATCGACACGTACCTCGTCGCGGCCGGTGTAGCCTCGACGTTTACTGGCTGACCTTGATGACTGCGGACAGTCGATTTTCTGTATATCATCAAGCTTGTATGCCTCACAGATAGTCGGGACAAGCCAGATCTTGTCATGCTCACCAAATCGCTCTGCTAGATACTTTTCGACTACGTTGTAGTCGACGATGGCAAGGTGAAGAACATGGGGAGCCTTTCTCATGATATGAAGAGCGCGCTTCAGATTGGCAGTCATACTGAGGAATGGCGACTGATAGCTCTTGTCTTCTGACAAGTGTTGGAAGACTTCATTCCTAAACTCCATTGATCCAAGAGCAGGAGGAGGAGCGATTATGCTTGAGCTAGTTTGATATCTTCTGGCCAGCATTCCATGCTCCGGCCTGAATGCCCGGAATAATAGTCGAGGTCTGACATGGACCTCCCTGCGATGATAGTCGTGACTTATTCTGAGTCGGGGGGAAAGACGACGAAGCTGAGTATCGTGACCCTCCCCAAGCTCGTCGAAATCGCACTCGTTTGCCGACAGTCCCGAGGTCCAAGAGCTTTCTGAGTTGGATGACTCAGAGCTGGAGCAGTGATCTTCAGTCGACATGCCTGAATTCTACCGCAGGATCGCTGATCTAGCCAGCTGAATGAAACTGGATAAGGAGGCGGGATGTTGTCGTAATGAAATCAGAGAATAGGCAATGTTTTCTCAAGGGAGTATGGTCCTTGAATGAGCACCAGGGGCCTATCCACCGAGAGCTGTAAGGGAAAGTGAGAAGAGTGAAGAGTTAAGTGAGAACAATAGGAGGGGCTTATATAAGTAGGTTTGGGCTGTCCCTACAGGAGCAAGTCCAAAAGAGAAGTGAGACAAGATGAAGAGCACCCAAGAATAGTCTACTCTGCGCCATGCCCTTTTCATGTAACAGGCCTGGCACAAGGCGAGGTGAAGATCAAGTGAGGAAACCTATTCAACATGAGATTTGATGAGCTTCAATAATTGACTAGACCTGAACCCCTACACGATTCCAAGAATACGACCGAGCTCGAATCACGAGAAAGATTACCTATGAATATACAGGTGGTCATTTGAATGAGGAAAACGGTTGATAATAGGAGTTGATATCATGTGGGTGGAAGGGCTGTGGAGGAGGATAAGGCTCCGAGACAGCCTCGTGCTAGATGTAATACACTAGTCCTTTTCTGAACGGCAATGTCTATGAGCTCGCTGGGAATCCTGTACTTCCTACATACAGACCACTATTTCAAGAACTACAACAACCAACATCGCGCACGCATCCTTTTAGCTGTGATCCCCTCATCTTCACCATGAAGGCGCCTTCTACTCTCCTCCTGCGTGCAATGCTGCGCCCGCAGCAGCCCTTATGCCAGCTACGATCAAAATCAGATTGGATGCCGCGAGAAAAATATGCCAAAATCACGTTACTGGACAAGCTGCATCGACGGCAGAAACTCGCAGTCCGACAAGAACGTGCGTTGCTTCAATTTTCTCCGTGCTACTCATTGCGTCTGATCCTCTTTCTAACATATGAGACCGCAGGCCTGGACAGTGAGCTACGCGCACAGCAGATGACTTCGCTTCCTTGGTCACAGCAACCAAAGCCTCAACCCTCGACCACTCCCACAGGACACCCACTCTCGTCCCACATACAAAGATCTGTTTCCCCGTTCCCATACCTCATCTCTCGCACGCCGTCGAAAAACCTCCCCGTCTACGAGACTGCCAAAAACGGTGGAAACAGGCACATCACATCAATCCGCAAGATCAGTGGAGACATAGAGGGATTGGCCGCCGCGGTACGTGATGCACTGAACCTGCCGGAGCACACCGTCGACGTCAAGGGCCGGAAAAAGGAGACCGTGGTCATTAACTGGACGACCAATCAGGTGATAATCAGAGGCTGGAGGGCCGCTGAGGTCAAGAAATGGGCAGAGCTAAGCGGATTTTGAGGCATGCGTATTGCAGCAAAATTCGATTTTCAAGGATGGGCCGTGACAAAAATCAACATTGCAGGGTACACTAGCCCTGTCGTCCCGTTGAGATGAGGTCTGGAGTTCCCCGTTTTCCTCTCGAGGAATGCAATGAGGCTGCCCGCTGCCAGAGAGTCAATTCCGGGCCCTCTGCGCCGGAAGTTCCCGACTCAGGAAATCTGTATACCTATCTTCGAGAGCCCCTGGCAGCAGGACCAAAGACTTTCCTTGGCCACTCTGCATGCCAAAGACCACAAGGGAAAACCCGAGCGAAGATCCCCGGCAGCACCGGAGTTTATTGTCGGAAGAGAAAGACAACGAGCCAATGGTCAGGGGGAGGCCTGTTCTCTCAGTCAATGTATAGCTTTGTTGAATCACATATTTACATATTTGGATGCACGGAAAAGAAAAACAAATACACATACAAAAAGAGCCGCCGTTCTGTGCATGTGTCTACACAATACAAGCCGTACGGTATGTTGGCCACAGTTTCTCACCACCATTCCTCCACTCACCTTGCTTTCACCAAATCCTTCCACTTTTGCCTTGCCAGTTGCGACATATTCTCCAAATTGGTCGCGACGAGGGAGCGGAAGTGCTGAGATACACGATCTTGGGGTAGCGGAGCAGAATTAGGACTTTCCATGCTACCGCATAGAGGAGGGACGAACAATACACCATCCCACTTGATGTGTATACACGCGCAAACCGTCTCACACAAAGGAAGTCGTGCTAAAAGGGTGCCTCCTGGAACTAGACAAACCAGCAAAACATGGCTATGAAGCGGTTCTCCCTACACGAGTGTGGGAAACACAACTTCTGGTGCTGCTATTCTTCCAGTATGGAGAATTGATTGGCTTTTGTAACTAGATAGGTAATAAGACACAGAAGAGGCTGGTATTTTCGCTTCGTCTTCACACAATCGAGCCGATTTCTTCTCGTACCTAAGTGGCTCTTTCTTTCGGTATTTGCTTCCACCGTTTGACAATCCCAGAAGGCTCTCTATACCAAATGATTGCAAGACAACATAATGCCAGTTCTGTACACGTCAAAGACGAAACGCTCAGACTACGCACCAGTTGTTTTGGTTTCTCCAGAATACAAACAGTTACAGGAATGTAGGACCCTTCACTCTTCTAGTCCAGCATATACACAAAGCTGACGCAGAATGCCAGGATCAATCTCTTTCTGAATCATGGCTCCCAGTAAGATCTCTTTCTTGGGCATGATGCCAATAGGAATAACAGTGGAACCATTTTCGTCAATCGTCCTCGACTTCTGCACAAGCGTTTTCAGAACCGCCATTGCTCGGTTGGTTATAGCACCATAACCATTGACGTCCTGTTCAGCATTGGCCCGATTATTTTGCTGCGTAGAATGCCTTTGGACCGTTTGAGTAGTTCGATCAGCGCTCAGTAAGGTTACTAAGCGTAGCAAATTGCCGGCGAAACCATCATCCGACTCCAACCATGATTGTGCCAGTGCGTGGTCAGAGCCCGGAGCGAGACCGGCCAGGATCTCCGCAGCTAACATGCCCTGCAGGAGGAAAGGCTTCCGGGCTTCAATGATGGTCCTCGTGTGATTCGAGCTTGCAGGAATTGGAGAGATGGCTAATGCAAATGTTCTCGTCAGCAGCTCATATGGTGGTGCAGACTGAGAATCGGCGGAAAAAATGGCTTTGTAGTACGTCCGGTTCGGTTCATCGCGAGCCAATAATTTAGCAAGACTGTCCACAGCAGAAGGCATGTATTTATGCAGTGATGGGGTGTACGTCGTGAAAGACACCTTTGAGCTCAGACTTGATGTTGGCGCAGGTGTTGGAGCAAAGACCAGAAGAAAGTGGAGAATACAAAGTGCCTCTTCCTTCCCTGGTAACTGAAGAGAGGTGGACAAATTGCTGAGGTAGATAACAACGTCCTTGACGAAGTCCAGAGTATTCCTATGATTGCGCAGAAATGCCTCTGTGGTGCCCATGTACCGGATAATAGCACTTAGTAGCTTCAGAACTTCCGACTGGCCAAGGACTCCAAAGTTCGCTTCATAGAAGGAGAAGTTTCGGATGAGAGTGGTGATGCATATCAACCGATCCGCTGCCCGTTCAAGATCATAGAGCACCGTTCCAAATTGCGGAGGATCCTGCAACCTCTCTGTATCCATGCGGCACTGCCGAACGAGTTCCTCATAAGACAAGAGGCACATCTCATCCGACACTTCAGTAGCATGTTCACCGAGATAGCTGACTTGATCTTGTGCGCAATCGAGCAAGGCATCCATCAGATCATCACAGTCGCCCAGCGATAATTGAAATGCAGACTCTGTAGAAAGCGAGACAAGAGTATCTAGAGCGACTCTTGTTTCAGCATGCAAACCAGATTTGATAGCCATGGTCAAAGCATGGATGTCGATGACGCCAAGCTCTCGTACAGTCGGAGCAACTGGCTTGATTTCAACGATATGTTGTCCAACGACAAAGGCCTCGTCCACAATGACCGGGCCATGAGATCTGCTTACCGGTAATATGGCGGGCTTGAATGGGTCTTGGATAGGCCTCGACAAGGGTTTGTTCGGGTCAGGCTCTGGTTCAAGGGTCTTTGTGCTGCTGGTCTGAGGGCGTTTTTGAGGTGTCTGACTTTGTGCGTGGGCCTGTATTGCATTCAACTGCTGCGGGTCAAACTGTCTAGACATACTTTGACGACGTTGAGGTGTAGCAGGGGGTTCCTGTTGTTGCTGGTGATTAGCTGGTGGGGCAAAGCTATGAGCATTTGCTTGATGCATGGGTGGTACTGGCTGGCCATTTAAGGATGGGGTTTTCTGATGGGTAGGATCTTGAGGTGGATGAATGTCTCGTGTGGGGGACATTTGAGACTGGTTTTGAGTCTGCATCGCTGCCTGTGCAGCAATCCTTTGTTTTTGTTGATTCATCTGCCAAGCTGCCTCGTAGGGAGCAAGGTTATTCATCCAGTATGTTGCCAGCTCCTGTCCTGCTTGCAGTTGCTGTGGGCCTTGGAACCCAAACTGTTGGGCAAGAACAGGCCATTGATTCATTTTAGTAAGTCTCTGAGATCCGCCGCTCTTAACAACGGCCGCATAGAGACGCAGCAATTGTAGCTGCCGACCACAGATCATGGGATTCAATTCTACAGATCGACCTCGAGCCGCCATAAAAGCTTGCAGGCCGCGGAGAAACTCTTCTGGGTTATTAACTCGGGGTTGATTCAAGGCTCCTGGGTGTCCTGGGGGCATCTGAGGGTTGGGGCCTGGAGGCGCGTTGCCTCCCATACCATTCATACGGGCTTGCGCCTGAGCCTGCATCTGTCGCGCCTGAGCTTGCAACTGCATCTGATAATTCCTTTGAGCATTGGTCATGCCAGGTTGTTGATGGGCCATGTTCGGCTGAGGGCTCATGCCCATTTGCGGCATACCATTATTCATATTCTGGCCAAATTGTGGTTGATTGAAACCAGGGGCAAACGCCCCGTTGGGCATGAAGTTCTGTGGGTTATCGTGTGGTATTCCCACGCGATTTCCATGGTCGGGAGCTGGTGAGGCGTGAGGAGGTCCGTGCTGTGGAGAGAATGGGCTCGGTGAGGCGGTCGCAACGCGTTGGCTACCGGGGTTCTGGCTAAATTGATTTAATTGAGATATGGTTGGCGATGGTGTCGCATTGGACGTTGCTTGGAGATGCTGAAAGGGAGTGGGAGCATTGGACATTGGAGGCGCGCCATTGGCTTGTGGATTGTAGCCTGGAAAGGGACCTTGTCCAGGAGTCTGGGATCTTGAACCAGGAATTCCTCCCGGGGCTTGCCGTGGAGACGTGGCTAGGCTGTCGTCTCTTGCTCTTTTGGAGGGTATGACGGGGTTTGTCTGATATACAGGATTGTGAAAGGCGGGTGACGCAGTGCGGCCGGCGCCATTGAGGAAGGCAGGATTCTGAAATTGGGCGGCATTTATAGCCTGGGGAGGTTGTAGGAAAGACATGCCAGCATCCACCGGAGCTCCAAAACCAACATGATTGTTTGGAGTCAAGGAGGAATCGGATAGCCAAGGGTTCATGGCTTTAGTGAGGTTCGGTCATCCATTGGCTAGAGCAATCACGATCATCAGCATCAGGCCAACAGCACGCGCATCCATCGTATGAACAGGGCAATGGTATCAAGCAGATACAGCCTCAGGCAACACAGATCATCTGCGATGGAGCGACGCCACGCGGTTGATGAAATGAGACCTGAACCGGGGATGTGGTGCGGTAGGTTGGGTCGTGGCGACGCGTCAGGACGAGGACTTTGGGCAATCGCCAGAGGCGCAAGGCTGGGTGATACGGGACAAAAGCACGAGGACAATAGGAATAAGTGAAGTCGGATAGAGTTACTTACCTGACTGATAGTGATTGAGCGGAATCGTCAGAGCGCAGAATGTATGCGAACCGAATCGGAATGTCGAGATTGGGACGATTTTGTGAGGCAGGGCTTGGTCGGCCGAAAGAGGCTTAGCTTCAGTGGCGTGTGATCAGAGTCGAGCAGCAGGAAGACTGTTGGCCAGCAAGGTCAGTAATGTCAAAGGGACTGGCAACAGAGGATTGCAATGGGTCCCACTCGGATATCATGGGCCGTGCAACGCGATCTGAACTGGATGTTTGATGGTAGGAAGGCGCTAGTGATGGATTTGTGGACAGAAAGTGATGGGGGAGCCCATGTGCTGTGCTCACTTCCAGGCTGCTGCAATCCGGCGGCTGAGTAGAGGCCAGCCGGATCAAGCAAGACGATCGTGTGGAAGGGGTGGCCAGCGGTAGGACTTGGACAGGACGCGGAGGGGCAAAGAAGCATCAGAATGGAAACTAGGATGAGGCTTACCTTTGACGAGGGTGATTAGACGCGCGATTGATTGCTCTTTGATACGTGGTGGTGCGGTGTGGTGCTTCGTACAGCACGGAACAAGGAGGGAAGAGAATTCCCAGGAGCGGGGGCGAGTTGAATAGGGTAGGCAAGTAGGTGAGCAACAGGCTCAGCCCAACAAGTCCAACAGGTCCAACAGGTACGGAGCACTGGGGAGTAGGAAAGACCCTAAGGCTAGGCAATGATCAACAGCAACAGGAAGTGAATCGTCACTTGCACGGGTCAACCAGATCCTAGGCACAGGGCAGCGGGCAGGCAGAGGGACAAGTAGAGGTGCAGGTTCAGCTAAGGTCACGGATGTAAAAACTGGCCCAGAAGTGTCCGTCCAGTGAGTCAGTGTCTGAGGAGGAGCCAAAGCGGAGGACGTTGGGGGGACGGGGAACTTGGAAAAGTGCAGGAGGCAGGAGGTAGGCAGGCAGAGAGAATTGAGTGTTGCTTTTTTGGCAGGAGCGGCCACTGGTAGGTAGGTGGTTAGTGGCAGGATGGCGAAAAAAGGAACAGTTAGTCGCGCCTGCAGTGAGAGACGAGGGGAGAGAAATCAGGTTGGGTCATCCGCCTGCCACGCTTGGATTGGTGAGGCGTGATTGGCCGCCAAGGCTGGATCTGCCCCACCAGGGTCCCGTTTCGTAGATAGCCCCTTCAGGTCACATGTAACCCCGGGACTGCACTTCAAATCACCGTGGTTTGTGTTGCTTTGCCCGTGGTCCGATGTTTCCCAGGCACTGGATTCCACGATAACATCAGTGGTTTCCGCAGGTGTCTGTTGCGTGCTGTTGCTGGGTTTTGGAGGGGGTAAGCTGCGAGGTGACCTGTTTTCGCTCGACTGGGGTCAGCCGTCAGGGTGGGTATGATACCGTTTCAGTGCAAAGCCAGATCAGGGTCACACCAGTGACGCTTTTAGTTTAGGCTTTTCCCTCGACTTCCTTGGTCTCAATATCCGAGACGCCCTCTTTGGCATCGGTGATGATTTGATCATGGACAGGATGAATATCTTTGAGGTTTCGGATACCTCGATGCCGCCAGAACCTGGGTCAAGGACGGGACTCTGCAGAGTTTGCCCGTCCTGCTTTTCATCCTGCTGCCCCGGAATTGTCCTCTATGCCAGTCATCCTGACGATTGCTTCGGATTGGGCCTTTGTAGCGTCGTCCTCCATGCTGGTAGTCTGGCTGCAAATTGGAGTTGTGCTCCGATCAGTCGACGGCCACCTAGACCACAACCAAGTCATTGTTGTCGAAAGATTGACTAGAAAGTCGATAGCAAAGTCGATCTGTGCTCTCCGTGTCCTTTCTGGGACTGATGTCTCCAGATCTCTGTCGTTGGCAACATCTTCTATGGCTTGCACAGAGTAAATCTCCGACAACGTATGAAGCATAGGCAGATAGGACGCGTAGTCGCAGACAACCAGAGAAAGAAGTACAAACAAGAAGAATATGAAAGGAGGAGACGAAGAAGAAGAGATCCGTTAGGCACAGTCAAATTGCCAAAGGCTTACATAGTTCGTCCCATTTCGTGCCTCAACAGCTCATGCTCATGCAAGAAACAGCCAGGCCGTTCGTGATTGGTAGATCCTGGATAGTGGTAGGCCCTCATCTTGCGGGCTGAGTCTTTTTAAGACACCCTTCACCGGATTGCTTGCGATTCTTCCTCATCGTGTCACACGCCAGACAATCACAAGCGAATCTGGCTCCATTGATAGGGCCAACACTGCTGATCTAGGTATCCCTACGAGTTCCTCCGTCTAGGTCCGCGCACCTCGAGATCTTCTTGCATTTAGTGGTATCTAGCCCTGCTTCCTTTACTATCGTTTCAACGGCCGGCCGCCGTAGTTGACACCCTCCTTTGTAGTGGGTCCCTGCAAAATGTGGATATACCAAATCATCCCCTCTCAGGCAGCAAAAAGCAATCTGAACTTGTCTACTCCCTGGCCTGCCACAACGTGTACATACATGCAGGCATCGAGTCTGCCTGGGTTCTCATTCGCAGTTTTGAGAAATGGTAACGAGAATTTCTTCTGTCCCGTCCCAGACCGAGTGTGTCCTGGCTCGTCAGATTTGAGTGAACGTGCTCTATGCATGCACTTCCTAGCTCGGATATCGAAGGACATCCCTACAGTTTCATTTGATTCGACGAAGTGCTACATACTTTCAACGGGCGCTAGAATCTATGGTTTGGGAATCTGAACGGAGTATCTTGCTGTCATTTTGTCTTTGGATGAAGCCTGCCTCTCTCCACTGCGCAGTACCAGTGCCCGTAAAAAGGCACTATCTATTTTGGGCCTAGCTCAGCGTCGATCGCTTGGCGCATACATAATTCACTGGGCGCCTTCAACTCCCCATCCGCAGTCGTTATGAACAGCTTGACCTGTTGGCTCCATTCATCGACTATATTTTCTACTCGTTGTCGTTGTTACGCGTCTGACAGACTCTCCGACCGCACATCAGAACCCTAGAACTTTCGTGCTTGATTCCCAACACGCCTCCATCATGGGTGACGTCCTTGTTGACAATCCGATCCACACGGTTCCGCCTCACAAGAAGCAACCTATCTCAGACTCGATACCAGACATCGATTCTTTAGAAGGGGCTGGCGCAGATGGCGGCGATGAATACTCGACGTTGAAGAGGTTGCAGAGACACCTTGAGTCGGTCCCCAAGACTTTGAAGTCCAGTTCAGACATTGACTGTGGTCAGGTACATCAAACTACAAGAAGAATACATCAAAGATGAACAGAGGTGCGTGTGCTATAACCCTTCTAACATTGCTGCGCTGACCTCGGATCAGATCGCTCAAGCGTGAGCTCGTACGAGCACAGGAGGAAATCAAGAGGATACAAAGCGTACCCCTAGTCATCGGCCAATTCATGGAAGCCATCGACCAGAAGTAAGAGGTATTTTCTCTAGATCATGGCAAACACTAACATCCCACAGCACCGGTATCGTTCAATCGTCTACAGGCTCCAATTACGTTGTGCGCATCCTTTCCACGCTCGACCGCGAAAAACTGAAGCCCTCATCCTCCGTTGCACTGCACCGCCACTCCAATTCTCTCGTCGATATCCTACCACCTGAGGCAGATTCTTCCATTGCTATGTTAGGAGCCGACGAAAAGCCCGATGTCACCTATGCTGACGTTGGTGGACTGGATATGCAAAAGCAGGAAATCAGAGAAGCCGTGGAATTGCCCCTGACACACTTTGACCTCTACAAACAGATAGGTATCGATCCTCCCCGCGGTGTGCTTCTTTATGGACCACCTGGTACAGGAAAGACGATGTTGGTGAAGGCAGTTGCGAACAGCACCACGGCCAGCTTTATCCGAGTAGTAGGCTCGGAATTCGTTCAAAAGTATCTTGGTGAGGGACCTCGAATGGTCCGAGACGTGTTCCGAATGGCACGGGAGAACTCACCCGCTATTATCTTCATTGATGAAATCGATGCCATCGCAACCAAGCGATTTGATGCACAAACTGGAGCGGACCGGGAAGTGCAGCGCATTCTGCTGGAGTTGCTCAATCAGATGGATGGCTTCGACCAGACCAGCAACGTCAAGGTGATCATGGCTACAAATCGAGCAGATACTCTGGATCCTGCTCTTCTCCGGCCTGGCCGTCTAGACCGCAAGATTGAGTTTCCTTCGTTGAGAGACCGACGAGAACGACGACTGATATTCTCAACCATCGCCAGTAAAATGTCATTGTCTCCTGAGGTGGATTTAGACTCGTTGATTGTGAGAAATGATCCGCTGTCAGGGGCAATCATTGCGGCCATCATGCAGGAAGCTGGATTGAGGGCAGTGCGCAAGAATCGTTACAATATCATTCAGGCGGATTTGGAGGATGCATATTCCAGCCAAGTCAAGGGAGCGCAGGAAGCCGACAAGTTTGATTTCTACAAGTAGAGCGGGCATGTATAGTATCTATGGCAGGCACCAATCGCAAGATTGGTAGGCGCTGAGCATTGCGTGGAGTCACGCGAACAGCGTTGGAGGTCGATTCTCAGCCCTTGGTCAGGTGACCAGAGAAGGCCGAACTGTAGCAACAGAGCTTTCGAAGAAACCCAGGCAGACCAGCTCAAATCTCTAGAACATGTTCAAGCTAATCGGACGGTGGCATTGGCAACCAATAATACATCGAGTCGCTGTTACCACGAGCGAGCATCACCGACGAACTGCTTGCAACAAGGTGGTATTGGGAGTTGTGTGGTCAGAAACAGCTTCGATTGGCCTCAGGGTTACACGCGATCAAAGGGTGTAATATCCGGAATATACGGAGTACCTCCTATGTACGGGAGTCGTGCGTGATAGATTTGTTGATTATTGCGTCAGGATACCAGACTAGTGGTATGTGGGGAAGCGGTGTGGCCACAGGCTACTTGACGATGTGTATATTTTGTATTAATAATGCACGGTCCATGGGCACGGAGTGTGCGATGTTAGAATATTCCTCAGATAAGGATGATGGCTGCTTCGAGTTAACAAGATCCGGTGTGTCAAGTCATTGGCTTCTCTGGCTGATTCCTGGCCACCGTCCGGGGCATAGAGGAAAGGGGCAGGAGGTGAAGTGTTTGATGGGTGAAAGGGTGAAGCTGCAGTGTATTCGGAACCTAGAACATACATAGAGTCCATTGAGCCCTCCGTGCTGAGTTGCATCGGCAGCAGACTGCATGCAGCAGGGGGTGTTATCGATCTGAGCATGGCCATTGGATGGGTATGTTGGTGGTCGGCAGGAGAGGAAGTCGAGATGAGAGGCTCCTCGAACGTGCAGCTTCGGCATTTTACTTGATACTAGGCACAAAAAGGTCTAGCGGATCCCGAGGCATCTTGGAAGTGCAAGAGCCACCAACGCTTGATCAAGTGATGGCGTCAGACCTTCCAGACAACGAACCCCCCTTGCCTGCCCTTCCCATCCGAGTACTTCTCCTTCTCCCATCATTCTTTTCTTTCTCTGCGCGCTGAGGTCATCGATCTTCTTTTCCCATTTTTTGGGTCTTCCAACAAACGACCAAAACCTTTTTGCTCGTCAACAATACGAATCGCCATTTCCAAAGTCACGGGATCGCTGCAGGTTGGCATTTCACCATCTTCAATCCCATCCCCTTTGGCCTCTGCCTGACACACATATCCATTTGGTGTTGTGACGGCGGTGATACCCACACACGTCATCACCTCTTGACAAACTCTTGACTCTCCTCCCACTGGTCTCAGTCTCGCAACGCGTGTTACGTGTACAGTCTCTTCACCTCTGCACCGCATTCTCTGTGGGATTAACAGCCACGCGACCGACGTCTCTTGTGATAAATTCCAAGAGGCTACAGATACAAGAGCCTTCTACGAGTAATATCCGTGAGTAACAATAACCACTTCTCGTCCCTTGAACATTCTTTGCCATTCCGGGCCCAATTTCCGCCTGCTTGATCGAGTTTGGGGTGGCGGGTGGAAGGGGTGGCAACCCATTTGGCTCTGACTGGCTCCTCAATGGCTGTTGATCGCCATTTCGTTGCCGGCTTCCCTGCTGACACGTCTTTGATTCGCAGATCACTGGTTTCCTACCCACCTCACCCACTCTCGCCCATTTTGCCCAACCCGCTCGGTCTTGATCGAACCTTGCTACCTCGCGTCCCCCCAAGGACAGGCCCTAATCCTCCAGCACCCCAAGTGCCTACCCTCGCCCGCCCTACCAGAGTATATGAGGCGCCAGCGCCTACCCAGCTCTATCGACGTCACTTTTGCAACGGCTGACGTTGTTCCTACACCTACGTCTTGCTTTATTCCCATCCCGACAGTATGGCGAGCGCCGCAGTTGCAACTCAACCATCACAACAACACATCGGGGCTGGCCCTACTTCTCGTACCTCGTCGCCTATGGATAGTAAAAAGGCAACTTTGAAGCCAAAAGGTCAGTCCACCTCGCTGCCCCCTTTTCACAAATTTTACGTCCTCACCATGCGACACCTCGTGGTCATGTAACCATCCAATCCATCACGAGCGCATCCGCGAAACACAATTCAATCAACGTCACCACGCTTCCAACACCTGTCGGCCCGATGCTGACTGATCAAACATAGATTCATCTGTAGATAACTCCCCGTTGCAGGCCAAATCGTCGTTACCAGGTACGCGTCGCCAGTTCTTCACTCTCATCGGCATGTTTCACTGACCCTGATCTAGAATCACAAACCCCATCACTTGTCGAAGATCTAAAACCCGTTATTCAAGCATCCGAGCCTCTTGCACCCCCTCCAAGGCCTGCGCCAGCTAATCCAACTGAGACCCCAGACTACTTCTCCGCTCTGCACAATAACGACAGCGGTATTGGTCAAGAGTTCAATCCCTTTGAACAATCTTTCGGAGCCCCTTCAACAGAGACCCCTGGCAAGAACCTTCTACCTCCAGTCGCCGCATTGACTTCTCCTGCTATCCCTGGTACAAGTTCCACAGGCGGTTACAATTGGCAAAGCTCCCTTCGGTCTGGGCCCTTAAGCCCTGCGATGTTGGCCGGTCCACAACAGGGCGACTATTTCGATAGTATTGGTCGTGGATTCCCTACACCAAACGAATCGTCTCTTCGCACTGGACTCACACCTGGCGGTGGTGGGTCTATGTTCCCGGCCCCTAGTCCTAACTCACAGGCTCTCTTTAACTCCCTTGCAAGTGGCGGCGCCACCCCAGGTACCCTGGATTTCCATCGCACTGCTATGAATGCAGCTGCAAGAAACAAGAACAATCAATTTGCCACTACCTCGAACCCACAGGAACCTCAACCCCAAACCAACACTAATATGGATGCTCAACATGACGCAACTGACGCTGCCAATGGTCTGTTCATGCTTGCCAAAGGTGGCCAGGGGAACAACCAGTTCGCAGTAGCTAATTCGGCCCAACCTGCTCGAAGTACTCAAGATCAAAAGGCCAGCAATGGAAACGTCTCCGGTGGCGATGCAGATAGTAACGGAAGTCCAGGGGACAACAGCCGATCTAATACACGTGGTGGCCGTGGTAAGAAGCCTACCAAAGCAGAGCCAGCTTCCAAGAATTCCAGGAAGTCCGATGCCACCCCGAAAGGTAGCAACAAACGTTCCAAGGGGAACTCTGGCGCTGCAAATGTAGACCCTGCTCTTGACCCACACGAGGAAGACGAGGATGACAATAGCGATATGGATGAAGATATGGAAACGACCCACCCAAATGGCAAGAAGATGACGGACGAAGAAAAGCGAAGAAATTTCCTGGAACGAAATCGGTGAGTACTTTTTGATCTTCGATCTATTCGTTTTCACGGTGGCTGACCTCCTTCAGCGTTGCTGCGTTAAAGTGTCGACAGCGGAAGAAGCAGTGGCTTGCTAATCTCCAAGCAAAAGTTGAGATGTACTCTGCTGAGAATGACAGCCTTAACACTCAAGTTGCCCAACTTCATGAGGAGATCCGCAATCTGCGCACTCTCCTCGTTAGCCACAAGGACTGCGCAGTTGGTCATGCCCAGGGAATTGGGAATTTCCTCAATGGCATGCAAGACCCTAATGGCTTTCCCAACCAACACGTGAATCCATATGGCATGCCCATGCCTAGTGGCCCCCAGATGCAAGCAGGTATGCAACGAACATGATTGTGAGCTTGCCGCCTCCTCTACTGAAAGTGTTTTGTCTTTATAATTTCAATTACGAACCCAGCATCTCGCCATTATGCAACAGGCGGGATCGTTGCTTGATAGGTTTCCAATTTTCACACCACATTTACTCCGCATGTTTTCAAGTGTACAGAAAAATTCGGGGGGTCTTGTACAGCACCAAGAACAAAAGAAACGGATTCTTTTGCAGAGGCTAGGGTGCAAAAGGCTGCTACCTCTGCCATCTTTTGCTTTCTCTCATTTATGCGTTATGCGAACACAAACATCACTGTTGTGGAGACATCTGGTCTGCAGCAAACGGAAATTGGAGTTTGGCACCCCTGATTGCAATACGATGATTATCACCAATTCACTGGAATGTGCTTCCACTAATGCTGGGAGGCTAAAGTCTATGAAACGAAAGAGACTTGAGATAATTCATGACATGGCAGTGTGACAATAGATTATAACAAAACTACCCTTCTTCCTGATCGATCACCTTCTTTCCAATCATCGCTCGTCGGGGTGCACATCTATTTATTGGTGTTCAGTCACAAACTCAGGTTACGGAGTTTTCTGGACCCTGATTAGATTTGCCTTGAGCAAAATGGTTAAATTTGTCTGGACATGGTGAACCATGTTCATATTCTAGGCGCCTGTCTCCCCAGTAGGCCGTAGCAATTGTGATAGGCGTTATTATTGACGGATCATTCCACCATTTCCTGTTCCCACGTCCTGGTCAGTCGACTATTCAGGGCGATAGTATATCGAATGGAGGAAGAGAGGCAAGGTATCGACTTTGCACATTTCCATTTTCGAGGAGGGAACATGCTTAGCAGGACGTATCAGACCATCGAAACTCGTGATCATGGTTATGCTCTTGCATTAGATCCACATAGATGATTGACGGCTTTTTTTTTTCAATGCTTGGTAGCCGAAAAAAATAGTGAAAAGCAAATAATACCTCCACACACGATCCCCCTTTGACATATTTGAGGGAACCCATTTAAATATTAATCCTCCTTGCACTCAAACAGGAAGAAACCTTCATCAAGTAGGCCGCTGAACAGTAATATGTTGGTTCCTGGGCTCGAAAAACGCTTGTTTGTTGACCGACAAAACAATCATGGACTGGTGGACATGTTAGCCTCGTTGATGCAAGGCTGTGTGGTTGTCTGACGTTCCACCTCCAATAACGTAGACGGGCGCTGTCTCCACGTCCAGCGTCAGTGCCTTGAGTTCACGAGGCGGCACTTTCCTCCCTCTGCAATGAACTGACATTCAGAAGAAATAACTGCAACAAGTACAGACACAGGCACGGAGAATGTGATTTCCAGATACTTTCCTTTCCTTCCTCTTCCTAAGATATCGAAACCACCCCGAAATGGCGACGATCACGTCTCCACGGAGCGAGTCTCCAGCCGCGAATGCCGTTGCACGCATAACGTCGCCACAGATCCCCCCCTCGCCGAGCATCAGCGGGACGCCGGCCTCGTCGGTTCGACCGTCAATTGAGATCCCCGTACGTGCCAATGCCTCCTCACCGTCCCTGCAACAGCAGCAGCAAAATGCCACCCTTACGCCGGGCTCCACCGGCACACAAACGCAACAGCGCCGCAACCGCGCCGCGCTGCGAGACTATTACAACCTCAAAGCCAAAGCGCAGGCGCCGTCCGGCGCCTCAGGAGGGGGAACACACAGCATGAGCCGCACGGCGAGCATAGCATCCAACGCCTCGGGCTCGACAGTGACGTCCTCTGTGCTAGCGCACCAGAACACAGCCGACGCTTCGAGCCTCGGACTCCCAGCGCAACTGGACGATCCAACATTCGACGCGGAGGCGCACGTCGCGGAACTCCTCAAGACCGCCGGGCTGCGCGACATCCTGCGCACGGAGAGCGTGCTTGTAAGCGAGATCCGCACGCTGGACGGCGAGAGAAAGGCCCTCGTCTACGACAACTACAGCAAACTGATCAAGGCGGTCGGCACGATCGCCGAGATGCAGAAGGGAATGCACAAGAGAGGCGGCGGAGCGGACTACGCACAGCACCAAGCCCGATTCGGCGCCGCTGCGCTGGGCAGAAGTGGAGGACCGAGTCCCGGCCTCGAGGGGGTGGAGCGGCTGGGCGAGAAGCTGGACGGCCTGGTCTCTGTCGTGAAAGAGCTGGCCCCTGCGGCCCCTGCGGAGGCGGACGGGGAACCAAAGGATGGCACACACGGCAGGCTGCCGCGGACTAACAGGGAGTTGGCCGCGCAAAAGGAGACGGTCAAGTGGGCGCTTGACGCGCCCTCGAGACTGCAGGACCTGGTCGCGCGACAGGAGCATGACGAAGCCAGACGCGAGTATGACGCCGTGCTGGAAGCCCTCGCGCACTGGAAGGGCGTCCGCGGCGTGGATGAGCTTCGCGAGAACTGCGCCAGTGTTATGGTGGACGTCCGGCGGCAGTGGCGTAGGTCCAGCGACTCAGATGATGACGATGAGGAGGGAGAGCACGACAGCGACGAGGAAGGGGATGCTGACGACTCGGATTGAATGCCACACACTCTCTCTACTATCCTAGCTCGCACACTCGCGAGGAATGGAGGGGCAAGAAAAGGCGTCACGGAGGAGAAAAACTTGATCTTCTTTTCTCATTGTGTATCATTCAAGGTCGGTCAGGCGGGCGCGCGCTTTAAAAAGAAGATCGAACTACCTAAAAACATCTACCTAATCGTGCTTGAGGGGGTATCGAAATCATGACAGAAGGCGAGAAAAGGAAAGGGTAGACAACGGAGTTTGGGTTGAACGGGCAGCGCATTCTGGCAAACAGTAAGCCGAGCCGTATGAAAAAAGTCCTCCGGGTTATGTTGACACATTCATTCATAGGCGTCCTCGAATCTTTCGAGATCGGTGCTGGCTTCCCAATTCTCGTGTGAACGACCATTCTCTTTCAATCAATAAGGACTGTTCACTATATCGTCCCTAAGGTGGCTTTGTCGTGTGCCTCGTCTTGGTGTTGCCAATGCGCCTCCACTAAGCCTAGCTGCGGGTCCTGCGATGCTGTCTCTTGTAGGTTTCTTGAAGGTCTTGCGACTGACCATGTCGACTTCGTTTGGCAATGCGAGGATGACATTCTTATCGGAACCAAACTCGAAGTTGTCGGCCATGACTTGGGCACTGTAACGCTTGATCTGGTAGGGGTCCTTGCTACCTGCTAGCACCTTCTTAAGGGACCAAGTTACAAGGAACGGGCCGGTTGAGGTGATGATACTGGTTTCTTGCATACTTTCCCCAGTGTTGAATTTGGCGGTGGTGAACGCGAGGGGTGAACCAGTCTCGTGTTGAAACTGAGCGACGTGACTTGGTGTCAAGCCAAGTCGACGTGGCTGTGGCTTGCTATCCTTTGCGAATGATCGTTCGAAGCCAAGCTTGCCCTCGTTCTTTCCACTTTTCTGGAGTGTGTCAATGAGTAGAAGATACGTACGACAAGTTGCAAGGAGCCAACGTCCATCTGCACTGACGTCAAGGCCAATGATTGATTCACCGAGAGCAGGAATATGAGTTTTGGCGTTGACTCCAAGACGGTCGAACAGACGCACATCGCCCTTGTTGGACGCAACTGCAATGTGACCCTTTTCTGTTGTGGCAGCTGCAGAGAAGTCATTCTTAGACATGTACTGCTTTAGCTGATTCTCCACAAGCTTATTGCCTGCAACACGGGGATCGATGCGGAAGAGAGCATTTCTGCTATGTCCAATGAAGGGTTGCGCCGAGGTTTGTTGGGCAAATTTTGTTTCGGGGGCGAAGTTGGTGACTGGGATATCATCGTGGATTTTCCACTCATCCACAATTTTACCATACTCAAGGTCCATGCGAAATAGCGAGTTTGGATTGCTCTCATCTTGCATCACCATGTTCTGGTCTTCGGCGTGTAGCATAACCTTGCTGGGTTTGAAAGCGCGTCCTTTTGGTGTCTGGACTTTGGAGATATTTGTGGTGAATTCAAGATGTCGGTTTGGGAGATGCTTGAATACGCCAATCTTAGACCCCCGGACGACAAAGGAACGGTCGTGCTTCGTTCCCACAGCGAGCTGCGAGTTCACATTGCCGTCTTTATCACCCAGCTCAACATCATCCTCTGATTCATCCGAGTCGTAATGTTCACTGCGCTGACCAGCCTGACTGTCATCCTCATCCTCATCCTCTTCCTCTTCCAGGAGCTCTTCTTCACCGTCAGGGGCATCGTCCATAGTCAAATCGTTGAATGCTTCCAGAACATATTCTCGATCCTGGTCCTGAACCTTTGACCATTTGGTCTCATTCAATTGTTCCCATAGAGCCTGCATGATGCCTTCTTGAAAGTTTTCCAGCGTTGGTTGGTCTGGGAAACGCAGAAGCCAGGAATATGCAGACTCATCATCAGTATAATGGTTGAAGATAGCCGAAAGATACTCGAAGTTGAAGACGGGATTGATATCGGCGACCACTTCTTGACCAAGCCATTCTCGACCATCAGAGCTGGTGATCTGCAACCAATAACGCCATTTGCCAAGATCACTGACCACAGCAGTCACTGAAGAGTCTTGTAAAATGAAAGTACCGGATGTGAAATCGAACAAGTGAAGTTCGGCGGTTTGGCTTGCGAGAACTTCACCAACGCTTGGGGCGCTTTTTGCCACTGGAGCTTCTGTTGGGCCAGCAGTGATGGACTCGGGTATGGACCTCTTCGCTTTCCTGGACGACTTGACGTCTTTCGCCATGCGCTCGGCAGATTCTTTGCTTGTAGGCATAGGGTCAGCAAGTTCAGGAACAGAGCTTGCCAAAGGAATGATGTCGTCGTCGTCAAAGTTAAATTCTTGGAGCTCAGCCTCGGTTGCTTTCTGAGCAGATCTCCGATACTTGCGTTCAAATTGTGAGTCGATGGCAGCAAGGACGAACGTTTGTACCCTATCACCCTGTGCTGAAGAGTCGCAGACAAATTCGTACAGGTCGCCTTGATCACCACTAAGATCACGCCAAGCGAGAACGTACTCGCCACTAGTTCTCTGTTCGCATCTAAAGTGGAGGCTTTGGTCAAGGAGGAAGGTCTTCTCGTCTTTATCTAGACTTTCAAGGCCTTGATCCTCGTCGTCTTCAGCTAGCTCTTCTTCGCCTTCTTCATAGGCACGTTGAATGACGAGTTGGTACTGAAATTCCTGGCCCGTTCGTCTGATGGATGCGACAGCGTCTTTATAGATGAGCTCAGAGTAACCTTTGGGCGACCTTGGGCGTACGATGTAGAGCTGGCCTTGGGGGATTTCGGTAATGACCTCCTTGGACGCATCTCCGAACAGGTACTTGCTCACTAAAAATATGGAGATTAGCTAGGCAGAGCAGATGCTAGGAAAGTATCTGGTTCTGGCACTTACCGTTTTTGATCATAAACATGGTGAGTGAGGGGCAATTGCCAGGTACCGTGGGAATTAAGCAAGGGAAGGGCGCGGGCCAAGGCAATATTGGGACGCGTAGATGAGCGCGGGGGAGACTGTGTTAGATTATCCTAAGACACAGTCTCATGAAACAACACATGGGCATAGAAAGTGAAAAGGAAGTTAGAGAAGAGCGTTCATGTTTATTGATGAAGGTTGGTTTCTAGGCAGGCGCAGGCACTGCAGGTAAGGGTAGTCACTGCCGCGGCTTGGCCACGGCTATGACGCAACAAATCCACAGCCTTGATCCATCACCAATTGCCTGCCAAGGCTTCCGGAATGCCCTCCATTGGTGATCTAAATATCTGATATCTACCACGGCACGTCTCGTAGACAAGTAATTACATTGCGAAATCTGGAATTGAATTTCTATCTTGCCAGGTTTCTTTAGATGCCCGTCGGTATCTGATGAAGTAGTTGATAATCGCCCTCAGTCACCTTAAAATGTTGACCACGTTGTCGTAACAGACTAGCAAGCTCCATACCTAGTTTTGGCAAATATTATTGGTCGATACCTCTGGCAAGCTTTCATCAATTTTTAGCGTTTACTAGATGATTCCGGGACCAGCCTCGTTAATCCAAAGAAGGCTGAGACAACACTCCTCCCCTCGTTCGCTACGTACGGATACTTTGGTTGACCTTCTCACCTTCCCCTGCCCCAATCTCCTGCGCTTCAAGGCTTTGGTTTTCTTGAGAGTCTCAAGATCGTTTCTAAACCAATTTTGTCGCATATGGCAGACTCCAAAGATCCTCTTCAACGCCAGAACCCGGCACCACAAACTCTTGCAGACAATCCTCACAATCCGAGTTCGGCTGCCTACTTAGCCTATCCCGTCAAACATGTCGTTTCTAGTCTATATCGACGCATGACCGAGCCTCCCGAGCACCCTGTCGGCAAGTTGCTTAACGCTCCCTCAATGGCTTCGTCTACTTCCGGTCTATACACCCCTCCGAAGAGAACCCAATCACCCTTTCAACCCCCGCCTCTCACTCCGCTCGAATTGAGACATACACTGTCTGCCCGGGCGGCAGACTCGCTGCTATTGACGAGGTCACTTGCTGAAGAGATACGACTGTTGATCCCACCGAGACTTCAACTGCTGGAACACTGGAGGCTAGCGTATTCACTCGAGGTTCATGGGTCCTCCTTAGCAACGCTTTACGAGCACTGTGCAAAGGTATCTATAAATTCACAACGGTCAGGGTACGTTCTGGTTGTCCGCGATGGCACCACCTCTGCTGGACACGGGTCGGTCTTTGGTGCATACCTCTCAGACGCTCCTAAGCCGGGTCTCCATTATTTTGGTACCGGTGAATGCTTCCTTTGGCGAGCTAGTATTCTGCCAGCCATGAGAGACTTGTCATCACAGCTTAGAAACGCCACAAACACCGCGTCGGAAGACCTCCTCGAGCTGGCTGGCCTTCCACCCCCTCCCAGCGCTGATACAACGAATCTCCAGCGAGTAACCACAGTCCGTGGTGAAAGACGGGCTTCATCAGTGACATCTCCAGGCTCTCCCCCAAACCTTAAGCCCCGAGAAGCCCCGGGGTATTTACAGACTCCCGCGGAACGATCGGGTACTTCCACTCCAGATCGTATTAGGTTCAAGGCCTTTCCGTACAGTGGAATTAATGACTTTCTGATCTATTGCCAAGCAGATTATCTGTCTGTTGGGGGAGGTGATGGGCATTATGGACTATGGCTAGATGACGACTTGGATAACGGCATCAGTGAGACTTGTCCAACTTTCGGCAATGAACCATTGAGCGACGAGGGCCGCAAGTTTGAAATACTTGGCGTTGAAATCTGGTATGTTGGTGCATGATCGGCTCGAAGCAATGTTCAATTTCCCCTTTTCATGAGCTGCGATCGAGCACTGGCCATGTCTCCCTAGCAGATCTCCTCCTACGAAACGATTTAGCATTGCACGGTTCCGCACATACATTCTTTTGCTAGAGGTGAAAGTGATTGTATGTGCATGGTCAACTACATCGTGCAACCGCCTCTAGCATGGCTGTCTCCACTGAGCATGAAAGCCAATGGCGAACGGCGAGATGTCTTGACGACAGCATTTAGGCATTGCTACAGTTCGACGTTGCGATTTGGATCGGCGTACTAATCAGGCCGTCACAAAATTTTGGGGATACCCCTTTGACCTTTTGCGAAAAGGCTGTTGCTGACTGAGCATCCTAATCTGCAACAAGGTAACCGAAGTCGCAACCAATATCTCCACATTGATCATCTACATAATCCGCCAGTTTTCCTTGGAGGGGTAGCTAGGTGCGCGCCGATACAACCATTACCAGGCTGGTCTTGCTTTCTAATTGAATCCTGCGGGTTCAAGCTCAGAAGACGCCTACAACGCTCATAGCCAAGCGAAGCTTGAGGTCTGGGACAATCCTCTGCAAGTCATGAGTTACACCTGTGAGATCAGGAAGCAGTTGGCAAACTTAGCAAACGGAACTGTTGTTGAGAGAGCTCCAAGCTCCGCTCAATGGTGTCTCTCGTACAGGTACTAGCTCGATGGTGATGGCTTTGCCGGTTATAACCCCACGATTCTGCCAATCTAAACAGAGTCCAGTGATGTCTGTGTTTTGGCAATATAAGGAGAGGAGGACCAATGAGAGTAGAGGACACAACTTCTCAAAGTGGTTTGCTCCAAACAACCGGCTAGAGTGGTGGCCTGCCGCTTGGTCACTAGCTTTAGTACAGCTAACTTAAACCATGTGCCATCGCATGCTTGAACGAGGACAAACGCATTCTATGACGTGGGTCGCAGCCCTAGAGGTATGCAAGTGAAGAAGCAAGGTCAACCAACAAAGGCAGAACCAACGGGCCAAAATAATTCCCCGAAATGAGGCAGATGGCTTGCCCAAGGCCTTACTCGTACATAGGTGCGGAAGACGGCAAAAGGATGTTCCTCGCGGTTCCTCTGTCCGAGTAGGAAGTGCCAAGATCGGACTTCCCACGTGCGGCACAAGGATATCACCTACTTACTCGTATCTCCAAACGCAGGCAGTTCCTTTGCGCGGTAGGGGGGCAATGAGTTTCAGCCATGTATGTAATGTAGCAAGGGCAGGCCCTTACCGTGGGCGGTATAGATGCAATGTCAATCAAGGGGAAAGGAGTTCTTTGAAGGTTAGTCATGATCATCAACCATTGTTAAGCGATTTGCAAGCCTCTGCTCGTCCTGAGGTCTTGGGAGGCCCGACAACGATTATCCAGCGTTCGGAGCGAAATATGTGCTGTACACTGTTCGTGCAAAGTTACGCCTGAAACGTTACCAGTTTTGCCGGTCAAATGACACGAGGCAGGCTGTAACACGATACTGGAACTTCCAGTTTAAGAACTTTCCAGGATTGGTAACGCCACTGCCGAGGCTGCATAACGATGCATAATCAATCCATCGCACCAGTTAGAGATGGAAGGCTCCCTTTTCCGCCGCCAGCATGGGATTCGGCGTCCCCATAGTCCCCTTGCAAACTCTGCATTATTGGCAACCAAAGAGCGGTCGTTGAGCGTAATCGACGTATCTATCAATGACTGGGCGCAGAAACTTCCTTGTTACGCGGACCAAGAACATGAACAGACCACCCTTCTGCTGAATCCAGAGGCCGAGGCCAACGCAGCGGCTTGGAGCAGTGATGACCCGCTCAGCAGAAGTTGCGACAACAACAGCAATAATGATCATCATCAGGCACGGTCGAAAATCGCAAGCGAGCCTTGGACGAGCAGTCGTTCCCGTTTGGGCGTTCTTCACCAGGTCAGCAGTTCCGCCTAAGTTGGGTAGACACTCTCCCCGGGTTACAGTAGATCTGGATGACGATATCGAGGTAATCTTAACACAGGCAAAGCTGGGCTCGCGATCTCGCGGCCAGCGATAGACGTTTAATGCTGCCGAGAGACCGAGGAGGAGTCCCTGAGGGATGAAGTTGTGCCCGAAAGCCCGATTTCAGCATAGGAAAGGGGTCTAACCGTCAACGGGTTTCCGTGGCCGTATTCCCGGTTTCTGTTGTTACGCACGATGCCAAAGTTACGAGGATGTGTTCCGGGTGGCAGTCTCCCAGTTTCCTTCGTACCTGGTATTGCAGGTGCGATGAACCCTTTTTCGCTCATAATACGGAGTGTGGACTGCTAAGACGTCCTTAGTGCACCTTCCTGAGGCCCGTCATGGCCATGTCATCAAGCCGACTCATGTCATCATTTCCCTTGGATGGTTCTTGCCTAAGTCTTGCTTCATTCCCTTTCGCACCCTGGTCCGCTTTTAGCTTCGTGATCGATCCACCTTCTCTCCCACACCCACACCTCGTCGGCCGCGCTAAACTCTCTCGTCTCAATATTCTGCTACTCATCAAATCCACCATCCACCCTCCACCCTGGTCATGCACTCCCTCCTTTGTGTCCGAGTACGTGCAGCTCTCCGGCTTGCATCAAACTTCTCCCGCCCTGGATCCATGGGATTATGGATGCTGCTCTGTCAGGTCTGCAGTGTGCACGACCACCTTACTATGCTTGATGCTCGTCCAGGCTCCACTCTTACTGCTGCTGGTATCTTAGTAACCCGGTGCTGCTAACGATATAAGGCCTCATGTCTCGATGCTTCCCCCCCAGTACATACACCCCTTCCTCTCGCACTATTCTCCTTCACGTTGTTCCATGATAAGCTGACTAGCCTGCTTCAATCTATTGTGACTGTTGATCTCTTTTGTTCGCCAACCATCATCACTGACTGTCCTCACCACCTCAGCCATAGCATTCTCTGCTCCTTCGTACCTGGCACCCTGGACCCCGGTGCTCCAGGCTACATATATACATAAAACTCGAAATGGGTGCAACAATCCTGACGCCGCCTCTAGAACCCTCGTCACCACTCGATGGTGGGATCAGAAAACGAGTATGCAAGGCATGTGATCGCTGTCGACTCAAGAAATCAAAGGTTGGTGGTGGTTCAGTTTCGTGGCCGTCTCGACCAGCACTAATGTAATAATACAGTGTGACGGCGCCAGTCCTTGTAGTCGATGCAAAGCAGACAACGCCATCTGTGTGTTCGGAGAGCGAAAGAAGTCCCATGACAAGGTCTATCCTAAAGGGTGAGTGGCCGGCACGTGGCATTCTAGTTTGAGCATTTCTAACCCAGCGCCACAGATATGTTGAGATGCTCGAAAGCCAACAAGCTCAACTTGTATCAGGCCTACAAGAACTCTACAAGCGCGTTCAGAACGGCCAAGGCTGGACAGGCAGCCCCTTGAAAGAAAACACCCATGGACAGCCCTTGACGCACGATATCCTGGAAAGATTGGGAGCGTTGAAACAAGAAGGCCACACGACCAATGATATCTTCGAGGAAGATCTGAGCGTCTTACAGCAAAAGCTTATTGCCGACGGTGCTGGCTTCATGCAGCGAGCTCCTTCACACGATTCCCATTCAGACAGCAGTGCGCCCTCTCCCATCTACGAGCCTGTCGCCCAACGGCCCGACTTCTCAAATCCATTCTCGCTCAACCAGTTCCCCCCCACGCCTCCCGATCAGAGCCCTTACCCGCAGACTGCAAGAACAGTGCCATCGATGAAGTCGCAGCCATACCCCCATGCTACCATCAACCAGTCGAATCTCAGCTGGCATACTCCTGTCTCCGACTTTGACGATAACAGCATGGACTTCGCGGCCCAATTCGACTCTCCCATGATAGATTCGACACTTGATCTATCATCGTTCCCGCCGAACATGTTTCAAGATCAGATGATTCCCACAGCGATCAACCCCTGTCTAACGATGAAAGATTGGGCAGGTCAGGAAGATTTCCAACGGTACTTCAACCCGGCAGCCATGATCTAATTAGGTGGTGTTTATGACGTTAACGACTTATTTGTAACTGCATCCAAAAGCGGGTCTCTCATTGCATTTACAGGATCTTCACGGGTAACGGATATCACACCCGGGGACAAGGCTTGGTATGTACTAGGGAAGGATGATCATATTTTCTGGTCGGGAAGCACTTGGGGATGGAATGATAACATCTCCATGGCCGCCATCCACTACGTTCATGATTCACAAGTTGGGAGGATGAAGACTGGCCAACAGCGACCCAGGAGTTAATTGACGGTATGTTCCGTACAGCCTTATGAGTGTTGTGTCGGCTTGCGTCATAGGTAATCACGGCGCGGGGGGGGGGGGGTTACTGCAAGCTGCGAGAAGCTGCATGGTGGACATGTCACTATTATGAATACCCACGTTCCACTGGGGCAACATCCCCATATTGGAAACAGATAATGCAATGGACAGCAAACCATGCTTCTTGCATGTTCAAAATCCACAGGCTGTCATTCCCAACCTCAAGTTTGCTCATCCCGGCTTGCCCGCGCGTCTAGTTTCTGGTTCTCGATGCGTCAATGGTGGTCTATACATACCCCCAAAACCTTGTCAGCACTGCATTGACTATCGCGATGACAGAAATTCTCATGGTGACGCTTTTTGAGTTTGAACACCTCCCTTCCGAAAATGCCGTTATCGTGATCCATCGGGTCTACTCATCCGAGAATGCTCGATGCATGTACTTCTTTGTCATCTGCGTAGACTTTGACGCTTGACATCACAAGCTACGAGTACACTGCAAGTGACGGTCCTAATTTTAATTCCACACTTTTCCAACATTCCATTCATTCTCCGCGCTTTGCAGGAAGAGGCTGTAACTTTACTTTAAACTCCGTTTCAGCCGCTCTGCAGACTCCTTTCGGACTCTTGAATTGGGGCTCATCCTGAATAAGGAAGGATCTCGGAACTATCGGGATTGGCGGTTTTTTACTTTCGAGGAGCGCAATCGGCAGAGTCACTTTCTCGGACGACTATGAGTAGTTGGTTGGTCGACGACAAGAGATATCGTCGATCGTCAAATATCACTCATCAACACCACGTTGTCAATCGAGATCGGTGATGCAGCCTTGCTGTTTTTTTTGTTTTTTTTTGTTGTTTTTTTTGGCAATTGACGGGCGGCGGTGACCTTGGTGGCGCAGTGTATTTTCTCTCCCCGTTCCATCACCTAATTCCTAGTATGACATAAATGGATGAACGGATGCCAAAGTTTGCGAACGAACGTGCTCATGAGGAGCTAGTTTTTTCTATGCATCTCCATCTTGCGATGGCAATGCCACGTCCACAGGGCAAAACATAGGGTATGCTGGTTACGCGTCTTGAGGCTAGCCCGCGCACCGTGACTGGTTTGCAAAGCCTGTACTCGGATGCTTAGTTACCTTTACGATGTCTCTGGCCCCGTGGACACAGGGCGTCATCACAGCCTTGTGGGCAGGTGCATCCTGAGTTGTGACTTGTGAGGGGCTGAGGAGGCCTGCAAGGAGCGCGACTTCAGCCTTGTGTGGCGGGGTACTGCGGTAGTGATTAGGATCAGCAGACCATGCCACCGTTTCATGAAGTCCTTTCTACTCCTGTGGAACGGATCTCATTACTCGCAATAGTCCACCAGGCAAGCTCTTCCGCAGTTTTAACGGGCAAGAAAGCACGAATGCTCACCCCATGCAGCAGGAGAGGCGTGCTGAAGTTCTCATGCGCCTGGCCCTAAACCAACCAACCAACCCCGCACTTGAACCATCCACAGAAAGCAATGGCAGCCTCGTGTGTGTAGCCTCCCGCGCATCGGAACCATCGTGATATGGTTTCCAGAAGCAGGTACAGTCCCAGAGATAGTTGACAGTCCGAATTATTTACAGACGTCTCGACCGTCTCCGCACCACGCCTTGGTGTCTCCCGTGTTTCGTTCCCTCAACAAGTGTCACTCGTACATAATTCAGGCTATTGATGCCCACTTTTTGCCAGTGTTGATCCGGGTAAATGCCCACCGAGCCCGGCTTGGGTTTAGGCCAAGTACTCCCCCCGGTGGTCACTTCTCAATCCTAGAAACAGGAATAATAATAAGAACAACGACGACTTCATGTGTTGGCGCACTGGAAGATTCATCTACTGCTACATACCTGCCACAGTTTTTCTTTCTTGACATCGTCATAAGCCGATAGAGCGCCGCCCCCGTCATCAGAAAATCATGGCTTCAGAATCCGGAGTGGCTTTCTTGCCCACAGGCGCGCTCATTCAGGAGCTCAAGGTCGCGGGGCATAACATCGTGTTGGGATATTCCAGCGTGGAGCCCTATGCCGAGGCGCCGTTCTTTGGTGAGACCATCGGACGGGTTGCAAATCGGATAAAGGAAGCGCAGATCGATCATCTCAATGGCAAGTCTTACAAGTTGGCTGCTAACAATGGACCCAATCATTTGCACGGTGGGTTGCAAGGCTGGGGGAAGAAGGTGTTCACTGGGCCCAAGCCCCTAAATCGCAATGGAAAGGAGAGCCTCCTGTTCACTTACGTGTCTCCTGATGGAGAAGAGGGGTATCCAGGCACTGTCGAACTTAGGGTGTGGTACACTGCGTATGAAGAGGCACAAGACACAGGAGGCCCCAGATTAGTTCTCGAGACTGAATATGAGGTAGAGCTGATTGGGTCCGAAGTTGACCAGACCGTCATCAACGTAACGAATCATAGGTAAGCGCATATGTATATGGGCGACGACCGATGGAAAACATACCATCTAACTTGTCCTCTAGTTACTTCAACATTAGTGGAGGTCCCACTATCGACGGAACAGAGGTCACACTGGCATCGACAAAGTATCTGGAAGTGGCCGACGCACAGCTCATCCCCACAGGGAGAATTGAGGATTTCCCAGGCGTCGAGGCCAACAAAGCGATTGTCCTAGGCGCGAAAGAACCTGTATTCGATCATGCGTTCATTGTCGACTCCGACGCTTCTAATGTTCCCCTCGACACACGAAATGGCCCTCTTCGAAAATTGGCCGGTTTCTCGCACCCCACGACGCAGCTTCACATTGACTTCTTCAGTACGGAGCCGGCGTTCCAATTCTACACTGGTGAGCACATCGACGCAGCGGCTCATGGAGACACTCCAGCAAGAGGGGCACGTGCGGGATTTTGCATTGAGCCTAGTCGCTATATCAATGCCATCAACGAGCCTGGGTGGAGAAATCAAGTTCTCCTAAAGCGTGGCGACGTTTGGGGCGCGAAGACCGTGTACAAGGCTTGGAAATCATAAGGGGCTCTGTTCGACGATCAATCTCACCTGTGGGCTCTGTGGAGTGCATCAACTGCACTCACCCCGCCTGCACAATGCATAAAACTTGCTGTCCCGTGCCTCGCCTGGGGACTCTCTCCATGCCCTCTCCACCGTCACGTGGTGCAGGCGTCGCGGTGCGTCATTTGGAGAAATGCTAACACCCTCAGGGGTAAGTCTTTTATGAAATGCATTGTCCAGAATACTGTAGAAAGTCCGCGGCGTCAAGGGTATTTACTCAGAACCGGAGAATTCCCGCGCGCTGATTACATATGCACAGACAGGTGGATTAGATGACAAGAAACAAACGTTCCACGTTCCACGTGCCACATTGCTAGAACAAAAGGAATCGAACAAGGGCACTCGTGAGGAAGAAGAAAATTGAAAATGCCTCATATCAAAGCAGATTGACCTTAATCGGATACTTCTTAAGCGAAAGAGGCACGCTCATTCATCTGCAGGGTCATGCCCAAACAATGGGCGGGGAATATGGGAGACGTAGAATCGGCCGTAAGTGGACACCGAGCCATGGAGGCAAAACTCGTCCGTCTCCGAGGCTCCTTGCATAAGCAAGGCTAAAACGATCACTGAACGGCGACTATTTGCAGACGGCGATCCAATTTTCTGGAGAGATTTTTTGATCCTTGTGATTACTTCTTCGGACGAATAAAGTTCTTCGGGTAACTGGATCTCCATTATTGTACTTCGCGGCTCACCGGCTTCTTGAACGACCCAATATTGCAGATATTCCTTGACGCGCGAATACTGCAGTCACTGACTGGACCCGACGTTGATCAAAACCCCTGCAAGGTTGAAGGTGAAGGTGACACTAAGTTAAACCCGAGTTGCATGTGAGTATCTCCGGGGACGAGCTCGGGATTCTGTTATTCCGTATCCGCAACCAAGTCGCTGCTGGCCATCCGAAGTGCCCCTGGTAATTTTTCTGCGCAAGATGGTAGGCTTCGGGAGAGGCTCACGTGCGCAACCGTGTCGCGTGGCTTAGAGTATGAACTGACGGCCGATGAACGCGCTTCGCAGCGTAATCATCAGCGGCGATGCTGAAGGGGAAAATGACGATCATTTGTGTGATACCTAGGAAATTGGTTGAACAAGCGAGCAAGCAAGTAATCTTGCCATTTCCAAATTTAGGTTGTGTCAGTTGGTCACAAGCAAGTCCACGTTGCGATACGTAGCACTCAATGCAAATGGAAGCGGTAGTTGCAAGCAATGAGACAGCAGATGTGCTGCTATACGAGAGCTTACCGCTCTTCCTGTCCGTGATTCCTTCTAGAAGGCCTCGCAGCTGAGGGGCCTGACGCTAAGTTGATTGGCAAAGTCGATCCCCTAAGTAAGTCCAATTTCAGCTCCAGGCATCACCGTTTCAGTTGGCCTTGCCTGAGTCCTCATGGAGAATATATTGCGAGGTGGAATTCCGCAACCGGGCTATTATTGTTCCCGCCATAGGAGGCGCAGCCACATGGCAGGGTTGACCTGTGGCAGCCGAGACGTATTCGGGACACATTCCTGATATGTCGCACAAGAGATGCCAAATCGAAGGAGATACCGCCAATGCTCACCTTCACCCCGCAAAGCCTCGTGCGCGTCGTAATCAGAACAGCAAGATACTTGTCGACAAGAGGACAAGCGTACGATGGATCGTATTGGACTCAAAGCGAGTGGTCGACCAAGACCCGAATGGATACCCTAATTAGGCCAACGGCTTCGAACTGCATCACTACCGAATTGAAAGCCAGTCAAGGAATACGCACAGACCGCGGCGCGGTTGCTCATCGATTGCTTTGTCTTCAGGATGGCTTGGGCTTGGGCTTGGGGCTTGGGCTTGGGCGACTGCCCTGCTAGGCTCGATGTCGTCGAAGTGGAAGGCGCAAGGGGGGTTGGTCAAGACGCCGAGATCGTATCCAGCCTCTCGCCTAAAAGCCGCTCCTTGCACAATTCCTTGCACAATTCCCGCCCTGATTAGTCTTTGTTGCCGATTTTTGAATTGACGGTAATGTATTCTGGATACAGCCTGGTTATGTAATGACGCTCCTGTATGACCCATACATGTCACATGACCCACATTGGCCAGTCGTATTCTGTCTCGTCTCCATATTCCTACCGAGGGCGTTTGTACTGTACAGTAGAATCGAGGTGTTGCGCCGCCTTCAAAAGTGGTCACCAATCAACAAATTGCCATTCTAGTCACACGCTTCTCTCATGATGCCATAGACTTATTTTCGTGCCTGTACAATGCTTGAACTCGCCGGCCAAGGCCAGTAAGTTTGATGGAACGCCTACAAGAATGTCGATCTCCATTATCGCCTTTCTTGACCTACACGGCGCAAGATTAACAGACGGCTGCCGACATGAATTCCCACGAAAATCATCGAACATGCTCGTGGATAGCACAAGGTCCCAGCTATCGGCCAATGTCAGCTTGAGCTAGCATATCGAGATCCTTGATTGGCTTATGGCAGCTGAGTCAGATCGCTGGCCCTATCTCTCGTTTCCTCGGCAAGTTGGCTTCGTTTGTCGGTAGGATTCTTTGTCATCCTGTCCTCTCTCTCAATAAGCTGGGACAGCTTCATGCAGGGGAAACCCCATCGTTCCTGGCCTGGTCTACTCCGTTCCCGGGAAATGATCGTGTCATCAATAATTTTCAATCTTCGGGCAGTTTCCCAGGCATTGAAACCATGTCACGTCCCAATGCAGGAAGTTGTTTTTGCCCTTTTCAGGAAGTGGTTCACCTAGCAGCAATACACCGCTTCCTCATAGAGCTTCCAAAGGTAAAGATCCTGAGTCATCAAGGCAAGTATCTCTCAGGCAGGCTCTGTCACTAATCTGTTGGGCCTAGAATCATTCGCGAGGACCACTTGTCCAGTAACTGGTCGTATCGCTCGTCCCGTGATGCGTTGGAGGCTTGTTCCTGCCCAACACGAACCTAGATCAGTAACTCCATTCAAAGGTGAGGCACACGAAGAGCTGCTGGCACCGAGCTTTCCCATGCCGTCCAAAGCAGCTAAACTACAGAGCGTAGTTGATTTAGACAGATTGTATTCGTCGATACCCCGGTCTCCCTCTTGACCTAAGGTACGCAATGCCTACAAAAGCTTGTTTCCAGACATGGGCTGCTGTCCTCTCCTTAGCTTACAAGCACCGCTGACATTCCTGGTTCAACGAAACGGTTCTTATCTCGGAGAGAAGCCGGCGAGGACGAGTGGACGCTTAAAGCAAAATTGGGCCTCAAACTCTTTGAATCTTTTCGCATGACTGTACCTTCCACAGGACGCTGCAAAATGATAAGCAACCCTGACGCGTACTTCCACTATGTCACTTGGGTTTGCTGGTAAGCGCACAAGAAGGGCTGAAGGTTTCAGGCAGACAGCCCGCTTTGACACCAAGAGCAATATACAGCGAAATGCCACGTATCTTGAGACGGTGAAGGATCAGAGTCCCAATCTCCTGCTGAGGAATGAAATGCTGGCGAGATCTTATTCACAATTGTAAGTGGATCCACAGGCTCCTATATTCACGTTCAGTCGACAGTACTCTGTACATTGCCCACCATCCCCAGCTTGCAACGTTGGTCAATCGTTCTGCCCTAAATCTCCCAATTCGCTAGACTCCGCACCCAGCTGAGAGGGCATACGAGGCAAGCAGAGACTAAAATATCCTGGCTTGCATGTCTGGCAGGCTCGTCTAACTCGATCTGCGCCAATCGAGGTCTCGAAATTCATTGCAAAGCCTGGAACATATTACAGATAGCATATCTTCCTTGTTGAGGAGCTCACCTTCCCCCATCCGATCAGATAGACGGCTCCCTTTCCATACAGGTACTACGTCGTGAGTAAGCGTCTAGAGGCTTAAGAGGACTTAGTAGCCAAACACTCTAAGGAATTCTCGATTTTCCTACCGGCCACGACTGAAAACGCGGTCCTGCTAGTCCTTGACTAATGCACAGGCCATATTGGGTTACTCGTACATACCCAGGGCACTGCCCTATCTAGTCAGCCTCACACGTTGTATCCGAAGCACCAGAAGTTTTCCACAGTGGAACCTGGAATTTTCCCTTGCTACCACCAGGCGGCCCTGTGACCCTCTCATCTGTGCTCGTGAGATGCTCTATGTGCTCTCCTATACATCGAGACCAACGACGCCCGAAACTGTCACGCCGTGTCAAGATCTGATAGGCTTCTTGGCTTGACGTTTCCTAATCATGATAGACACTCGGAATACATACCAACGCATGTGCCCGGCCTTGTTCGGACCATGCTCAAACTAACAAATGCCGTGGATTCCTGACAAATCTCAGTAGTGCTGGGTCGTGCGCGATCGACAATCAATAATAGAGCAATGGGCTCCCATGAGTTCTCTACCTGGGACATCTGTTCCACCTGGTCGGTCTACATGTACCCTCCGACCTCCAGAGTGGAAATGACAGATGAAGCACCCCACTCGCCTGGGCATGGCCAGTTCGAGTCTCTAGGGAACAACGAATGCACAACCACCACAGGGTCACTATTAAGTCGTTGCTCTGACCTGACGAAAAGCGTGCTCACGTGTCTCAAGCTTTCTCTATGATGGCATGCATTTACACTCTGCGTAGGGGAAGTACAGGCCGAGGTGTTGACTTTCCCTCCAGCAGCTCCAGATGTGCTCCCGACCGAGTACGGATATTGCGAATGAGTAATAATCTGGGCAGCTTGTGGCCGGTCATAACCTATACCGAGAGAATCTCAAGCAGAAGAATTTACCTGGGTGTAAGAAATAGATTTCTTGCACTGATCTCATAAAAAATATCATTTTTATGTATCATCGGCCTGTGCTGTTGAATCTAAAGAAGAGGCATACGCGTGACATGTTCGTCGTCCTTGTTGGGACTTGCTACATCATTGATCATATGTCTAGGGTGTCTTTACCATCCTCCCCTATCGTCATCTGCCATACCCGATACCTTAAGCGCTCGATGACTTCCCTTCTCAAGTAAGTGCCTCCTGAGCTTGTGAACCACTTGTCGTCATTATCGACTATGTTCGTGCTCTTCACAATATCATTCGAAGCTTCTAACCTGTCGTGCTTGTCGTCCACCTGCTGCTGGATTTCTTGATCTTCTTTCTCCCAGCGGTCGAACCACGCAAATAAGAGTCTCAACTGCCAAAGCTTATTCTTCTGCACCTCTAAATCCTTCCTTGCGGATGTCACGATCGCCAATTCTTGCGGCAGAATTCCTTTCTCAAACTCCAGCCTCGTGTCTACAACTGTTTGATTGAACGCATCGTTTCCAGTTTTCGTGTTTGCTTGAAGAACAAGGGCCCGCTCTGCATGGTCAAAGTTCTTGAGGGAATCAAGATCAAATAACCACTCAAACGGGTTGGCACGTTTTGCCCCCCCCCCTGATAGTCCAACGCTGAAGCCAGGAGCGACATCGGCATTTGGGTCCACACTAGGTATACCACTAGCCTCACTTCTAGCCTGGAACTCAGCAGCAAAGAGATCCTGTGGAGGCTTGTCATATGCAACACGTCGAGAAATGAAGACATTGACAGCATTGTCTTTCCTGATTTGGGCTTCCAACCTTGACGCATTTTCGGGAGAGCTGAAGTCAAGCACAGCATCCCAAAACCCTTCACCTTTGACCTCGATGGTAGTGATAGTATCCAGCTCCGGAACCAGACCCGGAACCCGTAGGGATCGAGTTTCGCCATTCTTTAGCTGAATAGTCCCAGTCATACCACCGATAACGGACCCATCCGCTCGGTCTTTTGCGACGAGGCACCTCCCTTCCACAGCAAGTACCCACAAATGGCGCAAAGCCTGCAAGTGGCCCCGGTTATCAAGAACATCATTAGGGAAAACAGGATAGAACGCCATGCAGAGACTCGCAACAGCAAGGTTTGAGGTTCCAAAGGTTCTTGTTCCTCCAGCAAGGAATAGTGCACCTAATGCCATGTGAGCGGCAAGATGGCTGCCAAATGGCGTATCCCCGTCTGTCCGGCCATGTAGGGCACGCAGGCGGCGCATGACAAGCAAATCGCCTGATCCAGCCATTACAGCCGCTGTAGCCAGTGCGACAGTATCGAGACAATTTCGCGTGCTATTTAGCGTAACACGAGCGTCATAATTGCGCGCCGGAAGTCGACTAAGCCGAAGAAACTGGTCTAGGTATTGAATAAGTAAATCGCGAACGTCGTGTCTTTGAGACCCAGCAAAGCGCAGTCCGATAGCAAGACATAGTCCAGCAACAATGTTGAAGAATGGCATATCCTCCGTACTGAGAAACTTGGTAGATTTCAGATCAACCCGTCCATGATATGGCTGTGGTAGGGACGCGCGAATAAAATCAACTGTGGGCTTGACAGAGTCCCACATGATAAGATGGCGAGCTAATGTGCGGAGTAGAAAGACGTCAGGCCTCACATAGTCAAATTGATGTAAAGTATCAGGGACGTCGACCTTTCGAGCGATGGACTCATCGTTCGTCTTGAGGAATACAAACGTCATAGCCATCACGGCACCTGCAGTGGCACGATCAAGAACATGAACCATATTCACATTCTTCGTCCCCACCGCAATAGCAAGCAGACGTTCAACGACACTCATGTCATGAAGACCATGCAGGTGTTTTCCATGCCCAAGATTGATGAGTCCCAACGAAAACCCAGCGGCAAGTCGATAGCCTTCGTCACGAAGCACCGTTTCAGCAGCGGCGCCCTCCTCTGGATCGTTGTTCTCAATTTCCGAGAGCATAACCTCCGACATTCGGCGATGTTGCGAATTGCAGTAGAGGAGACCAATGCCAATGATTCCGGTGGTTTGAGTCAGAGGTGATAAGTTTAGCTCGGCTGCACCAGGAGGAAGTAAACGAGTGACATGGACGGAGAGTAGTCGAGTTATGAGCGTGTCCATGGTTCCAAGAAATGATACTGAAAGCCCGAGAATGAGACCAACAGAGGTCATAGTATGTTTGGGTGTGAGGTATTTGAATGCGACCCATTTTGCCAACGATTTCAAGTGTCCGTTCAAACCTAGAGCGAGGAGAAAGCCAGCGTGTCGATTTGTTAACTCCGGGGGTCTGTTATAGAGGATCCAGGATGTATCAATCCCCTGAGCGTCGTTTGCAATCATCAAACCCATCGAGGCCCCATTATGGAAGAACGCCCAACAAACCTTCTCCTCCGTGAAAGCTCCTTTGTCTGCGCTGAACGTCATCGCCTGCGTACCTTCTGTTGAGCGTCGGGATTTCATGATGCACTGTAAACTGAAAGCTGGAATTGGTACTCTTTCCGTAAGTAAAGGAACTCGAGCGTTGAAGTGCATCATTCCACGCCCCGTAGCCACTGACAGTGTTCGTCGGGTAACATGCTGTGCAAGCTCCTTTTGAGCTTCCAACAGTTCTATCTCAGTCCAGTCTGGTTCGGGCGTACATTCAACAACAGGTGGCCTTGTTTGGTTTACAAGCCTCGAAGCTTCCGGGAATCGGCGGTCTTCACTGAACAGTAATTTCGTGACGGCATGACGATCAGCTTCAGAGGAGGCGTCCCATCGTTGAAGTGTTTCGGCCTCCAATGCCGATGAGCATATTGTATGATAGTCTCGTACTGCTCCATGGTTTGGCATGAGAATTGCTTTGTGGAGTGGTGAATGGAGAAATTCAGACGTAGTGCCAATCATAGGAATAAGCCGCTGGGATATCTTTCCGTCATGTGTAGGGCCAACATTGAGACTGGAGCGCTTTGAAAATATGGCTTGATAAATGGCAGCTGCGATTCCATCTGGAAACGTTTTGATCATGTCTTTGTCAATTCCAGCCTTCGAGAGTATATGAATGGTCTGCTGAGTACCGATTTGATCCTTACTGGACTGCATATACGACAGTAATGCTAATGTACGGGGTGTGAGAGCAGAAACTCGTTGCCACAAAGAATCCTCCATGCCCATTGCCTGAGACCCTACCCCAGCAACTCTGGCCAACGTAAGGAATGGACGTAACGGATTCCCATTGATCCAATCTTCGAGATGTGCATAAATTGATGGCGGCTCAAATGGCTGTGAAGGCATCTGGAGACCATCAATGAGAGTCAACTCGAAAAGGCACTCCTGTGATTCCGAGGCTTCAAATTCGTAGTAAGTATTTGGTTGACAGGTCCAGTCCTTCCATCCGAGCCAGTGGCCGAGTTGCGCCATGATGAACACAAGGCATGTCTCGGGTGAGCCTAGTCTTGAAGTCGCAGACACTGTGAGCTTGTTCTCTTCGTACAGAAGATGCAACCCAATTAGTATGCTTGCGACAGCGTTGCACCGTTGCTCTCGGTTCTTGCTGATGGAGGTTGGTAGGTATCCTTCTGGTCCAATAGCGTTTTCACCCATCGGTGTCTGTGTATATTCTTTGGCCAAAGCAATGCATTTGACAATGAAGGTGTTGTGCTTTCCCTCTACGACGGCGCTGTCCGGAGACATGGTTGGCGCAAGCCTTGTACCCTTCACTCTCGCTGTAGCGTTGACTGCATTTGGTTGCTTTTGTAACAGCCAGCTCCAGGCCGGATCCCGGGTTTCAGACCTCAGCTTTATTTCGTGTTCATCATTATGCATCGCATCATAGCTCGTAAGATCAACAGCAGTTCCACTGCTTGAGCGAAGTAATGCACTCTTCTTCCGCCTGTGGCTGTGTGTTTGTGGTGTAGTACTGATGAAGGGAGTGGCCAACGAAAAGAGGACGATTACAAGGGTCGTCCATTCTGATGCTACTGGTGATCCTTTACCTTTCAGCCAACGGGAAACTTCCCAGAAAGCAACCAGTAAGGCTTCGTGTTGGTCAGTGCCGCTGACGATGTCGCACATCTGAAGAATAGCGGCAATCAGAGGATCTTTTGGTCGCAGATGGAGCTGTATAGTATGTGCTCGCCGATCCTGATCCATAGCATAGAACCGACCCTGAACCCCTGACTGCCCTAAGGCTTGTACGCGAACATTGTTGCCCGGAATAATCCTCCTGATGCCGGTCTCTTCGCTTTTCTTCGGGCTGGCCATTTGTGTATTTACTAAAGGATCAAATATGCCAAAACTTTGCACGAGCTCAATTGGATATGATGGAGACCATGGAGCCTCTAGATGTAGAGTAGTTTGCTGAGTTCGAGATTGAGTAAGAACAACAAGACGCTGGATATGGCCCTCTTGCACCTTGCAGGCATCGCTGATGCCGCTGAGTCTTCGCAGATCGGTGGCTTTCACCTCGAATGTCGCTTTTTCAGGGTCCTTCTTGCCCATTTTTCGATCGTGATACTTTACCAAGAGTTTGACCAAAATCATCTCCTGGCGACTTTTGTCTATGATGCAGATATACAAGTCTGTCGCTCGAACGTTGCCTCGCTGAGATGTGCCATGCGGACTCAGTGCTAGTACTTTGATATCTGTATCGACCACAGGACTTTCAGAGCCTACGGATCTTGAGAAGTTCTTAACCTTGAAGAAGCCGATGTCTCTAGGAAGATTGGTATCTGAGCCGTCAGAAGCATCATCCTCGAGTCGAGCGGAATGATGTAAGGGGTCAAATTCATCTAGTAATCCACGAGCAGATAAGTCTAGAAATGAAGTACCAGCACTCAGCATGGATGCATTCGTGGGAAAGGAGCTTCTGCGGCGGAACCCAAAGCTTTGCCGATCGTTGAAACTTCCTATTGATTCTCCTCTTCTTCCTACTCTGTTGAGGCTCTGACGGCCTGGGTGGCCCATAGCTAGATCATTGAAAGTATTTCGATCATTTCCCGCACCCAGCTCTGTTCTTGCTAACATTGAACTAACTCTGCGAGCGGAACGAGTTTGCACACCGATATCACCGAATTCGGGACCTAAGTGTGAAGCAAGGTCACTGATTGGGAATGACTTCTCCTCGTTCACTGACGTAAAAAGACCCTCCCCGTGAGGCTGATTTTGAGCGGCAGCATTCAAACTCTCTCTGAGATGGCCAGAGCCTCGGGCGGCAGGCGTGACTGCTCCGGGCTCTCTAGAATAAATGTTTGAGCTTTTCCTCAAGGAAGGGCGGGATCTCGTAGAGCCGCGGTTCTGGCGCTGGGTTCCATGCGGGTGATCTGGAGTCTCCGGAGTAACATGCCATAAAGTGAAGGAAGAGCTAGTTTCATTCAACGTCAGAGCAATCGACAGTGGCGGACTGCTCGGGAAATGCAGGCCTAGCTCTGAGCAAGGAGAGATAAATATGATCTTTTCAGTGCGAGGGAGTGCTTTGCAGTTGTCCAAGGGTTCTCCTCGTCGGCTCGGACTCCAGACAACCAAACCCAATTCCGACATGACCTCGGTGTAGGAGAATGTACGGGGAATACCACGCGTGTTCGACTGAAGAGGCTTTGGGAAGTCATTTTGTTTTCCAGGTGACAGCAAAGAAGGCCTGGAGCTGGTACCACCGATAGTGGTGAGAGTTTCATTAATAGTACTCAGGTCATGGTGTAAAGCAGGAAGAGAGTTTCGTCCTAATAACTCATCCTCACCCAATGTTCGTTGCAAGACGAAGCCAAAGGGGAAAGGAAAGGCGCTTTCCACCTCGAACGACAGAGGCACGACATGAGTGTCTCCGGAAAGGAGGAATATATGGGCCTGAGTCTTGAGGACAATGACGAGGCCGCGCTCTAAGGATGTAGGACGAACACTGTCCTTTTCGGCCTCGCTGGGATGGTCGCCTGACTTGAAGTCTGTGACAAAAGCATGTAAAATGGGCTCGCCCTCAACGTCGAGATTGAGTGTTCGTTTGACCAGACCATTTCTCGACCAAACTACACACGACCCAGTAATCACGATCTCTTCCTCGATAGACTCTGTGCCTTGGTCACTGGGAGTGTGAAAGAGTGACCATTTATAGAGAGAAGGCGATGGGTCAGCGGGAAGAATCGACTCTCCGACGAGGTAGGGAAGGGCGGAGGGTTCATGGAGGCCCAGCGACTGGACTGAACTCATGGTTCCGGACCAACTTGGAGGGGCGGAGGGTGCTGAACATTAGGCTTGGGGAAACTCCTGGGGGCGATATAGCCATACTAACATTCGGACGGCGTCATGAGACCACGAAGAGCGCTGTGCTGAGGTGGCAGTGGTGTTGGGTGGTGAGTAGCATCCGTGCCCCGTCGAAGTCTTCCTAGTATTTTCCACGAAATGAATACTTGGTATGTGAGGAAGTCGCGTCGATGTCCATAAAACCGGCGGGGAAGGAGGCCTTATAAAGACGGTTGCAGAATGACAACAAATAGACGGAAATCGCGCAGCTTGAAGCAGTATATTCTTTGTCTGACAGTCTTAGACCGCCGCCAAGTGATGAATACTTCGGTATCATGCATGCATGACGCGCTGCCTGCGACGCGACTTGCACTTGAATTATTGCCCATTCGCCCATTACTTTACTGAATTCTTGGGAGGAGTGTGAAACACTGGCAGTTTTTAACAAGTGTCACTCTGTCACCACAACTGCGACCGCACCCACGATTTGACACGGTGAACTACAGCCATCCTGAATTCGCTGACCGTTCTCACCTCTTAAATGGACTGCTCAGTCCTCCAACAGCGAGAGCGTTACCAGCTCAGGTATGGTATTTCCAACACTTTCCTTTAGAGATTTGTTCCTGATCCGACTCCACAGCTATGATCTCCCGCAGGAGGCCTACACCTCTTGCGTGTATCCCCGCCAGTCAGCCAATGGCTCTACCGTTATCGTTTATGGCCATGAGCGAGGACTGCGCATCATCTGGTATGCTGGGAAGACCTTCAAGTCGGCCAAGAAAAACAATCCGGCTACAAACACAAATGGAACAGCAAAGAGTGACCCCATGGTCATTGACCTGGACGATGATGATGACCAAGAACAGCCTGCAGCGGGAGATGCCTCTGTTGTACCTGCAGAATTTGAAGATGAGGAAGAAGAGGTAGATCCAGCAAAACCCTACCGTGGAATCCTCCGACAGATAGACATTCCTCTCGGAAGCTCAGCCTTGCGTATTGCAACCCCTCACATTTCAAAGGACCTCGCTCAAGCCCCTCCCGACTCCTGGCCACCAATATATCATGATCGTATCTTGGTCACCGTCGCATGTGCAGATTCGTCCCTTCGGGTTCTTATTGCTCCACTCGTCCCTCCCAGCCCAGAACTTCATGATATATCAAAACTTGACATTCAGACTCTCAAAATCTTGGGTCCTAATTCCCACCAAGAGTTCATCACTGACATAGCAATCACCCATACTATCCGCGCTGAGGGAGAAGAGGTAGAGGCAGAGACTCAAGCTCAAATGAGGCTTCAGACTCGTTCACAGCCAGCTCCAATCTCAACAGATGCCGACTCCCAAAGATGGGCCCTGCTAATAGCATCTTTATCATGCACGGAATCTGGGCTGCTTTTGGTTCATCAAATTCCTTTACAAGGAAATGGTACTCTCTCCACAAAGCCTGAACATCTTCTTCCAATAAGGAGGCAATTCCTCCGCTCCTCGGCCCTCGGCGCTAGAATCGCTTTCAACCCCTCTTGTTATCCTGCCGACCGACATTCCAGCCTCCTTCTCACTCTCCCTGCCGCCTCCACCGTCAAGCTGTACAAAGTTTTTGTAAATTATCCTCGGGAACGTCGCGGGTCCACCGCTACTTCAGATTCCGCATCTACCAGGGCATCGTTAAGGACATCTGGCAGTGACAAGGGGAGAATCCTTCTGACATTCCTTCCACCCTTTGTCCACGATCCCACTGCCATCCTCCCTCGACGAAAGAAATGTCTAGATGCTCAATGGGTCGCCAGCGGCCGTGCCGTTGTGTCATTGCTCGAGGATGGTGAATGGGGTATCTGGGATCTTGAAGCAGTTGGGCCAAACTCTTCTGGAATTGGAAGCAACCTTGTTCGTGGGCAATCCAACATTTCAGGCATTCAAGGAGGATCAATCACAAGATTTGCCATTCGATCCAATATTTTCGCCTCTGAAATGAAAAAAGAAACTTCTTCCAGCACTCAGGTTCGGGCAGCTACAACCTCGTTGGCTCCCATGACGCCATCAACACGTAAAGTTCGGTCTGAGGGATTATTCCAGGGTACTTCAAAACAAGATGTCCGGTCAGCGTCCGCTCGGAATGTTCGCGGCTATATTTCTGTAGAGGAACATCCCCCGCACAATGGCAGGCCGCTTGACGAATCCGTCATTATCAGCTATGGTGGGGAGAACGTATATATCTCGTCCTTGTCAGCGTTCTGGAGAGCAGAAATTAAGCCTGCACGTCTGCCGATCATCAGACTCGGTGGCCAGGAGCTGCGAGGGATTGCTACTCTTCCCCAAGCCACAGACGACATGCCTACAACAAGCATTGCACGTTTCGGCCTGGCATCGTCATCTCTGCCCGATTTCGTGGTTCAGACCCCTCATCGCTTAATTCTGTCCGTCCATGCTCTCTCTGTTTCCGCGGATCAACCTTGGAGATCTCTCACAGGTACAGAGGCCATTTCTGGTGCTCATACACACCCCACATTTGACCAGGTACTACTCAACTCTGGTGATCTCGATGTCGACGGTATGGATAGAATTCTGAGTAATATGGGCACTGTTGGCAGAGGTTCAAAACCACTCGATCTCTCTGGCAACAAAATGACGTTCAATTACGGCAACCAAGATGGAGGAGAGGACGAAGAGGACGTCGACATGATGGTCACCTCACCCACACCATCGAAGTACTCGGCACGCGGGTTGCCTGCCGCGAGGATACAACGGGGAGAAAAGCGTCGTGGGTCTTATGAACACGCCCGACTACCTGCTACCAGCTTGCAACGTGAAGAGGAACACCGTGGTTCTTATGGACGGGCGCAGCCGTCCACGCAGCGACGAATATTTTCTTGATTTGTTTCGGTGTTACGGTCGCTAAACGGAAGCAGAAACTCCTCCAAGTCCTGTAACATAGCCTGGCCTTTTCACACTTTTATCACGGTCCTGCGGGCATGAAAAGGCCAGGTGCATTTTGCTCCTCGATTCACAATACCCACAAAGCTGGAAAGCTAAAGAGGCGAAGTTATCAATCTCAAATTCCAATACGCCGTGCGTGTTTTTCCGGAAAGGAACAAAATAAAGGAGATTGCCAGTTTGTTAGATCCCCTCCGATCCAGACCTTAACCTCTCAGGTTTCCTTTCCTTCTTCGCTTCATAATGTTCAGCATATCTAGTTTCGATCTTTCCGCTTTCCCTTACCAGAAAAAAATCTCTCAAATTCCCCATCTCAAGATCACGTCACCCTACTCACGCATTCTATTCAAGAAGCCAATGACAATCGCGATGCAAGGTGGAGCACAAGGTGAGCTCAATACCTTTTGTCAAACAAAAATTGCTCAGTATTCTTCGCGAGAGATCAAAAAAGAGAGAAAATGACGGACTTGCAATCTTCTTTCCTCCAATCTGTCTATCCCCAGGGGTAGATAGAGAATGAGTGTAATAGAAGGCGCGATGCGTCGTTTTTCGAGCCTCTTGGAGCCTTTGTTTATCTCCAACATCAAGAGCATCTTCGCACCCGTGAATGTTCAGTCATTTCACATATGGGGAAGAGAGATACTTTCTTGGTGTCCCTCGAGACCAACCGATCATGCTCTTGACTTGGTGTGGCATTGTTGTCTGGAGCGGGATACGCATCTCTTGCAGGTGACTCTCAAGATTCCCCTCGAGAGTGAGTAGCCGTCTTCAATAGCAATAATGCCAATGGCATACATTACTGCCCCCTCGAGATTCTCACTTTGTTTTTCGATTGCTTTTCCTTTCTTCCTTTCCTTTCTCGCATATTCTCTCTCCGTCAGTTGGAGGAGGGGGAAGAAGAAGCAAGACCAGAATTGCTATTCTCAGAGCTGTCCGTTGGATCGACTCTGTTCATTTCTTGCACGTACCCCTCGATGTCGGACAGCGTTGGTGTACTTAGGCACACGTGCACAGATACATACCTAAGATACCAAACAGCTAACATAGATACAGACCGCCTTCCTACCTGGTAGTACATAATACGTACATGCTAGTTATCGTGAGCAATGGGATCAACTTGGTCTTTGTTGAGTTAATTAGCAGTTACTGAGCTAAGTTGTGACTCTAAATCTCCCTATCCACCTTGTGAAGAAGCTGGTATGGCAATTTCATGAAGATTTTCGAAAGTCTATCAACGATGCGTTTCTGATCTATGTACTTACTTACTACCCAAGCCCCCCTGGGACAACCCTGTCACTCTCTAAGGCAATTAATCAGTGGGATCTTCTTTCTGACATACAAATTCCGGTGAAAGAGGCTGTATGCCACTCGAACACACAAGAGGGGAATTAAACCGAATTAAATCGATAAACCGAGCAACAATGCTAAGGGAAGGCCAGAGACAATTTTGGAATTTGGTTATCGCACGCCATCCAGCCATCCCGCCAGCCTAGTGTGAACCATACATGCATGATATGCTCGCTGTCCGCAGGGTATCCTCCCACTATTCTCTTTTGGCGAGTTCGAGTAAGAACAATGGTGTATGGTGCTTGGTGGCGCAGAAACATGGTATCCTAATCGACAACTGCGCGCAACCGCCAACACCGGCCGCCATGAATGCTAACTCCGACTGTCCTTCCACACGTTCAAGTTTTCCATTATCATGCCAGGACGCCACTTGCGCACCACCTAGATCAAGACCAGGAAGACGAAGTTACGCCGTGTCGGGCGCTCATGGTCTGCCTGAGGATCAATCATTCTTTGGAATTCCTGGGCCAAGAGCCCCTTCAAGAACGGTCCCTGATAGGGGAGGGAAGTATTGTGATCGTTATCCCAAGAAGTGTCTTCAACCTGAAAACCCTAGTCCGTTCAACTCCTTCCTGACCGAATCCTCGCTCTGAATTTTCCGCATTTGCGTGTCCTCCAGTTTCTCGCCACCAGCGAATCGCATCTTGAGATCCTCAATCGCACGAATCTTCTTCAGTAGTCCACGAATCTTCTTATCCCGTGGGTCTCCACCGGGTGTCAATGGGCTGGTGACTTCAAGCTCAGGTGGTTGGCCGGCAGGGATGGGTGGGGGAGGCGGAATGCTGATGGCTGTGTTGATGTCTGCTGGCACCTTGCGAGGTCTTTGATTCGAAGGGTTAGGGACGTTGTTACTGGGTCCCTTGGGCGCGCCGTTGACATGATTGTGATGATGTTGCGAACTAGATGTATCACCTCGCTGTCTGCGGGAATTGCTCCGACTGCGTTCCTTCTTAGGACCAGAAGGAGGTTCCAACCCGGGTGGGGGTACGAAGTTTCGACTTCTGCTTCGATTATGACCACGACCGTCAGGACTGCGGTTTGGGCTCTTTCCCCGGCCTCCCCTCTGTTCGGGAGCAAGATTGCTCGATGTACTTTGCTCGCGAGCAGCAGCTGCAGCAGCTTTCTTTGCCTCACGCTTCTTTGCATTTTTCTTGGCAGCTTTGGATAATGGCTCTCCATCTGCTCCTTCGCCTGTTCCTGTGAGACTCACTCCGCCTCCAGGAGCTGCTCCTGGTGGCAGAGGAGTTTTATCTTCTAGTGGTTCCGCACCGGGCACGGTACGGTGGCGAGACTTCCCGAATCCATTCATACTGCTGGCAAACGATGAGACACCATCACGGACATATGCAGCACCACCTTCATCCTCGCGCTTGAAAGACAGAGGAGTCACCTGGCCTCTTGCACCAGGAGGTCTATAAGCCCCAGCAGGTTTACTCGGTGTCTTCTTCGTTGCCATATAGTCAGCAGCACTACTATGCGCAACTGGGGTAGACGCAAGCGGGTTTGTAGCCAACGGATGCAGCGATGACGCTTGTGGCCGCCAGTAGACATTGTACAGCTCGTTCATGTCTGCATTATACACCAGTGGACCACCTGCATGCCAAATTCGAATGCCATTGTCGACTCTCAGACGGGGAGAAGTGGTGGCAGTGAGAATATGTGTGCCATCTGGAGACCATTCACAGACACTAGCGTTGCTGGCTTCGATGGTGCAGAACTTTGTGAAGTCCTTCTCGAGGTCATAGATATCCATCTGGCCGGCCAAGTTCCCAAACCCAGCAACAAGAACGAAGCGTCCATGGGGTGAGAAAAGAACGGTATTTCGTGGTCCCAGGGGGAAGGTATGGACCGTCTGGGCTTTGGCATTGAAAATGACAGTTTTCGCTGGCATATAACCGTAAACAACGGCGAAGCTGGTGGACTTTGGTGACCAAGACACATCATGTACTGGTCCCTCCTTGTCTATGTAGTGTCAGCAGGCGATCAATGTACACAAAGCAAGGAGGAAGACATACCAAGATCGATTCTTGAATCAAAACCACCATTAGCACTGAGTAGGTACAAGGTAGTCTCCCCATAGTAACTCTTGCCAGTCTTGTCAACCTCTGTCTGTGCCAGCACAAGCAAAGAGGTGCCATCGTCATTCCATTTCAGTTGCACCTTGTCACCCTTGAAAAAATTCTTCTGAGACACTGGAGTGGTGAAGTTCGGCACATTGTAGATGCGAACTGCGGCGGGTTGTCCCTGATAACGTGTTAGATGTGGTCTTCCTGTATCAATGAGGTGATGGTACCTTTTTCTCGGGCAAAAACGCCGCAATGGAGTAGTTCTTCCCTGGGGAAACAGCAAAATCCGTAATACCTTCAACTCGGATCTTATTCCAGACAGTCGAGAGGTCGTGGCTTTCGTAGATCTGAATCTCATTGGTGACAGTTCTCGCGCAGTATGCCTCGTCGTAAGTATACTGCAAGTTCCATCCCGTCTGCGACTTCTGAACGTATCTAGCCAGGGGCTCTTTTTCAACACCTTCTGAGGCGGCCTTTTCGTCGATGACCAACCAGACCTTGAGGTTCTTGACCGCATCACCATTTTCGTCTTTGGATGAACGTTGCCAGGTGATGACATAGGTACCTAAGGGAGAGAAGCCAAGTTCGAAGACGTTCTCTGCAGGCAACGTGGAAACGACACTGGCATTGTCCGCATTTATGATGGTCACCCTGTCTATGGTCAGCTCTATGCACTGTCGTGGGATATTGTTTTAGGCATACTGATCGACAGAAGTCCATGCGAAATAACGGCCGCAGGGGGAGTAGCCACATGCCCGAATGTTTCCTTCGGGTCTAGGAAGCTGGGCATTAGCAACACGCTCGGCTGCCGACGGAGGAAAACTCGAATACCTCTGGAACCCTGGCAAAGACTCATAACTTGGAGCGCCATTTACCACACCTACACCCTTGAGGGTGCGGACTATTACAGGAGGTCAGCATTGTCTGTGACAAGGCTCGGCATGGGACGTACAAGCAAATTGAGTAACAACAGCCATGGTGTTTCGGCAGCGACACAGAAGATCGATTTCAGAGTCGCGCGTACCGAGGATTGTAAGAGCAAGAATACAGTCAAGCGCGTAGAGGCAGCGAGTCGTAGAGTAATTCGAGCTGTTGTGAATTCTTTGGGCCGGGGCGAAAAATCCGGTGAAGAGAATCTGGGGCAGAAGACACGGTGGAATTGTCACAATTCGGCTGCTTCCGTACTTGACAAGTCAATGTCAGCTATTGCGGTGAACGGACAAATTGCGTGGTGACGAGGAGAGGAAAAGGGTGGAAGAGAACAAAGGGCAAGGGGGAAGCAAAGGGAAGAGAGAGAAAGTAAATAATAATGTGTACGAATAACTCTGGAAACTCGGGAGACTGAATGGGGTCGGGCGCCGTGCGTGCACAGACGGCGGCGCAGGGAGCAGGCGTAGTCGTGGTGGTGGGTGGGCAATGGGCATACACAGACGGAGGGAACAGCAGCCATGAACTGATCCAGGCCAGCAGGGTATAGCAAAAGTGCCAGAGCCCGCCACAAACCAGCCCGGGGCGTCAGTCCTTAGCACCGTTAGCTCTAACAAAGAGCTGGTCTTTAACTACGCGTTAGGCGTGTCTCAGTTGATCCATCGTCATCGTCGAGGGTCGGCTAGCCTAAAACAACGCCTATATCACGCTAACTACGAACCGTGCTGACTACGCACTCCCTCGTCTCGCTGGAACTGCAGCCTCGTCACCGGAACCCAGCCGTCTGGAAACTGGAACTCCATCCCGTCGCCTGTCTCTCCCACCAGCAGCCACTCAGTCAGCCAAGCCAGTGGCTTTGCGTCTTATTCGCCGTACACATCACCCATTCACAGCCTCGTCTGCGATTGTTGGTGCAATGGAGGACACTCATCCAAACACTTGAATTCCACTGACTGGCATAAATCTGCCAATTGCAAAATGATTCATTCTACCTGCATTTCAAACGTGCCAAAGCTGGATATCATACAGTCTTACAGAAAACCCCTTAATCCAGTAAACATCAATCATTCGTCAGCTGGAGGGATCGACCCGCAGAAAATCACTCATCAAACTCCATGCCCGACCCGCCGATGTCTCTATTCTCTCTCAAAAGGAAATTTCCCAAGTGTCTGCCCATCGGCAGTGTCCAGGGGCCGGCGCAATTGATCAGCATCACTAAGCCTCTCCCGTAAAATCCCTTCTGCCATTTCTGTCCCTACCCCAGAAAAACGGTTCCCTTGATAAGGCTGATCGATAGGTGTAGCAGGCTGCATGGTTGTATCGATGAAGTTCTGATCGTAACTCATCCCGTCCATCATCTTTGGATCAGTGCTCCCAGCTGGTCCACTGGGAGTGATGCCACTCATCGGTGTGCTTTGTCCAGATCCAAATGCAGGAATGGTGCCCGTGCGTGGGGTTGATGGTACGTTAACATTCGTGCTCTGCCGCGACATCGAGGTTCGAGGATTGTAGGGCGCTGACACTGGACCACTGACGGTGCTACCTGCTCCCTCCCCGAAGCCGACCAGACTGGCCTTGTCCTCATCGCTAAACCCTCCAGTGCTTGACACTCCGTCGTCTTGATCCTCACTCATCTTGTCCGCGTCATAATCAATGCTGCCACTCGCCCATGTCGTTCTCCCGCCAGCACTTCCTGTTGCACTGGCGCTACCAACTGTGCTTCTCTCTCTCACTTGCGGCACGTTGTCGAAGGGACTATGGCCGTAAAATAGACCCGGTCCAGAGCCAAGCTGCCCACCTGGTCCTTGTCGAGAGGTGGCAACACGTTCAAGACCAGCAAGGCGAGAGATCCGATCCGCCCTTTCGGCCTCCAGAGTATTGGCGGATGCATTCGCACCCCTTCCACTGTGGCCCATTGCACCGTCCTTGATAGCGACCACAGACAATGTTGAGAGGCAAGTAGTTGTCGAGTTGGGTGTACCGGGTCCCATCTCGCTGGGGGTGGTAGGATCTGAGGGTGGCGGAGGGACTGATAATATGGTCAGCATTGCAATATTATCTGTTCAAAGAGGGCAGAAACTTACGGTTGATCAGGGTTGGGCCTCTGTTCGGCATTTTGAATGCTCAAGCCTGCAGCCTTGGAAAGGCGATTGAAGGCGATGAGGTGTGGAGGCTTGGTGTCAGATGCACCGTTTAGAGGCAATTGGAATCGTGGGATTCAGAGATTTGAACTAAAGTCGTAGAGTTCTCGGGAATGGATAGTCAGGAGAGGTTGTTCTCTTGTCGGAGACGTAGGCCGTGGACCCCTGGAGGGGCAGGTGAAGATGGAAAGGTACTACTGCTGGATGTGGCTAGGATTGTGTATGGTGAAATGACAGTGAGATGGAGACTTGGTAGAAGAGGTGGAATGATGGCTCTAGTTCGAGAGTATGAGGATTAAGAAGCGAAAGGCCCAGTCAAGAAATATATGTATGGTTGTGACCTGAGCATTGGGCAGAAAGCATCGGGGTCAGTTCAGGTTGCTTAAAAGAAGGTTCATGCACTGCGCGTCGACCCCAGAGTCAAGGGTCATCTCGGGCAGGCACGCCTGGAAAATGGAGTTGCACTTGTTCCATCTAGGCTTAGGCGCCAACGACGTCATCGGACCATCGGTGTCACGTGTCTGCGGCTGCTAACACCTCTTTCTGATGCTAGTGCACACTAGTACCAGGCACATATCGGTTCTGGGTACAAGGGGCGCAGCATCTGCCACATCATACACATTGGAAGTAACACGATTAACATCCGTCGTTTCCATCCACTCGAACTAGAAAGTGGGCAGTTCAAGTACTGCCTTGGCTGCAAAATAGTGCACCATCAGGCTCACCACCATCGCAACAATTCTCTCATCTAAACTGCCTGAGCACTGCTTGTTTGTTACTCAACCTCGTCGACTTTCTCGATCTGCCAGGGCCATGTTCGGTTCTCGCACACCTCCTGTCCATGGTGGTCACTCCCTCAACTCCCCACCCTGAGGCATCATTGGCAAAAGGGTAACTGACATTTCAAACCAGATAGGCTTTCAAGATACATCCCTGAATGTTGTTCATAATCTTCATTGCCCCGGCACATAATACGGTGCGTTGAACCGTACTGGCGGAGGTTCCATGTCGCAAAACTCCAAGACCCGCCCCGACAGGAAGGTAATCTTGTCCCAAGCATTGCAATGACATCCCTTAGGAGCCATTGCTTGCTGTAACTCTCCTCAAGTTGCGCCTAATGTTTAGCCCCATACGCGGAGCTTCTCCATATGGGTCGATAGAGTAGATTCTCAATTGGAAATATCGGCACGACCGCTGCTGCTGCTGGTGTTGTTGAATGCCGTGCCGCTGTCTTAGCCTCAGCCTCTAAAAGCTTTGAGCAGAAACTTGAGCAGGCTAAGAATACTTGTCAGTCATGCCAACACAAAATACGCCGGCTATACATACCGGGCTGTTTAGCATGTTTTGACGAGCGTTTCGTCCCTTCTTGATATGATTCTTTAGCGCACTAGAATCTAGAGGCTTCAGCAGCTCAAAGCTGCATAGCAGGTTGCTTGAAACGGACATAACAGCGCCCCAATTGTCGAATTCGCCACAGTACTAGAGCTATTAGTAAGGTTCTCAATGCATGTCATGCAACTTACATTTGGGGCCGAGAACACGGTGACAAGTAGACGGTCATTGAAGAACTCGTACCCATCTTCCACCACCATGTGGGCTCGGCAGACCAAGTCGAAATCATGTCGAGCCAGGAAGTCCACAATGACCTTCTTCCCAAAGCAGTAGCTCACCCCACGTTCGTTGGACTCCCAGTCTTGATCCATATCGGCAGGATCACTCCATAACAGGTCGTTCAGCAGTCCATAGTCGGGGACGTCCGTTGGTCGCGCAATTTGTCTGATGTCGTCCATATGTGATAGACTAGGCGAGAGTCCACCGTGAACACAGAAGATTTTGTCAGCCACAATAGAGGCAATAGGCAGACAATTGAAGGTATCAATAAATGTCTTCCACACCTTGATATTGCATCTTCGCTTGCACTCATCGTAAAACCCATAAACACGGGTCACATTTGCACATTCGTGGTTCCCCCGAAGAATGAAGAAGTTCTCAGGATACTTCAATTTGTAGCAAAAGAGTAGTAATATGGTTTCGAGCGACTGCTTTCCGCGATCAACATAATCTCCCAAGAACAAGAAGTTTGAACTTGGGGGGAAACCACACATTTCGAATAGTCGAATAAGGTCGTTGTACTGGCCGTGAATGTCGCCCACAATCTTGACTGGTGCACTCAACTCTAGGAGGGCTGGCTGAGACAACAGCACCTCTCGAACAGCAGTACAGACCGCGGTAATCTCAGCATTCTTCAGACATACTGCTTTGGTGACCTTTGTAGTATAGCCAGCATCGAGCAATCGAGAAATCATATCGTCCAAATCCATATCGTTGACCTCGCCAATACCCATGCCCCCGCCCGGCGATGCTCCTGGGAGCTCGGCGAGTTTGGCTCGAAGCGAGGCTTTTGTCTCGGGGGCTCTTGGGTTGATTTGGTTCTCACGCTTGACCAAGATAGAGTCACCAGCCTTTTGGGTGGAAGAATGGTGGTGAGCTTGGTGGGGGGCTTCATCAGAGACAGCTCCAACCTCTCCGGTCCTCTGAGCTCGATCTACAGATTTGTGGCCCTTTCCTACAGACTTGGACTGTGTTGGGGAAGGAGGTCGCGCAGGAGTGGTGGTGCCTGGAGACGGCGCTTCGTCATCATCGGTGGGCGATGTCGGGGACTCTACTAAAGGACCGTTGCTGAATTTTTCTTTTGTGGCTCGTGAGGAACCCGAACGACCACTGGCAATAGAACTTGCGTCTGCCCTGTCACTGTTTGACCCATCGAGATTGGAGAGCACCGAGGCCGAGGCTCTAGGGCTGTCATTAGTCTTATCGTCTCCCGAGCTCTTGATCTTGCTTCGGATGGACGATCTGATAGACCTAGAGGAACTATCTTTCGTATCAGACTTTGAGATGGAGGGGTATTGTTGCAAGGTATCAGGAAGGTTTTGTGAGGATGAGCTTTTCACTGGAGTTCTACTCCCATCGCTACTCTTTGACTGTTGTTGGCCCATTGAAATCACCTAGGTAACGCGAATTGAACAAAGAGCGACGCAGATCGAGTATGGAAGAATGGTAGTCAGGGAGGTTTGAGGAGTGAGATAAGCAGCAGCTTTGAGGAATGCGTTTTGGCGGCTTTGCAGAGCGGGCCTCTAGCGAGCTCGCGCGTTGTCTGGTTCGCCCAGGTGGTAGACTTGATAAGTTCACTTTTGGTGTATTACTCTCATGAACCGTGAGATGAATGGAAATGGCGTCAAAAAGGGGGATTTCTGAGTGGATTTTGAGTTCGTTGGTGGTTGTTATTCTTTGTCTTGCCTGCGGAAAGGGGAGTCAGAAGTCAGCGAACATCGGATTGCGGCACAAAAGAAAACCGAGCAGCTGAAGAGTCGTATTGAGATTGGTAGTAGTAGTGGCCAACAATGAGGCATATACTCGTCGAGGAGAAGCTGGATATTGCATTCAAGCCTGAGGTTGTATCATCGGCCGAAGTGAAACAGGGTTGCGTCACTGGGCCCAAATGGGGGGTTTCGATCAGATACGAGGAAGCGGCCAGGCTGGACTAACCTGTAGGAGAAGAAGCAGTGGAGAGCAAACGCGTCTCTAATGCGCAGAGAGTGTGGATGAGGGTGTTGAGGGAATGTGGCTGACTATGAGAATTTGGGAAGAGATGGTCTTGGGCTGAGACTTGATACAAAAGGTAAAAAGCTGTAGTTGGAATATGGAGAGTATGGAGATGGAGAGATGCGCGGAACACTGAAGTCTAGAGCCGAGCGTCAATATGGTAAGGATCCTTGGGGGTTAGGATGTCAGGGTGGTATGGGTGGATAGGTGCCGGCGGTAGTACGTAGAGAACAGAGTACGGATAATCGGTTGTATCTGATTTCTGGGAAGAACGATGACCGAAAGGTATACGCCCGTCTACCCCATCCCTCCTTATCCGAGCGCTTCACCTACTGTATATAGCGGCCTTTGGCCTCCAATCTAGCAGTGCTTTGGGCCTAAAGGAGCCCCTCTACCCTTCAAGACTCGTGCGGCAAACCTGTCCCGGCTGCCAGGCCCAAATCTTCGGCCCTGCTTTTCTCAAAACCTCCAGTTAAACACCCAATTTCAAGCCTCCAAAGCTACCAGTCTCAGCATCTTCTTGGCCTGCTCCTTGGCACCAAGCTCTCCAACAACCTCGGATCTGAGTCCTGACTGGCTAAACCACGCGAGGACAAAGCCTGATGTATCGTGTATGTGATGGGTGCCTTCATCGTCGCACCTGTTGAGTTAGACAACATGACAATGAATCCTTTATTCGATCTTATGGAGCATGCTCTCCCCTCCTCTTCATGCAATCCCGGACCTTATGTTAAAACTGGATTCCGACAAGACGTGGTGAAGTGCCAGTGGATAGCAGTGACTGGCAGTCAGGACCACTAGCTCACACTGTGCAACTAGGTATTGGCGCAGGAATTGTGTTCCTCCATGCATCACTTCAACTTGAAGACCTAGTTTGAATGGTGAGTGGTCGAATGCTCGGATAGTCTCTTCGATCTTCCACTTCCATCTTTGCGATCTGCTTCCCCGGGATTACAATGAGCCCGACAAATCGAGATGTCATGTCTGCTTTGCTTGCTTTGCCAGTTGCTCTGGTGGCTTCTATCGCGTCTTGTTCGGCTGCCTTCGATGGCATTCGATACTCGAAAGCATTTGACATGATAACATTACTGTTCTGCAGTGTATCAGCTTACCAATCTCACATCTCCTGGGCACTTCTCTGGCATATTTACCCGATCAGTGCATCGAAATGTTCCTGTGAACAGGCGCCCTACAAACAGTCCTGTTAGCCCCTATATCCGACAACTCCGACGTCCTCCGTAGAGCCTTACCATCCGGAATGGTCACGTGTAATGTTTTACTCAACAATGACTCCAAGAAATGTGCTGCCTCTTCCTCTTCCATGTCAGCTCTTCTTTGTTGATGAGGACAAAGTAGAGAAGGTACTGTCGAAGATATTGGTACTTGGCCAGTTCCGTTTGCTGACTGCTCAGTCGTATGCTCCAAGAGTGACAATACTAATCATCTCAAAATCTAATAGACAACTGCCGCATGGATCAATGCCATCAATGGGCATACATGATCAAAAATTGAAGAGCTCCATGTCCAAGGGTGTTACGTTCTAGTGCTAGGTGTCTAAAGGATATCTCACATGATAAACTCGAAGGCCAAAGGGTCTGCCAAGCTCAACGGGAAATATTTGTTCCTCTCCGAAAGATATTCCACTGTCCTGGCTGGGTACAGACACACCTCAGCCTTGTGGACTTGCAAAATCATTCAACACTGCAGAATTCAAACATTAAACCTAAGTTTGATCTCATACCGCGGATTATCTCTCGTAGCTTTCGTTGCCACCTGTACTATGATGTGCCAAGGTTATACCCATCAGAAGATGGAACTGCATTTTAGATACCTCAACGCCGTCCCGGTAAGCTCAATCCACATCAAAAAGGAGTACAGCTAACAATACACGTAGACGTGAATACTAAATCAGACCCAAGTAAGTAGAGTTCTGGAACCCCTTCACTGTTCGAGGATCTGACATTGGACGATTACATCTTGAATTCGAGGAAGGCAAAGAACTGTTGGTATGCCTGAAACAATATGAGGAAAGAAGCCCGCCGCTGTTGCAACTACTACTGCTGCTGGTAATAGCAGGAAGCCTTTGCGAGTACTCATATATTAACATACCTGCAGGCTACGGAACAACATCCCACTGGAAATGGGCAGTTGACTCGGCACAAGCGAAAAGTGCCTTAGGTAATATTCCGCGTTGCCAAGCCCTCCACCCTAAAATTCCGCCTCACACACTCACCAGCAGCAGCGCCCGCGCATCCTCATCTTTTCCACCCGCCAACGCCTACAACACCTGCCAGACTAGCCCTCAGACTCACTACGAGCTCATCATGGGTTCGGTCGAGGATCCCACCGGCGAATATGCCTTCCTTGCCAAACTTGTCCCCCGCATGGACCGACATCTCATCTTTCCTCTTCTTGAACATCAACTCGGCGAAGAAGACATTTCGCAGCAACGTTACGATGACATTAAACTCGCCATTTTCAACCTTCTCAAGAATACGAACATGATAGACTTTGTTGGCAACCTTTACAACGAAATCAACAAGACCGAGTCCACACCCTCCGAGTACGCAAAGAAACGAGAAGAAGTCCTAGCCAAACTATCGACATTCGAAGAAGAATCCGCACACCTCATGAACCTCCTCAGCGATGAAAATGTCACCTCACAACTCCGTAGCGACAAGGTCGCCAATTTGAAATTCCTCGAAGAGCAACATGGTGTCACACAGCAGATGGTGGATAACCTCTATGACTTTGGTCGCTTTCGTTACGAGTGTGGTCTCTACCCCGAGGCTGCCGACCTTCTCTACCGTTTCCGAGTGCTTTCTACAGACAATGACAAAGTCGTCAAGGCCACATGGGGTAAGCTAGTCTGCGAGATCTTAGGCGAAGAATGGGAGAATGCGTTGGAAGAGGTGGAGAAGGTCAAGGAACATATTGAGACCCGACTATTCAACAACCCACGCGCACAATTAACCGCACGAGAGTCCCTGGTGCATTATGCACTCTTCCCTTTTTTCAACTACGAGCCTGCCCGTGAAAAGCTCACAGAACTCTTCTTCTCTCCCCCTTATATCTCTTCCATTCAGACCGTCTGTCCCTGGATTTTGCGGTATCTGTCGGCTGCCGTTATCACGAACCGTGCCCGCCTCAATAACTCCCACAACTACCAGAAACAGCTCAAAGACTTGGTTAGAATTGTGAAACAGGAAGTATATGAGTACCAAGACCCGGTCACCGAGTTCGTAAAGGCTCTTTACGTTGATTTTGATTTCGAAGGCGCACAGAAGAAACTCAGCGAAGCAGAGAGCATTCTCAGAGGAGATTTCTTCCTGGGCTCAAGTGCAGATGCGTTCATGGATTCTGCCCGACATCTTATCTCGGAACTCTACTGCAAAATTCACCAGAGGATCGATATTAAGTGCGTCTCTATTGTTTCCCGCCCTTCATCTCCTCTTATTATCTGCGAATACTAACAATCTTGTGCAGGGACCTCTCGACACGTTTGAGTCTATCTTCCTCGGAAGGGGAGAAATGGATCGTGAATCTCATCCGTGATACGAAAGTGGACGCAAAGATCGACTACCAAGCCGGCACCGTAGTCATGAACCACCCTCCTCAATCAGTGTACCAGCAGGTGATTGAGAAGACTAAAGGCGGCTTCTTCAGAACACAAGTTCTCAGTGCTGCTGTTGCGAAATAGGAATAAGACCCAGCGAGGCGCGAAGAAGCGTGAAGAACCATTGGGGGAAAGGCTTTGATTCTGATTCATTGATTGCAGATGACGAGCAACGAACACCCACAAAAGGCAAACTTCAATCCTTGGAAGTATGATTAAACAGGGTAACATCCCGCAGCAGAATTAGAGCAAACATCATGTTAGGTGAAGAGGGAACGCAGGGGCGGATCCCACATTTGTATGATACCCATGAGGACCTGATTAAGAGCTCAATGATTAATTCCCTGTGCTGTTCTTCTTTTCCTCCTCCTGCTCCCTCCTCTTCAACTCCTCCTCTGCCAGAAGGCCCTTAATCTCATTCTCACCCATCCACTCCCTAACGCTGTCCATGATTCCCTCCAGCGCAAGCCCACCACCCAGCACACCGTCAAGATCCAGGGTCTCCTTCCCACTGCGATGGTCGGTGACGCGGTTCTGGGAGAAATTGTAAGTGCGCACTTTATCCTCGCGGCCCATTTTCCCGACGCCCCCCATGACGGCACGGCGCACAGCGATGACCTTGGCCTCGCGCTCCTCACGGCGTTTCTGCGCCAGCTTCGAACGTAGCACCTGCCACGCCTTCTCACGGTTCTTGTGCTGCGACCGCGACTCCTGCATCGCGACCACGATGCCCGTCGGCATGTGCGTCAGCCGCACCGCCGAGTCCGTCTTGTTGACGTGCTGCCCGCCCGCGCCCCGCGCCCGCATCGTCTCCGAGCGCACTTCGGTCACAGAGACGTAGTAGTCGGAGTTCGGGTCTTCGTAGTTCAGATCGTTCTCAGCTCCTGACTCGGGCAGGCTGGGCAGCACAAGGACCGACACGGCAGAGGTGTGCGTGCGCCCTTTCTTCTCAGTGGCAGGAACGCGCTGCACGCGGTGCACGCCGGCCTCGGTGCGGAGAATATCGTAGCTTCCTGGGTGGTTGATCTCGAGGAGCGCTTCGGACAGCGCTGTCTCCCCCTCAGCGCCGTCTGACTGGTACTGTGCGAGACTTGCTGGCCAGCCCATGCGCGCGCAGAAGGACTTGTACATCTCGAGCAGCGACTGTGCAAACAGGGACGCTTCGCTCCCTCCCGCCCCAGGGTGGAGCTCGATCAAACACGGCATGCCGGCGAATGGATGGGTAGGGATGAGTGAGTTTTTGAGCTGTAGTGCCAGTGATGGGATCGAGGCGGTCGTCGCTTCGATGTCTGCCCGTGCGAGGCTGCGGATTTCCGCATCTGATGATGGGTCTTGCAGGAGCCCTTGGAGCTCATCCAGGGACTATTTAATAGCGCGTGAGATTAGTCCCCCCACGGCCCTAGGATGTTTGTTTGACTTTCTTCTTACATGATGCGCATGATCCCATTGCTTTAGGGTAGTGCATAAAGGCCCCAGCTCGCCTAGCTTCTTCGCCGCGGCAATAGAGTAGTTCTCAGCGTTGGCAGCTGAGAGGGTCCTGTGTTCGGCGGCGAGTGCACGGGCGCGCTGCAGGAGGGTGGAGGAAATATATTCATTCCCAGAGTCTGGAGATAGCGACAGAACAAAAAGGGTCAATACACGTCCCGTACACCCGCGGGATCATGGTAATGGTTGTAGGAAAACTCACCTGAACTTTGGAAACGGATTGGCGTGTAGCTAGGTCTAGCTGCCGTGGGTAGCGAATATCCAAGGCATCTTGAGCATAGCCGACGGCTTACACGGCTACCACTCAACATGCCTTGAAATAGAAACTTAAGAGCAATCAGTGAAGGAGGGGAATGCTTCCAACTCTATCACGAATCGAAGCGGATAGGCACAAGCCAAAAAATATAGATAACTGAGTTATCACAGACGGTCGGTCGGACCAATCGGAGCTTCAGCTCGGCAGCCTTGCTCAGCCTTGTCCCCGTGGTGTCTTGGGGCAACTTTACCTACTTAGAGAGATACCATCAACCTATGGGGCAAGACCGATTACATTGTACAGAGGATACAGATATATGAGGAATCTTGTATATTGATTGAACTAGTTGCTGCATTCATTCTCAAATAAGGGCTACGGGAATTGCCGTTGCCAACGTCTGCCCTGCTGATGGGGACATAAGTAGCAACGCTGCCTCATAATGTCGACAAGAGATGTCTTATGTGAACGAGTATGAATCTCGTAGCGATCTCAGTCTGGAGCTAACGCTTACCGATTGCTAGTGAACTCGCATACTTGTGCAAATGTGTTGCCCCCCAAAGGTGGATTCGATCATCCTCCGTTTATACGAGAACGCCTGTTGTCTTTAGGATGCAATTTTGTCTCTGACCGTCCGCTGAGCAATTATTCAAGCCGACGCTGGTGTCTGTAGACTGCCTGTACATTTTGAACGCCGTCATCTCTCATTATTTTCGCTGCTGGTGGTGTGGTGCAGATATGTATGTGCATTAGTGTCTTGCTTTCAGCCGATTTCATGATCGATACCCCCACATGGGTTTCACTCCACCGTCTTCACCGAGACTAGAGTCTTTGCGGCCTCGCGAGAAATCACCATTGGGTTTTTCACGCAGAGGTGTCAATCTCGGTGACTGACCTGACCAATTCGTCTCATCCATTGGAAAAAAAGCGCCTTCCTCCTCGTCGATCTTCTTCGAGCTTAGACCGGGGCTAGATATGCCACGTTCAAAACGGCCAATGGGGGCTGAGGAATGCCTAAGACCGCTACCAAGTTGCACTCTTGCTCCGTTGGATTCCCCCGAGTCAGCTCGATTCAACTGCATTCGAGCCATGGCTTGTGAAATGCCCGAGATCTGTGTACTCGGTGAAGGCTCGTTAGGCATCCATGATCCTCGCAGCGGAGAGCCAACGTGGCCAAAGCCGGTTGTTCCTGGGGTTTCTGCTGCCTTCCGTTCTCGCTGTTCTGCCCATAGCGCACTGAATCGGGAAGGGCTTCCCGCTGGTGGTGAGCCCACATTGCTTGATGTACCACTGGGTATGGCTAGGGCATGGGTGTGATCTCTGGGACCCAACTCTTGCTCCGGTCTTGAAAATCGTCTCATCTTTTCCTGGGGAGTAAGTACTTCGTCGTGGAGACTATTGGGCAAAAGATCACTTTCAAGGCCAAATCCTTCACCCCATTCATGACCAAGATTGGAGCGAGGGACACTTGCTGATAAACCTCTGGCCTTGACAGATTTTTGAGAATGCATGATTCTCTGTCCAATCGATTCTTCGACGTTCTGGGGTGAGAGCCCCAATGGAGATGATGCGTTCCGCAAATTGGAGCCAAGATTGGCATTTCGAACGTTGACTATGGACTCTGGCGGACTGCCAAGCTGTCTTGAAAGTGAAGATGATGCAGGGGATCGCATTCCGAATTTGTCGGGTACTGACTGACCAAGAGGACCGTACTTGGCGATGTGAGATATGCCATTTGCATCAAAAGATTGTGGGAGAGGGGCGTTGAGGGCAGTTCTGATATTATCAACGGGAGACTTGGGGAAGGGATTATCATTGGGAGGGGAGCCAAATTGAGACGTGGGTGGCGAATTTAATCCAGAGTCAAAAGCGGAGCGATTCTGATATTGGTTGTACCGGTCTGGGGAGCCGTCTCCCTCGTCGGCGTCAATGAGTGGAAAGGCCTGGCTAGGGAAATAGTCGGCACCGTAGTTTGGAGGGCCTAGCATAGGATCAACCAGGCTAGGATCTTGGTTGTGATATGGAGTCTGTTCTTGTCGACTGGTGTAATTGAAGCTTCTACTCGCTATGGCTAGACCGGCGTCGAGATCTGCTCGGTTGACCCGTCGTCCATCTGGCAAATAATGAGCCAGAGCACACTTGGCTCCAAATTTACAATTTCCCTGACGCAGATTTGTTCAGCAAGCGGGTTCCATCAACTCAAAGGCTGTAGGGATACAATATACCTTCATGAAATATTTGCAAGGTGCTTGCTGGTTCATGGGATCCATGGAATGGGAGAATGGGCAAGCACTCCCCGCCTGACAGGCGCCTTGACGAAAGAACTTGCACGGGACATGTTTGGTATCTGGAAGTATCGTTAGAAGGGCTAGTTGGTGGCGGTTATTCTGGGCCGCAACTCACTCTTGTTGGATTGATGATTGGGAGGGCTTCGTGCCAGGTCAAACAACGGTGTGCCATTGCCTCCTATGCTAGACTTCCTGTCTACACCGTTCCTATACATGATTGAAAGCCCCGGGGCTGGAACGGCTTTATCGCCAGCAGACCCGAATTCGTTTCGCGTTATGGTCTGGACCAGGAGAGCAGAGACTGGACTCTGAGAGGAGGAAATGGACTTCGTATGGCAAAGGATCAAGAGCTTGGTCTGTTCTTGGAATGGCCAGGCGGGAATCGGGTTCGAAGGTGTCTGCGCGGAGGAAGAAAATGGTCGGATAGAAGCAGTGACTTCAGTGAGAGGTCGGGCTATTGCTGCGATGTGAGCCACAAGTCATGCGGCAGTGCTCATACACTCAGGCTCCGTGCGGTGCGGTGCGGTGGTGAAGATAGAGGCAGACACAGATACAAGCACGAGCACAATCACGATCAAAGGGACAGGCTTCCCCACGGGCGGGTTGTGTGGTTGGCGTGATTGGCGGCGTGGGGTGGAAACTGAGATAGGCTGAAGGGGTGTGAAGGTGTACTTCGATGGATGGACGTAGAGACAGACGATTGAAGAAGTAAATCGCAAGACGAATCGTTGGGTTTGTGATAGGAGTGTAGGGTTTCGAGGAGGAATGGTGTTCCGGCGTTATGGTATTATGGTCTTTATCAATGAGGCCATGCAGTTATGAGTAAATCATCAGTGTCGGGCATGCGCTGCACCTGTACGGGTTTAAGTGAATGGTGGGGCAGTGGTTCGTGCAATTGCGGGTGACGGAACAAGCCTGTAGGGGCCCTGCTTTCCTACCAACGCCCGAGGCGCCCCAAAATCTCCAATGCCTTTAACTAGGCTGACCTCAGCCTGCAGGTCGTATACTCAAGTCGCAGGTGACACGGACGACTGGCAGTTCCACCAAGCAGAGGCACGCGTGACACAATAATCGTGGGCCGCCAAGTCAAGGGCGGCAGACCTGGTACGACGACCCATGTGCCCCAGACACGTGGGGGATTCTCATCACGTGATAACGTCCCTTCACCTGACACGTGATCATTGGTTTCTGACCTCATTTGACGAAGATCTTCGCTCTTTCTCTTGTTCTTTTGGCCTTTGTCCAGTCTTTGTCTCCCACTTCGCCAATTCATGGCTGCCAAAGTAGAGCTGCCTTTTCTCTACCAGACACGAACCCTTTTCTGCCGTCCAAGGCCTTCGCTCCACCTGCACATATTGCAGAGATGTTTCGGCCATGAGCCACAGTCCCATCAGAATCAGGCAGAGATTAAAACAACCCGCAGACCAAGGAAGGGATGGGTTCGGACCAAGCGACCAAAGGTCTATTATGGCCTTAGCCAACCGCTTGCAGCCCCCACTACCGGCAGCAACATCAACCTTCGGTCCACAATTACCACGACCGAGCGCAAAGCTTTTGAAGCAATTTTACTTGCCTCTGAATGGTCAGGAGGCTCCAAAACGCCATCCCCTCTAGTCGATGCCATCGATCTTGATGTTGACAACATCCTCCAATTGTTCAGAACTTCTATTGAGACGCGAAACAATGTCAGCCAACCCATCGCCTCACCTGCAGGACCGGATCCCAACCGAATTGGCCAACTGTCATCCACATCCAAGTCTTGGCGCCCTGAAGAAAATGAATCTGTTATTGGAGGCATTGTGCGTCAGCGCATACACGAGATAGTGAACGCCTTGCAAGCGGCTGCCACTTCCACCCAGCAACCTGGAGATATCGCATTATGGCATGCTTGCGAAGTTCAAATCTTTCCTCTTGGGCAAAAGCTTCATGGAAAGCCAGTCTACCAAGCACCAGAATTCTTAGGCCCTGAGAAATTCATCTTTACCCCAGAGCACTCCGATGTACCCTCTGAGATTCTTGAAGAAGAGAAAAAGCGCCACCGGGCGGAGTTCGAGGCGAAAGAGAGCGATCCACCTACTACAACCCAACCTGCAGCAAATTCCAAGTTGGAGCGAACCCAGAAACACATACTAGACTCTCGTGAAGCTCGTGCCGTCTTACATCATGTATACCCCGCCGCCCTATTGTACGCCCTCCGCCTCTTTGCCAGGGACTTTCCTTCTTCCCACTTCGCCTTCAACTTGCTCCCACGCATCCGTGAGCTAGGCCATACGAGTTATGTTCTCGGTGCCTCTACTCAATTCTACAATTCTCTCATATCGCTGAAATGGCACAGGAATTCATCTCTTCGTGAAGTTTGCCAGCTTCTTTCAGAGATGAAACAGAATGGGGTCGAGTTTGATGAAGCAACTTGCCACATAGTCCATCACATTGCGGACGAGCGTGAGGCTACTATGATGAGTGAAATAAGAGAAAGTGCTAACATTCACGAGAATGGGAGGACCGCCGCCTGGTGGGGACGACATGGACAGGCTATCTGGTTTCCAAAACTTGCAGAGTGGCTGGACACTATGACGGAACAATTGTCGCAATATGACCTTCCAACAATCCCGCCTGAATCGGCTTCACAACCTCAACCAGCCTTGGAAAAACAATAATACTGAACACCCCAGTCAGAGGTCAGGGGCAGACCCCATCCGGCGCTGATTCAGGTGCGCACTGCTAAATATATTGTATAAACATTTAGATCGCGAGGAAGCTAGCCATATCATGGATCGATACTCGCTAAACGCAGCTTTCAGGGTACCTAATATAATTCCAAAGACCAAACCCTGGTCACGAGCGGTATCAACTTACTATGCTTTCCAAAAATCGCTCGCACCTATATTTGCACACAAGAAACTAGGGAATAGCATGAATCGAATTTCAGCATTAGCTGTACTCTTATGATCGTTAAATTGGCCAAAATTCGGCAATTCGAGTCGCTTTCCTGATTTGCTGTCACAAAGGACCCTAGATAATGCTCTTTGTTCCAATTGTGTCTCCTTAGACTCTATTTGAGCGGAGATTGGTTATAACTTGCAAAGAAAAATGTGCTATGATACAATCCGAAGCCTACACCCGTGCTTAGCCTTCTTCATCTCGCTCACCGTGGCTCAGCCGCCGCCCAGCTATTCTGAGAATGCCGCCGCCTCATCTCGATCTGGCAGGACATGACTTATGCGAAAACGTGCCAATCCATCATCACAGAGCAGAATCCGACTTCAAGTTCAGCTCAGAGTAGTCTGGAAGCCCGCAGTAGGGGTCGTCCTGTGTTCGCCCTTTGTAAGCATACCGTTCGAGCCTGGACGCCACCCACAGGACCGAACGTAGACTCCAAAGCCCCAACTGTGAAGAAGGGAAGAATAAACTCATGGTTTTCATGGAAAATTGCTGAATCTCCTCAATCGGCTTGCGCATGACCTCGTTGTACGCCTTGAGTGCACCGGCCACGTCGTTCCCATGTCTCGTAAGTTCTCCAGCGAGTACGTACGCACCAATAAGGCAACCTGTGACACCCATGCCTGTGAAAGGGGTTGGGCAGTATCCTGCGTCTCCAATGAGCACGACCCGGCCCTTATACAGCTGCTGGATCTTGATCTGGCCCATCTCGTGCGAGTAGAAGTCCTTAGAAGTGGTCATGCCGCTCAAGAGTCGGCTCGTCTGCCAGCCAGCATCCCTAAAGTTCTCTGAAACCGCTTCCTTCTGTTTCTCCAGTGACTCATTATAAGCTGATCTCAACTTCTCGATATCCTTCATCGTGAACAGTAACACCTGGGTCATCGGTCGATCACTGTTTCTCGTCACGATCATCCTGCCTCCCACAGCCATGTACGCCTTCGCGAGTGACCCTTCACCTTCGACTTTCGGTATGCTGTAGTATGCAGCATAAACACCTATTGATTTGAAAGCCGCATCGCTTTCCTCCCTCCCAAAAGCAAGGCGTCTTGTCCGTGACGACTGCCCATCCGCGGCAACGACAAGATCATATCGTTCCTGATTTCCATTCGAGAAAGTGACATCCACCCCATCCTCATCCTGCCTAAGTCGCTCCACTGTACTAGCAAATTCATATGTCAAAGCTCCCTTATTGGCAACCTCCTCTTTCAGTTTTTCGTGCTGCTTGAGACTGCCTTCATATAGAATTCTGACCACATCGCCACGCATGAGCTCGTACTCACTCGTCAGAGTACGCCGCCTCTGACCAGATGGGCTAATGCCAAACTGAGCGATAACTCGGTCATTTGTGTTCACGACCTCGAGACCAGTCTCATTGACGCAGTACGCTTTGAGTATTTGAAAAAGACCCATCCTCTTCAAGATCGGGACCGCCTGGTTCTTCAGATCAATCTGTTGTCCTGCCGTCCGGAGCGAGGGGTTTCGCTCCACAACTGTGATGTTGCGACTTGGGTCCGAACCCTGCAAAAGCGATGCAAGTGCTGGGCCAGCAACGCCTGCGCCCACAATGAGCACTTTGAGCGGCATGGCTGATCTCAGTGTCGAGCTTTCGTACTGGTTATGGTGGAGAGCGTTGCCTGAGGCGTTTGTACCGAGGGTTCGGCTGATCCACGGAAGAAAATGTTGGTTGAGGGAAGTGAAGAGTGTCAGGATGTGTCGGTTTATGTGTATTTGAGACTTCTCAAGCAGCGAGGCTGGGTTCCGGGAAATACGCCTCATGCTGTGGAGGGAGCTGTAGAGGAAGCCAGTGTTTCCAACCGGTGTTATATGCTGGTGCCTAATGGAATAGTATATCAAGCAGCGTTCGATCAACACTAGCGACCCGTCCAAACGGCCTTGTCGTCCGAATACGCGAAGCAGCAGTTCTTAGGGAGGAGAAGTGCCACGCTCCACACCACTTCTAATTCGCAGGCAGCCAGTAAAAGTGAACAAGAAAAAAGAATTGAAAGATCAGAAAGATCGGGCTTTACAAAGGATGAACCAAAACTCCCCCGAAACAAGCGTTTGCGGACTTGGAAACACATTTCTCGGCCGAAGCCTGGCGGTATTCCCGGGTTATAGATGCTTCCGCCGCATCGGCGGAGAAAACCACGAGTTGCAAATCGCAGAACGGGAAAGGAGAGTCGAGATGGGTTAACATCACCCAGGAAACATAATGGATCAATAGATGATATGAGAGCAGTGATGGTATCGATTCTGGAGTTGGCAGTTGAATTTTCTGGCTGAATACTATATTCCTTGGTTGTGATTCATTATTGGTTGTGGGTCGCAGCTTCGGAGGGCAGCATTAAGTCCAGCTCGGAATAATTAATGTGAAAGGGAAAACGATAGACACACGCCCAACACTTGGTACATAATCACCTCGCACCCACCGAGGCGCTCCTCGTCCTTCATAACACGTTGCATGATTCTCTCGTAGTCGAGCTAGATCAGATGCTGAGAAGGCACTATACTACGAGGCAAACCATTGCACTCCTTGATCGATCAAAATGGGGCCCCGAAGGCAGGCTATCTTCTAGCCAGAACAAATTTGGAAAACCCTGCACGCGCTCAACTTGAGGGTGATAGTGCTGGTATCAGTATCTATCCGAGCCAGGAACAGCTGCGTTGCTGGTGAGGTCCTTTTGCGAAGGCGTTAATTCCGACATCGGATATTCGAGTCTACCATTCTTCCTTGCTCGACGCCGGCGGGTAAATAGGAAGGCCAGTAACGCTCCAAGAAGCACTAATCCTACAATTGCCGCGGCGACGCTAATACCTATTTTGGCGGCTTTTGAAAGGCCGGAGCTCGTTGACTTTGCCGAGTTTGCGCCCGAGGAGTTTGTGCCTGTGCCTGTACCTGAACTGCTCGGCAATTCCGAGTCTACCGCGCTAGGAAAGTCGAAATCCTGAGTGAAGGAAGCTCCTGTATAGGCGATTTCAGCATCTTGAATATTTCTGTCGACCGTTCGGTTGTCGGGGTTGAGTGCTCTGGGGTTCTTGTCAGTATAGAGCTTCTAGAATCATACTTGGGGGATATTCTACCTACCCGTCGATAATGTAGATGGCTCCTCCGGTGAAGAGCCAGTCCGGTGATCCAACAATCCTGGCACTATTAATGAATGCATGGCCGTTCGAAGGAAATATGGAAACCTCCGATCCTTCGAGAGTCATGTATGTCCCATTGGGCGGCTCTTCCAGGTTGATCACCAATCTCTGGTCAATTGTGTGGTAAGCGACAACCCGATCCAACTCTGCTCTGCTCATTTTCTCGATCAGATTACCAATTTCCCTGATAGAATGATTCATGGGCAAGAAAACCGTGACGTCTGAAAGCTCATCCAAAGTCTGCGGTGCCTCAGAGCTGGGCGCGGCTATCTCTGCTTTGGCGAAAGCTTCAGCAGCGAGGAACAGGCGATCCTCTGCTGTGTCGGTGAATGCTTGGGGCAATGTGAGAGTGGTATCAATCACGTGAATCATGCCAGATTTGAATTCGATGGGGTCGCCGATCGTTGACGATCTGTGAAGAAGACCGGAGATGAATCTTGATATGTTGGTGATTGATGAACCCTGGGCCACCACGATTTGGCCGCCAGTGACATTGGAATAGTCGGACGGCTGTAGGAGACTGGGTATGCTTCGATATTCGCTAGTTCCGAAGCTGGAATATGTGCCATTCAGTATGTGGTACTTCAAGAGAGCTTGGGTCCCATCCTCATCGACTTCGACACTCGTGATGTCTGTCGACCCAGTTAGATTTTCGATAGCATTGTTGTCAGGTGCTAGCAGTGTAATATTTTCGAGACTATCAAGCCACGAAACGAAGTCTTGGGATCGCGTAAGGAGGTATGTGAGATTCGATAGCTCAGCATGAGCTTTGAGTGCTTCGAAAAGAGTCAAGTCTTGTGCAGTAACCAAGGCGATGCAAAGTGTGACTCCAGCAAGCCTGAATAGCATTTTGAAGGCAGAGAGAGCCGCGCTCGAGGAAGTAAAAGACAAGAAGGAGATCAAGACAAAAGACCTAAATCTGCTCACGATACTATTTGGCTGACCTAGTATATATCAGTAGTACGGCACAGATTATTTCACTCCACCATTGGCTTGGAAGCATGGAGATTGGTTCAGATATATTTTGCTCAGAGGGACTAGAACGTTGGCTGTCTGGAGCAGACATGCTGGTGTGGACCAAGTTATAGTGCAAACATCCCTCTATCCAATGACTGCTCAATTGGCAGGTGTGAGGATGTGAACAGACAGCCACGCCATGCCAGAAAGAGCAGAAAGATTCAAGCCTTCTGGGAAAGCTCAATCGCTTAGCGCAGATTGTAGATGTTCTTGCAGGTCGTGTTTCCTGGGTGGTGAACCATAGAGGGGTGGTCGCCGAGAGCAAGTCTCTGCTTTACGTCCCTTGTCGAACGTTGGTCCAAACGCTGCGCGCACGTCGGATCTTCGCCTTGGCCAGCGCTATATCTAGTACTGCGTCAAGGCTAGAACACAGGACACCTGCGCTCATAATGCATCGAACACGCGACCAAAACTCATTATGGGCGGCACACTCTTGGGTTAACAGACTCGACACACATATTACGGAGTAGAGAACTACGGAAACCCCAAGGTATTAGCTTAGACGGAGAAAGATCCATGTTACTGCCTCCCAAAAGATAGTTGAACCCTTCCCATCGAATGGGGTTTAGCGGGGCAAGATGAGCAAGTTTCAATCTCCTTGGATCATTCGACGACTTGGAAATGAGCAGGATTCCGGCATCCTGTGTAAACACCTCCTGGCTCACACATACTAATGTGGAAGCTGTGATTGTCCACGGTTAATCTTATGGGGAGTCTTTGCACCAGTGAGAATTTTGATCCAGTTGTTATCTATACAAGTGACGATGCGTAGGTACAGGCTGGCCAACCTAAATTCGGGAGGCTTGGCAAGGCTGCAACCCCTTTCTAAGTTTTGTTACCGAGATTCTCGTGTTAACTTCGTCCTCGTCACTTCCGGACTTGGACGCGAACCTATCATGACACAAAAGAATCCCTTGTGAGTAGCTGTCCATTTTGACGCATGTGATCCCGCTTTTGTATCTGTATTGTTTCGCTAGGCCTTTCCCATCTCTCTTCGAGACGTTCCCTGGCGCTAAACCCACGCTTTCATTTACTTATCGGACGCGCTTTGGGACGGGTCGCTCACACAGTACCTCGATGTCTGGATCATTGTCGTCATTGTCGCCGTCGTCATAATCGTCAGATAAGACGTATCTCGCTCGCTTTTTGATCGTCTGCACCATTTTCCCTCTGTCTTCCAAGTCGATTTCCTCTTTAACGCCTGGGCTTGATCTGTTGGGGAGCATCGGCGCTGACCCATGAGGATGGACATTCTTAGGGGCAATCCAAGAGACAGAATTATTTGCCGGTCTAGTGGACACATCGGGGGCGGTGTTCGAGAGCCACGGGCGTTTATTTATGGTGCCAACCCATGCCTTGCCAACTGAACGACCTAAAGCCGCACCAAGGGCCCACGGGACACCATTTCCGAGCAATTTATATTGTTCTATAATGCTTCCCATCATTATAAAACAGTCGGGCACACCCATAGCACGCCGCGCTTCTAAAATAGAGTTGGCTCGATTCTGTTCGTAGTGGAGCATTTCTCCACCATGTCTGGCATCGAGTGGGCTGATCACGGTACACACAGTTCTGAAAGGCTTGTACCTGTTGATACGTCTTAAAGACTTGCTTGACTTTGATTGTTTTTCTTTCGAAAGTGTGCAGAACCATGCGCGTTGAGATGGCGATAAGCGGCCTAACCGGTACGCCTGTGCGACACCGAGGTTAACTGGCTTAGTTGGTATCCTCTCCACGACATCTCGAAGATTGACATTATTTTTAAAGTCAATTTTGAATCGATGTAGTGGTATATGGTCCGGGTTAGAGACATTTAGGACAGTATCGTTTGCGAGCGGTTCCAGGTCAGAGATTACCTCTTCACAGGTCCGCGTCTTCATTTGGCCATGTCCATCACCATGAGTCTGGTTCAAGCCTGCTGGAAGAATGGCGTTAGGTGCAGCGACCATGATAATGAGCCTTTTCCTTGAGGAAGCCCCTCCTAGTGTCGAATCGACTGGGAATATCTTTCGTACTTGGTAGCCGAGCGCAACAAGATAACAAATAGCCTGCTCACATGGATTTGGATCAAGACTATCCATGTTAGGTACATTTTCGATGAGACCATAAGCTGGTAGAAAAACTTCAAACCAAGTCAATGTATGTGCAAGAAGTGAGCAGTTCTTTTGAGATTTGCGTGTCAATTTATTCGAGTTCAGTAAGGAAAATCCTTGGCAGGGACACCCGGCAATGATGCATTCCGTAGGACGAATTGGCTCTTCCCCAGTCATAATTTTGAGAAGACAAGTATTGACGGAGGCAGTGATCACTTTGGTGACATCGAGTTCATCATTTGCCTTGTAGGTAAGGGCTGCTGTTTCACAGCACTCAATGGCTACCACTGGTTTGATGTAGCCGGTCGCAGCCATGGAATGTCCAAGAAATCCCGCTCCAGAGTATAACTCAGTGGTAGAGAGCTGAGGTACTCCCTGTCGCTGGGTGGGAGCAGGCTGGGGTATTTTCTTGGGTGATACATGAAATCTTTGCTGACAACGGCAGATGAGCTTATTCATGTCCGCAGTTAGATGAATCTGCTGATCCTCATCGAAGAGGCTGTGGACAAACAAGACGGCACCATTTGTTGCTCGATCGCTGAATGCAGAAGCACTGATAACATCCACCACATCACTAGCAAGCACAGGTTCGCAGTTGCATTCACTGCTAAAAAAGAGTTCGTTGCCAATTGGGTAGAAGCCTGTTCCACAGAGTGTTTCGGAAGACCGAAAGAGCCACACAACTGCCAGCTTTGTTTGTGTGACAACTTCTCGAACCCAAGCGTAGTAGAACAGGTATTCGGCCCTTTTGTCGCTATACATCCGAACTATGACAATCTTCTCCAATAATTCACTTGCACGTAACTGGACTGGGTCATTTTTCGCACTTGCCTGCTCGAGTAGATGGTCTACCAGTGATATCTTTGTGTTTGCCATGCTAGAGCCTGAACCGTTGCAAATCACAAAGTATGGTGTTTGATCAACGGAAAACTTGTCTGGTAAGCCCCAGTGCTGACGGCGTCCCCGTCTGAACTTTTCTACCTCGGGACAAATATAAACCATATCTAGCAGTTTATGTTCATCTTGCCAGTGAGGAAATTTCTCATGGAAACATGCCGCGACATTCGGGGTAACGACAGTATTCTCATCCTTAGCCTCAGCTCCCTGATCGTAACTTGAAGGAACAACTCCGATCTCATTCCAGACTGGCTGCTGGAATCTCTCGTGATTGGCGTCATCTTGACAGAGAGAGTCGACCTGATGATTAAGAAATTGACGGTACCAAAGAACATCCTTTCTGAAGTCAAGCGGCTTCCGGGGACTTTCCTCGCGTTGTTTTCTCCAGCTTTGAAGAGAGTCACCGTGCCATTCCTTTAACTGAGTCCAGAAATTCGACTTAAAATCCAACAGAGACACAACTAGTTTTTTCTTGGAGGACTCATGAAGGTAGTCGATAAAATACTTGGTGAAGTCCGCCAACCACAGGAAATCATGCCAGAGCATTCTGTAGCCTCCAGCAGGCTCCTTGAGTCGATACCAATAGCGCTGTTTTGAGCTGAGTTCAGTCTTGATCCATACAGCCCCTGAGGTGGTGTGCGTGCAAATATTTTCATAGTTTCCAATGCTCACACGGTCAATGAAGCCCCGAATACGCCGCTGTTGGTTCTGGCTTCTCAAAGCACCTTCAACAACCCAGTGGCCAATCTTAGGATTGGTCGTGACGATGTGTAGAGACTCATACTGGCCTTGGCTCCCATTTGGGTGTCTTGGTGATCGATATACGCAGAAATCGTAAAGATCTAATTCGAAGAAATAGTCATCAGACCCTCCGTCACACTCAGGATCCAAAGCAGTGAGTTCTTCTAAAGCAGCTGCTTCCTCCACGATTAATGGCGCTGGAATGGAGTTTCCAGATAACACTGGTGGATAATACACCCTGAGAGCCTCTGCTGACTCGAGCTTCAGAAGCTGTCTCCTGAGCTCGGCAAGCTCCCCCTCCAAGCTTTGATCGACGCAAGGAAAAGGTCCGTCTTCTTCGGAGAAATTGATACCATCTGATTCTTGCCAGACCGCCAGATCTTCTTCTGCGTCAGAATCGCCGTCGTGTCTACCAGCCGATTCATCTGCAAGATCGCTTTCGGTCGAATCTAGCTCCTCCTCACTTGATGAAGGGCATGAAAGGCTTCCACAGGAACCGTTCTCGTCATCTTCAGCAAAGCTTAGGTATTCATAGTCTTCGTCTTCGCTTTCACTAAGTACTTCAACAACAGGGGGACGACAGCGCCTCAAAGGCGGTCGTTGTGACACTCGGCCATCAGTATTATGATCTGACGAGGACGAAATCTCATAACGTAGTGGGAGGACCATTGCTGTGAGCTTGTGATTAAAAGCCCTCTTTTTGGTTTATCGGATGAATATTTGAAGGATGTGGATTTATCCTGTGGTCTTGGAGAATATCGTGCAAACTTCAGGTTCGTCGATCTGTAGGAGTGACTAAGGCATCGGAGAGCTGGCCGGAAAGCTTCAAGTTGGTGAACAGTTTGGAACCGGAGTGACAAACGAGTGAAGCTTTATTGCATCTTTTTGCAGCGAGCCGATCTGGAAAAGTCAAGGGGATTGACGCATTGGGATCAACAGCTATGGTCGCAGGTAGACACGCACACTGTACGAGACTGAAATTGTGGGTCGATGATAAGGTAGTCGCCGTTATCAATGCAAAGAGAGTAGCTTTGTAGCAGGGCCCTGATAGCCCGAGCACCTGGACCTTGTTCCGACAAGGTGTAGTGGTGGAGGAAGACAAGTCTAGGTTAAGGACAAAGCCGTGACTGCCAGAAGTATTAGCAGAAGACTCTGGGCCAGCTGATAGAGAGTGTTCACTGGTGAACCACTTTCTCAGCTAGACAGTGAAAAGACAGTGGAATAGAAGTGAAAATCTGGATGTTCTGTATCGGGATCTATTGTACGAAGGCAACTCAGAAGCAACATCGAGCGATACAGAGACACCTTTCGGTAATTTGTGCAAGCAATATACAAGAAGAGTTAGTTGACCGGGGACGTACATATACAAACTCGGGTACAGGAATGCCAAACCACTATTATTCTGGCCGGAACGATAAAGTATCCATCAAGGTTATTCGTAGACCAGTACTTGGGTAGACTACCTAGGTAGATAATAGATAGCACGAGGTTGTATAGTACTCATCTCGTAGTCGCATCACCAACTCCAGTTCATCCCTTGTTGATCTTAATCTTAAGATATTATTTTCATCCTCTTTGCGGTCAAGCCCGAGTCGGTTCCCTCAAAAAGGCTTCCTAAAAGTGTGTACGAAGGAAGCCCCCAGGCCATTTTCCCAAGTCGTTCTTGTGCTTCTTATACAAGCCCTGGTATAAACGGGTATAAGTCGTTACTTCTTCATAAAAGTTCATTCAAAGTTGTCATCTCCCCCCTTCCCTTTCCTACGAGAAGAAGAGCTCATCAGGTCAAATAAGCGGCTTTTGGAAGGTCCATCGCGGCTGCTTGGTAGTGGCCTCGGTCTGATCTCCTCAATGACTTCAAGGGAGACGGTAGAAGAATTGGTCGAGTTGGTTAAAGCACGGGCTTCAGTTCCGCGATGAGGGAAAGGTATTCGTCGATCCCAGGCTACCGAAGCGGAGCTCGAAGGCGTGGTGTCGCCCTCTCCAACAATGGGAGAGAGCTCGGCATTCTTGTACTCTACCTCGGCAAGAGAGTCTGCAGTCTGAGGAAGAGCGGTGATTTCGTTCTCCATCCTCACCCTCATCAGTTGGTCTTCAAGCTGATTGCTCCGTCCAATCTTCTGTTGATCATTTATGACTCCTTGCCAGGTAGGCTCTGATGTTTCGTCTGGTCTTTCTGCCTGTTCGGCTTCCTTGAGACAGTTTCTACTCCGTTGTGCTAGGTTGAAGCAAAGCGTATGAAATTTCCGAATCGACTCATCTTCAATCATCTCCACATTTTCTGGAGCGCGATCTACCCATAGGTTGATTAGTTGAGCCATCAGCTTGGCATGATCCAAGAGAAATGGTAGACATGGAAGGCCTTCTCGAGCCAGAGGAGGTAGTCGACTCCTTATCTGATTGGGCGCTGCGAATTGAGGTTCGAGATGTGCCGATGTCATTTGCGACGAACTCACAGCGCAAATATCATCCACGAATGCCTTGAACTCATTTGACGATGCTGCCAGAAACTTGTTCATAGGTTCCATCCATGGCTCTTTGGTGCCAAATTTGGCTGTGTTGGCAAGAACGTTGAGAGATTTCGCAATTAATGTGAACGTTCTTTTCGTACGGTCCGGGGGAAGGTCTATAAAAATTAGCAGTGAGATACTTAAGGCCATCAAGTTAATGCCTTACCATGTATGAGTCCAAAGAGTTTTGGATTGAGGATTGCTGGACAAAAGAAGCGCAGAAACAAAAATCCTGAAACGCTAGTATACTTAACCGTTCGGATGAAAGAACCATATCTATCTTCAGCACATGACCTGACATGTCGGAATATCAAGCGAAGCTCCACCGGGCAACGCGAAGCGGACACGTGGATACACTTCCAGATTGTGCTGGTGAGAAAAAGAAGGTTCGCCCAGTTCTTGTCCAACTGTTCTTGAGTACGAACTCTGTTGGGGTCTACCTCACAATCGGGATCACGTTCCACGATCTTCCGCAGTTTTTCCCCGAGGATCTCTTCGAGGTAGCATTTACCTAGCCGCCGCATGTGAGCATCAAGAGCTTTGGTAACGAGAGAGTTTCCACGAAAGAGAAGATTTGCTTCCATGGTCGCGGAGCGACTGAGATCCCTGACCAGCATCTCTCGCTGTTCGGCAGACTCATACGAGTCGTTGGAATGGATGCGGCCGCTGAATCTCATCCGCATTGGCGGTGTTTCTTTGTATATGCCATCAATTTCTTCTTCCACCAAGTTGCTAATCCAGTCACGTGCAGAGCCTGATGCTTGAAAAATATCCAGAAGGATGTCGGAGAGCTGTCGAAGATCGGGCCCAAGTAGAGCTGCAATCTGCGTTGTCAGGCCATTAGAGAAGATATGGAGCATCGACGTGAGTTCTTTGTATTCGTCCTCTAGCAGGATAACCGATTCATGAAGCACGACACGGACTAAGAGCTGGCCGACTCCCTGATCGTTGTTGTCCATCAAAGGCCACCATTTGTCGACTGGACCCTGGTTCTCTATTTCGTCTATTGGTAGATCAACGCGCCCAAATATGGGATCATGTGACGAGATTTCTAGACCACCAAGGCCCGATAAGTAACCAGCGTCAGCAGATATATCGTAAAGTCCGTCTGTAACCATGGTCCACTCTTTTTCGGCAGGGTTGGCGATCTTAACAGCCAACACCAATTTTGTCAAAGAGGGAGGAATATCCTCCAAGACAAACTCTTCTGCCCAGAAAGCAGTTGAAACACTTTGTTTCGTGGTCGTCCGCGCACGTAAGTCTTTTCCAAGTATGATTTCTGCATATACGCTTTCTTTACCGCGGTCTTCTTTCGAGGATGTACCTTTCGACTTGTTCTGCTCATAATTTTGGGCGGGAGCAAATCGATTGACAAACTTCGCTTCTGTAATTTTGACGGTGAGTGACCGTTCTATACGAAACATGTCACGGGTTGATAGTCTGGATCCCTTCTGACCCAGCTTATGTGGAGGAGATTGTGTACTGTCTGATCGAATTTGCTCCGGTCCGTATAATTCGGGCACAGTTAGTGCTCGCAAGAGGACGAACCATGCCTGGAATGCCGCGTTGGTCTCAAGACAGAGAACCATTGGACGCGATATCCTGGTTGCTGCCGGCTGCACCCGGTATTGGGGGTAAACAGCAATACAAAACCGCATGTTGAGCACACTCTCGTCTAATCTTTGGACTGCACAGCGTGACAACTGCGACAATTGTGTCGCACAGATGACCATTGCATCAATATCGTCCAGGAGACGAAACAGACCATTCTCGTGTAATGTGCTGCTAACCCTACGCCAAAGATTGGTTTCTTCCGGGATTGATTGGCTGTGCCCGTCTAGAGATGATCCGATCTGAGAGCCTGAAGGTAGTGGGCCATCCCAAAGTAGCATCTTGCCCACTTTAACAATGGCGGTGCTCTTTGGAGTCGCCATGTCCGATGAAACTCGTCTCTGGGCAACTTGCTTCTTATCTGCCAGACCAGTTGATTGAGGTTTAGACATTTTGTTGTGGATCCCCTTTGGTCTTAGTGGTTGCCAACAGAGGAGCGCTGCCAGCCAAGAGTCAAAGGTCTCTGGAACGGGTGGACGAAGCTGGTAGCCGGTTCCTGTTGATGCGATCAGGACACTTAGATAGGTGCTTTGTGTCTCGTAATCATAATGTGTCCTGACAGTGCAGCCTCTCAGATCTGATAATAACGTTTTGGATTGGGATACTTCGCCCTTTATTTGGCACACAAGGCTTCCTGGCGCCACATTGATTGCACAATAGCCCGACGCCCAGGCGGTGGTATGAAGAGGTCGGAAGAAAAGTATTCCGTGCATACGACCGCAAGTTGTCTTCATGAGATGGAGTATTTTTGCTGAGTCTATGTCGAGAAGTTTTGGTGAATGGAGGCTGTTTGAGGCCATCGGGAGCATGTCTTCTGGTGAGAAGGCCCGCCGTGGAGTCCGTGGCGGGTTTCGGGTGTCATTCTGCTCAAGGCTGTCTGGACTCTGGACTACTGATGGGAACCCAATAGAGCTATAGCTGTCGGTCTCACGCGAACCAAGGCCTCCGGTTGTAGTAATTGATCCTAAACGCTTGCGTGTCTTGGATATGAAAGAATTGGGGGAGGAGTCCAAAGGAGCTTCTTCCTTTGTCCCAGCCCGTGTCTGGGTTCTTCGTCGGCGCCTTTCTATTGTGTTCTCCTCATCCGTGTTAGAAACTGAAGTGGAGTGTTCTCGCCTGCGCTGAGAACCACGGGCCCTCGGAGGGGGCAGTACTGGCGAATTTACCAAATTTGTGTCAGTAGAGGAACTGCGAAGAGTAGTGTTGTTTCCCGTCCCAGACTCTGGTGTCACTGCACGAACAGTCACCTGTTCCATCTCTTCAAATATCCTCCCATGCCGATCTTGCGATGGAGCAACCTGACTAGTGCGTCGTTGAAAGTTCTGGGCTCTTGATCTCGAGGTTCCGACACTCTTCGTCTCGTCTCGCTCAATTGACCTCATTGTGGTGAGGTCTGGGGCGTCCTAGCGCTACGCCTCGTGCAGCAATGCACGGTCCTCGCTGGAAGTCTTCAGATATGAAGTTTGGCTCAGTCAGGAAAACCTTCTCGTATCCGAACGACTTTTGTGTGTCAAAAAGGAGTTCTTCGCTTTCCTTCGACGGGTTCGAGCCAGGATTGGGTTCGAGCATTCAGGCATTTGCGCGAACCAAGAGCAGGATCAATCCGAGAGCGAAGTGCCGTCGACAGGCAATCCCAGGAGCAAACTTTACTGTCAGCACAGCATTGAAAAGGAGATTGATCCGAGTGGATGTATGCAGGGCAAGAGGCAAATAACCCGAGGACGACGATTGGATTGATGGAGGGAGCCGAATGCGACGGCAGGACGACGTCTCAGTGGCAGAGCTGCAGCTGCAGGGAATGCTCCAGTGGAGGGAGGGAGGAAGTGCGAAGTCCGACAATTGGGACTGAAATGAGCTGAAGTGAAGCCTTATGCAGGAACGTGTGATGCGCCAGAACAGACAAAGGTAGGGTGGGAGGTTGAGGAGATCGATTGGGTGCTGAATGGGCCATACAAGAGGAATGCCGTGATGATGGGCGAAGGATGATGGGTTGGTCGATTGATGGCATGCGGCGGGACTTGGACTTAGACTTGGGAGGACTTGGGGCTCAAGATAGGTACTCGTACGGATCCAAAATCGGCGGTTAGTGGGAGGAGGCGTTGAAGGACTAAGGTGCCTAGCAAAAGACGGAGTACCTAAGGACTTAGGCAAGTTCGGGGCGACTAGCACCTGTTTGTGAGTGTGGGGTTGCTTGTACTAGCCCGATCCTTGCAGGCTCTCATTAACCTGACATAGGCACCCCCAAAGTACGGATACCTCGTACGGCGGTGTCGGCGGGAGGGCGGATTCCTGCCCTCGCTCTAGCCACCTAGCCCCCTAGCCCTCCTCGCCTCCAGCCAAGTTCTCAAGTTTCCTCTCTGCCCCTCCCAGACTGACTTGGTGCTAAGAGGGCATGCTCATCCCTTCCATATTAGCGAAGAAACGGCTTTTCTGTACATGCAGGACAATCGATTCCGGTCCATTTTCTATCCCCTCCAATGGTCCGGACTGTCTCTTGAGCCAATGGGGCATCACTGTCGAGAACGTTTCCTCTTCCAGTAGCTAGACACAATCTGTAACCTGGTAATCAAACAGCCCCCCTTTGTACTGAAGATTGATGGGGCTTTCGTCAATCCTTGTTGTCGGGGTCCTTGTTGATTGCCACAATTATTCCACTTGGGCCCACGTTTCTCATTTCGTGCAAGCGCCCTCGTCACATCACGTGGTATACACGTTCGGTATCTCATTGTTCCGGAGGCAAAAGTTTCTCTGGACATCACTCACCACTGATCGCAACCATTAGTCAGTACCTAGGTAGGATATTGGGCTCTTGTATCATGCTGCCCACATCATTTTGACGAATTCTCCTCGCCGTCGCCAAAGCATTAATCACCTCACTCCTAGCTTAAGCCGAAGCTGTTGCGACAGACATCATGTCGGACGGTAAGTCTGCCCTCGAATCAACTGCCGACCTCCCACTGACTCCCTCAGCCGACTTCGATACAGTTCGGCGCCTGCAGGCCGAGCGCAACTCTCAATCTGCTGGCAAGAAAGGTTCAAAGACCTTTGACCCCTCCAGCCAGCGCGCTGACTCTTCCACCAAGGCCTCCTTCACTGAGTCCTTCGACACACAGCTTTACGACCGAAATGGGTCGGACAAATTTGCCGGCTATCATACCTCCTTACCGACTGATGACGATGACGAAGAAATGCCCGACGCTGGTGATAGCAGGAGGCTCATTGGACAATACACTGCTACAAAGGACCAGATGAACGAGTTCTCGCGAGGGAATGGAGTGGAGGAAGAAGATATTCTACTTGGGCGTGAGAAATCTGCCAGAATAGCAGATCGTGAGACTGATTACCAGAAGCGAAGATTCGATCGAGGTCCACTCACTCCGACACGAGCCGATCCTTTTGCTGCGAATAAACATGCCGGAGTCAGTGAAGGTTCTACCTATCGTGAAGTCATGCAGCTCCAGGACCTTGAGCGCGAAGAGGAGCGAGTAAATAAACTTATTGCTGAGAAGCAGACGGACAGCGACGCGGTCGAAGAACATAAGCCATCTCTGAAGGAAGAAGCCAACAAAGAGAACGCAGACGCAGGGTCGACTGTGGAAGCGACGGGGCGAAAACGGAAAAAAAGGTGGGATGTTTCGAGTGAAGCCACTCCAGCTTCTGGTGGTGCTGAAGAAAAGAAGCGTTCGAGATGGGACCAGGCTCCAGGCCCGGAAGAAGGTTCGGCGTCGACAAAGCGATCAAGATGGGACCAGGCCCCTGCCCTAGGTTCAGCGACTCCAGCCGGCAGTGCGGGACTTGCCACACCCATGCATCCCACCCAGTCAGGATTCGGTACTGACATCACAGGCCGGAGCACAGTTTGGTCTGACGAAGATCTCGATCTGATGCTTCCTACCGAGGGCTACACAGTCTTAGAACCACCCCCTGGATACGCACGCGTCCGAATAGCCACCCGAAAAAACGTGGCGACCCCTGCAGCAGTCAGTAGCTCTACTGGGATCGGCGGTTTCATGATGCAGGAACCAGAAAATCCAAGAATGATGGGCAAGCAGCTTCCTACTGATATTCCTGGCGTGGGCGATCTGCAGTTCTTCAAAACCGAGGATATGGCTTATTTTGGAAAACTTGTGGATGGTGCCGACGAGAACGCAATGTCCGTTGAAGAATTAAAGGAGCGCAAGATCATGCGATTACTTCTCAAGGTTAAAAACGGCACTCCACCCATGCGTAAGACTGCGCTACGACAATTAACGGACAATGCTCGCCAATTTGGAGCCGGACCCTTGTTTAATCAAATCCTTCCATTGCTAATGGAGAAGACACTTGAGGATCAAGAGCGGCATCTTCTTGTAAAAGTCATCGATCGTGTTCTTTACAAGCTTGATGATCTGATTCGGCCATACGTCCATAAGATCCTGGTTGTTATCGAACCCCTACTTATTGATCAAGATTACTATGCTCGTGTCGAAGGCCGAGAAATCATTTCGAATCTCAGCAAGGCTGCTGGATTAGCGCACATGATCAGTACTATGAGGCCAGATATTGATCATGTCGACGAGTACGTGCGAAATACAACCGCCCGTGCTTTTGCCGTAGTAGCGTCAGCTCTGGGCATCCCTGCACTTCTTCCTTTTCTGCGAGCAGTCTGTCGAAGCAAGAAGTCCTGGCAAGCTCGGCACACCGGAGTGAAAATCGTGCAACAAATCCCGATTCTCATGGGTTGTGCAGTGTTACCACATCTCAAGGGTCTTGTGGATTGTATTGCCGATAACCTCAGCGACGAACAAGCCAAGGTAAGAACGGTCACGTCTCTTGCCATTGCTGCACTCGCAGAAGCTGCCAATCCCTATGGTATTGAGAGCTTCGATGATATCCTCAACCCTCTTTGGACTGGGGCTCGAAAGCAGCGTGGCAAAGGACTTGCAGGCTTTCTCAAGGCAGTTGGATATATCATTCCTCTTATGGACGAAGAATATGCCAATTACTACACCAGTCAAATTATGGAAATTCTCCTGCGAGAGTTTGCATCTCCTGACGAAGAGATGAAGAAAGTCGTCTTGAAGGTCATTTCCCAATGTGCGAGCACCGATGGCGTGACAGCCGGTTATCTCAAGGAGCATGTCCTACATGAATTTTTCAAAAGCTTTTGGGTCAGAAGGATGGCGCTTGACAAGAGGAATTATCGACAAGTTGTGGAAACAACTGTAGATTTGGGCCAAAAAGTCGGCGTCAGTGAGATTGTTGAGCGAATAGTCAATAACCTCAAAGACGAGAGTGAAGCATATCGCAAGATGACGGTGGAGACCATTGAAAAAGTCATTGCGTCCCTAGGCGCCGCAGACATTGGTGAACGACTGGAAGAGCGGCTTGTTGACGGTATTCTACATGCATTCCAAGAACAAAGCATTGAGGACATTGTCATGCTTAATGGCTTCGGTACAGTCGTTAATGCACTTGGAACTCGATGCAAGCCTTACCTACCTCAGATTGTCAGCACGATCCTTTGGCGGTTGAACAATAAATCCGCCACCGTCCGTCAACAAGCCGCCGACTTGATTTCTCGAATAGCAATGGTGATGAAACAGTGCGGCGAAGACGCGCTCATGGGAAAGCTGGGTGTGGTGTTGTATGAGTATTTGGGAGAAGAATACCCTGAAGTCCTCGGTTCCATACTCGGTGCCCTTCGTTCCATCGTTACTGTGGTCGGCATAAACCAAATGCAACCTCCGATCAAGGATCTCCTGCCGCGCCTTACACCCATTCTACGAAATCGGCACGAAAAGGTACAAGAGAACACTATCGATTTGGTCGGCCGCATTGCCGATCGCGGACCAGAATCAGTGAACGCACGCGAATGGATGCGTATTTGCTTTGAGCTTCTAGATATGCTCAAAGCTCATAAGAAGGGTATCCGGCGAGCGGCAAACAATACCTTCGGGTTTATCGCCAAGGCAATTGGTCCACAAGATGTTCTAGCCACACTGCTGAACAATCTTCGAGTGCAGGAACGACAGTCTCGTGTCTGCACGGCTGTTGCGATTGGCATAGTGGCTGAAACCTGTGCGCCATTTACCGTCTTACCCGCACTGATGAATGAATATCGTGTTCCTGAGCTGAATGTGCAAAATGGTGTGCTGAAATCGCTGTCATTCCTCTTCGAGTATATCGGCGAAATGGCGAAAGACTACGTCTACGCAGTAACGCCATTGCTTGAGGACGCACTCATAGACCGCGACCAGGTGCACCGCCAGACAGCAGCAAGTGTTGTGAAGCATGTGGCCCTGGGTGTCGTTGGCCTTGGTTGTGAAGATGCAATGGTTCATCTTCTCAACTTGCTTTATCCCAATCTCTTTGAGACCAGCCCCCACGTGATCGACCGAATCATTGAGGCGATCGAAGCCATCAGAATGGCAGTGGGAACTGGTATCGTTATGAACTACGTCTGGGCGGGGCTATTCCATCCGGCTAGAAAGGTCCGTACACCGTATTGGAGACTTTACAATGACGCATATGTGCATTCAGCCGATTCAATGGTGCCATATTATCCCAACATGAAGGACGAAGGTTTACCGAGGGATGAGCTATTTATTGTGCTGTGATGCTTTTCAATCAAGCACTCTCCTCGAGATTGTTCACTATGGCGATCGAGAGATAGAAATCAATTCTCGATACAATGAGCCATGCAATGCTTTGTTCCCTTCTGGACAAGGCTTGTTTCCTGTATTTCGAATGCCTGTTTTCATAGCTAATTTTACTTACCTCCCAAACCACAGTCTACTCTTTGCGAATCTCTAAAACAGCTAGAGATTAAGTCGCCAGAGAAACTTGACAATTGATTAGTCCTTGGTTGCGTCCGAATGTTGGCTATGGGTCTGTCTAGTAATGGGGGGGGCCGGCAGGCGGTGCTACCGGTCAGATTTGGTCCACTTCAGGAGAGCTTCTGGATGCCATCTGAACAGTGAGATCACGAAAAGGCAGATGATGGGGGTATTGCTATAATTTTGGAGTGTTGCCTTGTCATCTCGTCAACGATAGCCAGTTGATGCTACGCAATCAGAAAGAGATGTCTAGCAGAGATAACTTGGTTGTGCTGTTCTGGCTTCCTGGTCGTTTTGCTGCTCCTTACTCAGTCTGTATGATTGCGTACAGGAATGAATGGTTAGGACTGGCGTTCACATGAACATATTTAGCTACCAAGGAGCAGGTTTTTTTTTTTATGTGACTTTGTATTGTTTATCAAATAATATTGCAGTAGCTAATTTGGCAAGGAATAAAGCTCGTCATTGTCCTCGGCCCCTTACACAACCCCGGAAGGGCTTGCAAGCTTCGAGTCAAGTGTCTCCCTGTGTGTTTTGAAATCCCTGCGTTGTCTTTTGAAGTTATTTTCTCAAAGCCTTTAACGCCGAGAGCGCCAAGGCTTATTGCCTTCCAAATATAGAGTGCTCCTACTCTGAGTGTGCTAGACAAATTTGTTTGGTCTGACGTCGCTTGACAGTTACAGGGACTGCCTCCGTCACATGCAATACGACCAAGGTTGCTGACATCTTCTACACCCTCTTGGGGGATCCACTAAGTTACTCCTTGCACGCTAAACGCTGGGTTCAATCAAATAATATATATCGGATCCATACGGAGTACATTATACTTATTTTGCGCACAGTGTTACCATGTTATGAAGGAGACATTCCCAAGATTCGAATCATGGCAGGCATCTCTCCGCCGTATACAATCAGATAGGAAGGCTGTTGGGGGTTTGACATGAGCTCAAATCAGCGTTTGCAATTGTCTTCTACCGTTCCGTTCTCTTTTCTTTTCTCACATCATCGCCCGCCGGCCGTTGCCCGAGCATTGTCTTCTCTGGTAGATCCTAACAGGGTCCACCTTTACGTGGCGATAGGAGACCCACAATGGTTTAGATCGCGTACTTCCTTACCCATTCTCTTACTTTAGCATTGTAACGTGCCCTGTCATTTAGATACAGGAAAGCGGCCTCTTCGGAGCCCCCCATTGGGCTGTGTGGGTTCGGATCATCGAGAAGTGACTGGATTGATAGCAACACTTTATATCGAATCTGCTGTCAGTTTGTAGTGCTAAGCAGATGAGAAGTGGCCTACCTTTCACCGGTGACAACGCCGGGGCCCATTGACCTCTCAGTATGTCTACACCGATACTGCCGTTTGGGCTGATGTTTGGGTGATAGATGCGAGTCGTGAAAGCGACGGTTGGAGGCTTGAAGGGATAGTCGGTGGGGAAGGACATCATCAAGAAGAAAACTGCTCCTTGATATGGTGTGTCGGTCTACTCCTATTAGTATGTGCCTAAACAGTGTACAGAAAGAGTCTTACTGGGCCCATCATGGTAGCCTGCCAATGGAACTACAATACCGTTAGCCAAGCGGTAATATTGACGGAAACCGCAAATTACCATGTCATCACCCATAGGGCCTGCACTCACTCCGGATACTGGATCTCGGTTTTGGTCGTTGAGCTGCCGGACCAACCACTTTTCGGCAGCGCTCATTTTCCTTGGAGGATCAGGGAGCGCTGGGCTTTCCGTGGTGCAGAGACTGCGAAATCTGGTGTTCTCACTTTCAGTCAAAGGGAGGCAAATAACTCCAATTATCGTGACTTGACCGGAGCTGAAACCAGAAAGCAGGGACCAGCCGTGGGATCGTGTCGTTGAGATGTGACTGACAGCGTCTACCTCTAGGTCGTGAGTGCGCTGGTAAGGTTTACAGTACTCTAGGACTTGGCTAAAGGTGAGTTGCAATGATTCATTCGCGTCAGGGACAAGGTCTGGCTCGTCAATCACCTCTGACGTATCTGTCGCATTTTCGTGCGGTGTTCCGCCTATACCTGGTGATGGCGTCCTGCTAGACCGATCAGAAATGATGGTGCCGGGAGGCAGATCAACCTGTTGAACGCGCTCTGCTAGATCGAAGTTGTCTTCGAGTTCTCGGTCTGTGTGAGAACGCAGAGCTTCTGCGTTCGCCCTCGCCTGCATCTCTGAATCGCTGTGGAATTATTAGCACGGCTTTGCCCTCCGGAAACAGTCTGTTACCATCGAATAATGTCCAGAACGAGGGACAGAGAATGTTTGTGCCTCTGCACCTGTCTTAACAGGCGCTCTGCAACCAAGTCATCTTGATCAAAGATTTCTGTCGTTTGTGGAGTAAGCGAGCTGTTACTCGATCGAGTCTTGACGAATCCTTCAAGCTCCGTATGAACGAGAACGATTTGAGTGAAAATCACGATCACATCCTGGAGCGGGATCAGGCTTGCGCGAGTAGCGCTGACATCCTTGGTCCGTTCCACGAATTTTCCGAGGGCAGAGATAATAATTCGAAGGGTAGGGAGCTCTGATTCGATCTCTTTTAAGGCATGCGGCGGGTTGGTCAAGCGCTTGATGAGATTTGCAAGGTGTGTACCGGCCGTCAGCAACCCCGTGACTGAGGCGCTGAGGTTGATGGGGTTCTCAGCCGGCTGAAAACTGGCACCATGGGCCGTGATCACTTCTTGGACTTGTATGACGGACAGCAGCTCTTTCATGTAAGCCGCCGCCACCGCCGCTGCGTAGGGCTGCCATTTCTTGTTCTTGTGAGAATCGGCGTAGTCACATATGCCTCGGACGACCAGGCATGGAAATGTATCCATCAACCCAGCCGCCTCCATTTCCACGCAGAGAATTTTCGTTTCCATCTTTAAGTTGTCTCGCTCTCTACCATTTTTCATGACCTTGTTGGCGGATCCTATCGTCCCGTAATGAATATGTGGGTAGGGATTAGATCGAACAGGACGATTCACTATCTCTGTTTTGTCACAAAACCTGCACGTGGACCCTCCTTGATGGTCATAGTGTGAGCGAAATAACTGGTCTTGCCCTCCCCCTGGGTAGATATATTTCTCCCCCATCTTCGGGAACTTACTGATCATCTCTTCCATGTGCTGAAGGATTCGGCTCTCTTCCTTTTCGTGGCGCGCAATAAGTTTCTGAACCGCCGACCGCAAGATTATGGGTGGTTTGTTCAAGAACCCCGTCCGCTTGAAGCCGGCACTGGCTTCCTTGCCAAAATCGAACTGCACAACTCCACCGAAGGAGTCAGTGGGCTTGCTGACCACCACATCTCCTAAGCGAATATCATTGCCATCTGCCTCTTCGTCGGGTACGCCCCCGCCAATGCCCACCAGCAGACTAAATCGAACACAGGGGAAATCGTTGAGCAACTGAACTGCCACTGTCGCTGCCGCATTGTTCCCAATCTCTGGTAGAACAGCGATCACCGCGTTATGGCCACATATTTCTCCCAAGGTGTAGTTATTTTGCGCTCGCTGAGTGGGCAGACTCGGGTGGACATTGTCGAGCATTGCCTCAACGGGAGCCAGTTCCACCCCCATGGGGCAGATACAACCCACAGTATAGTCACGGCAAGTCAGCGGCATGATCGATCGCGGCGAGAGACGTCTTGGAGGTAGTGTACCGGCGGTACCAGCGATCAGGCTGAAATCCGCCCGTTGCAAGGCAAGATTCCATGCGCCGTGTGCTGAGAAGCCACCAGCGGCGCGACTCCTTTGGATGCGCGGAGTCGTCGGCGGCCAGCTGCCAACGCATCTAGGGGAGGAGGCATGCTGAGGAGTAGAGTTATCCTGCAGGATGACGCTGGTAGTCGTCGGTCTGGACCCGCGTGAGGCTGAATTTAGTCGCCTTGAACGTCACGTGCTGCGTGGCGTACTAGTGCTGTTTTATGTGTGTAGAAGGCGCATGTTCTTCATAACTCCGCTTTCTTGGCTGTTACCTATTCTCGATACTCACCACGGTAAGAAGGTCTAAATTTGAAACTGGCATGACATCCGCAGATTATTACACGAACTATTAGACTTAAAATTTATCCCTGCCCACTTCTAAAGAGCACTGTCGTCAAGAGAATATGGAAAACCTTGCCGATCGGGATTGTCCTATGGGTCCTTGCGCCGGGCCGCACCCTGCACGATTTGTTGGAGCCAGCCAACAGCCAATAGCCAATCAGGGAGCCCGCGGGCGAGCAATCAATCGACACTCTTTATTTCAGTCATTGCTTCCACATTTGATCGCATTCCTAGACCGACAACTATTTATCCAGTGGAACGAGAACCCCGACGCCAGCTAGTTCGACCTCATTTAGATTCGCTACTAGAATGTCGACCGACAGAAAAGATTCGAAACTAGAAAACCCACCCAAACCCTTCCACAGCGACAAGAAGAAACTAATCGCGTTCTTATAACACGCGGAAATATGTATAATACTGAACCTAAGATGATTCTCTCCGAAGCTTATATGGATACTCTTTACGACTTTATACCTAGAAGGAGACGTAAAAGCCTAGTTCTAACCCTTTTAGAAGGACTAGATAGGTAGTGCCGAGGAAAAGGTCGAGAAGTAATCATCCGAGAAATCTTTAAGAGCTATAAAGGATTCAGAAAACATCTAACCTTAGCTTTCCTTAGAGAAGTGTTACGGGTTAAACCCGCATGTAGACTTGGTGGACACCGGCGTTGGAAGCAGCCCAGCACGTCCAGACCAGATCTCGTCTGGAGGCCTGTGCGGAGCTGCAATCGCAAGTCGGACCTGCAATTGCAGGAAAGACCAGTTATAGCCATAACTGAACGGAACTAGCAAGCAATGGCAGGAACTGGACAGAGGTGCTTTCGTAGATCCAGCAAGCCGGATCTGCGCAAGGCAATCGCACGCGAGGTAGTTACGACCAGTCTTCCGTTGACAGGGAAACCATCATGCTACTAGATAACGAGCTAGAGTACATAAGAGAGCCGGATGCGCCTGGAGTCTTTATAACTCTCCAGATTTAACCTCCTCGCATTAGGTAGACCTGCTAGTTGTACAACTCTTGTCGAACTGTAACAACAAGACGAGAAAAGGAAGACGAAAAGAAAGGCTATAACTCTGAAATAAATGGGCACCGTCTAAGAATATAATACAGTACTAAGTTTAGAGGACTCATAATAACTCTAGGCTATAGTATACGAAATGTTGCGGACCTTAAAGGTGAAATCTGCTAGATTCATAAAGTACTCTTTCTTATGAAATGTGGGCATTATTACGTTTTCCTTAGGCTGCATCTTGAATGCACTGGCTCAAATAAAGTGAGCCTAAGAAAAAACCTCTGAAATTGCAAGAGGCTAGGATATACGGAGACTTGATCATCTTGTAGCTTACTGCGTGGAAAGTTCCCACGATCTGACGTGGAGGAAACGAACGAACACTGTAAAATAAAACTGCTGAGATCTCTAAACCGCTGTCAGACAGGGGGAATTTAAGTTGGCTGAATTGCTCCGAATTTTGAGTTTGGGTCTTAATCTAAATTAAGCTTCACGGCTCTTTTCGGTATCTACGAATTATTTTAAATGACCACACAGGGATCTAAAACAATACCGGGATGCACTTTACTCCTAGGTCTACCCTCCCTAAACAGTCATGAATTGTCTTCCCAAGAACACCATTTTCCAATACACGCGAACATACCAGTTTGAAAACGATACCGCGGCCATGAAAGAAAACTTGGTCCCATATGAAAAAACATAGTGAGTGTTAGAAAATTCACCTGCTCCGCTGGCCGCTTATCGCTTCTTGACAATGTCAAGAATGTTGACCTCAATCTTGGTAGAGCCCGTGTCGACCTTGACCTGCATACCTTGGACGCCAACGGTGCTAGCCTTGGCAGCCTCATCACGCACCATACGACTGAAAGTCTTCTCATCGCGACGAGTCAGGGCAGCGTTCTCTCCGCAGCATGTGCAGTCATCGCCAGCATATGAAGCGGGGATACGAGTCATGGCGCCTGCGTTATACGAGGAGCAAGCTCGGGAGTGGGCACAAGATCCTCCATTGAAGAGTGACCTGCCGCCAATTGTAGATCTGGAATCGTAAGGGACCAGATGGCCAGACTTCACCGATGAGTCAAACCGAGAGGCAGGAGCACGGTTAGCATCGTAGGGCACCAAGTGACCGGGCATAACAGTATCGTAGCGAGATCCAGGGGCACGGCTGGATACTGCTCCATCCTCGTAGATCGTAGGTATATTGGTCTTACCAAATCGAGTAGTGCGATCGCGACGAGTACCATGCTTGCTACTGGTAGTGTTCACTGCATCTGATCCAATCATGGAGCCAGGACTAGTAGTCACAGTAGTCGAGGTCTCGAGATCGCGACGCTCGCGCCCAGTGCGAGGAGCTCTGCTATCACGAACGGACATATTATCGAACTTGGGCTGCATGGAATTCATAGTGGGATCGCCACGACGAGTCTCGCGCTCTGAGGGACGATGAGTACGATCCCGCTCGGCACCGCGCTCAGTATCTCGATTAGTCTCCGTTGTTGATTGAGAAGGAACACACTTCGATGACTGGGTTACCGAGTCAACTCGACGACGAGTCTCGGTCTTACTCTCGCGCACAGTGGCAGCAGGTTTCGGAGTGATAGCTGCAGGCGGATGTGCGGAACGGGCTGCTCTAGACTCTGCAAGCAGAGTCGATATGCTAGGCGGGGCCATCCGTAAGTTAGCAGTATGGGGTTGAAAGTGTTGGGAGTGTGCTGGAAGAGCTAATTGATGTATGGAAGTATTGGTGTTGGGTTGAAGACTCTCCTGTAAAAGTGAGGAACCTCGAAAAATTCTAAGTCGAAAAGCTGTGTTCGGACGGTGTATTCTTCGATTCGATGATTGTTTTGCTTGGCTGGTTCCTTGCAAAAGAAGCTTGGAGAACAGAACTTGACGGTCCGAGTAGGAAGGGGACTCTTATACGATCTGCCTGCCTCTCGACGATACATGCTTTCGAGTTAACAGGTGGACTTCTGACAAAGACTCGAGAGTGGAGCTAAAGGGAAAGCTGCTTTTCATTCATTGCACGCCGTCAGAACTATTAACTTGAGAGGAGACACACAATGTCGAACAACGGAGCTCGATTGCGTGGTCGAGGTCGTCTCCTTGTACATAGCCCAAGGTTGAGGGTCCCTATTTGTTGAGGATGAAGCTGATCACAAAGAAAAGGATAATGCCTTGATGGTATTCACGAAGGGGACTTCTACTTTGGGGGGAACAATCAACCACTATCAGGAGAAGCTTTGTGCTGTATGGATTCGATCAATCCAGTCAGGAACAAAGACGTTTTGGTCAGCGATGGGAATTCGCTCCACAGAGACCACTCACTTGGCAGGGGAGGACTCTGCGCCGATAGATGGAATAGTTTCGATACAATCGATACACTAAGGGATAGAGAACGAGGAATCGTCTCGACAGAAGTTCGAAATCTGGATCGGGATTGGGGTTGTGCAGCCTCGTTGCCAAGATGCAGCCTCATCCGGATTCCGGATAGTCGGACGAGCTGGCCCCGAATGGATTCATGCTGATGCTACTAGCTGAAAGAAATCTCCTGTACACGACACATCGTCTCTGATATCCGCTTTAACGGTTCCGAGCCAGACCAAATCCATCAGACCCCGTTAAAATGCCCGTCACCTTACTCGAGCTTCCCACTGAAGTCAGGAATCAGATCTGGGGCCTCGTATTTCGGAGTCAGGTCGTGGTGCCCCATTCAACAAAACCTACTGTTAGACAAGGCGGTTGTTTGGCGTGTCTTAAGGAGGATCGCGTCAATCCAATACCGTGGTCAATAGCGTTTCGTCCGCTTCTGACCTGTCGACAAATATACGACGAGGCAGCGCACATCTTGTATGCCTCCTTTCATGTCCACTTGGGCAAGAACATCTTTCATATGAACAGCCTCAGAGCGCCATTCCCCACTATCAACAGTAAAGTTCCTTCAATTGTTGTATGGGTCCACATAGGCGAAGAAAATCGAGTGCACTGGACTGAGGGTCTGAAGTTGCTAGGGGATGCATTTTCTAACCTGCAACACTTGACCATAAACGCCCACATGCGCCCGCCGGACTCCTACGAAAAGCTGATCGATGCGATTTCCCTTGCGACTCCCATAGTCAGGTACTCTCGAGACAAGCGAGATATCGAGGTGAAACTTCGCTTCGACTACACTTACGAGGATGTCATGTTCGATAGCCCGTACCTGGGTGAAATTCGGACTACAGATGCCCTGGAGGAGCACGAACTGGTGTTGCGTGATCTGATTGAGGATGACGCGTTTATTGAAGCGGCTCTCGGCGAGGATGAGGACGAACAGGAGATGACTGCTGCCTTGTTGAGAACGGCTCGCGCACATGAACAACCGTGGCTTGAGAAATTGCAGCGGAACAGGGCCTCCAGGCAAAGAGCCCGGGAACAACCTCAGTCGGCGACTCAAAGTCAGCCAAATTCTACCGAGTCTACTGTGGGCTCTGCAGTAGATACCTGAGTCGCTTTTGTCTGTCCGACTGATGAAGAATAAGTCTGCATAAACTCTACGCGAGGCTTGTGGGGATACTCTGGCAAATTTGAATGGAACTGGGAAATAGCGCCTCTTCATCTTTTCTCATAATTTGATCCTTATGGATTGAATGTACTGGCCGGAGTAAGGGGGCCGGAACAGAGATATTCATGGGACTGTTCTCTGCCATCTACTGTGTAGCGAAATGATCACACGGGTTAATGGGGCTTACTCGATGTGACGTGCCCCGGTGTTCCAGGCTGTTTCTTCTCGTTATCTCTCCTTGACTAGCATGCAGAAATACTGTCTAAATCCAAGGTCTTTTAGATCCAACTTCAGTCCCACGGCTCAATCGTTCATGGCATCTCGCGGCAATATTCTCATCCAACTATAGTGCTACTTTGCACATATTCTTTACGCGCACACCACAAAATGGAATCAACAGGTGCCGCACGCATGAATTTTGCACCTCAAACCTTCACACGCTTCCTTTCCTCCGCTCTTGTAGTCCAACTGGTTCAATCGTTTGGTCCATCTTTTGGGGGAAACTGGTTCGATTTACTGAATGCCAAATACCACTAACGAGCGTGGATCATTTCTATGAGAATTTTGAACAAGACGGGTTCGAGTCTACCTTCAACTGGCTCGTTTTTTGATTGCGTACACATTTCAGATTTTGTGTAGTAGAAATTTTAGTCGTCCTGAGTCCAGGGAGAGCAGCGAAGAGGCGGTGCACCCGGGACCGGATATGCCAGTGCTGCTATGAGAACGGACGAGTAAGTTCAAGCTGCATAATGTTCTTCCGACTCCCTTCAAATAACCCACCCAACATTTCAAAAGAACAGGACGTTTTTACCCTAAAGGGTTTGGTTTAGATTTTAATACCATCAATGGGGGTTCAAACGTTGGACTTACTGCAGGAGACTACAGGGGACTATTCTCAGGTCGGCATTCGCTGCTCTTAAGCACCTCTGCCGCAGAGTTTCCAAGTCGGCCGAGCTACTAATTGCAATGGCATAACCAAGCTTTTGATTTGCAAACTAAATGCAAGACAATCCAAATCGCTCACCCAATTTGCCAGCCCATCTCCTCGGCAATGACATCTGCAAGACCGTGTTTGTATTTTTCTTCGCCTGACCTAAGAGGTGGCCACTGTCTCATCTTGCGCCGAAGGGCTTCCACTTCTGGTATTGATGAAGCGAGGTCGCTTGAGCATCATGTTAGCGAGACCATCCATGTGTTGCGCTGGTTGCAGGGAGAAAGTCTTTGGACGAGCCACCAAAAAGGAGAGGTCTTGGAGCCACATACTCGATGTTTCCATGTATAACGTATTCTTGCTCCGCAAGGACCTCCGCGAGTTCCGCTTGGTGGTTGTGCAGCAAATCTGAGTTGGGCACAACAACGAGAGGAATTCCCACTCTCAAAGCATCAAGGATTGAGCCCGAGCCTAGGACGGAAGGTTAAGATCGTGGATCAGGGTACAGCCCTGTCGCTTACTCACCTGCGTGGCTGATGACCATTCCTTGACTTTCCTCGGTGAATCCTTGCACGGCCGAGATTTCATCCCTGAGACCATACTTATTGAATCCGAAGCCAGTGATCTCGAGCCTACGATCATCGACAGACGTAGCCAACTCTTTCAATCTCGACTGAAATATTGTTTCACCCTCATGGCTACCATATTGGACCCGTAGCTCCACATACCCAGCAGCGTGTAGAGCGCCAATAAAGTCAGGATGCAAGACAGCTCGTATCAAGCTATCGAAAGGTGCAGTAGCGCCAATAGTAACGAAGCACCTCTTCCCAGCGGTTTTACTATGTTGCGTACTTGCCATGGTCAAGATGTCATGATGTTGACCTCATTCAGGCTCGGCCACGGTCAGACTAACTCCGCAGATGATCGATGAAGAACAGAGGCAGACTACATAGTTGTCAAGTGAATACGGCGAACCACAATGCCAAGTATTTGGGCGAAGTATATCTCTTCGATGTGCCGGGTGCGGAAAAATAATGTTTCCCAGTAGCTCGACTCCAAGTCAATTGCCAGCGTAAACGGCTTCACTCATTGCCGGTATGGCAACACCGACACGCTATCTATGCCGCACACTACTTCAAGTCAGTCGGCGGCAGCTGCCAGCAAAACGGAAAGCGCAGTCACAATGTCTCCGGACGGCCCCAAAAGCAGCTCCTTACTTCCGACAATACTCGTCCGCTTCGATTCTCCGAGCAGGCAATTCCAGGGATAGGGAAAATGAGCTACCAGAGGAAGCTAGGGCTGATGAGCTAGAAAGAGTTGAAGAAGGGAAAGGCCCGTACTGGGTGGAACTACCTGATCGAGACGGTGACGGAGCAAAGAGATATCTCAGGTTAGGCTCAGCCAAAAGGGATACGGTTGGGGGAGAGGACGGCTTCTGGCTGAACGATGCGGATGCATTGAGATTCGAATCGGCCTATCCTCAAGCACCAGACCCTAGTGAATACCTAACACCACTCCAACCTATTGTCGCGGAAGAAGTCACTCCAGAAGAGCTTGAGCAAATGAAAGAACTCCTCGGGGGAAAGCCAGGAGATCCCATCGGTCTCTACAATCATCTAATGGCGGTGGCTGAGTCCCTTGAAGGAGAGAAAGACTTAGACCCTGCGATAATGGACGAGATGGAAAGAGACATTGAAGGCGATGAGGATGTCGACTTTCCTGTGGATACTATGAGGCCCCGAGAGATGGGTTGGTTCGCAACCGACGAAGGGGAAGATGAATTCGCTATGGCTGAAGATGGCGACGACGATATTGATGATTCTCACATCACATCCGTTGCACACAGTCAGTTGGAGGTGCATCGAGAAGTCAGAGAATATACTAGGGTCGTTGCTTGGGACATGCCACTACTGACTAGTACGTGATGTCCAATATACCGTGATCCCTCCTACTAACATGTGATCAGGTTTCGCCAAAGAATTCAAACCTCCCACCGAAAGCCAGCCTTTGCGATTCCGATATACAACCTACATGGGGGAATCCCATCCCGCAGCAAAGAAAGTGGTCGTGCAGTTCTGTACCAAGGATCTGCCTGGCCTGACGGACGTGCAACGTCTGAAACTGATCAAGCTTGTCGGGACACGCTACAACCCCGACAGCGATATGATCAAGATGTCCAGCGAGAAATTCGAGGCACCAGCGCAAAACAAACGATATCTGGGAGATCTAGTCAATAAACTCATCGACGAAGCAAAGAACGGCGCCGATGATTTCAAAGATATTCCCCTGGACTTGAGGCACGTCAAGCCAAAGAAAAACATCAAGTTTCCAGAAGAATGGAGAATAAGCCCACGGCGTGTCCAAGAACTGCTACTGGCAAGAAGGGAACAGAGGCTGATTGCTGACGCAGCAGCGGCTGAGATTCCCGTCGATGGAAAGAACCTGGTGCATAACTATGTACAATCTCTGGCGGGAAGGAACATGCCCACTCCCAACCGGCTCATGTAAAACTAGGTTGCCAAAAATATACTTTGATTCATTTTTCTTTTCTATGAAGAATTCCTCATAAGGACAGGAATTATGGTCCACGGTTTTCTTTCTCTGCTTCAGCCTGTCGGCCCGAAGAAAAACATCGTTGCAACCAACCGCATTTCTCGAAAACCTGGCCATAAAAGGCATACAACTTTTGTTGTCTGAAATTAAAACGCGACAACACACGCCGTGTAAGTGCTTTCTCTCCGTAATGGGTCTCACAGCCTCGCTGGTCCCTTCGCCTTTAAATCTCCTTTCAGTTGCCATTGCTATTGCCATTGCCTCGGCCTTTGCGTCGACGATTGCCATTGCTACCACCATTGCCACCAGCACGACCGGGACGCGGCTCCGCACTTCCTTGTATAGTAGTGGACGAAGATGCGAAAGATGCAGGGGAGGAGGATGAAGATGCACGAGCAGCTTCAGCACGCGCGAGCTCCTGTTTCCGGAAGTCTGCATCAGACATCTTCTCGTACCGCTCGTCGTCACTCAGCAGATCGCTGCACTCGGCCTCGCTGTCATATCCATTTTTGGGCTCTGGATTGTGCTTGAAGACCGAGCCGTGACCTGGAGAAAGCCCTGGCCACCTGCCTTGATTGGCCTTGCGGCGTTTCTCATTCTCCTTGTCACGAGCCTTGGCGAGCTCCTGAGCTTCTCGCGCCTCTCGTTCTCTGTCTTGGAATGATGCTAGCTTGCCTTTGCTCTTGTCACTATAATGGAAGGGGCGATCTGTACCACGAGTAGATCGGTGAGTATAGCGCTGCCCACCCTGAGCAGCGACGTTCTTGCGGCCGACATTTTGATTGAGAGTTTGAACCTTACGCCAATTGTCACTCTTCTGCACTTTCGAGTCTTGGATCGTGTAGCTAGGAAATTTGACTCCAGGCGGAAGATTCAGGGGTGGGATACCATAAAGCTCGCGAAACCATTGGGGAATTTCATTGTGGCCGAGACGCTTCAATTCATCAAGGTCAAGAGGCATCTCATGCTTGTACTTGCAGCCTGTCTGAACAAAGGAGCACTCCCCAGTCTTCATCCAGTGAGTACAGTAGACTTTCTTTCCCATAGTACCAACTTGTGGTAGATCATTGGCTGAGCTGGAAGTGGGTTTGCCGTCGGTCCTGGCAGATGCAGCTTGGTCTTCAATTGTTGATCTCATGTCAATGGGATGATTGGTTGGTGGTGCGCCGCTGTAGACACCCTCAACGACATGTTGCTGTGGGCGCGCTTCGAACACACCGATAGAGTTCATTCCAGTGATTTTAAGCGCTGTGAGTTCTCTTGGGACTCCTTGGATCTTGACAAATGATGGAAGCTCGTCAATAGCGATCAGAGGGACCATCCGCTGACCGTCTGGTCGAACAACGAAAAAGAGAGCTCGGAGGGGCTCGGGAGTTGTTGCAGACATGGTGGCAGGTGGAATGATTGAGAGGTGCAGGCAAACGACAGATAAAGTGTATATTTAAAGCAGCTCAAAGCAGAGTAGAAGAACCTTGTTGTCTGTGCTTGAATGTGTTGAGAAGAAAATGCCTGAGCGGAGGAGAGAGCGAAGATGGGACCTTTACGGGCTTGAGATCTACTCTGCGTTGAATTTTTGAATCCAGGGGAAGGGTCGTGCGGTGTAGATGGTGAATGGGTGACAGGATCTGAATGCAGTGCTGCACTCACACAAGAATAGAGGGATGTTGTCGGTGAATAGCGTCGTAGATAGCGGGTCAAGGATCACCGCGTGGCTTGCTCAGGTGAAGGGTGTTCCAGTTTCTTTGAGAGTGTATTGTGTCTCAGAAGCAGTCTAGTCGAGGCTGTGAATGTAGATATTGAAGCGAGAGATTGTTCGGGAGAAAATTTGAGGGTGCAGTGGATATATGCTGTTTGGAGGCTTCATCGTTTGCACTTGGTCAAGCCAGGAACGGTCAGAAAGACACTAGCTAGCCTGCCAGTATCATCACGGCCTCAAACACTGATTGAAGGTGTTTGCAGTAAGCCTTGCGCCCCTATGCGCTTCTCTGCAGCGAAAACCCATGCTGTAGGAAACGGGAAGTGGGTTGTTTGTTCCCTCTTAACACTGCTTGCATTGTTTCGTTTGTGGAGAATACCCAAGCCCATGAACACCTGCTTTGTTCCTCCGACCTAGACATGTCCCAGAATAATTCAAGCTCGGCGGCGCGCATGAGAACCATTTCTGGTTTGACAATGTGGTACAAGAGCCTCTGTCTTCAATTCCATAAATGAAGAGGGCATGTCTGTGGGCATTGTCTGAGGAAGCACCAAATGAAAAACAGGAACTGATGATCCCATACTGCATTTCTGTCGATCTTGTAATTCTTGTGACAACCAAGTACAGCCACAGCCACCCTCAAGCACAGAAGCAACGCACATTGTCGGAAAGCTACACGGTCAATGTTCCGCCATCGATGAGATCGGTAGGCGATTGATCTGCTCACGGCCTTCTAGCGGGGTCGGACGAGGCTTCTGGTCGTTCTTTCAGGGAAGTGAGCATCGGGGTTCTTCAAGCTTGCCTAGTCGATCTAGGCCGAAGTTGGTCGCTTTTTATCTTTTTATATTTATATAAGAGGGACGCAATCTGGACTTTAGGGTTCTTGTGTCGGTGATTTCAGGTATCACCTGTGTGCAGAGATATTGGCCACGAGCAGCCTTGACCAGACAGGGGACTAACTAGTCAGGCATCCATGGCCAACATCTCAGTAGACCATGAGTTTCGGAGACAGATGTGCACTCAACGGAGGGCGCGAGAATGGGCATGAGTATAAACATCTCCATATGAGCGCTTGGCGCGAGAACGGACCGTTTGTAATTGCGCTAAACTCTATGTGCATAGGGTATTAGGTGTTGGAGTTTCCCAACGAAGAACAAATGGAATGCGAATCCAGATGCGTTAGGCTGCCTAGAGAGTTCATGGGTGTCTACCTAGGTAGGTATACAAGCCCAGCAGCGTGTCGTAAAAAGTTATAAGATGCGAGGTAGGAAAATACAGGCATTTGAGAGACTTGGTATGTTGTGCTCGCAAGCATACCCCTAATCTACCTACTTTGGATCCTCAACAAGTACGAGGTCGCGGCAATGCCTAATAAAGTAGTGGTAGTAGTAGCCAAAGCACGTTTTTGTCATTATTGTACATTGGATACGAGGTCCTACGTATTATGTAGATAAACATAATACCCCCAGATACCCAGGGAGGTCTTGATTTGGCGCTCTCTAATATAAGGCTGCGAGGCCGCAAGGGGCTCAGTCGCTGTTTCCCTGGCGACTGGCTGTTCTCGTAAGACGGAAGCTTGGTGTTTCAGATAAATTGGGCAAAATACAGTCATAGCCTTGTAGCAAGTAGGCAGGCACCAAGTTAGTCGAAAATCGTGACTTGGTGCTCACGCAACGTGTTTTTATGCCCAAGAATTGTGGGTAGTTATGCAAGAATCATGGCAGTCGGGAGCGACGGATCAATAATAATAATGGCACCGATCCTTCCGAACAAATCTGTCAGGCACCCGTTTTGACAAAACTCCGCTAGACCATTTCTAGCCTCCCCCGGTCCTCTAGATGGCAGCCACGTCTTGTGCTCAGGAAACTGACTCTAGACGCCTAGCACCATCCAATTGCTGGGCCCCTTGGTGCACTTCGGACGCTATCCAGGCTTAGGGTGCTGTTGCTCTTGTCGCTTAAGCTGTCCTTCCCGGCGGGTGGTCACTGTTTGGATCCTTGGAGCTGCCCTTACCGTGTTAGGGGCGACCCAGTGATTGCTTAAGCCGAGCCCTGCGTCAAATGACTCTGATCCAAGGTGGTCAAGTGGTCCAGGACAAAACTAAACCTGACGCACCACCGACAAATGCCCAATAATCCTTGTATGCGTACTATGTATGACTTCCGTACTCCGTACCGTTACCTGTTACCAACTTACCAGTACTGCGCCTCACCTTCAACCGCCTCTTCCTGTTTCCATTTCTTCCTTCAACGACAACTCACCTCTGCCTCCTTGGGTTGAGCTCCTCACTCCCTTATTTCTTTCGTTAAGCATCCCTCTCTGTCTTGATACTCGAGAACGCGTCTGATTGTCTTTTCCATCGCGGTACCATGGCCACCGAGGCCTCCATCGCCCTGACCAACCGCTCCCTCCGTACCATCCGCACAGTGTGTGGTCCCCGTCCCGTCCCATCCCAATCCATCTCATTTGGCATCCTCACTGACCTGTGTATAGGAACTTGAATTTCTAGCAGATAGTTCCATCATCTCTCCAGAGCAGCTCTCCTCTATCCTAGCACAACTGCCTGCTCAAACACCCCTTCATGCTCCTTTACACACGCCTGCAAATATCTCAACCAACACCCCCGTTGATCAATTTTCAACTATGAATATCAAGGAACAGTACGCTCCAGTACCGACGCCTGCTCCTCTTCCACCCCCAGCATATGTCCAGACTCCTCAGATTCTCGCCATAGCATCCGCGCTATACGCATATTCCCCAACAGATGCCGGAGACTTGGCATTACAACCAGGAGATCGAGTGCAGGTGTCAGAACACATGAACAACGACTGTACGTGTCCCTTTCCCATACATGAATTTTCGGCTCCTTACTAACATCCCATCAGGGTGGCGAGGTCGCAATGAACGTACCAATCTGGAAGGAATTTTCCCTCGAAGTTATGTCAATGTTGTTGAGGAGAAACGGCCACCCATGGTTCCTGGAACATCCGACTATGGCAACATGCCCCTGCAGCTCACTCAATCTGGGTCTGTTGTTGGTCCTGAGGGTCGCAAGTACAGCAAACTAGAAGAGCAAGGCAAGAAGTTCGGAAAGAAGATGGGCAATGCTGCTATCTTTGGCGCCGGTGCCACTATTGGCAGCAACATTGTCAACGGAATTTTCTAATGATGCCTTGCCGTTCTCTATAATGTTCAACATCAGCCATTTGCTGGCTACGACTACGACTTGGGGTTGAATTTTTCAACCACACGGAATCGGGGAAAGTACAAGCACCACCACGGCTTGATTGCTATAATGGGGATTCCGAAAAATGGGATTTCATGGATATGAAACGGCGTACGCATCGGTTATGGCGTCAAAAGGACTGATTCAAATATGTGACGAACTCGCAAGCTATGGATGAAAAAGCTGCCATTGTCTGAGGCAACCAAGCCAATCTCGATTCACATCCATATATCGGGATATGGGACTGGCATCACCTGAACTTGACCTCAGATAGGTGTGACTTTCTTGATTCTGCTCGAGCGACATCAGGCTTGGATTATGGCTCCCACAGGACATGGGCGATCGGCGTCCTCTGCAAACAACACTTTCCTATGTTCTTGTTGACTGGGGTCAGGATTCAATACCAGATTTTCTTCTGCCAAGATACTTGACTATATTTTTCCATGGGCGAAATTGATTGAAATGATCAATGATAAAATCCAAGAGAGTTGGCAGAGTGGACATGGAGGGAAGGAAGCAGTAATATGCTATCCCGAGTACGTGCAGGGAAGGTTTGCTGCACATATTGTATTTTGATGCAAATGGAGACATTTCGCTTCAATGGCGTGCAGTTGTTTGAACCCCTCTTTCGTGCCATTCAATATCTCCCTATTGACCATTGATATGGCCCCTCGTAAACTGCTCGTAAAAGCCATGTGATCGAAGCCTGTTGCGACTGGCGTGTGTAGAGTCAAGATCTGGAGAGGAAAATCGTTTTACCGGTCACCGCCTCTTGATGCTTGCAGCCCACGAGGGGATGTCGAGGGCGACACGGAATATAACAACAGCGTCCAGTGTGTTGCTCACTGCTGCAGGACGGTTGGCGGTGTTGTTCAATGAATAGATGGTGTCGACGATATATCTTCCGTTCAGTCCTCATCTCTTGCAGGTGGTGGGCCACTGGCCCTGACCATCTTTTCTATCATTTGACCTCGCAGAACCTCTTTACTCTCGCCGAGTCCGAGCGCCATGTAGGCAAGCAGAGGCGGGTGCCCGACATAGCTGGCATATGAGTCTCGAACGATATTGTTACTCCATTCGTAACGAGTGGTGTCCGCGTGGCCTGTACCAATGTATTTGGCCTGAAGCGATTCGAGCTGTTGTAAAGTTCGCAGTTTATCGGCCATGGTTACAGGATGCTGTCGAGAGTTGCTCAGTCGTGGTGATATACAACGAGGAGTAAGGCCGTGTATCACTGTTAGTGTTGCGTCGTGGCTAGATCTAATTGTCCCACTGGCCTTGGTCGCTTCCTGGCGCAGGATGCGATGTGAAGAGGAAAATGCGATGAGTCAGCACGGGTCGTGATTATCACGTGCTTCGTTGGGGAGTCACATCCACATTTCAATGTTCTTGCGACTCCAACTCGGTGCGAGAACGGCGTCTAAAGAGCGCCCGCCAACCATCAACCAGCAAGTACGAGCCAGTTGGAGCTGCACGCTCACTTTCGGTATACTTCCGAGCAACTACAAAGGCTATTTGAGAAATTGCAACACAGACGTCCTCCGTTCTCGCCCCAAAAAGCTCCGGTGGTTTTCTTCCGCACCTACAGAGAGCAGCGGCAGCAAGAATACGGCAAAGGGCTCACACGGACTCGAAACTCGAAACCCCACGTCCTGTTGCAACACCAGGCACGCAATTACCACACAGCCCACCTCCCCACCACATGACTGGCACCGGGTAAGTACCTCAGTACCTTTTTGTCCCTCGGCAAATTTCCTTCGTCATTTGCTGGTACTCACACCTTATTCGTCAGCCTACCTCCAGCCCACCATAACGCCGAAGTAACGACGCTGCCATGGCTCGAGACCCAAGGTAAAACCCTTCTCCCAACGGAAGCTGTGCTTTTGATGGCCACTGGTACTTCCCTCGGGTCCTATCGTGTCCACTGTCAAGTTAGAACGGCTTGATTACCGTTCTTCCAAATTCCGCCCTCCATGAACCCCATCAGATCTGCCCTGTTGGGCGCTGCTTCTAGAAAACATTTCACTGCTCCCTCGCCCTCCATCCGAATGGCTGCCAACCGGTTACAAGCTGAAGCAAGAAGAATGAGTGCAAGCGTGCAACAAACGCGGTCGGCCTCGTTCTCGGGACCGACCAAGATCAAGGTCAAGAACCCTGTCGTCGAGCTCGATGGCGACGAGATGACCAGAATAATATGGCAGGATATCAAGGACAAGTTCATCCATCCTTACCTTGATATTGACCTGAAGTACTATGATCTCGGTCTGCCATACCGTGATGAGACAGACGACCGGGTTACCGTCGATGCGGCAGAGGCGATCAAGAAGTACTCGGTCGGTGTCAAGTGCGCCACCATCACTCCAGACGAAGCCAGAGTCAAGGAATTCAATCTCAAGAAGAGTATGTCGTGACTGGCTCAGATCATCTGTTCACTGCTTACAACACTAGTGTGGCTGTCGCCTAACGGTACCATCCGTAACATCCTGGGCGGCACTGTCTTCCGTGAGCCCATTGTTATTCCACGAATCCCTCGTTTAGTTCCAGGATGGGAGAAATCCATCATCATTGGACGCCACGCCTTCGGCGATCAGTACCGGGCGAAGGACGATGTGATTAGAGAAGCAGGCACACTAGAAATGGTCTTCACACCCAAGAATGGAGGAAAACCGAGAGCCATCAAGGTATATGACTTCCCAGAGAGTGGTGGCGTTGCGCAGACTCAATACAACACCGATGAGAGTATTCGGGGCTTTGCGCATGCCTCATTCAAGTTTGCACTTGAGAAAGGTTGGCCACTGTACATGAGCACCAAGAACACGATCCTGAAGGCCTACGATGGACGCTTCAAAGACATTTTTGAGGAGATCTACGAAAAGGACTACCAGAAGGATTTCGAAGCCAAGAAGATCTGGTACGAACATCGTCTGATTGACGACATGGTCGCACAGATGATCAAATCAGCTGGCGGATTCGTCATTGCAATGAAAAACTACGATGGTGACGTCCAGTCTGATATCGTCGCTCAGGGCTTTGGCTCTCTGGGTCTTATGACTTCCCAGCTCATCACTCCAGATGGCCTCACATATGAGTCGGAAGCCGCACATGGGACGGTCACGAGGCATTACCGTGAGCATCAGAAAGGCCGCGAGACTTCCACGAATCCCATTGCAAGCATCTTCGCATGGACCCGGGGCCTTGTCAAACGTGGCTCGCTTGATGACACTCCCGAACTTGTCACCTGGGCAGAGTCTCTCGAGAAAGCTGTCGTCGACACAGTCAACGAAGATGGCATTATGACCAAAGACCTTGCGCTCGCATGTGGCAAGAAGGAACGTGAAGCCTGGGTCACAACCAGCCAGTTCATGGAAGCTATCGAGAAGAGATTCAAGAAAGACCTCGCCGCATAGGGATTAGAAACAGCCCCGATATGGCATAGGCGATGACAACGACAAGGTGGATCTTATGACAGAGGAGGATGACATAGAGAGCCTGCAGCTTTACCTTTTTACTGAGAGACACTTGAGGTGGTACACATCCTGCCCTCGGAGTAGACATCTCGTGGCGCCGCGCATTGGGCGTTGTCTTGGATGGTTCGAACGCTTAGATGGAAAGACATAAACACTTGCCTTACTAGACCAGCATGTCCAATCACTACGCCAGTTCAGCTTGTCAGTCAGGTTCTTTGGAAAGATGCTATCATCGGTGCTATCATCGTTTGTTGGCGAGTTGCTCGGAGATGGGTGTTTCTGTTGTTCTCCTTCGAAGAAAAGAGCGAAACCACGAGTTGAGAAGGAGATATTAAACCAAACCAAACCAAATCAAATCATGTGGGAATGTCTAAGACAGGAGATTCATAAAGAATTATTGAATTCTATCTCAAAGCCACCTTCGGCGTGTATTGCTACTGCTCGTTGTGGTTCTGAGCGCTCTACAAACAGGTCCCTGTGTTCTGATATTTCGCCCTACTTGAAACCCTCACCTGCGCTTGATCATCCCGCTACACGCCTCATCGCCCAGTGACCGTTACAGCTAGTACAAACTCAGAGACAAATCTGTGATAATTACGAGGAAGATTTGATGCTCTGAAGATGATTCTCATGTGCTAGACATTGTCTACATCGTTGAACTCGAGATGAGCAATTCAGTGTGCCCACCACTAATTTTCCTTTTCGGACAATGCTTCCACTGCGTCTATGTAATATGCTCTTGCGCCCGTTGTCGAAGAAAAGGAAGGAAAACCTCATACACCATAGGCCGTGGGTGCAGCACTTGCCAAACATAACCGCTCGCAAAGAAAGATCTCGCAAACCCATCCATGCATTCATGACTCTCATTGACCCAACAGAAAGGTTTTGAGACCGTGTTTGACTGAAACGCCGGACTACCCTGGGTGTTTTTGGCGTCACATGCTCGCGAACTTCCAAATGCATGATTCACACCTCTACTTTTTCTTCCCAAACGTTAATGGCGAGCCGATATCCGTGCCTCGGAGCTTGATGCCCAGGGCCTTCTCAAGTCTGCCGAGTTTGGTCTGATCGGGGGCGGCAGAGCCGTTTTCGTAGGCCTGGATCTCGGTGGCAAGCATGTTGGTCTTGGTTGCGAGGTCTTTCTGAGTCATCTTGGGGGTGATCTCGTTTCTTCGCTTGACGATGGCTGCGGCAACTTCGCGGCCGACGGTCTTTGGCTTCACAATCTCATCAGACCGATCGACTTTCGTCAGGTGCTGGCCTTCCACGGCCGATTTCTGTGTGAAAACGATGCAGATTAGGATTTTGAATTTAAAAAAGAGAGCCAAAGGCTGGGGGGCATGGCGGGCTTACTGTATTGGAGCTGGCATATTTCTTCTCGGTGCCGATGATGGCTCCAGAGCGGCCGGCGGCGTTGATTGCAGACTTGCCCTTAATGACACGCTCTCGATCAACCGCAGTGCCGCCTCCAGCTCTCACACTCTTTCCAATCCTTGTAACATTGTCCCAGTCGTTATCAGCCATTGTGGATGTTTGCTGTGGAGGGGTGAAGGATGAGGGTGCAAGTGGCGGTCTATTGCTTGTCGATTGGTATTCGACGGAATAAGTCCTACCGTCTGAAACGAGTACAGAGGAAGTTCGACCGTTGAGAAAGAGGGCCTTTCGAAAGAGAGATATGGTAGATGTGAGTATACGTTGGAAAATGGGAAAAGTTGTTGGCGAGCGGTTGAGTTTATTAGGCCTTGCTCTCTTCAACGATGAGCCTCACGGGACACAGCCCGCAGGGAAGTTAGTCTAGAAGTTGCCATCCGCATCCTCGCCAAGATCGATTGAGTCATCGAGCTCGAGCAATGCAGTCATTGGCAATCTGCCTTTGTGTAGCACGTGACTTTTCTAGAAGTCACGTGCAAAGTGCGTCGTGAGTAGGTACCGGCTAGGAGTTGTTTTTGCGAAATATTGACTGATACTCGTGTGAGTAACCTTCGATCTTTTGGATGACAACTTATTCCTCCACACGGTCACGAAAGGCCCAATGAAACAGCTGGTGGCCACCTACCTAAATGTTGGCGGGCATCCTAGTATCCAGCCTGGTGCCGCATGAGATAACTTGTGAGAGAATGCTGACTCTGATCACCAGGCTCTTCGATTGGTCCATGCAATAGGCTTCTTTCTAAGATCTGATCATTTCAGGGCTTCCGACTTTCCTCCATGCAAGTCCCTACCAAGAGGGACTATTCACTTGCCCTGCCTCGCTGACTAAGGTTTTATTTATCCTTGGGGCACCCTTATGGTCAGGGGCTGCTAAGCAGTGATGCCTTTGTGATTTGAAAGACCCAGTCGGTTCTTGCCCAGCCTTCGACTCTGCAGGAAGGCAAGGTATTCTGGCCGATGGAGCCATTATTCCAGAATTCTTATGTGAGATGTGGAGTGCCACGGGGTATAGCATCATTTTTCCCAAACAACCTGGACCCAAAATGTCTACGTTTGGGCCTGGTCGACACAGTCTGCCAGAAGTTGACAAGAATCATACCTCATCTTGACAGCCAATCGACACATTGGAAGATAGCCAAAAGCAACTGTCCAGATGGTGGAATTCGGGCTTCTGGCAAATTGTATAGCATTCTGAGGTCCTTGCCTGCGAACGCTCATACGTCCTAGCAATTGGCTCTTGCGGAAAGCGATTCGTTGCTAGGATTGGCTCTATCTATGACTAGCTTCCATTCGTATTTCAGCGTGGTATCTATTCTTCTCCAAATTCGCTTGGATCCATCTCCGCAACTAGGGCAGCCAAATTGGTGTGTGTGTACATGGGTGGTTGGTCGGCTAGACATTGGCCAGCTTTGCCTACAATATAGAAATATGCCAGAAGTTCTGGTGGCTGGATTTAAACCCATGTCCATCACCACAAGCTGCAAAAAGAACTTCGTACGGCGAGCCCAGTGAAGTTTCAAAATCGAATGTGACGAAAGTGCCATATATACTAGGGTTGCCTGTAAGAGGTAGCCTTGCGTACCTGGGTAGCCAGCAGAGATAGCAAGACCGAGTCTTGGCGGCGTTTAAGAGAGCTCGGCTCGTCGGCATCGGCATTGCTGTATCGTCATCATCGTTCTCTCCGACAAGTTGAATGAAAGGACTGTCCTGAATCTAAATGTTTCTGATGCGGTGGTCCCTATCGTAGCTTCTCAGCCTCATTTGATGCATGTCGAACCCAGACATAATGTTCCTCCTGGCTTCGTCCAACCTCCAACCTCTCGTGATATCCAGTCTCAAAGCTGCTGATAATCATGGGGGCGGAGGATGATTGATCACATTCACTACAAGGCGGGAGCATAGGCTAGAGCGGGAGAGAGCCTACAGAGCTAGGAAGTTACGTATTCCAGCATTCAATACCAACAGGCGAGCTTGGATCTGCAACTGCGGACTTCAGCGATCACTCTAGCCTCGCCCATGCCGATATCTGGTTGAGATGGACGTTCCGCCTTTCCTAGATGGGCAATTTTCGTCAGTGAGCGCCTAATTGAACATTAGCCTTTACTGTCTAGAAGAATCCCCATTGGTGCTGATGACTGTTGTTATCAGTAGAGCGATAGTCCGTAATGTCATACTCATGGTAGGTCAAACGTGGTTTAAGCCTTCTCAGGACCTCGAAGTCCAGCTTGGCTTCCCAAGAAGTGAGAGATCCAGCTTTGAGCAGTCAAAGAGTCGACTGGAGTCCAACGCCAGAGGCTCATGACCAACGATGTCAGACCTCCAAGCCGACAACATCCCAATTGTAGACTTCTCTCGCTTCGAAACTGATCTCGCTAGTCTTGCTCAAGAAATTAAGACGATCTGCTCAGCATGGGGATTCCTTTACCTCAAGAACCACGGACTGGAACAAAGCAAGATCGACAACATGTTCCGGATAAGCGAGACGTTCTTCCGAGGGACGTCTCGCGAGGAGAAAGCCACAACACCTTGGAACAGCATCTACAATGCCGGGTACGACGCGAAAACGGGGACTGAGGGCTACTTCTCCGAGAATGGCGCGAATGAGTCCATGTCTGCCGAAGACAACAAGGAAGTGTTCGTGATTCGCAAGCAGAAGTCCTATGACCAGCCTATGCCCCCGTCACTGCGAAAGTTCAATCCTGAGATCCAATCGTTCATGGCCGAGACACATGAAAAGATCGCCGTGCCGTTGCTTGCGTGCTTGGGGACGGGGCTCGGGCTGACGAAAGATAGACTACCTAACATGCACCAGCATGAAAGCCCCACGATGACCACGTTACGACTCATTCATTACCCAGCCCTTCGGGGGAGCGACAGCGCTCCCATTCGACTCCCTTCGCACACCGACCAGGGCGTGATCACGATCTTATTCCAGAACCAGATCGGCGGACTCCAAGTTCGTCCGCCAAAGTACACGGGGCCGATCCAGGACGATGAGGAATGGCTCGACGCGCCGGTCATCCCTGGCGCCGTGCTCATCAATATCGGTGAGACAATGACGTTCTTCTCAGGTGGCTTGATGAAGAGCACGCTACATCGTGTTGCGAAAAGCCCACGTCGGGAGGATCAGGGGAAAGACAGGTTCTCCATGGCGTACTTCTGCCACCCGAACCAGGACACCCTGCTTGAGGTCATAGAGGGTATTGAAGGCGGATTAAAGAGGGACCCTCCTATCTCCTGTGTCACTGGCAGACAAGTGAGGACCGTCAAAGATTGGATCGAGCACCGCCATTCTATGGGACGTCTGGAAGCTGCTAAATGATTGATCTTGTGCCTCAAGTGATACGAGTGCGAGCCTCATGTTGTTACAACTCTCCAGACCTATCATCTAGGTCAGACTAAAAGACAGGGGCTGAGTGCACAGCTGGCAGACAAGGAGGAATCTGGGAGGAGCAGCCTTCCCAACATTCCCACTCTTGAGATGATTCAAATTACTAGAAAGGTGCGATAGCTTCAAGAGATCCAGAATTTAATTTCTTTTCTCCCCACATCCAGAAAACATCAAAACTCAACACGACCGCCACAAAGTGCAGTTGCCGCACCAGTCCAGAGCATCAAGCAAGGCTAGACGTCTAACCGCTACTCCTCATCCAGGAAGACATTGACCAGGTTTGAGAAATGGTCATGATACTCATCCAAAAAGCCATGCCCGCTGTCAGGGTACAGGTGGAGATGCGCATCAGCATTGACCAGCCTCTTCCACAAGACATAGCTATTCTCCGTAGTGACGAGGAGATCGTTGCTCCCATTGGCGACCAAGACCGGGATTGTGATCCAATCGAGGCGATCATACGAGCCCTCGTCACGATGCTCCTCAGAGAAAAAACCGCTCCACGGCAGCAAGTTGGTTCTGGACGCCCTGTGGGCCAAGTAGCGGGGCGCGGTCTTTGCGCGCACTAGTCATATGCTGCCACCACTGCTCACCGACTTGCTGTTTCTTGTCCGAGCACGAGAAGAAGGTCCACTTGAAGGCCTGGCGCGACTCATCCTCGGTGGTCGCGCTGGCCACCTGCGAGAAGTATTCCGGATCTGACGCGAGCACTCCTTCGCCCGCGCTGGGGCCGGCGCCGGCGACGACGATCTTTCGCACGAGATGCGGCGCCTGCAGCGCAATCAGCTGCACGACGAAGCCACTCATCGAGAAGCCCAGAATGTCGAGCTTGCTGATCCCCAGGGCTTCTGCGACGTCGATGGCGACTTGCGCCCAGGTGGAGTATTTCGTAGGGACTTCTCCTTCGCTGCGGCCGACGCCCGTGATGTCGACGAGGAGGATTGGGCGTCTTGCCGCTTGTGGGTTGATGAATGCCGGATCCCAGAAGTCCATGTTTCCTCGAAAGTGAGGATGTAGGAATAGGGGCACCCCCTGGGATTGGCCAAAGAGGCGGTATGCGTGCTTGACGCCGTGGATGGTCACGAATTTGTTTTCGGCCTTTTCGTATGTCGCCATGACTTGGGCTGATTGCTTTAATGGCAAAAGAGAAACCTGGGTGAATAGGCAATACTAAGAAGTTACTTCGTATTGAGCTCCTGGTGAGGATGATGGAATCTGCAAATGTTGTACGCAGTATACAAGAATCATGCAGCTGCATCTTTATATATGTGTCTCTCAACTCCATGAGGGCTTTTTCTGTATTCTCGTCACGAACAAACCATTAGTAAAGATCAAGGGGATACGAGATGTTGGAAGAGCGCCAAACATTTATTGACGTTGCTTAATTATTGGTTGATATCAGGTTTCCCAAATAGGAGTGCGCTGCGAAGTGACCCTAATTAGCTCTAGATTGAACGTACACACAGCGCCACGATATAGTCAAGCACGATTATGTCTCCAACCCAGCCTTCAGCGATGGAAAACAAGAGAAGGCCTCGCTGCGATTATTAAGCAGAATAGCCTGAGTGACTTCACGAGTCCTAGGGACAGGCACCTGCTTCGGCTTACACAAGCAGAGTTGCATATCAAGTAAGGAAGAGAAATGTCGTGATAGGCGAAGACACCTTACACGGCACCTCCTTCATTTTTTAGGCTTGGAGTCTCAACAGCCAAGTACTATCCACAGGCGGGCGGTGTCAAGGTAAGTCTTGACCGGGGGGAAATAGCTCAAGCAAGTTGCCTCAGTATCTTCTAGATTGATAATGAGCAGCCTAAATGGAGGGGCCAGGCACTCCACTGCTTGTAAAATACCTGTGCAAATGCGTATAAGATAAACGCAGCAGTTAACTTTGTTGCCAACACCTAAGAAAGCTCTAGCTATAACTCACATATTACTTAATGTCGAACATTTACAAATGAAAGCAAGATCGGTACAATGTCAATAAGCGAACAAAGCGTCAGAACACTAGATGACCTTATGTATTAGCATTTCAAATTCACGCCTCAACAGCTGAGAAGTTCGTAGCAGAAAGAGAACATGAAATTCAGAAAGTGTATGGTGGTTTGGATGTCCGTTTCAGGGAAAGTCAGTAGAATCGATGAAGATCACCAATCCGAAAGTCCTCCACATCAAATGGCCGTTCCAATTTTCGCATCATGGCATAAGATAGATAGGCAGACATAGCAACAAATGGAGAAGCGAAGCTAAGCTGGCTGGCATGGGGGTGACTCACACGTAGTAGTAATGTCTGGTGGTTGCTTTCACATCGGTGGCCTAGCTGCGATATCCGTAGGAGAGGATATGGGTCCAGAACAGTGACCCTATGTTGTGCTCACGTCTATCATGATGCGTTTGGACAGATCGGTGCGCCATGAATAAGATAGCAAGGTCTACCAGACCAAGGGGTCATGACAATTGGAAGCGAACATCATCCAAATGGGCAACAGGCCCCCTAGCTCTCACAAGTTCCAGCCAGTTGCGGTAGCCGATATATATCGACGAGCAGCGCCCGTAACAAGATCATGAAGCAACAATCCGGGCGAGAATCAAGCGATCCATGCGCGCCATTGCAAGTAAATACCTCGCCGCTGAAGGGTCTCAAACGGGAGAGGAAGGATACTCCAAAAGATGAAAACGCAAGAAGAAAAGAGGTGTGAGAAAGTTGGCAGGAAAAGGCCAAACACTCCGGTTTCGGCTAGACTCGTTTTAGCGGTCATTCCGTCTTGGCAATATCAAAGATTCAACAAGTGCAGTCAGTGGTTCTCCCAAGCTTGAACCACATCGAATCGAGGGTAAGCGGGAGGTAAATTTCTTGCTCCTCTACAAGAGATGCATGTCCACAATGTGGGGTGGAAGGTCGTCCTGGAAAACAAATGGAGACCAAGGTGGGAAGGGAATGCTTTGGAAAGGAACCCATTGATCTATCTGCTTGTGCATGAGTAGCTCTTGCACAGCTATTGCTGGGTATGAAATTTTAAATCTAACACGGTGATCATGCTCAAGTCATCATCTCGTAGCATCGTCTGAGCGTATGACCGTATCCACTTGAGTGTTCAATGTCGGCCTTTGAAAGCAACTTCTTCGATCTGAAGTGTTGCGTTTTCGACACCGGCGAGGAATTCCTTCAACCCCATCTTCCACCGTTCAAAGCCAATGGTTTCCAGGTCAAGATCCGCTGGGCACTTCGGTATTGTCTGCCACTTGTCTCGGTCATCTATTTCGTAGTCAAGTTGGGTTGGGCCATCAACGGTGATATTGTCATTTTCGCCTCTTATCTTGGTTCCGTGATTCACTGGCTCGGCTTTGATGAGCACGGGAATTACTGCTCCGGTACCAAGAGCGAATGTGCGATGCCCGATAACGTGCAACAACATGGCTATGGCACCTGAATGTGCTGTAATACTGATCCTCTCATTGACGTCTTTGGCAACAATGCTGTCCAAGAGCTTAGCCTGTCGGATGGCCAAGGCTTCATTTGTTTCGCGGTAGATGGGGTCCCAGAACGTGTCCGTCTCGGTGAGGAGTGGATCTTCGTCGGTAATGAACTTTGGGAATCGAGAGTTGATGTAAGTCACTGAACTTCGTCGGTCACATGTATGAATACCAGCACCCTCACGAGCTCTTTCCATGACGACGGGCCTAAAGTCGGTTCCGTTTGGTTGGACATCGCCAAATGTAACGTTTGCTGTTTCGAGAGCTCTGTCCAGGGGACTGGCGTAGTAGGACTGTGGAAGGCTCATTCGTTCATTTTTGATTTGGTGTTTCCAGAATGTGTTCGCTTCCTGAGCCTGGCGAATACCCTCCTTGGTGAGATGTGCGTCAGCCCAAGTCATGACCTTGTCTTTGTCGGAATCGAGTGTCGAATAGTAACAATCCCACGCCACAGCTCCGTAATACCGCTCTGCAACATTGTGGAAACCATTTCCATGACGGCCAAGGAACAGTAGTTTGTACTTCGCTTTGGCAGCTGTTCCGGAGTTGTGTCGCACCTTTTTGGCATTCCCGTTCAACTCGGATATGTGGTGTTCGAATCTTTCCCAGCATGTTAGATCTCGCCCATTATTTGGGAGGCTTGTGTCCGAATCATAGGCTCGATCGATCAGGCCGAAATTTGTCTTCGTGAAATCAAACCCGTACGGATCAGTGGAGACATCATCCTGCAAGAAATACCCAGTGAGGGTCGTGTATTTGTATCGCGGATCTTTCCCTCCATTTTGCCCAGCAACCTCCTGTCCTGCACCGGGATCGGGATCGGTGTGAATGTCAAAGACCTTCTGGCTACTCATAGCAACGTTGGTCGCCTCGAGCAGGCCGCAGACCACAAAGGAGACGGTGAGAAGAAGTAGAAAGGGTCTGGGCAGGTCGGGTTTTATTAGCCCGAGTATTCGATGCGCGCAGGAGAATGGTTCCACACTTACACGGCAATGGTTGTGCGACAAGCCCGTGGGCAACTGTTCCACCGACGTTGTACTTTGCGGTGGCTTAAAGCAAACAGCATCATGCAGAAGAAATTCAACTCACATTGTAAGTTCGACTGTCTGTCACTGCCTGGTGGGCAGAGAACGTGACGAGTGAATCCACTCCACTAATTAAAGCCGCAGACACGAAACTTGGAGTGAAGCGAAGAAAGAATGGGGATGGCGTCATACTGATTCGGCGATCAGGTACGTACTCTGATACATCCACCATTAAATCTACCAAATAACACGGCGCTCTTTAAATTATCTTCGCATTAGAATATTGCTGGCTTGCGAGGGTATATCTGGCAGTATTCAGAGCAAGTAACGACCTGCGATTGACGCCAGAGCACCCCTGCCACTGCTGAGCTGGGCCTGGAGTCAATGTGCTTCAAGAAATCCGAAGATTTCCATTTCCAATTGCCCAGGACGTCTGCCAACACTTTGATATCTTGGGGTATTTGCAGGAAAACTCGCAGAGCCTTTTCGAGGATCAACCAAGTCTGAGGCGTTGATCGCTTTACGACACCAATGAGTCTGCATGATTTCCAAATCCGCTCGTAATGACCCTCGTCCCTTTGCTCAAAGGGTGTCAACAAAGTCCAAAGCAAATGCTTAGCTGTGAGACTGCTGTCGTCATCGCTGTCGTCAGTTATCTGGATCAAAGCTTTCAAGTAGTCCTCCGTCGTCTTCGAGAGATCACCACGTTCCATCATGACGAGATTTAGATAAATTAGACATGCCATCCGACAATTGTCCACTGCTCGTCGCTTATCTGGGCTCTCGTAGCCGGTGTCCATCTCACTTAATGATGTAAAAATAGGTGCTCCGTCTTCGAAAGCAGTGGTACGGTATCTATGCGCCCTCAAGCGGTTCTGCTGTTGTGGATTGGCTGGAAGACATTTCAAAACCTGCATCTTTCTTCGTTCGATGAACTCAGTAAGTTCATCACAACTGCGTTCGAGAGCAGACCTGGGATCCGAGGCTGAGATTCCAGGCCTAAGGCCAATCATATCTGAGAAACCACTGACATACGCTGGGTAGCCAGCATCCGTCGGCCAGGACAATGCTATGAAACTCCTTGTAGACATGCTCAGTATGCAGATCACTAGGAGGGAAAACGGCACAATTTATTTCAACTTACCATACGAGCTTTGTATGCATAGTCGGGTTGCCTTTTAAAGCAGGGAAGCTTCCTCTTTCTATTAGAAGCCGCTTAAGAGCTCCCCAGTGCATTTGTGCAGCTTCTTGATCACCCCAGAGACGCTATCATGGAGATTAATTCCCGCCTCTCATCCCCAGACGGTGCACATACCTCTGCATTTGCCAATAAGCCAATCCCTACCAAGGTAGAATCGCTACAGGGTGCATTCTTCCTTCGAAGACTGGCATTTATCGCAACGAGTGACCGATCCTTGAACTCGATTGACTGAAGCGTCGAGTCCAGGCCCCGCAGCCGTGCGAGATGGTGCGCTGCGTGGTGCAGCATCCCCAAGAATGGGATTTCATCTTGCCGGTACAGATTAAACAGTTCCCAGCAGGATCTCGGGCGCCGTACGGCGCGCGCCCAGTGCTTGTGTACCAGTGATGGTATCACGAATGAGTCTGATGGGGATGTTAGAGTTAGACGCAGTATAAGTAAAACTCTCTCCATGTCTAGTATGGAGTATTACCAGGGGTGTTGCAAGTGTAGTTACCAAGACTTACAGTGATCAACCAGCTCATGCACATCTCTCGTGGCAGGAATCGGGTAGGAGCTGAAGGGGTCTGCTCGCCCTCCACCGAGCCGCTCTAGCAGCGTAGCATCAGAATCCTGCTGGCGTAATTTCACCGCTTGGGCGTCCTCCCAAGCAAGGCCGTCTTTTCTACCACCTGCCACGGCAGAAGCGACGACGTGCTTTGTGGGAGCCTGTTGCTGCTTCCCTTCGTCGTCCCTTTTTTGAGCCTTGTCGAACCTTCTTTTCCTGTAGTGCTGCTTAGTCACGAACGACCGGGTTTTCGCCCTTTCTGCACCCTTGCGGCTGTTCAGACCATCGATGAACGCGAACTGTCCCTCGAACTCTTCGCTCTGAAGCCGCCTCGAGTTGGGCGTACCTGAGTCAACCTGGCTTGGCCCGTTCTGAGCGTTCATCGTGAAGGTGAAGCCATTCCTAGGAGCCCATCCCCTCATACGTATACCTCGAAAGATCTCAAGAATGGGGAAATGGGATGAAACTCACACAGACCATAAGAAGGATCCAGTAGCTCGCTGATGAGATCTTTCCCGTCAGGGTTGATCTTTCACCTTGCACGCGAAGAGGGAGGGCGCTGAGTCAGCGTTGTATGTCATATCACGTCGCACGCCACAGGCGTCATGCCATGCACCAAGATAGTCTAGCCACAGCCTTGTCTTTGAACCGGGAAAAAGGCGGGACTCTGGCCGACTCTACCTTTGATCGCACAGAAAAGTTGAAGAAATGCCTTCTGATAAACTTCGCGAGAGTTACTTGTTCACTACTTATCGAGGGTATACTCGTTTGGTTTTCTACTTCAACATGGGGCTAATGGAGTTGCTCTAGCCTCTATGATTATTTTGTCACGTTCCAGCGGTGCACTCCGTACACTCATTACTTTAGATCAGCTGTGATTTTGGGGTGTATTGTGAAACAGACATCGTATGGCAGCAACACCTATTGATTGTCTTCGAAATGGTAGGCTAGGCACCTTTTGAAGTCGCCAGCATTGATCAGTGAATCTGAAGCAAAGTGAGAATCGTGACAAGGACCACTGGCATCTTGGAGCGGGCGTGCTTCTTCCTACCGGGTCCTTCACCGTCATGCAGTGGTCTAGCGGTGTTGTTAGGTTGAGGCGAAGCTGTTGCTGTGACGTTGACCGGCGGAGCAGGCTGGATATTGGCAGTGAGGGCGTTGGCGGGGGAATCTGTCTGGTTGACCAGGAGTGCGTACATGACTTCCATGGCGCACAGCTGTTGACCCAAGCCGGTCGTTCCGTCCCATCCACGGATGTACCACTTTGAACCACAGCTGTTGCGGGATGGACCTCCTGTGCATGATTCCGCTGCACCTTTTGCTGACGTGCGCAGAAGTTCACCGACTCTTCCTGCAGTGAATGGCGCCATGAGGGACGTACCCGCAAGCCATCGAACGAGAAACGCTTTCATCGACAGTTGATCCGTGTTGCATATCTGTTTGAGCTCACATGCGTGCTCGAAAATCATGTTCGTGGAATTTTCGTCTGGAGTGACGAAGGTGTTGACGCTGTCAAGGAGGCCAAGCGTGCGGGTCATCCAGACCTGAGAGCTGTTGGTGTAATTTTGGAGGACTGCTGCTCCGTATAGGAAGACTCCCACATTGTACGACCACTGGTGGTGATCAACGGCTGTGCAGTTGAGAAGCTCGTCTGTCCCGTCATAGACATTGAATTTCTCGTCAATGAGGCTGACTCCCTCTGTCCAATCCCAGATGGCGTTTGCCCAGTGCAAATATGTGTCGTTCCCTGTGTAACGAGCTAGCCGAGCTGATAGCTGGAAGAAGCCCCCGTTTGAAATAGTGCTCTTGTAGTACCAGCCTGCGTTCTCGGCATGAAATTGCCATTTCAAACCGCCATGGCAGCCGGAGGTATTCCAGCGACCAGCGAAACTCTCCCAAGCATTTTGGACGATTTTTATCCAAGGAGGGAAAGGCGAGGGAGGTTGAGGGAAAGAATATTCGGCCGCTGACATGGCGGCAAATGCCCAGAATCTAGGTCAAGGTGAGTGGATGGACAGCATAATGTAAGGTGCAATGGCCAAACCCTTGATCATCATTTCCTTCGTCAAATGCCTCACTCGGCATATTGAAGTCAAATGCTGGGCCAAGCTGCGATATCAAGCCTTGGTATGTGACATTGAGATAGGTCGGATCCTTCGTGTAATGATAGTATTCAACCATGGCACCCCATGCTGCACCACTTTCCCACCAGAAATAGGGAGGATATGGCCATTTTCCCAGGACGCCATGGGTTTGGTTTCCATTATAGAGAGCTTGCACACCGTAGGCCGTCAGTTCAGCAGCACGGAGGATGGAATCTGGCAAGAAATCAGTGACTTTGACCCTAGGAGAAGCAAGTCCGGAAACTTGGGCATACCTGGCTCATCAACATTGAGAGAAATAGCGTAAAGAGATGAAGCAAAGAGTGCGAGGACGATGACGAGCAAGTGTGACAGTATGGCCATCATGACGAAGGCTGAAATAAGGATAGATCACTTCGGTAGACGCGCATCCAAGGGGGGTTGTAGGGCAGTCACGGAGACGATGAGGTTCTTGAAGGGGACTCGAATGTCTCAGGCACCATAAGAAGATACGCTTGGATCAAGCCATTCTGATGACCTCCGAGTATTGTTGGGTGCGTGGAAAAGTTAGCTACCATGTCTGTCTTGGCCATCAGAGGCAGCTCAACGTCAAGGGAACAGCAACAGGAACAGGAACGGCAGTGAAGATCCAACATTTCCTCTCCCCTCCCCTAAATGTCACAGTTGCCCAGGTCTTTTCAGCAGTTAATGTGGTAACGACCCTTTACATTCTGCAAGTCGCCACGAAATGTTCCTCCACGAAGCCCTCTCAGTGAACATCCATGAATTTGGCTTAGATGGACACCTGTGGTGCACAATCGGAACCTGGCAGATCAGCGTGTTGAAATTGTAATACCCGGGATTGGAATCGTAGCTGGTTTGTCTAATACCTCTCATCTCAAATAACCTCGCGCGAGGGCCTCGAATCAGCTGGTCTTGGTGTAACAATCAATACTTGCTTGTCTGTCCTCTTGTTGTTTGGAACCTTGACTGAAGTCCGAGGACCCCCATGCTTTTAGAAGCTGGCCATAACTCACTCGATGCATATTTCGATGCCTTTCATGCGATGAACATCACCATCAGTCGCTTGTATGAATCTATCCCTTGTGCTGACTAGCACGGCTGCAACCTAGAATGGATCGAATATGACCTGCCTGATAGGGGAATTGGAAACTCAGTCATCTAGAATGAGAGCCTGGTAAAATTAATCAGTGAGACCTGCCGTCAACAGCCTACATGAGTCGTGGTAGTGGAAGCAGACCGATATCAGTCCACTTTGCCATCCGTACACATGACCAAGAATTTCACACTCAGTAACCTCTTCAACTTCAACAATTGAGTTCGAGGCTGCCGTGTCGCCAATATTTCCCAAGGATGAGTGTTCTTCGTTCTGCATGTTAATCTGACGTGGGGGTTACGATGTTGCAACCTAGTATCCGTCAATGCGGATGCTGGCTTCCGCATGCGATATGGCGTAAGCATATAATTAGCTTCTCGGCAACTCTCCGCCTATCTGGGGCCTCGCTTCGACAAATATCGATCGGCGCTCAGCGGATGTAAGGCGTTCAATAGCTGAGAGCTGATGCATTTGTTTACGAATCTCTGCTGCCTGTAAAGAATTGGACAAGGTCTCAAGCTTTGTACTTTCGTAGTAAGTGTACAACAGAGCTTCAACAGTTGGAAGATTGTAGCATTCTCGATTGAGTAAGAAAATCAAACCATCAGGTTCTTCGTGCCAGAATGATCGACTTCGAATTATCGCTGGAACAGGCTGCTCTACGCAATGCTGTGCGAGGGTTTGCGTCTGCACATCTGAAAGATGCAAGGGTGCTATACGAACCTCAAGGCGCTCCACACCTCAAATGGGAAGATCGCTTTCGGTCAACCAAACCAATCTACGTGGAAGCAGTCAAGTCAGGTCTGATCCAGGCACAGATTCCCAAACAACTTGGAGGTGGTGGAGGTCCGCTCATTGAGGCGGCGCTCGTCGTGGAAGAATTCTATGCAGTCGAAACAAGTGCATCCCTTACAATACTGGGGACTGGCCTTGGCCTCACGCCCTTAATCATGGCTGGTTCAGCAGAACAACACGCCACCTTTTTGAAACCTTTTCTTGCTGGTACAGATGCTCCTTTGGCCAGCTTAGTCTTCTCGGAGCCAGACGGGAGTGCGAACTTCGCTGAGCCTGGAGCACCGGGGTTTCAAACGGTTGCAGAACTTAAGGGGGACGAGTATATCATCAATGGCGAAAAGGTAAGGCGTACAATTCCTTTCAGCCTTCATGACCTGCTGACTGGAACCAAGGCATGGGCAACCAATTGTTCAGGTTGGGATGATAGGGGTGCTGATCTGCAATGTGTCGTTTGCCGAATTGTCAATTGGGCCGCCGCTGAAGACGTGCGAGGGCAAACGGCCATTGTCATTGTGACTCGGGAGGACATCGAGAGAAACCATGCCGACGCGTTCTCGGTCGTTTCTCATCCAGACACACTTGGCCATACCGCTGTTAATGGTCCGCACATCCGATTCAAAGATTTGCGTGTCCCCAAGAGGAATCTGCTGGCACCACCAGGAAAAGGAGCTGACGTAGTAGAGATGACGTTCACAGCATCGGCAGCGCTTGTTGGTGCAATGGGGGTCGGGATTATGCGGCAAACATTTGATCGTGCTCTGGCGTGGGCCAAAACAAATTCACGTGGTTCCAGGGAGGCTATAATCCATAAGCAGAGCGTGGCGGACTTGTTGATCAAGATCAAAACGCGATGCGAGGCTACCAGAGCTCTGGTATGGAAAGCCGCACATTCATTTGGACGAACGCGATTTGGTGCAGAATTGTGTTACGAAGCCAAAATCTTGGGGTCCGAGAATGCTGTCGCTTCTGTCATGGATGCAATCAATCTCGTTGGCGTGTCTGCCTATTCTCGAGAGCACTCATTTGGGGATCTGCTGAAGGATGTAGTAGTATTGCCGATCTTCGACGGGGGCAATGTAGGGGTTCGAAGACGTCAAATTGAGGCAATCTTCACCGATCCGAGCTACGAGGCCTGGGAAAGCACATTTGGATCGGATCAAATGAATGAGGTCAAGAAGTCAACATAGGCGCCTGAGGTGGTAAACTTGAATTTCGATATTGGCGGTGGTCACGGGATCTATAAATACATGCCAAGGCTTTTCAGATCAGTTCAGGGTCACCCTGTGGAAACGTTCCCCGTCCGCGTCGAGTAAACCCAGCAAATAGACCACTTCCACACGAGTTCTTCTGACAGTGAGATTCGCGTCAAGGAGGGTATTGGCTGCAAATTTACGGAGCAAGACTCTGGATTCAAGCATATCACCTCACGTTTATTGCCTATGCCCAAGGCAGTGAAAGGAGCGCTGCTCCAATGCGACCCACCACAAATGGCCATGGTACGAAAGATTGACCGCGAATCCAACAACGCTTACATTATCGAAGAGATTGACGACCACACATGCTTGGTGAAGGACAACAAGGTGGAGGAGATCAAGGCCAAGGTCAAAGACTTGATGGACACGGCAATGGGCATGGATGACGATGAAAACGACGACAAGGACAGCGATCTCGACTGAGACATGATCTGGATGTTTGCATAGGGGACATTGTCGGCTCGTGTTCCTTCCTCCATGTCAGCTATCAGTCACGTGGAGATAGCGATTTCTACCACTACAAACAGATGACGGTGGCATCTGCAGACTTGAAGAAACGGGCCCGGCCATTAGTACTGAGGAATCGGGCTGAATCTATCGAGAATCTGTCGAGAATCTTTGGGACAGGCAATGCGAGTATCCCACAATGCCATGGTGTCGAATGCTAGTCTTAGATTACGGTGCTTCACCACTGTGATGCGGGCGATCTTGAAGGATATGTAAAGCTGCAACACTGAACCGAAACAAGGAGAACTCAGGACAATGGGGTTGTGATGGTGGGAGCGAAGCCAACGAGAGGGCGCCGACTAGGATCCTATAAAGCAAGTCGAGACGGTGGGGTCGCGTGATGGCCCATCAAACGGCAGAAGAATAGCTATGTCGATCTTTTGAAGGAGTACATGCTGCATAGGCTGTGGTTTGTGTATCGACGATCACTTGGGGAAAATACAGGCTTGCAGTTCTGCCGACCAGCATCGGAAGGGAACAGGTGGGCACAGGCTAAAAGGCACAGCTACCCAAACCACACAGCTAGGCTCACGATAAATTATCGCGGCCAACGCACAGCGGCCGTGCTGTCCTAAGATCGAGGCTGATCATTATGTTGGATCAACAAGGAGCGAGTAGCTATGGGATATAGCGTCTCGAGCCCCCATACTTATCGGTAGAGTCAGTCATGAGACGATAATAATGATGCATCTGGAACAGGTTGATGCGGTGAAGGTCGGGTTTGCTTGAAGACTCCAGCACAGAAGCAGCAGGTGGGCTTCCTCCGCAAAAGAGTCCTCTAGGCTGAGTACGAGGTGTTCCTGGTCGGTTTCTTTCATCAAGCCCTCACTAACGAACTAACGAGGCGGGAGCGTTAGGGCCGCGAATGCCCTCAATAGGCATAGGCTCAAGCTTTGGGCGCTTTGGGCGCCGCTATAGGCGGCTGGCGTAGCGGAACCCTTGTGAGTGGTTCGAGGCCACCCTGAGGCGGGAACAATCTGATTTCAATGCTGTCCTCCACAATCTACGGAGGGCATCCCAGGTCATATGCCTGTTGCGAAATACGAGGTACTGACTAGAAAGGGGAATAATCTCGCGCAATGCGATGTGGAGAAGGAGGTGGTGGGTGGATGGCACCTATCATGGACATTGGGCATTGGACTCTCGTGCAAGGAATCGCGGTAGCGCCTAAGGAGTGCTCCGTACCTGATGCATTGGTCGGGGAGTCGGTGCGTTTGTGGATATCCATGCCCGGGGACACCTGGGGGCCCTGCGGAGATGCGTTGTCACTTGTACTCGTAAGTAGGGTTCGAGTTTGTCCGTCACTTTAGTAAAATGACAGACAAAAGGCAATAAATGACAGACAAGGGGTAAGTGACGAACGTCATGACACTAGTTGCCTTTAGAGGCTTATCATAGCGCTAAATACTAGAGGCTTGACACTACTCAGGGTCCTTTCTACCAAAATTTACTACTAAAGGACTTAATGTAGATATCCTAGTACATCACATGATCATGCTTCTACAAGTGACAAAATACAGTCATTTTAGAATTAGCGGCAGACTTCTTGGCGCCCAAATAAATAACAGACTTGGCACGTCTTTTCTGTCACAAAAATCCCACTTGTAAGTTGTCACCTGTCCTCGACTCCCTGCACGAGATCCTCGGCTGAGGAAGTCGAGGACAAGCACCATTCCAGGGTGGATATTCGTATCTCAGCAACCACGGTCACACAAGGACTGGGTTGAGTACGGAGTGCTGTGAGATCCAATGTACGGAGTACGGAGTACTGTGCCTTACTGTAGGTATTCAGGACTGATCTACGGTACAAGGGCTCCGAACCTTGCGCTCGATACACGTGTTGATTGGATGCACCGTAGCACACTCCCTTTGGTCAGAGTCCATGTCTCCATCTCCCCGTTGTACGCCTGTGTCCTTGGGGCCTCGCTCCCTCCTTAACGTACTCGTACTGTAGCACTTACTGGGGCGATGATCATTACGCTGCCCACTTACTGGACAAGGCAAGCGGCCCTTTGAGCTGGCGGTCGCTGATTACGCGGCTGCGGCAACGACTCTGTTTCGTCTTGCTTCCCATCGATCCATGATGATGCTTGTAATGTGTCCTGGTTTGCGGCCGAGCTACGAGGTACAGGAGTCACAAGAGTCACAAGAGTCACTTGAGACTCGGCGTCGCAGAGTCACATCTCCTGTAATCAACCCTGCCTGTCCTTATAGCCCTGCGACCACTCGCTTTTTGCTTCTGCGCCTTCTGCGTCCTTGGTCCATGCAAGTGATGGCGTTGATCATCGACTCGTGGCCCTTGCGCTTCCGCTTCCGCTTCCTCCCACCCCTTGCAAGTCACTTGCTAATTTACAAGTTTTCTATTTCTCGACGGATCTTTTGCCACTAACTCTCGACTCTCGACTAGTAACTGTATCGACACCCGCATGCCCCATTTTTCACTCTTCCCTGCTCGCCATGCAGTGGCTTGCAGTTCCCCTCGACCCGCTGTGCCAGAACGACAACACTGGCTCCTTGCCACAGCCTACCGAGGAGGAGACAGCCTCCATCGCTTTCCAAGGTTTCTTATCCTCCCGCAGACTTCCCGACTCCGTAGTTGAGTGACCGCTCGGTATGGATTATCCATGCACCATGGATGCCTCTCTTCCCCATCCTTGCTCCTGAGTCCCTCGTTCTGTCAATGTGCAGAAAGTCGTAGAAGCCACTTCCCGGCCGATTCTACACCGTTGAACGAGCTCCACTTCCCTCACACTTTCTTTCTCTCGACTCCCTGATCTTGTCGGCGTCTGACTTTCCACGGTTGCAACTAGTCGCACCCTCGATCTACATAGAAATCTTCCCATGATTGCGGGTTGATTGTTCGATGCTTAGTGGTGTTCTGCCTTGTCTGCCACCGAAATCAATCCACGACTAGGCGCGAAGCATTGAGACCACTATTAGGAGGACGCCCGACAGCATAGCAAAGGGACCCTCCGACCGTCTCGTATACCAACCCCGGCCGCCGTCCGGTCACACCCGTCACTGAATGATCTCACACTTTGGTATTAATATAATTGTTGTTGTCGCTGTTCTTCCACCACAGAGCCACAACAACCACAACCAATATTACCACGATGGAAGCCACGCGGGGACTATCATGGATCATCTTGAAGACCCCTTGATTTGAACCTGCTCAACAATTCTCAATCACTTGCTTGTTGCGTCCTGCCTCGCCCGCCCCCACTGACACATCACATATCACGCATCACGCATCACGCATTGTCCTCCGGCCTCCGGCCTCTGGTGTGCCTCCACCACGGGAATTACAACCAAGAAATTTCACTACTCGTACTTCGCACGGCTTGTCAGTTGAGAGTCTCAGAGCCTGGCTTCTGTACCGAGTACTTCCTCCCACGCTTTCCCTCAGCCACACTCCACCTAAACCTATCTCGACACTCCTCCTGCTGCCATCAAACAAGCTATCTGAACCAGTCTCTCACCAAGCTGCAGCCCTAGCTGGGTTCTTATATGCCCTAGCAAACGCCCCACCGCTCTTGACACCCCTTCAACCACCCCCCAACCAAACGTCCTGCCTACTGTTTTTCCGACCACCGCCTGGCCCACTTGTTACCGCCATCCGCCAAGTCGCCATAACCGCCTCTGCTTCGCTCGAACAAGTCTCAACTTGGCCTGTTGGCTGCCTGTTGTTCACACCCCATCAACTTGCACACCAATTTGGCTCCAAAATCGTCACCGAACGCATCTCGGTCCGCTCCGTCACTTGGAACAGACCTCTATTGTCACGTCACAGTCTTTCGAGTCCCCAACTCCAAGAGCCTCGGATGAAGGACTGTCTTTATATCGTGGTCGCTCCTCCTGTCTTGTCGTGACACCTTCGACCCAGGATGAGACGCACCGCTTCGGGAAAACATGATGTTCCCCGTCGGATCATTCCCTGCCGGCCCGCCTATCGAAACTAGAAAGGCTTTACTGCTGCTCGATTTTCAGAACGACTTTGTCGACCCTGACGGAAGGTTACCCGTTCAAAACGTGCCTTCCTTTATCTCGGATCTCCCCTCTCTTGTAGCCGAGTTTCGCGCAAAAGGGGTCATCATATGGTGTGGGACAGAATTCAAGCACACGACATCGTCGATTTCCACAACCACTGGCTCACATGCAATCCTCCTGAGGCAATCTCTAAAAGATGAAGAGCTGAGTGAGGAGATTGGTGAGTACCTCAATAACCCCGATCACACTCGCTCACCCACCGAAGATCCGCTGTCCCCGTCGTCAAAGCCAGATGTTGTCCATGATCGCGAGGCCTTTCTCGCTCCCACCATGACCCCCACCAAATATAGGTGCTGCATTCCTGGCTCGTGGGGCATCAGATACCCCGAAACCCTCGCGACAGCCATTGATCAGAGCCAGGACCTGGTTCTGTTGAAATCAAATTATTCCGCATTTGTGGATACATCACTATTGATGCAGCTTCGCACAATGCTCATCACTGAATTGTATATCTGCGGCTCGCTATCCAATATATCGGTCTATGCTACCGTGCTAGATGCCGTGTGCCACGGTCTACAGGTAACCATAATTGAAGATCTTCTCGGTTTCAATGATGAGTTATGCCATGTTGAGGCAGTGAGACAGATGGCTGATGACATGGGTGCAAATGGCATGGACTGTCAAGAACTCCGAGATGACCTTGCCGGTTTACTAGGCGATGTTATACGAGAAGAGGACTTCCCTACAACTTTTCAAGTGAGCCTGCCCCCTCCGTCGAGGACGAACAAGTCCCATAACTCGGCACAACATATCAATGATTGGATTGCACGGCTAGAGAGTGAGAGCGATACTCACTTACCCACAGTTGAAGAAGGAACATCATCGAAGATCGTGGAAGACCTTCCTGTGCCTAGTTTGAATTCTTACGCAAAGAGTGAGTCATCTTACCAACGATCCGATTCCACAAAAGTAGAACACAATCCGCCTCGAAAGAGGTCGGCAAGTGATCTAAACCCTTCAGAACATGACCGTCTTCTTACATCCGCACAACCGCCCTCACCTCGTCCTCCTCCTCCGAACCCCGTGAACGTTGCTGAGCACAAGGAACAAAACCAGGGCACACAGACACGCAAGAGACGCCCTTCGCACGAATCTTCGGCCATGCCTGCCCATTCGAGCAGCGAAACCCTAGCCGAAACGAGAACCATCAGTCCTGGTAGCAAGAAAGATCCTGAATCTGAGATCGACTTGTTAAAATACGACGCTTCTGGCGTGGAGCTTACACAAGCTGGTGGCGGAATGCTACCAAAGAAAAAGACGAAGCTAGTGCAAGACACGCTAGGCCCAGAAGACAAGATCGGACAAGGCGATTCGAGACTTTACGTGGATCTGCTTGACGAAGCTGAAGCTGACGCCGCTTTTCACGCTTGCAAAAAGTCAATCAAGTGGCAAAAGATGTTCCATAGAACCGGTGAAGTACCTCGCCTGGTTGCTGTTCAGGGAGACATCTTAGAAGACGGTTCTCAAGTCCCGATCTACAGGCATCCTGCTGATGAGTCGCCCGTCCTCCTCCCATTTGACCCAGTTGTCGACAAGTTGCGAAAAGCAGCTGAAAGTGTTGTGAGGCATCCGCTGAACCATGCATTGATTCAGTGGTACCGCAATAGCGAAGATAATATCTCAGAACACTCTGACAAGTCTTTGGATATTGTCCAAGGCTCAACGATCGTCAACTTCAGTCTAGGTGCTAGGCGAACGATGATCTTAAGGACCAAAAAGTCGAAAGTATCAGACGAAGGAGAGCAGGCGGGTGGGGAGACCATCCGACCTTCGCAGCGCATCCACTTGACGCACAATTCCCTTTTCGTCCTTGGCCCCGAGACGAATCAGCATTGGCTGCACGCAATCAGAGCCGACAAGAGACTTGCCTCCGAAAAGGATCCCGCCGAGCTTGCCTTTGATGGCGCACGAATCAGCGTGACTTTGAGACATATCGGGACCTTTGTCAACCCTCATAACAACACAATCTGGGGTCAAGGAGCTACAGCCAAGGACAAAAGTCAGGCTGCTCAGCTCCTCGCCGGTGCAGATGCAGAAAAAAAGGGGGAACTCATGATACGAGCTTTCGGGCAAGAAAATCACCGAAGTACAGACTGGGATTGGAACCAATGGTACGGTGAAGGCTTTGATTTAGTCAATTTTGAGACCAAGAGCGCTTAAGCACAGTAAAGCACCATGGCTGTCCACCCACCTGGGACCACCCACGTTCATTATTGTGAGGGACGACCTATGCGATTGCTGCCTAAAAGCTACTCAACATGTAGCTTGGGGCAGAAGACAATACCACCTATGGGAGCACAATCTACTCCCATGTATACGCTTTCTCTTCTGGCAGAAGAAGAGCCGTCGCCATCACTTTTGAGGCTATCTTCGCAATGAGGAGAGGAAGGAATTGTTTTTTCGAGAATCTTTAAGCGTGCATTAACGGGACATCCTCCCCGCACAGGCGGAGGATGAAAGGGCGATCTATTTTAAGGTCATGACTTGACCCAGCAGATGGACAGGCCTCGGCAGTTTCTACTTGTGCACGAGGCAAATAGCGAGGAGTTGGACGGATAGCTGGACGGACGGATGGATGGATGCACAGGCAAATCCTGTGTTTACAAAAAAGAAGTCTTCTCTTTCTGGTTCTGAGGGCCCTAATTAATTGCAGGACAGGACAAGACAGGACAGGATATCACGACGCCGCCAATGAGATACGCAGCCTTTGACCTCTGGGATTTACGAAACTATATAGCAACATACATAACAGAATTATTTGGATTGACGAACTTGACTAATTATCTACAGCAGTATCATTACTATACTACCGAGCCTCACAAGCCAGACAGTCTATACACCACATGACTGACAGACCCTTGAAGACGGGGGACTGCTTCTGCCTCGGCAGGGAACACTACTAAGTACCTGTATAGGTTCAGCCAGGTCCCCAGCCTCGTTCCACACAGATCGAACCTGAGAAGGACCAGGCCCAACTACCTTGCTGTAGTTTGTAACTGTTTGGGCTACACAGTACTACCACGATGATGACTCTATCTCGTCATCGTCCAAGTAGCTACTCGTACTGTAGGCAGCCACCGGCCCGACGTCCGCGGGCACCGTTGATTTCCCCTCGTTCCAGCGTCCTCGGTCCTCCGTGCCTTGGATATCAAAAACTTCGGACGTGGCGCCGAGGCGGGCGGGCCTGCTCGCGTTTTCAAGGGCGACAAACCCTAAGGTCTATCTCCCATTGATGTATCCGACAGAAGAAAAGAACCCCCTCCGTTGAGATGCTCGCTCCGTACATCAGCCCCGTTGTGGACGTCCATGCCTCTCTCAGCTGGCAAGGGACTGGGCGGAACGCCATGCCACCACGCCACCACGCCCACGCCCCGCGGGACCCCCACACCCGCGCCCATACCCAGTTGCATGTGAGAGCGGGATGAGCGGGAGCGGCGGGAAGCTTGGGAAATCTACTGCGAGTATGTATCCTTCCTCGACGACGCGGACGCCATCGCCGGCCAGCCCTCTCTGGGAGCGGGGAGCATCGAGCCCAGAACTCGATTCTGCTGTTCCAGCTTCAAACACCCCAAACACCCCGCCCCTTGGCCGATGGACGCTACGTTATGGCCGTGTTAACGAAATCTACAAATACTTAAGCTCTAAGGTACGGGGTCACCCTGACTTCTTAAGCGGGCCATGACCGATGGTTCGGTGTGTTTGTTTCTTGTCCTTTCATGGAGTGTCTCACGCCATGGAGAGCTAAACCGAGCGAGGGGAGGACCGTAAGGCTACTTGGACACCAACACTGGCCTTTCCATTTAGGGATCATCTCGTTTCGGCTTTCTCGTCATGTGTGACAGTGCCTCAGACCATGGATCATCCTTCTTTATAATAGCTGGAGAAGCAGGCTTCCGCTAGCTGTCAAAGCAAAAGAAAAGCGGTCGGCTATCTTTACTATGAACAGGAGACGATGGACACAATAGTTCAATATTAATTGCTCGGCCCATTGTCTTTCATCGACGTAGTATGTCTTAAGGTGCCATGTCCTGGCAATTGTGAGCTCTTTCCCGGGGTTCAACTCCGCCACTAGAATCCTGGATGTACTGAGTAAGGAAACAGCACACAAAGCTCAGTTGATGGAACCAGCTATGAAAACCCGCGCCTCTCCATGAATGCATGACGTGTGACACCATGATGCAGCAATGGCCTTGTTGGCGCTACCGTATCCACCTTTCAAATCCATCCGTGTCCTTCATGCTGTCGTAATCATAATCTCATACCCAACCGACCTCCATCATATCCTTGGAGTACATCTCTCGCGGTTCAGTCAATGCAAATCCACTCAGACGAAATAGTCTTGAGGCAACGAAGCGAGACCGACAATTGTGCCAACAGTTCCAATTGCGACACCGGCAATGGTAGCTGCAGCCATTTTCATGAAACTGCCACCATCATTGACTCGCCTCCGATCCTTCTTGGCCTTCTTACGCGGTGGTGTTTCAATCGCTTCTGAGACCATCTCTCCAGCCGACTGTGCTTTGGTCTCCAAGTGAGGGATTGATGTGACGTTCGACTTGTGTTCTGCTGGAAGACACAGGGGTTGTGAGCTCTCCACCACTGGCTCTGGTTCTAAGTCCTTGTTATGAACGGTCAAATCATGAGTTCCGAAATATTGATTCTCTTCCGGATTATCAGAGATCTCATCAACTCTGCGCTTCAGAGACTTCTTGATAGATCTCTCTTGCTCATTGTTCGTCTTTGTTTCGTCAAGAAGCTGTGCGATCGAACACTTCGGTGTTGGATCAGCATCAGGAGCCTGGGCTGGTGGAGCATAAGGATATTGCGCTGCCAAGGTTGGTAGAGAAGTGAAAGGGGGCCCTTGAGATGTAGGATGCGTCATGCAGTGAGCGTCAACTGCATCTCTGAATTCTCTAAAGCATGAATCTCCAGAGACAACAAAACGGGGAGCAAGCAAATCCCAACTTGGGCCGTCCCACGTAGAATCGCGACCAGGCAGGTCCGGAAGATATGATGGCACATCACGATATGTGGGAGCCTGTTGAAGGAATGGTTGCTGAATGATAACCTCGGGTGTCGGTTTTACCATGGCCACCTCAGAGGGACTTGGAGCTCGTGCAGCATCTGACGGGTGAAGCTGAGCGAGTGGCTTGTTTATGGACGAAGAACCGGAATCATACGTAGACCCGAGGGAGGATGCTGGGATAAGTGAATCCGAATGCGATCTCATGCCGACTGCTTCGGCTTGAATCACATACTGCGCCGGATCAGGGCTGGGAAAGTCACCAGCCAGTTCTTCCTGACCATCATTTTCACGATCATGGAGTACTTTGGCGGAAGAGTCATGGCATGAGTTGTCGCCGCGGTCATCGTTAAGACCAAGAGGGCTTGAAGTGGGGCTCTCGTCGACCTCACCCTCAGAGAAGTAGCTGGAAGCACGATCGGAGTCTTCAGAGACGATGACGCTCTCATCTCGTCGCTGGATGACAACCTCAACACTGGGGAAACGGACGGATTCCTTCACGATCTCCACTTCGTCATCGTCACCATCGCCATCAGAACGCTCGTCTTCAGCATAGGCTGCCCAGTTATCAAGGGGGTAATAAGAGCTTGACCTAGGATGATCATCATTCGTTTCGTCGTTAATAGAGCCTTGCTCATCATTGTGGTCTTGCTCAGCCGCATCATCATACATGTCTTCCTCACTATAATCGGCAGAGAAGGTGTTGCGAAATGAGGGAGGCTGCAAGGGGGGCTGTGCACCGGGGCTTCTGCAATACAATGAGCGTTTGTTGGAAGCATTATGCAGTTGGGAAACATACTCTAGGTCCGACCATGAAGTGGTAACCATGACTTTGAGAGCACGAAACTGGGCTGAACCAAAGTTAGCATACAATAGGCATGGAATCCAGAGCGGAAGGGGATACGTACAACTTCCTCGGGTGACATCAGCACCAAAGACTAGAGTGTCCTGATTGACAAGCAGTTGAGGGGCCTCGGTTTTCAGTCTTTTACCGTTGCACTGAGTGCCGTGCATGGAATTAATGTCCTCGATGGTGAAGAGCTGGTCTCTATTAGCCTTATTGCCGGTCCTCGAGGTTGAAGTCAGAACCAGACTTACTCTTGTATGAGGTTCTGCCCGAACGATAGCGTGGCTCCTGGACATAACTCTTGAATCAAACCAGGCATTATCTTTTGCGGGACACAGGCCTCCATCTCCACTCATTGTACCACGACCAATCTTGACGGACCAATTGGGCTCGGAGAGGACGACGATTCGTTCGGAAATGGAATCAACACCGTCCAAGTCTTGAAGGACGAGGGTTGCTGATGAGTGAGCCATGTTAGCAAGATCTCCTGGCATCAATCATCGAGGAACAGTGCAGTCAAAAGTCTGTGGAGCATACCGGTGAGATTATCGTCCGCCATGGCTGCTGCTTGGGTCTGAATCAGCACACTCGAGGCGAAATTGAATTACTAGGGTCAGGACCTGGTGAATGAGTTGTTGTTGGTGTTTTCGCTTGGGGGGAGGTTAGGCTAGGGTAGTCAAGGTTGGCAGGAGGGGCAGATCAAGACGGGAGGGAGGGAGGAAGTCTTGGTCGGCTTCGCCAGGAAAGAGTAACAGCTGAAGGAGGGAGAGGTTGGGACGATGTCGAGAAGGAAGGGAGGAAGGAGGTCAGTAGAAGTGATCAGACAAGAGGAAAGAGGTGAAGCAAAGGTGAAGACACGAACAGGCAGTGCTTGAACCACCACTCAATCGACCTGAGCCTGAACCCGAGCCTGCGTCTGGAGAGGTGAAGTCGAAGATGTATGAGGAGGGCCCGCCTGTAGAGGGCAGTTGCGTTGTCCGACAGACGCTGTGATTGGTGGTACCAGACGTGTCACGTTAGGCTACAGTGAGGGGCTGTTTGGGCTCTTGCCTTGTGTTCTTGCCTATCGGCACCTACTAGCCTCCTTCAGTTAGTGTTCCTTCTTATCGCCCCCTCGGCCTCCCTCTGGGTGCCTCCACGCATTACGGAGCACTAGTAGGCCCCGCCAGGATGCCTTGAAGCCCGGGCCCGAGGCTGAAAAATCAATGTCCACTGGTATCTGGCATCTGGCATCAACCCTCTCAAGGCCTGGGCTCTGAGTACACGTTCCGCCTTGACTTCCTCCATATGCTGATTAATCTTCACCTTCGGTTTTCCAAGATGGCGATATGTCCAACCAAAACCCATTCAATCAGGAGAAATCGCTGCAGGCTAATGTGTGCCTGTCGCAGCGAGGTGGAATACTAATTCAGTACATCCTTTCCGACAGCCTCGTATTCGTAGCTTGGCTTGCACACCCTCCTGTCACCAGCTTCTCAAATGTGGACCCTCATCTGTCTTTGTCTCGTTGTATGTTCCTCTCAACATTACTGATTGACTCTAGCCATGCTCGCCGCTCTTCGAGGCATCTACAATCTTCAATGGAACCCCAACCCCAAATTTCGGCCACTCCCGCCTTATATATCGCGCGAATTTGTCGCAACTCCGAATGGAGGCTTGGAGCTATTGGTTTCGGCGCCGAGAAACCTTGATCAATCTTGCCCTCCCATCATTTTGGCCCATGGCGGCTTTGGCCATGCGTCTCTCTGGTTGGAATGGATGGCATATTTCCACCAGCATTATGGAGGGACGACATATGCCTATTCCGCTCGAAATCACGGTGCTAGCTACGGCGTCACCTATCTCAAGATGGTTTTCGGCACTTCGCTCGACGACATCGCTTCAGACTGGGCTTCGGTCGTCTATGAAGTCAAGCACAGGTTCGAGCCTGATTCTGAGCCAGTGCTTGTCGGACATTCAGCTGGAGGTGCACTCACACAATTTGTTCTTCTGAACCGTATGGCGACAGCGCAAGGACTCTGCTTGTTAGGCTCGGTGCCCCATTTCGGAGGATATGGGGCTTATTGGAACTGGATCAAGTTTGATCCATGGATATTCCTGAGAAATCTCTGCAGTGGTGGCCACCCCACAAGCCCTCTTAGCCAGCCTTCGTTGGTACACACGGCATTCTTCGGGCCACAATATCCCAAAGCGAAAGAAGATGGATGGGCCAAGGTCAAGGAGTTCATGAAATGGATGCCGGGGTACGAGAGCATAGCCTGGGCGATGGCCTTGAACGGAAGCTTCTGGAAATGGATCTGTGGGAAGAACGAATGGTTGCAAGTGAGCAAAGTTCTAGCCTCGATCAACGGCTGGGAAAGATCTGGCGACAGGATCTGTATCATGGTGGGCAGTCATGACCGACTCACAGACCCATCGATGGCGGAGAGATCGTTCAGAGAATACGCAGGTGCCGTGGCCACGCTGCGGCGTGACGAGACAGTTGATATCCTTGGGCGCGAAATGCCCGGTGATGAGAAACCAATTGAGGGTATAGAAATGACGGCTGCAAACAGGGTCCGACTAATAGTCGTGCAAGGAGCGGGACATCACACGCAAAACGATATCCAGTGCGATATAGCTGCAGAAGCATGCTTGAGATGGATCAAACAGCTCTGAGACTGAGCTTTCCGGTTCACTGCGCCCAGAAAGAAAATCCGAAAGCCAATAGAAGAGATTCATCGAGAAACATAGTCAACGAACTCGTCTGGGATCTTGTTGTACATCCTATACACCGTTTTTGTTCCTCACTCGTAAAACGCCCAAGAGCTGGGTCTATCGATCTGGCTCCCGACTCGTGGCGGTCGAATAGTCAACAATAATAGTATTACGTACACCGAAGATGAACAAGTCTCAACCCGGCATTAGATCGCTCATCAATGTACCTATCACAACCAAACCAAAGGAACAGGAGAAGGGAGCCCGCCACTAGATAATAAAATGTCAATGATCCAACCATGATGGTGTCGCTCCTTTTCTACCGCCGGCGCGGCTGCTGTGCGCTCCGGATAGCAGCTTCCATTTGAGCACGTTCGATCTGAGCAGGATCCATTTGAGGTACGGGTCCGCCCATGCCAGAATTTTCCATCTGAGATAAGCGAGCTGCGAGCTGAGGGTACTTCTCTGACACCTCGAGCTGTGTCCGTGTAGCTTCGGCATATGATAGAGCGTTGACGACTTCGGCTTCGGTTCTCGAAAGCTCCGCCGCTCGTTCGAAATATTTGAGAGCGTCAGTGACCTTGCCTTGTTGCAGGAGTAGCTGTGCCATGGTGGCAACAGCAATGTCGCATTCGGGATCAACTGTCATCTTGTTAGCTTGCATCATTCAGCCTTCGGCGGCGTGCAACTCACGAATCAAAGCCTTCTCGCACAGTTCTTCTGCTGCTTTGAAATCCTGCTTCCATTGGAAGAGACAAAGGGCCTTGTTGATCAGAGGTAGAACATTAATGGCTCCTGTGGGCTTTGTCTGTCTTTCCATGTCGATTGCCATCTCGAATCTTTCTATGGCCTCCGAGTATTTCTGTTGGTCGATAAGGAGTTCACCATAGTAATTGTAAACGTCAGGCACCTTATCAAAATTCTTGATGGTTCTTCGGAACGTTGCCATGGATGAGGCAATCGAGCCCAATTTGTATTGCGTGACGCCAAGTTGGATGTGTGCGTAGATAAAATCTCGGTCCAGGTCAATCGATTTCTGATAATCTTTCGCCGCATCCGCAAAGTCTCCTAGAATGAAGTGAAGTTGAGCACGGTGATAGTAGATATCAGGATCATCCTTGTTCTGTGCTATCGCCTGTTCGAACTCCTCTGCGGCAAGGTCTTTGTTACCTGCTTCCAAATGCATGCTGGCGCGTTTAATGTGTGCTTGTGTCAAGGATGGTTGCAATCCGATAGCTTTGTTAAGATCCTCCAGTGCCTGTGGAAGGTCACCTTCAAGGTATAAGAACGTTGCTTGCATGCTCAGTGCGTAAGCTTCATGTTCACCGAGATCTCCCAGTTCAATCGCCCGCTTGAATGCTTTTGAAGCAGCCTCGTATGCTTCTCCTGTCTTCTTAGTCAAAGCAAGGAGTCCACGTTGCAGTTGGCCCTTGCCAGTATTCTCATCAAGTTCCACAGATTCTTCTAGGTCGTCCGGGAGAGGCCGAGGCCGGAAGCTCTGGAGGTAGTTTGAGACGAATGTCGCGCTGGGAAGGCGGTTCTTTTTTCCAGCCAGGATGACCTTGCCCTTCTTTTCTGCCACTTTCTTCAGCAACCGCTCTACACTCTGAGCAGTGCTCTCGTTCTGAAACCCATCAATGATGCAACTGGCGGTATAGTCTAGCAGGGCTTCGGAAAGATATCCAAGGTGTTCGTAAGCATGTGCTCTTCGATTCAAAGCCTTGACGTATTCAGGATTCATGGCAATGGCTGCAGTCGTATCTTCAACAACTTTGTCATAGTCGCTGAGGATGTTGTAGGCAGCCGCTCGATTCGAGTAGAAGACAGGATCCGGTTTTAGGAGGATGGCTTGCCCGTACAGATCAATGGCCTTGTTGTAGTCTTTCGATCCGTACGCTTTGTTTCCAGCGGCTTTGAGCTTCTGCGCGTATGTTTCTCGTTCCTGCAGACTAGTCAATTATCATGGCCTTGTAGAAATGAGTACTGGCAAACCTCTTGTGAAAAGTTGGCAACCGTAGATTCATTGATTTCTGGTAGCTCGGATTCAGCTTCGACCGTCGCAGGTTTCGGTGCAGGCGCAGTGGCTAGAAATGTGTTAGTTACAGCCGACAGCAGTCTTTGCAAGATAGCTTGACTCACCTGCTTCCTCATCTTTGAGACTGATGCCGGACTTCTGCGCTTCCTCCGCAGCCCTTTTCTCTTTCCGGCGCTCTTTCTTGCTCTTTCTCTTCTCTGTAGACGCAGTCGACGAAGGTGATTTCTGACCAGAGAAGTAGTAGATGGCGCCAGCGCTGGTTATGACGACAACCGTGCCGGCTATGGTGTATGCGACTGCTTTGTTCTCTGAAACCCAGGTTGACACGCGATCCCATAGGCCCGGACTGGCACGCGAGGCATCGATGGCAATAGGATCTGCCATTGTGGGAATAGAGTGTATGGATGAAGGGAGATGCAAGAATAATACAATAGTAAACAGAAAAGAAAGGTGGAGATGCAGGACGAAATGGAAGCTTGGAATGAACCAAGGCAGGTCGACAATGACGGATTGACAAGCTTTCAAAAAGTTCATGCACCGACTCGAATGAAGCCGAACTCAACGCGAAGCGCAGATTCAGTCATGCCACAACCAATCAACAGCATCATTGCGGAGAAAAGCTCTGATGACATAATACAATACGTACGAGGAGAGTCACCCCAATAGTACTGTCGAGCATGTGCGGATTGCTGCAGTCACACGTGATAATCACGTGATCAGGAGCTACTGGGGCGCATTCTAAGCAAGAGGAAGGCAAAATAAGACCAGACCAGACCAGAGTGCAATTTGTAATCTGGCCTCTGGAGCTCTGCATAAAACTGAGCTATTAGTTATCTTCTGTCAGGCCTGGTTGTGTTCGATATTCGAAGCCAATTAATATCTCGTTACTAGGCTTAGAAGGAGTGTTCGGAAATGCATTCGACCGGGCCGGGAAAGACCTAAACCGGCAAAATGGAGCACATTCGACGAAGCACTTTTAATTGATCACTTTAAGCATTAACGCTTGTCTCGTGCTCTCAAATTACCTCCAGTGATGATTTCAGATATAGGAGCATCAGACTATTCAAGAACCGCTACATGAACTCGAGAGGTATCTGAAATGTAGGGGCATCAGCAAGCCTTGAGGTAAGGTATCACATCTCCAACAAGGGAAGACTGTCATTCAGGTTGTGCACTTTATTATCACTTCCCTCCCTAACCATGGGGTCGACGGGGCAAACAAGGAGCCTAGTATATTTCGCTGGTGGAGTTGGTTCCTCTTCAATCGCGGTCACTGCTCATGACTACATTTCGCAATGCCTCGGAAAGGATTGGAAGATGACTGTTTTGGCAACAGCCAGCTTGGACGAAGTTGTTCAGGCCTTCCGTGCGCCGCAGTTTGCCGGCGGAATCATTACCATGCCATTCAAGAAAACAATCATCCCATTCCTGGACGAAGTTGATGAACTAGTTACCACCGCTGGCGCCTGCAACGTGGTCTATCTTACACCGGAAGGCAAGCTACGTGGTACCAACACGGACTGGGTAGGCATCAAGAATGCTCTTCTTAGTGCAGATCCTCTCACAGCTGGGGATAATGCTATGATATATGGAGCTGGAGGTGCCAGTCGCGCCGCCGTTTATGCACTTTACCGCGGTCTGGGGTACGAGAACATATACGTGGTTAACAGGGATGATCAAGAAGTCACCGACTTGATCGAGGACGCGAGTAATTATACTGGGTTGCGTCCAAATGTTGTCCATATTCGAACATTGGAGCAAGCCCAATCTTTACCCTCACCTGACTATATCGTGAGCACCATACCAGATTACCCAGCACGGACTGCACAAGAGGTTAACGCAAGAGCTATCGTCGCCCAGTTCTTGTCGAGGTCAACTTCGAAACCAGGAGTACTCCTAGACATGTGTTACCACCCTCTGTTGACCGAGAATCTAAAGCTTGCAAGGCAGCATGGCTGGATTGCCGCGGAAGGGGTGCAGGTTGTAGGCCATCAATTAAAGGTCATGTGGAGGTTATGGACTGGCAAAGACATCACAGAGGAGAACGAAGCGGTGGTGTGGGGGTTACTCCAGCAGGCTGCTCGAGATGATCCAACTGTCGCCGGCGGGCTAGCCACTGCCACTGAAACGGTGATTGGCCTACACAGCCTGCCTCCTGGCTCCCGTCCTATTGGGGTAGTACGCAACAATGGACCTGATGTGCTAACGCTCGAGCGGTATAAGTTGCGTGAACTTGCTGAGGGATGGCCGCTGTATCGGTGAGTCTCGAATCAGTACCTTTTTCGTCAGTATTACACATCTCATCTAGATTTACTAATCAATATGGCTTCAGCGATTCTTGCGAATGGGACAACCTAAGGTCCATTTTCCACCCAGACGCGTATATCTATACAAGTTGGACGGGGAAAACCCACCATGAAGACTTCATTCAAGCCTCGCAGCGTGGAATGGACAAGGGGGCTTTCATCATGCATCGGTGCCATGGAATAACAACCGACATTACGCTAGATGCGACTCGAGCTGTGACGAAAATGAAGGCAACGATTACGCAGAGATTCAATTTGCAGGAGGCTGAAGTCGACGCCGAGAGCGATTGCAGGTTCATATTCTTCTGGACGAAGCTCCGAAATCCCTTCACCGGCGAAACCGATTGGAAAGCTCTATTCGTTCGCCACTGGTACGAAAAGGACAAACTGATTCCTGTCAACCCTGCTAAAGTCCCTGTCCTGGACGAGGCCAAGCTGGCCCAGTTCCCCTCGGGTTACAGATATCTGGCCTACTGCCAGGAGGAGACAATGGGAGTCAGTGTCCTAAGAGACCTTCCAGGTCACAACCGCGAAAAAGGGATCCCTGGTGGAAGCAGGATTGCTGGCCAGAGACACGATCTGCTGTACTGGCAGGCCAAAGACTGGCTGGACGGCAAGGATATTCAAATCTGAGTTCAGCAGAATATTAAATGGTCAACGCAATTAATAGTGATCCCCTAACGTTTTCAATAAATCCACTCTTGAACCGGTCGTACTAAATAACGACTCCACAAAGCTATTCTCTGCCTACAACACTGCCACTACTAAGTCTCAACGTAATCTTCAATTTATCATCTCCGATCTATGTTTCGGATCCGAGTAGGCTTGGAGTTCATCTACCTCCTGGGCTTTCATATCGATTTAAATCCCGTCCCTCAAAACATTGTAGGAAGCTTGTCTGGGCAGCGGCTGCCCCTCCAGCATCGACACCAGCCACCATGAAATCAATCCACATTTTCTCGCACATAACTACAATTAGAGTTTAGAAACCCTGTCCCTCCGTTGTCACTACTGCCAGTTTCAGGGACAAAGCATTGCTGTCTAGCATGGCGGACCAGTCCGGGGAAGATATAACCTTGATCACTTTCGACCCAGCATTTCGAATTTTCACCACTCTACGACACAGTCAGTTCAACCCACTCGACCTCCAACACCCAACACCTACCATTACAGCATGGAAGACTGCGGACATGAAGTTCTTGGATCTCCACAGCGGCCGCCTGCAAGCCTCGGCGCGAGCATTTGGTTGGACGAATGTTGCCGCTTTATTTGAGCGGGAGGGGAGAATACTGCTCGACAAATACTTGGAACACACTGCCTCTCACTCTACCAGCTCCAAGGTACCCGCCCACGGATATTACAGGGCTCTCCGGGTGCACATCGATGTTTCACAAGATGCCAGAATTGACGTTTCCCTTGTTGCGATGGGCGAGGACAGGCCACTGAGCGCACTAGACGGTGAATCTTTCCACACGCTCCCAGCTCCAATTCCCCCGCCTGGCTCGCCATCATTGTACGGAACAAGCTCAGACTCAACGCCAGAATACAGCAAAGTCACGATCGACACAGAGCCCACACCCACGACGCCCTTCACGTCGCACAAAACCAGCCATCGCGTTATGTACGACGCCGCGCGCGCACGCGCCTCCATCACGTCTTGCTCGCCCTTGGCGGCTGAAGTGCTCCTCTACAACCGGCGCGCTGAAGTCATGGAGGCAAGCATCTCAACCGTTTATTTCTACAGCGGTGGAAAGTGGATCACGCCCTCGGCAGAATGCGGAGGAAACCTGAGTGTGACGAGGCGGCTGGCACTGGAGGGTGGATTCTGCGTCGAGGGGAAGGTCTTCATCGATGATGTGCGTGATGGAGAGGTCGTCTGGCTGAGCAATGCCGCGAGGGGTTTCTTCCTAGGGAGGGTCTCAAAGTAAGACCGCTGGTAGGGTCGATTGAGAGGGAAAAGTATCCTGGCGTCGACAAAGCAGGAAGGCTGTTCGTTCGTAGGTTAGTATTTCAGAGAAGGACATGTGCATGTCGATACACTAGTAAATGGCGATTCAATAAACAATCTTTATCATTCAATCATTTCAGCCGGTCTCACAAATATTTCACTACCAAGGCAGGAGAAGAATCCGTTCATTGCAATGGTCTAAGCAGGGTTCGCTGGAGATAAGCACACAGGCACTCTGGGCAAGTGTTCATCCAGACATGGTCACCTCTTCATAGGCGAACTTCCACCAGACCCTGAGGGTGTCATGACCTCGACTTCTTCAAAGTCCATATCCCAAGCATCTATATCTGCCCATTTATTCCTGCCCGTGACGGCCTGCTTCGCTGGAGAATCTACATATCTTTGTATAGCACCATCCACACCGCCATCCTCGTCATAACCATCCTCGAAAGTTTCTTCTTGGGATGGGTCGAGACCACTTGGTGCGTTTTCTTTGTCCGCTAGATGTGCGGCAATGTGGAGGTTCGAAGAACCACCATATCGCTTCCCTGATGGCGCCGCCGACGTTGAGACTGACTCGGTAGTTGTTGTTTTCATGCTCGCCCTGGTCGAACGTGTAGTACTTGCGACGGTAGATGAAAGCTGTGAGGGAGACTTAGTTTCGCGATTCCTTCTGGACGTGGAGGGCGAGAGGATAGGCGCGGAAGTGGTAATGGTAGTAGTGATGAGATTTCTCGTACTTGGTTTTAGTTTGGCATTGAGGCTGATAGCGCCTTTCTGCTTGCCCGCCACTGTAGCCTGGCCGAGTTCGCCGTTCCCAGGCTTTACCCTCGAATTGCTCGCCGTTTCCGTCCTCTTGGTAGACTTCCTACCTTTCTTTGTCGGAAGGAAGCTCGAGTCATGGTCTAGCTCATGTGTAGGAGAGTCAGAGTCCGCAGGAATGTCAAACTCTGTAGCTTTTATCAGAGTCCGCTCCCTTGCAGTGCGTCGTCTTTTCGCTGGCATCATGACAGCCTGCAACTCTTCTGTAGTCATCAACCGAACCGGTTTTACTTGAGCTTTCTTGCGAGCCTTCTTTGGTGGGATGATTGGTTTGGATTCCGTGGTCGAAGGTGCTGGTGAAGAGCTGCTCTGCGGAGGCGCCATGACATCGTTCTCATCAGTGATGCGTTCTCGTTGCTTCCTACCTGATTCTCGAAGCGTTGAAACAGGAATTGCAGGCAGCGTCGACTCAGGGGTGGTGCTCCGACGATGCATGGTCGCAAGCGGAGACCTAGTCTGCTGTTGACCTTGGTCTTCGAGGGCATGCATGGGGTCTGATTGGCCCAGTTTTCGCTTTCGCGGGATAGATGATTGGGTTGAGGTGGTCGCAGGGGTCGAATGCAGACTTCTGGATTTGGATAGATTGAATGGAGTCGATTCGGCATCAGGTAAGAATTGTTCTTCGTCATCTAGGTCAAAGCTGGATGAGTCATGGTCGATATTCTGCAGAATGCTTGGTTGCCTTCGCCGAGGCTTCAGAGTGCCTAATATAGAGGTTTCCCGAGAAGGCGTCGGTTGGGTTGGTCGTAGGATACTTCCAGGCGCCTTGATCGCAGAGGCCACGGCTGCTGCCGTTTGGCCTTTGGGCTGTCCCTCACTTGTTGATGTATTCATAGTACCATTTACTAGAAGCGATGTACGGTGCTTCGCAGGCATGGAGACGTGATCTGCGGAGGCGACATCTTCACGTGTTTCGCCATGTCGTTGGGCAAGCACCTCTTTCGTGTCTCTGTTCAAGCTTCTTCTCCTTTGGGCTCTGGTGGGATATGCACCTGGCTGGTCACCTTCCGCCACAGCCCCCGTCGCATAGATTTCTTGCTTCACGACATTTCTGCCTCTTCTCCCATCTCCCTTGACAACGAGCCTATCGCTATCATCGCTGTCGGTTGGTCTCTGGCCGACTGGCTTTGATGCAAGCTTGCGTTCGAGTTCAGCTCTGGCCGCATTATTGACGACTGCTCGATTAGCGACGCGTGGGACTGGTCGATTGTGGTTGAGTTGCCGCCGCCTGAGAGGGCCTCGAGGCATTTGGGTGAGGTGCGCCCACAGCGCTGGGAGGCCCTAGGAGACTTGCGCAGTCTCAGAGGTTGAGGCGTCGACGTGGTTGTGATTTTCGTCTGGGAACGAATGTAATAGTGGGTGATGTTTGACTCGAACGCAGAACAAAGTTGACGCGTTCAAGGCCGAGTGGGGGACTAGGGATTTGGGGGACCTGCCCTACTGGGTGCCTACCGCGTGTTTGTTGATGATGAAATTGTCCCGCCAGCGGAAATCCGGAACTGAGCCTTGGCACGGCGAGTTCTTTCCCAACCTCAGCCTTGAAATCAAGCCCCTACCAGCTCAAATTTGCTTCACCGAGTATACATATTGCTGGTATCTTTCGTATCTCCAACAGTAACAGTTGCGGCGGAGCTCTCCTGGTCGACTCTACGTCGTATGGAAGGTAGGCCTGGTAAAGCAGACTCCAAAGGCCTTGCCATAGATTTAACTACATGAACGGGGCTTGAAAGAAAATCGAGGAAATTAACACGCGAGGCCTATGTTACTCTTCACGCTATCTAGATACCTACACAGCTCTAACTTCTGCCACACCAAGCACGCGCACGCACACACCCTCTCTGTCCAACTAGGGTGATTAGCAACACCCTGGCCCTAGGGGCCCGCGTCGTGAGCGGTTCAAGCGAGGCAGAATCCTGGCAGAGGATATTTTTCCTCCATAAAAGCAGGTGAGGTGGAAGAGTCACTGTTGAGTTGTTTTGAGAGAATCGAAGCGAAGATTTTCGAGTAGGACTATTAACGCGCCTCCTCACTTCACATGCACACACAAAACAAAGGGAATCCCACCACTTAGCAGAATCAAACACACCACAAAAACAATGATTGGTAGGCTTTAGAGGGCGCTCGAATCCCCCATCATACCGGACATTTTTTCGAATGCTCATCACATTCGGAATATATGCGAACAACCCTAACTGGGGCATATATTCAGGCGGGCCCACCAACCAACCACTGTAGTAACTATCCGCCATACGACGGGTTGTTCTGGACAGAGGAATCGCTTCCGACGGATGTTGGGGATATTTCCGGAATTTGAATATATGAATATGTCTTTTCGTTTTGGAGGAGTTGGGCGTTAGTCAGTGACTGCGGTAAGGCGATAGAGGGACAGAGTAGTGGAGGCGAGTATTGGTTTATATACCCTCGTGATGAGATTACTTTTATACCTGCAGTTCTTACTCCCTGGTGCGCGGGCCTTCGGCTTCCTCAACACCAATCTAAATAGACGCTATTCGTCTGCTCTGCATCAAAATCAACCCATGACTACCTCGAGTATCAATATTAGTCGCCCTTTTCCTACCGCGCCTACTACATCTGCTGGCTATTTAGCTCAGTGAGTCTTTGAAAGCAAGATTTCCACACTTTTGGTTTGCTTCATAGTTTATCACTCCGTGGATGTCAGAACGTGGAGAACGGGTTCAATTAAGAACTTATTGTGTGAAGTAACAAGTTATGGTTCAATACCACGAGAGATGTGTGTTTCCCTGCCATGACCCACTGAAAGTGATTTGTGCTCACTCAGTGCCAGAACATAGGCATAAAGAAGGAGAGCAATAAACTCGATTAATGCCAGTACCTTCCACTGCGACATCATCGCTGTTATGAAATGAGGTGGAGGAGGATCTCGATTTCGAAGCATCAACAGAAGAAGCGGCGCCATCGTACTGCTATTCATCATCGTACAGATCTTCCTCAAGATCGCCTTCGATCAAATTATTGTCGTCCTAGTGATCTTGGGCTGGGGTTTCGGCGTGTTGACGGATGAAATAGATACCTCACGCTTTCACCTCACCGTAAATGAGGGAATTTGGAATCTGGACAAGGCAAAGCATGCCAAAAGTTGTACTCGGTACCTGACTTAAGACCAAGCACCTGGCAGCAAAGTACCTTTCTTTAGGAATTGGAAAGACAGCACCTTTGCAACAAGTGGGAAAATCATTGTTGAACTACAATCGGTCTTTACATAGCCTATGTTAAGGACGATATTCTCGAATGATTAGATCAGCTACATTGGACATACATCCTCTCCAATTCAATCATTTCTTGGAGAAGCCTGGTAATTTTGACCTCCTGAGCCATCGGCTATCAGAAGGCTGGGGCTGAACAGGGGTATAAGACGTTGATTGACCCCGTTATGACCATCTTCCCCGCAGCTAGCCACAATAGGCAGGACACCGCCATTATTGATGTTGGAGTCGCCGGTATAGCCTCTGGTTCGCCTCCCACGCCAGCGGTGACATGGAAGACTGTGGCTATCAACTGATTCTATAGCGGATATGCGCTCATTAAATGGTCACCGACTAGGTTCTCCGCACCTTGACAATAAGCACACCACCGGTTCCGAGGATGAGGGTATTGAGCTGGATCTCATTGGCTTTCCCTCAATCATATGGAGTCTATGGGTAAAGCATTGTGAGCAGAACCATTTCGTGCTTCTTAGGATTTCAACGGGCATTTCGGATGCTCGACCGGCCGGTGTCTGTACCGTGATGGAAGATCATATAACTGCCGGCAGTTTTACTCGTCCCTGAATACTTCGCCTCACATTCTCGAACATTGTGTAGGCACTTAGCGCTTGGCTACGAGTACCAGTTATGGACAAAACCATCGGACAAGAGCACTTTGAAAATGGCAGAAACGAGAGCCCTGAAGTAAGGTCTTAGTTTTCTCTCTTCTGATATGCACTGATTGTTTTGGTAGAAGCCGGCAGCTGTGTCCTTAGCAGAAAGTGACAACAATCGCGAGCTCTACGAGAAGCGTAATCGCAAACTGAACCGTCGTTTGGACATCCGCATCCTGCCTCTCTGCTGCTGGGTCTATTTGCTTAATTTCCTAGACAGAGGGAACATCGGCAATTCCAAAGTGCTCAACGCTGAAACGGGAGATGACTTGCTGCAGCAGACCAACATGACGGCGGACGGGTACGCCATCACCGTCACACTATTTTCACTGGCATACGCTTTGTTTGAAGTCCCATCCAACTGGGTGATGTATGAAGCCAGCTATCACCATCCTGATTCCACATACTAACTAATCCCCCAAAGGAAACATTATATCCGACCATCTCTGTGGTTGGCGATACTTCTCTTCTCTTGGGGAGCTCTTACCATAGGATTTGCCGGAGTCCAGAACTACGCTACAGTGGTGGCTTTGAGATTCTTGATCGGTGTGTTTGAGGCTGGGTTCTTTCCTGGTGAGTCAGTTCTCTGGTGCCACCACTGCTCATCGTTAAACGCAAGTTTTAGGCATTGTCTACTTCATTACAATCTGGTACAGGCACGATGAACGAGCGGTTCGTATCGCTTGCGTAGTGGCATTTTGCAATCTGGCCGGTGCTTTCGGAGGTGCAATAGCATACGGAGTCGGCCACATCAATGGACATGGAGGTTTGCAAGGCTTCAGATGGCTCTTCATCATTGAAGGAATCATCACTCTACTCAGTGCAATTCCCCTGTTGCTTTGCCTTCCAGACTATCCCGCACGAGCAAAGTTCCTGAACGAGGACGACAAGCGGTTTGCAGAAGATCGCTTAAAAGATCGAGGCGGAGGTTATAACCAAGATCACGCTTCTCGTAAAGAGGTTTTGGCAACTTTGACCAGTCCTCGTATGCTGGCTCACTATATTGCATATGTAAGTACTGACTCAACACGCACACTCTTATAACATGGACTGACCCTGCTCCTTATAGATCGCCGATGTTGTACCCCAAGGATCCTTCACATTCTTCACACCTACCATTGTAAAAGGACTCGGCTATACCTCCATTCATGCACAGCTTCTCACCGTTCCACCCTGGTGCATAGGCTTCGTGGTGGCGATCACCCTCAGCTACTCAGCGGACCACTTTAATGCCCGAGGCATGCATATAACTATTGCATCTATAATCGGTGGAGTGGGCTGGCTGACAGCGGGGCTTCTGCCTCACGACGCATACGTCAAGCGCTATGGCTGCCTCTGTCTCGCCGCCTGTGGCGCATTCCCAGTTGCACCTTCAATGACCAACTGGGTCACATGCAACACGCCCAGTCTTCTTACCATCCCTCTCGCGATAGCACTGAACAACTCGTCTGCTGGTGTTGGACAGATCATCGCTCAATGGATCTGGAGAGCAGATGAAGTCGACACTGGATATCCCACTGGCAATTTTGTTTGTGCAGCTTGCAGTTTCTTCGTTGCTGCTGTTATCTTTAGTCTGAGGTTGACGTACGGTAGAATGAATGCAAAAGGAACCCTGGACGCCAGTGGGAGCATGAGAGTCTGGGCTTATTGAGCGGAAGTTCGCGGTTCCCCCCCCTCCCTGACGACTGCCCTAATATGGCGCAGGGTGTTGCAAAGTTGAAAGATATGAGAGTATTCCCGATGCAATCCGTGGAAGACGTGGCTGGCTGGCGAGCTTGACCGAGGCTGAGGTTAGATGATAAGACCCTCATGCGGAGCTGCGGAGCCTTGCCTTTGGAGTTAGAAGGTCTTACTTGTAATGAAAGCCGGTTCGATGTAGCGGTCAAATATAACAACCTCGGAAGTCGAGAGCATCAGTGGGGACAAGGCTTGGTGAAAGGGAGCTTGCAACCAACCTGGATGAGCAAGCTTGTACGACATCTTCAACGCTGGTCCGCCAGTCCACCGCCATTGCATGACATAGTTCCCCCCTTCGCCCACAAATGATATATCCTGGACATCAGGGAATCTGTCACATGCCCTAAATTGGAAAGACGGCGAATCTCATTGTATCTTGATCGATTCAGCTCATGAGTACATCAGAGCACCAACGTCCTCGGTCATTCACCATGGCTGGGCCATCAAGCAGGCTGGGCCAGTTTCATATTTGCGAAAGACATCGTTCGGAGAAGCTATTCCCCTACTCCCACTAAGCCAGCTTAGAGATAGTCCTGGGGCTGGAAATAGCCAAGGCCACCAACACCGTCCGGCAACCTTGAGATGGAGATGCATCGATTCGGATACTGAGTACTCTCCGACATGCGTATATCCAGCATATGTGTTCTTACAAACGCTAAGCGACAAATTAAAACCACCCAAATTGACCCTGCTGTAGCAAGATACTAAGCAAAAAGCTGCAGCCTCAAGGTAGGCAGCCAGATTGGACACCTTTCCTCAAAAATCATTTAATACAACTCCATCCCTAGGCAGACATGCTTAGAACGTTGACTGCTAGGCCTGACAAGTGAGGTAAAAGGACAACTCTTTCATTTGAGCTCATTTGACCTCTAAGCTACCACTTAACCCCAGAGTCACCACAAGCATTAGGGGCAAACCCGCACATCTCCTTTCACTGCACCTGACCCACCACCACCAATATGATCCGCAAGGCTTCAAAGTCCGGCATCCGACAGTTGCTAGTACTTTTGCTTTGCCTACCTACGGCCTTCTGTCGGTCATGGGAAGCAGGCGACGCATGCCCCTCGACGATCGATGTGGTCATTCCTGGGAACACATGGAAAGAATCAAAAGAACCGTCCTTCGACACAATGACATCGGTCCATACTGCCATGTCGAACTGCCCCAATATCACATCCCTCGACCTTCGCGTAACCCTGCTCGGCTGCAGTAGTTGGCCTGACCGCTGGTCCTTTCCGTTCTCACTCTCCGGAGGAGAGAAGTATCCCTCACTCCAGCGGCTACGCCTCGAGGGATATGAGTATGGCCAAAGTCCGTTCAACGAAGTGAGTTGGTCAGGAAATAGTCGCAGTTACCTCCCTTGGTACGAAAGGGCCGCTGATTATATACTCACTGGTAACATCTTGCGGGAATGGAGATACCGCAAACTTCCCAGGGAGCAACGAGAGAAGAGCAATATCCAGCTTTGGCTCGATGCGATGGATTGGAGTAAAGTGGAAGAGTTGGCCATCTTGGGATACTATGGGAAAGGCACAGAGCTTTTCTTGAATTCAACCCCAAGCGTCTTAACGGGGCTTCGACGATTGGAGCTCGAAAGCGAATACCAAGGCGCCGCGCTCCGGTTCCTTCAAAACGTTCAGAACGACTCGCTGACACATTTGGTCTGGAAGGATTACTTCAATTCGACTCTGCCTTCTATCGTCCAACAGTTCCAAGGCTCATCTCTCCAGCACCTCGAGCTCCACACTTTGGAGTCAGACCACGTAGAAAGCCCGGCATTCTCAGCCTCGGAGCTCGAGCCTCTCCAGCACATGCCCAACCTGACCCATCTGTCCCTCAACGTTGCACGTAACGGCAGCTGGCCTTTGGAAATGCTGTCGGCTATCTCTCAGATCCGCTCACTACGCAGTGCCGACCTGTGGCTAGACATCGCCTCCACGTGCCGTAAACAGAAGGTGGAAAACTGGTATTTTGACCCAGAAGACGTGGGATGTGCAGGGGAGGATCAGTATTTGTTGCCTTTCATCAACGAATCAACGACGCTGGAGGTTTTCAAGCACATGCGTGCGAACAAGGTCGGAAACGAGCTGAGCAACGTGACTTTCTGGGGTGGAGACTGGAGTCGAGCCTGGGACGGTCCTATCTACAGTCCTCCTTGGATCGAGCATAAACAGACCAAGGTTGTCTGTGTTGTCGTGGATGATCAAGGAGCGGGAGGGGAAGAGTGCGTTGTTCTGACTGGGGTAGATTATTGGAGACCGAGACCAAAGGGACGAAACTATTACTGGGATGACGAAGATGTATGATTCGAAGATTGTGTAGCAGTTCAGAACTTTTCGGCGATTGTCTGGCTCTGCGTCTCCGTTTCGGGGGTGGCCGTCGTCGATGCCAGCCAAAGACGTTGTCGTTGCTCTGAAAGCAGGGCATCCATTCTCTACTAGACAGGCTTCAATATGTTGAACAAGCCCGCTTACAATTGGACAGCGTCATCACCTCTTGGATGTTCGGTGAAAGCCTGGAGATTTCCGTGCTTGACTCCATATCAGCGAAACATCTGCAGGATTGCTTGGGTGTAGAGAATCAATAATGGAGAACCAGTACATCGGAAAGGAACTTCGTTTTGACTTTGATATATCATTGTGAATTCGTATGTGTGCCGTAACCATTCTATGGACTGGGATAGCCTTGAGCGAACAGCTCCTTGATATCATCATTTTCATAACCCGCCTGCACCGCCAACTGGAGCAAGATACGGGCTTTCTGAGGGTTGAGGAATCCACTCGCAATGATGAAATCGCCCTCATCCCCTGGTACAAATCCATCTGGAGAGCGGTGGCTCGCCACCATGGGAATCCCGGTCGCGTTGTAGACAGCCTCTGCCGACCTCGCTGCCACCGAGGACATTCCTCCGGCGCCGACACCTGCGACAACGATGCCTTCAGCTCCGTTCTCGACGGTCGAGTTGAACAGCTCGGGGTCCATGTCTTGGTGGGCGTATAGAATATTGATTGATGGTAAGGAGTCCGCACCGCTCAAATCAAATTGCACTTTGCCAATTGGTGCTGCGGGCTCGTAGTAGAAGTACGGAACTTGGTTGATGAAGAATCCAAGTTGGCCAGCTTCAGTGCTGTAGAATGTATCGAGGGAATTCGCATTGTTCTTGGTCGTGTAGAACGCACTCCCGATGCGACTGTAAAATCAGCGTTAGAAACATTTGACCTATCCTCACTGATAGTTCTCAGCCAACTCACTCGTTCAAGGCAATCATAGCGCCACGGCCGATGGCATTTGGAGAGGACGCCAGTGTGACGGCCTGGTACAGGTTCAGCGGACCATCTGCACTGAGGGCTGTGGCAGGTCTCATTGCGCCAACAACAACGACAGGCTTCGTAGAATTGACGGTCAAGTCCAGAAAGAAAGCCGTCTCTTCGAGAGTATCGGTCCCATGAGTGACGACCACACCAGAAATGTCGTCACGAGCAAGCTCTTCGTTGATCAGGTGGGCCAGTTTAAGCGAGATCGTCTCGTTGATGGAGCCGCTGCCGACGTTGGACACCTGGTAGCCACGGATGTTCGTGATGTTGAGGATCTCTGGTACTGCATCGACAAGTTGTTGAACACCTAGTCCCACACTGTATCCTGTAGTCTGTGTGTTCGAGGTGCCTTGACTCGCGATTGTACCACCCGTGGCAAAGATGGTCACATTTGGCAAGGACGCATTGATAGGTGTTTGAATATCTTGTCTCGGGAGCAACTGACTCAGGTGGAGTATCGGCGACGCCGCCGTGCCCACCGCAAAACCGAGGGCAAGTCTAAAGGAAACCATTCTTGCTACCACAGCACAGTCTTGGGTAGATGTAGACAGCTGCTTCTTAACTTGGAGGAGGAGGCTCGACGGTCACACGCGGCGTATAAATACGACCGAGGACCGCTCTCAATCCTATCTTTCGGAAGGGCGTATGACACCACGCAACATCAAAAGCCAACTCCACACATAAGGCTATTTGGCATGGCAGCAGCAAGCAAAACTCTTCGCGAAGTGATAGAGGGCGATATACTGTAGCGCAAACGTGGTCCAAGACACGCCTGTCCTGATTCAGACTTCATTGTTGGAAAAAGATCGAACACACGCCCAAAGAGGGCGAGTTGATTGGTACGGCCCCTTCTTAGTGTTGTGCGATAAGGAGCGGGTACTAGCACCAAGGTATGTAAGTTGCCTTCATGCGCCATGGAATAGAAACAGATGGTACTAGAAGAATACGGAAAGGTTGCTATGGATAAAAGCAAAATTCGAGATAGCAAGCGGGGAACTCCTTGTCCTTATCTGTTAAACATATCTGTTCTTGGCTGTAGTAGGCGAGTACTGTCATCGAAATACTGTAGCCTACTAGGTCGACATGTTGCTGGGGCTCCGTAAACATATTGAGATTATTAATAATAGTATCAGTCACGATCAAACAAGCGATTGTTGCGCAAAGGACTTCTACGAAGGCTATGTAAACAGGATAAGATGGGCCAAAAGCAGTTTCGGTCACAGCCTTGTTCAGCCTTGTCGGTGTTGGAGCGCGGCTAACGTATGCTCAACTCTGAGGTAGACTATTCAGAACCGACGATGCTCGAGCAAAACTTCTTTTGATCTTACAATCAAAGACAGATTCAAGGATCCTGATATCACATGGTCTGAGTTGTCTGAGTGTTTTGCTATTCAAGAGAACATAAGGTTTGCCAGGGAGATGGAGCTGATATTCCATACCCTGGTGGTCCTGCGCGATCGTCCAATGCTAAATTGAGTCTCGAGTTGCTCTGTGTCTAAAGCTATATTATATCTACCGATAGCCATTGATGATTGAATCCAAGAGCACTCGGCTAGAATGTTGGGTTCAACATCGTTAGATGGACACTCTTGGCTCAAACGAATGTTGGCTCGGAAACATTCTTCCCAACTTTCTCCTGATCAGAACTACTGGAGTCCATTGTGATTTGTAGGTTCTGGTCGCTTTCACCATCCATGCTTCCCTTAATGATATTGGGTATAGTTGGCTGGTCTCCATCTGCGCGACGGTGTAGAGGTATGAAGATGTCGTAGAACCTGGGGACAATGAAGCCCAGGGCGATAATAATCAATGCAAAGTGAGCTATAGTGAAACCGACGATGTGAAGAGGATCGTATCGGAGTTGATAAAAGGCCGGGTACGCAAAGCCATAGATGATGCCAAGTATCGGGGCGCTGATATACCGTAGTAGCACTGGCCAAAAAGTTGGAATCTTCCAATTTCGCCCCGTGCCAACGATAACATTCAGATCTCGCCTTAGTTGATTACCCTGTTTGAACATTAACAACCTGAGAGAATGAAACGGTGGCTAGCTTTCTTACCGAGTAGAACGCAACATACCAAAATCGAGCAATGTAAACATTTCTCGACCAAAACCTGGGTGCCGGAGAATCTGGCGTCCGCCCAATCAATGTTGAAATGATTGATCCAGCGATGTATAAGCCAAAGCCAAGGCCAGCACCGGCCGGTGGAGAGACAGCGTGTGCAACAGCAACACCGAAGATGAGGCCTCCAAAGTACCCTGCGTTGTAAACGATCCACGCAGGGGCTCCTACACTTGCCACGACGTCCTTCCAGCGGTAAACTGTAGTGGCACTGACACACTCAGCAAAGACGACGAATATGAGTGAAACGTCGTTGATCCATCTGTCGACCCCGTCAAGTAGATAGTATCCAAACTCAGTGCAATAGGGCAGTGAGCACAGGAAGGATACAACAACGAGTCCAGTGACAACCACTGGACGTGAGAACCTTGTGCCCGAGTCCATCACGAGTGTGGCGATCGCGTCAAGCATCGCGAAAGCCGAACTGTAGCCTAGTACCACCAGTGTGAAGAACAGAGCAACAGCCCAAAAGTTGGCACCTGGCATTTCCGTGATTGCAAGAGGTAAGGTGAGAAAGCCTACAACGAAACTTCCAAGCCTAGTACCTTCTTCTGGAAAAAGGCGCAGATAGCCAACAACGCCGAACACAGCGAATGCTGCAAAGCATTCAAAAAGAACGTTACTGCACACGATGAGTATGGAATCCATGACAGCATTCGAGTGTTTCTGGTTGTAGGATGCATAGGACGTGAAGTAGCCTGAAATTGTCAGCGAAAGTGAGAAGGTGGGAAGCGAGAACACTACCAAATCCGACGCCAGTAGAGAAGAAGACCTGCCCACAAGCCGTTTGCCAGACTTGCCCCTTTGCAAGCTCAGCACCCCTCCAAGTGGCAAAGTATAACTTCACGCCAGCACCAGCATTTTCGAGAGACACTCCACGGCCGACGAGAATAATTGTGATGACAATAGGCAGCCCCATCGTAAAGTAAACAACACGACCGGTGAGCCCCACGCCTCGAAATATGCTAATCCAGCACAGAAACCAGATGAAGGCAGTCCATCCAACCGTTTCGCCGATAAGTGCCGTACTGGGATATGAAGTATAGGAAAGAACCTGGCGACCATTCTCACTCAAGCTTCCAGCGATAGGAGTAGGATTTCCAACCACTTCCGCATAAAATTCATCACCTCGATTGGTCCAGGGAAGTGGACTCGTGAAGGAGTTCCGGAAGTAGTTCATAATCCATGACAGAATTACCACGAAGTAGTGATTGACGAACCAGCCGATGAAGAGGAGACCCAAGCCAGTCCCTTTCAACCGCTTGTTCATATTGTTATAAGCGATTACAGCCCCACCTCGATATGCCTGGCCGATGGAGATCTCCAGGATCAGTGCTGGAATGGCGACTATGAAGACTGCAATGAAATATGGTATGAACCATTGAAGACCGTAATTGTTGTAGACCACTGAAGGATAACGCAGGAGATTGCCCATACCGGCACAGCCACCCATGCTCGCGAGTAGGAAGGCCGTACGTGACGGCCATTGATCCCGCCCATCATCTGACTTGTCTGGAGCAGGAGCAAGGTAGTTTCCGACTTTCTTGAGCGTGTTCATCCTGACGTGAAGAACACCGATAGATTATGAGGTCTATTCATCAAGCGCAAACAGAACGACGAGGGAAGGTTCGAAAAAGAAGAGAAATGGACCTTATACGCTACATGACCAGGGGCCAGGGGTCTGACATGCGCAACCGACTCCCATTCTCAGCATCAAGCCAAGTCGTGATTCAATCGTCAAGCTCGCCATTTAGAATATAGTTGGCCTTGACTTTTACGGACCCACCTGTAGTTTCTCCCACAGGGTGGCAGTGGGAACACTCAACTAACCAGCCGATGATGCCATGGCTTGCGTGATCGACCTGTGATCGTGCATCTTCGGCCAGTGCGGTCGGGGGAAGAGTTTTTCAAGTTCAGCCTTGAAGCCCAGGCGGCGATTTCATCAGCCAAGGTCTTGAGCAGCATTGGACGGCAGGACGACAGGGTTGTAGGAATATATCATGGCCTTGAAAAGACGAGAGCGGAGTTGTTGGAACTTGGCTGTTCTTGGTCTTTCGTCAGAGTCCCGCCGGTATCCACCTTAATTCTTGTCTGCGCGAGAAGCACGTCTTGGCAAGACTGAGGCTGAAAGATCTGAAGCCTTATGTGATGGGAAGAAGAGGACGATATGCCTGGCATCGAGGCCAGTACCACCAAGGGCTCATGGAATCAAACATGCAATATAAGTTTGTGTATGAGACTCCACCTACGTCTGCATAATTGACGGAATTTATACCATCAGCAGAACAGCGTGATTCATGAGATCAAGGGTCACCTGTCTGAGATGAGCATTCCATATGCAGCAGCAGCGATCAGGCTCATTGCGTCGGATGCAACTAAGTAAGTATGGTGCACGAAAAGATTTGTTTGACACCAGGAGAACCTGGAACAAGGGGCGTGTATGGAAATTTTCGGATTTTTGTAATGGGTTAAAGCGATATCGTACGGTGGGGCAATGATACGAGAAGTGACGCTACTGTTGGTAGGCTTCATGAGCATTTGAGCCCTGAACAACAGTCTTTCTGGGTGATCATATCCTGTCTGAATTAACGCGAAGACGGCTTCTTACAGATCCTGGATGTCAACTTCTATCACTCTCCGACAAAGAGCTCGTACGCTGTTTCGTACTATATTATATCACGTGACTGACCGGTAAATCACGGAATCCGGCTGACAGAAGTGCTTCACAGACTGACTGGGCTTTCCTCCCTTTGGTGTCAAATACATTGTTCGTCTTGTCCTCATGCGACGCGAATAGCCTCCGATACTTCGTTTGCCCTGGGTTACCAAATATACGGCAACGACAGCCATCAGCCCGAACACCATGCGCATGAGGCTGAGTCAAGAAAGAAGTCAGAGCCCCAGCCTTCTGTTACTCAGCAGCTTTCTGTCGTTAGTGGTCGGTTTTTCTGTTCCGCAATATGTGGTAGACTATGGTATGTGTGCATGCTGTTGTCCTTGGAACAAGGATAATACTCACCAATACTCCATGCTAGCTCCAATTATCTGGCTCCACTCGGATGATCCTTTTATGCCCAGTGATATCTCGGGGCATCTTTTGCATACATCACCTAGGCTCGACTTCGAACCGATCCAGGATCGGTCAGGTCGAGATTTGAACAATCTTTCGTCGCTGAACGATTATGGTGCAGACATCTTCCTAACAGCAGACGATGATGCTAGCATCAGTCCAAATTGGATATTGGGAGAGGTCCCTGATGCGACTGGGGCGCTACAGAATTCTACGGCTTGCGCTGTAGTTATCGTTGAGCACAGTGATGCAGATGTGGATGCATTCTATTTCTACTTCTACTCCTTCGATGAGGGAGGGGATATTGAGCAGGTCGTGCACCCTCTGGAGAAGCTGTTTCCCGATACTAAACCTGGCGATCACTATGGCAATCATGTTGGCGACTGGTAAGCTGCGTCTCTTCCGCTAGTTCTAGCTTAAGGAGCTTTGCAAGCACTCCTGACTTGTATTCAGGGAGCATAACATGGTCCGGTTCAAAGCTGGGAAGCCGACTGGTATATGGTTCAGTCAACACGCGTTTGGCCAGGCTTGCTTGTGGACGGATGAAACGTGCTTCTCCAAAGATGGAGCCAGGGTATGTTTGCTTGCTTCAAAATCATGGAAATACTTGAAACATCAGACTGAATGATTGAATAGCCGGTCGTATACAGTGCCAGAGGTTCCCATGCCAACTACCCGTTCCCTGGAAGCCATGTCCATGACGACGCTCTCATCGATGTCGCGGATAAAGGCCAAATATGGGACCCTATTAAGCCAGCTTACTACTATAAATATGACCCTGATCGGAAAACATTCGCAGCAGCGGAGCCAGATATAACACCAACTGATTGGCTTTACTTCAATGGTCAGTGGGGCGACAAGCAGTATCCCGATTCCGACCCACGGCAGAAAACCATCCCTTACTTTGGCCTCAAGAAGTTCACCAACGGCCCTAACGGGCCCCAATTCAAACATCTGGTACGGAAAGGTCTGATGCCGGATGAACGGCCCAAAGATACTGTAATGAAGACTGCCGTGCGGTGGTATCTATCCATGTATGGGTGTTGCCTAAAGGACTATAATCCCTGGGGCGTCATAATTTCGATCGTGCTGGGGCTCGCGGTGTTGATTGGGTTGATTGTGTTCGCAGTGAGGAAACTAAAACCACACGTAAGAGGCTGGATTGAGAGGAGACGAGGCTGGTTCGTTGCCCGAAAGGAGCACATATCTCGACTCGAGCAGGAGGACGTACAGTTGGGACTTCTTGGTCGCGAAGGAATAGACGAGGACGGTAGATATCGATACCCCGAATAGATCACTGGCTTGCATAGGATTCCGTTGTTTGTGCGTTGTTTCAAGAGGACAGAGTCTTCGTGTGATTGTCTCCTGCAGATCTTCCTCGGCTTGGTTCCTTTAATTCAATCGGTTGGCAAACCTTGGTCAAAAATTATGTCGTGCTGCTGCCTCGTAAGGGGCAATCGTACGGCGCAACCTCACGCTTTCAGGATTTCGCAGTCTCAAAAGCATTACCATGTCGCAATCCTGCGAGGCAGCCATTGCACGCTTGCATCCTTGCTCTTCGGTCTCATCAGGATTGAGAACAACTGCGAGTCTATGCTGCTGAATACTGTCGTGACTACAGCCACGAATTTAACCTGTGAGAATTTTAAGCATGGTCTGTTTGCGGGCCATCAGACCATGGAAGGTAGGTGCCTTGTCGAGGCGTCAACAATTGTTTATCTTCCAAAGGTATCCAGGCAATGCGGGCGATTTGAGATCGGAAAAAGATGTCATGGTAATAATCCATAGCTGGAGCCGCCATTCTAGAGGCTTGTCCCAGTATTCTAGCAACGCTTGTACTGCTAGAGGGCCGGGAGTAAGCATTGTGTGGCGTGGCAAAGTGACCATTCTTTCACCAACATGGATGGACTGAGGGCTTGAATTTGTGCGTTATGGGATTGCCATGATGGGAGGAAATAGCCGATGTGTTTCAAGCATGAGGCCTCTGCAGCGTTTGAACTTGGGGGACACTTCGGCGTATGTCCATGGCTCGATCTTGCCGTGTAGTTTGTGATATATGCAGACTCCTCCGAAAGCAGGAGCGACCTGGTATGGCTATATCAGCGGTCAGGGGTCACTAGGGATCCGTACCCTGTTGGCTCGCTCCCAACTCACCTTGATTTTCCCTGGCCATTTAGTCGGACTATCGATCCACTTACGAGTACTCCCCAAACTCCGTACTCCGTACGGAGGTGTGCATCAAAAGTTGTGGAGAGGCTTTTGAAATACCAGGGCTATCGTGATATTCTATTGTGTAATCTAGTCTGACAGATTATTTATTCTAGGCTAGTTAGGCCTTGTTAGGGAACAGAATACCTAATCTCCCCTAAGATGTCCTCCTAACTTGAGCTAACTTTAAGTACAATTAGACATCTATTAGGGCTGAAGACAAACTCTAGGGATTGTTGCTGTCGAAACGCGATTAAAATTAAACATGTCTTTTCAAGATTATGACAGTGTCATTAGAAATCTACGTCATTCTCTACTAGCGCGTACACAACTTTTGATGCACACCTCCGTACTCGTACCTTCCAATCAATCCGAGGGGCCAGTCGGTTGTCCTCCGCTCCACAACGGGCCGAGCGGGCACGAGACCCGGGGCCTTAGGCGCGCTTTAGGCACCAAGGCTAGTTAGAGGCCTAGGAGCCCTGGGCGCTCGTCTGTTCCCCTTGCTCGTAGACTGCGTGAGGATGACATTGGTGGCGGCGGAGCTCCCAAAGGAACGCAGAATTGATAGTACGCGTAATCCATGAGCCTTCGTGTGGGTGGTAGTACCCCGTACGGAGTCCATGATATTGCTCATGCCTTGTTAGCAAGGAGAGGCGCCGAATTAAGTAGCTACATAGGTAGCTAGGTGCTTTGATGGATAGTGAACATAGATAGGTACCTACCGCACATAGCGGCTCCAATAACACCCCCTGTTGGACGCTCCGTATTCATGCACCGCATTGCGAGTAAGTAATAGTACGGACCTCTCTATGTGCGAAGTACTCCGTGCTCCGTACTCTTGGTCGCCCTGGAAGTTGCTTCCGACCCGAGTGCAAGGACTCCCTTCTTGTGCGTGCCGTGTCGGCTTTATTATCATTGAATTAATAGGACTTGGGCATCTTGTCTATACGAGTAGTATTTTCCTACCTAGTCGTTGAAACACACGCACTGACTTCTCCATCCCTGCGTCAACGTCTCGGTGCCGCGCACGAGTACGGAGTGTCGCTTACCTCGTACTTCAGTCTCCGGCCGCGTTGACTTGTTCTTCCCATTCCTGCGCCTCTTTTTCTGGTCCTGTGAGCCTTGCCAGACCGCGCCTCCCAAGTTCCACACCTTGACTCCCGCACCCCTCAAGCGAACATCAATCACCAGTGGCGACCGCGACCGAACCCATCGCCTTGACAGCGCAGTCCACATGTCATCTTTACCCTCGATGCGACACATGACTTACCGTTCAAGTATATCCTACCTTGTCACCGAGAGGAATGCAACCTGCCAGGAGTAAAGCTGTGCTCCAACACCACAAAACAAAAGTACCACCCACCCGACAGGAAAACATCTGATATCTTGCCTGCGGCCAGGGCTGACATTGCTGATTAGCTTGCCAATTCATACTCTGAACTCCTCGAGTAAGCACCCCTTCCTGTCGCACGCGACCCTTACTTATCCCTGCAAAGACAATTCGCCTCCAAAGATCTCAAGAGTGTGGGAAACTACACCTTGGGGAAACTTATTGGAAAAGGCTCATTTGGCAAGGTCTATCTTGCCAAACATAATTTGACAAATGGCGCAAAGGTGGGCATCATCTGTTTCCGAACCTCCTCAAGCCCGTTAAACTCAATTCGAACAGGTGGTCCTCAAGGCTTCGAGCAAGAACGATCCCAACCTCGCACGCGAAATCCACCATCATCGCCAATTCGTCCACCCCCATATTGCCCGACTATATGAAGTTATAATAACCGAGTCTCTTGTTTGGCTGGTCTTGGAATATTGCCCTGGTACCGTTCTCCCGCCATAAAAGCTACTTCCGATCACTACTAAGTTCTCTCAGGTGATGAGCTATACAATTATTTATGCAAGAATGGCGCTCTGCCCGTCGAGACCGCACAGAAGATTTTCACTCAACTTGTTGGTGCTGTTGCATATATCCACAGCAAATCCTGCGTCCATCGCGATCTGAAGCTGGAGAATGTCTTGCTTGACAAACATGAAAATGTCAAACTATGCGATTTTGGCTTCACCAGAGAGTATGAGGGAAAGGCAAACTATCTCCAGACATTTTGCGGAACAGTGTGCTACAGCGCCCCGGAAATGCTCAGAGGTGAAAAGTATGCGGGCGAAAAAGTCGATGTCTGGAGCCTGGGGATCATCCTGTATGCTTTGTTGAAGGGCGAACTGCCATTTGATGAGGATGACGATGCTGCAACCAAAGCTAAAATTTTGAAGGACGACCCCGTATACCCCAGCACCTTCCCGGAACCAGCGAAGACTCTAATATCGAAACTCCTCTCCAAACGACCTCTTTACAGGCCTACCCTCTCTGAAATTTTGGCCGACCCCTTCTTGGCCGACCACGCGCCACAGCAACAAGCCGTGTTGAAGCTTTCTCAGCCGGCAGCCTTCTCCACAGAGTTGGAGAAAGATACTCTGGAGCGAATGAAAGCTGCTGGTGTAGATATTGACAAGGTCATCGAGAACGTCCTCTCCCAGAGGTGCGACTCACTAGCAGGATGGTGGACATTACTACTTGAGAAGGAGGGCAGAAAACATGCTCGAAGGGAACGAAAGCGGAAAGAGAAGGAAGCCGAGATGAAGCTACTCCGACGTTTGAGTGGTGCTAGTAGCCGTCTCGAAAGGATAGCGCCTACACTAGAAGAAGTTGATGAGGAGGGATCACCTGGATTCGTACTACCACGCCGTAGTGGCAGTGGAAGTCGAGGTCGAACTCAGAGAAGGAGTACACCTCAGATCCTTGTCAGCGACCTTCCACAACTTCCAGAGGGTGACGTCGTACAATCCCCAGGTGCCAAAACGCCTCCCCCCCCTCTTGATAAGGACTCAATACGCTCACAAAGTGGATCTCGACCCTCCTTGCCTCCCAAAGAGCGAAATCGCCGGAGCAGCACTCTACAGATAGTCGCAACCAATCCGGACCTCGTCGGGCCTCTAAATGGGGTTGGCAAGAGACGTGGAGGGAAGCTACGCAATCGACAATTCCTAAGTCAGCTTACTGCAATCAAGCATTGGTTTGTTGAATCCACCAAACGCGCCAGATCGCCCGGAGGCTCAAAGTTGGACAAGTCATTGAATGGCAGCTCCCATCTCTTAAACGCCAACAATGCCTTTGGTCGATCCGACAACAATATCAGAGGAATAAACGACCGCGAGAACAGGTCCTCTGTGGGCTCCGCGCTGACACCAGTCACATCGAACCCAAATCAAATAGCTTCCATGACCGCACCCGGAGGCCCTCGCATCGACACTTCGCGTGCAAGGAATCGCAACTCGCTTTCCCCCTCACCTCTCACCCCTCGCTCATCATATCGCCGAAGCTCAACCGGTCTTCGTGGTCGCAAATCCACATCGTCTTCCGTTTCCTCCGTACGGAGTATGCCCCGACATAAATCACATAGCAAAGCCTCATCTCAGAGCTCAAACAGTATTGACACCATCAACAGTCCTCGAACCAGAAGTGCTGCACACTCTCCTCACTCTTCGATCAAAGTCCTCCCTGCGACACCGACCTCAAACATATTTTCTTTGAGCGCTCGGTCATCGAGAACGCAAGGTGCTGATGGAACAATTCAACCACGTCCACTCTCTGGAACCTATGATGATAGTTCGCGTCTGTCCTTGACACCCCAGGCTGGTCAATTTGGGTCCGGTGTCATGTTTGCTCGGAGGAAGAAGTCGCCATTTAAAGGCCCCACGCTGAATCCTGCATTCTTCACCGCCTCTACGATTCCCGCCGCATTTGGTAGCCCTGCAATAGTTAATAGCAGAAACCGTGATGAATCAGATGGACATCTGAACCTCGGCTTGAAGGGCTTGATGAATGGTCACAAACGACAGAACAGCAGTAAGCGGAAAAGCCAGATCATCGAGGAGGAAGAGGAGGACGAACAACACCGAATCGGAGAAGAGGAAGAGGACGAAGATATTGAAGAAGTCGATGCATTTGCGGCTGTCAAACTAGGCAGGGGTGAGCGAGTGCAGAGTATTACGATTTTGAACGACGCAATCGACGAAGACAACACGACGGTGAAAGGGAGTCCTGGAAATAACTGAAAGGACTCCTTATGAATGAACCTCCGAGGGCGTGTTTATGAAATCTCCTGTACATGGGGCTGGCGCGACAGACCTTCGGTGTTCTGTCTTCTCAGCGCACTTTATGTCTGTCGGGCATCGACAACACAATGAATTAACTGCACCATATACTGGCTGAACTTTGGTTGGCCTTGAGCATTCGAAGTTACACATTTGACGAGGGAGTGTGTTATTTCTTCTCCTCAATCTTCAGCGACAGTACTTAGGATGTCTGCTTCTGAGCGTTTCTCATTGCATTGCAAGGCGCACAAACTACCTGTCAATTGGGGCAGAGTGTTTCATGATTCACCCTTGGCCTTGGCCTTCACCCAATTTTTGTTTAAATATATTTATGTTTTTGTATGATATGAGCACCGACGGCGACATCGATACTGAATGTCTGACACCAATATACCATGAAGAGAGAATTAATTTCTTTTTTTTTATTTCAAGCTCTTACCTTCTCTACATATCTGGCTTCTACTTCAGGACTTGGCTAAGGGAAGAGTTGGTCTATCGCTAGCGTGTAGAGAACAGACAGTAAAAAGGATAGATATCATGAACGTTGATCGACTCAATACGTGAGGAAAGGTAGATGATGCCTTGTCTTCCAAGATTTCATCTTTCTCTTTATGTATTTGGGTTTGATATTTACTCCTTTTCTTCCCCGGTTTTCGTTTCAGACCTCAAGCCAGACCTCCATCGCTTTCGCTACCTGGTTCGTCCAGCCAAGCAAAATCGCTGATTAGCCGTCTCGACCCATCTGCCGCAGTCTCAAAACGACTCAATTCGAGAGCCTGGCGGTGCTTACCGCCCGCAGCTGGGCGAGCCACGACGGCGACAAAGGCGAAGCGGCGCTCTTCGGGTGGAAGCAGGCCAGCCTGTGCAGCGTTCGACGCCGAGGATGTTCTGGAGGAAGGTGAGGACTCATGGTCTTCCCCTTCCTCGAGTGAGATTATTCTCGAGAGTACACGGTCAGGCTCGACGAATGCCCATTCAATTCCTCCTTGGCAGGGAGGAGGAGCTTCGCGCATCAGACGTTGTGCGCGTCTTCTCAGCACCGGGTCTCGGCATTTCATCGCGCAGAAATACAGTGGTGGAATGACTCCCGGGTCTACGCTGGCAAGGAGGTGGATCCTTGAGGAGTCGGAGCTTTGCTTGAGGTAGACGCGGGCGTGGTCGATGATCTCTGTGAATTGCTCCATGTAATTGTCGAAGAGGGTCTGGCGGTTGCTGATGCATGTTGCAAGAGATATGTAGCAGACGGCCCAGTACATCAATAGAAATGATGCCATCCAGTCGACCTCTGCGTCGGGAGCTGGACTCATCGCGGCGGTGAAGGTCGCCTTCCAGTCCAAGAGCTTGTTGAGTAAAGAGTGGCGAGCAGATGTGAATGAGACATTGACGGTGCTGTTGTCTGGAATGTGAGGCATGAATTCTGCAAGTCTGATCAACTCGAAGCAGTCATTTACCAGGCTGTAGAATTGAGTCCGGGAAGCTCTGAGCATGGGGGAACGGGATAGTGTTGCATCGAGTATATCACTCGCCTCGTTGTTGGCGGGACATTGGAGTTGTAGAGCGTATCCTAGTGTAGCCGTCACTACGGCCTTCCTCAGTACGAATGGTGTGACCACCTGATGGACGACTTGACCTGCGACCGACTCGGGGCTGTAACGGCGATTCGGCCTCAAATTCTCAATCGAGACGTTGCAGCACCTTTTCAACAACTCTCTACCAGCTTTGACATTCCCTTGCTGGAATTCGACGCAAGAGAACAATATATAACTCAAGGCAACGACGGATTCATCGATTTGATCACGCTCAGCCAGGCGCCGAAGACTCGCAATCGCTCGACTGTAGAATCCCAGCGCTTGTCGATGCTGTCGATTCACGACTTGGGTGGTCGAAAGCAATGGTCCCGCGAAACTCGAAACCGAAGTATATGGAACGTGTTCGTATAGAATGCTCAAGCACACGACGGAATCCCAGACGAAACTGTCAGTCTGCGCAAGCTGAGGGACTAGTTCTTTCCAGAATCTGGCATCCACTGCCCCCGTGAGAACGGGTGCCGCGCTACACATGAAGTACTGGAACGCACGCCGTTCAGCCTGAGCGCGCGGCGGTACAAGTGCCCGCGAGGCTTCCACTTGCGGGATTGGATTGGCTGATCGACCGTCCTGTCGGCCGTGAATGAATTGTAATTGCCTCACGGCTGGTCCTTCACACTTGCGCCCAGTCTCGGTGCATCTTCGACAATGCGGTAGCGTTTCATCACACTTTATCCTTCGAACCCTGTTCGTAAGCGACATGTAAGTTCTATGCTTGCAAGATCCTCGTATCGTAGACGGAGGGGGGCCTTACTTGCAGGTCCAGCACCCATATCTGGACTTCGTGTGAGATCCACGTTTTCGGGGTCGCATATGTGGTTTATCGTGCGGCATTATAAGCATCGCTGGGCATGCAGTTTAATAAGGCCGACTTTCAACGGCACCAATATCTTCTGAGATAGAATCCATCAACTCTGACCGATGACGGGTGATGGCTGGTGGCTTGAGTTCGGGTTGGGCTCTGACTCTCTTGCAATTCTCTTCCAGTCATAAACATTGTCAGCTACATGCAGGCTAAGGCTGAGGCTACCTATCGCGGCTTTTGAATTCGATGGGAGGGGCAGTGTATGAAGGGTGGTACAGCCAGCAATTGCATCTCGTAAAGGGGATGTTGCTTGGTCACGACCATAGCCTTGCTACCTTTCAACCCGTGCCGTACTGCCAAGTCGGGCCAACCAATCCCGTTGTAACATTTTGCTTGGACGCAGTATCATGTGGATACGGTATGTCGTCGCTCTCCCCATCTTCTGTCGCTCTTTTGTTCCTCCCCTTCCCAGAACACCTAGGCACCTTTCATTTCAATTTGACCACAACACCGAGGAAAGATGGCTGGCCCGAGACAAGATGCTGATTGAAAACCCCCAGTTCAAGTTGTTATTCTCCAAATCTGACTTAGAAGTCACCCCTGTTAAGTGAAATCGATTTGCAACCCATCTTCCTCCGAGTTTACGATAGCCTCGCATAAATCGTCCTCATTGTATCGCCAGCAGATTGTCACTGGTCCGCCATGTCCAACTTCATCTTTGACGGTGCATGAGTCCCGGGTAGCACCACCGTCAACCGCACCGCGTCAGCCGTCGGGAAAGTGCTCATTGTCTTCTCCCTCAAGGATCTAGAATGGATGCAGGCTTGCTCGCCAGAGGCATGTAGGCTATCATTGATTACGTGACTATTGAATCGGGCCTTGAACATAGTATCTCATGTTGAGCTGCCAAATTTATCACTCCTCTCAGATAGACATTGAATACTAAGGTTTATCTTATTGAAAAATGTAATACCTGCGGACAAAACCTCTAGTTTCTTCAAAGCTCCTCAAGACGAACCGAAAGGCCTCAAAACCCAGGGCCAACCAATTCAAAATTCCACTTTTCGTATCATTGAAGCCAAGTGAATAGGGCCTCGTGATCGGCTCCTGTACTGATGTCCTCTAATGAGCTGTTCTTAGCTCACCACTGGCCTACTGCGGTGATGCCAAAGTACCATGAAGTATCAGCAGACGATAATCCTCGTCTAGTGTCCGCATAACTTTCGTAGATAAATACAGGTGTGATGTTTGTGGTTGGTTCGGGCCTTCAGGAAACGGTCTTCTTTGCTGCATCGACAGCTTGAGCGGCTTTGTCCTTGGCCTGCTCTGCTATCGAGCCTGCTGATTGCTCTAGCTTCTCCTTTTCAGCGCGGATTGCGGCCCATTTGTCGGCTCCACCTTGACTAGAGATTTGTAAGCTTTTGCTCTTGACTCATAATTTCTCGCTCAGAGATGTGCGTGAGGGATACTCGGGGCACACTTACTACCAGTAGTCGTACCACCGATATCCCTGCGTTAACTGTGCGTTGAAGTTGACGAAGTGGCAAGCGAATAGGAGGTAGTTCTTGGGTTGCACAGCCATGGCATATCGCATGAAAGTAGCAGAGTATACTGTCAGGGCAGCGGTAAATTTCCCGGATATACTAGAAAAAAGTTTGGTCAGCGACCAATGTCAGGGAAGAAGAACCCGCGGAAGTTGTATGCCCCAAGATAAGGACGGTGCAGAGGATGCGGTTAGAAGTATATTCATTTCCATATATCCATCTCTTCTGCGGGTTTTGTTTCCTATTGATTTGCACATACATTTCGGGATCTTTCTGCGTATCCAAAACAGCTGCGATGGGAATACCGAAGTTGGAGGCTGGGCCCCAGAAATCTGTAATGTTGAGTCACCTTGTTAGAATTTCGGACTCGACAAAGACAGCAATGCTGCAGTCGCAATTGCAGAGGCTTGGGCCGCCGGCAGAAGCAAGCAGAGCGAATAATCGCATTCCGCACAGTAAGCCACTAATAGGGAGAGTGCACACGTACGAGTCGAGCAGAAGTAGTCAGAGACTGGATTTGAGCGGATCTTCGCGTTGAGGGCTTTAATTGCTGCAGCCATGGTGATGGACCGTGTGTGCTGTGAAGAAAGACCGGATAGCAGTAGACACACTCGTGTGAGATAGCAGCAGTATCCTGAGCGGCGGGGAAAGAATGCAGCCGGAATGAAGCAGATGGAGAGATAGCTAATAATGACTCGGAGTGCTGCGTATGGAAAAATGGAGGATGGGGGATGGGGATGGCGGACGACGGATGGCTGCTGATGGTTGGCTGCTCCCGGCTGGATTCGGTTTTAGGAGCCCGCCAAATCTCCGCCGGGGTCACGTGCTATTCTTCTCTACGTGCAGACAGTCGAGTGAGACTTCTCAAAACGACCTATTTCCCCGCGCCTTCCCTCTTTTCTCCACATCCAGCCATGCTCCTGGTAAAATGTTCAGCCTGTATTCATTTATTGTTCCGGAGCAATCACGGATACCTAGGTAGTACACCTACGTCGTTTGCTACTATGCTATCAGTGGTATAGTAGGTAGGATGTGGACGAGAGAAAGTGGTCATTCTGGCCCTTCCAATCTCATGCGATCTAACAGCTGTTGTCACATTTACCATGTCCTCAGTACCCGTACGGCAAATAGGGTTCGTTAATTGTTATCCTGCTCCAGGTTCTTCATTCCAAGTTCCAAGGGCCTTCCCCCTTGTTTCATAGCTTTGCTACGTTGAGGCCTGTTAGTATGGTCCTTCTTTTAGTCCGACGCTATTCCTTCTGGCCCAGCAACTGAGCCTGGAATCGGATCTGAAAGCAAAGATCATCAACTGCCCGTAAGTCAATATCCGCTGTTGCGGTTGACTTAAGCTGATCCAGTGCCGCTTGCAATGTGGTGAGAAATCCTGGCCTCGCATGATTATCTGGCGCCTCCTCCATACTGCACGGTGCTGTCACCACTGATGCTTCTGCCACACTATGATGGTCTTGGATCTCATTGGAATGAGTAAACGCGTCTGCTCGAGAGAGAGTTGGTTCATCCAGAATTGGCACTTCTTCAACATCGACAACCATCATTTCACTGTTATCAGTGTGCTCATTAAGACATTTGTCTACTCCGACATCGTCAGAGATGTCAAACTCGGTCTTCATTATTAGTGGTGTCGGGACCATGGTCGCCTCGACCACCTGTGAAGTTCGTCGAGGTTCAAATTGGTTGGCTCGCAAATGCTTCCGTGGACGGCCTCGGCCTCGGCGTCGAGTCGGAATAGGGGCAGAGATACCAGATTGCCGCTCTGGAGTAGGGTGATCATATATGCTAACTTCGGCACTCGGGGACGAGACGACTTCAATGGTGTCCCGCAAGTCTTGCTGGCTAGCAGTGGATTCTTCACCAAGAGAATGCGAGGATAGCTGTGATGATGACTTAGTCCGTCTTTTCCTTGCCGGTTTAGCTTGGTTGCTGGCTCTGCGTTTTCGGAAATTATGCTTCACAAGGGAGCGATCCTGCTCATAATCATTCGTAGGCCTGGTCGTCAACTCGTCCTCGATTGCTGGTGGATTGGGAGAACTTCTCACAGTTTCATGGACATGACGATCAAGATCTTGAGACAGTTGCGATGCGCTAAGAATATCATTCTCGTCACTGTCACTCCTTGGATGTCCCACAGCACTTGTTGTCTCCTCGCCCACGAGGCTCTCCGTGCGAATCACTTCCTCTGGAACAGTCGCACTGTGGGCAATTTCACCATCTTGTACGTTTGTACTGGCTGAGGTTGCCTCAGACTCGTGTAGCTCAATTACTGTGTTGATTAAGTCGGCAGGGCCCTCTTCAGCTGAAGCGAGCCGTACCTCCTTGACTTCGCCGATCATCCCATCCATCTCCTCATCAAACTGCTCAAGGGCATCTGACGGAGGTATTCCAATCTCGATGACCATGTGACCATGGTCCACTGGTCCTTGTAGAGGTGAAGAGAGGGTTTCGAGCCCGGTTCGGCCCTTGCTGTCGTTGTCGTGCATTGAAGGTGGTGATGATGGAACCTCAATATCCATTGTGTGCTTGGTATAATGTCGAGCACGTGGAGTCGGCGAGGCCAAAATTTCCAACCCCGCCTGGTCTTGATTGTTGGGAAGGGTGGGAGTTGACGGACATTCATCTAGGGCTGCGGCTTTACGGGCAAACTCGCAGTCACCATGATGCTGTGACTTGCTTTGAGGTCGCGGACTGGATCTTAAATCGGGGAAAACAACTGCGGGCTCTGATCGCTGTCTGTCACGCACATCTTTCTGATGCACTGTAAGATACTGTGACTCAAATTCATGTATTGACGCAGGGGACGATTCGATGGGCACAAAGTGCAATTGGGAATCATCATGTCTCGACCGGGGCCTTGAGCTGGGTCTCTCTGTGCCCAGCCTCGAGGGAATAACACTCTGTTCTTCTTCAAGATAGATCAGTGCATCCGCACGAGGCTGACTCCCAAACTCTGGTGAATGAACAGCCAGTACATCGGCTGGAGACAAAGACTGCCGACCAGTATAGTGTGAGGGTGAAGAGAGTGTTTCCACACAGGCCGGGGGCGATGAAACCGCACAAAGGTCTAGGTCCTTTAGATGCAGCGGCATTCCAGGAATATCAATATCGGTAAATTTCTGGAGTTCTAAAAGGGCTTGCTTCAAGCTAGGGCCGAGTGTTGTTGTCTCTTGCGATCCGAATGTTGCATTCCACATTGTAATGGCATGATTTACCACGGTGACTGATCTACTCGTGAACAAGCTGGAGAAAATATCGTCCATGGCCTCAACATTAGTAGGCGGCAGCTTCCCCAAGACACTGATGATAGTCTCGCCAAAATTCTCATATCGCTGACTCTCACTCATGGTAGAGTGTCGTCGCAAGATACCCGCTTCATCCTTCAATATCAGAGCCAAGGGTTTGTGGAGTCTGGTTAATGTTGATAGTAAAAGGTCGTTTGGGGAACTCAGTAAGACGAGATCGACTTCACTCATCCCTTCAGTCAGGTTGTGCAAATCGCCTTGCACTACGTACTCCAGGATCATGTTCTCCATCAAGTTGAGACATTTTGCGTATTGAGGCAGCAATGACTGAACAGGGATTCTGTGGTTAGAGGGGTGTGAGCGAACTTCTAGATGGTCCTGTTGCTGCGAGAGCTCCGAGAAGATCGCAAGTGACAATTCCGAACAGATAAATGGCAGACGGATGGATTGATCGCTTGATTCCAGCGCCGTCAGCATCATATGGTGTCCCAGCTCCATGACTGAACTCCTCGTCATCTGCCTTATCTGAGCTGCAGTGTGGACAGCAATTTCCCCAGTATCAAGAACAGAATCTTGCCAGATGCGCGCGAGAAATGCAAGGATAGTGCCTGTTGCGTGTTTCGTTTCTGCAGATGGCTTGATCTCCTTGCTACTCGCATCTCGAATGGCTCTGAGGAAATGTATCCAAGCCACTGCGATGTATGCTTTGTCGGATTGGCCAGAAGCTCCCCATGAACTGTATCGCAACAAGATTTGGAACATGTCGACGATAGCTGAACACTTAGCTCTGACCCATTTGCAGTCAAGAGAAGGGATTTCGTCTGGCCCGGTCATCCTGGAGTCTTGTAGAGCTCGACCTTCATGCCACATCTTGGTCCCTTTGCTTGAATTCCACAGCAATGCAATGAAAACCCTACAAGCCATATCTGAATTGGCCGGATTTTTCTCAAAGAACGAGCTTCGCATGACTTTGACAATGTACTCGTTCCAAACCCGGGTATATTGTTTATGGGTCGAGGCAGGCCGGAAGGCATAGTACAGCAAGGTGCAGTAGCTTCCGACCGCTGTGGCTCGTGATCCCTTCATACTCTTATCTCCACTTTGCCTCTCTAATTGGATGGTGATGGGCTTTGCCAGCATACCTAAAAGTGTATCTGACGCTTCGTGGGGTCTCGCAACATACACCAGTCTATTCCAGGCCAGGTTAGATTGCTGTCTGAGAATGGAATCGCTGCCGTTGAAACATTTTTGGATAACCTTGAGCCAATTTTTGAGATCGACCCAGTTGTCGATGCGTGTGTCCGTACTGTTGCTGAGAAGAACTATTGTTGACCAAATTTGAGGGACTTGAACCATATCATCCTTCGAAGCAATCATTTTCTCCAGCCTTCGGCAAATGGCGGTGCCAAAAGAAACCTCTTTTTCCAGCTCACGCTCTAAAACAGTCCTGGTGGCATGGGAGATGGACGAAGACGCAGGGAACGTCGAGCATACTTGAACTCCAAAGTCGATTGCTTTGACCCTGACCTCTTTGCAGCTATTTATCAATCCGGTCAACAGCTCCTCGGTCCACAAGTTCGCTTTTCCTTGCATATTTGCTTTAGATTGCTCCAGCAGCTTTCTGTAAACCAAGAGTCTCTCTAAAGTTACTCCGATACCTTTGATATGCTCAGAAAGCGCTTTGAGGGAGTCAAGAAGGCGTAGAACTCTATTGTGGGAGGCAAGTAGAACAGGTCGGAAATCTTGAGTGGCCAGGAGGTGCAAGTAATGGATAATTACACTCTTTGGGGCTGTATGCTCTGAGATGACAAGTATGGAGCGGTCGAGAATGAAGAGACGATATTCGTCGGTCAAGAAGGAGGAGTATTCCGCATTCCAGACAAATATAACAAGTACCTTCAATGCTTGTGTGATTAGATTCGTGTCCGCGATCTCATCAATTGGCTTCAATAAGTCCCGTCTGATATACTTGAGAATTTTCGTGACCTTGCTCTTGAGAACTGCTTCATCAGGGATGTCGTCGTATTGTCTGATCACTTTGGCAAGAGTTTGGTAGGCATCTACCGAGATAGTACGCTCATCGCCTGCAAGTTGTTGCACAATACTCTCCATCATCGCACCCATAGAAATGCCCTCCTCTTTCTGTCCTTTGGCGGTCGGTAAGGGTTCTTCGTTGACCTGAGTCGTCTTGAGAATGGATTTCAGGGAGGCCTGACACTCAGAAGAAGGAGGCAGCGGCTTTACAGTAGATGTTGTGGAAGGACACTCGCTCGCGTGTATCAGATCGGAGGCATTGGTCCACGGAGAGAACTCTACGCGTTTGCGGGTGCCGTTGCTTGAGGAGCCTTGAATTGATGCCGGGGACTCTGGCGTACTCGTGAGGTTCATAGATGATTTTGTGAACAGCGGTTTCCTTCGTGAGGAAGTTGAGGGCGGGCTTGGTGGAAGACCTTCAAGGATCGACATCGTGACTTGGACAGAAGGACAGAGGCCTGAAATTGCGCTCCTCACGAGCAATAAGGGCAGGTCCGGAGACTAGCTAGCGAGTCTGCCTGCAGTCTCTTGTCTCTCAACGTATAAACAAAGCCCATGGAGACGCAATTAAAGAATGCATCAGAGAACAGAGTACTGACGACGTTACAGCGCCGAATTCAACGAGATGGAGAGATGTGGAGTGCCAGCCACTAATTAACGCGTCGTTTGGACGCGTCTGGATTGCGGGCCCCTCGGGTGGACTTTAAGGAGGGTCGTTTAAGGGCTAACCCCGAAAAGGGGATCTCTTTAAGAGATCTGATTTAGCGTGATTCTTTGACAGCTAACGTCCCGCCAAGCTCAACCCAGTCCCATGGAAAACTGTGCAAGGCTGCCCAAGGCGGCCTTTTCAATATTGTCTAGTTCGACCTTCTCTAGGTAGGCAAGAATGTCCATCTCATGAAACACTGCAATCGTCGAAACCAAGATGCCTAGCAAGGCCCAGCAGGCAGAGGCCAGTGCGCTTCTTAAGCAATTACGAGATGATATCGGCAACAACTTGCTCGATGACAAGGTCCACACGCAAGCTCTGGAGGGACTGAAGGTTCTCGGGAGGGATGCAGGAAATGTTGCAAACATATATGATAAATGCGGCATCGAGACACTGGGACACTACGCTTTCGATGTCTACCCTACCAGCACTCATCAAGAAGCATTGAGATGCATTGCGAACGCGCTCCTACTATTGCCCCAAACACGAAAATTCTACATCGAGCTTGACCTTGACAAGAAATCAACCCAGAAGCTCCAGGAAGCAGATGTTGATGACGAGTTTCTGCTGGCAAGGATCTTGTTCTTGCTAACCTACGACCCTAGCATGAACCTTGATGTCCTCATCCTCGAGAATGATTTGGCCACCAGCATCATTAACCTGCTTTCTCGGCACGCTGCAATTCTATCCATGACACCTAGGACGACTACCGCCACTCAAAGCAGTGACATGGCACTACAAGAGACATTGAAGCTGCTATTCAACGTGACCAGCGCGAAAGGAGACCAGGTATCCAGGTTCAGTTCAGCCGTGCCGCATCTAATTTTGATACTCGGCTCATTGCCAATACTAAGCCCACCACTCCAGGCCCCCTTGAGTTTAACCCTCAATGCACTTGCCAATCTTGAGATAGCCGAAGAAAACCTAGATGACGAGGGGCAACTGCGACCGGTGGTGGACAAGCTTACTACGATTCTGGATCAAGCGGTGCAACGGTACTCTTCGATAGAGTTAGAGACACTGGGTGTGCCATTGATAACGACATTGAGGAAAATCAACGATATAGCAAGTTTGGACTTGCGTGAATGGATGAAGTCGAAATTCCTGCCGGATGATAAGGAAAGAGATCAGCCACTTGGAAAATCATCTTCATTGCCCTCACGCCTTCTACGACTGACTACCTCGTCAGGGTCATTACATTTGACGGAAGCTATATCTGGCTTGCAATTTGAGCTTTCTAACAAGGATGCAAACGAATACGTCAAAAACGTTGGTTACGGATACGCAGCCGGATATCTCATGTCTCACAAGATTCCTATCCCCGAGAGCGACAGGGCAGAGGCAACCGAGGGAGCTTCCAGCAGTGTCCCTACCAACCCCATCACTGGACAGCGACTTGATAAGGAACCACTAATTGAGGTTCCGAACATGTCTCAGGAAGAAAGGGAACGAGAGGCTGAACGATTGTTTGTGCTATTCGAGAGGCTCAAGGCGACCGGGATGGTCAATGTCAAGAATCCGGTCGAGGTAGCCAAGGATGCGGGTAGATTTGAAGAGCTCAGGGACTCAGATACTGAGTAGCAGTGTAGCTGTCAGCTTGTCTGGCACTGTACCATTGATATACGAGTAACATCACGCAACACGGAACACCTCCATTTGTAATCCGCCAGCCCAGATTTGACCATGGTGCCACTCGGAAGACGGAAAAATAGAGCGGGGCCGGCGTCTAGGCGCTAGTTAGCGATACTTTGTTCCTGCATTCTCAACGATAAGCTTAACTTTTCACTGGTCGGGCGCCTATTACGTACGCCTACGGGCTTGATCGCCAGGGCGTTCTGCCGCGCCACCGCCCTTGACCCATGACTCGTGGCTCCTCCGGGCCCATTCTGCGATTGATTAGGTATCTCCCCATCCCAACTCACCCCCAGGAAACTTTTTTCCCGCCCTGGTCACGGCTCACCCGTCGCAGCTGCGTTCCCTTCGAAAGTTACCATATGCGTCTCTCCTTTCTTGCCCTTTCACAATTGCCCCCCTTCAGAGACGCACGACACGTCTCATCCTCGCCTTCATCCCGTCATGGTGCATCGCGTCGACATAGCTATGAACGGAACTACTAAGGTCAATGGCACGAATGCCCACTACAAAGACGGGTCCCTGCGGCCTCAAAACACTCCCCGGAAGGCCTCCTCGCCTATGGCCCCTCCATTCATGGTCTCTGCTCCAGGAAAGGTCATTGTGTTTGGCGAACATGCAGTTGTTCACGGAAAGGCGGCCATGGCTGCATCCATCTCCATGCGCTCATATCTCCTCGTCACTACACTCTCCAAGTCTCAACGGACCGTCCAGTTGGTCTTTCCAGATGTCGGTCTCGACCATACCTGGAATATCGACGATCTGCCATGGCACACCTGGGAGAAGATCAAAAAGCCTCGATATTACGATATGGTCACCTCTTTAGACCCTGAGCTGGTCAAAGCTATGCAACCGCACGTTGATCCTGTCTCTCCACATCTCACTGGCGAGAAGAAAAGGATTCATGTCCATGCAGCCTCCTGCTTCCTCTATCTCTTCCTCACTCTCAGTAGCCCAAAAGCCCCCGCCAGCATATACACGCTCAGGTCAACCTTGCCAATCGCGGCAGGATTGGGCTCAAGTGCAAGCGTCTCGGTCTGTATCAGTGCAGCCCTTCTCAAGCAAATTCATGTCCTCTCGGGACCTCACGAGGACCAGCCGGAGGAAGAAGTGGATCTCCAGCTTGAGAGAATTAACAGATGGGCTTTCGTTGGCGAGCTTTGCATTCACGGAAACCCCAGCGGCATAGACAACACCGTCTCAACTCGAGGGAGGGCAGTACTCTTCAAAAGGACGGACTACAAAAAGCCTCCCACTGCAACTCCTGTCAAAGATTTCCCAGAACTACCTTTACTTTTAATAAACACAAACCAAAGTCGGTCTACGGCTGCTGAAGTGGCCAAGGTTGGCCTCATGAAGAAAAAATATCCCGCGGTGACAGAGGCCACCCTGGACAGCATCGACGAGGTCACTATGTCAGCATACAACCTCATCAATTCGGATGACTTCGACTCCGAGTCAGAGAAAAATATTGAACATCTAGGAGACCTGTTCCGAGTCAATCACGGACTATTGGTGTCATTAGGAGTCTCCCATCCGAAACTGGAATACATTCGAGAATTGATTGACTACGCTGGGATTGGCTGGACCAAACTAACAGGCGCTGGCGGGGGTGGTTGTGCTATCACTCTATTAAAGAACGATACTGGACCCGAGTCTTTGCGAGATCTGCACCAAAAGTTCGAGGCGGCAGGGTTTACAGAATTCAGAACCACGCTCGGTGGTAGTGGAGTCGGCATGCTATATCCCGCAGTCCTCCGCAACGGGACCGAAGAAGAAGGTGGCGAAGAAATTGACCAGCAGAAATTCCTGAACGCAGAGGGACCCGAGGATATCGAGGACCTGGTCGGTGTTGGTCTCTTACAAAGAAGGCCTGAGTGGAAATTTTGGCAGTGATAATATTTGTGCTCTGCTTAACTATTTTGATGGATGTCTTACGAGCGGTGGCGCAAAGCGGCATCAACTAATGCAGCGCTTGGTAATTTGTACAACAAGAAATCCGGGAATTATGTATATCACCGCCGTAAAAAGCGCCTGGAAGGATGATAGGATGTGTTCCGATCAATCATGATGAGGCGAGGGGCGGGTGGTCATCACGTGATATTTTCATCTCCGTTTCGACGGCAAGTCATCTTAACATTGTTCTTCTCATTCCAGTCCTCAGATTGGACAACCAAACATTGTTGTTAAATGCTGTGATATTTTCTACTCGTCGTTGTTACACCACTATTGTTGTGAGGCAACGATTCCGAGAGAATTGCAACGCCTTTTCCCAAAAAGGACTGCTCTGGCTAGAGCACCAGAAATTCATGTGATATCCGGCTGGACGTATGGGCATCTTCGCTTTATAGTTTGCTTCTTCCAGGTGGTCCAAGCAGACTTCAGATTCAGAATCTGTCATTGCAACAAATCCGCTCGCTTAAAGGAATGCCAGAATCCTCCAAGTCAAAAGACGCAGCCCATCGGCCCAAGCCCAAGTCCATCAAATCCAAAGAACCATTCTACTCTGTGTCACCATTGTGGGAAGATGTCACGCCACTGCCGCTGATTGATGGTCCACCGGGCCAGAAGGATCCAGGCCCTGCTCTCGCTACCATTGCGTATTCACCCCGGTACGCTGAAGCCATGTCTTATCTCCGGGCGGTCATGGCAACAAACGAGTTCAGCAGGAGGACTTTGGACTTGACAGAGGATATCATTAGCATGAATCCATCACACTACACGGTCTGGCTCTACCGAGCTAAGATTCTCAAGATGCTCTGGGAAGCGGAGGATACCTCTACGGACGACGGGGTCAAGGCCGAGCTGGAATGGCTGGAAGGCATCAGTGAGCGGAATTTGAAAAACTACCAGATCTGGTGAGTCTGCTCAGAGGGGACAAGATGATTGCTGGACCTTTCCCAGCCACGATTCTTGCTTTGTGGAGCATAATACTGACTCAGGGCTTTCGATAACATACAGGCACCATCGGCAGCTAATGGTTTCGCTGATCACACAACTCCCTCCTGGCGAGACCGAGTTCCTCGCTCACATCCTATCCTTCGACAGCAAGAACTACCACGTCTGGACATACAGACAGTGGCTGTGTCGTCAGTTCCCAGATTCTTTACTTACGACAGACTTGGAGCTAGCCGCAATCGACGCCATGATCAACGAGGACATCAGAAACAACTCGGCCTGGAACCACCGCTACTTTGTCTGCTTTGGCGCGGAAGAGCTTCAAGCCATCGAGAAGGGAGGTGGGAACAGAAAAGAAGTGCTCGCGCAGGGGAGACTGGTGGTCGACGAGGAGGTCGTCGAGCGCGAGATCAACTACGCCAAAGACCGTATCGCTTGGGCCCCTCAGAACCCCAGCCCCTGGAATTATCTCAAGGGTGTGTTGAAACGGGCGGGGATTCCCATCACTGATATGCAGGTGTTTTGTGAAGGCTTCGTCGGCGGTAAAAACGCAGATCTTCTCGGTGAGGATGTCAGGAGCAGCCATGCTATCGACTGGCTTGCGGATATGTACCGGCTCGATGGTAACAAAGATAGAAGCAAGCTGTGTCTGGATGCGTTGGGCAAGAAATGGGATCCCATTAGGAGGAAGTATTGGGAGTATCGTGTCGAGCAATTGAACGCAGCAAATCTTGCCGAAGGGCATGCCGAGGCGTCATGAGTGAGTCAGCGTTTGAGCAAATGATGCATGCCAAAAGCTGAAATGCGGTCCAATCTACACCGATCTAATGCTCGCTGTCACTTCTTTTGATGGGTCAGGTAGCCACGTTAATATCACCCAATTGTCCGATGCAACCATGTCAGGGTCCAAGACCCATCTCCAGTCCAGTCGCTCATTTCTCGGGTGAACATGCCAGACGTTGTCGTTGCCGTTGTCGTTGCCGTTGCCGTTGTCGTTGCCGTTGCCGTTGTCGTTGTCGTTGTCGTTGTCGTTGTCGTTGTCGTTGTCGTGTCGATGGATGATCTACCGCCCCCTGTTCGTGTATCGAGCCTCGGTCTGTCTTCGTTGCGAAGACCAGACTTGGACCGAGTTCGCCAACGGTATCCGAACGAGATATTCTATCCCGAGAGAGCGATCGATTGATGAAGAGGTCTCTATGATGTTGTACTACGCCTTCACAGCGAGGACTCCCACCGGAGTGAGGATGACGTCATTTGAGCTTGACCACTGATTTAGTCATCAATTGCCCGATACGTAAGGAGCACTCCGTACTAATTAAGGGACCACAACGACCATCAAGAAATCCAATTGCGCTCACATGATATCATTCTCGTTTTCGCCCAGATCAGATAATGGACAACAACTGCCCTTGGGGCTGTAACATGGTATTACATATGTACCGACAAGCTTGAGTTGCAAGCCTGTCCTTTTCCGTCCCTTTGCAGGTATGTACCATGGATGACTTAAGCATTAAGGCATCCCCTCAGTCGCCGAGGACCTGACATGGTTGTCAACCAAGTGCACGATGCGGAAACTAGCTTTCGGATTAGCTGCAATTGGACGTAGTCTCTGAAATACTTACAGCCTCAGGAGAAGATCTAGGTTTGTCCTGATCAATGTCCGCGCCTTCACCAAAATAGCACTCTCTAATGCTTTGATAGGCCAAAGACTGTTTCTGCGGGCAGCATCATCACTCTGACTGGAGTGTTTGGAGGCAACGCCACGCCAAAGAACTGCGAACAGAGGGAATTTCGGGTCGCTAGCACCCACGTAGTATACCGGCGCGCCGGTCAGTACGCGCCAGTCAGTACAAGACTCGCTATGATGCGGTAGTGGACAAAGGTCCTAGGAGCAGTCAGAAAAAGGGACAATGATGGACTTAGTTCCAGGCGTCCTAGCTTATGACACTCCCGGCGCTCTATCTACGTGGTTCTCTCGGACGAAGCATTCGTGCTATTTATGTTCGGGTTCCTGTTAAAGAGATGGCCGAAAAAGGAGCCAGTTAACTCAGCATGGTTCTCAGGCCCTCCTCTTTCTCTGCCCCACTAGCCCTCTTGATGGATTTGATGTCGCTCACGGGTCAAAGCCGATCACGGGGAAGTTTCAACATCAAGACGTCGAGGCCTTCAAAATATATGTACGTTGTATTACTATACGGTCATTTTTATCCTCTTGGAAGTATTCGACAATCAGTACGAGATATTCAGCTAGAACAAAGGCTACGGGCTTGTGGACGCAGCTTCCAGCCTGTAGCAGCCTCACAGGGTCTGGCTCCTTTGATATAGTGGAGCAGCTTTGGCGTGGTATTTAAGGAATCTCAGTCGAAGTAATACCCTGCTAATTATAGGAGATTTGCGTATGATTACGGTGCGGAAGCTGGGATGCCTTACATCAAGCATGTACCCTATATCTTTACGGTTTCAACTGAGCAAACATGATGCCGCAAGTAACATCTTCTCAGAGTTCATCTGCTACAACACCCGGCAGCAGAACCAGGCTCGTTTTTGACTCTCCACGGACAACTCTGCCTATCTAACCACCTTATATGCTTGGGATTTCCCATCATGAATCTAAATCAACCTTCGCCCGCGCCCGTGACGCCGTTGGCTCTGGCGAACGACCTGACTCTGAGACTCTGCCGTCGACTACCACCCCAACTCGGCCGCAGACTACCCAGCCGACGAGATCACCCGCTGGGCCTTCTACCTCCCAGCGCCCCACCCGGCGTGCCTCGCAGCGTGCCTCCTTTTTAGGAGGGAGGGCACCCATACCGCTCAATTTGGCAGAGGAACATCCACTACCGCCACTCAAATGAAAGACAACAGCGATATTCGCAAGCAACGAGGCCGAATAGCATGGTACCACAGCCATTGAATCTCCCCATAGACCCTCGACCCGCTGAGCCAAGTCCAGCCCCGGGTGCACCAGATCCTTTCCAACAAAGCCCATACCGTGGCGCACTACTCGCCTCGGGCTGTGAGCTTCTCGCTCCAAACCGTACAAGATTTCCCGTCACCAATTATGTGAAGTGGGTACAACAAGAAATGGCGCAAGGAAGGTTACCCCCGCCGCCGCCAGAGGAAACACCGGCACAGGAAAAGCATCGGCATAATGTAGTGGGCGTCGTCGCATATGAAGAGCGTAACGAACGAAACTTGCTTGAAGCTCAGAGACGTCAGGACGAGAACAACGCGCTGGCAGACTATCGAGCGATATAGGTCAACGAGTACAACAGGCAAACAGCTATGATAGCGAGTCAAAAGACGGTCACTGGAAACAGAATAACTGCGCTCATAGTTGCGGCAATAACCTTTGCGGCCGCTCACACTTCGAGGTTAGCCAGCCCTGCTGCTACAGGTGGTGGTTCGACCAGCACAAACACGCCAGGGACGGCACTGGCGGCCAGCTCCGGGCGCAGTTCATATGTCGGCGGCGTTTCTCAGAATGCGAGACGACGCTTTAACGCTGGTGCTGTTGGAGGAACAGTCGAAGAGAATGGCGTTCCACACCTACCTGACTGGGTGCGGCCCGACGGTGCGACACAGGATCACAACGGAGAACTTGGGTTGGACGGTGAGCCTTATTACCATGATTCGACATATGGGATGGGGGAAATGCCCCAATTAGAGACTCCTGACCCGGGCTTCCAGGACGGGCTTCCAACCTCAACAGCTGGAACAACGGGGATGCCAAAGGCCAAACGATTCCAGGCGACGCCAGTGGCTACAGGGGCGTAACAGTTGGGGAATGTGGATGAATATGCAGTGAATCAAGGTCTGCAGCATCATGTCCCGCAAGATTTTCCACTCAAGAAGCGGAGATTATCGACAAGGGGGCATTGTTGTAATTATCGGCTTGTTTATCACCAAGGATTTTGTCGAGATAAAAGGAAATCTGGATGGCGCGCGCGCCATCTGTTGCTGCCACAATGCTGTATCTTTCAGGGTAGAGACATCGGAATTCGTGTTGTTCGATAAAGTATGACCATAGACTTCAACTATACTGCTTCAAGACGATGTGAGACACGGTTATCAACATACTTAACTAGGTAGACAGACATCATCTAACTGTACAATCGTGTCCTTCATGGCTGCTTTACTTTGTACGAAGGGGGTGGATAAATCTTCAAGATCTTTGAAGGGGGAATCTCAAATCTAGGCAGAAGCTCCTGTCATTCCAGTTTCAAATGACGTCGTCAATCTTCAACGAATTGACACCGACTGTCCCCTCCCGCAATAGACACATGCTCATAGATGTTGACTACTGTTCATCTTGACATGCTAGGAATATGTACGGATCGTCTACAGTAGAATGACAGCCCATGTGATGCTGTGGTAAAACGGGCCTGCCTCAAATCACAACCTCCAAGGCTCGCAGAGTTGGTATCCTGGGATGGGACCGAATGACATCCCATGCAAGTCTCAATTTACACGGCGAGATCTCCATCTCCTGAGCCAGTCATCCACAAAGTCGCCGTTGCGCGTCATTGCCTTGATTGACTTTGACTGTTTCTACGCACAGTGCGAGGGTGTGAGGCTAGGACTTCCCGCGGACCAGCCTCTGGGGGTCCAGCAGTTTCTCCACGTCATTGCCATCAACTACCCAGCTCGAGCCGCCGGCCTGAAGAAGGTGGTCACAGCAGTGGAAGCGCGAGAGAAGTGTCCGAATATTGTGCTCCAGCATGTACCTACATGGAGGGAAGGCGATACCAATTGGCGGTACCGGGATGATGTTCTTCAGCACATGGCCACCGACAAGTCCTCACTTGATTACTATCGTCTTCAGTCTCGGAAGGCAATTGAACTCGTGAAGGAGGCACTCCCCACGGCTTCGCGAAGGATAGAAAAGGCAGGGATTGATGAGGTCTTCATAGACTTGTCAGGCCCTGTCTACGACGTTCTTGTGCAGCGATTTCCCGACCTTTTGGCTTGCGAATCGGATCTGCCAAACCCTTCCAACATCGTCCTTGATTGGGAGGATGATCAACTTGTACCCTGCGAACCTGAGGTGGAAAGCAAACGAAATCATGAAGCTCTAGATTGGCACATCATTGCCCTCAATGTCGGGTCCGAGATTGTGCGAGATATCCGGAGGAAGATAATGAGTGGTCTAAATTACACCAGCTCCGCAGGTATCGCGCACAACAAGGTTCTTGCAAAACTCGCGGCTGGCCATAACAAGCCAAACAAGCAGACCATCGTCCGCAAGTGCAGTACCAGCTCATTCCTCTCTGGCTATAAAATCACAAAGCTTCGTGGATTAGGCGGGAAACTTGGACGTCAAGTCGTTACGATATATGGTTTGGAAACCATCTCAGATCTACTGCAATTCCCGCTCAAAGAGATGCAATCAAAGCTTGGGTCACAGTCTGGAAAATGGGTGTATCAAGCCATCCGAGGGCTCGAGGATAGTGAGGTCGTCCAGAGAACGGAGATCAAAAGTATGCTCTCGGCGAAGACGTTCAGCCCCAGTATCGCTGGTCCCCAGCAGGCCGAGCGATGGCTGCGCATCTTTGCAGCCGATATTGTAGGCCGCCTGGAAGACGAGGAAGGACGCCGTCCCACGACGGTGGCAGTGCACCATCACATCCGAGGCCGATTTGGACCCACGCGCTCCAAGCAGACACCAATCCCGGCGGGTACGAATATAGATGCGGAGTGTCTTTACAAGCTGTCCAAGGAACTACTGGGGAAGATCTCAGAAGAGGGACCGAGCTGGCCGTGTTTGACGCTCTCGGTGGGCGTTTCTCACTTCCGCGACACGGGAAAGTCAAGTCAGCTCATCTCCGGCTTCACCGTGCCACTCTCAGCGAAGCCGTCCTCTGATAGACCTCTCCAAACCATCTCCAGCTCGTTGAAGAGATCATCTGACGAGCCACTGCCAGATGAGAGATCAAAGAAGCCCACGATTCTCGACTTCCATGGTTTCTCACATTCACCCACCAAGTCCGCCAGGGCGTCGAGCAGTCGGGACGGCAGTGGAGTACAAACAAGTTCCGACAATATCACATCTTCCCAGCATCGGCTCAGGTCTGCTAAAGAACAAGTCGACAGGGAGCCATCAGAACTCAACTCGCTGGACAAGGAAGGGATATATCGCTGCCCTCACTGCTCTGAGGAAGTACCCGCTCAAACAGTGCTCGAGCACCTGGATTGGCATGTTGCACTCGATTTGCACGATCAGACATAAGTTTCAACCAATTCCCCTCCCCGACCCTGTCTTTCGAGATGGTCAAGGAGTGGGCAGACATTCGATGTTTCTGGCCTACCGATCAAGATTATAGGTGCTCCTAGGAGCCTTGGACAACGAGAAATCTAGTTCTTAAAGGATCAATAAATATGTCTATTAGACCTTTCCCCCCCTTCGCCGCTGGACTTCAAAAGGGGCAGATTCTGATTTATAAATGATTTAAGGCCTTCGAGGCCACCCAACTTTGGTTGTTGAGTCCACTCTACACGAGACTAATGCGGCAACCTTTACTCATACCGAGCCAGTTCACTGCTCTGGCATCCAGCCCAACTCCCCAGCCGGTGTGATTGGCAATGGCTGGGTCAACGAGCAATCCACGACAATGTCAGTGTGCCAGCAGATTCTGCAATGGCAGGTTGAAAATATTAGTGGTGGAAAAGCCGAGTACTCTGCTCGATGAAGGTGATATCAAGGTTCTCCGCTGTGTCAAACACCGCACCGTCATTCTGTGAGCCTGTGGGTGAAGCAATATACTTCACACCGCTCCTAGCGGCGCGGTAGACATTGTCCACGAAGGGGAACTAAATGACGGAACGTTAGTGGTGATGAATCTCTCTAGTGAGGTAGCATGCCCATGACAAATCGTGAAGAGATATTCGCATCTATTGATCATGCTGTAGTTGATGGAAAGGGGTTCAGGGACTTACGAAAGCATCACTTGAAACTGCGACGTCAGATAATTGATCCAACCATGCCCTTCTCTCTTCAGCAGTGAAGGGCTGCGGTACCTGGCCTTCTGCAAAATTGCGTTCATAATCCTTGGTTTCGAATTCTGACTGAGGTGGCACCTGACCAGAGCACAGCATGTCGATGGCATTACTCTTCTCTGGCCGCTTGACGCCCCTTGCCCACTGAATACTTAATGTCCGCTCATGGAATCGCATCCACCAATTGTCCGCCTTGTCACCTGCGAGACGTGTGCAGTGAATGCGTGACTGCTGGCCGGCACCGAGTCCGATGACCTGACCATTGACAGCATAGCAAACGCTGTTGGATTGAGTGTACTTGACCGCGATGGTGGCGACGGTGAGATCGCGAAGTGCGGATTCAGAGAGCTTAGGACTATCCTTGGGACGAATAACCGAATTGAAGGTTCCATTGGGTGTGATTTTTACGTCATTTCGACCCTGTGTCAATGTGACACCGTACACTGTCCGGGTCTCTTGTGGTGCTGGCTCATACGACTCGTCAATGGCGAGAACAAGGTATTTTCCACCCTTCTTTTTCTTGAGAATCTCAAGTGCTTCGGGTTCATAGTCAGGCGCAATGACTCCATCGGAGACCTCCCTGCTGATGATCTTTGCAGTAGGAACGTCGACCTTATCAGACAAAGCGACAACGTCCCCGAAGCTGGACATACGGTCGGCACCGCGTGCCCGAGCATAGGCTTGAGCAAGAGCAGAGTCCGAGATACCATCAATGTCGTCAACCATGTAAACCTTGCGCTCTTTCTCATTCAGGGGGACACCAATAGCGGCTCCAGCAGGTGAGACATGTTTGAAGCTCGCAGCTGCGGGGAGTCCGAGCGACTGCTTGAGTTCTTTGACCAAGGGCCAAGCATTGAGGCAGTCGAGAAGGTTAATGTAGCCTGGAGAACCACCAAGGACTTTAAACGGTAAAGCACCGCTGCGAACATATGCACTGGCGGGCTTTTGGTGAGGGTTTGCACCATAGCGAAGGGAGAGCTGTTGTGCACCGTTTCCAGCATATTGCTTGCGGAAGAAATCAGAGATTGCTGCATCATAGTCGGCAGTGTGCTCGAAAGCCTTTAGTGCATGACGTTGGCGGCTAGCCTCAGATACATCACCATTGTCGAGCTCTTGCAAGAAGCTGGCGTAATCATCAGGATCCGAGAGGATTGTAACGCGAGTGTGATTCTTTGCGGCTGCACGGATGAGTGTTACACCGCCGATATCAATTTCCTCGACTGCCTCTGGAATTGTCACGTTGATCTTAGCAACGGTGTCCTTGAAAGGATATAGATTGCACACAACGTAGTCGACCTTGTTGATATTCTGGTCTGCAAGATCCTTCTCGTCCGAAGCTAGATCACGGGCGAGTATTCCGGCGTGCACTGCGGGATGAAGTGTCTTGACTCGTCCAGAGAGCATTTCTGGAGCTTTTGTGATGGCCGATACATCTCTTGGGACTAAATCAGCATGAATACCTCCAAGTGGGATGAGGGCGGAGTTACTCGACATCGAAGCCAGCATCTCGAATCAACTTGGCGGTGCCTCCTGAAGCCAAGAGGCGAACATTATTCTTAATCAGACCTTTGGCTAGGTCGAGCAGACCTGTCTTGTCGAAAACCGACAGGATGGCTGAGAAGCATTAGCACAGCTTTAGCGTGATTGTGGCAGGAAGATCAAAAGCGCGGCAGCAATCAGGCGCAGAAGCTGTCGAAAAGCTCAAGTCACTGTCTGGTAAGAGAAAGGATTCAAATAAACTACTAGATTTGTACTAGAATGTGGCAAAGGGAACATACCGATTTTCTGAGACATCCTGATAGCGAAACTTGTAGTGGAGGGCGAAGGATATCAGAGAGCAGGGTGGATGAGTTGGAGAGCAAATGGGAAGATTATGCGAGATATAACATGAATAGTTGACTCCCAGGATCGTGTGGGTCAGGCAGGATCGTCGCAGTCACAACTCTCTACTCACGCAGGACCCAAGGTGTTATTATTGAACATGGAATTTCTCAGGATTCTGGTAGTAGATTTCTCATGGTGGGGTTGAAATTGAAATGCATTCACTGAAAAAAAGTGACGTCCGGAGGCGAGATTTTCCGATCTCGGGAGTGCTAGCCCCATATTAGTCTAGTGCAGTTCATGTCCCATTTGTTGTTTGGAAGGAGCGGGTGTTGTTCCCAGCCTTGCAGATCATGGCGCGGCATACGCTTGCCCTGCAGGGAATGGTCAACATTGCAATTGTTTGCCTGTTGCTTCGCTACCTACCTAGGTACTCGGTATCTAAGATATGGACGCCTTTTACAGCTGCCCGTTCACTGATATCCGCGGTTGCAATGACTGCAGTGTTGTTGAAGCTTGATCAGGTCCCGGCTGTACGAGGGTGCACTCGGCTGGCACATTCATGGCCAAATGTTGTGTAGGATTCTGAGCGCTAGTCAAGGTGCAATTGGAACACGGTGGCAATAGGTTCACAGTAAGCGAAACAAGCTGCTTTGTTACAACTTAGCATTGGGCAGAGACCTCGATATCTGATGCTCCTCGTATGACGACACATCGGTAGGCTGCTGATGATGGAGCCCTCAGCACTTGCGCGGTCCGCGCCGCCTAGCTCGGTCACACTGGGGTTGATATGCCACTGCAAACCCGAGGCATGACTCGGTACCACGTAGACCTCAACTTGAACCACATCTCCAGATACAACCCCTCCATCATCCATCCTCAAAACGTTATCCTTTGGTTCACTCATATCTGCCGGCAGAGAAAACTCTTCACTTCACTTCAGTCCGTCACTCTTCTCTTCTCTTCGCTTCACTCCACTCCACTCCACTCCACTCCACTAACCCTGACCCCTCTATCATATTAATGTGACTCTGTTGATGACATGAATCCAGAATCACGTTGGAGGTGCCTGTGACTGTCTTCAATGTGAATAACAACCATTCAGCCACCAAGCGCGCTGTCGATTCACATCCTGGGGTTCCCCATAACCTGCCATGACTGTCAATAAGAACCTTCGGCGTTCGTCAATTTAGCATTTTGCCCCCAACTCAGCCACCATTAAAACGATAGACCCTACCTAACCACCTGCGATACTCTCTAGCTCGGCTTGGATCAATCAATTCCTCTCTTCAGTTGGTCCTTCCAATAGCAACATCACCCGCACGTCAACATGGCTCCGCCAAAACGAAAACCAACCACACTCCATCGCAATCGCCAATTCCCGCTCCGAGATGTACCGTTCTCGAAGGGATCACCCCCTCGGTCTCGAACTGTCTCCTCGTCGTCTCTCAACCCATGTCCCGTCCAAAATCCTTCGAAAGTCCCTTTCAAACCATTTCCTTTCTTTGACCTCCCGGGAGAAATTCGAAACAGGGTCTATGATCTGGTCGTGGAAGACTCTCGTGTCCTCATACAAGGTAACCATCCAAACAAGGAATTGGCTCGCCTGCACCGTGAGGAATCCACTTCAAAACACAGACGACCTCGATGTCACTTCTCTGGGAAGTTCTCCAAGCACGGAGCTGGTGTGTCTCTGCTGTATACTTGCCAGCGGATGAACGCAGAGGTGGTCGAATTTGTCTATGCAAGAACCACTTTCTGCTTCGACAACATGAACACCATCCACAAGTTTCTCAATACTATTCCTCCCGCTGGTGCTAAAAGCATTGAGATCCTGGAAGTGGACCATAAAGGATATGGAGAGCCACGGTGGACTGATGACCGTGAGTGGAAACTGCGACACGACGAAAAGTGGAAGCAGACTTTGAAACTCATCAGAGCAAAGTTGCTAGTCCTTCACACATTGAAACTTAACATTACTGTTTTTGACTGGCCATGCCGACTTGAGATGGATGCGCAATGGGCCAAGCCACTGGTCGACTTCGCGGGTGATGGTTTGAATCGAGTCGATGTGGTATTCGAACACGATCGTTTCAGCTGGGAAAAGGTGTGTGAGACTGCTCGGCAGCTAGAGAGAAAGATGATGAACCCGGCGGGCCTCAAGAAGAAAGTTCAAGAAGCTAAGCGACAAGCCGACCTCGAAAAGGAACGAACAGCTTTCACTCAGGGAAAGGCAATGAAAGTGCTTAGCATCGTCATGCCCGTGGACACCGGCAAACGAACTCCGAACGTCAGCCTAGTCAAGAAGGTGGTCAAGAGGAAGGGTCTTGAACAATATGCAAAGGCCGAACCCCCCATCGCATACTGTCTAGATTGAACCTTGGGTGACAGACAGATTTGGCTCTGGGTAGAGTCTTGAATTGCTGTTGATCTTCCAGCAGGGCTCGGTCACTAGATGAAAACAAGAACCTCGCGGTTCATCAACTGCATGGTGTAAGTATGGAGAGATGGTCTACCAATACCTTCTCGAAGTTAGGTGGTCGCATCTTGGAGTTTGAATGAAGGACTAGGGTAGACGGCGGTGAATTAGGCGGCGGGCGGTAGCGGCAATATTGATTCCTAGCCTACATTAACATGGCGATAGACAGCAGAGCTTTACTAGTTACCTAGGAGCAGGCTCAATAAGACAAAATACGTAATTACCACACGATATCTGGCTAGATTCGAGGTGCACCAGCTAATATTAATGGATGGCACAACCTCCCTGATGTCATCAGATTGGCGAGCAGGGGCTGGACTAGATGCGATAGCAAAGCTGTTCCTGCATTCACCCGTGCTGATAAAGCCAGCTTCGGTCACAAGGATCGGAGTCAGAAAATGTTGCCCAGTGCGCATCTCCCCCCAACGACTGTCGTGGCCATGGTGCTGTCAATAGACGAGTTCAAATTTGTGGTTCAGATCGCACAGGAAGGGCCGTGCATCCGCTTTTGACAGGTCCAAGTTGACAGGTCGTCCCTCCACTTCCCATCACTTCCTATCATTTCCCATGGCTCCCCATTGAAGACGCTTCCCCAGATGACATGCCTAGGCCGACTCCTCCTCGGGGAACTCCTGCAACGGTTTTCATCCCTCGTTGAGGACCCTGCTAGCCACCTGTCAATATGATCTCGGGCAGTGGCAATTGGATGGTGTGTTGCGTGGTTTTTGTCTGTCGCCCCATGAGGTTCCATTCAAAAAGGCATGTATTTCCACGTTTAGGGTACAAGATCACCGTGCGACCTCTGCTCATCCGAAGTGGCGATCGATTGTTAGCCGAAGTTCGTTCGAGGAAACATATTCGCACATAGCGTGGACGCACAGACGATGAATCACTTATAATGAGGGTCGTCGAACCACCCTTCAAGCTCGGTCTACCCTTCCCCTCTGGTTACTCTTACACGAAGACCCGCAGGGCAGGTTATCAGAAGACTAACTGCTATTATGTTGGTGTCTAACGATGCGGTTCTGGTGGCCACCAGCATCGTGCTGGCTGTGTCGACCATCGTGTCAGTGACGGTACAATTGGAAAGACAGTACAAGACCGTCGGCGCACTGAATGCTAGCAAATGTGAGAATGATCTTGACTAAGAAGGCAGGTGACCGGATACTGACTGGATCCTCGGCAGGGTTTTTGGTGGCGAGTGCGGTATGCTGGGAGATTGTATCTTGAGATGATCCATCTAACGCACCCTTGCAGTTCTTCGCCCTGGTGATGACATCTCTTATCTGTGCAGGTCAGTCTACACTTCGCCCTTTGGTATATGAAAAGGGACCGTGGGCTAATCGATACGCAGCTGCAGCAAAAGGCTTAGGTGCCTCGATATCCAAAGAACAATTTGCACAACGAGTGACAATGCAAAAGGTTGCTAACCCCCTTTTCTGAAGCTTGATAATCATCCTAGCGAGCTGAGTGCTGACTAGTTGGAACAGCTCATCATGGCGGCATTTCCCCCTTATTTCCTGTGCAACATGCTTGTCAAGCATGCCTGGTTGACATTCTACTATGGCCTGGCGCGGACCCGATGCCAGAGATACTTTATTCATTTCATGCAATTCGTTGCCGCGTCATTTGGCATCAGTTCCATCATCGTGGTCCTGTTGCAGTGCATACCGCTGAGTCTGGCTTGGTCACAAAGCCCGGATGCATCGCAAGAACGGTCTGATCACTGCATTAACCTGATTGCATTCTTCTATTCGAACTCGATCATCATGATCGTCAACGATCTCATTCTGTACCTGCTGCCAATGTGGTTGCTACGCAATGTGGATATGTTACGTGGGCACCGCGTAGGTCTGTACGCCTTGTTCGGTTTTGGCGGACTGTGAGTGTCTTGACGACTCCCGGGGATTGATGTTGCTGGGCTTACAAAGTGGTAGGGTCGTCCTCGCCAGTGTCTTCCGCCTTGTGGCGGTGTACGGAGTTGCCACGTCGGACATCTCAGGTTAGTAACATATCACCCTAGCCCCCAAAGCAAACCCGTCTTCACAACAGCTGGTGGTGTCAATAATCTCTGACAGTTATTTTCAACAGCGAACTATGCACTCATATGGGTTTGGGCGGCCGTGGAGAACCACGTTGGGATCTGTGTAGCGTGCGCCGGTGCAATCAAACAAAAATCGCTTGCAGCATATGAGAGTGTACGTAGGTCATACTGCGACTTGAGATCGAAAGGCTCCGCACAGCAACAGTTTTCGTCTTCTTATGTGAATCGCACGCAGAGTACGGAAGAGCGGGCGTTGTATGAACACACCGGGAGTTGTAGCACGGCACCCCCATTAGATGTTGACGTGGACCACAAGGATCCGAGCACTGGTATTCGTATGGAGGAGGTGAAGGTTTGAGGACAGCACGTGAAATGAAATACTCACGTGCTAGTCCTTCATTGAATGCATCAATTCACTTTCGGGTTCTAAGCCGAGTATCAAGTGCCAGTGGTCCGACCAGGGAATGTCCAAGTGCGTCCGTCGGACATTCTACCTCCGGGGACAGGGAAAAGTCATGTTGAGCAAGTTAGTTAGTTACATTATAATTCATGATTTGGCATAGAGGCATGTCCATAGCGAAACAATGTTTCGTCGATCAATAATGCTGTGGGAAAGTAACTACCAGATTCACTGGATGCTATAAAAAGACTACGGAGTACAGTGGGAGAGACGGTAGTGGTTGCTTCCAAAAATAGTGCGGGGGTTGAACCAACGACTAGTATGTGCTCTGGACGAGTAGACTACTCCGGACACTGCATGCCACTGCCGCTAAGCAAGTTAACTACCTTTCAGTTAAAATGCCGGGGAAGAGAGGTGGTTTGCCAGGCCTTGGAGTCGCCTAAGCAGCCTAGAACTTTGTCACACTCCCCGTGCCCCATGCCTACAAGCACCAGCACTACGAGCACTACGAGCACCACTTGGTACTCCACCGACTCATTTTCATGGGCTTCCTGGAATGTCCATCTGCCGTCTGCTCGGGCCGTCATCCCAGCAGCCATCGTTGACATTATGGAGTACCGAGTATCTCCCTCAATCTCCCGATCAGCTCATAGCCTCGAAGGAAAGGCCGACCTGGCCTGCCTTGTATCGACATCCTGAGCAGATTGATGATATTATCATTATTTTCGAACGCCTGGAGCTTTGACTGATGACGTGACATGTCTGTTTTTCTACATACAGACGTAGACTCCATTGATCACCTGAGGTGGCTAGATGCACCTACTCGTACTTGATTAACACTGAAGCCTGACTACTGCTGCTGCCGGGAGTCAATATCCAGCAGGCGTCTAATGCAGGTCGACATTGGCAATACGCATCTTGAAGGCCAGAAAAAGACCAGCATGGGCCAATGATATAGAGGGGTGAGCATGAAGTAGCAATTGTGGTACGAGTAGCTTGTCAATTAGCTGCTGGTAGTGTGAGGTCGGCCGAGGTCTCGATGTGATGTCCATCGTCAACCCCACCTGCCTCCGTTGCGCCTGCGTTGATTGGGATATCGGGATCCCCTCGGCGCTTCCTCAAGGCCTCCCATCCACTCATCCATCTCTATCCCACTTTCATCACCCGCCATCACTCCATCTACTGCTTTCTTCCCTGCTTCAACTTCGTCCAACCGCCTTCCATCATGGCAATTCGAGTCTCGTCGAGTCCACTTTGCCTCTCAAGCGCCCATTATCGTGGAGATTTACTCGAAACCTTCAGAGGAGGATTCGTCCAGAATGCCTCAGTGTGGTTATTCTTAAGATAGTCAATCCAAGCTTCATCTGCATCAACGACCTCTTTTCCATCCTGTTCATCCTGTCCTCCTGTTGATTCTCTTCCCTTTACTTCTCAGCTCACGCAGGCTTCGTCGAGTATCTTTTGCTCTACTGATTGTCGCTCCGACTTACGAGAAATAGAATTAACACAGCCCTGCCGAGTCCAGGTCCGACATCAACCTACAGCCAGGCCACCCATCGAGTCCACAACCAAGCCAACCCGAACCAGCAGACCCTTCCGACCCTTCTGGTGACCGCAAAGCGCCAATTGCCACACATCCTGTTTCCAGGATATACTGGGTACAGTGGGAGCTACCACGTTGGCACGAGGTCCAAGGTACAAAGCCACATTCATCATTTGCCGTCCCCCAAGACTCACAATCTGACCGCCTGGCCGACTGTCTCAATTTCTCACCTGGTGCCTCTTTGCCCCCAAGCGCCCATCGGTCAGTGACCGGACTAGACCAGACCACGCCAGACCAGACCCAGGAGGTTACCTATTAGTCGACCTCCCCCCCCAATCGACAATTCCTCTGTCCCTTAACCCAACCTTCTCTCCTATCATTAATTTCTTTATTGATTTCGAGCTGGTTCTCGTCGTCGATACCAAACCCCTACAGCAAAAGACGTCAATCTATATACTTGCTGGTGTGGCCACTCGTATTATATTGACTCGGCCACCATTTCCGTCTCACGTCAGCAGTCCGGCATTATACACAATTGCCCTAGCATCGGCACAGCCGCTCTTCGTTGGGGAACCCCTGTCCTACCCACCAATTGGTGTCATAAGTTCAAGGACCGCCTCTTATCTGCAACCGAGCCATGTCACCATCCAACTTTGAACCAGTTTCGCCTATCGATATCACTGCCGCTAACTCTTCTAAACGCAAATCTCGCACCGTTGGCTTTTCCGACCTCGACCTCGACGAAAAATCAGATTTCAGAAGCACTGTAAGAGCATTCCCGTCAAGGACAAACTCAACGGCTTCCTCTACCGCCCCCTCCGTCAACCAGCCGGCGAGGAAGGCACGCTTCGCTGAAGCGACGTCTGTCTTCTCTCCAGCCGACGGCCCTGGAGAACATCTCTCTCCATTCGCAGATCCCAAAATGACCGATCGGGATACGACAAATGCAAATGATACTCCGAAGCCTTCAGATGTTGGCTTCGGCTATATTTCAGACAACCAACCCGTAGAGCAACATGCGACACTCAGAGGAGACCTCAATCCTGGTGGTGCTCCATTGAAATCAGCACTCAAAACACCTGGAACGGGTGCACGGTTGCTGAACCCGCTCAGTCCGACATTTAGAGAAGAGGTGCTGTTGGAGAAGCAGGAGGATAGCACGGACAAAGAACAGGCCAAGGATCTGGTAAGTTTCCCTCTGTCCATGATCTCAGGTTAGCGACAGGGATACTGACCAGGCTTTCTTTCCATAGAAAGTAAAAACCCGAGTGCGTATGGCGAAGATGGTTCTCCGGGGGGTCAACTTCAGCTGTTCACTGATCGTCCTCGCCATGTTATCCACCGTGTTGACCATTTTCCATGCCACCAAATCCATCCCTCCCCGCAACAACATGCCTGCGTGGGCACCCAACCAAAAGACTTGGCCACAGATAGTCGTCCTATCGATCGCTTGTGTATCTCTCTTGTTCTCTATCGTCGTCATTTTCGCCTACTGCCGTGGTGGACACAGGCGCGCGGAGAAGGTCGCAGTCTATTATACCATGTTCGCCGTGGGCTGGTTCATGTTCAGCATTGTCATGTGGATCGTTGGCGCCGGTATTCTGCACGGGTCCAAGTCCAATGGCAATGGAGTAGACATGTGGGGATGGAGCTGCAAGGACAACAAGCGACGACAGCTTTTCGAGGATGACGTGCATTATGCACTCGTCTGCCGTCTGCAGGACTGGTCTTTGATCTGCTGCATCATCGAGGTGGTGGTGGAAGTCATCGTCATTGCCATCTACGGCATCGTCTTTTATCGCTTCTGGAGCAAGAACCGCCTCCGGAAATCCATGGATGCTCGTGACAAGGCCCGCACCGACCTGTACCTTGCACAGCTCCGAACACAGTCCGCACCCAACACTCCGGGCTTTGCTCAAACACCTAGGACGCCCGCTTTTCCGGGATACAACAGCAACAAAGCCTACGACGCTTACAGCACCGCCGAGCAAGGCGAGTCACCCGTGAACTACACTTCGCCGCAATCCGCCAGCAGTAACACAACCAGCCCGCCTTTCAAGCTCCAGGCACCGCCTATCCGTGTTCAACATGCGACACCCAGGCCCCCTGCGATTGAAGCCTTCGACCGTGCAGTTTCTCCACCCCTGAACTCACCCCTACCCAAACCCGAGGACCGCGTCCACAGCCACGTAGACGCTGCTCCTGGCGAACAGACGTACGACGCAGTACCCATACCCGGTGCCTATCAGGCACCCAATCGAAGTGGAACGCCAGGACAAGCGTTCTAAAAAGCCCCCGACCACTCCTGGGAGGGGATTTAAATGTGCTTCTGACTCATCTTTGGGAGAAAATGTTTTCAAGGGGGTGTTTTGCAAACAGGGCATACATGCATGATACGTAATGGGGCAACTGGACAAAGCGGTTGAGTTTCCATCATTCTTTGGGGTTGAGGAGGAAACTCGCCCTTCATTTTCTTTTCGTTTTCATTTTTTAATTAATGTCATGGACATCCACGGAACCAGCCAGTCAATCGAGACAATTGAGATGCAGGGTGGGGGTTGCCACGAAGGCGGAGGCCTTGCCAGAGCCAGGGGATAAATATTGGGAAAGAGAGATGGAGAGGAGCATACAGAGGGCAATGAGCCCCGGATTAAAGTGAAAAGCCCAGATACGAAGATCAAATGATGGAGATGAATGCAGCGGAGCAGAACGGAAGTGGAAGTGCGAGTGGAAGTGAGATAGCGGAGGAGAAATGAAACCAACGAATCTCGTTGTCGACTGTCCTGTCGATCCTTTTTTTGTATCTACTATACCAACTAAACTCACCTAAATTTTCAACATACCTACCGACGACATTCTCATACTCATACGCATAACCTTAAAACATATCAAATTCAAGGTCAAGGTCATTATTGATGAAGTCGATCAGCCCCAGGACTCCTACTTGTGTGATTTAATTGTTTACAGGCAACAACATTATTAATTACCGCTTGTTGTATTCCCTGCCTAATCTCTTGGGGAGGCAGTTTGTACAAGGTCATATACCTAGATGCCCAGTGTTGCACCATACCACCTTCTTATCCGACTATTACTATACTGCTGGTAGGTACAACCGCAATGTCCAGCCTTCGAGCTGACAGGAGATCCGACTATCTAGCGAACCCGGCTAACGACCCTCTTCTTCCAAACCTCAATAAACGCTGTTGAAAACCCTTCCGCACCGGCGTCGATTGTATATTATGGACGTTTTTGCTCGTCGTGGGAGAGATTAGTTCCTAACCCGTTCCTCGCGATTCAAGGTTCTTTTTATTTGGTACCGTTTGTTTTACATCAGCCCGCTATAAGGATCGTCCTGCCGCTCAAAGCTGTGCCTTTGCTCGGCGGTGCATCGTCTGCTCCGCATACTGCTGGGTGATGGCGATATGCGGAAACCGAGCCATGTGTGTGATTTCTTCTGCTGCTGCTGCGGCGGCGGCGGCGGCGGCGGTTGTGGCTGATGACTGGCGTATGGTGAGATCTTGGGGCTTTGGGGCGGTGTGAGCATCGCTTTAACCTGTGTGATCCGCGCTATGTGCGCGCTGTAGTCGAGGGCGAGCACGGATGTTTCCTTTCTTGCTGCCTGTAAGTGCTGCTGCTTGCTGTCGGCGGCATTGTTCTCTTCTGAGCTTGCCTCGTACATGGCGTACTCCTTGGCCGCCGAGTTCACGTACTCGAAGAACTTGTCCACGTCGAAGCCCGGCTCGAGCAGGCCGTCGTGCATGGTGCTCAGTGCGGAGCGTAGCCAGTCGGTCTCCGGGCCGTACGTCGGGGTGTTGGACAGTCTTTGGGAGAGTTTGGGGACTAGGCATGGTGGCCCCTGGGGCAAGATGCTCGCACTGATTCTGAGGATCAGCTGGAGTGGGTGAGAGCTGTCCGCGTTCAGCGTCGTTGTTTTTACGACCTCTGGTGTGGGTTGTGGGCTGCTAGTGGGGACGTTACCGGTGGTTGAGGACAGGGCCGTACATGGTTGATTTGGTCTAGTTGTTGCTCCTGGAGTACAACCAATGTTGAGATCAGATTGAGGTGTGTTTGTACTGCTTCCCTCTTTCAGCGAGAGGGGAAATGGTTGCTGGCGGAGTTGATGCTTGTGCATGTCGAATAGAACGGATTCTGACTGTGGCTCTTTAGCCGAGCTCCATGCGTGAAAGAATCGGGATTTTGACTTCTGGGGCTTAGTTGATGGTGGATGTGGTGAGATGAGGATGGCCCAGTGCGTTCCACCGGATAGATCAGAGGAGGAGGAAGACGCGGATGATTGTCTGAATCCCAGGACCGAAATTTGAGACATGGTGATAAACGAGGTGGGTGCGTTTGTGCTGTGAAGTGATTGAACAAAGCCTTGTCCTCAGGCTAGGATGAGCACGACGTCGTCGCTCAAAGGCTGAAGTGCTGACCTGTCAAGTGGGTTGACTTACTTGTCAAAGGATGTCGTGTTTTTCCATGTGCTTCACCTGGAGCTGGGAATATATATACCTACTGTGATGGACGTATTTCGCTTCAAATCAATTTTCAGAACTCCTGCTCTCTGAACTGGCCCAACGCGTGGAATCATGTGGCGAGGTATCCCCTTCTCCCGGATGAAGCTTACCGTTGGGCGAATGAGATAGTATGAGCGCATTGCTGTGGTGGAGACTAGCTTAACATGACTGACGTCGTCCTAGCCATCAAGCAATCAAATCACTCAAGACATAGTATAAGAACGGACACCTACGACCGAGTGGAAAATATTCCGGCAGTTTGTCCGCGATGAGGCATCGGTCGGATGATCATTCTGGCAGAGGGAGGGCAAACTCCCAGGGGTGAAAGATATTTGAGGGCGGGGCATTGTCCAATTGCTGATGGCCAGTTGCTGACTCATTGTCTTTCCTGCTCACCGAGAGTTTGCCGAGAAGGCTGAAACGAGCAGAACCAGTGGCATCAATACCGTTGTCTTGATCGTCGTTATTCAAAGAATAGCGAGGAATGTCGCATAGCATGGAAGGTGATCTATATGATCAGGTGGGACGAGAATTCTTTGGCAGTTTCACTTTGCACTGTGAAAGTCACACTACATAGCCATGTCAGTACTAAGTAGCTTCAGTACTTGGATCTACATCTCAACAGTTACACAACCGGAGTATGTTCATCTTCTGCTCAAGTACAGGATATCATAATTTTGACCATTGGAGACTCTTGTCTGAGGAGGCAAGGTTTGATTCCCTTGAATAAGCTACAACTACGTGCTTTACTAGATTCGGACCTGTTCAGGGTATCGGCTGGCCAGTGGCCGGTCTTGTATGAATGCCAGATTGCCTCCAGCGGATTCACGTCAGAAACTCAAGCGCTCAAGCGCGACAACCATCAAGCCAGACTTCATCGTGATTCTTCACCAGTTCCAAGAATTAAAGGGCTCGGGTATTTGGAGGTCTCTAAATGTATTGGTTTGAAGATATCGTGATGCCGAGAACAGTTTCGAGAGTGAGCAAGTCGCAAGAGCAAAATCAGAAGTCAAGGCTTTTCGGACATTTAGTCTTTCTTGCACAGAGTCGCACTTTCTGCCAGATCGGAGAGAATTTTGGATGTTGTACAAAGAAATGTGGTATTACAGTAATTACTTTGGGCAGTAATCGCCTTGAACACCTGTGCCTCAAGCATCACAGTCGGGAGAAATCATGCAACGAATCTGGTTATCATGGTGCCTCCGTTTGGCCATTTTAGGTCACTCGTAGCTGCATGTGTTATTGGTCGAATAATGTCAATCCTGAGTGGGATAAGTTCCTCCTCGCTTCCGGTTGAAAGCTCTCTGGTCTTTCAACCATCGTCTATAGCCTGAAACGCTCCCAACTTTTTCACCGTAGAAATCGGGGACGGGATTGTTTGTACTGGCGCCACTTGGGTTGACTCTGTGCTTCTTGATCCTCTCAAAGAAAGCCTTCTCTTTCATGGTGAATTCTGGCAGTCGGCTGCGATGAAGAAGTCTCCATATTGTATTTCCGAAAGCGGGCCCAATAAGCCAGCCAAAGAATGTTGCACCGAATGTTGCAAGGCCCATACTTATAAAGGGGTCGGTCGGCACTATCGCTTGAACAGAATTGGCCAGATCCGGGATCTCGGAGAAGGCTATGATTGCGGCAGAAGTTGAACCAATGGAGGTGAGGATGGATGAAGCGAGAGCATATCGTCGGCGAGAGGTTCTTAGGGCGAAGAAACTGTTCCAGTCAAGAACATCCGACTTTGAGTCGGGACTGGAACTGGACGTGGTAGAAGCATGTCGGGTTTTGCAGAGGGAAGGAGTGAAAAACGAAGAAGGTGGACTCGACTGAAGGGGATTTGCTGCTAACGGCGCAAGGCCGGAGGGCTGGAGATAACGCGACTGAGCCCGAGGCCGTTTGGAGAGAATGACTGATGAGATATGGCGTCGTGATGTTGTAGTGTGTATCTTGGGGTAGCTTTGGAGAGCACCGGTTTGAGAGAGCTGCAAACCCAGCTTGGTAGAGGCTGCAGACATCGCGATGGTACCAAGGCCAAATTCAAGGCCGGGCGCAGGTGGTGAAATGCAAGATGTTCTTGAGGGCTCGATGACAGTTTAGAGCGAGCTAGTTGGTGTTGTGAATCTTTCCGGCACGCAACCTGCGGTCCGATGGATATTGAAGTGGTGGTGGTGTTGGATTCAGGACCAGGTATTGGGATTTGGGCAGAGACTAGGGTGGAGTATTGCTGTACGGTAATACCTGAAGCACGTGCTTGGACTGACCCGTAAGCCGAAGCGTGCACGTGAGAGTATCGGCTTAGCTTCCTCAGTATGTAGTATGTATACAGTGGTTGCAAGTTGTCGCTGTGGCTTTGGCTTTGGCTAGCCCCCCCAGAAGGCGCTCCGTCGTCGAAGTGGGTACCTAATACCGAGCAGTTAGTTACCTTAGTGTCCATGGTTGGTCCGTGCATTGCTCCCCATCTAATAACCATGGTGCAGGCTGAGCGGGCCATCTTGTGCTTGTTCAAAAGTTCAGCTCGGGCCTTCCGAGCTCCCAAAAGGCTGGGGTTGGGGTGCAGCTGATGGGCTGATGGGCTGGTTTGGGCCTTAGTCCTTCACCTCTTGGCCTCCAACTTTCAACTGACTGCCTGCCCCCTGCAGCCTAGACAGCCGGTGCTTGGTGTTTCCTCCTCCATTCACCACTCACCAGTCTCGCTGGTCTGAAGCCCGGAGCGCCCAGTAGCGACCGCTGGTCAGCCTGGTTAGTTACAAAGAGCCATGCCATGCAGCCTTCGAAGAACTAACTCCCTGCGAGATGGTTCCCAGTACTCCGTACGAGTAATCCTCATTTCCTTCGGGCATCAGAATTTAGATCTCAAGCGTTCTCAGGCTGCTGGTTACCTGGTAGTGTGGATGTAGTTGGCCAACTAGTGCAAAAGTCCATACTCCATTTCCGTCCTAACTCTTGCGCGACTGCTCAACTAACTCTCGCTCCCTCTATCTCGATTCTCGCCTTTCGACGCTCGTCCCTCGCACTGGCGACGCCTGAAGCCATCCATGTTCCTTCCCGTATCCTACCCGCCTTTGCTGCTCCCTCTTCCTTGCTGGCGAGTCTAGTCCTCGTGGTCCTCCAATTTTCACTTTCCATCTCTGTTTCCATCCCAGTCTCGTCCAGTCTTGCCCCTCCTGTACATGATCGTCTCCTCACCCTGCGGCACGGCATTACATCGCACTGCTCTCCACTGCATGCCGACATCGACATCGACATCGACATGCTGTTGTTTGGTCTCGTTACCATTCAGTCCTTTTCTCCGTGATAATCCCAATTCCACCCTGATGTTGTCGTCGTGCCCTTCTTCGTAACACTCGCCCACCGCAGCCATGCCGCGCCCCAAGAAACCCGACCAGGATGGCAAGGAGGTCAAGAAACGCTCGAGGAATGGATGCTGGTAGGTGTAACGACCAAGCCGATCTTTTACAACTTGGAATTGACACAATGCAGGCCATGTAAATCTCGCAAAGTCAAATGGTGACACTATATCTCAATCTCAGCCCCATCATGCATGCCTGCTGACCGACATGTAGCGGAGAGGAGAAACCCAGTTGTGCCAATTGCCAGCGACAGGGTGAATCCTGCGACTACAGTATACGCCTCAACTGGGACGGACGGACCAAAAGAAAGGAAGATGGCAAGCCCGGTTCTCAGATCATTTCCTTTGGAGCCTCTCCACCTCGACCTTCGCTGCAGTCCGATTTCAACGGCTATTCCAACGGCATCCATAACAGCCGTCCCAGCCCACAGCCGCCAGGTCCTTCACCATCTCACCTTCACCTTCAGCCATCTCCCGATTACCATCCCGAACACACAGCCTCCGAACCGACGGTCCCTTCACTTAATACCTTTGGATCTCATGGCCCGGTGCCTGCGCCTGAGTTCAATCCTCCCATACTGCCGCCACCACCACCTATATTGAGGACTCCGCAATGGGGTGAGAGCGCCAGTGCAAGTAATCTCTCAGAATCAACCTCGGTCCCATCCTTGAGACATACCTTATCTCTCCCTTCCTATCCATCTCCCTCAGAGTCAGGCTTCGGAAGTCCCAATCTCAACACTGGCATGTACGCTTTCAATGGCGCTATCCATATGCCTCCACCAATGCCCACCTCGAACCCGATGAGCTACCCAGAATCTGTCTCATCTCCCTACAATGGCGCGAAGAGAATGCGATTGAGTCCTCGTACGGATAGCTTTGGCAGAACACAACCCTATCCGAGAGCTGGATCATATGGACCCAACGACATGGACGAGCCCCCGAGGGTTCAATTTAATCCAAACACTCACAGTTTTTTCCCTTCGCATCTTAGTAACCCATTGACACCCGCCACATCATCCACCTCGCATGTCTCTCAAGACAACGAAGATCGTCGCATCTCGGTCAGTTCACTCTTATCCGAAGATCCCGAATCCGACGAAGTGCCACCCCTTCAGAATGATCCAGGTGTCTACACAGAAGAAGAGATTCCCCGGCGGGGTTCGCTCCATCAAAGGATGATCTCCTACACGGCGACTGAAACATATGGCCAAGACCGGGGTAATGTTGACCTTGACATTCCGCGAAATAATGACACTATGGCGATTTCTGGCATGTCTCCCTCGGAACATAGTGACTTTGAAGCCTGGTTAAATGACACCGACCTTGGAGTACCCGAGTTTGGTTTTGGTCTCAGTAGCCGTGAGACCGTCTTCCAGAAAGGAGGGTATTACGCCTCACCAGTGCAGATCAAAATTCCTCGGAAATTGGAACCTCTCCCACGAACTCTGTCAGAGAACCCGATGAATTTATTATATTTCCATCATTTCTTGAACCATACTGCAAGGATCCTCGTACCTCACGACTGCCCAGAGAATCCTTTTAAGACCATTTTGCCCAAGAGTGAGTCAATGCTGGCTGCGCTTTCCCCAAGATTTATATACTGATCTTTACTAGTGGCTGTTGAGAATCCCAATCTCCTAAACTTGCTTTTGGCATATTCCGCCTGTCATCGAGCAAGATTATTGAATCACCGCGAACCCGTCAACCGGATTGCAGTATGGGTTCGCGATGTGTTTCCATCCTTACGGCAGACACTGGACAATGTTTCGAATACACAGATCTCGAATGCCAATTTGGCTACTGCGATCATGCTCGCATCCATCGAAATAATATCTCCGTCTAGTTTTGGGGTTTCGATACCTTGGCAGAACCATTTGAGTATTGCGCGAAGCATTATTCGGAGCCGAGGAGGCCCTAACTCGATCTCAAGGAAAGACCCTGTCATGTACTTCTTGACAAGGTGGCTGGCATATCTCGATGTGCTCGGATCTTTGTCAGGTCGGCGCAACGAGGAACCGTTATTCGCCGGGAACTACTGGTCAAGCTCGTCAGACGAAAACACATCCGCGAAGGAACTGTCACTGACGGATGAAGATGTTGATGATGAAGATGATTTCACCATTGACTGCTTATTGGGCTTCACCACAAGATGTGTCTCCATTCTTGCCCAAGTCGCCGTTTTGGCGCGGGAATGCGAAGCCGGTCGCATAGACGCAGAAACAGGGCAGGTTCATGAGGATTGGCGACCGTCACCCATGATTGCGAAACGTGCTGAAAAGCTTCGCAAAGATTTGGAGCATGCACGAAACCACGAACAAATATCGTGTCTCCATCACAGCCCGCAATTGTCCAAGGCGTCATTAGCTGGGGCTCGTCGTGGTTCAGCATATGCAGACATGTCAGAAAAGGATGCCGAAGAGTCACTCGCCACCAATTCGGCTTTCCATTGGGCAGGAATGGTACACCTGTTGCGTCGAGTGGACAATCTACCACGCAGCGACAGCAGAGTGCAAACTGCAGTGCATGAAATTGTGAAAATATTGCAAATCATTCGTGAAGGTGGAAGTGCGGACGCTTGTCTATTGTTTCCGATGTTCACTGCTGGGGTAGAGGCAGAAGATCCTCTCGACCGGGCTGAAGTCCTGAGCAGGATCAAAGGCGCTGAAGGGCTCGGTATGTGCCAAGTCAGTCGAGCCAGGAGAATCATGGAAGAAGTTTGGAGAACGGGCGTCAGCTGGGAAAGCTTGGTGACGGGAGAATTCTTTGGTTGAGGAATTTGTTCCATTCTCTGTATACCATTTTGCTCCAGAGACAAGTTATGTTGTGCATGTGACTGGTGAGCATTGCCTTTGTACGCTTTCAGGACATCTTGGAAGGTACCAGTACCCGCATTTTGGACCTTGGAAACGAGATTGATATGTTTTTCCATGTATCTTCTCTATCTTAGCGTTGGCGCCTGGACCATGGTTATTTTTTTCTCTTTCTGGAATCGATGTTGTTTCGGGTGGCATGCCCTAGGGATTCAGGAGAATCCTCACTACTACTCCGCGCTTCTTACTTCTGACAATATTTCCATCCCAGGGTGCTGTATAACACCCCTTGAACTGAAATATTTACGTGTTGCAGGCAGAATGACAAGGGAAAGGATATTTTTGCAGGGATGCTTCTCAACTGCCGGGAAGGTATTCCTGCGAAGCGGTACGCGTCGGTCTCCGAGCTACGATTTGTCGACGTGAGTGGTCATATGTTTATTTAGACATCTTAGCGTAGGCCAATGTTACTACCGGGCGCTGTGATATCCGCTGGATAGTCACCTCATGTTCACTGTAGTGTGTGCCATTATTGACGTGGAGGTCGTTCAATCCAAAGTACCATGCGTGGTACGCCGTATGTACTCCAAGAGGGTCCCCTTTCCTCGGCTTCGTATTACACATTCCTGTACGACCTGCCAACTACCAGTATCACTCGCGAACGAACAACCGAACCACCAAACACGGTTTGATCCTAGAGGGTGAGCGAAGGCTGCTTTCACCCTGAAAACTAATGCAGCCTTGGCTGAACCCTTCCTGGGCGTCCCTGAGCAGCAACCTTGTATACATTTAGATAGTCAGCGGGGCTAAATCTGGCCCCCACCCCTCGGCGATCGCGTAAACCTGCCTCCCAACCGGATACGAATCTCAGATAATATATAATTAGTCCTCCTCCCAACCTAGGACCAACATCCCAGCGTAGAGAAGTTCCATACGTGATGAAAATATGCCCGTCGTACTTCGAGTGCCACCACAACTGGCAGACCATCCATTGCCGTGATCAGCTGTCTAAAGATCTCACTATACCCCTATTGCATTACTTTAATGCCGTTACCACCCTTGCTCATACAGACCAAGATTTGATGCTTTCATACCCAGGTTTCGTGAACTCTCGATAAATTAACCATTGGCGTGGCTGTGACCCGCTGCAAAAGGCCTGATGAAGCTGTCATGCTCTAAAAGCGATTTGTAGTAGCCTACGGAGTCTGCAGCGGAGGCGTTGCATTACAAGAACAGAAGACTGGGGTCATTTCTACAGACTTTCCGGATAAGTCAGCATGGATACAATAACAAAATCTTCATTGCCAGAAGTCTGCCGAATTGAACATTGTTAGGTCCAAGTCATTGAAACTGGGCGTCTCTTGAAGAAATTCCTCCGACAGACTGACGAGACGTAATGGTGACGCGTCAATAAAATCCGTGGGCGTGGCGCCTTGCTGTCCTGTCTCTAAATGCTCATACCAGCATTTGATACGTCGGATGGTCTGTTCAAACTGCCAAAAACAGTCGGGATATTCTGTCGTTCCCAGTGTAGCGGCTGTTAAGGTCGCAGCACGATTGGCGAGTGCGTCAAGAAAATACTTCACATCACACGTCTGCCTGAAGCGAAGGCCTTCATGACTGCCAGTGGCACAAAGCGAGAGTTTGATGAGAACCATTATGGCATGGCCAAGCTGGGCTTTCTCGCACATGCTATGTTTCCTGATCAATTGACCGGAAAGTCTGAGATACCTGCTTAAGAAATTTTTGGTCGCTTCTAGGCAGTTGAAAAGAAGGCTGGTTTCAAGGATTTGCGAGTTATGGGTGGTGCCCAGACTCTGGTGGTCCGGTGCGGCTGTCTCGCTTCCTTGAAAATTAGTATAAAGCGCCACCTCATACAAGAACACGTAAGCACTGTCATACATGAGCCCCAGCGATGCTGCAAAGTCAAAATCAGCTTCTTTCTCAGGTCTAGAGATTTCGATGATAGCCATGGAAAATGTGCAAAAGAGGGGAGGGGCGTGCTTGAAGCCTTACGGATGCTCGAGTCATCAAGACGCAAGGTGGATCGCAGATCTTGCAACTGTGACTTGAAAGAATCGATCAGAAGCTCGGTTGTTCCTTCGGAAAGTTCAAATGGCCTGTGTGATTTCCGACCAAATGCTGAAGTTATCAGCACCACAAGTCTGTGCAGCCGGACAGCATGCACGAGTGGCAGATCTGTTGGAACGTCTTCTTGAGTCGCTAGGCCTCTACAGTACCTATCGATAATATCATCATATTTCATTACAGGGGTTCTGCCTAGAGCGAACAGTATACTGGCGCGGAGGTTAGCGACCTTGGCTCACATCACTCAAGACGATCTGACCTTACCAAGACGACAGTAAGTAGGTCCCAAGGTATAGCCTTTTCCACTCGGCATTAAGTGTCACGGTCTCCGCAAGGTCCAGAGCGATGGTAACTGCTGTTTGAGTTATCGTGAATATCTGGTTAGCTTGACGGCGATGGAAATGCCACCTGCAAATCTGAGTGTTAGCTAAGCCTACGTTCAAAACCATCTCGCGCATGGAATCATCAACTCACGCACCAAGAAAGGTACACTACCAAGCCTTGCAATAGATCTACATTGAAAACACCATCAACAAAGACCTTTGTGCCCAGTATTGTTCGAAACTCGGACTCCAAGACTTTATGCAAATTGGCTCGTTGGTGAGTTGTTGTTGCCAGAATGGCAATTAGCAAGAAAGGGCGATCTCGTCGTAAAATTGCAAGGGTAAGTGAACCTATCACCACAAAAGGGAACTGTGAGTATTCATCCTTGAATCTCTCCAGCAGCGTCTCTGCCTCGGACATGGTGACGATTCCTCTGTCGATCATATCTGCCTCTGGTCGGAAGCTCACTGCTTCGAGATACTGGTGAGAAATGCTGAGTGGGATTTGCCCCTCCCCACTAAATATGGATGAGAGGGAGCCTGGGCCGGTCGTTGGCTGGCGGAGGTCCTCGTTTTGCAGAGAGATGTCTGATCGAGTTAAATCTCCAAAGGATTGAGCTTGAGAATGTGGTTCAGACTGGCCAGGCTGGCCAGGCTGATTAGCCCGGCCAGCCCCATTCTTTAGCATTGAAAACACATTTTCAAGATTTTTCTCGATCTTTTTCAGACGCCTAGAGATGATGGACAGTGAGAAAAGCACTGTAGGATGTAATAAAGGAGGACACCCACAATGTTGTGCCGGCCACTTTCTTGGAGCGTTCTCGGGCCTCTGAGAAGCGGCAGGCTCGACCTAGCCTGGAACACCTATAGAAGGGATCAGTGCGTCCAACGAAATCAAAAAAAATAAGGGTTTCAATGTACCTTCTACACGCAGCGCGTGCGTCAGTGGCATTGGTGGGAATACAGCGAGTTTTGGAGGAACGACAGCTGTCGCAAGATCGGAGGAGCGGCGCCCGAGCAGTACGAGACTCTCCCATTTCCATTGTACCGTCTCTCTCCTGTGTATGGATAGATGTCCCGCCATTGCTGTGAAGCATGTTTCTAAGGTCGTATCTGAGCGTTCTCTTTACTTCGGAAGGTCAGGGTTTTGCCTTCTTGAGCCAACTGGCGCATATGAGTACCGCCTTTATGGAGAGTGGCTGTTTCAGACTTGTTTCGGAGACAGTCGTAGACACACATTAGCTTTACTCAAAGGGCGGTATTTTGGTATTGAAGCGTAGCAGTACGAGCTACTGGAAGCAGCAGGCGGAGAATTGAAATGGTGCTCGGTATGGTCGATGTTTGGGAGTGAAAGATCGGTTCGGAGCATAAATCGCTTCCGACGTCCGAGCTTGGCCAACGCCTGACTGTGCCCCTAACGTATGTGCTCCACAGATTCTGTCCGCGGTGTCCATTCTCCTGCCAGATGCAATTTCGAATTTGGCAAGTTGGACCTAGTAGATTTGGTTCAGCGGTCCTCCCTTGGCCCGCGGTCGCAAGCCATGCATTCGCATGAGTTTGGGCTACGATGATCGCTATGACCTGCTCGGAAATTAGAGACGTTCTAGAAGGTACATTGGTTATGGAGTTGTGTGCTTCTAGAGGCTGAGCAACCTGAGCGTATAAGCGGTATCTGGGTAGTGGCAGAGCTCCTCGGATCGTAAGGAAATGCTCTTACTGCCGTGCAGATTTACAAACACCACAAGCTAAAGCCCGAATACTTCCTAGGTACAACAGAAATCCCGCGAGTAGACAGAGCCTCATTCTAGGCATGACTGGGAGTCAAAGCAAGCACCTATGAACGTAATGAAAGCTCTATGTATCTCACTATTAGCTTGCCAGTGATTTTTGTTAACAGTACGTGGGCATACAGAGTGTCTATGCAGTTGCCAGTAGCTCAGAGTGTCCCAGTACAAAATTACAAGTCGATGCTATATCGAGTTCGTAGATATTCGCCATATCGACAAAATAACCATGGAACCGGGACGAAGGCAAGGCAAACGAAACCTAACAGACTGTTTCCCCAGCCCAAACCCAAATCTGCGTACATCGACGGGGCGGCAAGGGGTAGAAACGCTCCAAACAGACTTCGAAGGACCAGATTCGCGGCTAGGGCCGAGGCAGCAGCTTCTGGCCCATGAGCGTCAACCAGATAGACCTGCATCGCAATCATGATGAACAGTGCCCCGAGTCCAATGACAAACGTTCCGATAATGGGAACAATCCAATGGATTTGATAGTGAGCAGTCCATCCATAAATAAAGCATCCGATAGGGGCTATACATGCTCCAAATTTCATCGGGACCAATCGCACCTCCGGGTTGTCTATTCCTTCCTTCTTCATCCGGGTTGAATACTTGTCGCTGAAAATAGAAAAACCGACCAGTCCGCATACCATGCCGAGACCGAGGCCTAGGTAACACAATCCAGCAATTTGTGTACTGAAGGCATACTGTCCCTCAAACGTTTGGAAAAGTAGTGAAGAGGAGGAAGATCAGGCCGAAGATCAAGCCTGCGTATAGCGAGAGGAGAAGCACGATGGGTGAGAAAATCAGCATCTTGGTTGGACGCACTATCGAGTGACTGAACGTCTGGCGAGACCTCGGAGTTGAGCCTTGCTTGGAGACCAGATGTGGATTTCCCGTCTCCTTGCGCAGACGCTGGGCTTTCCGCTCCAATATAATTGCACCATTGGTCTCGCGAAGGAAATAGAAAGAAGGGATGGCGAGTGTACCGGACTACACAGATGTCAACAGCGGACTTGCATAGTGGAGCAAGTATAACTCACCATGATCATGATAATGCGAAAAGTCCAGCGCCATCCAGTGTTCTCGGTGACAAAGCCTCCGATAACAGGCCCTATCGTCTGTAGTTTCTCTCAGTACATGCACTACTTTCAGACAAAGAGCAAACATCATGTCCTTACCGGTCCTAGAAGTGGCCCAACGGAGAAAAGAGCCATGGCGGCTCCTCGCTTCTCCTCTGAAGTTGTGTCGGCTACCGTACCCCCACCAACAGTCATCGGTCCAGAAGCCGCACAGCCACAAATGAAGCGGAAGACAAGGAACATGGCCGTATTAGTACTGAAAGCGCAACCCAGAGTAAATGCGAAGTAGAAAACAGTGCAGAGGTGGTAGATGATAAGTCGTCCGTATAATTCTGAAAATGGTGCAATGAACAGAGGTCCAACTGCAAATCCCAAGATATAGATGCTGACTGTCATGGCAGCAATTGTTGAATTGGTGATGCCAAACTCTGCAGCCAATTGGTTTGCGCCAGGGGCGAACATGGTTGCGGCCAGATTCCTGGGAACAGAGCGTCAGTTACACCACATTGGCTCAGCATACTGCATGGATAAAACAGACGCGTAGAGTGCGAAGATGCTAACATATACAACGTGAAGGGCTCTCTTAAACCTTGGCCAGTTGCGCGGGTTTTCAGGGTCAACAAGGCCATCCCAGGTCACTTGGTCGGATTCCGAAGCCCGGTGGGTTTCGGTAGATGGGCCATGTTCAGAATTTCGCTCTATCTCTTCCGGAACTTTCGTATATGTGCTCAGTGGAAAATCAGGACTTCCTTGAGGAGACATTCTTTGTTGTGGAATGCAGACAGGGTGAACGGGTAGGGGCGACGATCAGTATTGATTAAGAAGATAGATCAGAAAGCCAACAAAACTTTATCGTTGGACGTAACTGTTTTTCTTAACTATGTTTTTGAACTGTTCTTGCAGCATCGAGACAGCCCAGAAGGAAAATTGATGATATTTGGTTATTAAATAGTAAAACATGTTGGCCGTGCCTTTCATATTGGGCCATTGGCAGATCCATGAAAAGAAACGGTCCCACTGCCAGTGGTCCCTGAAAATCCCATTCCGTTCAACGTATGCCTAGCCAACTCATGGGAGGTGGAGTACGAGATTGGGGGGCAAGGCCACGGAGACGTTGGTACTTAGCACGCCGATGTCTCAGCAGGGTGGTGTTTTCTTCCTCAACATATTGCTCCTCAAAGGCAGAGACATCCCTCCCAATATGGGTGCAGAACAGAGCACCCAATCGGGTGGTCGGGCCACTTCGCTTGTTGACCCGTTGTAGCACGAAGCCTCTGTAAGTACCGCATGGATCGGACCACGCCTCATTGTCGCCGAACGTGCTTAAGATGTGTCGGAGATACCGATGGTCCGAGAACAGCAGAACGGCCACCACAAATCCTGGTGGTGTGCTTGTGAGGTGAAAACACGCATCCCAACTATGTCCTCAGAACTCAAGCGATCATCATGCGGTTGAATTAGACTGGGCTGACGGTCTTTCATGCTAGGATCCTCCGTTCCCTTCAAGTCCTGATTTGAGGGGCATATGAGGATAGAAATGTTTAACATTGTGATTTCGATAGAGAATATTATCACCGCACCAATCAGAACCACTTCTCTAAGCTTATAAACAGATTCTTGTAAACAACATAGCTCTAACTGCTGAAGTTTTGAAACAAAGATACTCGTAATTTCCTTGGACTAGGAGGACATGGTCAATAGTGGTGGGAATTAATCGGTGATCGAATAGTTTTATGTGCGTCAATAGTAGCCGGTGTAGTACTGTACAATTTCAAGATGCTAGCAACGGAATAATGAAATAATTAGATAAACATAGTTGCCGGATTCTGAACAACCTTTCCAATAAAGGTCAGGGATTTACGTGAAAACAAGGTTTGATAATGACGGCATAAATTACGGAGCCTGCGCTTGCCTTTACCCGTTGTTGGTGCCAATACTCTACTAGCGCGTACTAACTCTACACGCAGGTGAGGCGCTAATAAAGGTGAGATACTAAAACTCTATAGCGCTGGCCAGAATGCAACTTTTATCGATCGATAAAAGCGACACTGCATCAGCGTTTGGAATACTTTGAACTTATGGAAAAGGGGCTTATAGAGATTTATCGGCTTGTTAAATTGTGTATACACCCGAATAGAAACCACAGAATGGAAACGGACAGAGATCTCAATCAACATCCGACTCGCCTAAGTTGCCTAGTCGGGATATCCATCATCAACTAATGACGTTAAGTGGGGACCAATCAGACCATCCATCAATCCCACCTGACAACCTAGCTACCGCGTCAGCATATGTGTCCTGAATATTTGGTTTTACATCAGGCTATTTCTTCGCAGTGATTTTCACCTGTGAATGCCACTGGTCCTGCAGCTGTACGTTTATCCTTTTTATCTCATAGATTTCTGCTGAGAGATTCCCTCTAAAAGTGGCGCATTTCAACGTATTCGGAGTTGAATTGATTTCGAGGACGAGAACAACGGCATCACCCTGCTCGTTTGCAAAGCATATTAACCCATCGGCTTTCGGGAGCACGGGCTCGGTACATCAAACTCCATACGAGAACCGAGCAGCTTCTTCCTACCATACAAGACTCTGTCTATGAGGGGGGAAACGTACAACAAAGCTCTCACGATCCCAAAATGCCTAGCACCATGAAACCGCGCAGCAAATCGGAGCAGGCACTGAACTCCCTGATCCAACAACATCCGCTGCAACGACTTGCAAGCCCATCACGAACAATCTCAGCGTGCGTGCACATCCTGGGACTCGCGTCGTACGCATCCAGCTTTGACTATCTCGTCGGGCACCCGAACCACATCAACCAAGCCTACGGCTGGCACTTCCAGTACCTAACGATCATCGGGCTTTCCCTCGCAACACTGACATTCTCTCTCGGCCTCGTCGCAGACGTCACCCTCCACCGCGGAGCCTTCGCCGCGAAGAATGTGATCTCCATGTGCGCGGCCCCGATGGAAGTCCTCATCTCGACGCTGTACTGGGGCCTGCGCGCCATCGACCCGGCCCTCGTCGTGCCGCCGGACCTTGAGTTGCCGCTTTCCGCGGACCTGGGGTTCCACCTCGCGCCAACGGCTTTCCTGCTGCTGGATATTCTGCTATTGAGTCCGCCGTGGACGATCGCTGGGGTGCCGGCGTGTGTGCTGTCTAGTGTGATTGCTTTCCTGTATTGGTTCTGGATCGAGGCGTGCTTTCGGCAGAATGGGTTTTATCCGTACCCGTTGTTTGAGTTGTTGGACAATTCGCACAGGGTCGCGTTGTTTGGCGGTTGTGCGGCTGTCATGGCGGTGATTACGCTGTTGTTGAAGAGAGTTTATGCGGTGGTGAATGGGGCGGGCTCCGAGTGGCCGGGGAAGCTGAGATGAATTTGCTATAGATGGTTTTTGGGTGGCGGATGTTGGAGGAGAAAGGGAGTGTTAGTCGCCATGGTGTGGAGGCGTCGGTCGTGGTGTCAAGGGAGGAAAACATGACCGGGGATGCTATGGCTTCGCCCACCCTTTCCTGAAGGCATTTTTCAGAACCATGCTATGACGCCTTTTCGTGATCATTGTTATACTGTATTCTGCATCGCTTGTCGTGAAATAGCTTACCTTTGCGCTCCTCGTCGGTGTATCAATGATATGTTCTGCGCAAGGTTGGCATGGCGGGGGAATTGCTGAAGGGAATAAAGATTAGAGGAACTTTGTGGAGCAATAGAATTCTTCAAGATCAATCCTTTCTATGTCATCATTGCCTACATGGCATGTCAAACTGTCCCTCGGTGCTTTCCCTGCATGTACATGTACAGATTATTGAATATCCGAATAAGCATTCAGCGCGAGCTGGCCTCCCAAATGCGCATACAACACGGTACTTCCCGGCTTGATCTCTCCGCGTTTAATCAGATCAATCATGCCCGCAAGGCTCTTGCCCTCGTAAACAGGATCAGTGATAAACCCCTCGGTTCTGGCACCGAAGCGGATCGCTTCCAGGGTCGCTTCATCCGCAAGGCCATAGATCCCAGCGTGGTATCTGGTGTCGAGGATGACATCTTTCTCCTGGATGTCGGATTCCTGCAGTCCGATCTTACTGGCGGTCTGCCTGGCAATGCGCAAGACTTGATCGAAGGTCTGGTCTGGTTTCGCTGACGCGTCAATTCCGATCACTTTTCTGACAGGCGACCGGTCGAGTTTTTCAAGGAGCTTGAAGCCGGCGATCATGCCGGCGAAGGTGGAGCCTGTGACCGCACAGACAATGATGGTATCGTAGAAAATGCCCGCGGCCAGTTCTTGAGCTCGCACCTCAAATGCCCAACGTGCGAAGCCGAGGCCTCCGAGAGGATGGTCCGACGCACCGGCTGGGATGTAATATGGCTTGCCACCAGCGTCGATAACTTCTTGAGTGAGCTGTTTCAAGGTGTTTTTGTGCTCGATGCCGAATCCAGAACTGTCGAGACGGACATCGGCATTCATCAGTCTTGATAGTTGGATATTTCCGACCTTGTCGTATCCAACATCCTCATGAGGCACCCATTTCTCCTGGACTAGTTTGGCGTTCAACCCCAACTTTGCAGCAGCTCCGGCAACTTGTCGCGTGTGATTGGACTGGAAACCCCCAATGGACACCAAGGTATCACATTTTTGTGCCAAAGCCTCGGGGACCAGGTACTCTAGCTTACGGGTCTTATTGCCTCCAAAAGCGATTCCGGAGTTACAGTCCTCTCTCTTAGCATAGATGGCCACTTGATTTCCAAGGGCCTCAGATATGCGAGGGAGAGAGTGGATGGGCGATGGTCCCAGGGTGAGCTCATGGCGGGGAATACTCGCGAAAGAGTCTGGGAGATCTAGATCGAGTGAAGAGGTAGTCATGGTTTGATAGATCGAAAGTCCAAATATTGTCCAACGTTTCGAAATCTCTTCAGGGAATGATGCTTTGGTCTTTTATACTCGAGGAGGAAGTGGATGGAAGTTGGGGAGGACCAATAGTGTCTTCCGTTACCCGTCGGAGTTGGCCTTGGCATCGTGCCCCGGCATTGATGCCGTGCGAATTCGGAGGGTTTCATTACTCCGAACGAGGCCATTGATATCAAGCCCGGCGACTTCACCAGAAGGGAACGTTGTAAGTGGACGACAGCATGCTGATGCTGCAAACACTAGATTCGTGAAAAGGTCGTTTCGATCAGCTGGTCTTTCTTAGGCCCACGAACTTCGTGTGTTGTCGTGAACCAAGACAGTAGTTCTGGGCCGCTGGACGGGGGGTTCAAGTGAAAGGAGTAAGAACTGCTGTAGAAGTCTTCGACACAGAGATGGCCACCGCTTCCACTTAGGGTGATCTCTTGTGTAGAGAGCCCCGAGTCATGCTCGGATAGTAGAGGGATTTCAATTTTGTGGAACAGATAGTCAATGGCATCAGTGCCAGGTTTTGTGAACCAGACACTAATGGTATGGACATCCTGAGTAGTTTGCAGCCGCCAGATGTACTTCCTTGAGAAGACGAACTTGAGTACCTCGCCACGAATCTGGGTGGACGTGGTCATCTCAAATTCGCCCTGTTCATGATAGAGCAGCTCGGCGTCTGCGAGATGAAGTGAGCCATCGGAATCAATGACTGGAGATGGTTGAGTGATGGTGAAGGTTGCTTCTCCGTGACACTTGCCAGACGGCTCGGTTTCGTCGGCACTGTGCAACTTACGGTTGAGCAGCCATTTCCCCGCAAGATTGTGAAATAAGTTGGTTAGCAAGGTGGCACGGGTTGATGGGTCCTGCATTTTGGGGCACAGTATTCTTCCCTTATCAGGTTGAGAGCGAATAAGTAGTTCTCATAAACTGAAGTTACAAAAGCGGTCTTTAGGTAGACAGGTAATTATCTAGCCTGACCAATGTAGCCTGATTGTAGCCTGATAGGTGGATTGGAGGAATTAGGGGGCGGCACAAAGCAGTGTCATTAGGGAGGAGGCAGAACAAACTTCGCTGGAGTGGAAGTTATACCCGTGGCGCTAAACTCTAGGCAAGGGTTACCTGGGCATCAGGCAGTATTACCCGGTGTTAGCTGTGCGATCAAGGGTCATAGGCGCCCTCCTTAGTTAAGAGCACGGGCAATAGCTGGGAACTCCAGGCTTGAATAATCACATTCTGTACCCACGTAAAGTGATTGCCTATTGTTAAGACATTGTTAAGAGATTCACAGCTATATCACTGTACCGAGTACTCCTTACTGGCTGACTTAATATGTCATATAAACGATCTGCCATCCCATTTCCTTAGGCCATGAAGTATCATGACGTGTCTGTCCTGTCCCTTCGAAATAAGCTCATCTAATTCTTGCTGCGTCCACCCAATACCACTGGGCGACCACCCTGCCCACAGCCACAGCCTTAGGCTACCAGCCTGCCCCTCTCGCCTATCACCCCCTTCAACTGCGCATCCATCCCGTCGAGTTCGGAAGATGGATCCATTGTTGATGCAGCGCTGATCCTGATTCGGTAGCTGCCAACTTGTCTATCAATCTCCCTGTTTTCCTTTTCTGCTCAACCAGCTGTGCTTCGCTACACCCTCTTTGACTCGGGGTTAACCAAAAGGTAACCGGCAGCTGCTCGGTGCTGGCCGAGGGGCTGTTTACTTGCAACGGCTAGTTACTAACTTCAGTTAGCTCCTCCTCTCCAGTGTCAACCTCCCCCCCAGAACCTTCAATCCGCCCACTTCGTGGCATAATCCTTGCCATGGCTTTCACTCCTAGTACCGTGAACCCTCCTTTCACTGTTATCTTCTCGTCCCTTCCTCTCCTGCCGCCTCGAAGCTGCTCTCGGAGCGTCGACACTCGTTTCTGCACCGCGACTATGCGCCGCACGATGCTTTCCGCCTGCTCCGTATAGCATACCCTGCTCAATGGTACATCCCCTACAACCGGTCCGTCTGCTAGAATCCCTCGGTCGATAGCATTGCATCATCATATCTATTCCCTCGACAGAGCAGAGCCCAAATTGCCTCAAGATGCGTTGTTACAAGAGCATGTCCAGACCTCAAACTAGCCTCCTGTACTCCCTGTTCCTCTTCCTTTTCCTGAATATCGCACGGGCGCAGAACTTCCTTCCAACAACATCTTCGGCCGACTATCCCGGTTGCGCCGTCGGCTGTAGCACTTTATTGCAAGCCCAGAGCCTCTGTGTACCACCCGCAGTCGCTGTCACCTCTCAATTTACATACGAGAATTGTTTCTGTCAGAGCAGCTTTCTACAAGGTCTCTACTCTAGCCCTGATGCGGTTTGCGCGGCAGAATGCACAATAGAGACCGACAGAGTCTTGTTGCAGACATGGTTCAGAACTTTTTGCAACGCAGTGGGTCAAGGCGTCGACCCATTAGCCTCCACCACTCTGGCACCAACTGCAACACAAAGTGTGGTAGTTATTACCATCACTAGTACATCTACTCCGCCCGGCTCTACCAGCACTGGCACGGGGAGCGCGAATAGAGGTGGCGAACCGAGCCAATCCTGGTAGAATATATGTCATCTTCACGTTTTATACCATTTCTGACAAGCACACAGGATCGAGGGGCATTGGCGTTGGATACTGATGGTTGGCTTACTACTCATCGGGTTGGGCTTGTTTGCATGGCTCCTCGTCTGGCTTAAGCGACGCCATCGTAGGAAGCTTGATGAACGTCGAGCCACGATGTCTGGTTTCCCGACCGAAAGTGAAAAGCGAGCTGGAGCTCGCTCGGCGACTCCCGACTTATGGGGGCCACACCAGGTGCGTTGACAGGTTCCATGTACATCCTATGGCTAACATGTGACTGAAGCATATGAATCATACCCATGGCTACGAATACCAGGATGGGCAGCCAGTGCTAGGAAGCGGTGCCCTTAGTGCACCAAACGCGAACCGAGAGAGGAGAAAATCGAGGCGGCAGAAGTCGCGCGACCAAAATGAGATGGCTCAGATGAACGATACACCAGCAAACTCGACAAGGCATTCCTCCAAAGGCAAATCCAGACCTCTAGAGCGGATTCTCTCCAACGAACCCGAAGTTGGACCGGTGGAAAGGGACCGAAGCCGAAGTAAGAGACGAAGGGATCCTGGTAGTGATATTGAAACACGCTCGAATCCGGAACACGACCGGCGCTTACGAGAAGTCCGCGGCAGCCGACGAAAAAGGCCGATTGACCCGCCTTAGGACTGTGGCCCAAGTATATATTCGCAATCTATATGCAAGCGGCAAACTCGATGTTCGTGGGAGGACACACCTATTCTGGATATCAGGCAACCACTACAGTTTCAAGTAGTCAAGCGCTTTACCGCGGAACGTGCTTAGCCTCTGAGAATTGCAAGCATGGAAGGGGGCTCCGGGAGGTGCCAACAGCCCATTGCAGCAGCAATGATGGCGACGAAGTTGCTATTCACAAGCTTGAGGTGTGAAAGAGTGCGCCACGCCTGTGTTCCGTGGATCAGCGCGCAGCACAGTATTAGCGGGAGATGGCGATTTTAGAAGGCAGACTAGCATATACGCGGGTTGGCTATTAGAGAAGGCCATGGGAGAGCGGCGGCCGGGTTCCAAGGCGACAAGATTCGATTTCGCGGTTGTTGCGCTTGTGTCCCGTGATTGCCTATACAGAAGAGTAGTCGTACATTTGACTCATTTAAGTAGCTAGAGAAATATGGGGTAGTCTTAGTTGAAATATCAGCCGCAATGCAAGTACATGGTAGTTCTTCCGATGCATACAAACTTGAGATGGAGTTGAGTGCCCGCAAAAGAAAAGTTCTTGGCGGGTGATTGACCTGACGTTGGATCTCTGGGTCGATAGAACTGAGCACCTCAATACCATCTAAATAAACAGACAATATCTCTAAAGATCGCGGCAGTGCTGCCTGCGGCCGGCTCTCTTTGCGTCAACTTAACACTATCTGGAATATCAATATCTTCATCAGCTCATTACCCAGCTTCGAAAGTATCGCATTCATGGCGGCTGGCTTCTGTCAAGGTTGAACGACATGTCCCAACCTCTACCTAAACCAAACTATGCCTTTAACATTCCGAGCATCCACGATGATCTAGAGCTAGACTGTCGCCTGCATTATCCAAGGAGGACGGAACAGAGTTCTGATATCTTTGGCAAAGCATTTGCAATTTTCGCCCATCCCTACGCTACCTTGGGCGGGTGTTACGATGACCCTGTGGTTGCCCTTGCCGGCGGAATTCTCCTCCAATATGGTTGTATTTTGATAACCTTTAATTTCAGGTGAGCTCCGCCCGCAAGTCGCAATATTGTATACTTACGTCTGATGTGTCATGGAGAGGTGCTTCTGGTTCAGCAGGAAAGACTTCATGGACTGGCAAGCCCGAACTTGGCGACTATGTTTCCGTCTATGGCTTTGCACTGTGCTACATGAACGCGATATGCCATCGACAAGAGGGTGTCAGTGCTACGCCAAGGGATGATAGTCCCCTCCTTATCCTTGGTGGATATTCTTATGGGTCCATGATCGCGTCGCATGTGCCTCCTCGAGATCAAGTGCTTGAGATTTTCAAGTCACCAACTGCGAATTCGGCTGAAAGCGAAATAAAACTTCGGGCCGAAGACTTGTCTCGAGATGCAATAGCATATTTTGATATGCACACGCCCAGTATGTCACTATCGATTAGCCGTGCCCGAGGCCAGAAAGCGGAGGATGGTAGGCATTTACATCGAGCCGTAGCAATGGGTGGGTATGAATCAGAGGTCACTAGTCGAAGGGTGAGCCGAGAGTCTTCGAGAAGGAGCTTGGATGGAGAAAGGGTCAGACAAAGCATCGACAATGTAAGGCGGAAGATCAGTTATCACCGAGTCATCACCCCTCAAAAATCAGAATCCAAGATGCAGGCACCGTCGGGAGATGATCTGATACTGCCTCGAATCGCGTACATTCTCTTGTCGCCGTTGTTGCCCCCAATAGCTGGATTTACTACAATGTTCTCGAAGTTACATTTCGTGGCGAGAAATGGTCGCTCGAATAGGGCCTCCGCATCATCCAGCGTGGAGTTTGGGGAACTCACGACCAACCCGTGCATCTGTATCTACGGCAGTAAAGACGCCTTTACCAGTGACCGCAGGCTTCAGCATTGGACCGAGGGCCTTCGTTCGAGATCGGGCTCGCGCTTTGTGGCCATTCGAACCGACTCGGGCCATTTCTGGCAAGATCCTGATGGAATCATTCGGTTGCAACGCGGATTGATCGACTGGCTGAAAGCGGTCATACCGTCGAGCCACTCTGAGAGGACGGAAGATGCGCTTCCGACTACACATCGTCATCACGACTCAGGAGAGAGTGCAATAGAGAGACCGGCAATTGTGAACGGATGAAATAGAATTCGATTCAAGTTTGGTACGCCCAAACAAATGCCTTTGGGATAAAGTCAACTTATACTACGACTCATATGAGTGTGGCCTGATTACTTCCGAGATTCTGGGGCAGCAAGTAGCGACTAAAGTTTACCTGGCCGACTCCGACGAAGAGTACCTCATACAATCAGCATGGGCTGTGAGATGAGGAGGTGCATTCAGCGACATCCAAGCGCAGCCTCATGACGGCTCTGGGAAGTGTGTCGTCGGCGGAGAAGTGCCTTACAACCCTGACCATGTCGCACAGGATTCGGATCGTTCCAGAGCTAGGGTGGTGAATGGAGGACAACGCACTCGAGTTGCATGTGATCGTGCAGGGTGCTTTGTTTGGAAGTCTAGAAAGCTTGGGAATGCAAGATATACGGCATGCGGATGCCTAACTGGACCCTCGTCCTCGTCCCATTGGATCCAGACCATACATACTTAGGTGCTGTATCACGCGCCAGGTCAAAAGAACACCTGGAACCACACTTGTGGCATCTCTGGCATTGTGTAGGCCCGAATCGTGACGGTGGATTACACCCTTTTGCCAATCCCTTCTCTGCTACTGACTCCATTGTGCCTTCCCCAGAAGCCGAAATCTGTAGTGAGCCAACCTGGAGATGGTGCCTACCTAAACTATGTCATCGGGCCCCACAAGGAAGGCACTTCTTATCCCGTCCACTACTCGCTCTCTCACACTCGCACCTGCCCTCCCACACACCCATCCATACCGAGCAGACCAACTACACAGACCGACACATGCACAGACTGCGTTCGCTACCAGCTTCCACCGCTCTATTAGTGGGTTCTTTCATTTCTTCACACACGACATCCCGTCTTATTCACTGATTTCCCACGGACAATCCCCCGTTCACTTGCGCAGCACCATTACATTCCTTCTTATTGCTTACCTTATACTTCCTCCCGTCGTTGCTTCATCACCAATTTTCCAGTGACCCGTCTTGTGCGTGTGATCACTCTGGTTCGGATGACACACACAACCGCGGTCTCTTACGCTTTAAGACACTCCGGTCCAGCTCCTCCAGACTTCATTTAATCACCAATTTCGTTCCTCCCGTGCCATCTCTTGTGGCCCGATGGCCAACGTTACCTTGTCGACATGGCCATCATCCTCTCTGTCGCACCCCCTACTATCAAAATATTCTGGTCCTGCATCGGCCTCTACGCTGATGTTATCAAGATCTGCTCGCCTAGCAAGAAACTACAAAGCGTTGCCGAAGAGATAGCCAGATTCTGCCGGAAACCTCCTGAGACGGTGGAGCAGGAATGGACTAGAGGCATGAAAGACGCCACGTCCCTGGCCGACTATGAAAAATGTACAATGGCGCTGGATAAGGTACAAAGTCATGAGACTTGGAAACAAGAGAAATATTCCATAGAAGGAGAGTATGACCCGGACCTGATCCAAAACCATGCCGACATGCTCCAGAAGGCAATGGCTTCTTCTGATCTGAGTGCCCTCCAGTATCAACTGAGGACTGGCCTGAGTCGCGACCTAGGTGCTATGAACAGTTTAAGGCTCTACAAACATTCATGGTTTGGCACCAAGTTTCTCATCGACGATTACATCAACACCGTTTTAGAGGCCATCGAAGCATTTGCGGACCTTACTATCCGATACAACCTCCCTAATGCCGAAGTCCGCTTTTACCAGCAGTCCTTAGAAGATTCTCTCAAATTTTTCGGAAGATCGGCTTTGACCCTCTCTGGCGGAGCACTCTTGGGCATGAAGCATATTGGAGTGGTCAAAACTCTGTGGGAAGCAGAGCTATTACCAGAAGTCATTTCTGGAGCATCAGCCGGTAGCATTGTGGCAGCCATTGTAGGGACTTCAACCGATGAACACATGTATGAAGTCCTGGAGCGGTTTCCTTACTCCGATTTGGCGGTTTTTGATCCACCGGGCACCACTTCGATGGGCTGGCTTTCACAGCGAGTCCGAACATTTCTATGGTCAGGAGCATTCTTCGAGATGGAGAACATTAAACGAGTGATGAAGACATGGCTCGGGGCTATCACATTCCGGGAAGCACATTACAAAACAGGCCGGACCCTTAATATCTGTGTCTCGAGTGCTGGCAGTGCTGAACCTAGGTTGCTGAACTATGTTACTGCCCCCGATGTGTTTGTTTGGTCGGCGGTTTGTGCCTCCTGCGCCGTACCGAGCGTTTTCGCACCGGTCAACATCTATGAGAAAGATCCCATCACCAAAAAGGAGAAGCTGTGGATGCAAAATGCGCAACAAATGTTTGTGGACGGGTCTTTGGATCATGATATTCCAATGAGAAAGTTGGAGGAGTTGTTCAACGTGAATTTTTTTATTGTCTCACAGGTCAATCCCCATGTGCGAAGCTTTTTGGAACCCGAGGAGGAATTTCATGGAACGCAGCCGCGGTCAGCCGCTCCTTCGCGAACCTGGCTACAAGGGGCCAAAGCCTTGTTGAGGGAGGAGGTTATACACCGATCCCAACAAATGGCGGACATTGGTTTGGCTCGAAGGTCCATCCGCTGGGTGTCGGTCATCAATCAACAGTACACGGGCGATATCAATATCTATCCGGAGATCAGAACGCGCGAGTACTTCCACATGATGATGAACCCGACACCAGAGTTCATGATTGAGGCGACGAGGGCTGGTGAAGTAGCGACTTGGCCTCGGATGTGCCGGATCAAGAATTGCGTGGCTATCGAACTGGCTTTACAACAGGCAATCCACCGATTACGCGATCGAGTCAACTTTGGGCCGGAAGCTAGAGCAGCGCGAGAAGCAAGGCCGAGACGATCACTCAGCAGAGGCCGTGCAGGGCGTGGCAGGTCAGCTCGGCCATCATTTCTTCGGCGGAGGAGTCTCAGCATCGAATCGCCTACTCAGGAGGATGAGGCAATGTTACCCATGAGACCTCTGCGGGTTCGGCGGAATGCCAGCATGGGCAGTATTGTGTTGAAACCCATGACATCGGCTTTAACGGGCGGCCGGAGTCGACCCTTGCTATCGCCTCAGGCTGGTGTTGCCAGTGACCTTCTCGGAGATGCGCTGGTGATGACAGCGGTGACTCCAACCGACAGGAAGACCGTTACCATTAGCAATGGGCTAGAGTGAGCCCATGCTTTGTTTGGCGATGTTGCATTTTTCTTTGTGCAGGTGACGGTGATCCTGGACAGCGGCGTCACAACTCGTTAGGAGTACACCGCGCCCTACTTTTGATACCCCCGATTATTCTTTAAGAGCAATATGCATGTAGCATTAGTGAGAATGACATAGAATAGCATATGATAGCACTAGAACGAGGAGACATAAGACATGTCAACTACCTAGTCTCGACTTTAGTGGGATGTGGTCAAAGTTCAGCGAGGTACCGAGTCGTCATATCCAGTACTGTTCTCGTACCTTATTTGTGAGGCCAGTCAGGCGTCTCCAGGCCAGGAAGAGTGCGGAGGGAAAGGAGGGAGAGGAAAGGGGGAAGGAAAGGCCAGGTGCAGGTGCAGGCACAGGCAAGAGGCAGAGAGGCCCTGTCGCATCGCACGCGCCGCCGTAGAGTCGCAGGTGCTGGTGCAGTCCAGTCCAGTCCACAGAGCCACGGGCCACGGCGGTGGTTTTGGGGGACTCTGCAGTCTCAGTCTAACTCCGTCTAATCCAAGGCTAATTTTCTGCGCCTGCCTTTTGATCTCAGGTTCTTCCAGATCCAGCACCGTACGCGCAGAACCGTGTCTGTGTCTGTGCGATGGTGCAGCCGACAGCACTTCTCTATCAAGCCCGCCATGGGCTGCCGTTACTGTTACCATCACCTGTTTCCTTTTGAGCCTTCCTCATAGAACGTGTGTTACACCATACTTCAGTCCTGGTCCAACCGTGGCCACAATGGATCTGAAATCGATGCTCAATGACTCTTCCAACCAGAGACAACCACCACGACTGCATACGCCGCACTCTTCTTATGACCACGCCATCGCAATCGCAAATGCAAACGACGCCCAACCCGATCGTCCATCGCCATACCCCCCGCCTCATCCATCTTCTGACTATAGACAATCCGCGAATGGCTCCTATTTCAACCTGCAGTCTCCCCGTCAACACCATTCTGCCGCTGCCACCGCCGCTGCTTCCACCCCAACTGTAGCGACTCAGCCCATATTTGCGCAAAGCCCAGGGCCTCAAGGACCTATCCATACCTCAAGAGACAACATTCCTCAAGCCCATCATTATCACCCATCTTTTGTTCCTTCACCTTCGCCATCAGGCCCTTACCCGCCCACACCAGGCTCTGTTCATCATCAGCAAACACCGTCTACTGCCTCGACATATCACCATCCCGGCGGTCCCTCTGCCTTCAATGTGCAATCTCCTAGAGACGAAATAGCCGTCACGAATGGCCATGCGCATTCCCAATCGCGCAATATTTCTCCCCACGCTCAATTCCATCCAACACCCGCGACGCCGCTGGGCCCTCCTGTCACTTATCCAAGACCATCTCCCCACGCACACCGACCATTATCACAAGGCCAAGAGAGTTATAGGAGGTCATCTGTTGGCTCTGTTGGTTCAGCACATAGCCGGGACTACATCCAATCCAGCATTGCGGCCGCCGCCCCACCAACCCATTCTCGAAGCGGAAGCATACAAAGAACATTCTCAGGGGACATGCGGGAAAGAGAAAGAAGCATTGAGAGTGTCAGCCCAAAGACAATTCCCAAAGCCGCCCCAAAGAAACAAAGGCAGGCTAGCACAGGCCGATATTCAGACGCACTGATGGAAGTTTACAACTCGGCTCCACCACAGTCTGTATTTGCTCCGAGCGTGAGTGCTACAGCCCAAAGCACTCCTGATAGAGTTTTGGACGTCCTACAAAACGAAGCGACACCCAAGTCCTCATCAGCCTCGGTGGAAGCAAAAAGTGCGCCGCAATATCAACCTGCTCGGCCAAGTCCTGGTACAGTACCAGCCAACAATATGACGCCTCAATCCGCACATTCACCCCTCCCTCCACAATTGAACTCACCAGCAACAACCCAACCAAGTTTGAAACGAAATGCAAGCCACCTTTCAAGTGTGCCCAGTACCCCACAGCCACCAAGAAAGCGCCCTAGGGCGAACGACTTCCCACTGTGGGCGGAGAGTGCTCGCAATAGACCTGTAAAATTCATCCGAGCCCGGCCCCCGGTGGCACCCGTGACAAGATTGACGACAACCCCGTCTCAAGTTAAGAGTGAGCCAGTTGTGAAACAAGAGACGCAAACGCCTCAGGTGATGAACTGCCAAGGCCAGAGTCAAGGCCATTTGCCTGGTAACAATCCAGACGATGTCCGATGGGAGCCGTCGATCACTACGATAACGCCATACGAAGACCTGACAAAACGAGTCTGTGATTGGATTGTGCACTGGCTGGCCAATGCAGCAACACCCTCCAACGGAGCGGTATTTGAAATCGAGGCCAAGGTGGGAGCTATCTTTGACGAACAAACAGCACAACGCCTCATGCTACCGGTGGAGACGGAGACGGTCTTCAATCGCGAGAAATACCGGGGAAGGACGAGTTTCAAGAGCTCGATGAATGTTGTGAGTGTCGGAGCTCCCTATGGCGAAAAAATGGTGACTAACTCTGTGGGCAGGCTCAACATAAGCAGATCAATGCATTCCTCAATGCACTAGTAGAGGAATCTATGCGAGAAGCTCAACACTCAGACCGTGCGGTAATTGCATACAGCCATCCGCATGAATATGACGAGTTCTACGACCTTAATGAAGATGGTAAGAGAAATCTCCCCCCGTCGATTTTGCACTGGATGAATCCTCGACACAAACCACGGGTGCGGAGAACGATCGATGAAGAAACTCGACAAGTCAAGGCGCAAATCATCAAGTCGCGGATTGCCGATCTAGAAGTATACAACCCTCAATCCGATTTTGACTACCGAGTTTCGATCAGTATTGAAAGTCCATGGGAAGGAGATCCCAGTTGGTTGTCGGAGATGGGAGAAGAAAACCGTGACAGACAGAAGGATCGGATGAGCTACCGACATATGGCCTATCAAATTGATCTGACCCAGGTCAGCTACCAAAACACCCCTGAGAAGGAACACGAACTGGAGGTGGAAATCAGCACGGAGATGGTACGACGAGAGCTGGACAACCTGAAATTGCAGCGGCCCAGTAAATATGAACCGTTGATCCGAGGGCTCATTGACAACCTAAGAATACTGTGTCGGAGAGCAACGGTGAACAGACCAAGATGAAGGGATGAATGGGCATGACAAAATGACAAGGCACTGGCCAGCGGCACTTTCTACCACGGAAATTCTTGGAAGTCAGGTCTCGAATTAATGGGTGGGCTGGAGATGCTTTCCTTTGATATTGATACCCTTGTAATAATACCTATACCGACCTACCTAACTAAACATGTCTTGTTGCCGTCAATCTCCCCCTAGCCTACTAGTATCCAGTGCCAGTGGTATCTGAATTATACCTGGGAGGTCAATGAACATGATTGGTGACTTTGGAGACACCAGTCCCCTGGATCATCATGAGGCTGAGGAGTGTTCTGATGCCAAGATATGATAGCCACTAGTCTCTAAGTTAGATGACTAGTGAGTTACTAAGTACAGGCGGCAGCGCAGGCGGCCGCAGGTTGACGTAGAATTCAACATCTGGCTCAGTCTTGCTGAAAGATCACAGACACGTCAATGCTTCCGTAGCCTGCGCGACCTTTTCTCCTTCTCCTACCACCACCACCTTCATCAATCCTTCATCACCACCCCTTCTCTTTCTTCATTCCTCCTTTCTTGCTGTACACTAGACTTTATTCAATCTCTGCGCAGCCCATTCCTTGCCTGGGGCCCAAACAAATCCTTTGTTGTTGCAGCTTCCGCGGCTACCCCGATCAACAATTCCTAAACATTCCATCATTGTCGATTCTATCCATCCATCCGCGAAACTGCGCAACCACACCCATATCAATTAAGCGACCATGGTGGGCTTGGTCTCAGCTGCTGGCTTGGTGGGCTTCTTGTCCGAGGATGATCCAGAGTTGAGAAGTTTCGCCCTCAAGCAGCTCGATAGCCAGGTTGATTTGTTATGGACAGAGATTGCCAATTCAGTCGGTGATATGTATGGATCAATTAACCTCTTCCCTCCCATCTAGTACTGACCCATTGCTACAGTGAAGCCCTCTATGAAGACGATTCTTTTCCGGAGCGCGAGCTCGCTGCCATCCTCGCCTCCAAAGTGTATTATCATCTCGAAGAATATAATGAGAGCATGGCATTCGCCCTGGGTGCGGGAAAGTATCTCAAGTTGGACAATGCTGGCGAATTCGAGGACACAATCATCTCGAAATGTGTAGACACCTACATCGCCCTCTCTGCAAGCCATGATGCTACCCTTGCCGCTACCACCGCTACTAGTCAGCCTCAATTAGACACTGCCTTCGGTCAAGGCGGAGATGGCGCTGCGAGCATGTCTGCCAGCCTGACGTCTCCGGTTACTCCCTTTTCACAGTCTGTTCTTCCGTCAAAATCCCTACTATCGAGGCAGAATACCGTCACCTTCGATCCCACCCAAGCAGGTGGCGAAGCTGCCTTAGATGACTCGTCGCTCATCATTCAGCAGCGAGGTCTTCAAAAGCCTTTAAACCGTGTCGTCGAGACTCTCTTTGAGAAATGCTTCCAAGAAAAGCGTTATCGCCAAGTCGTCGGCATCGCCCTTGAAGCCCGCAATCTTGACATCCTTCGAAGAGTCATCAAGCGAGCTGCAGACGATGAGCGAAAAGAGAATGGTGAGGCCACAAAAGCTGGTGAAGAACTGATGGAATATGTCTTGGATATATGCATGAGCGTCGTTCAAGAACGCGCATTGCGAAACGAGATCCTCAAGCTCATTCTAGAACTTCTCAACGAGATCCCTTCGCCTGATTATTTCGCCATTGCCAAATGCGTGGTATACCTGGATCAGCATTCTCTAGCTTCGAATATCTTGCGCCAACTTGTCGAGAAAGGTGACGCTCGATCACTGGCCGTTGCATATCAGATATCCTTTGATCTCTACGACAACAGCACTCAAGAGTTCCTTCGCAAGGTCCGTGAAGAATTGGTAGAGCTTTTACCCAATGAAGAAGCATCTGGCTCAGAAACAACCAACCAGGACCCTGAAAGCATGGAAGAAGAAAGCGGAAACAAGGCCGAAGATCAACTGCAACAAGAGTTGCAAGATTCCGCCGGTGCCCCTGCGCCCTCACGTCCGAAGATAACGAAGCCCGAGCAGCAGGAAGCCGTACGCTCTATCAGGGATATTCTGGATGGCCTCAAATCAATACACCTGAACATCGAGTTCCTGCATAAATCCAACCGTGTCGATCTATCTATTCTCAATAAGATCAAGGACAGCTTGGAAGCCCGATACTCCATTTATCATACTGCTGTCAGCTTGTCAACAGGCTTCATGCATGCCAAAACTGCAAACGACAGCTTCTTCAGAGATAACCTAGAGTGGTTGGGCAAGGCTGTCAACTGGTCCAAATTTACCGCAACAGCTGCCCTTGGCGTCATTCATCAGGGCAATATCAACCAGGCTCAGAGATTGCTGAGCCCTTATTTGCCTCGATCTACCGCGGGCGTTGGTGCTTCAACGGGCTCTGTTTATAGCCAAGGTGGTTCACTCTATGCCTACGGGCTGATCTGTGCCAATCACAAAGGCAAGGCAGTCGATTTCTTGCGCACCAAGTTCCGGGAAGCTACCGAAGAGGTTGTTCAACATGGTGGTGCCCTGGGTCTCGGTGTAGCTGGTATGGCTTCGGGAGACGAGAACGTGTTTGAAGAGCTGAGAAACGTTCTGTGGGCCGACTCTGCCATCAACGGCGAAGCAGTTGGTCTCTCTATGGGACTTGTCATGCTTGGCTCCGGGAACACCAAAGTACTGTCTGATATGATCCAGCATGCCCATGACACCCAGCATGAAAAGATTGTTCGCGGTCTCGCCATCGGTATGGCTCTAATCATGTACGGACGGCAAGAAGGTGCCGATGAGCTCATTCAGGGGCTATTGAATGAGACCGATCCTACGCTGAGATATGGTGGCATTCTGACAATTGCTCTGGCCTATGTAGGCACAGGCAGCAACAAGGCTGTTCGAAAGCTCCTTCATGTGGCGGTCAGCGATGTCAGCGATGATGTTCGCCGCATTGCCGTTCTATCTCTGGGATTCATTCTCTTCCGGAAGCACACCAGCGTACCCAGAATGGTTGAGCTGTTGGCTGAGTCTTACAATCCCCACGTCAGATATGGTGCTGCCATGGCACTTGGTATCTCTTGTGCTGGGACCGGTCTTGCCGAAGCTATCGACTTGCTTGAACCAATGCTCAAGGATCCAACAGATTTCGTCCGTCAAGGTGCATTGATTGCCCTGGCCATGGTCCTTGTTCAACAGAATGAAGCTCTCAATCCCAAAGTTGTCACAATACGCAAACAAATGCTGAAGATTATTGGCGACCGACACGAGGACGCCATGTGCAAGTTTGGTTGCGCACTCGCCATGGGTATCATCGATGCTGGTGGCCGAAACTGCACCATAAGTTTGCAGACACAAACTGGCAACCTGAACATGCCTGGTATCGTTGGAATTGCCGTTTTCACGCAGTACTGGTATTGGTTCCCTCTTTCACATTTCTTCTCGTTGTCGCTGGCACCTACTTCCATCATTGCTGTGGATCAAAAACTTGAAGCCCCTGTCTTCAAATTCCATAGCAACACTCGGCCTAGTTTGTTCGATTATCCTCCCGAACAAACGTCTAAGGCAGACGAGGCGCCGGAGAAAATAAAGACGGCTGTTCTGAGTACTACTGCTCAGGCCAAGCGAAGAGCCGCTCGCAAGGAGAAGCAACAACGACGTGATAGCATGGATGTTGATACCGTCACTCCAGTCACTCCCAAGATTGAAAAGGCAGACAAAATGGACACAGACGATGCGACCATAAAAGATGACGAAGGCAAGGAAAATGGAAAAAAAGAAAGCGAAGGAGCCGAGGTGAAGAAGAGAGCAGAGAAGGAGAAGGTCGGTTACGAAGTCGACAACATGTCGAGGGTACTGCCTGCTCAGCTGAAGTACTTGTCTTTCCCTGATCAACGGTATCAACCTGTCAAGCGACCGATTACTGGTGGCATTATCCTCGTTCTCGACACTGAACCCGAGAAAGAACGGGAAACCATTCCTTTGACAGTCAGCAAAGTCGAGGTTGTTGGTGCTGCACCCGACCCGGCACAGGCTGGCGATGCAGCCCATCGTGGACCACAGACGCCGGCTGGTCAGACGATTGGCCAAGCCGATCTTGGTTTTACAGCAGGTGCTGGGGCAGCTGCCGCGGCAGGCGTTTTGACAGCCGTCGACGAGGATGAGGAGGGTGCAGAAGAGGCACCGGTGCCAGGAGAGTTCGAATACGAGACAGATGCCGAAGAGGACAAGACGGAGGAGGCCTAGGAGTTGTTGTGGCCACCTCGGCTGATGTTCCATCCAAGCTTTGCATAATCAATCCTCTGAAAAAGGAAATCTGGCGGGCAGGCGGGTAGGCGGGCAGGAATTGATTCTTGATTGTGAGCAATTGCGGGCACTGCACTGACTGGAAGGGCACTCAGAACCTGCGCAGCTTTTCGAAAACATGTCGTCATTGAGAGAGGATGCACCTCTCTTTCTGTAAAATGAGATTTCGTGGTGAATGGTCAATAGTCATACCAAGGTACCCTTTGTATCCCCCTGCGTCGGACTGCCAACACTTAGTTCGTATGGCAGGCTGGCTACTAATGGTAGGCCTATCTTGAATTGTATTATCTATCTATCTATCTACCTGCCTACCTAGGGAATAGCTACAGTGTTTACTGTATGGAGTACCTGCACTTGTCTGCTGTATTCGAGCAGTTGAACTGACCGTGTAGTGCGTGTGAGTGTATGCGTGTGTGCTTGCTTGCTTGCTTGACTGAATGACCAACTCCGACTAGCCCTGGCCTGTAGCCCTACCGGCTCAAGCCCCAAGGTCGGAGGAGGTGAGGCATGAACACATGCACACATGTGAGCGGGCCTGATCAATATTATTTAGATGGTGGACCGAGCGTGGCCAGCTGTACCAAGAGTACCACCAGGTACGGGGTACTCTATCCGGGCGCAGATTTCGTGCCACACGCTAACTACATATCAAGATTTGCAGATATAGATACGTACGTGTATCTTCTTAGATCCATATATACTATACGTATCTCTCTATTAATTCTGAAAAGATGAGGTAGAGGAGCATGAGCATAACAGAGTGTCCCCAGGCTCCCAATGTGAAAGGGTGGAGAAGCTCAGGGCATGCGCATGTCTGCCATATAATTTTATAATTTAATAATATATATACATATCTATCTATACATTCGGAGAATCGACTCCTGTTTGAAGGGTCTGAACTGGCTTTAGTCCAGGGAGGAGGTGGGTTGTTACCATATCCTTCAGGTGAGAAAAGACCTTTCCCCTCTTCTAGTCGAGCATTCTTTCATGGCGTTTGGTCTCCAGCATTTTTGCTCTATTTCCGTTCCGGCATGCTTGGATCTTCCTGCGCAATCAGGCTGCTAACCACTAGGGATGGTGACATGTTAGATTCACCACCGCAACGTCAGATGCTATGCGCGAAGATGACACTAATCCCGTGCTAGGAGAGCACATCATGCCTCCTGTTCGCAATATTGACATACGTGGGGTGATTCGAGGTTGCCGGAGCCCGTTCCCTTTGATGCATCCACTCGAAACCCGAGAGAGGCCCGGTCAGGAAGTGAAGCTCTTTCGACATGCCCCGGCAGCCTTAAGGGGTTGTCTCCTTTTTCTTCACTCGTTCTCAAAAAGTATGAGACATCATCTGACCCGACATATCAACATGCCCCCGATTTTCTTCTCCACACAGTCCCTGCTCTCGAAAATGCCACGGTCGGTGCTCACGTACAGACACTCACCGGGCCTGGTCAGGCCCTTGACGTAGCCGTGCCTCTTGCCCAGAACCAGCTCTTTTATGCCCTCGACATCCATCCAGATGCGGCGCGTGGGCTTGGAGATCAGCGACACCTCCTCCAGCACGCGTTCCGAATTCCAGTATTTCAGCCCAACCCACAGCCGCCGTGATGCGATGTTGTGTCTCGTCACGGCCTCGATCGGTGCGCTCGGGTCGGTCGATGAGGGGTGTGAGAGAAGGTTGTGCGCCGGAGGTGGTGTCGGTCCGCCACGCACCACCGTCGAAATGAAGCCCGAGTTTTGTAGTGCGAGCATCAGCTTTAGGTGGAATTTCGTGTCGGGGACTGATGTCAGTCCTAGCCGGGCCTTGCTGGCGTTCTGCAGGTGTGAGGCGACATTGGCAAGGTGGACCAGAGACATGTTGTATTGAAGGGCGAACGGAGATGGGTTTGAGCTGCTCGTATGTGTGCAACTTGTGGAGGTGGTGTTGGTAGAAGTGGTAGCGGCGATTTGCGCTTTCGATGCCGGGACGGATGACAGGCTTTGGCTCTTCAGACCCGTGTAGCTAGCTGAGAGAGATCTGGGTCAAGGTCGAGGCTGGTGTGGTAGATTTTCTCGCCGACAGAGTGGTTGAGGTTTGGCCGACGAAAGCTTTATCGAATTGGCTGTGCTAGTCCTAGAAGCCCAATACTAAGCTCCTTTGAAGAAATGTGAGAGATATGCTCCCCAGTGGGTTGGTTCTGGGTCGATAGAACGAAAACGATTCCTCTCGTATCAATCCCTTCCTGCAGTGCGGATTGCAAAATGTCTGAACAATCATGGTTCCAAGAGATCTGGAGCGATTCAATCGATGCCAAGATTTAGTGCACACTAAATACGCACTAGCGCACACACTAGTCTTAGGCCAGGGGCGACCTCTGCTATATAAGTTCACAAAGGGAGTATGGTCGTAGCAGCCAGCGTTTTGTCAACATGAATAGGGGACTTTGGTATAAATGAGACATTCAATTTCATACTATTGGGCCGTTTCTTGTGGGCCTTCAACAAGGTCAAATGATACTTGAGGGAAAGGTGATGACCATTCCATGCTCAAAGATCCTGTTCAATCCATTCAATTGAGGTCACTGGTTGGCTGGGTTACAACCACTTATCCTTCATTTGGGAAAGTCCCAGTCTCCTGAAACCTTGAGCAGACGAGTCGGTTTGTTCGCAGCATCCTCGCTGTGTCTTTGGAAAGTGCATATGGATGCCAGTCTTAAAAAGTCATGCCCCAACTAACCTGAGCTCTCAGCACACAACGTGGACCAGCAGTATTGGCTACAGTCAGTTAGCCCATTCTGTTCAGAGGGAAGATCTCATTTGCGTTATCAAAATTAAAACCATTCAGCTCGATTAGAAGCACTGGTGGTTATTCCTCATGGTGTGTTCGCATTAGCGACTGGAGGTAGGGTTATTGGCAAGAAAGAGTTCCCCAAGCATGACCCAATGATGCTGGGCAGGGTGAATATTTTCGTCACTTAATTGGGGGCTGGCGCTCCCTGATTTTTCCCTGCCTGACTTGCCGCAAATTGTAGTTGCCGCCAACTAGAACAGCAAACATTCGAATTAGGCATCAAGAATAAGATTTAGTCACATTGTCAATTGAGCCCTTCGAATGAATTGAACTCAAATCCAGGTTTTGACAGAGGCCAGAGGCCCCACGGGGAACAAATCTTAGTGTACGTATGTACAGGTGAACATTCGTGAATGTTCACTGCTTGTGGGCGCCTTCTGCACACCCTCACCCTGTGAAGTTGGATCAATGGGAACATATTCTGGGCTGACGTAAGATGGCACCTTGCATTCGACAATATACAAAATCCGGCTCTCGAGGAAGAGAGAGTTTACTGGTACTGGTTTCTCCACTAAATTGGCCACATGATATGCATCTCGCCGAAGGACTGTTGTGAAGGCTTAGATAGCTCGTAATGTGATAGCATTACTCGTAAGATTCCCGATCGGGGGATGAGGATCTTCTTCCGGACGTTGGCTGGGCGTGAACGTCCTGCGATGGATGGCTCGGTTGCTTACGTAGATAGCGTATAAGCATGCCTGGTGAGCCTACCGGCGGATGGCTTTCGAGGAATGGTCTAGGGTTGCCATCCAAGAAGTAGTCCACGGAACCGAAACTCCAGTAAGACTCTAGAACTACTCCATAGCCGGGAGTCTTGTCCTTGCAGCAAGTAACTACCACCGGATGCCGAGACCGGGGACTGTCACGCGACAACATGAAGATGGACCCATGAGCAGTAATGGTGCTGGAGGCTTGCGTTGCGCTCGCAAGGCAGACTTGGAGTCGTAGTCATAAAATGTCTATCGTCAGGAAGGTTCAGGATGATAACCAACAGGAATGGCCGGACTGGCTGTGATATTTCCTAGTACCCACCTGTTCGTCGAGGTCTGCACGTCATGGTGCCCTCCACACCTAGAACACGAGCGCTTCGCCTTATGCGAGTGTTCTTTATTTTAACCCTAGGGAAGCATTGCGATTGGCCAAAGATGTGGCGCCGATCTCCCGAAGCTAGGTCAAGGAGCTCGAACTCGTGGGATTCATGGTTGGATCGGTGGTGTCAAGGTATCGTCTTTGGTAGCTAGTCCTGCAACCCGTCGCTTTGGAAGCGGAACTGCATTCTCTCCGGGGACGATATGCAGATCAGGATGTGAAGCTCTAAAGGTCTTGGAATTGATCACTACCTGAAGCGGCTCGTTCACGAGCCGTTGAGAGCATTGCTATCAGACACAGCAATGATTGGGTCATGTGTATGATCTGCTTGGCCAAATTGTGATTGATTCACAAAGAAATGGATAAACTCAAGCCATTGGCATCAGATGATATGGCGCGCGCTCATCCGAGATGTGGCCATTTGAATTGAGGGGGATGAATGAGGATGGGTAGAAGGACTGCTTGTCCAGTCAATCCAAGGACAGAGGATAGCGCCGATACCAGCCAGCAGAAAGCTACAAAGATTGTACGTCGGCCTGCCGCGCGCTCGAGGCTGTACTATCGAGCTGGAGAAGTCAGCCAGTCAGCCTGGTTCCCCAGGTGGAAGCTGCGACGAATCAGAGAAGATGGACGCTGGAAAGCGCCCAGGGTTGTGTCATCAGGCCGGATAACATTGAGCACCTGAGATGGCCATGTGGTCAGCGGTTTGCGACAGAAGTAGATAAATGGAAGAAGAAGCACAAATGGAGAGGCAGATTGGCAGAGGCATTCTTCCCACCTTCACCTCTTGCAGCTCTCGTTCTATTCTTATTCTCTCGCTTGCCAAAGGTGGAAGCCAACAAAGCACAAGCTCACAGATCCAGCGAGGCATAGTACAGCTGTTCTTTGCTTTTAGTTTGAGTATCACTAGCGATATTTTGGAATCCATCAGCTCGCCAGCACTCACGTCGCTCGAAATAGGCATCTACTCGCCTATCACCGGCCTGACGGCAGAAGCGACCAGGTTGACAAACAAACAGGCTCGGGGCACACCAAGGACGCGGTAAGACTAGCCTTTGACAGCAGGTTCAACAAACCCAGCCTGTGGCCTGCAGCTGTGCTCTCGCAAGTCACAGTCCTAGGGTGAACGATCGAATCAGGATAGGGAGAATAGAGGCTGAAGGAGCTGGACGGGAAGCCAAGTTGGGTGTGGACAAAGTGCAACCAATCATCGACGATCCGTGCCCACTGTGATTTTTGCCGCGGGCGGCAACCACGACCAAAAAAGCAACAGCTCGGAAGGGGAGGCACGATCCCTGGCTGTATGAGTCGTCTGTGCCGCTGTTTTAACGCCCACCACTCAAAGACGCCCAGCTCCACGTCCACCTCTCATCCATCCACCATCCACCATCCAAACTTCCCTTCCACCACCACGACGATCCTCGCTGCCAACTACACACACCCGTCCTGTCTGCGTCTACATTTCTCTTCTTCCAACCACACACCCTTGGAATTGGCTCAATTCCGCCCTTCAAACACGGGCGCCTCGGTCGTCCACTCGACGTCAGTCATCGCTTCTCGTCCACTGGCTGGTCTATTACCACTCCCGCTATTTGTCCTTTGCCCACTTCTCTCATCCTCTTTCTTTTTTTACTACGCGCCACGGGCCTCCAGTCGTTGAATCCGCTGCACCTTGCTCTTACGACTTACGCCGGTGACTGAGCTGGTCTCATCCTGGTCAGGATTCTTGTGCCACTTCTACCCTCAGAGCTGCCGCCAATACGGAGCACTGTCTCTCTGTTACAGTTACTGCTACTGCTCCAGTGCCCAGCACTGGTCTTCCCAGAAATAGGTCTTGCTCACCTCCTCTGCTTGTCCTAAGTTCTTCTCCTCCCTCTTTACGGCACTGTCTCTTCCTCTCTTTGCTGGTGTCCGTCAGGCTCCTTCACCCAACCAGCATCCTCGACATCAATCAACTGCAAGGCCTTTGAGCACCGACTCTCTCGTTGTCGACGTCAAAATGCCTGCTGTTACGAGACCCGTTCTTCCGCCTCTCCAGACTCCCAAAACCGCCTCCTTCCCTTCTGAGATTGTCGACACTCCCAACTCTTGCGTCTCAGCCTTGATCAAGCAGGAAAATGTAGGAACGCCCATCACTCCGCCTGTCGCCTACACCGAGTTTCTCAAGGCCCTGACTCCGGTCCTGGCGAGTCCTCCAGAGACTGGCGCACTCTCAAGATCCATGTCGGATGAGTCTACAAGTACTCGGCATTCGATGATATCAAATGCCTCGACAACATCCAGCATGTCTTCGAGTCGAAGTGAGAGTCACAAATCTCCCACCAGTTCCGTCCCACCAACCCCATACAATCGCAGAACCCCAACGGCTCTGCGACGATTGAGGATACCCCATTCACCCGCCTTCTCACCATCAACCTGTGGCCCCTCACCCCGCACTGCTATGAGCGGGATGAGTACTGGGAGCCTGCTGTATTCTCCTTTCTCGTCAGCAGATTGGAGTATAGACAGTGCGACTCGACGATATTTTGAAGCCCCAAAGAGTGCCTGTATCAAGCCCGTGAGCGTTCGTTCTGTGGTCACGAGAACGGTAACATACAAGCGATCCCCACCATTAGAACCAGCTCCCAAGGGCAAAAAGCGGAAGATCTCAGCCACGGAGATGCCGCCACCAGCCATGGGAAAAGACAAAGATGGCAATGCCATTTCAGTTAGCAACTTCCCTTCTACACTGGTCGACTCGACCTCGACTTCAACTTCGACCCCGATGAACTCACCCCCGATCAGTCCTTTACCACCGGCAGTGTCTACCCCTTCTACTGTGGTTGCATGAGAATGCCCGAATGCTTGGCTGGCTAATCATTTTCTGGCAATCACGACTCTAGACTCAGCTACTGCTACAGCTGCGAGGCCAGGCTTGTCCTGACAGCGACGACATGTTTTTGTTATCTTTTTTGTACATGATACCACATGACAATGATCATTGGCGCGGCGCTTGGCGTACTGGTACGACCAACAAGATACGAACGAGGAGGGAGACGATGCCCTGATCTGCACTTGAGGCGTCGCATGCACCGGGATTGAACACGGGACGGATACTCTTTGGGAATTTCATATTTAACTACATGATTAGTATTCTTCAATTCTGGGGCAGAATACACTGGAGGGGTGGAAAATTTGAAAAGCACTTTGGGAATTTTCTCGACGTTGGATTCCGCAGCCGGGTTCCAAGCGTAAGAGGGAATGGCGAGGAGAAGGCGGATTGATTGAAGCTAGGCTTGCTTTGCCCCCAGAAAAGAGCAATGTTGCTCATTTCAGATAACGCGGGCCAGGTACCTTCACCATGGCCTATAATGAGAGCTTCTGCAGAAAACCATGGCAAACGAGACTAAGCTTGCAGCCGTTTTGTTTATTGCTCGTGACTGGCCGTGAAGGAATCGCTTGCCATCGAGTTGGCCAGCAGAGCTCGGGCGCATGTACATGGAGGGGCAGTTACGTATCGCAGTTTATTTCTATGTATAAGTAGCTACCCACTGATGAGGAAAGAGTGGATTGAACATGCGATTGGTGCGGTAACCGCGCAAGCAATGGATCGAGCTGACCAGTAGTAAGCTTAGGATGCTATGTTCTCAATTGAGCTCATTGTCCTCTTGAATAATCTCCCAAGCGAAGGAAGACCGGTAGTTGATGTTCAAGAAACACACGAAGCATTTGATCGAGATGATTCCGTGCGGCCATGGGAGACCGACTCCCAAAATCGAAAAGGGGTACGACGACAGAAAGGAATAGAGAAGAGAACAAACTAAACAGGCAGCAAACACCAGCCTTTCCTTCTCTGGCGCACCGGCAATTCTGCCACTGTACATACGTGGTAGCCGGAGTGCAACCGTGCATGTCACCCGCGGTGTGATATCTGCATGGCGAGTACATGTCGCTGGCGGGCCAGACCAGTTTGTTCTGGTTCATCCATGGTTTGGATGGGATGGATCAGGGTGGTGTGAAAAAAGGGGAGGGGTTAAAAGCAGCGAGGTGCATTGACATCGCCCCCTCCTTCCGCCACTGACCCAACCCTGGCACCTTCCCTCGTGGAATTGCCAACGCATCATGCATCCAGGATTGTCGGTTTCCTGGGGCTAAACTCTCTAAGACCACAGCTACGCTCTCACTATCGACCATCTTTCCAGGAATCCCAGCTGGGGTCCCAAACCGCCACACCCACCCCGTTCTAATGATTCTAGCGTGAACCAAATCTGGCCAAACCTCGAAACCATTGGAGAGACGAGCCTTCTACGGTATCCGCTGTACCGCATTCCTGGAACTTCGCTAGGTGGCACTAGGAGAATTTATGATTGGTGAATCCCAATGGCACAAATCGCGAAGTGGGACCAAGGCGCTTCCTCGGACACGCACAGCCAGTGATTTTGAGATGACAGGATGCCCGCAACCGGTCTGACATCATGTGCCTGTGATTGGGAGATTGGAAGAGACATGGCCCCATGGGTCGAAAAGATATTGAACTGGTTCTTCCGGCTATCCTTCCTCGCCCATCCGACTTATTTTTGTGATGGCTGCCTGGTTGATAGGCGAACTCTCATTGATCAATCAAAGAGAAGGGGACCGGGCGCTTACGCTCCTTGGCCTTCATCGGTAGTTTCATTGAGCAAAGGCCCAATACCTCTACGAGTACGAGTAAGCTATTCGATCGTCAGGCCTTCTGAACCAACCAACGGTCCACATACTGACACAAACTTTGCCGATGTTCCAACTGCTTTCCTTGCTGCACAGAGCTCCTGGTCGAAGCCTCGTGTCAGATCTGCCAACTCTTTTCGCTTCCAAACAGAAACAACTCCTCGCCCGGAAGCCTTGAAACCAATATCCTTACCTAATTACTCCGTGCCTCCATCGCCAACGCCGAGGGCAGTTTGCCGACAAGCTCGGATGTAAGCAAACTGGATATGGATGATCCCTATTGTTGATTCTGCCGTGTTCGACCATGTCAATCTATCTTTTTCAGACCCCTCAATTTGTGGATCGTGCCCTAGAAAGCGGCCTCTCCTTAGTTCCTATCTCCTCCGTACTGTAGGTACTATACTCCGTACTCCATCGTGAGACATTAGCAGTGTGATGGAACCTGCACAGAAGTGGGTTCGAGGAAGGGGGTTCTTTGTTTTCGTCTTGTTGATTGCACACTATCATGCTCCTAGTAGTACCGATATGGCTACCAGGGGCTCCTAACCAGCTCTCACTACGACTACTACTCATTAGCAAGACGTCCCTTGCGTTGGCCCCCTCCCTCAATATGACTATCTCCTTGACAAGGAGGCGAACGGGCAGAAAACTCAAATCGAGCATGTGATTCGCTACTGGTGAGGGAAAAGGGAAGAGACGTGCGGGTAGGCTGCAGGAGTGGGCGTTCGCGACCGTGTGAAGAACCTCAAGCGGCGATGGGCAGCGAAACTATTCTTTGCGCGCACGTCATATGCCATGCCGAGACCGAAGCGGAAGTATTCTTCGATTCCATTTACAGCATCCTCAGTAGGCGATTCCCTACTTGGTGTGCGTCGTGTGCATGCCGCATCTCCATATCAAGCACTCTAGGAGACCATTGACACATCATAAGCTGCAGCTCGCCGGATATATATTGGCTGGGCAGAATGGGGGGACCTGATCGGCACCGTCTATCCTCAACGAGGCGAGGCCTCTCATGTTTCCATCTCTTGTGAGATGCCTCGCGTAGAGCAGTCCTGCTTCTGCTTCGTTTCTTGATGCTCCCCAACAGCTCGCTCTCCCCTCGGATGTTTCCCTCTCGGACCGTCCTCGACACCCCCCGGCGGTCAAGTACACAACCACAATCTAAAGTGCGATTAATGGCCGATGCCAGCGCATGACGAGAAGGTGAAGTCTTGCATTAATTCTACAAAACCGACTTGTTGCAAGGATAGGGCTCGTAAATTGTATACTGTACATGTGCATATCATTGATGCTAGAGATGACCACACACGCACAGCCAGAATCGGGCAATATTATGCCTGCCTGTGTGAGCCGGAGCCTATGTTGGTGACCGCCTCACGCTTATTCTCGTAGTTCGACATTGTCAATAGGATACAGTCAACATGAACCCTCCTCGGGAAGTCGCTGCGAGCAACTTTCTATGTCCAAGGCACAATTCGTCATGGTAGAAACACTTTTGTAATGTGCTGGATGTGCCACCCTTTCCTTTACCCCAACTTCGAATTGTACACTTCGTTTTGAACAAGGTAACCCCAACGCTTTTGCCGGACCGCATACATGATAAATGCCTTCACCTCGATTTTTTGCCTTCGGAACCACTGCTCTGACGCTTGACACCGGAACCAGTGGCCTCGGGTTCCTTCTTCGCGGCACGCTCCTTTGCTTGGAACTCTTGGAGAGCGCGCTCGTCCGTCCGATCTGCGTACCACTGGCCGACCTGCAGGACTAGGACACCGACAAGAACAAGGGCCAGGATGGTGTTGCTGGCGGCCAAAACTTTAAGATTGTCCTCGCGACCAAGCACACTATCTCCGGTATCGACGTCGTAGCCGGATGTATCTACATTGTCCAATTGGTCCTGGTCCATGCTCTTGAGACCCAGTCCGTAGGTGCCATCACTGACGATCCGGAGGCCTTTGATGATATTGGCCAGGTAGACAATCACAGCGACCATGTAGAGGACGAGGCTGCCACCGTCGAAGAGCATGTTGCTCTCGCTAGGCTTGTATAGTTTCATGACCAGACCAACTAGTCCCATGGCGAGCATAATGTGGAGAATTCGTGTGATCAGGTTCGGGGCATTGTGCAGTAGCTTCAGATGTGTCTCAATGGCATCGAAGTGCGACGCTGGCGTGACTGCTGTGCTCCATAGGAGTGGATAGTCGTAAGGGAACAGCGAAAACAGGATGCCGAGGAAGAAAGCGACGGCTGTCAGAGAGAGGTTTGGTTAGTTTGATGCCTTTTCTACAACTGGGAGGGGCTTATGGTTCTTACGCGTGATGATAAGGAAGGTTGCGAAACTCGTGCCTGCCATCTTGTGGTCGTCCTGGTGGTGGGATGCCTTGTGTTAGGAGAGAGAGGACTCGTAGGTTTGTAGTCAAAAGCGATAAATTGACTTTTTCCAAAGCGAGCCGATCGCAGAAAGAATCCTTGTTCTCTAGGCCTCTTTGAAGTAAAGTCGCATGGAAGCAGAGGAACGTTCCAACTGGTTTTCTGATGGTATGGAGGTGGAAAGCTGAATACGCTTTTTATAAGATGAGCGGGACACGAAGATGCAGTAACTGAGATGTGAAATTGCAGCACCTCAGATGCAAAACACCAAAAGGAAATGCAACTACTAGCAGTCGTTGTAGTTTGTAGTCCTACCACGGAAAGTTGCGGCTGGGGAGACTGATGCCCAGGAGCTTGAGGATGATGATGTTGCATTCCAGGTACCTGTCGAAAGGCTACTGGAAGCTTTTGTGGGTGCCGCATCATGATAAGGCGATAACGACTGCCGGGTCAAGTTGTTCCGTTCCGGCGAGGGACATTAGTGCCATTTGGAGGGCGAGCTTCCACTCTCCTATGTTTCACGTGATTGAAGACGCCAAAGAAGGTGAGATTGATGGCGCAATCTGGATTTTGTTCTTTGGCGTGGATATGCTAGGTGTTTCGTCCTGTGGAAGGGTTATTTAATTGCTAAAGTTTACATCTGGATCCACACACCTTTGAGTGTCCCCAGAACAATTGCCAGTGCATGAATCCCACCACCCTCGTTCATGATGTCCTCCGCTTCCCCGCATGTTCATCACCAGACAAATATAGAGGATGCATACTATTACTCGTGTAATCCTGACACCTGCTAGGGTTTCCTGGGGTACGAATGACGACATGAGACGAAATATCATGAGATATATTCGAAAAGGGAGATCGAGGCGAGTCAATTCAGGAGAAAATCGGAATCTGATGCCAAGACCGGGGAAACACAATAGATGTCTTGCTCCGTGATTGGCACATGTGAGGAACCGTCCCTGTAAAATCGTCAGCCTGTTTTACCTTGCGCCGCCCGCCGCCCGCCGCCCGTAGCTGCGATTGTTCCCATCATCACCTTTTCTCGCCTCCTTTCATATACTTACTACTACGCACCATATTCTCTTAGATCTCAAGATGCCGACCATGGGTAATTCAAAGCCAGTAGCTGAACTGCCACGATTCCTGCTCCCTCGACTGAGCTGGTCCACTACATCCTTCGCTCAAATCCCTGCACAGCCAGTCCCCATTCGTTCTCTACAACGAAGAAAAGCAGTCCCAAGTTTCAAGCCTGTGTCGCAAGCTCGGCCAATGCATACCACGCCTTCAACAGCATTGGTTCTATCCAAACCTTCTCCACAACGTTCACCACGGCGACCCAGAGCCTACGTCCAACCACTTCCATCCGATGCAGCTCCTATTCGACACAATGGTGTTTATGTCGCCGCTTTCAAGCCCGCCCGTAAAGCCTTCTCTACTACAGCCGTCCAAAAGAAACATCACCACTTTGACACATTGAAGTTCGTGGCAAGATTGAAGGACGAGGGGTTCAGTGAAGCGCAAGCCGTGGCAATGATGCGCGTTCTGAATGACGTGATCGAAGAATCAATCCAGAACCTTACCAGAACAATGGTCCTGAAAGAGGATGCAGAGCGAAGTACATATACTCAAAAGGTCGACTTTGCCAAATTGAGGAGTGAGCTCGCCAACGCAGACAGCACCGAGGCTCAATTGACCAGAACAAGCCACGACAGACTGTCCAGCGATCTAGCCAAGCTTAGCTCCAGGCTGCGTGATGAGATTGGCAGGACACAAGCTAGTGTACGTCTTGACCTGAACCTCGAGAAGGGTAGGATAAGAGAAGAAGCAAATGGCCAGGAGATGCGCATCAAAGAGACCGAAGCTCGTATCGAACAAGAAGTCGCAAGCCTGAGAGAACGGGTCGAAGCAGTCAAGTTCTCGACTTTGCAATGGCTAATGTGAGTTGTAAGCTTGTTCTTTGTGGCACATGCGTTACTAACATGCTTCACAGGGGTGTATGCACGGGTACAGCCGCTTTGATCCTGGGTGCCTGGCGTTTACTGATGTGAAGTATTATTTCGTCTCCGTGTCTGTCTGGAATGGACAGAGTATCTCTGGGAGAGCCAACTGTTCTCTCTGTCGGAGGAGTAGTTTGGCCGGCGTCCGTGCATGCGACCTTCTATGCACTAATGTGGTGGTACAATGTAGCCGAGCGGCCACTCCCCGACTTTCGGTCATCGCCACTCTTGTTCTTCGGAGTGCAAGTCTATATGTACGACGCGAATACTCCTGATGGCTCGCAAATGACATAATTCGCGCTTTCTCACAATGGCGATTCTAACCTCGGTGTTGTGTCGGCTGTCCGGCTTAACGAGTGGAAGACACCACGCGAGTGGATACTTCTCCACATCTTAATCAACCTTGTGTACGCAATGTGCGAGTGACCTCATCCGCTTCTTCGAAACATTTAGGAAATTCAAATGAACTCTAACTTATAGCTCAAGAATTTCTTAAGAAAACGTCATTGCGATCGCCCCGCGCGAGACTGCCATCGCCTCTCCAGCAAACCTGGATATGCTGTGACCCGTTACAAGAAATTGTATTCAGCTTGAAGATTCTTACGCAATATCACAAAGCCCGGCCTCTTGCATCAATTTATAACCCGATTCCCAAAATGTCTGAAACAACATCGAAAGTAAAGTCATGGATCCACACCAAAGCCGGATATCCCCAGACTCTTACTCTTTCAACTACAGATGTACCAGTAGCACCTGCGCCGTCAGCCTTACTGATTCAAGTCCATGCAGCTGCATTGAACCCGGTCGACATCCAGCTGATGAACTTTCCATTGAATTCCCTACCATATCTGGATGGACCTAAGATCCCTGCAAGAGATTTCTCGGGGACGGTTTTAGCTGCTGGACCGGAGACTGAATTCGAAAAAGGAGACGAAATTTACGGTGTTTCTTTGTCAATGAATGGCACTGGCTCGCTCACGGAGGTAGCTCACATCGACACCAAAGGCGCATGCATCGTTAAGAAACCCAAACACTTCTCATGGCAACAAGCGGCAAGCTTACCACTGGTTTACCTGACAGCCCGGATGTCCATCGAGAAATGCAAGCCGTTCCTGAAGGCGTCGACCCCATCAGAAAACAGACTTGTAGTCCTAGGCGGCTCCTCTGCCACTGGAATCTACACTGTTCAGATCGCCAAATCACTTGGCTGGACAGTGCTCTCTAGTTGCAGTGGTCGGAATATGGACTTTGTCAAAAGTGTCGGCGCTACAGAGACGGTTGATTACACCGCTTCACCGAATGCTGTGGTGGAGGCCGTTAAGCAATTCTCCCCGGGCGCGATAATCGACTGTGTTGGTGGGACAGAGACGGTTGGGCTGGCGCCTCAATACGTCACTATAGTCGGAGATAAAACTTCTCGGTCTTCGTTGGGCGGTAGTGCACTTTACCTCACCCATCCGAGGATGGTCCTGCGATGGCTACTGGGTTATCTGGGTGTTGTCAACTCTTATGAGTGCATCACATTGGATCCAAGGAAGGAGTGGCTAGATGAGACAACCAAGCTGGATCCTGAAAAGAATATCTTCATTGACAGTATATTTGACTTTAGCCGAGCCAAGGAAGCTTTTGAACGATTGAATACCGGGCGAGCAAGGGGAAAGGTTGTGGTGAGTATTAAGAGTTGATCGTGCTGACAACGTATGGGGAAACCGATGCATGGATCTCAGTCATCAAATATGGTCATTTTTGTCACCTATCAATTATAGTATAACTTGATATTGATAGAGAAATAAGAGTATACTGTCAAACGCGCTCTGTAACGACGTTGGGCGATTTCGTGTAGAATTCAGGTGGTCAATGGTCGCTGGTTCACTGGTCACGCGTGTCAAACGGAATCCGGGGAAATTCACATGCAACGAGTTCCGCTGATCATCCGACGTGTGTGTGTGCCTGGTTCCCTTCTTGACTCTGCCACCACTTACGCTTTCTATCATTATTTTCGCTGCAGCAGCCTGCGGAGGCCTGGAGCTGGCAACGTGTCACAAGCTTTCTCTTCATGACTTGGGATTTCTCTAAAGTTTGGCCCACCCATAGATGAGGTCTGCGACTTCCGTTCCGCCAACATTCGACTCGATCCGTGACCTGTACCACGTTCCATCGCTGTTGATCCTCCTACTCGCCCCCTGTTCCCTCAGTGCCTAGCAATGCCGCTTTAGCAGCGCGTGCAAAGCCGCAAGCTCTGCATCACATTGTGCATCATCGCAGCAGTGATCTACTACTTCAACGGATCTGTTCCGCAGTTTCTGGAAAAACTTTGGGAAGGCGTGCGAGAAGAGCTCCTGGAACAGCTTCTGGCCCTTTCGTATTGGGGTCAAGTCCCTGCGAGCTACAGAGTAGTGGCTCAAGCTATTCTTCTCGCCATCCTTGGGCCAGCCGATGAATATCTAGAACTCGTCGAGCAGATCTACCATCAAGAAATTGGGCAGCTAGACTCGTGACACTTTCAAGATCCTCGCTCAAGGTGCAGGCTTTGGGACGAGCATTGGAAGAGGGGCCAGCAAGCTGCCAGAGGATCACAATGAACAAGTCTTTTATCGAGCGCATATTTCCCCAATCTCCAGGTAGCCGGTTGCCTCAATATGAGTATGACTACGCGCCTTCATCTTCAGGATCTCCAGCATCCCCTCCTCGTATCGCCCTGCAGGAATCAACACTCTCTTCTCTGCGCTCTCGAGGGGGTTCATCTTCCCCACAAAGGGCCAGATCCCAGCATCTGTCACCGTCTCTTGTCCGCCACGACGATCCTTTCCTTTCCGTCGAGCGTGCTTCCAAGTCTCTTGAGAGAATTCTGCAAACCCTACTAGATGCTCAATCAGAAGGACTCAGTGCAGGAATTGGCTCGGACGAAGGGGACGAAGTCTCCTCAGTAGGAAGTCCTACACCTACGCCTTCTGCGGTGACACCGACAAGTCGAAGAGATTCGGGTTTGAAAACAATACCAATAAGACAGCCGAAACCCAAGAAACTCACACTCCGCGGGGCCAGGAAAGGACTTGGAAAATCCATGAGAGAATTTGCGGATCTCAAGAGGCACGAGTTGAGGCTGATTGAAAAGGAAGTGGCGGCCCGTGACCAAGCGCTCAAGCAAGCCTCTGATCTGGGAAATCAAAGGAGCGTGTTGGACGATAAGATTTACAGAATCCAGCACGAAGAGAACTCAGCGGGTCTACAGTCAGAAGTGCAAAAGGTCGAGCAGGAGATTCGAGAGTTAGAGAACACTCTCTTTGAACTAAAAGCCAGGCATCGGCATCTGACTACACGGCTACGAGAAGAAGACAGCACAAAAGGGTCCAAATTGAGCTCCTACAACGAATCAGTCAGACTGAACGAAAGTCAAGCACGCACTTTCCTACGTCATCCCCCCATTGTACAAGGTTTGCGACCAAATTTTGCAGGTGGAATGTATGCGTTGAAGCCCGAGCGCAGGACGCTGCAAATGGCGCAAGAACAATGGACTGCGGAAGTGGAATTGCTGAATTTAAGGAAAAGCGATGTCGAAAACGAGAAGACTGCGCTCGTAGAGGGCTCAGCTCTGTGGCGAGATGCCGTCCACCGGATTCACGAGTTTGAGAAAGAACTGAAGGCTCAGACGCGTGACCTGAGCCAGTCTCAATTACAGTCGTACTCGGGCGATCCTGCGCTGGCCAAGATGGGGTTAAAGGCTAGTATGCAAGTCATCCTGTCGAAATTGTCGACTCTGACGTCCGAACTGGAGAGAGATCTTAAGTGGGCGGAGGATAGAAATTGGAATCTCCTCATTTGCTCCATTGGCGCCGAGCTCGCGGCTCTCGAACAGGCTAAAGGCATATTGACAGAGACATCGGCTTTTGCGAATTGGGAGATTCATCACACGCCTGGAGACGGTGCGGGCATCAACGGCGATACCGACTCTCTTATCGACGACGATCAAGATGCGCCGCATGAAGATCTCTTGAATGAACTATCTGCGGCCACCGCCGCCAACATGAAGCCACGAAGCAGAAGCCCCGGTGAGACCAGCAACCAGAGCCTCGAGGATACTTTACGTGAGTTCGGGACAGATGCGAATGAAGTGGGGATGAGCACGGAAACCGAAAAGGAGAAGTTATCTTTGAAGGCCACGGCCGTGCATGAACCCATGTCGGAGAGCGAAGACGACGATCCTGGTCCAGACTTCTTCTTGTCGCATTAGCTACCAAGTCTTTGATTGGATTTGCCTCTGCCCTTTGAGGTCCACTGTAGCAAGGGTGGAATTGTATTTGAAGTCTGTAAGACTAGCTAGTCAATACCGGTAGTAAGGAAGCCGTGGAGGTGTATAATGCAGCAGAGACCGTAGCATTCAGAGGCGTGGTTGTTAAGCAAACGTGGCGAGACTGCCCAGGTAGATTTTTCCAGCTACTAACTAGTGGCTTTCACGGTGCATTAAGTTGGAATCGTGATGGACAATAGTAGTCTTGCACTAATAAATTCATGGCATCACTTTATCTGGTCGAACCATATCCAAACATGCATGCGGTCTCATTTCCCTTGGGAAATGATTTATGATTGCGGCAGTCGCTCGGCGACCCTCCGACGAATCTCTGTGCTTGAGATCTTGGTGTCAAAGCCCTTGTTCACCTCCTTCTCCTCGATTTCGTCCTCGCCACCGACACCTGCATCCAGGACGTCGACCTCGAACACCTCCAACGCCTTCCATCCTTTCTCGCCACGCTTCTCGTTCACCGCATTCCCGCCCGCCCGCGTTTCTGCGGATATGACCAATGCTGAGATATTTTCATCGGCAATTGTTGGCCCGTAAGGGTCGGAAATCTTGGTATAGTTGATTGTGATCTCATCCGTTGGAGGAGCGTTTGTAGAGTAAGTAACGCGCACGACGCGACCATTTGGCCCGGGGTCATCAATCTGTTGGACAGTCCGAATGCTAGGAACGTCTCGATGGAAGCTAAGGATAGATTCGACGAACTCGGCTGTCCTTTGCTGCCGAGTGTCCCAGGACTCGACAACGTTGCCGTACTTTTTGTTCACGAGCAGTTCGTCGCCTGTGATGCCCACGGTGATGAGGCGGGGAGACTGAGAGCTGGGCTCGGCGGCGAGGATGGTGCCGGTCAAGAGAAGTTTGTGTCCGATATGCAGGTGGTCGAAGGTACCACCTACGGCAACAGAGGAGTGATTCTGCAAGGGGCGGTCATCGACCAACGTTTCCAAGGACTTGGATGCTGGTGACAAGGAGATGGCTGGACCAGATGGTAGACGCTCGGCAGATGGCGGAGAAGCATTGATGGAATTATATGCGGTGAGAAGTTGCTTGAGAGCTTGTTCGCCCGGTTCACCATCGACAGAGTAGAGGGTTGTATAGGGCCTGGAAGACTTGACGAATGTCGTGATGTCAACGATGGGACCAGCGAGGGACTGCTTTCCGGCTATGCCTGGAGGCAGAGAAGAGATACGAGGCTCAAGAATGAAGACACGCACGTCCAAGCCACCAGGGAAGTCTAGATCAATGTTCAATCTCGAGGCTGAGCTAACAACAAGGCTGTAGATTGAGGAGAGGAGAAGTTGATATGGAGCAAAGGCCGATGCACGGGGGCATTTCAAAGCCAGCGGGTAAGAATCCGAGAGGACGACAGCGATATCTAACCTGACCAGGGAATCGTTCTCTGGATTGTCTCCGGTGACGAGGCTGGGTAGGAGCGTGTCCAGAGTGATTTTATAGGCTGATTTGAGAGACGACAGCGGGGATGAGAGAGCCAGTGCTGGAAGGAGAAGCAGAGATATGTCTTTGCCGGGAAGAGGTGGCATATTGATAATTCTTCAGGGTGCAGATATTGGGTTTTATATTCTTTGGTGGCTTCTCGAGACGTGGAATATCAGAGGCAGATGGTACGGAGTGCTGATATATGTTTAGGTGTATAATATACCTCCGTACCGAGGTAGAATAACACTTAACAATAGTCAGACCAGATCAGTCGGGCGTCCTTAGTGGTAGGCTCAAGTCTCTATAGCTACAGGACATGAACTGATGGACCCGCGCCTTAATTCTACCTCGGTGGTATCAGGAGGTGAGTATATTGATACTTTTGCGAATATGAATATCAGTCCAGTTGAGGTCGTGGTTGTTGGTGGTAAGATGGAAGGTGGGGAGGAAGTACTGTTTTAGCCGTCAGATGTGGAAAGAGGTACCCGAGTTGCCCAGTATAGGTATGTGCAGTACTCTGTACCTGCACCCTCTCTACCAGCCACTGCAACTGCTCCCGCACCCACGTAGGTTGGGCCACCATGCATTCATCAGCCTGACTCTATCCAGATTGTTGTTGTTAGAATGCCCTTCCACATTCCTCATCATCACCGGCAAGCCTCCGAGCCTCAGACTCCCCACGACAACCACTTTTCGCTGTCCCATGCTCTCTACTCGGCAGGGCACGCTTTGACTTCGATCGGCCATCCTTCACACGACCAATACCAACACCCACAGCAGCAGCAGCAGCAGCAGCACAACCAACAACACCCAAATCAAAGTCAAAAGCAGCAGTGGCCCGCTCAAGCCCCTCCCCTTCCTTCCGCCCAGTCCACTGGCATCTTGCCCACCACGGCGTCCGACCAAAACAGATCCAACACCAATGGCAATACAACGGCCACCGTGATCCCCTACCGCTCTGGGCCCCCTCAATACGAGAATCAGTACTCGGGCCTTAGGCGCTCGCTGACCGTTGGCCGCCAGTCCGACGATCTTCTGCTCAACACCAACCCTCCTCCGCCCTCCGCCATGAGCGACCTCCACCACTATGGTGCTCCGCCAGCATATGGTGCTCCTCTACCTGCACCAGGAGATCAGGCTTTGTCAATAAATATTGACCCTTCCACCCCTCAACACCCCTCCAGCTCTGCCGCCAACCTCCAGGCCAATCCCATTCCTGGCACTCTCCAGCCCGGCCTAGTCAACAGACCTGCCCCTAATCCTGCTCAACTGGGTGCGAGCAGTGTCGCTCCCAGTCTTCCTCAGTTGCCTCAAATATCTACTCAGTTGCAACAGCCTGTGCTCACCGGGAGACCCTCCACAATGAATCATTCCCACAGCTATTCGCGCTCGAGTCCGGGTGTCATGGACCAGCCCAAGTACAAACCATTTACAAACCACACTCCCGAACAGGGGAAATATAGCTCGACCTCGAGTGCCTATGTTCCTAGCACGCCGCTTGGTCCTTCCTCATACTCTCCTCTCGCCCTCGCCGATGTACGTCTTCGCGGAGACACCAATTTCTCCGACATCCCCTTCAGTCCCAATTTGGCTCCAGAAAGCGACATCGGCCAGTATCCTCGAAATAGTAACTACGCAGCGCCTTGGCCGATATATGCTGTTGACTGGTGCAAGTGGCCTCCTCGGTCAAACAATGGCTCCGCTGGCAAAATCGCGATCGGTAGCTATTTGGAGGACAATCACAATTATGTATGCATCCCTATACTAAGCCCCTCTCCGCTCAACACTGGCTAACAGAAGAGCAGATTCAGATATTAGACGCTCAAAGGTCCCAGATTGACTCAGAAAACCCACATGCTGAAAGAGGGTTGGAGTTCATCAAGACTGCAGAAGCCACACACGCATATCCTGTTACTCGGATTTTGTGGGAACCTCCTTCGTCCAACAAGCAGGCTACTGACCTGCTAGCGACCTCCGGTGACCACTTGCGATTGTGGTCGTTGCCCAATGATCAACACGCCTATCAATCCAACACCCTATCCCGTTCAAATAGCACCAACACTCCGCCTCTGCAAAAGCTCTCCCCCTTGGCTCTTCTCTCCAATTCAAAGTCCCCTGAACATACAGCGCCGATAACGTCGTTGGACTGGAATGTTGTCCAGCCTTCTTTAATCATTACTTCTTCCATTGATACCACTTGCACCATATGGGACATTCCAACTCTCACCGCCAAAACACAGCTCATCGCACATGACAAGGAGGTCTATGACGTTCGATTTTGCGCAAACAGCGTTGACGTATTCGTATCCTGTGGAGCAGATGGGAGTGTCAGAATGTTCGACCTAAGAAGTCTTGAGCATAGCACCATCATTTACGAACCTTCAGAGAAACAGCAAAATAAGGACTGTAAGTAACTCACTTCAAGCCAATCACTAGACTTCATGAGAGAATTAACGAACTAAATTCCTTGCTAGCATCCGATCCCTTATCCTCTTCACCGACCCGAACACCCTCAAACCTTCCCTTCCCGCCTCCTTTACTACGTATTGCCGCCTCTCCCCACGATGCTCATCTCCTCGCCACTTTTAGTCAAGATTCATCGGTCATCCGCGTTCTTGACGTCCGTCAGCCGGGCCAAGCCTTACTTGAACTCAAGGGTCATGGCGCATCGGTAAATTGCATAGACTGGAGTAATTCTCAACGCGGTGTCCTCGCTTCTGGGGCTGACGATTGTTGTGTCTTGCTTTGGGATCTAATGGGCTCCAGTGCGAGTGGAATCGGCAACCAAACAGCAGGTATTACCGCACCGGCCAGCGCCACTGGTACCGCACAGCCCGGAGGCACAGGTCAGGAGAGAGGCCCGAGCGCTGTGTGGGAATGCGCCCATGAGGTTGCCAATTTGAGCTGGGCCCCCGGTATGGGAACGCTAGGTGTTTGTGGTGGAAAGGGACTCTGGGGTGTTCAATTATGAGCCAACGGCCACTTCTGATCTGAAAGTTCATCCTTCGCTTTCAGGGCGCAACGTGCTTCCGAAGCGCGTTTGTTTGCATTGTACATCCTACTTTGAAACAACAGATTTGGCAGCGGTTCACTTGATGATGCCTTCCCGTGAGACGAAGCTATGAGTTGATCCCAAATGTTCCCAGCAGCATTCTGAGCAGATGATATGGATTTTGAAATAGAGGAATGGAGAAAGGGGTTGAAGTGTTTTATTTTCTTAAAAGGAAGACATACGGTAAAGAATTCTTGCATAGATACAGCTTTTTCGTTCATATTGAGCGATGGCGTTGTTGTTATTACTATACCGTAGGTCAGACGAGTTGCGGATTTTGTGTGCATGCATGCATGGGATGGAGGACGTAAAAGGAGCATAGAATACTGCTTACTACATACTACGTGTCTCGGCGCGGTGAGGTTTGATCGATCGATTGCTCTGTCTAACCGTAAGAACTATCTATAGTTGTTACTAGGCTGTCTAAGTCTATTGATGGGATGGAAGTGGCATCTCGAGCATGGCTTCGCCCAAAAGGATTTCAGAGATGCCAGCCGCAACCCAGGCAGCAGGCCCACAAAAACAACAAGGACAACAGCAGGCAGGAGAAGAGCACAACGCCCTGCCTAGGTGTGAGCGTAGATGCTTGCATATCAAGTATCTATTCTAGCTCGTCCTAGCATTTCTGGTCTATATGTGTTGTTTGTAAACCGGCCGACTGGAGCCCCTCTCCGATGATTCATGCAAGTAAAGCATGGCAATGGGAAGCTCCGATGGAAATACATGTCGTCTTTTTCTCTTCGATCATGCCATAGGATATGAGCACATAAAACAACCAAAAGCAAATCAGGTGGACTCAAGAGGGGGAAGGCTCAATAGGTCTTGACTTTCCCATTCGCCACATGACCATTCACTTGATCTTTAAATGTAGGCACATCTTTGACTGTCGCTTTGTTCAAGAAGACCAGTCGCTCAACGAACTTCAGAGCCTCGTCGATCACGATAACTGGTGCTGAGATGTAGACCACAGCGGCCCACTCTCTCAGGTTCAAGGGCTCGATGCTGAACAAGGTCTGCAGGAACGGTACGTAGAGAATGGCGAAGTGCAGCGCCATGGAGAGCATGATCGCGTAGATTAGCTTCATGTTCTTCCACAATGGCATTGACAAGAGTGATTCCGATGAACTGAGGGCGTTCATGGCGTTGAACATTTCGATTACGACCAATATCGAAAGCGACATAGTCGATGCGGTTCTCGTCACGACAGAGCTAGAGCTGAAGATGCTGCAGTCAGTATTGAGGTAGAGCGGATTGACCAGAGAGCATTTATGGAAATTGCGTAGTTGTGCGAAACTGATTTGTGGGCCGCTCTCGTAGAACATGAACCACCACACGTATCCAAAAACTGTGGCGGCGCCAACATAGGTGCCAACTACCATATATCGGAAGAAGAGCCAGCCGGATACCAAAGGTTCGTCGCGTTTACGTGGACTTCGTCGCATCACATCATTATCTGCTGGATTAAATGACAAGGCCGTGGCGGGTAATCCATCGGTCACGAGGTTTACCCAAAGAAGCTGGACTGGGATGAGGGCTTCTGGCAAGCCTAACGCTGCAGTGAGGAAGATGGAGACGACCTCTCCAATGTTGGAGGAGATCAAATACCGGATGAATTGTTGGGTGTTGCTGTAGATGGTGCGGCCCTCTTCGATGGCAAGTTCGATGGTAGCAAAGTTGTCATCGGCAAGAACCATGTCAGCGGCAAGTTTGGCAACGTCGGTTCCACTACCCATGGCGATACCAATGTCAGACTTTTTCAGTGCCGGTGCATCATTCACGCCGTCGCCAGTCATGGCAACGACCTCACCACTCGCTTGCAGGAGATCGACCAACTTGGACTTGTGAGTCGGTTCGACTCGAGAAAACAGAGAAGCCATCTTCACAGCTTCCACTTTCTCGCTCTCACTTAGCGAGTCGAACTGGCGGCCTGTGAATGACTTGCCATTGAGGTTCTCGCCGGGTTGAAAAACACCAATCTGCTTGCAGATGGTTTCAGCGGTGTTTTGATTGTCTCCAGTGATGACGATAACTCTGATGCCAGCTTCCTTACATTTACGGATCGAAGCTGCAACCTCTGGACGCGGGGGATCAAGCATACCAACAAGGCCAATAAGTGTCATGTTTTGCTCGAGTTGAGCATATGCTTCGGTCGTCTTTGCTGTGTGTAGAAGTTTATTCCCGCTCACATTTTCAATGCTGGCAATGGCCAGGACTCGAAGACCGCGTCGACCATATTCGACCACTTCCTCGGCAATCTGAGAGGTGTGTTTTCTAGTGATAGGAACCTTTTTGCCGTTTGCTCCAAGGATAACATGCGAACACCGATCGAGGACTGATTCAGGAGCACCCTTGACTAACAACTTCTGATCCTCGCCCGTGCCAGCCAGGACCGACATGCTTTTCCGATCTCTTGAGAATTCATACATTCCTTGGAAGGGTAGCTTCTCCTCGTAATATTTGCTCGCATAATGAGTTCGTTCGCCTAGGGCAAGTCCAGATCGTTTATTGTTGGTCGCAATATCATCAGTCCCGATCTTCTCGACAAGGACGCGGAGGGCACCTTCAGTCGGCTCGCCAATGCTAGAGAAAGTGTGGTTCTTTGGATCGAAAGCCAAACGAGCCTCATTACAAAGAGCCAGGACCTCAGACATTTGCATTAACGTGCTAGAAACAACGGCGGGGTTCTCCAATGCCTTTCCATGGTGTAGAAGATCACCATTGGGCGAAAAAGTTGTGCCTTCAACTTGGATTTCCTCGAGACCATTGCCAGCTTCGTTCAGGTAGACAATTTTCTCCACACTCATTTGATTGGTTGTAAGAGTACCAGTCTTGTCGGAGCAGATGACACTGCAACTTCCCAAGGTTTCGACGGATGGCAGACTTCGGACAATTGCGTTTTTGGCAGCCATCCTCCTTGTCCCGAGTGCGAGACATGTTGTAATGACCACGGCCAGGCCTTCCGGAATGGCTGCAACGCCGAGAGAGACGGCGATTTTCAGATAGTAAATCGCACCTTTAGCCCAGCTGCCTCCATGGGAAGGATCGTTGAAGTGCTGAATGTTGATGAGCCAGACCAAGATACATATCACAGTGATGACCTTGGCCAAGGTATCTCCAAAGTTGTTTAGCTTCTCCTTGAGTGGTGTAGGCTCTGAGATCTGCGAGACGATGCTATCGTGGATATCGCCAATGGCAGTAGAAGATCCTGTAAGAACTACAACCGCAACCGCATGCCCAGTCACCACTGTAGTGCCCGAAAAAAGGATGTTGATCTGATCTTGTTTGACCGCCTTCTCGTCCGTGATTTGCCTGGTTTCTTTACTGACGCTCTCACTTTCACCAGTCAAAATCGCCTGGTCGATGGCGAAATTGTTGCTCTGAATAGAGACCAGGCGACAGTCGGCTGGAATTCGATCGCCAATAGCAAGTGTAATGATATCGCCAGGGACCAACTCTTCAGCCTTGATCTTCTGGACCGTTCCATTTCTAAGGACCTTTGCTTCATTCGCTGAGTATTCTTGAAGGGCAGCGATTGCCTTTTCAGCACTGCTCTCTTGAGTCACACCAACGATTGCGTTCAGGATAAGGATAGTGAGGATCTGTCATCTGGTGAGTCTGTGCCTAGTACAAGGGCGAAAGGGAATGTCTTTCACTGACCACCACGGGATCGACGAACGCAGTCCAATCATCGGTTTCTTCGAAAATTGCGAGCACAAAGGATATTGCGGCAGACGCAAGAAGAATCAGAACTAACTGATCTTTAAATTGCTCAAGCACGAGTTGCCATAACGGTGTAGGAGGGTCTTCTGGGAGTGCTGCGAGGGTTGTCAGTACGGCGCGTCTTGCAAGGGGTTATTTAGGATGTACAATTGCTTCCATAGCGCTTTCGAGATTCCGTGACTTGCTCAGAGGAAAGTCCACTGGATTCAGAAACATCAAAATGCTTGAGGACCTCGGGAACTGAGCGGACATAGGACTGCTCCATGTCGAAGAGGCGGAGGGATGGGAATTGGTCAGGGCAAAGTAGGGACTCGGAGTTTGCAAAAGGACCTTGTCGAAGCCATGCACGATACAAATCTGGACTTGGACTTCTAGCAGACTGCAGTCTATGAAAATCGAGGGCTTAGAAAAGAAAGACTACGTCAAAGGAGCGACTTATCGGGACCATGCCCCACGTGGAGATCTGAACACGGTGGACACTGTGAACATTTTTCTATTGTCACGTCACGGGCGTGGAAAATTCCAGACGCCGGGGACAGGGCCTGCGACGCAGCAGCCAAGGAAGGAGCGAAACGGGAAAGAGGCGAGTTTCAGTTTTGGGCTCTTGGCCTTTGGGGACCCCGAAAGGCCACAGCGATAGGGGAGCTAGAGGAGATAGAGGAGACGCCAGGGAGTGCTGGCAACGAGGTACTCTGTCCGTTGGGCTGAGACGAAACGCCCGCCGACTCTGGCTGGATCCTGGCTCTCGAACATCGGTTCTTCTCTGATACAGGTAGCATGACAGGGGGTTTGATCGCTAAGAAAGGAATTCCACGAGGCTCGTGCTGCAGCCTGCAGCTGTTTAACTTGCTATTCGGTGCTCCTTCCTTTGCTGCCCCGTCCCGTGGAGTTAAGAATGTGGGAATGTACAGCACGTGCTCACCAAGCCCTAAGAAGAAGGGAGCACTGCTGGGATGGATATAGAGGCAGGAAATCGCATTGATGAACAATCGGCCCGCAGCTGAGTTGCACATGTCAGGCTCAGGCTGTTGACAGCGCCGCTATATCAGTTGGAGAGTCGCATGACTGATTGTGATTGTTTGAGCGTCAGCACCAGACGGCGTAGGGATCACAAGCAACACATTCAAACCGAAAGCGGGATGACTGGTCAACATGCAAGTATAATAATAGAGGCTAAAGTGAAGCCGGACAAGCTAGAGGAGTGATCGGGTTATCGATTCACCAATTCGAGTCACAGCTTGTTTTGCAGATGTTGCCAGATTGACTGGAATCAGTTGGACCCCTGTTTGTTTCTTTGCTCGATGGGTTGGAACTTGACTTGCCAGGTGTGAGGCGCTTGTCAAACACAACAAAGCAGCCCAGCCCAGTCCCCCAACCCACCAGCCCCCAGCCCACAGCCCACCCAGCCTACCCGACTGCCCAACTCCATAGCCTAACGAGCGCTTCTCTGTTCATCGCCGATGCCCACAGCTCAGAGCCCACCGCCCACTACCCGCCACCCATACTGTCAGGCACCCCTTCCCCCGTCTTCAATTCCAGGTGCCAGGTGCCAGGTGCCAGGTGCTGAGACTCATGATCGCCTAGCCAGCATAGCAACGTAGCCTGAAGCTGAAGCTGAGCCTGAGCCCATACGTACAGCTACACCACTCCTCCCACTCCTAACTAACTCGTAATTAGTACTGCCTGTGTCCTGGTACCTGTAACTCGTCGCTCCTCATCCAGTTCACCATTCACTCATCCACCGTTCGCTCACCAACCAACTTTGCTTCTACTCACACTTGCTCAACTCTGCACTGCAACCCCGTCTCATCACCAGACGCCCATCTCTCCCTCAAATTTCCATCCACAGTCAACAATCTCCATCTTCCATCTCCCACAATTACCTCTCCTTCACGCATAATCTCCATCTCATTCCCAAACCTTTTCTTTCATCTTTGTCTAATCATTCCACACCTCCGACAACATGGCTACTGACGTGAGTATCACCTTGTCCCCTTTCACCCCGCCGCCCAAATTCTGCTTGTCCAGCTCACTCTGTCCGACCCGATCTCCTCCCCCTCCCCCAAGTCCATCTCATTTGATAAGGAACGATGCTGACATCTCTATCACTTGCAGCGCGAAAGGTAATCCTACCACTCTTACCTCATACCCAGCAATTGTTCCTAACAATCTCTTATAGCAAAACCTTCCTCGCAAGGCTCTGCGAGCAGGCCGAACGCTATGACGAAATGGTGAACTACATGAAAGAGGTTGCAAACGTATGTCCTGGCTTCACCCATCACCCTCGCATACCGTGGCAACTCGCTAACTAGTAAAAAGCTGGGTGGAGAGTTGTCTGTCGATGAGCGGAATCTCCTTTCTGTTGCCTACAAGAATGTAGTGGGCACTCGACGTGCTTCATGGCGCATCATCTCCTCTATCGAGCAAAAGGAAGAGTCAAAGGGCTCCGACAAGCATGTCACTACCATCCGTGACTACCGCCAAAAGATTGAGACCGAGCTTGAGAAAGTCTGTCAAGATGTCCTTGACGTCCTAGATGAGGCCCTCATCCCCAAGGCCGAGTCGGGCGAGTCGAAAGTCTTCTATCACAAGATGTATGTGTCTTCACAGCTCATCCGCCATCAGTAGATTGACTAACCCCATCAATAGGAAGGGTGATTATCACCGATACCTTGCCGAGTTCGCTTCTGGGGAAAAGCGCAAGGTTGCCGCCACCGCAGCACACGAAGCCTACAAGGTATGACCGTTATCCTAGAGAAGTACGAGTGTGTCCTGACCACCCACATCTAGAATGCTACCGATGTTGCACAGACTGAGCTCACCCCAACACACCCCATCCGTCTTGGTCTTGCCCTCAACTTCAGTGTCTTCTACTACGAAATCCTCAACTCTCCCGATCGCGCCTGCCACCTTGCCAAGCAGGCCTTCGATGACGCTATCGCTGAGCTTGATTCGCTCTCCGAGGAATCGTACCGCGACAGCACATTGATCATGCAGTTGCTGCGAGACAACCTAACATTGTGGACCTCGTCCGACGGTGGTGAGGGAGATGCTGGTCCAGCTGGTGACGCTCCCAAAGAAGAGAAGGCTGCCGAGCCCGCCGCCGCACCAGCCGAGCCCGCGGAGAAGACAGAGGCCGCTCCTGCTTCCTAGAAGTGTTGTCTCATGGCTGATGGTCACCTGAGCAATGATCGCCTCTTGGGGCGACTCTTGCTTACGACTCTTTCAATGTTTACTCCGGCAGGGTTATTGCTCGAATGGCAGCCTCCCCTTGTCTTGCGAGCACGGATTCTAGGTTTTGCACTGGAAGGCGCGTATCAAGTTGAATCATTCCAAAGGCGAGAGATAAAGGCAAACGACGATTCCCCAACCCAAACCCCGAGAACCAGGGCTCAATTCCCCAAAACCCCAATTATCCCCCTCTATGTCGAATGCAAATCCAAGCAAACACTGTTTTTCCATTTTAGTCTCCTACAATACCACTTAGCTTTAGCTTTGGTGGACCGAATAAGTGGAGTTAGCAAGCGTGTGAATGGTCCACAATCACAATCAGACGTCCGGATCACTCTTTCATTCTTTCTGCCATCCATTCTTTGTACTGGCTCGGCTGTCAGTTCTACAGGGTGAAAACAAAGATCTGTTCGAACCTGTCGCTCCTATCCCATGTCCCAAGTTTCAACACAGGCCTAGCCCACGTGACTCAACCCAACGTGCATCCTGCCGCAGCGCTTGGCGAAGCTAAGCTGCTTTGGGTGCCCGCTGGCCACATAATTATCAAAACTCTCTGGCTGAGTTCATAGGACTGGAAGTCATGATCTCATCTTCCGAGGACCTTGCCCTGGCCTTTCGACTCCATACCGCTACTACCAATGATCTGCTTTGAGTGATTTGTCTCCCCCTCCCGGAACAAGCCTGCCATCAAGGCTTATTGCACTCTGTTGAATGAGAAATGAGAAATGCCGATCGGAAACACGTCATGGGCGTCCATGGCCATTTAAGGTTGATGATTCGTTTGGCAAAGCTCAGGGACGGAATGGTAGGTCCCTGGTACATTGTTCCAATGGGTCGTGAGAACCTTGGGTTATTTGCAGTGATTTTCGAGCCATGACTTCGGAAATCTCAATGAGTTTGTGAATTCCTCCAGACTTCAACAACATCCGTGTGAACTCCCCCTCTTGTGTCTTGTTTGCACAAACCCTCTCGTCCAAACAAAACATCTTGAGTGTCTGAAGACCCTCTTCGAAGCCTTTCTTGAATTCCAGATTTCCTCAATACGTTTTCCTCCAAATGTCGGCCGGCCCTGCACCACCAAACCCAGGGGCACCCAAGAAACCACTCAGAGCACCATCCGCCAGCTCTGGGTTTGGCCGTCGGTTAGCCCTTGGGGGAGCAGCAGTCGCCCTGGTATATGCACTTCTTCCAGCACGATCACCCAAACCGGCCGGAGCGCCTGTCGATGCTTTCAAAACACCGGGCGTGAAGAACATAGAACGGGCATATACCAACGGAGGCGCAACCCCAACCCACACCAAAGCATATGGTGGAACGATCCAAGGAAAGGGGACAGACGGAACACCCAGAGAGAGTTCGGGAACGAATCAAGCTGCAGGATTCGATCGACCAGGTTTCGGCTCCGACCAAAGACCACAGCAGCCAACAAAGGCTGAAGCGCTGTTCAGCGAGATTCAGTACGGCAGTGCAAAAGGGAAATAAGAAATAATCAGAAGCGAGAACATAGCAAAGAGTCGTTCAAGCAGGTCCTTTCCTGCCATCTATCCCGACTGAAAAAAAAAAGGACATTGTTGGGCGTGGACGACTATTCCTAACGATCACAATCTGGCTTTACGTAGTCATGGCTTTGGTGTTAAGTTTGCTCAGTGGCATGGCTCCTGGCTGATAATATCCGGATAATACAATCTCACACAAGTGACCAGGGGCTTTGGTTCAAGTGTTTGCACTTTTGTTTCTATGTTTCTATGCTATGAACCGGTGGGTTTTTGGAATTGACATGCGATTGCCCTGACCAGCTTCCGGCCACCTAGAAGACCATTCATAGCGACACTGACTTAGCACTTGTACGATGAACAGCGATAGAACGCGGGTCATTGGAACGAAAGGCTCTTAGCTCCTTTTGGTGTTGCGAACGGTGCAGTGTTGAACATTCTTACTCGTAGCCGATGGAGGGGAACCCATGTCACTCTCCGATGGGATCCTCAACAACACTTGCCGCGTCTCCTCCGCATGGCGCAACTCAAACTCACAACTCTTGTTTCTACTCCTTCTCTACAGAATACACCCAGTGTTCTCTTGAATGGACCACCAACTTTCCCCCTCTGGAATTCAAATGTGACCGCCAACGCAATGCCCTTCAAACCAAGTGTGATTTGAGGCCCATCTACTCATTTTGCCAGTGTTCCTGAGCGAGATTCTTGGCGATGGCACTCGGGATTCTCGAACCAGCGGTCGAACATGTTCCTGGGACCGTTTATGTTTACAATGCGCAACAGCGACAGACAGCCTTGTTGGAGTCTGCCCAACATCTGAAGAGAGACAACACCGGGAAAATTATCCTAGTGCCACAACCATCAGCCGATCCTAACGATCCTCTGGTAAGACCGGTTCACTTCTGCAATTGAACACGTCCAACAATGCTAATCTCTTTGTAGAACTGGCCACTATGGCACCGTGATCTCATCCTCGCTATCCTCTGCTTCGTTTCCTGTGTTGCTACCACCGCATCACCCTTATTGGCGGCAGATTCGACGACTCTCGCAATCGTCTTCAAAAGAACATTCCAAGATGCGGCACTGCTGACGGCGTATCACTTGGTCGGTGTTGGAGTGGCAGGTTGGCTTTTTGTCGCATCTGCCCGAGTCTGGGGCAAGCGACATTTGTTCCTGTTTGGGGCTTTGCTCATGGTTGCGAGTTCCGCATGGGGTGGCTCCACCCACTCGAATCACAATTATGCCAGTCTTCTTTGGAGTCGTATTTTCCAAGGGGTTGCCCTGGCACCCTTTGAAGCCCTTGTCAACGCTTGTGTTGGTGATCTCTATTTTGTGCATGAACGTGGACTGCGCATGGCTATCACAAACACATGTCTTTTCGGCGGAGCATTTCTCACACCGGTATTTGTGGGTATGATTGCGGCGAACATGGGTTGGCAATGGAGTGTAAGAAAACCCCTACTTTCTTTGAGGCAAGATCGAGCTAATGCTGAGTTTCCACAGTTTTACCTTCTCGCGATTTTCATGGCCTTGGGATTCTTACTTGTCTTGTTCTTTGTGCCAGAGACGGCGTATCGGCGAGACCATGCCCTCGAACTGGATCTACTTGCCAACGATTCTAATGACGCCATTCAGACACCAACGGTCTATGCCGAAGAGGTGTCTGAGGAGAAGACAGCCCAAACGACGACGATCCCCCAGTCTGCAGTGCCAGCGAAAGCAACCTTTCTCCAGCAAATGATGCCTTTCAACGGGCGAAAAACCGATGAGAACTTCTTCAAACTGCTCTTTCGACCGTTCCCGTTGTTCTTCCATCCAGCAGTCATGTGGGCGTGCTTGATTCAGGGGGTCATCATCGGATGGACAGTCATGGTGGGTGTTATCCTATCACTGATATTCTTAGGACCACCTCTATTTTTCAATGAGGAAAAGGCAGGGAAGATGTACACGTCGGCATTCATTGGAAGTGTCCTGGGACTCATTCTCTCGGGAGTATACAGCGAGGTGGTGACGAACTTCATGATCCGCCGGAACAAAGGCAAATATGAGCCTGAGTTTCGAATCCTGCTGGTCCTCCCAACCATGGTGACGGCAGCAATCGGGCTTTACGGGTTTGGCATCACGGCTAACGACGTCAAGCGTTATGGCTGGATTGTGCCCGAAGTGTTCCTCGCATTCATCATCATCAGCATGGTCATGGGCGCGATAGCTTCCGCTCAATATCTACTTGATGCACACCGAGATATCGCAGTCGAGGCCTTCACCAACCTCCTGATCTTCAAGAACATGTTCTCCTTCATCCTGGCGTATAACGCGTACAACTGGGTGTTTAAGATCCGGATCCGGCACCTGTTCATCATCTTCGGCAGTTTGGAGGTCGCCATTTGCTTCCTCGCCGTGCCGATGTATATCTACGGAAAGAAAAACCGGGATTACTTCCATCGGCATGACATATTGAAGATGGCCGGCTTGAGATAGTTACGAGGCTGCTCTTGACATAATACCTAATAATTTACATCTCTTAGACACAAGTGAGCAACTCCATCTGCTCGACGGTGTGCCCCGTGCCAGGTAGGGAGTACTCGTACTTCACTCCCTATTTCATGCCCAGGCCACGGCTAAGGCCACGACCTGCGGGTTCGGTGTTCGTCTACTCCTACAGTAGGAGGTTAATATTCTCCGATACTGGGTGGGTGACGTGGATTGTTGTGGTTGTGGAACACTGGGACCACGTTTTGGTCGGGGCCTTTTTCGGCGGGCGCCACAAGTGGGGGCATCCGTGCTCGGCATACGGCATGGCGGCACGATGAAGAAGATGGCCAGTTTCGGGTCGTTGACATATCCACAAAGGACCATAAGAAAAGCAGAATGGGTGAAAGGTAGACGGGTTGGACGCGTCTTCGTGCGGCCTCCAGCAAGCAGCGCGTACGAGGAAGTCTCAATTAAGTGCGCCGGGATACTGGCTGGCGGGTATGTCCATCCCCCATTTTCTGAAACCCGCCTCGGGTGCTTAACACGGGCGTGCGGCGAGTGGTGTTCGCTTGGGTTGATGGATGCGGAAATTGGATCGTCGCTTCTGTGATTTTTGGGGAACGAATCTCTCCAGCGTCAAGAGTCAAGACTCAGGAGAACAACCACTCCCGCCCGTTTGCTTGTGCGCCAAACAAGACATCAATCACGTCGAGCACATCTGGATTGACGTGGGTCCTCCTCTAATCAAACATGGGGTCCAAGTTGAGCGGACCATGGAGGACTCGTCTCTGCTGAGACTCGAGTGTGGGAGTCGTTCCCTTTTTTGCCGGTCCTCCTCGGATCCCTGCTCGACTTGCTTGCTTGTGGTATCGCCCTGCCCCAGTAACTAACTCTGAGGGTGCCAGTGCTTGTCAGTGGTCAGTGATCGCGATAATCGTATCGTGCTTAGCCCTAGAATGTGGTGGCTAAACTGACCCGGTCCTTTTCTTCTGATTCTTTCCCTTCTTGTCCTTTGCGTGTTCGCTGTTGGCCTGGTCGTCGCCGCTCATTGTTCGATATCTTCACTGCCTTTACCCCCCAAGTCACTCCTTTTATACATATTCCCGGGGGGGTGTGATAAAACAGCAGTAGTTTTACTGGACATTCTTCCAGGAGTTAGTACCCATACGACATGCACAGAGGACTACCATTTTCGACACACAAACATCAGAACCACAGCATTATTACATAAACACTCCACCAAACCATAAATTTCACGATCATACAACCACGCTTTCACCCCCCGCCCAAAAATCTAACACAACATACGTAGAAATCATGACGGAACTAATCGAAAGCACATTATGCCAGACGTGCAAAGCGATCTTCCAGCCGGGCGCTGTCAAGAACGAGTCAGGCGAGACACAGCACCATGGTCTTGAAGCGCTGGCCGCTCGCGCCAGCAAATGTCATCTCTGTCTCACCATCTTCATGTCCATCGATCCCGAGGCCTACAAGACGTTCCGCCGTGGCTCCATGCTTGACACCATCGGATATGCCTGGATCTCGCCCATTGCGAGGGATCAGGCTAGACTTAAGTTCCGATATGTCAAGCCTGGCATTGCGGGACAACAGCAACCTTCTTCGACATCACCGACGGCGGCAGAGGCGAGTGCGAGTGCGAGTGCGAGTTCCAGTCGGATGACGATGACGATGTCTCCGAATTCGGATAGGTCCAAGAACAGCTCATCGTTCTCTGACACTGATACTACGCTCGTGGTCGAGTTGATTCTGATGAATCCTAAATGTAAGTCGACGTCTGCCTCATCGCGCTCCCATTTGAAGAAGTCAAGTTGTGACAGTCATGACTAACCGTAATTTCTTCAGATGCTGTCGAGCCAGGAGTCAGGACGATTGATGTTCGATCAGTCAACACGGCGTCGAAGGAGAGTTTTGACCTCGCCAGGCAATGGATCCAAGACTGTACCTTCAACCACATGAAATGCTCCGTCAATGAGACCAACACGTCGTGGAAGCCCACCCACCTTCTGGATGTAACAGTCCGAGGTCCCAAGAGCGCTCCCGGTGTCAAACTCGTGGACGGCATGTTCGTGGACCCGCTGAGCGAGTTCTGCACCCTGTCTCACTGCTGGGGGAAATCCAAGTCCATCCGGCTCCATAAAGGAACACTCGCGGCCTTGAGACAGGGCGTGAGTATTTCGAGTCTGCCCAAGACGTTTGCCGAAGCATGCACAACGGTCGAACGCCTGGGATTCCGCTACCTATGGATTGACGCGTTGTGCATCATGCACGATAAGGAGCAGGCGGTCTTGTCGGAGATCGCACAGATGCACAAAGTCTACTCGGAAGCGACGCTCAACATCGCCGCAACATCCTCGAGGGACGATGCCAGCGGCCTGATCTACTCGCGCAATGTGACGGCCCTGCAGCCTTGTATCGTCGACGTCAAGGCTTCTGGCATCGATGACGGCATGTATAAAATCCTGCGATCGACCATCTGGCACGACCTGGTGGACTCATCCCCCCTAAATCAGCGTGCATGGGCGTTCCAGGAACGATGTCTCGCGAAACGGACTCTCCACTTCACGCGTAATGAGCTGCTGTGGGAATGCCAACAGATGTGCTGCTCCGAGGTATTCCCCAAGGGCCTCCCCGCAACGATGGGGCCCCCGGCGAGTCAAGAGTCGGTGGAGTTCTTCAGCAAACGCATCCATCACCAGCGGCACGGCAACTGGCACCAGCTGGTCAAGATGTACAGCCCGAAGCGGATGACATACTCATCCGACAAGCTACTCGCGATCTCTGGTCTCGCGAAGCAATACATGGCGCGCAACCGGCTGCGTGAGCAGGACTACTTGGTCGGCATGTGGAAGCCGCAGCTGCCGCACGCTTTTTTGTGGCGCGTCGAACAGGGCCGGCGCCCGGCACACTACCGCGCACCAACGTGGTCGTGGGCATCCATCGACGGGGAGGTCAAGTACCCAGAACCCGCGCAGTCAATGCGCGAGACGTGCATCGAGATCATCGACATCAACATGAAATACAAAGCGGACAATTTCGGCCTCGTGGATTCCGGGTCCATGAAGGTACGTGGCTTCATGGCGCGCGGCCTGCTGCGGCGCACCCACGACTACTGGGGCCAGACGCCGTGCGTGATCCAGTGCACGCGCGCTCAGATCGAGCTCGAGAACGCGTCGTTCGACGATCGCCTGCCCAAGCTGTCCGAGGCCAGCGGCATGCTCACCGAACAGTTGGAGGTGTATTTACTACCGGTCATTGACGTCGTGGATCGCGTCGAGGGACTGTTGTTGTGTGCGACCATGAAGAAGGGCGAGTTTCGGCGCATTGGGTCCTTCGATGTCTCGAGGTACGACCAGGTCAACTGGGATCGCTTCAGGAGCGTCATGAAGGGGGATCCCGACATGGAAAATTTCGAGGAGCGCCTGGATCATACGAATGGCTACTGGTTTGCAAGTGATTACACTTACACCATTAACGTTATTTGAACTGGACTGGCATGGGGCGAATAGAACAATCAGAACAGAAGAGTGGTGAAGAAGGCGTATCTTTTTCCCTCCTGGATACATGTACAACTACGGATCAACTTGTTGCATTTATATCACATCAACACCGGGGTTGAGGAAGCATGAGGAGACAGGCATGAAAAAAGCACGAAACACAGGGTGCAAATGGAAGAGTTCAAATGTCTGAAATGATGATGGATGGGATGGGATCTACTCGGTACGGTACCCGTGTTAATGGTGAACGAAATAAAGAAAGCATGATTGTTTTTTACCTCCTATGTAACCCTTTGAGCTGTTCATACGGTGTTTTCGAAAGTGATTTTTCTCTCTTTGAGTCTAATCCCGTCGCCTTATTGACTTCGAGCTCTTTTCCCCCCTTATTCTTTTAGCCGTAAAATGTATGTATATACTGTAGTAGAATCCCTGAACTATTCTTTTCCGCGACCCTTTCGCTAACCTATCCACCACCACTTTACTCCCGCGCTGTTGAACCACTATTTGATCTCCTCGCTCCCCTCCTACTCTCTTCTACTCCTGTCCGCCTTTTCCTCCCTCTTCCCCCCCTACTCCTTGACACTTTTATCTACTTCCGTTTCGGCTCTAGCCTCCGGTGTAGCTATATGCACCTAGGCGACCTCGAAGTGACTTTATATAATAGTATTTTAAATAGGCTGTTTCGAGCCCTTGCTAGTAAGTTACCTGAGCTACGATCCTTAAGAAGCCCTTGGATATTGTTTATAGTAGGTAGATGACTTAACAGAGTTAAGTTGAAGCCACTATTCTAGGCTATAGTAGTCCTCTCTTATTTTACTTTTTTCTTCTCTCTTCAATACCGCCTCTCTCGACTCGGTACTTGCACCCTAAATCCTTGGAAGGATGACCACGACTGTATCTTCATTATTTCTTAGCTATAGCTCCTAGATCCCTTACCACTATAATAATGATGACGATGATCCATACTTGCTCATATTAAGCCCCCTTGCCGGAGATGTACACATCCCTACTATTTCACTTCTTGGTGGCGGCCGCCTTATGTTACTGTTAGCATATCCGGATACTAACCTTCGAGAAGTGCCTTTGTTCCGTCATGTAAGTATATGCATCCTTTACTGAAGCCATGTCGAATGTTCTCTGGTCCAGGATGGGTTTAATGTCATGCCTCTCAATAAACTTGTTCATGTCGCCGAACTGCTTCCTCGATCCTAGGAAGAATCCACGAACGACACATGAAGCGTATCTGCAGTCCAACAATGTCGGCACATCCGCAGACGCTCCAAGAATCCCCGTCACAGCGACCATGCCGTCGACACGAATTGCCTTTAATGATTCTGAAAGGGTGGAGGCTCCACCGACATCCACGACGATATGAGCACCTTTGCCATCTACTGTCAAGGATTTTGCATACGCGCCCCAGTCCGGTGTTTCTTGATAATTGATCACATGGTGGGCTCCTAGCGACTTCAGCTTATCCGCTTTTTCCTGCGTCCGAGTAGTGGCGATTACAGTAGCACCAGCAGCGAGGGAGAACTAAGGCGGGTCGTGAATGTCAGATTGACTGTGTGGTATTTGTCGGGTTTGGTGGACTCAAGCGGACTAAGGGACTCACGCTTGCGCCAACGTACCTGTAGAGCAGCGATTGATAGACCGCCAGTCCCTTGGACTAGGACTATGTCCCCAGGCTTTGGGGCTTTGCCCTCGAGACCGAACAAGGCATTCCAAGCCGTCAGGCCGGAGCACGTCAACGTGGCCGCCTCTTGAAAGTTGAGATTTCCAGGTATCTTCACCAGTGACGATTCACGAAAGATCGCGAACTGACACAACGTGCCGTCGACATTCTGACCCAGGCCATGGCAGATATCTTGAAATAGAGGAACATCTGTTTCTGACAGACCGCAGGCTAGATGTGTGCATACATGGTCTCCCACGGAGTATGTGACCACGCTCGATCCCACAGCCTCGACTACTCCCGACCCATCCGAGCCACCGACGAGATTCTTCTTGCCCACTACCAGTCTTGGGCCGCCCTGAGAATCGGCCGGGGCTGCGTCAGTCGAGTTGCAAGATTAAAGGTAGATTTTTAGAGAAGTAGAAGGAAAGGATTATTACCTTGGCGATCATCAAATCGCGATAGTTCAGAGAAGCAGCGTGAATCTTAACCAATATTTGGTCTTCTTCTAGTGCTGGAAGGTGCAAATGCTCAATATATTCCAGATGTTGAATTCCATCCCGACTGTTGAGCACCCAAGCCGCAGTGTGCTGTGGTATTCCCATTGTCAAGAGAAAGAGAAATGGCAGACGAAACCACATACAACGGTCTCTACGGGATGTGGTTCAGTACACAGGATGTATTGTGCTGAGCGCTGAAGTGAGCACCGTGTGCATACAAGCCGCACTTGTTCATGATGAGAATCTCATTTTTCCCGCCTCGTAGATCTCAATCCCATGTGCTCACTGCTTTTGAATCACGCATACAATAACCGGATCTCCCGTCGACCTTCCGAGGAATGCTACAGCAAACGTCAATTTCCAGTACGACCCGACCACTACCCGGGTGATCGAGCACAGGCGGCCGATCCGATTGCATCGAACACTAGCCTTCAATGGCGTTCCGGCTACTGTCCGATGCTTAGATGCACGTTTCGACGCTTTGCGCGACAATGGGGGATTGGGTTTCGTATAAGACGAGATTTACTTGTCGTGGCTTTAGGTTCACGAAAAAAGTGCAGACAATCTCAACATTCTAGGTAGCAAAAGAGATGGCTCCTACTATTATCAAAGGCCCGGATGACCTACTCTTGCAGAAGGGTATTTCTCCGGCCGAAGCCGGCGTGCCCCCGCCAAAATACAGTCTCACAGTGGATGGCGATTTGCAAGTAGAGCGCGACATTGCGGTGACCCTGCGGGATGGTGTTAAGATGTATATCGACCTGATTCGGCCCAAGGATACCATCAACGTGCCCGTGGTGCTATCATGGGGTCCCTATGGTAAGCACCTAGACGCTGGCAAAGAGTACAGCATGATTTCCGATGACAACGGCGAGTACGGATGTGGTGTCGATCTCGCCTGGCTCAACCCATACACGGGGTTCGAGTCCGCCGACGGCCTGAGGTGGTGCAAGGCTGGCTACGCATGCATCACAGTCAATCCGCGTGGCATGTGGTGGTCAGGAGGGGATTTTGCGAGCTGCTGGGGTGAACGTGAGGCTCGGGATGTGTGTGACGTGATCGACTGGGCGGGTACACAGCCCTGGAGTAGTGGCAAGGTAGGGATGACAGGTGTTTCCTACCTCGCCATCATCCAGTGGTGGGCCGCCTCGCTCCAGCCGAAGCACCTTGCGGCTATTCAGCCGTGCGAGGGCCTGACCGATCCATATCGAGAACTTATCTTCCATGGCGGCATCCCGGAATCAGAATTTGTGGAGGAGTGGCAGTACGAGCGGCTGAAGTATTCCATCTCTAATGTTGAGGCCATGAGAGAGATGGGCATGGAGCACCCCCTAGACGACGACTACTGGGCATCAAAACGTCCCGATTTATCCAAAATCGAGGTCCCCGCCTACGTGATTGCGAGTTGGGCAGACCAAGGGCTGCACACTCGGGGCACCATCAGCGCTTTCGAGGAGATTTCTTCAAAACACAAACATCTCGAAGTCCACGGGCGTAAGAAGTGGGCCTGGTACCACAATCCAGCTACGTTTGAGCGTCTGCGTGCCTTTTTTGATCAGCACGTCAAAGGAACAGGCAATGAGTCCGGGACTTGGCCTCTAGCCAACTGGGAACTCAGAACTGGCTTGAACGCCGGGCTCGACATGACTTCCACAGCCTGGCCACTTCCCAACCGCAAACTAGTGTCTTTTCACCTTGATGCCACCGACGGCACGTTGAAGACCGAGACACCTTGTAGCCCAGGAACCGCGCGCTATCTTTCCACCCCGGAGGGAGAATCGGTGGTTTTCGAGCATGTATTTAGTGCTCAGACTGATATCGTGGGCTCCATGGGGGTGAAACTGTATATCACTGCTGAGGAGGCCGAGGAGGCCGACATTTTCGTGGCGCTCAGGAAAACGGACGCTGAAGGCAAATTGATCACGTTCCATTTCCAGAACGCACTATCCAAGGGCCCCGTGGCCCTCGGCTGGCTTCGCGCCTCGCACCGAGCACTTGATCATGCTAGGTCGACTCCAGACCGGCCATGGCACCCACACACAAAGAAAGAACCTTTGATTCCAGGACTGGCGGTGGCAGTGGAGGTAGAAATCTGGCCATCGGCGACGAGGTTCGAGGCCGGCGAGCGCATGCAACTGGTCGTCCGCGGCAGCGACATTTATACAAACAACACGCGCCGGGTTCATCAGACTCTCAACAAGGGATGGTATTTTATTTCAACGGGGCCTGAGCATGATTCCCAATTGACGTTCAACGTGCTCGAGGGCACTTAGAGGGCATCATAAACATCCATACCGATAGTCCAAGCGTATAAGGAAAGGGCAAATACCCTCCGAATGGAAAACAATAGATATCTCTTCCTTTAGAAGCTCCAGACACAGTGAATATTGTCTCTTACCAATAAAAGCACCAGGAATTTTAACCAAAAAAAGGAAAACCAAAAGACTGTTCTATTATATTACTATTAATGTTGCCACCTTGTCTCTTCGGCCTTATGTGTCCTGTCGAGGACCCGCCTCCGCAATGAAATAGAGGGAATAAGCAAGTCCCAATAAGTATTGCAGCTTCCTCCCTGTGTTCTCTTTCGGAATTTCGGGGAGTTCCAGCTCCGCAGGCAAGGAACCTTAAGTTTTTGTCGTCTGAAGGTACATCGTAGCTTCAATTGCTGCGAGGTATTACTGTACCCAACCTCCCCTTAGCCAACCTCGTCCAATTTTGAGCCTAGAGGTAGAGGTCAACCTATCGGCGACTATCAGTTGAGGCATCCCGAGGGCATATATCAACAATCTGTTCGCCTCCGAGAGCCCTGGTACAGCAAAAATTAATAATATAGAACGAGCGTTTAGGGAACGGGCCCGCGACTTATGTGTGCAGAACGACTCGTACCCATACTCTATATTCAGACCAACTGTACCACTGCCAATGCTACAAGTGGAACCACTCCCTGTCCCCGTCAATTTTCCCAGTTCTCCATAGCTTGTCCAGTGGCTCCCACTCGTCAGACCCATCACTGGAACCGAACGACTCGCAATAGCCCCAACACGAGAGGACGACAAAAGCGAAAGCGGGATGGCTGACAGCAGCCTTCAACAGCTGTCTACCTAGTATACCATGCGGAAGCTCGGATGATCATCACCAAGATTATCACGCTCATCCTCGGCCAGCTGCAGGCGGTAATCCCTCTCACCCCTATCGCGCTTGCGATTCTCACGAATGAGCAAGAGTACGAAAGCCACGGCGATGCAAATGCCCATACAGACGATGCCAATCAGGACTGAAAAGGCCGTCTTGAAATAAGGGGCTTCACGCTTGAGGAAGATGTTACTGGCGAGTATTCCTCCAAGGTTTGCGAAGCCGACCTGGATTGCAACGCCAATAGATCTCTTGTAGTGGCCGCCCATATTGTTGTTAATCCAGCCCACAGCGAGCGATGTTCCCGTGGGACTGCACGTGCCCAGGAAGAAGATAGCCATATATCGCACGCCGATGGCAACCCTTGCTCCTGTGAACATGATGACTATGGAAAGAAGGGTACCGAGATACATTGCGATGATGAACCAGAAGCGGTGCTTCGCAAGGTCCGACAGCATTGCGATGATGATGGACAGGGTGCCCCCAACCACAAAAATTGGGATCGTCATGAGCTGGGTGCGTAGAGGCGACCATCCAAACCCGTTGAGAAGCGTTGGGGTGAACAGCGCGAGCGAGTACGCGGCCGCTGACCATGCCAGCGACATGAAGAATCTTGAAATCATCAATTTTTGTCAGCACTCAAGCTGTGTCCGGAGAGAGCGAGAAAACCAAGGAGAGAACAAACCCAAGGTAGATCTTCCAGTCCAAGAAAGCTCGCTTCATGGCTTTCTTGTCGAGGCGGTTCATGACCGCCGGTCCAGAGTCCTCGTGCAGAGTTGACAGAAGCAAGGTTCGCTCCTCTGGCTTGAGAAATTTCGCTGTCTCCGGCCAGTCCGGAATGATGAAGAATGCCATAACACCGATTAAGACGGTGACAGCGCCTTCAATCAGGAAAATCCATCTCCAGGCACGGTATCCGGCGACCCCGTCCATGTGACCGATGCCATAGGCTAGGAGCTGGGGTCGAGAAGCACAGATCAGCCTCCCGGACTGATTTTGGGATCGCATAACAACAAATTGGATTAACGTACCCCGCTGAATCCTCCGGCGTAAACACCGGCCGACCAGTAGAAAGTCAAGCGAGTTTGTACTTCGTATCGTCTGTAATACATGGAGATCAAGTATAAGGACCCTAAATCCCAAGCGTCAGAGTTCATGCGTCTTGGATTGTTCTGCTTGAACTTATCCATCGTGTGCTTACCAGGGAAGAAACCGGCCTCGAAGGCACCAATAAAGAACCGGCAAGCCACAAGCCCGCCGAAGCTTCGAGTGAGGCCTTGGCAGATTGTGAGGATACCTGAGGTATCATCGCGTGATCAGCAAAACCTCTGCTACCCAGACGACTGAGAGTGGATTGGAGGACGGTGTCTCTTACCAAATCCTACGATCATGGTGGTGAGCCAGATATGGGGCTTGAGGTTCTTCAAAACGATATTGGCCGGGAGTTCGCACAGGATGTAAGGGATGAAAAAGACGAAGAGGGCGATGTTGAACTGGTCTCCTTGCAAATTAAGGTCGCTTTCTAGGCCAAACAGTCGAGCGTTTCCGATGTTTATTCGGTCGAGGAAGGCGGCGATGAGCATGAGGAAAAGGATCGGGAGGAGCTGAAGGTCGATTTTGCGGAGCAGTTTCTTCTCTCTTACTCGATCCGTAATCATGGTCGCTGCGGCGTTGGCGTCGTCCTCCTCCACCTCATCGACGGGCTTAGCCAACTTGACGTCCATCATCTCTTCACCAGCTTTCTTGTCGTCCATGACAGCCATCGGAGCCGCGATGAGCGGGTTAGCTTTAGGATTTGAATGTGAAGATGTTGGTTCCTTTCGTACGGAATGGTTGACTTCTTGATTCCAGGCAGCCAGGACGAAGCGCGTTCAGCCGAAGATACAGAGGACTTCCTCGGACTTGTACTTAAAACTGGACCTAAGTGGTCGCCCTTTTTATATGCCTCTATCCCAGACTTGCCTCCGCAACTCGCCCCCCCCCCGCGCATCTGCTCACGGAGATTATCCGGGGTTCTTTCGAATCCAGACCTTTTCTTGTTCTAGAGACAGTATCATTCCCGAGCCTACCGACAGTTTTCGTGAATGGGAAGCTTTTTGACCATGGGACGCAAGGAGAAACGACGACAAAGCTCGGTACACTCTTCGGTTGCGCATTCTGCTTCTCACGACCCACCAAGTTTCGCGGGGTGATAGATGGCACGAGGTGTTTGGGGGCAGCTAAAGTCCCCTACACCGAGGTGTGGATAAGGCGGGACGGGGGCTGGGCGGATAGGACATGATGTACTCGCCAAGCATAAACAACCCCGACCAACGGAAAGACCCAACACTGAGTGGCAGCACAATGCCGAGAGTAGACATTGGCTCGGAAGTTCCATGTGGAGCCGAACTGCGTTCGGACTAACCCTGTTTTTCTGACGAGGCCGGATCTGGTTTGTGTGATGATGTAGTGCCGTAGTTGCCGGTCAGGCCCCGAGCAGTGCCGGTCAGGGCCCGAAGAGCTCTCATGCTGCTGCAAAAAAGTGGTTCCTAGATAGACTACGACCAGAACCACCAAATCCAAAGGCGTCCCAACCGTGCAGGCTGCAGGCGCGGCCATTGAGGTCAATTGGCAGGACGCGATTGTTTTCATGTGTATTTCAAGCCACACATGCCGGTGCTATTCTACTTTGATGGGTGATGTGCTCGACAATGCTGGACATAAGCATGCCAACCTGTGCCTCGCACTAAAATTGTGATGGAATATTTTCTTTGCTTCCCGACCTTAGAATACCGAAGAGACAGTGCTCTTCGAGCAATTCCTACTGGAATACACCTTTTGCCCCTACAGCTTATCAAGATGCTCGCGGTAGATGCGATATCCCTCATCTCAGGATGGACATGGCCGATTCTCGCATTAGTGTTGATATGTGGATGGGCCATCAGTGTACGGTACCAGAAAGGTTTCAACAAATACAACGGCCCTTTCCTCGCATCGTTAACGAATTTTTGGCGGATTTGGCAGCGTCTGCGATACCCTCATCGAACTTACTTCCACGATGTGGCCAAATACGGGCGCATTATCCGTGTTGGACCGAATACCTTGGTGTTCAATGATCCCGAGGCGATCAAGGACATTTACATGACGCACTTTTCGAAGGTAAGTTGAATGTCATGGCATTTCTTCTTGGCTTATTAGCCCGCCTTAGTTGCGTGCGTCGTTTTGCCTGTGTTGCGGAAGCTTACCTCCCAATCCAGTCCAGATTCTACTGGGTTGCTCAGGGTGTTAGTCAAGGCCATGTGGTTGCGAACATTTTCTCAACAACAGATCGAGTCTACCACGGCAAGCTTCGGCGGACGGTGGCCAACTCCTTCGCCATGAGTACTCTGGTGCAGTACGAGCCTTACGTGACGGACGCTCTGGCAACGTTTCTGTTCCAGTTGGACCAGAGATTCGCAGGCAAATACAGCAAGGAAGGCATCTTTGACCTAGCAGACTGGTGCCGATTTTTTGCCCTTGATGTCATCAGCGGCCTGACCCAGGGTAGACCTTATGGTCTTTTGGAAGCTGGTTGCGACCATATAGGCGTCGTCGACGCCCAGATCAAGTTTCTGCAGTACTTTACCGTCACCAACAATGCCCCATGGCTCGACTGCATGCTCAAGAAGAACCCGATTCTTCTCTGGCTGGGACGTAAAGGGTTGTGGAATAGTGTGACCGCCACCGTTCCCGTGGCGCAGCAACAGGTCGCGCAACTGTCGCGCAACCTCCATGAGAAGTACAACAGCGACGATGAGACACCGTCTCGTGGCCGCGTTCCGTTGGTCACCAAGTTTCTGCAGGCCAAGGTCACCCATCCCGACATCGTTGACGATCGCGCCATTCTGGGGCTGACACTTTCCATGGTCAACGCTGGGAGTGGCACAGTGTCGACCACTTTAGCCGCGACGCTGTACTTTCTTCTCAAGAATCCCACAGTCATGAAGCAGCTCCTTGCCGAGCTGGATGAGCACTTCCCTCCAGCCCATCCGCCAGCGTCGACCCCACGCACGCAGAAGTGGTTGGCAGAGGACGTCGTTATCCCGTTCGCCGCCGCGCAAAAGTTGCCTTTCCTTGACGCTGTGATCAAGGAGGTCTTCAGGCTCTGGCCAGCTCTGGGAATGCAGCTTATGGAGCGTGTCACCCCGCCGGAGGGCGCACACATACTCGGAGAATATATCCCCGGCAATACTATCGTCAGCTGCAACTCCTGGATCATGCACCGCCACAAACCCACATTCGGCGAAGACGCCGACAAATTTCGACCGTCCAGATGGCTCCTGGCAACTCCCGACCGCCTTCAATCAATGAACAAGGCGATGTTGATGTTTGGTGCGGGGTCACATACGTGTATAGGTAAGAACATTGGGATGCTGGAGCTTTACAAGGCGGTACCATCGTTGTTGACAAGTTTCAATGTGAGTAATTTACCCACCATGAGAGACTTCTTGTTCCGAAATCATGCTTTTTAATAACGTACAATAATATAGTTTCGATTGGCAGATCCCGACAAGGAATGGAAAGTTGCCAACCTGGGGGGCGCAGAAGTATCTGAGTTCTTTGTGCACTGTACAAGAAGGTACGAAACGCCTTGTGCGGGCTGAGTAGCTTGTGTCAAGAACACATCTTTGCCATGCTGGGATTCCGGTTGCTCGCCCAGTAACAGTAATCGTGGGTCGGTATAGACTGCAGGTAAAAACCGTCATGCCGGACCATGAATCCGACCCTCGGGTGCTGTAGCTCGGTTATAAGCAAATGAGTGATAATTCATGCCGTTGAGATCGTTGTCGAGCAAGAATTGACCCATTTCCATACCGAACGGAGAATGATGATTTTGTCCGACTCCATAAGTCACCCCCATTGTTGATGTCTGGAGCAAATGGTAGTCGTCGTAGTAGGGCAGGAGCTCTAGCGTTCCAGCATTGGGCGGATCTGGGACATGCCAGTCGGTAGGCTGTGGTAAGAGGCCCTGCCCAATCGCTGAGGAAGAACGAAAAAATTAGCAAACAAAAGTTCACCACGACTCTCGATAGCTCACCTAGGCTTCGAATGATCTGCACGAATTGTTCAAGGTAGTCTCGACAGCGTGCAACCATACGATTATCTTCATCCAAACCTCTAAGTGCCTCGATCGCCATCCCGAGATGGTCACTCATATCCTGAGTGGATTCAGAGAAATGGATAATCGGTTGCGCCGTGAGTCCTTTTTGTTCGACCTGGATCAGGATGCAAGCGCCCACTACTAAAGCTGCGTTAAATGCTAAAAAAATAATCAGCGCCATCTGAGGTTAGATCTCTGGCGGAGAACCAAAGCCTTACTATAATATAAAGAATACCACCACGCACCCAAGAGCCCCCATTTTGAATGGCCGTTGGCATATCTAAGCGCATTTTGCACAAGATATATGAGTTCCATGCTGGACTTTGCGGCGATCTGGACATTCGCGGTTCCGATCTGAAGCAAGATTGGCGAGTGGGAACCAGTGTTTGGATGTCGCAGCTCCTCCAGAAATTTGACCATGACTGGTCGGTGGAGGAGAATGCGAATGTTGATGTAGCGCAAAGTTAGAACAAGCCGTAGCCGTAGCCGCTGCCATTTGTCCTCTGCCGAAGCATCTGCTGGTGGAAAGTCTTGAGTGAAAACTTCTTTAGCATCGACCAGTTTCATCTCCGTTGGTAGTTGCTGTTGCCACTGTGAGAGCCGATTCTCAATCTGGTAGACCCTGGATACAGTGTCCACATCGTTTATTGGCAGGGAACAAGCCAAGTTTTGCCCATAGAGGGTGTCAATGATTTCTTGTAACACCTTATAAATAGTGCTAACGCAGTAGGGTGAGCTTTCTGGAAAGTCTGATGAGGTCAGGGAGGTGGAAACACTTACATGGTGCCGACAAAGAACCCGATGCTTAAGGACTCATCCGACTCCATTCCGCCCTGTCCTCCGTCCAGGGTTGAAAACTCTACAGGCAAATCAAGCTGCACGTAATTTTCTGGGATTGATGGTGGCCGCCCATACGTCATGCTCAACAATGTCTCGTTGATGATGCAACCAAACCAAGCCCTCTTGCGGATTTCCTGTTCGAGGGGAGAAAATAGCTTGCCTAGGTCCCGAGAGTGTAACCCAAGCTGGAAGGCGGCCCTGACGGCAAGACCGTGCATCTTCCACGTTTGGGTCGACTGCTGAGTGGACTGTAAGTACGATCCGATTAACAGGAGAAACTGAACTATTTATTGTTAGCATTTTGCAGGTTGATGCGTCCCGATGACTGGCTAACGTACCAACTTCTATGCTGGTTCCCGTATTGCCTATCATGTTCTCGTTAAACAGGGCAGACGCTCTTTGATAATAAACCTGTGATTCTGCGATTGGCCCCATCTCGACTGAAGGCATATTTTCGTGAGCCACGGTGAGCTGCCGCGCATGAACCCGAGCGAGTGCAAAGATTATGTTCAAGAGTGCAAGCCAGATTCTTCGAACTCCTTTAAATCTGCTCCTCTCCGCGTCTTCAAATGTACTCATGAAGCTTGATCCGTGGATGTAGGGATACATATAGTTTGGGTTCCCAAAGAACCAACGTAATAGCTTTCGACAATTGTCTCGCGTGGGAATAGCAAATACATCGATGTTTTCCTTTCTGAACTCGGACGGCATGTGGACAGGCGAGGACGGCCGGGTCGTGTTTAAGAAGCTTCCTGCAACGTCAGCAGCAGAGTTTCCTTCGGTAGGCGACGGCCGCCACGGCTGTGACTCATGGCTAAGGTGTGCTATAGCCGCAGAGACTTGTCTAAGAAGGGCAATGTTCGATGAAGGTCCGAAGAAGGCACAGTCTTCTTCCTGAGCAAAGGTGACCACGCCCATCGCATCAATTGAATCCTCCGCCACCCCGGTATCTTGCAACTCCTCTCGTTGCAAGCTTGCAGTCTCAGACTGTCTCTGAAGTTGGTTTCTGGGGCTCGGCGAGGTTCCCACAGCGGTGAGCCCTTGACTGACATTGTTTGTGCCATTTTCGAGATAGGACAGGCGACCTTCGACCAGCCTCAAGCGGTCTTCAATCGAGCTCAGATAGCTGTAAGCATTATCAGCAAAACGTCGCATTGGCTATTTTCCACCCCCGGCACCCTTACTCTTTGCCAATGATGACATTTTGAAACCCAGCTCCTTGCTGATACTGGCACTCGAAGCCCAACTCGATGCACAGCGAGCAACTGGGACGTTTGCCATCACACTTGGAATTAGTAGGTAAGACGTGGTCCAGTAACTTTTCATTTAGGTAGACGCAACTTACACGAGATTTTCGCCCGCGGCACACGTTACAGGCAAGGGCGACTCGTCGCCTTTTGCTTTCGGGCTCTTCAACTGTAGAGAGCTCGGGCCTGGCACGAGTCTGGTTCTGGCAATCGATCATTGATGAGTCTCCTTTTCGCCCTGTAGGTCTCTGGACCTGTCTTCGCATCATGGTATGGGCAGCATTGGATGTCCTAGCTGCAGAAACTAGCCTTATGCAAAGGTAACATACCTAGGTATGCAATGACGAAGAGGATACAATTCGACCATTCCTCGGCTTGGAGGTCCTTCGGAGCGGTTCGGAAAAGACTTGGCAAACGGGCCAAGGACACGAACCGTGCGGAGACGGGACTAATATCTGATCGGGCTGGCTCTACGTCTTAATAATTCGTCATATGCTGTTTGGCCAGTATCATAACGCATGCAAGGTATGTCCACATGTGCTGGGCCACGACTGGGGAACATGAAGGAGGTCTCTAGTGAGAGTCGGAGGAGGATGCTCAGAACCTCCGCTCGACAGCATAGCACGGAGAACACGGAGACGCGGGGAGAAGTGCAGCTCCGTTCGACACGCAGCCGTTTCCTCTCCGCGGGGCCTGCTATCACCCTTAAAGACCGGGGTAAAGCAGCATAATTGCACGGGAACAACGAAAGTATCAAGAAATGTGCCACATGGAAGCTTAAACCTCACAACATCTGCTATCAATACGCCGCTCTCCATAGCATGGTTAATCCATCGTGGAGAAGTCGATTGCAATGAAGCGAATCTGTTGCTCTAGAAATTGTGACCCCATCATTCTTAGCTATTGAATGGCACGGTCAAGAGCCAGGACAAGTCGTTTGGATCGAATACATTGTCAAAGTCCAGCAAAGATCCGGCCATGAGTGTCTTGTCAAGCTCTCCTCCCGCCTCACAGAGGAAGTCCACAGTGACTTCCTGTCCAAGCGAAGTTGCCGGAATGCTAGTGACATCACTAGGGCGCCAGAGCGCTGCTGACATCGACACGGGGGTCATCGACGATGACGTGATCTTCTCCGGCTGCCTGATGGGTTGTTGCTGTCGCAAACGCGAGTATCGCTGGGGAACGGCGTTGGAAAGCAGCCCCAGAGTCGTGACAAGCCGCTGTATCGAAGTACTGAAGGCGCAATATCCTTCAAGGATCCCTATCGCCTTGTGCCAACTTTCCAGGATCTTTCTCTCGGGGATTTCGGTGAGGATATCTGGGCTGAGGCGGGCGGCGATGAGGATCGTGGCGGAAGTGTACAGGAACAACACGTTATACCACCAGGCAGAGAGATAGTAAGACCCTTCGTTCAGTGTTGCTTCCTCCGCATAGACAACGTCAATGGCTGCCTGCGCGGCGTGGACGCACTCCACGGCACATTGGAGCAAGATCCGATCGGCCAACAAACCCCCAAATAGAGTTGACGGTTTTTCGTCGTATCGTTCGCTGCCGATGACAGTCGACAAGATCGGCCGCAACAGTAGAAGGCGGACATAAATGTGCCTAAAAATAATCCCATCAGCTACTCTTAGCTTGTAAAATCATCTGATAAAGCGCCATGAGAGTAGCTTACCTTTGGTGCAGAACCACAGCTTGGCGATAGAGGATGGCTTCGACGCCGACTGCTCCTGCTGGGCGCTTGTGAATCCGCAAATGCTCTGGAATACTAGCTTCCCACTTAGAAAGCCGGCGCTCAAGCTCAAACACGGCCGTAATTCTTTCAGTTGAGCATTGGCCAAGATGAGCATTTTGAAGGGCATCTCTCGGTTGCTGATCATTTGGCGTTTCGACTGTATGATAGTTGAAGAGGACATCATCCAAGAAATCGTATAGTTTTAAAGAGAGGATGTAGAAGTCCACAAACGACGGTCGGCCCTCTGTTCCTCGGCTTGCGTATCGCAGATCGACCCCCACGGGGACATATTCCTGATCCATCGGCCGCGGCAGGGGTACAGAGTTTGTTGCATTGGGGCCTATCGAGCACGGCCGACCGTAGGTCATGGAAAGTATACGATCCATGAGGATGCATCCATGCCAGACTCTGCGCAAGATTTCTCTGGTACGCACATCAGGGACACGTTGGCTTGTTTCCGCCTGGTGCAGCCCAAGACTCTGTGCCGTGCGGATGCCTAGTCCGACAAAGATCCAACAGGGATGGGGCTCGTTGGTGCTTTGGAAGTATTGTCCCAGAAGAAGAAAAGACTGCACGGCACGGATCGACCCTGTGTCCCTGATATCCATGAGTTCATACGCTCTATCGTAGTACATGGCTGCTACGGATCCCCGGTCTTCGAATGCTATCTGCGTGTCGATTTGGCTAGACAACGCAAAGATGATATTGAGTAGGCACAGCAATGATTGTTCGTCCGACACAGAGTTGTCGTCACAGCCATTCCAGATTTGTTCGTAATTTTTCTGGGTTTGTTCCTTGTCCAGATGTGGGTAGAGAATATGCACGTATTTCCAATACAAGTCCATCAACCTGTCTGCCTTTTTCCGCGTCGGCAGGACATATTCGATCTGCTTGTGTTTGGACTTGCGGTCAGGAATGAGGGGCGGCAGATGATTGTGAGCTCGTCCGATATCAGGCGACATTCCATGCGTACAGCTTTTATATTTCTGTTCGACTATTCGCTTCACGCTTTGCATGAAGGTACCAGCACTAGTGTTACCAAAAAAGCCTTCTTTGCTGTCCTCATACTGGATCACGCCTATGATAGCATGGACAGATCGACAGCGGGAGGGCACGGTCTCGGATTCACCTCCAGACGAGCCTTGCTGCTGAGCACTTCCTTGAGTCAAGGCCCCACCGCTGGGAACCCGATCCCTTGGCTGCGAGAGTGACTCAGGCCCACGGTAGATACGCGATGAGCCTTGATTGCCGGGAGGGGAAACAGTTGAATACTGGATGTGAGTTTTGGGCGAGTTTGAGTATGAGTCGTTATTTATGGCTGATTCAGACAGCAGCGCGGCCTCGATTCCAGCGGGCTGCATTGGTTGACCATGTGTTATGATCTGTTTGTGCTGCTGCTGTTCGACTAGTCTGAATCTGTCGTAAAGCCATTTGACCTGATCTGAGGTTATCTGCGGATTGCCCACTCGTGCCGTAGCGCTTGAATCCCAAGAACATGCTGAGCCGCTTCCAACTCGTTTAAAACACGGTCCGCAGACTGGAGAAGTTAGTATGTGCTTGCAAAGTACTCTATGAGCCGCACTGCGGAGTAACAAGAACAGTTCGAGGTTTACCTGGTTCAAGACCATCACATTTGACCTGTAGTCAAACTTCAGCATCATTACGAGGGATTGGATGAGCAATGGGTGAGCGACTACCTTTCGGCTTCGACAGGGATCGCATGCAATTGCAACTTTGTGCCTCTTTGACCTTGGAGCATCCATCGCCCCCATGGTCGATGATGGCATTTGATCAACACCGTATGTCCCTGACTTTGGATCGAGAAGCGGTGTTGTACGAGGTGAGGAAATATCATCAGCACGAAAACCACACTAGGCCTTCCAAAAATCTGGAACTGGAGGGACATATGATCAAAAGAAAGCGGGGGGCTTTGGTTTCAAAACTACAGCCTACGATCACCAGCTCATGAAAGCTGGGGAAGGTGAAAATACCCTTCTGCTAAGAAAAGCCGCTCTTTGCCATCTTTCACAGCTGCGCTTCCCCAGCAGACCACGTTAGCTTAGTCCGACAAGAGTCCCAATATCGCCGACCATTTTACTATGCAGCAGGAACGACGATCCCCCTCACATTTGTTTACATCTGATCACTATTGTTGTTGAAAATGGGGAGGGCGGAGCACGTCCTATACGCCCGGGGAGCGACCGGGCAGCTTTCGGATCACTTCCGGAGGTAAGATTTTCGTACAGTTCCTGGTTTACGACAAGTGGGAAAGTCAATTCAGCTCTAGGATGCGCAAGGTCCTATCATGGAGCAGGACTCGGATGGCCTCAGCGTGCTCTAGTGTCAGTATCGAAATCCGAGGGTATCTCTCTAAGCAGGACTTCTCAATCTTGCCTAAGAACCATTTGTTGCGAGGGCCAAAGCTGATGTTTTGGACTCTGGCCTGTATGATACACATTCAAAACTTCATTATCACGGAGGCAGCCTGGGAGGCAGGCCCCTGCTCGCAAGCATTGAAAATTCGATGCAGCTTTTTTCAGTCCACCTCTTCGGGTCAAGAGATAGATATGGCGCAATAGGCATAGCCATGAGGGGCATGTCTGCTTTAGTGCATGCCATGCTTAACAGCTGTTACATATAGTTTCGTAGTCGAATATGCTGGGGATGGGAAGATACAAGACAAACAAGGATAGGTCTTCGTACCAAACAGTACCAGCAGCGTTTCCTGGAACGCACAACCTGGTGCTGCCAGCTACTCTTTTATATCTTGGCTCTGCATTATGGCCGTTGTTTCCGGTCGAACTTGTCCAGGACTTTCCTGGCATCCATGACGACATCGTAACCGAATAACCACGGTTGAAAGCTGTGGTCGGACCACGGATTGACGGTTTCGCCCTGCTGCTGTGACGACTCACTTTTCGCTTCAGCGAAGTTGTCTCTCTCGAAACCCCTGTCGCGTTCTTCTTGCTCTGGTCCGTCACGGAGATGCCACATCTGGCCATTTTGCCTGGAGTACAGCTGCATCTTCTCGCAACGCGGCCGCCGGAGTTCTTCAAACACTCGGAGGTACTTTGGGATGTCTTCGATCTCCTTGACCCGACTGAGGCACTCGGCAAGAGCGGGTCCGTCTTCGATGGACATGCTGGCACCTTGAGCTAGGAAGGGGACCATCGCGTGGGCGGCATCGCCGATCAACACCACCTTCCCGGACTGACTGAGCCAAGTTGGCAAGGGTGGCAGCTCGGCGAGGGTCCAACGCAGACAGGCTGTGGCTTTGTCAATGACCTTGCGAATCAGTGGGTCAAATGTGGCGTACGTCTCTCGCATTTGTTGCACATCTCCGGGCTCGTTCCATACTCCAGGTTTTGCCTGACCCGGATGGCACATGACGAGGTTGTACAGGGCGCCCTGGCGGATGGGATAGGCCATGACGTGTCGATTGTGGCCGATCCAGGCGTTCGAGTTAGGATCTGTCATGAGCTTCGCAGTGTCGGGATCGGCGGACATGAGCTCTGCAGGAATGGTTGCGCGGTATGCACAGTTGGCTGTTGGATTCGGTTGGACGGCATTTTGATTGGTGAGGACGAACTCGCGAACCTTGGAGCGGATGCCATCCGCGCCAACGATGACGTCGCCGAGATACTCAGACCCATCCAAGGTGGTCACCGAGGGTTTATCCGGGTTGATCGAAGCCACGCAGGTGGCCAGAATGACTTGTGCTCCTAGGGCGACGGCCTCCTCGTATAGAATGCGCTGGTAGTCGGCACGATGGATCAGCCAGTAGGGGTAGCCATACTTCTTCGAGAGGTGAGGATGGAGAGGTGTCCTTCCTAGAATGGTTCCTGTCGCGTATCTCTTGATAGAGATGTTGCGCGGCCACGCCACTTTCTCCCGCAGCTTTTCGCCCAAGTCGTAGTAGGCGTGGAGGATTCGCGTGCTGTTTGGAGGAATCTGGATGCCTGCACCGATCTCGCTAAGAGCCACTGCGCTCTCCAGCACGATCACCTCATGGCCTTTGTGTCGCAGCGCAATGGCAGCACCGAGCCCTCCGAGCCCTCCACCGCAGATGATGACACGAAGTGGGCGTGCTGCGTCTTTGCTGAGACCACAGGGGGTGGCCGGGAGGTAACCTTCCATGGTGAAAGGCAGTGGTAGGCGAGAGTTTCGCCCTGTATAGAAACAAGAGCTTTATGAGTGAACCGACTGAAGAGTAGTGTATCCTTTCTTTCTGGAGTAGAGATGAGGATATACTCTGACAACAATCTCCACTGAAAATTTGAATCAAGTCCTGTCAGCCATCCTCTTGCTATATCTGGAAGTGCTGGTGTGAGACGAGGGACGCGACACCGGGCGAGCGAAGCTGCCCTGGACGCCCGGATCTTCCGCACGGCCGCGGATAAGGTATCACATCAAGTACGTCGTTCTATTTCAGCATGGATGATAGACTGACAGCCTGATGGTCTTCCAGACGGCGATGTTCGGGCCATCCGTTCCTGAGGGCTGCATTCCGAATGTGTATGGACCACTTACATCGGAAGCTTCCGGATTCTGAGATGTCTCAGAAGGGAGGAAATTGGAGAATAATGGGTGTATGAATCATGGAGATAATGAACCAACAGCTTGACGTGATGAACCATATTGATCATCTAGCTGTATTGTGAACTAGGCGGAAGAGGGGATCAAGTACTGTATGGGACGAAGAACTTGAAGTTGAGAGATGTATCCTGAACATTATCTTTGTCACCAGCTGCACGTCTTGGAGTTACTGGGATCGCCATAACAACCGAACATGCATCTTACTAGCCGGTTAGTACTTGAATACTTACCTAGATAGTCTATATGGCTATCGCTTTTTCCTTCGGGCCATAGATAGGAGCTGAAGGCCGCAACTGCCATTACCGAATATTGACACTGCCACTTCTCGTTTGGGTGGGAAAAGAAAGCAGAAAGTATCGGGCCGAATTCGAAAGACACCCTGTTCCGGACGAAGCACGAACGGCGCGAGATGCGAATAAATGAAACAGGGATCGCCTTGGCGAAAGGCGATTACTTGGCAGCTGTTCGCCAATAGATACCATTCAGTCTCTGACTACAACAACCCCCGTGAGTAAGATCGTCGCCTTCAACAGTATGAAGATGATCTTAGATCTTCAACTTCCCAGGTGCAGGTTCGGGTAAGATGACATGTCCTACTGTGACGACCTGTTGCAAGCGGATGCGGATTAACAATGGTTAGGTATCAACCTTGCTTTTGCTAAAGCGCTCCACCGGGAAGGTTGCAATGTCCTCATCATGGACGTGGCTCTTCACAAAGAGGCTATTGCGTAGATAGAATCGATTACGTACGAAGATTCGGACGCGAGGGTTATCTTCTACCAATCTGACGTCTCAAAGTAGACAGAATTGGACAAGGTTTTCGATGTGTTTGAGGTGACTTTCGGTGGCGTGCCGTACATCGTCTGTCCAGGAGCCGGAATATATGAACCTGTGAGCCGTCTCCGAGAGCTGCTGTGAATTTTTGGCTGACTCGACTGGTAGTCTCATAGAAGCTTTTGGAAAGACTATATGCTCCCTCCAGAGGAAGTGGCCAGAGCTATGCTTGCTGTGTGTTTGAATGAGAGATATCCCCCGGGTACCACTCTTGAAGTCGCAGACATGGACAACTGGAGGAAAGTTCAGTTACTGAACGGCACTGGCCCCCAAGGCAAAGCGATTCTTGCCAGTAGAAAGCAAGGTGCAGCTGCTGATGTGATGGCTTGGATCGAGAAAGATAGGCAGAGACGCAATTAGATGGCACTCTACCCCATTTCAGTTCCTCTTATGTCCTTGCATCAGTCACGACTCGCAATTGAGATTCGGCGAAGCGCTCAAAGATGCCTGACGCCCAGAATAGCCCCCCGAACGCCATGGGAAAGTTCGCTAACGCCTTCTTGCTTACACTTGGTCTGTCTTCAGAAAGCCTGTCAAGCAAAGTCAAGCAGTTTCCATCCCCTGACACCTCTTCACTAAGGTCCTGGAAAGTTAGATCCTGACGAGTTGTATTGCAACGGGCACTCAAATGGACGGCACGAAAGTCTCTGATTCTCTACCTGATGCTGCTTGTTCTTTTTCCATATATTTGGCTGTAGAGTGATCTTTTGTTGCTCTTTTTCCACGACTGGGAGCCCAGGGGCGACTGCGCCACCTTCGACGGCCTCACTGTCGCTGTTGCTGGGGCCGTTGATCAACTAGCGATTCTGTCACAGATATCACTGCTCAAGCGACCGGGGTTCAACATGGCATTTCTCGTTGAACGATGGCCGCCAATTCGTAAAGTTGAGGTTGTTGGGAGTGTTTTGGTCAGGAACTGTTATCTAAGATATCTGTACTCGGCTACTTGCGCGCGTGACTGAGGACGATGATTGAGGTCTTTTAGTCTCTGTCTCCTGCCACTCTGTGGTCTCTGCGCTAGTTTATATACCATTTATATAAACAATTGATCCTCAGGGGCCCGTCTGCAAGATGGAAAAACCAGATCCTTATGTTGCTGGAATTGCGACTTCGCGTGGTTGCCATCGATTGCATTAGATCTGGTCGAACAGTGAGTCTACGCTCAGAAGATCAGCCGCTTGGCATTGCTTGCTGAACTAGCTGACGTGTGCTTGAGGATTCTCCATTTTCAATCAACATGTACACTTTTCGACGGGCTTCCGATGACATTGCTGAGTTAGCTCGGCAATTGGGAGTAAGCAACATCATTTTGGGCGGGCATGACTGGTAAGATCTCAACTTCGATTTTTCGAAATGGAGGGAGATCACTGACAGGTTGTGTTTCTGGGGGCGGCCTGGTAGTGCAAAGATGTGCCCAATATCAGCCGAAGCTGGTTACGCAGGTGTTTTCCGCCTCGACGCCTTATTTTCCGATTGAATCAAGCTACACGCCTATTCGCCTTCTTGCAAAGACACTGCCAAACTTTGCGTACATGGAACATCTGGCGTCTGGAGAGCTAGAAGAGCATATCCAGTCCAAATCTGAGCTACGAGCTTTTCTCAACGGATGCTTTGGATTCCCTCGTGGCCCTAATGGCGAGGTTGGTTTCACGCCAGAGCACGGCATGCAGTTTGAGAACCTTCTCAAACTAGGTGCTACAGCACTTTTCACATCACGTGAATTGGACTACTACGCAGGCGAGTATGCTCGTAATGGCATACGCGGGCCTGATAATTGGTACAGAATAAGAGACTTGAATTTCTCGACCGAATATGAATAATTTTTGGAGCGACCGGACGGAACATTGAACCCGGATCTTGGCATCGACCAGGACATCCTTTATGTCGCAACTGAGAGGGACCGAATACTCACGCCAGCGATGTGTGAGGCATCGAAACAATTCTGCAAGAGGCACCGTATAATGGTTGTAGATGCCGATCATTGGGCTCTGTGGGAGAATCCCAAGGCTGTCAATGATGCCATCAGAGACTGGCTTAACCAAGTTGTTTTCACGGATGGCCGATAGGAGGTTGCTTCCATGTCAATGTGCTGGCTCGAAGCTGATCCAGAAAAGCTTGCGAGGAGGGAGCAGTCTCATGATATGGTCTTCGGTTATGGCCAATACCAGTGTATGGGCGAGAAGATTGCGAGGATCGAGCTGCCCGAGACGATGTTTGAACTGATGCGGAGGTTCGATTTCAGTTTCATGGATCCAACCAAGCCAATTGGCAGTATTTACAATCTCTCGGGTGCAGAAGGACATGTGGTTGAGAGTAGAGGAACATGGTGCTGCAAATGTCAAAGCATAATTACACGTATTGTTGGACAGTGCAAAGACAGGAAGGAGATTAGTTGGATACTGCAAAGGAAAAAAATAGAACTTTATATCTCTTTCCATAGTCTGAATTGATACAGCTGAGGATGTCTTGATTCTGGAATCTGCATAGCGTGGTGGAGCAGACAGAGGCATAAAGGAGCAAGGATGTTGATAGAAATCGTTTGGGACCTTCGCTGATTGTCATCACTCTACTGATGAGCTGTGAAGCTGGTCTTCGTTGGAGATCTGGTTCACGTTGTGGCTTGGGATGATACCTAGGATAGGCACCCAGGAATTAGCCAGGAAGTATCCAGTAACTAACTACCGGTAGATAGTGGGCACAAAGGTAGATAGTTCAAGGTAGTCTTCAGCGCTCCGCAATCTGTCGAGTCTGCTGGGGCCTGGAGTCCTTATTGTCGTCCCTCAAACCCCTCTCCCGCATTTACATCCTCCGAGATGGAAAAAGTCAGACCATCCAGCAATCCAACTGTATGAGAACCAACGAGTCCAATGGGCGGTTGAGCCTGGGCTCGTGTGGGTGCCTGTGTCTGTACGAGTATGTGATTTTAGCTCCGTGGCATGCTTGGCATACTACCTACATTCGTTTACGGCCGATTCCTTCCTAATAGCGGCCATGCCCAGATCTCAGTTAGTCAACAAGTTACGCCGTTATATCATAATTCACGGCTAATACTACTCGTATACTCGTAAGTCAGTCTCACCCAATAGGGTTGTCGATTTCCAGGGCGGATCAAGAGTCATCAGCCGGCAACCATCCATTCTACGAGTATCTTGGAGTCTAGACTGGTGCAGGCTTGGGCTCGATCTTAGAGAAGTCGATACTAGACTAAAAAGTGGCCCGTCCATCGCGCTGGTCCTCCACTACTCGTACAGTATCTTCGCAACTCGGGACACTTCCAGATCGTGGCTTGCATGGGCCATGCGTGGATGTGCATAGTGCAGGCTGGCCATGGGACCATGATACCTTAGGAAAGTTCACTCTATTTATCCTTTTCGTCCTTCTCATACCATTCCTTCCTCTCTTCCATCCCATCCCTCACCTCCGCTCTCAAGTCTCTACCTGCTACTCAACCGTAACAGATTCAATCGCCACTTGTTGATTATCTCATCTCATCCCATCCTTCACCTCACATTCCCCGCTATCTTCTCCCCTTAGAACGCGGGTTACCGAGCATCCACACCAAAAGTAAACACCCAACAAGATGCAGCTATCAGTCCTCCTCTCCACAACCCTCGTCGCCGTTCTGGTGTCGGCCCAGACGGCACCAACCTTGCCATCGTGTACGTATCCTCACTATCGCGACGTCCAGTATCTGACCATGACATTACCACACACTCGGTATTTGGCACATGTATGGAATGACCAACACTAAGAATCATCTATAAACAGGCGCGACCGACTGCATCACCAACTCTCTACCGGCAAACTGCAACGCCGATCCATCATGCATCTGCAACACCCCATCCTTCATCGAGGGCATTGCCTGCTGTGTCTTTACTGCCTGCGACACAGCCGATCAACAAGCTGCACTGGCCTACGCTCACGGCGTCTGTGACCCCGTCGGCGCAAGTTCTCTTCTGGTATGTTGTGTTGTCCCAGAGAGTCCATGTCCACAGTCACGTACAGCCCCAAACTAATGCTCTGACCCAACAGCCCGCATCAGCAGGCTGCTCATCCACCTCTACCAGCGGCAACGGCACCGCCGCCGCAACCGGCAGCACCACCTCTGGCTCCGGTACCGCCTCGACCACTGCATCTGGCTCTTCCTCCGCAGCCGCCACAAGCAGCGCCGCCTCCGCCGCATCGAGCGTTGCCTCAACTGCCTCCAGCGCCGCCAGCGCGAGTGCCGCATCCGCCACCTCTTCCCCCGCTGCTGGCGACAGACTTGCTGTCCAGGGCCTGGGTGCCGTGGGAGCTGCTGTGCTCGGTCTTGCTGCGTTCCTGTAGATGGATTTTTATTGCGCGCTGGACGATGTTGATCCAGATTTGCCCAGATCTTACGGTGAGCTGGGAGTACGGTGCTGTGCTGTGCTGTGTTGTGCAGCTGAAAGCCTGGTGCACAAAAGAGCGATGATATATCTGTTCCGGAACTGGGGGTGCAGTGAACATCCTGGGCCCTTTTCTCCTTCTACGGTTGTACTACGCAAACTCTGAAGCTGTGTTTGCTCGCTTTCGTGGTGCTATTAGGGCTCTAAGTATGTACAGTCAACTGCAGAGAATTGCTTTTCCGGTCGCCTCGCTATGCTATGCCAAACCCAGCCGGTTGGTTTCTATAATGAGTACCACGATTACATCGTACAGTCGAGTTCTATAAACACGGCTGCCCAATGTAACCACAGTGTCCGCCTCCCATTCGGAAATACGTGATTCATTCAGGTGGTTGGCTACCTACCTAGCCATCGTCATCCTCAGCTTCCCTCCTCATGGCAATATTCGCAGCGACTTGTTTCCCTTCATCTTTCAGCACGGTCCACAAGTAGCCCCAGAACAGCATATCAGACAAAGCGACCGTGAACGTGACTCGATTCGCCAGGAGCGAGATCCCCGTGGTGGTATCCGACGAGCTCGAGGTCAGACTGGAGCGGTGTGAATGAAACATATAGATCCATGCCACCACTGCAGCAGACCCTAGCATCCGTAGACCCGATAGTGTTAGCCAGCGCGATTGCGCGGTGAGCAGCGTGTGTAGCTCTTCTGCATAGCGAGATGATGGTTGCTGTTGCTGTTGCTGTTGCTGCTTGGAGATGTCGAGGGCGGAAGACGGCGGAGATCTTGTCGTCGTCGGCGCCGGAAGCAACGCCAGATCCCCGGCGAAGACGAACTGAAACACAGCGTAGACAGCCACCACCAGTGCCAGGAGAGCCAAAAGTTCAAGCTCGCTTTGCGTCTCCCCATTGGTCGTCACCGCAGGCAATGAGGCTGCTGCGCTGCCCGCCAGGCTCGGGGCACGAAATCCGCCTGCAGGTGCATTCCGCTGGCGTGAGCCGGGGAGGATGGGTAGTGAGGACTGCGGCGGAAAAGCGTCATCGTATGCGTATCCCGCGGGTCGGATGCCCATGCTCTCGCCGAGAAGCCATACGGGGGTTGCTGAGAGGAGTTTGGACGGCGAGAAGAGTAGGTAGAAGGAGATGGTGAGCAGTGTCAGGCTGTATGTGCGAAGGAGGAGGTGGGAGGAGAGGAGCGCCATGCTGGAGGGCGGTAGAGGCTAGAGGCTACAACAGGTTGAAATCAAATCTCTGCGTGCTCACGGTTGAAATTGAGGTGTTGGGCCAGAAATGTGATAGATTATGTCACAGTGTCTCCAATGGAAGGTCCGCGTGGGTTGGTCAGAGACACGCAGGTTGGAAGTTGGAACTCGGACAGTTCCTTCCCCCGTAAAAGGTCGAACGCGAGTTCCGAAACTCCACGACGCGAAATCCAAATCTGGGGTATTTGCACTCTCCACTAATTATCAGGCAGCATTGCCCTCCGAAGCTCTTGTTTTAATCCATTTTGCTTCTAATTATCGGACTGCGTCGACATCGCAAAGTAGCCATCAGAAGTCCTTCGCAGAGTGAGAGCAGGCTTGCAGGAGCATCTTTCAGAGCCCGCACCCCCGCATCTCAAGAACCGCGTTTTGCAATGAACAGGACCATTGAAGCGTCGAATCGTCGAGAGAAGGCCCGTGGTCTCGCTGCTCGTATTTGGCTACTCGAAATACGAAGTACGCAGGTCGACCCTCTACATTTGCGAGCAGGAGCACAGCTTCAACATCAGGAGGATCCTCTTAAGTGTGCGGATGACTCAGGTCTCTCCGCCCGTCATCCTGAGAGGGAGGGGCACCTTGCCCCCCCCTCGTTTTCGGGGTGAGATTCAATCCTCATGAGTCAATCGTGACTGATGGGCACCAACCGGTACGAATTTGTTCATTGCCACAACCTGTAGGACTGAATCCAGCTGTAGGCCGAGGTACTCCACCTACCTCCATCTAGTCTGACTACATACATATACCACATCGTGCTTGGGTGTTGGAGAGAGGTTGGCGGTTCTAATATATCAAGTTGTTGAATGCCTCGCTTCTCCACGGACGTGTTCTGAACACTCATCAAACCAACCGTGCCAGAAGCATATAACAGCTTTGTTCTCTGATACTCCCAGACACCAACAGTGTGTCCAATATCAGCTAGTAATCTGCCAAGTCTTTCATTCGAACGAGTTTGGTTATCAGAAAATGGGGTCGTACGTCAATTCTGGGGCTGTCAATACTGATGTCGATGTTGATACCAGCCGGGTAAAGGGGCAGACTGCTCTTGTCACGGGCGGTATTGTCAAAACAGCCATTCATGGATAATGCTTCCCATGCTGATTGATCTCAGGTGCCAATGGTATAGGTGAAGCATATACACGAGCCTTAGCCAAGGCTGGGTAAGCCAGGGGTTGACCGACGGTCACTTGCATCTATTGACCGGTTTCAAGTGCCTTTGTCGTGATTGCAGATCTCGATGACGAATTCGGCTCAAATTTGGAGAAGGAGCTTTCCGGGTATGCCGATGAATCAGTCTGAAGGCCTCTCACTGACGGTCCCTCACAGGTCGGTCAAGTTCGTCAAGACAAATGTCACTAGCTGGGCCGATCAGCTTGCTGCGTTTAAGACAGCCCTATCAAGCTCTCCTTGCGGGAGAATTGACATTGTTATCGCAAATGCTGGCATCAGCGGGGCTGATACCGTGTTTCAGAATGAACGTATGCTGTTGAGGAGATCCCATCCAGAATTCCATCTCGGCTGACTTGTTTCTTAACCTCCAGTCGAATTAGACGAGCCTGAAGAACCGCGACTTAACATACTCAATGTCAACTTGACTGGCGTCCTATATACCATCAAGCTGGCCCTATTCTACTTCCGCAAACAACATGCAGCAAACAAAGGGGAGGCCTTGGATCAAAATCTTATCTTGCAGGGCTCTCTCGCCGGCTACCTTGATCTACCAGGCGCACTTCAGTATACCGCTTCTAAGTTCGGCCTACGTGGGTTGATGCGAGATCTCCGAAGAACAGAACATGCACATAATATCCGAGTCAACTTCATCGGTCCATGGTTCGTCCCTTGATACCGCAGCAATATGGGGCCAAGTGACTGACATTGACGCCCCCAGGTTCATTCGGACCAAGATTATGAGTGACACAGTGCTTCAGTACCTCGATAACCTTGGAGTTGACTTTGCAACCGTGGAAGACGCGGCAGCGGCGGCGTTACGGATCATCGCTGATCCGAAAGTCGTTGGTAGGTCGTTTGCCATAGTACCACGTTCCCTTGCCCCTCGGGGTTATCAAGACATCGACTTTGATGATTACGAAGAGGGATCTTTCCTGGGCAAGTTGCAGGCTCTGGCGGCTGGAGGGACTCATCGAACTCAAGTGAGTATACGGACAGTACCTCGGACTTGTGACCAATGAGCCAATAATTGACATGATTCCAGGTGTCGGCAGAGGATCAGAAGACACGCACTCAATGGTGATGAACAGAACAGAAGGATGAAACGGACGTCTTGCGGCTTCCAATCGTTTAGTCAAAGTACCTAGTCTATATAATATTTCGCTGGCAGTGTCAAGGCCGCCCGCGCATGCAATTCAATCATATGTCTGGTGTTTTGATCAAGTGTTGGTGTGGTTCGATCTCGGGCCTTGTATGGTCAACGGGGACAAGATTTCCCACGCGGCCAACCTGAAGGAGTTACTCCATACGAGGCCGAGGAGACTGAATTGCACCTTACCCAGTGACCCCAACTCTGGATTCCAATGCAAGATAAGCAAGTTACAGGACTCGTGATGGTCTTGGGCCATGAATGGAGACACCCGTGAATAGTGACGATCTATTGGCTACAAGTAAAAATAGCCAGGTACCAGTGGAAGCGCCGAGTCTGCATCAGGCACCCAGCGATCCGCCATCGGTAAAGAAGAATTGGCGGAGTAGTGGACCTGGTTGTCCCTCCCTTACTTGATCCGTGAGGCCCGGCGCCTACAGAATTGGTGATGGACCTTCAATTCGTCTATCCTCGTCACATCCTCATGTGCCACACGCCCGCTAACCCAACGCCCTCTCCTCCTCCTGCAGCTCCATGCTCTCTATCCACGCCTGTCCCCAGGCCCTCCATGTCTATCCAAATCAACCTGGCCCAATCATTTGTTTCCATGAAACGCCCTCGCATCACAAGGTCCAATGGATAGCGGACAACACGAATGTTTCTCTCTGTCCCTTGCAGACACACCTCTGGGTCCTCCGTACAATCACCCATGGCTTCAAGCCTGCAGGCGTACTTAGTTAGGTGCTCTTTCTATTGTTGTGCCACCTGCGACAGCGAAACCGGTAAGGACGACGCTTCTCATGGAAATTTCACTCTTGAACTGCCTTGCCGCCGAATCTGCAGCCTGTTTCTCTTGTTGTTATTATTATCATCATTCTTGAATGCCAGGAAGACTTGCCCTCTCGTCTGTCTTGTTGCAAGATCAAATATATCTTCAATTGTTTCTCTCTCGTCTGTTTCTTTGATTGCAACGCCGCATAGCCGCCTTGTCCTTCAGTTTCTGGTGTAAGGCGCGGCTCCTCTTACGCCAGTCTTGAAGTCATAGCCAGTGCTTTTGATATACTTCTCCTTCTTCGACGCAGGCGCGTTGTCCCACCATCCTCTGACCTTTTTATCTGGATCCTGGCTTTTGGGCCTTTCATTCTTGCTCAGCTTCGTTGTCTGAGGGACCTTCTCTCACAGATCGAACCAGCCATGACTTCGGTACTGGAGGGACTTCTTCCTACCCGCCGTCGTCGGTCGAGATCTCGGTCAGAGTCTGGGAAGCAACTACACGCTCGATGGGGTGACAACGCTATTACTGCTCCCAATGGTAGTGGTTGGAGTCAGCAATATCTCGAGGAAGACCAAATCCATGCCGCCTATCAGGCTCATGGAAGTCCCGATAGTCAAAAGACTTTGGTCAACAACTCTCCAGAATTGGGGCATGATTCCATCAGGACAAAGATCGAGAATATCCTCCAAGCCGTCGAGGACCAGAAATTTGCTGGTGTCCCTGTCATCAAGGAGGTTGATGGCCAAATCACCATAACCTTCTCCCTCGGGCCCTCCGCTCAACAACCGCAACAATCACATCAACAAAGGAGGCCATCTGCAGAGAACATTTATCCTTCTTATACCTATCCCACACCTGCCCAGTCGGAACGCGCCCCCAACACCGAGACACGCCATTTGTTCCCACCAATTTCGACCAATATTGATGAAGTTATCACGGTCGAAGCCCGCGATCTCGTGGATCCATATCGGACGACGTCTCCAATCGTACACACTCAATCTCCTGTTTATGACGATGTCTCTACCTTCTTCACAAGGGCAGCCTTTCCTGAGAAATCTTTTGGTCCTGTTCGGTTACCTCACATCCAGACAAATGTCCCCCAAAACAAATCACAACCAGCCTCTGCCATTTCGGTCTCAGTGTTGAGCCCCGTGCAAGAGAAATATAATGAACTGAGCGAATCCACCGGCAATACACCGTTGGATAATACCCCAATTGCTGCTCGAATTGCCGCTTCTATTCCAAGAGCCCCCTCCATTGCCGATGAGCTTGCGGATCTGGAGACTTTAACCCAGCGCCTAGAGAAGTTCAGAGATCCCGCATCTTCTCCACCCTCTCGAATCACAAGTCCCATCGATACTTCAGATTCTGATTTCGACAACCCCTTTCCTCGAAGTAGGGGTCCATCACGCTCTGCGTCACGGGGCCCGGGCATCTCCCGTCCTTCCTCGCGAGGACCAGGTATTGGCGAAGTAGCATACATGCGAGCTTCATCTCGGGGTCCTGCTGATCAGCCACGGAGCGAGTCCAGGAGTGGAATGGAAGGCCGACGCTCTGCTTCTCGAGAGACCTCTCGACGAGCTCAATCGGTGGAGCCTGTCCTTCGAAGCCACTCGGTGGAACCTATCAAACGGGCAATGAGTCGTGAACCCGCCCATCGCAGGTCTGAATCAAGGGGAGGTGACGACGATGATCGCCGACCTTCTCGGTCTCGCTCCCGCAACCCAAAACCACGCAGATCTGAATCTGTTGGGGACCAAAATTACCGACGAGCCGATTCAGTGGAGAGGAGTTTCCGCCACGTGGAAATTCTTGACCCAGCTGCCGACCGCGGCCCACGCGATGCAACACCCATTGGATATGCGAGATCCATGACTTCTGCTACTGCATATCACAAACGAGCCATGTCTCGTGATCAATTTGACCTAGGGCGGCGAACGGCCTCGCCATCAGCCACGAGCCGGAGGGCCGCCTCGCGTGGTGCCGGCGACAAACGACGCTTGTCTGGGGACTTCTCACGTCGAGCCGTGTCGGTCGACCCGATCCGACGGCACGCCACTCCGCAAGAAGACTTCACCCCGATTTCCCGACGTGGGACACCACTGGCCTTCCAAAACGGCCGGTTCGTCCCACTGGAGAATCCGGCATCGGACTCCAGTGCAGACGAGCACGACCCAGATCGGTCCCCGACGTCAGGCGACGACACGGGCATAGACACCGACGCAACCGACATCGAAACCGAAACCGACGACGCATACTACGAGTCTCGCAAGGAGTGGAACGGCCGTGCCGCCAACGGCGCCGACGGCAAGGGCTACTACGGCGACGTGGCCAACGAATACAAGGCCATCGCGAAAGATGTGGAAGCGGACCAGGCCGCCGTCACGGCCGGTGGCAAGATCGAGAAGCAAGTCGGCGGGATCAATATCGGAGGGCTGAAGCTCAACATCACGAAAGTCACAATGGACAAGTCGGACAAGGAGAGGGACAAAGAGTGGAAGAAGAACAACACTGTCAAGAAGCATTATGCTGGCCCAGATCTTGTGCCCAGTGAGGAGGAGGTCTGGGGGTAAACATCACATCACATTATGTACAGTGTATAGGTCTACTTTGTCAAGCGTTGGAATCTATCAGCCGTTTTTGGGTCCATGATCTCGCTTCACTAGAATGTTCATAGAGCCTGCCGCGACCCTGGGCGAAGGAAAAGGTTGGACCGGCCTGGACTGGGTGGGATTGTTTTGATGAAGGATGTCTGGCTGGCCATATAGCTCTACGAGGTAGATTTGGGGCGGGGGGGGGGGAAACTTCCGGAAGAGCGAAGGAGGTCCACGATCTGGATGAGGATCTGGCTACACCCAAATACTATAATACATTCATGAGATGATTCACCAGTCTTGGACCTCTGGTCGGGACTTTGATGTCAATGTCGAATGTCGATATCAGGCGCAAATTGAAACCGGGACTTCGCATGACGCCGTCCTCCCTTTTAAGGGCCCCCCACCAAATAATACCCAACAGAAAAACATCATGGAATTTTCCTCCTCCTCCCAGCTTCGCTCTCCTTCACAGCGCCCCTCTCAGCGACACCCCACAGCTCCCTCGGCGTGAACTCCCTCGACCATTTGGGGTAGCCCAGCGCGCCGGCGAAGGCACTCCCCAGGCCGTAGACGGCGTGGACGAGCGCGTACTTGAGCGAGAACGGCAGCCACCACGACGAGCCCAGGAAGGGGAGCAGGTCGACGTAGTTGTCGACGTGTGCGACGGTGCGCATGAGCTGGAGGATCGTCGATGGCCTGGCGAGCGAGGACGTCTGGACGGTGCGGAGCACGTTGTAGAAGAAGACGTGTTTGAACCCGTCGTCTGCAGCCGGGGGGCGGGTTTCTCTGCATTAGAGCTGTATGGAGTACACGATACTTTTTTCCAAGGTGGAAAGAAACGAGGATTGGAGAATCGTGTTTTGGAAACCACCTACCAGGCTCAGTGCACTCCTCGATGACCACGTCTCCTGCATCGGCACCAGGTTCGCCTTTGCGTCCTCTGTCCGCCCTCCCGAAGGTATGCACATCCCTCAGCCCGAACCTGACGCTTCCCTCGCCCACCCCCACTTCCCGCACCACTCCATTCACACTGACCCAGGCGCGACCCTGCACGACGCGCACGTTCTCGACGTATGCTTCGTGCCAATGCGGCCCGGGCTCCCACGCGCTTCCCGGTGGGATCGTGATCAGCGTCGAGTGCGGTGATGGGAACGTGAATGTCACTTGGTTCCCGAAGAGCTTGACGGTGATACTGGACTCGGGTGGTGCTTGGGACATTCGGGGAGGGACGGTTGGATTTTAGATTGGTGGATTCGAAGTCTTGCCCGTCCAAGGTGACGTGAGGCTGCTGATGCTCGCGAGATTTAAATGCGACTCAACTGAGTAAATGCTTGCTTCGTCTCGTGGCTAGGAATGTTCAGAGACCCCATCGATCGCAAAAAAGAAATGCAGCATTCTTTCTCGCAAGTCTTATGTAAGATATGACTGGACGTCTGGTTGCATGTCCAGTCCCAGTCAGGCTCTTCAATTGGAAGTGGGGTCGAGCTGAGAGGTAATATCGTGCCGAGAAGACATACAGTACTCCGTAGGCCGTGATGGGTTGCCTAAAAGTTTGCATGAGAGTTCCCATGGAGCCCGGCGGTCTACAGGATCTCCGCGCCGGATATCGGTTCGTCAGGCTTTCCAGTGAGGGGGACCCCCTCTCATGTGAGGAAACCCCGGATCTTGCGCAGCCCCGTAGGCCGAGTCCGTACCACCCAATATCGTCGTTTGCATGGGGTCCTATCCAGCCACGAGTGCTCGCTTCACGAGGGTGAATCGAGTGCGGCCAAGGTAATGACTCGTTGTGCGGTGCGGGTGGTTGACGACGTCATCTGAACTAGAATCCGGATTCCAATTCAGAGAACCAACCCCCCCGACAGAGAGCCTCGAAATCCATGCCATCATTGAAGGTGGACCATAACTCGTCAAGATATGACATGTCTGGCATCTGGTTCGCAGCATCCTTGAAGCCTTCGGTGGAAGCAATCGCAGTAATGTCGTCTCTAGAACTCAATTCATTATCAACATTCGTCGGCAGGGTTATCGGGCTACCCGTGGCCAAGCTCACGTCTGAAGATGTGAGTATTTGTTGGCGATCCGTGGTGTCAGTGCCTGGACGGTCCAGAAATGGGATGGTCAATTGATGCTTCTTCAGCGTCTTCAGTAGTGAGTCCAACAACTTTGCCGCCATAGGAGACTCTCTTCGTGCATGGGCGATAATTCTGCAGGCATGCACAAGCTCGGCCTTCCGTTCCTCATCTACGTGTTCGGATTGGCTATGGCCGTCTTGTGTCCCGTTTGGTTTGTTTGTCTTTGCGGTTGATCTCCTATTCAGGCATAAATCGAGTCCAAGAACCATCGTGGCCATGAAGATGCAGTATAAAACTCCGCTGAACTTCAGCCGAACTTTAGCGAAAGCGACATACTCGTGCTCCAAAGCCCGCTCTAACCGGATGATCAATCGCGCTGTATTCAGGCAGATTTCACGAGATGCAACATACTCTGCTGAGTTCTTCTCCCCCGCCGACGACATTTGCCCGAGGTACTGTAGATGAAACTTACAACGCTGAGCATGAAGCAGAGAATTTAGGATGTATCTCTGAATCACGATTCCAGGAGAAAATCGGTCGACTGTGTCCTCATTTGTTCCTGCCCCGGGCGTTTTGTACTCGTCCGGTCTTAGAAAATCAGGTAGCGTGTTGATGAAACCTTCAATTTTCGCATCAATGTCCATGATTCGCTCATGTGTCAAGCTGCGGTTGTTGAAAGGGGTAGAATTGGTGATTTCCAGACAGATATGCGCTAAACGAATACGTTGGAGGTTGTATGACATTTCTGTTGGCTCGGAGAGGGGTTTATCAATCTGGGAAAACTCCATGCCATCGAAAAGATCTTCATCGTCTGCGTGAAGGGGTTGCCGCACACACATGTGCAGTGGATTGACCGTGTGAATGCCCTCACACGGCCCAGGGTAACGAGTGAACATCCTAGAGTAAGTCAGCTCTGCTCATCTGTTCGAGGAAGTGGAATGGGAGCGCGGACCAGTCCGATGCGACTAGATACCACCATACTCGTCGTCCGATCTCAGCCTTGATGGAATCTCGTGGCGGGAGTGAGTTCAAATACTTGCGGTTGTCGTCGTCTATCAAGTGCAGTCCTAGCGACCTTGCCATCATGATCGCTTCCGAGAACAACGACCAGAATCTTCTGGACAAGCCTTCCAGATGGCTCACCACAAAAGACAATATAATCATTGCTTGAATTTCTTCCAGAGAAGCTGGACCGGATGATTTGCAATGAGCAAGTACCGAAAGAGTTGATGTGGTGAAGATGATGGCTTGAGAGTTTGCCGTAGGCATGTCTTGTGAATGAATTGCGCTTGTGAGTATGGCAAGAACTAAGGCCACCTTATCGGGGCCAAGGCTGGTGACATTTTGATTCGCAGAGCCTGGCTGGTGGTAGAGGTCTTCGACAAGCTGTCGGCCACTGGGGGCATGAATAATATGATGCATATGCGTCAAGTCATTCAAGTACTTGTCCAACAGAAGCTTCGCTTCGGAGTATTGAGGAAGCCATATGCATTTGGTCGGTTCACTCCAAGTACAAGATCCTGGATCGTTTGGCGGCAGGAATATGTATGACTGCGATTTTGTGATTTGCGAAATCGGACAAGCTTTGAATATCATTTCCTCGGGTATGAACAGGACCTGAGCAAGGCATCAGCATTGGTGTTAATCTTCGATGGATGGGATCATGCGGCTTGATGTGAACGAGTCGTCGGAGCGAGAGGGCGAAACATGAAACCAAGAATCACATACCTCACAGCACTGATCAACGCATTCCCTTTCAAGTAGTTCGGCATCCGTCGCGGACTGAGGCTCATTCCTCAATAGGTCCGCATGTATGCCTGTTTCGACTGGCGTAGGGTTGAGAGGCTTTCTTCCTGCCAGAGGATTCACGGGCTGCATAGAAGGTGCGGTGATGGAAGTATGGTTCAGTAAGGCTTGTTCAAGCCTCTCCAAGCGGTTCAAAATAGTTCGAGACTGGCCATCGTGAGGTTCTGAGACATTGCTCAACTCAACAACTCCAAGCTTGTTGGAAGCGCACGGCTGAGAGTCCGACGCATACAGGTGACAGGTGATATCTCTGGCAGAGCAATTCGAGCAAGGGCTTTCACGATTGCAGCGAAGCTTTCGAGTCCTGCAAAAGTGGCATGAGACAGGCCGCTGGCGTTGGTATGGTTGGTAGTGATATCCTTTCGAATTGCGCGGCATAGTCGTCGATGTTGCTGACTGTGCAGTTCCCGGAAATTGCAGAAGTTGAATCTCAAACTTCCACCAGACGTGGCCTGCGCTTAGTCCAGTTCTGTGGAGCATGCATTTTCAGTCGGCTCCCATACCTAAGCTGAACCAAATGAAAACAGGCAGAAAAAATGGGGAGAAAACACGTTTCAGTGGGAGAGAGGTGATGTCTGAAAACGTGTCGGCTGGAAGAGACCCCTGTAGATCCAACAGGATCCCTTGCCAGGAAGCCCTCACTGGCCAATCATGATACGCAATTTCCGCGGCTTTTCCGTGGACTTTTCTTCTAAGACGCGGACAATACCAGATTGAGTTGCTTTGGATTGATCACACTCAGGCCGCGATAATTATATTTATATTTAAAGGCGAGAAGATATGTCTTCTAAATGTCATGGAATGTGTCCCAGTATCTCACAGTACATTAGATATGGAAGCAATTATCGACCAGGTGCAAGCATTGGCGGCAAAGGCTGACGAGGCTGGTCGTGCCCGTCTCCTCGATGATCTTCGAGACCTTCAGGGTCGTGTTGAGTCACCTCAGGATACTTTCTTTAGACTATTGAACTCGGTACGCAAGTGTTTGATTTACTTGATGGACCACAAGGGCCTTGAGCTAACAGGGCGTCCAATATTAGCAACTCGAGCTCGCCGTTATCTATCTCGGATCGGAATTGGGTCTTTTCGCGGAACTTGCCAAAGATGGCACAGATGCCATCACAGCGACAGAGTTGGCAGGGCGTTTAGGGGCTTCTCCCGAGCTTCTCGGTAAGCCAAGAACCATGTAACCGCGTCTGCATATGCTGAGACGATGGTTCCCTGGAAAAGAAAGGATACTCCGATATCTTGCGTCAGTCGGGTACATGGAAAACACCGGGCCAAATCAGTACAAAGCCAATAAAGCAACTCACATGTGCGCACTTCCAATGATACGGCCGGGGCTGATTCACGCGTATGTCCTGCCCGCATTTGCAATGTTCCTGCTTGCTTCAAGAAACATGGTAGCACTGACCGACCATCGTAGGTTCGATATCATGGGTCCCGCCATTCAAGCATCGCCGTCCTTCTTTGCCGAGACAAAGTACCAGGACATCAGCAACACTCGAAATACGCCATTCCAAAAGGCATTCAAGACTGATCTTGCCGCATTCGAATGGATCTCGCAGCAACCGAGGCTGTTCACCACTATGCAACAAGTCATGACCATGATGCAAGGAAGCGAGTGGCTTGTTGAGTTCAAGACTCTGGACAACGCCGCACGCGCCTTAGAAGAAGAGAAGGCTCTGCAGGAAGAGTCTGAAAGACCCTTCTTCGTGGATGTCGGGGGTGGTCATGGCCACCAATTGGTGCAGTTGAGAGATAAGTATCCTCACCTCAAAGGCAGACTCGTCCTACAAGACCTCCCTGAAGCGGTGGAGAAACTCCCATCAATCGAAGGAGTGAAAACCGTTGCACACAGTTTCTTCGACAGGCAGGGCATCGAAGGCAAGCTATTGAACTGACCCTTTTGTTCTTCGTCCCACTGATTTTTTTCCAGGTGCTCAGTTCTACTACCTCCGCCATGTTCTGCATGACTGGCCTGATGCAGAATGCGTGAAGATTCTGCAGAATCTGGCCTCCGCTCTTCGCAGCGACTCCCACATCTTGATCGATGAGATTGTTCTTCCGGATGTGAATGCGCATTGGCAAGCGACAATGAGAGACGTGACCATGAACCTCATGTTTGGCGGGAAAGAGAGAACGAGGAGTCAGTGGACGTCCCTGGCTGAGCAGGCTGGGCTGCGAGTGCTTCAATTCCACAACTATAGCATATCTCAAGCCGAGTCGGTGGTTGTGTTGACGCGTCCATGAAACAGAAGGGGGGCTAGATGTTGCAAAGGGATTGTATTTTGAGACTCGCAGCTCGCTTCTTTGGGGATAAACCCAGGAACACCGTATGAAGAGACTCTGACTTGGAAACGAATTTGTTGTGAGTGTGTGGTTGAGTTCCAGAGGAGAACACAAGTGACTCTCCTGTGTCGGCCCCTTTGATCGCTTTCCAATGGATCGCACTTAAAATGGAAAAGGACAAAATTCGCTCACCAACGACACTCGTAGTTTCACCCTGCCAGGGACATCTCAGGCACAATGTCAATTGCGCGCCAGAACGCACGGGAGTCCAACTTGCGACCCAGGAGTTCCATATCTCTGGGCAGTGCTTTGACGTTTTGCTCGTCCATCAGCTCTAAGACCCAGCGACGGTACCTGGACTTTTCTTCTTGTTGATTGCCTTCGCCAGGCTCTCCATCCCCACCTTCTTTGGTCTCTGCTGAATCAATGTGGCCCATCCAATTCCACACCAACGTCCACCAATCGTACGAAACACCATCGGCGACGATCCATCTCCGACCGAAAAGCTGTGCGTGGCCGTCATCGACGGTACTCTTCTTGATAACACCGACTAGTCCTCTCGCCACATCCCGGCCATGGATGAGATGTAGGGCACCTTTACCAGCAAGCTGCTCCTTCGTCTTTGCAACACGACTGACCCAGTTCTTAGGCTGACGACCGCTTCCGTAAAGACCCGCCAAGTTCATGACACAGCCGCCTAGCTCGATAAGCTCCATCTCAGCAATAGCCCGGTCATTGGTCTCGTCGATCGGCGAGCTCTCATCGCTCCAGCCAGGATGTGTGTAGATGCCGGTGGAACCCAGCTGGATCCATCTCGGATCCCTCTCCTTAGAGATCACGGAGCTTGCTGTGTGGTCGTGGGTTTTGTGATACATCGAAAGCAACTTGGTAGAAAGACCACGTCCTCTCAGTGGGAAGGTGATCAGCACGAACTCCGCGTTTGGTAGTGTCTTGAATGGCTCCAGGTCATCAGAGTCTGGGTCCAACCTGAACGCGATTGTTTTGTCATGGCCGCTGGTGGTGGTTGCCGTGTACGTGATCGCCTCGGCTTCTAGCACTGGCTGCAGGAATTGATATGTCCATCCTGCTCCGAGGATGAGAAGAGTAACTTTGGGTCTGGCGCTGCACTCCATCTCGATTAAGCCTTGGTGGTTGAATGAGTCGTTCCTGCAAGTAATCCCAGATCGATCATATTGCACGCCTCCAAGCTCCTAACACGGTGGATTTGGGTGTAGGATTGAATGCCCGCGGGGAATATACATTACGTGGGTACCTGAGGAAGATGTGTATGTAAGCGTCATATGAAAAGCCTTGTCCTTCATCTTCCCCTTATATGATTTGCCACTCGCCGCTTTCCTCCTCGGCTCACTTGCTGCTCCCATCGCGTTCTCTAACTACAAGTTCGTTCTGCCCCCCGTGGAAGGATCTACTATCATTCTGTACTCGAGATCGTGTCAATTGTTGCATGTTTTCGGTCCTCCCTAGATCCTTGGAATTCACGACGATCAGAAGAAACCTGACTGTGGGACTTTATGCTGGTTGTTGTGTCATCATCTACCCTCTACATAAGCAATTAACGGCGCTATTAGATTGTTTGCGATAGCCTGCGAATTCCAGCTGAGCGGGAATGCCTTCTTCAAATCTCACTAGAACTATTGCGTCTTTGATCTGGGCCAGGCCAATTAAAGCAAGCCTTTAATTTACTATTGCCCCTTCCTTCTGTGAGGTTTCTGTAATCGAACCCAATGTGCAGGGCCTTCTGTGTATGCCTTGCGCTTTGGCATCAGCTCGATGCATACGTCGCAATTGCTCTGTGGATGTAAATTTGCTGAACGTCTAGAGAGCCTCTCGATATGCATCCCACAGAATCAGCTTGTTCTCCGCAATGGCTCCTTCTAGATCCCTGGCAACTAGGTCACCCACTGACTGCAGGCCTCCTTGTTTATGCCATCTCCATGGCTTAGATCAACTTGGACCGGGGATTCTCCTTCGGCGGCCGGTCAAAACGAAGCTGATAGCATTTGGGAAACACGAAATTCGACTGGAACCTCAGCTCATTATTTGAGCCTCAAAAAGTACCAAGCCCGTGCTGAGGCGATCTGAATTGCTGAGCAACCCGTGAGCTTTCACGCAGCTGAGTGTGCCATTCGCCATGATCCTAGCATGGGAGGTAGGGATGTTCGAGGTATTTACTATACCCGTGTTGATGCATCATAAATCAGCGCGCAGCGCCAAAGTCAAGTTTTTTCGCAACGCCTTTGAATTTGCTTTCATCGACGACAGCACCGGGAGCGGCCGTCTCAGCAGCGGCCATCTTCGATGCGCCGCCGCCTTGCCTAGGAAGATTTTCTTTATCCGTCGGTCTTGGGTCCACACTCCACCACTCATGCTCCAAAGCACCCCTGGCAGTCACTCGCTTTCTCGGATCCAATTTAAGCATTGCCATGAGCAGGTCGACACCGACTGACCCCGCTGTTGGGAACATTTGCATGTAGAATGCCTTGTCTCTCACCGGGACTTTTCTCTCTAGATCAAAATAGTCTCTGAGCTTCGAGACACCAGGCCAATTGTCCTCATTCGGTGTGCCTACTGCTTCACAGATTTTGTCGAGTTGAGCAATTGTGCCACCACCACTTGCTAACACTTGTTGATCTGCAACGTCTGCAGCAGCATAGGGGCGGCGGATGAGCAGCTCCGCGAATACCATTCCCACGCTCCAGACATCGACAGCGCCACCATATTGCCGTGCTCCAAAAAGAAGTTCTGGTGGCCGGTACCATAATGTGATGACGGCAGAAGTCATCTGATATCGTGGTTCGCCAAATGACCGAGCAAGACCAAAATCAGCGAGCTTGACTTCACCGTCGGCGGCAATGAGTAGATTGTTAGGTTTGATATCCCGGTGCAGGATGAAGTTGGAATGACAATAGTAAATCGCTCGGCACAGCATTCCCATCCACGCTTTTACATCGGCAGCACCATAACTGACGGACTTATCTCTAATAAGCTCCTCAAGGTTACCGTTAGAAAAGTACTCAATGACCATGTTAATATTTTGGTCCTTAGACGAGAAGACATCTAGCAGGGCGACGATGCTAGGGTGTGAGATTTCCTGAAGATACTTGATTTCTCGTATGGTGTCGACGTTGAGGCCTTCCTTTTGTTGCGATGGGTCGACCTTAAATTTCTTGATGGCGACGAGGACATTGGGATCTGACCTCAGATGTCCCTTATAGACAATAGCATAGGTACCTTCACCCAATTTCTTGCCTGAATTTAGGTGGTTAATCTTAGCCGTGTAAGATACGGAACTGGGGCTAGCAGACCTTTGACATATTTGCTGCTAATGTCTTCATTCATTTGCTCGGCCATATCGAAATCAGCCGCTGCCTTTCTGGGAGAGAGAGCCGCCGCTGGCTGTGACTTGGATATTGACTTCCGCATTGCGAGTGATTTGGCTCTCGATGGTGACAGATTTGCATTTAGATTTGAGGGTGATCGCGGCATGAGTGGCGATACCGCATATGAAGAGGGCGCCATTCTGATCGATGTCCCCAGCAGTTGGATTCTGCCCCTCGTGGCAGAGTGAGCAGTATTGCTCCGCTTCAAAGGATGCTTGTAGTCGGTCTGAAGGAAGGGTTTGTCTGAATGGGTTTCTTCTTCTTACATTTGAGCAATTATCGACCACCTCGTCGATTTTAGATGTCGGAGACGTACATGCAGTGATTGTAAGATTTCATGTACGGAGTTTTAAAGCAGCACTTATGAGGCAAGCGAGGATCGAAGGGACCTTCTCGCCTCTAGTTTGAGGAACGACCAGGTTCAACGGCTTGGCACCTAAAGCAATATAAAAGCTGCTCTGGGCACACCCTAATTGTACACGGTTCTAATGATACAGCCTCTGGCTCAGGCAACTCTATGCCGCATTTGATACAGATCGAAGACCGATGTACTGTCTCAATCGTTTCTCTTTAGTTTCCCTTCGTCCATTTGTAGACAAGCCCAACTGCCGTAAGACAGAAACAAATCCCTCGTCGTCCATATCCGAAATATCTTTTGGTTTTCCTGGAAAGTCTTCAATCGGGGTATTGGTTGATGGATTCAGTAGTGGTACAAGTCGATCAGAGGCTCTTGTAGCATAGGAATTCTGAACTCGGGCTATACTATTATGTTCACTATACAATTAGTACTTATTATTGTAGATTCGAAGAAAAACTTACTTTACGATAACTCGAGTAGTAAGAGCATCAATCTTATTGTCCAACCGAGTAAATCCTTGATTCATTTGAGTAGCGAGCTGCTCTACTTGAGTGGTGAGCCGCTGCATATGAGCAGTAAGCTGTGCCACTTGAGTGGTGAGCTGTGTAAGGGAATGTAGGATGGCATTGCCTTCAGCTAGGGCAGTTATGTTTCCAAGCTTCGCTAATTCCTCAGTGGCACTGTGGAGGTGTTGTACTAGCAGATTGGGATCTGGCTGCGGACCCAGTCCATTCGGGCTCGCCATGGTGTGATGGTTATGGCGATGAAGGCTGAGGCGAGCGAGACGGTGTTTTGTTTACTCAATCTTGGGGGGGCAGGAGGGGTAAGTCGCGAGCAGTTGAACCATTCCTTGGCATCAAAGCTTGGCGACAAATTCCGAGATGTTGCAGCTCCTCCGCAGCCTCGACTGCAAAGATTATTTGGCTGATTGACAACAACCTCGTCAACCAAAAACAGAAGGGCGAGAGGTCCATGTTCGAAACACTCTCATCGTCCGTTACCGTCTTAAATAATTCATAATTGCGAAAATGATCACGCGACAACCCCGAGCAAGCGCCTTCCTCCTCACCTCCTTCCTCAGACCCTCAGTATCTCTACCACAGTCCTACATCTGCACACCATGTCGACGTGAGCTTCACCGTGGCCTTCCCAAAGATGGTGAGATTCCAAAGCCGATCCCGTTTGTACCGGATGTACCAACCTTCCTCTCTTTGATTGGACGGGAGATGTCCAAGCACGCGAGCAAACTCCAGTCCTGGGATGAACTGTTTACACTCACATCGAGTCAGTTGAAGGAACGAGGGTTTGAGCCTCCGCGCACAAGGCGGTATCTTTTGAGATGGAGAGAAAAATATCGACGGGGGGAGTACGGCATTGGTGGTGATTTCAAGTATGTGAAGGATGGCGTTGCCGAACTACGAGTGGTCGAAGTCCCGTCGCTGGAGACAAAAGATGCAAGTGAGGAGCAAGTCACTATCACACGGACACCGGGAATGGAAAAGTTGGTTCTCAATGTGCCGAACGGGTCTGATACATACAAACTCGAGCCTGGGCAAACTACTGCAGATCTTAGAAAGGCCAAAGGATACAAAGTGAAGAACGGCTATATCGTGGTCGGGCAAGCGGCCAAGCCCATGAAGGGAACACACTTCAGCGGCGCTACTGTGGCGGCTTCAGAAGGTCTTTGGGAGCATAAGCGAGGGCACAAGGTCCATGGTGGTGAGAGACGGAGAGCAGAAGTCTTGCATAAGTTGAGGGTGGAAGCAAACAAAGCTGCAAGATGATCTGGTTGTCTCTGGTCCTACAGAGCATTAGCAGAGCAGCATCTAGCATATGTTGCCTGGCATAGTTCCATAGCTGCGTGTACTATATTTGTGTGAACGGGAGCAGGCCAAACCACTTTTTTCAGAGTTTTTTCTGGGGTGCATTATTAGTTAACCTTGTGGAAGTTAGAGAGATCACAGACGTCATCGTCAAATTCCAAGTGAAGCGATCCAGTCAACTCAAGACGATAAAATCAAAGCTGAAGGTGGAGATACCTTTACCGTTGCTTTCTCCAAGATGAATGCAGGCTGATTTGATATTCCCAGGGTCATCAATTTCGGGGGACAACGGGCACGGATGTCTGGAGAGGCACCTTGATTCACTGAAGGTGTTCAGGAATTAGGGACCGGCGCCCGTCATGTTCGACCCTACTATTAGTCTCATGTTTGAGCATTCATCGACATGAGGCAGGGATTGCAGTGACTCTGAAGTTGTTGTCTAGGGTTCCCTGTCTCAGGTCGAGAATCTAGTCAGTATAGAAGAAGATCCGTATAGAAGAGATTATAGAAGGACAACGACGTTGGCCCCAGACACGGTTCAAAACATGGACACTGACAACATCCATAATCCATTGCTCTTGCCTCTCATAGTCCGTCTGTGGTATCCACACTGCGTACGGAGTACTCGTACCATTGCTCTGCCAGCCGGAACGTGGGAGGCGCGACGACCGACGTGGCTTGAAGCTCCTCCATGTGGGCGGCGTGGGCTGTGTGCTCGGGGGCCACTCGCACTGTGATAACGGTGGAATAATCTTTTTGATTCTCGCAAACTGGCCCGGTGTCAAAATTGTCGAGCGAGGTGTTCACCTCGCTTGCTATTATTAAGTGATTATTCTCTCATGCGGCCCAGTAATATGGGCTCGTCTCTGGTCAAAAGAGCCAAATTTCATGGTTGGTCAAGGTTGGAAGTCTGAGAGTTTCGTTTGTGTCTCACCAATGTCTGGATATCCCGAGGTGGTGGGACCGAACACGATCTGGGCGATGATGAATTTGAAAGCGCCATCCATCAACACGTTCATTTCAAGGATTCGCCCTCAGGCCGAGCTCGACTCATAGCTACTCGTCCAGTACAGTAATCGTAGGTTCCGCTGGGGCCCATCTTGACGCGTACCTCACGGATGGCAAAGATGGTTAACGCCTCAAGAGGTCAGCTCCCTCCCGGCACCGCGATAGAAACACTCAGGTGTGGGATCCTGGATGGGATTAGGGTGGGACACTAACGATACCTTAAAATCTTGTAGGAGTAAAATCTCCGAATGATCTCTCTTTCCGGCTTGGCTTAGCGGGAGTCTCTTTCCAATTGAGACAGCACCACCAAGAGGTGTCTGCACTTGGGAGAGGTAATAGAAGTGATCACTTCATTTGATCGACCAGAGGCCTGGGAGTTGCACCGGGACAAGGAGCACCCAAGGAGATTTGTGACCCCTATTGCAACACTATTATTGCGGGGGAAAGACATTAGACAGGCATAAGGATATCTCGCCCTGACACCTGGGCGACAGGTTGACCAGGTACCATGCCTGCAAACCTCGCTTGCACTCTAGTGGAAGCAGTGGCTTGTGTATCAAATCCAGAGAGTCGGAATGAATCGCACGAAGAGGAAAATGATGATCCTTTGAAGAAGGTCGTTTGCGCGGGCGCATTCCATACTCCCGGGAGGGGTAGTGGAACTTACGAGTACGGAGCAAGACCAGATAGACTTTGGAGACCTGAACACGCTACATAAGCTAAGGAAGTTGGTTTGCTCGCCATCGCGGTCGAAATCGATAAGGGAAGGGAAGGATGAAAAAGGTGCAGCGGCCCGGGTCAAGCAGATGCCATTGAAAAGAGACTGGAAGGAGGATCCAATCTTCTCGCCATCACGCACCGCTAATCTGCTTTCTTTCCAGCACGACTCGTAGATGTTGAACTGGAGTGTGAGGCTGTCGACCCACCTGCACACGAATCCAGGGCATGCAGAAGCCATGAATGCAAAGCCACCTCCAGACGGGGTTACACATAAGACATCGCTATGTGCTGCACATACCTCGTAGGCATGTCCTCTGTCGACAGCAAAGGAGGTTCGTGTATCCTTCTTTTGGGTGAGCCCTCTGTCCGTCCTCAGTACCTTGAGCAGTTGGTACTCCGTACCGAGATGAGGTTGTTCTCGCTTGATGGGGACAGGCACACAAAGCTCCGTGCTAGGAGAGACTAAACAGTTAAGCACAGACATCGAGGCACCAGCGGCCGGGGAGATGCCCAGGTCGCAAGCCACCTGCATGCTGACAGGGGCCCCGATGCCCCTCGGGAGCGAGAAGCCCCGGCCACGGTATTAAAGGTGGACACAGGCTAGTCTCTGTAGGCCTCTGGGTGGTTCCGAGTCCCAGGATGCAATGTGCTTTAGCTTTTTCCTTCTCGTGCTGCCCTCTGATGACGAAGAGGAGCTTTAAATTTTCCAGTCGGATTTGTGCTCAAGTGAATGTTGCATTGTCCACCACTACGAGCCACAAACACGGGCGTCGGGCACGAGTACCTAGTACGGGTACTGGCACATGGCTCTTGCCCCGGATCATAGTTGTAGGGTAATGTCGAGAAACATGATCTAGGTACGAGGGAGTCGTGGACTCGTGGGTGGTCGCGTCTAGTCGCTTACCTGGAACGGAATGGGAGAAAGAATAGGCGAGTTCGCAGAAGGCGTGAGGATTTTTCGAGTGCATGAGCAAGTCAGGCACATGTGAGAGTGCGTACGGAGTAGTGAGTGTGAACGAGGGAGGGTGGTGCGGGCGTCGGTTCCGGGCAAAGACACCGCTGTTAGGCTAGACTTAGCTGTGATGATCACTGGCACTGCACCTGACATTTGAGTGATGGAGCAGGGGAACAGACGCTGCAGGCCAATTGTTGGGTTCTTGACGGGGCTCTTGGAGCTGCGAGTGACCCTTAGATGGCATGCGTGGAAAGTGGCTGCAGAGAAGTCGAACCAGGACGGGCAAATGGCAATAAACAAGGATGAGATGAAGTGGTTACTACTGATTAGCGTGCAATCTTGACAGAATTCTTTGGCGGCCGAGAACCCTCCACAACGCGTGAGAGCGGCGAGGTACGGAGTACCTACGGAGTCCTCGTACTCGTAGATTCTGGGGGGAATGCGAGGGTGCCGGGGGGGGCATATGCCTGTAATTCTCTCCTCGTAGTGCTCCCTGCTCCCCCTGGACGCGTTTGGCCTTGATCTGCGAGTCCCCAGAACAAAGACGGTTAAACAGTCAGGGCCAAGGGCCGCTTAGGCGTTTATGGCTCAGGCACTGAAGCTAAAGAACCCCCCGTCTAGCGCCACTGCATAAATCCCAGAGCCTAAAGCTAACTAAGGCTGCCAGGGTCTGCTTAACTAGCACCCACTGGACCGCCCTTGACAAGCGGATCGGACCTTTGAAAGGTTCGACGTCCTGGATTTCCCTGGTACGATCTCGCTCCCACGTCCCCCCCAAAATCCAAAATCCAAGGACCAAACACTGGCCCTGCACTGGCCCTTCCACTTGCACACTAAACTAAGCTACAACTGGCACCCGTGGTCCTCCTCGCGCACTGCGCCTTGTCCCACTCTGCCCGTCCCATCATCCACACCAGTACCAGCACTACCAGCACTACCATCCACCGTCCACTGTCAACCGTCCCTCTGTCAACTTCCAGTCAATATTCGAATATCACATTCATGTTGCTCTCCGCTCCTTCATCCAATTGCAGTCTTTAACTGCCCCAAGACCACGCCTGGCCCGACCTGTTCGTGCCCCAGAGCCACCATACCACATGCCCATCTACGCATGCCTCGAGGAACATCTCACCACCATCGCAGCAGCGTCGTTGTGATCACGAAGCATACTTCACACCATCAATCTCCTGCTCCCTTGGAGTTGCGACCGATTCCAGTCAGTCGATGCGTACATACTTCAGCGCACAGAAGACACACCCTTGGCCCTGCGGACAACTGTCTGACCTACCGCCTGCCGCTCCTTTAACTCGGGCTGTGCTACAGCACCACGCGCGTTTGTTCTCTCGCAGAACGTCATTGTTTCAGTAGGAGAGCACGAGAATCCATCTGTTCATTGCGACTTGCCTCCCACTGCAGATCGCTCAAAACAGATGAACCCCGCCTAAACCAGCTGCTCGACCTTGGCTCAACTCTGTGGTAGAGTATTCTCCAGTGTAAACAATACTGCTTCTTGCAGGACAACATTCGGCATCATGTCTCTACCCGTCGCCTCACGGCCTCTAGCCGATCCGCCAACAGGCGCACTACCTCCTATCCCCACAAGCAAGGCTCCCAGGAAGAGTCTACCGCAAACTCCATCAAGATTGAAGACTCCCTCAAGGCCTTCAGTGTTACCTACTCAACCAACTTATTCCACTCCTGACCTTTCCAAAGCCAATGAAAAGCCGTCGGGCATACCGTCGAAGCAAGTGCGAAAGACGGTCAGTATTGGCTCATTTCCACATCCCCCCACCGCATCCTCCCGACCTTCCACCTCGGCTTCAATGAACTCGACCACATCCAACAAAAAGCGAACGTCAAATGGCGATTCATATACCGCAAAGACCAGGAAGTCACCCCGAGCCAGTGCTGTCAATTCGGCCAGTTTTCGAAGCTCCCAAACCCCGAGCCTCTTGAACTCTGCTGGAGATGGAATGTCGATATCTGTTCGGGCTGGTCATCGCATATCTGACGCCCAGTCCAGTGTACATTCTCCTCCTCAAAGCAGGAGCTCCTCTGCTAATGGCTCTTACTCCACCAGCGCGACCACCATCGAGGAGGGCGATGAAGAAGGTCGCGGTCGGACCAAAGATTTGGATGACTTCCAGGTCGATTCCAAGCGGAACTCCAAAGGAAAGGAAGTTAAGGGCAATGTCATTGTCAGTGTCAGAGTCCGCCCTGATTCCAATACCCAGAACAACACTCAATCTGAGGGGGAATGGATGGTCGATGGTCGTCGTGCTCTTGTGGCCTACCGTGGCAAGGAAGGTGGAGATTATCACTACGATAATGTCTTCTCTCAGCATGACGATAATGCCAAGGTATACGACTCAGCTGCAAAGCGACTAGTGCGTCGTGTGATGGAGGGATATCATGGTACAGTCTTTGCTTATGGTATGACTGGCACCGGCAAGACATTCTCCATGCAAGGCACCATGACCAGCCCCGGCGTGATACCACTCGCCATCACCGATATCTTTTCGTATATCCGAGAAACTCCCCATCGAGAATTCTTGCTGCGTGTCAGTTACCTCGAGATTTACAATGAAAAGATCCACGATTTACTCGCCGCGCCGACTGCCGGCCAGCAGGAAGAGATTAAATTGAGGGAAGACAGCAAACGTGGAGTCTATGCCTCACCCTTGAAGGAAGAGATTGTGCAAAGTCCCACTCAACTGTTGCGGGTCATTCATCGCGGAGACATGTCGCGTCGTACTGGCAGCACGCAATTCAACTCTCGAAGCTCTCGAAGCCACGCCGTGGTTCAGATTGTGGTTGAAAGTCGAGAGAGAGTACCAGGATCCGGCGCCATGAATGAGAATGGAAAGAGAGTGGCGATGCTTCCTGGTGGAGTACGAGTGTCCACATTGAGCCTGATTGATCTTGCTGGTTCAGAGAGAGCAGCCGAGGACAAAGAGCGCCGTGCAGAGGGTGCTCACATCAACAAATCTTTGCTCACCCTGGGCACCGTTATTGCCAAGCTGTCAGGAAACAAAGATAAGAATGGCAATCCTACCGACAAAGACGGCAAACATCTGCCCTACCGTGACAGCAAGCTTACTAGATTGTTGCAGCCTGCTCTTTCAGGAAATTCTCTGGTCTCAATCTTGTGTACCATTCAAATTGGTGCTGGCCTGACGATGGCGGGAAACAACCACACGGGGGAGACGTTGAATACGCTGAAGTTCGCGGCTCGAGCGAAGAACAACATTGTCAGCCATGCGAAGAAAGCAGCAGAGGAAGTTGGAAATGGTGTCAGTGCTGGCCTGTTGGAACGATACCGAGGCGAAATCGCGACTCTTCGAGCACAACTAGAAGGTCAACAAAAGTCGGCGGTCGAGAAAGAAGAGAGGCAGCTGGAGAAGGAGGCCGAACAACGCCACGAAGAACAAATGTTGGAAATGCAACTGGCGAGAACAGCGCTCAAAGAACGTATCGAGCACTTGAACCGTTTAATCTTGTGCTCCAAATCGACTGGTGTCAACAGTGGCTCAGTATCCGCACTAGGCATGCATTCGCGACTTTCTGGAGGTACAGAATATGCAGGATCCCGTTCTGTACGCTCTTCCGCAAGCCAATCGACTCTTGGGGTCGGTTCGGGCTTGAAGCGACATCCGTCTGTGGTATCTCTGAGCGCTGTGCCTACGAATTCCGCGCATATGTCTACCTTCTCTGGAATCCCCGACGAAGACGAAGATGGGGAAGGTGGCTTCAGCGAAGGCAGAGCAACCTTGCAAGCCCAGGTTCGAGCACTGCAATCTGATCTTCAGGACAAAACGCGTTACATTGCAACACTGGAAAAGAGACTGCTCCAAGCACGCCGGTCCAGTCACTCTCGGGTGTCCATGGCCTTTAACAAGGGTGGCGGAGATGACAATGAGGTGCAGAGGAAACTGGATGAGAAAGACGCGATGATCTCCGACCTCCAGAAGACAGTGGCTGCGCTCCGATCTGCCGTTCGAAAGCGAGAAATTGCTGAGCTGACGCCGGAGATGTCATCCTCGGAATTCAAATCGAGTCGCAATCAAGCGAGTAGTCATCAGAGCACCAGTAGCAATGGGAGTGCTCAGGTAGTGACAGTGACGACCCAGCTGTCGTCAGCAGGTCCACGTTCGCCACTCACAGCCAGTCCAATAACACTCCTCTCGCCACAGAAGCCGATGGACAAGAAGAAAAAGACGATGGACGAAATGTCCAAGATGCTGGACGAAATGATCCAGGATAAAGTCGAGAACGGGCAATTAGCCAAAACTCGAAGTTCGTCTGTGCGAGTGCCATCTCGGTCATCATCCAACCCCAAACGGGAATCTCGACGAACGTCAAGTGCCGGCACTGGTGGGTTAGGAATAACGCGACCATCGCTGGGTACTATGGTCGCATCGCTACGGGATCGCGATTCGACCATCGAACCACGAAGTCCAAATTGAAACCAATAGCATTCATTTCAGAGGATTTTTAATTGTTATGAACGACGACACGACAGCTTTTCATTTTACCCGCGTTGATTTTCGAATACTCGCTCTGGACGCGTACTCCTCTGGAGGACACGCTGGAATTACAGGACAGGAAGTTATGGAGCACGATGGGATTGAGAACTACCAACTGATTCATTTCTTGAAGCTTGGACAGCATTGTGTTTGGCGCGGGTGACTGTCAACAGGGCCTGTTTTTTTCTCTTTCTCTTTTTGAGGTTTCGGTGGTGAAAGGCCTTGTTAATGTGATTTGAACATTCAGATTCCAGATACCCAGATAGAAGTGTAACCACTACCGCTGATGGCAAAGCAAAAATGAAGACAAAGACTGGCGACAGATCTTGGGGGTCTTTCGATCATGGTGTTTGCGGTGGACGGGGGCAACATGAAGGATTGATGATATGAGTATTTAGTCTGAAGCGGGTGATATAGTAACATACATGGTGCTGGCTCTCCGACAGCAAGTTGCCCATGAGGTGCCTTGTACTAGTCCAGCATAAGTGGGCACTGGGCACTGTGCACAGGGCACTTGGGGAGCAAGCCGCCCCTTGATATCCAAATAACACTTTTTGTTGAAGTCTAGCCATCATCGCGTATCCTGAACCTCACGGAGGCGCGAGGTACCCAGGATCTCGTACTGTATGTGCATAGAACTGGTATGTACGGAGTATGCTATCCGAGTTGTGATTCGGAACAACAAAGGAACCAGGGGCAGCTCCTTCCTCACTCCAGCCTTCGGGCTGCGGAGGCCTAGATATTCCGGAACCGACGCCCTAGCCTGATTCAGATTTCAGATTTCTCCTGCTGCTGTCGGTGTTTCAGAATTTGGCACCAACGGCACGCAAACAGCGCCGAACTGGACGGCATTGGAACGGATCGTCTTCCATCGCGGCCCCTGGACCTCTTGTGGTTCTTATCTAAACTGTTTTAAGATGTTCGCTTCGTGGCCTGCTTTTCGGACTGGTTGCCTTTGTGATGTTGTTGCATCTCTCTTACTTTGGGGGGACACGTCAAAGCTGCACTGCCTTTGCCTTTCGATGGAGCTGCTGTCCTTTTCAGCGCTCTTTGGAATTTTATGTGCATCGTATCCAGGCCGGGAGCTCTGTGATTTCAATCGGTTATTTCCTTATTACTGCTATTCTTACTCTTTTTCCCCCTGGTCCCTGAGCTCAAGAGACTTCTTTCATCATCGGTGGATCTTGCTGTGCATCATTTCCTCCACCCGAGTCTTGGGCTTGATGGCTCGGACCACCATCATCGACGGAGCCATGCTGTACACCACAAATCTGAATTTTTAAATGTTGAGTCCAAACCCTGACTCTTCCAGTTCTTCAATCCGAGCAACAAGCTGCCCTGCATTTGGCCATTGCTCTCAAGGGAGCCAGTCATCCAAAGCAACCCCCCCGGTCGACTTGACCATCTCCAGGGCACTTCTTTGTCGACTCTAAGAGCAGTGCTCACAGAAGGCCAACAAAAAGGAACAGACGCCCTAAAAGCTGTCTTTCTTTTCTATCTATTCCCCACCGTTCCTTGAAACGCTTATGCTGGACTCAGGCTATTTTGGTTTCATTGTTCCTCCATCCCTCACAGCGAAGCTTTGGTTGATACAATTTACGACACTGGATCTGTCGAATCTCCAATCTCGATTTCTGTGCCGCGTACGGTCCACCTTGGCTTCGATAGCCAAGTGCGTTCAATTGACTTCCCCATCTACCTCCATTCAGCCTACTGGATGAGGCTTTCACAATCGCAACATGAAAACAAGTCGTCGCACAACAAGATGCTGTTATCAAGTCGTTCAAGTCCCCCCAAGCCTTTGAAAATCACTGGCTCTGAGCGTTCTCAGTATCTCTCGGTCAAATACCTCCTTCCTCGAACGCCGATCCCATCACCATCATTGCCATCTATTCTTCCACGGCATGGCAAAAAACCACCAAAACTCAATTCACGGAGGATCGTCAGAAGCCTCTTCTGGCTCTCTGTAGTTATTGCACTCTGGTATCTCATTTCCATTGGCAATAAGACCACCAGCAGACTTTCCGACCTGACATTTTTGACGTCTATGGGCAAGACGTATGAGATCGTCGAGGCATTTGAGCTTCCAAATCATGCAACGCCGTTGTCCGTAACCGACAATGACGGCAGGCACTATTGGACAATCTCAATTCCCCCCAATTTGGGTTTCCCTCTGTCTCATGGTGATTATGTCGATATCTGCTCTCAGGTAGAAGATGTGGCACGCCACGTAGCTGGCTCTGGGTGGCAAGAGGAACAACACCTGGACTACTACCATCTCGAACGCAACTATATTGATGTCAAGGAGGCACAATCACGTCATTTCTTACCCCCTAGCATTGATACCTCTACCGCCCGTAATGCTCTCCCCATTTGCGAGAAGTCTTTGACCTATGTCCTCGATGACGCCGACCCAGGGCTTGGCTCCGCACTGATGGGAATGTGGCTCTCCTACTCTCTTGCACAACTGGAGAAACGGTCCTTTTTCATCGATGACACCCACTTTCCGTATGGAAGCTACTCCACCCTCTTCACAACCATGCCAGCCCCCAAATGTCGCCCACCACCGCCCGTCCAACGAGTGCCCTGTCCACATCAGGCAAATCATCTCGTCGTCTCCGCGGCCACAACCAGCTGGGTGTTTGGAGAAGCATTCCAAGAGACTTTCTCGCAGCGAGAGATCTTCGATATGGCCAGAAATGGCTACGAGGCACTGTTCCAATTGACCAAGGAGGACGACGACTACGTGCGCTCCCGAGCTCAGAAACTCAGAGTGAACGATGATGACACCGTGAATGGCCTTGTCGGCATTCACCTCCGCCGTGGGGATCGACACCCCTTCTCCTTTGCCTATCAGCTGGGCTACCTGCCTCCCGAGAGCTACCTCACCGCTGCTCGCAAACTCATTGGATATTCTTCACAGTGGAAGCTGCTCCTCGCCTCAGATGACGCAGACATGTACGACCACAACGAACTTCCAGGCACGATCAGGGCGCAAACCCGGATCTCGCTCGCAAGCAAGAAAAAACTCGCGACTGGGCTGGGCTGGGAAGGCGGCTTCTTCAAAGACGTCTTCTGGGGTCTGGGACTCCCTGAGCATGTGACGGCGCGGAAAGGCGCCAACGGGCCCAAACCTGCAATGGCCAAGCCACCTGACGACTCGCAGGACAACACCAAAGAAGTTGCAGCACAGAAGCCGACGACGGGGCTGGAGATAGGCCGGAATTACCGCACACACCCGACAAAAGAGGCACTGCAGCTCCGCGAGTTCCTAGGCCGAGCATACCTGCTGGACCTGGCGATGGTCGCGCAGAGCGACAAGGTCATCTGTGGCGTGAGCAGCTACGCGTGCCGGATTTTGGCCGTCATGTTGGGCTGGGAGCGCGCCTTTGAGCACGGCGACTGGACTAATGTCGATGGCAGCTTTGAGTGGAGGGCTATGGACCCTTGATTGGTGCCTAGCAATTGCTTCCTAGTTGCGATCTTTGCTCAATAATGATCAAAGTGAATAAGGTCGGAAACAAGCATAGGAGTGCCGAAGTGAGGACAGCTCCTCATATCAAGTTACAAGGGATGCCTGCCAGGCTTTGGCTTGGCTTTGGCTTGGCTGCAATATTTTGACAATCTAATATCCTGAGTAAACTAGCTAGTTGGTTGGAAATAGCCTAAGCAAGAGGTCCTACAACCCTGGCTCATGTCCATTAGTGGTTTTTCTCATGAACAAAAGAACAAGAAGGTCCCAATTCCAGTCCTGTATTCTTGACATCCTAACAGGGACCACAAGAAGGCCCTCTATGCTCTGCTATTCGAATCTCCGCTCGCCCGCCGGCAATGACGAATGCTGCTGCTCCGTGCAGAATTCTTCTCAATAATCGCCTCAAGCAAGCTGAGTTGGGTTTTTTCAATTGAAATTGTAGTGGAAATCTTTTTGACAATGCCGACCGTGTGCGCGCGTACGAGGGGCTTTTGTTGAATTCGGATTCGATTCTGGCCTGGCAAACCCTCCCAACCATCCATCGACAGACTAACAAACCACATACCACATACCGCATACCACCCCGGCATCAGATCCAGCCCACGCCGGGCTGGTAACGATGCCGATGCAGACGAGGAATATAAATCCTTTGTGTTGAGAACGGGTACGCGGCCCGGCTGTGTTGGCGTAGGCAGATGGTGGTGGGATTGGTGCAATCGTAGTTGCCGCGGAACCGCATCCAGATCACCTCACATGGCAGATGTTGTCTGTGGCGCATACAACGCACTTTTCTGACGGGAATCCACGTCTTGTGCGACCCGCAATTCGGGCAGAGCGTGCGGCGGCTGAAGCGGATGCACATCGCAGCGGTGTGCGTGGAAAGGATGGGTGGGCGACCGAGTCCGCGAGTATATCAATTGAATGGAAACCAATGTGTGATGGCGCACAGCTTGGTGAGTGAGTGAGTCCTAGTTGGGCACGTGTGAGTGGAGGTGGATTTCTCAAGGTATAGCTATAGCAAGACTAGGAGACCTTTTTGCCTCAGCCGGGCTGTTAAAAGAATGTGTCGCGCACGGATGATGCTGAGGTTTATCAGTGCTTTGTTATTCCATCGGAGAAGTTGAAAGGAGGGAGTCATAGTGAGACGGCAGGATATAAAGAAAGGAGTGAATGCTGCCTCTGTCGATAGCGACAACGGCGCCTGCTTCACTCTGCCCTGCCATTTGGTTTTGGCAGGTGCGTAGGCAGGTCCTTTGTAGTGCGCTCCACGAGGCTGGAGGCTGGAGGCTGTCGACTGTCGACTGCCCTGATCATGATGCTTTGGCCGGCTGCTGCCATGTCGTGGTTACGGGGTTCTTGGAGTATGCGAGATCCTCTCTTCGATAGTCCAATGCTATTTTCCTCAAATGCATGTCATCTTTGTCCTGCGCCACCCACATCGTGCCAAAGCCGTATGAGAAGAGGACGGGAGGACCTTCTCGAAGGCAGAGGAGTTGGTGATGACAAGATTGGAGAGGCACAGCGGTGTCACCGTCTCTCTTGTCCCACCTCATCCTTGCCTCTAAAAGACGCTCAAACCACAGCAGCCATATGCTTATCTTGCCTATGCATCCTGTCGTAAAGCTGTGTGCGCTCCTCGATCGCTAAGTCGTGGGTCGGCTAGAGTGCGCTTTTACTGCGGATATGTTTGCCTGCAAGGCTGGCATTCTGACTAAGCTATCGGCTACACGCCGTGACAAGGCCACCAATCACAGCAGACTGTACAGCCGGCGACTGACCTCGGTTCCAATGTTGTCTTCCAATGGCGTTGAACACGCAGGATCCCCCACCAGCGCATCGTAGCCGACAACTTCCCAGGTAGTAACGGCGGACAGGGGGGATATCCCCAGTAGAGACGCCTCGGGCAAACTAATGACTCCGTGGTCTTTTCTCTTGGAACCCACGTCGTGGCAGGCCGAAGCCAACCTCCGTTCTTCCTTTTCCTTCTCATCAATCAACTGTTTGGCCATCGGTTAGAGCGAAACTTGTTCTGGCTATCAGGGCTTGTTAAGGGGGAGATGGCAGGTAAGCTGCCCAGCAATTTCATACAATCAATCATAAGCTGGCTCTGATAGTTTTCTAGCTATATCACAAACGGCAGCTCTCGCAGCCCCAGCAGCTGTAGCTGGGCTGGCATATCTCAATGCCCGATGGAGAGTCTCTGTAGATGCCCAACTGATCGGTCACCTGGCCAAGACTCAAAAGGCCATGGAAAAGCGAGAGAAGGCAGATCGACTCAACTCCTTCTACCTCATCGAAGAGCATGCCCAGAACCCCAAGGTTAGGGACTGTATCTTCATCATCTATCAAGGCAAATCATGGACGTTCAAACAGACCTACGACATGGTGCTTCGGTATGCCGGATACTTACATTCCCAGCACGGGGTCCAGCAAGGTGAAATCATAGCTCTGGATTTCATGAACAGTCCTCAATTCATGTTTCTGGTCATGGCTCTATGGTCGCTCGGCGCGCTGCCAGCTTTCATCAACTACAATCTCACTTCGACCGCTTTCGTCCACAGTGTCCGAGTGTCGACTGCTCGTTTGCTGATCATTGACCCCGAAGTTGAGCCCAAGGCTTTGACTCCAGAGACGAGAGCAATCCTCGAGGCCCCCAATTTCAGGAACGATGCCTTCCCCCTCGAAATTGCCGTTTTGACACCGGGCCTCGAATCTTCCTTGTGTTATTACCCTCCATACCGCGCGCCAGACACAGCTCGGTCAGGAAATATCCAAAGGACGCCATGTGTCTTGATATATACCTCCGGGACCACAGGCTTACCCAAGGCTGCCAAGGTCCCTTGGGATCGCACAGTACGCGGGGCCGGGCTGGTAGGAGGATGGCTGCCGATTAACCCGGTCACGTCCAAGAACCCTGATCGTTATTACACTGCCATGCCTCTATACCATGGCTCAGCCTTCCAGCTATGCTTTCACACCTGCCTCTCTCGCCCAGCCACACTCGTCATCGGGCGCAAGTTCTCCGTCTCGAACTTTTGGAATGAAGTCGCCGCCTCTGAGGCCACGGCCATTCAATATGTTGGTGAAACTCTTCGCTACCTGATGGCCGCGCCTCCCCACCCCGACGACCGAACAAGACACAAAGTTAGGATCGCCTTCGGCAACGGTCTCCGCCCAGATGTCTGGGACCGCTTCCGGGACCGTTTCGGGGTCGAAACGATAGGCGAGTTCTACGGCGCGACCGAGTCCTCCGGCGCGACCTTCAACCTCAGCCGCAACACGTACTCCTCCGGCGCGATTGGCTCCATGGGTCTCATCGGGCAACTCCTCCTCGGCGCGACCCAGAGCATCGTTGAAATCGACTGGGAAACGGAAGAGCCGCGCCGCGACCCCGTCACAGGGTTCTGCATCAAAGTGCCCCGCGGGGAAGTCGGCGAGCTGCTCAATGTCATCGACCCGGCCGACATCGGCGCAAAATACCAAGGGTACCTGGGCAACGAGAAAGCTACGTCGTCGAAAATCATGCGCGACGTGCACAAAAAGGGCGACGCGTACTTCCGCACCGGAGACGCCATCCGCCTGGACAGCGAGGGCCGGTACTGGTTCTCCGACCGCATCGGCGACACGTTCCGCTGGCGCAGTGAGAACGTGTCGACGGCCGAAGTGGCGCAGGTACTGGGCGCGCACCCGTCCATCCTCGAGGCGAACGTCTACGGCATCGCGATCCCCAACCACGACGGCCGCGCCGGCTGTGCAGCCGTCATGCTGCGCGACGTCGACTCGCCCGACTCGCCCGTGCCGGCGTCCGTCCTCGAGAGCATCGCGACGTTTGCGCGCAACGGCCTGCCGAAGTTTGCCGTCCCCGTCTTCCTCCGCGTCGTCACGCAGGTCATGGCCACGGGGAACAACAAGCAGCAGAAACACGTACTGCGCAAAGAAGGCGCCGATCCCGCGCTCATCACGAATGGTGACAGGCTTTTCTACCTGCCACCGAAAGCGGACCAATTTGTCCCATTTGGGGCCGCCGAGTGGGCGGACCTCAGTGCTGGGAAGGTCAAGTTGTGATGGATGAATTCTTGGATCAGGCTTTTTGGGGAGTGGAAGAGGGGGGGGGGGAGAGAAGATGGGGAGGTTCAAAAGTAAGTAAAGGATGCTCTCTAGACCTAGATAGAGCAGATCGGTATCTCAGCCGTGCCGTGGCGCCGGAATGTGAATACACTGGAATACACTGGTTATGCAGCTCGTTTTATCACCCCAGGGCTTGTGCGTCTCGGTTCATATCGATCTGAAGAATAGCATAGCATCGGGTGAACTTCCAAGAGCGAGCATCCCAACATAACGACGCGTGGACATTAAACATATAGCTATATAAACTTAAAACCTGACATGACGGAGCTACATCGGCCCCTTAAAGGGCCCTTTGTGGACCAGATTCCAGATATGAGAAATTTTCGTTGCTCGCTGTGGTTGTGATCCCTCATACACTCACTATTCATTCCCTGTGTGTCGATTCCGTGTTCCGTTTGCTGCGTACCCATCTGTGAAGCCCACCCCTCGAGAAACTTCAATGCTTCAGTTCCGTCTTGAAAAGACCGTCGATTACAATTCCTCGGTAAACCGGCTCCCACCCCCGGCGCTGTGTCTACTTCCCACAGGACTGGCACTGCCCTTCTTCGCACCACTGGTCGGGCTCGTCACATCGACTAGTTCTGGCTTCAACTGTTGTGCCTTGGAGACATCGATGATTTTCGGCCGAGCGGCCAGTGCGCCTTCGTCGAAGGTGTCCCTTGCTTCTTCGAAGTCGTCTTCACCGTCATTCGTCGCTGTGTGTGCTAATGTCGGCGTCGTGGCCCCCGTGGCGGGTGTGTCCCCTGGTTCAGTTGACATCGTGGATGGTTCTTGCATCTTCTCGCGCAGAGGTTCCGTGTCATGAAGCATGGCCAAGTCAGGGTTCGCAGGTGGCGTGGACGACGCCTCATTCGCCCCCGGGGCGGCTGTGTGCTGTTCAAGATCAGATGACTTCGCTGGCTCGATGTCTGCACGCTCACCGATAGGCGCCACCGCTGCTGATGTAGGTGCTGCCTCGGTTGAGGCATGCTTCTGCTTGTCTTTGTCTCTTCCTGGAATGACCTTCTTCAAGAACCTTTCACGGAACCCCTTCCTTCCCCGAGGCTCGTCGTCCCAGTCCTCGACAGGGGCTGCTTGGTCTGCACCGGAGTTCCTTTTCGAATTGGTGTGTTCGGCCGAATACCTCGACGAAGCAACATCGGCTGCAATTACGTACGGGTCTTCGCTCAGACTGGATGAAACAGGACTAATGGATCGACTGCGCTGTTCGCTTGTTTGTGGTTCCTGCCCGACTGCATACGGGGCGGGCGACACTCCGTCCTTGGATTTATCCCCCGCACCGTACAAGTCATCTGTCTCATTGTCACTTTTGCCGGCAAGGGCAACATCACGGGCCGAATCAGATGAGGCCCGATCGACGTTTTCTTTTTCCTCTTTCTTTTCCTCTTCGTTTTCTTCTTCCTTCAACGTCTCGACAGCTTTTTCGGGTTCAGTCTCTGTTGATAATGTAGGTTTTTCCCCCATGTCGTTTTCAGCTTTGCTACCCGTCCTCAATTTCTTGAACCATGATTTCACTCTGGAGTCTTTCTTGGAAGGGGAGGTTGGTGAGGTAGGCGATGTGGGCTCTTGGGCTTGACCGATACCTGTTACAGGGGCAGTAGCAACCGCCTCCTTAGGGCCAATGTCATCGTCTGATAGACGCCTTGCATCATTTGGTCTCTGAGGGGACTTTTCATCGTCATTGTCGCTGTCATCATCGCTGTCAGCTGCAATGGCGTATGCAGCCTCGGCGGGATCCATTGTCGCTTGGTCGTGGAAAGTTCCCCCTCGGGCATCAACGCCTTCCGGGTCTTGGCTAGCCTGTGCACCTGTTCCAGGGGCGGCTGCGGCCACTGTCTTTGTGGCCGCTCCTCCTCCTTCACCTGTGGTCTCCGCAACGGCTGCACCGGCAGTGCCTCCAGCTACACCGGCAGTTGCTCCTCGTGACAAGAATGTTGAAAGTCGGCTGGGCTTGCTTGGTGTTGTCTGTATATTCTCCTCCTTTTCGGCTCGCTTGCGCTCCTTTTCGGCAGCAGCAGCCTCATCACGAGCCTTCTTCTCCGTGGCCTTTTGTTCGTTTCGGACCCGCCGCTCTTCGTGTTCTTGCTCTTGCCTGTGACGTTTCTCTTCCGCAAGCTTCGCTTTCGCTTCTGCTTTTTCACGATCTATCTGATGTTAGACAATAATACTAGCCATGGAGCAGAAATTAGTTACCTGCGATAGCTTTCTGCTCTGCTTTGATTTCAGCTTGTCGTTTCTTCTCCGCCGCAGCCTCTGCCTTGATTCGCTCTTGGTCCAGTCTGATTTCTTCGTCTCGGGCTCGTTGCTGCTCTGCCTTTTCGTTGATTTCATCTAGCGTTGGTTGGATGCGTGCCCTGGCAATCGCATCGATTTCTGATTGATCAAGATACTTTCCACCTCCGATGTTCACCTTACCCACATTCATGAGTCTGTCATCGCTCTCCCTTTGAGCTCGCTCTCGGGCTTGACGCTCCCACAGCTCTCGTTGATGGGGACTGGTCTTGCCTGTCTCTGAGAAGACTTTCTCATCCATTGCGTTGAGTCGAGCTGTTACATTCTTGTGCGCAGCTGCGAGCAGGGCATCTCGATCTGTTTGCCTCTTCTTGTCATCCACTTCGGCTAATTTACTCTGGAATATGGACATCTGTGCTCGAATTTGGCGGGATTGCTCTTCATCAGAGTCACTGCTGCTATTCCGACGAGGGCTGGGGCCACGGCGGGCGGGCCGTCTGAGGGACAGCCTTGATTGTTTTGGTGGCGGCTGGGCGCCGTAGTACTGTCTGTATTCAGCATTTTCGTCATGCATTCTTGAAAGTCGTTGATGAGCCAACTTCCGAGCAGCTTCTTCGAGGTTTTCGTATCTGGGAAGGTCTTGCGATTTGGAGGGCTGAGCAGCAGCATCGGAGAGGGCTCGCTGTCGAGCAGTATGTGCAGCGAAATGGCTGTCTGATCGGTGAATGCCCTTGGCAGAATCTATCTGTTCTTGCTGAATGGCGTACATTTTTCGGGCCATCGCGATTGCAGATGCGCGCAACGTGTCCTGTTTCTTCCTTTCCTCGACTTCGATTGCGACGGGTGGGTTGGAGGTATACATTTGTCGAGAAACATTGTTCTTGGCCATATTTTGGATGCGTGCGGCATCAAAGCCAGCAGTGCCCGGTGTCGAAGGTGAACCAGGACCAACACCCTTTTGTGAAGACAGGGCAGCCTTCTGTGCCCATCCTGCGTGGGGATTGGGGGATTGAGGTTGTGGCCGTATAGGAGCCGACTCAGCGCGCCTTCGACCGCCGGACAAGGACTTTCTGGCTGCGAGCAAAGCTTTTTCGCGGCCATCGGAAGAGACTGTTCTCTCGGTGATGGCAGGAGGCGACTTCTGATTTTGTAGAGCGGACGAAGCAGCGGAATGGCCATGCTCTGATTCAGAAGCCTTCCAAATATCCACGGGTGCAGCATCCTTGTGGGCGGCAGCAGCAGCCTGAGAACCGGCGCGGCTTGATTCGGGTTTCCAAATAGGATTCATCTCGTAGTCCTTTGCAACATTGGCAGCCCTATTTGCAGCGGGAATGGAACCAGGCTTCCAATGCTCGAAGGATCGTTTGTTCGAGTCTGCCAGGCTTGCAGCAGCGCCGGCTGAAGCCAACTGGACTCCACCGGTGGAAGGATAGGAAGGTAGGTCTTGGGCGCGAGCGTATTTCAGAGAGAGGGCGGCACCTATACTTGATTGTTAGTAGTCTGAGAGTCACAGAGGGAGGTGGACGTCATAGTGGTGAGGTGCAGTGGTGGTGCAACCAGCCAGGTGGGGGTTGCATACTGGCAGAAGATAGCCGACCGTCTTCGTCAAGAACCGAAGAGGTACTATGCTTTGAGGAAGTGTCTCTGAATGATTGTAGAGCTGCAGAAGCGGCTGTAGAATGGATGTCAGCGATTCTGTCTGGTAGCAGTGCCAGTTTGGGAGGAAACAGACCTTGTTGTTCAGGCCGATCGGTGTGGTGATGGTAGCTGGAGGACTGGGTTGGGGTGGCGGTGGCAGTGGTGGCCGACATGATGCGATCTTGGCCGCCGAGGGCCAGACTGAGGGGAGGGGGGGATGGGGCGAGGGCAGCGACGAAGCTATACAAAGTGCGCACACAACAGCCACAACATGGAAAATCAAGGTGTTGAAGGGACCAAAAGTGTCAAAAGTATCCAAAGTATCTAGAACGATAACATTGCTACAGACGAGAGCTACATCAATCAGTGGTAGTAAAAGGGAGCTAGGTAGAGTGCCACGGCAAAGCGACATGAGCAGCATGAGAATGGCGGATAGCTGGTCCTGGGGAGGCGTGGACTCGTGGGTGCGGGTGGTGAATCTGATCATGCAAGCTGTCTATGTCATCCGCTCCACATACGTCATGCAGAACTGAGGGATGGAACCACACAAGCAAGGCGTCGTCGGCTGATGGGGGCGTGGAGGGTGGACATCTGCCGCCCAGAGCAACAGATGGCACTGCGATGGTGGTAGTCTAGGCGCCGAGCTCCAGTTAAGAAACTCAATCGTCGCCCTAGACATGACAGTAATGTGTAGGGGCTCCTCGTACTATAAGGCCCCGCGGGCAGTGCGAGGGTGCCCGAAGTGCCTCCAGCCTCTGGACCTGCGCCGGGCCACCTTCCCACCAACAAAGCAGCATAGTATTCGGTGCTGTTCGATGGCCATGGTCCCTCGACTGACTCGCTGCTCTGCTTCTGGAGCGGCCCTCGCCTGTCCGTTATCTGGAAAGATCAAGGACCAGGGTTGACTGACATACAAATAGGGTACTCCGTGGCTCGCTCTGTCAGGAATAGCATGCTGGGCAGCATGTCATTACCTATGGATGATGTAATTAGGTCGTTCCTCATGGGGACTAGATGGGGACCAGGGAAGCATGGATCGGGGGGGTGGCATACCAGGGGCGCCGGTGCCCACTGGCCACTGGCCACTGCCCATACCCACCATAGCTCTCTATTGTACCTTGCCGCCTGGCAGCAACGCATCATGTACCAAATCTTAACTCGGTCGAGCCCCAACAACACCACCATCATCATCAGCATCATCATCATCACCACCAGCCCTCTGGTCGGCTGTTGTGATGATCGGAAACACGGCCATGAGCAACCAGATCGAATTCGAGAATCTGCTCAATTTCCGAGATGTGGGAGCTTTCATCAATGCAACAGTTGGGTCGCCGGTCTTGAAACCCGCCCTGCTGTTCAGAAGCGCCCGTCCCGATGAAGCCACACCCGCCGATCGACATCAACTGGTGGACCAACACCACATCAAAACAATCATTGACCTCCGCTCCAGCACAGAGCACATCAATGCTGCCAAAAAGCGCGGTGTAGACCAGTTCGCCGGCGCTGCAGCAGAAGCTGTCCAAATCCCGGGCATCCACTATGCAAACATCAATCTCAACGGGAAGGGGTTCGAACGCTATCTCGTCTGGCAATTGAAGTACCTGAGCTTGGCCAAGCTTGTTCTGCTCATGGCATTGGGATACCGCACACAGGGTATCTCGGTGCTTGGAAAAGAGTTGATGCTGCCTCGTGGTCTCGCCGGCCTGGGCATCGACACTCTCGACCACAGCGGTCCAGAAATCAAGGACTTCTTCCATGTTCTTGCCGACGAAAGCTCCTGGCCGATTCTGGTGCACTGTACCCAGGGCAAGGACCGCACTGGTATCACCGTCTTACTGACTCTCCTCTTGTGTGGCATTCCCATCCAGGCAATCACTAAGGATTATCTTTTATCCGAGGAGGAGTTGGAGCCCGAGAAAGAAGCCCGCATGGAGGAGATTGCGAGCATAGGGCTGGACGAGTCCTTTGCAGGGTGTCCTCCCGATTTTTGTGAAGTCGTAGTCCAGCACATCGACACCAAATATGGAGGTATCAGCAGTTACCTCCGAAGTGTTGGGGTTGAAGATAGCCAGCAAGACAGAATCAAGAAATTCCTCGGTTATGAATCAACGTCGCCTTGATGGCGCAGACACTACACCACGCCGTGCTTGCGGTCGTCCAAGACCTGAGCTGGCCCCTGACAGCGTCCTTCTGGGCTCGGAGATGCCATGACTTGACCAGGCTACCACTATCTCGAACAGATCGCCGATAGGAGTGGGCCAGGAGTGGGCCAAGGAAGACATTTACAACCGACGCCTACTGGGATGTGCAACTGAAGGAGATATCTGGTAGAGTCTCACCACTTGGCTCTTTCATCTTCGGGCCACTCATGGGCAGTACCCCAGATGTTGCCAAGGACACGGCCCTCATTCGGGAAATGGGGCTTGTGTTCAACACTTCGTCAGCATCAATCCTTGGTAGTCAGCAAGGAGCTGACAGGGGGGCCTTCTGCACTAGTAGTCTGTAATCCGGATCTGGTCAACTTCGTGCACGAGACTTTTGCGAGACTCAAGTCCCACCTCAGATGTACTCTATACTATCATGTACTAGTCGACTATAGTACATTCATAGTATCTTGCTGCCTATAACTGCCCTTTTTGCCAAGCTCTCGCATTGACGTCGCGAGATCTAGGAGTACTCGGTGTTATTACGGAGTACTTGAGTAGGGCATATATGTACCGCCCAGCCGCCCTGAGCTCTCTGATCTTCGCAGCATGTATAGAGTTGGAACGTGATGGTGTTGGAACGTGCTGTTCTGTGCAACATGGCCCTTGCTACATTACATGGTGGTAGAATTAGACATCGATTCTTGAAGAACCACCCAGTTTGGAATACTCCGTGGTTGTAGCCTGGGTGTCGTCGTACGTCTTCCCTGCCAGGATTCAAATCGTGGCGCTCGGGATCGACCCCGGTGGAGCCGGGTTGGAAGGATGGAATTCGCGAGGCATTTGAAGGATGCTTTACTCGTATGTACAGTACACCCTTGCAACATCCGCATTGCGTCAAGAGCCAAGAGTCAAGGCTCGGCTGCTCGGGATCCAAGCCATGACGTCAATCCAACATTCACACTCTTTTCTTGCATTGTTGCATTGATGCCTTTTTTGATGCCGTTCCCAAACGCGGAAATGCTTGTTCCTCCATTTGTGAATGCCGCACAAATGCATCCCGTACCTACATTCCAACAGCCCGCACCGAAACCATCCGCATCCCCCTGGTGGGTTGTCAGATCCTTCGCCCTCTGAGGCTTCTCGGGAGTGAGCTAGCGTCTGCACCATGGTTTGTCAGAAGTCAAACCAACTTCGCCCACGGACGGGATTCCGATCGGATCTCCACTACCGGACTTTATGCCTCATGTCTACCGAGTCCTGAGTCAGGTACTTGGTAGGCAGTAGGAAGACACTACCAGTATGTCCAATGTGCTCATTGAGCTGGCGACTACGTACTCCCACTGCCTTGCGCCTGAGTGTATCACAAACACCGCCCAACACGGCTCCGCGGATGAACTCTGATTTGAGGTTCTATCTCCGCAAGGATTCCCAGCAAAGCGGGTACCATTGTGCAGCACCGCATGTTGCATTGCCTCACAAGGGATGGTGTATGATGTAGTCGTCTCGGTGTTTGCTTTTCACTGTGTGTGCCACCGCAAGTCCTTTGCTTGTCACGACTCACGACGTTCATCTACGAACTTGATATACAACCCCTTCAGTCCGCCCATCCTGCTGTTTTTTCCTTTGGCTTACACACCATAAATTCCTGTACACTAGACACCTTGGACTATTCTTCATAAACCCTTCCACCACTTCACGCTTGAGGTTCCCTCTCTCCCTCTCTTCCTCTCTCGTGGTTCCCTCCCCACTTCCATACCTTGAGAGTCCTCCATCGCCTTAGCAATCACCCTTCACCTGGTCGTCCTGGGCGGACCATTCCTCCACACCCCGACATCAACATGTGGTATCTAGGAAGTTGGATCTTTCCCGTACTCTCAGCCTGCATGTAAGTCAGCCCTGTAGTAGGTCCTATCCACCACAGCGGCCAACCACTAACGAATCCTCCTCCAGGTGGCTAGCCATGCTCCTCGCAATGTTCATCCGGTGGGAAGTGATCGGACACCCGATCTACCCCTCGATGGAATCTGGGCAGACGATAGCCTACATCTCGGACGTGGGCGCCTACGGGCTCAAACCACTCTTCATTACCGGCAGCGTCATCACGACCGTCTCGCTGGACCTGGGCTTCATGGCCGAGCGCTGGCTGCGACACACCGGCCGCCTCGTGCCCAACACGTCCACCGCGCAGAAGGTCCTGTCCATGCTCGCCATCATCTCCGCCGTCGGGGGCTCCGCAGGCCTGATCCTCCTATCCATCTTCGACACGTACCGCCACCCGCATCTGCACGACGGCTTCCTCCTGCTGTTTCTCGGCGGCTACATCCTCTCCGCCATCTTCATCTGCGCGTCCTACCAGCGCCTGGGCATCCACTACCGCGAGCACCGCGTCCTGCGGATCAGCTTCTGGGTGAAGCTGGCCTTTATCCTGATCGAGCTGGCCCTGGCGGGTGTCTTCATCGGGACCTCGTTCACACACCACCGTAACATCGCCGCCGTCTTTGAGTGGATCGTTGCACTGGTCTTCACCGGCTATATCCTGAGCTTCTTGCTCGATCTGCTCCCCTCCGTCCGCAGCAGGTCGCACCAGCCTCAGGGCTGGAGGCACCAGACTGATGTCGAGAAGGCGAACCTGACCAATGGAAGCAATGCTTCAACCCCAGTCACCACCGACAGCCAGGGCCCCAACGCAGACGGCAGAGATCTCATCGGCCACGGCGCCTATCGTGGCACTGCCATGACCAACGGCCCTAACGCCCCCGCTGATCAGCAGGATCTAGGACGCCAGAAGAAATGGGGTGTCGGGAAATTCCGCTTTTGAGAAAAGCAAAGAACCAAACCTCATGTCTTTCAATTACTATTTTCTTTCCTTTTGCATTTCAAAATGTTGTTTTGGGACGTAAGAAAACACATGCCGTCATTGTAAGCATTGTTTGGCGCACTGAGCGATCTTTTACCGAATACATAATCGACAGGCCGTTAGGAATTTACATCATGAAGGGGGTGCCATACATGTACATAAACTCATGGAGGACGATGTGGAGAACTGATCAGATGTACAGTACTCATAAAGCTTAAATAGCATGACGAATGGAATGCCATGCCGAGTTGCATCGCCTTCAAAATATGGAATGTCGCCGAGCTCGCTCGATCAAATTTAAATGTGTGTCTTCCCTGCCCAGGGGCGGACTTGGACAAGTATTCCGGATGTGCTAATTCTGTTTTACATTCCTATGTATTTCTATGCAGGGGTGGGGTGGAAAGGCCGATGGGCGATGCCCATGCCCTCAATAGTTGTGTACTTCTTTCGCAAAAATACCTGGCACACCTTTGAGACAGAAGTCAATTGATTCGAGACGAATCCAATGCATATCTCGTGTGGAGAAGCACATCAAATAGAAACCCACCATGCAAACTCCACGAGACACCTCGCGCTTGGGCGTGTTTCCCTTTTGAAAAAGACGTAATGACGATGTTGGGTGATATGCTCACATGATCCTTCAACTGATGGCTCCACTCAAGATCTTGGAAGCAAGTTCACTCAGAACACGGGCTCTTTGACTCTGGTCAAGAGACTGAAAGACGGCATACACAGATTTGCCTTTGGCGTCTCTGATAGAGCCCATCTTACTACCGACAGCTGCGCCGGGGATGGCGCCAACAATGTCTCCCGCGATGAAGCCCAAGGCGAAACCAGAGATACCGCCGATGATGCTCCAGAATCTCCTGTTGGGCACCGTCGTGCCGCCTTCTCGGTCAGCCATGTCAGCTTCGCCCATCATCTCCTCAAAAGCGCCGCGGAACTGGTCATTGGCGAATGCGTCCTCTTGTGAGCCCTCGGCCTTGTTCCCGAACCCGAACATGTTGGCCCACGATGTCCCTCCTGCTGCAGGACGGCGGGGCACCTCTTCGTCGGCGAAGTCGTCGCCGTCGAATGCAGTAGATCCCGTGCCGCTGGAGTAGGCGCGGGCGTCGTCGTAGTCTCGCCGTCTGGTCGGCTCGGACAGGGTGTAGTATGCATCATTGATTTTTTGGAACATCTTGGTGCGTTTAGCTCTTTCTGGCGAATCGGATGGAACGCGGTCTGGGTGCCATTTCAGAGCCGCTCGCTTGTATGCCTTCTTGATGTCCTCGTTGGTCGCTGTAGAGGACACCTCTAGGACGGAATCTAGGATGTGGTGAGCAGCGAACCTGGCGATTTTGAATGGGGATGAGACTTACAGTAATCTGGGAGGTCCGCCATCTTAGTCAAGTTGCGTTCAACTTGGGTTGTTAGGGTGGTCAGGCAGAAGGAAGAATGAACGGCCTGCGTGTGGGGTTGCTCACAACCGTCCGTTTAGGAGGCCTTTTGATCAGGCACAGGGGGACTGAATTGTTGGATATATCTAGGAGGACAGATACCGATGGGAAGGAGACTGAGCAATTGGGATAGGTGTTCTGCCAGGAACCTCTGGACTTTTGCCTGCGTGCCTGATGATACGTTTAGACCCCAGAGATATATCAACTTTGATGACATCATAAGTACCGTGCCCTGTATCATCACGTGATGAATATATGATTCAGCAACAGCCACAGGGTGGCTCATCTGCTGTAGTCTATATAATTCTGAGACTAGCGCGTCTCGCAGCCAAGCCAGGTGTTTCCAGCCAACCACCCAGACTCTCCAAGCGGGACAGGGGTGTCGCAGCCTGATGCTGAGGGACCCCATTCTCCAGCCCAGCCACTCCAATTGCTTGCGGAGTTGTGTTTTTCTTGAAGGACAGTACGGAGTAACTATTTCCATGTGTCCCCCCCTGAAGATGTAGCATCTCTAAATCAGAATAGACGAGTGCATTCCAGTTGTCCGACGGTGTTGGAAGGCACACAAGAGAGACAGTGCGACTTACAGAAACCTCGGTGTACCCAAAAGACTCCAGACATCGCCCAAACTGAAAAAGGGCCCAATCGCTCTCCTCTCACTATCTGCTATCCACAGGCGCCGTGAGAAAACCTGTCACTGTACCACGAGTGTCAAGCTTAGGACACCGGCTGGTCTATGAGCTTGCCTTGAGCCAGAGAAGCTATCCAATACCACCTCCTCCTCTCCCTGCCCTCGAACCCTCTCCGCCTCGCGGGATCGCTCGACCAGTCAAGCATGGGATTCTGGAACGACGGGATCCGCTCCCGCAGCCGGAGCCGATCACCATCACGACGCTCACACGCAGGAGGCTACTATGCCTCCCGACCCTCCTACTCACGAAGCGCGTCGTCCTTCTTTTCCCTCGGCGGCGGCAGCCGCTCGTCGCGCAACGGTGGGCACTCATCACGCGCCCGCCCGCGGTCTGGCTTCATCAACCGCATCCGCCATTTCCTGCGCCAGATATACGAGTACATGCGCCGGCACCCCGTCAAGGTGTTTTTCCTGGTCATCATGCCGCTGATCACGGGCGGCGCTCTCACGAAGATCCTCGCCCAGTTTGGCGTTCGTTTGCCCAGGGGTCTGGAAAATCTGGCTGGTGGACAGAGAAACCAGGCGGAGCGGTTCTATGCCAGAGGTGGCGCAAGGGATTTCCCCGGCGGATCTGCCCTACCAGGCATGGGTGGTGGCATGGGTGAGAGCATCGGTTCGTTGATGAGCATTGCGAAAATGTTCATGTAATGTGCTATATATCTACTCCGTGGGTGCATGACAGTGGGAGAACATCAAATTTGAGACGAACGTAAACGAATGCTTATGAACTCGCTTCTTTCCATTTTCAAGGCCTTTCTATTTTGATCGCCAATGTAATCGTACAGTCTCATAACTCCCGTGCAATGCGTCTGTCGCTCGAAGTAGCTTATTTCTTCCCCTTCTTGCCCCTTTTCTTCGCGTTGGGAACATTGGCAATCTCATTCTCGATGCCAGTCGAGTCAACAATCTCAAATCCTGAGTCGGAGATCTGGCTTGCACTCAGATCCGAGCCGCCAGGTGGCGTGGCTTTACCGGACACAACAACTTCTGGGGTCGCCCTTGGTTGGTGCACTTCTTCCGAATGTAGAGATTCTCTGCTGGGGATTGGCTCGGTGTTTTTCAGGAAAGGGTCAAATGCCTTGCGAAAAAGCCAGACAGGGAAGCGAACTACCGCTGTATCTCGGAAGGTAGGTCTCGGAATTTCATCGAGGTCAAGGAGATATTCTTGGGTCTCTCCGTCTTCATCCTCTTCCTCAAGAAACACATTTCCCTCTGAATCCACGACCAGAATCTTGCCGTTCTCCGCAGTGACACGTCGTCGGTCTCCCGTATTGGATGAGGCTGGGACAGGCGCAGGCCTGGCAGGCTTGGTCTTGGTAGATTTGTCTTTTTTGTTTTGTCTCTCCATTTCTCTCTTCTGCCGCCGGTTTAGATTGGCCATCGGATCAGCCTCGGGCTCGGTGTGAGTTTGAGGAACATCCACGGGTTGGCCAATTGCAGCAAGACCACTGATTCCGGATTCGTCACCCCAGGCGGTCTTTCGTGCATGTTTGATATACCTCTCCATGAATTCTCGCTGTCGCTTATAACTGGTGATCAAGACAAAGTAGTGGGCGGCGCCACCCACAACCAGGAATAATCCTGTCAAGACAGTACCAAGACCAGGTCTGTATCTTGAGTAGTAGTAACCAGTACCACGCCAAGTAGGAAAGCCATGTTGGAGGAAGAAATCATATCTCTCTCTTTCTGGGCCTTTGAGAATATTGGCAACTACTCCTAGTCTTTGGTATCTTTCGGTGGCTTGTTTGAGGAACTTTTGGAGCTCTCGGTCGGAAGGACCCTTGGAGACATGGACGGCGGGTTTCTTCTTCTCACCGGGCTTCTGAGTCGGCTTCGAGGTAGAGCGAGAGGCAACAAAGGAGTGTTTGGCTTTATCAGGGTGGAGGGCGCGTGATTTCTTGCGAAAGGCTTTACTGATTTCATCTACGGTCGAGGAGGATTTGACACCAAGAAAGTCGTAGAAAGTCACGCCTTGACCTTCAGAAGCATCCACCTCATCCTTGAGTTTGAATATTTCGTAATCCTCCTTAGACCAGGCAGCAACCAGACACAGGAGGGTGCAGAGGGTGAGGAAGTGCAGGATTCGCGGCCTCATCTTCAACCTCGACCCCCACCCAAGCAGGAGAAAAGGACCAAAAACGGAATGTCCGAGATAAGTAAGATAGAATCCCGAGGTGGAAGGGAGGGTAAAGAAGAATGAGGCAGTGGGCAGATGCGGGATGTAGAAAACGGTGGTGCGATGGTGCCCGAGAAAAAACGTGGAGCCAATGAACAAGGTACAGGACAGAGACGCAGGCCCAAATGGGGGATGGGGCAATGGGTGTTGGTGGTGATGGAGATGGACCAGGCGTGGCGAGCGGCCACCTGTGCATTTGGCACTGGCAGAGTTGCAAACTCGCTGTACTCGCACGAGTAGGACACGGAGTAATTAGTACGGAGTAGTACTGGGCTGAAAGCGCACCCGCAGTCACTTCACGTTCGGGAGAGAAAGTGTATTAGTTACCTGATCAAATGGTGGCTCCTTCCCCGCGGGCGGCTTGCTGGCAGGCTGGTAGGCAGGCAGGCCCTCTTTTTCCGCTTTTCTATTATCTTCTCTGCGTTTTCCTTCCCTTTCTCTTCTCCTCCCTTCCTACAGACCAAACACACAAAACGTCAGGTCAATGATACTCACCAACCCTTGAGCCTGCAGCGGGCAGGGCGAGGGAGCAGAAGGTGAGAAAGTGTCTGTGCTGTACCTTGTACACTGTGCCTGTGCCTGTCTCAGGTACCCACACATTCGAAATCACCTTCAAATATCCAAAATTGGGTGTGGCTGAGGACGAGTTCCTAGGCGGTGCGAAGCGAGAAACGAAGCCTGGCACCAGAACCAGAAACCACTGAACCAGATCCCCAGGGCTGGTCTGATCGCTTTGAGTGGTGCCTGTCAGATCGTCCAATTCCAAGTTCTCAGTTCCCACAGGGGCCAGGGCCCTCCCGGCACCCCCGCCGCCGCTTAAAGTCGCCCCTCCAGAGCACCAGAGAGGCAAAGAGACTCTCCCTCTAAGTCCTAAACCGTCACTAAAGTCAGCTCAGCCAAATCCGGGACAACGACAGCCCCCCTTACGGCACAATCAGTCTCCCAGAGATTTCACAAGCCATAGGGGTAAACGTAACCACCACCCCCGTCCCAACCAAAAAATTCCACCTTCTCAGCTTTCGAGGAACCATCGTTGCCTGTCCCCATCTCATCCATCCTTTGTCTTCATAACTATACATTGGTGTCTCTTTGACGCATCCACTCACTCGTTCCAGAATTCACTTCTGCCACCTTCATTGCAACATCGCAACCTCTTTCCGAATTCAACCAAAACCTGTTACTACTAGTAGTATGCAACTCCAACCGCCCTGCCTGCGCATCTTCGACTACCTGTCATGGTCATAATCGCTGACTTGTATCTAGAAACATAACCTTCTTTAATCTTCCCACTCACCTTCATATCTCACCTTCCAGATCACCAAAAATGGCAAGAATCAGCATTCCTCTCGACGCCATCACGTCGCGTCTCAATCTCTCCGATCGCTTCAGCAGTGTCCGATCTCAGTCGATCGCCTCCAGGTTTGCTAACATCAAACCCATCTCCGAGTTCCTAGACCTCAAGAGATTGTCAAAGCCCAACAACTTTGGCGAGGTTCAGAGTCGTGTCAACTACAACCTCTCTCATTTCTCTTCCAACTATGCCGTCGTTTTTGTCATGCTCAGTGTCTACAGCCTCCTTACCAATCTTTGGCTCCTTTTCGATATCATCCTTGTTGTGGGTGGCATGTGGGCTATTGGCAAACTCGGTGGCAACGATCTTGAGATAGGCACTCTCCGAGTCACTTCGTCCCAGCTCTACACTGGCCTCGCCTGTATCGCTGTCCCCGTGGCTTTCATTTCTTCTCCCATCACCACCTTTTTGTGGTTGATTGGCGCTACAGGCGTCACCATTCTCGGGCATGCTTCCCTCATGGATAGACCTATCGAGAATGCTTTTTCCGAGGAGGCGGTCTAGGTGGTCGGCCGCGAACTCCTTACGATTTGCCCCCTTGGGGAAGACCACCAGGGGGACGACCGGGGAGGAGGAACGACAGACAACGCGATCTCCGGCGGTCGTGGGCGTATGATGATCGTGTGGAAGAACTCGATACTGATGATGACATTTCACAAGGTGTAGAGCTCGACCAAGATTACGGTGATAAACGATTTGTTTCAGATGAGCTTCGATTTACTGGGATAGACTTGGGAAGTGGCGGACTTCGCCGACGGCGTTCAGGTGACAAGTACAATGATTTTACTCCTTCAGAAGATGAAGATGACTACAACCCAAACTCAAGTCTGGTCCCTCGACAAGAACTACAAATGGTGTACAAGGACAAAGAGGATATGCTTGTGGAGAGAGCTCTGGAGAGAATTGCACGTGCCAGGGCGCTGGGTAAGGCCAACGTCAAGTTGAGTCGAGCTGAAATTGATGCTTTGGATCGATCAGAGCGGAACCAGAACCCACCTCGGTCCTCAGCAGCCCCACAGATGGTTGCCCCCAAGAGCAAGAAAGAGGCCCCTATAAAGCGCAAGCCTGTCGAGGTACGTAAAATGACGGGCAGGAATGACAACAAATCGGCCAGCAATTCTCCAAGGCGCAAACCCTTTGAAACTCGGGACCGTGGGCCAAGTATTGCATCTAATACCTCTAGCCGCGGAGAGCGGGAGGACCCTGTGGCGGCATACCAGGGGTATCCTGTCGACCAGGAATATAGCCATGTTGGCCGCCGTCTTCCTTATCCTCAAGGCCATTACTTTGCTGTCCCACGGCACGCTGAATCCTCACGTCAAGGCCACCGAACCAACTCCACACAATCGCTTCGGCAACAGCAACAATTGCAGCAGCAGATACAACAAGCTCCCCCTTATCAGCATCCTTATTTCGCCACCCGTTATGCTTCAAACCCAGATGCGATTTACTCGCAGAGGCCCGGGTCCAACTCTTCTCGTGCTTCGCGACCTGATCCTTCGGAACCAGATTGGGAACCTCGAGCTCGATCCACCTCTAGTCTAGTAAATGTGCCCCTGGACCAATTGCCTTATCAGACAAGTACGTCGAGGGCACCTCGCTTTGACCCTTCTGACCCTCGCTATGCATCTCCGCAGCGACGTGTTGCCTCGGGACCTCCTTTGGCACATCAACATTCACCTGTCACCTACCGTCGCCCACAAGATGAACTCTTTCTACCCAATGATTCTGACGACGTCATGCGATATCTCGCTCCAAGTGGATCGGAGCAGGAAGATGACGACGACGATAGCGATTATGACGAAGGTGTTCAAGTTGATGTCTCCGAGCGACCAGGAGGAGATTACGCGATACAGACTCGAAGTGCAACAGCATCTAATACAGGCAATAAAGGAAAGAATGGGACCAGCAAAAAGGCAGCTGGCAAAGCTCGAAGGCGATAGATGTTCTCAAGATACTCAAGCAGAAAAGGGATGTCGTGTCCAGCTCTGATCGGCTGTGCTTAGATTTTGCGTAATGTTTAACGGTATTGAATCAATTGCATCTGCTCAAGCGTCCTCATCCGCCATGTAGTCTCATTGGCGCATGTCTCCGCCTGTAAGCTCTTTCACCACTGCATTATTTTAAATAGCAACTGGCCCGGGCACTTGTTAGGATCCTTGTATGGATGAAGGTGCGGGAATCACAAGTCTAGGCTCAGGGCACGTGTGTTCTTCTGATGGCTCTGGCTCTATTACAAACTAGACGCATTGCATTTCCGGTACGACGTCTACAGAAAGGAGCATTACGCAGATCGTCGTCGATCTCGCTCATCAAGGGCAGTCAGGTGGACACTCAGCCTTGTTGAGGCACATGACCATTGGTATCAGGTGTTTGATCACATGACAGCGGCTGAGGCGCAATGCCTGCAACAATTGACAGGCCTTTCACGTGATAACGCGGGCTCTAGTCAAGGTCATCAGGCATACTTACTCGTATGAACTGCGAGGCTTTGATCGCCTTTATTATTTTACCCCTTACGCGAACACCACAAGTATTCAAGGTATTCACGTCCCCACATCTACCACATGATTGACAGGCACTCATAATTCTTCTTTTGAGCCGAAAACTGCCGTCTTTGCAAAACATACTATTGTTCCTTAAGTCAAAGCCGCGGTTTGAGCTTCGAGATCTCGGTCTAGATACCACACAGTGCTTATTACTGCGCATGAGTCAACCTCGATATAGTGGTAGATATGTAATCTTGCGCCTCAGGCCTTGTGGCGCGGAATGAAATACATCATTCCCTCGTACTTAAGTTGCAGAACATGTCGATCTGAGCGATATGAGTGAACTCTGTTGCACTTTTGAAATCAAGGTTAAGTCGGCTCGTCGATCTTTTTGGTCGGTGGGTGGCGAGGTCAGCAGACCGAACGGGTGACGGGATTGGTCGGGATTCCTTATTAGATGATGCATTCGCTTTGACTAGCCAAGCCTCGCGAGTCGCTATTCGCTCTTTGCTAACAACCGGGCGTGTGCCCGAAACTTCGACTTGCGGACGACCAGGTACGAGTATTCCGTACACTGTGGCCCCTTAACTGCTTAGGGCTGAGGAGGACGCCGGTACCGAATCATCCAGGAGATACCAACCGCTGGGATTCGCAGATTCTACACGACTTTGGACATTGAGTCTGCTCAATTTGCACTCCCTTTTCCACTACTAATGCCTCATGATGGTCATCTCCCGCGCGAAAGTCGCTCAATCCTTGAATCTACTGGTCTCAATGCCATGGCTCCTCCAGAGTCTCTACCCTTCTGGTATCCCGGCATTACCGCTACCACAAGAACCCGACTCTTCTGATTCGTACGTCAGGCCAAGGCACGTGGGTGCTCGATCACAGCGGAACACACCGTACCTGGCTCCATCAAAGGCCTGGGCCAGACTCTGACAAAGATGTATGGCACCCTGTCCCAACACGACGGAGCGAATGTTCCATGCGGACCAGGATCATTCTCTGGACTTCTAGAATGGCTATATTAATGGCACGGCATGGCCGGCGATCTGGCGGCGAAGCACCCTGCCCTTATATTCCCAGTCTCAGCCCTGCTTCCTGATCTTCGCTTATAACCCTCCGCTTGGACGTGTGGAAGCCTCGCTACTTGTGCCTGGCATAAGTGGCATAAGTCCCTCTCTAAGCCTTACTTCTCCAATGAAGGACTTCAACCAGATAAACGCGAGACATCTCATGACTGAAGTGGTGGACCATTAAACAGTGGCGTCAGTCCATTGAAGGAGGACTATTCTGCATCCAAAGACCTTCCACTGTCTTACAGTCTGCCCTTCTAGGTCACAACTATATCTTCACTTCACCATACATGTCAGCCAGTGGTGAACCTCCCCTCGAGGACGATTCATCGAGGGACGAACAAGCTCTGAGGAACGATCCAGGGGACACACGCCCCCCTAACATCATTGAATTTGTCGACAGTCAAGACCCAAATGTCAGAAGTGCCATACAGAGGCATACCGCATATCACTCTGCAGCTCAAAGACGAGACGCACGATCAAGGCTGTTGCGACGGTCCAGCCAAAGCCGGTATCTAGAATGGGGAAGACGTCCTCCGCGAGGGGATGGCGACACCACGACAACCTCATCCGCCAGTAGCGCAAGTATATCACCTGCACCGTCAACAGAGAGGCCCCGGCAGGATCGAACATCAAGCAACCAGACAGACCAAGAGTCCGAGACGTCTCAAAGCCGAGCAGCTTCGATTACGGAGATCGAAGCGCCTCTCCCTTCCTCGAAGTCGATCCCAGAAGGTGATGCAATCATGGAATTCTGTAAGTACTATGCAGGGATCAAGAAATCACCATACTGTATGAAACCTGAGCCCATTAGTGATACAAGTAAACAGCATGCTAACAGCTGCCAATTCTAGTTTCCAGTACAATTTGCCACCATAGCACCTCCAGAGGCGCCCTTGACGCGGCGGTAGCATTTATGCTTGACCATGAAGCACCTCGACATCTCCTTCTGGCATACGCGTATGCCATGCGGTGGAAATTACACGCCAGTCCAGAGACCGTACAAGACCAGGTAGATGCACAATCACATCTCAGCCAAGGGACGAACGCACTGCGGAATCGACTACGGCTGTCTGGACACACGAGTAGCGATGCAGTTATCCAGGCAGTTCTTCTCTTGCTGGTTTACACTGCAGATTTCGGGCAGACGAATGAGGTCCGACTGCATGAAGATGCTCTCCGGGCCATGTTGACTCAACGTGGTGGAATTAATGCATTTGCCCACAATCCGACATTGCAGCAGCAGCTATGGGCGATTGAGACGTCTCGGGCTTTTCATCTCACCTTTGGATGCGAGATTACCTGTACAAGCTCACTGAGATTTCCGGACGGACTACGGTTACGGCCTGCGGCGCAGGATGACTAAGTTTATGGCTAGGTTTTCCTCTTTGTTCCTAAGGCTCTTCTTCTTTCGGTTTCAGGGTTTACGAGTAAAAATTAGCTATCAGGCAGACTCGTCACATGTACAACAATCAATGGAGCATACATAGCGATCTGGGTGTTGGATTCTTTGAGCATTGAATTGCTCCTGTTATTTTGGAGTTGGATTGATGTAGTCATGGGACGGGCATCCATGAAATCTTCAAGGTCACTGGACGCTGGACGCTGGACACAAGCGTCCGCAATTTTTATGACGATTCAGACCATTGAATCTGGAGGATTACTCACTCAAAGGAGCACAGCCTCACAGGAGGCTCATCTGTTCCTGGATGCATTGTCCGCTGAGATAGAACTTCTGAGGGCAGGGGCTGTCCCAACCAAGCGATTAGTTCTATCATAATCTAATCATGGATTCAGCTATGGGTTTCAGTCTATCAACACAATTTCTGCGTGATACTGTCACAAGGGTGAAAGAATGGACGACAAGGGTCGTCGACTTATCGCGTGGCAGCGAATAACATACACGAACCGACTAACCAACAACAGCCAACTATTTCCGATGCGAATGTTCGCTCCCACACCAAGAATCTCTATATTCCAATGGATATCCCTCTTGTGTAAGCGAGATGCAGCCTTCTCAATCCAATGCCCAGCTTGAACATTAGCAGACACAGGTCTCCATGCATACGTATTTGATATGTTTTCTTACAGTACAATGTTATTTGGCATATTGACGATTGAAGCCAAGGTCTGTCAGCCTTCAGCTACACCATCGCTTCCAGCATGATGCAAGCCCTTGTAGGGGAAAGGGGGAATTGCAACCTCATTTTAGATGAAAGAGGCAGCTGCATGGAAGCTGAACTTGAATGTTTTACCTCTGGAATAGAGGGCCTTGGAGGCGTTCATGGTATAAATATGTGTGCTCAGACACACTTTCATCCAGCGCCCCAGCAACATCGGTACTTCAGAATTAATTCCCTGGGCTCATTTGGCTTTACGGGTTATTGTCTTATCACTCTCATCGAACTCTTCGGATTTCCTGCTCGTTTACAAGTGTAAAGATGGCTCAACACGGCGAAGAGCAAGTGCTCCCGCCGCCAACTCCCCTACATCTCTTGGTCAGCGACGAGGCAATGGCAGCCCAGTTTCAAAACGTCTTAAACCAAATTTCCGACCCTAATAGTGCGGCTGACGCAAAGCATGCTCAGAATCTTCCAGACTACAGGGTATGGGAGGACAAAGGTCTCCAGATGAAAGGCAAAGCACCAGAGAAAGCGGTTGAGAAAGTACCTGGCGCGCTCATTGCGCCTCAGGTTAGATTGCTCATGGCAGGCCTCCCGCAGGAGGATATCGAGAAGATAGTCCAGAAAGTCATGAACTACAAGAATCTGGGCCAAATCTTCCCGTCTGAGAAAGGTCGTGTGGACAACAACACACCAGAACAAAACTACCAGGCCAGTTTGACGACTGGCAGGAAGGTCCTCGCAGCTATTGATGCCGCCACTGTCGCGACTCCGACTGAGCAAGAACTCAAAGCGTTCAAAGACCAGATGACCCGTATATTCCTGAGCCTTTACAACGTTGATTTTGTGGCCCCAAACAAGGATGGCTCGGTTCCGATCAGAGTAACAGGAAATAGCAGCAAGGACGGGAGCTCATTAGCGAATACTTACAACACCGCTACCGGATCTGTTACGGCTCAGAGCAATTATCAAAAACAATACGGACTCCGTGACCCGATGAAATGGTCAGATGTTGTCTTCGAGACCTACAACCAACTCAAAGCGATGGCGGATCGGCAAGGCATTCCTACCCAACAAATCAGCGAGGTTCGGAGATTGTTAATTGTGAACATACAAACCATTGATACGTTGGCAAGGGTATACAAAGATCATGCAGGCCGCTTGAGGAGGAACGCTCATGACAGCACGCTTGTTGATTGGACACCTGAGGATGGGGATGCCTTTGCCGCCATCCTTGGTACTCCGAACGGGGCTGGAGCGGGTTGGCTGCTTGCCGACCATTATGAAGAGCTGGGAGGAAAGAAATTGGCCTCAATCACAACATACGTAGACGAGGACTTGCCACGCTCCGGGTTTGCATCGATCATTGTCAAATATGCTTGATTAGAAGCTGCCGAAGGTGCCTGCACTCGGCACTATATGTTGGAGGTTGCATATTAAACGGGTATGGTGTTCTGGGAGTGGAAAGCGCTGATACAACCTTGTCGCCCTTTTCGCTCTGTTTCTCGTTTAATGATAGCTGTACTATTGGGTGACCATGGGGTGACCATGGGGTGCCATGATCTGAAGAGGTGCTTACATATACAAAAGCCACGTGACCTTTCAAAGAGGGGAGAAGACATGTGATGTGACGTTGCGCAGATTGTGCCTGCGGGTGCCTGGGTCTGCATAATTGGCAAGTGCAGTGCCTCCACCAGCCACCGGCTGAACTTGCGCCTGCCAACAATTTCACTCCCCCACGATGCCAATTCATCACCACCACCGCTGCACCACCACGACTCCTCTACCATTCCGACCACTGCAGTTCGTGCCTATCCATTCACACCTGCAACCTGCCACCTTACCCTGATTAGGTAGACGAGGACAGCTTGTTTTTATCTTGCCAACAGCTACTACTTTCTGTTTCTCCTTTGGCCAGCAGCGTTGAACACCCTCTCCTCAACTCTTCACCGTTGAGCTTGTGGTTCCCTCCCACCCTGCAACCTTGTCCCTCATACATCCCTCCGCACAATCAACCCCAGCCTTCCACCACCACCGCCGCCAGCAGCAGCAGCAGCAGCAGCTCCTACACATTTGGGTGGCCTCACTGCTTTCTTGTCGCTGTGATCGGACAAAACATACCTTCAAGATGTCGGGTGAAGCGTGGTTATATCTGCTCTCCGTCTTGATAAATGCCGTCAATCTCTTCCTGCAGGTCTTCTTCACTATCATGTACAGCGATCTAGAATGGTGAGTGGTACATTCCATTATCACAACAGACGGGTGCTTACTTATCCTCAACAGTGACTATATCAACCCAATCGACCTCTGCAACCGCCTCAACACCTACATTGTCCCAGAAGCCGCTGTTCACGCATTCTTGACCTTCCTCTTCCTCATCAACGGATACTGGCTGGCTATTTTACTGAATTTACCTCTGCTAGCCTTCAATGCAAAGAAGTGAGTTGACATACCTCCAGTTCCAAGATTTACAAGGACTGTGACTGACAAGCTTCGTAAATGCAGGATCTTTGAGAATCAACATCTGCTCGATGCTACCGAAATCTTCCGAAAATTAAATGTGCACAAGAAGGTGGGAGGCTCCAAATAAACGATACATGACTCTCAAATTCACATACTGACTTTGAATCTTCCAGGAATCCTTTATCAAGCTCGGCTTCCATCTTATCATGTTCTTCTTCTATCTCTACAGCATGATCGTCGCACTCATTCGAGACGAATCGAACTGACTGCGCGGTCGAGTCGCCCATGCAATGGAGCACGGAAGCTATGCCTAGGATGAGCGTCGGCCCTTGATGCGCCTCAGATCGCTTTCCGCGCAAGACACTCCATTCTTCTGGGATACCAGAAGTCGCGGAATTATGGCGTCAAAGGAACTCCAGAAGCGAATTTATTGGTGGAATATGAACGATCGACTTGGCCTCTACGATTTTCCCCCGCGGAAGCAGGCAGTCAAACCGAGCAGGAGGACATGATAGCACAGCAGAAAGGTCGGCGGACGGGGTGGTATTGGTCGCGACCTAGCACAATGTTCTCGTTATTACCCAAGAGAATGAGAACCGGATCCCATCGCTCTTGTATGGCAGTGGATGTTTTGATATCGCTTTCCTGTTTTCTTCTCATCCACAGCCTGAAAGCGGAAGAACATTGGAAGAGGTCTGTTCAAGGTCTTGCGCAGATATTAAAAGAGCGGACTGATATGATTGATGTATTGATGTTTGGATAGCGCATTTTCGAAAGAGGGGAACCATGAACGGCAATTTGCGATCAAGGCCCCGTTCGTGCAAAGGATGACCCTTAGAGTTACAATACCTACGTATGCCTAGCCTATCTTCTGTGGTAAATCTTAATGAGTATGACAAGAATAGAACTTGACCCCAACCTGCAGACACTGAATGATTGACTTCTCCCATACAACTGTGGCTGTCCGCTTCGAAAGTGACCCTCTCCCTGATTCATTCTCGCTTGCACCCAACAAGCGGCGCCTCTCCCCTGCAAGACGGACGGCATCCATCTCATCCACGACCTGTTAGGATTCCCTATCCAAGACACCACCACCATCGCCGTTCAACGAATCGATGATCACCTGCATGGCCTCGCCGCCTGGACCTAGCACGAACGTCACCGCCGACGGCGCCTCCGGAGCTTCCACCACCGCGCGCATCACGTATACGTTGCTATCCCAGTATGTCAGTGGTAAGGACCTGCTGCCGATGTCTAGCGTCAGGTTGCGGTTCGAGGTGGAGTCCGTGGCGGTGATGTTGACGCGCCCGACGTAGTCGTTGCTGTACACGCCGGCGTAGACGGCTGGGCCAGGGAGGGGACCCCCGCTGCTATTGCCAGAGGACGAGGGCGAGACATCAAAACCCGGATCCGTCCCAGAGATCTGCATGTTCAGCTCGTTGTACAGCGGGTCCCAGAAGCCTAGCCAGTCCCTTGTCTCGTTGCCGTGATACACCCAGTCCATGAACGCAAACGCAACCGCGTCTGGCGTGCCTGTTGGGAAACAGTTTGAGAGGACCACGATGCCCAACCCGTCCGCTATGTTCAGGCGCGCGATGCTTCGTGTTCCCGACGAGAAGGCACCGGCGTGCCCGATGAAGATCCGTCCTGAGTTTGGGGCTTCGTAGTCCACCGTCCAGCCTAGCCCGTAGTACCCCGGCATCCCCGTGGCGGGATCAAGCCCGCGCACGATCTGTGGCTGGTGCGCGTAGAGTATGTTGGTGGAGTTGATGACCGCTTCACCATTGTATGTCCCGTTTCCTAGCACTAGACGCAGCCATTGTGCAAGATCGAGAACGTTGGATGTCACGCCTCCTGCGGGAGCCTGGGCGTCTGGGTCTCGGAGTGGAGCTTTGATGTATGGCTCGGTCAAATTCGCATCCGTTATGTTGGGAGGCAGGACGTGCAAAGATGCGCGGTTGCTTTCTTGCATGAAATCTGCGTTGAGTGAGCTCGTCGAGCTCATGTTACACCGCTCGTATAATCGTGATTTGGCTAAGTCCTCCCAGGAGCCCCCAGCAGCGGACGCCGCAGCCTCGGCGCCGCAGGTCACGCCATAGTTGCTGTACTGGTATGCGACTCGGAATGATCCAGTCGGGGCCAGGTATTTCAGCTTGGGCAAGATCTCCGAGCGGTTGTAGCCGAAGGTCTCAATGTCATCGCCCGCGCCGCCGTAGAGGCCACTGCGATGGCAGAAGAAGTCCTCGACCGTCACCTCTCGCGTGATCCAGGGGTCAGACAGTTCAATCAGCGGGTCGAGGTCATTTGCGTGTGACGTCCACTTCAGGTAGCCGTCACTGACCAGCCCAGCAACTATGGTCGATGAGATGGATTTGGAGAGGGAGGCCAACTGATAGACTGTCTCTGGCGTAACTGACTCGTTGCTTCCAACTGTGCGGATGCCAAACGCGTTGGAGTAGACGACAGAGTCATTGTAGACCACTGCCGCGGCTATGCTAGGTACACCTGTTTGAGTAAGAACTGTTTGAATGTAATCATCTAATCTGTCCACAGCATTGCGCACGTCTGTCTCGTTGATGGCTTCCACCGAGTGGATAATGAATGTGAAGAAATACACGAATAGCAGAAGCGGATGGACTGCTGCTAATGGGCTCATCATTTTTTAGGCTTAGTGGACCATGATTTGCGTAGACAAAGAGTGTATGATGCGGCTCACAAGAAGGGAAGAGGAAAGCTGTGGAAGACCATTGCGGTATCCCATGATATACTATTGGCAACCCTGGAGCAGTACTCACTGGCGGACAGACGAGTCCGCTAGACCTCGAGAGCATTCTCAGTGGGGAAGTTCCTACCTCGGTGGTGTTTTACACTTCGGGTTTCTGAACATGGTCCTAGCTTCCTCGTATTTGGCCAGATTCGGTACCGGGAAGCTGAACAAGAGTTTGCAGAAATGAGGGTTATCTGATAGTGTGCGCACCAACATTATTTCACCAAATGAGGGAGCTCAAAAGAGAACCTGAGTTTTGGCCGTGGTGAGCTTTGAGCGTGGCTGAGGAAGCCGCCACAGAGAGTGGCTGATGGGAAGTTCTTGCTGACCATGTTTCCTTACATTGTCTCTGCTGATTCTGAGAATGAGAAGTTGCCTAGACTTAGACAAGCCTTGGGATGGTGTGAAGCTACTCGTTGGTACTTTCAACATAGGGCATAGTTAGACAGAAGAAGGCATCAGACGTTGAAGTTGAGTGCTCGAGAGGATATCAAGGAAGTAGCGAACTCTGGACACGAGGAAGGTGCAACACAGAAAGAATGACCGTTTACGTAATCGACTAATCAATCACGTGGTTTGACCTTTTCCCTGGCTGCACAATTTCTAGTCTCGAACCTGACTTGCATCATAGCCTGGGGGTAGGTCCTATTAGTTTTATGTTTGGTCCAACTCGTCAAAATCGACCGGTCATTCAACCAGTCGCCAACATATCGAGATGTCCGGTCTACTAGGCCTTGCCTACGACTCTAGCGACGATGAAATTGCGCCCGCAAACCCCATATCAGCACTTCCCAAGCCTGTGAAGGCTGCCCCAGATGTATCAATAGAGGTTTGGTCTCTACTTTTAGTACGAAGCCTTGGTCGGTCTGACGTTGACCAGGACTCGTCGCAATTGCAAATAGCACTTGCGAATCCTTCGAGTACCACCTTGGCATATAATGTCACCTACGACAACCTCGCTCGACCTACAGAGGGTCCAATAAATCCATTCAAATCCACCTCTGGAAATGCATTGAAACGCAAGAATGTCCTGACGGGCAACGCTGAAGAGACCACCATGTCGGAGGCCACGTTCAAGACGCAGCATAGGACTTTCCAAAGTCTGGGTTACACGAAAGATCCCAGCGTCAATGGCGCATTCGTGGGGGATCAAGCTGCGATTGCGAAGTATGGTGGACGGGATGTTGTCCAACTACGACACTCCAAAGGGGATAGTGCAGCCATTCGAGCGAAGCGGCAAAAGAAGGGTGATAGCAGCGTCGTCGATGGCGAAGGAGCATATCTAGGACCCTGGGCGAAGTATACAAGTGACGACGTCGCATACGAGCAGGCAGAAGCTGCTGCGGATCAGGAACTCGCCTCGGATGAAGAGTGGGTGGAGGAAGGTATAGTGCCTACTCCATTGCCCGCACCGCCAAAGGAAGCAACCGGATATGGAGAAGACTCTACCGTTACAGAAACCACGCAGTTCCATGGCGCCTCAGAGTTCGATTACCAAGGGCGAACCTATATGCATGTTCCTCAAGATCTCGACATCGACCTTCACAAGGAACCAGGGTCACAACAAAACTATGTGCCCAAGAAACTTATACATGTCTACAAATATCACACCAAGCCCATTACTTCCCTCCGCTTCATTCCACGATCATCACATCTTCTGTTATCATCTGCCGCTGATGGCAAAATTGCTTTGTGGGATGCCCACCATGACAGGGCGCTGCTAAGGACGTTCTCCGGCCACAGCAAATCCGTCACTGACACTGATTTCCATCCTACTGGACGCACATTCCTTTCCGCATCTTATGACCGCCAAATGAAATTGTGGGATACGGAAACAGGAAAATGTCTATCACGCTTTACCACTGGGAAAACACCCCACACGCTTCGTTTCCATCCAGAAGGCAATGAGTTTATTGCAGGCATGTCGGACAAAAAGATTGTTCAGTTTGATACCCGGAATGGAGAGTTGACCCAGGAATATGACCATCATCTGGGCCCAATCAACACATTGACCTTTGTGGACGAGGGAAGAAGGTTCATTTCCACCTCGGACGACAAGTCTCTAAGAGCGTGGGAATTTGGAATCCCCGTGCCTATCAAATTCATCGCCGATCCATCCATGTACGCCCTCGTCCGCTCAGCACCACACCCTAGTGGGAAATATGTTGCCTTCCAGAGCGCCGATAACCAGATTGTTGTTTACGCTGCAGGTGACAAGTTCCGACAGAATCGTAAGAAGGGATTCCGTGGCATGAATACTTCAGGGTATGCTATCGATGTGGCCATTAGTCCAGATGGAGGTATCATTGCATCCGGCGATACCGGGGGATTTGTGTGCTTCTGGGACTGGAAGACCGGTAAAATGTGGCACAAGGTTCAAGCTGGAGGAGAAGGATCTGGTGCCGTTACATGCGTTGCCTGGCACGGCCAAGAGACAAGTAAAGTTGCTACTGGTGGCCTTGACGGCATCATCAGATACTGGGATTGAAGAAAACAAAGCATATTTCAAGTGCCTTACATCCTTTCACGGGCACTTACTCTCAGGGAAACCATTGACGATATGTCACACAGCTCGAGAGCGTCAGAGAATCAAGAAACTCAAGGTGGCCATCTGTCCTCAGGCCTAGTGTTCACTGATTAAAGCAACAATTGGATGCCTGTGGCCGAAGCCTCTTCTAGTCGCCTCCCCATATTCGGAGCAGCATAGTCATCCAACTGTGGCTGCTTTCCAGACTGCTCTGGGGGGAGCGGGGAGAGAAGCTCAGAACAGTTGCCCTCGAGGAGGCGAGGCTGTACAATAAATCTTTCATCCTTCGGTGTTTACGATGCTTGCTAGTCTGAGCCAGTACCGGTGGAAGCCACGTGTAGAAAGACACGTTACGAAACTTCAAGGTGCAGACATTAGCATCAAAGAGGTTGAAGAGAAGGTCCGCCCGGCATCGAAGGCTTTTATTGCCTTTTTCGTGGGCAGGAAACCCACCCAGATGGGAAAAAGAGGACACCGGGATCAACGAGAGTCGAACCAATAACCTACGAACACCTCCAGGAACATTGATCTGATGGCGTCTATACTACCGCATCGATTTATTCGATTACTTCCCCGGCTCATCGCTCAATGAAATCCCTGACGGTATATGTGGAGTAAGTAGTTCGAGATAGGGAAACCCGCCGATGACTTTCATTGCAAACCAGCACCTATCCTGGGTAGAGGCCCGCCAACCAGACCACACCGATTAGGGCCAAATGCAGCGGATCTTAAAAGTAGCACACATGTGGCTTCTAATGGTGGCAGAAATTGCGGAATCGATAAATATATTGTTGTGAAGTGCGGCTGCTGCTGGTGGTGGTAGTGGTGGTGGTTACTGGATGGAGGAGTTACTACAGTGAAGCCCCCTTGTGCCATCGGGTTAGGACGAGGATGTGACGCTGAAGCGGTAGTTAATTGATGGGGGCCAAGTCCATGAATTGAATGAATTGGGGTTTGTTCGGTTTAAGAGGAGGCTTATGTAACTTTATACTTTATTGCGTCGATCAATTGTATTATCGATTGTTCTTGCTAATAATATACGTTATATTACATTTTTCTTGCCTGGTGCCCGTCTCTCCTGACTGCACAAAGACACAAAGGCAGTGCCGTGCATCCACGCATGCGCATGATGTATGCTTGTGGACCACGATAGCAGTACTCAGGGTATATACATCCTCGAAACTCTAACAAAGGTGTACAGGACGTTCCTCTCGGCCACTAGAGGGCTCTCCACATTGGTGGATAGGATGCTAGAAGATGTGCTGCTCAGAGCTGGTGGGGGAGAAGTGTAATCGTAGACAGACTGTCCCTACGCGCTGGACTGGTCTTGTTGGACTCTGTTCATCAAGGGCTCGTACAGGGACGGTCGCAGTCTCGAGTTATTGACGGGAGCACCGAGCGAGTACCGCTGTTCAACCATACCCCAATCTATCGTGTCCCACCACGCCGTGAGGTATTCTTTCCGGCCGAAATGACCGTAGTCTGGTAGCCACTGGTGTTGCCATAGATTTACACATAGAAGTGGTTCCGCATCCAAGTGACCCTCGTAGAAACGGGCTCGATTGGCACTGAACTCGCCAAAGGACCCGGAAAACTGTGGCGACATGCCGCCGCTGTAGTTACCCGCGTTTTTGCGTGTGTCCTGGAGCTCTTCAGCTAGCTGTCGAGCGTCGATGTTGGCCATGTCACGGTTGTCACGGCGAGGAGCGGCGCCCGGCCAGGGCGAACCTGCATTGTAGGTGGCGAGAATGCCGAGACTGCCGACGTCCCGGAGCAGCATCAGCCAGACAAAGCCATTGCCAAAAACTGAATCGGCGGTCTCGAGGAATTCAGTCCGCAGTTGGTCCACTGAGTCGAAGTAGGTTTGGATACTCTTCTTGGTGTTGATTCCCGGTTTGCGAGGTACAGCGGAGGAAGGAGCATGTGCGAGGCCTTCAAAGAAGAATTGGGTATGGCAGGCCATGGCGGCGTGGTTGTAGAGGGCGGCTTTCTGAGAAACGTGGGCGTAGCGTTTGTGTAGATCCATTGCGGAGGCCCCTTCATCGGCCGTGCCTAAGGATGTCAATGAGACATACCTCTTGAATGTCGGTGTACCCCTCTATCATACCTGCGACAAACTCATTTAACCGATCACAAAGATGCTCTGTGTACTTTTGGTAGGACTGGTTGAAAGAGTCTTTGGACAAAAAGCCGGGCACGCCATAGTTTTCAAAAACTTCTTTCTTCTTCTGGTTTTGCCATGAAGGGCTCTTCATGAGCTTCCACTCCTGGGGAGCGACGTGTAGGCGACGACACTGGGACTGCTCAACTCAGAAGGTCAATACTATTCGCTTTTGTAGATATGACAGGGCTGGGTTGCTTGGGTGCGGGTGCCTACACTTTGCTTGACGAAGGCTCGCAGGAGAGACTGCGGCGTCGTCGGAGGTCGGGTAATCATCAATGGAGGATATTCAATGCAGTACCGAGGCCGGTGGCTGCAGTATGGACATGTGTAGAGAGCGATCAACCGGGGACAAATTTGTGGTGAATGGAGGTGCAGCTGCGGAAATTCAACTTGGAACCTGGGATACGTTCCTTTTTAGGTCTAGCGCATTATTGATCAGGCTGGCCAATCAGAAATCCAGAACTTACTACTGAGCCTCGCGTCTGAAACAATACAAGCCACCTCCATCCTCCGTCCTACTTGTCCCATCTTCCATCTCACTTCTCATGCTTCTTCCACTCTATCACTCCTCCGCAAGTTTCAGCCCTCCTCAACCACTCGTTTCATATTTTGCCACTCTTTCGATGCATATCCGCGCCTGCTTCAGATCACAAGGTCGCAGCACATGCTTGGAACCCACAATTCACTGGCTATGCTCGGACCATTTCTCACCTGCCTCGTTCTGAACGTTCTATATTCAATGCGTGCCCAACCGTTCGATGCCTCTTCAGCTCGCGGTCCAACGTCTTTCAGACTATTCCCAGGCACCCGTCTTACAAGAGTGTCTGCTCTGTACCGGCTCTTTTCTTTGTGAGATCTTGAAGGTGAAGACTCACTTTTCCTTTCCATTGTCAACCTCTAATACCCTTCTTTTGTCCGTTTTCTGCATGCTCTTAATTTGGCACCTATCCAAGTGACTTGTCCCGGCGACATGGTCATTGTCTAAACAAACGAATGAATATAACTGCGTTTACCAACCACTTCCGCACTGTACGACCCTCCATCGATATTATTGCATCTAATATTTCACCCGACCATCTGCCCATATGCCTGATATGCCCACCAAAATGCGAAGACAGCGAGTGGTGCTCTTATTCCTGGTCTATATGTCATCTACCAGCGCCTTTCAAGTAACCCCTCTCTCTACCATAGACTTGTCGTCCCTGCTCTCGCGGCGGGACGATCTCTCATGCAAAGCCGTCGATTCTCGGCTACCCGACAGTTTCAAGTGTTCAGAAGGCTTCAATTGTCTTTCACTTGATAACGGCTCCTCGGCTCTATGCTGTCCAGAAGGAAATACCTGCAACAATATCTCGCCGATCCCTTGCGATGTCCAAGCGCAGAACGTAACACGCAACGGAAACACCAGCATATTTACAACCAGACTGGGGGATAAATTGCCGACCTGCGGAGATAGCTGCTGTCCTTTTGGCTATGCTTGTATTGACGCTCCTAGAAACCAGCCAAATTCAAGTCCAGTCTGCAGTTTACTTACAGGCTCCAGTAAGTCTGGAACTTCAGATACATCTCCTTCTTCCCCCAGTTCTCCAAGTGGTACAAGCACGTCATCCACGCAAAGTTCGGGCCCTTCTTCTCAAACCTCCACGTCGAAGACCCCAACTTCAAGTTCAAGTTCAGCTTCCACCGCCACCTCTGGGGCAATCACTAACTCAGCACAACTGGAAAACACCTGCAACAAATTTCCTCCCACCGTCTTCCTGGCAGGTTTATTCCCCGGTATGTTTATTGGAGCATTCATGATGCTTGCCTGGGTGATTTGCTCTGGCCGTCATCGAAAACCGGCTGGGAGGAGTTCTGCCGGTTCATCATTTTACAAACCTCCAATTTCCGATCCTATACCTCTACATCCAGGAGGTCTTAGGACCGATTTCCTACGCCGAACCACAGGGCGTGCCAGGTCGATGTTCTCCGCTAAGAGCGGACAAAGTCCCATCGTCGGCACACGAGACAACTGGAAGATGCCCACTCCTCCGGTGGTCAACAACATCCCCCTAGTCCCTAGTGGCATTCCTGTAACACCGGACCGCCGCGTTCCCCGCGAATCCGGCACTGAGACCATCAATGTGTACACACCACCTAGCGGTCCAAACGTCCAACCTGGAATGCCGACGTACCCACCCAACATCGCGCCCCTTCGCGGGATGAACGCTCAACGGTACATGGATCAAGGCAGCAATAGCAATACGCACAATAGCAATGCAATGGGTAGCCCATTCGAGACACCCCCGAACACCAAAACAGCCGCTAACCACAAGCACAGCAGCTTCCGAGTTAGCAACCCCCACCACCCTACGGACGAGAGGACGGTGAGCAGCTGCTCTGTCGTGTCGTCTCTACACGATCACGAAGTGCTAACACCCGCACGATACGACGGCGGTGGCGGTGGTGGTGGCGGCGCCGACTACACTGTCACGAAACGCATGCGGTCTACAAGCGCTGGGGAGAGGGGCCGGCCCACCACCGGCTTCACGGAGATGCTGCATGACGTCGGTTTCCCCGACACGTATCAAACGACGCCTGAAGTACCTAAGATCCCTAACGGATATAGATCCAGGCGATGATATTATGATATAATGAAAAATATGATTTGGGAAAAACAGGAGCTTCGTACTAGCCCTTTTGCGTATACTTTAGTAATAATGAATGACTGAGAAACCAATCAATCAGCTCGATCTCACATGGAGAAGGCCTGCGTGTCTACGGCGGTGAAGGAAAGAAGATGGAAATTTTAGATAACTCATAATCACCAGAGAATGGGAGAGTGGAGAAGAAAGGGTGGTCAGGAACCTTTGTTTACTTTAATCGTCCATGGTTATTCCACCATGATCTATCTCCCTTTGCTGGTTCCAAAGGCGGGCTTATTGACATTGTGCCAGACAAACCATATAGATTCCATGGACATTCTGTGTATGCCAGCGAGTTGCTTTCGCGCAGGTTCCACGCAGGCTCGCTGTTGTCTTCCATGGCCCGTTCCTGCGCGCCGTAATCGCCTTCTCGGCTCATCCTAGCAATTGCTGCTCACCAGGAACAATGTCACAGGATTGTTTTGCTGCACCATGTGCTCTCGCGACGACGCCATAGGCAGGGAAGTACTGTTTGGTGCAGTTAGCATTTCCTGAGGCTTCTCTTGGAGTCTTCTCGAGAACCCCCGTACCTTGTCTAAATAAGGCAGCACTTCTGCCGTACCGGGTGTATTCCGCCAGTCCTTCATCAAGAACATTGCAATGCCGAACATGCCGGTCTGGGTAAGGGTTGGGTTGGGTTAGCTCATCAGCATCATAGAACATACCAGCAGCAGCAAGCGAGCGTGAAGGTCGGAACTCACCAAATGTACCCCTGCGCCCTCCATCCTCCTGTTCGCGTCTTCAGCAAGCTTGGGCGTTGCAGTGCCGCTGGCCTCCGTATTGGCCCACACGGTATACCCTGCCTCCCGGAGACTCAGGGCCAGAAACATTGTGCACACTTCCGTCACGATCCCGCCCAGGATGATCTGCGTGCGACCTGTGGCTTCGACGGCGGCGCGGAAGTCTGGGTTGTCCCACGCGTTGACCTCGCCGTTTCTCCTGATCAACGGTGCCTCCGGGTACATCTGGGTGATTTCCTTGGGGAGAGGCCCGTTGGGCCCGGTCTCCGCTGACGTCGTCATGACCACCGGCAGGTCAAAGAGCTTGCCTAGCTCGGCGTGCGCTAGTACATTGTTGCGGAATTCAGCTGTTGTGTAGTCCTTGACGAGCTGGAGGAGGCCGAGTTGGTGATCGACGATTAGGAGGACTGTTTAGCTAGTTGGTGTTGGTTCCAGACGGGGTAATTCATGGAGTGAGAATGTCTCACCGGCTTTGTCTTTGTCCAGTCTCTCGAATTGATACTTCGCTGGGCACCATTAGTCTCAATGCCACACCAACTGTTTATGATCTGCACCTACGTTGAATACTCATTTTGGTGAATGTGTTCTTGACGGATTGTGCGTTGAGAGAGTGTCAATTTCCAGAGAGTCGAGACAAGAAACTTACTGACAAGATGTGGTCAGCGGCCCAAAAGGAACACAGGCAAGTTACCCATATATACTAGACCCAGCCTTTGCACTTCATCGTAATTGGGAGAATGGATTCCGGCTGTTTGTGTAAGCTCGCGAGGCGTTATGGAAACTCGCACTCGCCACGAAAGCCTGCGCTCTCTGTTTAACCATCACGACCTCGGGTTTCCTGTCGATTGCCAAATTGTTGGAAGCTCTCCATAATGTTACCGGGAGTTAGTCACCACGACTACTCCTAACACGTCAGAGGACATCTAAGCCAGGCTGGTGTGAGTGGTCAAGCATCATCAAGCCTTGTGGAGGCTGAACGTGTGGAGAGTTAGGTAAGGAGATATCGCTGACTAACGCCAGGTGGGGCCGCCACTTCGTGAGTAATTCGGGGTTCCCCTGTTTAGATTTGATAGAGATGCTGTCGACTAGAGGTGTTCGACCCTGGGTGACGTGGATCGCTAGGAATCAGATTCACGAGGCCATTTCCGGAGGCGAAACTTCAAGGCTCTCCTATTGGTTTGTCGAGGCGAACGAGAAGTGCTTTAACGTCATTATACCGAAAACCCTGGAGCTCCAGCCTTGCTGAACTGACCAATCAATCGTGACTGTCAGGCTGTGCAGCACTCAGAGCAGCAGTGAGATTGTAGATATCTAATGCCGTTTTGTGAGAGACGTGGAAGACTTGCAAACTCCGCACCTCCAACCTATTACAGAACGATGGACACTCGATGTACTGTGAGAGTTGGTACTTGCTCACTAAACACGGAAGGCAATAACGTGTAGAGTGCAGTCGTGTACAGACGCTAATTCAGAGAGATAGTTTGTTGAATTTACCATCCTTCCTTATCTCTCGTGTGATGGAAGGGTCGGCAAATGTCAACTAAGGGTGGACGGCGCTGCCCAGACCACGCGAGGGAAAATAAAATGGGTTGATGGTGGAAAAGGCTTCTTGGGGTTCGACTCAAATCGAACCCGTGTCTCGACTACACATCAAAAATTGGAGGCGTATGAAGGGAACAACATCTCGACGCTTAGCTAGTCGTCCGTACTTATCTCCACGAGGCTGAGTGCTAAAGCAGAACTCTGTCACAAAAGCTAACTTCAAATTCTCACTCCATGGGGTGTGGAAAGAAAAAGAAAGCTGGGGGGCTTCAGCGAAGTTTTCAAATCTAAATTTCGAGAGTTGGAAATGTAAGTGGGCAGCTGTGGTGAATGAATGTGAAGTCGTCAAGATATGCTGCTTGTAATTTAATCATGTTGGCAAGGCTGAGCGCCAAGACTGGTGACATTCAGCCTTGCATGACGTTGTCGAAGCCTCTTTCCAAATTGTGCCTCCAAAGATAATTAACGAAAGCCACAACGATTGCAATTACCGCACCTAGCACAGGATTCCCCCCATTTTGCTTGCCAAACATACTCTAGTACTGCTCCTCAGATATTCTCACGACGTACCCACCGCAGCCACTCATTCCCCTTCTTGAGGCCCACTCAGGTCCTGCCTGCCCCACCCGACAAAACATGTCCCGCCCTTCGTCACCCTCGCCGTCCGAGCAGCGCCGCAAAGACGCCGAACAGAAAGCACGAGAAGAGGAGGAACAAGCCAAACTACCCTATAAATGGACACAAACACTAGAAGAAGCGGACGTTATTGTTCCCATACCCGGCAACCTGAAGGCACGCGATCTGATTGTCGAGCTCAAGAAGACTCACATCAAAGTCGCGATTAAAGGCCAGGAACCCATCCTCGACGTAAGCTCATGTTCTCTCGCGGGACGCCCTGTCCCACTGGACACGTTGAAACAATCCAATAAGGGGGTTTCTTCTCTCCTTGTCCCTCTTCCTCAACACCTCCAAAACAGATTCCGCTGCCACGTCGACGAGGGAGGAAAAAAGAAAAGAGAGAAAGACTAACCACCCGAGAAACAGGGCGACTTCCCGCACCCCATCCTCGTGGACGACTCCACCTGGATATTATCCACAAACGCCGACGGGACCAAAACCATCAACATCAACCTGGCGAAGCCCCGCGGCACAAACTGGTGGGCGCACATCGTAACGAGCGCACCGGCCATCGACGTGACCAAGATCCAACCGGAGAACTCCAAACTGTCCGACCTAGACGGCGAGACCCGCGGCATGGTCGAGAAGATGATGTACGACCAGGAGATGAAGCGCCAGGGCCGGCCGAGCAGCGACGAGCAGAAGAAGGAGGATCTGTTGAAGAAGTTCATGAGCGAGCATCCCGAGATGGATTTCAGTAATGCTAAGATGGGTTGAGTTGAGGCTGGGGACATTGCATACGTGCTGGAGTGAGTTTAAGGATGGGGAGAGGGCTACGTGTCTGACTTGAGTGTTGTCGTGTATGCTTACGCTCCAGGGGAGCCTCCCCTTGAGCCCCCCCCCCCCAATAATTTGTGATCATGAACAATAGGGATGAGCATTCGATGGTGCGTGTTGACAGGGACCCAGACGTCGATGAGGTATAGACCAGCCAGAAGGGACACCACCAGTCATTGACGTTACACGAATATATGTGGTTGGTCACCATCAAAATCAACCAGTCTCCACCATGACACGGGCAATAGTGGAAGCTGGGCCTGACATTGCGAAACCAAACGTATGTCTCATGCCACGAACAGAAATATGAAAAGTTGAGTTTGTGTTATTCAAGTTCTATGCCAGAAGAATGCCTTCCCACTACTAGAACATTCCCGCTCAGTCTCATTCACAATTCATAATTCATCCCTCTTCTGCAAGCCACCTCCGGTCTCCCTGACCCTCCTCATTTGAATACCATGCCTTGGCACTCGCGTTGTAATACCCAGTGGCCAACGGCAAGAGTTCCATTGAGAACCTGACTGGCGATATTGTTGCTCATGACGATCTCGTTTCCCCAAACATCGAACAAATCCCAGCTCTGCTGTGCGTCCTCGTTGGTCTTGCTACCGCCGAAGACGGCCACCGGTGAGAAGGTCATCGTCCTGGAGGTATCTGTGATATTCAGAAATGCCACGACTTGATCACCGTTGTTTAGTCCACCGGACCAGACCTGAACTTCGCCGAACCCGTGTTCGTCCTTGTCATCCACTTGCTTCACGAGTTTCCGCGAGATCGCACTTCCACTTGGATCCTGGCTGATTGCAAGGACAGCGGGATTGATCAGGATGGCATAATCTTCGGGGCTCAACTGGTCGAGCTTGTTGCCCAAGATCAACGGACTCTTGATTGCTGCCCACATGCTAAAATGCAGTTTATACTCTTCGTAATCCAAGTCTCCATTTCCAACCTCCAGCATGTCCAGGTCATTCCAATACCCTGGCTGATTTTTACTTATGACGTGGCTAGCCTTGCCCAAGATGTTGAAAGTACTGCAGCCATATCCTGGAAGCTGGCAATAATACTCAGCGGGACCACATGGGCAACTGGTGGTAGGCATGTCGAAGGAATCGGTAATATCTCCGCTCATCCTTGCTGAGTTCGAGATCGTTGATGCCCACTCCCACGGCTTGTCGTCGTCCCAGTTGCACAGACTGTATGTGATCTGGCGGCCCGTCGAGTTCAATGCATTCGACATGGCAGCGTAGCGATCCTGGCTCAGCTTCGGTGTTCCAGATAATCCCTCATTATAGCAATTATCATATTTGAGATAGTCAGCCCCCAGGCTACTCCACCATTGGGCATCGATTGTATCGTATCCCAAACTGCCCGGATATCCGCCGCAAGTAAAGCGACCGGCAGAGCTGTACACACCAAAGAAAAGTCCATCGCGATGGAGTGTCTTGACAATTGTAGAGAGGCCTTAGGGAAATTTACCAGCGTTCTCTATGAGTGAGCCATTCTCACTCCAGGTGCGTTCGGCCATGGCATCGTCAAAGATAACCGCGTTGTAGCCCAAGTCTCGAAAGCCCAAGTTCACCATTTTGTCGGCATTAATAGCGATTATGGTTTCGTTGTAGTCCAGCGCGTAAGCATTCTATGTATCCTGTCCAATTGAGGGATTGCATGAGACTGAGTTCTCTCGAAAGACAGCCCAAATTGACACCCAGTGACTTTTCTGATCGGGACGTGTGTTGATTCAAAGCGACGAGGAATGCTTTACCACTTACCCAGCCCATCTGGGGTGTTTGCGCAAGACCATTATAACTGAGACCTGGCGCTGCGCAGGTGAACTTCAGCGAACCTAGCAAGCTGATCCATTTAAACGAGGTTGAAAGTGCTATCGCCATTGTAGTACAGAACCTGCTTGCAGATGTATCTGAAATGCTTGCTGAGAATGACGGATTGCAATAGCATCATCTGATGCCCATTCAAAGCTTGATCGAAAACCAGCTGTGGAAAGAACATTTCAAAGAAAAGTGGAATGATTTATATGCATGCTTAGCCTGTGTATATGTTACATTTGCGCATCGTCATATGTGTTGTAGGGATAATAACCGGCGATAGAGTTTCCTACAATTGTGAAGACTTGAGGACATAGAAACATTCCCCGCATTGGTTGCTAGAGGAAGCACACCCATCAGGCAATCCTTGAGATGAATGACGCCACAAGTGCACCAATTGCTGCTGTGCCTTGCTGATCATTTCGCGGAAAACTATTTAGTTTCCCGCACGATGCTTGTCTGCAACCACACTGCGTGGGTTGTGCAGTCATCGGACAGTAGTATCCAATACCGAGGGGGTCTCGGAAGAAGGTCCATTTCTCCAGCCATAGTGCTGGATCTGTGTCTCGGTTAAAACGCCGGACAATATTTCGAACTGCAGTTCTCCTTCTCAAAATCCGGATATTGAAACGCAACAATGTTCAAGTTTGATCCTGGCAGAACGTTGTGGTTCACAGGGACGCAGAGGATTCTAGCAGCCTGTCGTGATAGCCAGCTGACTCCGAGATCAATATCCTTTGATGTGCATCCAAACTCGCTTCGTGTTGTTCAAGTAGGTCTTTTAAAACCGATCATTGCCAAATTAATGTCGCCTGGAGGACTCTGTTTCGTATGCAAGGTGGTTGTTCCCATACCCAAATCATCTCCATCGTTTTCGGATTGATTTTGGTCATACACGCTGAGAGGTTCCTTTGAGCCCAAGAAACCATCCCAGATGCCCTTCTTACACACCAAGGCACCAACCAAAACAAGTGGGAGCTGCCAAACACTGGCCCAGAACAGGCCCCTTGCACTACCACCGGCACCTTGTTTCCTCCAGAAGCGAATGGCCTCCCTAGTCATCCACAGATTACAAGCGGTACTAATGACAAGGAAACCGGGATTGACATAGCCTGACCAGTATATAAAGCCACAAATGGGGAACATGGCAACGGAATAGCGAAGACCGACACGAGCATTCCGTGCAGGATTGGTCCATGCCAACATTTTATGGCCAGCATTGCGATAGTCCTCGCGAATTGTGTGTGATAGAGACGTGAAATGTGGGAATTGCCAGGCAAACAGCAAGGCGGCCAACGCCCAACCACCAAGGGCATTTTCTGAAAAGAGTAAATCTTGCCAGGAATGATGCTCCGAGGTGGCAGCTTGGCCAGCTGCAGCACACCATCCCATTAGAGGAGGTATTCCACCCACCATAGCGCCGACCCAGGTATTGGCTGCTGAGAGTCGCTTCATGGGTGTATATACACCGGCGTAAAGGAATATATTGAGGGCGGATAGGCCAGCCACAGTAGGATTGGTTCCAATATCCAGTAAAAGTAAGCCGGAAGCTCCACAGAGGATGGCAAATGCGGCGGCAGCTCGAGGCGAAATCAACTTTCGAACAAGAGGTCGGTTCCGTGTGCGCGTCATCAAGGCATCGTATTTGGGCTCGAAAAGCATGTTAAAAGTGTTTGCACAGGCACACGACAGGAAGGTGCCAGTGGTGAGGAAGAGAAGAGTCATGGTGGACGTTGAAAATGAGGTGTCTACGGACGAAGCGGTGGTTGAGAGAATGTCTGGTATGGGATATAATGAATATGCAGAAGTGGTGGTGAGTAGGATCAAGAAGGACAAGCGCGGCTTTGTGAGGGACAAATATGTGGCAGCTTTTCTTCGAAACGTGGCCGATGGGGGGAGAGAAGTGGCGGCAGTGGTCAGTTGAGAGGAGGCATCGAGTGGCAGAGATTCCTCGGGCGAGGTTGCTGGCGCTGGCGCTTGTCCTTCTACTACCGCCTTCCGGCGTTGTCTTCTTCGATGGGGCAAGTCTTGTGGTGGTGGATCAGGTGCTTGCGACTGTACGGTCTTGGACTCTCTGCTTAGTTTTTTCGACTGTGCAATGGCTATCCTTTCTTCCTCTTGGAGCTGAAGCCGGTGCTGAGCCGCGACAGAGCTGGCAGGTCGCTCGGCAACGGTCCGGAGGGCGGCCATGAGACTATTGTTGACCCAGCCTCTCTCGAGCGAGGTATTAGCGGAAAAGTAATTTTTGATAAAGGCGGTGGAGTGGAAAGAAGCTCTTCGGGCGCGCTGACGGTCAGAGCGAGGGAAGACATGGTACAGCTTCCTCTCTGGTTGGAAAGAGGGAATTGGTAGTGGTGATATCCTGACAGGGCGTGCCAAACAAGCTGCACAGCCGGCGGAACTTGCAATGCGGGCGACTGCCGGAGCAGCCATTGATGGATTGCCTAGGCAGGCAGATGGTTGTGGAGGAGCATTCAAGCAAAATTGTCGAAGGATGCCCGGTCCGCAGTACGAGTAATTCCGGTGAAGAAGAAATCTGGTGATGGTGTTTTGGAGCTTCGAGGTCAAAGTCACAATTCACGAATCACGATTGGGCAGGTGCGGCCAAGCGCGGAGCTCAGGAAAGGAGCGATCACGGGCGCAGAGTGGGGGTCGGAGAAGGCACGACAACCAGGAACACCATGAAGGTGCGACTGCCGGACATATAAATACATACATGTGTTTATTCACCACCACGATGTCCGTCTTCTCGATACACCCTCCGCTGCCTCTATACAATCTCGGCCACCTCTCCACCGCCCTCCCCCTCGTTGTCAATGGCTGCTCTAGACAACGACCAGGTCCGGTCTCTTGACCAAACCCGCCAGCTGCTTCTCTCCCTCCACACTTCCCTCGTCGCCCTTCGATCCGACATCTCCCAAAACCCGCAACTCCCTTCCTGGTACTTCTTAGATTACTCAGACTCCTTTGTATTTCTGCTTACTCGTAATCCAGGCCTGCGCTGCAAACCCATGCCAACCTAATATCCAGCAACCTGCAGACCATTACCGAGAGTCTGTCCAGACATCGAGACGCTTTCTCTTCTGCCGTCGTCCACCCTCTCCCTCAATTCCCGGCTAAGGAACGTGCTTTCATTCTGGAGACTCTGCTTCGTACAAAATTCGAACCAAATATTGAAGAATGGGTCGAGGAAGGCGAGGCTGTAGCCAGTCGACAGCACCGACCCGCCCAGCGTGGTCTCACCGACGCCGACCGTGACGCTCTTTGGCAATGGGCTCCCGGTGCTGCAAATGCTGAAGCAAGGAAACAGAAATGGGGTGCTGATTACACTCTAGAGGAAAAGCAGAATGGAATCGAAAATGTCACGACCGGTCTGCGCAGAGAACTTATCGAGCCCCCCGATGATGAGGGCGCCGAGGACGATGACGATGATGAAGAATATGATGAAGTCACCGACGATGAAAACGACGCAGAAGACAAGATGGATGTCGAACAATCCAAATCCGAAGCCACACCATCCTCTACAGAAATCAAACCTCCGTCATTGCACACCGCCCAAATGCCTCTTGCAACCTTACATAGATTCATGACCACGGGCCGATAAAGTCCATCTCTTTCCACTATGCCTTCACATCAACCGACATGCAAGAATCCAACCACAGGAAGTCTGTTCATCCGTGCGGTTCCAACTCCACCCCAATACCATCGTGTTCAAGCCACATGACCTGGACACCACATATTCTCGGAGCTAGCTTCTTGACTCTTTGCTCGAGAGATCTTTTATGAGATGACAATATCTTGCTCGCCACCTCGATACTCATGTTCATTTCGATATCGATGTGTTCAAGACCTTTCAGTTGAATGAGGCCATCATCCATCCATGACTGGTGCAAAGCACACACAAACTGCGGTCGAGACCCACTTGCTAAGAAATGCATCAACCTAGATATTTACTCAGCACTTGGAAGCAACAAATCTTTTGTTTGGACACGCAGCTTCAAAGATCGCGGTCCCTGCTTGTAGAAAACGGGTGTGCTGCACGCCACGCTCAGAATTGTCAAGTCTTCCCCCTCCCTCCTCGTCGACGGCGCCGAAAGACTTCAGTATACTCCGTAGCCACCAAACTTTGGTCGGGCTTACAACCAAGTGAATTTCCGATTCTCGTACTGAGTCCCGTCGAGCTTGGGACAGTTGCCCCAGGAAGTCCATCGTCGCCGAAACGCTGGAGCCATAGAGCGCCATCATTCTCACCGCAATGAGTTCAAAGGCCAAGATGCGAACTTCTTCATATATTCGGCGGCAAATAAGCGGCATGTCGACATATACGTTTCTTGCTCGGGGAAACTTTTTCTCTCCAGCTATTCCGCAAGTTTCAAAACGGCGGCTTCGTTTGCTCAGAAAGCCATGACCTGATGGCGTCCACTGTTGCAGTTCCCGCTTGTGGGGGGGATGGCGTGTCGACACGCGCCTGCAAGACCAATCTAAAGATGCGACGTCGGATTTCCGATGGTAGTCAGGAGATGCACTGTTGAACTGGAATCCCTCTTTGCTGTATGGCCTCTACTAGTGAGCATATCCTTTTGTCCAGATTGGTCAAACAGCCCCCTCTTGTTGAAGCTGTACATCGCATTGGAAAGTCTCAATACTCATATTCCAAATGCGACGACAACAGCCCGAAGTAGAGGAATGAGAAATACGGCCCCAGCCGTCCCTTCAATCGGCTTTCTGCTCTGATCAACTTAGCGACTCAACGTCAGTTTTGGAACCCGCTGCCAGACATATATAGCTGAGAGCTTAGGCCAAGAGTCCCTTCATATCAAATAAACTACATCCAGGACCAGATAGAACAGAGGTCCTGTCGCGAAATAAACCCAATTAGAGCTGAATATTGCTTCAGCCATACCATTCTCGCCAAAACGGTCTTTAGATACGACGTGTTCAAAGCGTATGTCATAAACTGCTGCCTCTATCCGCAGCTATAAAGGGACGAGCCATTAGCTTGATTCTATTTGGGTCCTTGTGGAAGTTGGGTGAATAGCAGTGATCGGAATAGCATGGGGCATGAAATAAGTTAATAACATGGAAAATTTCGACGAAACCAGGAAAGTTGGTGTCGCTTGATCGCTTCCCCATCTCCTCAGTCAGGCCGAAGTGGTGAGATCTCGGTGTCAATGGAGGAATGGCGACAACTACTACGCGCACTGCTGCTCGTTTCTAACAGCCTAGGAAAGAAAGGCTTAACATATGCCGTGCTTGGCCCCTTACAGAAACCATCCACGGTCTTGATATCAGTTCTTGATGTTGACGGCACGATCTTCATGCGATCTGCCACATTTGCTCTGGCTCAGCCTTCCTCTCGAGTCCAACTGTTCCTATTTCATCAACAATTTGTCACGAAAGCTCAGATCAGCCGACAAGGAAGTCTACTGGATTCCAAAACTCTACCTGAGGCTTACAGACGATTTCACTGTCTCCAAACACCGTTTGCCCAGTTGAGCAAATAGGCAGACGTCGATTTAATGGAACTACGGAATACGGAAACACAGTATCCCCTTGTAGCTGCGCTGTCGAGGGCGCGCGAGCCGATGGGGAAGTGGTTGGAATAAGTCAAAGGGGCCAAGTTGCATCTCTATGCTGTGACGCGATTGGCATGTCGCCTGCATTTCCTTCCTCCCTCTACCTCTGCCGCCCTGTCGAAAGGAATCTGATTCTTCGCCGATAACGCCACCAAGCGGTTCCCGCTTCGCTCGTCTCGCTCGCCACATGGTACCGGATTCGACGATCTGGCCATTTCGAAACGCATCGTTCCTGTTCCACCTCGGCGTGCGGGCTCAGACACGTAAGCTGATGATTCGATCATGGTTGCAATTGACAAAGACCCATTGGAAAGGGCCAAATTAAAGCATGGCCTTGGGCATAAACTTCATGGCTTGCCTGACGCCCAAATCAGCCAGGACCTCCTCCGCGCCGCCAAGGATCGCATCGAATTTGTATGTACGATGGAATTGCTCTACAATTCTGCCCATGCCAGACTGAGTGAGCCCTCTTCCACCAAATATGTTGACTGCGTCATCCGCGACCTCGTGAGCGCATCTCGTGGCATATGACTTTAGCAGGCCGATTGGGCCGCCAAGCAGCTTCGACTGTGTTGGGTAATCCATGTTATTCATCTGGTAGGTAATTGTCTCAAGCCACGACTGACATGCCTCGGTCAGAGAGATCATCTTGGCCAATTTCTGGCGGATGACGGGCTGAGAGATGAGCGGCTTTCCAAACACAATGCGCTGGTGACTCCATTTCATGCATTCTTCGGTAACGGTGCGCATCCAGCGGATCACCGCACACGCCATGGCCCATCTCTCGTGGTTGAAATTGCTCATGATGACAATGAATCCATTGTGCTCCTTTCCAAGCAAATGGTTCACTGGTACTTTGACGTTGTCAAATTGAATGAAAGTGGTGGCTGCCGCAGTCGAATAGGACGTCTTGATGCGCTTACATTCGACATTGTCATCTCGCGGAATAAGGATCACTGAAAAGCCCTTTTCCGTCTTACAGCCGGTCACGAAGTAATCGGCAAACATACCGTTGGTGATCCATTTCTTGGTACCTGGTCGCCCATGTCAATATGTGCAAGCCAATATCTCGATACAATCTGGCCGGGAACTTACCATTGATAATATAATGCTTTCCGTCTGGTGTCTTTGTCGCCGTCGTCCTGATACCAGCAACATCTGATCCAGCAAAGGCCTCGGTGACGGCCAGACACATAAACTTCTTTCCTGAAAGACACTCTTCGGTGACCTTGTCCCTCAATTCGGCGTCGCCCAACCACTGCCGAACAGCGGTCAAGGAGATCATCAAGCCGGACATGTTCCCATCCTGGAAGCCTCTTGCCACGGCCCTCGAAAGCTCCTGTGCACTGATCATATCATGGAAATAATCGAACTCTTCTCCCTTGACACCGCCCAGTAACTCCCTCCCATGCAGATGCTTCCCAGGCCCAAGACGCATGGCCAGCGTGTTATTGGCCGCCATCTTGTCCGTCAACTCCTGAGAGACATATGTACCATCCTCCTCCTTCTGCTGCGCCTCCGGGTAGACATCCCTATCGACGAACTCCCTCAACGCCTTCTGCAGTCTCCGGTGGCTGTCATTGTAGTAAGGACTCGAATACGCCGGCGTCAACCAGAGCGGCTCTCCGTAGGGGACCTGGCTCAAATCACCGGGTTGGGGATCAATGACCTCGGGCTTCTCGGCCTCGAGCGTGCCGATCCGCAACGACGAGTACTTCTGCAACACCTCATGTCGGTGTAAGTTGTAGAACGCTCCTGTCGCGTCCGTCCCCGCGATCTGCTGCAGCACCACGTTGCCACCCGGATGCGCATCCAGGAAATCCGTCAGGTCGTAGACTTTGTGGTCGATGATGCACCATAGGCTGTCCTCCGTGTTGTTCTTGGCCACCTCCTCCCGTGTGTATGTTTTCAGTTGCTCTGTCATGGTGTCTTCTATCGTTTGGTTTTTCTCACTTCGCTTGTGATGCTGGGGGGAGGAAGGTGTGGTATCAATAAAGCTGCACGCAGTGAAGACTGCAGAGGAGTAATCCCTCAAAGACGGTTCGGCATGTATATGAATTATTGATTAATGATCTCAGGCTCGACAACAGTCAGCTCAGGATTGGCCAGACTTAGAACGGTAACGATGCAGTAGACGTGTATAGTAATATCTTTTCTCCTTGACAAGACTTGAGTGAACAAGAGCTTTGGGCAGAATTATTACTCTTCCCACCCCCCTCCAACCGCTGGCACAAGAAGGCCAAATCGAAAATGCCGAGGCACAACCAACAAAACGGATTACAAGGCCTCGAATCCCTCCAGGGGGAAGCTGGGCCGCGGGGCGGGCACATACACGGCTTTGAATTCACGGAGACCCTATTGGTGGACCATCGCCCAAGCAATGGACATCTCGGCGGGCGGTTGCAGCGGGCTATGGTTCGGTTAAAATGATACATTTCTGGCTTGCGGAGTCTGGACTACTGGCTGGCTGGTACGATGCCTGCTCGGAGTTTTCACGGGTGGGATGGTTTTGTAATTAGTAGATACACACCACCTTGACACGGGCATAGCAAGAAATTTGCTGTGGATGATGCGCAGTACTGGGTGCTCGGTCCCGACTTTTGATCTTGATTTATGCATGATCGGACGACACCCTCGGGAGGGAGTAAATACGTTGAAGGGGGGTGCTCGGTACAGCAGCCCTCGAGATATATGTACGCCCTGCACGTGCCATCGTTAGCCATCATCGCCGACAGATATCCTGATGAAACGCTGAGATCTGAGCGACTGGATGAGAGGACGATTGAGCGGAGAGACGCCTCACGGCCTTCCCTTCCATGCATCGACTAGGAATTCCTCAACACGCAGCGGCGGAATCTCATCTTTGAATCGCTCCGTCAATCGATGCGCCGCGGGCATATGCAGCACACCATAGTGGTAGAGCCTCCCAAACAGCGCGCACAGGTCCTTGGTTGCGTCTCCTCGATCCGGCTCCCGTGTAGGCACAACCTCCGTCTCTCCAGGCATCGGCAAGACCGTGGCATTCCCCTTCTCCAGCTCCTCGATACTGTCGTACGTGACCTGGAACTTCCCTCCATCAGCTCCCCCCAGCCGCACCCTTTCCGCAAGCCTCAAAATCTCATTGAAACTGATATCCTCCCCGACGACAATGCTCCATTCATCCCACTGCCCCCCACCCTCCGCCACATCCAGCAGCTTGACCACGTACCGCGCCAGGTCGACCGAGTGCGTCAGGCTGATCAGCTGGTTGCCGTCGCCCGGGATGGCCGCCTTGCGTCCGTAGATGTCAATTGCCCATGTGAACAGGGCCATGTTGGTCTCCACGTACGGCATCCCCAGGTAGTCGACGAAGAACCCGTTCGCGATCCGCGTGTACGCCAGCGGACTCGAAGCCAGGAGCTCGGCGGCGTCGATCCAGTGCTGCACCGATGCATCGTACTTGAGGATTCTGTTGGATGGTACGTCGCAGGTTAGTCAGTGTCTTGTCTTGTCTTGTCTTGCCTTCCCTCTTCCGTGACTCGAGCCGCTGCCTCCTCTTCCCCCCGTGGCCACACAGATAGAGGGAAGAAACAAAGGAAGTGGGAAAAGACACTCACCCCTCAACGTTGACATACCCAAACTCACTGGGGATGAACCTCTTCGTGACCTCGCTCGCGCCAATCGCCGCACGAATCAGATTCATCTGCGCATCACGCGTCCGCTCGCTGATCGTGATCGTCGAGATCACCGTCTTGACCTGCCGCTCGCGAAGCAATCTCGTCAGCCCCGAGATGTGACCCGCCGAGTAGTCCACTCGCACGTATTCCGTGCCGTGCTCGTCGACAAGGACCTTGGGTTCCTAGAGAGAGATGAGGAGAGAAAACGTCAGCTGAGAATTGGGAATATGATATGTTGGGCCCGGTGTGGGAGTCTGGATTGGGGAGGTGGTTGGATTATGGAGGATGGAGTGTGCGGTATGCTGGGTTTCCCCCTATCCTTATATAAAAAGAGTATTGATAAGGTCCTGAAACGCGGAGAGGAATATATAAGCTAGATACATCTCAGCTTCGACACACTACCGCTGCTCCTCTGCGGGAACGGGCATGTTTCAACACTGCTTTTATCCAAAAGTTTCATAGAAATTGCAGCAATCCCATCTCTCTCTATTCCGGGGCCTCTTGTTTACTTTTACTTACTCTCCTCGTGAAGACAACGACTTTGAATCGCTCCCGGTGCAGCTGCAATTGTTGCACGATCGTCTTGCCCACCCCGCCTGTGCCACCCGCCACGGCCACGACGGTTGGTGGTGGAGGTGGTCGTTGTTCTTGTTGTGGCATTTCTCACCACTGATCAGTAGGAATTAATTGGAATGGACGCATGAACTGCAGGGTACTTGTGTCTGTTGGTGGAGTGTGATGTAGGCTCTCATGGCCGAGTGTACAGTATTTTACATGAGGCGCAGTGGCTGGTTGGTGGTTCGTAGAACGGGGCTATTCGCGCCTTTTATACCCCGTATTCGGATTGGAGATAGTTTAATTAATAACTTAGTACCGGGCTAGAATTTGAGACGAGGCTTCACACGTTCGGCATTATGGCTAGGCCTATTGGGTCATGTGCCATTTCGTCATATGGTTTTTGAAACCCTCGTCTACACTCATAAATCATGCGTTGGGCTCTTGATCATATACTTGCACGGATAGTCGAATTCTCCTGGTACGAGACATCTACCTTCTGCGTCTTTGTCGCGAGCATCTCTCTGAGCTCCCATCAGTTCCAGCGTTTAGTCGAACATGCACTCTTTAAGCGCTCGCCCTTTTCCTCCTTGCGTTGATGACATCAGCTAGCTCCGTGGTAGGTTGGATATAAGGTATTATCGTATCTCTGACCAGCGTCCTTTGCTCGAATGCGTAGGCAAGACCTATCAACAGTTCCTCGCTGAAGTGTGCACCCATGAAACTAATGCCGAATGGGATATTCGGCGCGGTCGCGTTGAGATTTCCAAACCCATTGGGGACAACTTTCGTATCGGCAGGATATGCTCCTAATGGAACGCTGACCACCGGTGATCCTATTAGAGCTGGGAAATGGGAAGCAAAGCCTGTGGGCAGCACAACAGCATCCAGTGAATAGTTCTTCAAAGCCCCTGTCACACCAAGGGGACCAGCGAGATACCTGTTGAGGGTATAATTTGACCAGAATTCGGGAGACGTGTTACCGAGTCCTTGCTGCTCGACTGCTTCGTCCCAGATCATAGTATCCCGTTCTGGGAAGTCCTCACGAGGATCTGATTGGGTGAAGTTCCGCAGGTCTGCCACAGAATACACCTTGTTGGGATTTGTCGAAAGCTGCGAAAGGTATTCCTTAGGAAGATCACTAACGAAGTCCGCTTCGAGTACGACGCTGCCGTATGGATTCTCGAGAGCAGCCTGAAAACCTGTAAAATTGGTGCTCTCAACTATTGTGGCACCAGCAGATCGCAGAATATCCAGAGCAGTGTCGAACGCGGCAATGACTGGTGCGTATGAAGCATCGCTCTGCAGATCAATCACGTTGCGGGGCACTCCGATACGTTTTCCATGAAGAGCAGAGAAAGTGCAGGCGGCCACATAGTTCGGAATATTGTCAAATGGAATGGCATCAGTGTAATTGTCGTAGGGGGATTTTCCAGCGATTGCTGACAGTAGGTAAGCAGCATCTAGCACAGTACGGGCCATTGGACCAACTGTGTCCTGGTGTTCCGATATTGGTACGACGAGATCCCTTGATGTTAATCCGACTGTTGGTTTGATACCTACAATGTTGTTCACATCAGACGGTGAAATGATGGACCCGTCTGTCTCTGTTCCCAGACATGCCAGAGCAAGGCCTAGTGAACTGGACACAGCACTCCCCGAAGAAGAACCCGACGGATCCTGGCCGGGATAATATGCTCCCCGAGTCTGTCCTCCTATAGCAGACCAGCCGTTGCTTGTATTGAAGCTTCTGTAGTTAGCCCACTGGGATAAATTTGTCTTGCCCAAAAGGATTGCTCCAGCTTTTCGGAGTTTCGCAGCCATTGTACTGTCTCTCGGAACCTTTGTTCCAGCCAAAGCATAAGAGCCGGCAGTGTTTGACATCTGGTCCGCTGTGGCAATATTGTTCTTCAGCAGGATTGGAATTCCATGTAGTGGACCAAGGATGTTCCCTTGCGCTCGTTGAGCATCAAGTTCTGCAGCAATCGAAAGTGCATCGGGGTTGAGTTGTGTCACTACGTGCAAAGTGTCATTGACCTCCATGATTCTCGAAATATAAGCCTGGATTCATCAGCCAGAGCAATTATCTGCAGTGACAATATCAATACTTGAACCACATCTACACTGGTAAACCAGGCCATCTCATAGCCATGAATAAGATGCTCTGTTGTAACTTCGATGAGTGATGGGAATGAATTGCCGTCAATTGCAGTGCTCGAATTCCAAACAAGACATGGTCTAGCTGCAGCAACCAGACCGAGCAATTGGCAAGCAACAATGCTGGCTGTTAATATATTTCCACCTGAAAGTGCCATTGTGCTCGGTGATCGCAAGAAGGAGCAAGATTGATTGACGGCATTGTCTTTGAAAAAGTTGAGAAAAAGCATATTTATCTATGCTGATATGCCACAAGATCATCACGTCGTCTGCGAAGGCTCTTTTGATTGTAGATCATACTTGTCCATGACAGGAAGGTGAGCAGAATCTAGATCAGGTTGATGCTTGCATTATCGTTCCGAACATGCTTTGATTTGCAGGTCCCTGTGGAGCTTTTTGCTGCCTGGCGACACACTTGGAAGGTCGTCAAGAAAAAGGTGGGGCCTCTATGGGTGGGCTTGGCCTTCCACCATCATTCCGTTTTCCTGCATATTCAGTGGCTTATTCATTGTGTTCAACCCAGATGCCTTCTAGGACGTTTCCCATCAACATCAGCTGGCATGCCTGTTGATGGAAATAAGACCTTACGTAGAGCCAGAGACCACCATGTGCCAATGTCAAATTGGGGGGACTGCATGATCTAAGCCGTATCACTAAAATCTGAACCATTCAATGATGCTATTTGTCAACAAGTGTTGTCTTTGTTGCAAGTCGTTTGAGTTCTCTTAAAAGCCCAACAAGCAGCGGTAGACCAATGGGGCCCAAGAGTGGCAGGTACACTGCAACTTTGTGTTCGTCCGGAAAGTACACCTGGCCAACCATGGACTTATCGAAAAAGGCTTTCTCGCTGTCCATGTATGCTGACTTGGCGTGGCTAAGGGCTGCGTGCCACTGGCTCCCTAGGAAAGCCTGGCTACATGCTGTAAGGTTGCCAATGGTGTCGTCGACTAGCTGTGCAACATTTTTAGGGATGGGGATATTGTTGAGATGCTGAGCAAGACGAGACAAAGAGCCCAGACTTGACGCCGCTCTTAGATACAGGGTCAGAGCGGAGAGTCTGTTGTATGCACCTAACCGAAGATGTAGAGGTAATGAGCTACCGAGCTCATCGATATTTGAGATCCCCAGCAAAGACAAAAGTTGCGCTGCAACGATTTCAAATGGTTTATCAAGAACACCCGCGCTCAAATGATGCGGCAGAGTCAAATCATCGTTCATCGGATTGGGGGTCAGAACGGGATTCAAGATCTGAATGCCTCCCCATTGTGGAATTAACCACGACGTCGTACCAAGACCTGCAATGCCTAAAGGCACTTGGTCTCTTGAAGGAACGTATAGGATGAAGTTGATGGTCGGGCCATCTCCGATCGAGGGAGCCAAAGGCCACTCCGCAGCATTCACAAATGCTGTAAGATCCTTTTGTTGGAGCAATGTGCCATTTCGAGAGTCATCAGTAACCGGGTGGATTGCGGGAGAGTAAGCAGAATACAATTGGATCTGCGTAGTGATCTCAAAATTTGCCGTCTTTGATAATGCTCGAGTAAGAGGTTGGATATGGTTTTGCAAAGCTGCTTGTATGTCCCAGCTGGATGGAGCACCACTTGCAGCAAATAAGGAGAAGGTCAGATGGAAATCTGGGGAAGATTTATAGGCCCGATTGATTTGCTTTTCGACACTCGTCACAATTTCGTAAGGTTGGGATTTTAAGAACGCCTGAGCATTCTGGTTTTGAGTAGTGGAAGCTACGGTATAAAGCGCAGCCGCTATCTGCTCGAATCTGAATGTTTGATACAACGCTTGTGCAAGATCTTTCATTTCACCAGCAACAGCATTGGAAGGGATGTGAGCAAGTGCGGTTGTGGTCGATGTTTCCAAGTCGAATTTGAATGCAGAAGCTGGCTCAATAAGGAGCTTCAAGGCAGGCTCGCCGAGATCCTGGTCTCTGCGATCTCCACCACACCTTTGACTTATCGGCACGGTACCATCTTCTTTCCTACGAGGAACAGGAAATGGATCGACGAGATGTAAACGCTGGTGGAGTATGGGGTATTCATTCATATCGTCAAGAATCTTCTGAATCTCGTGCACGATAAACTGCGCTTCGTCGCAAGGAAATTCGGGAGCGCTGATCCATATATGCAATGGGTAGGCGGAAGGGGCGTTCTGCAAGCTGTGGTCAGCACCAATGCAAATAGGAACCATTGATGGCGACATACTGATCCCTCCGCCCAATTGAGCATTTCCTGAAGTGGAAGCTCTGCCCTGTAGATGGAGGTGGTCTTCCACCATGTTGGCAGCCCTAGTAACAAAATCACAGCCCAGAATGAGAAGACAACTCTGGTCCGCACCCGGATTGCTTCTGGTTTCTCCGGTGGTGGTTGTTTAGGGGCGGCGGTAGCAGCAATGGCATCTGCAGGCAATTCCATTGTCCAAGACGCCTACAAAAGGCATGCGGAGTGATTGGGCGTATATCTCAATCCATAGCGATAGCAATCAAGGGGTCTGGGGGACAGTCGCCTCGTGGCATGCTGTAGGTGAGGACACGGGGCCCAAGATGGAAATTCATCAATGCGAGTCATGTCCCGGCACGGATAAATGCTTCATGACTCAGTCCACCAGGCTGAGATAATTTCCGCCATCGTCACCATTCGAAAACCTATCGACGAGCGTTTCTTCATCAAATATGCAAATATGATAGTTCAATAACACCTTATTGTGTTTCTTTTTCTCAATTTAAGCCGGGAACTGATCGTGCTGGGCGATATGATCGGCAGGCGAGTGCCGTCACTCGTGATACACCAGTCGTCTTCTATAGCTTGGTCAAGAGCAGCATTCAACTCAGCTTGGACCAATACCTGCCATGGGCAGAGATATTTCTTCGACTCTTTACTCAGCTCAGCCCTAGGGCCATGCCCATTGAGGTCGTTGACCCATACGAAAACTCTAGCCTACCCATCAACGACAATTTTCAAGGCTGTGTCCGATGTTTCTGGCTATCCAGCATTTCTGCCCTTCACAATCTCCTCAAATGTCACGATTAGAGATCAAGAAGGCTATCCGACTCGCGCAATATTGAAAGTTGGCTACGCAAAGCTCGGTCTTGAGGAAAATTGGGACAGTGTCGTCCGCTGTGACCCCAGAAATGGAGTTATCGAGGCAAGGAGCAGCGACGAGACTAGCAATGGCCTCTTCGAGGTTCTCAACACCAAATGGCATATCAATGCATTACCAGAGGCAGGCGAGGAGCAAACTTCTGTTCATTTGACTGTTGATGTGAAGTTTCGGAACCCGGTTTATGACCAAATGTTCTCCCAGGTGGAGGGCAAAGTTGCCAGCTCGATGATAGTTGCATTCGAGAAAAGGGTGGCGGAGCTCCAGCAAAAGAAACAATAGACCCAACTCTCAATGTGTGAGAGTGTGTTCACCTTGTTTGGGAAAGCGTTGATATTCCTTGAGTCTGGTAGCCTCTTGTGAGACACGGCGATTCCTCTAACTTGCTAAGAAAAAAGAAGATGCAGAGTAAGGAGACTCGCGGCTACTTGATATCACAACATTGATTGAGCATAGTATGAACCATTAACAGGCCTGGGCGCCTGTGAGTGGGATGTGCATTGCATCGCAATCACGTCTGTTTGACCCAGAGATGGAATGGAGCTTCCGTATTCAGTACACTGTAATTTTATTCCTCACACTTTAGACTAAGCAAAGCTCAGATATTTCAGATTGTGCAGCGAGCATCGTGCGTAGCGCTCGCTTTGTCGTTAGAGGGGTGGACATCACCTTGATATCACTACGTACCGATGGAATGGTTCCAATTTTTTCAGTTTCTGGCGCATAACAAGACGTTGCTAATTGACGGACCCATCGTGCCATTCCAAAGATGGTCCGATACTAGAACAATTACTTGGCTTGGTTCAGGAGATGAATCCGAGTCGTGGGACTGTGTTGGCAACGGCAGCATGTGGAACAGGACGATGGGATGTGCATCAGGCGGTGATATAGCCATGTCACACGAATTCTCGCTGGTGAGAGGAGGACGTGTGATGCTCGCTGCTCCGGGGCTCTAAGCGGGTCCCTCGGGTACATACCTAAAGGCTGCGGGGGATTCCCAGAGCTCTCCAGGGGCTTCTTTGAGCCTATTGGCACCGCGAAGACACCCTCGGACGCCTCGGTTTTAGCGCAAGATTGTTTTATTAGGGCTCTATGCGGGCCATGCCACTAACCTCTCCTCTGTTTAGGATCAAAGGCCATCCCACCACTCACAGCCTCAAATCGACTTGATCACACCTTTGGCCCAATCAACCCACACATACCTAACCTCATGCATGTTTGCTGACTGGCAGAGATGTGCGCTGTAGCCGCCCACAGAACTTGCAGGTCTCTAAGGCCAGGAAACATGTGGTGCGCCATCAAATCCACCTGACCTCCCGGGCAGAGTCCCCTCCGAGCCAACTCAGAGTCACATTCTCTTGCTTGCCTTAAATTGCCTGCAATACAAGAGCAATCTGGCTACCCGACCTCTGTGTCTGTGTTTCGCCGGTTTCATATGTCGCTGCTTCGACGTCTCTGTCATGGCCAACTGGCATGACCGTCCTGCGACCGCCGCCCTCTATCTTGCCATTTGTCTGCTGGCCATCGCTGTCCGTCTCACCTCCGCCCTGCCGACGGTCGCCGGCTCGCCATGCGAACCCGTCTGTGCCGATGCTGGTGACCTGGTAGAAGATGTCGTCTGCCTTGATGCAGACTATCAGAACCTCGAGAACGGCCGCGCTTTTCGGGAATGTGTGTCCTGCCAACTAAATTCAACGGCAGTGGATACTGCAAAGAATGAGACGGACGTGGACTATGGATTGTGTATGTAACGGGCAACTGCATGATACTGGTGTACTGTTGCTAAGAACCGTCCAGTGGCCCTCCGGTACACGCTGGCTGGATGCATGTTTGCAGTCCCTCAATCACGTATATCCATCAGCAGCCCGTGTCAAGTGAGCTGCGCATCGCTGGATTCCTCAATCAGCTATCAGATTACAAACGACAGCTCCACCACCAGACCCGGTAACGAATTCTGTCACGCCGGGGATTTTTCCGACCATGTGATCAATACTTGTGCCTTCTGCTACAGCTTCATTCCTCAGCAGTTGTTCTTGGCCAACTGTATGTAGAAGGATAACACATATCGTGACAAGAGGAGTGGTACTAATGATTATGTAGTCCTACAAGCCCTTCACATTGTCTGCGTACAGCCGCACGTGGCGGGGAAGCCCTTCTTCCCGGACGCAGATGCCATATTCAACGAGACGTTGATTTCTGGACCCGCGCCGCCTTCGAGCGGTTCATCTTCAGGCGGCGGTTTGCATGGCTCCCAACTGGCACTGGCGATTGCACTGCCCATTGTTGGAGGTATTCTGATCATTGGCAGTACATGTTGGTGCTGTTTTCTGTTCACCCGCAAGAGACGTCAGAAGATGGCTGCAACAGGAAGAATGAGCAAAGTGCACGACGCAAATGCCGACTCAATGTATACGCCTGTGTCGCCGAGCATAAAGAATGCCGAGGCGTGGGGAGTAAACGAGCCACCACGTGAAATGCACGCCATCAGTCCAACCCTGCTGCATGCCAAACATCCTAGCCCAGGACTGGCCCAGGGCAGATGGAGTCATAATGCTGGAGGTTCCGAGCAAAGTACTCCACTGAGAAACAGTTTCCAAAAGGATGACGTCGGCCCTGGGAGCCATCAAGTCCGCGATCCAAATCTCCATGACCTATATTTTGGGGTAGATGAAAGTCCAGGAGTGGCCTCTGGTCCCAGCACTACAAATGGCCAGTATTACGATCAACAAGCAAGGTTGCAAGACAGGAAAGATGAAACTAAAGGCAATTTCCTCTGAAATGGGAGCGTTGTCGGCATCGATGGCCGACCATGCGTCAAACATGTGAAGAAATAGCTCTTTTATGAGGGAATTGCTTCCAATCTCTTGAGCCTAACGTTCATTTCCTTGATATAGAAGAAGCCAGCGCTTCGTCTCCGGTCATGAATTGTACTATACGATATGTGCTTGATGTGTCATCATGATCTGTTATATAATTCCGGGATTTCGAAGTTTCAATAGACCTTATTCCAACAGAAAGGATAGGTCAAATGTACACCAGAAGGCTGGCATATGTAAGTTGTTCTAGTTAGCTCTACCCACCTGAATGTGCCAGACAGACATGAGTGGTCATATTGGTGTTTGTATCTCAGAAGTTTTCCATGTGCTTGGGTGTGATCTATGGTGGTAAGATGTGGTACTTGAAAATATAATATAGTTTATGCTTTTCCACGATTTTAGACCATTGTATATCCTATGCCGCCAATCTCTTGGTGGCTGTTCTTTCTGGATGTACCAAAGGGTTTCTTGAAGTTGTCTGGTGGACTTCTTCCCCGCAGCCAGACTCGGGGACAAGTTTTTCCATCCGACGCATCATCAAAACTCCGCGCCTTGGCGAAGCTCGGATGGTGTTCACGTTCACGTCCATCGAAACAAAAGTTGCGCTGCTTGACGCCTGTAAACATTCCTCATCCTCACATCGGCCCCCCTTTACATGTCATTTCTCTGCCCTTCTTTTCTACTATCTGTCTTCCTCTCGATGCCTTGAACTGATTGCTTCCCCTTCCATTTTCGACCTTTGAGCTCGGAGAATCTGCACGGCTAGCATGGCTTCCGCTTCGTGGCTTAACCAGGATTTCGGGGATGACGACGAGGAGTCTGATAATGAATTCAACCCCGCCACTGGTGGTGTATCCGATGATGAGCGCAATGAAGACTCCAAACCTTCCCCGCCGAACCGACGCTCTTCCTCACCTCGTCGCTCATCTGCCTCCCCAAAGAATTCCAAACGTGAAATCGAGGACGAGGATGAAGATGACAACACTGCGGAAAACGGAGCCCACGACCGGGGCAACGAGGATGATGCCAAAGGGGATGTCGATGACGAGGAAGGCGATGAGGACGAGGATGAGGAAGAAGATGAGGACGAAGAAATCACAAATCGACCTCGCAAGCGCAGGAGGAGAGGCCTGAACCAATTCTTCGAAGAGGAAGCCGAAGTTGACGAGGACGACGATGAGCTGGAGGCCGATGAAGAGGACCTCGGGCCCGAATTCATCCAAGACACACACCCTGATGACGATTTACCCCCCGAAGCCGATCATGATGACCGACGACATCGAGAACTGGATCGTCAACGACAATTGGAAGCTTCCATGGACGCTGAGAAGCAAGCCGCAGCTTACAGAGAAAGATATGGCCGAAGGACAAATGCAGCGCTCAGCAACAGCTCCTTCGTGCCACAGAATCTGCTCATGCCAGATGTCAATGATCCAAGCATATGGGGTGTCAAGTGCAAGCCTGGAAAAGAAAAGGAGATCATCGTGCGTCTCAACAAGAAATATAGCGAGTCTCTGAGGAGTCGAAACCCCATGCGGGTGTGCTCGTTTTTTGAACGAGGCGACGGGCCTATGGCTGGCTACATTTTCGTCGAAGCCCGGAGAAAGATCGATGTTGATGATGCGCTGAACGGTGTATCTGACGTATATCCTCGAGGAAAAATGAACCTTGTTCCGGTCAAAGAAATGCCTGATCTGCTGAGGGTTACCAAGACCAAGGAGTTGGAGGTTGGGGGATATGTCCGCATCAAGCGAGGAATCTATACGGGAGATCTAGCAATGATTGAAGAGGTTGAGTCAAATGGGCTCGATGTCAACGTTCGGCTGGTGCCACGGCTGACCTACGGTATGGAAGAAGATCAAGGACGGCCGGGTGCTGATGTGAAGCGCAAACGGCCCAATGCTTTCAACGTACCCACCATCAATCTCGCCAACAGACCTCCTCAGCGTCTCTTCAACGAAAATGAAGCCAAGAAACGACACGACAGATTCTTACAACAAAATCGCGGCCTAAGCAAGAGGAACTGGATATACAAGGGGGACACCTATATAGACGGTTTCCTGGTGAAAGATTTCAAATTGCAGCACCTGATTACGGAAAACGTCAACCCTAGACTCGACGAGATCACCAAACTTACCAGGACGGCTGACGACGGCTCTGAACATCTTGACCTGGAAACCCTCGCGCATAGTCTCCGAAACACCACTGGAGACGGCAGCTATCTTCCTGGAGATGAAATCGAAGTCTATGAGGGTGAACAGAGGGGCACTATTGGCAGAGTTGAAGCCGTGACGGGCAACATCATTTCAATCATGGTCTCCGAAGGCGAACTCACTGGACAATTAGTTGAAGTCCCAGTCAAAGGCTTGCGGAAACGTTTCAGGGAGGGCGACAACGTCAAGATCGTTGGTGGTAGCAAGTATCGAGATGAAGTCGGCATGGTTTTGCGGATCAAAGATGACAAGGTTACGGTTCTAACCAACACGAGCAATGAAGAGATCACTGTTTTTAGCAAGGACTTACGGGAAGCCACAGATGCTGGCGGAGGTGGAGCCGGCAGCAGCAAATTCGATGTTCAGGAATTGGTCCAAATTGAGTATGTCTCATCATCCCTTGTGGTTGTACAGAAGACGCTAACAAGCTGATAGTGCGACGACTGTCGGGATTGTGGTCAGAGCAGACCGCGAATCCGTGCGCATTCTCGATCAGAATGGTTCAGTCGCCACACGCATACCTTCACAAATTTCAAAGATTGATACCCGCAAAAACACTGTTGCCACTGACAAAAACGGCGCGGAAATTCGCGTTGGCGATGTGGTTAAAGAGTCAGGTGGGGAGGCCAAAAGTGGTACCATCCTGCACCTTCACCGAGGTTATGTATTTGCCCACAACAAGTTGGGTATCGAGAACTCTGGCCTATGGGTCAATCGGTGCAGTAATGTCATCACAACGGCTGCCAAAGGTGGACGTATCACAGCTCCGACAACGGATCTTACCAAGATGAACCCGGCCCTTCAGATGCGAAACCGACCTGATGCATCGATGGCACCGCCTCAACGTCCTGGGCGTGACCCGCTTCAAGGCAGATTAGTCCACATCAACAAAGGAAACTATAAAGGACACCGGGCCATCGTCAAGGACACTACTGTTACAGAGGCTAGACTTGAATTGCAGACAAAGAACAAGGTTATCAATGTCCCCAAGAGCCAGCTTTCCATCATCGAGTAAGTTGCACTTCTATGCATATGGCTACGAGCTAACAAGATTACAGTACCAATACCCAGAACAAAACTAGATATGATGATTGGATCAGAAACAGAGGTGGCCCCCCGGCAATGCGTACAGGCCAAGGTATTCCAGGATCTCGTGTGCCTGACAGTGGTTTTGGGGGACGAACACCAATGGTCCCGGCAGATGGAGGGCGTACTCCAGCCTGGGGAACAGCTTCTCGAACACCAGCATGGAGTGGACCAGGAGGTTCAGGCCTCGACTCTGGCCGCACACCAGCTTGGAAGGGAGCATCAGGTTCACAGACCTCATATGGAGGTGGTGGAATGACTTCTTACGGAGGTGCTGGAAACTTCGGTACCAATACAGGTAGTCGTACTCCAGCATGGGCCTCTGGAGCGAAGACGCCCTATGGCTCAAGTGGTGGTGACGGCTTCGGAAACAGCAACTCTGGATTTGACGCCTTTGGGGCAGGCTCAAGAACACCAGCCTACAACCCTTCCTCTTCGCGTACTCCAGCATGGAGCGGGCCAGGAAATGCTGCTTCGGCACCCACGCCCGGTGCACGCCCTTATGATGCTCCCACTCCGGCAGTATCTGCACCAACACCGGCTCCGTTTGGCGACGATGCATATACCCCTTATCTTGCTGCGCCAACTCCAGGAGCCGGTCAAGATGCACCTACGCCAGCCCCGAATTTTTCGAAGAACGCGAATAAGGAGCCTCTCAAGCACAATCGGCTTGCAGCGTTCGATGCGCCAACGCCAGCGGCTAGCGCTCCGACACCCTACGCTTCTGGCGCTTTTGACGCACCAACCCCGGCGGCTGGTGGTCCAAGGTACGTCGACGACGATGAAGACGATGATTAGAGCAGAGATCTTCGCCCGGGCGAGAAGTCAGCGTGAAGACTTCTGCAATGTGGACCTTCCTTCGATGGTATGCTTATGCTTATCATTGCGATGCATTGCCCGTGCTTTGGAACTTGCAACAGGGTAGGCACACATGGATACAATCTGTACTTCTAATTCATCAAAGCCAGCGCATCTGCTGATTTCTGAGCCAATCCTTGCGCAATTTTGCATAACTGCAACTTGATTTTTTATTCACGTCCTCCTGCCCTAGTGTGCCATGCGATGTCTCTTAACACCCATCTTCACAACCTAGTTCTTTGGACTAACTATTCCATCACTCGTGACCCTGGACGTGATACATAGTAAGGGTCTTAACTACTAGGCGCTACTCTTTCGCTCCTTACCCCTGAGCGGCCGCGGCCCCCTATCTTCCCAGCGAGCCTTGCAACGATACTTGGATGGCGAGATACGGCCAAGGAGCAATTATCTCCTTCCGCTACTGGACTAGAACGCACGTCGGAACGAACTAGGAATTCATCCATTATTCCGCTGCAGACTACAGCCTGAATACAACCAGGGCTTCTCAATCCTGGAACCATGTCCTGTCCATCGCGCCCTGGGTTTTCTCCGTTGAGGGAAAGCACACTATTGAAAATGATTTTGCACGACGAGAATGGTTCGCGTTGATAGTTGGTTTTAGACTATCGCGTGAGTCAGTGTGTCAGTGCCGAGTAGTTACAGTAGTATCGAGGAGAGCCTCCTCGGTCCCTGCCAGTCCCTGGACTCGGTAACTTGGCGAGGCACTTCGGACATGGACCAATTCCTTTAGTATGCTGTTCTTCGCTTCCGGTGGCTCTCGGCCCCTCTTCCTTCCTCTGACGACGAAACCAGGTAGGGCAGGCAGGGTAATCTGTATCAGGAGAAACCCTCATCAAGCCCTTCAACAAAGGCAGGGAATAAGTAATGCCACAAGGACTCAAGGACTTAGTCGTAAGACAAACCCAGGGTCCTGGCTCTCAGGGTCCCCAAAACCGGGAACCAAGCTCGTTTCGCTGCCAAGCGAGAAACCGGGAGAATAACAACAACTTAGGCGTGCGAGGCGAGCGAGCAAACGATGCCGGCGGGCATACCAAGTCCGGAGCTGTGCTCGAACTGAACTTCGGAATCAGGGGACTGCGTCCATCTCAGAGAGTGGATAAATTTCTGCACAATTTACAGTAGGGTGTGAACCGAGTTAGCAGTCCGTATTCTCGCTTGGTTGGAAATGGGGATGGAGGGAATGATGAATTCAAAAGAGAGGCTCAGAGCTACGAGTACAGGGCAGGCATTATTGAGACTGGGCTTCGGTTTATTTTGCCATATGATTGAATACTCGGTAACCGCGTACCTAGATACTCCATACATAGGGTCGATTAGTTCATTACGAGATGCTCAGGGCCCTTGAGACCCAGCATTCTAGCTAGTTCGGACAGAGGAGGGTCTGTTCTGCCAATCTTTCTTCTTTCTTTCATTCTCGTTGTTTGGTTGTTATTGACATGGACAATTGGACTTTGTAAAGTGCGCCAGGATTGTTGTCGTGTTTTGGGGGCTATTCCATGATATGTGCCTCGTACCCAATTGCCGATCTCGATTGGGGAATATCTCCGAAACCCGCGAAAATGCATTTGCAATTTTGGGGTTCTGTCATTCCTGTAGGCGTCATGGATTGACTGGTCAATACGTTCATCCCAGTTCAACAACACCGACGAAACATTTTCATCTCTTGAGGCGGGACAAGCGATCCCAGGGCGCACGGCTAACAGACTCTCCTTCTGTGTCAGCAAGACGGGCTAACTGACTCCACATGTGTAAGGCTTTCCGCAGGGGCATTTAATCAGGCGTCATGCCAGGCTCGGTGGCTTCGTGAGTCGATAGCCTTTTAGTCCGTAACCTACGAAGCTAGAGCCTAGACGGTCTCCTACTCGACACGCCTTCGAAGAAAAATAACCGTTACCAATATCGATAGATAGATTGACACGACAGACAAGCCGATCACGTGTTGCGGACGAGTATCTTCATGGCTACATCTAGCACAGAGAGCGGTGCCACCACATCCCTGGGACACAAGTCAGCTACTGCTGCTGCGACTGTTACTACACCATTTAGAGTTCTCGTGACAGGCGGACTCGGATTCGTGGGCTCCGCGATCATACGGGCTCTGACAGAACAACATCCGGAATGGGATCTATATATTCTCGACAAGGAGGCGCCGCGATCGCACCGCAAGCCTGGTCCAGTGCTGGGCGATAATGTTGACGACGAGGACGACAAGCTTGATCTCCTACGCGGTTGCAAATTCGTGTCCCTGCAAGCGGACATCACGGACGAGGACCAGGTGAGAAAGGCGTTTGAGCAATCTAGGCCTCAGGTTGTTGTGCATACTGCGGGCATGATTCCCGGATTGAGCGAACGGTAGGTTTTGCTTCTTTCTTCATCTTCTGCTCGTGAAACGCTTGTTGGAACTTGGACCGTTGTTTGATACTCTTGTGTTTTGTATACTATAGGTCAATACCCTATTCCAGGGAACCGAGGCAAGCTCACACTTTCGTGTCCTTGACATGAAAGCCGTGGCATAGGCTGTGATTTTGCTGGGTTGATTAGGTAGAAAGTTCAGGCCATCCAATCCTCCCCTTCGGTCTGTGGGGCCTTGCACCGCAGATCTTTGCCATTGTGGAAACGTTCGCTACGGGGTGGAATATCTCTAGCCGATGAACTGCTGGTTGCTAACGTCAATCATTTGCCAGATATCTGCGACGGCTCGAGGCGGTCGTTAAAATGGTCAACGTCAGTGGAACTCAACATGTGGTGAATGCAGCAAGAGAGTATGGATGTAGGGCACTGGTCTACACAAGCAGCTGCACTGTCGTAACCGATGATCTCAACGGAAAATTTCCGAACATCGATGAACGATGGCCAGTGTCGAAAAGCTCATCCATCTACGGCGAGAGCAAAGCGGAAGCCGAGCAGATTGTTCTCAGTGCGAACAACACGCCGATGACTGATAAACTGGATCAGGACGAGAAATTTGGTAATCATGACCATGACCATGACCACGACCCTGATTTCCTTCTGGAACATTCGATGTCCACCTGTGTTCTCAGACCCTCGGTGATTTTTGGAGAGGGGGACAGTCAGCTCATACCCTCAATTCACGCCTGTATCGAGAAGGGGGAAACTCGTTACAGACTCGGTGACGGGCACAACATGTGGGACACTGTGTACGTTGGCAATGTGGCTGACGCACACGTACTTGCCGTTGAAAACCTGTTGTGGTATTATCAGCCAAGATTGGACATGAGCAATCCTGGAGTCGACAATTTGGGGGATGGTAGTATTGAAAGCGGGAGAGCGGCTGGCGAGACGTTTTTCATACAAAACAACGAACCCATTCCGTTCCGAGACTTCAGCCTCGCGGTTTGGAAGGAGTTTGGGCACATTCCAACAGGGATGGAGATTCCCATCCCAGAAGGATTAGGGTGGGTACTGGGCTTCCTCGCGGAAGCCTTCACGCGAGCCTCCGGCCAAGCGACGACCCTGTGCCGCGGAAGCGTAAGAGACGCTTGTGCGATGCGGTATGCCTCTGGTGACAAGGCTCGAAAGATACTCGGCTATCGCCCTCGAATAGGGCTGGAAGCGGGCCTCAGAAAAAGTTGTCGGGTGAGTCGTCCCCTTGTTGTAATCTTAGCGGAGCAGCGCAACGGGTGAGGTTGCTGCGCGAGGCTGCATTGGCAACTAAATTTGGACCTACGGCGTGCACTAATTAATGCAACGCTGATCAGGATTATGAACAACGGTATCAGAGGCGCAAGTCTAGTCAAGCATAAAATGTGTCGCAGGAAACCCAAGATGTCGGAGATTGTCATAAACGGGGAATCGGCTCGTGTTTCCAACGTGCTGGTTGTGTATGGAGCACACTACGGAGTACTTATGATTAGCAAGTGGTCACGGGCCGTGTGGACACGGACAATCTATCTTGACTGCTCTAGTACTACTCTCCCTCGGTGGACTCGCGTCGTGGATGGAATGGCTCGTGCGGGCGGCGGGAGGTCAGTAATCGTCGCTGTCAGCACAGAGAAGCAATTGCATGCAAACACGGCTGCCTAGACGCGTCGACGACTGTTGTGAGACCCTGGGAGCGCGAACAAGAACCGGCTCGAGTGGGAACAAACTTGTCTTTGGCCATTGACGGGCCCATTGGAAATCCTCACGATTCGGAGGAGTTGCGCAGAATTCAGGTCAACAGGCGTGATGCTTGCTTGTTGAGCCGAGGACTAGAGGACATTAGCACTGGGGGCCATATTCAAGAGAAGCATCGTAGCGTTCGCCAGTACGAGGTACCTCGTACTCCAGAGGCATACACGGGCAAGCAGCAGCTCCTGCCACGTAAGTCTTGTTCGGAGTGCAGAGACTAAGGGAGATGTAGCAGCTGCCTGGAGCTGGAGTTGATATGGGAAGATTAGGATTGCCGGATTGAAGCAATGAGACGGTGGCAGTGGACAGGCCTCTGCATGCTCCGTATTCATGTCAATCCACCCACATACGGGTAGTCGTGTGGTACTTCGGTGGCTGATGACGGCATTGGATAGCAAGGTGATGGTAAGGAGGGAGGTTTGAAATGGTCGTCTCAAGTTTTGAGCCGTTGTTCGCAGAATGACGTAGAGGAGGCTTGGCAGGCCAATGGGGATGCAGAACACGGCATCGCAAGTGGGACTATACTCTCCGATACTCTCCTTGTATCACCCCTTTTTCCTCATTTCCCACCTCCGCTGTTATGGTGCTCTGCTCCTCCATCCCCTCCACTTTCATTCTCCCTTGTTTCCTTGCCGTCCTGGACTCCCTGGGTGCAAAGTGTCCGTGCTCCCGAACGCTGGGCCACTTGCAATGTTCTTCCGCCTTCTTTCGAGCTTCCTTCGCTCTCGCTAGCCCCATTCTGCTCTCTCGCTTCGCTTCAATCGATCTCTCTCAGTCAATCATCCATCGTCAATTGTGACCCCGTCGTCGGACCACCGCTTGTCCGTACCTCTGGTACCCATGAGGCGCAACCCTGCCCTTCAATCTACAGATTGTCTAATTTGGGCGACGTACCCCAACTGGCCCATCTCAGTCTGGACTCGAGATTCCTCTCGTGTTGGCTGCTCCAACGCCTCCAGTCTGACCTTTCCAGATCGACCTCTTCCCCGAAACTCATTTCGCAGCTTCCTGCTTGTTGCATCTCATCTGACCTCGCGAAATTTGTTACCGTTGCTGCTTACACCACTTACACCAGCTCATCCGTATTCCCCGTGCGTAAGCGATTCAAGGTCTACCTTGCTATCGTTCTTTGCCAGCATCATCGCTGTTCCGTCCGTTATACCCTTCGACGGCGCCCTGTCTGGGATCATACTCTCGAGAATCACCGCCTTGACGCCTCACTCAAGCCTCAAAGCCTGTGTAGATCGTGCAATGATCGGCGAACTGCCACCCTTTCGGTTTGGGCATCATCTTTCGGCCCAATCGGTCCTGGTGTCCTCGTACCTTGCCTCAAACTCTGTCATCGACCATCTCCACAACCCTGGGCCCGGCGACTTTAGTCGCGGGAGCAAGTGCCTAGTTAACGGCCAAACTCTGTTCTGACTCGATGCTTTGCTACCGCTCACCCTCTAGTTTGTCATCGCCGTAAAGCAAAAACGAGACAACCATGGTGGCTTGGGGAGGGAAAAATCGGCACTTGGAGACTTGGAATACCCCTCGAGGTTTGAAGGGAAATTGACCTGCTAATGAGGTGCCTCACACAAATCTCGAGACACTGTTCCGTCAGACACCTATCTGGGCAAGCATCGCCACGGTTGGCCCAAGATGCAATGCCTGCAACCCGAACTCGCTAGGAACGCCTCCTACGCTCATCACCCGTCCGACCCACCACATCCAATGAATTGGTGTTGCGTTTTCGAAACGGTACCCTGCGCAAAAGCCTACTCAGCAATGGAGCCTAGACCTCTGCAGAACTTCACATTCTTTGCATTTTAATGCTTCCAGTAGGTTCGTGAGCGTGATGGAGAGCATAAATCAATTGGCGCTTATTGCCGCTGCGCATGTCTTGCAGTCAAACTCGTGACTGACAGCATCTGCGCCCTCTCTACAGGCTAGAGAGAAGTCGTCCATTCAAACACCTTCGGGCATCAGTCTTGCTGCCAGCGATTCTTAACGCGGATGGCATCGGCTCAGTGACGTGCCGCCGGCCGTGACGTGCGCAAACATCCTAGAAGAAATTAAAGAGCTTCTAGAAAAACTTGGTTTCAACGCCATCAGAACTCCATCTTGCTTGTGGCGCTCATTGTCAGGGTTTAAATCAACACATGACAATCTGCCAAAAAAGTGCAAGGTGAAAGCGGGAGAAGCCTGAACATCTCATCCTAGTTGTCGGCAACAGTCCCGGGGCCAAACGTCAGGAACTTCTGTTTCAGCCCCTGTACTAAAGGTGGAGCTCTGTAAGAAACTAGTAGCCTACCCCCCGGGATACGGAAGGGTGGGCATCAAACAGCTTTCCAGAATAGCACTTTTTATGGGCTTGGAGGGCCAAAGTCGCTTCCTGTTAACTCCACGTGCCCACATGACGAATACATTATCACTATTGGATTCACCTGGTTTGTTCATCTCTGGTCTGTCCGGTATCAAATATCAATGCCCAATACTTAATGTAGTGCCTGACTCAAAGCCCCCTGCAACCCAACCAACTCCTCTCCTATCAGATCTCAAGACAAGCGACACCCTATTCTATTTGTGACGCTCTGTCCTCCGCCTTCTCTCCAACCTATACAGCACTTCGGTCAATCCTGAGAATGTTGGCATTGACCTCTCCGATCAGCAATCTACACACATCGTACTCTGCAGGACTTGCTCCCGGGGTACAGTTTGCTCTTGACTTAACAGACAATACCATGGGCATGTCCGACCACCAGGAATTTCTACTGTCCCGGCCACCAGACACCGCCACATTGAGACCTGCCGTCGATAGTCCATCTCCCTTTTCTCTCCAAAGGTAAGTGCACACGGGCGACAAGACGCCATTCAACGATCGTCGCTAATACTTCAACCACAGCAGATTTACGCCGTGGTCCACCGCAGCGTACGATCCTTTCGCGGGTGAGCCCATGAATGGGCGCATTTCCCCTGAAGTAACAGAAAGACTACGAGGACGACTGCCTCCAGAGATTCATAGTTCAAATCGTGGGCCAACGTCGGCTGTGGGCGAACCCTTCCGTCCGCTATCATTTGGATCCCAATCTTCAGCCTTCACTTCTGATGCTGGGTCGTATCACTACGGCCCACCACCTAGGTCAAACCCTGACGATCAGACCATGGCACTTCGCAGACAGAGCCAGGACAGTTTTGTGCTTCAAACTGGCTCGCCCACAAGTCAAGGTTATGCAGACTACGAATTGGAAACGCAGAATCGGAGAGGAGCCGAAATGGGTAGAGCAGCTCGCTACCACACTCGACGGAGGCCGTTCAATCAGGACGAATTCGATGGCCCGTCACAATTACTCCCTCTCCCAGTACCCCAACAAGAGCACGCTCGATCTCAAACCCTTCCGACGCTTCCTGTTCACCTAGAACTAGAGGAACAGGATGAGATCGTTCTCCATGTTAACGACATTCTATCCCGTTGCGCCTTTCACTTTGTAGCAAAATACCAATTTCCTATCCCGCTGGAGCGAGACAAACCACGAGTCCGGACCGCAGCGGATCGTGAATGGACCGAATGGGCCTATCTTCTAAAGAGGCTCGCAACAAAGCGGAGGATTCCCGCGCGGGTCCTCTACGACAACCAGATTAAGCAGTTTGTTACGACATTAGAGAACTCAATTGCCGTCAGGCAGAGCAGTAGAGGAGATCAACAAACCAGAACCCCCAAGGACGACCGATACATGTTGCAACTTGTCAGTGCAGGGACACAAGTTGCAAGAATTTTGATGGACTCGTTGTCTATGGAACAACTCGATGCTCTTTATAGACAGACTGAGAGCGTTATCCTCGAAAGGAGAGCCAGACTCAGAGGGCTTGGATTCCAGTGAGAGATTTTACGCTGCAAACTTTCAGGTCTTTTGGTCATTTTGCAAGCTATGGATGTGGGAAGACTTTGTGCTTGATTTCTTACCCATATACTCTACTCGTGGAATTTTGAATCCATTGCTGATAATTGCGGGTCAATGGATGCTCATATGCCACTCTCACATTGCGAAGGAAAACGAAGCGGTGCGAGTACTATGTACTCATCAATTGCGTGTATTCTTCACTCTCCCAGGACCATTCGAGGATGGTGAACGCACTAATGGTTGGGTCTTTGAGCCTGACAACACAGAACAGGCCTATAGCAGGCCAACACTTGATTTAGTCGAGTCTAGCCTCACTTGCAGACCGCCCCTCTACCTTTCCGACAACCAATTCAACTGCCACAAATTCTACCTAGGTAGACTTGGGATTCGGACTCACTTGTACAAGAGACTACATCCCGGAGAAATGAAGCCGTTGGCGCTTGGGATATCCCCACTGCGACGAGCACGGTCGTTCGCAACCAACTGCGCGAACCAACTTCACGGGCGTCCACTGATACAGCAGCGATTGTCGTCGAAATGAGCAGTCCTGTTGGAAATAAGCAATGCTGCATGAAGATGGTTAAGTCCTCTGGCTGCCTAGCTACCCTCTCTCCAGTGGATATACTCCCACTTCTTTGCTTGCATTCCGGCTTGAAGAGGGAGGAGGGGGCCGAAGGGACGAGGAGTGGCCAGCAGGGGAGGAGAATCAAGTGCACTGCCCTGTCTCGCAAGCAAGCCAGTGTTGGCAAGCAGACTGACCAACAGGCCACTCCACTAGGTGACGAGCTTTGCCGACTACTGTGTCAAACTTCGACGAGACATTCCACACCGGTCTGAGCAGAAGGAACAGACTCCTCCCGATCTTCCACAGTGGGAATCTGTACGAGTACTGAAGCCTTCCTTGATTCAGCCGCCAGGCTCAGCCCAAAGAAATGCCCAAACTAAAGGAAGCCTTATTGTCCGCGCCAACGACCTACCATACCCGCTCACCATACCGATCGGTCGAGTTTCAGATCCGCATTGTCAAGAGCATGGTTCAAGAAGAAGAATATGAGAGAAAAACAAATCGGATACAGCGGAGTGCAGGACAATGATCTCGCTTACACGGCCCACTGGGAATCTGTGCAAGCTTTCTTGCTTCCTACCAACTGACGACAGTCTTCAAGCGACAGTTGACTTGAGTGGTGCCTCATGTTGTATTTCCCCCACAGGGACTAAACCTTACGAAAATGCCTTATTAGAGGCAAGATATACGTTCTAGACGAGCTTTTTCCTGCTTGGGCTGCGACGTGGGCGTGCTGGTTCTGCCCGATTTAATGATGCTTATGACACCCAATACTAGATAGATAGACGGTGGGCTTTCCCGAGAGAGGAAGAGCCAGGGAGACGCAGGTGGAAAAGCGAAGAGAGTTTGGAGCCCAAAGGCGCGACGGCAAGATCGCCAGGACGATCTTGAAAGGACGGGGCTTCTCTTCTCTCGCCTTTGTCAGTTGTCAACAATGCGTTTCAAGGGATGACCTTGTTGATCAAGTCAGGATCTACAAACATGCTTGGTAGCCGTTTTTCTTTATATCCAACAGGTGATATGCCGGGACCTTTTTGCGATGCAGATCACTGCGAAAAAGAAACTAATGTATGTGCCCTATGCTTTGTACTTTCAATATATGAGAATTCCTCTCTACCTAACTCAGGCTCTCCAGCCCTGGGAATATTCAACTGCAAGGCATGGCAGGGAGTAGAACTGGTGGAGCGGTGGACACGTACAAAGCAGGAAAGTTGTCTGGGCAAAAAGAAGCCGTGTTGCCCGATTTGCCTGCGTTCAGTTCTTGAATCGAGCGCTTGCATGCATTGCTACCTAACAAGCTGCCCGCCCAAAGTAGCATATGGATTGGTGGGAGGGTGGGCTTGCCAGTGCCTTTGATTCCTTTTCCTTGTCGAAAGGGCACACATCCGAAGTCTTTGCGCGATTGACTGGCCTTCGCTCCGGACTAAAGATACCATGACAGGTTTGGGGCGTACGCTTGTTAGCTTCCTTTTGTTCGCCTGGGCCCCTTGCTACTTGTTACTCGTAGTCGCCATCGAAAAACCACATCCGAGAGATCGGACCATCTAGGAGGCATTCCTCAACAACGTCAAAATTCGTTCCGCGTGAAGCTTCCCCTTGTTTTTGGTGGCCTGTCAGCACGAGTCCTTTCCCATCACCCGACCTTTTGGATTTGATCCCAAACGACTTGGCTCTTGCGCCCAAAACAAAACCGGCAAGAAGCGACAATGTGGTAGGATTAAGGGGAGAAAATATTGCAAATAACTAGCGAACAGATTTCTTCGATCCGTGCTTTTCCGAGTTAGATCTCTCGTAGTCTAACCCATTGCAATGCATCGGCCTGGAACTACTGGTTCTCCAGGAGCGGTCAGCAAGGGCGAGAGTTTCAGTTCTCGGTTGTTTGATCACAAAGTCTGCCAATACCCATCCTCAGCGGCGAATCTTGACCTCCAAAAAGTCCATTTCCGTTTCCAGACCTGCATCTCGCCATTTGACCGGAGCCATGACTAAGCAATTCTGAGCTGTGGCTGTGCAGTGCTGACGTCAACCTCTCTTTCAAGCTGATAAATGCTGTCCGCGATTCTTCAAGGCTTTGCTCGTCCGCTAGACGCTGGAGAATCACACAACGCATTGGCAATGGATTCAATCAGAGAGTCTGTCTCGCTCTTATCCTATGAAGACAGAAGAACGGATGCCTCTTGATATACGACACCGTTGCTTTCAGGCAGCTGCTATATCCGGAAAACTTTCGACAGGAGCCTGTCGGCTTCAAGCTTTCAGTTTAATTTGAGAAATTCGAGGTAGTTAGGTCTGCAAGGATGAATGGTTCTCTCTATGCTTCAGCGAGTATCATCATCATTTTCGAGGCAAGACCTTCGTCTTCCTCTTTTCTCAAATTCGCTTTTGGAAATACCACCCTCCGGAGCCTGTATAACCATGGTCCTAGTGGCTCATAATAGTACTGTGAGGCACCTTAAGGAGTATGATGATATCGTTAAAAAGAGCGCGCCAAAGATGATAGATATAAATCTATTCAATTAGTAATTACCAGATGCTCTCCTTATCTATCCCTCCGCTAGTAGGTATTAAATACTCTTTCTTCATATATAACTTCCGTTGAAACCGAAAAGGTCTTCTCCTTCGCTAGCAGAGTTCTTAGAGCAGAGCATAATAGCTTATCAAGACCTTAGAGATATTACCTTACTACAAGTATTGATTAATACAGGGACTTACTTCTTAAAGCGGAGCCCCACAAGGGTTAAGCTAGAGGACAATTTACTAGCCTAGCGTACTATAAAGAGCTAGGACTCGGAATGGGAGTGGGGTTCGAGTCCTGCTACCACACTGCGGCGGGCTCGGACTCGGGACTCGATGAATCGCAAGTTGGCAGCGCTGCGCGGCGACAAGTCTTCTCTTCTATGTATCCGTCGTATGAGATAGAGTTCAACGAGACAACGGGACAACGGGACTGACAAGTAGGCCCGCGATTGGGTCGAGAACTGCAGCAACCAAGTTGAAATATGTGGATTGAAATAACACGGGTTCTCCAGGGGAAGTCGACTCCATGAGGATCACCCCTGTCAAGATGGGTGAGGTCGAATTTCACCACGACCTCTTCCCAACTGCAGTCAATCTTTCGCCGCGAACATACCAGCTTGCCCTTTCCTGTATGGTTCTGACTTGCTATGACCTTTACATGTCGAAAGCGAGATCTCTCAGGGAGACAAGGTACCTGAGCGAGGTCCTGTTGGTGCTTCTCGACAGGAGGATCGAACGGGCGGCAATCAAATTCCAAATTAAGATGATCAAAGAATCCATTCTCTTCCAGCGTTATGACTTTTTGAGTATTGTGTGCGATCACCACACCGTCCCAGATGCCTTCCCTGTGGGGTGCGGCCAGGAGCAATGCAATGGCCTGTCTTCTAAGCCACGGCACCCTGCATTTCAACGCCACGTAAGACAGTGGCGGGATCGTACCTATGTCTATAGTGAAGCTGAAACCCGTGATCCGACCATCGTTGGAGAACGAACGGTGGTGGATTTCGCTAGCCTTGCGATAGATCTCGACCGCTTGTGCGAGGATCGACGTGAACGCAGAGGTAAACTCATCGAAGCATGTCTCTGACGTTGAAAGCATGGTTGCGACTTGGATAGACACCATGGTATGGAAAATGCGGAGCAGTGGTATGCCGAGCGACAAGGGGGAGCGAGTTGTTCTCTGTAAGGTCTCAAGGCTGGCCGTATATGTCTCGAGCCAGGTCGACATCGCAGCCTGAAGAAACCGATGTTGTCTCACAATATCTTCTGAAAGCGGATACCCGCCCAATTCAAGGCGCCGGCGTCATTCGGTCAGGGTAATGTTCAATTGCATAACTTAGTCGAATGTCCTTCGAGCCTCGAACATATTGACAAAAGTTAAGAGGAAGTTTCCAGCTTGGGACAAGGCTCCGCTCTTGGGGGACATCCGCTAGAGCGCCCACGGTCCCCATATGCGCTGATTGGAGATTCTGTCGGGTGAAAGCCTCGATCAAATGGTCATCCACCGATTCAGGCAATCTCCGGGCCTCAAAGGTCTGCCGTCTTGATCCTTTCTAAGTCTACAAAGCAGATTCAATCCATAATGGATATAAGTCACCGCAGTCGCGTGGTCGCCCCGCAGCAGTTCGAGCGACACATAGAGTATGCATGCAACTAACGGTGTCCGTGTCTCTGCGAGATCCTCTCCGTGGAATTGACAATTCCGCAACTGTGCGATGCTCTTATTATACTGTTTCAAAGCTAAAGTTTCGTACACATCCAGCTTGGGGGTTTTCCCGTAACAGACGTATGATGAAGGAACTGTACTCCCGTAGAGATTGAGATCAGCGCTCTTGTGAGCAGAAGCAAGCGCTATAGCGGCGTGTAGTATTGGCAATTTGGTGGCGCTTGCTTGTACGACCAAGTCCGCCCAGAAATGTGAGTAAAAAGACTCCCGGCAAGTCGAAGCAGCTTCGTTCGGCGTACGTGATGTTTTGGAACGGAGTTTTCGTATGGTGCACGGATAAAGCTCGCACTGTAGTGAGTATGGCTGGGGTGATGGAGTTTCTCATTCGTTTGATAAGTCTGATCGTTGTTGCACTCCCCATTTGCTTTTGTTCCGCCCCCCAAACCCCGTAGCCTTCACAGACAAGTCTTGCCGCCAGACAGTTGGCACATTCTGGCCATTGCTCTCCACATTTTAAATGCCTCTTCTTGCAAGTACGACAGCCTGTTTTGGTTTTCGACGCAAACTGACGTTTCCTTGTGCCAATGGCGTCAACCATGATTTGTCCATTCCAAGAGACCCCTTCGAGTTGTCTGCTAGATATACATGTGAGATAGCCGGATGTCGTAAAGGAAGCTTGATCATTGGCGGTCCGCAAGTGCCAAAACGCTTCGAAGCCGATCGTAAGTCCGTTGTATCAGTGGCTGAGACAACCCCTCTCTGCGGCGAGTGCCCGGCTGACGGCTAGACACCCATTGGCTGTTTCCTACGTCTCGAAGTTCCATTGGCTGCTGGCCAATGGATCAACGTTTCTTAGCGAGCAGTGCCGGGATGGGTTCGTGGACTCATCTAGGAAATTGCGTTTGCTGCCAGACTAAAGATATTACTCGTCTATAGATAGTCGGTCTAAGGTCGCTTCAGGTCCAATCATGGGCAGGAGGATCAACCCTCTTCGAGGACTTGTGTGGAGCTAGGCGTGCTATTCCTTAACCACACCGGAAAGACAGCATGTGGAACGGGAGGTTACACAAGGACCCAGAGAGATGGGCCATCGAGTCATAGCCAGCGTCATAGGGGAAGTCTCGTGGGCAGGTGCACTGTCAATTGTGCGAGGCTGGGCAAAGCTACCAGAGCCATTGACTCTTGGGGTTGACTTAGCTTTGGGGAGCAAGGGAAGCAGAGGCAGAGCACTGCTAATAATATTGTTGAACCGGGGGTAACTCCAATCAATCATGGTACCTGAAGACCATTTGAAATACCTACGAGATCTCGCGCTCAGGTCCATATCAATATTCAGCTTTGCCGCTCAGCCTTGGCGGGCTACTGGGATTGCACCACTGTTACTGCAACGTTCCAACGAGCATCTTGACGACGTAGGCGTTTCACCAGCAGTGTCAGCTGGAGCCTTCCAGGTGTAAAGACTGTCACCGTACCGTAGTGAGTCTATAGCTCTGCACGGACAACTGGATTCAATGGATCGTTTAAGAAAGGGATACCATTAGTGTTTATTTTTCGCAGTCCAAGCAGAGATCTAAAGTGGATATCGGATTCTTTCGTAGATTCCAGCACAGGCAAGCAATATTATAAATCCAAGCGAAAAAGCATCGGAATCCGCAAACGGTTCCAAAATGGATTCGATATTGGGAACGTGGAGTACTGTGACAAGCATGCAAATAGCAATATCAATCCTCATCCTTCATACATCCCAAGGATATTTCCATTATTCCAAGTGTATCAACCCCACAATTTGGAAGCGCTGAGCCGACGTTTGAATTTGAGGGAGGAAAGACGAAGGAAAGTTTCGACGGACTACGCTGCATTGAGTGGGGACCGAGTTCTTACACGAGCGAATGAAACAGCATCCTGTACGACGCTTGTCAGTTACTGACGCCCTGTGACTAGGGTCTACATGCCCCAGTGTTGAACTCCAAACCTTCAGCGAACTACTTCTACAGAGTGTATTCGAGCTTCTGCATTATCAAAATGACTTCTCCAGGCTCTCCTAGTGAGCGCCCGCAGAAAATTTCTGGCGGCTGCCTCTGCGGCTCCATCAAGTTTGAGGTATCTTTCTCAGAGTACCAATGGCCACCCGAGGTGTGTAAGATCGACAGAGTGAATATCCAGTGTACTGACACCAATGCAGTCAGCAACGTGCCAATGCACGATGTGTCGGAAATGGACTGCAGGGTTAGTGGCACAATTCATTGTTGTTTCTCCATTGCAAATTACGCCGCCATTGGCACAATCTGTATACTACAAAGAATATCAGTCGTCGCCCCGAAGATTTCGGGGGTTTTGCGGAGAGTGTGGGAGTTCTTTGATATGGCGATCCGATGACAAGGTTGATACGCTGGATCTCTTCCTTGGTACCATAGACGAAACGTGGCTCCTGGGTGCGAAGGTGGAGGGTTCTGAAAGAGAGACTGCGCAAGGAATAGTTGTGGAAAGAGTTGGGGGCTTGGGTAAAGAGCTTTGTACGCCCAACCAATATCAATTTTACTATGCGAACGCCATCAGCGGTGTTACCGACCTGCTTGAGGGAGGTCAAAAATTTCTTCAGGAGAACACACATGGACTCTGGATGGAATGTGGTAAGGATGCTTAATCATGTATATTCCACTTCGATTTTCCATTTCTCTGGTAAGGCCCCGGGAACACTGAGGCTATGTTCTTATATCAATACAAACCGATGTAGACTCTTTGCACTTTCTACCGTGCCGTGCTATCTTTACGGCGTGCCGAGTAAAGTTCCCAGTCCTTCTCTTGGGCGACGTATGGCAACCATTCTATTGTTGCGCAACGGCCACAGTGGACTTTCGAGCATCAATCTGAAGAGACTCCCTAAAGACGCTGAGATGCAGCTTCGTTCACGTTGTTCTCGGCAGTGACTAGACACGCTTACTACTTTGAGGACCCTGGTCGCCAGATCAGGTGGAGCTCGAACGAAGAGAGAGGCACGGCAGCTGTATGTAGATATCAGCTGCCGAAACGAACGTAGCTAATCGTATCAAGGGCCGGTAGCAGAAAACCACAGTTATGATCTCAAGAAGCAGCTGTTTGGAACGTTCTTGCCCAACGGAAACAATGCTCTTCATGCCGATTGGCTCCGTCGTACACGGCATCACGTGATTGGACAACAGGGGCTACGAAACTGTGCTCGAGCCACGATATATCGCGTGCCATGGAGGGTTGAGCCATGTAAGTTCAATTTCTTACCAGCCCTGCTTGAATATGCAAATCAGCAATGCATGTCAGATTTTAAATGCCTCCGAACCGGGGAATTCCCCGTGTTACCGTCGCCATGTTCAATTTGCGCCAACGCAAAGACGACATCAGAAGGTCTTTCGGACACCCTCCAGCAACGTCTTCGATGCCAACACATCTACAATATGCCCCTTGAGTGACGGCTAGAGAGCCAGCGCTAGACCTGTTCTTGTTCGCCAATGTTGTAGAAAGAGACCCTTGCTTGTCACTCCTCTTTCAAGCCAAGTATATGTGGTCGAGGTCGTTGATTTGGCATGTATTCAGCATTTCTGTGTAATATAAAGTCTGATTTCGCCACCAAAGGTGTTCTCGGTCCTTCCCATGAGCCCAGAACGGTCCTTCTCTTCTGAATTTGTTTTCAGCCTATAAAATGGCGCATGATTATCCTCTTCCAACCCAACCCTTCATCGACGGAGAATACCTCGATAGTATCAGCAAGGACCGTTTGACGATTCAGTCTGCAGTGGACGACACAGTTGTAACAGAAAATAAGTGCCAGAAGCTCTGACTGTACTGTTCATAGACTGGCTTCACTAGATCTCCAATGTGCCAATGCTGCCGACGTCGAAGTTGCTGTCCAATCGGCGGAGAAAGCGCTGCCACTCTGGCAAGCAATGTCCCCGGTCCGTGTTGGAGAGATTTCAGTAATTGCTTGACTGACCTTTCTCTTCAACAGGAAGCGAAGAGGCATGTAATGATGCACCTAGCAGAGCTGATTGCAGAAGACGCAAAAAGGCTAGGGTATGCGGATACGGTGGTATCTGGGAAAGGGCCTGCCATAAGCCACCTCGAGGCCGCTGGAGCAGCTGAGATCTTTCGTTGTAAGTGCGTCACCATTTTGAACTGCATCAGCATCAGTGTGTCCTAAACAATACCCCCTAGATTATGCTGGCTTTACGGATAAGTTGTTACCGGGCGAATGTTATCCTTCAGATAATACGGGATTTATGAGGGTACGTCGAAGCAAATCCTGCGGGCTAGTACCCTTTGAATCGATCCAATGTTGACCTATCAGTAGTATGTCCGATACGAGTCATTCGGAGTATGCGCCGCAATAAATGCATATAATGCTCCACTTGCGACATTCGCTATGAAATGTCCTCCGGCGCTTGCGAGCGGCAATGTTATGATCACAAAGGCTAGTGAAATGAACCGTTTCGCCAGTTTGATGGTTGCCGAGCTTGCCATCAGAGCTGGCTTTCCACCTGGAGTTCTCAATGTTATTGTCGGCTCAGTTGAGGCGGGTGAAGCACTGAGCCACCATATGCGGATTCGGAAAATCAGCTTTACTGGCAGCATTGCCGTTGGCAAAATGATTCAGATGGGAGCGGCACGTTCGAATCTGAAGAAGGTTACCTTGGAGCTTGGAGGGAAGTCTCCAACGATTGTTTTCGAAGATGCCGACATCGAGCATGCAATCCAGGAGATCAGTCAGGGTTGCGTTTTCGGCATGCGAATATACGTTCATTCCTCTGTGGCTGACAAATTCATCAACGGTATGAGATCGCGTTATGAAATCCATGGCAAAAATCTGGGAGTGCTTGACAGCCCATTCGCCTCTCCCGCTTTCCACCATCGACAATTTCGCACAGTACTTTCCTTCATTGAGAACGACAAGAAGGAAGCTCAGCTGATCACCGGGGGGTTCGCCACGGAATTCAAGGCTGCTTTATCAGCCCCACCATTTTCTATAAGCCTATGGATGGCGCTGCGATCATGAACAAGGAGATTTTCGGCCCCGTCATATGCGTTGACACTTTCGACACGGAAGAAGAAGTCATCTACAAAGCAAATGATACCGAATATGGTCTTGGTTCCTACATTTACACCTCGAACATTGATCGTGCAATGAGGGTACTACCTCAGATTCAAGCCGGCGTTGTTGGTGTCAACACAATCAACATCCATTCGAAGGTGACGCCCTTCGGTGGTTATAAGCGTAGGTGGTCCATACCCAGTGTTTTGATTGTTTTCATAATGGCTCATACTGGCGCTTCACAGAGAGTGGCATCGGCAGGGAAAATGGTATCTACGCGCTCAAGGAATATTTGCAGACGAAGTCAGTGCACGTCAAGTAAGGACCGGACCTTCACTATTGTTGGGATATATCTAACGCCCGCCTCAGATATGACACGAGGATAATGGACGGCGAGGGAAGTGTTTTCACTCTGTAATAGTGACGAAGATGCCGCATGCCGATCTACCAGCGGGTCTGCCTCAGGGTATAAGACATGTGGTGGGAAATCGCGGTGCTGAGACCACCAAAGCTTGAAATGATGATGATTTCTCAAGCAAAGCACTTCCTGGTGGCTGTGAGAAGATCCTCCAACGTACGTGCATTCGGTATACTGAAGGGACATGGTTTGATGAACATACTCAGAATAAGAGGTATTCACCAGGCTGCATTGAGTGTGCCTGCTTGTAGGCTTCACTACTTGCGAGGTGGTATTCGGAGGCGTTCGAACATGTGACAAATAAATAATCAATTTTCATAGCATGATCAGCAATAGAGCAGTAAGTTATGCAATCACTGACGTCTTTCGACCTTGCATGCGCAGTAGATAGTCGCCATACTATCACGTCACCGGCCTTGAACTTCTTCTAACAAAAAGAATCCAGTAATACCCAAGTTGACAACACAAGCGGCTTGCTTTCTAATTCCAAGCGTGCCGTAATTCACTCGCCTAGATTTAGGAGAGCACGATTCTTCTTTTCTTTGCTGTATAATGATAGACTTGATGTGGTCTGCTTGAGTCATGTGCTGTCGAAAGAACACTCAAAGCCATGCAGCCACCACAACCAACGCAGCGCCAGCGAGTCCAACGAGTTGGGCTGTTGATTGGGTAGTCACAAGTGCCGCTGCACCCGTAAACTTAGCCGTTGCAGCCATTGAGCTCGTACTAGTAGGGCCTTCGTTCGCGGTTTCCACCATTTGTGGAAGTAGATGTTGAGATGGCCTCACTGGTTCCGGCGGCAGTCAAGGTACCCGTCACTCTAGCAGTGGATTCCAGCGCACCGGTGACCTTACTGACAATCGATGATGCAAAGGAACTGGCATCGGATGCGAGTGAAGAAGCGAAGGTCCCGGTCGCGCCGATTGCTCCGGTCACTTCGCTGGCGACCGAGGAAGCGAATGAAGATGCATCAGCGGATATAGATTCTGTCTCCAGCCCATTTGAAATGGTAGTACTTGCTCAGGAGAAGGCTGAACCAACTATGCTATCCAAATCCTGGGCTTGTATAATGGGAACCAAGGTAGTCCCAGAGAAGAGAATGATACCCATAGGATTGATGAGGAATACCCGCATGTTGAATGAAAGAAGCTTGCCAAAGGAATTTCGCAAGGAAGTATAGAGTAGAAGATCAAATTTCAATACTCGTGCAGAACGCAGCGTGGGCTTGTTGTTGTACCTTTAGAGGAGCACCGCAATAGTTTTAGGACAGAGTTGCGGCTTTTGTGCTTTTCCGAACACGGAATTGGCATAGAGCTATTCGATACAGGACGAGCAGGACACTCTGCGTCACCTTACGCGTCACTAAACCACCACCGGCTTTTATGTGCCGGATAGAGCAGTTCCGCTTGTAAATGAAATCGAATCTTCGGAATAAGCTGGAACTTCATGTCTATCGATGAATCCCGAGGTGTACAGTGGACATGGGGAAAGTTCTCTTCGCCAACATGTCGACTTAACCGCATCGATACAGGCACCTTTTCATAGCGTACATAGTAGTCGACCTGAACGGTATTGTCACAATGATAGATTCGGCGATCCGTTTATCTTGAAGCCGTAAGCATTTCTCGGTAAGATGTGCTCACCGGATGTCCTCAGAAATTCGTACACTGAGTCGGTGAATAGCTCATGCTATTAGCTCCTCGAAGTTTTTCTTCCTGGTCAGTAGCATTGCCCTCACAATCCAGCCTCTTCAGAATGCGATGTTGGCACCCTGGAATTCCAAGCATAAAGAAAGGAACGTTGAGAGACTGGATAATCCGCCAAGGTTCATGCTATTATCATCATTTGTTTCGTTCACGGCCTCCAATCAACAAGTATTCGTTGCTAGTACCCACTCAGCGAGTCAGCCATTCTGTTTGCAACGATGACACCCGCATCTGTGCCGAACACTATTGGACTGCATGTGCGGAACTGCGAGCGTGAGAATCGTAACCCTCGAAGCAATCAAGATGACTTGCACTCGGCGGGGTGATCCATAGAGAGATGACGATGGAGAAACACGCAAGTACTATCGCAATCGGTTATAGATCATAGCTTTAGAACGGTAGACTCACCATGTATGCTTCCATATCTTCAAAGAGAGATACCTACAGAGTATACTTTAAGTGTCTAGCAATAGTAGGTCTTTGGAACCGGACTAAGTACAGCTAATGAGAACTATCAGGAGAGTAAGCAGGGGCCTCAGCAGGCCTGATGGTGGCTGAGTAGCTGATGCTGAGGCTGAGCCGAAGTTGAGCCAGGTCTCCTAATCCCAGAGTAAAGCGGCAAGGCACGATGCGGATTCGCCGTAGAATGACAAGGGTCCCAGGTCCCAGGTCCCAGGTCCCAGGTCTCAGTGTCTCAGTGTCTCAGGGTCTCAAGCCATTATTTGCATTGATTTCATGTTTCATATTTTCTACAAAGTAGTTTTGTGTGTGTTGGTTGGCTAGCCAATGCCAGACTCAGCAAGTTTCCAACATGAAACACTCAATGATGGGGCAAGGCCCATCGATCTCACAATCTGAAATCTTGAATCATCGAGCTCTTAGATCGAATTCGAGACGTAGTACGGATACTAGGATAGAGTTTCTGATCTCACGGTGCCTGGTCAAGCTCGGCCTCCAACATTTCGCAGAGACCGATTGCCGTCCGGATAGCTCAACCCCCTCCAAAGATTTGACCTCCAATTACCGATGTTGAAGGTATTTCCCATTTGCAGCCGAGATGTAAACTCGCAGCGGACGTTAAGCGAGCTGTCAACTGTTGTGTGCAACCCAGCCTGTTGAATCACAACTAGTCCCGGTGACTCTCGACTCAGCCCAGAGCGAGGACATACTATCATTTGGCCGCTTGACATTGGTCAAGATTGGAATGACGGTGTGAAAATTGCCTCGCTTCAATGCTGGCTTGCTGAGATCTGGGCATGCGCTTCGCTGAAGGCAGCCAGTAGAAGGCTCCGCATCCCCGTGCTCTACACTGGGGACTGCTGGCTATGTGCTTCCTCGCTCAACTGCTGTTGATGTGCCAATCCTCATCCCATGTCCACCTAAACTCTTCGGGTTACGAGGCAGATAAATCGATGTGTCAGTGCCTGTGTGATTCAGATTGAGGTGGCGATACTACCAAATAATGCCTTGCTGTGGTGCCCAACACCCGTCGTTGCTTCCTGAGTAATCGAGCTGTCGCAAAGAGAAGGCGCCTGTTCCTTATGACAGGAAGTGCAGATGAACCTATAGATCCCGCCTGTCATTCCCCCACACACAGATCCATCCGTGCGAACACTTGGTCTTGCTAGGCAAATCAAGCACTTTCTAATTAGGTCTTACATGGATCACGGCTCTATATGGCATTCCTTACAACAGCACGAGTCCTCAAAAAGCCTGATCATACCTCTCTCACGTCAAGCAGAAAACCTCCTCGGTGGTCCTGACCTGCCATGTCAAAGTTTTGAGACTGAATGCAGGGGCAGCTCGTCAAACGACCGCCCAATGTTGGCTGGCAAGTAAGTTCCAGATGGTATGTTTCCTGGTCGATGTCTTTTATTCTTTAACCCATGACCCATCTTTGTTCTACAATAATGGACAGGAAGATGAAAACCTCCCATAGACCAATGAACGATCCACCTCAATGTCCTCTTCTATTCCCCCGAAAGCTGCCGCCATCACCACCACCCTGCCTCTGGTGCCCCCGTCACGAGTGTGGTTAGTGCAACAAGAGACAATGTCCAAGGGCAGAGAAAACTTGGTTAGAAAGAGGGCGAGCCGCGTACCAAGCGGTTAAAAGAGACGGTAGACAGTACATCTTCTGTTTGAGTGCTTAATACGACCGATCGACGTTCTATAAGCAAATCTCAATACAGCGTCCCCATCCTATTCACATTGAAACAAGCTTGACGAGTGGCAGAAATGGAGCACTAAATCCTCGACACCACCTTATCTGCTTTTCTTCCGGAATTTGTTCGACTAATAGTGCACAGGTGTAGACTTCAACGCCTTCCTGTGGCAAAACAGTGCTACCTGCATGTCTAGCACTTTGCCAAATATTCACATTATAGAATCAAGAATCATTGACGCGAAGCCACACAAAACAGTCATATTTGGCGCAGGGATAGCAATATCGTCATCGGATGAGCGGATCGGGGGGTCAGAAAGTACAATGTCTTGGGTCAGCATCGGCTCGCAATGACGACACACTTCACGAATTACACTGATACCAACGGCGTATCTGTCGCGGCAAGTCAAAACTACCCCAGTTGAGTCAGATGGATGCAGAGGCGGCGAAATTGAAAATGACTGGGACCACGGAAGGTTACTACCAACTCTAGTGCTCTATCAAGATTTAACAGCTCTTGCAACCGATCACCGGTGGTGCCTCACTACTTCTAAAGCTGCAAGCCATACATACGAGAGAGAGAGAGAGACCCCAGCGAATAAGTCAAGCATTTCAAGGCCTTTTCGGCCGAGGCAAGGCGGCAGATCGCGGACTGGTACTCGGAGGTGGGATATCAAGCAGGCTAGTGAGACTTGAGTCTCCGACAACTGCCGGGCGTCACTCCGAACATGTGAAAAGAAGCCGCGCAGATATAGCGGGGCTTCGAAGACGAAGTGTACCTCGTTGCTTGGAGTCGAAAAGCATTTTACATCCATGTGGCTGCGAGAAAACAAGCAAAGTCGGAAAATCCCGGACCAGAGCCAATTCACATTTCAGAGGTGGAGCCCGTCACATAAAGATAGGGAGAAGCCCGTCAGCGGCCAAGGCTGTGAAAATAAGGGGCAAGGCAAGCCCCAAAACGAAGCGGGCTGGTAAAGGGTTCGCCAGACCCCTGCGTGGTTTCTCCACCATATGCACGGAGGACGGTAGGTAACTAACTACAGCCAAATGCCTTGGCCTGCCGGGTGCCTGGCAAGAAGCGCAAGGGCTGCGTCATTCAGCCTCGCAGCCCGCTTATGACTGCCCGACGTCCGTCGCTTTCTAAGTTAGCCTCGCGTAGGCGCTCGCATAAGCTCTTCAGCTGCAGCTCCCACACGCCGCAGTATTAAATGGGAATACTCATACCCTGACGGATCAAGAGTGCCACGCCATGAGGGACTTTTGGAGCAAAGAATTGCAGCCAGCAAGCGTGTACGATCTCAAAACTACTAGTAACTAGCTTAGCTGGCACCGGCTCGACCGTCGAAGTTGCAATGCAGACTCTGGAAGCGAAGTCGCTCGGCACTACGGCGAGAGCCCCGCAAATATGAATTCCAGCGATGCCTGAGAGTTTGATGATCACAAACTGAGGAGCACTTTGAAAGGCTGAGCCGAGCAAGGAGCCTGTACGTTGCAAATCGCACGTGATCAGACAGGTTGATCGAGTTGCATTGCTTTTGCTTCCCTCATGGAGTCGGCGGGAGGGTATGCCTATGGCCCCAATTTCACGAGGTAGCAAGCTGAACCAGAGGTTGCGGCGTGTACCAGGGTATCTCGAAGGAATGGTTACTCGTACCGTTCAATCGCAGCTTCGCTCCATGCGTGCTCGTCATGGTTTCGCCCGTGCCTGGTCAATGAGGCGCATTACGGTGAATGTTGTGGAGGTGAGTTGAAACCTCCGTATATCTGGCGAGGGGAATCAGGGAAGAGGTGGTCAGATCAAAGCGGGCTGTGCCAGAAGGGAAAGGAAGTGGCATGTCGGATACGTGAGATGCACTTGTTGTTGGGGCGGCTGGATGCTGGAATTACCTGCCCACGAGCCACGCGACTTGTGTCGCTGAAAGTTGAAAGGACCATGACCAAAGTGTTCAGAAAGTACCAAGACTTCCTTTTGGTTGAGCTATATACAATCTATCCCGCTATTTAAATGACTACCGTATTGTAGTAGATGGTGATTTTGTCTACTGTCCAAATTGCCAACTTTTCTATCATACTACATCAACGTGAGATAAAGCCGAACTCGTTCCTCGTCTGTGTCGCGGACTCGGCCACTGAGCTTCTCCCATGCTGGTGGGTCTAGTTTCCACATGCTTCTCGAGCCATAAGACTATACGTTGTGGTGTCAACGTCAGGGAATGGAGGTCTACGAGCCAGGTTTTGAGCCGAGAGCAGCCTGGCTGTTCACACAATGGGCTGGCTGTCTGTCTTTGCGATGAGCCATGAGAGAGCGACTACAATCACAGCTCTGGTGTGCCTTGAATGGTGATGCTTCTAAGGTTTCTGCTTCATCCCGAAGCCGTTGAGCTCGGGAGCCGGAGGCTTGCAGAAGATTTGTGCGCCGACGGTTGAGTGCCGTTAAGCCTGAATAAGTTTAGCCTGCCTAGAAGCCTTTCTCAGTGTTTCCGTCGCCCATGCTCTTACTGCCACTGCTGCCACTCTGAATAGCACCGATGATGCCATCGATATATGCAGCACCGCTCCATTTCTGGTGAGTTAGCACATCGACACCGAGCTTCTTCTCGCGACTCTGCACAAGATTGACATATGCGAGCATGCCGTCTTCCTTGAAGCCTCGTGACAATTCTGCACTGATGGCTGCAGTCGAATGAAGGCCGGCGAGGGAAATAAGTTGAAGAACGAAGCCTTCCTTGGCGAGGTCCCAGACAAAAGATTTCAGGGAGGCATCATCGAAACCTTGACCCATCCAATTGAAAGATGGGCTAAGATTGTAGACCAACTTCTTGCCCGGGTACTGTTCGCGGATTTCTCTGGCGAAACCGGCAGCCTTGGGGACACTAGGGTCTGCTGTCTCAAGCCAGAGTAGATCGGCATAGGGGGCAAATTCGATGGCTCGCTTGGTGGCGGCGGGAAGACCAGCACGATAATGGTAGAAGCCTTCTCGAGTTCGAGGAATATCGCAAGACCATACAACAGGAGATTTGGTATACTGTTGGGAGAGAGTGCGACGTTTAGTGAGAGAGAGATTGGGATTGGCCTTTGTCTTGGCAAGATATTGGGAAGCATCGCCACCGTCCGCCTTGATGTGTGCCTCGACTGCTTCATCAAAGGTGACCAACTTATGCTTCTTAACCCAAGCAGACTCGAATTGATCCACTTCCGGTCCGGGCGCACCGGCCATTTCCATTTCTTGCAGGACCTCGGCCAGAGGCTCGGTTTCTTCTGTTACACCAAGAATGAATTCATGGTCTCTGACGTCGATGGCACTGGAGAGTAGTTTCCCGCTCTCTGAATCAGTTCGAGCAATAACGAGGTTTTCCGAACCCATCATGTCCCATTGAAATCTAGCAGCGACAAGACGATTGATGTGATCGCCCACAGGAACCAGAACCTTTCCAGCAAGATGGCCACATTTCTTGCCACCGTGCAGTTGATCCTCGAAATGAACAGCAGCAGCACCATTTTCGGCGAAAAGCTTGGCCAGCTTGATGACAGCCGAAAGACCACCATGACCAGTGTCACCGTCGGCGACGATGGGTCGTAGATAATCAATATAAGGAGTCTTCTGTCTCTCTTCGGGGCTCAGCTTCTGCCTGGTATCGAAATGTTTGCGGTCATGTAATTGTTGAGCCTTGAAGAGTCTCTGAACCTGATTAGGGACAGTGTTATATGGATAGTCGCCAAAGTCGGCGGAGACTTCATTTGTGGTAGTCAAGACGGAAGAGCATGCCCAGCCAGAGACATAGAGAATCTCTTGGTTTGGAGCCTGCTGGGTCATCTGGACGGGATCGATGGCGCCCATGGTGTGGACCGGCTTGCCCTCTGCAGCCCTCTCATTCAGTAGATTGAAGAGTTTCCGAGCCATAAGGGAACTCGGATAGGTCTGTTGTAATGTTCCTCTTTTACTGACGACATCTTGGGGTGTATAGGGTCTCTTGATCCCCTCGTACCGAGGAGAGTTCCACCACTTCTTCACATCCTCTACCTGCTGGTTGAACAACAGGTCCTCTGCATCACCGGTCTTTGATTCGGTGGATAGCAGCTGGAAGGAGTCTGTAGGCAGTGAGGTCGACACTGGAGTCTCGACAGATGGTAAAGAAGAGAGAGGCCGAGACATGAGGGCGACGAAAGGCTTCGCGGGCAGTGATCGTACAACGTGTCCGGCTGATAGCCTCGGTAACGTTCTCCGTAGCTGTCGGATCATGTTTGGAGAGGGTCAATGAGTTCAAATCTGATAGAGAGAAGTGACCAGGCTGCTGGCTAGGAGGAAGGTTTTGTAGCAAAAGCAAAGGGCAAATTGGTAATGATCGGACAAGAAGAAGTCAGTAGAAAAACACTCAGAATGACATTACCGTTCGATGACCAAGACCAAGATTACATCCACATCTACACCGATGCACTGCTGCCGGTGTATTAGTAGACGGTTGGTGGTGGGAAGTACGAGGTACAATGGCAGTGAAGCCGTTTGGAAGAGTATTGCAGTTACAGTAGACTTGCGGGTGTGAAAAGTCGCGCAAAGGGAGGGAGCGCACTCGTACCACACCGAGGACGGACCGAAGGACAGAGGGAGCGATTCTATTGGCCCTGTGACGATGCCTCGGATATCGGTTAGCTCGGGGACTAAGCTTCCCACTTGTCCAGGTACCACCCCCCTCGGCCTTTGTTCTATAGGCGGGACGAGGGGCTCTTAGGCTTCGTTCAGGGGTGACTCGGGGCACTCCTAGGCACCCTAGGTACCCACTGGCATCCCACTGCGCTCCCTTCCTCCCTTGCCCGAGGAATCCCCAATCCTGCATCTGCGGCCAATGCTTGGGATAGATAATTCTCATGGGAAAAGCTCTCGGACTTATTTACTGATTGTTACTGCTCTCTCTTCTCTCCTCTTCTCTCCACTCTCTCTTGTTCACCTTGCTGTCGAGCACTGGCTACCTGTCGTCGTTAAAGCTGCCGATCTCAGTCAGCGACCACTTTACCCCGCAACCTCACCACCAACACCGCAGGTAGCTGTCTCTGCTCAACCCCGGCAATAAACAACCACACCCGCTCACCATGGCTACCACTACTAGAACCACACAGCACGCTCTGAGAGCCCTCCGTGCTTCGTCAACCCGTCCCTACGCCTCGTTTGCTTACCGCACCTATGCGTCTGCTGCTGAGCCAGACCTCAAGGCCACTCTGCAGTCGATCATTCCTGAAAAGCGGGAGCTGCTGAAGCAGGTCAAAGCTCATGCAGACAAGAAGATTGGCGATGTCACAGTTGGCCAGGTCATCGGTGGAATGAGAACCCTCAAGTCGATGGTTTGGGAAGGCTCTGTTCTTGATGCCAACGAGGGCATTCGATTCCATGGCCGAACAATTGCCGATTGCCAGAAGGAGCTTCCCAAGGGCACCTCTGGCACCGAGATGCTCCCCGAAGCCATGTTTTGGCTCCTGTTGACCGGTCAAGTGCCTTCCACAACCCAGGTCAGAACCTTCTCTCGTGAGCTCGCCGAGAAATCCGACCTGCCTGCTCATGTCGTCACCCTGCTTCGTGGCTTTGACAAGAATGTCCATCCCATGACCCAGCTGGCCATTGCCGTTGCCGCCTTGAACACCGAGTCCAAGTTTGCTACCAAATATGCCGAGGGCCTCAACAAGGCCGACTACTGGGAGCCTACATTCGAGGACTCCGTGAACCTATTGGCCAAGCTGCCTCGTGTTGCTGCTGCCATCTTCGACAAGGCTGCCCTTGACATCAAAATCGACAAGGACCAGGACTGGGCCTACAACTTTGCCCACCTGTTAGGAAAGCCAGGGAAGGACAACGAGGGCTTCCAAGACCTGCTCCGTCTCTACCTTGCTCTCCACGGTGATCACGAAGGTGGCAATGTCTCTGCCCACGCAACCCACCTGGTTGGCTCAGCCCTCTCCGACCCCTATCTGTCTTACTCCGCAGGTCTCTTGGGTCTGGCAGGTCCTCTCCACGGCCTCGCTGCCCAAGAGGTCCTCCGCTGGATTCTAAAGATGCAGTCCCAGATCGGAGAGAACTTCTCCGACAAGGACGTCAGCGACTACCTGTGGGCGACCCTGAAATCCGGCCAAGTCGTTCCTGGCTACGGTCATGGGGTGTTGCGCAAGCCTGATCCACGCTTCAAGGCTCTCCTCGACTTCGGTGATGCCCGTCAAGATATCTCAAACAACCCGGTCTACCGCCTGGTCAAGAAAAACAGCGAGATCGCCCCCGGTGTGTTGACCGAGCACGGAAAGACCAAGAACCCCCATCCCAATGTCGACAGCGCCTCAGGTGTTCTGTTCCACCACTACGGCTTCCGTGATCCTCTATACTACACCGTTACCTTCGGCGTCAGCAGAGGCCTCGGTCCCCTTGCCCAACTGATCTGGGACCGTGCCCTGGGCATGCCAATCGAAAGACCCAAGAGCATCAACCTCGAAGGTCTATTGAAGCTCGTGTAAACTTTGGGTTAACTCAGCTAACTGGTAAGTCGCGGTGTGTAAATAGATCTGAAGGAGCATTCCGCAATGGTGGAAAAGCATTCATAGTCCTGTATGGCGTTCTGTCCGAAGCGTCAGTATCACGTATACAATTGCCTTTGTTACATTCATCAACTGCTCACCATGTTGCGTCCTCGTGTTCGTGGCATACAAATTCACATTCCCCCGAGGATGTCAAGTTACGTCACTCTCCAGCAATTTGGATATCGGCCCGAGATCGGTTCGGATTAACTCAATTCGCGACTCGCGAAATTCTCCAATGGCATCAAGCTATAAAGCCTATGACAGCCTCATGTACTCTCTTGCATTGTCCAAGGCTTGGTAGAACTTCGTTCTTTGACAGCACTAACCACATTGTCACTGGCTCCTCCTCGCCGAGCTAGTTATATCAATTCAAATTACCAGTATGCTGCTGGCTCATCGAAGAAAATTCTAGTGGCCAAGATTCTCTGCTGATTCACCCCTGGGCCCAATCCAACGTGCCGCGCTGAAGACCAACAACACCAAGCAAACACCCGCTATCCGTGTGAAGAAGAACGCCAGGGACCTGCGTACCCTCCTCCCTGACACATTCCGAGTACTCGACCTTGACTTTCACTCGCATCCGTTGTGACCTGCTTGTTGCCACATCTTGACGCTCTTAACCACCATCTCACCACGATTTCTCCAGGTTGGATACCATGCGTCCTTGGCTTTCCAGAAGTCCTGCTTTGCAGTCAAGCTTGCATCGACCCACGGCTTGCTGTTCTTACCATCTATGAACCAGCCATTGGTCCCTCCAACAGCGACATTCAAAATGAGATAGAAATCTTGGTCAAATGGTGTAGCTGCATTTCCGGTTTGTGACCATGGGTCCACCAGTCGAGTTCCATTACTATCGGACAATGGAAAGTTCCCACGCTGCCACAGCGGCTCCTTGAAGTTGGTGTACAGCACTTGGAGTAAGCGGGTGTCAATGTAGGTGAAGACGTATTTTTCAGACCATTCTAGACCAAAAGTATGGAATTTTTTGGCATAGGTTGTGTGCAGTGCTTTTCTCTTGACATTGGTCCGCCACCATGCATCATTAGCTGCGTCGGGGCCCCAGTGTAGTGCACTTGAGACAATGTTGTCGCCGCCTGAAGGATATGTATGATTGTTTCCTCGAGATTCAACAATGTCAATTTCGCCCGACTGTGGCCATTCGCCATACTTGGCATCAACGGGTAGGAGCCAGATTGCTGGCCACAACCAATCCCCTTCAGGCAACTTCGCCTCGACTTCTATACGACCATACTTGATCTTCGCTCCCTTCTTGGTGTTGATGCGACCAGACTTGACAGGATTGACAATTGTCCCATTTGTGACGTTGGTGCTCGCGATACAATTACTCCATAAAGAGGACGAACAAATCCCATCAGCTGTCAAGTCGATCACGCTATTTGATTCCACCAATGCGGCATCTTGAAGGGTTGGCTTGATGTGGAGCATTCCATCTTTGACAAATACATTCTCATCTGTAACCGTGGTCTGCTCGAATTGACCATTGCCGAACCCTCCAACCTCCGCCTCTTTGGTCCAGATGTTCAAGTCGATGCCATTCGAAAAATCATCGAGGTATACAGGGCAAAATTTGTGGTTGACAACAGTACGAAGACCATCCCAGATGAGAAAGCCAGCAATCCCAAGCCCGACCAGGAGTCCAATCATAGGTATGATGGTAACCCATTTCTCCCTCGGATCCTTGACTTTGGTCCATGGCCGCTCGATTTCGCCATTTTTCACCCGTCTAGAGTGAAAGTAGCGTTGTGTGACCTTGGTTTGGTGCAGGTTTGCAGATGACGCTCTTCTTGACACTTCTTGTGATGCATAAGGAGTCAAGAAGGGGTTGACTGGCTTCCTATGGCTCAGCTCAACACGTGCTGTCAATGAATCTGGACTCCCAACTCGAGGCGTGGCTTCCATCTTCAAAGATGCATTCCATGGAGAAGATGGAGGATTGTTTTCTTGCTGTTCACTCATGGTGGATCTCGGCCTGAAAGATGGGACTGCAGCCTCTGAACCTGACGAAAGATGTTCCCTGAATCCAGAAGAAAACGGAACCAGGAGGCTATGAGAAACTTCAATGTCATCACAACTTGCAAACATGAACTTGGACCACTCGGTTCAAAATCAGATGCAAGCAAGATTGCCCGTTGGGAAGGTACCACTACTGCAATCCAGACCGAGACTTGGTCTTGGTCCAAGCACTCAGCTATATCTTATACGATCTAATGGTGGTGTTTCGATGAATCCAACTATCTATGTCTTTGGACCGCTTGCTTAATGCCAGTTTCGACGCTGTCCTTGTAGCTCACTCCCACTCTGGATTACAGGATTTTGCGAGAAACCCACCAGCGCCACTACCTCTGTGGAGATCACCAGTATTCGCCTCCAGAAATTTCGAGCATCTACAAAGCCTCTTTTCAAGGACAGTCGTCAATTGCATCCCGAAACCAGTTTTCTATATCTGGAAGTTGCCTGCTTGGAGCTTGCCAGACACCCGTGAGCCAAATCTCCCTCTGCCGTGCAAGACTGGTCGCTAATTTTCGATCGGTATCATTAGAACCTGATTTCCTGTGACATAATTGCCGCATCGTCTTCACAACAACTCAAGCCTGTACTCCTATAATGATAGTATCACTTAGGATCAGCCACACCTAGCTGAAACTCACCAAACCGCGTGTTTGGTCTTCGGATGGGTTTGCAATTGACCCATCGTTCCGATAATATGGACTGACCTGGAATAATCCTCGGCTGCACTTTTGTAACTGTTGTGCAACGCCAACGTCTGTTTTTGGATTACGTTAATTCTACTCCCATCTCTTACGATTTGCGGCGAGACACAACGTTCCGATCTTCAGGGTGATAGCTATCATGCAAACTGCATTGCACATAGCTCAAGTTTTATCACCCCCCGGAAGGTAGGATTGGTAACACAAGGTTGGCCTGTCTTTCGCATCTAGCCCTAGATTGCCTCAAATGTTTCATCACTGTCATGCAGAGCTCTTGCCCTTCAATTCCTCCTGAACACGTAGTACAGGCCAGTTCTTTCTGCCCATACCCATGCGTCTAGGTGACGTAAGTCTTCTCTGCCCTTTTTCTTGAATATCTTCCATTTTGTGGTCGGCTGCATCCTCATTATGGAAGCCCAGACAGTGCCTTCTGGGTTCGAGCAATTCAGTGCCCAAGAGACGTGTTCTTCGCTTATCAAGACTGATAGGGCGATGACACCGCAATTCACTTGTTCTTTCGAATCTCCCCGACAGGGCTCAATTGCTTGGGATCGCTCATCATCAGCAAGCAGGCCAGGCTCTATCGGTGGACAATCTACACGTAGTAGCCGGAGTGTATTCCTAGATGACATCAAGCACGAGATTATGATCAACCACATTTATCAGCAACAATGTTCGCATCTTTGGGTTAGTGACGGCAGTGGAGAATGCGAAGGCGTCCTACTACGAAAGTCAAGGGCTAACTATTTGGCTTGTCCACAATCACTCCTGAATTCCAATTTGGCTCGGATGTGTGCACAGCTGAATGTCCAGGTTAGTAAAGCCTTTATGTTTTAGCTGCTGGAACCTAAGGAGTCGTAGGTGGCTGTCACAGTGAACTCGAGGGTCATCAAAACTTTCCTTGCTTGGGCTCCAGAAGCAACCGATGTTCCTTTGGCAAATGGACTTCGGATTCAAATTCTGCCCAGTGTGGAAGACCTTTCCAAGGCACGAAAGTATCAATTCGCCGCCTTCATTACCTCAGAGTCTCTCCTGATCGTATGGGACGATAGCCCTAGCAACGTGATCACGAGAGCGACAAAGATTGAGTCGCAGCTCATGCAGCTGGTTTGGCAGGCAGGAGACCCCAACGGAGATGACGAAGTCACCATTGAGAAATCTAGAGGATGTGATGGGACAGTCGACTTCGAAGCAGGAAGGCTTGAGCATCGATCTACAAATTTGATGAATACGGTTCTCGTGGCTTGCACTTTAGTGATTGTGGTTGTGCTCCTTGGTCTAGCCTGCCGCAGTTTGGCCACGGAAACCGCAGTGGACTGCTCATACATTCGCCTCGCGTTCTTGTCGTTGATACCCGTACAAGTATTTTTCACCCTGGTAGGCCCACTTACAATGCTTTAGAACGGGATTCGGATTGACTGTTTCAGTTCTTTGCTCAAGTTATTGTTGGCTGTATTGCCCAATGCGTCGGCCCAGTTCGTCAGATGCAGCTCAACTCGAAGTACTACTCAGCCAAATGTTCGCCGCGCCTACAGTCAACATTGCCGCATGTTACGATCCAGTGCCCAGTCTACAAGGAAGGCTTGTCGTCTGTCATAGCGCCTACTGTAGCCTCAATCAAGCAAGCAATTTCGACATATGAGCTTCAAGGTGGCGCAGCAAACATGCTCATAAATGATGATGGACTTCAGATCATAGGAGAGGAGGAACGCGAGGCTCGTATCGATTTCTACCAAGATCACAACATCGGCTGGACTTCGCGACCGAAGCACGGCTCCGAGGGCTTTGTGCGTCGAGGGAAGTTCAAGAAGGCCTCTAATATGAACTATGGACTTATGCTGTCGTGTAAAATCGAAGAGAAACTCCAGAATTACACTCGAGGGCCTTCCTGGACGGAGATCGACGAGTCACGAGCGTATGATACCTCACTGAAGGAAGTCTTGTCAGAAAATCCACGAGCTTGGGCAGATGGAAACATTCGTGTTGGAGATTACATCTTGCTGATTGACAGCGATACCCGAGTTCCTAATGATTGTCTACTTGATGCTGTCAGTGAGATGGAGCTGTCGCCTGACGTGGGTATCATGCAATTTGCATCAGGGGTGATGCAAGTCGTCCACACATTCTTCGAGAACGGCATCACGTTTTTTACCAACCTCATCTACACCGCAATCGAGTATACAGTGGCAAATGGAGACGTTGCTCCATTTGTTGGTCACAACGCCGTTCTTCGATGGAGCGCGATCCAGCAGGTTTCCTACATGGACCAGGATGGCTACGAGAAATTCTGGTCCGAGTCTCATGTCAGCGAAGACTTTGATATGTCGCTAAGACTCCAGTGCCATGGCTACATCATCAGGCTAGCATCCTGGGCCCACGGAGGCTTCAAAGAAGGCGTCAGCCTCACAGTTTATGATGAACTTGCACGTTGGGAGAAATATGCTTACGGTTGTAACGAACTTCTTTTCCACCCTATACGCAAGTGGGTCTACAAGGGACCTTTCACTAAACTCTTCCGTCGCTTTCTCTTCTCGAACATCCGCTTCACGTCGAAAATCACAATTATCAGCTACATTGGTACATACTATGCTATTGGTGCCGCGTGGATTATGACACTAGCAAACTACTTTGCCATCGGTTGGTTCAACGGCTATCTGGACAAATATTACATTGACAGCTGGAAAGTGTGGTTCAGCATCGTCATCGTATTCAACGGTCTAGGAAACATCGCCCTGGCTCTCATGCGCTACCGTATTGGGCAAAAGTCCTTCTTCTCTGCACTCCTAGAAAATTTGAAGTGGATATTTCTTCTTTCCATATTTCTGGGTGGTCTCTCTCTTCACGTCTCACAAGCTCTCCTTGCCCACATGTTTGAAGTTGACATGACCTGGGGAGCCACCAGCAAAGAGGCCGAGTTCAGCAATTTCTTCAGCGAAGTGCCGAAGGTCATTCGCAAATTCAAATTCAGCATCGCGTTTGCGCTGCTGGGCAGCCTTGCCATGATTATCCTGGCAACAAATCCGAGCGGTTTCATCCCCGATGACTGGTTAATCAAGGATTTCATTGCGATCTTGCCGATGAGTACTGTGGCTACGAGTCATTTACTCTTGCCAATCGCGCTCAACCCGGCGTTGATGACTTTCTCGTGGTGACCGTTATCGTTTTGTTCGCCAATAAATAAACGTTGCTATACAGATACGACTAGCACATGAGTGGCGTGGCTGCTCGTCTTTGATCTATCGCAAGGGGCTTTTCAAGGGCATCAAGGATATTAGAGAGGTGCGCTGCTTGTTATCATGTTCTAAATCAGAGCTTAATTATAATAAATATTCATTCACATTTTCAAGCTCAGGCTAAAGTATGTCGTCGGCAGAAGCTGCTGCTGAACACGAGCCCTAATTAACAGCATCATCTCAGCTATGCTATGCAGTCTCCCCCAAATTCTGCAACACAGATCGGTTGGCAACCACCTCTATCTAAACACCTGGTCGTCTTGATGCGCACAAGCTCACACTTGAAAGTGTCCAAGCCACGCTAAGGCAAACCCCTTGGACCACCACCAGTTCAAAGATATCTCGCCCACTCCCGCTCGCCGGGCTCATACCGCACCTCACAGATGATCTGCAGCGGCTCATGCAATCCACGAAATCGACGAGCGTTCTCGAGCTCCGGCGTCCCAGGGCGAATGACTGTTCTCCTACTGCTCTTGAGGGGGAGGCGTGCGTGGCGGCGTAGGAGGAGGGTTGGTCGGAGGCGTTCCTGGTGGCGGCGTACGAGGGGGGTTGGCCGGCGGACGACTGGGAGGCGGAGAGTAGTCGTCTTGCCCCTTTGGATCGGCCCACTGGTGCAGACCGGGCACTGTGCCGGGATACAGATGGGTAACTGGAACTGGGTCCATCGCTGCTGCTGCCGGCGAGAAACTCCTGCACTGACGAGGTATGCTTCCTTAAGTCATAAAGTCTTGATTGTTCATGCAAGTAGTCTGTCTCTCTGTTGCTGCTGCTGCTTCCTTGAGATGGTGGATATAACAGATATAGGTATACTTGAGCTCCCGTTTGATTATGGCTTTTTCGATCCAGTCCTTGATTTGGACGAATGATATGTATAAGGTGAGCTATTGGCTTGGAAGTTCGTGGGGGTGTGCCCGATGCTGGCGGGAAACAAAAAGATGGAAAAGGAAGATAGATGCTATATTTATACGAATTTGTATACTTGGATCTGTTCCTCGTTTTGTCGCTGTTGTTTGTCGGCTGCTATCACTGGTGACGGTGATGAGGACTGGAATCATGAATACTTTGCCCCGTTTGGGTGAACATTTCTTTGTTTGAGAGGAATATCGGTGAGTTTGATGTAGTGACGATATAACCAGATGGAGAACCCCTCCAGACAGACCGGGTTCTTGAATGAATGTGAGAGGTGGGATGAGTTGGTAGTAGAGTCTGCTCGCACCTCATTCTTTGGTCTTGCTGTGAGTCTGACCTGCTGACCTCACCACAGGTGTGTCATGTTAAATACCTTGTTCTTGAGGCGGGAAATTGGCTCTTTCATTTATCTCAAACGAAACAGAGATACATGCTTTTTCCTACAAGCAATTGGGAGTGGTTGTCAATTGCCATGCTTGCGACGTCTGTTGGATTCTGTCAGCCGAGTGCGTCGACTATAGTCTTGTAGAAGAGAGGCTTGCTGCAGAGGAAGAATGTAAAGGACTAAGATATAACATTCATAGCCAAAGTATTCTCCCTTTCGCTATGTATAGCAGCGCAGCCTCTCGGGCAAGTTTGATTGACCAGAGGTAGGAGGCCCTCTGGATAACAGTGTTTATGTCGAAAGCTGTTCTCACTCGAGCACTGTAGCTGACGTATCCTGCCAATGTCAAGATGTGAGTCAGTAATTGATTTCCGTCATCATTCATCCGCGCCAGCAGTCGATGTCCAGCGTTCAGGGTCAACATTCGCACCAGCATCGATCCTATCTGAAGAGCGACCTGCCTCTTCGTTCCTCTTGGTCATGATACGCCAAGGCGTCAGTGGTAAGCAGGGGGTCATTGCCACCGACAACAGCTGGTCGCCTGGATTGTATAGTATAATCATAAAACCACCAGCGGTCATCGCGATGCCAATCTCGTTCACGACTCACGCTTCGGCCCACGCGAACGCTGCGAGCAGCATTTCGCGCTTCCCTGTTATTTAGAGACCAAGCTCGTGGCCTGTTCTCCCTCCTGTCTGGCCTGTTGTCCGCCTCCCTGTTTAACATCCAGTTCGACTGGTCGTCAATATCGCTGCTGACTCTGTGGTTCCGGGCGCCGGTCCATCTCATTGTCCGTCTTCTGGCCTCCGGCGATAACCAGCGACGATGGATCATATGATCTCTCTCGAAGTCGCTTTCATTGTCGCTAGGCTCTAAGTCGAACCGATCGTGAGATGTTGGTGGGGCATTGCGTCGTCCCCTGAGGTACAGGTGTCTGGTGCTCGCGTTGCTGCTGCCATAGAGAGTGCCTGCACGGTACCTGTCTTCCGTGTCCAGGAGCATTTCTTGTCTCCAATGATGATCGGAAGGCTCGCCATCCATGTGGGGGTAGCTCCTGGAACCTGGGATATCACGCCGCCCGCGCCTGCTCGAGCCCGAGCGTCCGCCCTCGCTGCTGCTCGACGAGGTCCAGTTATAATTGGCGCGGCCGGGTCTCCTGAAGAGATTGTTGGACGATAAGCCGAACTCTCGACCGTTCGTCTAGTGGAATCCTGTAGATCAACTTATCCTTGTCCTTGGCCAAGTGAAATGCGGGAAATAGGGTATCAATGGTTTTCTTGGGCCAGGATCAAGAGTGCTGGAAAGAAAAATCAACCATAACACATTTATACATGTTGCCGTTTGTCTTCTACTGCAAGAGCAGCCTCGTTGTCACATCCATGTCACCATAAAGGAGACATTCGCGAGCCAAATCGGTTGTCACATTTCAACGTCACGGAACAATAGCAATCTTGGATGAGCTGGAGCCTTTTCTTCCAGCATTCTGATATAACATTGACATTGAGAGGTCACGATACTTTAAGTACAGCTCTGCCTGGGAGCTTACCGGCAATCATCAGATCCATATATTTGTCCACGTCCTCGAGGGTTCCCTTGGTCAGGATGGGCTGGATTGTGTTAATATTGGAAATTTGATCACGAAAGCTGACTGGTGAACTCACATGCACTAGGCCCCTTGATGTGAAATCTAGGGCTTCCTCAACATCCTTCAGTGTACCGACTACACTGCCCACAACATTTAATTTCTTCAGGCACAATAATAGCGGAGGTGCTCCCGCCAGAACGGTAGGATCCTTAGGAAGACCAACAGCAACGACGGTGCCACCTGGTCTGAGGAAGGACGGGGCACTCGCGTAAGCCTCTTTCGTGGCAGCAGTGACAATGACTCCATGGGCGCCGTATGTGGTGATACGTGCAATCTCAGCTGCAATGTCTTTGGTTTGAGTGAAATCGATGAATTCCTCTGCACCTAGACTTTTGCAGAGATCTCGCTTCTCGTCACCTCCATCGATGGCGATGATTCGCATGCCCTAGAAAGTTGTCAGCGGCGGTCTATGTTTGGTCGTTTAACCTACCATGGCCTTGGCATATTGAACGGCGAAATGGCCAAGCCCGCCTCCTGCTCCGGGAAGAACCTACGATAATCAAGTTAGTGATGTGTGACCTTGGTTAAATAGTAGCACGACGTACAATCCATTGGCCAGGGCGAACAGAGCTCCTCTTGCAAGCAACATACGCTGTCACACCACCGCACATGATAGGGCCGGCCTCCTCATCGGAAACGCCTTCGGGAATACGGGTGGTGTATCTTCCATCACTGATAGCATATTGTTGAAAAGTGCCTGCCGCAGTGAAGCCTGAATTCTTCTGGTTGGGGCAGTGGAGCTCGTCGCTACCGTTGGTGCAGAATTCGCATTCGCCACAAGTACCCCAGACCCATTTGATTCCGGCGCGGTCGCCGACTTTCCACTTGTGGTGCATATCGCCGCCTACGGCGACAACGACACCGGCGCCCTCATGGCCAGCGATCCCTTTAGTAGCGGGTTGCATTGCAACGCCAAAAGCCGCCCATTCATCGTGTATCAGAGATTTATCGGAAGCACAGAGGCCAGTCCTTAGTGCTTGTTAGATCTGGGAATAAGTAGGATCGTGGCCTGGCCACCTACCAATTGATTTTGACGAGAATTTCACCAGGTCCGGGAGATTGAACATCAACCTGTTGAACGGGCGCCTTAGCATCCACGCCTTCACCAACCTTCACGGCGGCTTTTTGTTGTCTAGGTATATCAACGGTAGCCATGTTGTTTTTTTGTTGCAAGGAGGTGCGAAGTGCTGGAGGCTGGTCTTGCTGGTCAAACTTGGATGAATCAAGCCGAAAGATGAAGAGATATGGTCACCAGGGGAGGTGATTTGATTTAGTATTCCCATCTAGCCGATGCTGAGCGGAGCCGACGTCCAACAGCTTGCCTGACTGTTACCTGGTTAGAGGTTTGCAGCTCGCTTCCCCGCAGCCTAGCATATCAAATAGTAGCGGGTGAAGCGAGAGGAGGCGGGGTCGAGTCAGTGAGATAGAATAGGGACACGCCAATCGCCTTGCTCCAACCCAACCAGCAGTAAATTGAAGGAGGGATGGGCCTTCGATGAACCTCCTTCGCCCGATCGTGAGAGCATTGGCCCATGGCGGTGTCGCAGACCCGACACGGTTGTGGTCGTGTCAACCAACAGGGCGAAAGGACATCCCAAGACGCACTCTAAGAGAAACTGTCTCATGCAGTCGATGGTGGACTGGCCTGCTAAGCAGCAGACACTCCCCAGCGGACGAGGCGAGGAGCTGGTAGTGGTGTTACGTGTGTCCGTGACCAGTTCGTGTCGATGCCTCTTCGCCCTACACCGAGGTACGTATTTACCGAGTATCCTGCCATATCCCCAAAATACGATATACGAACCCCGTTTCCAGAAGGTCAGCCGAGAGCCCCGGCCTCCTTCCCCACGTCCCCTCACCACGTTCGCACCTGCCCCCGATACAAGTCCGATATTTGTTTTTGGCCTCATTCGGGTGACCGGGACGAGATCAACTCGTATAACAGCCACTGCGCTGGTGCCTCACCCGCCTGTTGTTGCTCCATCCACCCTGTAGCATCAGATCAACCTCGATGCAATGGTGCTCGCTGTATGCCACCACCACGCCAGCTCATTGACTTCCTTCCGTTACTAAACTTCTCGGGTAGGCTGTGGGCCAGATATGCTCAACGGTCTCAATGAGCCACAACCTTGCGCAATGCCAGACTCTTGTGCGAAAGGCCGTGACAGCTGGTGCAAAAGTAGGTCTAAATCCAGTTTACTGCAGATGTCGAGATCCCTCGTGCTCGGCATTAACCAAGTCCTCACGCAGAAGAACCCTGTTTAGGCCCTGTTCCTCCCTGAAGCCTCCGACTATATCGCGTCGTCCCCGACCGAGTCTGTAAGCTTGTGTCAACATCCTTCGAAGAGCCTCTTTGTCCGCGGTCTGCAGCAGGCAGCTAAGGAGAATGCACTGGCCATAAACGTTGGAGTTCACGAACCCACTGATCCCCCGTCTGGGAGAATAAAGAATACCCTGATATGGATCAACCAAGGAGGCGATATCGTGCATCGCTATCAGAAGCTCCACGTGTTCGACATAGACCTCCGGCCAAATGGCCCCAAAATTAGAGAGAGCGACTCCACCGAGCCTGGACCCGAAGTCGTCCGTCCCTACCAGACACCCCTGGGCAATGTTGGCAGTTTGATTTGCTTTGACCTGCGTTTCCCTGAGCCTGCCCTGCGGCTTCGTCGATGGGGAGCAGAGCTTATCACTTATCCCTCGGCCTTCACTGTCCCAACGGGAAAATCACACTGGGAGATCTTGTTACGGGCTCGGGCAATCGAGACACAGAGCTGGGTTATTGCCGCTGCACAATGCGGCCGTCACAACGAGAAACGAGTCAGCTATGGCGATACCATTGCAATATCCCCCAACGGCGAGATTACTGGTCGGTTAGATCATGTGGATGACATTGACGGAGAGAAAGAAGGTGGCCGTGATCCCGAAATCCTGGTTGTAGATATCGACCTGGATATTTTAAGAAACATTCGGCGAATGATTCCACTCCCCAGACGGACAGATGTATACCCAGAACTATAGTGATAGGAATCTTATGTATAGATGATACGCGATCACGTATATCACCCTGTGTAACAGTGTTTGTAATTATCCAGTGCTTGCCTCTAGGCACGTTATCAGGGGTGAATCAGGGGGCGTTGTTAATCTGCCCTTCTTATTGTCGGAGTTATGGCGATGGACGAAGGAGATAACCGTTACTGGACCTAGCTAGACGGCCGGTACAGAGTAAGGTGGTACGAAATTATTCTTCGGGCGCCCCAATCCCACCGAATTTTGTCCTCGGACTTTTCAGAAACATTGCGGTCGAACCCTCAACTATCATACAAAATCTAGCAGTGAAGGATGGAGAACAGACCAGACTCTCGTACCAGGGCCGGTGGACTCAATAGTACCAGCTGTTGTTTGGCTTTCGACCATCTCATTTCGGGTAACTATATTACCCTTAGGGATGCTTAGGTGCCTTTCGGGTGGCTATACGGAATACCAAGAGATCCTAGAGATCCTACCTACACCCACCGATACGAAGATCGTCCCAAATGTGCCGTATATCCGATATCCGGCCGCACCAACAACAAGGGACTGCTGTGACCCCGAATATTTCGCTTTCAACATGGCTTTCAACAGCAACATGCAATATACCCATAATTTGCGCGTTCCACCCTCTCTGAATACTGTACTATCATCATGATCAGGAGTTTATTGCATACAATGTACCATTTACAACGATAATTGGCTAGAAAGAGGATGTGTGCGAAGCCCAGCTCCAGTTCTGAGGGAAGCCTACCCGCTTCTACGTCAACACCACAGTCCGCGCCGTTCGGGATGACTAGCAGCACACCCGATGAAGCGAGTGATACACTCGATCTACAGGAAGAGGATCCCGAAAAGCAGCCCGAGACTTCTGTCCCCGTGCACGATGTGCCCCAACAAGCAAGGAACGATCTGGTTGAATTTGAAGGCGCAGATGATCCAGAGAATCCCAGAAACTGGCCGGCCAGGAAGAAGTGGGCCATCACAGCGTCGATGGGAGGAATGACATTTGTCGTCACCTTTTCCAGCTCAGTCTATGTAAGTCCATGGCAGCTGGACTTATTCCTGACTATTTCCTAATACCTTTCCCTCAGGCTGTTGCCATATCTCCAGTGGCCAAGGAGTATGGCATTTCTGAGGTCGTGTCGACCCTTGGGGTTTCCCTTTTCCTGCTTGTAGGTGGCATCTCACTCCAATGAATCACTGCTGACCGTCAGGTAGGGCTTTGTGTTTGGCCCGATTCTTTTTGGACCAGCCTCCGAGGTGTTCGGACGAAGAGTGCCTCTCTTTGTCGGATATCTGACTTTTGCTATCTTTCAAATACCGGTGGCCGTCGCTCAGAATGTGGAGACTATCATGCTGGCCCGGTTCCTTGGTGGCTTTGCTGCATCCTCTCCCCTTGCCGTGGTGGGAGGTGCATTGGCAGATATCTGGGGCCCCATTGAGAGAGCATACGCTGTGTGCGTTTTTGCTGCCTCGGCCTTCTGTGGGCCTGTCGCAGGTCCAATTGTGAGTTTCATCACATTCAATAAATAGCCTTGAATTGTTCAAGTCCCGGCCCTTCTTCAGTCATGCAATAGTTGCTAATTTCATGCTCTGCCCTAGATTGGTGGTTTCATCACACAGTCATATCTTGGATGGAGGTGGACTGCCTGGATCACCCTTATCATGGCCGCAGCATTCGGCTCCCTTGGACTCCTGCTCATACCAGAAACATCTGCAGCAAGGATTCTCCAGCTGAAGGCCAAGCGATTGCGGCACGAAACGAAGAACTGGGCACTCCATGCGAAAGCGGATGAAAGCCGTATAACTGTAAATACACTCATCACAGTCTATCTTGTCCGACCGTTCGTTATGATAACGCAGGAACCGATTCTTGCCTTGATGACAGCTTATATGAGTTTCATTTATGGGTACGAAGGAAACTATCCACATCCTATGGAAGCTAGCTAATGTTCGTAGTGTTCTTTACTTGTTGTTCGTTGCAGTAGGCGATCATGAGCCATTTGGCATGCGGTCTCTAACATAAAACTAGTTCCCTATCTCCTTCCAGGAAGAGCGAGGGTGGAACCCGGGTGTGGGCTCGCTCCCATTTACAGCTTTCATCGTTGGAATAATCATGGGGACAGGCCTGATCGCCTATTCTACGCGCACAACCTTCACAAGGTCATTCGAGAAACATGGAAAAGTCATTCCCGAGGCACGCCTACCACCTATGATTGTGGGTGCCGTTGTCTTACCTATAGGTCTCTTTTGGTTTGCCTGGTATGTATCCGTGCGAAGAGAGTATTCACCAATCACAGTGCTTACCCAAGTGACTAAGGACTTCTGACCCCCGAATCATCTGGATCCCACAGGTCTTCGCAACAGCATTCCTTGGCATGGGTAGCCTTGTGACTTTTTGGCAAGGAACGAATTATATCATCGACTGTTATGCATTCTACTCCAATAGTGCAATTGCGATCAACACGTTCATACGATCTATCGCTGCGGCGGGATTCCCCTTGTTCGCCAAATCAATGTACCACAAGCTAGGTGTGGCTTGGGCGACTTCAATCTTAGCGTTTTTGTGCGTGGCTTTTCTCCCCGTGCCGATCCTCTTCTACAAGTACGGAGCACAGATTCGAGAGAAATCCAGATTCAACCCCGAGTCATAAAATAACGCATGCGATAGAAACAGCTAGAGAGTTGGCGTCCAATCACCGAAACCGGCAGCCATTGGCGCTTCCTGAAAAACTCCTGTTTGACAAGCAACTGCTCTGAAACTCCAAAACATGGTCCCCTCAACGTTGATATGGAACCCCTAAATGGGAATTCTAAATGGCGTTCGTAAACGCTCTTCTCTACGTGATGGTCTTGACTTGTGGCGAAGATTATCCCGCACAGCGCCACATCAACATGCAGGTTTCCGCGCCGCTGAAACGTCGGTTGGTCGCAAAATCATGGTTCTCGATTGCCTTCGGAACCGCCAAATCAATGCTACTGTTTGAGCAGGGTGCGATCACATATACCGCTGGTCATTCAACTTTGTGTTCTCTAGCTGGTCACACCAAGGAAGGGTCAGTTCATCGCGACAGGTGGAGCAGTATCGCCGGTGGTGCGCAGGGAGTTCAGGTCATAGGCCGTCCGGTTTAGATATTCATAGGCTTGAGGACACCGACTTGATTCAAGAAAGGTGAAGCTTAACATGAAATACAATTGCTCACAGTCCAAACCAATGCTTAGTGCCAAATTTTCGCCACCACCACTGGTCGACGGGAAGACGCCGGAGAGTGATCGAGTTGACAAGCCAATGCTTTGGAATACGTTATCCTCATGTGACTCGAGATTCGTTCTTGCTCTAGCCCAAGCTCAAGGATCAGTCTATAGGAAGCTCTTGCCACGGCTTTTCCTCGCCCTCCTGGGGCTCAAAGAACCTATGCCTTGTCGGCCCTCGGCAAACGTTCCTGGGGGTTTCGTTTCGCTTCCATTGCTCAGCTGCGGAAATAGTCATTTTCCCCACATGGATCCTTCCTCTGTTAAACCTCGGACAATAAATGACATTCATACATTCATGCGCGTAACCTTGTACAGGAAATCCTCAAGTCAAACTTTGCTAGTTCATCTCGAGAGACATTGAGGTGGGTGTAATGAGTTTATCAGGTTCCAGTTCGGGCGCGGAGGGACAGCCTTCCGCGCTGAAACAGTATTAGCGCTCTATCAAGGTCAGGTTTGTGTTTAACTACGTTAAACGAATTACACGCTCGTCACTCTTTCCAACAAGGATGTTCGACATGCAGAGGATCGGATCCACAGGATGGAATGATCACGAACGCTCCCGCATCAGAACAGACAGCCTGTAGACCATGTTGTGTCTTGATTTTCGAGGATAATCCCCTGCAGAGTCGGCCCTGCCGCGCCCAAGAATGTCATGACATGGTCCTTCAAGCATTCAGGTATGGCCTCCGAAGGCCTACAATTTTCGAGCTCCTAGTATGCACTAGGCAGAGACCATTTGCAGTACTCCGTATTGCCGTCCATGGGAGTCCAAAACACCGCTTTTACGCCACTGTCAGCCGTCTAGTATCAAGCGTTACCCTGGACTCGATTCAGTCACACGTGTCTGCCCCATTTCAAAGCAGTTGCTTCACACAGTCAGACAATGGACCACGCCTTCCATGCTGTCGATCAATGCACACTTGACCTTTTTCGGTGCGGAGGTTGGAATCTCTCTAATTCCGTTCACGTGTTTGCGTCTTGAGCGGTATAAGAATCTCCAGAGGTCGCTACTATGATATACGTGGACAAGAATAGTTGAAACCAGAACATTGAGTGCCTCACGATGTCGTCTGAGAAGCCGATTACGGAGACTGTCGAGCCTATGTCGGCTGTCGACAGTCGTAAGGTGCGTGTGATAGCTCTAAACCGCGAGGTTGTGCTCTGACAGCTCGCAGCTCGATGTGGCAGAGGTCAGAGTCGTCAAAGGCAGTGAGGCCTACAACGAGGCGCTCATTGCCGAAAAACCTCCTGTCTTCCATCCAACTTCTCTTAAGCTCCTTTTATGCGTCTTGCTCGGTTTCTTCTGTCAAACCATGAATGGATTCGACGGGTCGTTGTTTGGAGGCTTGACTGCCAACAAAACGTTCCTGGAATTCTTCGATGGCGCGAACAAGGGTATGTGGGCAGGTCTTATCTCCGCGATGTATCAGATTGGAGGTGTCTGCGCACTCCCCTTTGTAGGGCCAGCGATAGACACGTGGGGTCGAAGGCCCGGTATGTTCATCGGCAGTGTCCTGATTATTCTTGGTGCTGTCATCACTGGTACCACTATCCATAACGCTAGTGTCCATCAATTCATGGGCGGCCGTTTCCTGCTTGGATTTGGCGTTTCCATTGCTTCTGCTGCTGGGCCGATCTACGTTGTAGAGACAACCCACCCGGCTTTTCGAGGTATTGCAACTGCATACTGCAACACGTTCTGGTTCACCGGCTCCATTCTGTCGAGCGGCGCCATCCGAGGCGGCCTCAATATCAGCGGCAACACCTCATGGCAATTACCGGTTTGGCTTCAAATCCTTTTCCCAGGTCTCATTTGCTTGTTCTGCTTCCTCATTCCCGAGTCTCCAAGATGGCTATACGTCAACAACAAAAGAGAAAGCGCGGTCAACATGCTCACTAAATGGCATGGTTATGGTAATCGTGAGAATGCTTGGGTGAAATTGCAGTTGGAGGAGTATGAGGAATTCTTGAATCTGGATGGCGCGGTGAGTATTTTCTTAGCTCACAATCTATGGATCTAACAGCGGTAGGATAAACGCTGGTGGGATTATCGTACACTGTTCAACACACGATCAAGTGTTTATCGCTTAGCGGCCAACTGCTGCTTCTCCATATTTGCGCAATGGGCGGGCAACGTATGTATCCTTCCATCTTTCATATTGTCGTACCGTCATGAGCTAACTAGAGTCTAGGGACCCTTGTCATATTTCCTCCCGGCTGTCCTAGATACCGCTGGTTACACAGAGAGCATCACACAGGCTAATATCCTATTGGGTTACGCCTGCTTTCAATTTTTCTTTGCGTTGCTGGGTGCTCGCTTTGTGGACCGCATCGGTCGTCGACCTCTGATGCTCTTTTCCATGGCTGGCTGCTGCCTTGTCTGGATTGGAGTGACTGCTTCAACTGGCATCTTTGCAGGGTCTGGACAAACGAATGACAATGCCGCCAGATCAACCGTGGCTTTCATTTTCTTGTTCGGCGCAGTGTACTCTTTCGGCATTACGCCTTTGCAAGCACTGTATCCAGTTGAGGTCTTGTCTTTCGAAATGAGAGCAAAGGGAATGGCGTTTTCTAGCCTGGCAGTCAACGCTGGTGGTATGCTAAACCAATTTGCGTGGCCCGTGGCCCTTGATGATATTGGTTGGAAGACTTATATTGTGTTCATTGTTTGGTGCGGTATCCAGACTGCTATCTGGTACTTCTTCCTCCCAGAAACTCGGAAGAGAACGGTAAGTACACTTCACTGCCGCTTTATGCTAGGTTATCTGATTGTTTCCCAGCTGGAAGAGCTCGACAAAATATTCGAGGCGCCGAACCCCGTCAAATTTTCTCTCAAAGCTCATAAACTTGCCATCAATCATGATAATCAAGTAGTTGCCACCGAGGATATTTGAATTGCGATTTCAGCTCCGTTGTTGCGATTATCAAAAAGATCAGTTGTCAAGCCACGTTCTACTGGATGACATACCGAGGGAGTCACCTTGCAGCCCTGGAATAAGTTCGAGAAGTAGGTCGGTCTCCATTTCGCTCACTCGGTCATCGAAGGCGCAGCAACCCCAAGCAGTTTTCTGGGATGGACCAGATAGATTGTCAATTTAAAACTTTCAAGTCGTTTTGACCAAGATATTTTGAGTCTTGGAAATGGAGGATTAAGCTCAACAAGCATGAGGATCGTCACATGATTGACATGGGGGCACTATGTTAGTAGCCTTTGATGGCTAACGTTGGCTACCCTGACCTCTAGACCTATTTCGTGCCTTCTTGTCCCCTTTGCAAGATGATACATCTTCCCTGAATCTAGCCCCTCCCCCCCTTGGCGATTGATGCACCTCCTCCTTCCCCCAACATCTTTCCCCAGGTTATTGTTTGCCTGACAAGTACAACTGGCGAGAGAAGCCGGGCCACGGACTCGCGGGGACCGCCCTACCTCAAACAAGGCTACACAGCCTTGGCGTTGAACTTTGACATCTTCCCGCTATAGAACTCGAACTCCAAACATGAAGAGATATCTTCGCATTCTACACTTTCGTGTCCAGAACCCAAAGTACCGGACAGCTGACTGGACGATACGCCACTCGAGTACATAAGTATGGGGCATTTCACAACATTCCCACGCATTGCCCCAACGCTTAGCGTGAGGATCCCCGATTCCACAGGGCCTTGTTCGAGGCTGTGGGGAAGGCTGCATTAGGAAGCCGTAAAGTGTCTAAATTAGCGAAATCCTACCACTTCGCCAACATCTATCTCAAGCCAGTCTCTTTTGGTACAGTTCTCCAACTCTCTAGCGGTGAAGGCAGAGCTGGCATCGCATATGCTACAATCCTACTCGGGGTAATCAATACCAAAGCTCTCACCACTCGGAGAAGGCCAGGGGGGCCGTTTTCCACGTGTGGTCCCTCAAGCATAAAGACGGGCCTTCGCCGTACCTCTATCTCATTTGGGGGCCGCAGTGTTGAGACGTGTACAGATCATCCAGCATGGCTCTCGTCAACAATTACAACTTTCTCGTCGTGTTTTTCGTCACCTTCGGATCTCTGACCTATGGATACAACTCCGCTATCATCGGCGCCGTCATTGGACTGCCTTCGTTCTTCGAGTACTTCAGCATAGACATAAAGTCCAACGAAGGCTCTCGGATCACAGGTGGTGAGTACGCGGGCTTCTTGCTCTCGTAGCTCGACTTGGCTGATTGAACCCATCTTGAAGCTACCAATGGATTGTTTGCTGGTGGCGGCCTTCTCGGCTGCTTCTTGATCACGTATCTGGCTGACAAGATTGGGCGAAAGAGGTCTATCCAAGCCACAGCCGTTCTGTGCATTATTGCAGGTGCACTGCAAGCAGGATCAGTCCACATTGCTATGTTCCTGGTCGCCCGTTTCATGATGGGAGTCGGTGTTGGTATGGTCAATGTGATCACCCCTTTGTACCAGTCGGAGGTGTCTCCAGCAAAATCAAGGGGCCGCCTGGTTGGATCCCATGGCTTTATCCTCTGCGTTGGTTATGTAAGACAGGGCTGCAAGATGTGAGTGGAATGTCTGCTGACACACACTCAGGGGCTTGCCGGCTGGACAGGCTATGGATGCTATTTCTTGAAAAGCCAGGTCGCCCAATGGCGCCTCTGTTTGGCTCTTCAGATTGTGCCTCCTCTTTGTCTCTTGCTCGGTTCACCCTGGCTACCTGAGTCTCCCCGCCATCTCGTCGCAAGAGACCGACAAGAAGAGGGATTCGCAATCTTGAAACGGCTCCATCACGCCCCTGGAGACATCGACTTCACCATTGCGAGAGAAGAACTCTACCAAATTCGACAGCAGTTAGAGCTTGAGAAAAGAGAGGGCTGGCAACGGGGCTACATCCAAGGGTGGATATTGTTGTTTTCCAAAAAATCTTACCGAAAGAGACTGCTGTTTGGTTTCGTCCTGCTGTGAGTCCAGTCTACTACACGTTTCTGTGATTCCTCTAACGGCTCCATCTAGCGGGTTGGTCCAGAGTACAGGTATGGCAGAAATCTCCGTCCGTCTTGAATGCCACTGATTCCCTCCTGCAATCTAGGTTGCCTTGTGATCAACAATTACCAGGTGTTGCTCTACAACGGTCTTAATCTGTACGGAGCAATGCCACTGATGTTGTATGCAATTTGGGACACGTGGGCCGCATTCATGAATTTTGTCAATGCCATGTTGCTTGATAAAGTCGGACGCATACCCATCATGGTCGTTGGACAGGTAGGGTACAAGACTCCTCCGCCCTTTTGCGCTGGCTAATGGCCTAGCTTGGTTGCTCGGTCTCCGTCGCTGGCTTCGCTGCCTGCCTTGCTCGCTACGGCGGAACTGACAATAAGATTGGAAATGGTTTTGGAGTCTTCTTCCTGTATCTCTGTAAGTGATGTACCATCCGTTGCAAGCTTCCATCCTTCTTGCTGACCAGTCCGAAGTCGTGACCTTCTTCGGCGGCTCCATGGACGCCTCCTCCTATGTCTACAGTTCCGAGATCTTCCCCACAAGCATTCGAGCTCAGGGGAGTGGCTTCAGCGTATCTGGTCTCTTCGCCTTCAGCCTCATCTACACCATGTGTGCCCCGGTCGCATTCAATACCATTGGATGGAAGTACTATCTGATATTCATCATCATTCCCCTGTTCGGTGCCCTCGGGATGTATCTCTTCTATCCAGAAACAAAGGGGCTCGCGCTGGAGGAAATCGCAGCTAAGTTTGGCGACGAGGTCGCTGTCGACCTGACGAATCTCTCGGCTGAAGAGCGGCTCCGCCTCGACAAGACCCTCGTCAACAGCGAAATCATGGAGCTCGAGCATAAGGTGTAAAAGGAGCAGTGTGAAAGTAGCAGGACGACAGGTTAGGTGTGGATCTGTACTATGTACCAGAGGGAACAGCCGGAGAAGCCTCCCGAGTCGTATGCTCTTCTCTCTCGCAATTAACCCGCAGTGGAAGACTGAAGTTCAGGCAAGGTCACTGATGCTAGAAAAATATGAAGGTGTTATCTGGCCTCATAGTCAAGTAATCCAAATGCTTCATATACAACTAGGCCCCTTCATTTTGCCTTTGGTTATTAATAGCTAGCCAATTATGTAAGATTTGTGTATCAGCCGAGGACCTGCTGAACTCTTCCCGTCTTTATCCCACTGTAGGGAGAACCATACGTCAAATATTTTACATTAGTATATCTCATGATCCTCACCATGGAAAAACCTCAAGATCGCAGAGGCAACAACAATGCCATCGTGTTCCAACACCGCAGTCTTCTTCCTTTCCTCCGCAAAATCCGAGTCCTTAATCCCCCCATTCGCCTTCCGCATATCGACTTGCCTGTGGACCATCTTCTCATCAAAGCCAAGGTGACCCTGCGTGGTGAACAGCTTATCCCGCAAGTACACACCCTGAACAAAAGTATGATCGGTGCGGCCCCAGATATGCACATCGTCCCTGAGGCCAAGCAGGTCCGTGTACTTCGCCGACGGCGCGTCACTCACATGGTCCTGGTGCATTTGATGCAAATGAATACTGGGCTCTTCCACACAGAAGAGGCGTCGCCCGATCTCCGTCAGCTCGATCTTTGTATGTGCCAGCTCCCAGTCGTTTTCCGGGTGTGGCCCGACTTTGCCACCCAGCATGCGGCACAGCAGCTGATGCCCAAAACACACCCCACTGAACCGCATCTGGGGCCGCTGCTGCCACAGGTCCTGGAGCAGCTTGACCAGCTTCAGGATCCATTCGTCGTTGCCGTGTGCGTCGTACATGCTTCCGGTGACTAATACGGCCGTCGTATCCCCGGGTATCTCTTCTATCGTGGGAACGTGCCCGGCATTCTCAGTGCCGTCTTCCACCACGTAGTGCATATCTGTCTCGATTCCCAGGGGTGGGTCGTGCTTTATCCCTGCTTCTGTGAATAGATTATCCAGTATCTCCCCAAAGCTCCCCTTCGTCGCCATCGTATTTGGATGCGGCTCATCCGTCTCGAGGATGAGCATTCGGACGACATCGTTCTTCATATCGTCTGCTTGTGCTTTGTTATGATGTCTGCCAGCCTTTAATTCTAGCCGGTTCTGAAATCTCTACAAGACGGGACTAAGGAAAGTACTAATGTGCATGATATTGAATGGTCGTGAGCAGCGCTCAAGGCGGTACCTACTCTTTGAGATAGGTCTTGTTATATCTTCCCTTGGTAGAGTGGGCCACGTCTCTGCGTCATAGCACATCATTCCGAATATCTTGAAAGCACAGAGTTTTGCGTAGATTTTCTTGAGATCCGCTTTGAGAGAGGTGAGGTCCTGCAAACTAATTATGACAAGCACAAACCTGAGCGACACGTTGTGCCAAGATCTCGACCACGACGACATGAGGTCATGCCAAGGGGACGCTCTGGTTGCTGTTCTGGACTCCTGGCAGGCTGGCACCTACAGTAACCTCCTCCGCATCTGTATGCCTAAGCTGTACTCCGTACATACTGTAAAGCACCACTGGCAGACCTCCAGCTAAGTTGGGGTCCCAATAAGGGCATGGAGATCGAGATCTGGGGCTTCTGGCTTGGGTTTATAAAGGGGCAAGATACATTCAGATTGCCGAACGATAAACGGAAGGTCGTGCGATTGAACCTCACTCCGATACTCAGATGCCTGGTGCGCCTAATCGCTATAATGTGATGGCCTGTTGTTCCTTAGATGGGACGATTTCCATCGAGGAAGACAAGTCTTTCTTGTTCGTAATTATATCAGGCCACAAATCACCGATTTAGTGTCCTTACAGGATGGTGAGCTAAAAAGAATTTACTGACCAACCACCATCCATCAGCATCCCGATGGACTTGGCGCCGAACTGCTCTGTCCAGGACAGCTCTTTGTAAAGAACCAAGTACCAAGGGCCTTTGAATTTGCGCTTTACTGCCCTTCATAACAATGGCCAAACACCCTGTTCTGTCTGGGGATGATGACTACTACAACCTTGGCACATACGCCCGCACCGTAAGCACCAATAGCCAGCATGCTCAAAAGTGGTTCAACCGTGGCTTAGTATGGAGTTATGGTTTCAATCATGAAGAATCAGTCGAATGCTTCAAGCAGGCTATCGCACACGACTCGGACTTTGCATTAGCCTACTGGGGTCTGGCGTACGCTCTGGGACCCAATTATAACAAGCCATGGGGTTTCTTCGACGCAGAGGAACTCCAAGGGATGCTTGCTACCACACATAAGGCCGTGCAGGATGCGCGAGAGAAGTCGTCAAAAGCCTCCAAACTGGAACGGGCGCTCATTGCTGCCCTCGAGTACCGGTATCCCCAGTCACAACCACTAGAAGATTGCTCGATATGGAATAGTGCATATGCTGATGCAATGGCCACCGTCTACAGGGACTTTCCCGATGACCTGGACGTGGCAGCATTATACGCCGATGCACTGATGAATCTCACACCATGGCAACTATGGGACTTGACTACCGGCCTACCGGCCAAGGCCGCACGCACCTTGGAGGCCAAAGAAATACTAGACCGGGCTCTCGCACAGGAGGGCGGGCTGCGACATCCAGGTCTACTTCACCTCTACATCCACTTTTGGGAGATGTCGGCTACCCCGGAGAAAGCGGTCCAGGTTGCTGATCACTTGAGGGGGCTTGTTCCAGATGCGGGCCATCTCGAGCATATGCCATCCCACCTGGACATTCTCTGCGGTGACTATCGACGCGCGATAGCCTCGAACATGGATGCAATCCGCGCGGATGAAAAATTTGTCAAACGCAGGGGTCCGTCGAACTTCTACACACTCTATCGAGCTCACGACTATCATTTTCGCATCTACGCATCTATGTTTGCTGGGCAGTCGGCTGTGGCACTTGAAACAATCGCCTGGCTGGAGCAGTCCGTTCCTGAGGACCTGTTGAGGGTTAAATCTCCGCCAATGGCCGATTGGCTTGAAGGAATCATAGCTATGCGCGTCCACGTACTCGTTCGGTTTGGGCGTTGGCAAGAAATTATTGAAATGGAGTTCCCAGCCGATCAAGGACTTTACTGTGTGACAACTGCCCTATTGCTCTATGGTAAAGGCATTGCATTTGCTGTTCTTGGAAACGTGGACGCGGCTGAGGAACAGCTTTGTTCCTTCCGAGACAAGGTCAAGCAGGTTCCATCAACCCGAATGCTTTTCAACAACTCGTGTCTTGACATTCTGGCTGTGGCGGATAAGATGCTCGCAGGCGAATTAGAATACCGTCGTGGCGCGTACGACTCTGCGTTTGAGAAGCTGCGAGAGTCAATCGCTCTCGTGGATGCGCTGCCTTATGACGAGCCTTGGGGATGGATGCAGCCACCGAGACATGCGTATGGAGCACTCCTCCTTGAGCAAGGCCACGTAGATGAAGCGGCAGCCGTTTACGGTGCAGACCTTGGAATAGATGAGACTCTTCCCAGGCCTCATCGTCACCCGAATAACGTGTGGGCTCTGCATGGTCTTCACGAGTGCTTGCTGAGGCTTGGACGCACTTCTGAGGCTACCATCCTGAAGCCACAACTGACGCTGGCTCTCGCTGCAGCAGACGTGCCAATCAAGGCTTCTTGCTACTGCCGCAAAGTCTTCGCTTCGAATTAACCCTAGAAAATGAACAACGGGTCGTTCTAAGTACAACAATAGTTAGACACAATCCAAAACTTAAAACCGGTGGACATCTTCCCCCTCTCAACCAATTCTAAATGGTCGAAGAGTGGGAGCAGAGGGGAGTTACCCGAGATCGGCCGTCCCAAGGAGGGTGTATTTCCGGTGAACTTTCTTCGGCCCTCCAACAAAAGAGCATGTCAGAGCCTCGGAGGTCCCTGTGGTTCAAATGCTCGCTTGAGCCTCTGGCTGCACTCCCCCGAGATTGGTGGTGCCTTGCTTCAACACGCACGAGGTTGCCATCGCCTCACACATGGGCTGCCTGTATCAGCACAATCACAAAACGATTATCATCTTATGCCGCACCTTTGCAGTCTTGGGCTCGATAGGCTTGTCATCGTCTCATCTTATATAGTAGATGAACATAGCTACGTCCATCAAGGAGGTCGATATAGAGATTGAGAGAGAGAGAAAAGTTAACTGACTTGATGGAATGAATGACCCGAGGCTTTGACCTTCTGCCCCTGACTTCCCGTGGGACAGGTTGGCCTACGAAACGCTCAGCACTGCGAGATTCTCTGCTCTCCGGATGACAACCCCGCAGTCAATCACAGTTTGGAGGGGCAGAGGGGGCAACTTTCAATTCAACTCTGCAGCAGGGCCGGTCGGTGACTTGGAACACTTTAAATTGCTTTACTTGCATCATTTTGTGTAGTTATTTATCGGTGTCAAAGAGGAAGCGAAGAAGTCCTCAGGCCTTAAGTGGTGGACGGAATGGGGAGTTGTTGAAGTTCTTGGACGAGTAACTGGAATTTTCACTGACCATCTAGGTGCGGGTTTGTTAACAAGTTAGCCAACTCACTAGCTACCTTGGTGGCTAATAGTTAAGCTGTTAGTGGGGTGTTAGTTGGGCGGTTAGTTGGGCGGTTCCTTAGGCGGTTAATCAGGTTGTTAGTTCTGCGGTTCCATAGGCGGTCAGCTAGGCAGTTAGTTCGTGGCTCTGGTTAAATGCCATCTAAGCAGAAACTCGGGCCTGGGCACCCAGCCGCGCGCGCCTAAAGATCGTTTCTCCAGCTGAGTTGCCCCAGGGTCCAGACCTTCCCCGGGCTCTCCCACGAAGCCAACCCGGATCCTGGTAAGGTCCTAGGCCAGCAAGACGTCGCGACGCCCAATGAAGACCCCAAGGTTCCGATGAAACCGAAAATCCTTGCCGCCTGAAGGCAGGCAAAATAACCTTCGTCTTGGCTCTCGCTCACAAGACACCCTTCAAAGTTTGTTGGCTGTTCGAACCCTACCTTCTTAATCATCCCATCTTGAATATGCCGACATCCATACAATCATACCATTCTTAGGACTCCATCTATAACTTCCGTGATGGAGGAATTCCATGATCTAGTACGAAGCCAGGCACTACTTTCCTCTGCTTGGTCCAATTCAGCGGCGGACACGGCGGCGACGACGACAACGACGACGACGATGGCTTCCGAAAAGCGCTATCGTTGCTCGACCTGTGGGCAAAACTTTTCTCGAGCAGAACATCTTAAGCGCCATCAGACTCGACGTAAGTAGCAAGTCAACTGCAGCCGCTTGAGCCGTGCATCTGACAATCTGCATGAAGACACGGGCGCCAAACCATTTTCTTGCATCTTTTGCGGTAGAGAGTTTTCGCGAAAGTAAACAATCATCCTCGTCATGGAACTCGCAAGGTCATGTTCTAACAGAACTAAGGGATCGACTTCAGACACACTATGGCCATTGTCAACGGCGCGGGGACAGAACGCCACCATCTGCAATCCCGAAAGGCCGAAAGCCTCATGCGTGTCTTACGGTTGGTGATGAGAGACATATTTGTCGGCTATGTACTGACTGAAACCATCTTAGTGCATCGCTTCCAAAATTCGTTGCGATGGTGGAAACCCCTGTGCACCCTGCCTGAAAAAGAGAGCCCAATGTGTTCAGAAATCTTCCAATGAATCTTCGGCCGGTGAGCACTGGAATCTGTGGCAGGCGTGGGCGTCACGGTTGACGTGCTGTTAGGACCCAATGCGCTTCTTGACGATCGCGTTTCTATCAGAGCGCTCTTGAATGGAGGTGTCGACACTTTTACCGAGACTTTCAATCTACCTCCATCCGACGACCGAGTCCGAAGCTTAGAATTTCATCAACGAAAGGACGAGCAAGAAGAACAGAGCTCATCAACCATCAACTCGCCTCCCACCAAACCTACCGAGCAGGTGGACTATTTAAGCGTATTCGAGTCTCCCCTTGGATTGGATGATCAATATCTCGATTTCTGGGCCGGCCCATTCGGCCTTATCCCATCTCCGTCGTACTCCTCCAGTGATACACAGATAGACCTATACAACACGTCAATGCTGACAGCAGACGGCCAGAGCGACAGAACCCCACTCGAGCCGAGCCCAAGCCTTTCGGATCAGGCAAACTTTGCCTCATCCTTCAACCTTGCTATTTACAACAAACTGTGGTGCCTCGCTCTAGAGCCTCGCAGTCGACAGGAGCTTACAACATATGCCAACTATCTCCTGACAACCGAGAAGATCACGAAATTCATCTCTCTTTATTTTCGTAACTGGCACTTAAATTGTCCTATACTTCATAAACCAACATTTGACCCTGCCGAAGTTCCGCTCAGTTTATTGGTCTCGGTCGTTTTCATCGGAGCGATCTATTCCAAAAACCAGTCAGAACGGCATGCAGCACAAAAATTGGTCGATGTGGCTGAGCTAGTCGTCTTCGATTCGGAAGTCTTCTCACTTGAAATCGAAGCGAGCCACGTTATACAACGGCAGTCGGCTAGCTATGTGGGTCCCGGCGACTACGATTGGGGCCCATTTCAAGAACTGCAAGCAGGATTTCTGATGGTCATTGCTCAATATTGGGCTGGAGCGCGTATCGCCAAGGGACGCGCAATGGAATCGAGATTCAGTGATGTGATCAAAGTCAGTCTATGATACTCCGTAGAAGCAGACGGTTCCTGACACCTTGAGTATTACAGGTCCTCAGGAAAATGCGTCTACATCAAGCCCGCCATACTCCGTCCGACCGAATTTCCGAGACTGTTTGGTTGCAGAAAGAATCGCGAATTCGGTGAGTGAGGAAGCCCTTTATTCAGGATTAGTCAGTGCTGACTGGTTCCAGAACAATGGCCGTAATAGCTCTCCTGGACTGCGCAATGCGCATTTACACCAATCATCCATGCCGTTTAATTCTCGTGGAGCTTGACAGTGACCTCCCATGCAAAGAATCAATATTCGCCTCCGATCACCCTTTTATGGAGGATGGCAACATTTTTTCGCCTCGTCTCACGATTTCCAAGGCATTTGCTCTGCTCTTCCAGGGCAACGCGAAAAGATCGCTCTCCGTTGTCAAGAAATCAAGCGAAGAGCCAGATGGTGAAGAGAACCCTCCCACTAATAGTTTGGGTGACCTCACCAAGTTTGATTTGTTTATTTTGATACATTGTGAGTGTTCGCGATATCTCCCTAACAACCCCTTCTCTCGAAACTCCCCTTCTTTCCCGGGTCAACTTGCTAATGCCGTATCAGTCCTGTATACATACATCCTTGGGTATGTTATGACACTTTCTTTCAATCTACCAACGAACTCGTTCGCCTCCGACGGAGGAAGGTTAGCACGAGGTGCTATGACTGGCGATACCAGAGAAGCCTTGGCACAATGGCGGATTTCCTGGGACCGTGCGTGCAAACAGTCCACAGGGCAGTCTCCCCGATTGGCCGGAATGTTTCGAAATGCATTTTCCTTTTGGCTTGTTGCCAGATCTATCATCAACAAAGAGGAATCTATCGATGTTATCACCAATATGGAAGTCAACTGTGATGATGCCTTGACGAAACTGAAAGTTCTGTTCCAGAATGACAACGATTAAGCGTATGTCCGGAGGAAATATCATCTGATCCGTCTATGAACCTTCGACGCTCAAAATTGCGGGGTGCTGTCATTCCAAAACACATATCCAGAGTTGGGTGCCTGAGCGCAAGCTTCTTGTGGCTAGTACATACGCCTTGGGGAGATGTCGAAACACTTCTTAAGGTGGAGAAAAGAATCTCTAGAACATTGCTCTGCCTCTACAAAATGGTCCCTGCTTGACGCTGGGTACTAACTTATTCGTGCCGCTTTCGTCCAAACCATACATCATCCCAACCACACGCCGACTCAAGAAAGGTTTCTTCCAGAAATCAAGATCAAAATAAGCCCCAATTAGAAGATTCCATAATACACCTTCAAAACTACACCCTCTGCATGCGGTGGCTTATGCGGTAGGAAGCTTCTTGCCTCCAGGGTTGGTGGCGGTGAAGCCAATGTCGATACCCCAGGCGATGTTGTTGAATTCGACGTACATATCCGCAATCTTCCCGTCATCATCAATCTCGAAGAGGTTCATTCCCTTGACAGGGATTTGCTTCGAGCCAATGATCATCTGCCAGTACCACAACACGTTGTTGCAGCCGGCAGGCATGACCTTGATGGTCTCAATATCAGTGATTGATGGAGCGTAGAGAACACCATTGATGTAGTTCTGCTTGCCGGAGAATGTGACGCTGCCGACCTATGTCAAAGTCAGGTATAAAGTCAAAGAGGAATGGGGAAGAGGGTGAGGTGTGCTTACAGGGTGGCCTGCGAGCATGTTGATGGAGTCTGACTCCTCAAAGAAGTCATCGCCGATCAGGGCCTGTGCAGTGGCATTTGATGCCTTGACGTCGGGGTGGTTGAGGACTGAGATGAACTTGTTGACGATATCCTCAGCATCGCTCTGTTGGAGACATGTATCCACTGGGCATTCGACATCAGGGCACTGAGCTTCAGGGCATGATTTTGGCGCCCAGTCCGCCCAACGAGGCGCAGCGGAGACGACTGAAGCAAGAGCCAAAGAGGCGGCGGCGGTGATGAACTTCATTTTTGATGATGGATAGATTGTTTCGGAAATGACAGAAGAGTCGGTGAAAGAGAAATGGTCAAAGGAATGACTTGAGTTGGCCTGGAAAGGAGTGACTTGAGTTGGACTCAGACAACGATGTGAATTGGAATTAAGTGATGAGCAGTATGAAAAGGATCCGCAAGTTTCAAGGCGGGTACCAAGGACCAAGTCTTATACTCGCGAAGGGGTACCGTACTGCACAGCAAAGCAAAGCAAAGCGAGCAACCCAAAAACGCCCATGATCAGTGCTGAAATCACTGTCCCAAGTCGCATCTTCAGGGAAATTATTTCATCAGATTCTAGAGACTTCACTCCCATCACCTAGAATCCAAGACATCGAATGGCAGCCAGCCACATGCTGCTTCCAAAGCAACGGGGCCGTAAGGCTTGAGTCGCTTATTACCCAGAAGCCAAGAAGCTCAGGAGAAGACTTGCACCAAACCCGGATCGAATTTGCTTTGAAAGTACTTCTGAACTATTGTGACAGCTCGCTTTGACGCCGGCAAATGCCGCGCTGAGACAGATCCAACTGAGCACCTGGGGGTCTCAAATGTCGTCCCTCGTACTCTGTACAGGATACGGGGAATGTCAGCTGTCAGATAGTTATTGGAGCTTCCCACCAATGAAAACCATCTGGGAATCCAGTACTGGCAGGCTACAGCAGGAGCTCTTCGGTCTGAACAGGATCTGGAGTGTAGATATCGAACACTAAAGCTAGTAAGCTCTGATTTGGCACCTGTCGCTCAACGCTTGCATAAAATTGCGCGTGGAATCTAGAGCTACGGCCCGCAAAGGTTGAAGTGAGCTGAGCTGTAGTCTTTCTAGCTTTGCTATAGGGCACGCGGCTAACAATCTCAATGTGATGGACGTTCAGCCGACAAACGAGATATCCGTGGCGCTTTTCCTGATTGATTCTACACGTATCCCGCAATGAGCGCGGGTACATACACAGGCCGGATGATTAGATCGCTTTCCTGATAATGGCCGCCGTGAATATCTGGATTCCTGCTGGTGCGCGCCTTCAAAGGCATTGACACAGAGATCTAAGTCGTTCAGGAACCCAGTTGTGAATAACCATAGTTTATTGAGCAAGATCATGCAAGTTCTGTAGCAAGTCAAGTCTCAAGACAAGCGAGGCAGAAGGAAAGCAACCGACGTCTCTTCTATGTGGAGCCCGCCGCCGCGTGTTGTACTTGGATGACCGGTACCCTCCCTCCACATGTTCCCCAAACAAGGGACATTCTAACCCCACACTCTCCAAGAATGTGGGTGGTCCTTCAGCATCGACTATCTAAACTACCGAGTCGGTACACTTTTTATTGCTTTAACGAAAGGAAGGGATGTTGCTGACCCAGGTATTGTATCTAAGCGTTCCTTTAAAATCGAGTTGGCCCTCCTTTCTCATAGTCTGGAAAGCGCAGAAGATCATTTGACATACAACCATGGATCCAGCGAAGTTTGGCATTTCAACAATTCCCCTTAACCATACGTATTATGGCCCAGTGACCCCGGAAAGCCTTGCAGGCAAAAACAGTGGCAAACTCGCTGTTGTTACGGGCGCTAGTCGAGGTACTTCCGCGTTCCCTCCTCGACGGTTTGGTTGGGGGCCGCGCTGTATTACTGACATTTCGTCTTTGATACCAGGCATAGGAAGGGCTATCGCGACATCTCTTGCAAATTCTGGTGCCCATCTTGCAATCATAGACTTGGGCTCCCAAGATCAATCGGAAACGAAAGCTGCCTGTGAGCGTTACAATGTCAAAGTCCAGTTATATTCATGCGATGTTACCGATGAAGAACAGGTGCAGCAGACCTTCTCGAAAATTCAACAGGATCTGGGTCCGATTGAGTAAAGCATACCCACAGAGTCTGAATCTTCGTCCCGTCATTAACTTTTGACAGCATTCTTGTGAACAATGCTGGTAAGTTTATGGGCAGACCCATGTCCATGGCGAACTTCGGCGACTTCTGGAAGACGGTGGAAACGAACTTCAAAAGCGTAACAAGCATAAATGGACTCCGAGAGAAGATATGCTGAGACTCCTCTAGACAATGCTGTGTACGTTCCAAGTGTTGCCCATGATGCGTGAACGAAAATCCGGTTGCATCATCAACATCGCGTCGAGGGCGGCCACCGTCGACACGCCACTGGGGATGGGCTACAACTGTGCGAAAGCTGCTGTAGTACGCGCAACATCGAATATCCAGTTGGAGCTTGACGACGACGGGCTCGGCGAACAGATCCATACCTACGCCCTTCATCCAGGAGGCGTCATGACCGCAATGGGAGCAGGCAAGTCCAGCGTGTTCCGGACAAGTGACTCGAAAATCCCTCACTGACTTATGACAGCCGCCCATGACCCCGATATTGTGGCCAAATATCCCGCTCTTGAAACGCAGAAGAGTGAGATATTGAAGCTGTTCAAGGATGGCCCGGAACTCTGCGGTGCAACCTGTGCCTACCTAGCCTCTGGGAAAGCCAAGGCCATCCGGGGACTGTACTTTGATTGTCGGCAGGATATTGAAAGGGTGTGCGGTGCAGGACGTAGCACCCTCGAAGCGAACGGCCTTTATAATCTGAAGGTGGACTTCCTTCAAGGCTATCGTAACGAACCGTGATGCCCCTGGTAGAGATGCTCCACGGACAGAAGATGGATATCAGTCGGCGTGCAGGTACACCAACACATGGGGAGGGTTGGGACTTGACGTCATAACAGCGCTGACCCCGAATCAATATGAAAGCGAGGGATCTCTAGACAGGACACAGCCTATCGGTAGTGGGAGGTAATATACATTCTTGCTGGATGAGCGCTTGGAATCGGGCTGAAAACCCGGTGACGCGGTTGAGTCGCGCCTCTTGGCCAGTCTCTCTTTGCTCATCCCCGTACGGCCTGGTGACTTTGCGGGCTGCATTTGCGAGGACAAGTATTGGGTACAGTAGCCGTCCGCTCACACGTCTAACCTGTCTTATCTTGTGGAAATGTAGATCCCAGCTTGGCTGTATCTCCAAGAATTCAAGCATTCCCACCGACTCCAATTAATTAGTATGGTTTGGGCCTTTATAAACCCAAGACTGTGGCTCTCGAAAGTAAGCAAGGTCTTACTCGGTCTATAAATGAATCCGAGTCTCCCAGAAACACCAATTCCAGAACAATGGCAGACAATAACAAATCGGAAGCGATTCGCGAGCCAAGCGAGGCCGAAAATATCGCCAACGTCATGCACCAGGTGCGAAACGAAAAGGACGCCGCCGCCATGCATGATGAGTTAGTTCAATCGAGAGCAGGGGGATACATCCCGGTTACATCAGAGGAGAAACACCAATCACGCGCATTGAACCTGAAGTTGGACTTATTTGTTCTTCCGTTTTGCGTCTTCATCTACTTACTGAATGGCCTCGACCGTTCAAACCTGGGTAATGCGCAGACTGGTGGGTTCACCAAGGACTTGGGGATCCCCGCTGATACAATCAACACCGCTACGTCGCTGTTCTTCTGTACAGTGTGTGCATGACCTCCATGGGGTTTGCAAGAGCAATGCTGACTTGCTTGTTCGAAATAGTTCGTTCCATTACAACCGGTTTCCACTGCGATCGGAAAACGTGTCGGCCAAGCTAGATGGCTCGCGATCATCAGTCTGGGCTGGGGTATTATGACACTTGCACATGCTTTTGTCAAAACCAAAGGACAGGTCGTCGCTGTTCGATTACTGATCGGAGTATTCGAAGCAGGCTTCTATCCGACATGTGAGTCCAAGATCAATTCCAACTTTCCAAATACCATCAAAGAGAATTGCACCAGGGTGGTAGGATATTAACAGGCCCCAGGTGTCTCTTATCTCTCGACATTCTACCCTCGATTTGATCTGGCTTATCGAATTGCACTTTTCTATGGATCGTACGCAATTGCAGGGGCATTCGGAGGTCTCATCGCTTGGGGCGTATTTCACATCCATGGCTCGCTCTACAGCTGGCAGTATCTCTTCATCATCGAAGGTTCCATCACTCTTTTGATAGCCATCATCACGCCATTTTGGCTAGTTGCCGAGCCGAAGAACGCATGGTTCTTGAAGGAACATGAACGGGTGTATGCTGAAAGACGTATGGTCATGGACGCAGCTGCTAACCTCGACTCCACTTACAAGATCACCACGCGAGATATGGTTGAGGGTGCTCTTGATTGGAAATTGTGGTGTGTCTTACCCTGGAATATTTTAGCAAGCATTGCTCCGCAAGGATTCACCATCTTCTTTCCGATCGTTGTGAAGGTATGTCAGAGATTCTCGTCGATCTGCAAACACTAATTGAGCCAGGGTCTGGGATATTCCGGTGCAACAGCGAAGTAGGTCAATTGTCGCTCGGCATCCGGTGTGTTGCTAACCAAGGTAAAAGCCTGATGACCGTTCCCCCTTACGTCATTGGAACAGTGGTTTTGCTCTGCGTCGCCGCATCGTCTGACCACTTCCAGGAGAGATCAAGACATATTCTCAGCGGCATCACAGTAGTGATGATTGGTCTGATTCTCGTTATCGTCCTTCCTTTGCAGAACATACATGCTCGATACGGCGGGCTAGTAATCTTATTGGCCGGTACGTTCGTTGCTGCTCCCATCACGGTTGCATGGCTGGCAGGCAATACTCCAGAACCAGGTAAACGGACCTTTGTTCTGGGCATCAATGGGTGGGGGAATCTCGGCGGCATCATTGGAAGTGAGCTTTACAAACCTCGCTACGGCCCTGACTATCACTTTCCTCTGAAGGTTACTGCCGGCTTGATCGGTGTTGCATGGGTGGGATATGCCGCCTATCACTTCGAACTCCGTTTTGCCAACAGGTACAAAGCCCGGAAGATAGCGCAGATGTCCCACGAGGAAATCGAAGAAGAGAACAGGAACGACAAACGGTATGCCGATAGCAAGTATACATTTGTATACTCGCTGTAGATTCTAGAATCTGCAGAGTCCACCCTGAGCTTTGAAAATACGATAAGTGGGAATGGCACCTCAGTGATATTTTACACCATCACCCCGAAGGCCAATTTGACTGCTCCTAATCCACGGCACATGTATCAGTCCACGAGGATCATGAATAGTGTCAGTCTGGATAATGATGTGGCCCGCTGGCCCGTCTAGGAAGGTGGTGGATCAACAATAATCTACTCGGGCAAGGCCGAAAGAGGTGGGGAACGTTGGTGTGCTTCTTATCTCGGCTCATCCAAGCACTAGTGCGAGAGCCGTGGTCAGTCACTGTAGTAAGAGGGTACTGCCTACGCATCGATGCAATATAGCAAGAGGTCGACTAGTACGGAGCAGATATGCCTAAATCAGTCGGCGCCAAGACAAGGGAAGACATGGGGACCAAGGGCTATGAAGGAGTAGCATCTCTACTGCATGAGGAGTTCCAGTATCGAGCTATTGGGCGTGCTAGACTTTAGCCCGGGTGCATCTTATTATTCTGATGGTCTCAGCGACCATCCGCAAAAGAACTCAAATCCTTCAACAACCACGACGGCCAGTAGCCCACGGACTCATAGCCTTGTTGTATCGTCCCTTAGAGAGAGCAATATTGCCAGATGTAGATGGCTGAACGGTTCGCGAGCTAAGCCTCGAGCTCAAGGTAACTTCTGAACGAGGATTTCTCCATGAACCATGGCCAAGCTTGCATCCTCCGTGATTGCCCACTCCTCCCAGGCCTTGGCCATTACTTCAAAATCGTCCTCAGCACCAAGGCCGAATTTCAGGGCTCGCTCACGCAAAGAACCCCCTCTGAGCGGACCACACAATCCCTGGGCTGGAGAAAAGACAGTCATTAGAGCAATAATAGCAGCCACAAGAAGAAAAGTAGAATAGTGAAACTTACCGCAGATATTCCTTTCGCTCGGCGTATTGTACGACCATGAACTGTAGCTGAGCGTGATCTGGCTCCGCTCGGCCCCAGCTTTGAGTGCCCAAGAAACCAGCTGTCGGCCAGCAGTCGGACTACCGCCGCCAGCACTCATAATGTCTGCGACAAGCTTATGGAACCTGCGCAGCTCGGGGACTTCGGGCCAGACACACTCCGTCTCGTAATCGCCCTCGCGCGCGGCGACGACGCCGCCTCGCTTGGTTACTCGGAGCATTTCACGCAGCGCGTCCCAGGGGTTGCCAATGTGGACCAGCACCTGATGACAAAAGGTGACGTCGAATGTCTCATCGGCAAACGGGAGCTCATAGACACTGCCCTGCTGAAACTCGATGTTTTTGACCCCTGCCATTTCGGCCACAGCCTGCGCCCGTGGCAGGATCTTGGGGTTCACGTCGATGCCAATAACGTGGCCGTCGGGGATAAGCTTGGCGAAACTCACAGAGATGGTGCCTGAACCCGAGCCAACGTCTAAGAGCTTCAAATTCGGGTTCGATTCCTTCATGGACTGCAGCTTGGGCAGTAAATGGGCCGCGCTGTTTTCGGCGGTCCGCACCTCGTGGAGGACCGACTGAACGGGCGGATCGGCTGGCTTGTCACCGGGAGTCTGCTGGTCTTTCTCCATTATTGCTGCTGGTGGACGCAATGAACGGAGCGTTGACGTCTAAGTGTTACCTGGAGTCAGCAACATGAAGCCTCATAGCCTTGTTTTGATGTTTTCCGACGTTTGTCTGGATCCGGCAGAATAAGCATCCCGGTGGGTGGCCTGAGACGAACTTGTGCCAGTTCATAACTCGAAAGATGCATCATCAGCCTTGAGCTAAGCGAGCCAAATCCCAACTTCAAATCTGTAGAATGGACAGTTACAGTAGGGTACTTGGCCGTCACGAAATTGAGTGGCTCGAGAAAAGATTTGCTTGATTATATGATCCTTTCTCTCTGATGATGAATATTTAGGTCTTCGGTTAGCATGCAAGGCTTCCTTACTACTTTGGCTCTTGCTCGTATGCTGTCACATGCCAAGTCTTGAAATGAATGAACTGCTGCTTGCCTCACAAAGTTCCTTCCTGGTGGGAATTGGTGGCACATATCTCAGTGGAAAGTCTACCAAGCATCTCCCTGTGGACGCTATGCCTCCACTAGCGACGATTTCAGTTACTTGATCATTTGCTGGCAGATCCCAAACACCGTCCTGAGAGCAGTGTTCGAGTGTATCCGTCAAGTCGCAGCGCACGAAATTGCACATGTCAGGATCCCGCCCAGCACGAGAGGTCTCGTCATGACCATTTCCTCTTCATGAACGCCCGCTCGAGCGCGCTTAGAGCAGTTCTCATTCCAGTAACAGGAGATCCTCATCTTATCTGGATCTGTGCGGGCCAGGGCACTGTTAGTCATCTTCTAGTTAAAGTTTCGCAAATACAACCACGATGAGTATATGCTCTTCGAAGTGGCTTCTGAGTACCGTGAAGTGGCTGGATTAAAGCAAGGCACCGAAATTTCGACTGAGAATGGAATGAAATAGAGAACCTTAGACAACTGGAGGAGCTCGCTGGCCTTCAGTACCTAGACTAGTAGCCAGCCTGAAGGCTGAGGTTGACTATTCGACCAGGATATCAAAGCTGGAGTAAGCTTGCCAAAGCGAAGTGATTTGAGACGATTGAATAGATTGAACTTCATGGCATGTCAGGTCCCGGATATTAAGACGTCTTCAATGCGGTTATCTGGCGTAGGCATGGTGTAGGCATGGAAATATTCACCAGTCCTAATGTTCGTCCTTCCAGATGTATAATTGATGGAAGTGCTTTCCTGCCTTCACCAAGCTTCCTGCCCTCCATGATGGTACCAAAACTTGCCTCCATGAGTCTCCTTTGTAGCGATATCAAACAATTTGATCATACCGTCAACAGACTCGTCAACGCTGTCAGGTGCCTGTTCAAGACCAAAAGATTTAGCGCCATTGTTCCCCATATCGGTCGCTACCCAGCTACAGACCCAAATAAGCATCATGCGCGTATCATACAGGTGGGAGAAGATTACCCAGGAGTGACAACAAACGCGGTCAGTTTCTCTTCTTCTCCATCCATTCTCTTCGTGAACCAGTGGACTGCCGCCTTGGACGGCCCATATGCGGCATTGCCAATGGGCGGTTGGTTTCTATCGGTCAAGGTTTAGCATCATCAATCCGAGTATGTAGTATCGCCAGTCTACATCAGTGGCGCTCGGCCTTCTCTTGGATAAAAAGACAAAGGGATTCTTCTGCTTACTAGACTGCCGTTAGCTACCATGACTTGTTTCACACGATAGCATGGATCGAGATCACACAAGTCACTCACCTCGATACTTCCAGCAACTGAACCCACAGTAACCCATTTCGGATTTCTCGACTTCAGCAATAGAGACAGGGTTGCTTGGTACAACCTCACAACGCCATACGCATTTGGCTCCATGTGGTCCTTGATATCATCAATATTTATCTCAGAGACTTTCCCGAAGCGATATGAAACACCCGCGTTGGCGATGACGATATCGATATGATCGATACCGTCTTTCTGTTGGAGTTGTTTCGCGGTGTTAGCGGCGTCCGTCTCACTCTTCGCGTCGACCTTAACTACGACAAGTTGGCTTTCAGGATGTTTTGGCAGGCTGGCGAGACTTTTCGATGAGGCATGATCAGGGTCCCGGTTTGCGGCAATAACGACGTGGCTTGGTCGCAGAAGATAGCGCTCAAGTAAAGCTCTGCCGATGCCGCGATTGGCGCCGCTGATCAGAATAACGGTTGGTGTCATGTTCTGGAATGCTGCACTTCCTATGAGGACCTTGTACCTGATGGAGGAAATCAATAACTATTATTTATTTCTGACGCTGACTTGGTCTTGTATATTTTGAATCAGAGTACTGGACTGTAACTCTATGCTAATTTGTAAGCCCTACCAGACACCCTCAAGTTAGAAGTACGGCTGGACCCACAACGGTGCTTCATCGGATAATGCTAATATTCTGACCGTGCATGAAGTCAATGATGACGGTAATAGCCCGATCGGCCAGGGCGGGACCATACTCGAACATCTATTGACACTGTGACGAAAACCAAAATAGAGCGACCAGGACCGTTTCAGCAAGGCTCATATTGCTACCCACGATATGTGTATGCTCCTTGGTACATACGGATGATATTGGCCTTTTTGTATAGCATTGACAGTCCAAAAATAGCTATCTGCTTCTTTTCCTATTCCGCAAATCTACCTCAGTTCGTTGTGGCTTTCTCCCCTAGTCCAACAATCCAATCGATGGTCTCCTTTTCTGATGTGATATTCGCGCAGTGGTCGGCAGGGATACTGGTGACATCCACCTTTCTTCCACTCTCCTTTTCGATCATGTCAATCCCTGCTTGCTGCACGCTCGCTGGAATGCACAAATCTTGTTCACATAGTAGATATGAGCATGGCACGTGCTTGTATCCCGCATACGTCAGGGGATTCACGAAGCTGACAGCCGAGTGTTTGGGGAACGTTTTCACCCACGCTGTGCCTTCCTCTAGTGAAATCGACGAGAAACAAATTTCAGCTGTCGATTCCGGTCTGTGGTGCAACATCCATCCGTCATCCTATCAGTTGGTCAAGATGTGAGGCTTCATTCAGGGAAAGCGAAGGGATATGCCTAATGCAAAGGCTGACTGACAAGAACTTTCATATCGACTTTGTGCTCATCGGGCACCTCAGCCAGGATATCTCTAGCGTTCTGGCCCAGACCTGGCACCAGGCATGTCAAGTAAGCGAGGTTTACGAGTCCGCCGGACTTTCCTTGCTTTTTCCTTTCCTCTTTGTTCAGGCTCTGTCCACATTGCGATACTGGGACCCCTCCATACGAATGGCCGATGAGAACGATATCTTTACCTTCATCTGCGAGTTTTTCAAGTTCCTTATCGATATGTGCGGCGTCATCGTACATAGTTGGGGGTTTCCCTGGTCGGCCCTCAAGAGCTCGGAGGCCCACACTCGGAAGATGTAAGCCTTTAATATCGTAGCCTTTCTCACGTACAGCATCGAAGACTGGGTTGTAGAACTCCGGCACGGCAAAAGAGCCTGGAACTAGAACTATCGTTGGCTTGGCCATTTTTGGTTGACTGTCTCAGAATCTCGTTGTTTTAGCAGGTGTTGTTATATTCCATGTGTGGATAAGCGGTACTTTGAGAAGTGGACTGTCAAGATACACCTAGTATTGTGAGTCCTGAATGAATTCCTCTCAACTTGACTCATTTTATACTTCTTCATTTAATGGTTCGATTTGGACTACCTCTATGTCGAGAGTAGGTGGTGGTGGTCATGAGATGCGGTCAGAAACAAGTACAACCAGCCTACCCCACGGGGCCCTTTGAGCCGAGTCAGGGACAGCCCGGAATGGCCAGAAATGCGGGGAGTGCGCCACCCATGGCCGGCAATACCACGCCTATGCAACTTCTATGTTTCTGACGGTCAGAAATAAATGCTTGTTGAACCCTGTCTTGCACGCCTCATCGGCCACGAGTCTTTGTAACGTAGAGCCTCTTCTGCTGCTGTGTCAGAAACCAAGTTGAGATCACTCTTGGTAAATTGGTGGGTGGGAGGGAAGAAATCTTAGTTTTTGAAGTGCCGGCCGCACATTTAAGCCGCAATAGTCATGTAAACAAATACCCCCATTTACTTTGAAAGCTTTTTGCCATCTTCCAGCCTGCTGGGTCCCAACTTAGAGATCCTGGCGCAACTGTGAAACTCTCTCCAGTGAAGATGTCGGAAAACAATTCGTCCTCGTCAAAGCCTTCACAACTTAACCGAATGACATTGTCTCTCATCTTTGGGAATGGAAAACGATCAATCCACGGTATATGAAGAATCGTCATCTGTAGTGTTGTAGGGTGAAGAGAAAGCGGAACCTTTACTGTGCACGGCGGCGAGAGTATGGGAATCTGTATTCCACAACGTAGGCCCAGGATGAGACCGTTGGTGAAGAGTGCTGCGAACACCGACGAGTCTCGCCACGAAGATAAGCAGCTATCTGCACCAACAGATTCCCCCGAGGACGCGGTAGATTGCAAAGATGGGGTTGAGTGGCTAGCATTCGTTGGGCTGGAGTTCTCAGGCGTGTCCGCACAGTTTGCTTCTTTCTCTTGCAGAGCCTCGTCTTCGAGACCTTTGCTCAGAGGGCTTTCAGTTCTCTCCCGTTGTTGGATTTGCCTGTTAGCAACGCTCTTGGATTCTGCGAGTCGCTTTCCTGCGATCAAATCAATTTTTGGCTCCTCGCTGCGAGATTTACTTGAGTGATCCACCTACGTCTTGCTCGCTGAGCCAGCCTGTCTTGGATTTGCTTCCTCTTCTTACGATCTTGAACATAGCACCACGAATCTGAATCAACTTGCAAGGGATTAGTTATTGCCCCAATAAGAGCATAACTATCTTCTGACATTGCTTTGCGGAAGCGCCTGAAAAATTGAGCAGTGGATGAAGAGAAGTTGACTGGAGGTTCGCGCGTCAAGCTTGGGCTGCGGCTTTAAAACGCCAGGCAATATGTTCGGATGTTGGCATGTGCAGAGAGGTGGGTCGCGCCACTTTCTGACAGTGCTTTAGCCTCAAACCAAAGCCTAGAGAGCTCGTAGGTACTGCGTCCTTTCTTACAAAGCACGTTTGAAAGAAACCCACTACTGCTCTTCGCATTCTACGATGCACAAAATCTAAGTACCTCGGTCATCAAACGCAAATTCGAAGTCGGTCAGGTGTGTACCAAGTATGCATTGACAGGTTGAACTAGCGGAGTCTACCTAGTAGCATGTCACGCAACTTCATTCGCATGACTACCAGTCTTCAATGTTCCGTCACATTGATTACAGTTGCCACATAGGATAGTGCATCGGTCCATTTGTCGAGCAAGTAATGATCAAGGTCCTGCTTCAAAGTCGCATGCTAAGGCTTTTTCGAGAATGAGATCTGCCTCTGATTTGATAGTCGCGATCTTCTTTCGCATCGTGTCGACCACTTCTTTTCCCAACTGTAGTCTCAATACATTCCGTGATTCCCCAGTGTCAGCGTTCTTGACAATAGTTGGCTCCAGGACTTCCTGGACAATCGCCTGTGCTGACCTCTCTGGGTCGAGTTCTTGAGCTCCGTGCATCCCTTGCAGCGCATTCCACACATACTCAGCAAAGGTGCCCTTGTAATTTTCGGGAAGAGGCTTTGTCGTCTTGGATAACTTCGAAGGATCGGCAAATGAAGTCCTCATACCACCAGGTTCAGCTATAAGCACTCTGATGCCAAATTCGGCTACCTCAAGAGCAAGAGCTTCAGAAAATCCTTCCAAGGCCCATTTACTCGACGAATATGCTGACGTAGTGGGAAAGGCCTGCCAAAAGACGGCGGAAGATATGTTCACAATAACTCCACCTCTCTTGCCACTCCGCATTGCTGGCACGACTGCTTGCATCAACCTGACTGCACCGAAAAAGTTTGTTTCGAATTGCTGTCGTAGAGTCTCGAGGGGGGTAGCCTCGAACACACCTCCGCCAGCATAGCCAGCGTTATTGATCAGAACGTCAATAGCACCGTGCTTCGCGATGATGTGGGAAAGTTGATTCTCAACCTCAGGTGAGGATACATCGAGTGTCTCCCACTTGGCGTTCTCGTTGAGAGTAATTTCGCTGACGGCTTCTGGGGAGGATGCCGGGTGTCTGGAGGTAGCAATCACCTTCTCACCAGAACGAGCAAGAACTGCACGAGCTAGCGATAGACCTAATCCGGTCGAGCATCCTGTGATAAGCCACTGCATTTAAAAGCCTCGGTGTGGAATCTGAGGACTATTTGGTATATCTGTCGCCGATTGTTTGAATGAGTGAGTTGTGATTTAGATTCTGTTGCGCTTAGAACCATTTATTGCCGCACACGAGCCGGCAGCCATTATTTATACCGCTGCGAAGCCGATGAAGCTTCGCTACATCATCGTCACCGAACTTACACGGATAGAAAGAGGACGCCGCATTCCGCAAGGCGCTTCTTGACAAGGAAATGAAGGGCGAGATCGGTCCCGGATTAACTATTTCCCCCCTCCGGCGAGGCTGACAGAGTACGGAGTCGGAGGAAACGAATGCAGAGGAGGAGGCCGAGGGCTCCTGCTCCACACCCTTGAGGGTCGAATGCTCCAAATTTACTCCTTGGGGAACCGTCTCGGAGTGTTTTGTTTCCGAACACATACATCACGTGTTCACTGAAGGGGCTGAAGGAAAACACCACCCACGACTAAACGCCAACCTCGTCTAAATATACATTTAACTACTTCGTAAGTATTCGAGTCGGGTATCGCCTCACCCTTACGTGCAACAAAAGAGTATGGACGGCGGACACTCGAGAATAGTAGATTGACGCGTGCTTTTGATGATTCGACTCAATCCTCTCAGGCAATGTCTTCGTGCATTGTCACCTTTGAATCAGGTTTGGGAGCTCCCAAAGAAGTGGATTGACCCTTAGGTGAAAGTTCCACACGTGTGAGAGATATCCTACAGACATTTGCCGAAGAAAAGGACGGCAACGGCAGTATGTTGGCTTGTCCAGTAACTCAGGCTTAACTCCGAGCAGGGCCACACTCCCAATTGGCTAGATCGCTAACTAGCCACTAGCTGCAGATGGAGGCAAAACTACATTCATCGCTGATTGGGCGTCGTGCAGATTCTCCGGGCAAGGCTGCAGGGCGAGGTCTTCCACTGAATAGCATTATAAGAACGATAACATTGCCCGTGAGTACCATTCCAGCAGAGTTTGACATCCCCCTAGATTCTACAACTGTGATAAGAGCTCGACACTTAAGAACTCTTTTCGAATAAGTCCTTTCCACCGATAGAATTGTTTAAAGATATGACTGCCACCACGAAATCCACGTTCAACGGGGACACCGAGGCCTTGGAGGTTGCCCTTGAGTTTGCCGGTACGATTCGTGGCAAGACCATTCTCGTGACTGGCGTCAACCAAGGTGGCATCGGATTCACCACTGCAGAGGCTTTTGTGAGTCGCGACAAGCATATCCGGCCTCCGAGAGTCTCGCCCTAGCTGACTACATAAATAGGCTTCTCAATCACCAGCTATTATCATCATCGCCGGACGCAACCTCACCAAAGTCCAGGAAAGCATTGACGCTCTCAAAGCGAAATTTTCTGGCCCGACGTACCGTGCTCTCAAACTCGATCTTGGCAGCCAAAAGGGTGTTCGTGCTGCGGCAGCTGAGGTTCTCTCCTGGGCTGATGTCTCTGCCATTGATATTGTTGTTAACAATGCAGGCATCATGAATATCCCCGAGCGAACCATCAATGAGGATGGAATCGAAATACACTTCGCCACCAACCATATCGGACATTTCTTGTTCACTAGTCTCATCATGCCCAAGCTTATCCAGGCCGCCGCAGGAAAACCAAAGGGGTCGACGCGAGTTGTCAATGTGACTTCTCTATCCCCGACATTTGCAGGCATGCGTTGGAGCGACATCAATTTCCAAAAGGTCAACACTGAGTTGCCTGAGGATGAACAACCAACCTATGCGATCCACAAGCAGTGGGGAATTAAAGACCCAGAGAGTAAATCCTACCTTCCCCTTGAGGGCTACAATCAGAGTAAGGTCGCGAACGTATTGTTCAGCATTGGATTGAACGAGCGCCTGTACGACAAGCATGGTATATTGAGCTTGGCAGTCCATCCAGGGATCATCTATACGGAGCTCTCCAGATACGCCGCGCCAGAGACAGTCGCAGCTATTCGAGAGATGTTGAAGGCCGGCAGTTTCCCGCTCAAATCCATGGGAGCAGGAGCCGCAACAAGTTTGGTCGCTGCGATAGACCCCGGACTATCAAAACCCGAGACGAAAGACGGAAGAGAAAATCACGGAGTATACTTGATCGATTGCCAGTTCAGTGACAAGATCCTTCCGAAATCATGTTCAAACGAAGGGGCCGAAAGGCTGTGGAACTTGTCCGAGCAATTGGTCAATGAAGAGTTTGCCTGGTAGTGGCAATCAGCATACACGCGTGTTTAGGCGATAGTAATATATCTGGGTTCTATTGATGCATATGAAAATCTACTGTATGGATATCTTCTCTGTATTCGGAACTTCAGACCTCAAAGTCTGCCCTTTTCTATGTCCCCTTCGTGCGTTGTTACTGTGACTTTCTCCTTACCGATTTCGGTAATGGTGATCTCTGGCGCGGGGCTCTGTGTGCCCTCCGTTGATCTCTTCTTTAAACTCCGATTGATGAAAGAGCCGACTCTTGACGAAACTCGACATAGAGTTCTGTAAACAATGGCGAATGGGCGACACACGTAAGTGGCCACCTTCTCGAACCATGCATCGGAGATGAGACGTACGACCACTGCCCAGGGCAACGACAGGAACGCCAACACGATGCAAATAGCCCATTGGACACCGTCAATTCGAGTAATGGAGAATGCCTTTCCACCGACAAAAACAATGGCGATTTGTGCGCCAACCATAATGCAGTTAATGAAAATGAAAAACTTGTTGCGGTGCACACCTTCGAAGATGTTGAACTTGTTGTCCAGCCGTCGATTGTTGAACTCGTTGAAAATCTGCATCCACACAAATGTATTAAATATAATAGTGTTGAGTTCCAACTGTCGCGATTCATCGTATTTCAGAATCTTGCTGCCCGCAAAATAGAGAACAAGTGTAATTGTAAGCTGGAAAATCGCCTGCCCTATGATCATCTTCCACATATTGATTGTAATTAGTCGCGCTCCTTTCCGTTGAGGTTGACGATCTAGGATTTTGGGTGTTGGAGGGTCGGTGGCCAATGCTAGAGCAGCGAATGTGTCCATGATTAAGTTGACCCACAATAGTTGCACAGCTGTGAGGACAGATTGCATTTTCGAGCTAGAAACGGCCGAGATAAACGCGAGTAGCACTGCTGTAATGTTGACCGTGATTTGGAACTAGGTATGTTAGGATCAAAAATTGAATGGTGTAAATTGGATGGCTTTACCTGAAGGAACTTTTGGACCGCATCATTCACAGCACGGCCCCATCTGAGGGCTGTGACAATTGAGGCAAAGTTATCATCCATTAGAACAATGGAAGATGCCTCTTTAGCCACCTCGGTACCAGAGATGCCCATAGAGAAGCCCACATCGGCGGTTTTAAGAGCTGGCGCATCATTAGTTCCGTCACCAGTAACTGCCACAGTTTCTCCCATAGCCTTAAGTTTAGCAACAAGTACTCGCTTATCCTCGGGCGAGGACCTTGCGAGAACTTGAAGTCTAGGCAATTGAGCTTCCATCTGTGCGTCAGATAGCATGCGGAAAGCAGGTCCTTCCATAATAACGCCATCAGAGAAAATGCCACATTCAGTTGCAATGGCCTGCGCGGTTGTGGCGTTGTCACCAGTTACCATTCTGACGACGACACCAGCATGCTGTGCCAGAGCCACAGCTTCTGGAACCCCAGGTCTGACAGGGTCTTGAATACCAACAACGCCAATGAAGGTGAGATCTTTCAGGATGGCGCCAAAGTCAATAGTATTTCCAGGGGCGGGACTGCTAGGAGGCCACTGAGAGAAGTCCCGGTATACAAGACCAATAGTTCGTAGACTCTGTGTCGCATAGGCTTCAATAGTTGACTCTAGAGATTCGCGAGCCGTCTCTGAAATTTCGGTTGCGTCATGGCTCTGAAAATCAGTGATAGTGGTGGAGTCTCTCAAGAGAATTTCAGAAGCTCCCTTAACAAGAAAGCGGTAGCCACTAGTCGGAAGCTTGATCACAGCTCCCATACACTTCTTGCTAGAGTCGAATGGCATGAGCTGGACAACAGTGGCGTTAGCTCTCTCCTGCGACAAGTTCCCCATTCCTAAATAGTCCCTGGCAAATTGTAGTAAGGCAGTCTCAGTCTTAGACCCGATGAAGGTGGTATCAGTGGTGGCGTCTCCTTCAAATGCCGTGGAATTAACAGCAACGGACTGGATAATCATTTTTCTAGTCGTGTCGGGGAGTTCGTGTGCAAATTCGATAGTGCTTCTTATCTTACCATCGTTAACCTTGCCGAAGCTGGCGTCGCCAAAAGTACCGGCGACAACAGTCATCTTGTTTGTTGTTAGGGTCCCTGTCTTGTCAGAACAGATCGTAGTGGCATTTCCCATAGTCTCACAAGCCCGCAGGACTCGCACCAAATTATTTTCTTTGAGTAGTCGAGTGGTTGCAAATGCCAATGCCAATGTCACCGCCAAAGGCAGACCTTCAGGGACTGCCACCACAATAATCGTGATCGCAACGATTAGGATGTCCATAAAGGACGACGCCTTCTCAGCACCCGTCCTAGTGTCCCCTGACAATTGTGCGACAAAGCGGAAAAGAAGTACAAAGAAGAGTAGGCCAGCTGCACTTGAACCGAGCTTAGCGATTGCGGTAGCTAGGCCCTCGAGCTTCTTTTGCAGGGGTGTCGGTTCTGTCTCCGTACGGACAGACATCATGATTTTTCCAAAGCTAGAATTGACCCCGACTGAGGTGCAGACGAAGGTCCCAACACCTTCGAGGACCTTCGCACCAGAAATGATGAAGGGATCGAGCTCTGAGACATCATGATAGCCTTCGCGAAGTAGCCTCATCACTTCCAGTCCGCCGGTCTTCGATAGAGCATCCGACTCCCCAGTTGCAGATGACTCGTCGCACTTCAACCCATGGCCCTGAATGAAAATTCCATCAACAGGAACTAGATCGCCGGGTTCTAGGTGAAGAACGTCTCCAACAAGGATGTCATGTACATTCATCATAGAGGACTTGCCGGACCGAATTACCTTGATCTCTCTGTCCTCTTTCCGAGTATTGAGCTTGACGAATGCCTTTTCCTTTTGATAGTCATTCAGTGATCCCACAGCAACGACGATTATTATTGCCACACAGATAGCAAGGCCTTCAACCCAGTCCACAGGTGCTGGGGCCCCAGGTTCATGTTTTGCACCAAATGTTTCGTAGAGCCCAAGGGCCAGAGAGATTGCGGCAGCGGCCGTGAGTAGCAGAAGCACTTTGTCATTGTAGGCATTCCACATCAATTTCCATAAGGGAGTTGGCTTCTTGGGGGGGAGAATGTTCTTAGAATAAACACGCACACGATCTGTGAAAGCATTCGCATCAGAGCTTGGCGAAGGATGAGTCTGGGCATCCTGTGAGCTTGGTGCCTTCCCTGGTTCCTGAGGATACCTAGTTGCGTCATCGAAAACAATCTGGCCAGCCAGAGTTGTCTCGTCGAGGCTCAATCCGCTTTCGATATTGGTTCTGAGGCCTCGCTCGATGCCGCGAAGTCCACCGAGAGCCACGTAAGCTTGGAGAGACTTTGGGCTTAGCAGCTTGTTCAGCTGGCCGGGGCTGAAGGCGAAAGGGTTATTATTGACTTCAAAATCGGCCTCTGTCCCTGGGTCTGGCCGCAAGGCAACCTCAAGATCGACATCAGTGATGCTCGATGCTGAGCTTGCAAGTGCAGGCGTGGCCGATGGACTGAGGAATGGATCGTTCATAGAAGAACTTCGTGAATGTGGAGTTCGGGTTATTGTGTCTGCTGTATGAGGGTTGAGAAAGGTTGTAGGCTGCGATGCGGAAGTCCGAGTTGGAGCTTCCATGTTGACAAGCTAAGGCAGTTGCTGACTCATGAATTGTTGCAGCGGATAAATCAGAGCGAAATTAGTGCACGAAAAGCTATGTCAACTGGTCAATATAGCTCAGATTTGGTGGTTATGGGAAGCCATGCAAGCCCTGAAGCCAGCCTGGGAGTATATATCGAGGGGCCCATGTGGCAGTGCAAGCGTATTCGGCATCTTGACATGATGGGACATGGTGCAGGCATAATCTGCGATTTCGCAGATGAGGCCGCATGAGAAGACCTCGGAGCACTATCCACGGCCATATCCACGGCCAGCTCCACAGCAAAGTTGCAGCTCCGCTAGCAGAGATCGATCTCTGTGGCGCCGGAGGGTGCAGCGGAGAGAACGTCCGCCATATCGCTTGGCAAAGTCTTCCATGTTTGGTGGGGGAAATTCCTGTATTCATCGTCACTCGGCGCATCATTGCTCCCAGTCCGCGAGATTCCCAAAAGCCGTCCGGCTTCTGGTCCATGTGCTTACTCTGGAAGACAGTGAGATGTGTGGACGTGGCACTGAGCAAAGAGTCACAAGCACCAGCCAAGACCAGAGGGCGGACACGGCCAAGAGCGACTCAATACCCGATGGTCACTCCTGCCTCCGGTAAGCACTGCCAAGCTAATGCCAAGACGCTATCCCATGCAAGTGCGGACGTTGGCTCTGATTCCTGGGGAGAATCCTCCTGTGGGCAACGGCATCCCACTCCTTCGACTCGAACATCTGGGACCATGTCACCCACAACCCAGCACTCTGTCGCCGGACATGGAAAATGCTTGACGGTGGCCAAACATTCCAGAATGTCGATGTCGACTGATACCAATGCTCGCCGTTCCAGCAACGGCTTGGCTTACGGCCATGGTTCCATTCCCCCGCACACTTACACACCCACTGTCCAGGTCGTTTGAACTTTCTTATATCATGGCCTGGATCCGCCCGATGAGCTGGCATAGTCATTGAAATATCGGACTCCTGTGAGTAGCAAGGACCTACTCTATCCACCTTCTCACTGTTAAGCGCCCCGTTGCTGCTGCCAAGATGGGTTTCAATCTTCACGCCAGCGGGACATCTGATCCCAAGGAGGTGCGCAATTGGAAGATTCATTTTATTGCCATCGTCGCATCTATGTCTGCTATCGCCAGTAAGTGGGCGCGCGAAACCCATCTATCAATTGTGTGCTGATTTAGGCAGTGGGCTACGACACTTCAGTCATTGGAGGTACTTTAGCTCTGGACTCCTTCCGCCGCGATTTCAAAACCGATCAGATATCCAGCACAGCACGCGATACTTTGCAAGGAAATATTGTCTCTACATTTCAAGCTGGCTGCTTTTTTGGATCTCTACTAACCTTTCCTCTTGCGGAGAAGATTGGCCGCAGGAAGGCCATCATGATTGCTTCCTGCGTGTTTCTTGTTGGCGGCTCCCTCATGACCGCCGCAAGTGGGCATCTTGCAATGATCATCGCTGGGCGCGCGATTGCAGGTCTTGGAATCGGCTCTGTCTCCCTTGTGGTCCCAGTCTATATTGCGGAAACCTCACCCCCATCTATTCGTGGCAGATTAGTCGGCATCTTCGAAATTGCCAGTCAGGGTGGCGGCATGTGCGGGTTCTGGATCAACTATGCGGTGGATCGTACCATCTCAGACAACATGAGAACTCAGTGGATTGTACCCCTTGGACTGCAACTTCTGCCTGGGATCTTACTGTTTATTGGCATAATTTTCTGTCCCGAATCACCTCGATGGCTCGCGAAGCAAGATAACTGGGAGGCGGCCGAAAAAACCATCTCCAACCTCCGCACTCTCCCCATCGACCATCCTTACGTTCGCAGCGAAATTGCTGATATCAGACTTCAAATGGAGGAACGAAGCACCCACCGTCTCGGCAAGAAAGAGTCCTTCCAGAAACTCTTTGCAAAGGGTACACGTAATCGTATTGGTATTGGTCTACTCTTGATGGCTTGCCAGAATCTGACAGGTGTCAATATCATTACCTACTACAGCCCGAGAATCTTCGAGACTTTGGGGATCAAAGGCACATCGACCAAACTCTTTGCCACGGGCTTCTATGGGATCGCAAAGACTCTCGGCATGATAGTCTTCTCATTCTTCTTGGTAGAGAAGATTGGCCGGCGCAAAGGTCTGATCTATGGAGCCTTCATTGGCTCTCTTCCGATGTGGTACATTGGAGGCTATGTCTTCAAGGCTGACCCGGCAACTGCTGCCTCTGATGGTGTTGTCCAGCAGACCGGATGGGGCTATCTCGCCATGGTTTGTGTATACCTCTATGGCTTCATCTACTGCGCTACATGGCAAGGCATCACGTGGGTATATTGCAGTGAGATTTTCCCTCTGGATATCCGAATGCTTTGCGTCGCCATCACGACTGCCGATCAATGGCTGTGGTCCTTTGTCATCTCAAGGACGACTCCTTACATGATCACATCATTGGGCTACGGAACTTATATGTTCTTCGGAGCTTTGATGATTATTATGGGCTTCTGGGCATTCTTTTTCGTCCCCGAGACCAAAGGTCAGCTTCTCCCAAAGTTCCTGGTCCTTGCCGTGCTAACTGGTGTTGGTAGGCCTCACACTCGAAGACATGGACGATCTCTTCATGAAACCACTACATCGTGCCACGTGGAATCAACTCCGCGGAGAGGGAGGCCGCAGGAACAGAGACTCGGGTTCCTCTCTAGATTCAGCTGTCAACGAGAAGGATCTTGGTCTAGTCCATATTGAGCTAGGTGAGAAACAGGAGGAAAGAAAGGTGTCTCCGTAGTCAGGTCTTGGATGGACACTAGTGACTGAAGTTACTTTGTGAAGTATGCTGGGGACATCTCCTGCTCCATGAAAGTCTGATCGATGGGTCCGGGGATTTCCCGAAACGAATTGGCGATTGGTTTGGTTGGCGGAAGTAGATGATAGAAATAATTTTAACGCCATAGTTTTAGAATTCAATGCTTGAGCCAGACAGATTGGAGTCATACTGTTTTATGCTTCGACTGCCAATAGATTGAACTGCCATTGAGTCCAGGTCAGGGAGCATTCGAGACGAGGTCAATGCATGTTGTCCCAAAGAGTGTGGTCCAGACAGCGTCTCCCCCACGAGTCTCCTACGGCCAAGGATCGGTGTTACCTCCGCATGGGTGAGGGCCTTGCGGTGAGTTTCGCTAGGAAAAACATATGCTACAGTAGAGAATAACGCCACCTTTATGTCACTCGATAGGCGCTTTTCGGGAGTTGTCCGTATCTAGGGCCTGCAAGAGCGGAGCTGGGGTGAATACTCCCAACTCGGGCTTCTCGAAGGGGGCTGTGCAATGCTGCTGCACCCTTCATTGGCCATGACCCTTGCCAACGGCATTCGCTTTTAAGCGACTGTCATTCACGCATTTTCGCAGTTCGATAATAAGACAAAATTCCGATTTCGCATGATTGGTCTCTCTCTCCTTGGCCACCTTCCTGGCCTTCCATGCTTCACCTAAGGTTGTTCGAAACATCTGGGGCTCCGCGGCATGGAGGTGCGCCAACATTGTCTTTCCGCTTCTCAACTCGAAGAATTATCGTTGGTGTCGTCAATGTGTCGGTCTTCCAAGAACCAGTGTGGCCTTGATCCATGCCCAGAGTTTTAGATAATATGCTTTAAGACATCAGATTCGCTGGCACTCAGATCTTCCGACAGTTCAGGTGAACGCATTAATATCATAGACACAAATACAATCGAAACATGGCAGCCAAAAATGAGCAGGAGAACATCCAGTCACCGCGTTCGTCGGCAACGAACGCCTCAGGAACAAGCCCTACACCTGCTATGACTAAAGGAAGCGGCTCACCTTCACCACAACCTTCCTCACAGAATGCGGCTATCAACAGACGGTCGCGCAAAAATTCAGTGCAGATGGCTTGCGAACGTTGTCGAAGGCGCAAAATCAAATGCTCGGGGCTCCCAGGCCCCTGCTCCACTTGCAGGAGCCTTGGGACGGTATGCCACGATCCTGTCAAAAGAAGGGATCGAGCACAGAGGTACGCCTGCTGATGTATCAGCCCCAGACATGAGACTAACGGCATATTTAGTCTGTTAGAAAACCGCATCCAGAGATTAGAATCTTTTGCCGCTCATGGCCGGACATCGTCACATTCAGAGGGCATGGCGTCATTGACATATCGACCCTCCCCGAATGCACAGCCGTCGCCCAGTGGCCAGCATGAGACACGCTATGGACTGCATATAGAGACGGAGAATTTGACGAGCTATATGGATTCTGACGCAACGGCAACGAACCACAACTCACCTGTCATTAACCCTAGCTGGGACTATTTTGCAGGATCACTTAGTCCACTCAGCCCAGCATGCTACTCAGACATTGGCCCAGACCTCGCCCCATGGTTGACAATCGACTATCAGCAACACGGTTCGGATGGTGGATCGACTCCGAATCCGGCTATGCACAAACGATCTCATACATTTCCAACCGTTACGCATGATGAATATGACTGGAATCAGGACAGTAGAGCTCCTGAATCTGCTGGTGCTTTCTCGGACATCCCCTCTATTGAGGTCACATCTCCCGATTGCTCCCGTCCCCAAAGCCCTTTCAACTTCTCCGAGCAGGACCTTTCTCCTCAAGGGATTTCAATTCCGTACGCCGCCCAGGCCTCAGATCACAACGAAGATGATTACCTGGAAGGGAATTTCGAGCTACCGCGAACGCCACCGCTCTTTGCGACGAACACGAGGTTCAATGACGGTCAGATTGACTACTATGGCGATTACTTGTCTCCAGTAGACAAACCTCCCACGATATCGCGCCGTTCGTCCATGGCTTCTTCATGCTCGAGCAACTTACAAGTGGAATCATTCCCGAGCCTTGGAGCTCGTTTGCACCGAAGCCAAACGCTCCCTAGCAATTCCAACCCACGGGTTCAAGCAGATCAAGAAAGGTTGAACACGACCGTCAGCTCACCTCGAACACGTAACTATCTGCAGGTCTATTTTCAGAAAGTTCATCCTCATTCTCCAATTCTGAACCCTGCAATGATATCATCCAGCAAAGCCTCACAGAACTCCTTAACAACATATCAAATCCTCCTGGCGGCTGCGGTTGGGGCCTTGATTCACCACCAATCAAGAGCATTATCATCCCCATACGTCCGGCTCGCCATGTCTCTCAATTCAGAGATCGACTTCTGGAGCTCAATCTCAGGAGTTCACTGTGCTATCTTACTCGCAATCTATTGCATGTATGAGGAGACTCTATCATTCAAAGATGAAATGGACCACGAGGACCCACAACATTTCCCCCTGGCTCAACCGCTCCATCCGCGCGTGAATCTATGGTTGCATACCTGTCAAATTTGCGTGACATGCATTGACCTGGGTTTCAATCTGGGGTACCTCTCGGGCTCTGATATCATAGCGCCGCCTAGAGGGAAAGAGCACGAACTGGTATTCTTCCCAGAGACAGCCTCGGAGATCGAGATGGAAGCAATCTTCAGAAACACCTTCAGAGTCGCATATGTACTTGATAAACGAGTATCCACACTGAAGCAGAGACCGAGATCGATGCGGGATGAAAGTCTACACCCCGACCTGATCCGTCTGTACATGCTCGAATCCGTTAATCTGTAAATACCCTTAAACCCGTACATAAAACGCGAGATTCTCTTTCAATGAGCGAGTATATAGAAAAGGGAATTGCGGATATCATATGTGCTTCTTCCTATGCAAGTAAAAGGCGACCTGCAACTCAAATGAAGGGTGAACATGTCTCCTGGCGAGCTTTTCCCCGGCTCTAGGCTAGCCTTAGTCACACATAAGGCAGGATATGTAGACCAGTCTGATTGCAACAAGATAATCGGCAACTTTCAACATGCTGTCTCCACTTCAAAGTCTTTGCGACTTATCGAGCATAAACTTATCAATTGACAGCCACAGTTCATGCGGGCTCGATTGCGTTTTGTGGTCGTTAGAATACTTTGCTTGCTCTTAAGAGGACACTGGGAGGGGGAAGACCGCTTGATGGAAAAAGAAGTTTCATTTTTTGGGTAATATCCTCATCATTGAGTTGTGAGCCACTCTGATAACATCCCCAAAAATGGTGCCACGAAAGAACTTCATGAAGACCTTGTCATTACATAGGGAGGCATGAATCGGCCTCGTGGCCGGAATAACATGAACCGCAACTTCTCGGCTTTTGCTCCTCGTGCGGATAGGCGATTTTGACGTAGCCCCTGGCAGATGAGAGAACAGAGCGCTTGTATTTCGATCTCTTCTTTCCGGCCCCGAATTGATATGGAATATTCAATTAAAGGACGAAGCCAGCAATGAGGCCAAAAAGAGCAAGTGTCCATGATGCCTGAGAGACGAGGTTGGGTGACCCCGCAGTTGGTGATGCTGATGATGTCGCTGCTGAAGCCGCGCTCTGGCTTGTTTCTGTCGTTGCGGAGGGACTGCTGGTGGGAGTGGCTGTGGAAGCAGATGTTGTTGACGTTGGGCTGCTGTCTTTGTCAAGAGGAGACATGATCTGGAGAATGGTTAGCAGTTTCGTCGCATTCCAACTCGTGACTATCAAGCCAAAGGGTGTACCAAGTGAATTTACCTTGTCGATCACGTGCATCAAACCGTTGTTGGTCCTATTAAGATCAGCATCCTTCTGGCAGCGATCAGTATCGTTGTTGTGACTTACATGACATTGGTGTGGATGAGCTTTGCGTCGTTCACAAATATCTCTCCATCCCTGATGGTGACCCGGATCGTTTTATTGTTGACTGATGTGTACTCCTGTCCATCTTCCATGAAGTTGGTATAGAGCGGCTCATTGATAACGTGAAACTGGGTCAACTCTGTCAGATCGAATATACTGGCTGTGACATTGGGGCTGCCTGCTGCCTGGAATGCCTCATCGTTAGGGGTCAGACAGGTGACATTTGGAGTGACATCCAAGGGAGCACCGAGACCGGTACGATCCAGTGAGCCTCTGAAAGCAAACATTTTCCACCGGCGGATGGTGTCAGTGCAGTTCAGCGGAAGATCAAGGAAGCTATCGCCACGGGTAAGCTCAGTACAACATAAAGAACGAGGGTTGTGGTCTTACTTGTCTACAATCTGGAAAACCCCTCCGTCCCAGCGGCCATCAACAGCTGTCATGTTGATAATATGGCCAAGACCACCTTTAACCTCAACTTCGGGGCTTGGAAGTTGGCGCACAGTGAATCTTCGGGCATCAATCGGATCATCTTTGGCCTCAATGAACACGACTTGGCCATTATTCGGATCGCCCTCCGCTCCACTGGAGCCTAGTGCAGCTCCAGCAGATCGATTGTTGTACAATTCACCAGTCAAGAAAGTAGGTTGGGTGGTTCCATTTTCCACAGTGAAGTTGTCCGAGGTCAATTCGTTGACAAGGACATGATATGAGAGAATGGGCTCGAGTTGCGCGACGGACAGTGAGCCCACAGGAACCCCCAACAGAGTCTGTAACTTATCAAATGCGGAATTGTCCGGTACGAGCACGGTGGTCTGTGTTAAGGAACTGGCGTTGGATGTCAAAAGGGCTCCGGCTAGCCCAGGGTTATTGGTCATAAGAGTCGTGAAATTATCCAGTTGAGAGTATTGAGATATCGCCTCGAGAAATGTCTGTGCCGAGGCCACCGAGAGGTAAGAGAAGACAGCGACGGCATGGTGCCGGGCACGACGAGTGAGCTGCATCTTCGACTGGTACTATCCGTTGGGGCACTGTCAGTTGGAAATCGAGCGAGGCTGAGACAGGACGTGTACCTACTCGTAGGTCGGGGAATCGACAACCTTAAGAGGCTTTAATTAGCACAACACCACTGACCCGTTCATCGTAAGGGCCCCCACTCAGGTTCAACTTCCAAGAACAATCGGCCAAGACTAGGGAATACACACGGGAACAGCTCGAGCCAAGTGTGCTGTTCTGTAGGTGCTCGAATCCGACGGGAGGAGTGGCGCCACCGAGTATATATGCCAAGGTCGTTCGCGGGGCGCTCGACTCTCGGCAGCTGAAGATCTACGTCCCAGAATCAGGAATCCCCAGCCCTTCTTGTTCGTGTTCTGGGAAGGCTAAACGTGCCATCTCCACAATTGGCTGAACTGGAGCAGGAGACACAAGGTTTGAGTTTTCGTTCCGACTCGCTCGCTACTGTAGGTCGAGGCAGGGGACGGTGTGGCATCTATTCAGATCAGTGCGCAAGTTTTCTTGAGGGATTCTGCTTATTTGAAATATCAAGCATACGGCCTTCCCTACTATCCACAACGTTGAATTGAACTGCATCGCTTAGCCTCACTGCCTCGCGGAAAGGGGCCGGTGAGCCCATGTTCCATGAATGGCAAAGACAGCTTGCTTAGCGCAATCGACAAAGATGGCTTGGTTCTCTAAATATGCGGCTGCATCCAGCAGATCCGGTCAGCTAGTCCCCTGCATGTGGAGCGGGAACCCGAGTCAAAAAGTGACTATAATAACTCACTAGATGAACCCCACCATCGATTGAGCAACCGTCTTGGAATTAAGTGCCCGCGTCAGCAAAGATACGGGGTATTCTTGATTCTCAGTAAGTAGGCCAGCGAAATCATTTGTCCATGTCATCCGGTCCAAGGTGGCGGATACTTGGTACTTTATTCAGTCGCGTGGGGTTTTCAATAGAAATAGATCTCATCCTCCCGCAGGATTACACGTCTATGCACGTGAGCATCCATTCAAAATCCTTCCTCGACCGACAGTAGTAATGTGTCAAAACCAGCCGTCTCGACTCGCCTACAGAGCTCTGCTTCCAGTGGTCGAGAAAGCGTAACATCGTAACCGTCACGAGCATCACGTATTGTGGAAGTCAAAGCTGATACCACCGCCGTATGGGCATTCAAATGATACTCACCAAGAAGTCCAAACGTAGTGGACTGGGATGAATGCATCTCAGTTCGGTCATCTTGCAGGGGGCTAAGTTTCTAAATCGACGATTTTCTGCGCACGTACCGAAGTACGAGGCACGCCCGTCCTTGGGAGGGCGACGCCATCCCGCCCCAGAGGCCTGGGCCGATGTTCAGATACGAATACCAAGGCTGCCAAGGGGGCTGGTTTTACGATCTTGGCCAGTTACTTCAACCTTATAGACGTGGAATACGGAGTACAAGATGGCAATGGGTTGCCACCCCCTACCCCGCCTGTTGAGCTGAGCTGGATTCACCCAACACCCCTCGCTTTCGGTGCGTACCCGGAAAGCCTCAAAAGTACCGCTTGTTTCCATACAGACAACATCTATCACCCTTATTACACTATTTCTTGCATCAAGCCAAGTACCAAGTGCTTTTTGAAACGTCGCCGCCCATTCGTAGTTCCCCTGCGTTCTCAATCTTGGGCCGGTGGCTTGAAAAGCCATGATGATGGACCTCGGACCTTCTGCAACTGTATTTGCCCCGGTTAGAATAGGGCTTGAGGTTGTTTTGGCTCCAACCGCCACGCCAACATGCCAACCACGCAGCCGTGCCATTGACATCCGGCAAGCAGCATCGGTTGAAACCTGTGGCTTCATTGGCGGCGATCCTGGTATGTCTCTGTTATATCTATCCTGGAACGGAAGATGAGTGGCTAACTATGATCAAGATAACCCCGTCACCTGCGGCAGTTCTTTGTATTGCGCGACAACCAGCACGTATGTCGGCTGTTGCGAGTCTACAAACTGTGTGGGCCTTTTTACTACGTGCTACGATCTCCTCGGAAATTCCTGCGATGCCAGTTGTCAGAACAACCCAGAGAACTTGGTCTGGTGAGCTTCTCCCCAAAGCATAGCACTGAGCTCCTCTGACAGACTGCTAGTCCGACAGCGCTGCCGTACTGCGCCCTGTATAATTATGAAGGAGGCTCTGTCGGCTACGGTTGCGCCCAAGATCGTGGGTTCACCACAACTGTGTTGCTCACGACCAAACAAACCCTCGGTCAGATCACAACGTCGTCATCAACGCCGACAACGAGTCCAATATCAACGTCGACGCCAAGCCCGACCCCAGAACCGGCGTCGTCGGGCTCTTCTCTGGGAGGTGGAGCAATAGCTGGTATTGTTATTGGCGCTGTGGCTGTTCTTGCTTTTATCGTATTTGGCATATGGTTCATGCGCAGAAGAAAGTCAAAGAAAACGGCAGCGACGACTCCATCGTATACTCATGTTGCACGGGAAGAAACAAGCCCAGAAATGCAAGATCGTCATACCGTCGCTTCAACCGCTTTCTCCGATTCGACAACCGCCTACGCTTTACCGAGTCCAAGAACCGATGCATGGAAACAATCATGGCAGAGCCAGAGTGACCAAGATTCTTCTTACGCTGCAGCGAAAGGATATTCGACCCCAAGAATTCCTCCAGGTAGTCCTGGTTTTCCAGCTGAAATGGTAATAGTTCACCCCCTCCCCCCCCCCCCCCCCCCTTGGGGTCCCCCGGACAGGTTGCTGGGATTTTCACTGACAAGATGTGCCACAGCCCGCTCCAGAGTCACAGACGGCTCCCAGCGAATTAGACGGCTCAACACAGACCAAATACTAAGTAAACCATTTCGACTTTTCCTTGTTGATGAGGACTTCCACTCGAGACTTCAGAATCTACCTTTGTCATGACCATGTACTTTCTACTGAATGAGACGTGATGGTGCAAGTATCTTGTAACTTTGCTTGTATGCAAACATCTGTGATTTACGTCAATCAAATGAGCGTTGTCTTGACGGGATTTTCTCTGTCTCGAACTTCGAGCGAGATCTTGTCTTTGGTACGAGCACATGACGATTCTACTGGCTAGAAACTACCCTACCATCCGAACCTGGGCTTTTGCGAATACATAATGTGTTGGATATCTGTATTTGGCAAGTTAGGCGAGTCAATTGAAGATGATCGAGAGATATCTGTCTCTTTCCACTCTATTCTCTATTCTAATTTATATAGGCCTTTACTAGGCAATTAATCTCCAGGAGCCCCTTTCTCATTAAGTTCTTGGAGAGAAGAAGCGTTTCAAACTTTTCAGGGCGGTGTATGCGGTTCGGTTTTTCTTGAAGAAGAAGTAATAGCGCATACCGACCGAGCTACAGATCTTCGTAAAGAGGTCTTTGAGTGCCTGTTTCGTCCGCCAAAGTGCCTCTCCTCCTTGAGGAACCTTCGGTAGTCCCGATCGTAGCGCTTAAATGCGCCTTCACCCTCCTCTTCGTCAGGTATATCTGGTTCAAGAGGCCTCTTTAGACAGAGTTCCTCAGGGTCGTCTGAATTGGCATACTGCCACATCTCATCCTGCCGGGCTGCTAGTTGTACATAGAAGTACCACTTATGCCAGTTCTTTTGTCTTTTTAGGTGGACAGGGAGTGGCAGGAAAGAGCTCGTGGTTAGCCAACATCTTCAATGCCACTTGACCTTATTTCGATATTTGAATGCTAAATGCTTCCAGGGTGACGGGGTCGTTTCCACCAATCACAGGCCAGAATTTACGGCGTTCGGTACGGAATGAATTTGTTCCGGGAATTCCGGGCTCATAACTGTTTGATGTCTGTATTTTGCAACTTACATAGGCGAGGTAATTAAGGATGATCTCGACCTCTGTGCCTTTCTACTCTACGGTCTCTGTTCTAGTTTTTATAAACAGGTACTAGGCTATCGATCTCCAGGAGCCCCTTTTCCATAGCTTCAAAGCATTTCAAATGCTGATATAGTTGCGTTTTCATCGACCATTCAAGGAGGCATTCTAGCCAGCGCTACAGAGTTCAGTACCCATAGTCTTGATTAGCGCGTTAGGTATTTGTAGAGTTAGCAAGCGCTAATCAAGTATTGACATGAACAGAATGGAAATAAGGAGTACGGATATCTCTCATTCTCGTTCTCGTGCGCACTGCCATAAGCTCGTACTCTTTGGCAAGAGCCTCAGTAAAAAAGGCGTGGGGCACACGGTCGGCATGCTTAGGCGGGAGAGAGGAGGAGTATCTAGTAGTGCCAGCTTCAAAAAGGCCCTTTCCCACCTGGAGTTACTTGTAGCTGTCGCTCTGAGGCACACCCCTACCTGGTCGACTGTAGGCGACACCGGCGGGGCTTCTAACCAGCTAATTGGTCGATAATCGATTCGAACTCAGAGCGCAATTAACCTCGAGGCTAAGCACTCTCCCGATGCCCCTAAACCTGGACTGGTGACACCTGCCAAAAATATATATGTTGGAGAAAAAGAAAAATAGGGGCTCCCCCGCGGCTTCATTTTTGCTCCTCAAAATCCCATCCCCGAAGGTAGGTTTCCGCACACGCAAACCCCCGTAGAACACACAGCATTGTCACTGGATGATTCCGAAAGAAATCTTGCAAACTGGTTCACCAAAGAGCTGAGAGCCCTAGTCGACCTTCGATCGGCTTGACTCCGAAGCCGAGGTCCTGAGGATAAGGCGATAAGGCGAGATATCTTGTCTTTCGCTCGGAGGGAACCCTTCCTCTGCTGACTTTATCCTTCCCATCCACCTTACCCCTGATCTCCTTTCAGACCCGACATTCCACTTTTCACACTCGTATTATGACAGCACCCTAGCGCAACTTCTCTCTTTGCTTGGACGACTGCATCCGTGGCAGCCATGACGCCATGGACGTAGTCGAGAAGGGAATTACTCGTGTGCTAACGGCAGCTATGCGACCGCTACAGACTTACTCCGTCTTCTACCGTAGAATATCCTTGAGACACCGGCGTAGCATAAGGACTTTGATATTGGCTGGCGTCTTTCTGGCCGGCTTCCGAGCACTGATCCTAGTCCTGCTCCAGGTGCGTCATACGTCCAACCAACCTGAACTGCCACTGACATCTTCACAGGGACGTCATCCTGACAAACAGCCACCCTATGCGCAGTATGATCTTACACAATTCGAGCCTCTGAACATTACCGGATTCATGAATGATGGGCATTCAGGAAAGCGCCCCTGCGACGACCTCAGACGAGAGAGCGGCTTGAAAGTTCAAAAAAGTTGGTTCCTACAAGATGACATGGTACACATTGCTCGACTGCTGAACGACCATCCCATGGTCGATTACTCTCGACAGGATGGAACCCTGACATTTGAAGAGGTGGTTTCTCAGACGTGGACAAGGTTTTGTGGATCAAGCGTCTGGCTACAGAAACATCAAGTTTTCCTGACTGTCACACGAGTCATCTTCTACACCGAAGATAGAAAGCAATGGCCAATTGTTAGTTTCCTTCGAGGTCAAGTCTACGACAGGAACTGGAATGAGTTGAGAGATCATACCTTGCGTTGGCAGGGTCGGAATATCGTTTTTCCTATCCTGTTCCCCATTTCATTCCCATATCTGGAGGGCCACCGTTTCTTTGGTCCCGAAGACCCAAGGGTACTCATCGACGAAGGAATTGAAGATCCTGAACCTCTAATTGTTTTCAACATGATCTACAAAACAGATCCATGGACAAGGGGCATGCATGTTTTTAGACCTTTCACAAATATCTCTACTGTTTTGACCATTAATGGGGACGCAGAAAGGGCCGAGGCGGAGAAGAATTGGGCTCCGTTCTTCTTGGATGAAGCGAAAGATCCTGTGAAAGGGGGCAAGGGGCAGCCAAACGAGTATCTGCATTTCATTTACAGATTCAATCCCTTGACCGTACTCAAGTGCAAGATAGCCAACGGACTTTGCGATCTCGTTTATGAGCAGGAAATTGCTACATACTTACCTGGAAGCCACGACGATGATCATGGGCGGATGACTGGCGGCACAAATTTAGTGCCTTTGCCGATCAAGTCAAAACTTGGAGCGAGCTTATATCTTGGGTTTCCTAGATCTCATGTGGATGTAGGATGCAATGGGGAAAGCCTCTACAGACCCGCCCTCATGATTCTAAGTGAGTATAAAGGGCATTTTCATGTTGAATACATGTCAGATTCGATTGATTTTGGATCGGCAGCGTTTTCGGAAGAAGCTTTCCTCGACCCTTGCGGAGAAGGCCGGATTTTGATCGCTAACAGCATTGCGAAATGGGATCGCTCGCATGGGCAGGATACACTCACACTATCGCTTTCCGTCGCGGACGCAACTGTCCAGGTGCTACAGCTCCAAGGTCTATTTGGTGTTATTGAGCGGCTGTATGCCGAAGATGACTCGCCCATCGATATGGCTCACCGGTTGCAGCTCAGTGTGCTCGGCAGATGGTCTGATGCAGCGAACCATGTGCTCGGGTGCTCAATAGAGGCCGCTACGAACTATTCAACAGCGTTCTACGTATCTGGCTTCTACAAACTGCAAGAAGCCATCGCGAATGGGTACTGATATGTACGAAAGGCGTCCACTGACGCATCACTGGGTACTATTGGTCAAAAAGATTGTCCAATCTCCGTCACGCAGGTTCTACGGTATAGAATTGGATTCTCAACAGATATTGCAGTCCAGTCCAGTGTCCCCGAGTCGAGATCATAACCATGCGGCGACGACGTGTTGTCTCCGCCAACACACGCTGCAGCTGCAGAATAGTCCGCTATGACCAAATCGTAAGATCGATCTTGTTTTGCTCCTCTCAAGAAATCCTCCTCAGAAATGACCCTGGCGCTCGTATAAGCAGCCAGATCGGTACCAGAAGTCCCTCCAGGGGCAGTGTCCACGATGAATGACTGGCATAGCGTGTTACGATCCATCTGCTTCGACTTGAGATCGAATTGACAGAGGCTCGGCTGTTTAACTGTGCAATTATGATTGCCAACCACCCTTGCATTGAAACAACGCTGCATCCTCCCAGCAGCGGATCACTGAGGTGCACTTCCTTACGAGGCCGGGTTGGTGATCTTGGACCAAAACTAGCCGTAGATTGACACTCGCGAAGGAGTGTTGTGCAAGTAAACTTGGACAGCCGTTGAGATAGGTGGTCACTACGGTGCTACTCTCCCTCTAATGGCGACTTGAACGCCTTAGCTTTTGGTTGTCACTGTAGAAGTCAAGGAGACGTCTCTTGCGGTTGTTCTCTTCCTTGACCTAAATAGGCAGGCAGAATGCAGAGTCTCTATGTAAGATTTCTCTAGTGAGCAGGCCAGGGAAGTGAGCCTCGGGTAGTTAGTCCGCTTAGCCTCAGTTTGCTTCGGCCATACCTGACCCGGGCCTATCTAGTACATCTTCACCAAGAAACATTCTCTTTGCGACTTCGCCCAACAACGAATATAGCTTAGCGAAGGAACGCACATTCTGGGAGTACGCCAAGTACCAGTGGAGGTCGATTTCTAAACATGTCTCCTCCCACCACCACCGGCAAACCTGTAGCTCAGCGTTTCCAGCAAATCGTCAAGCTCAGGCCGGAACACTACGAAGCGTACAAGGCCTGTCACGCAAAAGTCTGGCCAGAGGTCTTGGAGCAGATTCGACACTGCCATATTGAAGATTGTGGGTGTTGCCACTTCCAAAAAGAAAACTATCACAGCGGGTTCACCTACTGATGTCGAACTCACTCCAGACTCCATCTCGTACGACGAGATAAGCCACATATTGTTTGCCAGCTTCAAGTGGACGGGGCATGACTTCGAGGCGGACATGAAAGCGATGAGGGAGAATGAGAAGGTCAGACAGTGGTGGAGGATGACGGATGGCTATCAACAGAGCGTGGCTGAGGGCGCCGTCAGCTCAGAGAAGGGCGGAGTGGATGGCGTCCCAGGCTGGTGGAAGCCGTTGGAGGAGGTGTTCTACTTCGCTGGTTGAGGAGTCCGGGATGTGGCGGGGAATTGGTTTCCTTCATTTCTGGGTGACTTGCCTCAGGCTCTGGGAGGAGAGTCTTGGAATGCATAGGTTGTGGTTGCGAAAGGGCAAGAGCTTCTTTTGGGGGGGGGGAAGAGATCCCTGGTTTAAGGTCTGAAGTCGACTGAAGCATGCTTGGACGGTTGAACACCAATATTTCTAGGCCTGAGAGGGCGTCTTTGTATATTCAGGTCAGATAAAAGAATTGAAAGTCCTGGAATCTATGTACCTATCAATTACAGTTCCATCAGCCCAGCACAAATACGTCCTTGAGAAGAAAGTTCATGAATGGTTTTAAGTTACTCGTGGAAGAATTCCATCACAACAAAGAGAAAGGGTTCAACCGAACTTATCAACCAACTATACTATTCCATACTCCGGAATGCAAGACAGTCCTCTGCCTTCATGCCACTGAGCATTAGACCCCCGATCAAGGTTTCGATCGCGCTTAGAACGGCAAACTTGGCGCAATCATACCGCCGTATCCGCGACGCTTGAGAATGCCATTGGCGGCACATGAAGGATCGCTGAGGGTCAAGAATTGACCACTGGGTTGGCAATTCTGTACTCCACCAATTGCGGCTTGAATCTGGGCGACGGTCTGCGTGCCGACCAAGCCGGTGGCACCTAGGACGTTGAGACCTGTGCCGATACGTCCGGCCGAAGCGCAGCCACCGGGAAGTGCAACGCAAGCATTTGTAACATCCGTGGCAAGTTGTACCAGTGTGCACAAGAGTGGAATTCCGAGAGAGCACGTAACCTGGGTAAGGCCGAGACTCTGGAGCGTCTGGCCTGCACAGAGTTGGACAACAACGCCACACTGTGGAGTTCCACCGCCTCCAGCCGCTGTGGTTGTGGCTGCTGGGGCAGCACTGGTGGTTGTGGTCGTAACAGCGGCGGTGGTCGTAACAGCAGATGTAGTAGTGATAACTGAAGCAGAAGAGGTCGAAGTTGCTGCGATAGATGAACTAGTGGTTGATGGGTTGGCAGGACAAGTCGGATCAGACACCACAATGTTTATCTGCTGGACGAGAGTACATGTTGATGTCAGTGTGCCGGCCAGCGCCAGGGCTTGGACTTGCTGTGGACTAATATTCAAGCCCAAGATTTGATTGTCTCCGATCGCAACTGACAGCACATTCGGGTTGCTCTGGAGAAGTTGAGGCACAAGGCTGAGGAGCTGGTTAAGTGTGCAGAGCAAGCCGCCAAGGAGTGGGCATTGGACAGTTGTGATAGTGACGCCAGCAAGAGCTGCGGAATTGGGGCAAACTGATATTGCCAAGTTACAGAGTGGTGCAGTTGCTGCTGTTGTAGTGGTGGCTAACGCCGAGCTAGTGCTTGATGTTGTAAATGTAGCTGACGATGTAGTTGTGACAGGATTAATCGGGCACGTAGGGTCGTTGATCACGACGCTTGTGGTTCCAAGAACGTTGCAGACCGAGGTGAGACTGCCGTCGAGAATGCCAGCCTGCACCTGCTGCGGAGTGATGCTAAGACCCAGGACTTGGTTATTACCAATGATAACAGATAGAACGTTGGGATTGCCGGTCAAAAGAGTCGGAACCAAGTTGAGCAGTTGATTCAACGTGCAAAGCAGTCCAATGCCTAGAGGGCAGCCTTGAGTGACAATTGTGTTCGCAGTGATCAATTGGGCGTTCAAGCAAATGTTCGCATTCAACTGGCAGATTGGACCGGCTGAGGTAGTGGTAGTAGCTGGCGCGGAAGTTGTGCTTGACACTGTTGTTGTCACGAAAGAAGTGGTTGAAATAGACGACGACGATGTTGAACCCTGGTTAGGGTCCACAGAAATGCTGGATGTAGACGACGTCGTTGTCGAGCTGTCAGAGGTCGAAGATGTAGAGCTAGAGGACGAGGTTGAGCCCTGGGTAGCACCGACGCTAACACTGGATGAAGCCGAAGATGAGGTTGTCGAGCTGTCAGAGGTCGAAGATGTAGAGCTGGACGATGCTGTTGATCCCTGGGTTGGACCGACGCTAACACTGGATGAAGCCGATGTTGACGAGCTTGATGACGTGCTCAGAGTAGAAGTGCTAGATGTTGAGGCCATGATCGGGCTATCAATGGCGCTGGACGAGGTGGCTGTGGTCAACACCGAGGATGTGGATGTGGATGTGCTTTGGTTAATTGGACCAAGGGACACTGACGAACTGGCCGAAGATGTTGAAGTGCTCAAACTGGACGAGCTGGAGCTGCTTGTGCTTTGGCCGATTGGTCCTTGAGAGAGTGAGAAGCTTGAGGTTGAAGTGCTCATGCTAGACGTCGAGCTGCTAGTGCTTTGACCGATTGGTCCTTGTGACAGCGAGAAGCTTGAAGTGGAAGACGTACTTGTGCTCACAGACGACGTTGTCCTAGTCGACGTCGACGAACCTGGATAGATTGGTCCGAGGGCCGAGCTGGAACTAGTTGTAGAGCTGGCCCCTGCATTTGATTTGGTGTAGGAATCTGTCTTGGTGACAGTGGCAGTCTTCGTAACTGGGTTCCAGTCTGCCCAGCCTTTACCACCTTCGCCACCAAAGCCTGAGTCACCACCATCATTGTTTGAGAATGGCCACCATCCATCTCCATGATTGCCTCTCGATCCGGTAGGGACAGGTACACGACGAGTGCTAGATATCTGATCAGTCGCAATTCAACAAGGGAATACATATAATGGTTGACTTACCTTCCTGCAGGTTGAGTGTGGTTCGGAATGTTGAAAATGATGACCTTGGTCACATGAACGTTGAAGTTGAATGTTGTCGGTCCAGAGAATGACTTGGTCACATAAGCGTTCCAGTTGCGACCAGGGATCGTGTAGACGAACTTGGGATCCACAGAGACTGTTGTGCGGCCGCCGACGGTAATGGTCACCGTTCTGGGAGGCGCGGTGATGGTCACTGGGGGTGCTGTCTGAGGGAAGGTCCAAGTATAGGTGCCGGCACTGTGAATTTTCCCTTGGCTGGAGCAACGAGCGCTGGCAGTGACCGTTGAAGTCGGAGCTGGACGTGAGATCCAAGTCTCGTACCACTCAGCGCAATTTTCGAAATTCTTTCCGGCGGCGTCAGAACCAAATCGACATTCGATAACATCCAAGAGCTGAGCACGACTACCGTCCTCAAGTTTATCACATTTGTCACAAAGTCCACTGCCCTCCCAGCCAGGAATAGCCAAAGATCCGCATTCGTTGAAAGGTGCTACTGCACGCCTTGTGACAGTCTCGTATAGAGTGATCGCTGATGTCGCAGGCTTTCCTCGCCCAAGCCAATCAACCCAGATTCTCGGCTTTGCAGTGGGGGCTGCTGTGATTGTTGTGAGGGTCTCAACATGCTCAGACACTCGGAATGGTTGGGTGACGTCCGTTACTGTCGACTTCTGAGTGGTTGTCCCATCCCATGCGCACGGGACAACGGTCGACACAAATGGGTAGGTCGTGAAAGGAAAGATGGTCGAGCACTTTCCCTTGATACACGCAGTAGTGGCGTGGCAGGTTGACACTGGCTGATATTGGGAGGTAACAGTGATTGGGGGAATCGCAACATTAGTAGACTCTTTGCATGGAGTGATTGTCGTCAGAGGTTCACCAAAGGCGGCATCGGCCAACAATAAGGTGAGAGCAGCCTTCTTGGCTGCGGAGCCCTGTAACTGCATAATAAGGGAAGGAGTGACTTCGGGTCAGAAACAGATAAAACAAAACAAAAGCAATCTCAAAAGAATGACTGTGGTGAGCGATTAATGCTTATGCTGAGAGTAAGAGAAGGACTTACCCCGACAATAGGTCTCTTCCATTACTTTATACATTACACAGGCCCCTTTGCAGCAACAGAGATCTTGCAAAACAATCACAAATGATGTTTGGCAGATATGAGCGCCGGGAGATGAACAGCGAGCATCCGCGTCCATGGTTGGTTGTTCTGACAAGTCGATCATGCTCGAGCTTTGATTGTAGATTGTCCAAGATACCGAGATCCATCTCGGACAGTGATTCAGCTGACGAGTGTGCATTGAACAAACCCATCGTCAGGGGCCGGGCGTTTAGAGAGATAGATCGAGCAATGACCAAGTATCGTATGTTGAATTGTAACGGAAAACAGGGTGAGCTGCAAGCCTTCAGCATAGATTGCGTTCACCAGAGGCACTTATGCGCTCGAGTGACAAGGTGATTTTCCTCCATAGCTAGCTGAAGCCGTGCATTGACACCCACGATGGGTCAGTATCCCAGAAGTCCTCTTTCGTCGATGGCTGCCCGCTGTCATCAGATTGATGGTCCGAAAGATCAAGCCCACCTACCCGCAACGTGCAGCCACCCTATCCTGTTTGCCGGTTTCTATCTCTGTCAGTATCAGGAGTGTCACAAATTCAAACAATACACAATGAAAACAGTAGGGAGATGAAGTAGGAAACCAGCAGAGTCAACGGCAAGACAGAATGGTGGGGCATCTGGAGTGCTGAGCATATCACTTCTTCGAAAGAAGCCCTCGTCATTGTGCATAAACTGAATCTCGCCTTCGGTTAATAGGTCCTCACCATTCTAAACCTTCCTTACAATCAATGTGGAAATTGCCGCACGGATGAGAAATCGAGTGACACCTGCAAGTTAGCCGTTCAAGCATTGGACACGAGCACGGCTTTCAACTGGCTTAGTAGAACCGAGTACCGTTGAATCCAATTCGATTAAGATTAATCCGCCGTTTCAACGTTCTGGATAAGCTTGATGCACGTCAGGAGGGTTGCGGTTGGGCTGGCAGACGTTGAAAAAAAGGAGACGCACCGCCAAGAATCCCCCCGTTTGTGGTTGAGCATGTTGTTAACCAAATCAAGCTTAGGCCGATCTCCTTCTTCTGCCACCGTGCCAGCACTCATATCGAGTACGGAGTGTCAACATCTAGGTGTTTGTTTTCACTTAATTTCAACGCCACCGAGGCACCAGGCATGTGTTTCTAATTTCAAATACGGAAGGGCACACCTAGAGCTTTATGAAGGCCTCTCAAAATGTCGATACAGCTGTCACACCTCACTGGCAACTAAAACCTCGTGCAAGCAATGCCCACTGGTCTTCCTGATCTGGAGCACAACGGGTCTACGACTACGACCTGCGCCTTGAAGATGTCTGGGACTAGACAGGCATCTACCACCCAAGAAAGAAGTAGGCTGAATCGGTTGTACTGCCACAGCATTCTTGTGTCAGCACAATACTCTCCGGTAGGCACACCTGTCCTCTACCTTCCTTCGTGCCTAAACGATAAGTAGCCTGGATGTTTCCAATATTCCGATCAGTTTTTCAACCAAAGACCTTTCTAACTTGATGCCTTGTTACACATGGGAGGCAACCTTCGTACTTCCTCATCGCAAGTTGTGATCCAGCTATCTCAGAAATCTCTTCAAGTACTCTGAGAAGCCGCCTTTCACTTCTTTTTCCATTTTCTCTCTGTCATAGGCAGTGCTATGGTAGCGTAAAACCCTGATCATCGTCTTCGAATGGCACAATACATTCACAGACGATGCCTTTGACGACACTGGCCACGATCAAAGGTCATGCCGGCCACCCACTCGAGGTGACCAAACGATCTATGACTCGGCACTCACAAACGAGTCGAGGCGACCAGGCTTAGAGTCTGCTCGGGTTTTTCATGCGCAGTATACAAACCGCGTCCAGCTATCATGGTGGACTCGCCCTTTTTTAAGGGCCAGCACCTCATCAGGTTCAAGTGCGAAGGCCTCACGCGGTATCAAATGGTGAGTCTTCCACTTTAGGTCGGATTAGCCGATCTGCCGTCCCCAGGTAGGTTCCACTCAGATGCAGAAACCTCGTTTGCCTCCCTATGCAACTAGAGATGATCAATCATCTCACGCAGGCTTGGAGCATCCCTCAAATATTACGTCTACTCCATTTGGACAGAAACAAGCAAGCAGAATGCCTACTCTAGCTTACCATACCATGGGCAAGGGGTTGAGCCTTGAGGTAAATAGTGATGATCAAATAAACTCCAACGGTCAATCCTTCTTCGCCTGTATGGAACACATAACTTTGAACGTTCCGTGCCAATACACCTAAAAATCACAGACCAGAAAGCTCCACCTAGAGGGCTGCATTGGAGCCATGGCATTTACAAGTGGTGGAGTCAGGATGTCAGATTCTTTGACAGCCGCACCGGGACACCGTGTGCCTGCCGATGAGAGCGTGCCAGCCGACGAGGGCCCGCAACAAACATCCAGTGATTGACTGTCATCGACCTGACATTGGTGGCAAGTCTGAAGCACGGATGTCCAAAAGCGGTCGTTGCTGGAGTCCTCTGGTCGGATCAGATATTCACTTCGTACTGGTAGCGTAATGGTACTAGCAACTGGGCTCCACTTGCGTCGGGAGTTTTGCCTGCATCTTACTCGCAATCCTCGCTTCGCACGCTCCTCTGCGCTGCTCGTGTGCTTGTGTTGATCCTCATTTTAAATTCGCTCTCATGGTCGATGATCATCTGCACATGGCAAATCTGCAAGAAGTACCATCCGGCTCTATGGGATTTCCTAGTTGCCCTCGCTGTCCCAGACTTTCTCGACAGAAGACAACATCGTAGGGGGTTTAGACTCTGCCGCTTGACTCACCCTCCGAGACTTAGTATCCAATGTCCGTAGTCAGGCTGCGAGAAATGGCACGATGTCATCGAATGATGATGTTGTCGAATGTCATACTCTCACGAGGGCAACATGGAGTCGAGTCGAGAATGAGCGATTAGTAACGTTGTTCTCCTTCGAAGCAAGCATCATACCCGCATTCTTCCTTCGTACATTGCCGTTCTCCTACCGTGAAAAATGCCCCTCTTTCCTTGTCTCGAAACTGGAGTTCTACGAATTGCCCATGAGCACGTACTAGTAGTCATGATCTCTCGGGTTGCAGCCGCCTTTCGATACACTTGACTCACAGCATTAAAGGGAAGCCAACGTGGACGTCCTTCAGCCTTCCCCAGCATGTCCAGCTAACTACAAAGATGGAGGTGGTGGTAGTATCGCCCAATCGGGGATTATCAATACCCCAAATAACCAAGATCCTGGGGGGACTAGCCGAGTGTATCAGGCTGCGTTAATCCCAATCCGATCATTTGGAGAAGGAAGGGGATGGACGGTCGCGACGTGCCCCAATGTGAAACTCTACTCAGCTAATTACCCCACGCCAAATGGCCGTTCCCAGAGCGATCTCGAATGAAATATGGTAGCCAAGGAGCAAGGAGACATGCTATGTGGAGTGTCTTGTATTGATGGCTGAGATCAAATGATAATCATTCCCTTGTGCTCGGGTGATCATTTGAATGCAGTGAGTGGCCGAGTAAATCTATCTCACTTTCCTCTATACATACCTGCCGGTGAAAACGGAAAATGGAAGGCCGCAGTCTTTCCAGGTATGCCTTAACGCACCCCTTCGTTACACTTGCCGCCCTGTGCATCATCTTCGTGCTGGGGTGGAAAATCAACGAGAACATAAAAGCTCGGAAGTACAAGTTACCACCACGTGTGCCTGGTATCCCGATCTTTGGAAACACTTTTCAACTTCCGCCCCTGAAGCAAGGAGTATGGGGGATCGAAACTGCAAAGAAGTATGGAGAAATGTAAGTGCACGTATGACGTCCAAGATGCGCCGATTTTGACAGGCCGTCAGGTTTACCTGCAGTATCGGGGGAAAGACGTGGGTGTTTCTCAATTCGTCGAGAGTCGTGAACGACTTGATGGAGAAGCGGTCAGGGATATACTCGTCCCGACAGTATATGCCCATGGCGTCGGGCGTGTTGTCCGGAGACAACCGAGTCTTGCTCATGCCGTACGGTGAGCGGTGGCGGACGCTTCGGAAAATCATGCACGCCATCTTGAATAAGACGAATGCGCCCGTCTTTGCACCTTTTCAAGACGTGGAGTCGAAACACCTTCTTTACGACTTTCTTCACACTCCCGAGTTGTGGTTCTCGGCAACGCAGCGGTTTGCGAACTCGGTTATCATGAGCGTCGTATTCGGGAAACGCATGCAGCTGGAAGACCCAAAGATCCGAGAGCTTTTTGAGACTTCCAATGCTGTCGTTGAGGCCATTCAGCCGTCGGCAAACCTGGTGGATTCACTGACATTCTTGGAACACCTTCCTAAACCTCTGCAGTGGTGGCGACCAAGGGGCGAGGCGATGTTCGCGAAGACGGTGAAGGTCTATCAACGCGAGGTGGAAGATGTCGAGCGAAAGATGAAGGATGGGACAGCCAAAGACTGCTTTGCGACCCGATTCTTGAAGTCTCCCGACACGAAAGACTATGGACGCACGCAAACACTATTCGCTCTGGGGTCTCTCATGGAGGCGGGAAGCGACACATCCCGTATGACTGCGAGCCAGGTCATCGCAGCCGCAGTGCTGGACAAGCGGTGGGTTGTGACGGCACAGCAGGCTCTAGACAAGGTCTGTGGCAGCAATGCGGAGCGGTTACCAACGTTCGATGATCGAAAAGATCTTCCGTACATCACTGCGGCGGTCAAAGAAGCCTTTAGGTGGCGACCATTTGCGGAGATTGGTGTGCCGCATGTTCTGATCCAAGACGACGAGTACGAAGGGTACAAGTTCCCGGCTGGGACCTTGTTCACATGGAACGCAACCGCCATAGCTCTTGATCCGAGAGAGTATGAACAGCCTGAGAGATTTTGGCCCGAACGGTTTCTGAACGATGATCTGGATCACGTCCTAAAGGGGCATTGGAGCTTTGGGCCTGGTAAGTCCCCATTCAAATATCTACCCCGGCTTCACTGGAGGGTTGGCGTCTTGCTGACTTGCACAGGACGAAGGGTGTGCTCAGGGTATAATGTTGGAGAGTCGAATGTGTGGATCATGCTTGCTCGACTACTCTACTGTTTCAACTTCGAAGAGGTTCCAGTACTAAATCAGACCTTTCCCCACCGATATCTGCGTGATGGCTAATATTCTCAGGGCAAATCGTTTAATGAATTCGAAGTAAATTGGGGTGAGCATCGTTGGGCTCCGTTTGATGTGAATATTAAAGTGAGAAGTCCTCAACATGCGGCTTTGATTGATCGCGAAGGGAGAATTGCCGTAGACACAAAATACTGAATATAATTGTATTTTCTCCGCACAATCCAACTCAGGCCAGATTTGAGACTACAAATCTGCATCGGTACTAGGTCCCCTACCAATGCAACTGCGGTGTTGAATAAGGGTCCGAATCGAAAATCAACGAATTAAAAAAGATAAGTTTAGTACGACACATTTATTTGACAATCGTCGGAATCAACACCAGCAACACTCCTCGAGGTGTTGGGCACCACCTTCTTCGGGCGGGTTGGAAACCCCACATCCACACACGAAGTACTGTATGCTCGAGCATCCAGAATGCGGAGGCTCCCCACCTCTGCCCAAATTGTGATATTCATTAGAATCTTCTTCGTGGGGTCAGGCCGAGCCAGAGCCACAGGAACTGGTTCGGGGCGTCAGACCTCGGGCCTTCAGATACCACCGTGAATTGCCCCAGTGCGTGGCAGCCGACGCTGGGGGTGATCGACGGCGTACATGTATGTGAACCAGGCCTAGAATAGTTTGCCTCAAGGGTATGAACCAGCAATTGGAGAAGGCCCGAGCGGTCTCTTAACGCTTCGACACGGTGACCTGAATCCGACGCAAGTCGCGAACCCATAGCCAGACCCTCCTTTCTGTAACCCACCCAGTAAATCACCGAGCCACGGTCAGTCCACCCGCCCACGACGTCTCGTCCGCCGACGGTGGGTGTGTCCTGGTGTGGGGCAATATAAATCTCAAGAAGTAGGGGTTCTACGAATGCTTATAACCCTAGTCTGGTTCAGTTGCTAAGGAGAGTAGGCATCTGTCTGATCGACGACCACTACTTCGATCTATCCTTTCGCCAAAAGCCTGCAGACCTCATCCTCCATTAGAACCGCTTACTACATTATCTGCAGACCTAACGTTGTATCGAAGATGGGGAAGCAAACGCCGGTGTCAAATGTGCGTACATGGATCTCCCTGCCCACTGCCCATGGTGAATCTGCCGCTAATGGGGCTTAGGTCATCATTGTCGGTGCTGGACCGTCAGGGTTGCTGCTAGGGATCCTCCTAGGGAAAGCAGGCGTGAAGGTGACGCTCGTGGAAGCAGCCGCGGAGTTGGATAAAAACCCCAGGGCGGCACATTACGCTCCTTCAGCAGTCTACGAACTCAATCGAGCCGGAGTTCTCGGAGACGTCAAGGCGAAAGGCATCCATCCTGATGCGGTATGCTGGAGAAATCCCGATGGATCGTTTATCGCCGGCATCCGAAGCCGAATGGACATTGAGTTCCCAATGGTGTGTCTGCCATTAGACCAACTGGATGAATTGCTCCTGGAGCATTTCTTGAGAATCCCAAATGCGGAGGTGCTATGGCGCCATAAAGTTGTTTCGATCGACCAAGATGACAATGAAGCTCGAGTGCACATCGAGACACCCGACGGAAAGTTGACACTTTCTGCAGACTATATCGTCGGATGCGATGGAGCGAACAGCCAAATCAGAAGATCGCTCTTTGGAGATCTCAACTACCCCGGGGAGACGTTAACGAAACAAATTATCGCGACCAACGTGAGTGAATGAGTAACTTCCAGGCCGACGGCACTGACCAATCTGCAAGGTTTATTATGATTTCCACAAATTCGGCTACTGGGACTCGAACTTCATCATCGACGAAAATGATTGGTACATGGCGGCGAGGATCACCGACAATGGCTTATGGCGGGTGACTTACGGGGATGTCTGGGGCTTGTCCAATGAAGAGTATCTTGCTCGCCAACCAGAACGGTTCGAGAAGATCCTACCCGGAAATCCGAAGCCTGGTGACTATAAGCTGGCAAGTGCCAGCCCATACAAACTACACCAGAGATGTGCGGAGTCTTTCCGAGTTGGACGATTCCTCCTGGCGGCCGACGCGGCACATTTGTGCAATCCATTGTAAGCTTCTGTACTACATCGACTTGGGAAGAGAGAGACTGATTCGATTTAGCGGTGGACTTGGATTGACTGGTGGGATCGCTGACGTGGGAAGTCTGTTCGACGCACTCCTCGCAATGAAAGAGGGCAAGACCGACGACAGCATTCTAGATAAGTATAGCGAGGTCAGAATAAAGAAGTGGCAAGAGATCATCGATCCCATGTCGCGAGCCAACTTCAGACGTGTATGTCTTGACGAGGCCGAGTCAGACAGAAATGAGTTCTGGAAGCTGTGCGAAAAAATGGAACAAGACGATGAGTTGTCTCGCCAGATGGCACAGGTTAGTGATTTCTTTCCCTTTGCTCACGCTAGCCCTCTTGCTAACAGAACCGGAAAGGGGACCAATATACTTCGTGAGGATTTCAGAGAGTATTTGACTGCACAATAATGCGAAGAAGGTCAAAATTAGCAAAGCTGTTACATTCAATGATCATTGTGCTTGGTATTTCTCGGCCCGCCCCTGCGTGGCCGGAATGGCAATATTAGTCCTTTGATAGCATGTAATATAGTAGGGGAAATAAACCATTGAGCACCCCGAAAGGCAATGTCGAGGGTGTCATCGACACAATGGTAGCCGGGCTCCCTGGCTAACTCAGAGCATACCGGCGCGTTCCAGGACTGATGATGGGACGGGATCCTTAGAAGGGAAACTCATGCTTGATCGAGGCTGCGGCTGATACGATTATCATCTCTCGAACCCAGGCCTACCTCGCGCCGTATGTCGTCTTACAAGGTGGGCATTGGGAGCACACCAGCCGTACGAGCACCTGTACCACGAGCAAGTCAACAGGGGCCTGGCCGATTGGTCGGAAATGGTTGCCGCCATCACCAACAACGGTGGAAATACAGTACTAGGAACCATTAACGTGGGAGAGGTCCTCTTAGAGAGGCTCCCTCGCAGCGTGGATGATTTCTCCGCGCACAAGATAAGCCTTGCATGGGAAAAGGCGGAGGTGGCCAGGCATGTAACCCACACCACGATAGAAAGGAGAAGGACGGAGCACTGACAGGATAATATTGTTGGAAGGCCTGGTTCATGTTGCTGATAAGCCTAAGTCTCTCTTGCATCTTCTGAGGCCGACGATTAAACGCTATCGTCATAGGCCCACTTGGCAGCTGTCGGCCGCCCTCCTCCCCTCAATCAAGCTTAGCGATTCCAGGTTGCCTGCACTGGCGCGGGAATTGCAGAATCTCCATTGCAACAACACGCCAGATGTCTTGATCTTCCTCATTGCACGAGCTCGATCAGCTACCTAGGTGGCTCTATAGTGTTCGAACTGTGAGCTATACATCCCTCCGTGTTGATGTAACACTCAAAGCACCCGGACAGCGCGAGAACCTCGAGCACGACCTCGTCACATCTTTATCTGTCCCTGGGTTGACCTCGACTCCGAATCCAATGTCACCGCTGCTTTCTGACCATTGAGTACACCAGCCAGACTCTCGCAGCACCCTGCCCTTATACCTTGATACATACCTTCCGCCACAGCGAGCAGCGAATACACGCTCGATTACTGCGTCGCTGCAACTCCGTGACCTCCCTTTGCCGTGTCCGAGAGATTCCAGTTACCTATACATCACAAGCTTCCCCTCTTGGTGGCACAAGCGCCATCGTGGCGTGTAGGGGAAGATGGCGGACTTCACGTTGATTCCCAGTGGGAGTGGGAATGGTTATACGGGGATGCTGACGAGAAGCATTGTATTCTCCGGCACCCTTCTTGTTTTCCTTGCAGGTTCGACATTGCGCTCTCCTTGGCGGCAAAGGTCGATGCTGATGAACGTTTTCTAGCCTCGGGGATGACGATTGCTTCTATAATCGTGCCCAACTGGGTTGCCTACGACGGGAATACAGTGAGTCTATTGGAAGCACGGGATTGATGCCATATGACTAACAGGGCGCCAGGGCCACGGTTCGATACATTACACCTATGGCCTTCACCAAAGATGTTCCAACACGAACATGCCTCCGACTTCTGATCCATATCTATCCTCCTCCCTCAAATGTGTTCAATTTCCGCGCTATTCGGACTGTCATGCCGAGAATCGATATTTCTGCAGCATGTGGAGGTCCGTTGGCTTTTTGATGTCGTTCGCTGTTGTATTGGAGGGAATGACAATCGCAGCCTTCGCGGTATTGCTGGTGGGAGGCAAACAGAAGCGTGAACAAGGCTGGGGCGCCCTCACCATCTTGGTGACACTGGCAGCAGCAGTCCAAGCCATTGGAATGGCTTTGATGGCATGTGTTTCGGTTGCACTGACAAAGTATGAAAGCTAACTGTGCTTTTAGGCTTACTTATTCGAGAACGACGAACGCTTCTTCTCCGGGTGGTATCTTGATAAGAGTTGGACAATGTGCACAGTGTCCTGGAGCTTTCAGGTACTGTGTGCAATCTGTATCACACTGGCTGCTGTGGTGTTACCTAGTGAGGGCGGATACGAGCTGATACCCGACCATGCTTGATTTGTGTTCCAAGAGTTATGATTATCCATACGATAGAACCAAGCGCTTGACATGTCAGGGTTTGATTATTTCTGACTTCGGCTGGATCTGGGGACCCATTTTCGGGAGGCATTGGAATTTCACATAGCAAGCCTTTGAGCGGAAAGCGCGGATGATATACGAGTCCTGTGAGAGAGATACATTTATGGCGGTCGATCCAATAATAATAACGAAATGTTCAACCATATATAAAAGATACAGGAACACCGGTATGGGGGACACAAAGGACTTTCTCGAGATCACATGTCTGTCAGTGCACGTGACGTCGGATGGGAATATCGTTGCACCGTTCCGATAGTAACACGTATCGTTCTCATTATCGTAAGTCTTGCGAGATGGGCAGAGGAGCATCTCTCCAGAGTCCGACCGGGGGACCGGCTGATTTCATCTTTAAGCGAGAAATAATCAAGCATTTCTTGGGCTACTTACCCGCATTCTGTACTCGGAGCTCGGCCAAGTAGGTTCACGCTCGCTTTTAACTACATGCTCGTGCGTTGTTGGCATGGCGAACTCGGAATCCCTGCGCAGTGCGGCACTTGTCGTATCTCGTATCTCTAAACAACGACCGACGCGCAAACTCGCTCTTGTGCGCGTCCGCCAACAGACCGCGCATGATTACGTAGCTGAGGTATAGGCTGCTGTACGGGTGCCGTGCTGTGCCACTCATGAGTCGGTGACTCGGTGCAATCCTCTTGCCATGTGCGACCTCGAAATCCCTCGCAATCTGTGACGACCTACGAGTCACGCAATGACCGAGCCAGCAGAGCCTCGGTGCATTCTGATGCTAACTTCACTAGTGTAGATCCACTGGCCTCTCCATGGAAATAACCCGCTGCAAAATGACTTGTGAGACTTGTGCATGTTCATTGTCTGGCTCGGCGTTGATGTTCAGGCCACTTTACAGCGCGGCTTTGGGTTTCCACGTGTACAGGGTCCTTGGTAAGTACTAAGGAGCAGGGACTGACTACCCTTGCCGACTCCGTAAGCACAGGGCAGGGTGAATGCAGTGTTGGCTTCCGAGCGGACGTTCTCCATATCCTCGCAAGTTGGTAACACGAACACCCAAAGCTGGGGGAAATGGTATTTAGGGCCACGCACTGGCCATCATCGGCTCAGTTCGCCTTTCGATATCAATCACACTGGCAACTAGTGGCCTCTGCTTCGTGCTATATTCACGTCTACTTACCACCAAGGTCTTTAGTACTGTATAAGCACCGGGCTAACCTGACTCTATTGGACTTGTCAACGAGGTCGCTTCGTCCTCTCCTTGTGACCAGCACTATTTAATGACCACTGTCTGTCCATCATTCCCACTTTTTGTTTACCCTTGATACTTCCAACGCAGAGAGTCTTCGCTGTGTATTGTCTCCACCATGACTACACCCATTCCACAACCACCGCCACTACCTATAATCGGCAATATCAGGGCTTTGGATCCTGCAAACCCCACCGAGAGTTTCGTACGCTTAGCAAAAGAATATGGTAGGTCTTATCTGGTCACTCCTAGCCAAATGGCATTTCTAAACCATCCGCAAAACCAGGCCCTATCTTTCAATTGTCATTTTTTGGCAGGACAAGATACTTCATCAACTCAGTTGAGCTGTTGAATGAGGTTTGTGACGAAAAACGATTTTGCAAGTCCGTTTCAGGCGCTCTGGAGCAGATCCGCAATGGAGTCGGCGATGGCCTGTTCTCTGCACGCCTTGGAGAACATAACTGGGAAGTGGCACATCGCACGCTGGTGCCGGCCTTTGGACCCCTTGGCATTCATGACATGTGTACGTTCTCCCTGATCACCGATGAAGGTTCGGTAGCTCACGCTGCCTAGACGATGAGATGTACGACCTTGCCACTCAACTGGTCGCGAAATGGGCTCGTGGAGGCCCCGAACACAGAATCAACGTCACAGACGACTTCACACGACTGACACTAGACTCCATTGCTCTTTGTGCAATGGGAAAGAGATTCAACTCGTTCTATTCGGAGGAAATGCATCCTTTCGTCGGCGCCATGGTTCGGTTCCTGGTCGAGTCTGGGGCGAGAGCCAGGAAGACGAAAGTCGAAGCCTTCATCAGGAGAGAACCCGAACGGCAGTATTGGAAGGATATCGAGTACATGAAAAGCGTGTGTAAAGAGCTTATTGAGCACCGAAGGGCCAACCCCGTCGACAAGAAAGACTTGCTCAATGCCATGCTGTTTGGCCGTGACCCGAAAACGAAAGAGAGATTGACGGATGAGAGTCTCGTGAACAACATGATCACTTTCCTGATTGCAGGCCATGAAACAACGTCTGGTCTCCTGTCCTTTGTCACTTATTACTTGATCAAGCACCCGGAGGTGTTTCAAAAGGCACGGAAAGAGGTTGACAGTGTGGTAGGAAGGGGCCCTGTGACAGCTGACCACATCACAAAGATGCCCTACCTGGAAGCCATCTTGAGGGAGACTCTTCGTTTGAATCCTACAGCGCCAGGCATCTCTATCACCTCCCATCCCGATCAAGGAGATCAGGTGATTGGCGGAGGAAAATACTTCATTCCCAAGGGTATCACTATCTTTTGCAATTTATCCTCAGTCGGTCGTGATCAAAGTGTCTTCGGCGACGATGCCGAAGACTTCCGGCCAGAACGGATGTACGGGGAGAACTTCACCAAATTGCCGCCAAATGCTTGGAAGGTCAGTCATTTCTTAAATATAAATTGAGGCTTGAACAACGGGCAATCCGCTAACTAAAGTATTAGCCCTTTGGAAATGGCGCGAGAGGGTGCATTGGCCGCCCATTCGCCTGGCAAGAAGCGCTTCTAGCTCTAGCACTGATTCTGCAGAACTTCGATCTGAAACTAGATGATCCATCCTACCAACTGCACATCAAGAGTACGCTGACCATCAAACCTGGTGACCTCTATATCCACGCCACTCCACGCGATGGTGTGGAGGTCCTCAACATCGAGAGGAAACTGTACGAAGGCGTACGCGCCCCGCCACCCCGCCAAGGGTCGCGTGCCGTGAAGGCAGAGCAGGCGGCGTCGGGAAAGCCTCTCCTGGTCCTCTACGGCTCAAATGCGGGCACGTGCGAGGGGCTGGCTCAGAAACTGGGTCAAAGCGCTGGAGGTCGTGGGTATGCGGCCAAGATCCTACCTCTTGACGATGGCATCGGCGCAATCAGCAAGGACGTCCCCGTCGTGATCGTCACAGCGAGTTACGAAGGAAACCCCCCCGACAATGCGGACGCGTTCGTGAACTGGTTGAAGGGTGCCGATTCATCCAAGAAGCTGCAAGACGTACACTTTACCGTCTTTGGCTGTGGTCACCATGATTGGGTGACAACCTATCAGAGAGTCCCCAAACTCGTCGAGGCCGAAATGCTCGCCAGAGGCGCGACTAAGATCGCCGCGCGCGGAGAATCTGACGTTGCCAAAGGCAGAGTGTTTGACGACTTTGATTCCTGGCAGGATGAGCAGCTCTGGCCGGTTCTCGCAGCAGGCACCACGGATTCCCAACCGAACGACGCACTCGACATGGAGATCGACAAGAATGCCCGTGCCTCGCACCTCCGGCACAACGTGCAGAATGCTCAGGTGCTGAGAAACGACCTTTTGACGCCGGCTGGGGCGCCGGAGAAGAGAATCACGGAGTTTCACCTACCAGACGGCATGCCCTACGAAGCTGGAGATTACCTCGCCCTGCTGCCCGTCGGCAATATCCAGACCATCTCGAGAGTGCTGAGAAGGTTCGTTCTGCCGTGGGACGCGACCATGACGCTTCGCAAGGGCGCGCACACCACCATCCCAACGGAGGTCCCGGTCTCCATCATGACCGTGCTCGGCAGCTACGTCGAACTCAACAGCGCCGCGAGCCGCAAGGACGTCGCCACGATCAACAAGTACGCCAAGGACGAGGATGTCGTGGATGAGAAACTCCTCGACGTCCCGCATCCGCCATCCGTCCTCCAAGTTCTCGAGCAACACCCAGGGATCGAGCTCCCCTTCTCCGTCTTCCTGTCCATGCTCACACCGATGCGCATCCGACAATACTCGATCTCGTCCTCGGCGCTCCTCGACCCGAGAAAAGTGCGCATCGTCTACTCGGTCGTCAATTCCGACCCGCAGCACCTGGGCGTCGCGACCAACTACCTCAAAACGCTGCCCGCAGGCTCGACCGTGCAGGTGATGATCAAGAAGTCCCACGCGTCGTTCCACCTCCCGGACGACCTCAAGACACCGATCCTGATGCTCTGCGCCGGCACCGGGCTCGCGCCGTTCCTGGGCTTCATTGAAGAGCGGGCCGCGCGCATCGCCAAAGCCGGGGTCTCGTCCAGCGACATCGGCGAAGCCGTGCTGTTTGTCGGCTGTCGCGACCCGGACCAGGACCGCCTGTACGCGGACGAACTCGACAGGTGGCAGCGTGACGGCGTCGTCAAAGTCTACTACGCCTTCAGCCGGAGGCCCGAGAAGTCCGCCGGCTGCAAGTACGCGCAGGATCGCCTGTGGGCGGAGCGCGACGAGGCCAGCCGCCTGTTCGCTGCTGGCGCCAGGGCTTACATCTGTGGCAGCAGTGCGCTGGGCAAGGGCATCGCCGACGTCGTTGCTAAGCTTGTCGTCGCTAAGGCGAAGACCCAGTCCAAGGAGTTGACGCTCGATCAGGGCCTGAAGTGGTGGGAGGGCCTCAGGGGCGAGAGGTATGCTGTTGATGTGTTTGATTAGTTAGACCTTGGTGGTGGGTGGGGGGAGGGGCTATGTATCTCTTAATGATTACTTCAATCGTCATGCTTTAGAGCGACTCTAATGCAATGGCGGCAACTTTCTATTTCAAAGACTGTTACGCGGAAAAAGGCTTCAAGAGAGAGCGGTATCGGGTTGTACAAAGGTCTATATGATAGTCATACAACTGCTGGTAGATATCTACCACAGAAGGTGCTGTCGCTGTGTCACTACTGGACGATCCGGCAACTGTACCCATATTTTCTTCTGCAGACGCTTCTTAAGGGCTTTGGCCTCCTTTTCTGCAGCTATCCTCGTTTTCGTCTGTTGCTCCTTCAATACCACGGTCATGCCTGTATATGGTGGCCGCATCACGTTCGCCCGGCCTCTGGCTCGGTAGTCTGGCTCCCGACCGTATGGACCACGGTTCGTCCATGCCTCAGACAAGTAGATTTCGGTGGGATCAGGTGTAATGCCTTGCCTTTTGGTTTTCATAGGAGTCTCGTGGGGAAGCGGTCTGGACTGGCTAGGATCTCGTATAAGAGCTTTGGACTCGGCCAGCGTCCGACCCTCCTTTAAGCCCATGCCTTTGGCGGTGATGGCCTCGTTCCTGGCCTGGAGAAGGTGCTCACGGACTTCCTTGGCGACTTTCTTTCGGGAAAAACGCATCTGGAGTATTGCCTCGTCAAGGGATTTTCCTGCGATCTGTCTCGTGAGAGGGGCGAGTTTCTTCATAGAAGTCTTGAAGAAGTGCGAGCGAGACATGTGACTCCGTTCAGTCCTCGCGATTTGCATCTCCTTGGTTAAGCGGCCACGTCGTTGGATATGCCTGATAACCATTTTTCGCTGCCACCGCGATCGGGCAACAGGGCGCGGGTTCAGGACAAGTGCCATGTTAGATGTATTGCGGGAAGATAGAGGCCTCGAAGCTAAAAGATCGTCCTTCATCTTCTTGTTCTTCTTCTTCTCCTCTGTAGGTTTTCCGGTAAGAGCATCGGGCCTGTGTTTGAAAAAGATGGAGCTTTGAGCTAGTTGACCCTGCGCGAAGTTCGCTTGTTCTCTCTCTCGCTCCTGTTGTAGCTGTTCCTGCACCTTGGCCTGCGTCGCTCTCACGTTGTTCGCGGGCGATGGAGCCACAGCTTCCAAAGTCGCCGGTGTCGACTTTGACTTGGAGTCTGACTGCGTATCGGCATACCGGAATGGGGTGGAGTGAAAGGCTCTGAGGGCGGAGGCGGGCAGGGAGGATGTTGACGTCGCCGGGTGAACTGGAAGAAGGCGTTGGCTAAGAAAGGCACACTTCGGAGACCTGAGGGTTGGGACCATACCTCTGCAAATGTGCCGGAGCACAGTTTGCTGCGACTTCATGTTGTGTCAAGCCAGCGCGCAGTAGTGGCAGCTGATTCCTGTGCTCAATAGTAGAGGTGGTTCCTCTGTTGAGTTGAAGTCGCTGGTCCAAAATATTCTTGGGATCAGCTAGGAATATGATCTGTCGTAGAATGAATTGTACGGTGAATCAAGGAGATGGGTGCTGTCCATATCACGTGCCACTGGGGATCGGGGATGTTGCCTAGATGGGCCGGCAGCTCCAAAGCAGCAAGCCGAAGAGTCCCTATTGGTGCTAGCTCATGACTAAATTGTGCAGCACTAGCAGGCTGTAGTCCCTGCGCAGCACGTTGTTGTCGCATATCCGTACGACTATCCCGACAATCCTGCTGCGTAGAACTAAGACTCTAAACGAGAATTTAGGCAGAGGACAAGGTGACGCCTTTTCTTCATTCCAATCAACAAGGCCACTTAACGGCACATACAGAGTCCCTAATACCCAAGCTTACGGCCTACCGCCTGGCTTTCCTCTCGAACACGTCGTGGTCGCGCCAGTAGTGCCCTGGGGGTTACCACAAACACGATTCTTTGAAAGGCAGGACAACATCGCGATCCTGCTTCCTCTCCCTTTACATTCAGCATCTGTCCAGTGCGTTTACGACCGGGAAGCGCGCTAGCCTGTCTCTTGCGGAAAGAGAGCATGGCCTCAAGCCCAGCTCATACTCAAGTCGGACCAGAGGAGGCCGCCTGCGCCAACGTATCAGCTTGAGTACTCCGTACAACAACCTTTGATGGTTCAACGGACAATATGGACATCAACTCTTTACTATCCCCTTCCGACACTCCACACGCCGCATCTCCGACTCCTCAATCGGTCACCCAATCTCAATCCCCCTTCAAACATGTCCAGAGAACCCGCTCAGGCACCCCCTCTACGCAACCCGCTCTCAACTCTCCTCTCTCTCGAGCCATACAGCCTCCTTCCAGTATTCCTGCCCATGTCAGGAGTCCCTCACAACAGCCTGCTCACTCTTCCCCGCTCATCAGTCCTGTTCCCACAGGCACTGCCACCCACATCACCCGATCTTCTTCTACTCAGAGCATGGACACTCTGGCGGACCTCGCTTCTCTGCAAAATCCCAGATCCACTCCTCCAGTTTTGAAGAGTCGCGATTCTTCTGATAGTCAGGTATCCTCTTCGGCTGCCCCTGTCGCCCATCTACTCTCGGGCGCCACCTCCAATCCTACCCATCCCCGCACCTCCTTCGACATCGCCATGGTCGAAACACCAAAACAAGCTCTGAGGCTTGACTATTCAGATACCTCCCTCTCATTCGAGTCAAAGTCGCGCCTTGCCAGCCTGGTTGCATATATTCAGGAGACTCCTTCTTCTTACGATGGCCATAAAGAAATCATCAATATCCTGCACCAAGGTTTCGTTAATCATATCTACCCGTCTTCAAGCCCTGGTGCGCGACGAGACCCTAGAGGCTACGATCTTTTACCGGAGCTACGGCATGCCCGTGAGACCTTTGACAAATTGTTTGCTGTGGGCGAGGATCAGTGGCTCGATTGGCTGCAAGATGAAAGCATTCTCGCTCAGACCGCAGAAGAGCGAGTTGCAGTTGTCGACAAATGTCGTCGGGCTGTCAGCGAAGAATACGGAAGTACTAGCCTCTGGATCACTTATGGCGAGTGGGTGCTGCATTGTTACAAATGGGCCCAGGACAGTTCCGGAGACATCCAAGGAGAAAATGTGGATCAGGACCGCCTGATTGGACGTGAGATTTTTGATTGGAACTTGGTCTTGGAAACCTGGGCCGAAGGGATCCTCCGGACTCAACTCGATTTGAGCCGCAGCCATGAAGTTTGGGACAAGTACATGAACGTTCGATTTGGCGAGACTGCTAAGAAGCTTTCTTCAAGCGAGGCCGAGGTCGCTTTGGAGTTATTTCAATCACGACTACGTGTACCACACTGCGCCTGGGATCAGACGTTTTCCTCGTTTTCCACTTTTGTCTCCACAAACTTCCCGGACCACCAATATGAAGACACCATGGCCTCAACACTTCGGGAGTCCGCCATAGCCAAAAAAATATGGTCTGACCGAGAGGCCCTTGAGTCTGCACTCGAAAGCGCTCGCGAGACTGGCGACCAGACTGCTGAGTATCAGGCCTTTTCGAGATACCTTGAATGGGAGCGCTCCGAGGAGGAAAGGGCCAAGAAGAACAGAAAATCCAAAGGCAAACGGGATAACACAAACCGCCTTGCCAACACCCTCGACATGATCACTCCACTTTATCACCGAGCAGAGCTTCGATTTCCCTCCGTGCTCACAATCTGGGAAGAGCATATAGAGTACCTTCTCTCAAAATCTAACAATGACGTGTTGCTCGAGGTGCTTGCCAGAGCGGCCAAACATTGTCCCTGGTCGGGCTCATTGTGGAAACAGTATTTGCTCACATCCGAACTGGCCGAAGCTTCTTTTGATCAGACAGAAAGCATAAAACATAAAGCCACGAGTACTGGACTACTAGATGCTGCGGGTATAGAGGAAGCTTTAGTGGTCTATGACGCATGGTGTGGCTATCTGCTTCGGCGCACTAGGAGACCCGAATCAACCGAGGAAGACTCTGACGTGGCGGAAATGGGCATCAGATCGTCGATAGAGGCTGTGCATAGTCTTGCATCCACATTGGGCTTATCATCTGATTTCGATCCGTCATTCAGGCTGCAGCGGAAGCATGTCGAGTACCTTAAATCGCAGCAACGCTTCGATAATGCACGCGCCCAATTCGACGATTCTATTGAGGACTATGGTAAGCACTATAAATTTTGGTTGCGCTTCTATGAGTTTGAGCTTCAAAAGAATGTCCAAATGGCCATATCTCATAGTAGCAGTGCAGAGCGTTTGGCAGCTGTCTCTTCAGCACCATTTGCAGCTGGCGTCCTGAAACAAGGCCTGCAATACCCTGGACTAGACTATCCAGAACCGCTTATTGAAGCGCTTCTCAACCATTGCGAAGACTATGAGGACGCGGACGAATTGCAGAGTGCGCTCAGCTTGGTACACAAAGTGCAAAAGACACTAATGGTCAAAAGACATCAAGAGGCTCTCCAGGCCAAGGAAATCTCAAGTGAAATGCACCATGCGGCGTCAGAGGTCGTACATAATGCTCAGGAAGCTCCCAACGGAGCGCACAATGCTAAGCGGAAACGTGAGGACGATGCTGACAACGTTGAGGATCCTGCAAAGCGGTATAAGAGTGATGAGACTACCGATACCGTCAATGAGGCACCAGCTGCTCCAGAAGAAGAATCCCTCAAGCGTGACCGAGAGCACTCCAGTGTTCTGGTGCAGAACCTACCCGTTAACAGCACAGAAACCAAGATTCGACAATATTTTAGTAGCTGCGGGACCGTCAAACATTTGAAGATGTTGCAGGACGAAGATAATTCTGTTATCGTAGAATTTGAAGACTCGAACGCAGCCAACTTTGCCCTGACGAGAGACGGTCGTGAGTTCGAAGGCTCAGAGTTATCAATTACGCTCAACACCGGCTCAACCCTCTACGTGACGAATTACATTGCTGCAGCCGACGAGACCTACATTCGCAATCTCATGCGACCTTATGGAGAGATTGTCAGTATTCGCTTTCCCTCTCTAAAAAAGAATAAGAGGCGAAGATTTTGCTACGTTGAGTTCAAGCAACGGAGCGAGGCCCAGGCCGCCACTGAACTAGACAACAGAGACATTGACGGGCTTGAGATCGTTGTTAAGATATCAGATCCGACTCGGCGACATGCAAGAACAGAGAACGGCGAGGCAAGAACGTTATTCGTCGGCCACATACCTTTCAAGGCTACCTCCAAGGACATTGAGACGGCCTTTGCAGTATATGGGAAGTTGGAGCAGATCAAGCTCCCTCAGGATGCAAAAGCCAAGTCCAGAAATCGTGGCATTGCATTTGTAACATACGTCAACCCTGAAGATGCTAAAGCTGCTCTCGCCTTGGATAAAACGAGCTTTCAGGGCCGCAACATCACCGTCAACGTCGCTGCCGAGGGCGGGTCACGAGCGAACAGAAGCGTTAATAGTCGATCGATGTCTCCGTCGACTCAGCCAGATCCACATTCTACACCGATGTCAAAAGACCTCAATGCTGATGTCGTGCAACTAGAGGACCGCCGCTTACGTACGGTTGCCATCTCAGATGTTCCTGACACTGTCAATGAGAGCCGAATTAGAGCAATCGCCGAGAAGACTGGTCCAGTACGCAAAGTCATTCTTAAAACTAACCATCAAGGAGCAGTCATCGAGTTTGAAGGCGTTGCTGACGCCGGAAAAGCTTCGATCGAGCTTGATGGATATGAGATCGCCCCTGGACGACACATTCGCGTCACCACCCAGAGAGAAATGCGACAGCAAAAGCCGGAGTTGAAGGAAGAACAGTTTGTCAAACGTCCTACGGCTAAGATGCCGGCAACCAATGGCCCAGTCAAACGTCCTGCTCAACCAGGTGCTCGAAAAGGTGGGCATCTTGGTCAGCGGTCCGCAACGATTTTCCAAGTCACTAAAGCAGATGCTTCCCCCACTACAGGCGAGCAGAATGAAGTGAAGAAGACCAATGAAGACTTCAGATCGCTCGTTAATAAATCTTAAAGCCAGATCATCTCTCAAGATGGTGATAAACTGGAACTATACTATGTAGTACGGGTTACCGAAGGAGGCCATGTAGGACCCAATTGCTTGAATGAACATTACAACCAGTGACTGATATGAGGGAACAGATTTCTCTTCACTTCGGTGCCTCTTTTGTTTGCGCTATGATCGACAACTAAAGTAGTAGCAGTACACTTCGGCCACCGGTACTTAAAGTACTATGTACTCACTCACTCGACTTACTAGTGATTACATGCTAGAATGAATGAACTATTTTGGGCTTTGCTACTGCTCAGTACTATGCATTTATTGGCTCAGATGTAATTGATAATATGTATGTATTATAGAACGATGGATCATAAGGCCAGATTAGCACTTACTTAGCACTATACTAGTATCTATAGCAGTCTATTCTAAGACACATTGTGGGCGATAAGCGTCAGGATGTCTTGTAGTAGAGAACTATAAGTAATATGTACATACTACTAGGTATGTGTGCACTATACTTACTAAGTCCCCACCCTATATAGGCTATCACTAGATACTATAGTACCTACGTATTCCTATATTTAATTACTTGTCAGAGCGGATGCCATAGCCCCTAGCGATTAAGCTAAAAAGACGTGGAGTATCGACACGAAGTGTCGATATCTCTCTGGCAATCCACTATATATATGTATTCCGTGGCATCCCGCGACATTACTACTATCATAAACTCGAGTACTATTGCTCCTTCCTTCTCTTGCTCCTCCCTAATATATATAGTACTTAGGTAGGTATAAGATACTATAAACATAATAGTTTACTAGTTCTAGACTTTAATATATACTATTAAGAGGCACATAGTATTTACAGGTATTATACCTAGTACTATATAAAGTATAGAATGAGATTAGCGAGAGAAGCGAGAGAAGCGAGTAATACTAAAAGATACTATCGTGAGAGATATATATATATAGGCTTTCTATAATATTATTATACTATATTCTATTCTACGCTCTAGTATATATAGTTTTCTATGCCAATCCGGACTGTATTTAGCTACAATAGTAGGACTATACACCAGCGACTTTTAGTAAGGGCTAAGTGAGCTACTAAGTAGGGCTAAGTTATACAGCCCTCTAGCAAAGGTTACTGGGTTACCCTGTATATTCCCTGCTCCTTTGAGCGTTCCTTTAAGTGTGACTCCTTGACTTCTTACTTTATCTTTATACTAGGCGAGATGCTGTAGTACTTTATATCTCCTTATGCTGGACGGTGCCGTATAGAGATTTTAAAACTTGAAGACTTCTTAAACCCTATTATAATAATCCTTATATACAACTCTTCAAACTTTATAGGAGCTTTTTATTAGCGACCCTAGGTTACTGCTATTGCTCTATGTTTATATAGAGCCTAGGAGTCTCCTCGTAGTATAGTATCATATTAGACGCCATTGAAGTTTTCCACTCAAATCCCGTTTATTTGTCCTCAGACCGGCCGCCCACTGCGTACAGCAAGCTATGGGCTCAAATACAACATTTTCATGCATCCATTCCCGCATCTATAATGTACAACGGACATTTCGAGATGTTGGAGTTTCTTTTTGAAAGATGTATGTCATCCATCCTGTGGCGAGACGCCTGTTGTTGTTTAATTGACAAAGACATGCCAAACAACAACGACTGGAGTTCTTCTGTGTTATCCCACTGACGTTAGACTTGCTTTTGATGGATTCCTTGCAAAGGTCTAACTTCCTGCTGCGTGCAGTGCTGGCCAAGTCATGTCACCATACCGAGAATTTGTCGCCTACTATGTAGTTGCCGGATCTCAGAGAAGTCCTCTCGACCGCTCTGCTATTCAACCTCTTAACAGCATTAACGTCGCTCGGGTAGGTGCTTCCTCGCGCGACACAATCATAGCTCTGTTCTCACTGGTTGTGAGTCACCGCACTATGTATATAGTACTAAGTACTATGTAGTTGCACGGTTGTGAATCACTGAAGACCAGCTAGACTGACAAAAACCATACTAAGTATAAGCTTAAGGAGGCCGAGTCCCTGTTCGCAGACTGGACAAATATGTACTATGTACACCTGACTGGGGCATGCAATAGACCAAAAACCCTAGGACTGTATTTACATGTTTCACGTGGCACTTCTCATATGCTACGTAAATATATTCAACTTCTAACATTCACCATACTTAGTGCTTAGTACATACTATGTAGTTAATAAAATTCAACCCAACCCTTTAGGTCGGATGCCGTGACAAGCTTGCTTAATCGAATACCATGTGTATTTCCTACGAATATTTCGAATCTGTTCTAGCCTCTGGAAACGATCGATTGGACATTCTTTGGTCTGTGCAGATGTCTATAGAGTCTCGCTAGTATCTTCGTAGTGGATCCAAATTGGCACACTTAGCAGCAGAAAAGCAGAAAACAGTATCGATGGGCAGGGTCGCTTTCGACAACGGTCTCGTCTCGTCTCGGGGATGGAGCAGTCACTTGAAGCTTGGACCTACAAGACATGTGCACCATTCTAAATGGGCTCCTGCTAGAATCTATATCTACCGCGTCTTCTGGTGGAAGCCGACTCGCTCTCAGGGCAGAGGGTGGCCCACGCAAGGACAATTCTAGATCACGCTTACTCTTGCCGTGACGGTTAGTTTCTTGCAAGGCAGGCCCTACTGCTTCTATTCTTCGCTGGTTGCGAAATGGCGGATGCCTCCGCCCAGAGAAGGATCATAGCACTTTGCTCGCTATGGAACAAACGGACTCGATACACCACATGTTCGACGCCATTATCCCAAAGCTGGAGCAGGTCTGGACTGTTCGACAGACTCATGGACTTGAGCGTGTGTGGGAGGGTTAGATCGCGGACGAAACGGTCTCAGCCTAGTCGCCCACCCACTCGCCGCGGATGAGGATCTGTTTTTGGTTGACATCCAACAAACATGGCTGCCAACTTAGTATCATATACTACTATAGTTGTGTACTCCGTATACATTAACGAATACATACCAAGTCCTACTTGGCCTACATCGTGGAAAAGTTTACACTTGCCGCCGCAGATTTTGGAGTGTTGTCTACCATGTACATAGAGTACTTATTGAAAGCTGGTCGGTACCAACACTTTGGAAGAATACATATAATTCGTACTAATTACAAGGTGCTTGAAACATGAAAAGCGACGATATAGTAGTAGCAACAGCGTAAGAGCGGGCCTCTACTCAAGCTCATCATGCATAAACTTCCATCTCTGTCATTTGGAATCGGAATCCACTCTCGTTTCCAACACCACCGAGCCTGCTGGCCGTTACCCTTACATATCGTGCTTGGGCCGAGGGAAACGTGAATACCTCACCGTACCCCGCCGGGCTCGCAGAATAATCAACTGCGGTCAGTAATGTCGTGAAGGTGGCGCCGTCTGTGGAACCCTGAATGATGAAATTACTGGGGAATCCGGAGCCCTCAAAGTCGATCAGATCGCTGCGTGGAAAGAGCACGACTTTGCCAACCGCCTGGGTCGCACCGATGTCAACCTGCGCCCATTCAGTTTCGGTGGCGCTGCTGTGGGAGACACTGGACCATCCATTGCGGCCGTTGGTGCCCCCGTCGACGTTGCCATCGGCAAGATAGGTTGGGTTCCAGCCTGAGTTCATCCCGTCCTGCGAACTGACCGTCACAGTCTTACCGAGGGCGAGGTTGTTATTGGTGGAGCTGCTTTGGTATATCGCGGGCGAACCCCACATTGTCCATCCGTAGGTGTCGCTGCCGGTGGTCGTGAGCGTCAAGGTGACCTGCTGGCCGGCCCACGGAGTCACGTCCACCATCATAGGCACCCAGCGCTTCCAGCTCCAGTAATTCTTGTTGAGGTGTAGGCCCCTGCCGAAAAGGTTGGCCCCGTTGATTGTGGCCTGGAAGACAGCCTCGCCACCATTGGCCCCGGCGCCGTCCTGGACACCCAGTGACGTCCAGAAGTTGAGACGTTGACTAGAAGACACAGACGGCAGACTGACGGTATATGTGAGTGTCCCACTGACGTGAGAAAATATGCTCTTTCGCACAGCATTTCCCACAGAACCAGTTGCAACGAGGCGATTGTCGGGACCGCTCTTGGTCGCTGACGAAAACTGATCGTACAAGTCGTATACCTTGGTCCCAGGATTTGTAGCTGGGGGCTGGGTATTCCTTTGGCGGCTGCCGTAGTCGGAGAGGAACCTGGCAACCGCGTTGCCAAAGGTGTCCCCGTAATTCGGCGAGCCAAAAAGTGCATATTGATCCTTGGTTGTCTCGTTCTCCCAGGAATTAGGACACACGATCTTGATGCCGTCGTTGTACATCGTCACCATCGTGTTGTAAGACGTTGTGGCATCATTGGTCAGCGGATTCAGTTCGAAGTTCCCCCAGTTGTTCTTCGACACACCTCTCATCGCGTTGTTGATCTCCCCGAAGTCGCTTGGGTTCCAACCGTAATTCGTGACACCTCCACCACCGTTAGCGGCCGTAAATGTGTCAATGGAGTCGGCATGTTGGTAGTCGTCTAACCGGGGTGTTTGGTGTCCGTAAATAGCAGTTCGATCAATTCCTGCTTGAGCAATCCACAGAGTCTCGTCCGACACGTGATGGGCAACCAACAGCACCCTCCACCGTGCCCATTCTTCGTAAAAAGGATTTCCTGGAGTAACGGCTGTCGGTGGTTGAATGGCGGAAAATGATGCGAAATTGGTTCCCATCTGAGCATTGAAAGTTGAAATACTGGTGAAAGCGGGAAGCCTTCCAGTTCCAAAAAACGCACCGTTGGGGCCGTAAATACCGGTGTTCTGCAACCATTGTCTCCATTCCTCGATAGCGAGAGGATTGAAATCCGTCGAGGCATTCGGAATGAAAGTTTCCGAGTCTAGACTGACCCCAGCAAATAAGCTAGGATTGGCAGCAGCCCACGTCGCAATGACTGATGCAGAGGCTTGAACGTTCCTCTTCTTGTAGCTTCGATAAACCGTGTTGAGCCTGGAGAGGGTGAAGTAATTGTTGCCACCGTTATGCGCGTACTGGCCCTGCCCAGCCGTGTCCAGGACCTGTGTGTCTGGTTGAGCAGCGATATAGTCCAACAAGAGGTTGCCCCATCCTCCGCTTGAGTTGGGCGTACAGCAATCGGCCCACCTCCCGTTGTTCATATGAACGAGTGCCGGTAGGCCTGCGGTTTTTGCCAGGCCAAGCATATAGTTGAGGTTAGTCGGATCGAATTGATAGTCGGAGCTAGCGCCCTGGCTATCGCGACTCAGTGCCCATGAAGAGAACGACCATCCGAGCTTGGTATACTGGCCCCCAGTACCTAGGCGGGATTTCATATCATTCAGCACCGCAAGATCATCGTTTTGAGAATGGCTTGCCAGGGCGCCTTCCCAGATGGGTAACACATAGGTGATCTGTTCAGAAGACGTCCCACTTCGGCGTTCGAGGTCCGTCTCCTGGACAGGCAGTGCGAGCGTAGATGGAAAAACGCTCGTGGCAACAAGAGCCGATGCAAGCAGGCCTTTAAGATTTGTCATTTTCGATTAAAGCGAATGTGAAATGAGAGTCTTGAGTTTGTCGTTGGGAGGAGCCAAAAATGTCTTTTCGGCATCTCTACAGCCCATCTTTTTATAACGCCCGCTGCGGAAGAGGTCGTCCTTTGCGGAAATTGCTTGCTCGTTCACCAGTACTATTAAGCATTGGAGATGTTTCTAGAGACGCAAGGCAAGAGTCAGGCACTCTCTAGAGTCAGTGCAATTTGTGCTATGTGGAGGCCAAGAGGGCTATTCTACTGGGTTCGTATGGATGCCTCGATACATTGTCGACATTCTTCAGCCACATCTCATCAGAAAAGGGGGCTACCCCTGCTCCCCACGGGGAAAATTCACTCGGCTGTAATTCTGCCGAGCTATGATACTAGCAGGGAATACGCCAAATAGGCTAGTTGAGGAGGCCTCCTCGGTCCTGGCGGCAGGGTATGATGCTTATGTATGATGCGACATGGAATCGTATCACCGAATGTCTCGGGCTCAGATCCGCCGAGGCGATGGGAAGTGGGAATGGAACGATCCTGGAGCGACTGGCCATTCGAGTGAGAACTAGCAACGTGGTGGTAAACAGCACTGAGTAGGTAAGGACAGCCCTAGCTCTTCCGTCAACCAGGAACAATGTTCAGCTGCTAGGGACTGCGACCACAGGCCATCGCATCGACATTGGAGCTCAACCACTGCGACTACCGCCTAGGATCTGCAATTACTTCAGCAGCGCCTCGCTCACCAGCACGAACAGCGCCCTCCATGTACCCCTTCCACTTGAAGGCGGTTTCCGTCCCTATAAAATGCAAGCGTCCAAAGGGCCTTCTTAGTACGTTCCCCAGTCGAGGCCAGACACCGCCAGGAGCGGGTATTGGATAGGGCATACCCTCGATGAAAGGCAGCAGCTCTTTGGCCTATGCCATCTCGATGGTTTGGATCGTATCATAGATCTTTTCTCCTTGCTCGGGACCTATCGTGGAAGCTAACTGATCCTTGACGGCCTTGACTCTTCGAGACACAGGTAGGCACGACCACTTCCGAGCATACTTGCCACCAATGAGACATGAAATGGCGTACATCTTGTCCTTGTCAGACGATCCGTCTCGCGAGAACACGACTGGGCCTGATAGATCGATAAACGAGCCGTTGAATCCCACTTGACGCCACCAGGGACTTGAGTAGAGCAAGATGCATTTGCAGAAAGGCCCCAGATGAACAGACTCTACGTACTCTTTCTTATCTGTTGGGAGAGGCGGCGAGAACTTGATGTGCCGGTACAAAGGCGTGGGCGCTGAGATTAGGACTTTGCGAGCACGAAAGACCTCGCCAGAGAGAGTCTGGACAATTGTTCCCGTTGCTCGTCTGAGTGATCCAGTTCACTGGACAATTCCAAAACATACTGCCCGGTCTGAGTTGCTCTGCGAGGCGTTGAGAGATGGTTTGGTTCCCTGTCGAAAGTAATATGTCAGCGCCTAAAACTCGATGCAAAGGATACTAATGATCGAGTGAACGGATGCTAACCGTGCCTATCCGTCATATACTGTGCACCCTCTGGGCCGTCACTCACAAGGCTTTCAATCCCGCCCGCACTTTTGACGAAGTCAAGCCAGTAGACCAGCCCAATATCATCGGGGTCAGTCCCCGTCAAATCATGAATCCAAGCCTTCCAGAACCCAAGAGCGAATCCTTCTGGTGCCTTTTGCCGGAAGTACTCCCCAAGTGAGATATCCTCGGCATGGCTGTTCGCCGTCAAGTCGCGAATATTGATAGACTGGTAGTCCACATCCATCTCATTTGCAATATTGGTAAACATCGCTCGCTGCGCCTCCTCCACGGCCGGCGGGCCGGGCCAATGAGTCTTGATGGGAGGATCCTTGGGGCTCATGCGAAACACTTCACACCCCTTCCATCTTCTGGATGATGGGTTCGCATCCAGACTTCTTGAACAGCGCGAACATCTTGTGGGTTGTGCGGTCGTTGATCCAAGCCACCACATCTGTGTCCCTGATAATGCGGCTACGCGGAGTATCAGCCATGGGAGATACAGGAATGTGGGAAAGACCATGGGTCGCCATTGAAGGAGGGATCTGGACTTTCCTGGTAGGAACCAAACTAGGACTAATTTTTTGGAGTTTGTCGAGAGCCTGGTGGTTTCTAGAAACCAGATGGGCCTGTTCATCAACTTTATACTCTATACACTTGACTTCAATTGTTGGAAGCCAGCAGCCCGCATATGAGATCTGATCTGAAGCGGTAAGTCGACTTTCCGGCCATGTTGTCCAGCTACGGCGGATCGGGTCTTTTGGCTTTCATCTTTGATCGATTCAAGCCGATACTATATAAGGCGACGCACTCCGTGAGTGAGCCTCACACGCACAATATCCGATTGGGTTGATGAGCTTTGAAGTTATGGAAGTGGACTGCCGAGTTGGCAATGATTGCATCAGTCGAGGACTGTCGGAGTAGGAAGGTCGCTAGAATTACTGCAGTGAGTATGCATGGTCAAGGGTCTCAATGAATTAAACTGAAGCCATTGATGTAGGTGCGCCAAGCAGGCTTCTGGGAACTGGCTGTGATGACCATACATTGAGAGATTTGTCTGACAACTATCCCATGGAAGTCGCATAACTCTGTAAAAAAACCACTAAATTCTATCCGTGAAAACGCCGGGGGTATTTAATCTAACCTAAAAGTACCTATCCTGCTCGGGCTTTCCGTTATGTTCTAATAAATGCGCGCTGGACTGGCGCTGCAGCTGCCAGCGGCCGTTTCCCTCCGACTCTACCATCCACCTCTGTATGCCATCAACACCCGTGGCTCTTCGGAACCAAAACCTGCTACTCCCGCTGTCGAACTCCTCCTTCACCTCACTTAATTGCCTGCCCTTGAGCTCACCCACAAACCCACTCGCGCACATCAACAGCCAGGTGTTGATCAACGTGTCAGGCCTCCTCGGCATGTTGGGGTTTCCCATCTGCCAAAACACCAGAGAGAGTCGGTACACCTGACACCGTTGAGCGCTCCAGAGGGACGCCACAACCATTGCAGCCAGGTCAGTCTACATTGAGTATGTTCGATCTTAATGCTAACGACCAGGCAGGCCGCTTGAACGAAACACCCTCAGGTGGCACAATGACCAAGTCTCGGGCCCGAACCGGGTATCAGCGTGAGCTAGAGGAGCACAGAATGCGGAGAGTAGAATGGGCGTTAAGACGTCGCCGACGAGATGCTCACAAACTCTTTGAGCAAGCCCGCGAAGGGGAGCGATGGCTTCTCAAAGCCGCTCGCCGAATCTCCGAACTGCCCCCAACTTATGACAGCGAGGAGGAAGAAGAAAATGGCGGGGTCGGCTTCGCTGGCATTCTCGCTCGCCGATGGAATGGTGAACTGGTTGAGGGTGAACCAGGGGGAATCCCTTCTGGCTATGAACCCGAAGACTATGGGGAGGAGGCAGAAATCTGGACGAAGGTCATGCGGAGAACAGCCCGTCGACTTGAACTGTGGGGTGGTGATCGGGACATCAACACCTATACAGCGAGAGTCCAAAAGAATCCCCAAACCGTTGTGGAAGAAAGCCTCCGTGTGCCAGCAGGTCGAGCTGCAACAAACGGTAGTATGCGCAAAACGGTTGCCAGAAGAAGTGAGCGCTCGGTCGACTTGGATCCACCCACTGCTACTCCTGTTAGAAGCACCGCCAAAGGGACGATAACTGTCAAGTCACCCGAACTTCGCAGCGGTCGTGATCTGAACGATGAGATTACACAGGACCTCCTTGCTGAACGAAGTGATGAGGACATGGACAGAGAAGGTGATGACACTGCGGACGAAGTCGACGGTGAAGATGGAGGCGACCGCGAGAATGGCAACGAAGAGAGTGATGTTGAAATGGATTAGAAAGCATCTACAATACCGCAATTTGATTGTCGATGCGATGCCCAAATTTGGCCTTGGAGCGCCAGGAGCAGAATGGGGCCACGTTGCGAAGCCCAATATTTATTTTGGACCTGTACCAACATTAATTACGAAGAGCCATGCAATTGACGAGATGATAGTCTTCGAAGTAGACGAGCTAATTAAGAGGCTCACAAAGTTCTACAAAGACGTACTTAAACACCGCCCACAGAACTGCGCGAACGGAGAGAATGCCATTAACTACGTATTGCGCATGGGGAAAATCATTGTGGGACGAATGCCATGAATTCCGCCGCGACTTATCTGTTTCCTGAAAACGGAGTGCTAGCTAGAGTCATGACTTATCGATCTGCATCATCCTAGTACTATGATCGAACAAGCTGATCGATATTTTCCGTCCGGCAGAAGCAACGATGGTTGGGTTTGCACTTGCTTATCTTTGCGCGTAGAGGACAGCTCAGGCTGAATTTGTCCACCTCGACGCCCGTCTGCATCCCAGGTCTACGTGTTTGGTCGATGAGATCGAATACATTTGACGGTTGGCTTGGTTTCAAGCCATTCACGGGTGGGATCAATCTACTCGAACATTTGAAATGAGCCCCACTCTGAATGCGTGAAGGAGTGATGCGCTATCAGTCGACAAGATAAACGGGGCCATCGTCCTACGATGGTCCACTCATACCGGCGGTGACCGGTTCTTGCTCTTTAACACGGCCGAAGAGGCAAGGCCACAGATCGGCGTTTTCGACCATCTCGCCGCCAGACTTTCCCGTGGTGAACAGGCGGCTGAGGTCGGCGGCCTGGAGTTCGAGCGAGTTGGCCATGTCGATTGCATTCTCCTGGTGCGCTGACGTGGAAGCTAATATACCAGGGAAGAGATCCTCATTGATGCTCGGAGGAGGATCAAAGCGGATATGAGACATGCGCTTTGCGACGGAGATATCGTAGATGGACTCCTCGACGCTGTCGGCAATCAAATACATCCAAACGGTCGTCGGGCGATATTGGCCGATACGGTGGACACGTGCAATCGCTTGGAGCTCGATGGCGGTGTTGATCAGTGGCTCGCAGAGGAAGACATGATTCGCGACTACGAGGTTCAAACCTGTGGAATGTGCTTTTGCGTGCAGCAGAAAGCAGCCCGTGGCTGGGTCAGATTTGAACTTTTCGATCCCGTTCTTATCGTGGATGCTGCTGAAGGCAATTTTGTAGTCGTGAAAGGCGCGGCCGAGAAAGTCTAGGAATTCTCGGTATTGGCTGAAGATGATGGCCTTGGAGCCTGGATCGTGCCGACGAAGCCACAGAAGATGTCGGCACAAGAAATCCACTTTGCTGCCGAAGCTTGGACCTTGTAAGTCAATGGACTTGATCTCGTTCAGCATTGAAGTGCTGATGTCTGAATAAATGGATTGACTTAGCGAGCGCTCTGCGTTGCCATCGAGGACTGAACTACTAGTGGCGGCGGGCTCATCTTGGACAGCTACTTTTGCCGGTTTGTAAGTAATGTCGAAGAAACTGTTGGAGTTCAAGCTCCTCTTGCATACTGGGCAGTTCCGATGTGTATTCGACCACAATAAGATGCAATCCTTGCAGAATTGATGTCCGCAGACCGTAAGGGTACCGATTTCGAAAACATCTCGACAAATGATGCAGGTTCTCGGCGCTGACGATTGAGAATCTGCCTTGAGATGGAGCAGGTATCGCATCCTAGTCGAGAGTGACTCAACTTTGTTTTTGGATGCTGTAGCTTCACGTTCGAAATCATAATACTGCTTCCAATTGAAAGGCTTTCCGATGCCCTTCTCGTCGAATGGTGCGACCATGTCGGAGATCTTCTGCAATGCTCGATAGAACTCGAGGCGTCCATTCATGGTGTCACGAAACTGATTTACCAATTGCTCAAGGCTACTCAGAGACTTGATTTGAGCAGAGTTGAGATCCATGGCGGCTTTCAGCACTGGAGATATGATAGTAAGCTCATGCGAAGCTCGGGTTGATCCAAGGCCGGCTTGCCATTCGAGAGAGGTGATGAGGGCTCTGATTTCTCCAATAATGGCCCGTAAACTGCCTATGTTCTCCCAGTCCACGCGTTTCTCTTTTCTTTCGGCAAGGAGTCTAATCATTAGATCGGGGGCAGGTCCTTCTCCCTCCTTCGCTGAGCGTAGGAACTGCCTCATCTCAACTCTGATCAAGTTGTTTTCTAACCCGGTGATGGCCTCGCCGCGATCGGCAAAAAGTGCGCGCAGTGCCTCCATGTACGCATACATCTCATCTTGCTGCTTTGTAGAGTTCTCATATTCGTCACCCTGTAGCTCAACCCCTTCATCTTGATCGAGCAAGGCTTGACGTAAAAAGCCAAGCATAACATTCTGGAGATCTCGGAATTGCGCAGCCTGAATATTCATGGCTTCACAGAACGTCTCAAGCCGTTCAAAAATCTTTCGGCTCTCGATTCCTGCATAATCATCAGGCGCCTTCATGTCAGGAATTTGCGTACGTTCATCTGTGACTCGGATTCCGACATCTGAGATGACTTTGTTGGCATTTTTAAGCACTTCTGACAAAAGTCCAGAACGAATGGACTTTGCCTCCTCGTATGCTTCTGTTTCTAGCTTCTCCAACTCGATATACTGCTCGGTGCCTGGCGGCTCAAGCGATTTCAACTGGAAGTAAGCGTTTGCTATGAAGAAGATGCAGATGTGCTTGGTTTCCATTGCAGAACGCAGGCGGACCTTGACAGCAGAGGATTGCTGGCTGTCGTCGTCGTTGTCGACATCGACATCTTCTGTTCCAGGCGGTTTGACGTGACGAAGGCTTTCTTTGAGAGCAATTTCCTCTTCGTACTGCTTTTGACATTCCTGAACAATCGCAGACGCCTCCGTATATGCGTACCGCCAAACCTTCAAGGCTTCTTCGGTCTCTTTTGCATTCTCTTTCATCTGACCCTGCCGTATCAATGCTGAAAGCCAGGTACGTTGGCTACCACGTAAGGAGCCCTCGACCTGATCGATCATGACATCTAAGACTTGCTCCACCGTGCGAAGAACTCCATCTGTGCGACGGAATGCTCTCCGATTAAGGTGGCCAATTTCTGGGTGAAGGCACGTCTGGCGAAGACGAGCCAACCACGTACGCATCTTTTCAATAATCGCTGGAGAATGTGGATCCCACTCTTCCGTGAGAGGCCCACCGAGGTGGTCTACCCCACAATCCTCACACAGTTCCGCAAAAAGTTGGGCGTAGTGTTGTTCTTCAATGGCAGTGAAAGGTATTGTGATGGTGTGCCGACTTTGAGGTGGCAGACGCAAATCCTCACGGACAAAATCCTTCGTATGTCTCATGGCGATCTGGCTCAATGCACTTCGGAGTAAAGGCCGGTGAAAGTCAACAAGATGTTCCCACATTCTGACTGACTGGCACCAGGGCTCGTATCGAAGAAAAAGAAATAACCCAAAAAGGTCTTTATGATTCTTTCTAAGTGGGGTGCCTGTAACTGCCCATGCATTCTCACGAGGAATGCGCATAGCAACCTGGGCTGCTGATGAGACACCACTCTCCACCATCTGCGCTTCATCCAGGCAGACACGCCACCAGGAGATCTGCGTCAAAGGACTTTTGGGAGGCTCTGCACGGGGCCGGCCGCGTAGATTTCGATCTGGCTTCTCACTGACGTAGTGAATTTCCTTCGCAATGACATTGTAGGTTGTGAGAATCACATCACTATCCAGAAGTTGCGCCATGACTTTATCCGCCTGCTTCTTGTAGGTGGCAACTCCTTGATAGTGGAACACCTTCAAACTGGGAGCATGTTCATTAATTTCCTGCTTCCACTGGTCAAGAATTGTTAGTGGTGTGATGATCAATGTGGCGGATGAGTGTTTGAGTTTCGAAGACCTAAGAGACGTAGGGGGTCTTGGATGCAAGCAGATAAGAGAGATGATTTCAAGAGTCTTCCCGAGACCCATCTCCTCTGCTAGGATTCCGCCTTTTACATTTCCATAAAAATTCGACACTGCCTTCACATCCGTAGTGACCATTCCTACCGCCTTATTCACAACGCAGCAGGTTTGGTCTTCAGTATAGGTAGTTCGAAAACCATCGGGCAGAGCCCCTCTGGATGCCTTGACCGGGATTATGATCCCATCTTCATCGATGGAAACGCCCTCTCTTGACAATAACCAGCGTACAGCGCGTCTCTGAAAAGGGAACAGCTTGGACTCGAGAGCAATGATAGGTATTTCTGCGGATGTTTTATCTGACTTCTCTGGTACATGGACATTGTCATAGAATTGTCGAGGATTCCAGGGTTCGGCAACAGCGGAGCGTTCGATGTCACCTGGCAGATAGTGGTTTAAGATGTCCACCAAGATCGGGTCCACCCGATCTCTGATTGACGGACTGTTGTGCCATAGAATACAGACTTCAAGTAAATCACCTTCAGGAGACTGATGTAGCTTTGACATGACGCAGGCTAGAGGCAGTACGGCATTTGAACTATTGACTTTGACCTTCGTTACGTGCTCAAGGTGTTGAATGTCCTCCAAAGCTTGTAGATCGGTACTGGATTCGAGTCGGACTTCAAGAGTGTGTGAAATCTTTGACTTGGACACAGGCTGGACAACCAATTTGCATGGCAGCTCTGCGGATACATCTTGAACAATGATATCGCGCGGGCCAAGGCCAGAGGCCGTATCTGAATGCGTGAATCGCAGAGCCTGAGTGTCAGTGAGAACAGCGAACTTGCGTCGCGCGAGAACTAGGTATTGGGACGCGAAAGGCTCTGGTAGGACTGGTTTAGGGATCAGATTAGAAGTTAAAGGCGAGTTTAAAAGCCAGACATCTGTTCGATCTTCGTCCAGCCTACGGCGCTTCGCGAGGGGCTCTTCGCCAAGGTCCATGGTTAAGAAGTGATGAAGAATTTGTCACATCTGGTGAACCATGGTACGTTGTCCCGACTTCCTAGCAATGCGCGATGGAGAGTGATGGAGAGTTGGACGGACAGAAGAAATAGATGAAGGCGGAGATGCGTGAGTGAGCCAGGAAACAGGCAGCCTCTGCCTGATCTTGGACTCGAGAATCGAAAACATCAAGCGAGAAGGCGAGGATGCGGCAAAAAGACAAGAGTGGAATAATGCCGTTTGATGTTAACACACCGCCTGCCCCCCACACGCCGATAACCGATAAGAGGAACGCCAAATCACGTGCATGTCGCCTAACCTGCCTCATCTAAAAGGATCCGTTGGTGACAATGACGCAATTGTTGGTATTTATCACCGCTTGAACGCCTCGTGGCGATGCTGGCGCCCGATGCTGCCTGGTGACGTTGTTAACGCCCTGGTGAAATATTGGATATCAGTCTACTTATTCTAGGAATCATACGCATACGTCTGTTGCGTTGAAGCATCAAAACCCCCCAATCCAGTTCCATCAACACCAATTCCTCAGGATACACATATTATAATGATAGAGGGGTCAACTGCCCTACCCTTTCCGTCGGCAATCTTCCAGATCTTTTTCAAGGAGACAGTTGACCTCCTTCAGCGCCGCTATTTCTTGGGTCTGTGATTGCACCATGGTCCGCAATTGGTCAAGTTTGGTTTCACTGCGGAGACGGTGATTACGCTGTGCCTTCCGGTTTTGCTCCTTTCTTTTCTCGACATTGGAGGAGAACCAGTCAATGCTACAAGGGCAATGGCCAAGGCTGGACAGCCGATAGATCAAGAACATAACTGTGGGAAACCCACCTTCTTTTTACCACGCTCGCACGCATCACAAGGGCCATGGTGAGGATGGTGTCGCAAACCATGGTTGGAACACGGTGAGCCACTTCCCGACACGGTCTCGAATTGGTCGGCTAGTTTAGTCTGCAAGCTGATAATACTGGGCGGCCTCAGCGAGATTGGTGAATCTGTCCTCATCGACTCTATCGGTCCAGCCAGGTTGACTGCATTTAACGGATATATTCTTGACATCTGTCCTATCTAAAATCGTCCTTGTTAGGAATAGTTGACATGACGCATTTCTAGTACTTGCCCCTGACGCCTCAGTCCTGATGTTCATGGTCATATCACAATATCTCATTGTGTGCCAAAAATATCCCGGAAGATATGAATGCTCACTGCTAGTAGTCATGGTGCTCAATGGCATAGATGTTGCTGATTCTGATTGAATTTGAAGGCTGGGCTGTGGAGGGCTTGGTACCGGTATAACAGTGGAAGCCGAAAAGATTGAGATAAAATCATCCATGTTATTCACTATAGCCAGATTGCTGTTTCGGCGACCAGAGCCTCCCGTCTTCCTCACACGTTCAAAAACAATCTTCAAATTAAGGAACACTTTCCAGAAACAAGAACAAAGAATCTGTGGTAGGCCCTATTGTGCTGTCGTGGGCAATGAACGCGCAGTCGGTGTATGGTTATGATCGAGTGAAGCCCTGAAACGCGAGTTCGAGTCTCTGAGAAGACCAAGTATCTCTGCAAGTCGGTAGTGTTCGAGCGAAGCTTATAAGCTGCACGGGCTGAAGGAATGGCTCATGTATCGACTGACTTGATGGATACTAGTATAGTTGTACTGTACCCTCCATGCAGCTTTACTGGAAGGATCTAGAACAGAGGCGTTAACTTCTGGTTTTATCGCCCTACAACCTCGTGTACTCAGTTCTACATAACTGGGTGATGGGCCATTTGGTGAGTTCTATGTCGTCACCCTTCGAAGGGCCATGCTTCTGAGCGCTGCTCAATACCATAAGCAATGAACCTTTTTGCAAGGGTATTGCAAGGTCTCAACAAAGCGAGCCTGTCGGGTTCGGCGGCCCTTCCGGGCAGTTGTCTATTAGTCCAGTGAGGTTTTGGGACGCAAAAGGATGTGAGAAGCAGGTCAGTAGAGGTCTGAAATATTGATTTGCAATTTGGCCACTGGCTTATTTACACATGGTTTAGCCTGCAGATTGGGCATTATTTCCTTTGGCTTGCAGTAGATGGAACCTTGGAAATTCACCACATGTTGCTGATGTCGGCTAACCAGAGATCTGTCCCACAGCCTAATTTATTACTACATTGCAACTCTGTGTGAAATGAGTCCTCTACATCTTCCCAAGTTCTGGAGAACATCCCCACCTGGCCCGAGAGACAGTGTCTGTGAACAGCCACTCTACACTTTTAAACGTTCCGCTCTGATAAAGTACCACCAATAAAGTTCATGGTCAGTGCGACGAGCCGCCTAGAGTCCGAGACTGCTACGTCGTCCTATGCGTCCAAGTGGCTCTGCCTCAACGATCAAAGGCACTTCAATCCCACCATTCATCTCATTACCTCGTCCATACTTTCACCAGCGAACATGTGGACCCTACGGCCTCAAGATCATTCGAACAAGTAGTGGTAGAGTGCGGTACCAATGCATCAGAGGCATGGGTGCTGGGCTTGCAAATTAGCATATGGATCCACACGACAAGCAGCCAAGTCTTGAGATTCTCAGCTTTCAGCCTTTGCCAGTCCTCGATCCTCGAGCATGAGGTTTGTCAATTGCCTAACCCCGATCTCCCGGGCGATATATGCTTCGCCTTGGGATCTTGGGATCCTAGACGATGGTGACGCAAATATGCAGCGGAGCAGGGAAGTACGGGGCGACTGAACGGCCACTGTCTTTAGTAACCAAGTTAAATCATGAGTAATCTCGACTACGCATGAGGACACACCCATGATTGACAAAGTGGAGGGTGTCGAGGCGAGACTCGACCTCGCTCGGTCGGATATACTCACTGAATACTAGGTATCTTTCATGAAGCACTTGGACAGGTCTTAATCAGTTTGTTCTCGTCTCCTAGTCGGTGTTGACCTGACCGAGGAGGATTGTTATGGAAGCTACGAAGTCGATCTGATTGATTCTGGCATGAATCATAAAACGTAAGTTCTAGGCGACTTTACTCTCTCTTGCTAGCACACCTGGGCATGCTCGGCAAAACGAAAGATTTGACCACGAAGCTATCTGTTGAGTTGCCTATCGACGACGCAAGAGCAACAAGAAAAGCGGGAATACTGGGTAGTAACTGACTAATTAGTCCAAGTACCATCAGACAATTCGGAGCGATCAGCTGCGGCGAGGCTAGCAACTCCATTTTGAAAGTTAACACATACGAGTAGTCATTTCTCTACGGAGTACCAAGGCTCTCGCAAGGACTCAGGAGTCCTCCATGATATGTAACAAAGCCTAGCCTCACAGTTTAGCAAACCAACTTGCACTTTAATGGGCCAGCGACAGCTTCTGGGAAGGGAGTAGAAAGCTAACTGTGGGAAGTCTTCGGCATCGAAGTACCACATCGAGATCATTGCAAAGGTGCCTTCCTGACAATCCCAGTTCAAAGCTTCAAGCTTGGATCGCCAAAAGTCCGGGTACTATTCATTGTAGTCCCCCCCAGCAGCCCAGTCTATCGAGTTTCGAGACAACCCCCCCCCTGAAGGAATAGCTCAATATGGGAATACTTTCTATGAGCCTCATAGGGCAAAATACTAGCGACAAAGCTTCACCAACTGGGATCATTCGTTTTAACCACATTCGACAGCCGCACTCTCAGATTGCTTCTCGAATGCATACGCGAGGCCGAACCTGATGGCATGCATCAGAGGGCGTATGGTTGGCGTCCGAAACTTGGAAAGAACAAAAACAAATCTCAACTCATTTCGTCAGCAGACTATGTTTAATGCATAGTAACGACGCTTTCTCTGTTCCTGGAAAGCGTAGACGACCATCCAGAGAGAGCCCTCGGCTCTCACCATGACCCATCTGGTCTCTTGCTAAGCGAACGAGCTCACGAAACTCAATCGAGCAGCGAGCCTAGGATCATGCAGCTGCGGATTCCCCGCGCTCGAGTTTGCTATGAAACAGTTTTGCATCTGGCCCTAGTGAGAACAAGTTCCAAGACATGTGGGAGGTCGGGATCGTGAGCCTCGAGGCCCCTGCCCACAATCCCTGAGTGCACCACGCGCCGTACCATTCATTGCATTCATTATACTCAACTCGGAGGGAGAGCACGTGTTACACCATAACGCAACGGCTACGGATTTCTGGAGCAACCATGTAACCCGCATGTTTCAGGCTCGACAATGGCTTACACACCGTCCGAATTCAGCAGCCTTGCAAGCTTGACAAGGCCCTTCCCAGCATGAGATGACATCTGAAGGACCAGGAATGCAGACGCGACTTCATGGCCGAGGATGTTTCGACAGGATGCGATACGCGGTCTCCGCGCAATTCCTACACGGCCTCCGAATTGGCCAATTCAACATTTCGTCTTCCTCTGGTTGAATCGCCGTCTCACCCACCACGTCGACTTCAGTTAGCGGATGCAACCACAATTCTCACCACGTCTCACAGGAGACACCGCCCACAGCCCCCCACACGCTCCTCTGGACGTGGACAGCCATTCCACGGAGGCAAGGTGGCATCTACTGAGCACTGACAGACGCAGAACGGCGATGACGAAGCGCATGAGTCTACACCGGACATCTCGATCGATAGGAACATAAAGAGAGGACAGAGACCCTTCTCGAATATTCGATGACCAACGGCAGTCACTATCCTCCCGGGGATAGTCATCGTGAGAAGAGAGGCCTGCCCTACCTGCCAGCTGCGGGTTCTCGCAAGCGTACGAGTGCGTCTTCTGATTTGATGGGATGATATGCAGCTGTTCTCTTGGGCTGACGAAGAAGAAAAGGAGGAGTTACTGTTCTGGGACTCGATAGCCTTGCCGATCTCCAGCCTACATATGAGTAGTTACATACTCGATCCGCTAGACATCGCTCAACCATAGCCTTGACTTGAACCCTTCGGGAGAGGAGTGAGTGTGACCCGTCAGAACCATCAATGACGTCAGTATTTGTGCGAGCCACTTTCTTCCGCACTCTATAGACCCTTCATCCTCGCTTTTTCCTTTCTAAAAGTCGAGAATCGAGGAAAGACCCCTCCATCCCGATATTTTCCGTGATGCATGCAAACCACCAAAGATCCCAGAAGAGGGGGGATTTGATGATCGATAACCAACCATTCATCATTTCTGTTCATAAACTATGCTCTTGCTATCATAAGCCATTCCAAAAAAAAAGGCGATAGGTCATACTTCTCGTATGCCAGTGTACAATTGGCTTTACCAAAACCTCAGCCTAGCCGGCCGACACAGCGCTGTAGCCCGCGTCCCCCTCGTAGATAGCCCACAGTAGACACCAGTTGACAGCGGCTACACAAGCCATGGCCCACCAGACAGCAGCGACGAAGTTTCCTCCCAGGCCCAGGCCCAGACCCCAGCCGCCGACCGTTGGGCCGATCGTCCTCGCGCCGGAAGAAACACTCTGCGCGAGGCCGTGAATCATGCCGAGGACGCTTGGATGGGGCGTGCTATTGTTGACCAGCAGCGTCGTCCCGGGGAGCGAGAACGTACGCGAAATGACTTGCAGGCTCAGCACGACGGTTAGCGTCGGCCACATCAGGAGTGGCTCGTTAGGGAGCAAGGCCAGGTACGGAACGCTCAGGTACGCGAGGATGGAGAAAGGGAGGAACATTCGGTAACTGGGAAGCGTGCCGAGCTTGGTGTTCATCCAAGGATAGACTAGCAGTTGCAGCGGGAATCCGATGACGCCGATGATGGCGGTCGCAAGGCCGACGTTCTTACTAGACAGGCCTAGGCCACCGGTGAAGAACAACGGGAGGTGCGAATTCTTGTTGTCCGAGCGCGGGGCGGGCAGGAACAGGAAGATCAGCGCGTTGAAGGCGCTGATGTGCATCGCGAGGAGGTGGTGAGATATGAGTGTCAGCACCACGTTCTTGTTGAAGATCTTGCGGAATGGGATGCTTGTTTTGGAAGGACTTGGGGCAGAGGACGAGACTGGCGCTGGGCCTGTGGGTGAGCGGGGATTGTGGTGTAGTTGCTCACTTTGGTCAGTTAGAGGAGATGCGTCTTGAAGATCATCCTGATCGCGAAGCTGATGATAGTCGTATCTATCGCTATCCCGACGGCGGCGAAAGATGTTTCGCATGATCCACCTGCCAAGTTTACGACCGTAGTCTGGTCTACCTCTCAATGCCGTGTGGGTTTCATCTAGGCCGAAAATGACGCATAATGCAGATGATAGGATGAAGACAGAGCTCACGATGTTGGGAAGGGCGTATGGGAAGGATGTCATCCAGCCAACCCCATCCTTGCCACCGAGGTAGGTTCCAGGTCCGAATACATTTGGGAACGAAGATCTTGGATCGGCCAGGAACCCACCAAGGATAGGGCCAATTACCACGCCTAGGAGCAGTTAGATCAGCATTGAGTAGAATCGGTGCATCACTGAATTTGCTCACCAACGTTGAAACACATGGGTAGAAGCAGGAAAGCGCGAGATTGATATCTGAGAGAAGTTAGACACGACCCATCTTCATCGTCAAGGAACACTCACTTCTTCTCCTGGATGATCTCGCTGATCATGGTCCTCATCACTCCGACATTGCCATTGAGACATCCAGCACATACTCGGAAGAAGAGCGCCTGAGCAAAGGAGGTCGAAAATCCCACGCCGATACAACTGATGGTAGTGCCAACTAGTCCAATGAGTATCACCCGCTTCCTCCCAATGCGAGGCGAATCGGCAGCCCGTCCCCACCAAACAGCAGTCACGAACTGAGCGGCGGCGAAGGAGGCAGTGAGCATTCCGCCTTGTCCAGAGATAGTCTTATCAGAGAGACTTGGGTCGAACGAGCGGAGTTGATAGAATAGGTATGCGGAAAATGAGCGTTCTGCTAGCGGCTCGGAGAGCCGTGCGATTGTGAGGACTGCTAGTTGACCTTTCTTAGGTAGAGACATCCAGGTGACGGGGGCTTCTCGTTTGGATTCGATTGTGGTAGGCTCGACATCCTCGCTACCTGACCATTCAGCCTCCTCTTCTGGATCTGAAGGACGGCGGGACGGTGAGTGCCGACGCAGATTTTCATCGCTTTTCATGAATGACCCGCTTACACTGTCTGATGGAGACGAACGTTTCAAGCTGGATGGATTGTTATTTGTTCTATCGATAAGAGGCTCCGCGACTTCGGACTGAGAGTCGACGCTACATCTTGGTCCATGGTTATTTTCATGCCTGACGGCAGCCAGCGAGGACATCTGCGGGCAGGTGTGAAATGAATGAGTGATTCGGACTCAGAGATGGAGCCGAAGACAAGGGAATGCTATCAACGATACTTGGTTGTTCTATTACACTACTAACACTGTACTCATGCAAAAAGGATGTGATCATATTTGAACAGTAGAAGAAAAAACATGGCGATTCTTATTGGGTGATTGCGAAAATCGGGCAAAATCCGTTGTGGAGGCAGGTGCTCGGCTAAAGCGTGCCGAACAAGGCTGACATCATTTCTGGTAAGGCTGAGTCAAAATGGTAGTTTCTTGTAGATGGTTCAGTTGCGCAAACATACATTCTCTTCATTTCCTATCCTCCCTATATTGTACAGGTTTCACGAGGTGACATCTTCGCCATCGTCGTGTGATGGTCTGTCATTTGCGTGTAGATCATAACGTTCCTGCCAATATGAAGCCTCCTCCTTATTTAACCCCAAAAAGCTGACGCAAAACCGATACATGTTGTCATACGGCCATGAACGCCCAATCGCCTCTCCAGAAGGGTACTTGTCCCTTTGCTGCGCCGAGTATGCCTTGGAAATGTCCAACCGTGTTTTGCTGTTGTAGATTATTGTTTTCGTGGCGTGTTGCTCCGCAGCCTTGATAAGCGCCTCAAGGAAAATGATCCAGTGTTTGACGATATCAGCACCTGTCGTACAATCGTGTTGCCGGAATTCGACGGTAGGTTTGATTGGCTTCCAATTCGTCTCATTGTTTGCGAATGCCCAGAGATTGGCGAAGTTGTAGATGTACCCACGGAAACGCGGGCCATTCTCGTTTTGGTGGTTGTCTGGCCGTTGTATTTTCGCAATGAGGCTGATAATATCATCATGCTCGGTGAAGACGCTGTTTTCAATGTTCAGAGCTTCTTCCGAGCCACCGTTTGCTTCCGGTCCTGCTTGATCGCGAAAATATTGTAAGTTGGACTCGACATTACCGAGTCCAGTATACTTCGCTTCCGTGGTCAAGACGTGATCATAGGCTATTTCTGCGTCTTCTTCTTCACTTAGTTGGGGAGGGCCGAATTCTTCGTCAGGGTCGAATGGTTCATCGTCATCATCAAGAGGTGAAAATAGCGGCTCTTCTGGTCTTTGTTCTTCGATCTTGATCCCCGAACGACTCCTGGGAAAGCACTTCGATATCAAATCTTCGTGCAGGAGGAGAATGTAAATTAGATGTTGAAAGATAGGAGTAGAGATATCGCTGGAGTCTTTGAAGTCGAACCCAATATGGACATGAGTGCTCGCCCATACCGAGGGAAGAACCATTGATCGATCGCTGCTCAAAGCTTCGAGGTACTTTTCGATTTGCAGCAATGCTTCGTCCTTCTTTGCAAGTGTGAATATGGGCGATATCAGCTCGATTCCGTGACTATCCCAAAGAGGCCATGTTTTCTCGCTTATCCCTAGTTCCGATAAACGAGACTGCAGTTGACTTTCCAAAAGACCAATGAGCGTATCATCGTTAGTGACCGTCCAGTGGCTGTAGTCAAGATCACTGTTTCGAATTAAAATACTCTCATGCTGATCTGGATAGGCTAATCTAGATAATTCATGGTTGCCAGGACTGAACCCATCAGGCTGGGCCCATCCGACCACGTTACAGGGCAGTTCCACGTGCTGAAAACGTTCTTTGGCCATGAGAAGGGGCTCCATAACATATCGTCGAACAGCATTTCGATTTGCTGAAAGGGTTGTTGGAAACTTCTGTCGAAAATGAAGGGTGTTGAAGATCACATCTGTGGAAGGCACTTGCAGACCCCATGAGGGATATCGACTTCGAAAATTGTGGGACCGGTTCGTATCGAAGAGGATTCCAGATTGTCCTAGAAGGTCGTAGTGCTGGGAATTTGTAAGAGCTTTTACAATTTCGGCATTAATCTTGTAATCACACAAGATCTGTTCCAAAAACTCCTCGTGGAAGGCGAGTGTAAGCTCAAATTCAATGCCGAAAGTTGTTGCGCGACCAGATTTTGTTTTGTTCTCATTGGACTCGGTAGGAGTTGTAGATTTCGACCTCTTAATCTTCGAGGGGCTCGCAGAACTGGAAGGAAGCCGGTCCCGTTTTCCAATATACCCAGGAGATAATGGAATTTTGGAAGTAATCCCTTGATCACCGAGAGATGTCGACATTTTGCTGAAATTGCAGGGTGCTGGAGGCTAAAAGAGCGTCGGTTTTGGCAGATGCTGAGGCTATGGATGAGAACAGCCTTTTCACGAATTTCCCTCACAGAATGCGCGAACCACTCGAAATTTAAAGCATAATGGAGGACCTCAAAGCATTTCTTCGTACGCGACCCACCTGATCATTGTTTGGACCTGAATATCGAGTCCGTGATGCTTGCGGCCTTGTTGACAAAGCAATGATTCACCGTTTTGGGTCCGTAAACCAGATAAATTACTGGTACCAAGAGTAAGCTTTTACATTAGTGCCCGAGATCTGTGGTGCATTGTCATGAACTGAGGAACGTGGAGAGAGGCATTGACACCAGCCTAAGAATGTGAGGCTCAATCAGGGTCAGGCCAGCAATAGCCCGGACCACTTTGACAGCCTGCCATAATAACATCCCAAGCGCAATATTGAAATCTCTGGGACGTATCCCTCGAGGCAAATTGAAAAAGAAAGAAACATCCACGGACTTGAGTGACTCCAAGGGCCCGGGAGAAATTCTGAAGCAGAGGTGTGTGCATGTTGTTTTGACAGAGAGAGAGAGAGAGAGGACGAAACAAGCAATCATTAGGCAATCTTGGCAGCCGATGCAAGGCTCAAGCACTGGCGCAAGGGCTCAGGACGGGGAGGTGTGCCCTGCTGCACCACGACTGTACCCAAACATAACATTGATACCCAACGTTAACGCCACTTGTGCTGTCGAAGTCCGTACCTGGTATATTTAATGGTTGGGCTACCTAATGAGCTGCTGCCTTTTCTTGACAGGTAATAGCAATGGCGACCGCCTCCACCTCCACCTCCACCTCCGACGCCGTCTTGGACAGAGCTCCAGAGATCGCAGAGACCGAGCCGTTGCTCTCAACACACAACCCTGTGAGGGATGGTGAGCGTCGGACTCGTGTCCAATTCAGAATTGCTGCTGCTATGTACTCGTTTCTCGTCCTGGGGATCCTTACTTCGACCATTGGCGTTATGATACCAAGGCTTGAAGCGGAGTATCAACTCAGTGACATTAAAGTCTCTCTGATTTTTCTCGTCAATCCTATTGGATACCTAACTGCAGCGTCTCTCAATAGCAAGATTCATTTGAACTTTGGGCAAAGGGGTATCGCTCTGATTGGCCCTATTGCCCATCTGATGTTCACGCTCACGGCCTCTTTTCATCCAAACTTTCACGTCTTGTTAGCGGCCTTCGCGGTGGCTGGATTTGGACTTGGACTCCTCGATGGTTCTTGGTGTGCATGGGCCGGAGCCATGGAAAATGCGAATACGGTGTCAGGTTTCCTGCATGGTTCGTATTCGCTTGGTGCGAGCCTTGGCCCTTTCCTTGCAGGCACTCTTCTCTCACAGGGTCATGCCTGGTACTATTGGTATTCTGTGCTTGTAGGTCATGGCCCCGGTGTGATCTAGAAACAGTCCTTTAACAGCGGAGATGACATAGACATGCATGTGCTTCGTCGAGGCTATCGCCTTACCGTCTTCCTTTCAACATGAAGATGCAAGACGCTATCAACACGAAAAGCACGGCACATCGAAAGAGCCCGGGACACAATGGGTGGAAACAATCAAGTATAGAGTGACCTGGATCTGTGCTGCGTACTTTCTAGCATATGTTGGTACCGAAGGTCAGTATATGAAATGTCCCGATCTCGCTTCAATGACCCGACTTCCCACTGATATAGTTCCAGCCTCAATGTCTGGATGGATTGTCGTGTTCATGACCCGGGGTCGCGGGGCATCTTTATATTTTTCCAGCTTGTGTTCTTCCGGATTCTGGATTGGTATGGCGATTGGACGACTGTCGCTTGGTATTGTCACGGACACAATTGGAATCCGCATTGGGACAATGATCTACCTAGGCGTTGCCATTTGCCTACAGTTGTTGTTCAGTCTTATATCGATAAGATGGATTTCACTACTGACGGTTACCTTCCTCGGCTTCAGCCTGGGGCCGCTCTTTCCGAATGGAATAGTCTTGCTTATGCGGCTGCTCCCATGCCATCTTCATGTTGCAGCTGTTTCGTCTGTAGCATCTGTTGGTCAAATCGGAGCTGCTCTCATACCATTCGCTTCTGGTGCTCTCACGCAGGCACTGGGAATCCAAGTGTTTCAGGTGATAATATTTGCACTATTGGCGATCACCTTCCTGCTATGGACCTGCTTTCCAAAGGAGTCTTCAGTAGAGGTGGCTCCCAACGACGATGACTTAGACGTGGGCAATTCCAACCCCTGAAATGGCTCCTTCGGTGTGCAAATGGCAATCCACAGTGCAAAATTGTGGAAGCGCGTGTAAGAAATATGGACAGAAGCATTGTACAGCTACCTATATGACATATATTTGCGACCTCCAATCAGGCCAACGGCGCTGAAGTCTCATGGGAACTACCCACAGTCTCTCCCCGATTTCGAGCGTCTCCTTCTGTGGAAGGTTCAGGGTGCCAAATCATGGCTGTAAAAAGAAAATACGAGCCTGATCCCAGATCGCATAGTTCAACGAAACCGGCATGACTATACAGATGCTTTCCCATGGCGGTTGCGAGCAGAGTCAGAGGGACACTTTCTTCAGCCGCCAAAGCCTGGACGCGTCCAAGAAGAGCTTTGCCGATACCTCGTCGGTGATAGGCTGGGTCGACCGCCAGAAAGTCAATATCCCAGTACTTTTCAAGACGAGCAAAGGGGCCGGTGCTGTAAGCGGCCTGTAACTCGTGCAAGAAGGCATTTTGATTTTTGAGGGACTTGGAGCGGTCAGCACCGACAGTGTCGACGAAGAAAGTCTCTAGCGACAGAGCGGCAAGTTCCAGGTCTTGAAACATGAGTAAGAAGACAGAAGCCTGGCAAAAACTGCTTACTATTCCAGGAGAAGTACGACTGACTTGCTTGCTCCGCCTTCCATCTGGGTGAAGTGGCCGCGAGATAGCCAACGACTCTCTCAGTGCCATCCCAATCAGGGTCTTGCTGGTCTGTGATAGCAATGAGCAGATATTTACCACTATACAAACGCTTTTTCGCTCTTCTGAAAAATGCTAGACGCATGCACTCCGGATGCGGTTTTCGGTAGGGCGCAACAAATGCGGTGATGGGATCATCAGACATGGCCTTGCTGGCCAATGTCGCCATACCACTGAGATCAGTAGCTTGAGGTCGTCTGATATGCATGGCTGTGGTTTAAATTACGAGAATCAAAGTGTAGGATCTGGAAGCTGCTTCGCGATTCAGCATCACTCACATTAATGATGGTAAGTCACAGTTGCAGCATTGCATAGTGAGGGGTTGATCCAATAGGTTCATATGTAACGACACCATCTTAGTGAGTACGGTGTACTCCGTCCATAGCTAGGCACATACGGAGGGTAGAGGACTAGGTCTTGCCTACAGGGATAGAAAACAGATGTGTATTGTATGTCGTCAATGGACCAGCTAGTCAATTCGCATGGCAATACAGTCCGTCGGTATCGGTTTCGTTGAGATAACCAGATAGTTAGTAGCTGGATGCTACATATGTAATTAATTACCGAGATTCGGCCTGGCAGCAGCGACAACACGGGTGTCCCTCGGTTGCTCCCGTGTTGAAGCGGGAGCTGGACAATTATCGCTAATCAAGGAGGCATGATTGTTGGATTAGGGGACCGAGGGGCCCGCTCGCTGTCAGGGGAAGATGGTTCCTGCAGGGCTGAAGGCTGCCTCCAAGCTCCGAGAATAGGCGGGCGATCACCCCCAAGACGATCCAACAAAGGGGACCGAGGGACCTCACGGGCCCCAGAGCCCGGGTGGTCTTCTTAACCATGCCTGGCGTGTCCTCACCCGACTGGCGGCCTTCCCAATCAAATGGTCCACCCATTCAGCCCAATGGTCAATACCCCACCAAACATTTCTCATTACCCACCCATTTGCTCGTAGGCATTCACCCAACATTCATTCACCCACACTTCCCAATCTCTATCTTCGACCTGGACTCTGGTGTATCTCACGCACATCTTGCAGGTTTCAATTTAGCATGGACCTGGCCAACATGAGTCGGTCTATCGCTCTTAGAGCTTCAAAACAAGTCCGCTCTGCTCGCTACTACAGCATTGTACATGACGTCCCCCGGAGCGCAGCCAGCTTAACCCAGAACTCTCCCCCACCACAACCTCAATCCCAGTCTATCTTCGATCAGGCAGTCAACGCCACTGGTCCTCGCAATGACTGGACGAAGGAGGAGATCTCACAGATTCACCAGCGGCCGTTGATGGAGCTGGCGTTCGCTGCCGTAAGTTGTAACATACCGATGTGGACATGAGCGTGACCTAAACACTGGCTTCAGGGAACTGTTCACCGACGTTTTCATAAACCTTCGGCTGTCCAGCTATGTACCCTTATGAACATCAAGACTGGCGGCTGCACCGAGGACTGCTCTTACTGCGCCCAATCCTCTCGCTACAAGACCAATCTCGAAGCTACCAAACTGTCCACTGTTGAGTCTGTGCTGGAAGCTGCAAAGATTGCCAAAGCCAACGGATCCAATCGGTTCTGTATGGGTGCTGCATGGCGTGACATGCGCGGTCGGAAACGAGGTCTCAAGAACATTGTTGAAATGGTCAAAGGGGTACGGTCCCTGGGTATGGAAGCATGTGTGACTCTTGGAATGGTGGATAAGGCACAGGCTCTGGAACTGAAAGAAGCCGGCCTGACCGCCTACAACCACAACCTGGACACGTCTCGCGAACACTACCCTAACATTATCACTACTCGAAGCTATGACGAGCGGTTACAGACCCTCGAAAATGTGCGGGAAGCAGGCATTCATGTCTGCAGTGGTGGAATCCTTGGCCTGGGCGAGACACCCCAGACCGACCATGTTGGCCTGATCTACACCCTGGCCACTCTTCCAGGCCACCCCGAGTCTTTCCCCGTTAACAAACTAGTGCCCATCAAGGGCACTCCGATGTTTGGGCAAGAGCCGGTCAAACTGGAAGATATGGTCCGGGTGATTGCGACCGCTCGACTGGTGATGCCCAAGACCATCATCCGAATCGCAGCAGGGAGAGTCAGTATGCCCGAGAGCGAGCAGATGCTTTGCTTTATGGCAGGTGCCAATGCCATTTTCACGGGCGAGAAGATGTTGACGACGGAGTGCAATGGTTGGGACGAGGATAAGGCCATGTTTGAACGTTGGGGATTGACGCCCATGCAGACCGAGGCCAGTAAGATTGTCGAGGAACCCAAGTTTGAGGCACGGAGTTTCGATGAAATGAAACACCAGAGTCACGCACCGGAACAAAGCTGTGCCGTAAACCAACATCACGCATAAATTCAGTGGGTATATCTTTGGACAAGTACATACGGTATCCCAGTAGACCCAGCATGAATAGGGTATTGTCCTATACAGCCTTTTCTGTTGTGACGTATAGCGCTCAATAACTAATTGGATCCGCCTTGTCTATGCCAGTGCATGAGAGCTCTCAGTATCATCTCTTCTTGATCTCATACTCTGCTTTTTCAAGCCAATGATCAATCACCAGCTCAGATATTTCCTCCCCTTAAGTGCCCTCCGCTTCAGGATAGCCTGTCCACTTTTCGTCCTAATCCTAGCTAGATAGCCATGCCTTCGCTTCTGGATCCGTCTCGAAGGGCTGAAAGTGTCCATCCGCCGTCGGCTGCCCATGAGAGCCGATGTGGTAGAGAAATGCCGAGGGGTGGACATCGTTCTCATCGAGAGAGAGACTGGTGATGTCGTCTTCATCGCCTGCTGCAGAGATGGGCGGACGGTGCAACTGTGAAAGAGCGGTGATGCAGAAGAAGGACAGGTTCTTGCGACGTTGCTTTGGCTGCTGCTTCGGAGCGAGAGCCCGCTGAATGCGCGGACGAGTGTTGCCGGAGATGATACAGGCGGGGACTGGGATATGGAGTTCTTCTGAAATGTCGTTTTGGCCGCAGACAAGCTGGTCACTCGTCGAACGGTGCTGAAGGCTCTGATTGTTCGCACCTAGTGAGTTTCGGGCGAGAATGAGCTGGTGGAAACTTACCTTCGACTAGGAACTGTGTACACTCGGGATGGCATGGTGTCGAAGACGCATTTGACCACGCGGCCACAGATGCGACACATTACGGCGTGGACAGGTTATAGAGGCTGTAGTATGAAGTGAGAACTCTTTACTATCCTCCGTACAGTGAAGTTGGTGTTGGCCCTGGGGTGCACCTTCCACAGTCCCAAGATCTCGCCGAACCTTCCTCGCCGGGGCCCCTTGCACGTGAGTGGGCCCACGAGTACACGTGAGTGACGTCTTGCCATGGCCGCGTCTTGGGGTACGTTCCTGAGTCCTGCTCCTCTTCGCACTGGCATATGTATGTCTATTTCTGCATCAAATCCCATTCATTTCCATCCATACACCCACCCCACCGGCTTGTCTGAATTGAAGCGTTTCCATCTTAAGGAATGGCTTCACTTCTTCGAGCCCTAGGCGACTTCCCTCGTGTACGTCTACGATTCATCCCCTCAAGACGGTGAAACTGACTGACCCATCCAACCACAGCGCCTCGCTGCGTTTCTCGACCGTCCTGGCTTCCCATGGAAGAGGCTTATACTAGGCTTTTCAGTTGGCCAATTTGTCCTTGAGGGGCTTCTATCACTTCGACAGTATCAAGTCCTGCAAAAGACGAAGCCCCCCAAGACACTCGAGGATGAAATCTCGCAGGAGGTCTTCGACAAGAGCCAATCTTACGGCCGCGCAAAGGCCAAGTTCGGCTTCATCTCTGGTCTCTACTCCCAAATTCAAAACGTTCTCTTCATTCAATACGATGTGCTGCCCAAGCTGTGGTCTTTGACAGGTATATGGCTGGCACGATACCTGCCTGCACGCTTCTCCGGCGAAATCTCACATTCGGTCTTGTTCTTCCTCACCTTCAACCTGATCTCTCAGGTTCTGTCGCTGCCTCCCTCTTATTATGGCACTTTCGTCCTCGAAGAGAAGTTCGGATTTAACAAACAGACGGTCAAACTCTGGTTGACAGATATGTTGAAGGGCCAGGCTCTGACGGTTGCTCTGGGCGTCCCTCTGTTGAGCGCTTTCTTGAAAATCATTCAGGTGACTGGTACACGTTTCTTCTACTATTTGTGGTTGTTCGGTATTGTCGTCCAGCTTTTCGCCATCACCGTTTACCCCGTCTTCATCCTCCCTCTATTCAACAAGCTCTCTCCACTTGAGCCCGGCGAACTTAAGTCCGGCGTTGAAGCATTGGCCTCGAGACTCCAGTTCCCTCTCAGTTCTCTATACGTCATTGATGGAAGCAAGAGAAGCGCACATAGCAATGCCTACTTTTTCGGTCTACCATGGAAGAAGCACATTGTCATCTACGATACCCTGATTGAAAAGAGTGAACCTCAAGAGGTCGTGGCCGTTCTGGGACACGAACTTGGTCATTGGAGTTTGTCTCACACTACCAAGCTCTTCGCCATTGCTCAGGTTCGTCTTTGCTGCAAGTTATTCCCCATTCCGAGTGTCACTAACCAAAGTCTTTAGTTCCATATGTTCCATATCTTCGCTCTCTTCAGCGTCTTCATCGACAACAACTCCCTCTATTCTTCCTTTGGGTTCCACAAGTCGCACCCCATCATCATTGGCTTTATTCTCTTTTCCGACGCTCTCGCACCAGCCGATGCTGTTGTGAAACTCCTCATGAACATTCTCTCCCGCAAATTCGAGTTCGAAGCTGATGAGTTTGCGACGAACCTCGGATTCCAAAAGGAGTTGGCAAGAAGTTTGATCAAGCTGCAAGTGCAGAATCTCAGCACCATGGACGCTGACTGGATGTATGCAAGCTATCATTACAGCCACCCCATTTTGGCGGAGAGGCTCGCGGCCCTTGGATGGAAGAGCTCCAAGCCCGACCCAAATGGAAAAGTCCTGGAGCTCGATGAGAGGGTTGTTGATGCCGAAGTTGTCAAAGCCTCAAACAGAGAGTTGTAGTAGTACTCAATTCTTAGATTCCCTAGTTGTGAATGCTCGGACGAAGTATGATTGCCTAAATTAGCTCACCTCTTCGATTTTGGTGGCAGAAGTCGAAGATATTAGCTCGTTGGGTTGTGGACCAGTTGGATGTCTCACTTTCTCGTGATTGGGAATGGCGCGAGCTGCTGAACTGGGGTTGATATGGTCGCGAAGTGGGCCGTCTATACCAGCGGGTGGCCCCAAGGCCCTTCATTCATAGAAGAATGATGAAAATAGAGCGATTGGATCAGATCGGCCTCCTCTGCAGATGTCGTGTATGTCGCAGACCCGAATTCCATCTAGCATAGTAGATGATGATCTCACACCTATGCTGTGAAGGTGAAGCGTGTTATCTCAGTCCTGTGGATTCGATACTAACGTCCGCTCATTAAAATTTCGTCGCTTTCTCTTTTCCCTTCCCCTTGTCCTTCCGCTGCTCCTCTCGCTTAGACTTCTCCGCCTGAGCCTTCAGCTTCTTCAGGCGCTTCCTCTCCTCCTTGTTCACCGCGGGCTGTTGCCCACTAGATCTAGGATCCACCCGGTCCCTAGTCCGCTCGTCCTCAACAGCGACCAAGTCTTCCTCCTCCGCCGAGTCGCCTGGTTGCTCGAGGTCAGCGCCGGGATGCCGGTCCTGGTATGTGAGTTCTAGTCCTTCAGACGACTGTGCGAGATCATAGGTCTCTTTCTCCTGCCAGTCGTCCTGGTCCCCGTCGTCTGCGCGCTGCAGTTGTGGTGAGGACGAATTCAAATGTTGGTGCGCAACCATCGCAGGCCCGTCTTCGTACCTTGTATCGACCTCGATATCGAACCCGCCCTCACCGTTGGTGTACGGCTGTGACCGTCGTGAATGACCGCCCTCACCATCATCTCCAGCATACCCACGCGCCCGCTTGGTGCCCCTCCGCGGCCCGAAGTCGCCTTCCTCAAACGTACCCTCGCCCTCCTGCTCCTGCTCGAGGACCTGCTTCCCGACCCGCTTGCCCTCTATGCCCAGCAATATCCGCTTGAGATGGTGCAGCGTCAGGTTTGGACTGCTTCCTGCGCTTAGCGCCTGGGGGCCGCGCCCCGTAAGCGTGCTGTCTGGTCGGTAAGCGGCGTCGATCTCGGCGCGCGAGAGGAACGAGGAGAGGAAGGTGTGCGCTTCGCGGTGTGTGAGCCGGGTTGTACTGTGTGTTACAGTTGGTGGGAGGGGTGTTAGGCCTGCCATTTTGGTGGTGATTGGGAGGGATTGGGAGAGGTGGAATGGTGGGTTGGTCAGGGTTGGAAGAAAAAACGGCGCGAGGGTAGTTCTGTGAGAAACTTGAGAGAATAAATCGCAGGGGCGAGGCAAGTTGGGTAATGCAGTCCCCAGCAGAGTCCTGGTTCTATTATAACTTGACTGCAGTTGCAATGCAATGCGCGGGCGTGGTCAGTTGGGGGAAAAAAGTTGTAGGAAGATCATTTGCTTGAGTTGCGATAAGATAAGATTCGGTAGCTGGAGGGGATTAACCTTTTTCCATCTCAGCCTCGCCTTTGTATCCGGATAGCACCTGGATGCTTTCCCCGCAGCTTAATCTAACCTCCGCACCAAGGACTGGGACGAGCTGATGACGGAACTAAGCCCGAGAAGCGTGGGCCGAGGTTTGTGCCTTGCTCTGCCCAAAACAGGTCAATGTCACATTTGCGGAGGGGGCGGCATTATCTTTTGTGAAGACTGCGTGTGTGAATGATTGGATTATTAATCGCTGCTGTTTGGGATGAAGGTGCATGCTTTAATCTCTGAAGTCATTCAAGTCAGAGCGTCAGATCTCCTCCTCCTCTTCCTCCTCATCCGCCTGATAATAGTAGGGTGAGCAAGTCGACCGATAGCCCAGGACCTCAACCAAACCGTTAGTCCTCAGACGAAGTATCACCGCGATGCCTCTCGCAACGGTCCACCTCATCTCGCTCACGCCCAGCACAAGCATCCCGTCGTTCGTCCAGGCGGTGAGGTCGACATCCACAATCAAACCGCTCGTCATCTCCAAGGTTGTCCGTTGGATAATAACACCGACTACCATCTCGGCTAAAGAATTGCTCAACCCGAAGAAACCTTGGGACCTGCTGCTTATCGTCCTGGGTAACGATGCTCTCCCAAAGAGCCTGAAGGACAAGATCGAAGTGCACTGGTCTGTCACATCAGGAGTCCCGTCCCGACTGACCAGCAGCTTCGACAAAACCAACGCTCAACTTCTCCACCCAGATCCTAAATCCGTGCCCGCGCTGACAGGGTCTCTGGACAAGCCACGCATGGGTAGCTCATCACAAACACTCGAGCTCTCGGCGGGATTGAGCGAGTGGATCGCTGCGTTCTCCCGCTCCCACACCGGCCAGAACGCGATGTCGATGCTGAACCTGCTTGCCTTCAAACCGGGCAAGAAGCCGGACTATCTACAATACGGGAAGGCGTTTGCAGAGACCATCGGCGCGAAGCGTGGCGGGAACGCGAAGCTCGTTGGAAATGTCACGGCCCAGCAGGACCAGAGTGTCTCCGGCGGCAAGTGGGATGAGTTCGCCCTCGCTCACTACCCGAGTATCTTGCATTTCGCAGACATGCTCGCAAGCGAGGATTATCAGTCTGTGAATCTCAAGTATCGCGTGCCAAGTTTGCAGGATACTTTTATTCTGGCCACGAGTGAGATTGAGCTCGAGGAGCTGGTACAGGCTGGTGGGAACGGTGGCAGATCAGTGAAACTATAGTTCGAGATTTGAGATAGGGCGACGGAGCGAAAAATCAGGTGCACATACTCCCTCAAAATTTGCATGGGACAAGGGCTCAAAGAGTGGAAGATGGGGCATCACAGCAACACAATCATTGTTCTCACCTTCCTTACCTTTTCTTGGACGGACAAACTTCCCCGAACGCAAACTACGGGTTATGAGTAGTATATGATAGGAGAATTAGTGAGCAAGGGACGCTCACGAGACGACATAGAAGACTGTAAAACAATAAAATTATTATGGAAGTATTTCAGTATTTCAGTATTTTATATTCTAACAAGGAGACTTAGACTCACTCTCTGCTAGTAGAGCAGTAGTTCAATAAAGGAGTTGGAATAACTCTCTCATACTGAGCAATATTCAATCAGCAAGTGGGGATAACTCTGTGCTAGTAGGCAATATCAGTGGGGCAAAGTCAAAATGCTCATAAGTTAGTGTTAATACTGTACGAGTTGACTCACCTTCGTCGTATCATGCATCTAAGATATCAATCTGAAAGGTCCATTGAGACATTGGAAACAGGGGAAAGAAGGTCTGCTGCCTGAACCTCGTTTTCAACGTGGCTCGTGGGCTCGCTCCAAGGCTGTGCAATCACCTCACCTTCTGCCCAGCCTTCAGCATCTCGGGTGACATGACCGACGCAAACTGGATGACACGTACCATACTTCCAGTACTCCTCGTACTTGGGTGATTGATATTCCTGCGCTCTGCTCCACCAGTAGCGACGTCTCTCGACAGGGAGTTCCATGAGGTCAAAGAGCTCCTTGAGTGTCCGCTTCTCCTTCGAATTCAAGATATCGCAGTATTTCAATTTCTGGGGCGAGGTCAATCCGCTTGGAGAGACATCGTTAGCGGGCAAAGTGGGGGTTGGTTCGTTCGCTTTTCGCTCTGCAGTACGCATCAGGCTGGTTACGAAGTAAACCCACTCCTTGACTTCTGTCGGATCGGTCGTGCCGCAATGTTGGCGGAACTCGACTGTCCTAATAGGTTCTGGGTGCCCTCTAGTGGTCGAAATGTTGTAGAAATTGACAAAGGTGTTGCGATAGGCCGGGTTATCTGCATCGGGCTCATTTGACATGATGTCTCGCAATTCCCGGTGGCTTCTGCTGCCAAAGATCTGATTGAATGCGTCATATCGATCGTATACCAGACCAGAGTCGCAGGTGTGCAGGTGAGTTTTGACACGGCGAAGATTAATGTCAAGAAAGGCTCGCCGATTCGAACACGCGTGGTCATATATCTTAGTCATCCAGAAACCGCGACGCTCCGGATGATGCAGAAGGGAGACCACATCCTCAAAAACGACCACGATCCAGGCCAGGTGCCGCAGGACTTCGAGTGGAATGTCCACAGGACCCCAGTCCTCGTCAGGTTGCAGACCGACATGGACATGAAAGCCCGACGTCTGTGGTTTACTGAGGAACATCCAAGGTAAGTCCGTATGACATTGAGCAAAGTCGATCACTTTCAAAACCTTTTCGAGCTCTTGGAAGCTTCCACCCTCGAGAACTTGCTTTGCCTTCATGTCTGGAGCCTGCATGATAGGAGAAATTAACTCCAACCCGGAAAATTGGAGATCCCAGAGGCGTCTCACCCGATGATCTGTATATGATTCGATCTCCCAATCTGCCGCTGGACAAATATTTGCTTTTTCGTGCGTTAGACTCCAACGTTGGAAAAGGTCGTCATCGTCCTTGGGATTGATCTTGATTGCGAGGTCCACACCTTCACGGCGAAGTACGGTGGCAGCTTGACACAACCCGCGGTTTTCATGGTCGGTAGGGTCGAATTTCTCGTGGTCGTCCACCTGATCCATGGGATCTAGCTGGTAGTTTTGAGGGAACAGATATTCAAGATGTGGCCGCCTTATGACCTTTAATCTGCTAATGCCAAAAGCCAATTCCAACTCCACACCGAATGTAAGCGCAAGGAGACCAGCTCCGGACTCACCTGAAGTTGCCATACTGTCTCTCACCGACTCGCCGAGTGCGCCAAGAACTTTCTTAACGAGAGTTCTTGGTCGATTGATCGTTGCCAAATATCACAGGAAGATTCTGTAGTGTACTGAGGGAGAACAGAGTGCTGAGACTCGAGTACGATTTGAGGGCATACGGCTGGTCGTAAATAGGTAGCAACAAGTGTCGGGATCGGTGGCATTGTGGATCAAGGGTTTGTGGACAAAGGGACACAATAAGAAGATCAGTGTGAAAGGACGAGACAAAAAGCCTTTCACCAGACAAAGCATGACTGAATGGAACCAGTACTCCAAGTGCTCTGTGAGAGGATATTATTTGTGATGGAGGCAAGTAATCCAATGAAGGGACATGCCTGATAACGCCTGTCGACATGTCTGACGAGACGACTGCAGGGTTCCCGACAGGGGTTTCAATCGTCCATTTGGCGTAGTGTTCTTGTTCATTGTGACGAAGATGATATCGGCTAGGCTTCGTGCTTGGAGAGATTGGGGTTTTGAGGACTGGGATTGGGTTGATCTAGCAAAAGCACTTTTTGATCTTTGCAGGAGACTAGAGTCTCACCACTGGTGAAGCAGCTGCGTCGAACAAACAGTTGGCAGTATTTTTCAGACACAACGCCCTTTGTTTGCTAACAAATTTGAAGACGACAATGTCTTGTGACACTATTTTCAAAGCAACAGCCGCTGAAGCTGCTTGCACGCATGCCACAGAAAGAAAGCAAATTTTAGCAAACAAGGCATCCGCAGCTGGGAAAGCCGAATCAGTATGGTAGCTTAAGCAATTCTCTCCCTCTTGTCCATTCTTACCTCTGACCATTCTCAATACAGACACTAAAATTTCACAAATCTCCCTAAAGAGTGATTAACATGAACCGGAATTCTGACAAGGTTGCGGAAGCGGCTGGCTCCAAGCTGTTGATATCGGTGGATTGTAAATATGCGCCAACCCTGGATGGGTGCGAAGATCTTGAATTGTATGAACCTGATGGATACCATCCGGTGTCGATAGGAGACGAATTCTCAAATGGGCGTGACGAGGTTGTGCACAAGTTGGGCTATGGTGGAAGTGCAACCGTATAGCTTGCTCGCGATGCAGAAACCACCCGTCTCGTACCACTCAAAGAATTAACTTCAGGTAGTTCTGATCGAAGTCAGGAAGATTTCGGGGCCGCAAGAGTCGTTGCTATATTGGATCATTTCACGTCCAGGACCAAACTGAGACCATCTCTGCCTGATATTTGAGTTGATAGGCCCTGGTATTGCTACGCGGGGCGAACACTCAAATCAATATAAGCTTAGACCGGAGAAGCTTCGTATGTTGGCTACATAGTTGAGTGAGGGATTGCTTCACTTGCACAAAGGTGGGGTCAGCTTGTCACATATTAGCGCCAACAATATACTGTTCACTGTCGCCAAAGTCGACTCATGGACAAATGAAGAGATTTATGCAACGTTTGGCACTCCTGAGGAATTTGAGGTGGACAGACCTATTACGCACAACCCCCCGTAATCCACCGGATCCTGATGAATATCGCCAAATGTGCGCTGTTGATGAGCATGAACCAAAATTGGTCTAACGTCCGATCGAGCTTCTCCAAGAACATGGTGTCGCATAACTAGTACAACCGATATTGAGATTTATCGATCTCGGAGAGACCATTTTGATCAAGGAGCCATCGAGTTGCGACGAGATCGGTGTTAACCACCCGTATACGGGTCCCGGAAATTGGGTTTGACAAATATCCTTCATCCGGGGTCGATACAGGCTCTTGCCGGCGTACTTTTTGGAACTCAGGACCGGAGAGCCACTTTTTGGCGACGGGGGGGGCTGGAGCCAGGCGTGCTTTGGGTAATGGTTGATGTGCTTGGCCCGCTCCCAATTGAATGGAAGAAAGCAATAAGAACGCGAACCGAGGTGGAATACGAGGCTGATGGTATGTCTCTCAGTGAAGAAGAGGTGGAAGAACGAATACTACAACAGTTCAAAAGCCTGACTTGAAAGAGCGAGTCGCAGCGGTTGGAAAGCTGCAGCAATGGCATTTCCTCACTGAACAGCGACAGAAAAGATGTTTGGGAATATTTGGCCGCACCAATGAGAAGGTAATTGGCTGCTTCAATCATCCTCCCGCGCGATTTTCTCGGCCCGAGTCAAAGTAATTCCATCATCTCCTGCCGCGGATGATGAGGATCGAGCCTACGGATCGCATCAGCATGAGGAAGGGCTCTGCCACCCCTGGGTCAGAGAGGAAATCAAAGCAAGGAAAATTAGAGACTGGCTCGTGAGATACGACCTGGGAAGAGACTATCCTGACGAGTGAGTGAACGGGGGAAGGTAGCATGTACAGTAACACTTTGAAATAGTATGATACAGGCATAAGAAAACATCTTCAATTTTCCCTCAGAGTTTTGTAAGGGAAACCCCTCAAAATTTTGTTTGGCGTGCACAGATACATGTAGGATTTCGGTGGCAGAAGTAGCTTTGGCCTGCAGTTCCACATCCTTCAAATTGTTGGTCAATAAATATGTACTTACATGATAATACAGTGGTGGTGCCACAAATTGAGTTTGATGCCTGGTAAGCCCGGCGAGTAGAGAGTTCATTTCTCTGAGGGAGACCAGGTGTTGACAGCTGACACCATAGCCTGCCTTCCATGTCAGATGGATATAGGGATACTCTAAAGACTGGTCCTGATTCGCGTGAAGAAGAGCTGTGTCGAATCCTCTGAGACCTCACCCATTACGGGCAAGAGAGCAATCAGCCGAGGGTGATGTTTCGTTCGATCTGCCTTTGTGACGGAGAAATCGGCCTGTCACTGGGAGGTCTTCGTTTCCAAAGCTCGTTGAGGTTGTCGCATTAGACCTTAAAGAGCATCAAGCATTGGCGGCGACGCCTTTCGGGGCCAATTGGTCGAGGATGCCTGTTTTAAGTCTCAATTCCTTCTCAATTTGTTGTGGCGCTCTCGCTACGTCATCTCTCAATGTAAAGACTTCCTTTATTTCTTTCGCACTTAGCAGTGTCCTGCCGGGAAATCCAGCTCGGCCTCTGCCATCTATTTCAGCCTCGAACTGATTTCCAAACTTCTCCCGTGCCTGTACAAGGAGCATTGCGGGGTTGTTCATGCTGGAAGGGAAGATGTTCTGGCCGGAGCTCATAGGTTGGCTTGAGGTTGGAAATGCATCTTCATGTGGTTTTGTTTCCGAGACAGGTTTCGCGACGCCAATCTTTCGAAGTGCAGAACCGAAATGAGGATCACGCCCATCGAGATCTATGTGTTCTGATTTTTGATCTAAAGGAGGGTTGGTGGCAGGATCTGGATGGACCTGAGACGAAGCGGAAATTTTGGCGAAAGGTGACTGTGCATTGTGGGAGGGCGGTGAACGCGAGGTTGATGTGGTGGAATTGAGCAGTGAGGATGTGGATGGATATTGCCGGCGGCTGGCGGCCCCAGCAGCTTTGCTTGCTATTTTGGATGATGAGGAACCCATGTCTGTTCGAGTCTTGAACAAAGAAGTGGCTGTCAAACAAGGTGCAGATGTGAGCACATTGGCATCAACGACAGGGCAAGGCTGCACTACGTAATCCCATGTGTAAAATGCGCTAGTTCTTGCCGCTTTAAAGGATAAGCTCGCAGCGACTCGTCTAACCTGCCTCCCAGGTTCGAGACAAAATCAAAGAGTCCATCCATTCCTCCACAAGGCTCTCCTTAGAACCCTATGACAACGTCTAACAAGGACTCCTCTGAGGGATTTGGAGAGTTTCGCACCTGGCGTAGCACAGGGGCATCTGGTACTATACTGACAACAAATTTCTCAAGATGAATAAGCAACGTCTGCGACCCCTCTTGGGTGCCTCTCTGCTGGACGATATCGACCTCGTTCGTCCGATGCACCAGACCTTGATCTCAGTTTGGTATGAACTTCCCGGTGGTCATGCGCCTTTATGACATGAATATGCGGCTCTTTATTGAATAGAATCAATTGAGCCAATGCGTCTCTACCCCGCTCTCGTACTGGACCAGGCTTCGCTGCCGGCCTCGCTCATCTGCAGGATTGATAACAGTTTCCCACTCCCTTGGCTTGGCTGTCGTACCCTAGACTATGCCAACATTCCAGTACAGGACACATATACCCGGTTCTAGATAGGGATTTATGAGCTGTGATATACCGGAACACTTGCGAGCACACGCTCAAATGAGCTGCTCGGCAGCCCCTAGGGCATAACCAGGCATGCAGGTTCAGTATTTTGATGGAGCCTTTTCCCCAGTTCTGCCCCCCTCACAGAGTCATATGTAAGCTAACAGGGACCGCAGTTGAGTCCTCTTATCGTTGCAAGCGCCCATCCAAAAGTCCGTCCGGAGTATTTTGACCGGTGAGTTACTGCCTAAAATGGGTTAGCTCTTCAGATGTCTCTTTGTCTGGACTTGGGCTTCCCTTAGGATGCCATGAGTGACACTACACCTATCTCTTGAGCTGTCCGGCAATATGTGCAGCAGCACTGGTATTCGCAATAGTGTTGGTTGCTCAACGTTGAAAGAGGATGTCCCTCGGTTTCTACAATCACCAGATTCAGCATAAACTTGCAGTGCGGTCTCAAGGCCTTGTACCCCCCGTTTCCCTTGACATAGGGACAGGTAATTGGTGCTATGTTGACCGTATTTATATGTCCTGTTGCCCCTTTCGCGCTGTTATATTTTACCACGAGTTGGATCAAGTCCCGCTCCCCAGACTCTATCTAGGACAAGTTCTATTCAAGCACTATCACGCCAGCCATCATGTCGGGCAAAACCACGCCAGATGTGGAGCAAATCTCCGTAATTGCGACGCCTCAAGCGATCGAAGTCTCGGGAATTAACATCCAAGAGGCAACGGAACTCTATGGTGATGCTGAGGCTGCAAGATCTTATGGTTATGTTGCCAGACGGTGAGTCAACCTCAATTGTTTCCAACGAATACCAATTCTTCTTTGGAAGATGGCTTCTTATCCATATAAAGGCTCAAAGCACGACATGTTCAATTCATGGGGCTGGGGGGTTCTATTGGCACAGCTCTCTTCCTAGGTATCGGCAGAGCGTTGGCTGCTACTGGGCCTCTCAGCATGTTCCTTGGGTTCGCCATCACGGGAGTGGCTATATGGGGAATGGTCAGTTGCTGTTCTCACAGTCCCATGGATCGCATCTCATGTTTCCACAGATGCAGTGCCTTGGAGAGATGGCAACGTGGCTGCCTGTCCCAGGAGCTCTCCCTAATTTCGCTTGCCGCTACGTGGATAAAGCCTTGGGATTTGCTGTGGGATGGAACGTGAGTTCTTAGCATCCGTTGCTCTTCCTTACACTCTCACTTCTGCTGACTATGAACGATGTCATCTAAGGGCTGGTACGGCTATGTCATAGGCATATGCATTGAAATTGCGGCAGCCGCACTTATAATAGGCTATTGGAATACCGATATTAATGTGAGTTAATCCTAGGACCCCATCAATTTGACTTTAGGAGCTAATATAAGCCTCTTACAAGGTCGCCGTGTGGATCTCGATAATCATCGCTGGTCTTGTCTTCCTCAATATCCTCGCCGTCTCAATTTACGGTGAAGCAGAATTCTGGTTTGCAAGTTTGAAGCTGGCTACAATCATTGGTCTCCTTATACTAGCCCTTGTCATTGATTTAGGAGGTGCTCCCAACCATGACCGTATCGGGTTCCGGTATTGGAAGGACCCAGGAGCCATGAACACCTTCATTGTAGAAGGACACACTGGACGCTTTCTAGGACTTCTCTTTGCCATGATCATGGCCGCTTATACCTATGCGGGTGTTGAGTCAGTTGTTGTTGCTGCAGGCGAGGCTGAAGACCCTCGAAGGAATCTACCGAAAGCCGTTCGGCGAGTGTTCTGGCGCCTGTTGTTCTTCTACGTCCTTGGATCCCTTGCCGTTGGCGTTCTTGTACCCTTTAATGATACTGATCTACTGACAGCGCTGGCAACCAATGCCCCTGGAGCTGCTAGTTCTCCCTGGGTTATTGCTATCAAACGTGCCGGCATTCCTGTGCTTCCTTCAATTATCAACGCAGTCATTCTAAGCTCTGCTTGCTCTGCAGGGAATGCATTCCTATACAACGGCAGTCGGTACCTTATGTCTCTCGCTCAAATAGGTTTAGCTCCCAAAATGTTCATGCGGTGCTCAAGGAGGTTCGTTTGATGCCCTGCTTGGTTGAAGAGCTGGAGCTGATCACCTTGTGATAGAGGTATCCCTTATTACAGCGTGGGTCTGACAGCTCTGGTCACTCCCCTAACGTACTTGAGTTGTGCAGCGGGCCCGGCGAAAGTCTTCATTTGGCTTGCAAATCTTGGGACTCTGGTTGCGCTGTCGTCTTGGATAACCATCTGCGTTACCTACTTACGATTCTACGAGGCTCTTAAAAGTCAAGTTGTGGACAGGGATCAGCTACCATTCAAATCGCCCTTCCAACCTTATCTCGCGTGGTCTACGCTCATATATTTCAGCATTCTCACACTTCTCAATGGATTCTACTCCTTTACTCCTTGGAATGTCGAGACATTTTTAAGTACTTATATCGGTATCCCGATATTCTTTGGTTTATTCCTGTTCTGGAAACTCCTTAAGAAAACCAAATTGGTTAACCCGGCCGAAGCCGATCTTTGGACAGGAAAGGCTGCAATTGATGCTGAAGTATGGCCAATATCAGCACCTCAGAATCTAGTAGAGAAGGTAAGAACCTCCGTCTACCACTCCTCTCTATATCCGTACTCTGATGTCTTAGGTGTGGGCCTGGATTGCGTAGTGCCGGCAGACGGCTCGAGAAATCTACTATATTGATTTACCTCCTGAGAATTCCAATGTGGTATTTAGAGGTGACGACATGACTGAGCACAATATGCGTGATTGAAACGAGCACAGAACACCAGAGCATGATATGTGGAAAAGGTACTCAGTAGCCTCGCGCTGAAAATACTGCCTTTGAGAATGTTTTGAGGAGCGGGCGCTTGGAACACAGCCTTGACGACGTTGGCATGGAGTGAAAATTCAGAGCGTGTGAATGCTCTTGGTTTCTCTGCTCGTAAACAAAGGACGAAGCCATTGATAAGTCAGTTCGAGCCTAGCGGTAAGAATAGAACAGAAATTGATCCAATATGATAGAAAAGCTTCTTAGGCTTTCTAGAAACTATCTACGGAGTATACGAGGGCGTCCCTATCAGCTGGAGCCTGTTGGCGAGGCTTAAATGATAAGCGAATTCGACCGCTGCTATAGGTCGATTCTAAGTGGATGGACCGCTTACCAAGGACTTCCCTAGCCAAGCAGGCGGACCCTCAGGGCCCCAGGAAAAGAGACTAGATAGACAGGGGGCAGCCGAGGCAATCGGTCCTTCGACGAAACCCCTAATTTCGCTCTCTTGATTCCTTTCCTTCCTACCAACAGGAGTGGTGCATGCTAACCCAGCACTCGAGAGATATGTAAGACAAGACCATGCGGAATGGCACCCGCAGATCGTGTGATCGATGCTACAAATTCAAAGAGAAATGCAGCTTTGAAAATGACGACCAGAGATGCAGTCGATGCGAACAGACAAAAACGACATGCACAACCTTACGCTCACGCCCTCGTCAGGGGAGACGCCCAAGGTGCAAACAGCTGGGATTGACCGGCTCAGTACAGGTATGGGAAATAGAACCCTGCTTGAATACCTCAAATGGTACTGTTGAGGAAGTTGGCCTGTCTACGACGTTGAGGGAGGGTCGTCCTTGCTTTGCATCATCTGGGATCGAACTGTTGAAGCTCTCTCTCGAGCGCGGGCTTCTCACATTCAGCTCATATTTGATCCAACTCAACGATGTCCAGGAGATCCGCGAGTCCTCGCCATTTCTCGTCGCCAAATTTTACTCGAAGTACCATTTATTTATGCTTGGTCCCTCCTTTGCGCCGTCGTTTCGGAGGGCAGTCCAGCAGACTTACATGAGCTCGCCTGGTTTACTGGAAGGCGTCTACATGGCTATTTTTACCGCAGTAGAGCAACCTAGACTCACGTTGAATGAAGCAGATGAACCAGACTTTACTCAAGGCGCAGTATCATTACAACAACTTCGAACAGCAAACATCGCTGGTGTCACGGATGCAGTGGCCGTCTTAGTCCTGGGGCAAACCCTAGCAGCATTCGATCTTCTCACAAAGTGTGTCAATTCCTCATTGATACTAAGGTACTCTTTATCTTCTATCCAGCCCTGGTACCAGAAACTATCAGAGCACTCGTCCTTCGAGGTCTTCACTATTACTTCCATTTTTTGGGACACAATATGGAGCCTTCTACGACGCGAGTGTCCTATCATAAGATTCCGATCTCCGCGCCGTCTCATTGTCGATCGTCTGGCGGGATTATGCACTACTTTGTTGCCCCTCCTTGGTGACTTAAGCATTGCAGGCCACAGACTGAAGCATGGCGAATTCTCTGAATCTGACGCCAGCCTCACGACTATCAAAATGATTGAACAACGAATCCTCTCATGGGCGGTAACTGAGCCCGAGGACCTCACCGAAAGCTTCTCAGAGGAGGAGGTGTTGGGAATGAAAACGCAGGCCTCGATGTACAAGAGTGCGGGACTGTTGATAGCACATCGCCTTCTAAACCCTATAGGGACGCAGGACGACGTAGCACAGTGGCACGCCAACAACATTATGCTTGATTTTCTGAGATATCCAGAACTAGTTGGGCCAGACGCACAGTTACGGCAAGTGGGTTTTCCCATACTCATCGCTGCACTGGAGCTCCCAGACCCAATGAGCGAAATATGGCAGTCGATACCACTTCTTAAAGTGGCTCCGATATGTCTTGCGAAACTCAAGTCATTGGTTGAATATGTGTGGACGGAAAGGCGACAAGGCTACAGTGGTTACTTGCTTGACTTGGTCGACCAAGGTCCAGATTTTGTTGTCATAACATAACAACAAGCACTTCTTGGACGAAGACATCCTCCCTGAGGCCTATTCGACCAAATCTCGGCAATAAAACACTAGCTTTGACCTGATGTATACATGTCAAGGCCACGGCATCTTGTTCTCAACCCTCACCGGTGCAAGTATTATCCTCGTACTGGTTTGTCGCCATCGAAATCTAGTCTAAGAGAAAGGCGATGCCGACAAAGTGTCTTAACATATCTCACAATTTCACCTCCGTTGACATCGTCCTTTCAAAGATAGCTGCGAATAAACTTTCGACTCTACGGATAGCTTCATCGGAAATTTCTGCGAAGTTGTCAGCGGAAAGTCATCGACTTTGGATTTGAGTGACACACGGTAGTGCACGACAAGTCTCTCATTCTTTATCACCAATCCGTGTTGTGCGGATAGTTCCTCCAGACGGCTTCGCGAGATGCCAGCATCTTTGATATCCAAGAACACCATGCAGGTCTCTGTCGGGCCAAGCAATTTTCCACCAGATCTGACCCAAAGTTCTGCAATGTGCAGAGCATTTTGATGGGACCTCGCCAGCAGGGAGCCTTTCCCGTCAGCCCCAGTCCCAAAAGTGGCTCGTACAGAGACACGCGCCATAGCAGTGAGTACACCTGCCTGATGCATGCCTCCTCCAATACTTTGTCGGATTTTCCTGGCTGCCGCAATTGTTTTCTTGCTTCCCACCAACACACTTCCTAGGGGGGCTCCAAGACCCTTCGAGAAACAAAGGTTCACAGTGTCGAATTCTTGAGCATATTCAAAGAGGCTTCCGGCCCCAGCAACAACGGCATCCCAAAGGCGAGCTCCGTCCAGATGCATCTTGATCCCGTTCTGATGAGCCCAGGACGAAATTCTGCGCACTTCTTCAAGAGGCATGACAAGTCCATTGAGCGTGTTCTCGAGCGATATTACCCTTGTAGGAGAGTACTGGACATATTCATCTAATATCGCCTTGGCTTGGATGTCCTCCAAGGTCAGATACTTTCCATTACTGGCGAGAACGGGCTGTAGACTCGCCCCAGTCAAGCTGGCCAGGCCACCTGCCTCATAGTGGACGATATGCCCACGGGAATCAGTGAGAACAGAGTACGGCGGTTGCATGAGCAGTGCTCGGAGCCCAAGCTGATTGCTCATTGTTCCAGAGAGCATGAAAATGCCGTCCTCATGTCCTGTCAAGCTTGCCATCTCTGCCTGAAAATTTTCGGTCATCTTGTCTTCTCGGTACACGTCGTCCTTGAAAGTTGTGGTCAAAACGGCGTCCAACATTTCTTGAGTTGGGACAGTCACTATATCGCCTATGAGATGTCGTTGATTTAGCATAATATCAGTGTCAGTGTTGGCCCAGGGACTTACTACGGAAATCGAATTCGGCGGGTGCAAGATTCCCACCGTTTGATGTGATTTGGTACATTTGGAGGTGTGGGCTGATCCCTTTTAGGGCACGCACGGAATGTCAAGATGTGAATCTCGTCGAAACTATTCACGGGACGTCAATTGAATCTCTAGCCCTTCCAACACGAGAGATTGCTGGAGATTCTTAGAAGGGATTGGATCTTTTTGACCGATATTGGGATGGGTGAGCACTGGGCTTCTACGGCTTTTACAACTTTCTGCGGACCTATCGTGTCTCTTCAGAGTCGAAAACGAGGTAGGTATGAATTGACCATTTCATGGCACACGCAGCATGCCCAGAATCGTCGGCACTATCATGGCCTGCAGCTCTAGTATGCTCCCCAAAAGCGGTGTCAATGTTTTACTGTCAGCCGTGACGGCAACTTCGTAGACAAATCGATATAGACAAAGGTCCACATCGCAGCTGCGCATTGCATGGGAAGCGTAGGTATGCGGGTCATCGCACCCCTAATACTCCGTTCCGAGTACATGTTAGCTAGCAGCAACCCCTGGATGCTCCATATCTTGCTAAGCTTTGAATAATTATTAATGATACGAGCTTTCCCATAATAGGCATAAAATCGCCGGTTTGCAACCCGGCCTCCGCTGCGGCTTCGTCTTAGAAGGCTGATGGATAAACCCGACAATGCAATTTATCTTTTGCCAATTTGTGCATCAGGTGTCGCTCAGTCGGCCAAGGAATTAAATAATGGCGTGTGATTGATCTAATCTTTCAAGACGCAGTCAATCTTGGGGTGGTCTAGTGTTCTTTCCAATCTCGAAATAAACCGCAAAGGTTGGTGAACAACTCGGGACTCGCTTCCAGCCTTGCCCAAACATATCTACTCACACCGGAGGGATCTTTCCGTTTACACGATATGTATTCTGTATGAAGTGTTGTTCTCCCGGATAGCCACAAGAGCTGCAATTTTTAGAATTCGATTGATATGATAGGAGACATCAGGTACTCGCCCTCCGCCCTGAAGTCCAAAATCCTTTCCGAGAATCCCATCTTCCTCAAACCAGCGGATTCAGACCGACATTCCTAAGGATTCTCAAGACTGCCTCAACACTCGAGATCGATCACCATCGTGGGCGCATCGAAATGTGGTCAAAAAGGTCTACGTCGCCCAAGAGCGACAATTACCTACGCGATGCAAGTATGGCTCATATTTCATGGTCCAGATCACGTTTTAGTACCATGCCAATGCTTTTCTCTCCTAGGTCCAAACGAACGTCGATGCATTGCACGCGACACTCTTGATTTCTATCGTGGTTTGGTTGTGGGTGCAGCCTACGAATTTAGCGACTTCGTTGATATCGCATCTGCTTCTACATATACTCGTGCCCTCCGACAGTGTGTACAAAGGTACCCTCAAATGAGTATCGTAGTTGCGAATGCAGAAAGCAACTCTCCCTACTTTGAGCACTATCCCGGCCTCGACCTCAATGAGCATGTCCAGATTTTAGATAGCTGCGAATCGGGTGCGGATGAAAGCAAAGCCATCAAAAGAGCTATACCCATTATCTTGAATACAAAGCTGCCGGCTACTATCCCTGCATGGAAGGTTTTCGTTCTGCCTTTGTCTCGGAAGAAGTGCTTCATAGCATTCTTCTACTCGCATACACTGGGGGATGGCATGTCTGGATTGGCTTTCCACCAGAGCCTACTGACCGCTCTCGAGAAATGCATCATGGACATGGAGCTCGATGGTTCGCCGACAACAAAAAGGATAGCGCCAGCATTTGACACTCCCGAGAACCTGCCGATTTCCTGGTCTTTCTTCCTGGCAACGCTGCTTGGAATTTTTCTTCCGAAACGCTTTGTATCGATACTGGGGCTCAGAGCCCCATCCACTTTTGTCTCAAGTGGCACCTGGACTGCATCTCCAGTGTTCTATAATGCTGAAAAGCACGCTACAGGCGTTCAGACACTGACTATTGACGGGGTTATTGTTGCTCAGGTCCTAAAAATATGTCGAAGTCATGGTACGAAGCTTACAGGACTTATTCACCAATTGATAGTCCATGCCCTGTCACAAGCTTTGTGTTCAACACCCGACGCTGAATATTTTGCCGCACAAACAGCATTGAGTCTTCGTGGAGCTCTCAACGTATCAAAGGACGAGATAGGGAACTTTCTTTCTGGCCACATGGAGACATTCCGCAGGAAGAAGTTGATGAGCGGCGAGACGAAGCCTACAGTCGATTGGGCGGCAGCCAAATCGACTACGGAGCATCTAGCCGCTGCATCTACAACTCCCAAAGACCAACCAATAGGTTTACTTCGATACGTGAGTGACATACGATCCTGGACCTTGTCCAAGATTGGCGAACAGCGGGATTGTTCTTACGAAGTAAGCAATCTGACTCGCTTCCAGCCTGAAAGTACTGCGCAGAAATGCGCAGTGGTCGAGATGCTATTTTGCCAGGCGGCGAATGTCACAGGCCCCCCATTGAATGTCAATGTGGTCAGTGTCGCGAACGGCCCGCTCACTATTGCTGTTAGCTGGCAGATTGGTGCTCTGGGTCTAGCTGTCGAAGAAGATGAGGAGAGCTTCGTCAACAGCATTTGCCACAACATTGAGCTCGGGTTCGAACAGTTGGCGTCGGGTTCCAAAAGCTGAAGAATGCGAGATGTCCCCGATGCCTAATCTCGTTCATAGTGTTATTATGGACCGTACTCAATGCTCCGTATATCGGATATCGTCCATTAGTACCGAGTACTAGCGCTGTCGCTATGAATGGAGCTAGCGCCTTGGCAGGGATCGTCATAGTGGGTTATGCTGTTTACCCAATCAATATGCTTGTTTCCGCTGGTATGAAACATTTGTTGCGCGGTGAGAGCTTCACATTCTCCCTCCAGTGGAATTAGAACAAAGTCGACTCCGGCTCTTCCACTGTATTTTACTCCCTTGAGAGGTCATTCTGTATCGCTGGTGGACAGAAGTAGTCTTCATTTCACTCCAAAACCCTCCCTCACCAAAATCTTGAATTCTCCCCCCTCCACCGGCCCCCCCCCCCCCACCATGTCTATGGAACGCAAGAACAAGCCGGCCTCGATCCCCCTCTCCCCGTCCCTGGCCCAGCCTGTCGTCGACCTCAGCGACAATGTCCTCACCGCACGTCTCCCCTCAGGCGATTCAGTGACTGTCTACCTCTACGGCGCAACCGTCACCTCGTGGAAAACCTACAACGGCCAAGAACAACTCTTCCTCTCCAGCGCCGCCGTCCTGGACGGCTCCAAGCCAATCCGCGGCGGCATTCCACTCGTATTCCCCGTCTTCGGCCCTCCTCCCAAGTCTCACGCCACCGGAAACCTCCCGCAGCACGGCTTCGCCCGAAACAGTTACTGGGAGTTCTTGGGAAAGAGCAGCAGCGAGAGTCTGGGCCGCAAGGCTGACGACAGTGTCAAGTTGGACTTTGGTCTGAGCAGTGAATTCCTCGATGAGGCGACGAAGAAGAAGTGGCCTTATGATTTCGGTCTCGTCTACAGCGTCACACTGAGCAGGGGCAAGTTGGAGACGCAGCTGCACGTCCAGAACAAAGGGGACCAGGCTTTTGAGTTCCAGGCGCTTTTCCATACCTACCTGGCCGTCAAGGTGAGTTTTGTCTATACTGCTTAGGCCGGCAAGGGAGTCCCAGAGAAGCACTTCTCGACCCCTCCACGCAACAACTGAAACTGACGGTTCCCCCTTTTCTCCAAATACAGGACATCAGCAAAACCGCAGTGCAAGGGCTCGCCAACTCACCGTACGTCGACAAAGTCCGCAGTGCCCAAACCTTTACCGAATCCTCGTCCTCCCTCTCCTTCACCTCCGAGACCGACCGGGTCTACACCCCGCCGAGCAGCAAGGACGACAAGAACGCGCTGGTCCCGCTGGTGGTGATCGAGGATGGAGCGGAGAGTTTCGTCATCACCCGCGAGGCCCTGCCCGACGTGACGGTGTGGAACGGCTGGGAGGACAAGATCAAGGGCATGGGCGACTTCGAACCCAAGGACGGCTGGCAGCGCTACTTGTGCATCGAGCCCGGCACTGTTAGCTCTTGGACGAAGCTCGAGGCTGGTGACGCTTGGCAGGGAGGTGCTTCCTGGGAGAGCAAGTTGTGAGTTGTGACGAGAGGGGAATGGCCCTGAGATGAATGGGCACGGCCGTGATGGGATGATATGAGATGTGATGGGGAAATCTGCAAAGAGAAACGATATGCATATCGGGGCTGGGTGCGGAAAATGACATGATATGATGCACGAGTAGGCGTGAACAAGGCCTGGGCTAAAGCAATGTTGAGACACTTCGAGATATGAGACGAGACGGGATGAGACTAGAGACGATCCTGAGAATAAATGCCCCCTTATCTTGCCCGCACGAGATACCATGCCGTAGCAGGATGATGCTGCGTGCGACAGGGCATCCCCACTTACGACTTCTGCAGCTACACGAGCAAGAATACGGATCGATAGACAGACTATAGGGAAAGGTGAAAGATTCCCTTCTCCTCAAGCACTGCATTGAATGGCTCATATCTACACACTGAACAAATGATCAGATAGAACACTGGTCATTTGCGGAGTTGAGAATTGTGTTTCCTTGTTTTCTATACTAAAAAGATATTCAATCGCTTGGGACGGTAAGTAAGTGGTAGTAAGTAGTGGTAGTGGACGTGCGTAAACCTCATTCTCATTATGTGCTTTGCATTACATGGGATGGTATGTCCCGGTCATATGAAGATCGGTTCTTAAGGGTGGAACGCCCTCCCCGGAGTGGTTTTTGGGGGCAGTCCTTGGTTTGCATCAACGGCCGTGTGGAGATACGTGGTCGAGGGATGATGCATTAGGCTCATGCTTTCAAAACAGAGCCACGATCCATGATGTAGGGAGGGTCGACTGTAAATGCCCGCGGTGATTGGCTGAGTGATTGACTGACTGAGTGGTATGCAAGTTTTCCATGGGCATGCATGACATTGGCGTAAAATTGTTCACTGTTTGGGCAAAAGGCAAATCTGTCCAGATAGGTCGAGATGGTGCAACTTTTATGTCCATCATTGACTCATTGAGCGGCGGATGTATGTGGATGGCCCCTGCCATCGCAATGCCATGCAGAAAGGGATACTCCCAAGCACCAAGTACCCTTTGGATCGACGTAAGAGAGTTCGAGGAAGGGGACACATGGTTGATTGATAGACCATCTCATTACCGCTCATTCTGAGTACCACTATCCCCAGTAATATCCCCATCCGCTGCTGCATTCGACGCAACACGTGACGCCTGACCGGCACCAGCACCACTTAGTCCCCCAGGCAGCTGTTGCGTTAAGCTCTGCTCATATAGAAGCTGCTCATCACGGCGCTGGTAGAGGTAATAACTCGTGACGATAGCAATAGGCAAGGCGACAATAATGCGGGTCCAGCGCGAACTCAGCTTGCGGAACTGCGGGTCGCGCTTGAGCTCGGCGTACTGCATTTCAGTTGGTTTCTTCGGCTCGGGCTCAGATGAAGGTCGTATGGAGCTCCGGGGTGAGGGCCTTCCTGGTCTCGGTCTTACGGGTCGTTGCCATGCCTGAAGCTGCGACTGTTCCTGTTGCTGCTGTTGGCGTGAGGCGAGTGCGGCGGTTGTGCTGTATGGGAGCGTGTATTTGGGTCGTGGCGTGCTGGAAAGCAGGTTGCTTGTGAGGATGTGACTTGGGAGGGATGACGGTGATGAGGCCCTTTGGGGCATATCTGGCGTTTGTGCGGTTTCAGTGGTGGTGGGATCCGGGTATTGAGCTTTTGATTGCTCCAGCGCTATGTCGATATCTGACGTGGTGCAGTTATTGAGTTCCGATGAAGGGTCAGTAACTTTTACGGAAGGCAGCGGTTTGGTCGATGACACAGTCTCAATGTCCTCTGAACCACTTTGCTGCGCAAGCGGAGCTTCTTGCGCGTCCTCTCGATCCTGTGCGGACCGTTCAGCTCTCTCATTCAGCTCGTGGGCACTCTTCGCGAATGCACGAGCCTGCTGCAAGATCTCCGACTTCTGGGCTCCCTCTGATTCCCGAGCTGGGATGGGAGACTTGGATTCCTGCGTAATCTGCTGCTTCTTGAGTTGAGCCGGCGTTTTTGCAGTGGCTGCCTTCATCGGAGAAGCCGTCTTCTCGGAAGCTCCTTTCGCTTTCGCTGTGACGACTTCTGGCTCCTTCACAGGGTCGGCTTTGGCTGTCCTCGTCCTCGCCATTGCCGGTGATACTTTATCTTCTGAAACAGCAGCAGCAGCAGCAGCAGCGGTAGAAGAACTCTTCAGAGCTCTCTTCCTTGTCGTCGATGGTACTGGTGGTTTACTCGCACTTACTGCAGTCTCAATATCGCCCTTCGCTGCGATGGTGGTCGACCTTGACGATTTCTTGGCTCCATTATTACCGCCGCCAATGGATTTGCTCCGAGTCTTTTGCTGCTGCAAGGGGGACGCCACGGCGTTCATCTCAACAACCATATTGTTGTCGTCCACCGGAGACACCGCCTTCTTGGGCGGCCGCCCTCGTTTCTTGATCGCCGTTACCTCTGCAGACATTTGAGGTTTTAACGTGCTGTCCGTTTCCCAGCTGTAAATCTCGAATTCAATCAATTTTGGAGTGCGATGGTCGCCGGGAACGCGTCCGTCGTAAACGAGGTTGTGATGAAGTACTAATTTGACGCGTCGGAGAATGTTGGGGCCACAACTTGTTGGAGAAAAAGTAGGCAACTTCAAAAGAAAAAAGAGAATGGCCAATTTCGCGGCTGTGGGGCGTCTGGGTCACGACTCACCAGTCACTTTTCAGGGGTTGATGCTGGCTGTGGGCTATGGGCATGGATGCTTGATTTCTTGAACCTTCGAAACTTGCGACGTAATATCCCGGAGTACAGGGTATGAGATGCCACTACCGTGGCATTGTGAGGTTCATCGACTATCGAGAGCCAATCGTGGCAGCATCCTCCACTTACTGTGATACGGCTTTTTGTCTGCTCACAGTGCACCTTTAGATATGATACAAGTGTAAAAGCGTAGGAACTCTCGCCACCCAAGGCTTCCTCATGGTCTTTTAAAACTTTTCTAATGGTATTTGAACGTCCCTAACTATGGAAATGCCCGAACTCAAGGTCGTAAAAGAGACCATCTATGCTAACCAAGCCGTACCGGTTCCTCCTAAATCAATGATGGGGATATTAGTGTACATGTGTAGCCCTTTGAGGCTTTCCTAGTTCCGCTTGTTCGCTTGTTCGCATGCTCGCTTGCCGTATCGCTATGCTTTATCACTCTAGAATACAAGAAAGAACATTCCCCTAGGTATATCAATGGATCCGAGATTGCCTGGCTGCTCTACTTCCAGCCCTTCTCTTGCTCTCAATGTTAATAATGGTTCCCGGTCCGGGAGACTCGCCCAGCAGACCTCTTGGATCGACTCGGGGTCTTGGTCTCGCTGTTGTGCTAGATGCACGTCGTCCCCAGGAGATTTCGTTGGTCAAAGCACCATTCATTGATGTTTGAGGAGGAAACAACATGCCAAAGCTAGAGCGAGAGCGAGAGGGAGATGCTGCTTCATCGCTGTATGAAGAAGCCGCCATGCTACGATCCACGCCCCTTGCCTGCTTCTGCACGTTTGCATCGTCTTCCAGCGCTTCGACCTCCATTAGTAGTGCTTGAATCTCTTCGAAGCTCATGTTGAAAGTCCACTTAATCCCTTTCAATGTAGCTCTCTTGCGTATGTCACTCAGTGCTAAGTGATCTCTTTGCAAACGGTTTTCATAGCTAGATTTCGCAGGTGAAGACATAGAACCCGGAGACTGAGTGGTCGTAGCTGGCACACTTCCATTCAGACGGGCTCTTTTTGATGATGGGCGAGCAAAAGGCTCAGAAGTTCTCTTGCGAGTACGGACTGGCGCATCGTTGCCCAGGACGGAGAATGGATTGGACGCAGACATCAAGGCATTGTTTGAGAAGAGCTCCTTCACTCGTTGGGCTTCTTCTGCCTTCAAAATCGTGTTGACCGGGGTTGCAAGGAAGTCTGCCGCAGGCGTAGGTGATGCAAACAGCTGATATGGTGCAAATTGCGTGTCAGTAGACAGTGCATTTGGTTCGAGAGCACGTTGGAGATCAACAGAGTTGGTTCGACTGGTCTTTGCATCCTGAATGTTGTGACACTGGCACATTCTAGCGGTATATGTGGTCCAATCCTGAGCGCTGCCTGGAATGATCTCGCCATCTTCATCATCAGAATCTGGCATCATGGCAGCAATTTGAGCCATTGCAAACAGGCGGGAGGAGGGCGGCAGACAAGTTAATAAGCAAGCTGGCGGCTCGACCGTCATGGTAATTGTGGTAGATGGCTTCTTTGAAATCTTGGTACTGCCTCCCTCCAAATTGGTAGATTTTCGAACTCGTCGTGGTGGGTTCCTTTTGACTTCTCGGTCTGTGGCCGCATTGGCGGCTTTCACGCTGGCGGCAGCCTTCCAACTAGCAATCTTCAACACAACAACCTTAGATTTCTTTGGTGAGGTTGGTTCAGCAACCTGGATAGTTTCAGGACTTGGTGCTCCAGTGCTAGCCGAAGACACGGAATAGCGGAGCCTGGAAGGCACTTTCGCTCCAGAATAAGAGATTCTTGCTGACTTGCGTGGAGGTTGATCTTGTTCATCGGGAGCAGGGCGTTTGAGATTGGTTGGTGATGTCTCGAGAATTTTGGCAGTTGGTTTTCTCTCACGTCGAGATTGTCGTCGCGTGGGTGATTCTCGTAAAGTGGTGGAGGTAATTGACGGAACGTCATTGGCCTCCTCGCCATTGATTAATGTGGCACTATCATTCACAGTCTGTGCTGGGGTTTCTGGGATCTCCATCTCCGTTGATGGGACTGGCAGAGTGATACCATCTGGAGGAGGGGTGCTTGGCTGATGATCATCACCTTCCTCCGACTTCCCAGGCGGTGAACCTCCAATAACGATGGTGTCGAGAAGTTGAGATGGAGAGGTCTTTTCTCCAGTTAGAGCTTGAGCTTTGACGGTTGGCTTTCTCCTACGACCAGATGCTCGTCGCTGGCCGGGCTCAGGGCTCTGTTTGCTAGAAGTGGTGGATCTAGACTTCATTGGTGCGGGTGTAACGGTTTGCGGCGTGACCGTGTCCACGTAATCATCCGGGTCACTGATAGACGTGTTAAACCCAGCGGAGAGACGGCTTTCCTGAACCGAAAGAGTCGGAGATGGAGTTGCAGAGTCTGGAGCAGAGTTGTCAGTCGAGGGAACCTTCAAACGGTCGCGGGCAGTGGTGAGCCGCATGGAAGGCGTTCCCGGAAGCTGGGGGAAGGATGTCAAGGACATGGCCGTTTGGCCAATACCCGAATCCACAAGAATGAGGACGCGTACAATGAAACAAGTAGATCTGAACAAAAGACAATGCCAACCGCCTGAAGCGATGGGTTACACTGCTGGTGTTCTGTCTGATGAGATGGAGAATTGTGTGAACTGGCAGCTTCTGAATTACGGACAGGCTTAGTGGCCGAAATAGGCTTAGTGCCCCCACAATTGCTTATGCCACGAAATGAGTCGCCACTGTTCCATTCACTTTGAAGGATATCAGACTAGGATGGCAATCCACTGGGCCAGATGCAGGACGAGGATTCACGGTTCCTTGTCCTTGATATACATACCGTCTTGAATGCTAGGCTGTCTTTGACGATTGTCACTGCGGGTGCTTGCTACCGCTGGCTCAGAGTTTGCTCTGTCATGAGCGAGTTTGAAGTTTCAAGTATGCAGAGAAGAGAAGATATCAAAGAAGGCAGAAGTTGCTCTTGCTGCGTGGGCATCTCTCTGAACCACGAGCCGTGTCTCTGATCTTGTTGTGAAGCGGTTTGCGATGAATCTCATTCGCGACCTCCTCGAATAGGCGCCGAGTTGAAAGACTGCCAGGCCTTACTGCCACCACCCAAACAATAGAGAAACGGCAGAATGCAGCATGAATTGGGAACGCTGAATCTTTGTACCTTCTGCCGTACTTGTTATCTTGGTGGTATTGTTCTCTTATATTTCTCGTCAATCGTGTTGCAGGTCTATTACTCTCTATTGCCTATGTAGGTAGTATGTACCTGGCCTTGGCTCGACGACTCTGAGATGACCACTGAATCAGCATTACTCTTCAAATCCACAATCGCTCATTCTGTCTTTAGGATGACTGGCCCTCTTTGGTTCTGCAGCGCGTCTCTCAGATCTTCCAGTTTACATTTTTGTCGCCCTTGTTCATCGAAATTCGTGTCGTGTAACCAAGCCTCAAAGGCGCGCTGCACCACAGGCCACTCTGTATCAATGACAGAAAACCATGCAGTATCACGATTGCGACCTTTGTATATCATGTGCTGTCTGAATATCCCTTCAAATGTGAATCCAAACCGTAATGCGGCACGCTTAGAAGGGCCGTTTAGATTGTCGCACTTCCATTCATATCTGCGATAGCCTAGGTCGACGAAGGCATAATATGCCAATAGATACATAGCTTCGGTGGCTGATTTGGTGCGCTGCAGCAGCGGTGAGAACATAATATTTCCCACCTCGACAGAGCGAGACTTTGCATCTATACGCATCAGAGTGGAGTAGCCAATGGGCTTTTGTGTCTCGGTGCTGATGATGGCAAAGAACAACGGGTCCTCCGACTTCGATTTGGTGACGATAGCGTCTTCGAATTCTGACCTAGACAGATATGGACCATCTCCCATATACGTCCAGAGTGCACGCTTTTCTTCGCCACCGACGGCCTCGAAAAGGTCTGCCGCATGATCTGGGCTTAAGGGAACAAGCGTCACACTGGTCCCCCGCAGAACTACACGAGAAGGCTGAGCAGCTGGCTTTGGATTAACGGGTGGCCCAATTTTCTGCGGCAGTGTCGCTGGAATTGTGTTAGAAAGAGTTCAGGATGAGTGCTCTAGCTAGCACTTGCGTACCCTTCTGTGCCTTTTTGCTCCCACGGAACTCAGACATCAATCGTGCTCGATTGCTCAACTTGACTCTCAATAGTTGGAGTGAGTGTATGGATACACAAAATCTAGAAACGCTGGAGCTGTTTAATCAAGAGGATCGTGTGTTGCCTAGCTCTGGTGGAGGGAAGGGCAACGGCGGCCAGGGTGAACGGGATACGCGGAGTCGTATAACGAGGAGGACTCAACAGGACAGGAATCGCGACATGAAAAGCATCTAGAGTCTCTCCGTTGTTAAGACCCATTCGGTGGTCGTTTAGGCTTGCCCGAATTAATGGATCTGGTGGTGGAGCGACTTGGGCCGCTCCCAAGGTCCCATTACATCGCCTAAGTTTAGGGTGCTCTCCCAGATGTTTTCGGGGATGGTCTCGTGTATCTCGGGAGTTATTCCCTTCACCTGCATAGCCTACGAAGCCTGGACCTCCAACAGGATACTTGGTAGTCCACTATCCTCTAGCAAGCCTGAGAGACTGTCGGTCTGTGAACCTGACGATCTCATTCCATGGTCTTTCTCTGTCTACGCAGGCGCATCTTGAAGTTCTCGTCAGTGAGAGTGAGTACACTTTCTGATATCAAACCTTTCTACATCATTGAAAATTTAATCCCTGCCAATAACTATGTATATTCAACCTTTGCAGAAATTAACTAATTACCCATAGGTTAGGGAAGCGCCGCTCGGCCACCAGCTTCGAATGTGTATTCGCTCATGCTGACAGTCCATTGTTGACTTGTCGTTGGATCATTACTCAGCTCTGTTATCTGGCAGCATCCAGAGCTTCAGCCAAACTCGCATGTTGTATACCCTTGCCCTCACGCTGCTTCTCTATCGACGGTCAGAGTTACTGGGTTTGAGAAGATCACGAGATAGTAAAAGTCAACTCCAGCTCTTTTTATACAGATCTCGATGATAATCGGGATTATTTGAGAAATGCAATATTTTACCTTCAGCAATCAAATAACATCGGCTGCATAATGAGTCATTGGGAACGCGTCAGCCCAGAGAAAGCGATAGTAAAAGTCTAAAAGACCGAGCCAACAATCGAAGTACTGCATTTATGTGTTCTTGCGAGAGTCCGTCATCCCTGCTGTCCAGTCAAGGTCTCAAAGTGTTCATTTGGCGCAAAACAGAGTGAGAACAGAAGAGCCCTCATCAACGAAACGCGAACGCTCACCGAGATAAAATTTGTCCAAAGTCAAATATTTCATTTATATCGCCATATAGGAGATAAAATGCTGTTGATGACGGTGCGGAGCTCACCGGGATACGATAATTTCTTTGAGAAATTTGCACTTGTAGGGACTATGTGACAAGACTTGCTGGTTTTTTGACGGTGGAGAAGCTCACCGTGTTAATGTACGGGGTGTACATGAACCAGATACAGAATCAAAGATGGCGTGCTGTTGATGACGATGTTAGAGCATCACCGATCTACAGATTCCTGGTGGTAGTCTCAAATGATGGGGTGCTGTTGTTAATGGTGCTGGAGCATCACCGAATAATATGTATACTTGTGTGCGCGTGTGTAGGTCTGGTGAATATGAGTGCGGATGTACTTTATATCTCGAGCTGTACCGTTTCGACGAACCGAAGTTGAACACATCGAAGTACAGGTGCTTCCTGTCAAAAGATGGCGGGCCTGGTGACGGTATCTGTTGAGCTTAACGTTGTAGGGCCACCTTTGATCAATGCTGTATTCAGGCATCAGAATTGGCAATGTCCCTTTTGAGACCCGTCACAGTTTCAATGTGAGTTTTAGATAGCTTGTGGGTTTTGATGAAAAGACTCGCAACGACCCCAAGAGCACTGAAGGCTGTGAACATGATGAACATGTTTCTTATACTCCAGGAGAACGCTTGCTTCACAGCAAGCTCTTGGGCCGGCGGTAGAGTATGGCCAATCATAACATTTGCTCCAGCATTCTTTCCGGAGAGGTGTTCGAGCACCGACTCGGAAAGACCAGCGTCTCGCAAAACAGGTTGACGTAAATCCATGCTTTGTTGGAAAACTATACCACCGATAATGACACCAAATGAGAGGGCCATGCTGCGAACAAAACTCTGTGTGGAAGTGGCAGTGCCGACGTCGTCTTGTGCCACACCTTGCTGAATTGCAAGCAGGGGCGGCTCAAACAGCAGACCGGACCCTATGCCCTCGATGACCTCGAAGGCTACAATAGCGCCAATTGAAGTGTCGGGGTTGAACATAATGTAGAGCCCATTTCCAATTGTCAGTAGAATGGTACCCAACCACATGGGGGGACGGTATTGTCCAGTCCGATGAATGAAAACTCCATTTAAGACGCCTGTGACGGCGGTGGCAACAATCAAAGGTACGAGAAGTACACCTGAGCGGAGCGGGGAGGCTTCTTTTACGCTCTGGAAATATAGAGGCAGATAATACTCTGCTGCTATGAAGACCTTTGGTGATTTAGCAAATGATTTGTAGAAGGAGCAGAAAGTGCTTACCAAGCCGTGGAAAAAGGTGACAATGAGAGTCGCGCCGTTTCTCGCTCCGAACAATGCCAGCGGAATCACCGGATATTTGGCAAGTTTTCTCTCGCTATAAATGAAAATCAAAATCATAAGAGCACCGAAAACAAGGAGGCAGACGACTTTGGCTGAGCCCCAAGGGTAAACAGCACCACCCAGGTCGAGACCTAGGAGTAGCATCACCACTACCCCTACTATCGAGATGCAACCAAACCAGTCAATAGCCTTGACGCCCTCGAGTACCGGTGTTCTAGGGTTGTGGACGTTGAGGAAGAAGAAGATAAGAATGAATGCTGTACCAGCAATGGGCAGGTTGCAGTAGAAGCACCATCTCCAGCTAACCTTTTCGGCAAAGGCACCACCAAGAAGTGGCCCGACGGCGCCACTGAGAGCCCAAACCCCTTCGCAAAATCCAAGCCAGAGGCTTCGCTCGCGGACACTAAAGAGGTCTGATATTGCGACACTGACCATACAGATCAAGCCACCTCCAGCAGCTCCTTGAATGGCACGGCCAACGATAAGCATCCGCATGTCCACTGCAGCAGCACAAATAACTGAACTGGCAAAGAACACAGCTATTCCGGCAAGGAAGATCGGCTTGCGCCCCCAGATGTCTGACAATTTGACCCAAATCGGCGCGGCCGCGGCATTGGCAATGAGGTATGCGCCACCAATCCAGATATAACCACCAGCAGATTTTAGGTCGGCGGTGATAATGGGAACAGCTGTGGCAACGATAGTGGCGTCCAAGGCAGCAACAAACAGGGAAAGGTAGAGGGCAGTCAAGATCATAGCCTTCCGGAACTTGCTCCGGGGTTGGCTCTGTTGCTCCTGAACGGGTTCTTCTGCTAACACATTGTCTTTCGTGCCTTCGAGGTCAACATTTTGGGTTTTGGAGGAGTTAGGAGTGACCACATCAAGCTCCAACGGAGCTTTCAACCCATTGACTGTCATCAGATCCAAATAGGGTATGCTACCAAAAATTGGCTTAGAGTATAGAATGCAGGGAGGATGTTTCTATGAGAGTTGGTGAGGCTGGGGATGGAAAGAGGAGGTTGAGGGGACGGCGTTAGCACCTAGGCATATGAAGTTTTTGTCCGCCCTATAGCAAGCCCACTCTATGCTTGTATCCGTATTAGACTTCTTGCTGCTTTAAGGGGCGCCTGTGCGTCATATTGCTGGATTAGTAGAGATAGACACTAGCTGGTAGCTGGGATAATAATTTGAAGAAAAGAATGCGTGCAAAGCATTCTAAGCAAAATCTAGGAGCTTGATCTAATCCGTTTCAGTACTTATCCCAGACTTTTTTCGATGTCATTGTCGTAGATCCAAGGCAGTAATTTCTCTCCACCAAAGCCAGCAACCATGATCTTCAACTTCGTCTCGAAGCTTCGGTCGACACTGCATTGCTGCCGCTCTTGAATCTGAACAACATAGGTTAGAAAGTAAAGCATGTACAGTACTTGGAGGCTTCGAAAGCAGCGCAAGGCCAAACCCAAGGCTTGGCACGTGACATTCCGGCAGAACATATTGCCTTCCGCTAAAGGACACAGTGCTGCGGAATGATCCATTCGGGATTAAAACATAGCATCTCGAAAGACACTTTGATAGCATTTTAGATACTGTGGTGCCGGTAGACAGTGCGTGTACCATAAATAATACGATATAGAAGACAGTGTGATGACAGTGTGATTCTACTCTGTAGACGCAAAAGGGAACGGGCACCTCTCCTGCTCGGCCGTAGTTTTTCCGGAGCCTCGGTTCATGTCTGCGAACATCCATAAATGTCCAAACATTTTGCCATGCCTAGATTGACATAACATCCATCTTTCCTCGTTCTGTGAACAGCCAGCGCTGGATATTGTTTCGTCTGTTTCCCAAACCACCCTTACTTTGTAAACTACCAGAACAGCTCCCGCCCCGCCGACCCTGTCCGCTTTGTTCTTCCCATCCCACCTCATATGCACCTAGTCTTTCCCGTTCGTTGATCTGTCATCACACACTTCGCAATGGCGGACGCCCTATGTGGCCCGTCGAACCCTCTACAAAACCTGCAGAAGCATACACAAGTCGATCGCACCCTTCAGCAGGACCGTTTAGTTGGTGCGCGACAACCGCTTGATCAGGTATGGCCATGTGATTAAGAAGACGACATCATCGCTAATCGCCCCGACACAGAGTTTCCGCACTGCCGACCCTCGCGCAGGCTCACTCGATGCCGACTTTCACGCTTTCGAAAATGCCCTTCCAAATCAATTCCAGTTTCAGCAGCCTCATGATTTCGCCAACGCATTTCCCATGTATCGACCTTCCAGCCAGCCGGCCATGAACGGTTGGGCGTCTGATTTCCAGAAACTGAGCATTAACGAGCAGCCAGTTCCAGCACAGCAATTCCGACAAGAAGCGCCTTTGGTTAGGTCTACCGTTGGAGGATGGCACACTGAGTTCATGCGGCAGCGGTCAAGCGCGAGTACACCGGTCTCTCAGGGAAAGCAAGCAGTGAGGGAGCCGCAGATGAATAATATGCCACCTTCGATGATGATGAGCAATTACTCACAACCAATTTATGGGCAGTACAATGGGATGTATCAAGACAGCGGCTTTCGGCAGCAGCAACAACATACCCCAGCAACAATGGAGCAACAAGCCCCTCAAATGTCCGATGCTGATTTTGAGGCCGCATTTGCAGACGCCTTTGCCCACGCACAGGAAATGGACCAGGCAAACCTGCAAGCCACCACCCAAGAAACACCTCTTCAACAAGAACAAACCGCAGTCGAACCGATGGAAAACGTCAAGATTGGATCTGACGCAATCCAATACCGAGAGTGGAAAGACCGCACGGCTGAGCAAGACACACGAGACGCCGATGAGCTCGCCCGGACCGCCGGCCAGCTCTTGACCTCTGTGCAGCACGACACGAGCACCAAGTTCCAGAACTCGAGCTTCCTAGATCTGATGCGCCGCATCCGCGACCGAGAAGTCGAAGTGCAAAACAATGACCTGACCAACGTCGCCACCGGCGAGGCTGCAACGACAATCAGCAGCGATCATCTCAGAGAACCAAATGGGCTCTTCGAACCAATCTCCGACCCGAAAGCCACCAATTCAACCTCCTCACACTTCGACTTCCCTGACATGGACGGCGTCTACGCACCCTCTGCGGCCGACATCGAAGAAACCGCCGGGCAACCACAACAACCAGCACTATGGGCCACCGGCGCGCAGCACACGCACCCACCGTACACGACCTACGGCTTCGACGACGACCAGTACCCGGCGCAACAGGAAACACTCCAACCCTTGCACCCGGGTGGGAAATACTACCCAGACCAGAGCCCGCGCCTTCAGCGTGCTGCTCCAGAGATGAGCGGCGCCGTCCCGGTTACCATGGGTGGTTCCCCCAGCGCCATCAGCGCCAGCGACTTCGAGTACGTTGACGAGAGTGGCAACTTGGCTCGGCGCTTCAGCTGAAATATCGAGGGCGAGCACTACTTGGTCTATTAGGAGAGGCACTCCAGCGTGTGGTCGAGGAATCCACGATGAATGTTCACGATCATCTTTCTGGCTGTTGGAAAGGCGGAGCGCACCGTTGAGACACACCCCTAGAGCTTTGATTTCTGTAGCTAGCTAGCTATGTAGCAAAGCAATTCCATTTTTTGAGCTGTTTTGTCTCGTGTTTCTGCGTGCAAACACCAAAAGAAAAATCTTCTCGCACCATGCTTTGGTTCGACTGCTCTTTGCCAGCCATCAGCCAGAACGGCACCTGCTTAGGAATGTTCAGCACCAGAAGACGAAAGGGCCACGTTCCAAGCCGTTGCTCACGTCCGGCACCCTTGCAGCATTCGCAGTCTGAGTCTGAGTCTGGGGACCAGGACCAGGACCAGGACCCGCACCTCCATCGGCATCCACTGCATCGCCATCCCCACCACCCTCACCCTCGTCATCAGTAGGCTCAACTGGTCCACCGTCCGGATTCAACTCCTTGCCCGGTCCCTCCCCAAGCAAGCCACAGCGCCACCAGCGACCCAGCATGATCTTGCCGCCGGGGATGATCACGCCCTCGTATGCATACGCGTACTCCATGTCGAGCCAGTCGAGCGCGTAGGCGGCGCGGAAGCGGTTCTCCATGTCTTCGATTTTCGCGCGGGTCATGGCCGATGCCGAGCGCCATTCCGGTTTGGACAGCAGTTTCTTAGTGAGGTATGCTTCGAGTTGCGCCTCGGCTTCCTCGCTGTCGTATGCTGGTTGGGCTGGCTGGCTGGTGCCGCTCCCACTGGCATTGGAATGGGCGTTGGCATCAGGGGCTTGGCCGGTTTGAGTGGTGGCGTTCTGAGTCAAAAGGGTCGAGATGGCCGGGCCGAAAGCGTCGCCGAAGTTCTCCTCTGCATATTCCAGCACCTGGATCATGTAGCGCTTGGTCGGCTTGTACATGATCATGACGATTCTTCGCCAGCCGGGGATGGACTTGTCTTCGTCTTCGACGTATTTTTCTTCTGCTTTGCCCTTGCCTTTCTCGCCGCTGTTGTCTGGTTCCTTGCTCGGTGGCGGGGGAGGAGGTGGTGGTTGATCGGGAATAGGGTGGATGACGCCGCGGAGCCGGAGGGAGAGAAAGGGATGGTATTTCGGTAGCTTTGGGAGAGTCAAGGCGGGCTGTTTACCTGTCGATTTTCTCTTGTTGGTGCTGGTGGTATCGGATGATAGGTCGATAAAGGTCGCGAGGCCTTGGATCATGGTGCAGGTGCTACTGTCAGTGTCGAGGGCCGGGATGGTGGTGTCGAATGCCGGGATCGAAGAGAAAATCGGTGGCCAAAGGCCGTCTTTGATGTTGTTTTGGCTCGTTGAGAACTCGAGTTTCTGAAAGAGATGTTAGCATTTGGAATGTCGAGGCTCGACGGCAGGGATTTGGAGGATGCAATCTATGTCTTCGGTTTCACTTACCAACGGGTCAACAAAACTCCAATCTTCAGCACATGTTTGGCGTTCCTCCAGATCTCGAACGTTCTTTGGCCAGGGGTGGATACAGCTGTAATGACCATGCCACTCCGTGGCCACCGGAGACGGCTCGCTTCTCAATGGCTTGTCCCATTTCTTTGGAGTGATTCCCACCTGCAACAGCTTATTTGCCATTTTGGAATAAGTATCTTCACCGGTCCAGCGGCAATTCGACTTGGCGAGGGCCTTGGTGCTGTCAATCAAGTGTCGGTGCCAGAAGTTGCGAATATGGAGCAGAGTGTGCATGTCAACCTCCAATTTGAACTCAGGTGGCTCTGGAGCTGCGGAACGTCGATCTTTGAGCTGGGGGGGCTTCTGACACTTGTGAGCCTTCTTAGACTTCTTAGACTTCCTCTTGGTCCGTGGATCCGGTTCCTTCTTGGGCTCTTCCTCCTTCAGGACTTGAACACGTCGATACAGTGTGGAAAATGCTTCATTCCAATGGTAGACACGAACGAGATTGTAATCTGCTCTCGATGAGTCCACTTGATTGGCCATCTCCGAGGCAGGAGAGAGCAGTAAATGCGAGAGACAGACCTGGAGAGCATCGAAGAGGGGTTGTGGCTGGCCAAATTTGGCTCGACGAGTGGTGCCTGGAAACAAAGCCGTCGACAGGAACTTGAGCATCCATGGCGAGGTCTGTGGTGACTCAAATGCTGCCAGGTTTCGAGATGTTGTCGGGACCGGGAGATGCGGCTTTTCTGGAAGGTATGTTTCTGAAGGTGAAGAATTAGCGATCTGATCCTGGTACATGGCAGAGGAGAGTGGATAGAAGGCCGATGTTTGCTCACCAATGACCATGTTCCTCAAATTATCCATCTGGATCTTGAGTCTCGCATCATCAGGATTGCGGAAGGTAACCCAGCGAGACAAGACGAAGCGGCGCAACTGATAGGCGACGGCATACTGAGCGTGCTCATCCACCAGTGGGACGTCGTACAATGACAGAAAACGCTTCTTCCAGATAGCCGATTCTGCTGGGATGAGAGACTGTGCCAAGAAGGGACTCGAGGAAGCAAGATTCATAAAGTCCCGGTCGTTATCGACATAGAAGGCGATCTGATCGAGAATCTGTGCGGCAAGGTCAGATCGGACTTGACAACGATGATGGGCAACCATTGGATGCGACAACATAGGAAGTCACTCGCCTCGTTGGGGACACTTTCTAGCCGACTGTATTGAGCAGTCATGAGCCTGAACCGCTTGTACTCTCGGGATCCATCTTTCCCGCCAGGACTAGACATTGAAATATCGCCGTCACCATCTTGGTGAGGTGAGCGTGGTCGCTTCAAGGTAGATTGGTTATTGCCCATTCCGGAAGACTTGGTGGAGCCTGGGCTATTGATTCTCACTTGTGAACGCCGACATCCAAGTCGAGTTCGTAGTTGTCAAGATCCGAAGATGGATCGCTGAGTTCAGAATCACAATCACCTGAATTCACAATAACACTAGTGTCTGACGACGACATCATCGACGACATCATCAATGATATCGTCGAGAATGTCATACCTCAAAGAACCCTCTGAAGTTGGTCACTGGCGCTGGAGTTAGCCAACAGATACTGCGTTCACTCTGAAGACTTTGGTTTCTGTACTTGACTCAACAGGATAGTAGTCGTGTCATGGTGAGCTTTTAGTCTGTTGATAAGTGTAGAGAAGAATAGCTCGCGACAGAAGTGCTGCTGACTGCAATGTCTGCTCAGTGAAGTGCGTTCAGGGGTCAGTGAAACAGGAACTTCACGATGGATTGTGGCTGTATAGGACAATAGGACAAGTGCCGTAGTTGGCAGTGAAGCTTTGATTCGGAATAAAAGGTGACACGCTCTCGCTTTGTCTATGTATATGTCATTACACTCGTGTATCATGGCTGACTCCATCAAATGAGATACGCCCTGAAGGGCAAAATGCAAATCAGGTCGACGTCGCCGGGACTGCTCACCCATAAAACCACTCTCAATTGGGGTTCCGTTCCTAGCATCATAGCCAGTACAGCAACAATCCCAACAGAGACGAAAAGAGACCTAGAGAATCTCCTGAGATCGGAGAACGACTCCTGTGTGCAGTATTTCCAGTGGCTGATGCTGAAGCTGATGATGTTGGAGATCCAGCGGGAGTACCTGATCGGTCTGTCCTTGTGACGAGGTAGATCTCCCCTGAGGCATCCGAAGCAACAAAGATGCGACCCTGAGGATCAATGGCCATTCCGACAAGTCGCATACAATTGCCGGGGCATCTCGATAGATCCTCATTAGCAAAGATATCAACGGCGGCTGTCATGCTGTCATGCTCGTCAACGGGCTCACCAGCCTCGGTGAATGCTACTACCGCCATCTTGTAACCAACGGGATCAGTCCGATCCCAACTACCGCGAAAAGTCACCCAGGCTTCTTGGCCACTGTTGTTGAATTTGATATCCATAGGTGCCATGTGTGCCTGGAAGCTCAAGCGAGGGGGAATTTGTTCCGCACAGAATTCATCCGTCTTATTTTCATTGTTGGAAGCAGTGGTGGCATCGATGGCGAATTGACTGCCGACCGACAACTTACCATTGTCTGGTATATCGTTCACTTCCCAGGCAGCAAAACACCACGGATAACCAAAATTTCCTCCTTGATTCGGGGATGCTGTTCCATTCAAGTAGCCTAGGAAATTGAGCTTTTCGGCGGGGTTGTCCTCGTGAATATCAACTCCCATCCGCGTCATTTGGTCGGCAGAATTTTCGACACCCCAGATTCCACCACTTTGCGGGTGTTCTGCAACTCCCACCTCGTTTCTCAAGCCCCAGCCCAAGAGCAGGCCGTCGGAGTTGTAATCATAAGGGGATGTCGAATTTGTCAGGTTAAATGCTTTGACTTGCGAACTTCCGGTGCTTCTATCGGTAGCCAGCATATCTATGTTACTCAAGCTTCCTTTGGACACAACCATCATACCAGGCACCTGCCGAGAGAGCAGAAGTGTTCGAGTCGAATGATCACTTCCACTCATGTTACTGATGTGGGTTTTCTGCTCGGAAACGGTTCTCACAGCAGCATCGTAGGTCCAGGAATATACATCGGTTTCTGAGGAGCCATAAAGGGTTCTCCCGTCGTCAGAGAGCTCGATGCCATGGTTGAGCTAGATTGCATGTCAGTAGGGTTCGCAGAATGACAACGTCCCATGCACTGACCTCTAGGGCTTCTGTGACGTCCGAAGATCTGCTTATTGATACACAGCCATTCTCTTCCTGAAGGCTATGGGCAGATATCACGCCTCTGTCTGCTTCTACCACCAAGAGATTCCCCTCCCCATCAAGGACGAGGCCACGCGGTTTTGCAAGCCCGGTGGCAACGACTTGGTATGTATAGCCAGACGCAATTGAAGGACGGATCCCATTAGAAGGCGCAGGGCCACAGCTTGAGGACTGGGCAATGACCAGGGATGGCAGGAGTGTGGCCAAGCCAGCGATCGAAGCTGCAATCGACCTCATTGCGAAGAGGTCAAATTGTCAGCGCAACCGTGGCTGTCAAGTGTGGCTCAAGGTGGTCGCGTGTTGAATATTTGAGGTGGTGAGGCTCTGTTGCGAGGAAAGAGTGAAGTGAGAGCCATGTTTTGGAGATATTAGGATACAGGACAGCTCCAAGCATGTAAGCGAGTGTTCCTGGCGTAGGGTGCCGGTGGATGTCATAGAAAAAGTGGGCAGAGGGCGTCTTGGTGGTGATCATGATGATCTCATCCCCAGGGAATGAAGGCTTGACTTGCTCTACCCGCCAAGTGCCCGGCAGCCTTGGGTTTCGTGACCAAATTATCGTTGCATTAGCCGACAGACAGATCCGTACAATTCCCCAGGCTTGGAGATGACGCTTTCTGTCCACTAGAAGACGGAAGTCATGCACGGTCGCCAGACGTACTTGTCAAGTTGGTCACCCAGTATACCGATACGAGTTTCTATATATTATGTTAGGGAGATATGTCCTTTGCCGAGAGAGAGCGTAAACGGTTGTCGTTCCAGGTTCATATCATACCTTCTCGTACACAGTACACAGTATAGTACGAGGTACTAGCTAACTAGTAGCGACATCTTCGAGCATGTACTATAGCTTAGGTAAGAGCACCTCAAACATTCGCTCGTTTCACACGGGTGCTGGTCTCTATTGATTTGTCACTGACCTGCTTCCTCGCAGGCTGCCACTTACATACACCTCATACTCCTTACACCACCTTATCATAGTTATCTCAGTGAGCCTGGACCACGCCTGCCTCATTTGCTTGGGCCAGAATCTTCTTCTTGTACGCATTCACGTCGCCAGGGAATTTCTCTACGGTACCCTTATCACACACCCACAGGCTCGTGCAAACGTTCTGCAGCATCGTAACATCGTGACTGACCATTAGTACACCCCCCTGAAATTGCTGCAATGCAGTTGACAACGCGTCCATAGCCTCGATATCAAGGTGATTTGACGGTTCGTCAAGAACCAGAATGTGTGGATTCGTCAATGACAGGCAGGCAAATGCAACCCTGGACTTCTGGCCTCCGGATAGAAGCTCAAGCTTTTGCAAGCCAGTCATACCAGTAATGCCAAAGGCACCAAGATGTCTTCGATATTCCTCGTCGGTTCTACCAGGGTAGTTCTTCTGCATAAACCCCACGGCCGATGTGTTCATATCAAGCGCGTCCACATGATGCTGAGCAAAGAAGCCGATACGTAGACGAGGATTCTGCGAGATCAGCCCGGTTGTAGGCTGCAGCTGTCCGATCAAGAGCTTGAGAACCGTAGTCTTACCCGCACCGTTGGGTCCCACAATACCGATTCTAGAGTCCAGTTGGACATCGAGATCAACACTTCGGACCAGGATCTTATCTGGGGAATATCCGAACGATACATTGGACATTTGGATGATTGGTGGAGATAGTTTCTCCACATCTGGAAACTTGAAGTGGACTAGATATTCAGCCTCGGGAGCTTCAAGCACTGGCATCTTCTCCAGCTTTTTGATACGAGACTGCGCCTCCGAGGACTTTGCGGCATTGTATCTGAATTTGTCGATGAATGCCTGCAGGTGAGCTCTTTGTGCCATCTGGTTTTCGTATTCGCGTTTAGCCGTCTTTCTTCGTTCTTCTTTAGTGGCGTAGAAGGAGTCGAAATTGGCACCCTTGTAGTAGTCCAAGCGTTCAGAATGTTGGTGGATGATGTCCGTCGCCACTTCGTTGAGGAATGCTCGATCGTGCGAGACGACTAGTACTGTGCTGGGATACGTCTGGAGATAGTTGGACAAGAAGGTGATTGATGGCACATCCAACATGTTGGAAGGTTCGTCCAGCAACAGCAGATCTGGCTCGCAGAACAATGCTCTGGCTAGGGCCAATCTCATACGCCAACCACCCGAGAACGTTTTGGTGGCATATTGTTGACGTTCCGTCGAGAATCCCAAACCTGCCAGGATACTGGCCGCGCGAGATTCTGCCTTATCAGATTCCATTTCACCGAGCTTGGCTTGTATGTCTCCTAAGGTGATGTCAAGCCCGTCCTTTTCCTTGTCAAGACGTCCGGCATCCTTCGATGTGTCCGCTAGTGTAGAACGTTCGGCCTCGAGCTCGGCTAGTTGTTGGGTGATCTTTTCTTGCTCTGCAAGTAGATGCTTACGCCAGACATCTGCGTCAAGAACAGCCTGAAGAGCTGGAGTATCATCTCCTGTGATCTCCTGCTCTACGTGAAGAATTGAGATATGGGTTGGAATGGCCACCTCACGACGACTCAAAGCCCGTAGCAAGGTTGATTTGCCGATACCGTTCTGACCAACCAAACCGTATCTGCGACTGTACGCTAAAGTGAGAGATGTATCGGTAAGAATTCGTTTGCCGGAGATTGACACGTCAATGCTATCTACTTTGATATCTTTGCTCTTGGATTGAGCATCAGAACCGAGTTGTAGAGGATTGACAGCCATGAAGAACTCTTCGTATGACTGTGCGGCATCAGGCTGGTCTATCAACCTGGAGGCCTCATATTCGACATTCTTCATTACTTTCTTGTCCTGCTTGGCTCGAATCTTCCGCTCGGCCTTTTCAAGCTTCTTCTTGTCAACTTTCGATTCGACCTTGCGGGCATTAGCAGCTTCGAGATCAACGGCAGCACCTGTCAGTCCCAGAGTGGATGACACATTGCGTTGAGAGCTGACTTGGATAGTCTGCTCCAATCTTTTGGCAGCAAAAGGCATCTGCCGCCTCTCAGAATCTATGCCATTGGCCTCACTGAATTTCGAAACGAATTGTTCCACCAAGTTCCGTATTGCGGCTTCATTTTGCTCAGAGAAATTGCCTGAGGCAGATACAAGCAGTGAAGTTACGGTCTCGAGAGCTTCACTTAATGGTGACTCTGCAGAAGGATCATCTTCGGATACATAGAGTTTGGATGCATGATTTAGATACCCCTGAAGATAGTCAGCTTCGGATTCCAAGGACAAAGGGCTTCAATCCGAGGGCCGGGCTGAGCATAGTGACCTGAAGCCATGCCCGCTACCAACAAAACCTCCAACATGAGGACAGGTGCTTACCACGGAGTACTCCGATAACACATGATCGATGTTAGGAATTCGAGCTTGAATTTCCGCTTCCATGTTGACTTGTGACCCACGGAAGATATCAATAGACCGAGGCTTGTTATCGAGTGCCAAAGTCCTGGATAGCGTGTCCGGGTGAACCGTGTAGGTTACACGATTTCTTCCAGAGCCGGGCAGAAGTGAGTTCACTCTGGGAATGGGCGTTTGTGGCGGATTGGGTAATCGTCCTGAAACCTGTACAGCTGAAGCGGAGTTGATGCAAGGTTTGAAATTGGCAGGGCGGTAGGATGTGGCGAGTCTAGTCAAAGCCCAGTCTCTTCCGCTCTGAGTACCGGCTGCTTTCCGGTTCCAAAGTTTTACACGAGCGGTTGGGCTAGTGAAATTGACTCTAGTACGGAGTACACTCCAGCCTTGATCAACAGCGAACACTTTTCAGAAATGGAAGGTTGTGATCCATTTGGCCTAGCATCTGTTTCTTGACGAATTTGTTGAAAGACGGTTGTGAGGCCTTCTTGGCAATGTCCGAAAAGGGACTAGGCCATAACAGGTATCGAGCTTGTCAGAAATTCAGAATGCAAGTTGGGGTTGCAGTTCGGTGTCCTGTTTGCGAATGCAACGTACTGTATTTACCACTAACATGAACATTGAATTTATGTGTGTATAGCAATATCTCGGAGCTACCTGGTGGTCCCTAGATTGGGGGGGAGGGGAAACAAAGTAAAAGACATGTTTTGATGTGCTCGGTGAATCTGTCTGTGCATACCTGGTAATTAGTATTCCAACTGACGCCGGTAGAAACAATGTTCACTCCATGCCCGGTACTTACCTACTTGTAAGTTACCTAGGTAGAGTGCTCTCAGAGATACGTACATTCGTGCTAAGCCTGTACTCTGTAGATATGTGCCAGTTTTCTTATCACCGAGGCGTAGGCGCGGTATTTGAGCCCGAGGCCCTAGCCACAATCATGATTCAAGACGATGCCGATCTAGCACGCGTCGAGAAGGATCCTGGAGCCGTGGCAGCCAAACGCGTCATATCCCTGTAAGCGAAATATGCGGGTCCCGCTCTACGTAGGCGACTCCGGGAATGGCTGATCAGTGATCACTGACAAGGTGATGTGCTCCTAGGTCAGAATACAGGGAATCAGTCGCTAATCAATGACCAACATCTGCAGTAGTTCGATGGGTGGATGACCGGCAGCAACAATGCATATGCAGAGTTTGAAATATCGTCTTCTTTGAGAGCACGGCACAAGCACTTCGTCGTGCTTGAGGAGGAGGATGAGGGGACTGATGCTAGCAAATCAGGCCGCCCTTCTCGTGCTCATCGAAATATCCGTCCAGTCGACTCCGAATTCTAGAAACCGTTGTGTCAGATGTCAGTGCTCAGCCCGTATGGAAGTATGTCATGGTGGAAAGTGTAAACCCTTGAGGCCCGGATCTCAAAGCCTCTTGGGATTACGAAGGGAGAGGCTGGTGCATGATCTTCCGTGTCAGCTCCAGCTAGCTCAGAACAGTAAACTCTGAAGAGTTAAGATATGCATGGAGAAGAGCCTTATTGCTGGCCGGTCGCTTCAACCGCACAGAGGAGAGTTGTGCCGTCCTCCAGTACGGATTTGTTTCCTTTTGAGATTTGAAGTGCTTAGCTAGAGGGCCGGCTCTCAGGGTAAGGTTTCATTCCCCGCACTGGCAGTTGAGGTGTCGCCTGTATGTATGGACCAGACCATTACCGGGTCGTTTGAATTCAGACACTACCTAGGTCCACCGTACTATACCCGTAATGACACAGCAGGTATTTCTTTGAAACGTGACTACAGGATGGCCAAATCTACACACACCAGTCCGTGCAGACCATGTTCATATATCAACCACCTCGTAAGGAGTACTAACAACTTTATAGGCTAGTCACTCACTTCACCAGAAACCCCTTGGGCAAGGGGCCGGGGCATTCGGTACAAGGGAAAGGTAGTCGGCGTCCTCGGTATTATTGGTGACTGGACAGCATCAGTACCGCTGGAGTGGCTACTGGCAGGTTGTCTGCCCCTCCATTGCGCGTTGCAGCCAATGCGGACGCGATGTGTCTAGACCAACAACCCTGCACAACATTCACACATCTAAAACAAGTCAATCAGCAACCGGTACTTCCAGAAGACCAAGAGTCCTGTCTGACAAGTGTCACTCCAGACCTGCATTGATCTGTTGGATCTGTGTGTCTGTGTGGTGTACTTGAACAACACAGTGACACCTGCTCAACCTACAGATTACAAGTCCAGTCACCAAGTCACCGAGTCATCAAGGCATGAGCCAGCCCTCTCAGACAACAAGTTCGTGGGGAAAAACAAACTGTCGGGGCGGCCAGGCGCCACAGCCTGCAGCTTGAGGGCTTAGCCTTTTCTAACCTGAGATAGTACGAGTACGGAGTACACACACGCGACGCGAGAGATCTGACTTTAAGCGTATCATGTCGAATCTCGTCATCCGAGTTGCCAGCGAATTGTGGCGCGCCGTGACCTTGTTTACGAAAAGAACAGCCTCCACCTCATCCAAGCTGGACGACTAGCTGGGACTAATTGATCCACTGCATCGTGGTGTCGTTATTGTTTTGCAGGGTTGACAAGCAAACAGACAACTCCGACGCACCTTTCTCCACTGCTCAACCGAGACCCGGCAGCGACCTTATGCTGCTATTGCATCATTGGCGCTGCACAAGGACTTTCCAAGTCACGATAGTAGGAAGACGAATCCTCCTCTCATCAAGTCCCCAGAACGTCGTGGCTGGCATCCTTCGGGTTTTATTTCGAGTCGCGGTCTTACCATCCGATTGAACAGCCATTTACGTACATCCAGCCGCTCTTTTCAAGATTATGTTCGCGTTTCATGCTCTAGCGTGCTCGCTACTGTACACTGCGCGTGTTCATCGCTCGGGCCGTGCGCCTCGTGCTCACTGCTCAGCTCCCAATCTGTACTGTTTTGTCAACAACCTTTCCGCTTCTCGGCATCAGAGGCATGGCTTGACACAAACTGCAGTGGGGCACAGCGCACAAGGGTCACACCGAAACAGTAGATCGTCCTTCTCTCCAGGAATACGAATCATGGCAAGATGGTCAACCAGGGTAATGCCAGCAACTTCATTAAAAGCTCGCCTGTGCTGAGAAACGCAGACGAGGAGTCAGAACACTGCTCCAGCGCCTTGTTCGTCCTTCCCTATTCTGCCATTCTCCTCGTAAGATCGGCCCTGGCTATCGAGGAAGAACCCAGTTGCTGTCCCTTGTAAGCGGCGTAATAGACGCAATCCATCAGAGGAACCATAGATGTCGCTGGCTTTGTGCGTTTCTACTCCACTAGCTGAACCGTCCATTTTCGTAGCAGCTGATATGATCCCTTGATCGCGAACCTAGAATAGCAGCTGTGGAAGCTACAGTCGATGCTAAACCAGCCACTTTGAGGAGAAGCTCATTCGAACGGTCTTATCCTTGCAGATGCCAATGTAAGTTGCCTTTCATCAAACAATTGCCTCGCTTAGAGGATTGTATTGTAGTGAGACATACCAGCGGCATCGAGAACGTTGAATGGATCAATGTAGCACTACAGGAGGTTGAATAAAATGCTGATGGACATTGTAGATAAACAACTGTAGCATTGCATCTCCCCTGTGCCTCGTACACCGTGCACAACCGCACGACTACTGATTTGAGAAGCGGCACGCGGCAGCAGGAGTGTTGGTCCCACTCAAGCGCTGCTGGACAAGACCTCAGAGGCAACGATATCCACGCCACAGTCGAGTGCTGTGCTGGCCTGTGCTCGATGTGGTTTGAACCCTGGGTCCTTGACGGGTTGGAGGGGCGCCCCAGAGGCAGATCCCGGTTCTATCATTTTGACAGGACGACCGAAGAGTGTTTTGACATGGCAGAACTTGCTAGCTCGGTACGAGTCCAAACTTATTTCAATGACAGCAGCCCGCTGGGCTGGATGAACGGGACGGCGTGCCTCGTACAGCTGTAGGAGCAACAGGAATTGACAGTTGGGACACCGGGACAACAACTCGAAGTACGAGGAACTCTGTATTACATACTTGTGCAGTATTCAGACCATCTACCGATTGTACGCGTGTCCGTAGGTTATGTACTTTGGTTGAGGTCTTCATACTGACTACGGAGGACACCAAACTGTTAAATCAACGGCTTCTTGGGGCCAAGCGGTTTGGGTGCAATCTGCTGCTGGCAGCGGGTTTGGGAAGCGGGAGTGACAATCCGATGCTGGGTATTCCATACCTAGAGTTTAGGTAGTTCCTTAACCGTAGGCTGTGCCGCGGGCGTCATCATGGTGATGGTTTAGCTAGCCTATCGCCTACTGGATCCGCAACTTGGTTTAACAGAGCCACAGCCGGTAACTTGGGAACAGGTGCAGTTGCTAATAGGCGCTGGCGGTGCCTCGGTGGGTTGTTCTTTGTGCAGCACTCCCGCCCGAATCCCACTCCCATTGACCATTACCACCACCATACCAACTTTCCAAGCGAAGATCCCATTTTATCCACCTGCACTCCATCTGCATTGACAAACACTGCAGAAACCTACTCACCACGCACCACTCAGAGTCACCACCAACTACTTCCACCACAACCATCCATCTCGACTCGTTCTTCCACCTCTACCTCCCACCTTCCACCTCACACTCTCCCTCACTTAGACACGCTATCCAGTTCCAAGTGCCTCTTTCCCGCCCCGTCATTGTTTGCATTGCCTTGTGCGTGTTATTTTCTCTCAGCATCTCTAATTTCTCCTCCTTCGCTACAGCTGCGTCGCGTGTTTCGCCCTGTTTTCCCTTTCCGCGTCCTGCCCCGGAAACCATATCCTTCCTACCAACACCCTTACCACAAACCCAGACAACGACAACGACCGCGCCAATCACTCAGTCCTCTCTGTCCTTCACAAATCTTGCAGCTGATGGTGAACCCGCCATGAGGACGTTCCATGTGAACGTACACCAGCAACTCTGGGCTGAGCTGCCTCGAGGGCAATCTCCCTGTTGAGCCACGATGGACCACGGTCAAGAACATATTGCTACGGTAATTACTTTCCATACTGCGCCCAATCACCATGTCGTCCTCGTACATCTCTAACAAGACCTTCCAGCTATGTGCCATAGGCACGATTGGAATTGCAGCCACCGGTTTAGCATTGGGTTCCTCCAACGGCGATTCATTTCTTATCAAGCCTGGCAAGAGAAAGTCTCCTGGCTCCAATGTCACTACACAGTCTCCTGTCTCTCCATCCATCTCTTTCTCACCGCGTCCTGCCACCTCGCAGCCTGTGCCCTCGACTCCTGTCGTCCCAGAACGGACGGAACGTCGCCTCTCCACTTCCATTTTGAGAAGAAAGACTATTCGAGCCGCCACGCCTTCCACCACTACCAGCAGTAATGGCACCCAGTCCCGCGAGAGCTCTGTGAGCAGGCACGGAATCCTAAATCCCTGGACCTTGGATAGAGACCCATCAACGGAAAGAGAAAAGAATAGCAGACCTGGTTCATTTTGGCTGAGACGGATATCAAGCATTTCACGTGGTGCCCACAGCAGCCCGGCTTCGTCCTCGTCAAAACTAGATGAACCTCTCAACACCTCCAGGTCATCATTAGGAGACGCAGGTCATCCAAACAAACTTGTTAAACGCTCGACTTCAAAGAGATTTCTGACCAACGACCGAGAAACACCGGCTCTGCTGAGACGCCCAGCAACCAGCCACCAACGGTCAGCAACATTTTCTGGTTTGCCGTATACACGGCCTTTGACAACTGAATCAGCCCTTGTGGTTGAGCAACCCACTCATTTATCACGAATCTCTACTTGGAGACCATTCTTCGAGCCGAGCTATTCTAGGAAGAGGCACTCCTCGGGTCCCGGTCGAGATTCTTCCGCTCGCTTGATATCTTCTATCCAGGGACAGCCACCAACTTTGCTGTTGGCCAGTGCTGTTGAGCCCCGGGAAACGACGGATTTCCAAGAGAACCACACTGTTATTCAATCGGATCCACCACTACCTGCCACCAGTCGACGCCATAAGATCCGTCGAACCTTGGGCTCTGTAAGGAGAGGTATTCCCCAACGTCACTTCACTGACCCAATCGTGCGAGTGAACAAGGACGAAGCATATGGGAGCATTGTCCCACCAGACGGCCTGTCCCATTTGTCACCTGTGTCTGATGTGTCTGCTTTTGAAGTTCAGCTTCCTCATGGCACACCGGTCTTCACATCAAGTCCGCCTCTATATGCCTCATCACAGCACCGCTTCATATTGCCGAAGCGTACTTCTACCGCCCCATCAGATCCCACCACAGCCAGCTCAGACAACGACACGAGAGTATTCACAGATGACGACTCAATGGACTTCCAGAGTGACACAGCTTATGATTCAATGGCCACCCGAGCCACTGCTAGCAGCCATTCTGGCTTTCGTCAGCCCAAAATAGAGACAATCTTTGACGAGCTCTCTATGGATCCTGAGCCCCCTCAGACCTCGGGTTTGGAGGAATTAATGCAGCGAACCACATTGAATGAACCAGGTTCAAGCTTCAGCGGTAGAAGCGATCAGGCTACAACTGTGGGCATTGGGATCCATGGTATTGACAGGGACAGGCCAGCACGAGACGTCAGCCCTGATCAGGCCTCCACCCCTGTCAAGGGCCCCCAAGTGGATCCAGAGGATTCTGTTTCAACTCCAGTGCCTAAGAGACGGCCCAATACCGATCCTATTTTCAACTCTTCCCCTCCCTCCATGCGTGCATTCAGCAGAAAACTGCAGGATGAGCCTGAATTACCCACGATGATGGATCTCGACTCGGACCACGGTGAAGAGGATATTGAATGGTCTCCTAAAGTCGACCAGGAAGAACAGGAAGGGCGTGTGCAGATGGATGTGTCAGCACAAAATGCAATCCGCTTTGATCAACTCTCTGATGATGATTTCGATGAACAACGATCGACCAAACGATCATCCATTTTTGACTGGTCAGAACACCAAAAGCTCGGCAGTGATCAATCAAACGGTGTAAGTCCCCGGCCAAAGACAGTCCACGGCAAACAGGGTACAAAGAATGGACGCAGCCGACCTTCAGGCCGTAAAAGTAATGCTGCAATGCATTTACGTAGCCAAAGCGTGCCAAACAATCGTGACAGCCTGGCTGAAGCTGACTTGCCATCATCGGCCACTAAGTTTGGTACTTGGGCACTTGGTAGCAAACCTGTTAGCGAGGAATGGAGCGACGATTTTGAGTTCGACGACGTCGACGAAATCCTCGAGCCGTCGGAGCCTGTCAGTGATGACAAGGCTTGGAAGCGAGAATCTATTCGCAGCGTCAAAGTCCCACAGTCCATCATCGATCGCCAGCAGAGTGTGCACCTCCAATTCGGTCAAGTCCGTGAGTTTATGTTGTTGGTTGAAGAGCTGAAACGACTTCGCCTGAGGGGAACTCACCTTGGACTACTTGAAAGTCACTCGAGACAGCTATGGGAAGATGCGGAGAGCATCATTGACCTGGCCACAGTCAATGAAGATGAGGACAATTTTGCCCGTCCTCCCTCGCCCGTATCATCCGACATCTTTGGGGACGAAACACCGCCTTCCAAACGGACAGCAGATGAGGAAGCCAAGACCAATGACATGGGAAGAGCAATTAATCGACGTTCAATTTCCAGTCCAGGGACACCCCCGTATGGGCGGCCACGCGGTGAAAGCATTCAAACCAAAACTTTCCTTCAAACCATCCACCAGCATCGTACTTGCCCGGAATCCTCACCACCCCCTGCAGAGGTTCATGTCCAACACCGAGATAAACTCCCATTTGACACGCAAGATTTAAGAGACCTGGTGGTTCGAGCTGGTGTTATCACCCGTGCGTTGAAGGAAATTGTGAGGAAGGCAGAAGGTGTTTCTTTGAGTCCGGAAAGATCTTCTGTACTTAAATTTCCACATGATCCAGTATTCCGGCAAATATTCGACCCACCATCGGATCCGTCCTCTAGTCCGACACTGAAGAAACCTGCAGGTCTGCCAAAGAGTCGAAGTGCTAACAGCTACCTCGATGGGGCAAACACCAGCAAAGAACTTGACATGGCACAGTCATTGAAATTCACCGCCGCAGTGGAAGCGAATTGATTGTGGGAATATGGCGTTAAGTTTTTCTTATGTGAGATTGTACAGTACGATGGAACGGCGTTATGAAAAAACTCGGCTCAGGTTATTGTGAGCATCGGTCGTTGCATTGGGTGGCGTCCTCGTTCGCATTTTTCTGGATTCGCGGGCGGCATGAGCTGGGATAACCAAAAGAACGAGCGACAAAAGCTTGTAATATTGTCAACATGCTAGCAGAGCGTTCTGGAACGCTTACGATTCTTACGGAGGAACTTTTCGAAGCCCTTGGGTGGATTTTGACCCACCAGGCTGATACTGGGAGCGATGGCGTACCATACACGTCCATGATAGGCAAGACACTAAAAAAGCAACGAGGAAGGACTTGAGCATTGGACCATGCTTTGGGTCATGCATGTTTTGATGAGCAAACTGGCTGGATCCCTTGGGCTTTCTTGGTCCACGAATAAGTCAGGATTGAGGTGTTGAGAACGGGTATCGTTTGTTCTATTGCATTCGATTGTAATATCCCTGTTTAGTATGGTTATGATAGAAGATCAAGGAATGACAATAAACACCTCAAAGGTGTGTTTTCCAGCACCACTCTGAGATCCATTGGTGGGTACACTTTTACCCAGGTTCGGAGTACTCGTATGTAGATGTGATGTGAGGTTGACCCGAGCCAGCAGCCCGGATCGGGAGCGAATAGTGGCTGCTCTAACCACGAGTTGCAATTCAATTGCCGCTTCTCCGAACGAGCTTGAGGAGGTCTTGGCAGACTCTACCTCTTCACAGACATCCCTTTGGCCGTAAACTCTGTATCAACCTCTGCCACAACCACAACAACACGCCTCACTCGTTGTATTGTCGCCTTTACAGCTACAGGCATTGCACTGTCAGCTTCCGAGCCCCCAAACCAGACGGCCAAAACGCTTGCAGTGCTGTCATCGACAACGACACGTCGAAGCACCTCACCCCTCCCACTCCTCTCTCTCTCCCTCTCGCAATCCCCTGACTTCATCTCGCAAGTAGCCATGCTCACACGCCTCCCTCGCCTCGCAGGGCGCACAACCCAGCCTCTGGTCTCACGCCTCCAACAGACACCATCGCTACAGGCTCGAAACGCCGCCACGCCCTTCCGACTGGCAAGCTCACATTCCGCAGCGGGTGCACTGAAGGGCTCTGAAGGCGGCCACGACGCAGACCATCACCACGGAGGTGACCACGACGACCACTTCGACCCGCCCGGCGGCTGGCTTTGGGGTGTCCGTCCTGGGGAGAAGGCGGAGAAGGAGGGTTGGGAGCCCCTCGCTTGGGTTTTTGTCGGTGCTTGGGTCGTTGCGGTTGCTGCTTATACCATGAAGGAAGATACCTCGTGAGTGCTCTACTGCCCCATTTTCGCCTTTCTATGCGTACTTCTGGGCTTTGTTTAGCTGTCGAATCTCCTGGCTGTTGTGGGTTGCTAGATACAGATGTGGCGCCATTTGATACGGAAGTGTAAGGAACTCGATTTGCTAACCGGCGTTGCTTTTACCTACAGGATACAAACTTGGGCATTAGAAGAGGCTCGGAGACGACTCGAGGCAGAAGGGTTTTACGACGAATCGAAATAGATCCTAGAAATATTTTGTTTTTTTCCTGTCGATGAACTGCTCCAGAGATGCCGAGATATTCGACAGGCATGGTTTGCTTGTTAGTCCGTGGAACTGAATCGGAGCAGATCGGACGTGCACGATCCCGCATACAAGCTCTTGTTTTCGAAACCACATTTCCCTTCTTTTGGATTTGCTCAAGGGTCCCGGCCAGTAGAGAGAGAACGACATGTGCTCAGCCAGTCCAGGGAGAAGGATGAATGGGGGCGGAGATGCACAGATGCATCTCCCTCGGATCAATTTCACGTTTAGCCCGAGCTCAACACAACTTGTACATACAACACGAGATATATAAACACATCACCGATCTTAGGAGTAAGAGAGAAAGAGAGAGAGAGCCGGCCTTGAGTGGGCTATCCATCCTCGCTTCTGGCCCAAACGGCATCTCGATTGGTGAGAAGACGAAGAGAAACGAAAGAAAAAACATTGAATCAGATACAGAACTCGGCCGTTGAATAGGGCGTTTTCTTTCTTCTCCATTCGTTTCGTTTGATTTGGTTTCCCACCACATGCCATCCCATGCCATCCTTCACTGCACTGCATGTTGCAGTCTATTCCGCAGACCTTGACTATAGAATACGAGTATGCAGCTACGCGGAAGCCCCAGTCAGTCGTCTCGAGCTATCAGATTCACAGCCCACGCACGTACTGTTCCAAGATAAACTAGTCGCTTAGGCCGCATGAGGGCCGCATCACAAGCCCGCTTGGCGTTATGCCGCCCAAAAAAAAAGAGATTCACAACGTGTGTATATATCCATGTATACACGATTATTCCGGAAGTTCAGTTGAATGAGTCTTTCTTTCAAACGGCTAAAAAAAACAAAAACAATCAACAGCCAGGATTCCCAAATGGTCACCCACTTTAGTACTAACTGACCGGCATGTGGCTTAAGTACGGCTGAGCGAACGGGAAGCCCTGTTCTCCACATCCTATGGTCGATTGCGATAGCGACTTGCGGTATATAACATGTTATACCATTCTATAAAATGATATGTGATACAATGTGGTATGCTATGCTATGCTATGCGATGTGAGAGCACGCGTACATGCATCAGGGAAAGGATTGGGAAGAGTCAAGACGCTGCCGTCATGCGGCAGACCTAGGGCGGCAGGTTGGGACGATGATACTTGAGAGGTAGATATATTCGTATTAGGAGGTAGCTGGGATGGGCAAATATGTAGGCGTGTAGTCAGGCAGGCATGGTAAGACGGGTGTCTACCGTAGCTGAGGTGAGGTGAGGTGAGGTAGGGTGCCCTTTGATGCTTCCCCGTGCTCCTTTTATATCTCTCGATGGATACATGCATGCACGCATGGCATGTCTCCCATTACTCAGCCTTCCATCGCACCGCTTGCTGTCTCTCTACTCCTTGATCTCCTACTAGACTACTCTCTCTGTCGAGGACGCCGAGAGACAAAAGTGATGGGGCTCCGTAACGCCGTCTCGGTCTCGTTCGTTGGGAGGAATGAGTAGCCCCGCTGGTGGACTGAGTGAACTGAACAAAACTGTTCAAGATTGTAGCTGACATTCTCCTTCTGTTGGTCTTTTGCACGCTACATGTCTGTCTGTGTCCTTCATCTTTCAGATAGCCGTGGCCCATCCTCGTGTTTCCCATGCTGATGCTATCAGTGAAGAACGAAGCCCCTGCAGCTGCCCTATGCAAAAGGTTGGGGATGCCTTCGATTCTACAGGCCAGGCAGGCCTCCGTTGTGGAAGGAAATAAAGCGAGAACACTCCTTTTCTGGCTAGTCTGACTCGGATTTCAACGCAGGAAAATCTCAATACCGACTTCATTACTCCAGCCCGGGTCAAGGTCCTCTTCATCCCAGGCTTTAGCGACGTCGATTTCGAGGACACCTGCTGCAGAATCCCTCGCAGCACCGTTTGAGTTTATTTTGACGACATGCTGGGGTACGGGGCGACCCTGGATCATCACCATCATGTCATCGATGTTGCGAGATTGGGCGTCGGAAAGCCAGATGCCGAGGACACCGAGTGCTTTCAGCTGAACGTGGACTTTCAGACGACGACCGTCTGATGGGCCACCGGATTCTGTTGCTATTTCGTCATCGGATTCGTTGAGGTTGAAATATGTCTCGATAATGGCAGCAGAGCCGGTGAATTTTCCAAGGAGACCCAACACGGCGAGGTCAAGGTTTGGCTGAGTTGACCATGGCAGATGGAAGCTGTGAACAGGTACAGCGGACCACACATCGTAGCCTCGAATGGGTAGGGTGCACTGAAGTAGATTGTCTGGCCGAATGGGATCTGTTGGCTGAACAGGCTGCGTGATGCGTTTCGAAGCGTGAGATCGAATTATCCACCTCTTGGCCGGCTCTGATTTGTTTGCAGGGGCATTCACACCCGGGAATTTGGTGATGGGAAGAATGAATGTCGTCTCCGAGTCAGAAATGTTGAAAACGCCAAGCATCCCGGTTCCAAAATCCGACTTGCCATCATAGACACCGATTTTGAGGATCCCTTTCTCTTCGTACTTGTCATAAACGCCCATTGTCTTTCCAATGCAGCTTGGGCGGAGAATCACAGTTTGTCCCCTGGGGTTCAAAGCAGTCATTTGATGAATCAGTTCGACGTCATGCTCGCCTGGAGTGTCGGTGATATATATCGGGCCTCCAGATAGACTTCGAGCAGCTGCGTGGAACCCACTATACGGATGACTGGATTGGAACATATCCCAGTCCGGTAAGACGTTGAGGTGCTGGACAAATAGAGCATTGTGTGCATTTGCAAAGACGTGCCATGCATGAGAAGTAGGAACTTCTGGGAAAAAATCATCGCTGTTCCGTAATAGTATTCTTGGATAGTTGGTCGGGAGAAAGCTGTGGCAAAGAATTTGAGGGATCATCGACATGCAGGATATCGCCTTGCCTGACAAGTGTCGGAGATGCGCCTGAGTCCAAGCAGACTGATAGGTGTTTGTGAAGGTTTGTCGATCCGGAGTATCAGCAAGGAGATCTAATGCAAATTGTACATCGGTTTTTACGCCGGTAACGCCAGCGCCTGACAGAAAGCGGTAAAAGTCGTCGTACAGTCTATGGATGTCATCCGGATGGATGACAAGCTTTCGACCTGCCATTGGAGTGCCCTCACTGAAGTTGACCTCTAAGGTCTTGTAGTCTTTTGCAAGTTGTCCATCGGGAGAAATACAACCCCAATAGCCCATCAAAGCATGCCAAACGGCAATGTCATGGATTTTAGGATGAGCCGCTCGAATCTTGGCTACTGCTGATTTCAATCCTTCAGGGAAACCAAGAGGATTGGCCTCGAACTCCTTCCAGCCACGTTTGAACTGAGAAGTTTCACCTTGCTTGCCATCAAGAGACTGCCAGTTGTCATCGATAATAAGGGTCGCGATATTGATGTTATGGTTCGCTAAGGAATCCAATCCAGACATGATTTTCTCGGCGTTGAGATCTTGACCTAGTGAATTCCACGTACAATAAGCAAGGCTGTCGTACCATGATTCAAGCCATTGAGGTTGCACTCCATTGGGCGAGCGTGTGCCCTGGGCCTGGGAGACAAGGACTGTATCCGATCCAACAGATTCTGTTTTGATGTGTTGAGGTAATTTGGCAGCCGCTTCTTGGTATGCGGATGATTGACGCACCAATTTGCGAGCCTCATACATAACGGCACAGTTTGCAATCTCGAAGTTCCATGAGGTAGCAGCCAGAATTCGAAACTTGCGATCCTTCCCCGAATCATTCCTGGCCTCGACAACAATATCACCGTTATCACTGGATCGAAACTGAGTGAGGGCTTCATCGATACCATTGACGGCAAGAAGGACCACATGAAGACCATCGGAACGTAAAAATGATAGGAGAATAGCCGGCTCCTCCAAACGAAAGTGAGTTCCTCCGTGCCGAGGTGCAAGCCAAGGTTCCCATATTCTGACCAATGCCATATACCGGCAGATTTGTGTTACGCGGCCGAGCACGTATCGTTCAAGGCTGGCATTACCATGCTCTGGCACAGGAATGGGATGCACAGACTCAATGCTATATAACCGCGCCTCAGGTGCTTCGCTGGCAGATTTCCGAGCAACCCAGCCCTCATCGATATCGAAAGGGGCCGCGCCCAGAAAGTTGGGATCGACGGGAGGTTGTAAGATGAGTTCGCCGTCGTGAGTGCCAAAGTTATGATAAACCCAGGACCACTCCGAGTCTGGATTTATTCGGTAACGAACAGTGAAAGGTATTCGTCGACCCTTGTATAACTTGTCAGGAAGAGGATATGGACTATCGAGATTTCCAGAAAACGTATAGCGATAGGTCGACTTTTGAGAATCGTCATAGAGAACGGCAGGAGTATGATCGACTATGCCAAGGTCAAGGGCTTGCCACGAGGATCTTGTTCCGGAATAGGCGCCATGATCGTACCAAATTGAAACTTCCCAAGAGGTCTCCGGCAAAGATTTAGATGATTCAAGAACGACTGTGAAGTTGAACTAATTTAGGTCAACACAACGGCATGTAAGAGCTGGGGCAGTCGCGCTACTTCCGCCACGGATGGTGGGGTAATGGCCACGATAGGGCAGAGGGCAGGGTCTAGGTTATGTACACTTTATGTACAGGCCGGGGGGGATAAAGACTTACTGGATCACGGCTAGGCGAAGCGACTGTGACCTGGCCCAGAGGAGGGAAGACGGCGATATGGGCGAAGAGGGCCATCTGAGCAGCACGGTAGAATTTCACCTGGGTTGGCCTGGGCAGCGGAGCGGACGAAGGGGAGGGAGAGAGGAAGGAAGAGACCACAAGATTTGAAGACGACATGCGGAAAGCAGACGCATTAACACAGTCTGTACAATAATGACAGTGATAGGTTCAGTTGGATATCGAGCAGCGTAGGGGTGTCAGTCTCGGACTCCTGGAGTGGCGTGTGGTGGCGTCTGGGTGGTTCGAACTCTATCCGCAAGGGGAGGGCCTGTGCCTGGAAATGAAGTGGTAGGGGGGTAGGGGATGCTTGTAGACGGGAGGGTGGTGACAAAGTGATGGAGGGCGGTGCGGGTTGACGGGAGAGGAATCTGGGTTCAATGGCAAGCCAATAAAATGGAGGGGCACAGATGTTGAATCTTGATAGACAGGATGAAGATTGTTGGTGGAGCACATTGGAGGTGCTTGGAGCCTTGGACCCGCTTTCCACCGTTGTGGAGGGTTGGCCTGGAAAGAATTTCCGGCCGATGGTTCCATGATAGCTCTCTCCGGCCGGTGGCTGACTTTTTTTGGATCGGTCCGTTCGCCAAACTATGATGAGATGGACGGTTGTGGCTGTGATCTCGGCTTTATAATGATAATGAAGGTGGTGGTGGTGGTGGTAACCCTGGTGGCGAGGGAAACAGCGCCGAGGAGTCCTATAGTGATCGCCTAGCAAACTACTACTATAGTGCTCGGTACGCAGTAGTGGGGCAAGCTGAGATCACGAATGAACTGGAATGGATCACACGGATGTCATGTGGAATTTACCGTGGATGACCAAAATAGCATCTCTCGGTGGTCCATGGTATTCACTAGACCGCACACAAGCATTGACTGGATTCCTCCTCCCGGCATGTCATATCCGATACGATCACGAATCACGTGGAACTGCACAGGGGCCGGAAGAGTGCTATGTCACGTGTGCCTGCCCCAGATGCACTCCCAGTGCCAGTGCCCGTTGCGCGTCGTCAGTGTTCCTTGCAGGAGGTACGAAGGCCGTTCGTTCCTGAACAGTCAGACACATGGACGGCTCCTTCCTGTTCCTCTCCCGGAGAGTGCCATGTGGTTGGTTCCTGTCACCTGCCACTTTATTGGCTTGTACACGGCTGGCTGGAGGGTATCAGTACATGAACGTGTCTTGCGCTACTCCATACCTGACTGAGGCCATCGCGGGTAGTGTTCTCGCAACCTGAGTGGGTGCTCAGAGACCTCGGCTCCTCTCATATTCCATACACATCCTTCAGTTCATCTTCCTCTCCATCGGATCCACTCCCAAGCTCCACACCGCTGTCCACAAAGCCTCCCTCAACTACCTCACCACCCACAGATGCCTTCTCACGGGGCAGGTGGTGCACTAAATACTCCACTGGTGCACGTTGCTTCTCCTCCATCACATCCTTCATGTGCGCCTGAACCACTGATAAAGGCTTCGCTGCCTGAGCTATTGTCGCTATCGTTTTGTGCTGCGTCACTTTGATTGTCATTGTGACCGGCTGATAGTACTCCTTGTCGGCCGAAAACTTCTCTTGATTGCCATTTCTAATTCCATTCTCATCATCTGTTGCTGTATCTCCTCCACCCATGCTCTTTAGAATATCTGTCCCTTTCCGTTCGACTAGGAACGAACACAGCATCTCCAATCCAGATGTGCGTATCTCTAGCACACTGTGCTCTGGGAACAGCCAGCGATCCTGACAAGCAGACTGCGTGGCTGAAGGGGTGCTGGTGATTTCTAGGACGATGTGCTTGATGACAGGTTCTGGGCGAGGCGGCGGTGCTGGCAGAGGAGGATATCCCATATACCCACTCATTGGCCTTGCTGGTCCGGGTGGCGGCGTGGGAGGGAATCTATGCATCACCCCTGGTAAAGCTGCTGCCCCGTTTGGAGGCATCTGCTGTCGAGGCGGTGGAGCCGGCGGAGGGGTTTGGTATGTAGGAGTATGCCCTACATCGGCAAGTGGTGCGGGGGACGCTACTGTGGGATTCGGTACTGGAGTGGAAGGCTTAGATGCTGCTAACTGAACCTCTCTCTTTGTATCAGAACTCCCATCTACTTGTGGGGGTCCCATAGGAGGTGTGGCGGGCTTGGGGACAGGTCGAACTTCTGCTTTTGCGGACCTCTCGGACTCTTGCTTCCTGATGACCTCATTAAACTCATCGATATGTGCCTGGAATTCCTTCAATTGCTCGGGTGACGCCTTAGATGTAGCAACCACCTTCATGAGCTCCTTCAATCTAGAATCCGAGGCTGCGCGTGCGGCAAGCATCTGGATAACAGGGTCTGTCGTCGTGCTTCCCCTTGCATTACTCGGTGTTCCTGGCTTCTCATTCGTAGGAACTGGCTGCGGCGTTGGAGGAGCTGGAGGAGATCTTTGTGGAGCGGGTACTTGTGGACCGGAGGTCAGTGTCAAGACCGGCTCGTGATTGACAGGCATTCTAGCGTTTGAAGGTGCGGCCGGCGCTTGTGGTGGCACGGATGATGAACCGGCAGGAACAGGAGGAGCAGCCGACCCGGGAGAAGGTGTGTTCATGCCTGAAGGTGGCCTTGAAATAGGAGCTGGTGTGGAGGGAGCCCGCTGATATGGCGCTGGAGGAGGATACATGCCGTACGGTCGGGGAGAAGGGTTCAGTTGTGGAAGCATAGCCTTCGGGGTATGCTGATTGGGATGGCGTGGGTAGTTCGGCTGCGGTGTCGCAGGATCACGGACGATATAAAACACGGCATCAAACGTATGGGGCTCAATCGTGATGGTGGCAGCTCCTAATTTCTGCATGGATTTCCCATCCGGATTGTTTGGAGGCTGTTGAATGACACCCTTCCTCTTGATTGGTTTCACCCAGTATTTCTCCAAGATGCCGTCACAGAGCCATTGCATTCGAGACCGGTGTAGAGACGCTGCAAGGATTGCACTTTCGGATATGGATTGGTATTCCTTCAGAGACAACTCTGACGGCTGTTTCTGCTTGGTCGTGGGCAGTGGTTTGTTTGCCGCCATCTTGGTCGGCAAAACATCCTCGCCAACCGAAACCGAAGGTGAGGAGCGAGACGCTGGAGTTTGGACCCGGACATGGCTTGCACGTTTCGTATATGATCGTTTCTGACGAGGCTCAGAAGCGGCGACTGGGGTTGAGGCTTTCTTCGAGGCAGATGGAGTCGACGGAGCCACGGACTGAGCAGGAGACGACGCTCTTCTTTTCGCAGTCGATTCACGTCGATCTCGCCCTGACAGCCTCCTCTTCTGCGCTGTCCCTTCTGACATGGTTGCTGACGAACTGCCGATGAATCTGAATTCCACTTTCGCGATTATTTCACATGCGAAGGAACGGCCGGGAAGACAAAGACGCGATTTGATCAGGGAAAGTTAGCCGAGTACGTGTGAGAGTCACGTGGAAGGCTGAGCACTGCTTCCGTCTTTACCGAACTTTTGAATGTCTGTTCCTTCTTGACCCGTGCTGCCCCGTTATCGTGGCTTTCAGAATGCTCCTTTGTCACTGCTCATGTGCTACTTTCAAAGTAATATAACATCTCTTCCCCCAAAATATCTTGGCTCTGACCTGAAAGGGCGACCCGCCAAGAATGCCAAGGCTGTTCGTTCTAGGTGCTGCCTCCGGCAGGATACGGGAGATGACACTGCAATAGGATTGCTGGCCCCAAACCGTTCAACTCGAACAGTTTATCGGGTATTGAGCTTCCGTTGCTTGAAAACTTTGAGAATGACGATTCGTACGGCATTCTGCCAGCTCTAGATTGTATTCAAAACAGCGTCTCAATGAGTGATTTGAATATATCGTGCTAATAAACCTCCACTCGGTTGAGCAAATGGCATTCAACGGATTCCTCCGCAAAGCATACTGGACGCTCGCGGGCGCGGGCCTGATATATGCCCTAGCTGTTGGGTCACTAACACACCCAGTGGTACAACGTAATGCCACCTACGCACACAATGTGAATCCAGGATATTGGCAAAACTTGAGCAACGTGGAACAATTCGGATTTTTGCACCATCAGGTTCAGCCGTTCACTGTCACAACGGCGGACAATGTCACGATTTTTGCGTGGCATATTTTACCTACGCACCTTTATTTGAAGAACGAGGAGGCGCTCAAGGCCCAGCATGACTTTGGCCAGAAACCATATGACGACGCCGCGAAGACTGTTGGCTTGCGTCTGCTCCTAGATGACCCTGGAGCTACGGCAGTGGTTAGTTTCCACGGAAACGCCGCTCATCTGGCTTCTAGTCATCGACCGGCGACATATCAACAGTTCCTAGGGACATCGGCTCCCGAAAGAGCTGTTCATGTTATCGCATTCGATTATCGTGGCTTCGGCTGGAGCACAGGCAGTCCCACCGAGGAAGGCGTGATCCAAGACTCTGTCTCTCTTCTATCAGCCCTGACTGGCCACAGCTCTACGTCTTCAGAGCTATCTCGATCCCAACCATCCTTGGATCCGTCTCAAATCGTCCTCGTCGGGCAATCCCTAGGCACATTCGTCTCCTCCGCATTATACCACGAATGGACAATCACGCTGGGCCGCGCTCCATTTAGAGCTCTCGTTCTTTTTGCCAGCTTTACTTCCCTCACGAAGCTGCTGGATTCCTATTCTATCAAAGGCTTTACCCCACCCCTTCTGTCCCCACTACTCGGTTACCCGAGGATCCAGCAGTACGTGCTTTCTAAGATTGCAGACAAATGGGACACCAACCAACGGCTCGTGGAGCTGGTTAGCGACCCTGCAATCCAGCTTGACCTGTCGATCGTGCACGCACGCGATGATTGGGAGATCCCGTGGAGCGAAGGCCGCAGAAACTGGGATGGTGTACTCGATGCAGCCACGTCAGCGGCTGGTGCAAAGATTGACTTCCCACGTGATAGAGACTCTGAGTCATGGGTGAGTGCCGATGACAGGAAAAGGCTGCGCTGGCAGAGGGTCCGCCATGGAGGTCACAATCGAATCCCCACAAGCGAGCAGGCCAAGTTGACTCTGCTACGGTTGTTTGAAGAATAGGTATGGGGTGTTGACGCAAGAAAGTGTGCAGGCGCTTACATCTCAGGATAGGCTTCGGAAATAAACGGAAGATGAGAAACCATTCTCTTGTGTCAGGCACTCGTCCCCAAAAAAAGATATGGTTGCGAGCCTTGTATAATAGGTATTTTATGAAATGCATATTCACCTGTCTTTCTCCCTTGAGCATCTTGAAAACAGGTGCCTCAAGTCGAGACGATATAGGTGTCACTGGCTGTCTACTCACATACTCCCGAGGAGGCATGCGTTTGTGCTGCGTCGTCGCGTCACATCCAAGTAGTTTGTAGCAATCGCCACGTCACTTTTAGTGCCAGCGGCAGGCATATGTCGGGATTATCCTTTACCCGCTCCGCCATCAGAGGTGGCACCCAGATGGTACCTAACTCCCCTTTGACTCTTACACTCTAAGCGAGACCTCATCCAGTCCATTCGTCTATCTTGACCACCGGCACGCTTCCTCGGCCCATTATCGCTCACTAATTCGTTCGTACTACATTTGGATACAAGGCAAACATAGGGTGTCATCTACAAACCCTGCGTTTGCTGATTAGCAGGCCACTCCACTATTTTTCAACTATCACTCCAACTCAAATCCACCCTCCGCTTTGGAATTCTTCTGTCACAGTTGAAATGAGCGCAGTCTCATCCTTGCGCAGGTCGCTGCGATAGCCTTCCTAAGCACCTGCGCCAATGGGCAGGTGGCTGAATGTCGACTACTACTCCTCCGAACGGCACTGTCGCCAGCGATCCCGCACTCGCACCTGCGCCTAACCATGCCCCCCGTTCTCTACCCGCTTTTCAATCAATTGGGTCGCTGCCGAGAGCGAATTCGAATTCGAATGGTAGCCGGAAGAGTGAAAGTCCAGAACACCCTAGCCTACTAGATCGCCTTTCTGTCGGCGCTTCAAGCGTCATTAGTGATCGTGATTCAAAAGGCAAGGACAAGGAAAAGGAGAATGATTCCCGCCGCTCCCTCAATCGCTCTTCAGGTGGCTTTCTTCTCGATTTAGTTTCCAACTCACATCGCCTTTCCAGACCTTCAATAACACCTTCACGCAAGAACACTAGAGCAAAACGTCATAGTGAGGACTCGGAACTCTCAGTTCCCAAGAGAAGGCACAATGAGAACCACACTGCTGCCTTTAAGAGCTCCCCTCTTGCCACCGAGGTGAAACAGAATGCCATCATACACAATGCTCCCAGCCTCGACTATCTTCTTCCAGGCACTGACGTTCGTCGCTCGCTTTCATCTTCCAAATATGATTCTCTTCAAGCTGAAAGCCCGGCGTCTAGCTCCCAAGTTATTGAGGTCCGCCGGCCTTCGCTAGCCAATGTTGGGTATGATCATGACCCTGCCCAGATTGTGAACATGGCGTTGACCTTGAGCGAAGGCCGCCGTCGACTCGCTTCTGGTCGAAGGTACGTTTCAATGGAACAAGGGGAGCGTCGGGTCGTCTCTACTGGTACTACAGACTCCACAAGGGATACTATGAGAAAGAAAAGCATTGCGCCATTCCTGGCATCTAATCGTCAATCATCTCGAAACAGATCCCCGAAACCGAGTTTCACCGCGTCTTATGTAGAACCCAGTGCTTTGGCAAATGAGCAGCCTCACGAAGCTGATTCTGCCTTGTTGGATACTGTTTCGGATGTTGATATGGAGTTTACCAACCAAATCTCTCCCGCCACTGCAGCCCGTGTGGAAAAGGCGAAGGTATTCTTTGAGCTTGCCCACGAGCATCGCCGATTGCTATCACATTTGCCGCCCGTGCGGCATCCTGACAGGCGACCCTCTTCCCAGGCTCCTGAAGCAATGCAGAAAGCCTACAATCCGCTACAGTATGTACGCAACAGGAAGCTACGGGTATGGGAGAAAACACCCATTGACGGGGAAATGCAAGGCTGGCATGATATTCAAAAAGTCCGGGCATGGGTTGATGCAGTTGTTTCGAGCAATGCACAAACGCACCATGATGCTGACGAGTGCATTCGCTTACCTCCGCTCGATCAACAAGCAGACGAAAAAGATCAAGACGATCAAGACGATGTTCCTGACGATATGAAAAAGGCTACATCTCCCCGGCTGCCTGATCAATTCCACCCGAACCAAATCCGTCCGCGATCTGATTGGGTAACACATCCCGCTGACATGATAGCTGATGCGTACTGGCTGGAGCAGGGAATGAACAAATCCAAGATCCAGGATCGGGATAACAATTTGATATATCCTCCAAACACTCACTTCAAATTTTCTGGCTGGCGCAACAAGACACCTGTTGATATACCAACTATCTTGCAACAACCGTCTCCTCCTGTTTCTGAGTACGAAGAACCTGAATCGCAGCCTCCGTCTGCACTTCCAGAGCTGCCCACCTTCAAATCAGCGAAACACAAACACAATGGTCGACACTATAGTCGTCGGAGGGATAGATTGAAAGACACCCTGCAAATAAAGGACGGAAGCAGCTCTCGGGAACGTTCGAAAATGAGGCGGAAGTTATTTCCAGATAGCAGTGACACCGACTTCTCCGACACTAGCTCGTCCCCAGATGATGCTGCCCTCGAACGTGGCCGAAAACGTTTGCGCCGGCGGAAAAACAAGTCACACAATTCAGATGATGTTTCACCCTCGAATGTCAATTCAACCAACATCAAGCATAAAGGCTCTGCTCACCCGCATCCCGCAGCTGAGTCTAGCCCAGGATCATCGGCACCTAACTCGAAAAGGTCATCAGTAGATCATTCTGCCTTGAACAAGTTGTTTGTTCGTGATAGCGTTAAAAAGATTTCATCACACCCACAATCTCGCATCCGCAATGGGAAATCACCATCAGCAAGCTCCAGAAAAGGACCAGTCCGATCGAGTCTTGATAACGAGCATCCTCCTCGTATGTCCGCAGACTATGACACCACTACAGCTCCTAGTTCCCCAGCAGGAGTCGAATGGCCAAGTATAGCAATCAATCTCTCTCCACCCCCCAGTCGAAGTACTTCACCAATGCGAAAACAAAGATCATCATTATTGCATCCGTTCCATCGAAAACACAAGGACACCGATAATGTCAGTACCACTGATTTTGCTCACGTCATCCCAAGCCAACCTGGTAGCGACGTTGAGAAGCAATCGGACAAGCATTCCGAGCCTTCGCAAGATTCTCGAGGTACAAGCCCCATGACAAGAGGATTGAGTCCTTTATCCAAGAATCGAATGCACACAACGCAACCCGAGGACTTGGCACCACAATCTTCGAACGAGCACAGACCTAGTATTGCTAGTAAAGCTAGCACAAGATCTACAGTTCCCACTGGAGCGGACCACTCTAGGATTCGAGGTATCTTCAAAGGTGGCCGCATAGCTGAGCTTGTTGGCCACGAAGTTTCTAGGGTTGGGGATTTCATCTGGAAACGCGATCCCCCTGGTCCGTACAGACATAGGGTATCGACGTCAGACACCAGTCTACGATCCTATCCTGACTTTGATCATGAGCAAGAACCCCACGTCAACGGTGCTCTGCTCAAGACTCCACCGCCGCCAGTAACCAGATCAAGGTCTTCAACCATTTCAAGCACGAAAAGCGATCGACTTTCGCCAGTGCAAACTCGGACCAGTCCACCGTCAAATGAAAAGCCCAAGTATAACAACCCGAACCTGCCTAGCTTTACATCGCCATTCCAAAAAGACAGAGAAGAGCAGGGGAGAAAACAAGCTCTGCTGACTCCAGGTGCAGCAGTGGGGCTCATGTCACCCGATCAGTCTGGCCATTCCACAGATGAGCATCAGACAGCATCTCGGTCTCCTCGAATGCGTATGGCCCTACCTAAGCTTGATACTGCGAAAGCAAACACTCCTATTGAAGCTAGCCGTCGGCAGAGCTACGGATTTTCGCAGGCGCTTGATTTAAGCAGGTCTCGTGATGCGTCTAACCTGTTGAACACTGCCATTGGCCCTGTGGCTATGCTAACAGACCTTCACCCAACGCGATCCGCTGGTGAACTTATGCTAGAGGATCAGGGTGGACAAGGACAAGAGCAATCCGAGCCCGCACATATCACATGGAGAGATATTAGACGTGCAGAAGCTCTGTTATACAGTTCGACTGTAAAAGCACGGGAAATTGGACGTCGTGCAGAGGATCCACAAACCCATATGCCCAAGTTCTTAATCGATTCGTTCGCTCCTGAGAATCTGAATTTGCATTCCATCAAGGCCCTCCGAGTCAAGAGGCGTGAGCAGCATGTTGTGGCGGCCAAGAACATCACAGAGACACTGGAGAAATATTCAACAAGCTTCAACTACAAATTGCACTCATTCACAGCAGCCCTGGCACCGACTTTGCACAGGCAACTTCAAATGCTCGAAGACTCTGTTGAGAACACACTGACTCCTCAAGTCCGTATCACTGCAGATGCAGCGGGTGAATTGAGCATCAAACTGACCACGGCAAGCACTCTGGCCGTGAAGGGTCTCAATGACTCGATTGATGCCGCTTTTCGCAGACGAAAACGGGGTCCCTTTAGGGCAGTGAGGAAGATATGGTTTGCTCTGATCGAGTGGGGCGTTGTCGGACTGTTGTGGTTCATCTGGGCGATTGTCAGCTTTTTCCAAGCGATATTTTGCACTTTCAGATTTATCAACAAGACAACCAGATGGCTACTCTGGATTGATTAACTCCGACCAGGAGTTGCCAATCATTTTTTCGTCCAAATGCAATCGGGAGATCGCTCTGTGTCAGTTATACTCGATTTCATTCAGCGTGGCGTTTCGTTGATGGAATAAGAAGCACAACAGCGACAAAGTCGCTGAAGGGAGGGCTACGAGCGATGCCCTGAGTTTGCCGGCACTTGCCGAAATGCTCGATGTTGTATGCCCTGCCCTGAGTGCTTTCAGCATTGGACTACATGCATAGGCCCCTTGAGCGCTGTATTATATGTTTATTCTCGGCAGCACTGGGCTCAAGAGAAAGCACCGGCGCTCCATGAGCAAGCAGACTTTTCCTTGGTTTCTTTCCTTCTTCTTCTTCTTCTTCTTCTTCTTCTTCTTCTTCTTCTTCTCGTCGTCATATAGTCTCATTCTTTATAAACATATCGTATATACCTTCTAGTAGTTAATATTGGAGTGTTTTATTCTTTCTCGATATATAGTGTATGCATTCTAGCTAGTATCCTAGTTATTATGCCATACCCTATCGTACGATGCTATGCATAGAGACACACATGTAAGGGACTCACTACCCCATCTTATAACAATTTAGCCACCGCAATTCAAGAAACAATGAAAACTAGAGTGACTTCAATCGATTTCGTAGGTGAATCTGTCTCTCCTGCTCTCTATGCAAACTACATACCATATAAAAAGCCACAATAACCATTTTTGCATCCACATGTGAGCTCAGTTAACCTGTCACAGATACAGATATGTAGACAATCCCACCTCCACGCGTACAGTCCCATCTTTTAAAGTTCTTGCTCTTCGCACGCAGCTTCTGGGATATTTTGGGTCACCTCTAGTGCAAAGAGGGCAGCCGTCGATCTTTCAGATTCTACCACCCTCAGTTCCACTCCGCTTTGGCAGCATGATATGGTCTACGTGCTGGTGGCTGAACACATCAACGACAAGCACGCCTCATAGAACATGGCGAATGTATCGATTTTTACTTCTTGCCCGCAGAATCCTCAATACGCAAGCACTGTAGACGAGCCTCAGTCTCGACAACCTCGAGGGCTTGATTGACCTCGAGGACTTTCCTGACATCACCGAGCCAGTCACGGCTGAGGACCTTGGCCCAACCGGTCAGCGAGTTCATCTCTCGGGCGGCGGCGTCGAGGTTACCCTCCTCGAGCAGCGTTTCTGTGCGGGTCAGGATGCTCTCGACGTCAGTCCCGGTAGGCTGGCCGTGTTTCTTGAAGAGAACTCTTGAGAGCACGAATGATGCCGCGTGAGATGCGACCCCGGCGTCCTCAGGTAGAAGGGATGCTTTGCGCACTTCGCTTGCTACGCGCCTGAATCGATCGATGAGTTGCGGTTGCGATGGGATGCCACGTTGGTAGGCGGCTGGGTTAATAGATGCAATGGCTGCGTCGACAACTGCATCCCCATCCGCAACGAGTTTCAGAGCGGCCATTTCGCGAACAAACGCACGGGGTTTGGCGTCTGACGCTGCTGAGCGTGCCAATGCAGATCGCACAGCATCAACAGCGACTTGTAGCTTTTGTGTAGCCAAGTTCGTGTCGATCACGCCATTCCAGTTTGAGGTCAATTCAGTAAGGCTGTCGACATTGGTGCTGAGATCGGAGAGCTTTGAAAGACGTCCACCACGCTCCGATTCCACGAGATCTTGGATCTGTTGAACAAATTCGCGCTTCAATTCGATAGCTTGCTCGCTAAGTTGATTCTTGAGACGTTGCTCAGCAACTTGTGTACTACGCTCGAGCTCAGTCTTGAGCTTCTCATCGTAGCTCTGCGAAAGCCTGGTTCGTTCGGCCTCAAACTCGTCACGATAACGTGCTTCATCTTCGGCTTGGGCGGTCTCGATGCGTCTCAAAAGTTGTTTGGCGCCTTCGTCGAATTCGCGGTGGGCCTCTTGAATTCGTTCTTCAGCGGCTTTGCGTTCGGCATCTCGAAGGAGAGAGATCTTGCTAGCAACGGATTCAAGTGATTGTTTGGCCTTGTTCATGGGTGCAGAGTATTTATTGGAGGCATCCGCACTATCAGCGTTGACGACGGTTATGAGATCATTGACAATCTTGACAAGCTCTTGGACCACAGGCTCATCTGCATTAGGGACTGCTAGCGTAGAAATTTGAGTGACTGGAGGAATAGCTGGAGGTCGGGGATCCGACTTAGGGCTGGGGATGGCAGAACCGGGAGGAGTAGATGGAGTTTCTCCGGCTGCTGGTTTGGTCTCGGGAGCTGGGGCATCCTTCTTGACAGCCTGAACAGCAGCGGATTTTTTGTTTGAGGATGCCCCACTGGGATTCTGGCGAGCATCCTTGACGTCTTTCTTGGTGGAGGGTTTGTTCGCGTCCAAGGCACTGTTGTGTTTACCCGTTTGGGTCAAATCGCTGCCCTTGCCTTCCTGATCCGACACCTTCCATGACAAGCCTGACTTGGAAGGAATGGTAATTCTCTTGTCATCTGGCTTCTCAGCGCGGGGGATTCGGGCGACATTGTGTCGCGCATTGGGAAATCTTTTCTTGAACGATTGCTCTTCAAAGTATAAAACGGCATCTTCACCAAAAGGAATGTACTCGGTGAAAAAATCGTGGAAGTTGTCATTTCTCAAAGCGTAGAAAACAGCTCCACCATAACTTAGGGCACTTAACAGTATGAGATAGAGCAGAAACCTGAGTCGCCTGGGTTTGGGAGGTGCTGGTTTGGCAGCCGGTGGTGGGGGTGGAGGTTCTGCAGGGCTCACAGATGCCGGAGTCGTAGGAGGAGCTGACTGGACCTGAGCTGGAGTAGGCGGCGCCTTGGGAACGTTCTCTGGAGGAATGATGGAGCTGGATGAAGGAGTCGCTGGTGTGGGAGCAGGACTTCCAGGACCTCCAGGGCCCAACGGGATCTCGACCTTGGGAGGAGCTGTGGAGGCTTTAGAGAATCCAGGGTCAGAACTCAACATAGAATCCTTTCTTTCGGCAAACGATCTCCGCTGCGGACAATATTCAGTTAGCCGTGTGAGGTCTTGCTGGTACGGGAGAATGGGAAGAATTCTGGGCGTACCTGGGATGACTGAGCTTGCGCAACAAGTTGTCTGCGCATAGACACGGCCACAGGCCTGGCAAGACGCAGCATGATGGGCTGCGCTGCCATTTTCCGGCCTTTTATGAGTGTATCAGAGATGCTTGTGGGAGAAAGGGAACGTGGTGTTGAGATTCGACAATTTCTGAGCTTTCCTTTCAGCAAGCTTCAATGGGGGACTTTCCGATATCATTGCCGCTTTTGATGAAAGGCACGTGACAGTGCATTTAGAAAAAGATAACCAATATAAAGCGGCGGGAAGTTGTTGACTACACTGCCCTGGCATGGGACATCTATCAGGGGAGCCTTGCCCTTTGAATCACTCGGTAATTGTTACCAGAGTCCCTTGAGTAGTGAAACGAACGAACCGATGCAGTAAAAACAGCTTGTAGTATCGTCAAACATCAAGTACTCATAATCTATCGAGTCGCAGGAAATGCAATGGCTTTCCTTCTTTCTACTCTTGGTAGCCTTTTCATGTTGCATCTCAGCAATGCTCCACCGGCCCATCAGCCCGATGGCTCGTAACGCCAGACGCTGGAATCTACCGTCCACCCTTGCCTGTCTTTTCTAACTTTCTTCGTTTTGACCGGAGCTTCTCGGCCTCGACATCTCTCTTGTTGTTGCCAAATTGCATTTTCTCGTACAGCTTCCTCTTTTTATTGCTCATCATCATCTTTTGGCGTTCGACCTCTTCTTCCTTTTTGGTTTGCTTGGTCTCTCGCTCCTTTTTGGCCTTTGCTTTTCGTGCAGCGATCGGATTCTCTTGGTTAGCTGAGCTTATTGGGCGTCCAAGCGCCTCAGCTTCTAATTCCTTTTGGTGCTGTGACTCTTCATCAAGGTCGTCAAATGCATCGGCATCCAGACCATCTTCAAATCCCCCAAAGGCGTCTTCTTGCTCCTCGTCTTCTTCTTCGGATGATCCATCATCTCCGGAGGCAACATCCATATCACCGGCATCCACGTCGTCCGCCTCAGATTGATCCTCGCCTTCTTCTTCAGCTTTGTCCACCGCAGCATCCTCTTCATCTTCCTCATCCACATCTTCGTCGGCTTCACCTTGGGGCTGTTGCTCTTCAAGGGTGGCTCTAGGATCGTATTGACCCCCAATAGGTCTCACCCATGGACTCAAATGTGGAGGCAATGTCGCACCTGGAGCATAAAGATCTGTCCGAAGTAGTTTTCCTTCATTGATACAATCCCAAACCCATTGGGGCTGAACATATGTTCTCCCGGGCATGATGTGTCCAGGCTTGACTACCTGAAGGCTCTCGTCGCCCTGCACGGTGGGCAAGGGCTGTGCTGGAATCGGTCTGTCAACAATCTGATGAGTGATCCTTGGATCAGTCTCGTCATTAGTAAAAGCTCCATCACCAAGCACTGCATCCCAGGCGAGCCTTTTGCAGCCAAATGCACGCAACAGAAACTCGATGGGATGTCTGGGCGCTTCTCTGGATATGAAGAAAGTCAAGTTGGAGAATAATAATGCAGCCTGGTCGCTGGTAAGGTCTGGTTGTGGCAGAATATCTCCTTCTGGAGCTGCGACCTTGAACTCGTCAATGGCACCGTCGTCTTTGGACTCCTCAACGTCTGCACTTTGCTTGTCGTCGTCCTCTGTTACGTCATCCTCGGCAATTTTATCAATCTGCGCCTGTAGAGCTTCCGAGTTACCATTCTGTGCATGTCCGTTGGTCAAAGTTTTCTGATCCTGCTCAGGCTCTTGTAGGGCAGTGACACCACGACCTTCAAGAGTGAATGCAGCCAGTTCGGCGCCCCTTTCATCGCTAGCAGCATCATATCTCGGAGGATACACAAGACCAATTGAGGTGTAGAGCCTGAAGTTAACGAAACCGAGTAGAGTGCAATAAAACTCGACGAAAGTGCCCATGATTCGATAGTCCACGTCTTGAGTCACTCTCTGCACGAACTTATAAGGCACCAACCACATGATATCCTGACCCTGAATAGTCGCCTGATAGTAAATGCCCTTTATCGACAAAAAGGATTTTCTTAGAGAATTGGTGGCGATCAAATAATGCTCAAACTCATGGCACAGGCGCTGACACCGCGAAATGACTTTCGGCGGTACGGTCGTGGTGGAGGGCAAGTTGGCGAACAAGAATAGTAGCGAGAGCGCATCATCTAGATCTCTTATGGCATCAACAAAGGTAGGATACCTTTCTTTCACGATATGGTCCAGTTTGATCTTGGGCGTGGCCTGCTTTTCCAAGCGCACCGCATCCTGCACCTCGTTGCGACCGAGCGACCGGGCGATCTTCTTGTCGAGTGTCTTTTGCTCTCGAAACTTGCCTAGCAGCGGCTCATGCAGCAGGTATTGAATATCCTTAGTGTAGTAGAAGGTGGTCGAGTGTGTGGCAGATTTGTTCGCCTTTTTGATGTTTCGTGGTTCTCGTGGGTAGATGCCTTTGAAAATGCAAAGCCGGCGAAAATCTGGCAGAGAGATCTGCAATTTTCGTACCGCCTGTGTTCGTGTAATGTAGTTCTTCGCCTGGCCGGCTTGGCCTTTCTTCTTCTGTTTGCCCATCTTTTGAATTTCTTCACGCGATGGGGTTGCGTGCAAAGGTATTGAACAACTGCGGCGCCTGAACTGCGGGCTTCAACAAGCGAATTGAGACAGAAAAAAATGATTTGGAGAATCCGCCGCGGTTTTACCGAGATCTTGGCAGGTTTACCGAAAACCTCCTTCCCCATGAATGGTATCAACAGTACGGGCTGCAAAACGAGGCTCAAAGCTTCATGCTCAATCATGGGAATTCAGCCGTAACAGAGCAAAGCTTCAAATGACCCAATTCCTGCGTTGGAATTCATCTGATCCGTCTCATGAGCGATACCTGACGAATAACCAAATATGAAGTCCGATCATTCATTCCTGTTGCCACTCATTTGGATCCTCCTCTCCATCTTCATCATGGTGTTCTCCTCCATCGCCCTCCGGTCCCTCCCAAGTTCCATTCTCCATCCCTCCCGCTATCATTGCAGCATAATGAGGGACTGCATCATGTCCCAGATAGGGAGGCCAGTCAGAGTCTTCTTCCTGTTGGTCGTGCTCTTCTTCCTCATGCTGGTCGTGTTGCTCTTCTTCCTCATGCTGGTCGTGTTGCTCTTCTTCCTGATGCTCTTCCACGTGTGGGAACCAATCTACCTCCACTGGAACATGGGCAGATCGCTGCTCCGGCAGCGCTTTGAGTATGTGTCCTCGCTCCTCCGCACGATGGTTCATATCATACTCTTGTCTTCCACTTTCCATTGCCCAGATCGGTAGGTCTCCGTGTTCCGGCTGATGGTGATCTCCTTGTTCTGGCCCATGTCCCTGCTTGGAAAATAATGTCGAAGCCTTGATACCGATTGATTTGGATATTTGTTCTATCTCATTCGGGTCATGTTCGGGCTCCTGCTCTGTTGCTGCGACGTCGTGTGGCTTGTACTTCGGAAGAAACTTTTTCTTCATCGCTTCAAATGCTTCGAAATTGTTACCAAGTCCACCCGGGTTGTCTTTCGAAAGGGTCGGTAGCTGCTCCGTGAATAGTAAAGCGGGTTCCAGATCCAACACAATGGCCAATTGATCGGGATCAATACCTCCGTTGAATACAAGGGACGCTTCCGGTTCAAGTGCATGCCAATCCCAATGATCATCCTCCTGGAGGTAATGAACCTCGAGGAAATTCTTCTTGAATTGGGAATGATGAATAAACCGATTACAGAAAGTACTTTGCACTTCTTCTATATGACAGTCTCAGTTGAGAATCAATATGACTTCAAGAAATGACTATACTCACCTATTGTTTCGACGATGGAGATAAACACCGCGAGCGAGAATAGAGCTTTACGCTCTTCAGGTTTGGCCTGTCTTCTGTCCTTCTCCCAGGGTTTTTCGGGGGCGACTCTAGCAATGGCTATCGGTGCAGGTTGCCATTTGGGTGTCAAAAAGTAGCAGTGAGAGAAGGAGGGCGGGTCTTCTCGCTCCAGGTGCTCATTTACTAGGTCACGAATGATCTGTTGGAGTCCTGTTTGGTCATAAAGGGCGTGCCATTGGTTGGAAACTTCATGGTAGGTCTGCTGCAGTTGCTCTTGAGCTAGATCAATGAACTGATTTGTGAACCTCGCGAACTGGAGACCGGATGCACCAGATTTGACCTTCATCCCATTTGATAGCTCATGATCGCCGTTCCCCCCGACATCGAGCCCCTCGAACATACCTTTAACATCTTTGTCGGGTAACTTTTGATCTGGAGGTAACTGGACCATTTTGATTTTTGATTGAGATACGCCCAGTGATAAATTTAATTCTGCGGCTGATTGCAACGAAGACTTTCAGAGGGTGACTTTGATTTCCTCCCATCGCTGTCGTTATATTGCTTGGATGGCCGACTCGCAAGGTAGATAATTCTGAGCCGTTTCGGCTGCGCAAAGGGTGTCGGGCCTTGTCCAACTAACCTATGATACGAGGTGCATTCAAATGGCCCGGCAGCACAGTGATTACTGCTCGGAAAGAGCGTAAAAATACCAGTTTAGACTTGGTAATTCGTGGACGCCCCAAGAGTGTACAAGGTACTAAAAGGCCAATATATAGAATGGGAGGCCGCGGCAGCCATTGAGGCGTTCCATAACCGCTATTCCTCACACTCAGGGTACGATCATTGCTATTGGCGGATGACATCGGCTTCCATGATTGCAAGCGTTGGCACCAATGCGAACACGTGGGATCTCCATGGACTCAGGAAAATTGATGGCAAAGCGGTCTTTTAATGGGTGATACTGGGTTGATGAGATGTGGGCTTGAAAAGGCGTGTGGCGCGCCAAGCCTCGACCATCAAGTTCAAGCCACCTTCACCTTTAGCGGATTTGGGGTCAAGGGGAATACCATCACCGCCATCATCGATACCCAGCACAAACGTTCGGGATATGCCCAATCCCAACAACTTATAGTAATAGGAAACCCCCAAATGGCAGTGTCAATGGACCGAGACACTGTCGCAATATACGCGGGGGCCGTTGTGATTCGATTGATTGTTTTCCTCATCTGGCCCAACCTCTCCGACTTCCTCACAGCCCAAGTTGAGATTTCCACACCAATCTCCAGTTTTAAGCGGCTACAGGAAGGTCTTTTCCTCTACCGACATGGCCTGTCACCTTACGATGGGGGCGTGTTTCATCAAGCGCCATTGCTGCTGGTCGTCTTCGATATCTTGCCGGCCCCGCTAGTTTTCATCGCTCTCGACACTGTCAACGGATTGGCCCTACACACAATCGCGGACAAACTCAGAATTCCGAGCCCACGCTTCAGAAATTTGAGTGGCTCCTTGATCGCCGCCGCTTACCTCTTCAACCCATTAACGATCCTGTCATGCTTGGGTAAGAGCACTACCATCTTCACGAATACGGCCATTATTCAAGCCGTGCTGAACGCCCAAGCCGGCAACAGAGTCAGAGCCATGTTTGGACTTGCTGTTGGTAGCTACCTATCAATGTATCCGGCTTTACTTCTACCGCCGGTACTACTCATGGCCCACAAGAGCTCTCCTCAGTCTTGGTCAGCCCTGGTGGCCTCCATCGCCTCCTATTTTGGTGTCCTAGGAGCACTGCTGGGGTCGACACCGGTTATAACCTCTGGATTTTGGGACTTCCTTTCTTCTTGCTACGGAGCACAAATCACGGTGACGGACCTCACTCCCAATGTGGGACTTTGGTGGTATTTCTTCATCGAGATCTTTGACTCCTTCCGAGACTTTTTCATCGGAGTTTTCTGGTTACAACTGGTAGGATATGTCGGCGCCATGACTTTTCGACTCCAGGCTCAGCCACTTTTCGTCATTACCAGCCTCGTGGGATTGTTCGCTGTTTTCAAGCCATATCCCAGTATTGCAGATGTATCGCTTTACCTTGGCCTTCTTCCATTGTACCAACATATTCTCCCTTGTAAGTTGCACGCCGTCTTTCATGCCTGGCATTACACTGACTTCCGTAGTGACTCGATATGTATTTATTGCCGCTTCTGTGCTGCTGTATTCCACACTTCTGGGTCCGGCGTTTTACCATCTCTGGATTTATGCAGGCTCAGGCAACGCCAATTTCTTCTATGCCATTACTCTTGTGTGGAGCCTGGGTTTGACGATTCTGGTCGGAGATACCCTTTTCGCCGTGATGCGCGATGAATGGGAGATCGAACGGCCAGAGATGAAGGGCAAGAGTGCACGTCAGATATGATTCCTTGGAAAAGCCGACAGTATTAGCAGCGAGATCTCATCCGACCTTTCTCAATCGTTTGGAGAAGATCACGTATGTGGGTTCTTTGACGGTGCCATTCCTCAGCTTGCGAGGTTCCGGGGAGAACTCGTCCTCGACATAGCCCAGTTTGCAATACCAGTCGACGGCCCGTCGGTTAGCTTTGAAGACGGTCAGCATGATCTTCTCCGCACCGACGTTCTTGCCGATAGTCTCAACAGCTATGATGAGAGATTTGCCGAGTCCTTGTGCCTGCCATTCCGGGGCCAAGTGGATTTCATAGACGTAGACGACCTCGAACCCATCTTCGTAGGTGATCATGAAGGAGACAAAGCCGGCGATCATATGGTTGGGGCGTTCGTCGTTGAGAGTGATATACTTCATGTCTGGCAGCTTCATTTCTTTCTTCTTCTTGGCACGAGACCATCCTGCTTCTGAATTCTTGTAGTCATGGGCACTGGTCTGCTCGATGAGATCCAGACATGCTTCGAGAGCTTGCTTGGAGATGGTAGAAGCATCCTCGTACCCAGTCTGAAGAACGGATGCATTGCTAGCATTCTTGACCTGTATGGGCAAATGCAAATCATCTAATGCGTATCTCTGGAAGAAGTCGAGGCAGTTCAAGGAGTTGGTGGTCTCGACCAATTTCCCTTTGGCCACAGCTTTCGTCTGTCCCTTGCTCCTCAGCTGACGGGGTGGTGGTTTGTCATTATTATCATCATTGTGCGTGTCAGGCTGTTCTGCCATGAATCCGTCTACAGGCCTAGACTTGGGCCGGTGGCTTGATACTCTGAAAGGTCACTGAGAAGATACAGTGTGTGGTTGTGTGGGATGATCCGCCAACTCAGGCACATACCCGGTTGCCGGCCCACCACCGGGATGTTGGAACAAACACGAGCTTTCGAAGCTCAGTTTGGTTGAAGCTGTCTGGTCAAGTTGCCGGCTTGGTCGCCTCGCTCGCTTCCGTCAACTTAAGCCGCCTTTCTACCCGACGATGCATCAACAATTGCACCGGGTCATGGTCTGCATATTTGGGGACCTGTCTGCGCTTGTCTAATCGGAGATGGGTGGAATTGAATAGTTGTTCTGTGAGTGACTCAGCTGCATCTCGTGGCCCGGAGGACAAGCAACGCTGGTACTTGGTGGGTGGAGTAATAATGTAATGTCATTTTGATTATCATTGATGTGTGCCATGTACTCCTCCTATGCCGCTTCAAGCTTTCGCCTACCCGGGGGTGCCCCGCCCCCGCTGGTGAAAGTGTCTTCTTCTTTTGTTCGGTCTGACACTGATTAGTTGATCCGAGAGTTATTTGACGCAAGTAAATTACACCTTCTCGATCTCTGTTCCCGACTTCCCAGCTTCCCCATCTCCCCATTCTTCTGACGTCAAGTCCGTTCGTTTCTCCTCCTCCAGTTCCTCCAATACTATGTATGTATCTCAGACGATGCTCCCGAGCTGCTTCTATTTCAAACCAAACACAACGGCCACAACACCCCCCAGAAGCAGACCAAGCTTTTCATTCATGCACATGTCATAGTTCCGACATTTCACGAAATTCCATCCTGGTCTCCCTTGTCCCTCTCCACCCCGCCCCCGGGATCTGCCTTTGATCCTATTGCGAGGCGCACATTTCTTCACCAAAAATGGCAAGGCCCTCTTCGTACATAAGAACTCTTCTTTCTTCATCTCGTCCACGTCTTTCATATTCCATCCCCAGAAACCATTTCCAAACTACATACAGAATACAATCCGTCGCCATGGTCCACACAGTCCCCAAACTAAAAGACCCATCTCTCTTGATTGAGAAGGCCTTCGTCAACGGCGAGTTCGTCTCCGCAGCATCAGGCCAGACATTCGACGTCCACGACCCTTCCACAGGCAAGAAGATCGCCTCCGCCCCGGAATTCAACAGAGATGACACTGACAAGGCCATCTCCGCCGCCACCGAGGCCTTCAAGACCTTCCGGAAAACCACCCCACGCGAGAGAGCCACCCTCCTCCGGAAATGGTACAACCTGATGCTCGAGAACTCCGAAGATCTAGCCACTCTCATCACGTGGGAGAACGGGAAGCCTCTCAACGACGCGCGTGGTGAAGTCGCCTACGCCGCCAACTTCTTCCAGTGGTTCTCCGAGGAAGCTCCACGCGTCTACGGCGACACCATCGGTGCCTCCATCCCAGGTAATCGGATCATGACTTTCAAACAACCCGTCGGCGTCGCCGGGCTCATCACCCCCTGGAACTTCCCCGCAGCCATGATCACCCGTAAAATCGGCCCCGCCCTCGCCGCAGGATGCACCGTGGTAGCCAAATCGCCCGGCGAGACCCCCTTCACGGCGGCCGCACTGGCAGAACTAGGCCGACGCGCAGGAATCCCCAAAGGCGTCGTCAACATCGTGACCGCCCTCAAGAACACCGTCGAAGTTGGCGAGATCTTGACCACCGACCCACGCGTGAAGAAGGTCTCCTTCACAGGCTCCACGAATGTCGGCAGACTCCTAATGAAACAATCCGCCAGCACGATCAAGAAACTCTCATTCGAGCTCGGCGGCAACGCGCCCTTCATCGTCTTTGACGATGCGCCCGACCTCGACGCCGCCGTCGCAGGTGCGATCGCTTGTAAATTCCGCTCGTCAGGCCAGACCTGCGTGTGTGCGAACCGCATCTACGTCCAGCGCGGCATCTACGACACCTTCGCCGAGAAATTCACCGCAAAGGTCAAAGACTTCAAGGTCGGCTATGGCTTTGATGATGGTGTCACCCACGGCCCTGTGATTCACGACCGCGCCGTGTCGAAAGTCGAGCAGCACGTGCGAGACGCGACGAACAAGGGCGCGAGGCTGCTCGTCGGAGGCCAGCGCCTACCTGACCTGGGTGAGAACTTCTACTCGCCCACTGTCCTTCGCGACGTCACCAACGACATGGCGATCGCGACCGAGGAGACTTTCGGCCCTGTGGCCGGGTTGTTCCCTTTCGACTCCGAGAAGGAAGTCGTCGCGGCCGCCAATGCGGCGGAGGTCGGCCTCGCAGGTTATTTCTTCTCAAGCGATATTGGTCGCATCTATCGCGTCGCTGAGGCCCTTGAGGTCGGCATGGTCGGCGTCAATACCGGCTTGATATCGGATCCAGCCTCGCCCTTTGGTGGCGTCAAGCAGTCTGGGTTTGGCCGCGAAGGTAGCAAATACGGCATTGATGAGTATACTACCATTAAATCAGTAACGATTGGAGGTATCTCGAATGATCTGCAGGGCTGAGTTGAGTAGCTTGAGATTTGGTTCGGAGCACAGCGCTTGCACTGGATACTTGTTTGATTTACTTGCTGCATGGGGCATGCACTCCGCGCTGGAAACCGAACCCAAAGGCGAAAAGCAGACCGATTCGCGTCAATCCATATCCATATATCCTCGAGAGCCTGGCGGAACTCTTCCCAAGGCCAGATCTCGTCGTGTAATGTAAGATATATAATGCCAAATTTCCAATGTTTCCACTTAGCTTTTCTCCCAACCTTCGCCGTCTTGGACTGATATTTCAAACACCCACGTGAATCCGGGTCCAAGAGAGAATCAAGGTAGTGAGTGAGTGAATCGGTGATTTCTCCCTTCCGTGCGCTACTGTGCTACTCTTGTCGGGACCGGAAACTCGGGATTGATGCATGCTTTTGCAGCTAATACTCCCTCGACGGCTCATAGTGGTTGAAACACATCTGGGATGTTCTATTGCCATTGAACCATTGCTTGGTACTTTCTGCTGAAAGCCCATGTGGACTGCAGGGCTTTCTGATCCGTGACCCATGTCTTCAAGCGAGCCTGGTACCCCAGATCCATGTCGATTGCTTCATGCTCTTTCTCCTATTTCTGGCTCTGACGGCCCCGATACTAGATATCTCGACTGCCGCCTTCCTCAAGGTTCTTCTCTTAGTTGTCGTCCCAAACTCTGATGTCACTCAAGTGTAAGCACCAAATCACTGCATGATTGGCGAGGCTAGCCCAACCGTCCAAACTTCAAAGACCCTACTGTGGATAGGAATTCGAATTTCTCATGATCGACGTCCTTGCATACCTGCTAACCATGGTTCGGTGTGACTTTGTCAGATCCCCATAGCTCTTGCCCCAACGCCTTTGCACTTTCGATATTCAAATCCATCTCCTCCTTCTTGAGAGTGATGTCCCACATGAACGCATCCAACTCGCCCTGGAGGAGTGGGTCTTTTTGGAAGAAGCAATCCGCCGCCTGGGCAGCTATCACCGGCTCTAGATCTGCTTTGATGTCATCGGCGACGTCTTTGATGACTGCGTGAAATCTGAGTCTAGTCGCATCAATCAGCTCTTCGCATGCTTTGTCGACCTTGTTTGCATACGCCACGAGGAAAGCGCCATCCTCGATTGCTGACCGGAGTCGCTCCACGTTCCGCAGCTTGACCCCGGGGCCTGAATTGGTCAGTGTGTGAGGAGATTTGGTACAGGCATACAACTTACCAAAGTCTACCTTGCCTTGCTGGAAAGTGGGCTGCATGATATTGAAAATGTAGGATTCGGTGTCACTGCTTACGGCCTTTCGTTTGATCTGGAGCAGCTGCTGAGTGAAATTTTCTTGTTCGTGGTCTAGTTGAACTTTTAGATTGTTCTTCCGACTCCTTAGTAGGCGAAGAACCGTGTCAAGACCATCTCCGTCCTCGTATTGGCCCTCGTGATTCTCAAATCGTTCTATCATCTTCGCCTTGATCGTCGTCCAGGCTGATTTGGCGCATTTGTCTAGCTTCCGGAATGTAGATCTTATCTCGCTCAGTATGCATCCCAGAAGTTGGGCACACCATGAGACCTGCACGAGCGATCCTTTGGGCTTATGGATTCCATCCCGTCGGAAGAATGCCCCAATAGTTGGATAAGGGAGACTTTCCCACTTTTTGAGATGCATGCGTGCAGACTGTGTTATGGAGGCGCTATTTTCCCTGGCAGTTGATGTTACCAGAGCGCAGCCACCAGATACAGATGCCTCCCACTCGGCCCACTGGATCGTGGAGGTCTGAATTTCTTTCTCGCCAAAGGCGGCCTCCTTTTCCTGGGAGGAAGAGGGATTTTTCATCATGTCGATGTACGTCTGAAAAGATGTGATCAAGGCAGGAGTCTGTACGCAGAGGGATTCCATAGCATTCTTGTATACCACCTGCGCCATTATGTTCGAACTGTACTGTCTCAACTCGGGAATGCCACTGATCTCCTTGGCTCGCCCGCCTTGTCGATGCATTTTGTTGTCAACACAAAAAACTTTCAACTGATTCGGGCCGAAGGTACTCGACCATTCCTCTATGATATCTGCGGTGACCTTGTCGTTACGTGCCTTCATTTTGAGGCTTTGAAGGTGGTGCTCGGCCAGGGCGATCTCCTGGGATATTCCACTTTCCTCGGCATCCGCATATTCGTCTTCGGCCTGTTGTAGAGTGTCGGCATCAATGAGATTTTCGGCTACCCAATCTATATCATCTGGTATCTCTCCGGCAAAGGTGCAGATGATATTGACGATTGGCTGATGCAGATCGCCAACGTCTTCGAGCCCTCGAAAGTAGCGGTCTGCGATGCTCTCAATGACAGGGTTGTCAACAGCGCGAGTGATGTTTGCCACGATCCATATCTCCTGGGCTCTAGGGAGATACGCGTCCGCCGTTTTGGCGCGGATATGGTTCGAATCGAAGCACCCTGGAAGATCAGCAATCACCAAGCCATCCTTAAGTACCTCCGAGTCAAACAAAATACTCATATTCCCAACAAACGGCCATAACCCAGTTTGCTGAAATTCGTGAATAGCTTTTTGGAGAGATTTAGTGTCATCAAAATTCTGGCTATAGTTACCGTCTTGTAAGGCTCCTTCTGGCATTCGCATTAGTCCGATCCAACGATAGAGCACGGCAAGTGCGGCCTGTCGAGTGACCCCGTTTTTTCCATACTCAATATGCTGTAGATTGAAACCATTCACCCCGCCTAAAACAGTTCTGATAACACTCAAGGCAGCTTTTGAGTTTTCTTCGATGATTTTGAATTCTCCGTCCGCAGGGGTTATTCCTCCCAGGTCAAGGCGTCGCCAATCATCTAGAAGAGTTTCCATCTGCTCTCTTCGCTGGTCCTCTGTTTTGAATTTGCAAACGAGGCGATAGGGAGATGAGGAGTTGTCAGGTCGCTGAGAGTATTCTTGAGCAATATGCGTTACCGCTCGTCCGATTCCGCTGGTTTTCGCAACGCCGCGATCGTCCACAGTCTCCCCAAGGACGCTGCTCTTGCCGGAGCCTGTGATGCCGATCAGAGCAACGATTCTCTTCGCTGGGCTATTGTGAAATTGAATCTTTTCTAGCTTCTTCTTCAGGCGAATCCTCTTCTTGCCTCGCGGGAGTTTGTCAAGGGCCGTTTGCAGCTGCTTCAGAATGACTGCCTCCGCCCTGCAAGCATTCTGAAAACTTGGATGGTCCAAGATACTGCCGGAGTAATTTGTTGTGAGCATCGGCAAATCCTTCCAATCCGCTCGTTCGTCGCTTGGCTCAGGCTCGATCTTGACATGGGGCGCCATTTGTAGAGGTGAAGCTAAGTGATGGCGACTCAAATGCGAAAGTTGACAATTTTGACTTCAAATCCACTCTTAGTTAGAAGAGATGGTAAGAAGACCACGAACTTTGGTTAGCTGGTGTTGAGATCGGCTCAGAAGAAGTTTCAGATCCTAGACCTAATTGTCAAGAAAAGAGCATTGCGTTTTATAACTCTCGGGCACCTCTCTTGCGAGCTCGGAAGGTGAGCTATGACGCGAGAATAAGCACCAGAAAGGCCCAGCAGCAGCAGAAGCAAGGATAGAGATGGAATAAAATGTAGTGGAAGTGTAGGAAGGAAGATCCACCTAGATGGTGATGAGTAAGATAGATACTTGGGATAGAGACCTGGTGACGCTAGCAGAACGAATAGTGTGAAGTACCTGAGGCAGTCAAAAGACCAATTGAAGGCTAAGGATTGATGTGACTTCGAAAGAAAGCTCGGTTCCTCAGAAAACTAGCAGGAGACAGATGTTCTTGGGACCAGGATAAGGAAGCTCCGGAGAATCCAGAAACTACAGTGACAGTGAAAGTGAAGTGGTTAGAATTCTGCAAGAATGGTCACTTTGTAGATCACTGGTAGTGTGGGTGCTGGCTCAAGATCTACTCAGGAACACGAGAAAGGATATTGAGGGAGGGTACTCAGAGACTTCAACAGGGCATGTAGGTGACATGCGAACCACTGGCAGCCAGGCTACCATTACAAGAGAGGAGGATGTACCCTGGCATCAGTGCCGGCTTCGACGCTCATTTGGAAGTCCAAACCTCTGCCAGCGATCAAATGGACCTCTCAGGAGATTGAGGACTTCAATGCTGCCAGAGCACATATAAGACTGCAAGCTCAAATGCACAGCACTTTCATTGGCCTAGAGCATGGCATATCACCTCGTCTCCACCATTGCCTCTGCGCCATTCTTTTCGTACCTGAAGCGTATGCAACTTGCGTTGTCAGCGCCTTAGAGGCTCGAAAGCGGATAGCATTGCCAGCCCCGACGTGAATCTAGACTCTAGCGCAGTTTCGGAGATCTTTGGAAAAGCGAGTGTATTGCCTTTGACGATGTGACGATGAGGCGGTAGGAGTCTACAGCACTTTTGGCTCGATACCACCATTGGGAATCTCGAAGGTATTTATGTTGAATTGGCCAGGAGTCAGACTGGTCACGTGGCAGTCAACGGTCCTTCTACCAATCATCAATGCGACCTCCTTTTCGGGTAGCCTCGTCACAGTAAGTTACGGCAGCCGCTTCATTTATTCTCTCTTGATTTCTCTTGACCTCGACGCCAGTTTCTGGCTCGCAATATAGTCTACGCAAAACGGTTCTTGAACTAGCGGAGATGGGTGCTCCCTTGGGCTCCACCAGCGCTATTGTGCTCGTCCTCAATGTCGAACCCCGTACTCCGGTTGTCGTTGCATTCATTTCAAGCAGTTTCGGTTTCGGGTTCGGATTCATTGTGAGCAGCGTGGTGCTGTGTAAGGTAGGAACGGCATAGAGACGTATACCATTCACGAATAGTATCAGTTCACGGTGGCGGCTGTGTATTTCGATTATTGCCAAGGATCTGGGAACTTGAAGAGTGCCCCCCTGGAAATTCAAAGCCTTGCTCAACACTGTACGATATACATATGATATTATACAGGCAAACAATCTTGGAATCTTGTGCCTTTCTCGGACTCTGTCTCCCTAATGAGACAATAATTATACACAGAGAGCCCAAATCCCAACGTCCCAGTTGCCGAGGGGTAGACGTGAAATCGTAAAAGCACCCATGGTTTCTTTCGTTCTTTTCGCGCCGGAGTCCCAATACGACCCGATCCAAACCGAACAGAGGGTTCTTATTTCTTTTTAGATTTTATGATCGCAGCCCGTCGATAGCCCGACTCGGCTGACTGCGGATCACCGACTGACTCCTGAGACCCCACCTACCCAGCGCCAGCTCCTCGAGACTCTTCGCCTTGCCGGCCCATATCTCTCCACGCTTGGCTTTCTCCTGGACTTCTGGGATCCAGAAATGTGTAATGATCGCACCAAAAATCATACACACACTGAACACCACCAGAATCGTGCCGTAGCGCTTGGTCTGGTCATCGCCGGGACTCGACGAGCCGAATTTGTAGTACGCGGAGAACACCTGGACGAGGATAGAGCCCAATTTTCCGGCCGCAGCGCTGATGCCATGGCAGCTTGCGCGGTAGCGGGTGGGAAAGAGCTCGGCGGGGATTATATAGGTGGTCGAGTTGGGCCCGAAGTTGAATGCCACTTGGCCGATCACGTACAGGCAGATTGCGAGTGTGCCTTCGCGCTGGATCGTGATGAAGACCGTGCCTAGGGCAATGAACAGCGCGGCGAGCGCCAGGAAGCCGTATTTCTGGAGGCTGACTCTGTTCAGGCGGTTCGCGCATGTGATCCACAGGAGGCCGCCCACAAAACTGCCTGTGTTCAGGATCACGAGGGCTTGGATGGACGTCTCGAGGAACATGGCATAGGGGTCTTTGTTGGGATCGGTCATCCAGGGAGGGCTGGGCCCGGTGATGGCGAGATTTCCCCATGTCTTTGCGAGGAACTGGGGACTTGAGAGTCCAATTCCGTAGAACCCGAAGTCGAGTAGGAGCCAACACATCGATGTCGCGAATAAAGTGCGCCAGTTCCCTTCGGTCCAGAAATATTGGATGATGTCCGCCTTGGATAGCTTCCAAGACGAGTTCAGTGTCGTGGGTGGGGCGGATGTGATCACCCACGATGGATTGACGTCCACGGGTATGTCCACGGACTGGCTCGAGGCGTGCGATGCGGGGGGGGAATCACACCACATGCCGTTTTCCAGCTCGCTGCCCATCGACGACTCGCCGAAGAGCTGAGTGGCGTCAAATTCGGCTTTGATAGGGTCGTCTTCGATATCGAGTAAGAAGCGGGGGGTCTCGGGAATGGCGAAGCGGAAAAGCAGAGCGATGACACCAGGGACGACTCCAAGACCGATAATCCAACGCCACATGATATCGACCGACCTTATCATATCTTCATGATTCGACTTTCGAGAGATGCTAACCACGATGAGTGAGACTACGTTTCCAAAAATCTGCCCCAGCGGCTGCATGAAGAATACCGTAGCCATCATTCTGGCCCGGTGCTTCGTTGGCGCAAATCTAATATTGCAAAATGTTAGTGACAATGTCCTATAACGCAAGAAATCCATCGAATCTCCACTGACTCTGCGGTAATGACGGCTGACAGAGGATAATCTGCGCCTACACCTATTCCAACGATGATTCTCCACCAGATCAACCAAGCATAGACACTCATGCTTCCATTAGAGCCACGGGAGCTCATGACCACACCGAGGGTTGCGCCAATGAGTAATACCAACTCGATACCATACATTCTCTTGCGACCCTTCTGGTCGGCTAGGAAGCCAAATAGGACTTGTCCAACGAGTGTGCCGGTAAGAGTTACAATGTTGATACAGGTGAGGCGAAACGAGGAAACTTCTTCATTCCAGTAGACATAAGCGATCATGGGCAGGGCGATATTGCCAGCGAAGAGCTACCGATAGGACGTTAGCTATGCCATCCCAGATCTTGAGGAGCATTTGGTTCCTCGGCCTACAGAGAAACCATCCAGCAAGAAGCCAACTCCGGCGACCAGTACCACAACCCATTGAAACGGTTGCCGATCGATGGTTTCGTAGATCTGTCGGACTCGAACATGACGGTCCTAGATTCACAGACATAATCAGTACCAGCTACGAATGGCAATAGATCAGATACAACAAAGAGCATTTTCTCACTCTCTCATGATCAAAATCTCTGGCCCGATCCGTCGCATAAAGCCGGCCGTGCCAGCGCCCCATGGTTGAGGGTTTACTCTAGTCAGGTAGAGGTCGCAATTTGGGAAAGTAGGGGCCAAAATGGTGGGGTCAGTTGTATTAGATCAATTATCGATCCATGGCGTTGGAAACAAGCTGCAACGTGTGGTACAGTGGGCAGCTCGCAGGGCGATTGCATAGCAAGCTATCATACAACAATCGGACAAATAAAGAGAGAGGATGTTCGAAAGGCAGGCTGACGTTATTAGAGATATGGAGGACAAGTTTCTCAGGCAAAGTAATTCCTGAGAAGGGACCTTGCCAACCTTTAGGAGTTTCTTTTTGCTGGAGAATCGCGAACTAGCCAGGGCCAGAATGACTCCATCGCTCGGTAGAGGCAACACCAGCATGTGAGATATTTTAGCACAGCTTGACCCCAGTAATGTTGTCTGCCTCACAAGGACTTGGAATTGAGCACGGGGGGGTTCCACCTTATTACTGGTAGTGACCGATCAAATCGATAGTCATCGCGACGGTCGATCTCGATCCCTGTTAGGTGGGTGGAAGGGAAAAGGTCATAATTATGCTTTCGGCGCCGGGCCTACCCAGCATTGCATGCCTAGAATTCGACTCTCGTGGCGTGAAGAGTGGTTTTTGTCACGACGCAACGGGGCGCCGTATGTGCCGTGGTGGACAGTGTGAGCGAAACCTGTGCCCTGGGTGAATTCAAATACCGAAGTTATTTCGCAATCGGAGGAAATCCATCCATTAGAGTGTCGAATATTCACCACGTGGACATGCTAGTCTGCTAGTAAACTAGTTCCGAGATAGGCCGTTGAGGGAGCTCCTCTGGCCTAGCTTAGAAGAAAGCCCCCATGCATGTTGGTCCCCTGTCTCCCTTGCCACTGCCCAGCCATCTATGAAGAGCTTGATGGCCGGTCGCCCAGTGTGGTGCCCGTCCGAAGCCACAATCACCCATCTGAAACCCCTTCGAGGTTTTCATTATACGTCGGTACTTACGGCGGCGTGGGTATTTCTACCACAGATTCATCACATCAAACTACAAGTGTTCGGATGTGAAAAGAGGAAGATCAGAGACGCTGAGAAGGAGGATACTAATGTTCTCGAAGCCTGTTAAAAGAAGTTAATCAACTGATTGCCGAATACTCCGTCCTGCGAGGGGAGAAGCCAGCCTTCAGGGGCCTTTTCACTTTCGCACCCGAGCCTTTCCCGCATAGAAACAGGCTCCATGTCCAGTGCCTTGGTTATTTCTTGCCCTCAACCTAGGTTTAACTCGGGGGTATGCAACACGCCACGCTCAACGCTCACATAATCAATGCTGAGGGAAAATCCGTTGTCGTGGTCATCATAATGCGGTGGGATTCTGTTGTCGATCAACCCTGAAAGCCAACGCCCTGGCACAGGAGGCTGAAAAATCTCTTTTGGTCTGAGAGGTCAGTCTGGGTCGTCCACGTGGAATTCTATAGAGCGTGCGTACCGTGGTCATCGAGGAAGACAATCGAGATGCTCTTCAACTGCGCCAACAGGTCAAAGTTGGGTCGAAGAGTCAATGTCACATTGAATTTCCGTTTGCTGTGCTCAATATGGTCGATGCAATCAACTGTCCGGTCTAGTCAGCTCGCTTTGCCATTTCCGCGGACCGATGGATGAGGAAGCATATCACGTACGAGGAATGGAAATGTACCGCTTCCTCTCGGACCGCTGAGAGTTGCAGAACATTACAATAATTTGGCGACCGTTTCGCGCTCGAAGGATACGTAAATTCTGGCTTATGGCTTCTTCGCCGCGGCCTTTGGACTTGGCCTCAGCAACACCAGCGGTGAAAACGACCTCTTGCGCCAGAAGATTCTCTTGGAAGGCGATGCAATCTGAGAGACTTGGTATCACTCAACCGCTAGTTTATGAGAAAGACTCACCCTGGAATGTCTCAAACGTGTATTGAGGCTGTGCTTGAAAAATTGTTGTAGCAGACTGTACAGTTTGCTCCTCAAGAAATGATATTCGCGAGATCTGAGGCTTGCTGGAGGTAATGGGTTGTTCAAGATGTGGTATAGGAGCCTTGGTGCCAGGAACTGAGCATTATCATGAGTTTGACTTGCTATATGTAGATGGGTAGCACCAGAATGGACTGACATGAGTGAATCAGTGTCGAAGAGACCCCCGATTGCTCACTCAACTCAATACGTTTGATGTTTCCAGCGACATCCTTCCGGATGTCAATGCTGGAGTACTTGAGCCTGAACAGCGAATTTCCTTTACTGAATGCGCTAGTTGCGACGACAAGATAGATTAGACAACAGGAGAAGAAGCGAGCCACATGTTCAGATAGATAGGAGTCCACATACATATGGACTGGCCGCTGTAGAGGAACACGAACGATGAGGTCTGTGCCGACAGAGGCCTTGCCCTTCTCGCTTGTTGGCCTGGAAGAGACTGGAGTAGGCGGTAATGGATAATGTGAAAAATGAATGCTGCCAGTCTCTGAACCAGGGGATAGAGTGGTACAGTCCAAACTAGGTGTTCGAATGGGTGATTTGGGAAGAGGCCAGTCACTAGTATCCAGGAAACTGGGCTGTGAAGTCATTGCCAGTTAATCAGTCAAGATAAGAATCACTCATTCGTCTCCTGAAAAGCCAGCTGTAGGCTAGGTGTCTTTCCGGTTATCAGAGTGACGAGCAGTGGCTTCAGATGCAATCCAACGAAGAAAACAATCCAATCTGCAGCCATCGATGGACTACCAGTTCGACAAAGTCATCCACATGGTAAAGCTGGAGTAATAAAAGCTCTTTGCCCAACAATATTATCATGGAAGGAAGCATCTTGTCTTGTAGTGCTGAGCAGTAGAATCGCCTGAGAGCATCCGGAGCACAGTAGGTAGGCACTGGCCATCGAGAACGTGACGGAATGGATGAATAAGACTGGTGGGCAAACAGGTACCATGCAAATCTCGGTATCTGGCCGTCGTTTCAAGTACAAAATATCATTCGACCCCCACGAGAGCCAGCCTCCACTCGGAGGAAGTTCGCCTTGCCTCTACTCAGTAGTACGGTGCAAAGGTAGGGTACCGGGTACCTCGCACCTGAGTGGTAGGTACAGGACAATGGGTAGCAATGTCAACAGCCATCTTATCAACCGACCATCCGCCCCAGCAACAACAACCGCCAAGCATTGGCGTTTAGGTGCTTACCCTCGGTGCCATCAAGCATACCTGACTACCTGACTCCGTGTCCAGCTAAGGTACGGAGTACCTCAGAGTATTCTACGCTTCTAGTTGACCCGCTGCCGTATCTCAGCAGAGGATACGTAACACAACACACTCGATTGGAGAGCACTCTCATTTTCCTGGGCTATGGCATACTACTTAGCCGCCATCAGTAGACGTTGTCTCGCTCCCCAGTCCATCCCATTGACGCTGAAGTGGAGAACAATCTGACCTCCCAAGCAAAAGTTCGATCCGGCCGCATAAAGTCTGTGATCTTTGGATGTGCCTATGCCCCGAGGCATTCCCTCTTCGGTCTCAATGTTCCCATTTCGTTAGTTCCCTACAGTAAGCAACCTGTGCTGATATTGATGTGGCTAGACAAGTATAGGCATCATACTTGAACCACCCGTGCATCAATTATGAATGTGACTTTCTGTGCCAGTATTCCTCACAATCCACAATTTGAGGTCCGTCGTCATGTCCCCCTTGAATGATGAAACAGCATTTGTGGTTCATGACGTCTGCATTTGGCAGCATACTCTCCTTGTGATCAAGACACAGTGACGTCGTTAGCTCGAGTGTGTTGTTCAACCGGTTGTTTTGAGTTGCGCCAGATGTAGGTGGCTAACTCGTCACACGCCACAACTTGATATTTTCCAGTCTTGGCCACTTTGAGATAAGGATTGGATGTCTTGCTGCAGATGATACTGATATCTTGAAGGCTTTCGATAGCTTGTCTGTCGGCGTCGTCGATGTCTACAGACATTTCAAGAGCACAGTCCTAGAAAATTCGGTCAGTGGAAATGTGGCTCCAAAGGATCGAGAACATACACATTTCCAGGTAAGTCTTCGGTGAGCTTTTGGTGGTTTGGGTCTGATCAATTGGTTAATCAGATCTTCGAGTCTATCACCACTGCCACTATCGGGTGCGGGTGCGGGTGCGGGTGCGGCGGTTGCTGATGTTGGTGAACCTGGTGTCTTTGCGGATCCAAGTGGGGGAGGGGCAAGGTTGTAGCCTCGACGCTCGGGTGGTGTAGCTGGAGGCTGACCCGATCTTGGTGAGGGTGCTGGTGCGAGGATAGGAGCAGTAACAGGACCAGATAGCGCAGCAGCCAAACTTGGGCCTGAGGTCAAGTTGGGAGACGGCTGAAGCACTGGAGCAGATGGAGGACGTGGAGTGCCATTGGGACTCAAGGCATTACTCAGACGACGAGCACTTCGCGGGCTCTCCGCTTTGGGGTAAAAATCGCCACGTTCCGAGTCCTTGGCTCGTGAAGAAGCGCTCAATGAAGGAGACTGCTCGGGGTCGCGGGAAGTGGCGTCAGAGCTAGGCGCGTCTGTCATGTTGACATCTCGGTCTCTGGACATGTAAGGTCTCTCGCTGGAGATAGGAGGTTGGTCAATGAGCACATGACGGCCGTTGCCGCCATCTCTGATGATACCTTCTTGAACGGCCCAGTTGGTGAGATCCTCGTCCTCGCGTTCTTCCTTGGCTTCGACAATGTCACGTGAAAAATGGCCTCCGACATGTTCCATGCGTTCGTTCCAACTGCCGTCGCCTTCGAAGACTCGACCGCAGAAACCGCAGGTGCTTCGTTGTGGGGGCTTTCGCTTTTCAACCCAGCAACGGCTTCGGACACCTTCGAGGCTGTCCTCGAAGGCCCTCCATTCCTTGGCATCAGCATTACTGGCGGGAAACGGGACAGAGCCAGGACCAGATTCGGGTTTGTGCATTCGACGGTGATGCTGGGTGAAAAGATCCTTTCGATTGAAGTCGTTGTAGACGCGTTTGTGGCCCGGAACATTGGGATTCAGGTCGGGATTACATGAGCCGACATCGCAACGGTAGAAGCCCAATTGAAGGTGCTGGATGGAGACATGTCGCTTCCACTCGTTTTTGGAACTGAGGGCAACATCACAGCCATAGTGAGAAAAAGAACAAATAAATTTGCGCTTGGCAGGTTCCGATCGTTTGGCTCCAGAGCCCGGGGATTTTCGAGCACGAGGCTTCACAACGCGACCGGGGTGGGTGTCGGAACCGGAGATGGACTGGAGCGAATCCTTCCGAGGTCGAGGCTTGATGATGCGATCGGAAGGACTGCCCCGCAGAGAGGCTGAGGTGATGTTGATATTTGCATCTGTCGCCATGGTGGACATGGAGAGCGGGCGAGATGAACGGACGTTGGTGTTGGAGTTGGAGTGGTAGAGTGAGGGTGGCTGTGTGTGGTGATGATAGTGTGAAAAGTGGGTGTTTGGCGTGGTCTGGTCTGGTCAGGTCAGGTCAGGTCAGAAGCGGAGTTGAGCGAAAAGAGCCAGCGAAGGGGACACACGCACGCACGCAAGGCAAGGCAAGGCCAGGCAAGGCGTGGCGAGGCAAGGCGACGAGGCACGACGAGGCTTGCGATGTGCGTTTGGCAATGGAATAATAATCAGTGTCAAAGCTGATCGCTCATTGTTATTCTGGGTCGAGGGTGTGGGAGGTGTGAAGGTGGAGGGGGGCTGGTCGATAGAGAAGAGATGATTGCTGGAGAAGAAGAGATAGCTTTTGCTGGAAGAGAACTTTGGACTTTGGAGTTGATGGCGAGTTTGCCAAGACGGTAATGGCTGGTTGAGGGAAAGAGGAAGGAGAAGGAAAGAGGAGGGAGAGGCGGACGAGGTGGAGGAGGAGCAGGTGGGAGGGTCAAGGCTCAGGTCGGCTTCAGATCAGGCTCGGGCTCGCGAGGTTTGCCAGGCCAGGCCAGGCCAGAGCCAGAGCCAGAACCACACGCGGGCCCGAAAGCTTGCGAGTCTGGTCCCCCGTCCTCCGTCCTCCGTCCTGTATCTCACTAGTACGGCTTTGTGTGTGTGACGGCTGATAAGATTTCGAGCGAGCAGAGTGAGAGGACCAAAGCACAGTACAGGCGGACTCGATTGACTATTGCGAGGAAGAGCAGGCAGAGGAGGGGTGTTGACTCGAGGCTTTTAGCCGCGGGGGGGGGCGTACAGCAGTAAGTACGGAGTAGTAAGGCTGCGATTTCTAGTCTGGACGAAGCTGATCCATCAGGCCCATCCATCGACAGCCCTGCACGAATCACCAGCAGGCAGTGGTAGGCTGTAGTGACCGCCAAGTGGTACCCATTGCGCCCACAACCAAGGGCGAAGGGGTCAATGGTGAATATTCATTGAAGGGTTTTGCTGGCCTTGTGGAGCAGGGAACCTTGCGAGAGACTTACTCCGTACCTTGGCTTTCCATCATCATGCACCGAACTGAATTGAATTCGCCTGCGCTCTGACCAGGCTTCCGACGGGGATGATGAGATCTACAGTACCTACCGAGTACGTGCATGACTCTTTCACATGGAACACACTTGTCTGCTGGCACAGCTACCTACGGAGAAGGAAGAACGGAGCACGCAGCCCGCAGTGCCAGATACCAAACAGCTGTCTGGCTCGCTGCTTTGGACGGGTAAATTCAATTTGGCTTATCTGTGGTCACTCAGTCCTGATGGGAGAATGTGGGAGGCGCGGTGGTCGATAGGTGGCAGTCGTAGTGGCGATGGGCATGGGGACAGCACGAAGCCCGAAGCACGAAGCCCGAAGCCTGAAGCCTGAAGCCTGAAGCCTGAGCCTGGGTGTGCTTGAGCCTAACCAGCTAGCCCCGCAGCCTGACCCAATCGAGGCTGGGAAAAGAGGAGGAAGAAGGAGCAGCCTGGGATCTGCCGAGGCTGCACAGCTGGACGGTCACTGGTCAGTGGCCAGTACGGAGTAGTACTACTACTCCTCGTAGTTACTGAGTGCCAGCCCCAGTTCGCCCACCGAGTCACCGACCGGCCTCCATCAGGGAAGGTCCCTTCACCCCCGGGCTTGGTTGGTTGCACATACATACAGTCTAGGAGTAGTACCGACTAGGTGCCGACTACCTCGTGGCGACCCTCGCACTACTACGAGGTACTAGTGAATTGCCTCCCCTCCATCGCGTCTCTGACTCCCTGCCGTCTCCCACGAGCCTCTCGAGCCTCTCGAGCCTACAGCAGCCTTCCACTCGTCTTCCAGACACTACGAGTACTTGTCCTGAGGATGTTATCCTTGCCTGAACCCACTTTTCGGTGCAATCTCGTGTCTATGAGTACGGAGTCATTAGTGACGAGTACTCCGTAACCCCCCCACGGGTGAACTTGCCAAGTCGCGAATCGTGATACACTTCGCACCAAGTACTGACCCAAGTAGAGGTGGTTGTGTACCGGAAGTCATGGGCAATTCAATGGCATCAATGCGCACACCGTGCCTCTCAACAGGTGCAGCTTGCCTGACCGACTCGTGCTTGTACCAGAGCGGTCAGTGATCAGTCACAAGGCTCAGGAAGCCTCGCATTGCGGCCCAAGCAGGGCCCCAGCGGCCCTAGCGCCCAGCGAGATTGAGCCTGTGAGCCTGGCGTTCGAGGCTGACTATTCCATCTGTGGTCGACCGCCAACCATCACCGTCCAATTCTGGCGTGACATGTGTAGCAGCTTGCAAGTACGAGCACGGAGTAAATGTCAGTCTGCCGTGTAATCAGGACACAGGAGCTGCCTTTCAACCTCCATCTTTGAAACTCAGCGGTGCGGCAGGTCTCATCAATAGCCTCACCTCCTTCACACACATCCACGTCAGAAGACTCGAGAGCGGCCTGATCCACAGCGAGATTGACGTCTTTCCATCTTCACTTTCATTCAATAAAATAATACCGTGACTCGTATGGGACGGCATGTGATGGAAAAAACAATCAATCTTAGCGGCGGTCTTGGATCCAAGCCACATGGTCGACCAAGGGTATCATCCGATTCCAGTGCCACCTTCCCTTTTCCAACCCTACCGAGATATCAGTGATCACTCCCCTCCCTTGCCACTCCTTCCCTCTGACCAGCACACCGTTACGAAGTCCTCGGTGATAATAATATCATTGGGGCGACCCACTCGTTGATCTTTGCGCATTGCTCAGAACAGCTCGATACACCCCCTCAACACCACCGTAAGTAACACTACTCGGACACAGTCAATCTGACTCTGACTTGACGCCGCCTCGGCCGTCGATGCCCACCCCAAACTCCCGGGTTGCCCTGTGGATCTCGCCCTGCACTCACTTCCGGGCCTTCCTGTACTAGCCTAGCCTTACCCCGCACTCTCTCTCTCTCTTCAGTCTCACTCTCACTCCTTCCTTCTCCTGTGCTCGTACCTTGTAAGTTCTCACTGGCCTGGCATGTTTGACGAGGTTCACGTTTTTTTTCCAACTTCCAACCACCACCCACCGGAATCCAAAACTGCAATTGCAGCATTGGAAAGGCCCCTCCCCCACCTGCCCCCAAACCACGTTTTGCCACCGCGTTACTTGATTTCTATCTTGGCATGCACGCGTTCAACTCACCCTCGTTGACCTGCTCGGTCTACAGTAGACAGTGGCTTTTCCCTCGTATCATCGAGCTTCAGCATTCCACTTCCCAAACGCGTGCGTCCGAGGCTGAACGGCAGCCTTTCACCCCTTTCACCCCATTCGAGGGCCAGACCTGCTCCCACCACTTTTCCATTTTGCCTGCCCTCCTCCCCAACATGATGTTTCCCCACCATTCCCCTCCATCACCACCTTGGTTTCGCTTTGTTCGCTGGGTCTGCCGACATACACCGACGGATGTCCATCCGGCTACCTAGGAACTACCGAGTTCAGTATTGCCCACCCCTCAATGCACGTTCCACACGGTTGAAATATCCCTCCACACTCCAAGCCTAAAACACCCCAATCAGTTCACCATCCATGTAAAATCTACAGCGAAGCGATATGAAATATACAATACTCCGTACAATAATCAACAATACATCGCAACGCAACACCCCCAAAGCCACATTCACATTCTAGAAGATCCATATGTACTCCTCGATCTAGCTGCACCAACGCTTTCATAGTCAAAAGCATTGTATTGTTACATTGGATGGCGCACGGGACTGCTGCTCTTCTAATAAACATGCGCAGTTGTCACTGACTCTCATTCCGCCTCCTCGCCTGACTCTCGAGACTCGGCTCCTTGCGACCTCGTTACATCAGGATCTTCTGGCTCCTCGTCTTCAACATCCTTCATCTCGGCATCTGCAGGGACTGTGCCTTGTAGCCCGCTCCCTTCGCCAGAGCTACCCATCTCTTCCTCCTTGGGCTCGGTTGAATTCGGTGCTTCTCCTGTTGCCTCATTCGTGTCTTCGCCTTCACATTCGACTTGCCCTCCGTCTTCTTTGGCCTCTCCATCCACATTTGCACCTGCGTCAACGTCCGGGTCGGCATTCTCGTCGTTCTGTGTCTGCTCCTGTGTATTGGTTTCGTCTATCTTCTCTCCATCCTCCCCTCCGCTCTCAATCAAAGCTTTGAGGTTCGCACCACTCTGGATATTCTCACAAAGCACGAATCTACGGCCACTGGTCCTCAGCGCTCGCCATAACTTTCCCGCCTTGCGCTCTTCAATTTCCTTCTTCTCTTCCTCGGTCGCAAAATCTAGGTCCAGGTCATCTGTCTGGATTCCATTGTAGTAGTCCTCCAACGTCGGCATCTTGCGTCTTTTGCTTGGATGCTTAAGAGCCTCGAGCGGCTCCACACGCGATAGGAACGCAAGGTCACCAGCTCCAGGTGGCGCAGGGAGCGGCGCTTTCTGCGAGTTGGCAATCCTTGTTAACGTGTCTCTCGAACGAACATAGTCTTCGGGTGCGATGCTGTCGTGCGAGATGGAAGGACAGTTCTCTGCCTTCCACCGCACCCAGTTCTTGTCTCGAGACAGCACCGTATCAACCATGCGATAGTAGAATTTTCCTTCGTTTCCATTACCCTGCTGGAGATAGGATGCAATTGCAGCACGGGTGGCATTCGCCCATTTCGTGTCCTCGTCAGATAGCGTGTACGCGTATAGCACTGACTTGTTCGATAGCCCTTCGAATTTGGCCTTGGAACTGGCTGTCAGACTAAGGAGGAAGTCAAGCATGATCAATGCCTGCACCAATATATGGCGGCGGAAGTCAACATCATGAACCTCGAGGTCGAATAGATCGCGATTCGTCAAATATTTCGGGTTAAATGTTGAGGCCGAGACTGTGGAGCTGGTTACATCGGACTCACTGGTCCTTTTGCGCTTCAGACCACGCTTGATATCAGAAGAGTTGGTGGTGGAAGTGGATGATTGTGAGACACTCTTGAAGCATGACAGAGTTTGCTCGATACCGTCTTTGAACGTGGACATGTTGGTGGCTTCGAAGAGTCGGGTGGGAGAGGAAAAGAAGGATTGCAAGGTCCAAAATTTGGGATACAACGCATCAAGATCGGGCGGTGGAAGAGGAGCGGGATCCTTGGACTCGGAGATTTTTGAGGGCCTAGGAACCGGAGTACCTCTTGCCGTGGAACTCTTCTGATCCGAGTCTTGTAAATGGGAGTGGGAAGCGGGTGTCTGAGCTTCTGAGGTTGCTTGCGGGGTGTGAGACTGCGCATCGGTTGGATCGAGTTCCATAGGTTTTATTGCGTCTTCCGACTTCTTGAGCGCAGGGTCAAAGGTGGTTGCATTTTCGACATGGAACTCTCCTCGTAGATTAACGGAACTCTTGTCACCCAAGGGGAAACTCTGGAATAAGAATATAAAGACTCGACCGCAGAAGACGGTATCTTCGGCTCTGGATAGACGTCGCAAGAGATCGTTACAGCATCTCAGCAGGACGAGATTCTTATTGGGTCTGAAGTGCTTCGCAATGAGCCTCTCCCTACGAGACTCGAGATAATCAAAGACCTTCCTGCAACCTTCAATAGTTTGTGTATCGAGAAGGTCTTCCACAAGCCATGCAGCCAGGCCAGGTTCGCACATGTCATTGTCGGACAGTACAGTTATGATGTCAAACAGCACCCACACCATACTAAATGCAGGTTCAGTAATATCAACCGTGGCAGTGGTGTCGAGAAAAATCTCGCGACAAGCGGCCTCAATGGCAGCATTGTGAGGATGAGAGCCTGAGGAGAGATCATTCTGGGTCCTGAGAGCGCGGACTTGTTTGAGCAGCTCGGCACAGTCGATCTCAAGGATAGGAGTGTCGTTGAGAATGTCATCGTGGGTGTCGCTTAGTTGAATCACAGCGGACTCGATCAAAGGTTTGTAGACAGTGAAGAGGTGGACGTCGGAGAGGGACATGGCGGCACCGTTGGGATTTGAACGAAGAGGAGGAAGAGGAGACGAAGGACGGTCAAGGGTCGGCGAGATTGAAGGAGCGACGTCTCAGTTGCGGCCGTCGCATGTGGATAGAACGACTATTATTTCTGTAGAAGGCTCCGTACAGTGTACTGGTTTTGGAAAAGAAAATAGAAGGCGCGATGGTGCTGATGCATCTTTCTCCGCAGCCGCAAGTTACGTGACTTGCCAGTACTCGTACCCATAGTGTGCCTTTAACTGGTGCTGTGCCTGGCGGGATCCCGGATAGCACTAGTTTGGTGCAGCTCACGCAGCCCTTGCCGCTCTTTCAAAAATGACGTGTCCACCCGATGAGGCTGCCAGCCTGCCGCTTACAGTAGTGTTTCTGCCTGGCGAAATTCAACCATCGCAGGGCGGCGTCATCCATGGCCTTAAGTAGGGTTAGCTCGGTGCTAAGCCAACTTGGTGCAGATTTTACTCCCCTCAGGCTTGGCGCGATGGAGAATCCAAAAGTTACAACAATAACTGGCATGGTACGGAGTACTTCGTATGTATGTTCGGCAAGCAGTGCAACAACACCACCACCATGATCAACTCTCTACACCCAATCTCTACCATGTGAAGTGCCCAAAGTCACCGCCATGGGCCTTCAACTCCGACCTGCATTGGCTCCCGCCTTGGATGTTTCGGGATCCAATGCTCCTTCCAGCTATTGGGAAGAGCTTGCCGCAAAACACTGGCTGCGGTCAATTCCTTCCAAGGTCAAGCCAGACCAGATCAAGACTGCCATTTGGGATCATCTGGAGCAGGATTCCTTCTCATTCCATACTCTCGCTCTACTAGAGAATGTGCAGATATTCGAGCGCTTCCTCTGGCCTACATTCTCTCCCGACTCGTCCAACCACCATGTTCTTCTCGTCGCCATCTTCTTCAATGTTAAACAGCGAGCCCACCTTCAAGACTGGTCTATCTTTACAGGCCGCCCCGACCATTTCTCCGTCCTCTTTCGCCGCGTACTCTCACTCAATCTGGACAGTTCGCTCCCTATATTCTCCCGCCTTGCTCTCCTCAACTTCGTCATCGGCGCGTTTCAGTCTCTCGAGAATGACCACGTGCGCAAAGAGGCAGCTCCTCTTGTCTCGATAGCCACCTGGCATAATCTCCAGGGCGATGCAGTAAGAGAAAGACTATTTGAGGCCCAGCCAGCCCGGAGGAAAGCATGGCGAGCTGCACAACGGAGATACGATGCCGCAGATCAAGAAACCCAGGCTCGCCTCAGGTTCGATCGTGCATGGCTGTATACTATGTTGCTCGACTTCCTCTCAAGAGTCAATGCACCAAAGCTGTCAACATCTCAGGACATGATTTATTGCGAGCGCTTCACTGAGTTCATCATCGACCTCATCAGCCAGCTTCCCACAAGACGTTACACGAATCCTTTGTTGCAAGATCTCAATATCCTTTCCGTCCTTCGTACGTCGACCTTTCACGCAAAACAAGAAGGTGCTCTTTTACGCGACCTTACCAATCTATTGGAACACTTCCAGAACTTCGCCATCGATGATCTTGGAAACACCGAGTCTGGGCCCGAAGGAACACGCAAGGCTCATTATAATGCACTAGCTCGCCTACAAAAAGTTGCCCTCCAACATTTTGAGTCTAAGTTGAAGGTCCTTGCATTCTCCAACTACGGTTCCATCAACAAACGGAGTGAATTACTGTCCCACTTTGCCACCCTGACAGACGCCGAGTTGCAGCACCTATGCTCTCTTCTCGGAATCCGCACTTCTTACCCAGCCTCGACCGGCTTGGGCGCCAATCGGGCTGTCTTGCTCGAAACTCTTATGTCTTCTTTCTCGCAGCCACGAAGCTTTCAGGACGCTGTCTCACAGCTGTCTGTTGTCCCGACTGATTCCTCAATCTATGACCCTGCGCTCCTGCGTAACGAGAAGTACGACGGTTCTCGGCCCTTAGGTATCCCAAAACTCAACCTTCATTATCTAACTTTAAGTGACTTTATGTGGAGATCATTTCAACTCTACCAAGCCGAAGCCTTTTATAGCATCAGAAAAGATATTGAAAATGTGGTCAGACGATTGAAACCCAAGCCTAGTCGTGATCGTGGCACACAATTTGAAGGGTTTTCCAGAATGGCTCTCCCTATTGAAAAGCCAGCTATAATCGAGGTCGGCACTCCAAAGGTTGGATCTTTGAAGCCGAGCTTCGTTCGAGCGGAAGTTGTTTTAGATGTCAACCGCCTGAGCGATAATATCCGAAAGGATTGGGATAGCCTTAGACCACGAGATACTGTTTTCTTACTCTCAGTCAAAGCACCTGAGACCGATCGACAGCTTAGCAACGGCCACCATGAGGGAGGCACAGAACACTCGGAAGCCTTCACTGTGTTGAGAACTGCGGAAGTGGTTCAGGTATTAGATGAAAACAGCAGACCATTGAGAGATGTTCAGACAAATGGTTACACCTCGAGACCACGAAAACGACGATTGTTACTTGACTTGGACCCTTGGCCTTATCCTTCAGACAAGGAGTCGATATCCAAGGGAAAGGCTGACGTTTATTCTTCTATCAATGTCATTGTACGGAGACAAGGTCGGGAGAACAACTTCAGACCAGTCTTGGAGACCATCCAGAGACTAGTTTCCTCGAACACTTCTCTGCCATCTTGGCTCCAAGAAGTATACCTAGGATACGGCGATCCGTCAAGTGCCTCATTCACTTCGTTGGCCAACCGGCTCGAGACTGTTGACTACCTTGACACTTTCCTCGATTGGCAGCATCTTACTGCGAGCTTTCCTGACAAGACTATTGAGCCCATGTCAGAACAAAGCTTGCCACTTGAGCCGCCCTTTGTTCTCAAAATGGCTCCTCAAGTCACCGATGAGCCCCTTAGAAATCCTAAGAAACGTCGTCGCGATGAGATGGAGCAGGACTCATCCTCGATTAATGTTTCAACCTATAAGCCTAAGAACACCGGCCCATATCCGGTGGACACGCCTAAAAGGAACACTATTCGATTTACACCAAAACAGGTTGAAGCAGTCGTCTCTGGAACTCAGCCAGGTCTCAGTGTGATTGTGGGACCACCAGGAACTGGAAAGACGGATGTGGCTACCCAGATCATCAATCTACTCTATCATAACTTTCCGTCCGAACGCATTCTCTTGATTGCTCACAGTAATCAGGCCCTGAATCAACTCTTTCAGAAAATCATTGCCCTCGATATCGATCCCCGTCACTTACTTCGCTTAGGTCATGGTGAAGAAGATCTCGATACTGAAGTGTCGTACAGCAAATATGGCCGAGTTGAATCATTCTTAGATAATCGCCAAGCTTATTTGGGAGAAGTCAGTAGGCTTGCAGCTTCGATCGGCGCTGAAGGGGCCCATGGAAGCTCGTGTGAGACCGCGGACTATTTCAATCAAGTTCTTATTAAGCCTGCTTGGACCAGATTCTGGGACGCTGCTAACGCAGAGGGGGCTAATGTCAAGTCCATGCTTGCTGCTTTTCCATTTTACAAGTTCTTCAGCAACGCCCCCGTGGCGACACTGTTTCCCTCGGATAGTTCATTGGACGAATTGCGGGATACTGCTTCCGGTTGCCAGCATCATATCGACAAGATTTTCTCTGAGCTCGAAGCCATCAGGCCTTTTGAGATTCTCCGAAACAATCGAGACCAAGCAAATCACCTTTTGGTAAAAGAAGCTAGAATCATCGCCATGACATCTACACACGCAGCGATGAGACGATCAGAAATAGTTGATTCCGGCTTTCACTATGACACATTGATCATGGAAGAAGCAGCGCAGGTCACTGAAATCGAGTCTTTCATACCCTGTGCGATGCAAAACCCGAACCCAAGGACAGGAGAACTTCCCCTGAAACGGATTGTGCTGGTTGGTGACCATATGCAAAATTCTCCCATCATTCAAAACCTGGCATTACGTCAGTACGCCAATTTCGAACAATCTCTGTTCTTGCGCCTTGTCCGATTAGGTGTCCCTGCCATCCACCTTGACAAGCAAGGTCGTTGTCGTCCATCGATCGCTGAGCTTTTCAAATGGCGCTACGAAGACTTGGGTAATCTACCACACCTGTCGCACATCCCTGAATTCACGCGGGCAAATACTGGCTTTGGCTACGATTACCAATTCATCGACGTCCCTGACTACCAAGGCCAAGGCGAGCGCGAACCAACGCCGCACTTCATTCAAAATCTCGGCGAGGCAGAGTACGCTGTCGCCCTGTATCAGTATATGCGCCTGCTAGGATACCCTGCGCGTAGCATTTCCATTCTTGCTACGTATGAAGGCCAGCGTGCTCTTATACAGGATGTTCTCGCCCACAGATGCAAGGATAAGCGCCTCTTTGGATTCCCAAAAATTGTTACGACCGTCGATAAATACCAAGGTGAACAAAATGACTATGTCATCGTCTCAATGACGCGTACAAAGAACGTTGGATATCTACGGGACGTGCGCCGGCTGACGGTCGCATTATCTCGCGCAAGGCTAGGACTGTATATCCTAGGCAGGAGGGATCTATTCGAGAGCTGCTTCGAGATGAAGCCCGCGATGGATCTCTTACTGCAACGACCGGACAAGCTGGTGCTTACAACAGGTGAAATGTTTCCAACTCAGCGGGCCCTCGAAGACAACACGGAGAACACCACGGAGATGGAGGGTGTCGAGCATCTGGGCCAATATGTCTATGAAATGAGCCAGGCAAAGCTCAAGAGTCTTGGTGGAGGGGTTGCAAGTGGAGATGAGAGTGAGGCTGAGAATACTCTGGATGCGGCGGGGGTTGGAGATGATGGCATTGAAGGCGAAGACGAGGAAGGCCAAGAGGAAGATCCGTTACATGAGACGGCTGTTTGATTACTAGCAAGGCACGTAGACATGTAAATACACTTCAAGAGGAAACGCAACTCTTCTGGCGACTAATTTTCTGTCGCCTGTAATTTCCCAGATATTTTTCTTTTGCTGTCCTTCATTCTCACCCTATTGTACGGCTTCTTGCACTAGAATATTCTATGCATGTACCATGTCGGACTGCTATAGGCTAAAGCCACCGGCCGTGCTCCCTTTCAAGCCCCCTTGGCCCTGCTCGCGACTGTGCAGCCCTCGCCTACAACAGGAGCTGGCTGGGGCCGCTGCCTCCCACGTCACATTCAGAGCATGGCATATCAATCGGACCACATCGCGCTGCTGATTGACCTTTTCTCGCGCTGTTTTGGTCCACTAACATGCAAGCTTTATTCTGTTCTGTTTGACAGGATGATGAGATTGATGACTCAACATGGACAGGAATTTGATTTTTCACTCCCTCAGCCCTCCTCTACAGGCATGGCATCTCGTTGAATCTTCTTCAACAGATTCTGACGACTCTTGGCCTTGTCGAGTCTTTCCTGCCTCTTGCCCATATCTTCCCAGTTCGCGACGCCCCACTCTCGAACCTCGTCGAAGTGTCCCTTCGCATACGCACTTCTGACTCCACAGATCTGGTCCTGTAGATCGAGATCACCTTCGAAATCGAAGTCACCGCCGTCAGGAGATGCAATTGCAGCTTTCAGACCTTTCATCGCATAGGTGACTATTGCTCCTTCCGCCGTGATTGATTTCCTGATGGTAGCCCACAGTTCGTTGACTCCGGTTTGGCGAACGAGGATTTCTTTTCTCTCATTGAAGCTTGATGAGAGCTCCTCGCCAAAAAACCGTTTGGCGTCCTCGACGACTTCGTCACGCGTCAGGTGTGCAGCGGCCCCGGGTGCATCGTTGGCGTGTTCAGGGAGGAAGGTGTCGGTCCAGTATGCAAAAGCAGGACGTTTGTTTGCGCGTTGTCTGTCATTTGCTTTCAAGGCTTCTCGTTTCTTCTCTTCCCAGCGATTAGGGTTGTGGAAGCGGCACGTTGCTGCGTAGGACATCATCTGATCCAATGTAGTGAACGGTTGCCAGTAGCGCTCAAGGTCGAGACCTAGGTATTGCAACACTTGATTCGGGTCAGTGGTCAGCTTGACGCGACTTTGTTCCTTGCTGTATCTTTCTGCCTCCTCAATACGTAGAAAAAACCCCTTAGGAGTGCTGGTGAGCCCGAAGCGGCGGATGATGCCACCCAACATGTTCCACAGATCGCCATGTGCGTGGAGGAAGAGTGTCCAGTTCATCACGTCCACTGTGGAACAGATCTGCACATCCACTTGGATCCAGGCAGCGTTGAGGTTGGTTGAAAGGCCGGAGGTGCTCTCAGTGGTTTCCAGAGGGATTTCGCCAGCAAACTCCCTTGGCCAATTAATTGCAATACTGGTAGTCGAGCTCCCCGAAGTTTTGGTGGCTCGTTTACCCCCGACGATCTCAGCAAGGAACACAGTAGTCATTGAATCAACCGTGCGAGTCGGATCGACAGGTTCGGCAATGAGAACGTCGATGTCACCATAGGTGGATTTTCCTGGGGCCTCGATTGGATGTGCAACATGTCTGAAGTACTTTTTGTATCTAGACTCAACTTGCTCAAGCATACTCCGGTAGACAGCTTCGGGCATCCGCGGTGTGTAGAGCCCGTCCTGGGCAAAAGCACTGCCGCCCATGATGAGGATCAATGCTTCTGAGATCAGGGAGGCAGGAGGGAGGGGGGAACGAAGGAACGAAAGAGCAAGCAAAGCGGGTATGAAATAAAAGGAACTCAGACCAGAAGCAAGGCAGGCTCTATCATATCAAATTCTTTGTGAGATGTAGTTGTTTGATTTCCCCTCGCGGAAGGTTTCGCTGAGAAGGACTTCACTTGAAGGCAAGGCAAGCAAACAACAGCTGACTCATACCTTCTTAGCATTAGCCATTGGTCGTTGTGTTTTCAAAACAGCTACGCCTTTGTACTGATCGGGAAAGATGACTTTATTTGGGCGTCCCAAATTTTGAGCCGTGAAAATGAGAATCTGTGATATTGTAATGGCCAAGTCGTAATCAATATTAATTGCATGAATGCGCTGCTGGAACGAGGATCGTGGTAGCTATAAAAGCAGCGATATTATTGGGACGTTTTCGGCCTTATCGGCAGAGTGCCTTTTAACCCTAGCCGGGAAGGAGCCCGTCTCCCCCGTCATGGGCTATCGCACCTGATAAAATCTACCACCTCAGGCTACATAAGGCACTCCCTCCTACGCTCGCCACTTTCACCTCCAGCCAGAGATCAAATCATGTCCTTCCGCCTACTATCTTCTTTTGTTCTTTTGGGTCCGCTCGTTGTTGACTCGACTTGGACTTCCCATCGCCACCACAATTGCCAATGCAGACTACGAGTTGCTCTGATGTCAAATCTCATGGGAGGCCAAGGTAGATAACCCTGTTTACTTACTTTACCTAGGACTGAGTACTGAGTACTGGATACACTGAGCACGCTGAGTAGGCTACGTACGAACGGCCCCCGTCCGGTCGGCTGTTAACGTAGCCTCGTACTCTATTGGCTAACCTTCTAGGACTCACTGTCAGGCTTAGCGACCCTTGAAGTGAGGTTACTCATAATACTAGTGATGTGGAGTCTATCCTAGGCCAAAGCGTCATTATCGGATTTCGAAGTGAAAGTCGAGGCGAGGAGACGAGAGTGTGACTAGATGTAGTCTCAATACCAGGTAAATAGTTCCTCAATTATTTATTCATGCTTAATATCCGTCTATTAATATGGTCGGCTATGTACAGCTAGGTATTGTGGATTCTGAGGGCGCTTCATGCAAATAAATCCTCCCCGTCTTCCCGTTATCTTCTGGGAAGGACATCACGGGTTCAGGTCTATGTTCATATAGAAACGGCTTTGTGATGAGGCCATCTTCATAATGAGGATGGAATCAGTCAGTAATGTGCAAGACGGCGACTCAGCCCCAGTTCTGTCTCGTATGATACGTAGACATGAGGAGCTTCATCCAGCGACACATAAGGTTCGCTTTGCGTCTGCATTGCGTTTTGGCGTTTGTTTCTTTTCCCGGTCCGAAGATGGAAAAAAGTTTAAGTAACTAGTTGGAAGAGATTGTCGTGTCAACTTGCGAGGCTGGGTTCGGTTTCGACAGCTGGAAGGAGACCTGGAAGATGGCAGTTTAGGGACACTTGTGCGTAAGGGAAGACGAATGTAAGGGTTGTAATAGCTGATGTAGAGGTGATTAGTAAAGCGGGATGAGACTAGGTTTCGTAATGTCTCCTGCTTGGAGAGTCGGGAACGAAAGACTAAGGGATGTGAGAATGAGCTCGCAGCTCCTTGGTCAACGCGTTTCAGACAGCAATACAGGCGTCGCGGGCACATCAGATCGGGATTTATGCGAATGCGCCGACAATAGACATCCCAGCAGCTACGAAATATTGTCAGGGTTCGTTCCAATCTTTAAGAAGTGAATGTTTGGCACGCTTACCTCCAAGAAGAACATAAGTGAAAGCGACAATCTTGTTCTTCTTTGTCATGATGTGCTGCGCTTCTTCAGATAGGAAATCTTCGGCCAAAAGATCTACCAAGGCTGCATAGACGAGGAGACCGGAAGAACTAGAAAATTTCATCAGCGTCACTGGATTGGTATCATATCGGACGACACTCACAATGCATTGAATGCTCCAACTAGAATCAACGCAAAAGCGCTGGACGGGTCGTACGAGTTGCGTGTCAACAAACCAATGGCTTGACCTATTGGGCATGTTGTTCCAAATGCCACTACCAAGACCCAAGGACGAATAGCCTTCTTTGGATATGGAACCTCGGCGATACGAGAACCAAGACCAAGACCTTCGAAGAATTGATGGAACAGAATAGCAATGAGCAAGATCAAAAAGCCATCCGTGGTAATTGAAATCGTCATGCCAACGAAAATGGAGTGGAAGAGAATACCGCCTTCCAATAGGGTGATGTTAAGGTTCATCCGCTTCAATGTCATGGCATCCACTGACGCTTCGGTATCGGAAAGATGGACCGAAGAGCTGTCATCGAAAGAGGAAGTCTCACTTTGGATGGGAGGAGTGAGCGACACGATTGCTGACTTCATTTCTTCCCGTTGGCGGACATATTGAGCATAAAACACTTGAAACCACGCCGGCATGTCAGAGAGGTTATTGTATTGTTCCATCTCTTCACGTGGACCTGAGTTGACCTCGTATGTACTGTTTCTTGTCAGTAATTGCAACTCACTACTCCAATGATGTCATCCTACTGGGTATAGGCATGAGGCTTCTCAAAGTCGTAGCTGGAGGTGCCTCTCGGATGCCCATAGGGAGGGAGACTTTGCGGTGTCACCACCCCGGGTCTTGCTCCCTGAGTGGCCAGAGAAACAGTTCCTCCTCCGCTTCCCATAGGACCTCCATGAGAATGACCTCCAGTCTTGGCCTTGAGCCACATCTCGATGGTGAAGAGCGAAAAGAGAGCAAACATCATGATCACGCCTGGCATAGCTGGATATTGTTCCGTAAGGAGGGGTGGAAGACAGGGGTCGCTGAGGGAGGCAAATGCTGTTGGAATAAGCTGTAACGAGTGACTTAGCATAATATTGCGCTGATTCCTTCAGTCCAGGACATACATGAACAAATGCTGTCGCGACCAGAACTCCAGTCCCAAAATGTTTGCAGAAGAAAATGACTGGCTGAGGGATATTCATCCATCGTATTCTTTTCCCAACCACTGGGAGACCAGCTCCTATAGAATGATCAGCACAGTTGGAAGACCACAGTAAATTGGCAGCGTACCTCCAATACTGAAAAGAAAAACAAGGACTAGATTATTCGATTAGATGATGTTCTTCTCCCATGTCGAGATCTAAGTTCCAACTTACAGACCGCGGCAACATGAAGTGGAAGGTCATAGTCATCAAGGTCAGCACCGCCGCCGCCACATTGAGGTCGTTCCGACATTTTGAATAGGGATCCGGCCCAAGGAGTGAAGAAGAAAGCTAAAGGAAGCAAAAAGCAAGGCACAGCCTCGTAAGTGGATGTGAACTGTAAAAGAGCTGCCAGAGCCTGAGGAGAGGAATTCTTCCAAATCCCAAGGAATTCAAGCTTCTATAGCCATCCCACATCGTCGTCAATGATTTTACCCGATCCCAGCCATCTCCATCGTTGAAACTCCTCCGACCATGTCCTCCTCCTGGGCGTTTCGTAGGCAGCTCAAGAGGTTGATCTTCATGTGCTTGTTCTGGAAGTTCATATCATCCGCCCATAGCTTGGTCCCTAGCCGTCTATGCTTGTCAGAGTCACTATGATACAAGCTCTGTCTGATCCCGTTTGTAAAAGTACTTGCCGTGAGTGGGTCAACATGGCCAGATTCGGACCAGGATGTAGATCTGAGCGGCTTTTGGGAATTCGAGACCATTGATGACGGCTTTCCGTGAAAAGGATCTTCTGGTAGCGAATCGTAGCCTATCTGAATACCCTTCCACCCTATCTGAATTATAACTTTACAAACTTGAATCTCACGAAGTTACTTTCTCGCAAACTCACCACTGAATGACTGCATTATGCCAGTAGAGCAGCTTCGGACTCGGTCGAAATCACGAAGGTTCACTCAACAAACCTGTTACGCCCCTGCGCTGTCGGCAACTTCTCGAGCCCGTGCCAAGAGCGGAAACCTGATAACAGGGTCGCCTTATTTGACATTCAGGCATTGACGAGGGACCCACAATGAGTTCCGTCAGTGTGAAGTCTCGATTCGAGAGATGTAAGGAGTAGCGAACGTGCAGGATGTGATGAAGACGTTGAGAAACGACGCGGCTAATCCTTGGCATCCTTTAAGGGGCTGAACTTTGATGCTGACGTTTTCCATATGGTGATTGGCCTCCCGGGCGAGGATAGTACAATCGGTCACACAGGAGCCTCATCCACAGCAAATGTGGGAATCTGCATGGGGTGCATATCGCATTGTGCATCATGATACGCACGGGGGCACTGTAGGGTGTCTCAAGCTGGTCCTGGTACCTACGAGTAGGTAGCACTTGGATCAAGCAAAACAGGCCTGCTCAGGCAAACTCCTGTTCCAAGGCCTCAATGTATCCACCTCCGCATCCCAAGGCGGGTGATGTGCGGATCTGCATAGGCTTATCTTTCTTCTTTGATCTTGATGGTTTGAGCGGATGCTTGTGCCGCAGACAAGCTCTCCCCAAGATTTGCAACAAGCTGTGAGTCTGCGACAATGCCAAGAGAAACCGCCTTGGCATGTATCGGCCAAGAGATTTTCCGAGTCCAGAACATATCAAGGCAGCTGCGAGCAAGGCTATCCAACCCACGACTCCACATATCTGCTACTCGGTAAGCAGCACATCAGTAACGGCCAAGACATAAACACACATCTTATTGCTTCATAATTACATTTTCCAGCAGCTGCTCTCCACCGTTAAACAGGGAAACTCTTAGCTACCACAGTCACGGTCCTTTCAAGCGGAGGTGCAAACCAGCCTCCGCCACAGTAAGTAGGTGGGTGTGAGGTAAATGATGGTGAGGAGGTATCTGTATTCTGTAGAGCCAAATGTGCCGTCTTCCATGTATAAGTGCTACATGAAAGACTGGTCCCTGCTTTTCTTGTGATTTCCATCAGATCCAACCCCCATTCCATTTCCTCCAACTTTCGTCTTCAACTTCCATATTATTATTCCCTGTCACAGTTATTTGTATATTCTCAGGTTCCCACTCGGGATTTTTCGTCTAAGGCGTTTCATCACAACTCATCCCGAGGAACTCTTGACCATTCGCTTGTCCTTGTTTACCAAAGCAAACCTCTGATCCAGGATGGCCTCGTCATCTGCCGACAAGACCAGCCAGAAGGGGGCAGCAACCACGGTAACAGGGCCATCCGGGTTGAACTCTGATCCTATATCTCCCCTTGAATCTACTCAATCATCAGCTTTTCATGTTGATATCCGACCCTCCAGCAATTTACAGAGGACCATTCAACCTTCAATATCGAACAAAGCAGATGAAGTCGATCCTACTGATCCATATGCCCTTCGAGGGCAAATACGCGAGAAGGCGACCTTTAAAACCTCAGAGTCCGGCCTCTCCCAACGGAATCACAAAAAGATAAAGAAGTACTATAACCGCCAGAATGCTCTCATCGACGCGTACCTCTCCAGTGCGGACGAGGAAGCTCTTGAACTTGAAGACAACCTCAAGAATGGAGGCAAAGTCCGCTTCGCCGTTAATGCAAGCTTTGTGTGCAACTTCTGCCTGTTCGTGATTCAGTTATATGCCGCCATCTCTACTGGGTCATTGGCACTCTTCGCCACTGCCGCCGATGCATTTGTGGGTCTTGGTTTCCCTACAATGTCTTAAACTATCCGCTAATCTTTCTCTCCTTAACAGATGGATCTGGTCAGCTCCATTGTCATGCTTGTCACTTCCCGCATGGCGGCAAAGCCGAAAGTCCACAAATACCCTGTGGGCCGCAAACGTGTCGAGACAGTTGGAATCATCTTGTTCTGTGCTCTCATGACCACTGTGGCCGTGCAGCTGATGATCGAATCAGGACGAGCATTAGGCCACGGACCGCCTGACTCGAAGGAGCTCGAGGTTATCCCTATAGCCTTTGTCTCAACAGCAATATTCTCCAAGGCATGCCTGTTCGTGTACTGCTTCATATTGCGACGGTATCCAGCAGCACGGATCTTCATGATCGACCATCGCAACGACATCGCCGTCAACCTCTTCGGTCTAATCATGTCGATTGTCGGCTCACGATACAGCAAAGTGTGGTTCCTCGATCCAACCGGTGCCATCCTCATCGCACTGCTGATCCTTTACTCATGGGCCTCCACGGCGTTCGAGCATGTATGGTACCTAGTCGGCAAGTCCGCCCCACAAGACTTCCTCAATAAAGTCGTCTACGTGAGCATCACGCATGACCAACGCATCCAGAAGATCGACACCGTCCGTGCCTACCACGCCGGAGACAAGTTCTATGCCGAGGTCGACATCATCATGGACGAGGCCGAGCCTCTGAAAGTCACTCACGACGTCAGCCAGACTTTACAGCGCAAGCTCGAGGGTCTCGCAGACGTCGAGCGTGCCTTCGTCCACGTCGATTATGACTTTGAGCACGACGTCTTCGAGGAGCATAAAGCTCTCTACGAGAAAACGAAGCCTAAGGCCGCCAGGAAACCTCTCGCTGAGAGAGTCAAAGGTCGTCTGAGCATCATCGGCTTCACCTCCGATGGCCCGTCTGAGGAGCAACCAGAGCAGAAAACAGGCTTCCTCGCCAGACTCTTCGGACGGCGATGACAATTGCCTCATTTGGGGTCGGAGGCGACGAGCAAACTCCCATAAGCTCCGGGAGTTTTGAAAAAGGGAACTAAGAGAAAAGTACACACGAATTTTATTGATTAGTCTTTATTATTGATCTTTTGCGCGTATCCGATCAATCGTTACATAAGAACACGCAAACAGGCCGCTACATACCCGGCCGTGGTAGAGAAGAACTCTGGTACCATCAGGTGTATCATCGAGATCTCAAAATTAAAAGGGAATTTTCTCGCAAGACTTTCATTTGTCGGTTTCATTCCCAGTCAATTTCTGCTCTTCTTCTAACTATCTCGAGCTTAGTCGAGGTTAACGGTCGGGGATTTTCTCAAGGAAGGTTTAGTCCTAAACTCGGGTTCCAACCGTTGGTTCATGTAGCAAGGAAGGAGTCATAGTTGAGATACGAGAATACCCTCGGCCCCATCGTTGACTTCCAGCCCTCGAAAGGAGCACGCATACGACAACAGGCAAATTTGAAGAGGGAAGAGATGTGTTCAAAAATGTTGAAATCCCCCCCTTCCAACTCTGTTGAAAGGATTTCTAAGCTAGCAATACAGTTTTGGAAGTCTTCTGGGTGCAACTGAAAGGATGTCACTCTGTCTTTTGGGGGGTTTCAGCACCACAACGACGACGAGGAAACTTTCAATCGTCCGGATACCAAACGTCAGACAAATTGTCCCTCAATGGAGATAGGCATTCATAACGCCAGCGATGCCCCTTAGGCATTTGATCGTGCAGGTCGTGAATGGGCAGATATCGTTTCCCGGCTCCCAGTTCCCCCATTCCCCTGAAGGAAAGATGCAAAATCATCCTCTCCCCAGAAAGGTGTCTCTGTTCAAGGAGTCAAGGGTGGGTGAAACTCGAAACGAATCATATTTAAGCCTTGGTGGTAAAGTCGACCTCGCCCGGGAGGAGGCCTCCATCAGCGGCTTTCTCGCAGGTACACGATCCCGCACTTCGCTGGCCGCAGGCGCAAGTGGATCCCGAAGGCTTCGCGTTCTCGGTGTCCGCACGGTCGCACGTACACTCTCCGGCGGGGCGGGCGCCTGTTGGTCAACTATCGTTAGTGGAAAGATCAAAGCGAAACTTCAGACGGAAAGCGTGCACGAAAAGCAGACGTACGGCATGAGCAACGAGCGCCCTGGATGGTGTTCTCGGTGGACTTCTTCTCACAGGTGCAGTTCATGGCAGAGTGCTTGCCGCACGAGCAGGTAGCTTTCTGGGCGCAGACGCACTCGGATGAGCGGCCACAGCAGGTTGTTGGTTTGACCATTTTGGAGTAATGTGGTTTGATTTAGGCGTTGGGTTTTGGGCAGTGATCTCTGTTGCGATTTCCAGGTCTTGGAATGGTTGGGCTTCTGATAGTGTGTCTGGTTTGGTTCAGGTGCGGAATGGCAGTCGAGGAGTGGTGGTTGCTGCCCGCAGTTTATGTACATGCTCCAAGTGACGTACCCTGACAATCTGCTTTACGCTTATTGGCTGACACTTCTGTGCCTGACTCGTGTCGTCCAATGCCATCTCTTGGATTTCCAATTGCGTCAAGTCACGTGATCCACATCTACGCTTGCAGTGTGGCATGACTGGTTCCAGGTTCAGGTTGATGCTTAATTCACATGAGACAGAGCAGCGTTCTCACTCGTATGATACCCTGCACGGTTTCTGGGCTCCAAGACGCAAAGGATTACGATAACAGGAAGCAAAAGACCCGGATGCGGCACTCTGCATCCTCTAAAGTTGGTCATTTTCACATGTAGGTCGGTAGCTCAGTATTCATCATCATCTTTCGTAACGTCAATGCTGCACCTCGCCTGATCTACGCTTCTTTTCTAGGGAGAAATCCACAATCCACGCCAAGCTACCGATCTGCCCCTTTAGATCTCCAAATCCGGGATTTTCAAGTGGCTCAAGCCGTTGCCAGGTCTTTTCTAGTCAGTTGCTTGGAAAGTCTCTTGATCATGGGTTCGCCAGAAAGCAGCTTGCCACAGTCCTCACAACAATCCGAAGTCTTTGGCCGACCACTGAGAATGTCGACCGTACTCTTCATCGACATCCAGAATTCATTTTTGGGACGCCTATCTTCCCAGTCCGTGCCTGTTGCTTCCAGGCCAGTCGGTCCACCCAGCGGTGTGAAGACTACTTCTGACCCCTGGATCCCAATGACCGCAGCGGACAGCGGATCATTCTCAACTTCGCTGGGAGACTTACCAATGAAGCGGTCTTCAATATGTTGCATACACTTGATCGCCATCCGGAGGGCTCTTATCCGGTCCATAGGCGATGGTTTTCCACCTTGTTGATAGTGGCCAGGTACAGCAGATCGAGATTCAAAACGTCCACGAGCCTCCTCTTTGATCATATCGGCAATTACCTGTGTTGTATATGTTGTACTAGCTCGTTCGTTTCGAAGGATAATCTTGCCAGCTCGCGAAGCACCTTGATCGTTAGCGAAATTCTCGCGTAAGAATTCAATGTCTCGTGCGAGCATGTGAATATTGATGCCCTCTTCGGGAATATAGACGGCGAGCGCACCAACTGAAAGCCCTGCCATTGTCGCGAGGTAGCCAGACCGTCCACCCTGTGTTTCGATAACAAAGACTCGCCTTCTTGAGGACGAAGCTGATTGTCGAATTGCATCACAGAATGAGATCAGAGTGTTCAGACAGGTATCGCTGCCAAGAGAATACTCCGTGCCAGGGACATTATTGGAGACGGTGGCCGGCAAGACGACCAATGGGATCTTGAACGCAGGGTACTGAGCTCTCCCTTTTCTGAGTTCACTGGCAGCAGTAAATGCTTCGAATCCGCCGATCAGGAGGAGGGCGTCAAATTTGTATAGCTCAAAGCATTCAGCTGTCTTCTTTAGGTCTGTACTGGGGAGTCCCCGGTTTGTACCAATTTCCGAACCACCTTCATTGACCCAAGGATCAACGTCAAGCCACTTGCAGACGCGGACCGACCCAATTGGCTTGTCGTCGTGATGTCGTTGGAGGCCAGGGAAGCCATTGTGGATGGCGAGAGGGGTATGACCTCTGGTCAAGCAATAAGCGACTGCTGCTCTGGTCGCCGGGTTCATGCCACCGGCTGGAGCGCCGACGTGTATAATGGCAATCCTAAGCCTTTGCCCCTCTGGGAGTCGCAGTTTAGGGTGGTCGGTCGAAGTGGTGATCATATAGCTGTTGTAATACTCCTTGAATTCTACATCGCGTAGTTGCATTGCCTTGTCGAAATCCTTGGCTTTGATGGCTGAGGTGACTGATTTGGTCAATGCCACCGCTTCCATGAGGTTGGATCTCTCGATTTTGTTCTCGCGAATGGTAATGACTGGCGTGGGAGTCTCAGGCGTAGCTTCCAAGACGGCATTTACAGCTTCAACACCTTGTAATGTGGACAACCAACGGTCATAAGCACATGCTTGACCTCCACGTTGTGTATGGCCTAGAACCGTAACTCTGGTATCGAGCTTAAGTCTCTCGGAAAGAAGATCTTTAACCTGGTTGGCGGTGATTTTCTTCAACTCTATGTCGTGGGCGCCCTCTGCAATGATGACGATAGACCTTCTCTTCCCTCGCGACCTGTGCTTGGTAATGATATCACACATTTGACCTTCCCAGCCGACTCTGGGTGGCTTTTCCGGAATGAAAACAAAATCGGCCCCGGTCGCTATGGAGGCCATCAGGGCCAGCCAACCGCAATGCCGTCCCATGACTTCAATAACAAATCCCCGCTGATGCGAAGCGGCAGTATCAAAGACATCATCAACCGCAGAGCAAATGCGTTCGAGAGAGGAATAGCAGCCGATGGTGGCATCCGTGCCTGACATATCGTTATCGATGGAGCCGACAAGACCGACGATGTTCAGATGTTTGTATGGCTCAATCTCGGCCTGTGTCAACTCTCCAGTCTCAACCAATTCCTTTAGCAGGCTAGGCCACTCAGACCTGAACTTGTCTGCACCAGTCAAACTTCCATCACCACCACAGATGACCAGGGCATCAATGCCGGTGTTAACCATGTTCTTGGCGGCCTTGAGACGACCCCAACGCTCCATAAAGGCCATACATCTTGCAGTGCCAATTAATGTTCCTCCGCGAGAGAGATAACCGCGGACATCTTCCCACTTCATCTCTTTAATCAGATCTCCTCCTTGTACCAGGCCTTCATAGCCTTCGTAGATTGCATATGATTCACAGCCCATGTGAATTGACATGCGGACTACGGCTCTGACAGCACCGTTCATGCCAGGAGAGTCACCTCCGCTGGTCATGACGCCAATACGGCGCTTTTTCTGAGGAGGGAAATTAGTTGCCATGTTGTCTTAGAGATTGTGGTCAACAAGGCAGCTCGATGAGGAAGTAACAAAAGTGGTGAGACGGTGGGAATCAGGATCGTGGTCGAACGGATGGGCGGCTTGGGAGATCCGGCAGGGAATAGATGGGAGCAGGAGAGAGGATTTATAGGTGATAGAGAAGAAGGAATGGACGGACAGAAGAATAAAGCTGTAGGATCAAAAGCAAGTTGTACCACAAAGAAGAACTGGAGGTTTGGATGATAACCAGTAGGTCTGCAAAGATAAAAAGCGATAGGCTGAGGAGCATGGTGAAGCGAGCAGGTGGTGAGGGAGGGGCATCGTCATTGGAGGAAGGGGCAAGTCGGTGCCCGCATCAGGCTTGGGATTTTCAAGGAGTAGAGGGGCAAAGCTCCAGAGGTCTGGGGGGGCTACCTTTAACCAGTTAGCCCAATTTAGGCTTGGCTCATCCGGAGCCCAGGCACTCCTGTTGGCCTTGGCCTCTAACTGCATGAAGCTGAAGCTCGGTCACCCTTACCCACTATCACCTGACTCGACGGTGTAGGTAGGCTTAGGTAATTGAGGGACGAATGGGCGCCGAGGGAACTCCTCACGTGACTCGACTACATTGCCGCTTTGAAACTCTGCTGCCGCCCACCGCCTTGCTAAACAACGAAAGGGCCACTAATATCAACATCAACCTAACCAAACAGTGAACATTGCACCTGCACTCCTGGGGGAACGAATTCTCAAAGCCAACCGTCACCCTTTCCTCTATATATGCCAAATCCTCCAATGCTGACGTTTAAAGTTATTGGCCCTGGATCAATTGTTAAAGGTCTAGCTCATCGCCTGGATGAACCGTGAAAAGCAAGCAAACTAGAACTCTGGTCGTCATGCCCGAGTCTAAATCCATCAGCCTTCTTGTTCCTTCCGAGTTATCTTCTCAGCAACAGAATTTACAGGCTCAGATACAACAAATTGTCTCTCAGAAGGGCCACTTCCGCCATGTGACGGAGCAATCTCTTCGCATCGACATTCAGGGCAAAAAGTCTGCAAATGATCCATTGACAGCAGACGCGCCCGCTTCTGCACAAGACGACAAAGACGACGACGAGACGCCACAGAAACACCAGGAGCGCCTTTGGAAGCGCAGAGATGAGATGCTCGAAAGGCTAAGGTATGTCTTAGCAATCTTACTACAGTATCAGGCTACGGCTAATCCCTCTAGTTACGCGCAAAATGAGGTCTTATGTGCACTCGACTTTGTCTCACTACTCATATCAAAGCAATCAGTTCCAGCCCAGAGCTCCATGTCACCAGCGCTGAAAGAGGCTGTGCCCATAGGAACGCTTGCGACCCATGTTCTACAGAACAAAGCACCATCAGCAGCTCTTCGAAAACAGTTGAACCTGGCCTCTCAAGGTTGGAGATCAGAAAGTTTCAAGTTCGCCTCGGAAAAGCTTTCGAAAGCCTCCACGAAACTAAAAGCGGAGGCTGAAAAGGAGTCCAAATACTGGGCTCAGATAGCTGATCTCACCGCTCGTGGTTGGCCCGTGAGCAGACTGCCACGTGATGCTAAAGCTATCGGTGTCCACTTTGGCTTTCCGGAAGCCACACAGCAGTTTAGAGACCGAGGCTTCGCTCTCCTGCGTCAATTGGACGATGGCACTGTTAGCCTGGATATTCCACGAAGACGAAGGCGTCTGGGAGTATCTATCACTCGAGGGAACAAAACGACAGGCATGTTCCATTTCCGCGAGATCATGAAAGACCAAGACACAAACATCGATCAGCAGATCACTGAAGCGCGGGACTCCCTATTCGAAGAGGAACTGTTCTACGAGATCAGCCGAGAGGCACGTTCGACAGCGAACCAAGGAATCACGACGCGTGGGCAGCATATTGAGATTGCTCTTGATGCGCACTCTAAGCTGTCTCTCCTCTTCGGGGAAGACAATGGAAGTAACGAGTCCATGAGTCCACAGGACAACGAGACCGCCGAATTTGTGGGGACTTCATTGCGTCTCCTGCTCAATGCAATGCATGAACAAAATCTCGCCAGACGATCACAACGGCCACCAGTTATGACCCTCAAGCCTCGACCGATTCCTGAATATGCCCTGATCCGTCCAGTCATAGGACATCTCCGCCACCGAACGCAGCTGTCTGCTTTATTGTCTTACTGCAATGCACTGATCCAGCCATTCGCAAAGGCAGGTTTGCCAATCACCCTTGAAACCAAAGAGTTCAGCGCCGAAGTGTTCAAATCATTGAAGATTGAATCCTCAGCGGCCATCTTAGCAGACCTGGTGCTTCCAGCCAAAACAGCACTTGAACTAACTCTCACCGGCGGCCGACGTATGCAAATCGGACTAGCCACCTTCCTAGGTTCTCCACTCTACGGCTCCCGATTTGAGACATCAGAGGTAGATTTTGAGTTCGCCATTGCACCATTTTCCCAGCATGAGACATTTGAGGCCTTCACAATGTTCGTCCGTCACGCCCTCCTCCTTAATCTCGTGGCGCACATTGCATCATTAGCAACCAAGTCTGCAACCAAAACCCGGAATACTGACCATCGCGACTCCAGGAATTGGAAAGTCTCCAGCCCGCACATCGGCGAGCTCACGCTGTGGGAGGCAGGTGAAGCCATCAAAAAGATCCAAGTTGCCGTTCATGCTCACTCCATCAGCGTCAAACTCACCCCAAAGCCCACGCATGATGCGCCCAAGCATATCATGTGGTCGTGGACCACGCAGGGCTCCTCGAAAGCCGACAGCTCGGGAGTTGCGCGAGCTGCGGGCATGAAATTCGACGATGTGGTCATCAATGAGATTTTGGGGCAGACGTAGAGTTCTTGCTTGGTGGGTTCTGTTGGCCTCTACGGCATGATCAGAGGGTCGTGGGAGGCCACAGCACCTTGTGGACAAGGAGCAATCGGGGGCAAAGTTGGGATCGAAAAATCCGGCATCTGATTTCTGAATGCTGAGACCTCCTGGAGTGCAAGGATGGCTTGACATGCTGACTAGAGTAGGTCTAATATCTCTGGCGGCAGAGAATGGCGTCATATCTGCACCGGGGTTGAAGAGGGAAGATTTATCATCATCGTAGCCGACCCTGGCTTCGCAGACTAAAGCTTCGAAGCAATTGACACTAGTAGGATAGAAGTCTGGACAGTCTGACCACATAATGGTCTCTTCCTTCTTTGGTATTGCAGCCGTCTGCTTGCTCATGTGCAGGAAACATACCACACCAGTGAATTGGGCAAGGCCCCTGAACGATGTCATCAGAATCAATTTTTCCAGGTCGGTCCTAGTATGAGAATGCAATGGGCGTGAAGAATTTCTGGTTTGCAGTGTGCAATACTTCGAATTTATATCACCTTTGAAAAGGCATGGCTGTACTACAAACCCATGTAGGCTTTCCCTTCTACACTAATCCAGGTCACTTAAGTTGTTTGCCTTGCCAGTGCATGAAGATCTTCATAACATTAGGCTGTGTTATGAGAGAAAATTAGGACCGTCGGGATTTCCCCGGTAAGACGACTCGACTCCTTCACTCCTATCGTGGCACACACGACCGCATTGTGCGAGGCATTGCGAGCCAGGTGACCCTCTTCTTTCACCTAGCGCTGCGCTGACCCTGGATCTAGACCTCCCAAACGTCCCCTCCCCCTAGCTTCCGGTTGTTCAGCTTCAGCCTCTTGGGCTTCCGAAATGGCCTTTGCTGACGGGCTCCGGAAGTGCGTCGCGTGCGAGGGGCAAAACTGGGTCAAGCGGTGTTGCGGCAGGCATCGCTGCTGCACAGGCCAGTGTGGCAATAAGGAGGGAGATGGGACGCATTGCTGATAAGAAGGTTGTAAACTGTTGGTAGAAGCTGGCCTGATGCAATAGTGAGATCCTGCGAAGCGCAGAACGTGTATTTAGATGGGTTCTTCCAGGTAGCCGTGTAGGTGGTATATGTAGCCTTGAGTAGTCCTCGACTCAGGAGTCCGGTCAAATAGTATCAGCTGGCTCTCGCGCAGAAAATCCCCAATCAGAGAATGCCTTTGGAACGATCGTTGCTGTAGTATTTTCACAAACGGACCATGAAATTGTCAAAAGTCTTGTTCTGATGGCTGAACATAACATCGATCAGCTAGTGCTTCTTAGACGCCTCAGTACGTTATCCGGAGACAGAAAGCCAATTAAAGATGAAGCTGAAATGAAAATAGAATATGCTCTCGTACTCTCGCTTATGCTAGTTGGAAACTCTGATTGGTGTCTCTTTGCAAGGCGGACACCTTTGAAGAGCGTTCTTTCCTGTGGCACAGGGTGTACGCCATGATTCTAGCGAAGTAGACTAGCCTTGTATCGCTAATAGATACTGAAGATACACTTAAAAAAGCGTTGGACGTTATAATCGATTCACTAAATCCACTCGTTAACATCCTAGTACAGGTCCTAGGGCATATAGTGAGTATTTACAGAGGGTGTACGCTGAAGATTCCGCGTAGATTGTCACGGGTTGAACCCGTACTAGGTCTTGGTTGGAACCTACGACCCTCTACAAGACTACATCACCTGACTACCCTCTATCGATAGTTACTCTAGCTACCGTACGATCTACTAAAGGGGAGGTTATCTCTTTATTGTACGGTAGCTAGTAGTTGAATAAGCTCCTATCTAAACCCTTACATAAATAGCCCCTCTCTCTCTATATATTAGTATACTGCTATATCCATACAGAGTACCGGACAGTAGCGCATAAAATAGTACGTTTGTTTGTTGTAGTGGTCACCGAGAAGAAGGACAGTAAGTTAGGACCATGGATCATTAGTTACGTCTCGTACGATAGTAAACAAAACAACGGCATATCACCCGGTATTTGAGATATATAGCGTCTTTCTGTAAGTATGCCCATCGGCTAGGCCAAGATAGTTAAACCTAGTGCTCGATATTAGACATCATGAGCGCGGCGTACCCACCTCGCCTAAGCTTTCAACCACTCGTACAGCAGGATATTTCCGTACTCCTTACAGGATGCTCCAGCAGTTCAGCATTCCATATTTGACCACAGAGTAAAGCCAAACAGTTCGTTCGCTTTAGCAGAAAAGGTAAGCCTTACATCTACCTTCCTACTGTCGATATGCTTTACACCCACCTAAGGCATAGAGTAGGTACATGTGTGCATGTGAAAGGCCGGTTAAGGTGATTGCCAAGGAGAGATAATTAAGGAGAGGAGAAGAAATGAACATCCGGATACAACTTAACCCCCGGGCGGAGAAACTATTCGCCATCCTTCTCGTTCCGCAGGTCCAAGCACGCTGGTCCTTGCTCGCCCTTTTTGATCTTCGTAGATTGACATAGCTGGCAGTGCGCCTGAATAATGAGCTCCATCTTCCGTGCTCATCGAATGTGGAAAGCCAGGAGCCGGTACTCGCCCGTCTGTGTTGTTGCATCGGCTTCTATGAACCATCATTTCGCCCGAAGAAGAAAACGCTGCTACAAATCAGCCATGGAGATCCCAACTTCCAGCTAAATGACATCACTGCTAACATGATTAGCCTGAACCTTGCGTCCTGCCTCATCTCAATCATATAGTATAAATACTATATGAAGACTGGGATGCTGCTGGGCGGCGCTCAGAGGTCGCCCTTCTTCTTTGTACTTCGCTATAGACAACCACATAGAACATCCTGAAAAATGCCTTACATCACCACACACGATGGCACTGAGATTTACTACAAGGATTGGGGATCCAAAACAGCTCAGCCCGTGGTTTTCAGCCATGGATGGCCATTGAGCTCGGACGACTGGGAACATCAAATGTTCTTTCTTGCTAGCAAAGGCTACCGTGTGATTGCACACGATCGACGTGGCCATGGTAATTCGTCGAAATCGTGGGAAGGACATGATATGGATACCTATGCCGACGACCTTCACGACCTTTTCGAAAAGCTTGATCTCAAGAATGCCATGATGGTTGGCCACTCTACTGGTGGCGGAGAAGTTGCCAGATTCCTGGGCAGACATGGCACCAGCCGTGTCTCGAAAGCGGTACTGGTATCGGCCGTCGCACCGGGAATGCTTAAAACAGAGGCAAATCCCGACGGCGTCCCCTTGGAAGTTTTCGATTCCTTCCGAGACGCAATGGTCAAAGATCGAGCCCAATTCTTCATCGACGTGCCCACGGGCCCCTTCTTTGGCTTCAACAGACCCGGCGCAAATGTAAGTCAGGGCAAGATCTGGAGCTGGTGGCTGCAGGGTATGCGATGCGATTTTAAAGCAGCCTATGATTGCATCAAAGCATTCTCTGAGACAGATACCTCCGAAGACCTGCGGAAGGCGGATGTTCCCATACTGGTAAGCCTATCGTCCCTGCCTCGACTTTTTCTATTCTCCTCTTTGTCCCAACGAATTTCTTTGCTGACTAAAAGTGTTAGATTTTACATGGAACCGACGATCAAGTCGTACCGATTGAGACCAGTGGACGAAGGGCAGTACAATTCTGCAAACGGGGCACCTTGAAAGAATTCCCTGGAGCACCGCACGCATTACCAACCATTTGCGTCGACGAAGTCAACCAGGAATTGCTCAAGTTCTTGCAATCTTGAATCCATTCAAGAGAGTGCATCGGCGAGACCAAATGAGTAGACCATGTGCCGTATTGACGAAATGATATCCCTAGCCGCCATGATCAATATCAGTGAATATATACCTCCATAAAGTACAAGCCTTGTTCCTAGCGTTCGAAAAATGTAACTTGAAGATGTGTCCCTTCATGCTTAGAGTGCATTATCACTTATCTTCTATCCCCTCTCACATGTCGATTCTCGATCTTGAATGGATTATTTAGCCTTGAAGCATGGCTCGAGCGACTTGAGCACAGCCGTAAACCCCATTTAGGAGCCCCATTTTAGTCCGTGGAGACCTCGATTCATTGATACTCGCACTACCTGGAGTAGCCAACTTCCGCCCTCAGCCTTCCATCCTCGCCCAAAGGGGCTTCTAAGTAGCGTCTAGCCATCTGGGACCAACCATCTACATAAGTACAACCCAGATTTCGAGAAGAGACGTTGCGCGAGGTTAGACCAGGAGCTCAGACTGAAGCAGCCTCTGCTCGCCCTCTAGGCTTGAACCGTATTTGGCAAGCAAGTCATCATGTGTTGCTGAGAAATCCAGATACGATGAAGAAACCGAGTATGCCGCACATGGCAGTTGGCAATTTGAAGCCAGAAACACCGTAGATATCACAGGATTTCAATGACCGCCTTACCAATGCCGCCTTTGCCGCTATACACTATGTTACAAGCTTCCCGTACCTTTGCAAGATCTCGAAAGTTCACCCTAGAACCGACCACTGATGACAAGCTCCCTTCTTCGACATACTTGCTCAAACTGTCCAAGTCTTTACCGTTTGATTCGAGAAACATGTACTCGTAGTGAACCCCCCATCGCCGGGCACGAAACTGTTTGATCGAATCCGCTGCGTTTAAGGCGAGGCGGATGAACCATGGCAGCCTCGGCTTATCCGGACGATTCATTACGGGGGCTTCTTGTAGCTGAGTTCCGGATGGTAGTGTTGATATGGAGATGATGGTGCTAGTCGATGGCGTCATCAAAGATAAAAACTGCATCGCTTGTGCAGTAGTGTCCATGATGAAGTCGACTGAGCCGCGGGAAATGATCTTCATGACATCGTCTTTGGTATAGTCGATGACTGTCGCTGGATCAGCAATATTATCAGAGTTGTAGGATTGGAAATGGGCCAACTTTGATCAACCACCCCCTCCCCAAGTAGTTGTGGCACTTTATCGACTTTTGAAGTGGAAACTGTCGTGATAACCTTGCCAGCGTGAAAGACATTCTTCGCCAACTGACACGCATATGCGCCAGTACCGCTCACTGTTCCAAATTAAGTAAATTGACTTGATGGCTGAGAGGCAGGAAAAACACTCACGACCACCGGGGATGAACACCGTCTTCCCAACCAAGGAGCCTCGATATTTCCTTAGCGCCTGCAATGCAGTGAGCGCCGCCAAGGGCAATGATGCTGCATCACCAAACGACAGAGACTTGGGTTTCAGTGCGACAAAGGACTCTTCGCATTTGACGTATTCGCTCCACGATCCTGGAAGGGATCAGCATATCGACGGTAAGTCAAACGCGTCGGTGATTATTGATACCTCGAGACCTCTCCGGCAACCGCACATATACCTCATCTCCAACCTTGAACCGTGAAACTTTGCTCCCAGTCTCAGCTACCACGCCTGCACAGTCATATCCAATCATATATGGAAACCTGTCGATCTTCATGAGCCTTGCACTATGAAAGGGGAGGTTACACACTCTTCAGGAAGGCCAGCCTTAAAAATCCCAGATGCCTTTTTAACATCTATGGGGTTGATGCTTGCGGCGTGGACTTGAATCACAATGTCGGTCGCCTCAGAGAGAGATGGCCGAGGGAGCTTAGAGAGTTGGTACTTGGAAGGGTCTGCAAACGAAGAAATATTGATGCTCAACATTTCTGACGACATCTTTTAAATGAAACTCTTTTGGCCCCTCCACCCGCAGTCGGACTGTAATAGGCTTTACACTTGACCTTCCAGGACCGCTACCTGATATATAGGGGAGTCTGTCAACCTTAACTGTGAATTTGCGGAGGAACTATTGCTCCGATCATACCTCGGCGTTGCCGTGGCGGGATCAAGGTTTGTTTGCAGCTCGGAATATGTCAGGGTATATTGGACGATTTCATGTGGGCATGATTTTGTAATTAGTCAACATTGAGTTTTCATTGTTGGTGATGCAGTGGATGCTCGTCGACGAAAGGTAGCTGTGGGGTCAGGGAGTCAGGACATTACTTATTCCTCCGTATCCGTGGCCCAAGTTAGCGGATCAATTAACTCGGTTACCACATGCCAGTGCTGGTGGTGTTGAACGAAGAAGCTAAATTAGAGTGGCATGTGCCGTACCGAGCGGGCAAGTCACTATTATCGAGAACGGAGTACTCCGTACTACGCCCCGTGTAAAGTCCTCCTCGCGTCAAACTACCTAGATATTTGATACCAGTGGAGACTTTGGCCCTTCAAAGCATTAAACAAGAGAGAACGTGAATTGTGTTCAAGCGACTTCTTGGGTGATTAAGCTCTTTCTGATTCAGGAAACTGCTGTTGACCGCTATATCGAGCTCCCTGGCACAGACACGTCACGCGTACCACCACGGCTTTTGTTCAACCGCTGGCATCTCCTGTTTGCTCCTTCATTTGAGCAACCTTGACTAGACCTCCCCTTTGTTGCTATACCCTTCACAACCCCCCCAAAATCATCATCGCAGAAATGACGACTAGGTATAGGGTGGAATGTATTGCAACCCAGCCACAAGCCGTACTTTGTTCACGACTAACAACCCTCAGATGCGTTGAAGGCAAGCTACCAGGCTTATTTCCCCCGATTATATTCGGAAGCTGATTATGATGATGCGAAAGACACACCGGCGTGATCAATTGGTAAGCTGGCCTGCTGTTCTGGTTGTCACAGAGGACTAATTACCAGTCTAGATCGAATGGATCAAGGTCAGTCATTAGTGACAGATGAAGTGCCACTAGACACCAACGTCCACCGCATTCTAATTCGCAACAGGGCCTCCTTGCAGTCCCTTTTGTGCTCAACTCACAACCAGCCGTCGAATATGACGAAACCCATGCTCATAGCCTCAATACCATGGCTCGGTCTGCTCGGCAAAGATACGCAGAGATCTTCAGAGATGTGGAAGACTTGATACTTGACCACAGTGAGTAATTTCTCACCAATGAAGCCACTCGTTTAACAGGCACTCTAGTTAATCACCAGGAAACATCAACGCGGTCGAAGCTCAGTATGCTGGTCCCCACTATCTCAACCTTCTTCACCCCTCTAGCTCTTGAGGACTCTTTCAAACATCAAGATGCAATACGTGCCATTTCCTCCCGTCGATTTGTCGCCCCATCATTCAACGATATTCGTTTGATCTTGAATACCGCCCAAATCTTAGCCATGATTCAGCCTAAGCCATACCGGTCTCTAAAGACAAAGGTAAAGCCAGGCCTCGAGCTTCTCACCTTCGATGGTGACGTGACCCTCTACGAAGACGGGGCATCTCTGCACTCGCCGGAATCAGATCCTGTCATTGCCAGACTCCTCCATTTCCTATCTCGAGGTGTAAGGATAGGCATTGTGACAGCTGCTGGGTACACACAGCCCCAGAACTACTTCAATCGATTATCTGGCCTCCTCCTTGCAGTACAGTCATCGCAAGAACTCACGCGCCAACAGAAGGAAAACCTCATCATCATGGGTGGCGAGTCGAACTTCCTGCTCGTGTTTGACGAGACTGCAGAGCACTGTCTACGGTACATCCCTCGCCGAGAGTGGATCTTGGACGCTATGAATGACTGGAATGAGCGAGCCATCCAGTCATTACTCGATGTAGCTGAGACTGCCTTTCACTCCTGCATTCGGACTCTGCATCTGCAGGCAAAAGTCTTACGGAAGGAACGAGCAGTAGGCATTTACGCAGCAGATCAGTCACAGAAGCTGACCCGTGAGCAACTGGAGGAGACCGTTCTTGTTGTGCAGCAAGTGGTGGAGGCATCACTGAATGCTCCTGGGACAGGAGGTAAAGCCATTCATGCTGACATTCCGTTCACGGTGTTCAATGGAGGGGCCGATGTTTTCCTGGACATTGGGGACAAATCATTGGGGGTTCAGTCATGTCAGAAATGGTTCGGAGGGATTTCCCCGTCGAGCACACTCCATGTCGGCGATCAGTTCTTGAGTGGCGGAGGCAATGATTTCAAGGCTCGCAGCGCTTGTTGCTGCGCATGGATTGCAAGTCCGGTGGAAACTGTGGCCTTGCTTGATGAGATGATAGCGCTCGCAGGCCATTCGTGAACGGTATCCTCTCGTGCCTCTGCCGTCTCACTCTGTACGAGCCTTTCTCCGATGAAGCCGAACTGATTAGATTTGTCCAGGTGAATAGCCGTGGTACCAGTCGATAGCTCTTTTTGGCGCTTCTTGACAGACACCGCTAAACTCACATCGTGTGTCGATTGAAACCGCTTAATGTTACTAGATTGTAACATAAATAGCGTCAGTCGTCCTGTTTGACGTCTAATGCACGGCATTGGTGCTTCAACATTGCCAGTGAGTCATTATTCTTGTGGTCATCTCCCTATACATCCAAGCGATGTCTCCTCCAAAGTTGGTTCCGCCTCTTAGACCTCGATCAGAATTGCTACTCTGAGAATATCCGTGTGGGCTATCTAGAACGATAATCCCGCAATTGTTGGGCGGATGCCATCAGCATTGTGAGAGGCGGCATGCTTCTTCCAGACAAAAAGAATTACCAGATGGCAATGGGAATTGAGAAAACTAGTGGTTGCCATTGGACAGATGATTCACCTCCAAGCATCACAGAAGTCTTGATGCATCTTATGATGTTACCTCTTATTACCTACATCAAATAGAACAGGAGTCTGAGTGACGTGCATCACTATAAATTGGTGTTCAGGGCATCCTTCGAAAGATATCTATTGAGGCCGCGCTTTCCCATTTTGAGGCTGCGCTAGAGCCATTAGTGATATTGTGCGCAATTCCGGCCGCTCGCTTGGGTGGCTCGATGGTGCGGCTACTTCCAGTGCTCACCCTATCCTCCATTTACCAACCACATCTCAAGACCTGGTGGCCCTAGAATACGAACATTGGTTCGTGTTTCTTGTCAGACTATGACTGCTTCTCCGTCTACTCACGTTGCGCGATGACAGTGAGCAGTGAATTGGTCCAAAGAATGCACTATTGACCCGCGCCTTCTCCGTCCGCCTCTCTGATTCCCGTCCCACCGCCTCCGGAACCACCGCATAGCAGCACGACGCAGATGCTGCTTCGTCTCGCTGTTCCAACATGTCGTCCATGCGTGGCCTTGTCCAATTCATTGCTGACCTCCGCAACGCCCGAGCCAGGGAGCTAGAGGAGAAACGGATAAACAAGGAGTTGGCCAATATCAGACAAAAGTTCAAGAGCGAGAAACTCGATGGATACCAGAAGAAGAAATACGTCTGCAAGTTACTGTATATCTATATCCAAGGATACAACGTCGACTTTGGGCATCTGGAAGCCGTCAACCTCATTTCTGCCACAAAGTATTCGGAGAAACAGATTGGCTACCTTGCAGTCACCCTGTTCCTCCACGAGCAACATGAACTCCTTCACCTAGTCGTCAACAGTATTCGTAAAGATTTACTTGATCACAATGAGCTCAACAATTGTCTGGCACTCCATGCGGTGGCTAACGTCGGCGGAAGAGAGATGGGTGAAGCCCTTGCTGTTGATGTCCATCGCCTTCTTATATCCCCAACCTCCAAATCCTTTGTCAAGAAAAAAGCCGCCTTGACTCTATTGAGACTCTACAGAAAGTATCCAGGCATCATACAACCCGAATGGTCGGAAAGAGTTATTTCCTTGATGGATGATCCAGACATGGGAGTCGTTCTGTCTGTGACTTCCTTGGTCATGGCCCTGGTCCAAGATAATCCCGAGGCCTTTAAGGGCAGTTATGTCAAGGCTGCCCAAAGGCTCCGAAGAATTGTCATCGAAAACGACGTGTCTCCAGATTACTTCTATTATAAGGTTCCCTGTCCCTGGATCCAGGTCAAATTCCTGAAATTATTACAGTACTACCCTCCCTCGGAAGACACACACGTCCGCGAAATCATACGTGATTCACTCCAAGCAATATTGCAGTTCGCAACCGAGGCACCCAAGAATGTTCAACAAAACAATGCGCAGAATGCAGTGTTATTTGAGGCAATTAACCTACTCATTCACCTAGACACAGAACACGGCTTGATGATGCAGATATCTTCGAAGTTGGGGAAGTTCATTCAATCGAGAGAGACGAATGTTCGCTACTTGGGACTTGATGCCATGACACATTTAGCAGCGAGATCAGAGACTTTGGATCCCATTCAACGTCACCAGAGTCTGATTATTGGATCACTTCGTGACCGAGATATTAGTGTACGAAGAAAAGGATTGGATCTGCTATACAGCATGTGTGATACTTCCAACGCTCAGCCGATCGTAAATGAACTTCTGAAGTACCTGCAATCTGCCGACTATTCGATTCGAGAAGAGATGACTTTGAAGATTGCCATTCTGACCGAGAAATACGCAACCGATGCTCAATGGTACATCGAGATCACCCTCCGACTTTTGGCTATGGCGGGAGATCATGTCAGCGACGAAGTGTGGCAGAGAGTTGTGCAAATTGTGACCAACAACGAGGAATTGCAAGCACACGCGGCACAGCACATTTTTGAGTACTTAAAAGGTGAAAATTGCCACGACACGCTTGTCAAGATCGGTGGTTATCTTTTAGGAGAATTTGGACATTTGATTGCGGACAACAAAGGATGCAGTCCTATCGAGCAGTTGATGGCTTTACAAAACAAGATGATCTCGGCACCAGATGCAACGAGGGCCCTTCTCTTGTCTACATTCGTCAAGTTTGTCAATCTCTTCCCGGAGATCAAGACGCAATTATTGCAGATGTTCCAATTCTATAGCCACTCTCCAGACTCGGAGCTGCAGCAAAGGGCTTGCGAGTACTTGGCCATTGCTACACTACCCGCAGATGATCTGCTGAGGACCATATGTGACGAGATGCCACCATTCTCTGAAAGAGCATCTATCCTGCTTCAAAGACTCCACAAGAAGAGTGCAGGCACCAGCGAGCGACGGACATGGCTTGTGGGAGGGAAAGATGCAAACGCTGATAAGCAAGAAATCATACTTGCTCAGCAAACTGGGCTGAAACGATCGTTCACCACAATCGTCAATGGAACCCAAGCCGGCTCGAGTGTTAATGGCACAGCCTCCAGAGCCTCCACCCAGAATGGTTCCGCAGCAAACGACCTTGCTGGACTGGACATGAATGGACACGGCAATGGGACGGCAATGCCAAATCTTGCTAGTACGACGCATCTTTCACCAGACTGGGAGATTGGATACGAGCAGATGTACTTTGCAGATGAGGGCGTCCTTTTTGAGGATCCTCAAATCCAAGTCGGTGTTCGGGCTGAGTATCGAGGGCATCTAGGAGTCGTCAAGCTTTACTTCACAAATAAGGCATCGTTCCCTATCGGGTCATTTACCACAACTCTCGACAACAAGTCCGGCCCCAATCTCAAGGTGGACACGAAAAGTCTTCCAGATCCGTCAGTGGCATCTGAATCTCAAGTTCAACAAACCATTGTTTGTACATCCATTGGACCATTTTCTGAAGCGCCAACCATCCGTATTTCATACCTCGCAGGAGCTCTTCAAGCCTACACGCTCAAGCTTCCTATTCTCCCACACCGCTTTATGGACCCTTCGGAACTCTCCGCCGAAGATTTCTTCAAGCGCTGGCGCCAAATTGGTGCAGGTCCTATGGAAGCACAGAGCACATTTGGGCTCCGATCACCGTCGGCGACGATGAATGATAAGCACACGCGAGATGTTGTACTTGGGTTCCGGTGGAAAATCTTGGACACAGTAGATCCCAATCCCAAGAACATTGTTGGCTGTGCCGTCCTTCAGCTGGAGAAGGGCAAGACGGGATGTTTGTTGAGGTTGGAGCCTAATCCCCAGCAAAAGGTATGTTTTCTTTCCCATGCTACCGACTATGATCGTGTCACTGACGATTCTTGCAGCTGTATCGATTGACGATTCGAGCCACCCAGGACACGATTCCTGGGATCCTGCTGAATATGATGCAGGATCGTCTTACCAGGAGTCCATAGGGAGGGCACCTTGTGCATGTAAAACTGACCAAGTGACGTTAGTCTCTTGTGAGAACAGACTCCGGAAGATGTACCTGATGGAGGGCAATATGTATCCAGAGCATGATCGTCAAGAACAGACAGACCATCCATTCAAAGCCACAACCTGTGGAATATTTGTCGGTCTCCCTCATCCACTTGTGTAGGACGTATCCTTTGCGTCAGTGGACGATAGTGTAACGTAATAGTACCTGACCAGGAATGAGGGTGTTGCTTTCTTCGGCAAGGCTAGAGCTTGTCGTTATTGTGTCAGATCTCGGTTGGCCCAAGGAGCTGGGGATAAGTCTCTGAGACGATGGATCTCCTTTTTTGGAGGTCAGGTAAAAGGACAAGCTACTTCTGCTAGCCCTCTGTATCCTCCAGTACCCTCGCATCCTTCTTCGGCGGCCTCTCACCGAAGATGGTGCTCCCGACCCTCACCTCATTACTCCCCTGGCGTATCGCACCTTCGAAATCCTCACTCATGCCCATACTCAACTCCAACTCCTCGACTTGCAAGCCAACTTCCTTAGCTACCCAGTCTCGGGTGTCTCTCAAGGTATCGAAATCCTCGTTCTCTGTCTCCGCAGTTGTCGCGCGCGACCGCGCGATCGCCCCGATGGTCATCAGCCCCTGGAGGCGCAAATGCGGGCATTCGTTCTGTATATACCGTGCGAGCTCGCGTAGTTCAGCCGACTGCGGCTCGAGCCCGGATTTGGAGTCCTCGCCCGACGTGTTGACTTGGATAAAGACGCGGAGCGGCTCTCCCACAGCAGCGCTGTCTTGTTGTTCTGAGCCTTTTTCCTTGTCCAGTCGCTCGTCTCGATCCTTCCGGCCTTTCTCCAGTAGCCCGGCCTTCTTGACGCTGTCAACGCTCTCCACCGCCCACAAGTTGTCAACTTCCCGCGCCAGCTGCGCCGCCTTGTTGCTCTGTAGCCCGCCGATGAAGTGCCAGCGCACGCTGCGCGGTAAGACGCGGGCTTTTTCGAGGAGTTCTTGGACGTAGTTCTCGCCGAAGTGTTGCTGCGAGGTGGGTGGCTGGTGCAGGGCCAGTATGTCGCTGGCTGGTTTGAGTTTGGAGACGGCCACGAGGCGTGGAGGTTTTGATGAGGTTGGAGATACCGCGGAGGCGATGCGTGTTTGGATGGACAACAGGTTTGCGGCGAGCGTCGAGGCGCGGGAGGGCGAGATGGGGATTTTCATGTCGTTGGAGGAGGGGTCGTGCGTATCGGTCGTGTTGCTCATTATCTTTACGGTGGGCCTCGTTTTATTGAGGGGGTGAGTAGTTGTAATGGACTATAGTACTATAGTACTGAAGGTGCGCGACTGGTTGACAGCTGATTGTTGTGGGAAGATGGTCAACGTCGATGTTCGGGACCGGAATATTTTGAAGAGTTCCGTGGCCTCGTTACAACGTCATTTTCAATTCAATAGGGCGTGCCAGTGGGGAACGCCTCTTCAAGAGCGCAACCTTTCTGACAAGGGCTGTCTTAAGGTAATCATCGACGAGGCTCACGGAGTACTTAGGTCGTATCTCCCGAGATTAGACTTTACACAATAAAGAATAAGTCTCTCCCCTAGGACCAGTTCTTCTTGCAACAAACTTATTTACCATCTGGCGCTTCTGCTTGGCGGCGTCTTCTTTCTTTTCCAGTTGAAATCTGTCACATTTACGCCCAATAAGATTCCCAGGGACGATTCTTCTAGGGTCATTTAGCCTTGCATGGCATGGAATACGTAATATACCTGCACATCTACTCGTCAGATGCAGGTGAATAAACGGGAGAAGAGGGCAGCCGGGTGACCAGAAACCTGGAGAGAATTAGTCAGCGAGGCTGCCCAATTGAGAATTGTCCCGGGGCGTCGCGGGTAACGGCGTTAGGCTGTGGCTAACGCGTCTGGGGCCGCCGAGAGCCACACGTCAGTGGCTGTGAAAAACTCGAATTTGACGCTTATCGCTTATCGGGAGAGCCCGTGCCTCCGTGCCTCCGACCCAAATTTTCAGAGCCTGAAACTTGGGAGGCCACTGGGAGACCCAAGGACCCCCCCGATGAGCCTTTGGGCCCCTCAGATCCCTCAGGCCAAAAAACGTGGTTGAGGACCTGAAGTGAATGGGCCGCAGCACCGCCGCAAAAGCGCAGGCTGAATCAGAATTCTGAAATTTCCCAAACGAAAAATAATCAGCACCCCCTCCTAGGCCCTCAGCCCTTTTTTGCCTTTCCTACACCTCTGTTCAGATTCTTTCTTTCTTTTTTTTTTTCCTGCTTTGACAACAATCTCCACTCTTCCTCTTTTAAGTAGGGCGAGTTTGAGGGTGCTTTTCTTGTTTTTGCTCCCTCCGAGTGCCCTATTTCTGGGAATCTCGCTTCCTCACGGCCTGGCGCCAGCTTTTGTCAGAGCATGCCACATCGTGAATCCCCTCGTCTGGCATCAGTCATGGCCACTCCGGTTGTCGCTTCCAAGTCGACCTTCTCCGGCGTTGCTCCTACTTCCGAAGAAATTAGCAGCCTTCTCAACACCATTCTCGAATCTGAGGCTGCCCAGGCTTCTCTCGATGCGTCCTACGCCCTGACAAACCTTTTGATCCAGTCCATAGGTATTCGCGGCCTGCTCTCATACAACCTCATACAGGAGATCAAGAAGGCCTCATCCGATAAGAAAAATGGCGCAAAGCGAGAGAGCACCATGTTCATCCTCGGTGCCATGTTTGAACGGTTCCCTCGGGAACAGCCGCTCAGTGAGGTCGTCTTCCTGGTTCAGGACGGCGGTCTGCTTAACCTGGCCCTCGACGGCCTAGCGGATAAAGGCCCTTCCGTTCGGGAATCGGCCCAATACGCCGTTGATGAGTTGTTCAAGAACCTCGACCCCGAGGCCATGGTTGTGGGCCTCCTCCCGGCTCTCTCTCAATATCTCTCCAAGCCAACGGGCAAATGGCAGGGCACTGTCGGCGCTTTTACGCTCTTGGGCAAAATAGCGGACAAGGCGCAAATGGGTAGTGGTACAAAAGAGGAAGAGCAAGCTAAAGACGTCCTGCGAGAGTCCATGGGAAAAACACTGAAGGAGCTCATTCCCATCGTCGAGGGCGGAATGCACGATCTCAAGGCCGAGGTCGCTAAGGCTGCTACCAAGACCATGAACTCTCTCGTCACACTACTACAGAACGACGACGTGGCTCCTCGGATACCACTTTTGATTGATACTATGAAAAATCCTTCGACCCAAACTTTACAGAAGGCCATCCACGCCCTGTCGCAGACTACCTTTGTTGCCATAGTCACCTCACCTGTCCTCGCCCTTCTCACTCCCCTTCTAGAAAGGGCTCTGAATAACCCTTCAACATCGCAGGAGGTTCTGAGACAGACTGTGGTGGTCGTTGAGAATCTGACCAAACTCGTCCACGATCCCGTTGAAGCTAGAACTTTCTTACCAAAATTGCAACCCGGCGTGCAGAAAGTCAAAGATAACGCTTCCCTCCCTGAGGTCAGAGAATTGGCAGACCGAGCAGTCGCGGTCATGAAGAAAGCTATGGGCGACGATAGAGATGGTGTTACGTACAGCCAAATTGCTCACACATCAACAGATGATGTCCTGAAAGTGCTCGATAGTCAGCTTCGAGCACAGGGAGGTCTGCAAAAGGAAGACGCGGCTCTCTGGAAACTAGGCCAGTCCTATGTCTCTGAGATGGTTCGTGAAGATGTCAACAGCAGGGTCTTTAGCCGGATCCCCGGTCGAGTTGCACCCTATCTCAAGTTCCTACTCCCTGATGAGAACCGGATTGCCATCGCAGAAGGTGTACAGAAACACTTTGTTGAAGAGGATCATAAAAAGTACGGCGCCCCAGTGGTTGTCAATCCTGATGAGGTCGAAATTGTCAACGCCGAATTCTCCCTTGCCTACGGCGGTATGTTGCTGCTATCTCATACAAACTTGCGACTTGTTAAGGGTCATCGATATGGTCTCTGCGGTCGCAATGGTGCCGGCAAATCCACCCTTATGCGCAGTATCGCAGATGGGAAGCTAGAAGGATTTCCTTCCAAAGATGTGCTCAGGACGTGTTTTGTGGAACACAACCAAGGCGAGGACGCTGATATCAGCATTCTAGAATTCGTTGCCAAAGACCCTGAGATTGCCAAGGAAGGGCGAGACCGAATTTCAGAGGTTCTTGGCGAGGTCGGCTTTACAGCTGGTCCTGAAGGACGTCAATCCCACAAAGTTGGCTCTCTGTCGGGAGGTTGGAAGATGAAGCTCGCTTTGGCTCGAGCGATGTTGATGCGCGCGGATGTGCTCCTATTGGACGAACCGACAAATCACCTCGATGTTGCCAATGTCAAATGGTTGGAGGAATATCTTCAAACGCACACGGAGATTACTTCATTGATTGTGTCTCATGACTCCGGATTCCTTGATGCTGTCTGCACTGATATCTACCATTACGAACAGAAGAAACTTGTTCACTATGTTGGAAACTTGGCCGCATTCGTCAAGGTCAAGCCGGAGGGCAAGAGCTATTATACTCTTTCTGCATCTCAGGTTCAGTTCAAATTCCCTCCACCCGGAATTCTCAGTGGTGTGAAGTCGAACACCCGATCGATAATCCGCATGACCAATTGCACTTATACCTACCCTGGATCCTCGAAACCAAGTTTGCAAGATGTTTCATGCCAATTGAGCTTATCTTCTCGAGTGGCCATCATCGGCGCAAACGGTGCCGGCAAGTCTACGTTGATCAAGCTGTTGACGGGAGAAACCATTCCTCAGACTGGTAAAGTTGAGAAGCATCCCAATCTCCGAATTGGCTACATCAAACAACACGCTCTCGAGCACGTGGAAATGCACATGGAGAAGACTCCCAACCAATATCTGCAGTGGAGATATGCCAACGGGGATGACCGAGAAGTCCTAATGAAGGCCACGCGCATCCTCACTGATGAAGACAAGGCTCAAATGGAGAAGTGGATCGATCTTGGAGATGGCAAGGGAGCAAGACAATTGGAAAACGTGATGGGTCGACAGAAGTACAAGAAGACTTTCCAGTACGAGGTCAAATGGCGCAACATGATTCCTAAATTCAACAGCCAAGTATCCAGAGAGACACTTTTGGAGTGGGGCTTCCAAAAGCTCGTACAAGAGTTTGATGATCATGAGGCATCTCGCGAAGGTCTGGGTTATCGAATTTTAGAACCGAAAGTTATTTCCAAGCATTTCGAAGATGTCGGCTTGGATCCAGAAATTGCCAACCATAACGAAATTTCCGGACTCAGCGGAGGACAGAAAGTGAAGGTTGTCTTGGCCGGTGCTATGTGGAACAATCCTCACTTGCTTGTGCTGGACGAACCGACCAACTTTTTGGACCGAGATTCCTTGGGAGGTTTGGCTGTTGCCATTCGTGACTACAGGGGAGGTGTCGTCATGATCAGCCATAACGAAGAATTCGTCGGGGCTTTGTGTCCCGAACAATGGCACGTTGCTGATGGCCGTGTCACCCACAAAGGTCTTCTTGCGATCGATCTTAACAGGTTCGAAGACTCGAGGCCAGGCTCTAGCAACGTCAGTTCAGTGGTTTCAAGCGCCACTGCGTCGGCAGTCAATTCCGGCGCGGAAGACAACAGTGATATGAAGTTCAGGGCGAAGAAGAAGAAGAAGTTGACCCGAGCTCAAATCAAGGAGAGGGATGTTCGACGAAGATTACGACAGTAAGTGTTGTTGAAACCATTGACCATTTGATCCGACTTGCTAACTTTTTACTCCTCCAGCATTGAATGGCTCAACAGCCCCAAGGGAACACCTCACCCTCCGGATACGGACGATGAGGCATAGACATGGGCAAGTTGGGTTAGATGAAGAGGATCTAATAATGTCATAGCGTTGGCGTCTCAAACGGCCTCTTGTGATTGCAGCATTTGTCAATGATTGATGGGATGAATAGACTTGGTCGACGATTGTAGAAGAAGGCGACCTTTTATCGGGTTGGTTGGGTTGGTTTACAGCAAACGCTCGGTCGGTGTCGATGGGCGACCTGGACATAGTTTCGCTCTACTGGTAGGATCACCATGAGATAAGGAGCTGCACTTCACAAGTATGATGGAAGCTATGAGAGCCAGTAGTGTCGCCAGCTCATGTTTAAGAGGATAGAAGTACGGCTTTGCAGGACCAGTGGGGGTGGATGTGTGCCTATCGACAGTGACTCCATCTCAGCAACACGAGTGAATGCGGGCGGCGGGTACATCTCCAAACGATGACATAATTCCACCTCTGCCGTACCTTCACCCCCCTTCTGGCTGCCCTTCCTTTATCGCTGCCTGCTCTCTCCTTCTTCAGCCCCTTCGTAGCCCTTCTTCTGGATCAAGACTCTCTTTTACGGTCCATATTAGACGAACCCAGAGTGAGCAATCTCAGGTACCTGAAGCCCACGTCTCCAGGTGATTCCCGAAGATCAGGCAAGCTAGACAAGGCGGCTGCCTGGAGGTCAAGGACTCACATATAGCTGAGGACAAAGTGTCATGGCGAGCGACTAGATCAATGTGCATTTCTCTCATTGCTCGCTTCACGTCCTCCCTTCGAGCTCTCGGCGTTGTTTGTTTGCTGCGGATGGCTCTCCCTCTCTGAGCAACTTGAAAACATTGTGTGACGTTCAACCCATTCCCTTCACGCGAGCTCCTCAAGTCGCTCGTGGCCAATCTTGTTGCTGCCCCACGGATGATTTACTTGTGTGATATCGGCAGGCACCTCACAAGGCGTTTTGGACTGCACGCTCGCCCTGCGATATACCACGCGGTCGTCACCTTTCTTCTGTCTAAGGCTCCTGTTGTGAACCATCTCAAGGCTGAGTGTCACATGCAGCTTCCATTGTGATATTTCTTCGTCACACCCGTTCCCGCAGTTGGCATATCCTCAACCAGAAAGCCGACCTTCCTCTTCGTTTTATTTGGCCTTCAACCCAACAATTGCCGTTCTTGCCGCTGTCTGACTCCCTCCCAGCTTTGTGTATGACATAGGTCTCGATCACGAATCACTTCTTACAATGGCAGGCGCAGAAATCGCACCGAACGATGCTGCTAAGCAACCTGATATCGATGCCCTCAAGCTCGCCGAAATGGGCTACAAGCAAGATATGAAGCGTAACTTCTCGCTCTGGTCCGTCCTCGGCGTGGCATTCTCGCTCACAAACTCCTGGTTTGGCGTCTCTGCTTCCATGGTCACCGGCATCAACTCCGGCGGGCCTGTTCTTCTTGTTTACGGTATCCTCCTGATCGCCCTCATCACCTCTTGCGCCGCCGTATCGCTCAGTGAGCTGGCTTCGTCAATGCCCAGTGCCGGCGGGCAGTACTTTTGGGCAAACGAATTGGCCCCTTCTCGCTACGCCAATTTAGCAGGCTATCTTACAGGCTGCTTTGCCTGGGTCGGCAGCATCTTCACTACTTCCAGTGTCGCCTTGGCCATGGCTACGGCTGTTACTGGTCTGTACCAGCTCACGCATGAATCGTTCGAGGTTCAGGCCTGGCATGTTATTGTTGCCTACCAGGGTGAGCATTGATATGCGACCCACCGGCTTGGAACTCATGATATATCGTTTGATACTTCGCTAACAGATGCTCAACTGCTCTAGCTCTTAACGCAGTCTCTTTCCTCTTCAACATATACGGCAAAGTCCTCCCCACAATAGCCACTGCAACCCTGTACATTTCGCTTCTCTCGTTCGCCATAATCCTCATCACCGTCCCCAGCTTTGCTCCAAACCACAACTCATCCAAGTTTGTCTTCGCAACTTTCATCAACAACACCGGATGGCATAACGATGGCATCGCATTTCTCATCGGCCTGATGAATCCAGAGTGGGCGTTCGCGTGCCTCGATTGTGCCACGCACATGGCCGAGGAGGTTCCGGAACCAGAAAAGACCATCCCCCTGGCCATTTGTAGTACAGTTGCCATCGGATTTTGTACAGCCTGGCCATTCGCTATTGGCATGATGTTCAGTATCCAAGATCTCACGAGCGTCACTTTCACTCCCACCGGTGTACCGATAATTGAGATATTTCACCAGTCAACCAACGTGATTGGAGCGTGTGCCTTGGAAACCCTTGTCATCCTCACTGGAACCGGCTGCCTCATTGCGTGCCATACGTGGCAGAGCCGTCTGTGCTGGAGCTTTGCAAGAGACGCTGGCCTACCGGGCCATAGGTGGCTCAAACAGGTCCACCCGAGACTGGAAGTGCCCCTGATGGCGCATCTTTTCAGTTGCACCCTCGTGGCTCTAGTCGGATTTCTATACTGGGCCAGCACAGCAGCCTTCAGCTCGTAAGTGGTGTCCCATCAATCAGTCAATCAGTCACACACACCTGGCTGGCAGCCTGACCATCACTAATATCGTAAGCTAGTACCGTGACGGCATGCATCGTCCTCCTTTACGTCTCATACTCAGTCCCAGTGATCAGTCTCCTCGTTCGAGGCCGCAGCAACATCCGCCATGGACCTTTCTGGCTCGGAGACAAACTAGGCCTCGTGGCCAACTGCCTTCTACTCGCCTGGACCCTCTTTATCATTGTCATCTACAGCTTCCCTACCACCATGCCGACCTCTGGCCGCTCGATGAACTATGTCTCTGTGCTTTACATTGCGCTGGCTGCCGTCATGCTCTTCGATTGGAGCGTACGTGCCAGGTGGGAGTTCCGTGGGCATTTGGAGCGGAAACTCGATGCCGCGGCAGGAGGAAGAGGACATGGTGGTGAGAGAGAGGTTGTTGCGGTCACTGGGAACTCAGATGCAGCAGGTAGGACCTCGTCAGTTGGTGGCATGCTAGGAGAGCGTGGAGGAGGACATGGCGGGGATGGATCAGTTGGGGTGGGCAATGACAATAGGACAGAGGAGCGAGCATGATCACACCCAAGCTGATGAAGGCGCCGGAAAAGACAATGCGGATGACCATCAGCCAAACCACGGCCCGCATACATATAAGCCGGGAAACGACGAACGACTGAAAGATGTGATGAATAATAGCAAAAGTCATATGCACGTGCATACAAAAGGAGCAAACAAGAAATCTGTCTGGATTCTCCCCTGTGGGCAGACTGTAAACCAGATATGCCAATGTTGTTTCCTCATGCATTTGATATCCATACCTACAATGCATCTAGGCCGTGTCGATGACTTCAACCCTGCCTCTAGGTGCACCCTGTGCCTTCCTGCCGGAGTTTCTCTCGGATGGAGAGAGTAAGAAGGCATGTCTGGGTCCACAAGGCTGCATGGAGTACTGTCATTCACCAAAGTGATTAACTCGTGCGTGGATTGATTCGAGTACAACGCCCTGTTTGGTTCTGCTAACTAGAAAGGTACCTAGCTAGATAGTGCTGCCAGGTCTCCGTGGATTTCTGTTGACTTACCTCGCACTCGGTGCCTATCTACGCATGTGCTACTATCGGACTCGGGACTCAGGACTCAGGAGTGAGTTGACCCACTCGTTAGTTGCATACTCCTGCAAGCTTACATATTGCCTTATGTAACAAGGTTAGGCTCGAGGTATCTAAGGATTTCATTCAGGTAGGAATCCCCAACTTCCTATCCAGCGAAGCGAATCATGGATTATCATCGCCTCTCTGTACCCTACACTACAAGGTATCGCTCATCTGTGAGGAATCTTGTCCGCAACTCGGCCTTCGAATGGAGTCCTTAGGGCGGCTCTCATGCGTACCGATGGACACCATAGAGGCCGAGGGCGCTACTCATAGGGATGGACCACCTTACCCCAGACGCTTGAACCAGCCGAAGGGGCGGCCCCAAGATATCTAGGCTTTCTGTGCCGTTGATGCCACTCCATCAAATTGCCCGTCTTTCCGGCCCCTTGAACTTGACCCAAACTGGAACTCCCAAGCCCATTTGTGTAACACAGGCTGTTTGGGGTCTGTGTAGGGTATGTTGTTGCCCTGACGGCACGCCTTGAGGGCCTGCATGGCAGACTAACTCTGGACCTGAATATCCCTGCGACGCATAGCAAGAAGTCGTCTGTTAACCATAACAACCTTGTCGCCGCCCAAGGCGATTTCAGGACAATGCGCCGTCCCATTACGCGTTTCAGGTATTCGCGATTATTCTACACTTATGCAGCCCTCTGACTGAGGCTGTTCCCTCTGCTGGAGAACTATATCTCTTCCCGTTGGACCTCTTTCGCCATGTCTCCCGTCTACACTAGATTCGGAGACGAGTTTCTAGCGTACTAATTACTGAATACCATTTCACTGTGCTGCGCGACTCCAATGCTCTTCCCTCATGAAGCAAGGTATGGTGTTTGTGTTCTTCCTGCTCCTGTACTCCGTGCCTGATGGAATGATCATCGCTTTTGTCCAGTAATGGCTAACCTGCTTGGAACAGCACCAGACCATCAAAGGGCTACTCTTCCGTTCTAGGCGCCGGCCTACTCTCATCGACACCTGAACGTGACCATGAGCCTCTGGAGTACCCATCAGCCCACCAGCAAACCCCCATGTCGAGCTTTGTATCTGAGGATTCTGAAAAAGTGGACCATGCGAAGCGCCATCTCCTCCAACCGGAGCAGCAACATAAGGACCCACAAGCGCCATGGAGTCCCTCAGGCTGGCGCGTTGGTGCAACGACAGCAGCCGGGACTGCGTTGCTGTCCTTGTTGATCAATGTCGGGGTCACGATATGGTGTGGGAAACACGCGGACTTCAAGGCCGGCATGGCCATCCTCTTCTTGGGTGATTGCGACAGAGTAGCGACCATGAACTCGTGGCTTCATTTTGGCATCAATGGCTTGAGCACGGTGCTTTTATCAGGCTCAAACTACTGTATGCAATGCTTGTCGGCGCCCACTAGAGGAGAGGTTCAGAAAGCACATGCCAAAATGAAGTGGCTTGACATTGGCGTTCCCTCCGTCCGGAATCTGCAGCATATACAGTCGAGGAAGGTGGCATTATGGTGGTGTCTCGCCTTGTCCTCCGTGCCGCTACATCTGATGTAAGGTTCCTTGCCATGGCCCTCGGGATAGCCCTGAGCTTACATTGCAGGTATAATTCTGTCTTCTTTTCTTCGCTTTCGACGAACAGCTACAACGTCCTCTACGCTACCCAAGACTTCGTCGAGGGCGGTCTTTACGACACTCAGAAATTCCCAGGCGATGACATGTGTGACATCCCACAGATTCGCCGTCAAGCTTCCAGCTGGGAGAGACTCGACAACGCAGCTTGTATCAGAACATACGCCAATGATCTGTTGAGCCAGTATCGGAATGTGATACTGGTTGTTTCAAACTCATCAAGCTCAACCGCGGCCAACAACTCTTTACTTGACATTCTCGGGTACGATAATACAATGACAGCATTACTGCTTAGGGGCCAAAGTCGTGATCCGTACCAATGGATTTGCGATGATGACAAGATTGAAGACAAGATTGACATTGGCGACCCGAGAGGTTTGAGCTTCAGTATTTATGCGCAGCCCTGCTATGCGTTGGTCTCAAAATTGGAGGCGGTGGCAGATCAATGGGTGTCCAAAGGATATGATATCGATCACTGCTTAGCTGAGAAGGTAGAGGGGACCTGCACCTTGAATTTCAGTCTGGATATCGCCATCGTTGTCATGGTGTTCAACTTGGTCAAGATATTATGCATGTGTTACGTGGCCTTCTGGATTCGAGACCGCCCACTGATCACCGTTGGTGATGCAGTCGAGTCTTTTCTCAGAGTCGTCGACGATACCAGCAAGGGCATGTGTCTCTTGAGCAAGAAGCAGGTCGTGTTCACCTGGGATCGTTATGCTCGTTATGTAAGTGGGGGCCGCGCAAAGGAGCTTCCCCAAGATCCAGTCACTTTCCGCAGCAAGAGGCACAAATGGTCCAGTGCGGCAAGCGGAGGGAGGTGGACCATTACTGTATTACTGTAAGTCTGGTTCTGTCAGTAGAGCTAGTTCATACTGATCCTCTCACCAGCATCATCTTGGCTCTTGCCGCCATCGCCTCACTAATGGCCTATGGCATCACTCAGCTCGATGGAGCGAATGATGCTCAATCCCTGTGGGAACTCGGTGTTGGCAAGCTCCATGCTCAGTCTCTCATCAAGGGTTGGAGTCTGCCGTCATTTGGAGGTTCGACCTTCATTTTCGCGGTCCTGATCGCCAATTCTCCTCAACCAACCCTATCCTTCATCTACCTCTTCGTCAACGGTCTCTTCACCAGTATGCTTCTCGCAAATGAGTGGAGCGATTTTGCTTACAAATTCAAACCCCTTCGCGTCTCCAGTCCTTCTGAAGGCCAAAGGTCGACTTACTTCCTTCAGCTGCCCTACCGCTATGCGCTACCTCTAATGGGTGTCTCTGGTGTACTCCATTGGCTCGTGTCCCAAAGCATCTTCGTCGCCAGTATTCGCGTCAATGATCGCGCTGGAAACCTCGACCCTGCAAGGTCTGTTGTAACGTGCGGGTACAGCATCTTCGGTATGGCCTTTACCATAATCGCAGCTGGATTGCTGCTTGTCGTTGCCATTGGGCTAGGCTTCTGCCGGTATAAGCCTGGGATGCCGCTGGTGGGAACATGCAGCGTCGCTATTGCCGCGGCTTGCCACCCACCAGAAAGAGAAAAGGTCGAGAAGGAAGATATCGCATCACTACCGGTGCAATGGGGCGCCGTTCCTGACGGCACAAATTCAGAGGGAGCCGTGGGACACTGTTGCTTTTCCAGTGAGCGCGTAGAGATGCCGAAAGAGGGCCGGTCTTATGCTGGCATGGGTTCACAGGACCTGATATTGTTGTAGTCCTTCTTGGAGAGGACAGGTTATTGCTTAGGGTAGCAGAACAGCGTAGTAATTGGTCACACTCGTTCACGATTTCACGATCTGCCGGAAGTCTCCTTTGCACTGTTTACAATGGCGGCATAGGTGCCCATCTTACCACGGCTCTCTTCATCCCATTAAGATGATTGTTCTTCGTTGAACACTTGACAGGTGTCGCAGCTCCACAGTTGATCGGGTTAGGTCACTCAAAAAGGTACCTGTGGGTCAGCAAAAGCAGCAAGAACACTTTTTGCCCAGGACCCCTAGCAAGGTTGTTCCTAGCTTCTTAGCTCTATTCTAAATCTCTTTGAGCGAGGTACGAGTAATCTTTAGTAGGCTCACAATAAGTACCAGTAGGTCGAGTGATCACTCTACTAAGAACTTATTGGTACTCGTTGAATCGCTAAATCTGGCCTGGTATTATCACGTAGCCGAAGGAACGGTTATCATCACGTGATATTTTCTATCTTCTTGACCATATATAATTCTTCTCAAATGATCAGCGCTTTTTTTCGGAACACGCTAGTAATCCTGTTCTCTTGGCAAGATATCTTACAGCGATGTCGGTGACGCAGGCCACGGCGCCATAGGCTATCCTATGAGCCACTAAATGCCACTAGCACCAGTCCTTAATCCGATGCGAAACTTGTCAATTGAACACAGGGCGGCATCAGCCTTGAGCAAAGAAGGCTAGACTTGTTTTCCCAGGCCTTGGCATTTGACCAGGGTACGACATTGGATTTGGAGTTGAGCGATGATCCATGGATGGAGCTTCGAAAAAAAGTTGTCCGCTCCCATTCTGCCGGTCTGCTACATTGCAATTCAATGTTCCAAACTCGACCTGTGCACGTTTGCGAATCTCCATCAAATTTCTAAGCAGCCTGGCAGTATGAGTGCTTCGCGTGCTTTGAGGGCCTCATCTGGGCTCTTCAGAAACAGCACACTTTCAACGCGCTCTCCAGCTGCCCAACAATGGCTCTGCCGGCGATGCGCGTCCACGACTGTGCTCAGTGGCTACTCTGGTGGCCCGAGGCCTCAGACTGCACAATGGCCTCCTGACCATCGGTGGCAGCGGCGAAGAGGTGCTGCTGGCGCTGCGGCGGCGATGTGAGCAACATTCTGATTTGATGCAGTCTTCCGCTAAACGATAACAGGCTTGAAGAAGCATCTGATCCCGACTCGCTCGCCCAGGAGACAATTATTGAGAACATGTCCTCGGAAGAGGCTCATCGACTGTCCAAGGTTAGAAACATTGGTATTGCGGTCAGTCAGACGAGTGTGCTTGCTCTGTGGAGCCTTTTTATTGACTCCATCAGGCGCATATTGATTCCGGCAAGACGACGGCGACAGAACGAGTCCTATTCTATACCGGCCGTATTAGTGCAATCCATGAAGTTCGTGGCAAGGATGCTGTTGGCGCGAAGATGGACTCGATGGAACTGGAGAGAGAGAAGGGCATCACCATCCAATCCGCTGCCACGTTCTGCGACTGGATCAAGAAAGAGAATGGCAAAGAAGAGAAATACCACATCAATTTGATTGACACGCCTGGCCACATTGACTTCACCATTGAGGTCGAGAGAGCGCTACGAGTGCTCGATGGAGCCGTCATGATTCTATGCGCCGTGTCTGGTGTGCAGAGTCAAACCATTACCGTGGACCGCCAAATGCGAAGGTACAATGTCCCCAGAATCACATTCATCAACAAAATGGACCGGATGGGAGCCAATCCTTTCAAAGCCATCGACCAAATCAATTACAAGTTGAAGATTGCCGCAGCCGCTGTACAGGTTCCGGTGGGCACCGAAGATGATATCCGAGGACTGGTCGATTTGGTTACAATGAAGACTTACTACGCCGAGGGTGCTCGTGGCGAGATCATCATTACAAAGGACGAGATACCAGCCGAAGTGCAAGACCTGGTCAACGAACGCCGTGCAAAGCTCATTGAGACCGTCGCCGATGTTGATGAGGAAATGGCTAACATGTTCTTGGATGAAGTCGAGCCCACTGTGGAGCAACTCAGAGCCGCAATTCGACGTGCAACCATTTCGCGTAAATTCACACCGGTTTTCATGGGATCCGCTTTGGCAGATAAATTCATCCAGCCTATGCTTGACGGCGTTTGCGACTATCTCCCCAACCCGGGCGAGGTCGCAAACATGGCACTGGATACACGGAACAAGGAGAAACCGGTCAAACTCATCCCTTACAACTCGCTTCCGTTTGTAGGACTCGCTTTCAAGCTCGAAGAATCCAACTTTGGTCAATTGACTTATATTCGAGTGTATCAAGGTGCTCTTCGAAAGGGTACCAATGTGTTCAACGCTCGAACAGACAAGAGGGTCAAGATCCCTCGTATCGTTCGTATGCATTCCAACGAGATGGAGGATGTGACGGAAGTCGGTGCCGGTGAAATCTGCGCGGTGTTCGGCGTCGATTGTGCATCTGGAGATACTTTCACCGACGGTCAGCTTGGTTATACCATGACCAGTATGTATGTTCCGGAACCGGTCATCTCTCTCAGCATCAAGCCCAAGAACAACAAGGATCTGCAGAACTTTTCCAAGGCCATCGCACGCTTCCAACGCGAGGACCCCACGTTCCGCGTTCACTTCGATACCGAGAGTGAACAGACGATTATTTCCGGTATGGGTGAATTGCATCTCGAGGTCTATGTCGAGCGTATGCGACGAGAGTACAAGGTCGATTGCGAAACTGGTCCGCCACAAGTTGCTTACCGCGAGACCATCACCAAGAGGACCGAATTCAACCATCTCCTCAAGAAACAAACTGGTGGTGCTGGTGATTATGCTCGTGTTGCCGGATGGATGGAGGCCAAGGGCAACCTGGAGGGCAATCACTTCGAAGAGCAAGTCATCGGTGGCTCAATTTCCGAGAAGTTCTTATTCGCCTGTGAAAAGGGCTTTCACCTATCTTGTGAGAAAGGCCCTCTCATTGGCCACAAAGTCCTGGGCGCCTCTATGGTCATCAACGACGGCGCAACCCACATGACTGATTCCAGTGAGATGTCCTTCAAAAATGCCACGCAACAGGCTTTCCGAAACGCTTTTATGCAGGCAGATCCGATCGTTCTCGAACCTTTGATGAAGGTTGTCGTGACCGCCCCCACCGAGTTCCAAGGTAACGTTGTCGCCATGATGCAGAAACGAAGCGCTGTCATCAACGATACTGAGGTCGGTGTCGATGACTTCACCGCCTACGCAGACGTCAGTTTGAACGGCATGTTTGGATTCAGCAGCAATCTCCGTGCCATGACTCAAGGAAAGGGTGAATTCAGCATGGAGTTCAGTCACTACGAGCGTGCTCCGCAGCAGTTACAGAAAGAGTTGGTTTCTAAATACCTCAAAGCTCAGGCAGAGAGGCATAAAAAGTAACAGCTTATTTAAACCTACGGGCAATGTCAGGCACGGGTGGGAAAGCTCAGCTGATACCACTTGACGTTGATGGATGGAGTGTTGAGTGCCATGATGCAGAGAGCAGCCTATTCTCTTTGCATTCCAAATGAAGGCTGGTCGCACTCAGGAAACCGAGTCTCTGCTATAGGTCTTGTACCGAGACCATGAAGCTCGAGAAAAAGACGACGAGACAAGCAAATGTCATTTGGAACGCACGCTAGACCGCACTACACAGCTCACCTGAGCTGCGTTCAACCTGAGCTGGATTCTACAATCGGGATACGACGATACAGATATCCAACCACAACCACGCCTGGGCCATCATCATCAACATCCAGTTCAACCTCTGTACACATACAAGGAACCAAGCCAGTTCTTGCGAAGTTAAAAAACAAACTTTAAAAACATTTCCCTTCGGTTAAACCTGTGTTACACATCCTGAGAACTCCTCTCTTCGATTACTTCTGGGGCAGCAGGAAATTAGAGATGCCGGCCCTTTCTGCTTCTCAGAGCTTCCATACGAACCATGGACGGGGAGAGTGTATAAACAAAATGAGCGGCTTCAAGTTCGCGTTATTGATGAAAAGGGGTATTGAGAGGAGGAAAGAAGACGTCGCTGATAGATGGTGTACGAAAGAAGTAGAACGGGAAGATGGCTTGAAAGCGCAGGGAGGCATGGCATTGTACACGACGCTACATCCTTCTTCACTTGTCCACATACCTAGCACCTGGGTGGCACCCATAGCTTGTGACAACTTGCTAATATTGATTCAAGCTTACCTACCTGAGGAAAAACTCCTGGATGATGGTACGTACCCCTGGTAGGTAGGTAGGTAGGTAGGTAGGTTCAGTTTGCTGCACCAGGCCGTCGGACCGGATAAACGTTCCTGAGTGCTCCGCGCTGGGTTCCACACCGCCAGAGAGTCCCAAGCTTCTACGTCATTTTTCTAGAGCCACGACGTTTATGCCGCAATGATGCTGCACTATTACGCGGGTTAGCCATGTCCTCATCTCATGGGAACGGGTAGAGAAGGAAAGCAGATAGGAGAGGCGTATTGGACGTTAGGCAGTGCCGTTATCTAATGTCCAACTGACCTTGACCCGTCTTGCCCTGTGAATATTTAATTTTGCAAAATAGTTTGATTGCACTGTACTGCGCTGCGTTGCGTCGCGTCACGTCATATCATATTACGACACATCGTCGACATCGTTTCTTTCCTGGTTATACTAAACCACGCGATCAAAGAGGTCTACCTGTTATTTAGCTTCAGGGCAGAATAGGGAGAAATGAATTCTACCGACGACGCCCCAGCACCGCAACCACCACCACCACCTGCGACGGCAAACACGACAGATACACTCCCGCCCGAGGCGATTGCGCTGGCATCGAGGTTCTTCGACGCGGCGCGCCACGGCCAGCTGGATCTCTTCGAGCAGGCGCTGCCGCGGGGCTTGCCGGCCAATCTGACGAATGACAAGGGTGATTCTCTGGTATGTCTAACGTCGACGTCCTTCCTGTGCTGTCTGCTTTTCCGTTTTGTGTTTCTGTGTTTTGGAGTTGAGTTTGGCTGTTGTCGAGTGTTGAGCAATCGTAAATGGAGGGCACGAACGGGGGTGTTGTTTATCAGACGGACCCAGGGGACTGAGGGGCACTCCATGTCTAGCTCATGCTCGCCGCATACCACGGCCACGCACCGTTAGTCTCGCTGCTGCTCCAACAGGGGGCGGACCCGAACCGTTTGAACGACCGCGGCCAGTCGCCGCTCGCGGGCGTCGTGTTCAAGAACGAGCGCGACGTTATCCGTGTCTTGCTTGAGGCTGGCGCCGATCCGGAATTGGGCCAGCCGAGCGCGCTGGAAGCTACGAGGGTATGCCTGTTGTCTCTTTTTTTTGGATGGGTGTGTTTCTGTGGTTCTGATGAGGTGCCTGCAGGTGTTTCGACAGGAGGAATATGAGGCTCTGTTTAAGGAGCAGGTAGAGAAATTGAAGGCAACGGTAGATGGTGCAGGAGATACGGGAAAATAGGGATTGAGAACCAGGTGAGGAGAGGAAAGAGGGAGCAGATTACGATCAATTACGACGCGATGGGCTTTCGGAGGTTTGATCATTCTTGTCATTGACTTGTGTCTCTCACATTGGAGTGGCTTGGAAGTTCAAAGGCCCCCTTTCTTCTACCATTTCTGTAGAACATATATCATAACTACCCCGTCATGCTTCGAACAACAAGATCTTTACTATGGAAGATTAGATTCGTGCTTAGAGACTCTCAAGAGCCGGAAATGAACGCCACCAACACCATGCTCGCTTTATATATGTACACATCATGCAATACGTCTGTGCCACATGTTCAGGTCGATCGCCGCTTCATTGATAGGCATGGCTCGGCTCTTGATTGTATCGCTGAGCTTGCATGGCTTTCTGCGAGGGCACCTTCAACGTCGACACTTGGACTTTGGGGTGGCAGCCATCACACCAATCGTACTTCCGTTGTTGGATCATGTGCATTTGGTGGCACCATTCTGCCACAGGTGATGTAGGCTGTAGAGAGGTGGACGAAGACGTCCGTGAGGATGAGTTGGATGTTGGAGGACTGGATTTGGATCGATCCGAGCTGGGTTTGTTGATGGGTTGGCGGAATGTTCGTTCGTAGTCGGCATAGTACCGTTGCTGTTGCTGCTCAGATTTGTTGGACATTTTCCTCTCACTTGTGGAGAAATGATGAGTGAAGGTGGTGCGAATTGCTGCTGTCGAGAGACTGTTCTTGTGCTGTCGAGAAATATAATCCTGATATAACAATACAGATACTAGTACTAGTTTGCTGACAAGACCGGGTGGCTGTATGCAGAACAGGCAGTGATTTATTTTATGACGACTTTGGCGGATAAGTTGGATGCGGGATAAAAGTGAAGACGCCCGGGTATTCCGAAGGAAACAGTAAGGGATTGGTGACAAAGAATATGGAAGATGATCCAAGAACTTTGTTTCTCGAAAACAGGTGGCGAATTGGTCGTTGTACAGATCTATCGGTCAACAAGACAGTGTTGGTGTTACTTGTTAGTTCGCGGGGAACATTGGTGAAGTTCAGTTGTTGGCACAGGTACTCTCAGGATCGAGAAGTGATCGGCGGAGGACCGGGGACCTACCTGAATAGATATGCATTTTTTAGTGGCTCAGTATCACGATCTCGACACGCGTTATCTTGCTCTTGTGGATACAAGATACAAATGCAGGGTGAAATGTATCATCAGCAAAGACAAAATGCTGTTGGTGCGGCTAGAATGGATGGACGTTGCCAGCAACCAACCAGCCAGCCGATATATGCAACGTTCCCTTCTTCAAGCACCGGGAGAAAGCAAAAGACGCACAAAATTGGAGCATGCGAGTTCCACAGGATGGAGCAGTGGGAAAGACATGGTGCGGGCCACCTGGTGGCCGGTTCAGTTAATTCGGTGGTGCTCATGGGCCCGGCATGTGTTATTGTTTGTTGGTTCGTCGCTCTCGAGTCGAGAAGCTGAAGCTGAAACCGAGAGGAGTCAGCTTGCCATCAAAAGAGGGCTTAGTAACAGCCACAGCCGTTGGCCATGTGGTATTGACCCGCGAGGCACGGGCAAAAGGACCAGTTGAAATTTTCACCGAAAAACAACGACAAGCGTTGTCTAGATTGTCATTGGGCTGATAAGGATACGGAAAGGGGAGGGTGGCATTTACAGAAAATGGTTTGTGTTTTGTTGGTGTCACCGATCAAAAGGGATGGTAGAAGCGGTGCTTGGCGGCACAGCCCCCAAGCCCCGCCCGAGGGTGCCGCTTAAGCTTAAAGGCACTTACCTAACTCGCCAGTGAGCCAGCTAAGCTTTCTTCGTCTTTAACTGTGGCATGGTGCCTGTGGCGGTCGTGCTGCCCCCATCGAGACTGTCTTGCCTCCCCTACAACAACCCTCCACCTGGAGTCTGGCAATACCTTGGCTTCAACAATATCGGTAGGTTTTCTGTGGTCTCAGACATGTCGGTGCTTAAACCCTATCCCGCCTATTTTTGGCCACGGTGTCTTGGTCCGCGTGGCACCATTCACCCCCTTTCCTGCCCTCTAAAGCTGATGAGCGTTCCTCTATCTCTTGAATCAACCGTCAGCATGGCCGAATTCCCCAGCCTTGAAAATGTTTGCAATGCGTTGTGTCCCTCAGCTCAGAATCGGCCGTCTGGGACCACCTGACTTGAAGTGACTTTATGACTTTGATTCTCTACGAACTGACGAAAACTTCCCTCTCCCCGAAATGGGGTTACATGTACAGGGCGGGGTTCCTAAGAATGAACACTCCTGGCATACAACATATGTGTATGGCGAGAACGCCCTGAAATCACCCATACATGTGGGCAACAACTGACCCGATTGGAAGCACCCCGCAGATATTGGCCCTCGGGCTCTTGATGTTGCTGATGCGGGGAGAGCATATGTAGATGCCCACGGAAATCCTAAACACAAGGTATACAAGGTAGGTCCTGCAATATGGAGGTCATCTCCCTTGATAAAACTTCTCCGTTGACAAGTATCCATTCTGTCTGAGCAAATTTTCTTTCGGTTCAACATGGCGGCTACCAATGGCGCCAACCGCACTTCCAATGCCCTGGTTTCTGTTGATGAATTGACCTCACAGGATTACGATTTCATTGTCGTTGGCGGTGGAACCGCTGGTCTTGTGGTCGCCGCTCGGCTCACCGAGGATCCAAACATTGCTGTTGCCGTCTTAGAAGCAGGCCAGAATCGGATGGACGACAAGAATGTGTCCACTCCTTCTCTCTATCCAACAATGGTAGGTACATGAGGACTGGTGCTCCTTTAAATCCGCTAATGAACAGATTGGCCGGCCTGATTACGATTGGTGTATGGCAAGTATTCCTCAACCAAATGCCGGCAACAAAGTCTACTCCATGCCACGAGGTAAACTCCTTGGAGGATCCTCCGGCATTAACTACCTCATGTATGTGAGAGGCAGCAAAGCAGACTATGACGCCAATTGGGAGTCGATGGATGGCTGCGCTGGTTGGGGGTGGTCCGGGATGGCGCCATACTTTCGCAAACATCACACCATCGATCGCACTGATTCCAGCGCAAAGAAGCCTATGTTCATGCCAGCCACCGAATCGGAGGAGTATCATAGCAAGGACGGACCGATCCATACCAGCTTCAATGACTGGTATATGCCGCTGGAAGAAGACTTTGCAAATGCCGCCTACGAATTGACTGGGGGGGACCGAATTACAACAGCCTATCAAGGCGATCACCATGGCTTTTACTCCAGTCTTGGCGCTGTGAACCGTTCTGATGACTATGGTAAGAGGTCATACGCTGCCACTGGGTATCTTCGTCCCAACCTAGGCCGACCCAATCTCAAGGTCTTGACCGAAGCACAGGCCACGAAAATTCTCCTGGATGGCACAGTTGCTAAAGGGGTTGAGTTCGTTCACAAGGGCAAGAAATACAGCTTAAATGCTACCCGTGAGGTCATCTTATCTACCGGAGTTATTCAGAGTCCCCAACTACTCGAGCTTTCTGGCATTGGAGATCCCGACGTCTTACAGGCCGCTGGCGTCGATGTCATTGTTGAAAATAAAGGGGTAGGTGCTAATTTCCAAGACCATGTTCTCGGAGGAGTCCTCTACGACTTGAAACCGGGAGTTGAATCTATGGACGCTCTACATGAGGAGGAGTTCCTGAAAGCGCAACAAGCTATCTATGACAAGACCGGGAATGGCATGTTTGGCAATCCTGGTATGGCCATGGGCTTTATATCCTATGCGCAAATAGCCACCCCTGAAGAGCTCGAAGCTACCATCAAGGAAATAAAAACGAATTCTTTGGCTAAGTCTGCCTTCGAGAAGGCGCAAGAGAGAGTCAGTCACCCTTATCCCATGGACAGCATATTCGGAGCCCGTTGCCTAATCCACCTCTAGGTTATCGTCGATCAGCTCAGCAATCCAGGCTTCAGCAACCTGCAAACCTTCTGTATACCATGTCGCCTCGATGTGGCAAAAGGCTCTGACCAGACACAATTTTTCGGAGCGCCGCCTAAAGGGAAACAACAGGTGTCCCTGTTGATTTGTCTCGAACACCCTCTCTCCAGGGGAACCGTGCACATCAAGAATGCCGACCCACTGGCTCCCCCGGAGATCGACCCGGGGTATTTCCGAAACGAAGTCGATGCGAAGATCCTCGCGGCCGGCGTGAAATGGATAGATCAGGTAGCGAGGCATCCTCTCGTCGCGAAATCCCTCGATACTCGTGAATTGCCACCCAAGAATGCGAGTCTCGATTCCGAAGCAGAGCGGATCGAGTATGTAAAGAACCATATTAGCACGCAATATCACCTGATAGGCACCTGTGCGTTAGGACAAGTGGTCGACAATGAGCTGAAGGTCAAGGGTGTGCAGAATTTGAGAGTGGTGGATGCATCTATTTTCCCTGGTCATGTTTCAGGGTCAGTGCTGACCGTGCCCCCACAACTAATTGTGTATGCCTAACCAACGTTCTAGGAATATAATGGCCACGACGTACGCCGTTGGCGAAAAGGGAGCTGACTTGATCAAAAAGGATATCAAAGCTTGAGCAGTCCAGTGTTTCCTGATGACGCTGGGCGCTGTACAGTGTTTTTCACGTGACTCGCTTGACAAGCCTGAAGTTGGGGGGCTGGTCTACCCTTTCATCCCCTCATACTGCTACGTAATAATAACATTGCGAGTGGCAGATTGAATGAATCAGCTCACATCATCTTGGAGTCGTAGAGAGGGCCGTGTTCAACAGCCATGTTTTCGTGTTCATTACTAAGGAGGCAACCGTTGAAAATGACTTGTTCCAAGTAATCCGAAAAGTGAAGTTTGATTGCTTTGACTTTCAGCCACCTCGTATGGGTGCAAGCTAACTAAATCCTAATTATAGGGGGCTACATAGGGACAGATATATTTCGCTCGACAGCGTTTTATCCCGCTGAACGCAATGAAGTGAAGTCAGTCGGTACCTTTCCGTGTGCAGAGTACCTACTAGACTTGGATTGGTGTGATTCTCGAGGCCCCGGGTGTTACAACTACTAAGGATAGTTTCAGGAGAGTCTAAAGCTAGTAAGAAAGTCCTCAGTTTATCTATCATCTTTTAGAGACCATGAGATTCGGCATGGGAGCTTCAGTCGCGTGCCCAGGAATACTACTGTTGAGCAAGATAATTTCCTGTCGAGCGAAATAGCGCTACTATACTGGGGCCCCGCCCCCCATGGCCGCTTTAGAGATAACCGTTCAAACAGGCTAGGGCGTCTTGGCTAAAATCCAACGTTGATAGTCGATGGCGTGCTCATCCAAGACTCATTCTGCCCTCCAACAATTGGTAAATGCTGGTTTCTGCTGATGCAATATGGAGACAGCCCACTTGTCCATGCGCCGGGCAAAGCATGATGCCTCAATTGAGGGCGCTCTGCCCGCAGGGATCTCCCGAGGAGCCCTTGAAAAAGATTTGTCGTCTTCGCCGCCCTCCCTTGGTTCCATCCGCGTAAATAAAGCCCTCCCCCACACCACGAGCTTTTCCACCTGCGATCAGTTGATCATCTCACCTCTGTACTCTCACCAGAACCCTCCCTTTAGGACCGACAACTCTACACAATCAAGGCAAAATGACTGACCGTCCAGAACCGTAAGTTGCTCTCCCCATGTGATGGCAATCTCCTCTCATGAACAACGCTGGCTCGTCAAGCCTACGCTCTATCCTCAATTAGTCTTCAATTCTGATGACGAACTGTGCTGACTATACTCTAATACAGCCTCCGCCTCGGCTCCGTCGCGCCAAACTTCAAGGCCGACACCACCAAAGGCCCCATTGACTTCCACGAGTTCATCGGCAACAACTGGGTCGTCCTTTTCTCCCACCCCGAAGACTATACCCCAGTCTGCACCACCGAACTGGGTGCGTTTGCCAAGTTGGAGCCAGAATTCGCAAAACGAGGTGTCAAGTTGATTGGTCTGTCTGCAAACACCATTGAGAGCCACGGCGGCTGGATCAAGGACATCAATGAGATCAGTGGCAGTGACTTGCAATTCCCGATCATTGGAGACAAACAGAGACAGGTTGCCCTTCTCTACGACATGCTTGACCACCAAGATGCCACCAACGTTGACTCCAAGGGAATCGCCTTTACAATTCGGTCTGTCTTCGTGATCGACCCAGCCAAGAAGATCCGAACCATCCTCTCCTATCCAGCTTCCACTGGCAGAAACTCCGCCGAAGTGCTCAGAATTGTAGACTCTCTACAGACGGGTGACAAGTGGAAGGTCACTACCCCCATCAACTGGGTCCCCGGTGACGATGTCATTGTCGCACCTCCCGTCAAGACTGAGGACGCACAAAAGTTGTGGCCCGAGATGAAAATCATCAGGCCCTACCTACGAACAACTCCTCTTCCCAAGGAGAAGACGTCAGCCGCCTAAGGGGATTTTGAAGGACGGTTCCGATTGTGGCGTCATGATTATAGCAGAAGCTGTCCGCTCTCAGAGAAGTGGTCTAGTGGAATTAATACCCCGCCAAACACGAAATAGTAACATGCAAATCAAATCCAAATTAGCCAAGTACCACGCACGCCAACGGGCGGCGCGTATTGTCGCACACATGGCGCTTAATGGTCATGTATTCGTCCTCGCTATGACCAGGCTGACAGTGCCTAAGCCATAAATGATGATCAAGGCCACCTCGGCCACCTGGACGTGAATGACCTCAAGTCCTCTCGACCGCAAGCTGGAAAGGAACTCCGCACCGCGTGCAGTAATAAGATCCTTGAACCCTGCCACTTCTGCGGAATGAGTGGCTCCCATTGCATCGTCTGTCAAGGAGCCGGCTTGGCGTTGATCTGGCCACAGAACTTCATCTGACTTTGTCTGGATCATGCACGATCAACTTGCTACACAAAACCGCCAGGACTCCTGTTCGATCCTCTCTTCTGCCGCAAGCGTGGTACAAATTGCACTTCGCTCTCTTTGCAGTTCTCTTGAATCGTATTTGTGAGGCTCACACACCCGGGAGTTGACTGCTAGTTTGACGTCTTTCTTCCTGACTCCCCTTTTTTTGACGTCCGCCAAAGTCGCACGGGGCAGCACCCACCCCTCCACAAAAGGCGGCGTAGTTCCGAGACAAGTTCTTTGTTCATCGGTAAGTTTTGATACCTTTTTCTTTGCAACAGTCTGCAGTGCTCCTCGATGGTATTGCCAACCAGGCTGCCTGCAGCGTGCTGTGATCGGAGGAAGCCAACTGTAGTGTTCCCCTGATGTCGGAACCTATCTGGAGATAAGAGCATGTCAATATGTCTTGCCTTGAAGATTGTCAATTCCTGCGTCTCTGGCATGGTCCGCATTCTGGCGATCAAATCATCCTCCTCCTCGAGTCTCCGAACAAACCACAAGGGACGCCAGCGGCAACTTTGCTAACATGAAGGCTAGATTTCGACGCAAAAGCTCCGCCAAGGAGGAGTCAAAGCCTGGACAAGCCGGTGTCAGCTTTCTGAGTTCGCACCTGGAACCGCCTTCACCAGAGGAATTGAATTGGCCACCAACTCCGCCTTCAGTCACCGAAGGGCAGCGCAAGTCCAGTTTGACCAGTCTTTTTTCTATCTGGTCCAATCCGTCTTCGTCTGCTGTAATTGAGGCCAAATCCCCCGGTATCAAGCCACGGCACATCCCGATTGACATATCCAAATATCAGACACCAACCTTATCCACGTACGAATCTTCTGTAGGGCATGCTACGAAGACAACGAATTCGACACGACAGCCACGCCATGTGCCTATAATAATCCCAGAATTTGCTCAACCTTTCTCCCGCGAAATTACCAAACCACCTGACTCCGACAAAGACAGACTCAGCAATATCTCGCCTGTCTCACCTCTGACATCACAGCGTGACGGTGACGACAGGAACCTAGAAAACTCGGATGTGAAGGAGGCCACTTCCAGCCCGGCCTCGTCTGAGATCGATGTAAATGCATTTCCCATCCCGAATAATTTGAAGGCAACAATGAACAACAGCCAAGTGAGCTTGGTTGCCTCGGAAGCAAGTAACGAAGGCGTCAATAATTCGGCCCACCCGGCTCACCAGCTTAATGGCAGTGGTGGCAACATTGGTATATCACCAGGAGTTCCACCGTCAGGCACAGCTCCTACCAATTTGTCGGGCCTAGTTTGCAATGTGCACAGAACCACAGGTGAGGAGCCTCATGCGTTGGTGGGAGCCACCACGACGATTTTGGGAGATAGATTGTATGTTTTTGGTGGTCGATTACACTCACGAACAAGACCGCAACTAACCTCAGATCTCTTTGAACTGGATCTGATCAAGAGACACTGGGTCAAAGTTGATGCCATTGGCGATGTCCCTCCCCCACGCTATTTTCACAGTGTGTGTGCTCTTGGAGACATGAAGTTAGTATGTTATGGCGGCATGTCCCCTGCAGTGCACAGTCGAACCGGCGGTGGTGCACATGCAGAGTCTCAGCCCGAGGTGGTTGTAATGTCTGACATACACGTTTTTGATGTCCCGACCCGAACATGGACTTTGATTGCCACTGCGGACAACCCCCAAGGACGATATGCCCATTGTGCCGCGATCCTACCTTCTTCCGCTGCCTTTACCTCGGCCAATGCACCGTTGTCCGCTATTCAACACAATCCGCCCTCATCAGATCCCCACTCTGGCACGTTGGGAGTACAGCTCGACGGTAGTGGAGGCGCAGAGATGATTGTGGTTGGGGGTCAGGACAGCAGTAATAACTACATTGAACAGATAAGTGTTTTTAACTTGCGAAGCCTGAAGTGGACGAACACTACCTCATGGGATCGCAAGTGTGGAGCGTATAAGAGCATGGTGGCACCGATGCCTGGGATCTCGGCAGAATTGATCGGGAGGGGCATCCCACTTAACGATGCTCAATCTCAAAGAATGAGCTCACGACCTGGTACTTCGATGTTGATCTATTCGAACTACAATTTCCTCGACGTCAAGTTGGAGCTGCAGATCCGAATGCCAGATGGCTCGTTGGTAGAAAAGCACATGACAGGCTCAGTATCTCCCCCCGGGCTCAGGTTTCCGAACGGAGGGATTATTGATGGCCATTTTGTTGTGAGTGGGACTTATCTCACATCATCAAAACATGAGTATGCTTTGTGGGCGCTTGATCTCAAGACTCTCACTTGGGCACGCATCGACACGAACGGCTCCATATTTTCGCAGGGTAGCTGGAACCGAGGGATTCTCTGGAATCGCAGAAACACCTTCGTGATCTTGGGCCACCGGAAACGAAGCCTTGTGGATGATTACAACCACCGACGCATCAACTTCAGTCATGTTTCTATGGTGGAACTCGAGGCATTCGGACTTTACGATAACCCACGGAAACTCTCCCCGACTTCTGGATACGTCTCAGTTTCTTCCCCAGCTGTGCCAGCGTCACTACAGGCATCGCTGCCCACTCAATCAGCCGGTGGCCGCCCTTTCTCCAGTATGGCGGAACAACTCGGCCAAGCAGCATTGAGCTTAGGCGAACTTGCCGATATGGAAATCGTGGCATTGGGAGGCGAGAAGATCCCGTGCAATTCGTACCTTCTTTCACGACGTTGGGGCCCTTTTTTCAATCAGCTGCTACTTGAATCAGCAACTACACATGAAAGTGCAAGCATGTCGGATGCTGCTACCTTGCGACCCAACGCCCGGGTCCAAGCAAGCCGGAATTCATCGGTAACTATTACCCCCAGTGCAGCAAATGGACTTGCACTGTCTGCTGCTGGAGCCAGTGCAGATGGAATCCTGGACCCGCAAAGATCTTTAAGCAGGTCGACCACGAGGACTCTAGTTGAGCTTCCAAATCCAACTTCGGTGCCAGCATCCATCCGACCGAGGTCGCTATATTTGCCGCATATGGCACCGACGATCCAACTGTTACTTCACTTTCTTTACACTTCGTCTCTCCCACCAGCAGGGTCGTCTTTGTGTACACCCCACACATTGTGCTCCCTTCTACAAATGGCTCGGCCCTACCAGATTGATGGATTACTCGAAGCAACGGTGGAGCGATTACACGAGGTCCTGGATGGCCGCAACTCGGCGGCGGTGTTTAATGCGGCAGCAATGGCAGCCGGCGGCGGGCGAGGCCTTGTAGGTGCGGCTGGCGGGACTCTTGCAGCGCTAGGCCGACGCGAGAGCGAAGCTACGACGATTGGAGACCAGACGTTAGCTTCCAAGACATCAGGTTTAGCATTGGGATCGAACCAAGAGGAAAGTAAAAGAAGAGGGCACCAAAAGTCGAACTCTGTGGATTCCGCATCGACGGCCACGTCTGCATCGACATCGACCGATATTTCTCAGACGGACAACGAGACGTCACCCAACGACGAGAATGCAGACCCAAGCGGGCGGGCAGATCGAGAGGCACGCGAGAAGTGGACAGGTGGCCTCAGCTCTGTGATTGGGCTTCAGAAACGGGGATTGAGGGGCCTCATGGAAGGGCGAAGGCTCAGGGAACGAGCAAACACTGGAGGAGGTGAATGAAATGACGAACGAGTGTGATGGTTTGATGCTTGACCAGCGGCTTCTGGACTGCTGGAGGGTCTAGTTTATGATTCACGTAGTACTGCATGTGCTAAACGAAGTATGGGACAACAAAGTCCCTCTTACCCAGGCACCTAGGATTCCTGAGTATAGAGTATAGAGTGGTTTGCAGCGATATTCGCTCCAGAGACCACGCGAACCGCGATCGCGCTGCCGCTTGTCACATGTTTGGGTAAATCGGATTCGGATTTGTTCGAGATGAAAAACATGACTGACCTTGTCTGTCACTTCGCCGTACGCCAAGAAAACCGTCATTTGATGGCCCCGTGACAAGATATCGGTATTGCCGAGTACGCTAGAGTTGGTGAATTAATTGGGTCCTTCCGTGGCAATAACTAAACACAAGGTCCACAGTGTGTCTTTGTTCTAAGTACAGACGCAGTCGATTGACATAACATTAGGTGCCGCCTCAATTATCTGGAGCAGAGCGAGAGAATCGTTTGTCCTGACGGGGCAGTTTACTTAGGAATCAGGAGTGCTTTTCAAAAAAAGATGCTTTATGAGAAGTCCGCTGCTCCAATCCATAATAATGTCAAAGTAAACCCACTTTTTATTGGGTCTAACTCCGAACACTCTCACCCACGGCACAATGTAGTCAGAGTCGTCCCATGGTCAGACATTCGCATCTGCAGTGAACACGACGCAAATGTAACAGACCAATGATGTGCTTTGATCGCGGATCCGTACTCCGCGAGCAGAAGCCGACTTGGCCGGCCCATGCCAAAGGCGAAGATTTTGATAACTCCGTAGATAATGCCGCGGACTTTTGTTCCTCGCCAATATCGCAAGGCTGAAACTCCGAGCCCAACCTTCTGAGGTGAAGTATATAACCGTGAGCACGATTGTCTACTCGCTATGACAAGATGGCCAGGCAGAAAACATCTGCGGTTTTTCTGTCCTTCCTGTCCTTCCCTTCTCATCATGGGGCCCCTTCCCGAACGCACCGTCTCCGACCACGTCCCTCAGCGAGTCAAGGGCTCCTCCGGACGCATGTCCTGGATGCGATCTCTTCTGCCCCGCACGCGCCTCGACGATGATGTCTGCCACCAGAGCTACACCGGCAAGGGCACACCCGACGACCCCTACATTGTCGACTACCTGCACAACGACCCGCAAGACGCGATGAACTTTTCCAAGGGGAGGAAATGGGCCATTGCCGTTCTCCAGTCCCTGTCCACGTTTGCAGTGACCTTTGCCAGCTCAGTGTATGCCAGCGGCATCCAAGGCATCCAGCAGCGCTTTGACGTGTCCAGGGAGGTGGCCACGCTGGGCCTGTCGCTCTTCGTGCTGGGCTTCGCCGTGGGACCGCTGATCTGGGCGCCTCTGTCGGAGGTGTACGGGCGCAGGTCCATCTTTGTGGTTTCGTTCACGGCGTACACAGCCTTCAGCGTGGCGGCGGCGTGCGCGCCCAACATCGGTGCCTTGCTGGTTCTTCGCTTCTTTGCGAGCGCATTTGGGTCGTCGTCGATGACGAACGTCGGCGGTGTCATTGCCGACATGTTCAGCAAGGCGGAGCGCGGAATGGCGACGGGATTGTTTGTCACGGCTCCCTTTCTGGGCCCTGCTCTTGGTAGGTGCCGGATCTTCTTCCACCTGCCCCTGTTGGCTTGCCCTTGTGCACTTGCTGAATCTGATCACTTTTTCTGCTTCCAGGGCCCATTGCCGGTGGGTTTCTTGGTGAGACCGGGGGCTGGCGCTGGATTCTCGGTCTGATCGCCATACTGGCGGGCGTGGTCTGGATTCCCGCGACGCTGACCACCCGCGAAACATACGCCCCGTTTAGTCTGCGACGTCGAGCCACGGCCCTCTCGCGCATCACAGGAAGCGTGTATGTGTCCCGCCTCGATGCGGGAAAGCCGCCCAAGACACTCTCGCAGGAGCTCTCGGTCTCTTTCACGCGGCCCTGGCTCCTTCTGTTCCGCGAACCCATTGTCTTGCTGACATCACTGTACATCTCTATCGTCTACGGCACACTGTACATGTTCTTTGCCGGGTTCCCCATCGTCTTCCAATATACTCGAGGCTGGAGCCAGGCCACTGCCGGACTTCCGTTTATCGGCGTCGCCGTTGGCGTGTGTCTTGCCACGCTGGCGGCCGGCGTGGACAATAAGCGCTACGTGCGCCTGTGCGTGGCGGCCGAAGCAGATGGCTGCGCAGTCGAGCCAGAAGCCAGACTGCGCACGGCAATGGCAGGCTCCATCGTCCTCCCGATTGGACTATTCCTGTTTGCGTGGACGACGTATCCGTCGTTGCACTGGATTCTGCCCATTACCGGCGCTATGTTCTTCTCATGTGGACTGGTCATGGTTTTCATCTCGCTGATGAGCTATCTGGTCGACTCCTGTACGTTCTTGATCCTTGCTTCGTGGTCCTCTGCGAGACGGCAGTAAATGCATCATGCTCACCTGTGTACAGATGTCGTCTATGCTGCTTCTGTGCTGGCGGCCAACTCGGTGCTTCGGTCCTTGTTCGGTACCGCGTTTCCGCTGTTCACCACCCAGATGTACGAGAAGCTCGGAAATCAATGGGCGAGCTCCATCCCCGCGTTCCTGGCTCTTGGGTGCCTGCCTTTCCCGTTTCTGTTCCAGAAGTACGGCCGGCAGATGCGCTCCAAGTGCAAGTATGCTTCCGAAGCAGCAAAGGTGCTGGAGATGATGCGTCGTCCGCATGTCGTCGTGGTTGGAGGTGAGCCAAATAGTTATAGGCCAGATATCGAGGCTGAATAGGTCTTTTGGTGGGCGCTGGTCCCAACGGTATTCTTGGCCCTCCGTAATACCGTATACGTACTGAGGCGCCGGCGTGGGAGTTTGAGAGATAGATGGAAAGTATGCAAGGTGTGGATTCGTCTTGATAGTATAGATAGGCTTGCTTCTTTTGGGTACTGTTTCTTTTGAACGTTTTCTTCCCAAATAATAGAGGCGACGGACTTAGGTCGATTGGACGTGCGCTACCCGCCGAAATATTTCTCATCTTGTCCTATGAGGAACAAGATGGCCACTGTAGTGGCCTAGGCCGTATTCTTGCAGCTGAACGACGGGAAACCGAGAGGATAAATCGACAAGCTCAGTGTGCGAATAGTGCCCCATACGGCTAACATGGCCCAAGATAATGCATGTGCCTCGACGCCACCGGTTCTTCGTGTCAATATCGACCAGCAAAATCCAGTTGTCCAATCTGCCACTCGTCCAGGAAATCAAATCCTAGGCAATCCACATCGAGCGACGGATTATTCTCCCACTGTGTGTGCGGCGAAGCGTCCGCATCCGCCATGCTGCTGTCTTGTGACTGCGACTGCGTAGGTACTTGACTGAGAATATTGGACGGAACCAAGTACAGATTTTTCTTGGAAAGAATCTCCTCGAATACCGGCAGCGCTCTTTTCAGGGCGGGTATTTCTTTCCCCTGGGTGAGAAGAAGCATTGTCTGGCTGATGGATATCCGAGCCATGGAACGGACGAGGTCTGTCTCCAGTGGATCGAGGGCCGATTCGATGTGTAGAGCGAGCAGCGCAGTTATCGTGGTTACGCTGACAAGGCCAATGTTAGTCCGACTCCCATTGCTGGGTTCTGTAGAGTATGGTTGAAAAAACAGGAGGAAACGAACGGTACCTACAAAGACATAGGAAAGTCCTGAAGCTTTCCACTCGCCAACACCCTCATGGTAATCGTGTCCAGCTCCAGAATGGCGGACCGAAGCCGCTGTTTGGCCCACTCGCTCCAATTCGCATGTCCGGACTGCTGCAAATGGCCCCGTATCAGACGACACAAGACGACCTCAAACCTGTAGCTCACAGCTTGTATATTCAGATAGTACACGTCAGATCCAGTATTTCCACCCACGTGCATCTTGGCCGCGAGAGACTTCCGCCACGCATCGAGTGGGTGCATCATTTGGCGAGGATCCTGCTGTGGCTTGGTTGCCACAATTGACAAAAACTGTCCGACTAAACAGAGTTAGTCACGCTTGGAGCATCAGCTACAGATTGAAAATCAGGGGAAGAGGAATAAGAACAAAGAATCGAATAGAACCAACACGCACATATTCGAGACAACTCGCAGTAGACAACAGGCAAGACATTTTGCTGAATCGTGACTGCCGATAGCAGGCCGGATGATGCTCCCGAGACATCCTCTGCCTCCCAGTCATCTTCCGTCCTAGGCTTTATCGCGGAGGTGTTTTCGAGTAATCGCGAGCGTCTGGGATTAGCCAAGACGTGGAAAATGTCTAAAAACTACGCAGCTATAGTAAGCGTAAAGCAGGAAGAACAGAACACGGTGAGGGAGAAGAGGGACGTACGTAGAGAGCCCACCAGATCCTCCGGTACAACTTTAAGACTGTGCGGGGTTTGTTCTCTCGGACACATCTGTCGGAGAGTTCATAGGCAGTTAGTGCCCGCAATCCATGTCTCCGGTGTCACAATCCAGGGGTAGGGAAACATACGTGTTGCGTAGGTCAAGCTTGGTGGCTAGACAGATCGCGTTGTGGAACCAGTAGCCAAAGTCCCGGTCGGTGGGGTGGTCGAGAATCACCATGCACAGAATGAGAGATCCCTGCAGCATCAACAACGGGTCACCCTCGACGGCAAAGTCGTGGAGCAGCTTGGCCTTGGAGAAGAACGACTCTTGTGCGGCCGAGCGGCTGGCAAAGCCGCAGGCGGATAGCACGTCTGCTGGAGCATGGAGGCAGGCTGGTGTCAAGATAACGCGGAGCAGGAACAACGAGCAGTCGCCGGATTGATAGCCGCGAATGAAATCAGCTCTGTTGATCACAGGAGCAAAGGGGTAGACGTGGTCAAAGTAGGTCTTAACGAGGGCGTCTCTGTTGTTTCTGTCAGTAGAGTGAACCCTGAAGACGGAGACCCGAAGAAAATGGGCGATGGAGGATTCGAGTTTGTCTCACAAGTGGCGCGGAGGAGGTAGATCAAAAACACCCTTCTTGGCCAGGTATTCATTGTCACTGTCGTCCAATTGGGGCAGCTTGGTCCTTAAACAGTTCCTGCGAGTAAAATTGTCTCCCTGACTTGGACCGTAAGGGGTACTGGAAGTGGTTTGGGGTCGACTGGATTCTATAGTTTCTTCCACGGCGTCGGCTAGGATGTGGAGGTAGAGTAGATCTGGCTCAGCTTGACGTGAGCTTTGGCAGTCCAAGACGTCGGATGTGGAAGGTTGCTTTGATTGATTGAGACTATCTAACTGGCTACTGTTGGAAGTAGCCGCGATGCCTCTAGTCTCTGTGGTCTGGCAACGGTCAGAGACGAAAAGACGGAGAAGAGAAGCAGCTGGGCCAATGCCAATCAACTAAAGCATACTCGTACATGGCCACGGTTAGGGATCGATGAATCTTGTGCTACTTTCCTATGAGCCGCATCGACGTTAGCACGCAACTAAAGGCAGCAGGAACCATGAAGCATCCTATCAGTACCTATTATCAACTCACCTGGCCCGACCCTTACGGACCGGTAGAATACAGCCCTTGGTACACTGCCTGCTAGTACAGCTGCTGCAGGGGAGGCCAATCCCGGCGGCATCGCACTTGACCTTGCGTATGCGGCAGGGCACACATGCCTTGTTGGCTTTGCGAGGACGTTTTCCGGTTTCCCTCGCCGTCTGTGGCTCGCTATCAGAAGCAGAAGTGTTCATTGAATGAGGGGTGTTTTTTTGTAGCCTGCAATGGCGGGGACAGCCAGGGCGTAAAAGAGCATACTTGGTGGAGTGAAGGTGTTTTCCCTTATGCTGAGAGGATTCGGGCGTTTGACCTTCAGGTCCGCCCGGAAGTTTGGATATTTCCCGGAGCACTTCGGGGCGGCGGGTGATAGGTGAGAATACTTATCTACGCTAAAACGCTTAACTAAGGAAGTTCAGAGTAAACCGTGTTGTGCTAAGTACACTAGTATTTAGTGCTATGCTAAGCCGATAAAGCGTGGACTTGTTTATGTAATTACTGTCATGATACCGTCACTTGTTCCGGTGTGACAGTCAATTATGGCCGAAACGGCGGTATTTTGCAAACGAAACGGACAATTCTGTCACATGTGATGGACTTTGTGCCTACTTCGTTGGTGGCCCAGTAGCGCGTCATTTGAGATTGAACCATTCTTTTGAAAACATGTGATGTGGTGAATTCTGAAATGTGCCTCGGCATTTCTGCTTCAGCCCCAGGGATCGTGTGCAATCATCTGACCATGTAAGCATCGAATGAGAGCGTCGACATCGATGCTTCACAACGTCTGGCAGCGGTCATGGCCCCCCGGGGACTCCATCTTAAGCATTGGCTGGGTGCAGGAGCGTGACCTATTCCCATGCCTTTCCCGTGAGACCCATTGGCTAAGCAGGCCAGATGACTATTTTGATGCTTTATTATTTGCCCAAGTCCGTGTCACAATGTGTGTGCATTTCTGGCATGTGAAAGTGGTTGACCCGTGCTTCTTCTTCTGCCACCGCCATCGTCCTTACTCTCCTTCAATCCATTCCCCAGATTCTGCTACCCTTTCTCTATTCTTATCATTCTGCATTTAGATCAAACTAGACTCTCGTGTTCTTTGAGCAATCACAGTGCCGACCAGCACCATGTCCAAAACCTTTTCGACGGCCCATGTGGCCTCTCACAACAAAGCCAAAGACCTGTACATCATCGTAGATGAGGATGTATATGACTTGACGACATTCCAGGACGAGCATCCAGGTGAGTTCCAATGTTGCCACTCCTTCCGAGTCTTCGCACTGACCCAAGCCACAGGAGGGAAGAAGAGTAAGCGTTCCGCCCCCTCCGACAATAACCTCCCCCCTCGACAGTGACAGTTATCTAACCACGTCCTCAGTCCTCCAGCGAGTCGCAGGCAAAGATGCCTCGAAACAATTCTGGAAATACCACAATGAGTCCATTCTTAAGAAATTCAAGACGAAGTTGCAGGTTGGATCGTTAGACACCAAGAAAGTGGAGGCGCCACCTACCCCTCCGGCTACTCCTCCGCCACAAGTAAAGCAACAAAAGGTCGTCCCTCAGGCCGTGCCTGGCACCGTTGCTCCTGCTCCAGGCCCAGCTGCCCACGAAGAAGCCGAAGCACTGGACCCGTATGGTTCTCTCATTCCCTTTGGTGATCCAAACTGGTATCAAGGTGTAAGTCCTTCTTCTATCTCTCCGATTTGGCCATCATCTCATTCAATCTGTAGTATCACTCGCCCTACTTCAACGAGACGCACGCCGCTCTCCGGGCCGAGGTTCGGGAATGGGTTGACACGGAGATCGAGCCTTACGTTACCGAGTGGGACGAGGGAAAGAACGTGCCCGAAAAGATCTACAAGCAAATGGGTGAGCGGGGCTATCTCGCCGGCTTGCTTGGTGTCGCATATCCCAAGGACTTGGTCAAGAATGCGGTTCAGAGTGTGCCTCCAGAGAAGTGGGATTTGTTCCACGAGCTGCTGATCACCGACGAGATCTCCAGGTGCGGCTCCGGAGGTCTCGTCTGGAACTTGATCGGTGGTTTTGGAATCGGCTGTCCTCCTCTGGTGAAATACGGAAACAAGAAACTTGTAGAGCGAATCCTCCCAGACATCTTGTCTGGCGACAAGCGGATATGTTTGGCGATCACTGAGCCTGATGCTGGTTCTGATGTTGCCAATCTCACCTGTGAAGCGAAGCTCAGCGAGGATGGAAAACACTACATCGGTAAGGAATAAGGTCTCCTAACTGTTGATCCCCCCGCTTACCTTGTGGCGATAGTGAATGGTGAAAAGAAGTGGATCACCAACGGTATCTGGAGCGATTACTTCACCACGGCCGTGAGGACAGGCGGCCCTGGTATGGGCGGCATCAGCTTACTCTTGATTGAGCGAAGTGATGGCGTCAGCACCAGGCGCATGGATTGCCAGGGTGTGTGGAGCAGTGGTACTACATACATCACCTTTGAAGATGTCAAGGTTCCCGTGGAGAATGTTCTGGGAAAGCCTAACAAGGGTTTCCAAGGTATGAAATTCCATTACTGAGTCCCACATATTACTGATTTTCTCCTAGTTATCATGACCAACTTCAACCACGAGCGTATTGGAATTATCATCCAATGTACCCGATTCTCCCGAGTCGTCTACGAGGAGTCGGTGAAATATGCCTCCAAGAGAAAGACATTCGGCAAGAAGCTGATTGATCACCCTGTCATTCGAATGAAGCTGGCACACATGGCACGGCAGATCGAGGCAACCTCGGCCTGGCTAGAGAATGTCGTGTATCAATGCCAGAAGATGAACGAGACCGAGGCCATGCTGCGACTTGGAGGTGCCATTGCCGGCCTCAAGGCGCAAGCCACCACTACGTTTGAATTCTGCACCAAGGAAGCTGCTCAGATCTTCGGCGGTCTGGCTTATTCGCGAGGTGGACAGGGCGGCAAGGTCGAACGATTGTACCGTGACACTCTGGCGTACAAGATTCCTGGTGGAAGCGAGGAGATCATGCTGGATCTCAGTATTCGCCAGAGTTTGAAGGTGCACAAGGCGTTGGGCATGAAGCTGTAACATCGATGTGATGTCTTTCTATCTAGCATGAGGACTGGAAATACACTGGTCACGTGAGATACCAAAGATTGGTGTGTGTGGGCAGCCACCGCCTACGAGTACATACAAGCGTCGGCAGTATCATTGTACGAGGGCACGTCTCCATCCTCGAATGTTTCTGAGACAGCACTCCGTAGGTGCCACTGAGTAGTGTTCGGAAGCCTCCGGTCATTCTTGGGATTGGTATAGAATGTGGAGAAATGCAACGAGGCGAGTGAGATCTGAATGGCCGGGTTTCAGAGGCCGATCATAGCCCCGAAGCCATGAAGAGTTTTTCGGGCAAAAAGCTTGTGGGTGCTTGGACTGAGTAAATAGGCATGGGGGACCGTTGGGGGTGCGCCTAGCAGCTGCGAGGGGCCAGGGGGTGCCCAGTGCGGCAGTGCCCACACGCCCGTAGCCCACCGCTCGCTTGGACTTTCGCATGCAAGTTGCAACCTTGAGTCCTCGCCGCATCATGCAGGTACGTCACACTCTCAACCATCTGATCAGACTTTTTCCCATCCCGTCCCCATCGCTCTCGCCGCTGCATCGCCTGGCCATACGAAAAGCTGGAAGGCCGGAAGCAGAATGGACGCATGCTTGTCTATCGATAGCCAGGACGCTTGTACTCGTCATGGGCCGAATCGCTCCCCATCATTCAATGGTATGTCTCTCCACCCCTGGCACATGGCCGATGCCTTCAGTAATGTATGCAACCACATCCGCCACTCCCATGGGAAGTCGATTCATGCGACCATGGCTAGTTAAAAGATCTCTCTCAGCGTCCTCTACTTGATTTGTGCCCTGATCTTTCTATATTTAAGAAATATATAGTATCTCCTGTACCACCTCTGTTCCATTTCCGTGGCCTGCGATCTTCTCCTCAGTCGTTGCTCTACACATTAACAACCCAACACACCATGCGTACCTCGCAAATCCTGGCCCTCGTGGCTGTCCTTCCTTCCACTCTTGCCGCCTACAAGGGCTTCAACTATGGCTCAACCGGCCGAGGCCAGGCTGCTTTCGAGGGCGAATTCAACTCCGCAAAGAACCTCGCCGGCTCCAGCTATACCTCTGCCCGCCTGTACACCATGATTCAAGACGGAACTACAAACACTCCCATCTCTGCTATTCCCGCTGCTATCAGCACCGGCACTTCTCTCCTTCTCGGTCTCTGGGCATCTGGAGGCGATGCTCAATTCGCGAATGAAATTGCTGCTTTAAAAGCCGCCATTTCGCAATATGGCAGCGCATTCACCGACCTCATTGCGGGTATCAGTGTTGGTTCTGAAGATATTTACCGCGTCACTCCAATCGGTATTGCGAACAATGCTGGTGTCGGCGTCGGTCCAGATACCATCATCAACTATATCGATCAGGTGCGCTCGGCAATCGCCGGCACTGGCGCTGCTGGCAAGCCTGTCGGCCACGTCGATACCTACAATGTTTGGACCAACTCGAGCCAAAACGCTTTGATCGGAGCTGTAGACTTCGTCGCCTGTGACGCCTATCCTTATTACGAAACCACAAAACCCAACGGGATCGAAAACGCCAACGCAACCTTCTGGGATGATTATCAGCAGACAGTTGCGTCGAGCCAGGGAAAACCTGTCTGGATCACCGAGACCGGTTGGCCCGTGTCTGGTCCCACTAGTAATCAAGCTGTGGCCTCGGTCGAGAACGCGAAGATCTATTACGACGATGTCGCTTGCCATGCCTTCGCCAACGGCATCAACATCTGGTATTACATTCTTCAAGATACCGGTGCGAGCCCGAGCTTCGGTCTCGTTGGCGCTGGTACTCCTCCACCTACCACTCCTCTCTTCAGCCTCGCTTGCTAGACCTTACCGCATTTTAGCAGGACATACAGTATGATTTAATGAAATATAAAAGGCATCATTGGGGATATTGGGAATTGGTTGGGAAAATAGATCGTGATTAATATTAAAAACAGGTTGGATTAGATGTACAGCTTGAAAGTCTCCATTGATATGACAAGTACATCTAATAATTTTATTAGTGGTAACACACTGTTTTCATAAGGAATGCAGAACAATATCAATCACGGTTCTCGTAGAGTGGAGAGCGTGAAGGAGCAGAAGGTTGCAAGCAGCTGCCAGCTTAGCCAATTGTTTCGGGGAGTGTCACGTGTGGCACCCATCACCAACAAAATCGACTGAGGACGCGGCTCCGTGCACGTGACATTACCATATTGGGCGTAAACAAACAATAATTACCGCGATCAGCTCAGATCAGGTTGTTGGCTTGCGGCCACTTATATCCGCCCTTCCTCCGCCTTTCGTAATCGCTTCGCCCTCGACTGTATACTCGTACTAACCCACAACTATCATAGGGTTGTCTTTGGACAACTGTTACCTGGGGTTTCTCTCTTGGTTGCAAGCTTCCTGATACTTTGAGTTTCTACGTCGCACCAATACCACGACAAAGGCACATCCGCACGAGATACCACTTCTTTCCCGCCCGGTTCAAATGTCAACGCCTCTTCAGTACCACGACATAGATATCGCACATATTTAAAAAAGAGTCTGATCTAGACTTTCGAACGCGACTTCTGTCGATTACGCATTCTAGCAACTATGGCGCCGAGGAAGGTAGCCAGCCCAACAAGGCCGCGACGCGTCACTCGAGCCCGCGCTGCCGACAGCAATAATCCAACCCCCACCGAAGATCCTCTCAAACGAAAGTCAGCAACCAAAGCTGCCGTCCCCACAACAAGCGCTGCAAAGGCCAGCGAAGCAAAGTCACGCGTTACGAAGAAAACAGCCACACCTACTGCTGCTAAAGCGACCACACGAGCGGCGAGATCAAAAAAAACAGCGCCACCTACTACTGTTTTAGAGAGCGATAATGAAGAGGAAGACGTCGTCACAATTTCCATGCCACAATCCCGAGCAAAGCCGTCACGACCAGCTTCACGCAACATGGCTGCAAAGTCAACTGCAACAACTGAATCTTCGCTGGCAGCAGCTCCTCGGAGACGCATTAAAGTGACACCCTTGGATGCCGTTGCTAGCGAGCCTGAACCTGATCCAGAGTCAAAGTCTGAGAAGAAGGCTAGTTCGAGAGCTAAAAAGGAGAAATCTGCTGCCACGGGCTCAACAGCAACGTCGAGAAGTAAGCGTACTATTGACGCTGTCAACCGTGATGAGCCCAAGGATGAACTTGCAGACACAGATATGGCCGAGGCTAAGCCCAAAAAGCGAGGCAGAGCTCGTGTCAATGCCGTGGAGGTAGAGGAACTGCCCGCCATTAACGAGAAAAAAGATGAAGAAGCGCCCAAAACTCGGGGAAGGCCAAGGAAAGAGAAATCTCAGGCTCTGCAGACCCAGAACGAGTCGGCAGTGTCGGTTAGACAGACTCGTGCACGCGCTGGATCTACTGCTTCCGCCCCGAGTGTCGAGCCAACGATTTCCGTGGTGGTTCGCAAGAAGAAGGTTACTTTCCAGGACATACCAGATGAAGAGGACGAGAAAGAAAACTTCAGACCTGCTACGAAGGCAGGAAAGAAATCAACAACTACTTCAACTAAAAAAGCCGAGCCCTTGGGTCGAGGCATACGAGCCAAACCAATTCGCAAGCCAGCGCCTGCTACAACTACAAAGACCACGAGAGGCAGGGCAGCTGGGAAGAATGCGAAGGAGACTGATACCGAGGTATCTGAAAAGATTCAACAGAGAGCTCTCACGCCAAAGAAGATTACTCAGGTTGCCAAGGCTGAGGTTGGTGATAGCGATGCGTCGGAGGACGAGCTTGCAGGTGCAAAAACTCCTGTTCGAGACCTGAGCATGTCCCCAAAGCGAGCAATTGTTGCCTCAATACAACAATCCTCTCCTGTAAAGAAGCTGGACTTCACGCCTGCCCTCAGTGCTCGACCTCAATCGCCGAAGAAGCTTGATGGCATGGACAGCATTGGCATCTTAAGTCCACCTCGTCGAAACCCTGCATCTCCAGCGAAAGACATTTATGATCAATCTCCCCGACGGGCACCAGAGGGAGTGACTGTCTTCCGGGCCCACCTTCTTGACTCAAGCCACGGTAGAGTCCTTCCCTTCAATGCGACCAACAGCCAAACGCAGCTTCTCCAATTACCCAGGCGAGGGGTCCTTGAAGCTTCAATCTTCCCTGCCTCGGCAGCCAAACTATCAAAGTCACCATTCAAGGCTTCATTGCTGTCCTCGCCAGCTCGGCGATTGTTCTCACCATCGAAACAGAAGACCCCAGCTCGGATCTCACCGATACCCTTGAAAAAAACGAGTGTCACGCCCCTATCAGCGGTCGGCTCTGTCAAGAGTCCGGGGAATGTTGATCTTGCAATGACTTCACATTTCCGCTCGTCAATGTCTCCTCAACGCTCAGCAAGAGTGTACAGAATGAGTGATGATGAGTTGGCCGAGGAAATGGGCGCAGACCCTGACTTTGATCAATCAGTATTGAATGTGCGAAGCCCTCTCAAAGTTGATAAAGTCATGCTGGCCTCCAATGAACCTGCAGAGGAGATGCAAGACGAGGATCCATTCGCTCAAAGTAATATTGTGCAAGAGGTTGATCAGGCTGAAGGAGATAAATATTTTCCACTTCTTCCTCTTCCTTCCTCTTCCCCAGCCTCCTCCGCAGTCACTGCTCTTTCCCCAACAATGTGTCTGGCTGCGGAAGCAGATCTAGTTGGCGATGAGACAATCGCAGATCCCGAGCAAGAAGAGGGTGAATCATCTGAAATAAAAGGACAGGGCCATTCATCTCCTTCAGCTTCAACCCCAATGTCTGAGCGTGAGGATTCGGTCGTCCACCACCCTGAAGCAGCTGCCAATAGACCTAGAATGTCGAATATTCTTTTCAGCCGCCTCCGGGATGGTGGAGATGAGTCTGATGACGAGCTTGCGGGAGAGCAAACGCCTGAAATCAGACCATTCAGGCCTTCATTCCGACCCATTCCGAACCAATCTGACCTTCGGTCTCGACTATCTACTGGCATTGCTCCTCCAAGCGCCTCGCGAAATCTGGGATTCACTCCTCTCGCGGCACGGGTTCGAGGTTGGGCTGCTTCCAGTCCAGAAAAGAAAGTCAAAGCAAGCGACATTGCAGCTCAATCGAGAGGCCTGTTCTCTCCTCTTGCTCAGGTGCACGTGGAAGGATCGGTTGAGTTGAATAGACAGCCTACCCCCGGGCGGTCTGCTTCCAAGAGAATGTCGTTGGCGTCTCACCGACAGTCCTTTGGTCCGTCTGTGACTGGAAGCCCGGCAAATCCCGAATTTTTCGCAGATGGCATGGCAGCTCAGGATTTTGAGGACCAAAATGAGGTTCAGGAAGACCAAAAGGGATCCCTGGTTGGAATTGACGATCTGCACAAGCTCGTCCAAGAAGATAAAGAAGAGCAAAATCTCGTCCCGTCCAAGCCTGTTGACTCTCTCGAACCATCTTCGGAGAGTGAAGAGGAGAACTCATCCGAGGATCTAGACAACGAGCCGGGTGATCTCACGACTGATCTGATCAAGTTTACTAATGCCTCTGAAACTGCGATGGTGGATTTCAAAGCCTTGGCCAGTGAAGCCGCAGATCTGGCAGATGAAGGGAACCAGGAAGATGGTGAAGCTGATGCTATTGACGTCGAAGATACGTGCCTTCCACACATTGCCTCTAAGTTGGATATGGTGTCCGAAAAACTCTCTTCTTTGAGCACGTCCTCGGAGAATTATGCGGATGAGAATGTTGCACCAGCTGAAGAACATGTTGTGGTTCCACAGCCTGAATTTCAGAAAGATGAGCACCTTTTAGAAGAGCATGTATTGGCAAACCAAACCGTACCAGAAATCGAACCGGAGGAAGAGCACCATGTCTCGGACGAGGAGGTATTGGAAGATACCGTACTCATTCATCGTGATGATTCAAACAAGCTGGCAATCACCATTGCACCAGGCGAAGAATCGGAATTCCAACACAAAGTCAATGTTTCGACCAGTCTCGCGATCACGCCGTCAGCTGTCGTCTCGAGCACTGCGGGCCTGAGCAAAGACATTGAGCCCATTGACTTCAATGTCACACCCATTCGTCCTGATCCTAGTCTACCGCGGTATATCAATACTGTGGTCTCGAAGGTTCCATTACGTCCTGAGGGAGATGTGCCTCCTGATGCTTCGCCTTTGAAGGTTGTGAGGAAAAGAGCTCGATCTCTTTCCTCTGCCTCGTCACTGGCAGTCAAGAGACGAAGCCTTGGTCTCAGCGCCGATCCTCTTAGTTCCGGAAATGAGCACCTGGCTACACCAAATGCCAACAACCAGATTGGCTCTTCTCCACGGAGACGCATTCGTAGCGCAGCACCCAGCCCAGCACATTCATTGTTCTCGACCAACACAACGCCGGGACAGATCAGCTTTGCTGTTGACGACTTCGGAGACAGCACTCTTGATGGGATAGAATTGCCTGAAGATGAACTGATGTCTGACGATATTGAGGACGACGCGACTCCTGCTCGACATCACAAGGCAGGGGCAGGGGGCCATGACGATACCTTCATGACCATTGGTTCCACCCTCTTCAAGACCCCTATTGCATTGGCAAAGAAAGGTAGCAATGTCCTATCGTCAGTCCAGTCCAACCAAACAAGCACACCACATTATGCCATGAGCACCAAGTCAAGCAAGATCCGCAACGAGATCGCTCCAATGCCTACACCCTCTAAAGCCGCTGTGATGAACGCTAGAACTCCTGCTACTACTTCCAAGACAAAGACACCCATGGCACTCTCCAAGGGCAAGACACCTGCTAAACCCCCTGGGACAAGCCGAACGCCACTACGAACAGTTGGCAATGGGGTTTTGACAGGTGCAGTGGTTCACGTTGATGTTCATACCAGTGAAGGTGCCGATGCGTCAGACATCTATGTGGCGCTGCTAACCATGATGGGTGCTCGCTGCATCAAGGAATGGAGGTGGAATCCTCGTGCAAGTGTTGCTCCGGCAGTGGCCGCACGAGAGGAGCCGGTTCTGGCAGAAACACCGTCGTCAAGCATCGGCATCACGCACGTCGTTTATAAAGACGGCGGGAAACGTACGCTTGAGAAAGTCCGTGCGGCCAAAGGTCAAGTCCTCTGTGTTGGTGTTGGCTGGGTTCTCGACTGTGAGCGTGAAGGAAAATGGCTTGATGAGACGGGGTACGAAGTGGACTCGGCCATCATTCCTAGAGGAGGCTCCAGAAGACGCAAGTCGATGGAGCCAAGAATGCTCATCAATGCCAACGGACTACTGTCTGCAAAACGTGATGGAAGACGCTCCATTAGTGCTGAATATGCAGGCCTCACGAACGAGATGAGATTGGACCTAATCAATACCCCAGTTCGAGGCAGAAAAACGCTAGTCGGAGCAGAAGATGAGAATTCCGAAGCCGATTTGGAAGATTCTATTGTCGTCAATGCTCAGGCTGGTGACGAGTCTGAGATCTCATCAACTTACAATTCTCCTACGGCAGCCACGATTGGGGGTGGAGGTGAAACTGCTGACATGGGACGCTTGCTGGCAAATTCTGAGGCTGGAGAGGAAGGGGACACGGAAATCGGGGGCACGCCAAACTTCAGATCATTGACTCGCAATGCTAACGTGTCCACTCCTCAGACGACATCTCTTGCCGTCGACTACGACCCACGCACGGCGGCAACGCCATTGACGCCCTACCTCATCGCCAAAGGCAAAGGCCTCGTCCAAATGAGCGCCCCTCCGAAACAGATCCAAAAGGGCCTCTTTGAGCGTGATGAAGATGGGGAAAATTCTCTTCTCGCCGATGCGGGCGAGGGCGAGTCGAACGGGAAGAATGCTGAGGCTGGTGGTGAGATGAAGGGCGAAATGAAGAAATTTCAGGTCAAGATGAACGGCGTTGCCCGTGGCAACAAGGCGAAGGATTTCAGGAGGAAAACCCTTGCGGCGGCGAATATCGCGTTTCAACCGGTCGTGGGCAGCCCTTTACGGAAGCAGGAGTAAATGGAGTAAATGGAGTAAATGGAGAGCTAGCTAGTTATCTCTGTGGACGAGTGGTTCGTCTTGAGAGGAAGTGAGCGAGAGGCACGGAAAGAGTGGCAGAGGGACAGCATTGATCCATGTTGTTTGATATACTCTTGTTTGCAGGCTTGTTTGCTGGGTCACATACATACAGCACGAGCTGAATCACGAGCGGCGCCCCTTAGGCTTTTAGTCCCCATTCTCACGGGACTGCTTGATTGCTAGGGTGGATAGCCTTTTCTTCTAAAATTGATTTGCTTTACCCTGGAAGTTGAAAATGGGAAGGCCCCTCCTCCTTTGAGGGGGGATATCCCTGAGACAGACCCCCGATCCACGATTTGTAATTGTTCGCCTTGCTAGGTACCTATCTCACAGGTGCACCATCTACTGTGTACCAGGACTCCTGCTCGTACGGAGGACCTCGTTGGTAATACCACGCATGGAACTAGACGGCCAAGGGGATGCGAGGGTGGGAAAGGCTGCCGGAAATCAAAAGGCGTTTGGACGGGGTGGGGTCCTGGCCCTCTTTTCAGTCGAGTTCTTCTTCGACCGGCGCCGAAAAGCTCCCCGGGAGCCCAGCTGCCCACCAAGATATTTCCCGAAGCGATTGTGTGGTCAAGTACAGAGTATATCGAGTTTGAAAGACTGCGTAAGTGGGCTTTTTCGTTTGGCTTATGAACGTTGCGGGCGGCCGGTCCTGGAAAGGAACCAGTCTGGACCATTTAAACATAGTAGTAGTACCCAGAGTACAAACATGCTTGTCAATTAGTGAAGCTATAGTCAGTACCTAATCACCTAGGCAAGGAGCTACAGAGTACATAGCTGAAGAATCCCCGAGAGCCGTCTTCGTTCCTTTTGTTGTGCCGTGGTTGTTCATGCTGCTTTTTATGTTGGGAGTTCCATTCGGTAAACGTCGTTCGATACATTAGCGAGATACTTGGTATTCGGGGAGTGCTTGGAGTGCTTAGTGCTCCATGACTCGCCGTCCCGTGAGGAACACTCGTTAAGGTATTCAGCAATCTTTGTGCCATTTCCCTTTCTTGCATCGTTGGCACGCTTTATATCCTCCTGCCAGAGTTGTCACTCCACACTTTTCACCTCTCATCAATGTCGAAGCCTGGCTACTCTCGTTGAAATACATCTCAGCAGTCAGCCACCCAGCCAGGCAACCCAGCCACCGAACTATAGCTTCATGCCCATGTTGACATGGACAGCCTTGGTTTGGCTGTAGCCGGCGAGACCAGCTTCACCTAGCTCACGACCAATACCGCTCTGCTTGACACCACCGAAGGGGACACGGAAGTCGGAATCGTTGCTGCTGTTGATCCAGACCATGCCAGCCTCGATCTTGGCTGCCACACGGTGAGCGCGCTCGATGTTGGTGGTGAAGACGGCCGAGCCAAGGCCGTATGTTGTGTCATTGGCCATGCGTATAGCATCGGCTTCGTCTTTAAAGCTAGCAACCACCACGAACGGGCCAAATACTTCTTCACGGTAGATCTTCATGCTGTCCTGTACACCCGTGAAGATGGTTGGCTCGATAAAGAATCCTTTGCCGTCTCCAACATTCTTGTGTGGTACACCACCAGACGCAAGTTTTGCGCCTTCTGATTTGCCAGATTCAATAAATCCTAAAACTCGCTCATATTGGGCCTTTGTCACTTGAGGTCCTTGGAAGGTGTCATCGGCAAATGGGTCGCCAACTTTGGAGGTCTCTTTGACAACCTCCTGGAAGCGAGCAACGAATTTATCGTAGATACCCTCCTGAACGATGACGCGAGAAGTTGCAGTGCAAACTTGCCCTTGGTTGGACATAATGCCGATATGCGCCCACTTGGCGGCCTGTTCGATATCTGCATCGTCGAAGACCAGTAGGGGAGACTTGCCACCGGTTTCTAGGGTGATGTTCTTCATGTTCACTGCAGCAGTCTTCATGATCTGCTTTCCCGTAAGTGTTGAGCCGGTAAACGCAATTTTGTCCACATCTAGATGCGAGGCTAGGGCGCTTCCAGCCTCTTTTCCATATCCATTGATGATGTTAATGACGCCTGGCGGGAAGCCGGCTTCTGGAATTAGACTCGCAAGGAAGAGAATGGAAAGGGGTGTTTGCTCGGCGGGCTTGAGGACGATGGTATTGCCGCAGGCGAGTGCTGGGCCCAGTTTCCACGCTGCCATTGCCAGAGGATAGTTCCAAGGGATGATTTGTGCGCATACGCCGATCGGCTGTTTAAGTGTATATGCAAATTTCAATGGATTGGTTTCGATGGTTTGGCCGTGTAGCTTGTCAGCCCACCCGGCATAATATCGAATAACTCCAACGACCTCGCCCAAGTCCTCGTTGAGCGCGACGCTGTAGGGTTTGCCGTTGTCCCAAGTTTCAAGGGTCGCCAGCGTCTCCTTGTTCGCCTCGATAATGTCTGCGAACTTGTACATGATCGCTCCTCGGTCAGTTGCAGGTAGTTCGCTCCAGGAGGGGTCATTGAGTGCAGCACGTGCTGCCTTTACGGCTTTGTCGACATCATCGGCGGAAGCAGCTTCAACGGAAGTAATTTCAGATTCGTCACTGAAAATATAGGCCAGATATCAGTGATGGCTTTGATAGGAAGGGGCTGGACGTACGTGGGACTAATGGAGGTGATCTTGTCGCCGGAGCTTGACTTGACGAACTCGTTATTGATAAACAAGCCAGTTGGAAGAATGATCTTCTTGCCATTTGGCGCCGTCAATTCGACTTTGAGGTTTGCCATTGTAGAACAGAAATGTTGTGAAATCCGCGCAGAAGCCTGGGAAGGAAGGTTGAGTGGCAGGAAGGGGGCGGAAGGGGAAACAATATGATTGAATGCAGGCCGCCGTGAATATGAGGCAAAGGCGCTGGTTAAAGACTTGAACATGAAAAGGGAAGTGATAAGAGTGTGAGGCCTGCGAAAAGTGCTACGTGTGATGTCTAATCACTCGAGAAACAAGCCGCGGTAGTCGAAAGTGCTAGGCCGGTCCAAATTAGGGAGCTTGCCAATCCCTCTGGGCGTTTGTACAAATCAAAGACTTGAGAAGGAGAGGCTCATGCGGAAAGACTTGCCTGTTTAGAGCTCTTGAGGTCTGAGAGCAAAGAGAGGAGCTGGTAAAAGCGCAGACACGGTGATGTGCGCGTCCACACCAGGACCAAGGCCTGTCGCGAAGCTCCGAGAAGAAGACGAGGAAGCTGCGATGGACCAACGATAAGAAGCTAGAAATGAGAAAATGAGGGGCTGGACAAAAGTGACCCCTCAATGGTCGCTGAGTCCTTCTTGATTTGGTTAGGTGCCCGCCAGGAGGGGGCCTCGGATTGGTAAGAGGTGAGGCATGGAAAGCACGCGTTGTCCATCAGTCGGTTGCGACCACTGGACGGATGCTCGCGAGCCGTGACTGCCCAAAATGCACATGCATCCTGGGATCCACGTGCAATGGCAATTTTGGCCAGGAACCTCAGCCTGATGTAAATGCGAAGGTACCCTAAGGTACTACATAGTACGAGTCGTACCACGCCAACCATGTGCTCGGCCAGGGATCAAGGAAGGAAGCAGCCTGCAGGACCTCTCCCCACAACCTGACCTGCAAGCAACGACCGTTGCATAAAGCACAGACTAACCTGCATTCAATGAAGTACGATCTTGAGGTTTCAAGGTACACCTTAATGCCTTGTGCCTGGCTGGAGAAGGTGCTAGAGATCGTCCCAGAAATCCTATGGGTCCTCTTGGGCCACCGAGGAAGCATGTGCGACCGGGAGACTTAGTTGCTGCAAAGATTGAACCGCATGCAACCCAATGAAACCCAATAACCAACCGTCTACTAGTGACAGAACTAATGCGCATCATCAGAAAAAGCCGTTGAAGAGCGTGCCGCTCGGCCACTCTGGTCGTGCTGGTACTGCCGGGGAACGGGAAGGGAAGCTGCAGGCACCAACACGAAAAAGTGGCGTTGCCCGTCTACATCAGAGCACATGTATTGACACAGCCAGCACCAGCGGCCGAGGAAGCGTTTTCAATATTGCAGTCCACGTCAAGGTTGGCCTTGCAGATCTTCCCCACCGCTGCATTTCTAGCGGAATGGATTCAAGTTGGTGGGTTTAAGTGAATATGGCTTGCGCTAGCCTTCGTCAGGTAATTTTGATAACCTTGTGAAAGAGATGATTCCACACTAGGTTTCATCAAAGATCTGCGCTTCTGTTCCATTCGGGCTTACGTGTTGCGGCTGGGGCGATGGCACAAGAACCGCCGACAGGATGGTCTAAACGATTTTCCCTCCCACAGGGAAATGGTGGAGGCGTGGTGGTGTGTGCCTCTCGTATGCCTTTCCAACGTACCTAGGTAGTTATTCACAATCCAATTTGCAGGGATTTGTTACGTGAGACTACGATGGAAAGGGCGAGAGGGGAAATTTTGAGATTGATCATTTAGAATCAAGTTGCCTGGAACGATATGATCTCGACTCGTTCGGTTTGGGGCAGGCAATTGTAACATCTAGGTTGTGCTAGATTTCTGTCTAGCCTTACAGTATCGAAGGCAAGGTTGAGCAAAAGACTGCCACGAAGCTTTCATTTCCGCCAGTAACACGCCCGTCCTCGGCTCCTGCTAGCTCGCTGTCTAGGCTTGGACAAAGACTGTGAGAAGGTGGTACATGTTAAGAATGTGCTTGATTAATCCTTGAAAACGACCACCGGTCTTAAGCAGCGTCGGTGTCCATCAATGGCTCTGATGTCAACTCGAGTGCAATGGCATTAGTCACTGCACCATGGGTTGCTGGGTGTTCATCGACGTCTTCGCCAGCACCGTTTGAGTTGGGGTAATCTTTAAGCTGTCGCCATCTCTAGTGCCATTAGCCTCATCACCATTGGCATTCATGTCATCGTGGCCTTCGCTGTCAATGTCGGTTTCATAACCATCTTGCGGAGTGGCCTGGCCCAGAGAAATTTTCTCACCAGCCAGGTCAAGGATGAACTGCCATTCGGAAGAAGTGACAGGTGAGACACTAAGTCGGCTTTGCTTGAGCATGACCATGTTTTCCAAGGCACTACCAGGGAGACTTAGTGACTTCAAGTGCCGCAGAGTAATTAAGTCGTCGAATTTCTTGACAAATTCAACTTTGACTAATTCCCATTTTGGCTTCTCGCGGTGGGACTTGGCATCATAGTATGGATGATCGGGATCGAAGGCCGACTCATCGACAGTGTGTTCTTCAACAATACGCATGACTCCGGCGATGCCTGGGACGGCACAGTTGGAATGGTAGAAGAAAGCCAAGTCGCCTTTGCGCATAGCGCACATGTTGTTGCGTGCAACTGGATTGCGAACACCTGTGAGAATAAAGTTAGCTGTAAAGTGGCGGTGATAATGCTGCGATTTGGACGCCGAACTTACCATCCCAACCTTCAGGCTCAGTCTTTGAAGCCAGATCGTCGATGGAGAACTTGACATCATGGCCCTTCGTGATACGTGACTCGGGCTCAGCTTTCATGAGCCAATATTGAACATCCTGGTGAACTATTCCATTGTCCTCAACTAATTTGATCTCTTCCTGGACCGCTTCGGGCACAGAATCGGGGCCTTCTTTAGAAGCTTTGGGTGTTGCACCAGTGTTAGGCGATTTTGGTGTACGGCCTCGTTCAGCTGGTGGTGCCCTGGTCACAACAGGGACAGGCTTGGGCTTGGTAGACGCAGGACGACCTCGTTTAGCTGATGGTGCTTTGATCACAACAGACGCAGTCTTGGGCTTGATAGACGCAGGACGGCCCACGGGGCGAGCAGGAGCAGTGCTCGCTATTTCAGTCAGCTGAATTCGATTATGGCTTGTCTCATGATAACGAACTAGGAGTTTGCTTTGAAGTAGTTTTCGTAACTGGTACTTTGCTTGTGCTTGTTGAGTTAGTTGCCTTGGTTGGAGAGCCTGTCTTAGCTGGTCTGCCCCGTTTCTCGGCCAGTGAACCTGTTGAGCTCAGTGTACCTGAATTCTGATCGACAGAGGGGGGTGCTCGCTTTCTGGTGAAGTTGTACTGCGGTTTACTGGCTGAAGTGCGCTTGGGACGACCACTAGGAGACACATCAGCAATCTCAGAGGCACCACTAATGCGGACTTTCTTTGCCGGCGTTGACGAGCTGCTGGCAGCGCCAACCTTTCGCTTCTTCGTGGGAGGCATGGTGGATGAGGGGAAAGAGCGGGAGCAGTTCGACTAAGCTCCACTACGTAAGTAAGTTATGGTGTTCTGATGGAGATTAGCAGCGTTAAGAACGAATCGGAAGTTCGTGAGAAGTTGTTGATACCAAACAAAAGTTCAGCAAACACTTCATTGTGAAAGGTCGCGTCGCGTCCCCGAGACGTGCTTTACCGAGATTAGCGCAGTTGAGCCTGGAAGAGGGTCTTGGCATGCTACGCGCAGACACGTGGTCGGATAATCTGATTGTCCGGCGGATTCGCGGGAGCACGACTCCTACTAGATGTTCATACCAAGTAATGACTTCATCCTAGAGCTACAATAGCACACAGAGGGTCGCCCAATAGCACTCCTCTTCTGCCCAGGCGGGAACATGAGCGACGAGATTTTGCTTGTGTGAAAAATAAAACCGTCAGGCTGGATGTAGCACAGCTCACCGCATCAAACCCTGCAGGCTGGCGTTGATTATACACGTGCGTGTCTCAGCCTACGCGTAATGCCATCATGACCATTGCGGATAGCCCGGGATAGTCACTGATGTTGAACGACTACGTACGAGGTCCTTGGTCGGCCATCACTAGGGAGGACAAATCTGTCAAAGAAACGTCGGATCGCAGGGATCGCCTGTTCCGACTTTTTCAGGCAAGACTCCACCACATCGCTTGCTGGCCACTCGTAGGTCGCTTCTGATGTGCGACATTGAATGCATGTCAGAAAGCATGCAAAACCAACTTTGTCGAAAACCGGCTTTGTCGCCTGTCGAGTCGTACAATCACCCAACGGTTCAAGCCATCAACGACTGATCCTGCAGGTGACAGGAGTTTGGTTGCAGCATGACAGCGTGATGGCGACTTCCCGCGTGCGACGAGTCATGGCCATGGGCTGGTTTCTGTCACGCCAGGAAGGTGGGGTTGGGCGGGCTTTCGCTTTTGACAGACGCTCCTTCTCAAACCTCTCAAGCTCTCCGCTGCACTCGCACTCGCACGTGGCACCTGTTCGACCTCTCTTTGTCACGCCGCATCGATTCAGATTTGACAGCAGAAGGAAAGGCGGCTTGCCTGACATGACCAGACTTACGGATCGACAGGGCAGACCTTGATATTGAGTTACTGTAGGTATCTGTCACGGACTTGGCCGTTGTGAGAATTCGATCCTCCATGAGTCCATGAGCCGGTGCCGTGTCCAGGCGCGAGCTACCATGCGCTGGAGAGCTTGTGCATTGAGGAGTCGGACATAGGCATGCACGCACGCAGCACAAACAACTCTGTCCTGCAGCCACGTGTCGACCCGCGAATCGAGGACCTGGCGGCGGCCCTTGCAGATGATCTCACCCGTGGCTTGGCTCCCTTTTGTGACCTATGGAGTTACGGAGGTGTGCATCAAAAGTTGTGTACGCGCTAGTAGAGAGTGACGTAGCTTTCTAATGACACTGTCATAATTTTGAAAAGGCATGTTTAATTTTCATCGCGTTTCTACAGCAACACTCCCTAGAGATTCTCTTCAGCCCAGATAGATGTCTAATAGTACTCAAAGTTAGCTTAATTTAGGGGGAAGTCTTAGGGGTGATTAGGTATTGTGTTCCCTAACAAGGCCTAACTGGCCTAGAATAAATAATCTGTCAGGCTAGATTACATAATAAAATATCACGATAGCCCGGTATTTTAAAAAGCCTCATCCACAACTTTTGATGTACACCTCCGTACGAAGTAATTGTTTGGGACCGCCCGACCCATACCCATCCCCTCCATCCAACACGTCCCCCCTCGCGGGCCCCCTTCCCCCCCCCCCCCTCCAGGCCTCCAAAAGTGCCGTGATCGAGGTTGCTTCTTCTGCCCGCAAGATTCCCTTCTCTTCCCCATCTCCACCCTTCAGATCCGCCCGGCGCGCTCCCTTGGTACCCTCACCCACCATCTCTGCTTGCTGTATGCAAGACGCACGACTTGCAGCAGTGGGCATACGCTAAAGGTGAAGAAACCCCTGTCGTATTCCAGCCAGACGGTCTGGAGGACATGCGAACAACTGTCCGGTCACCTGCATCACACCTATCTGCGAGGACGGATACTCCGTAAGGACTGACTGCACACCTCCTGGCCCATCGTCAGCAAACAATCGTGCAGCCTAGCACCCCCTAGTAGCTAATCTTTCCACCACCTGGGGCTACTTCGCACCCAGGGTTTCCAGAAAGCAATTGACAGGTTTGCAAGCCCGGAGGGTGCATCCAAGCGACGGGCTGATTTGCGGGGAGAACTGCAAAAGCCTCCCCTTCCGCTCCTGAAACTACCAATGCGCTACTGAAAGTGGTGATACAAGCCTTCGCAAGACAATAAATTACCCATGGAACTTGCATTCTTTGAGTTCGGCGCGAGGAGGGAGGATTCTGGTGATTGGGAAAGGAGCATTTCCCCTCTGCCGGGCCCTTCCAGCCTCCATGGGCCTTCGCAGACAACACTCCGCCACTCCGTACAGAGTCCTCCGTACGCGTGACTGATTTTCTGCTGGGAATCAGCCAAACACAAACTCCCATGAACCTGGTGGCGCAATGCAATGCAGACGCAACCCTCGTGCTTTTGTGCATTGGGCCGCCATGCAGCAAGGCGAGGCAAGCCAAGCCAAGCAAGCAAGCAAGCAAGCCATCGACCAAGTTTGTGCGTCTTATCTACTGCAGCCACTCTGCCAGCCCGTATCCGGTATCTGCTTAGTTTCTTATTTGTCACAAGGAACGGATCCCATTCATCAAATCCTCCCCTAGGCTTCTGTTTGGTTTACAACGTTGACCTCAGTTCGAATCAAATCGCCGTCAAATGCCATGGGCAATCCAACGGGCAACTGGTGGATTGAGCAAGGAGGCATTCTCTTGTTGCCCAAATTATGAAGCGCCCAATTGCACCTGGAGCATCTGCGTCAACGCTCCCGCTCGTCTCAAACACTCCCACTTCCTTGGCTGCAGTGGGCAAGCGTGCAACGTCTGCGCGCGTCCTTTGCAGGCCTGTTGAGCCATCTCGTGGTCACACCCAGCGGCAAAACTGGCTGTCTGTCACTAACTTACCATCCTACGGACCTTGTACGTACAAGGGAGAGTCACTGCCGAAGTTGTGGCGTCCCGGATAGCAATTTGCTTAGTTTCTCCAACCAAACATGCTAACCGAGCTCTGGAACGGATGACCCAGTCAGTGTATTCCGTACTTTGAAGCTCGTACGCAGCAGGTACTGGTAAGTTCGTAACTGACTTGTTGACTAGTTCGTCAATTAGCATTGCGCGCGAAGTAGTTGGAATTGTGTGTTCCCGTGGGATGAGAAACAGAGAGTGGCAGCTCCTTTTTGGCGGCGCACCTCGCCTCGATCTACCTTGCATTGATCTCCGAGGTGGCTGAGTTTGGTGCCTCGTGGTCTCTGGCCCCATGATCCTAGATGGCCAACGAAACGCTAACGGCCTACGGAGTAGTTCGAAGGTCAAAGGAAGCCGGAAAGAACAACTGCGGCTAATCTTAGTCCTGGCTTCTTTTGGAGGAGGCCACTTTCACGGTGTTTTTGTGTTGTTTTTTTGGGGGGGGGGGGGGGTAGCGGTCGCCCTCTGCTGCTTAGACATAATTTCCATTATTGCCCTTGCCCCACGGTGAATGGCGTTGAGGACCATCTTCTCGCCCAAAGGGACCAAATAAAACCTTTGATTTCCGAGATTCGGCAGTGGTGGACGAATAGTATCATCATGCACTACTGGGAGGACACTAGCGTCCACTGGTATGCAAAGAAATTACTCCGTATGCTGGACAGAGACAGGTGTTTGTGGATCGCGTTACCAAGCGAGGTTGGTGTACGTCAAGTCAAGGAACCAACCGATTTATCGATCTATTAAAGTTGTTGACACGTTGATCTATGTACGTAGGAGCGGTCAGTGGGGGCGGAAAAGGGGGGGGGGAGATGGATTCACTTGTCCGTACTCCGTACCGGTTGGGTGTTGAACGTCCAACAAACAAGGCACGTCGACGTCGACATACCAGCTAGCCTCATGCAAGTGACTTACTCCCTGAGATCGAGATCGAGATCAAGCTCAAGTCGAAGAGACAACAGCAAACCCATAGTACGTCCGTGGGGAAGGTGTTTGGAGGGGATGCTGGCAGTAGTGACCGCAGAGAGACAGAGAGACGTCCACGCTGGCATGTACCGAATACATCCACGCCCCGAGTCGGGCAGGTAGATCTATAAAAGATCGAAAACTATGGCGGCACACACTGTCATCGTGGTAGAACTCACCGCCTCCTTACTGCGCTGTGTAAAGCGTATTTCTGCGCCAGATGAAGCGGTGAGAGACTACTAACTCCACGGCAGGACGCCTCCCAGGCTGACCGCAAGGCGCGGTGGAAAGCGCTGGGGACAAACAGAAACACCGGTAGAATTTCCAAATATTGCAAAGATAAAGCGTGAATGTGTACGTATTGTGGCCATTGTGAATGCATGTGATATGGGGTCGTCTCTCGTGGATACATATACAAAAAGTACAGTTCACCAACGATCATGGTGGTTTCCATTTCCGCCAGAAGCGCTGTGTAGATCCTCAGCTCGGCCAGCTCCTCCTTCGGGGTATCTCTCTTCGCAGTAGTGGTGCCTCTGGGGGCCGCGTTGACCTCCTCCATCCCATCCATTTCCTTCCCTCAGAATTATCCCCAACGCCCCCTGTGTGGTGTATATAGCAAATTAATCTCGCGCAAGTGTTCGGCCGATGGGGGTATCTAGCATATGCAATGTAGTCAATTCAACTCCAAAAAAAGAAATGAGCCAAGATCTGATTAAGTGCGAAGAGAAGGAAAATCGGCCAAAAAGCAATGTATCATCTCTTTCCCCAAGTTGTGCAAATGGGCTTCGATATGTGCCCGTTTGACGATGTTGGAGCATCCCGTTCTGATCTCGGAAATTCGTAATCATGTCCCGCCACAATGGGCTAGGGATGCTGCGTCTGAGGTTGCCCTCAATCGTCGTCTCTCTAGGAAAAAATTCATCTCGTAAGTAAATTAATGCCTTTTCGTTCTTATTGTGCGCCTCGCTCATCGACCCGAACTCCAATTCCTATCGTATGCTTCCCTTCCAAGAGGGTCATATGACTGTGATCGTGTGATCGAAGGACCTGGTGGCGGCCCCGGTGGGAGCAACCTCGGTGTTCCGTATGCTGTACTCGATGGTGGGGGTGGAAGGGAAATGGGTGCAGCGGACGGAAAACCAGTTCGATATCCAGACAGAGGTGGCGACTGCGTTTGTCGACCTATGAATGATGGCTGGTAATCTCCTGTCCGCCGTCGCTGAGCCGTCGATCCGGACTCTGAGCGTTCATGGTACATCTCATCCGTCAAGGGAGGATTCTCTGAGGTTGTAGAGGTCGCTGTAGTATTGACTCGTCTGTGTTGGGGAGATTGTGGACGGGGTTGTAATTGGGAAGCCGGAATATGTCTGCTGGCCAGGTCGCGGAAGTAGTTTCTTTCAGCCATATAGAAGTCACGTGCTTCCATCAACTCCCGAAGCTCTGCTTGCAAGCCAGATATCGTTGTGGAAGCTTCCTTCTCCTTCTCCTTCCTTCTCGCTCGGAATCTGGCAGATGCACCCGCGTTCCTTTTTCTCTTCTCATCAGCCACCTTTGACGCTTGCTGCAAGTCCAATTCAACAGGTACTACCATGGGCCCTTGGTCGGTGTCCAAAGTCATTTGGTACGAAGCTTGACCCATTTGATAGCCTTCATGGGGTCCATGAACATGAGTTTCGTGACCGTAGCCACCAGAACCTCCCGCTGGTAATACTCTCATGGAGCCGGGAGGTTGGGTTGCTTGTCCTCCATGGCCATAGCGATACATCGGCGGTGACTGCTCAATCCTAGCATATGGCGTCTGGCTGCCAATGGAATGTTCTGTCTGAGGGGTGGCTATTGTCTCGGTCCGAGGCGTGCTCTCCACGGCAGAGCGTGGTTGTCTGGAGTCCTGAAACCCATACGCAGAATGGTGGGGCCCGGTTGCGATGGCTAGGGGGGGAAGAGGAGGAATATCAGAAGATCGATAAGGACCAGGCTCCGCAGTATACGTCCTTCCACTGGCTCCTGAGATGTGTTGAAGTGGCTGGATGGTAGAATGAAATGATGGGTTCCTTCTTGCTCCAAGGCTTGCAGCACGGACTGCGGGAGACTTCGGGGTCAAGACCCGTCTCCCTGAACGAGCAGAGGCTGGATAGTCATGGTCCCGGACCGGTGACTTCAAATCGGTTCGCTTACGGCTTCGGGGAGATTCGGCGGGAGCAGGAACTAAAGTCTGTGTGGCGGTACTCATGGCAGGCGGTGGAGGGAAACTGGGAGTCGCTCCTTCCCTGTCCTCAGAGTCTGCTTGAGGATTGAGGATACTCTGGAAGCCAAACGCCCGGGATGGCTTCTGTACTGTTAACTCAGCTGAGTATCGTCGACCGGCCCCTGTTGTACTAGTCTCCATGTACGGTCTTGCAGAAGGGGGTCCACTATGTCCTCCATGAGGGTCGGTCCGAGGAGCACTTGCAGTACTCGGCCTCGAAGAACTTGCGCTCGCCCCAGAAGCATAGGAGTATGTTTGGTGTGTTCCAGCGGTAGCAGGAGACGTCGTCGTCGGTAGGCGCGTTGGAGAGGTTTGTGACATGAACCTGTGAGCCTCCGCTTGCGGCTGGAACCCCAATCGCGACCATGGACGTCCCTCCGGCGGCTCCTCTCCGCTTCCTCTCCTCCACCGATCCTGAATATCTGTGGGTGTTATAGGGCTGTCGTTGACAGGCTTGTAGTCCCAAGAAGGATCGTAATAGCCAGGATTTCGAGTTGGCCTGGGATACTGCAGTAGAGGAGAGGGTTTGACGCCGAGGGTAGCCAGATTGAATGGATTAATATGCTGCGCAAGTCAGAGAACGGTTTGATCGATGATGATGATGATGATGATGATGGTGGTGGTGGCTCCGCCCCAAACTCAGACTTACGAAAGGACGTCAGGTGTATTTGGGTGCAGTCAGACGAGGGGTACAAGTAGGGATAAGGACCCGGCGTGAAGATTGCGCATTCCAAGACCAGGAGCATTTGTGCAAGCGTTCCAAGGCTTGCGAGGATCGTCCAGATAATTCGCTGTTGGTGCGAAAAAGGCGGCAAATGAGAGTCATTAAATCTAAACCCCAGCTCTGAGAGGTCCGTTCGAAACCGTCAAATTGAAGCCAGGCAGACCAGGACCGGCGATGGCGAAAGAGAGGGAGAACAATCACTTTTGGCTAACCAGCCTGAGGTCAGTCAGCTCGTAATATTTCATTGTACGGAGTTGACGGTAAGCAGAGGTACCATTGATTTAAATTCCTGGGACGGGGAAGCGGGAAGCATACTTTTTGCTGAAGTGATGGAGAGGTGCTTCCTAGGCTTCTAGCGCTTGCAGGCTTGCCGTCGTCACGATCTGAGCGTCGCTCGACAGCTGGGATGTTTGGGCCCAACTCCCAGAAGGCAAGCCATCCCATGTGTGGGTATTGAGCAGGGGAAGATAAGAAAGGGAAGTGGGTCGCGCCGTCCAGAGTGGACGTAACGACCAGGTTGAGCTGCAGGATGGACGGGCGAAAAACAACTGACCCTCATCTGCGAAGTTTGAGGAAGCCAGGGCTGCGAGGGAGCAGCCCATCGCTGGAGCATGCATTGAACAAGCGCGTGATGGCACCACCAGGCGGGATAATGTCAGTCCTGGGCACCAACGTGATAGTGCGAGCTGGGCCGGCATGGTGGTGATGTGGCGCTCCGGAGGCCTGGGGTGACGGTAACCGTCAACCAGCATGGGTCCCATTCGGCTTAGATTCAGGGACCTTGACTGAGAAAGGCATCGAGGATATCTACACCTGATCCACTTGGCCTATGGGAAAAAAGATCAGCTGGGCCCACTGACCCATGCAAGAGGTGCTGCATTGCCTTGAATGGAGTCGGCGACTTTGCTTGGAATTGGCAGAGCAGCCTATGAAGCTCTCATCTCCCGAACGCGGTCGAAGCGGAGCGGGCAGAACAATGGCATTGACAGACAAGGGGCCGAAAGTTTATCACGCAGCATGTCAGGCATGAAGGCTAGCAGTCTTTCGCCTTAGCCAGGGAACCTACCTTCGCTAGCCTGACCCAAGGCCGGGTCCCTACCCCCGTCAGAAACGACCCCGGCAGTAAATCGTAAATCGCAAAGCGTAGAGGTAGCGTCGTCCCAGAAATGCTGGAAGTGCGAAGTAAGGCATAGGGCGTTGTTTCCGCCGGGGTTGATTGGCTCGCGGCTCTGATACCATTTCGCCTGGATTTAGGCGTCAAGGTTCTATCCCCTGTCCATTGCGGACGACTTGGTCGACATTGGGGGCATGGAATTCCCAATTTGTCTTCACCCTGAACCCATCAGCCAGGGCACGCCAGGGTGCAACGCTGTTTACGCATCGAATGGTCCTGGTAATTCCCTATTTTCGTGCGAAATTCTCCCATTATTTGCGAGCTTGCTAGGAGGGAGAGGGACCCCTGTAATACCGAACTTCGACACCGAATTTGGTGGCTTTGACCAGATTCCCACCCAGCCGGACCATAGTTTTCTAAATTTGGCCAAGCTGGCCTAAATATCTGTTGATCTTCAGGTGTATGTATGGCACGCAGGATGGGTGGGTGTCCCGGCTTCCGCTCATGATTGGCAATGTTTCCATCGACCAGACACTGTTGATCCTCCCTGGTGCTAGACGTTTGCCGGAACCGTTTTCTGCTGTCTTGGTGACGCGTGAAAGACAAAGACGGGCCGCGGAAGGGAGCCGGTGACGTGATCGATTTGACTTCAGACAAGGTCGGAGGAAAAGGACCTTCGTCAGTGGCGGAGCCCCCAGCAGCAGACCAGTCCGCCGGCTCTCATCCTCCTTGGCGTGGGCCTGTAGGTGCCAGGGCCCACCTGGGAATCATACTGTAGATGATATGTACTCCGTTTACTGCGTAGATGATAGGTTTTGGAGGATGTGAGAACCGCCCTTCGGTTTAGCTGCCTCCAACATGACTTTGTTGTGCCTGCAGAACTCCCCAGGAGTTGAGAAGCGAGTACGGAGCCTGGCGCCTGGAGCATGGAGGAGGCTTGGATCATGACAGCTGGTGAAAGATTTCTTGCATCCGACACTCAGCGGAACTGATCGGTTCACAGGACAGTGTGGCCCACGCCTGGTCTGCAAGCTGCTACGAGTACTCCACACCATGCTGTATTCGATGTGCCCTATCCCTAGAGGGTCTGCGAGGTCCTCCGTAATGGAAATGGTAAAAGGAGTGGGAGGCTGTGGGACCGCGCAGACGACGCACTGAAGCCCTGACGCTTCCAATCTCCCTCAGCACTCTCGTTCTTGTATCCGTACAGCTTCGCAACGAAAGAAAGAATGTGATGTGGAAGTCGGGAGATGTTCTCTCTGGGCCCTATTGCAGGACCGAACCCCTTCTAAATCTCGCATTGACCTCTTCCGGATAGGCGACAACGCTACCATGAGGACTTACCACACGGTACGCAGGTACGCCTCGTTTGTAACTTATTGATCGGCGATTTTGTGGCTGTCCCCTCCACAATTCCAAACCGTAAAGGATTCAACTTCAGGATTAGGTCCTAAACCCCGAAAGAAGCAGTCGCAACCACACCACGTTGATCTCTCAGAGGCGTTTAGTCCATCGCTCTTTCGCCGTCACTAGGATATCCTCTTATACAAGGTCCAACGTTCACGGCCTGTCCTCCATCCTTGTCACCAGCCGGATCTACAAATCCCCAGGGCAAGAGTGACGGTGACAGTCACACCGCAAGAGAAGCACAAGCACAGCAAATCAGAGACGGTCCGTGTACACATGTGCCGTGCTACAAAAAGTAGGGCACCTGCACGCTGTCCGCGAGTTCGTCGTAAAGCAGCCCTGCGATTCCATGCTGCAGGTTCCCTGCATTCCTAGTGTGGGTTGGTCTTTGCAGTAGTCTGGGTGGAAGTCCGTGCTTATGGGCAAACCCAGGAACCCAGGAGGAACAAACAACCAGGAGAACTTGCATGAACTCCGGTCCAGGCACGACCGCTAATGCACAATAGTTGAAGTTTATATCTAGCACACCGTTTGTTGTAGCTGGCCCGTGGATATTATCATATATGACTCTGTAGGATTGGTATGCACACTGGGCATGTCGAGGCCCTGGAGCCACGCAGATCCTCCATGCGTAGTGTTGTCATTCGGCGTGGGCCATAAGACCGTCATCTGCAATTTTAACTGATTGGAAGCAGATAATTCGCCATGTTAGATGAGGCGGTCAGATCTGGGATTCAGACCGCCATAGATTCGACCAAGATGCACCTAATCCACTTCATCTAAGCTCCCCACATATCCAGAATATCCAGAGATGCAGGGCATACTGTCTAGGCCAGGCCGTTGCATTCCGTGACGCCCACAACCCCCACGGTGCAAATTTTGATATACAATACATGTGTTGCGCGTAGAACAGACGGTACACGGCGGGTGTCCGTTCTGCCCATGCGAGGGCCTCATATCTCGTGCAGATATGGTGAGTCGTTTCACTTACCCTGCCATGGAACAACCGCCACGCCGACCACGACCACGACCACGTTGGACGCCGTTTCAAGTCGTCAATTTCCGTCGCTATGGCACGCACCATTCAGTAAAGGACCAACTGCTGCGACACCGATTTGAGTCCCTGTTGCATTTAGCACACTCTTGTGTTTCCCCGCCCTGGTAGACTTACGAGTATGGAGGACTCTCGTCTGACTCTGGCCCCAAGCCCTATTCAACCTGGTCATTGATCCTGGGAAATTTGTGTTCTAGAAACTACATTTCTTCCTTGATAATTTCGGCTCTCGCTGTTTTGGTACCTCATACCGCATACTCCATACACCGGGGGTACCTGGAGGGTGCCCTTCTCAGGGGAGGTATGACATGGTGAGGGATGCCACGTGCGTTTGATCCACTGCATTCAATCATGCAATTCTCTTCTCCCAAGTCTCCGGGCGACCTGGCCCCAGGGACAATCGCCCCACTGATGTAGTAATTTGGACGGCAAAACGTCACTTTCCCTGGCTTCCCTACTAGGCTGCGAACGCGTCCCCAGAGGGAAGCGAAGTGAGGCGAAGCCAGGTCAAATAGCAGGGAGAGGGATGGCAATTTCTTTCCCGAATGGTTACGAGTGCTCCGTACTGTACCCAAACAGCCAGGTGCACAAAAATCACCGCCCCTGCGGTGCGCTACGGAGCTATCGAGTACGAACGGACCGTGGTACTCGTAGGAATAATCCCAGATCAAAGCAAGCCTCGGCCAATCGCAATCAACTATCGTGAGGTCGGCTGCGGCTTGATTTTGAGAAAATACGAGGCAGAGGCTTACCGCAAACAGGCCCCCATCGCACTCCCTCTCACCTGTACGAGCAGCTTTAGCATCATTCCAACCTTGTTAGAGCTTTTTCTGGCCGTTCCTCTGTTGAATGTCATTCGACTGTAAATCAGGATTTGGTCTGCGGCTCCGCGGGCTGTTTCAGCTTCAAGCGGACTTTTTGTTGACTTGGACTGGTGTTCCGTCTTCCGCGCTGGCCTACCGGCTGTTACGGAAAGGTGGATGCTGCTGCCCCTTCGCCCTCCTCAGCCAGCGCCTGCTCCAAGATAACAATGGCGAAGTTTAGCGAGGCCAGCCGTTTTCTTGGTTGCCATTCAACAGTTGCGTGCGGCAGAGGGACATCAATAAAAAGGGTAGCAGCTGTGCCCATACCGAGGACTTGGTGTGAGCTAGAGCTCCTCGACATGGACACGGCCTCGTGAACATAATTTTGCACCATGATCGGGCCGCCCAGGATACGGGAATGCTTACCGTCGACCAACATTCAGTGCAGCCTTTGATATCAAAGCCCCCAGCAATCCTGCGGGCGTGCCTCACCAGCTCTTTCGGTGATGCCTGATGGTGTCGGCGTGCCGGACGTCCTTCATTAGCGTATTGCCAGGGATTCCTAGGCTCCCAAAGCCCTGGAGCGCGGCGTGATCGATTTCGTCGAACAGTTCGAGAAACCAAAGATGTTCCATGCCTTTACCTAGAATAGCGACCGCAACCCCATAGTGCGACAAGGGAACCCAGGGTGATAGTCAGGAGCTGAGGCCACCAACCCAGGCGGTTTCGACGGATGAAGGACGAATCCATGCCGAGTAGAACCTCTTTGGGCGGTGGTTTCTCGCTTGTTTTGATTGGGACTTGAGAGGACAGGATCATGGTAGTTACAAACTCAGCCCTCGTTTAACTTAGGCAGGACTATCGACGACCAGGTCCAGCAGCCTTGTCCAACCCGCAGCCAACCCTGCCTGGATCCATCAGCGATTCTGAGACCGGCCATTGCGCTATTCTCGGCTCACTTAATCATCAATTCCTCCAGTCAGATGCTGAGGTCCTACTCGATAATGGTATTTAATTTTACGTTGCCATTCCATCACCGTCCTTCTAGAAGGAGATTGAAAGTGTTCTATCCCAAGCGAACTCGATACTTTGGCATACCCTTGATCCCAACATCAACCCTGAACAAATTTCCTGCGAATTTGTCAGATTCAGGGTACTTTTGGGGCTCGGATTCTTTGGCGCTAGTAATGAACAATTCTGTGCCAACAAATGTAGGGCAAGTGATGTTGCGTGTTGGCAGGTGGATGATGCCGGTGACGACGCCATCGGGCGATATCCGAATAACCTTGGAACCACCATAGCAGGCATGCCAAATGTTACCCTCCACGTCCATGGCGTGGCCGTCGGGGTGTATACCCTCTTCGTCCAAGTGAAAGAACAGTCTTTTGTTGGAGATTGCTCCTGTCCTGACGTCGTAGTCGAACGCGTACACATTCTGCACGGGCGAGTCGGTCACGAACATCGTATCATCCTTGGAATTCCATGTTATGCCGTTCGGGATGGTCATCTTTCCGTGCATCGTTTGCAATGTCCCATCATGGTCAAGTCGAAAGAGCACACCTTCGTCCGTGAGCTCGCTGATCTCAGGGTCAACAAATGCCTCCACCCAAAATCTCCCTTGCGTATCAACTGCTCCGTCGTTCGATCTCAACCTGTTTTTCGGTGAGAGGGATGACGCACTGATCGCTACAAGCTCTTACCTTCTCGTCTTGTCCTCTGCATCAGGACCGCTCCAGTACTTCGCGACGTACTCATGCTCTCCAGTCTTAAGATTAAACTTGGTAACACCGTCTTTTGCACCAGCCAAGATCACTTCTGATGAATCAACACCCTCGATGTTGGCAGTGACGCCGATCGGCATCTTGGTGTCGATGGTTCTGATCGACTCAGGGCCCGTCGCTAAATCAATTATGAACAATTTCTTGTTGTTGATGTCCTTGGATGGCGATTAACGTGAGGTTGTGGAGCTGGCTTCTCAAGACTCACCATGTAACGAAGTTCATGGCGTTCCTCCGAATAATACGGTCCTTCACCAAGGCTACATCTCGAGGGAATATAGGCCTGTGAAAATCAGGACTGGCTTAAGACTACTGAATTGTGCCAGGCTCACCTCTTCTACCGTCCATTCCTGAATCCCCATAATTCTCCCGAATCGCAGTAGCTATATTGCCAAAGAGATGGTGAAATACAAGGTCGGCCGGCCAGGACAATCGCCCAAGTGGTAGGGAAAGCTTAAAGGCGGAGATTGATCTCATTGATGTAAACGTCTCGTCATTTAGGGTTGATGCAAGAGCTTTATAGTTCTTGTCCGCTGGATGTGCCAAGATATGCCTGGTCATGCTTGCACAACGCTGCCTCGCCACGACGTCTGCATCGTTCTTCCGTCTCAAAACCGGCCATGTGGATATGACCATCACGTTTGGACAAATTGTACACTGCGACAATTATTGCGATCTAGATTTGACGAATTAAATAGCCGAAGTTGAGCCGGTTTTAATGCCAATTGATTCCTGCAAACTGCTTCCTGATTGCTTTTAACTTATAGCGCTTAGCCTGATTTCCTTCCATTGTAGGTGGATAGCTTGCGATTGTTGACTCGAGACGGCTGTTTCATGTGCAAGAGAACTGAGGAATTATACAATATACGGTGAGCGGGATAGAGTCATGGTTTACACGCATCGCGACGCGTTCAACTGACGACCTTTCCTTAAGTTCCTTTTTTCCAAACAGCAATGCCTCCACAACGACGACCTCTACAGTTATTAACACTAATCAGAGCCTATCGAGAAAGAGTTTTACTCTATAACTTTTCGTACATGAGATAGTTCTAAAGAGGGTTTCTCTGCTCGCTCCTGGCATAAGGCAGTACTTTAATAACCAAATATCTAAATATAAGAAACTAGATATGGGATTTATATAAAATGATAAAGCTAACAGCTTTTACTGTACTAGCACGGCCAGGAACACCCGCCCATGCCTCAGCGCTGCAAGAGCTAAATTCGATCGAGAATATCCTGGCTTTGGTGAGGATATAGAGCGTCGAAAAAGAGCCAGGAGACCATCAGTAACTTTCTGGATCAGATTTCCTGATCTCTGACTGTCCGGAGAGGCCTTTTTGAGCATGCTGATCCCTACCTTTAACGATGCCACGTTCAGTGTCATGTCGAGCAAGCTGAGGGTAACAAGCAAAAGATATCGTGGATAGTTGAGCTGGATACACGGGGCAACTCTTTGAAAATAGCCAAAAAATCTCGCTCAGGAAAGCTGACGAGGCTGAAACCGGAAATCCAATTCATCAGGCTCTCCCCTGGCCACGTTATGGTCCAGTATGAGGAGCAAGCACTCCGCAGATAAGTCAATACGCTGTCTATGCTCGAATAGCTGGAGTAATGTAGGCTTTGATGGCCTGTATAGCATTTCCGTCGTGCGCGCGCAGAAGCTCCGTGGCTTTGGCTTTGGACAATTCAAGTTCGTCGACCTAGAGTTTATCAACGGCTTCCCAAATATTTCGTGTGGATGCAGTACGCACCAAGAACGTTACGTCTTCAGCTGCAACCTTGACCTTTTTCTTAACCTCCACCTCCTTCTTTGCTTCTGCTTTCTTAGGATCGTCTTTCTTTTTACTAACACCGCTCGCAATCTCCAATCTTGACATAGCTTTGCCTAACGCCTCTTGATCCGCTGCCGAAGGTTGTTTGTTTGCCGTCTCTCCATTCTCTTGGGACATTTCATTTGCGTTTAGCGAGTTCAACGCCGCGGCTGCCTTGCGATCCTCGGCGTTTGCAGGGAGGTTTTGCGTCGTCTCATCGTCACCTGCATCGACTGCATTTGATGCCGAGGGTATAGGCTCCGCCATTATCGCAGGTAGAGTTGATTGGCTTTGATATGGAGCATGAGGCTCGACTCTGGAAACTGTGTCTGTGTGACAGTTGTGAGGGGCTTGACCTGACAGTCTGGGGCAGGAAATACTCAAAATCCCAAAATGGAATAGCTCCACGTGACTGGGGTGTTGAGGGTAACATTTCATTCTATTTCGATTTTCGTTCGATTTTTACCGCCTGCATCTTCCAGTGATGCTTACTATAGAAGCCCCGTGACATCCACCTATGGGAGTTGATGACGCAAGTATAGAAGGTGGTTCTACGTGAAATCGTAAATCCGCCCAAACGACATTTCAAGTCACCAACTGGTGTGACTCATCTCAGCTTTCAGGCGAGTCATTTTACTTGAAACCAGTTACTTGAATTAGGTCTCTTCAAGCCAATTGAGAAAGCGTGTTTGAAGCAGTCGACATGGCTACAAATGGCGAGCCAAATGCTGCCTGGACACCTTCGGGTTGGAAGAGCAAGCCTATTGTGCAAGGGGTCACATATGACGACCAAGCATCGTTCACGAAAGCACTTGGAAAGCTGGCCACTCTCCCACCCCTCGTCACACCTCGAGAAATCGTCAAGTTGAAGAATGAATTGCGAGAAGTAGCCTTGGGAAACGCGTTTTTATTACAAGGCGGCGACTGCGCCGAGCTCTTCGACTACTGCAACCAAGACATGATTGAAGCCAAAGTCAAGCTGCTTCTGCAGATGTCACTGGTTTTGATCTATGGTGGGAAGAAGAAGGTTGTCCGCATCGCCCGAATGGCGGGTCAGTATGCGAAGCCGCGGTCCTCTCCCATGGAAACAGTCAATGGAGTCACCATGGCTAGTTTCCGAGGCGACATACTGAACAGCTATGAGGCTGACCCAGCAGCTCGGATACCGGACCCTAACAGGCTGGTCGATGCCTACTTCCACTCTGCTGCCACCCAAAACTACCTACGTGCAGCTCTATCTTCCGGACTCGCCGATTTGCATGCTCCATTAGATTGGAGCCTAGGCCATGTCCGTGATCCAATGGTCCGAGACGATTATCAACGTATCGTTGAGCGAATCAGAGATACCTTGGATATGATGCGTACGATAGGACTCGACACTGCCGGTGGCCTTGAGACAGTAGACCTTTTCACCTCTCACGAGGGTTTATTGCTCGAGTACGAAGAAACACTCACCCGTCGGTTCAAGCATCCTCCAAATGCTCTGTCGACAAACATCCCCATCTCCAGGCCCTGGAGCTCTTCAAAATCTCGCAAGGCTTCGCTCCCCACTCAGCTGCCGCCACCTCTGCCTCCAACAGAGGCATATTACGACACATCTGCGCACTTCATCTGGATTGGTGACCGTACACGACAATTGACACACGCGCACGTTGATTTCTTCCGCGGCATTGCCAACCCAATCGGTATCAAAGTTGGTCCCAGCATGCCTCCCGCAGATCTTGTCCCTCTACTCAACATATTGAATCCTTCTTACGAGGTTGGCAAAATTGTTCTCATTACCAGATATGGCCATGACAAGGTTGGGACACACTTGCCAGGGCATATCCGTGTCGTGCAGCAATCGCCTCACCGAGACACAGTCGTGTGGCAATGTGACCCCATGCACGGCAACGGAAGAAACGCCACCGTCTCAGTTCCAAATTCATCAGGCACAAGCACAACAACAATTAAGACCCGTCGATTCTCTGATATCCTGTCAGAGCTTCGCCAGGCCCTGCAGATTCATCGATCAATGTCCAGCTACCTGGGCGGAGTACACTTAGAGCTCACAGGTGAAGCAGTCACAGAATGCGTTGGTGGAGCAGAACAACTCACTGAGGAGGACCTGAGTCTCAACTATACAACGTTCTGCGATCCAAGATTAAATGAGAAGCAGGCACTCGAATTGGCATTCCTAGTAGCGGGATTTTATAGGGAGTCTGAGGCGACAGGCGACAAAAGCAAACAATAGCATCCCATATGAGCGGAGTCTTCGGCATTGCAGATCCAATGATGAGTTTCAATCCTGCTGCTATCAATTGCGGCCAGTCATGATGATTAGTAATTCAATCGCTTTGATCGTCAGATTTTTCTTTTTTGCCCCGGCACAACGCTTTTTTGATTGACTCTCAACAACTATGCAAGGTAGCTTGCGCCAGTGCGGTACGATTCACACGGACTAGTTGATTTCCCTTGTCACGGTCAGGGACGTCCGTTTACCCCTACAATGCCATGACTCAAGCACGTCACTTTACAACGATAGCTGAATATCCAGGTCGGATTGCACTTGTGGCTGATGCGTGTATCCCTGTATCTCCTTTCGTTTTTCCTATATGTGAGCGGAAGTCTTCAGTCCCAGGTCTCCCTACCGACCAGACGGTTACAAACTGTACGAGAACACCCGCAGCACCACCAAATCCCACAATAGAGTGGATGCCATCTGGCGGCGGCGCAGTATGTGGGAACCAGAGGGAGAGTGCTCCTCAAAAGATCGCGCTGTTCAAGGCAGTGGGCTCTCAACATTATCGCCAAATCGCGAGATGAGGCCTGAGGCTGCTTGTGGCCCCTTCACCGCCTCCAAAGTGCATGGAAATGGCTTTAGCACCATTCCAGAAGAAAAAATCCGACGCCCTTTCACCCAGACGTCTCGTTTCGAGGCTCAATTGTCTGTTGACCGCGTCCTTCCTCCTGGTGAGAAGAAAGTTTAGGGTCTTGATTTCAACGGTGATGCTCCACATGCGCTGACCCTGGAATCCTTGTATTTCGTCAGCTTCCAAACAGGAGTTCCACTGGCAGATGTTCCTCGGAGAGCCACCCTTGCTTTCCGGTTTTGGTCGGTTTGGGGCAAGTACCACTGCATATGATTCTAGCTTGGACCATGACGGAAGTTGGAACTTCTGCGACGTTGGCCTAACGGTCACGTCTCGCAATCAGCTCATGACGAGCTTGTATTGAAACCAAATATCGGAGATGATGCCTGGTGGATTCTTTTTACATCAATTAAGATATCGTTTCAAATGACCTTCCGCTAGTAATTGGGCATCCAACAAATCAAGAGCGGTCCCAGTTCTAAACACATCTTCCACCACAACATTAGCAGCAATAAAATTTTGTGGTTCCTTACATGGTATCGGCATCTAGGGAATGCTTGCGACTCACGGACAGTCATAGCGCGACCTGGAGGCCCACATGTCCTCTGGGATTACGACTTCTTGCCTTCACAGGAGTGAAAATGAACCTGAAAAGGAAGTCGACATCCTCTTCTGTCCGAGGCCATCTCCCTCCGATCCTGGTGTCAGCCTGCAACTAGCTTTCCCTCGGCCTAGCTCCTACTCGTACAGACTGCATACTTGTGCAGACTGCAAAGGTTTCTGAAGTGCCCGCCCTAGTTGGACTCTCCCCACTCAAGGGGTTTCGCAACATGTTGGGTTTGAAGATCTGCAAACCTACAGCGAGATTGGATTGATGCTGCATTCTCGAGTCGATGTTGGACAGTTACACCAAGGTAATAAGATAGAATCGTCACCCTTCTGTCTCCTGGACGCTGACCGTATTATAAAAATGGCAGAAAGTAGCTCTTGCAACCGTAAACTCCTGATTAGGGCATCCTTCGGCTTTGCAAAAGGTCGGGTTCGCACTTCCCGCTCCTTCACACACCACCCTCTACTACTCTGTTACAGAGGTCCGCCTCCAGGTATACCCAAATCTAGCCAAGCCTGCCATTGTCCGTCCAAATTTGACCACCTAACCTCTCCACTATTACCGATAACGAACACGTCAAGAGAACCGTCCTCTTTTGCAACTGCCTTTGGCGAGTTACCAGAGTCACCTCGCAAGCTCTTCCACTCCGTCCATGAACTTCTATCAAGAGCTATGTGCCACGTTGCGTTTCCATTATTGCTACATGCAAACAAGTCAACGCGATCTGGTCCCCACGACACTGCATGGGGCTCTCCTGAAGTCGTTAGGTTTCCGATAGGTGCGAATTTTGACCAGGTGTGGTCCGAGTCGTCGTACAAGGTGTACCAAATGCGTTGGTCACCACCTCGAACGAACAAATAGATCTGCCATTCCTTGGGACAAACTGCGGTCGGGCGACTGGTACAATAGCCCCCAAGCTTCTTGAAGTCACGTTCCCCATTGCATGGCTCCTGTGGAAACGCGGTGGTAGAGAGCATTGTCAACCTTTCGAACTCCAACAAAGTCATACCGGTTTCGACCCCAGGATGCAATTTTGAGCGAGTCTTCCTTGCAGTCGTGGGTCATGCCATCATTTGCACCGAGCCACTCCTGCGTAGACCACCCTTCCATTGTCGATGCCTCTGTAGATGAGTTCCGCCAGATTTGATTGTACACGATACCATCGAATCCGACCAAAAAAGCATCTACTCTGTCACCTGCCCATGAAATCGCCTCAATGGCTCCAGGGGTGCTGCCGTTAGTTTGCCGCCACTGCCAATCGGATTCCATGAATTGAATGTGGTAGATGGTATAGTCAACAGCTCGAACGAATAAATCGATTCTGCCCTCAGTACGCGAGACTGCTGCAATGTTGGCGGTAGTAGAGAGTTCATCAATATACTCATATTCTGAAATTGAAGGCGTCCACCCCCCTTCCCTGAGGCTTTTCCTATACACAGCCTGATCGAGAATGCCCTGTATAAAGATGTCAACTGGTTCTTAACCATAGGCAGACAATACTGTTGGCGCTCAAGTGGATGCTGACTGCAAATTGGCGGTTCCAGACATTCCTCCACTAGATGGAGATGCAAGGCTGTGCAGTCCTAAATCATTAGTGTCTTTATTTGATGCCTGTCCCTCAATGGTATGCATTTTCGCTGGGGGATCGGTATCAAACCACTAGGGTTAGACCGACGGCAGCAGAGTGTTAGACGTACCTAACACTAGAGGTGGTAGGAGAGGAAGTATTGCCGTCCGGCGAGTTGGCTGTTGACTCGTGATGAATCTTTCTAACAGTCCCACCCACAGCACCGCCCACCACTCCTCCAATAGCACATATGAGTGTCACTATCAATAACGAAGTCCGATATTTCTTCCAGACTGTAGGACTCGCCTCAGCTTCAGGGGTTGGTTGTGATTCCACAGCCTCAATACCCCTTCCGTCAACCTCCAGGCCCATTGAATGCCGCAATTCATCACGCACGACTTCTTACCCATCATCTTGACTTCTATCAGCGGAATCATTCAGCCGGCGACATCATCTATATCCCTGAGTTCCCAGACGATTCAGATGGTTCGTAGAGGAACGAACAGTGTGTGGAGTATGCTTCAGTGCTCTATCCAGATTTCTCTTTACTTGTGGATGACCTTGCGAGAAAATATTACAGATGGGATGGGCAAGGTCATCTGTCCATCAGCCGTCTACACCTCCGACGGCGGTCTCGAACGTCGGCAAACGAGAAATATCGTGTTGAGGTCTTGGCTCAGTTTATAACTCGTTCTTGTACCGAGTACCGAGCACGGAATCAATTTCTTTCCAAACGCTTCGATTGGACTGGCTAGTATAGAATACTGACCCAACTCAAGGAATTTCAGTGGCTTTTGAGGACCGTTCAGGGGATAAGGCCTACCTTGATAGAGGCGAGATTTCTTCTATGGCATTGGATGCGCAGATGATATGACTTCGCCCGATCAATTTGAATTTTGTGCTCCCTAAGATGATCGAAGGACAGTATGAGATACGCAATCATGATCTTACGGTGAGCTGCGTGAGCGCCGGTTTGCAGACCAGAATAGACATTCCCCCCACTCTAGAAATACTCTGTTGGTCTCTAAGCGCTTCACAACTGTTACATCCAGCCTGGCAGCCTCCGCAAAAGCTGTGAGCGTTCAGGAACAATGTTATTGGGGCCTTCTCTTGGGGATCTCAAACTCGTCCAATTTCTTCGCTTGCTCTTCCACCAAAATCGCAAGGTAGCTCAAAAATGGGGACAACACTCGTAAGGAGCGAGGTTGATAAGGTACCAATCATTATACAACTGTGGATGAGCCCGACCCCTGCTTGACAACCATTTAAAGCATCATGGGATTGGAGAGAAAGCTTGAAAGGTGAACATATTTTACCCAGTTAAATCGAGCTGTACGAGTACTTAGCTCCATCTATATCGTCTGTTGCACAAAATATCAGCGCCTCGACCTCTGATTTGCTTAACGTCGGCCAGTTACCTCGGCACCCCGCGGCTATGGCTATACAAAAGTCTTGGTTGATCTTGAAGCGCCAATGATCAGACCACGGCTACGTGCACAGCCCCCCCACACTTCCGAAAGCCTCATCTCCGCAACCCCAGACTTTGGACTTCACTTCAATTCTGTCCTTGTTCTGTTCCAATTTGCTATCGCGAAGTATCTTGTCATGACTCGTTCGGGACTCATGTTGAAGGAAACTGACTAGGATATTCACACGACTACCATGGCTAGTCCGCAATCCAGGGATGAATGCCATCGTCCTGGTGGCCGGACGCAGCCAAGCCAACGCAGGGCGGGTCGAGCATGCCTGAGCTGTCGTGCTAGGAAGATCAAATGTGACGTGTTACAGCATGGTACACCTTGCCAAAACTGCCGCTCAAATGAGACACAGTGCCTTATAGCTAGATGCCGTCGCGGAAAGTAAGCAAGATAAGCACGTGTCGTACCCCCCCGGGGCATATCAAACTAACATCCCAGGAAACCAAATGCGAAAGCGAGAAAGAACGACCAAGCTTCCTGGAACGATGTGTTCGTGGAAAAATTTCTTCATGTCGAAAGCGGAGAGACGACTTCGCCAATGGACTCCCATAACAAGACTTTAGAACACTCTTGCCATGGGAGTGCATGGCCTTTCGACCTGCACAACAACGCAGCAGCCATTTTGAACCCGATGGTATCGCTTGGAGATGTTCCAAAAAGTTTGGAGAGACTTCAATTCTCAGCAGCAGCCCCAAGTCCAGTTTCGGAGACCGCAGCTCAAGACGACTTATCTACCTTTTTCAAGCCATTTCCGAAACATTGTACGCGTTTAGATGTGGAATATTTGCACTGCAAGGGAGCTCTCTTAATACCGCATCCTTCATTGCGACTTGAGATCATTCGATGCTATGTAGAGTATTTGCATCCATATATGCCGGTGCTAGACGTTGAGGATCTGCTGCAAGCATTCGACCCTGCTCTGGACCCTCCAAGAGAACGCAAATACAGCTTGCTGCTCTTCCAAAGCATAATGTTTGCCGCAGTTGCCTTTGTTGACGAAAAGCTAGTCGAGGAAACGGAGAATAAAAGCCTGAAAGCGGTGAGGAAGTCCTTCTACCAGAAAGCCAGGGTATGCTGCTCGTAACTGTCTTACAGGCCTTTGCTCACGATAGCAGACACTCTATGATGCAGATATTGAATCTGATAATCTGGTTCTCATTCAATGCCTTCTGCTGATGAGTCAATGGGCCGAAAATACCGACACTACGAAACAAAACTGGCACTGGACTGGAGTCGCGACTTCTCTAGCACATGCAACGCGATTGACGCATAATCCAGATGGATTCAAGCTTCCCCAAAGAGTGAAAAGTTTGCGTAAGCGCCTTTGGTGGTGTTGCTTCATGCGAGATCGACTGCTGTCACTAGGAATGAGTCGGCCTATGCGTATCCGTGATGGAGATTTTGACGTGCCTCTACTAACTATAGATGATTTCGAGTGTGACATCCCAACGGTTACATGTTCACGAACAAGTGAGTACCCTATTAATACTTACATCCGACCTAGTCTTTTCGACAAATCAGTATCGACAAAACTGGCTCAGATCTTCATTTCAAACGTCAAACTTTGCGTGAATATTGGCGCCATTTTCTCGGTCCAATATACGACCTTTATGAGAGGTTCCCAGCCGTTTGATGGGGGACCCAACAATCCTTCAGCGAATATTATGCTATATCCAATATCCAATCAATCATCAGATCGTGCTTTTGTACAAATGAGAGATTCTACCTTTTCGGTCCTAGACAACGACTTGACAGAATGGTTCCACACGCTTCCTCAATTTACTCATCTTTCCGAATTGCGTCCTCAATCAGGCTTGCGATCGGCGACCTCCCATCAAAGCGAGCGCGAACGTCATGAACCATGCGGGACAAGGACTTCATCTGGGGTAAACAACCTCCTCCAGCCCAGCAGCGTAGCAGTTCAAGCAGCTGTTCTGCATATGAGCTATTACGCAACTTCCTCAGCTCTACACCGACCAAAGAATCGCTCTCCAGCTTCGTCGAAAAAGGTTATGGAAGCTTCAGAGGGTATGGCAAGCTGTTGTGCGTTCCTCAACAAAAATTGTCTTATCAAGTACCTTCCTGTCAATACAATTACCATGTTGATGGCCAGCATCATTTGGCACGTGCTCCTTCTCAAAACGATGGTTTCAACTGATGGTGATGGGAAAGGCAACACCGCCGAAGGAAAAGATAGCCGCAGAGCACGAGACAACTTGAGCGAGCTTTTAGCATCTCTCCGAGTGCTGCGAAACGCCCACGTTGGAGCGGATTTTGTCTCATCGCTCGTCGAAGCCTTTTTGACCCGGGTACGAACAAAGGTCGTTTCATCTCCTTCCACTTGTCCCACGTCCCGGAGGGAATTCGAAATTGAGCTGAATTGCGATCAGCTGGAGGCGAACATCCAGTTGAATACTGGACAAAAAACTACAAATCAAGGGCCACCTACTCCACAGAGTCAAATCATGGACGCGGCACCGACACTGTTGTTAAGCACACCAAAGACGGCTCCAAGCCCGATCTCACAGGATATCTACCCAAGGTTGGAGGATGAGGACTGCTTCAGCCTCCCATATGGAGCAGATCTTGACGGTTACGAAACCGCTGAGAACACCTTGAATAGCATTCTTGGGTTTCCCGATTTTGATAGCAATACTGCGGCAGAAGGATGGAACATGAACAGCCCTGATATGGGCCTATGGGACGCAGGTATGACCAGTTTGAATGACCTGGGTTTTACGTTGGACTGGCCTGTCTAGGAAATCGGCTGCCAGTAGAACAATACCTGATCTCGCTAGATTGGGCCTTGCCCGCTACTAATATGAATTCTTGAATCAAGAAGTGTGACTGGACACTTGTTCGTCTAAACCCTACGTTGTGCACCTACCAGATTACTATTTTTGTTGACGCCCTAATTCTGCTAAAATCGACTTGGTGGTGTTCCTCGACATGGATAGGACTACCCAGAACTATAGGCGTGGCCCCGAGCGTGTCCCCTTCACTTCCTTCTGAGCTTGTTCCCGTAAGATGCGCTTCAGTATCTTCCCACCAGCATTCTTCGGTATAGCATCGACGAAAACCACTCCGCCAGCCAGAGCTTTATACTTGGCCAAACGCCGGGCACACCAATCCTTAACCTCGGCCTCCGAGACTGCAGTCTGACGCACGACATAAGCCCTCGGATTTTCCCCGTCCTTTGGATCTTCCGCTTTGATACCGATTACCGCAGCGTCGATTATAGCGGGATGTTGCAGGATCACAGCTTCGATCTCGGAGGGAGACACCTGAAAGCCACGGCATTTGATCAACTCCTTCTTGCGATCGATGATGTACCACTTTGCAGTGGCTGGAGTGAGCCCTGGACCATCCTCACAAGTCACAATGTCTCCGGTTCGAAAGAATCCTTCAGAGTCGAAAGAGGCAGCATTTGCCACAGGATTCTCGTAGTACTGGCAGATAATTGTTGGACCGCGGATTAAGAGCTCTCCTGTAGCTCCGAGTGCAGTGATATCGTTGTCCTTATCGTCGACAAGTCTATCCGTTGGCTCAGTTAGACTTCCCTTCAAGCCCATGGGCTATGGCCTAGGAGTCGACTTACTTGACATCTAAATTTGGGATGAATCGCCCAATGCTTCCCGTCTGATCGTTCTCAGGGTGCCAGAATCTGGAGGCTACACAACTGGTTTCTGTCATCCCCCACACCTGATTGAACGCAGCGTCATGAGCAAGCAACCTTTCAAACGCGAATTGGTCTTCTTTGCTAAGTGATGCAGACCCACTCTTGGTCGACTTGACTGAAGTCAAGTCATAATTCTTTGTCAATGGCGATGCAAGGACCATCAGCACGATGGGAGGCATCACAGCAATCTCCGTGATCTTGAACTTTTGAATCGACGAGAAGAAGAGCTCTAGGTCAAACCGTCGTAGAATGTACGATGTAGTACCGGCTTTCAATGCTGAAGTGTGACCCTGCGGAACTACTGCGGCATGAAACATTGGCATGTACAGCAAGCGTGATACCTATGAGGGGAGTTTGGATTCAGTTCTTTGTCATTTGAGGATCAATATCCAAATGAACTTACCTCATAAAGCTCTGGCTGGGGCTCCACTGCCAAAGTATGCTGAGCCACTAAGTTGTAGTGGGATATCACTGCCGCCTTGGGAAGGCCTGTAGTCCCCGAGCTGAAAAGGAACGCCGCTGGAGTGGTGCTAGATATCTCCTTGTCGTCAAACCTCACCCAGTCCTCTTCTCCGTGCTCCAACAATTTAGACCAGGACTGATAGCCTTGTGGGATGAATTGTCCGTGCACGTTGAAGATGCGGATATTTAAATCTGGTATCTTGCACTCCTTCGCAGCTGCCTTGATGCTATCGAGCAACTCAGGCTCAGCGATGATGAACTTTGCTTTTGATGTCCGCAAGTGGTGGGCCAGTTCGAATGGCGTGTAAGAAGGGTTCACCCCAGTGAAAACACCACCGACCGCTACGATTCCGAGAAAAAGCATAGGATAGTAAAGCTCGTTCTAGTCAGCTCTTGTATTGTGGTAGCGAAGGAGGTGGACGGAACGTACATCATTGAAAGATTGCACACAGACACAATCGCCCTTCTTTATTCCGGCTGCCCGAAAACCAGCAACCAATTTGCGAATGATAGCGCGCGATTGATTTAGAGATAGGGTTCGCGAGGAGTTGACAGCATCGACATATACCTGCTTCGGTTAATTGCTTTTCTTATCCACTCTTATTGCGTTCCCACATATCGACGCAAGATATTCTTTCATGCGACTTACTGGCTTGTCCAGGTCATATTTCGGCTCATCAAATATCCACGATAAGATGTCTTTATTGGAGATTGGTAAATGTTCCTGTGCGAGAAAAGGCATCTTGTCGCTGACGATCTGCACGAAACGGACGCCTAGATCTCCGTTTCGCCGAAGTCTTCGAAGTTTTATTTGGTATGTAGAGGAATGCCTCGAATATGCAGAACATGCACCCCTTGAGGACTTGAAGTCGCGGGAAACAAGCCTCGGTCGTCGCGGTAATAGAATGCATACCTCGAGCAGCTTGGGAACAACCTTGCTGGTCGTAATATTTCGTAACAATGCCACTCGTTTCGCTTGTATAGCCGGAGCGGAGACACAGAGCGGCTGCCTTTTGTGTCCGGCTAGCGACCCATCTCCAAGACTACAGAAAGAGGACATATCTTTCAGGTTGCTCCACGGCTCTTTGGCGAGGGCAAAATACACGGCCACGGGGAATTCACTAAGTAGTGTTTGTCAATAGTACAATTAGAGCCAATGCACCTTTCAAGTCTACCTACTTATTTCAAACTTGCAAACCAAGCGCGCCAATGCGATCAAGACTTTGATTCGTTCTGAGTAGGCATTCCTGTCTGCCCATTCACAGGTACGGCTATTTACAGCTTAGATGTCACGTTTGTATCCACGAGTTCCACTGCCGCAGCAGCAAGCGCTAGTTTTCCAGTTTCTTTGATACTAGTCTGAAAAATGACCTTGCTGTTCTCTTTCCACATCTCTGTTCTAAGCGTTTGACCCGGCAAGACTGTGCCCGTAAATCGCACTTTAATGGACTTGAACTGACCAAACCTAGGAGAGGAGAATACATCAGCAAAGCTTCCGTATTCACCCATGACAGACCTCGAGTAAAAGAGAATATTCAAGGTTGTGAGCCCTTACCGTTCAAATACAGCCCTGCCTGCCATTCCAAACGTACAAAGCCCATGGAGGATCGGCACCGGGAATCCACCTTTTGCGGCAAAGTCTGGATCGACATGTAGGGGACTGCTTTATTGTTAGCATTGAAGTCTCACCTTCGTTCTCATATTTGAAAACACCAGCTCAAAGGCCCAGACTTTAAACATACTTGTAATCACCGCTTAGACGGTAGATGACGGCCTGATCTACTCTCACCGTCTCCTCTGTAACATGATCTGGGTTTCTCGGAGGCACGTTGTTGGAAGCCGTCGAGGCTCCTCTGTCAGTGCCGTTCCTGCTTCCTCCAAAGCCTCCACTACCGCGAAGGAAAGTGGTACCTTCGTTGTAGAAGACTTTACGGTTGGTTGCTTGATCGACGCTCGTAGTTCCTGTCTTTACAAGCGCAGCGTGTCCTTTATCAACCACCTCCAGCACCCGAGTCTCCGATACAAGCGTAGCGGCCGTTGGGGTGGGAATCTGCAGGATCTCGAGATATTGTTCACCATGCAGCATCTTAGCTGGGTCGAAGTTCGGCACCAGAGACTTGAAAAGATCAATCGAGTCCGTAAAGTAAGAGATGATTGATCCAAAAGTCGGAAGCGCTTGAAACGTGGGATCGTTTTCACTATCCAGCACACACAGTATCAGCGTCAAGTTTGCAACCTTGATGATTGTTGATGGGATCCAATACGTACTAGACAAACGGCAGTTGAGTGTGCTTCGCCCCGATGCCAATATTGTAGAGCACTATGTCTCTGGCCGTATAGCTGAATTGCGACTTTTTGGAAGGGCCAGCTAGCGCAGCGTTGATAGCGTCAACGTAGTTCTGGCTTGGACTTTTGACACTCGATGAGGATGTATTCTGCCCGACTGTGAGCAAAGTGAACATATTTCCATATTCCAGAGTAGTACTGACCTTGATTGCTACACTCGCTATGTTTGCCTTTATTTTCTTGAACCCGTCTTCAGGTGTTGAAGGATGGTCGGCTCGGTGGTCAAATGCTGTCACAAGGCCCCATTTCTGCAGGACCTGTTCAGGAGTAAACGTTTCACCTGGCGGGAATCCGCAGCCGCCGCTTCTGATCCACCGCGTCTGTGATACCTGGCCACCCCCAACCTCGTACACATTGCCGGTAGGGTTAGGTAGCTTGTCGCTACAAAGTAGGAGAACTAGTGGAACCACGTACTCGGGGTAGAGGAGCTTCGAAAATTCAGGCGGCATGACTGATTTGCTCAGGTTGGTGTATGCGGCCGGTGCAATAGTGTTAACATGGATATTGTACCTTTCCCCTTCCTGTGCTAATGCGAAAGCCAAACCGATGACTCCAGCTTTCTAAGACCGGTCAGGATCAATTCACACTCGAGTGAAAGGAACTCACTGCCGCAGCATAATTCGCCTGTCCAAACCTTCCATATATCCCAGTCGATGAGGTAGTATTCACGACCCTGCCATACTTCTGCTTCTGAAATAGAGGCCACGCTGCACGCGTGATCTTGTATGTGGCCCGCAAGTGGATAGCCATAATGTCGTGCCACGATTTATCATCCATGTTGAGAAATGCCTTGTCTCTCAATATTCCCGCATTGTTGATGATGATGTCAACGCGCCCGAAAGCCTTGACTGTCCTTTCTACAATGGTCTCACCGTCCTCGACTGAAATTGGTATGGCAATAGCTTTGCCGCCGTTTGCTATGATCTCTTTCACGACATTTTCAGCGTTCGAGAGATCATTGACTGCTACACACGCTCCAGCTCTTGCGAATGCTAGACAATAGCTTCGACCGAGACTAGTTTCGAGTTAGCTCTGAGAAGCCTAGCAAAGACGGGACTTTACCCTGCGCCACCCCCTGTGACCAACGCGACCCTACCAGTGAAATCAATTTCCGGGGTCTGAGGATTCGGAGAGGCAAGTTTCAGTCTATCCATGAGGTCCACTAGGGAAAATCCATCATCGGGGTACTCAGGATTCTGAAAATCAACAACTTCATTCCATCTTTGTAGCAGTGAACGCGCTGTGAAGTTGCTGTCACCGGCAAATACAGCACCTTTCGAGCGCTCCCATTTGATTTTGGACATATGGCCACCGCCCACTTCGAAGATGGATCCGCTTTCGCTGCAGTTCTTGCCAGCCAAGACAACAACCAGTGGCATAACAGAAGACGGGTCAAGCAATTGAAGAGTTTCGTCGTTCCACACTCCGGCTGTCAATCTGCTCCTGGCTGAGAACCATGAGTAAGTAAATTCGAACCATTGGAAGAAAGATCCAAATTCCACTCACCAATAGGGGCAATGACATTTGCGTGGATATTGTATTTCTTTCCCTCGAGCGCTAGGGTTCTGGTGAAAGCGACAAGAGCCATTTTTGCAGCTATAACAAAAGGGTCAACTGGGAAGTCAGAAGAGGGGATTTTGGCGAACCAGAATAGCTACTTGATGCAGTAGTGCCGAAAAGTCCTGCGCCTGACGAAGTATTGACAATCCTGCCATATCTTTGTTTCCTGAAATGCGGCCAGGCAGCTCGTGTACACTTGTAAGCGCCGGTGACATGGACCGCCATCATCAAGTCCCAGTCACGGTCAGTCATGTTCTTGAAGCTGCTGCCGCCAATTATGCCTGCATTGTTTATGAGTATGTCGATGCGTCCATATGATTGGAGAGCAGTCTGAATGATCTTATCGCCTTCGACGACGTTGTTGTAATCTGCAACTGCATGGCCCCCTGACGAGACAATTTGAGCAACAACCTGATCAGCAAGCTAAAAGGATTCCAATCAGTTCAGTGAGCTTCATCATGTTTATCGCACATACACTATTCCCGCTGCCCTCTCCACGACCAGAGCCTCCAAGATCATTGACAACAATCTTCGCTCCACGGGATGCAAGGTACGTGGCATATGATTTTCCCAGGCCACCTCCTGCTCCAGTGACCACGGCAACCTGGCCATCGAAGCGTAGCTGGGACATGTCTTCGATTTCTGTACTCTTTTCGAACGCTCTGGAGCATCAATAAGCCTGAGACTCTAGTAGAGGTACTGGACTTCGGGGAAGTCTGCAAGTTGAAATAGATCGAGGAGGCGGACAAGAAAGAACATCACAACGTGACCCGGCATGCCGTCCATTTCGACGAGGGCGAGCTTTCCCAAGGTCCGATCAATGTTGTTTGATTCTTACCCGGCGACGGCTATGGTATCGGCCACCTCGGTTTTGCCCGAGTCTCTATGCCGAGATCAGATTTGTTGGCACACCCCCCCCTTTTGATCCTAACCATCTCATTTGGAGAATTTAGACAGAGCAATGAAAGGAATATGCGAGCCATAGCAGGGGAGACAGTCAGTAGTCAGGAGATAACCTTGAGGTATAAAAGATAAATCGGCGGCTGAAACTGCGATATACGGGCTAGCGTGGTACTGAATAGTATTCTTAATTTCACATTCTGGCTCTTAAAGTTTTCTCGGTATCTCCAAGCGCGTGGTTACTGGTAAAAGATCTCACTCGATCGGCCTCTTCTCTCGTGAAGACCTTTGCAACCACCGCAGGATTGTATCCCAGAGAATTCTTTCGACCGATCACCTCATCGCTTACAGCCTCGTTCGGTTTGCCATCTGCTCGCTTGTAGATTGTGACCACAGCGGCGCCACCGAGTCCAAGATTATGCTGTAGGGCGAACTCCGACTTCACAAATCTATTGTTTGCCCAGCCCCGCAGTTGCCACGTCAATTCGGCGCATTGTGCTAAGCCTGTAGCGCCAAGTGGATGGCCTTTCGAAATCAAGCCTCCAGAAGGGTTGATGACCATCTTTCCTCCATAGGTGATGTCGCCACTCCTCACCATCTCATGGGCTTTTCCAGGTTTGCATAGACCCAGGCTATCAATGGTAATCATTTCGTTGGCTGAAAAGCAGTCATGCAGTTCGCAGACCTTACAATCAGCTGGCCTGATACCAGCTTCCTTAAAGGCATTTTCTGCGGCAAGTTTTGACATCTGGTATCCAACCCGATCCATCGCACTGCCGGAGAATAAACTGGTCGTATCGGTTGTCATTCCTTGGCCTGCAATCAAGATAGCTTGATCTCTCAAGTGAGGACGCGCATCAAGAAAGGACTGAGAAACAATGATAGCCGCTGCTGCTCCATCGGATGTTGGGCAACATTGAAGCTTGGTCAGAAGATCATGGATGACAGGAGACGATTGAATTTGTTCAAGGGTGTACACATCGTTGAACTGAGAGTAAGGATTACGTGACGAGTGCTCGTGATTAATCCTAGCAATCTCTGCAAAGTCCGAGGGAAGTGCCCCATATCTAAAAACCGTGTCAGCTACAGGCACCGTCGTATGCCAGGGATGCTCAACGAACTTGTCAGCGTATTCCCTCCCAGCATCACCGAACTTGAGCGCGGCTGGTGGGCCCGTGCGCTTCCCCTTTTCTTTTTCCATCATCGCAGAAGACAATGCTGACGGGCTAGTTCGGTCATCCCAGAAGGTCTTGAGTGAGCCAGGAAACATCTTCTCAAATCCAATGACCATGACACAATCCATCTTACCGCCAGCAAACCAGTCGGCTCCGACCATCCCTCTCGCCAACACAATGCCAGAAGACCCAGTAGAGCAGTTATTGTTCACATTCCATATAGGAATACCCGTCATGCCAAGTTGGTAAAACACTCGTTGGCCGCTGGTAGAGTCGCCGTACACGTAGCAGGCGACACCTGCATTAACGTCGGCGTAAGTAATCTGAGCATCTAGGAGAGCTTTGATGCCTGCTTCGTAGCCCAGCTCTGGATAGTCCACTTTTCCTCTGGGTTTGATAAATTTCGTCATGCCTACCCCAAGCACGTAGGCTGGTCGTGGCTTAGGGTTTTCTGGTAGCATCCTGCCGGTCAAATACTTCGTGCCTCAATAGTAACTATTGCAGAAATGCGTACCAAATTGGAAGAACGACACAATAGCTGTTCTCGCCGTGCCTCATCGTAAAATTGCTAGATATGCCTCAGGACAAGACCGACCCCCTGGCAATCACTCTGGGCCTCGGCGCTGCGGATTGGGGGTTGCTGCTCAACCCCGCAGAAGGACTAGACTATCTAACCTTGGGCCGGCAACCTTCGACAATACCGCGGCAAACGCTGAGCAGAGTCTTAAGACCCTCATTCACGCATGCTCGACTTGAGATCCCAGTATCGGTGCCGAGATAAGAACACGCTCGCAGTTATTGACCGATCTGGCTTCGTGCTATTCTAGGTTGACCTTTCCCTATTGACCATCTTGCCACCTTCTGACTGTAGAGGTGAGTGGCAAGGCTGAGGCCTCCTTGGGTCCTCGGGTTTACCTGAGACCAGCAATTCTCACTACTATATAAAGCGGGGTGATGACTTCAACTTTTCTTCACTGGAGTAATCACATTCATCAGAACAGCAATGTCTATGGCCACAAGCCTCCGAACAGACGCCATATGCCTAGACTGCATTTTGTACTATGTACCCTCAACCTAGGAGCTTCTTGACTCGGCTGGAGCATTGTCTGAGGATATACTTGCACATCCTTGATCCCGAACTACTATGAGAATGTGTCAAATGATCTCGAGTGTTCACCCTCGCGGTCTGGCCCATTGCGGGTCAGGTGCTGGGGGCTTCTTTGATGCCCATCCCAAATTAGCAGCGAACTACTATGGGCGATATCCACGAGGCCAGATTCCACGCACTGCGCACATAGCAAACTGGATCCGCTCTCCATAATCCCAAGCAGCACTCAGTAGACGTACCGGAATTGGGGATTCTAGATGGCTAAGGGTCAGCATTGGACGTAGATATCCTTTAGCCCGGCTTGGACCCGAGAAGCGTACCTTCCGGTCAGTTACATCGTCCTCGTAAGCATGCTCGAATGCCTCCATAACGCCTGCTTTGTCGCGGCGTTTATTCTCCCACATGCAAAGGTAACGGTAGAATACAGCTATGACAGCTGTGGTTGCCGCTGTAGCGAGCACTGCCTCGAAGCCTGGGCCATACACCGGCGCGTCCTCAGGCTTGAACAGGAGGGGTCCTACAAATTGGCCTGAGTGACAAGGAGAAGATTTTGTTAGTAGTCTATTCTCAATCAAAGATGAGAGGCGTAAGCAGATGAGATAAAAGCATCTTACCCAGACAATACCCCACATATATCGCAGAAGAGGTAACCATACGCTTCGTATATCCTGCAGTATTTGCGATTGATAATCCCATGAGTACACCCCATCCCGCAGTGAAGCCGGCTAGAGTGTAAACCGCATATAAAAGCCCACCAGTCGCACTGCGTGGTAGTTTCCACAGTAAAACCGCTGAAAGAATAGTGACTAGTTCACTACCAAAGATGATCCATGTCCTTGATCGAGGAATTTTGTAGGCGGTATAGGTTGCTGAAACTATCATGAGCCCAGCGATCGCTCCTGCGGGCATCAAGAGGAGGAGCGTGTTAAGGGTATTGAAGCCTAGCCCTGCTATGATTATCGGAATGAAGGCATTGACTGGTCCGGCGGCAATCATACTGAGGAACGCCATCGAAAAGGCCAGCCAGAAATGGGGATCGATGAACAGTTCTGTGACCTGCTGCATTTTGAAGTGCGTATTGCGAACTCCTGCGTTGTTAACTCGAAGGCGAGCTACTGAGATATACCTTTCACGCTCATTGAACCCCTTAGCGCGAATAGGGTCCGGAGGCATGTAAAAATAGATGACCAGAGCCCAGAGGATAGTTATAATGCCACCCACGATGAACATATAGCGCCAGGGAGCTAAAGATCCTCGTATGTGCCCAAGGCCATAGTTAATAAGGGGTGAGAAGATCGTGATGAACCCTGAGCACGAATACCAGACTCTGAGAAACATTAGGCATAAGTACATGCTAATAAGGCAACACCTTAACGGAACTCACCCCATCATAAGCGCTTGTTCATCTTTCTTGTAGAACTGGCCGACGATAAGCATAAAGATCGGACTGATGCCTGCTTCTAGAAAACCTAGGAAAAACCGCTGTACGTAGAGAGACTGCCAGGTGAAGCAAGCGGAAGTCAGGGTAAAGCAGATACCCCAGAGAAGGACGAGTCCTGAGGCAACTCGCTCTATCGGATATCTTTGAGCAAGTTGAGAAGCTGGGTATGCGCCGCCAATAAAACCAAGGAAGAAAATTGACGAAGCCATCGAATAGCGGTTTCCTGTAAGCTTCAGATCTGTACGAAGTCCAAAGATCGACTGAGATTGCCGTTAGCGGCAGAAGGTTAAGAATAAAATTCACCGACTTACCGCTTGCGATATCATCCCCTTATCATAGTATTGTATAGCTAGAGCCACTAGTCAGTCTTTACTTTTGAACCTACGATCAGGACTGAGTTCATTCTCACCATAAGTGAAGCACAGAATAGGTAGGAGGCGCCTGTCGATTTTTCGTCTCAGTCGTTTTTCTTCCTCTTTGTCCCACGCTTCATCTCCAGCATAATTTGCAAGGACTTTCATGGCCTCATCTTTGTGCACGGTGTCCACAACCACAGGTTTGTCAACGTCAACTCCCTCTGGCCTGCCGGTCTCGTGCTCCTCATGCTGAATCTCTTGTGGTTTCTCGGCGCTCGCCATTGTGCGAATGATCGAGATCTCGTTGTCCTCTCGTGAGCCGTATGACTGAACATATTTTGAATGTCCAGTTGCCTGATTCTTAAGAAATTTTCCAAATCTCATCCGGCTATACAGGATGGATTGTACTCCGGGGCCTAGGCCCCAGGTACTTGGCTTAAACGAGATGCTACGCCTCCCTCCCATACTAAATCGTCTCGGAGCTGCGATGCCTAGAACTGTGGGGCCCCTAGCAACGGGGTATTCCCCCGGACTCGTTGGGCCCCATCTACACTTGATTACCCCAGCTTCTTCCCCAAGTCACACAAGGACCTCTCGGCCTCGGTTATGTTCTTGGATAACCGTGAGCGGAGGCTATATGGAGTTCAAAAGGAAACGAACTCCGTACTACTACAGAAACAAGTCAACGCAGTATTTCGGGCCGATCTCGCTATCCCGGGGCCTGATAGGTGAATTGAAGACAGCTAGCGTATCTTCCACATTAGTAGCTAGCTTAGCCAATGTCCTGATGGCCCTGTGAGGATATCAAATATTCAAGCGTCATCTCAGTCGAAGTGCACAACACCATGTCAGTTAGATTCCGTAAAATGTGATCTGAGAAATTTCTGCAAGTCATTCCTACTGATGATTGCTACTCCTCATGACTGACAGCTGAGAGTTCTCATTGACTGTTGTAGTATAGTCGAAGCTTTAAGTATGGGCTCTGCTTAGTCTCATAGATCGAATAATAGCCCGAACATGTGGTGTAAGCGGAACCGTTCGTTGTCGCATAACTGTAAAAAGGATCAGCTTAGCCTTAGCGAAACGCAGAGATACATCTAGATGAGTGTGCTCCATTGTCGATACCTTTAGTGCTTGCTCATGCACTCATTGTATTAGCAGTATTGCTATCATTCCCAATGATGCCGAAATCATTCTCGATGTCCATGTTGCCAAACATGCCAAACCAAGAATCGAACCAGAGATTCGTCTCATGAGACTGATTCTCCATCAAACCAGTAGACGCATCGTTGGACATGGTACTGTAATCGACAAGTGACCACATTGTCTCTGACGTAGCTTGTGACAGGGGTTGAATCTGAGGCTGATCACATGAAAGCTGCCTGAAGAGGAGGGCATTCTCGGCAAGATGTCGAAGTAATTGCGCCTAGGTTCAACCACTTAGTGAGCGAGATACACTCAAGCATATAGACGAGTATCTTTCACTTGGAATTGTTGTCGTGCTTACCATAGTGGCAACATTAGCCCAGTATTGCCCCACATCTTCCAGATAAGCAATTGCCTCATAGAGCAGGGCCTCTGCTGTTGCACGTGTACTAGCCACATTGTGGTGAACATTCAAGGCTGCAATTGACCCAGCAACGATCATACAATACCCACTGAAAGAGGACTGAAACACGCACCCCAAACGGCGGGAATTTCGAATAAGTTCGATCATACGCTGGGCATGCTGCCAGGCCGTTTCAAAAGCACGTGCTAGGAAACTTGCAGGCGCTGACAATTGACTTGTTTCGAGCCGTTCTCTCAACAAAAATGGATGATTGAGCATACAATAGCATAAGTGAAACAATGCTCGAGAAAATATAATCGGCCCCACGCTTTGGTGGTCGACAGCCCCCTCGGCGCTAATGTGTGGTGTAATCATTTCTTGAATAGATTTATTAGTTTCTAGGTGGGTCTCAAGATGCATGAGTTCGAGTTCGAGCGCTGCGAAATCGGAACTTGAATCCCAGGGCGGATATCTGCTCCGGATATTGTATTCTTGCAACATATATTGTGCTCCTCGTCCAAGGGCGTAGGACATGACGATGACATGTGCGAAATGGCCTTGTCGTTCAACATGCAGCAAGGCACGATTGGATAAATCGTCGAGCGAGGGTGTCTTCTGCCATAATCCATTCTTCCAGATCGTGTCGTCACAGGGCAGCTGTAGGTGGCAAGATGCGTCCACAATTGCAGGAGGCCGGCCCCTACCACATGATACGAGACGATCAAGAAGATAGACTGACCAAAAGACTCTCCGGCGCTCCTCTTGCTCGGGATATGGGAGATAGGGAGCAGCATCCAGCATCAGGCCAAGGTCTTGAGCAATTCTGACGGCCATCCCGATCTTCACCCAAGCAGATCCGTGGCGAGATTGACCAGCTGCAATAAAGAAGGTTAGAAAACACAACAGGATAAGAACATGTATCATACCGGTGAAATCGAAAAGTGCCAGTAGAGCGATCGTTTGTACGATTGACACATCCGCGGTCCGACTCACAGTAATGCAGCTGGAGACCACCGATTTCCACGAACGATTCGCGTAACCCACTGCGGCTTGGTACCATCTGCCGTTGAAATAGGCATGTCTAGAAAATCTGACCGCACTTGCGAGGACGGCTAGGAGCAGATGTTCCGGTAGAGAGCCCTGTGAGAGCCCTCGCCGAAAGTTTCCTTCGTGGAAGAAAGAATATGGCTGGTTGTGGCAGTAAATGAAAAAGGCGTCTACCACGGCGAGAAGAACTTCTTTGGAAGCCAGAGTCTCTCCCGGCAATTCCCCTTGTGTTTCAACCTCGTAACTGAGGTCGAATGTTGTGGAAGTTGCCGTTGTTCGCGGCTTCTCTCGAGTTGTTTCAGTTGGTCTCTCACTAACGTCATCTCCACGTTCTTTGTCGAGAACGGAATTGCTTAGCAGGCGCGAGATGCTTCGTGATTTCATCAGCATCAGACATTCATCCTGCGGGCTTGGTCTCAATACTGCACGCACCTCTCTAGCTGGGTGCCAAAGGTTTGGAGCGTATTCTCAATCGCGGACAACCTACTTGAAAGTTGATTCTGCTTAATCAGTACAGGGTCAGATAGGTACGCATACCGACGAGAGTCCCACATATGCAGTCTGATCAACATCGGAAGATTCCTCGGTGTTTCTGACAAGGGTTCTTTGCTGGGAGGAGGATTTTCCAGGATAAACACATTCTGCCAGGGTTAGATCTCGAGTTTACGTTATTCGGTGTGATATCTTGGCTAGACCTAGTTTCAGCCGACGACAATGTCCACAAGTCGGTCGGTCTCCCGTACAACGAGCCTTCTTCCGCCTGTGTGAACTCAGTCAATGTCCTGAACGCCCAGCACTTGAAGCCTACCTGCAGGAGATGCAAGCCTGGGCAATGCGACGGACTGGGAAATAGTTGATAGAAACATCATCTCCCGAGGCACTCATGCTGAAGGACACATTCAAAGATCTATAGACTGTGCATTCAAGTCAGGAATATTTGAACCTGCTATCAGTCGACCTTGAAAAGAAGGTCCAAAACACATGTTCTAGCCGCTTGGCAAAGGCTGCAGAGCCTCGGCGAGTGGTCTGACATCGAACTCCTCCTCTCCACACAGGTACCTGCTCCCTTTTCGACTGTTGGTCGGCGAGGCTCACTTGAAGCTCGGATAAAAGCGGCTTTGGACACATCAGGCGGCCATTCACAGGACTTTCGAATGTCCCTGTCATTTTTTAAAACTAGGTAGCCGGCTAGCTGGATAGCTATGTAACGTATCAAATGACGACGTTGACTGTCGCTGCCATGTACTGCAACTGCGCCTGATTTTGTCAGACAGTCTTCGCTGCACTATATGCTGCCCACATTGCCCCCAATAATGGTCCTTACTGCTAAACTGCGGACTGTCTGGCAGTAATATGCTTACCATTACATACCTATTACTTTCACGTACTCGAGGGTGACCACCTGATACCAAGGAATACCCCCGTCGTAGCAAACATCAACACCTCAATTCTTCCCACAACTCAGAACCTCCAGCCCTAATCTCCACGGGCTTGCTGAAAAATCCCAATGTCCTTACATAGCTGCTCTGCATATGAGCTGACCAATTTTTATGAATGCATCGCCGGCCTTTTAGAACTTCTGGTATTTGTTTACCGATGCTAAGTAGCGCCGTCAGTGCATATAGCGGAAAACCCGGCGGATGGCTGCTGGTGACTCGTAGATTCCTGAAACACTACTCGGTCTGGGCAGCCAGGTACTGAGTATGGTCTCATAAGAGATGAACAGCAATTTGACCAAACATCGCATCTAGCTGCGTCAGAGTCAGCGGTCCGGAATGGATATAGCATCGGTACAAAGTCACCCCAAATCTTCAAGTTCTTTCAACTGGAAACTGGAGGAATTCCTGGAGCAGATATCTAGAAACTTCGACAATGGACATAGCGAAACCAACAATAGTCCTGATCCCCGGCTCATTTTGCTCCGCGGCCCTTCTCTGGGACGCTGTCATTGATGAGCTGCATAGTGCTGGGTACGAAACACTGGCCGTTGAGCTTCAGACCGTCGGTCCTCCGTCTACTAATCCGGCAAAAACCATGGCTGATGATGCTGCCCACATTCATGGGATCATCGAGGCTCTCGCCGATGATGGCAAGGAAGTTCTGGTGGCCATGAGTTCTTTCGGTGGTATCCCAGGTACGCAAGCTGTGAAGAACGTGACACGGAAGGAGAGACAAGAGGCCGGCAAAGCAGGAGGAGTCACAGGGCTAGTGTACGCCTCCGCGCTACTCGTCAATGAAGGAGAAAGCTCTGAAGATAGCTTCGCGCCGTTCACAGTTCCACACGCATCTCGGAACTTTTTCAAGGTTTCAGTAAGAGGTTTCCGTAAATGACTTAGAAAGTCTACGAATGGAACATCTGACAACGGCAGGGCGAATATCTTCAACTGGAGCCCGTCGGAAGTGCCGCATTTATCTTTTCCAACCTACCAAAGTCAGTAGGTGAATCAATGACCCGCAAAATGTCTGGTCATGCGTCGGGCTCGTTTCGCGAGAAGATGACAAGCACAAGCCATTATGATGTTCCTGTGACCTACATCAAGTGCACAGGTGATCAGACAATCTATCCAGCTCACCAACAGAAGATGATTGATGATCTCAAGTCGCTTAGCCGCAGTACTGTCAGCGTGATTGAGATCGATAGTGGACATTGTCCAATGGTGGAGCATGTAAAGGAAACAAGTAAAGCTATCATTCAAGCTGCAGGCTACAGCTCCTGAGTGCATACTAGGCTTTAATGTTTCAATTAGGAGAGGTAAAAACTATCATTTCATGGCACCTATTACAAGTTTGAACGACTAGAATCATGATAGCTTGCCCTAGTGTGGAGGACTTGAGTTACCATGAATCGAATCCTGCTAGCCCTGGATCGGCTTGTGTAAGTCGGGGCTTCCTAAAGATGCTATAGAATCTCGAGGTATCTCTCTCCAGGCCCTAAACAGCCTGGGAGTCATTTACTTGGTAATTTTTGGCATGCAGGAGCTCCACAGGGGCATCAACTCCGTAATGCATCATCTTGTTGATGCTAGCCAGGAAGTAGCAGGCTATGATTGCAGCAACGCCGAAAGGAACCGCCATGATGAATACCATCCTGAGCGAGTCTGCATATGCTTGCTTCATAGCGACCACGCTGGCTGCAAGCATCTTCGGGGTGACTCCTGTGGTGTTGGTGAGTAGTGCAGTGTCGTTCGTCAGAAATGCCCCGACAAACGCGGGAACGGAGTCTGGCGAGAGCCCACTAGACAGCGCAGCTTCTCCAACGTAGGCAGGAAGCCTTTGCTCAATTCTTGTCCGGAATACAGCCGAGTACATTGCGATCGCGATCGCGCCGGCCATTCCGCGGGTGGTGGTGACAACTGCCGTGGAAGTGGCAATGAGATGATGTGGTGTGCATAGCTGGACTCCAGCAACCACGAGGACAAGGACGACTCCAAATCCGAAGCCAGAGATGGTACAGAACGCGATAGCGTTTACCGACTGTCCTGGTTGAATAGTGGAGAAGCCGACCTGACCACCGGTGAAAATGAGGAATCCTCCTGCCATGGGTTCTCGGATGGTCTTGTACTTGGTGCTCCAGAAGCCGAAGATGACGCTGCCAATAATGCATCCAATCCAGAAGGCTTCCTGGCGAGCCACTATCTTCATGGGCTCTGTGTCAAATAGCGCGGCCGTCCTACCGATGGATGGTAAGTCAGTAAAAGGGGGCAGAGAGTGTTAGGACAGGAGATACTAACTGCACTGGATAAAAGAGGTAATATGGTGTTGCCATAATAGCTTCAACTGCAATTAGAAACATCGAAATTGCAGCTGTTCTCCCGGTACCATCTGCGCCATTAAAAATTTCATGGTGGAGGATACCGGTCTTCGTGCCACGCCATTCGTAGAGGAAGAATGCGACCAATATCATGCCTCCTATAATCACGGTGGCCAGCACTCGAGCATTTATCCAAGAGTAAAGGCCACCTCCGAGGTTGAGACCAGCAAGGAAGACACAGAGTCCCAAAATAAGCAGGCCGCAACCATAGAGGTCCATCTTTTGGATCTTTTGCAAACCCGAAAGATGATCTAGCCTTGTATGCCTCTTTGGAGGACGATACCCGGCGAAGATTCCAAGAGCGGTAATTGCCCACATACCCATCTGTACCCACTGGAAGAGCATGAGCAAAAGAACCATGATAAGCCTAGGGGGTAAATCTCACATAAAAGTTCCTCCAGCCACGAGTACGATCGACCTGGAGGAAGCTGCCTAGAATCACTGGGGCTACCATTGCACCCAGGCAAGCGGCAATATTCATCACTGCTTGGGTCACTAAACGCCGCCGTTAGCCCCGTCCTCTACAACCTAGTCCACTTGCCACTTACTCGGTCGCCACTTATTGGGCACTATCTCACTGGGTACACAGTACGCAAGTGGAACAGTAGCAAATCCAAATCCAATCAAAGTCTGCGCTGCAATGACTTGATAGACCGAGGTCGCACGGGGCGCAATGGCTGAGCCAATAAACGATATGGTGCAACAGCAAACCAAGAGTGCTTTGCGGGCTTGAAATAAATCAGAAGCGGACGATACAATAGGCCCTAGAGCGGCTTGGACGATTGGAAGAACGGTGACAATCCACACTTGAGTCTGCGGTGCTTTGAGATCGGCCCCAATTGAGTTAAGCTACAACATTACAATTAGCTACAACATGCTCCTCGATAGACAGGCACGCCCTGAACTTACAAATGTAGGAGGCCCTTGTAAGGCGACCATTTGGGCCAAGTTCAGCATGAACATAGCTGCAAGTGCAATATAGGTTCGGACATGGAGTGAAGGCTCCTCGTCAATATCATCGTACGTGAGGTTCAACTCGGAAGGCTTGAGGACTTCGACTTGTCCTTCCGCTGACGGAACCTTTTCCTCCATCTGTGCAGTCATCACACAAGATTGAGGGGTCTCTGTCAGAGAGTGATCGCTTCTGGGACTAGAGTACATCGAATCCCAGAAAATTTCAGATGTAAAAGGTGTCCTGAAGGGCTACAGCAGGTAGCAAAGAGAAATGCCGAGGAAAATTTGTACAGAGTGATGCGTAGAGGACATGAGAATGCTCCTTGTTAGGGTATGGGAGCATTGATCTATATTTGATCCCACAACTCTCCGTATTGACTTGAGATCCCCATGGGGTCTCCATTTTAAAAGAGTCTGGGGCTAGACTCCAGAGCCAAGTTCCTAGTATTAGCACTACCATCCTGCAAGACAGGTCCGGGGGTGGAATGGGCCACGAGGGCAGCCAAAACAGCCAATTGTCGGCAAAGCCGCCCAAAGAAAGTAGACTAAGGGGCCAGTCGAATTGCTCGAGAAGGTGGGATGTGGGAAGCCGGGGGGATATCCGCCATAGCGGATTTGATATGTCAAGGATAGTCGGCACCCGGTGGACATACCGCCGGATGGAAGTAGTGTCCGAGAGCGACGCGATGATAGCCTTGTCTGGGTTATCCGTGCAACAACCAAATTAGCCACCCAAAGATTCAAACTAAACGGTCCGAACGCGACTATTCAGGCAGTATTAAAGGCTAGAGTTTTACGAAGTAAAGCCTGCTAGACCTGTCCATCACCACAGTCGAAGAGCAAGACTAGGACGAACTAGAGCCAACTTGGAGCCATGGCTTCCTTTGGGAACATCAAAGTGGAGTACAAGCAAGCGAACCATGATTTCAGTACGCGTTGGCAAGAATTCAATCCATCCACTCAAGTACTGCAGGCAGGATGGGCAAAGGCCCCGGGCCGTCGACCCTTACCGGAAGACATAGTCTTCGAAAAGGATTGTGCCGTCCCACTCAGGGATGGGCTGAAGATGTGGGCAGACATTTTCAGACCGCCATCCTCAGATAATTCGCCTGTCCCTGCAATCATCGCCTGGAGCCCGTACGGGAAGGAGGGGAACGGTCGGGATGCTCTCCCATCCTACAGTAGATTTGCTAAAGTCCGTCCAGGTTTCCAGGGTCTCGATGCTGTACCTTTCCGTGCTGGCGTCCCTCGAAATGCGACTAGTGACCTAGAGAAGTTCGAGGCGCCCGATCCTGCTGAATGGTGTCCTCGGGGATACGCAATTGTGAACATCGACTCTCGTGGTGTGTACGACTCTGAGGGAGATATTGCGGTATTGGGAACACAAGTCAGTCTCTTGCGTTAAAATTCGATGCAACTCACGGAGCAAAACTTACATTTGCGGCATAGGAGGGCCGTGATGGGTACGATGCTGTCGAGTACATTGCTTCGTGCAGCTGGTGTACTGGCGCAGTTGCATTTGCAGGAAATTCGTGGCTCGCTGCGTCCCAATGGTATGTTTGAATCCGACCTAGCACATGTTTGCAGTCCAAGTTCAGTGAAAATGTCTTGATTCTGAGCTTGCAACGTTTGGCAGGTTTATTGCTGCAGAACGGCCCCCTCACTTAAAAGCTATAGCTCCGTGGGAAGGCCTTGCAGACTATTACCGGCATCAAATGGGATGGGGTGGGATACCAAATCCTGCCTTTTGGGATTATAGGTCGCACGGATATCATGGTAAGGCTCGAGCGAATGCTGCTCTGAGAAATAATACCGATCTGAAATTTCTGTGACCAGGGAAGAATAGACTCGAGGACACAGGTCAAATGATCCGCACATACCCTCTTATGAACAACTATTGGAACGACAAACGCGCGAAGATAGAGCAGATAGAGGTGCCGATGTATGTCCTGGCAAGTTTCTCCTCGAGCCTGCATACTGAAGGTTCAATCCGAGGCTTTCTATTTTCAGCCTCAAAGGACAAATGGTATTCTACTTCCTTTGCTGACCAACAGGCGAAGCTAACATACTGCTGAAGGCTCCGAATCCACCACACCCAAGAATGGTACGACCTATACCAGGAGTCTGCGGTCAATGACCTCCAGAGGTTCTTCGACAAGTACCTCCGTGGGATAGATAACGGGTGGGAAGCCACTCCCAGAATTCGACATTCTTTGCTGGGATTTAACATTCCCTCTGTTGTGGACCGAGTAGAAACTACCTACCCACCCAATTACGTCAAACACAACACTTTCTTCCTTGACTGTGCGAACGGAGTTCTACAAGATTGTGAGCCCGCAGCTTCGTCATCGACAAGGTATCTCTCAGACTCCTGGGATGATGATGGCGCTCACTTCACCCTTAAATTTCAAGACTACACTGAGCTGATCGGTTTCTCTCGTGTCAAGCTCTACATGTCTTGTGCTGGTACCGATGACATGGACGTGTATGTCATCATGAGGAAGCTTGACCGAAAGGGAAAACCTTTACTCCATTTAAACATCCCCTTGGAAGCTTTCCCTACAGGCACAACGGAAGCCGAAATCCCCCATGTCAACATATTCAAGTATGTCGGCCCTGGAGGTCGCCTCCGGGCATCGCACCGCAGGATCGAACCCGATCCAAACCTATCCCCTGAGCAGAGTCGAATGATCGCACCAGGGGATATATGGCACCCACACGACCGTGAAGAGAAGATTCAACCAGGCGAGGTGGTATGCTTGGAAATCGTAATCTGGCCCGGAGGTATGATTTTCGAAGCAGGAGAGTCAATTCGACTGGAAATCAAGGGCCATGAAGCCACTCTACCCGAGTTCCCGGCCTTGGAGCGCGTGCCGACAAATCTCAACCGCGGACATCATATGGTTCACTCGGGGCCCGAGTACCCTTCTTCGGTTGTTTTGCCTCTGGCGTTTGGCAAGAGATCCATTTAAGAACTTGGGGATGGATTCATGGAACCAGATGTAGAAATGTCATTGCTTCCTATAAGTTTGAGGGAGAATTGATTACTTTTCCTCACGCATCCTATGGCAGAGCGGGGTAAATAGCTATATAGCATGTGCCTGTCTCGGAGTGACTAGACGACGTTGTTGCGGTTGGCAAGGTTTGCAAAATTGATGCAACTGTCTTTCTCGCCACCCTAATTAAATAGTGCATGTATTCGATGATAAGTGATTTCCAGTCCTAATCTTTGGTATATGGCCAGAAGCAAAGTATGTCCACCAATAATCATGTTCCAAGCATGTCAACCTCCTGACCCCAAGTTGTCCAGAACAAAGCCTGCTGATAATCATCAAACGGGTTTGGACTAGGGTCGAGCCAGCTGAGACTGTCCCCAAAATCAGCATACGAACTATCTCTTATCTCCGCCTCTGGAATCATATCATTATAAGTTGCAGGTTGGGCCAGTGTTGTTTCATCCGAAGCTGGTTGCCCAAGTGCCGTCTCTTCTTGAAGATTCAGAGCGACGCTGGTTTGTTGCGGGCTTAATGCGGTTTGTTGCACATTCTTCGCACGGGAAAGGGCCCGCTTGATGATGCAGATGGCGTTCCTCGCAACCATACATTCTTCCATAGCATGGAGCACATTGACAGCTCGGTCGATGTGGTTGAAAATGTCGTCAAGTGCTTGGCTCGACGTTGCGAAACTGTTGAAGACGGCCGCTAGGAGTATGCTAGCTGCGAAGAGGGTATAGGTTGAATTATACCACCTGTTTTGATCAATCGGACCTTAGCATTGCAACAAAAACGGGTTATGCGGGAGCAGAGTCTCGAAGAACGGGGTATTACCAAGTTTGAAAGAAACTGTAATTTGCGAAAGTCTCGTAGATGAGGTCAATCGCGCAACATGCAGAGTCAATGCAGGTTTGTCTAGATTTTCCGACGTAATCTTCATGTTCTGGATCGATTTCTTCAGGAAGACTCATGAAAACGCCGTGAGTAATCATCCGGAGATTAAGGTAGCCTAGAGTTGAAGTTAGTATCTGAATGACCCATGGATATGATTCCTCAATCCGTACGCAGATGTAGAACGACTATTTGTTTGTCGATATAGTTGGCAGAATGCCTAGACTTCAATGAACGCTCTATTGGTAGGCGGATTGGTTGAAACTGGACCGGAAGACCTTGTCGCCACGACTTGAGATCAACATCCAACGCTTGGACTCGCGCGATTCGCTCTTTCACAGAACATGTGTTCGTATAAAGACGTAGGCCGACGTGTCGCATTATTCGAGAGAGTTCAACCATGAAGGGAACGACTTGAAGTACATAGTTCTCAAGAGCAACGTCCACCACATCTAGATCAAACATTACCGGTAGACTTTGATTGTGGTATTCGTCTGGACCGAGGCTGTCCGGTCTCCCTAGAGCAAAACTTGTCTGTCTGTAAAGCTGTGAGCATTGGGCAGTTTAGTCGGAATTTACATACATGTCTTGACAGTAGATGGCCCTATCTCAAATTAGCTTAACCTCTTGCGATGCTAAGATTCGTAGTGTCATGACAACATACCACCATGTTCTGGATGCCATGCTTGGGTTGCGTGGATCTGGAGCTGTTTGGCCGACCGGCTTCCTGTTTATCCCGATGGCTAAAGCAGTTCTCGCTGCCTGGCCAGAATACAGGTATGCAACTTCACAATGTGTGTCAGTCGCAAGATATAAGCCACTGAAATGGAGTGATCTAACCATGGGGATTGAGCTCATGCTGATACACTTTACTCTATTGCTCCCGGAATGGTCAGTTTCCAGGTGCCACCAGGCGTTCAGAATGCTTACCATCATGTAGTAACACTGAGCAATTTCCAAATCTGTCGTGGAGCCAAGTTGATTGATAATGTTGAGCGCTTCGCCCATTAGTTTCCGGCTCCAAGCGGTACGATGACAGCCGAGCTTGCCCCAATCCTCAGATGTGGTGACGAGACATCCTAAACTCAAGACTGCGTAGTAAAGAGCGACGAAAGATAGAGGAGGCTGCTCGGGATTAGCGAACCATAGACTCTCGCAACGACCCCAAAAAGACTCCTCCTCGAACAGTGGCTGAATGTGATGGATATTGGAAAAGTATGCGTCAAGAAATCTCTGAGCGACGCGGAAGTAGAACCGATCAGCGGGCAGCCTGCTACCTGATCCCAGTGTAGACGTACTGTGCGCGGAAGCCGGTTTGAATCCGGGATTGTGCAGTAAGGACGTCAGTGATCGTTCTGGTGGGCCGGGTTCAAGTGAGCCTGGAATTTGACTGTTGGACATGGATTCGACATGTCGAAGGAAAGACACCGAGGACGATGCTCCGTAGAATTCCAAGTTTCTAGTATTGGGATTGGTGTCCGTTAGCTCAGATACAGGTCCTAGGGAGCTCATGGGTGATCGGGAGGCCACCAAAATGGGTTCCCCGCCTGTTGGTGGCTTTCGTTGTTGGATCTGATCAAGGTCAATGGAGGCTGACTGTGACTGAGCGTTCTGAGTTTGGATCGTCCTGGCTGCTTCTCCAGGTCTAAGAACTTGTTAGAAGCCCGATGTTGGTGCGAAAGCTCAAGTACTTGCCTTGCAGTTCGGGCTCTCGTGTCGGGATTCACTCGAGAATATGTGCATTCAAGGTCATGCTCTGCATTTTGAGATCAACTTGATAGTCTTTGTAGCGACGGTATACCCACCAACGCAGTAAGTACACGGCTGTTCCTCATCACAGCGATTCTTCCTTACGCGGCATACTTGGCAGGCCTGAAGTGCTCTGGGTCTTTTGCGCCTCCCAGCTTTCTGCATCATGTCTGACCCCTAAGGAAGTGTTTCGAAGTTCAGTGCAATCTACTGCCTGCTTGTTTCAAGAGGACCATATCGTTAAGGTAGAAGGAACTCGAAGCTGAGCTTGAGACCGTTGGGCGGGGTATGGAGGAGAAAGAAGGAGTGAGTGGTTACTGCTGGTGCCAGGCGCTGTGATATCTGTAAATCAATAGATACATCCAGTGGGCAGAGTACAGCATGCTGGTCGCCTTGCGGGTGGTCCAGGCGGATATTTACATGTTTTCTTATCGAGGCCAGGTCCTCGGTTATCAAGCCATCCCTTGAAGGAGAGCTTGGGGCACCTATCCCGCCAGGAATAACATCAATGGCTAGTTAAACAGCCCCTCGGCCTTAAGCGCATGGTCGGGGCTCAGGGGGTATTACGGCCCATCCAGTTAATCCTATAACTAATTTAATTACCTTGGTTAATCTGTTCATATTTCCCAATATTGCCCCGGCCTCCCTTGCATCTGCCCTCCTACTCGGCATTGACAAACTTTCATCAATCCCAGAGCTTACTCAATAGACTCCTATTGGAGATGTACGTCGAAAATGTCCCCCGTAAGTGGCGATTGAGGTCTGACCATGTTCAATCTTTTCTGCTACGACCTTGCCAGGACGGGAAGTCGAAAGTCACGAGCATCACCAGCGACTCATTGTTCGTTGTAATCTGAAAATACACCCTCGAAAGGTCAAGGAAGCGAGATGGTATCTGACACCCTGCTAGAACGCATAAATCTCAGATGAATCTTGTCACAGGGAACTCTTCAGCGTCACGATGGGACTGTCCCTTATTTGACCTTCACGAATATTTTCCCCACGGCTCTTCCGGTAGCCTGCCTCTCAAGAGCCTAGATAGGTTGTTAGCACCAAAAGCTCCTTACAATGCGGTCGACAGGGCTATGAGACGATACCTGGACAACGTCATCCATGCTGAACACCGAATCAACGGGAATCTCCTTAATCCACCCTTTCTCAAACCATTCTACAACGATTTCCCCCAATCTCCCCGACGGATCATTCATTACACCTTTAAATGTTCTTGCTGTTCCTCCAAGAATAACTGGCCAGCAGCTAACTTTAAGCGATTTCAGGAAAGGCCTTTCAATACAAAGGAATTGCCCATCTGTCTTCAGATACCCGGGAGATTTATAGTAGAGGGACATATTGCCCACACAATCGATAATGGCGTCGAAAGGCCTATTCCCAGGTGAAGTACATGCGGAAGACAAATGATCATAGAGATCCTCATGGACAGTGTAATCGATTACCTGTTGAGGGAGGATTGAGTCAAAATTGTGAGTTCTTGCAGCGACATAGATCAATGACCAGAGAAAGATTGGGAAGATATACCTCCTCAGCTCCCAGCCTGCGCACAAGAGCCTCGTTTCTTGAGGAACAGACACCGGTAACTCGAATACCCATTCCGCACAGCACTTGGACTAAGATGCAGCCCACACCTCCACTAGCACCATTCAGCAGGACTCGGTCGCCTTCGCGCAACATGGCTTTCTCCAGAACCATCGCGCTCGTCTGTCCTGCAACACCGAGAAGTCCGGCCGCGACGGTTTCTTGAAGATCACGGGGGTTTTCAACGACTGCATGCGCAGGGAGCACAATGTAGTCAGCCAGCACACCGGCACCGCGGATTATCAACCTCGTGGGCACTGAGCCAGCGACTGTCATACCAACACGGACATTCGTGGGAGAAGTGGGGGCAAGCTTGCCTGCCCGTACGACCTCGCCAACAAAGTCGATTGAAGGGGTAGCAGGGTATCTAAACGGTATCCGGAGATCCATCAGTTTGTAGTCTGCAGGGTTGATTGCGACATATGACACCCGAATCATGACCTCTCCAGCCTTTGGAGCGGGTGGAGTAGGGGCGTCGATCTTCAGCTCGAGTACTTCTTTGGGCTTCCCGCTTCGAGCAAAGCGCCATGCTCTCATGGTCTTCGGTAGCTCTGCCATGTCGTATTGGGCACTTGAAGCAATATTGAGTGAAGGGCAGTATGGAGAATGAATGGACCTATTCCCAAGCAAGAAACTCCCGAGCTTCTTGTTCTTATGCACTCTTCGCTTTCTGTATATGTGACCGAATGGGGAAAGATCAACCGCACTGGCTTATCAAGCTTGGCTTGATTTCCAACGGCGCTAGCGGATCGGAATTCTCCTTGTGTCGGTTGATGCCAAATCCATCTTCTTCCTAGACGACATCCCGTGTTCCAAGCAGCGTTCATTAATCGTGACATGCAAAGAACTGGCCCAACCGCGACTCCGAACGTCACTACGAGTGCCAGTGAAGTGCAGGCTTCCCAAAGTCGTCGGCAAGAACGACCGCGAATTCGCCAGAGCAGGACGCGAACTGGGTGCACGCGTTGCCGCGGGCAGCGCCGCAAGTGTAAGTGTAGCTTTCACCATAGATCGTCTAGTCTATGGAGCTTTAATTGGGGCTGATTTAACTGGAAAATAATACAGGCGATGAGGGAAAACCGGCGTGCAAGCGCTGTAGTGACGCTGGGGTCGCATGCCAATATGTCAGACATATATCATTTCTTCCCCAGAACTCAACGACCTTCCCCCAGGAACCCGCTGTGACTGTGGGCTCGGGCTCGGCAGGTACAGCATACCAAGCTGTGAAAGTCTGTCTCCAGTATGCTCTCGCAGGCTGAAGGACTAATGTTATGTCGTAAATGCAGTTTATTGTCAATAGTGGCTTTCCTTCCCAACCATCCACTGACGAACGCGAGCCTGGCGCAAACAGGGGCGATGAACAAGATCAGGTGGAGGGATGTCGTCCCAATCCAGAGATTTCAACTCAGCAGACCCATTCTCAGAATGAAGTTCAACATCATGTTTCAGCCTACAGGAGTGAACTTGCAGACCACGGTAATCCATCTGGCCAATCTAGTGAGTGGTTTCCTTCCGCAACAGTGATCGATGTTCTGAGCGCTGGAAGGACCTGGGCAAATGGGTCGTTTAGGACTGGACCGAGTGTTCTCCCTAAATGAACGTTGTTCACTTTCGCAAGACGATACGCGCCTTATGAGACACTACAGCCATCATATCACACCATGGGTGGGTTGGATGACACTCCTGAGGCTGGCAAGTATAGTGGGACTGACTCTCTATCACTTTTCCACGGGATATAGCTTGACGTGTACGACGTGAACAGGACCTTTGGTGTCCTTGTTCCACAATTCGCCATGTACTCTCCAGGGGTGATGTATGGACTTCTCGAACTCTCGGCAGAATCATCAGGCATGACAGTACGTCAATCAGGCCTTCATGGAGCCAGTGCATCATACATAATTACAATGTTACGCCGTACAGTTGATGGGTCTCCAGTGCTTGAGCTTGGGATTGTAATGCACTTTGTGCTTCTGAGAGCAAAGCAATTCGTCCAGTCAGTGCCTGAGACATGGATCGCAAGCTTCCATGGAGCTGGCAAGCCCAGGGACCTCACCAGAGATGACTTTGCGGATGGAGGACACAGACAAATATGGATGAGCTCGTTCGCTCTTATGGCAAGGCTCGGTATGCTGTCTCTTTATGAATTCGTTCCCTGCACGAATTTACCTACTATAGTCGTCGTTGCCCTTGTCCTGGTCAGATGCTAACATCGGGTAACAACGAGAAGAGATCGCGTACGCTCTTATGTACGGAACCGCTCCCTCCATAAGTTCAGATCTCCTCCGAGAACTTTTAGTCCCGTCGGACGATTTGATTGCCGATGTTAACGACTCCAATGGGATTATGAGAACCAGCCTGCACTGTCTCGCTCTCCTCGGCGATGTCATGACTCTTTGCCTCCCGTTGTCAGAAGAAGAGGACAGCCTGGTTCCACCATCACAATCAACCAGAGAAAAGGAGAAATCACGACTCACCGACTGGACACACCTTTTAGACCAGTTGTGGAAGTGGCACTCGAGCCGTCCGACGGAAGTCCAAGCTCTGATTGAAATCGACGACCACGAAGCCACATTCCCGACTATACTCTTCACTAGCTCTGCGGGAATTTTCGTCAACATGACTTATCACGCCGCCATGCTCCTCCTGCTCGACCATTGGCCGTCCAACAACTTGCTGGTTCCTTTTTCCTCCAAGGCAGGAGTCGTTGAGACTCAAGTGTCCCCGCTTTGGCACGCTCGTCGTGTATGCGGCATTGCCCTGAACAGTGACCCGGAGCACTCAAAGTGCTGGGATCCGTGTATGATCGCTGAATTTGCACTGGCAGCCCGGCTAACGCCCAACCCAAACCAAAGAAATGAATTGCTTGTCTGCCTGGATAAGGTCCGTATGGCAGGCTGGCGTGTGGATGGACTGGTCAGGAGGCTGCGTGAGGAGTGGTCCTAGTCGGTCCTAGATACATTGAATGATCACTATCGTCTGGATGACCAATTGCCCAAGGAGGACACCATAAGTGAAGTGAGCTCGATATTGGATAAGGCCATGCAAGCCAATGCAAAAGCGCGTTCTCTCCTCACTCGCATGCGAGCAATGGCTACTTCTTCAGTAGCACTCACTGTCTGAGGACTCTTTTTCTCCCCATTAGTCCAACGAAGAAGCACTTTTCTTGTCTATGCCACAGTGTTCCTCAGGGTGACATAAGATATCCGAAATGCGGTAGATTGATATCATTGATTGAGGGCAAATTACGGCAGTTAGCCACCGCATCAAATCTCAGCCCTTCGTGACCCGTCGTCATCTCGAGCCTACGTTCCAGTTATCTCAGGTGTTTACAGTCGCTACGAAGAAACCATTTGATGAAAGGGTCCTTTTCTAATATACATATTGGTTCGTCCTTTTGATCATTTCAAGTGTTAACGCCAAGCCCAACCACCCAGCGTCCTGTTTTGAGCGATAAAAAGGCCAGACCTGTGCCGATAACCGGGCAGTCAGCAAGGCTAGCCAATGGCGAGTCCACATATATTTATCCAAGTTGCCTTCAGGGTCCCATTTCGCTGCCAGCTTTCGCCCAGTTACATAGCTAAGTAAACTAGGCTGGCGATCTTGGTCGCAAAGCCACTCACCGCCCCTGGAACTCCGTTGGGGACGTCGGGGCCGACGCCGCCATCTCCAGTTCCATCCCCGTCTCCATCTATGCAAGTCGTCATTTGCAAAATGACCAGAAAATCACCTACCTGGCGACTAGACTCACAAATACGACATTTCCACTATGAACCATGCTTAGAGTTACTCTCAAGAAACACTTCCTCTTCAGCTGGAAAATTCGCCCGCTTTGGATCCAATCAGATGGTTCCTGGTAAAGTCGACACAGCGACCAAGCAATGTCCAGCACAGCTCTCTCGCGACCATTCAACTGGTTCTATCATGAGTTTGGCATTGACTCGATCCATTCCACAGGCCGGAATGCCTACCTGATCATCCTGGCGCGGACTTTTCGGATGTTTGCGTATGGCACTAATTCTTTGATACTCGGTGAGTCTTCAGTATTGCTGTCCGTCCATGTTTCCCAAACAACATTTCGCAGGAACAGCTGAGACCGGGAAGGAGAGAGAGGGGAGAGATTGAGCGGAGCCAAAGTAGCACTCACCCAAGTATTCTCTTCGGCCTTGAAATGGAGCCACTGCCCCCTTTTCCTAACTATACCGCTGTTATTGATACTTCTATCGACCTTGTCCTAATCAATCAACTAACCATGGCCACCAAAACTCCCGCAGCTATTTTCTTCTCAGCGCTACACTACTCAGACCACCAGATCGGGATCTTCATGACACTGACGCTGCTGGGCGATGTTTTCCTCGGGACGTTCTTAACGCTGATCGCAGACCGTGTTGGCCGACGGCGGGTGTTGATGGGCGGATCGTTCTTGATGGTCCTGAGCGGGTTCATCTTCGCCATCTTTGAGAACTTCTGGATCCTGCTGGCCGCAGCTATCTTGGGTGTTATCAGTGTGACTGGTGGAGATTTTGGCCCGTTCAGGAGTATTGAAGAGTAAGCCTAGGTTTCCCTCTCCTGGCCCTCGAGAAACAGCTGTCACACCTACACAAATCAATTGACTGACGGACTCTCATTCAACCTCCTAGATCGATGCTATCACAACTAACATCGCCGTCGACACGAGCAGACGTGCTCGCATGGTACGTGACGACCTCGACACTGGGATCAAGCGCGGGCAGCGAAGCCTCTGGACGAATCATCCACTACCTGAAAGACCGACGAGACTGGACGGAAGTCGATACATATCACGCGCTGTTCTGGGTATACACGGTCATGGGCCTGGTTAATGCGCTTCTGGTCCTCCCGCTGACTTCCGCGTGTGAATTGGACACGACGAAGGCCGACTCGAATGACGACGCTTACACACAAGTCCCGCAAGATGAAGATATCGCACCAACGGAGCGGAGTCCGACTGCTGCGATCGCGGAGAACACAGCTGCATTCACACCACCAACTCCGCCACTCCAGCCCATGCCCTCACCCTCTCACAGCTGGCTATCACGAACCAGGAACTGGGCGACCAACAACTTGGCCCGAATCTCATCCACCACGCGAAATATCATGTACAAGCTCTGGTTCCTACTAGCGATCGACTCACTTGCCGACGGGATGGTGCCATACAGCCTGACGAACTACTACATGGACGTGAAATTCCACCCAGCAAAGTCAACGCTCGGCGACATCACGTCCATAAGCTACTTCCTGGGCGCGATCGGCGCAGCCTTTGCAGGCCCTCTCGCGCGCAAGATTGGGCTGATCAACACGATGGTGTTCACACACGTGCCGTCCTCAGCTGCGGTTCTGTTTTTCCCGTTTCCGCCATCGCTGTGGCTGACTGCCGCGTTGCTGCTGCTGCGCACGGGGCTGAACAACATGGACCAGGCGCCGCGCTCGGCGTTCATCGCCGCGGTCGTCAGGCCCGAGGAGCGGACTGCCGCGATGGGCATCACCAGCATGGTGCGCACGCTGGCGGCGATGGCTGGCCCTTCCGTCACGGGTGTGCTGGCGTCGAATAAGAAGTTCTGGATCGCGTTCGTGTTTGCGGGCGTTTGCCGCTTGGCCTATGATTTTGGTCTGTATGCCATGTTCGTCAACATGAAGCTGCATCAGCATGAAGGCGGCCCCGGCAGCGGGAAAGACGAAGAAGGGCCCCGCCCTAACCGCTACCACCATCGGCACCGTCGTCAACAATCCAATATCGACGATGCCGAGGACCTAGAAATGGGCAGTTTGGCCGGATCTTCGTCATCGGGTTCTTTGGATGACGCCCGTGACGGAGCACAGGTGACCGCTACGCCGAAGAGTAAAGACATGACGACAGAGAAGTTTTCGCACAACAGTAGTACGAGCGGTGCGCTCCAGGTCCCGTCCAGGGGGTCTGCGGCGTACGGTGCTGAGAGAGCCCGTAGCAGGAGTCCGCACGGGCCGACGGCGCTGATGGATTAAAGAAGCTTTTCACCAATGCTTTGTAGATAGATAAGTTATTTTGCGCAAGTAGGAGATGACAAAGGAAATAATGACATCTAACGACTGGTGCAAACATCACGTGATATTTCAAACCTGACAAACGCAAGGTTTTCTGGAGAGGGGTTTGCCTTGGAAAATTGAATGGAGCCCATTCCGAGGAAAGATCAGGGCAGTGGCGGAAAGGAAGTTCCACGAGTCATTTTATGGTTACTTGTATTCGAGTCCCCAATTATAAACGTATAGCAATCGATCCACATATACGCAAGCACGGTCGGCTGGGTTGCTCAGCGGCTCTGAATCCTGCAATACGTCAAGTCGGCTGAAAATAGATACATGCACAAATATACAGGATATATCATGGACAAGTGGGAAGAGCAGGACCAACCGCGACAACACCGAGAGCAGACAAAATCAGCTTGGATTAAGCCGGATCTGATCAGTGGGCTGAGATCACTGAACTCCTTCGTCTTGCCACTTCTTCCTCTTTGGCCGGGGGCCCTTGATAATTGGCGCGACCCCAGATGAAATACCAAGCTGCGGAGACGGAGACACCACCGACGAAGACCACAGACGCATAGTTCATCGTGTCCGCCGTGGTCGGCAAGAATGATGGCATACTGAACAGTGGAGTAATGAACAAACACCAGCCTGAAGTAGGAAAAATTGTCCATGTTAGTCTCGGGGCCAGCGGAAAGCTTATAATTCGGGCGGAGTCGGAGACAGCGGATGTCCAATGGGAAATGAGGGCAAGCAGATTTCACTTACAGATAGCCACAATATTGCAGAAGACTCCAGCGGCTCCGAAGTCGTAGTGACCTTGTTTCAAAGCTTTCCGGCCCCCAAGCAGTGAAACAAGGATGGGCATGGTGTAGCTGATGGTCTGCGCACAAATTAGAGACTCGTCGGCTTTGATGGTATTCCAAAGATTGTAGCTTACCAGGAAGATGACTCCAACGCCGCTGAAAGCGTTGAAGGCAGCAACGGAACCGAAGTAGATGACTCCGAGGATGATTTGAACGACCATGCTGAGCATCATCGCATTGAGAGGCACATCCAATTTGGGGTGGACTTGCTTCCAATACCGGGAACCGGGGATGGCTCCGTCTCGAGCAAAAGCCCATGTACAACGTGAGGCGGCAGTTGTACAACCAACACCACAGAAGAAAGCCAAGACCAAGAGAGGTACTGTCAGCGCAAAGGCTCCGCCGTCATTTCCGATTGCGATCTTCAGGATATATGGGACGGGAGAAGATGCAGCGACGACATCTTCGATTGGTGGCAAGACGAAACATAGGGGAACGAGGAAGATGAAGCCACAGATAGCATTCAATACGATCGTCCCGACCATTGCCTTGGGCACTTGCGTTGCTGGCTCTCGCACTTCTTCGCACATTCTGTTGGCGGTTAGAAGCTGTTGCGTTCGAGAATCACGAGAGGTTCCACTTACGAAAGAATCATGCCAGTAGCCGATGTAGCATAAGCTCCATGCAGCAAGCCGATGCACCAAGACCAGCCGGGCGTCCAGCCGGAGCTTGCTTCAAACCCTCCAAATGCAAAACTGGCCTTGTTGCGACCGCCCTTTGCAAGAGAGAGAGCACACACAACGATGCAAATGACACCGGCGAATGTCCAAAAGATTGCAAATGTCTATACGCACAGGTCGACATCTCAGCATGAATCCAGGAAATCTGGGGAGGTGCTTGTGGGAGAATACGTACGTCTAGATAAGGCAGCCACCGGTTTCCAAGAGAAGAAGTCGCGTTACAGAGCAATGTGATACCCACGAACGTCAACCAGATTTGCCAGTTCGTGGCGGCCCATACGCCATTGCCTTCACTGTCCTGGAAGATGTTTACGCATCCAACGAGGAAGAGGGTGGTGCCGAAATTGACAGCAAGAGTGATGGTTATGTTTCCCAGGACATAAGCCCAGCCACAGATCCAAGCGGTGATGTTTCGGCACCACGGAGGAGAGAGCATGTAAGTCTGGTAGTAGACACCACCAGCGGTAGGATACACTGAGGTAATCTCACCCAGAGAGATAGCTACGCAGATGATGATGCAGCACACAAGAACCCAGCCCCAAATGATGGCAGAGGGGCCGCCGCCGATGAGAGGATAGTAGAGGGTCGTCGCAAGACCGTAGGGAACCGAGGCGAGCACAAAGGACATGAACGCGACCTGCCATGTAGATCTGTTTCGTGATAACTCGGATTGATATCCTAGCACGGCCAAAAGGTCATCTGCCTCGGCGGTCTCTGCGCTACGGTCAACACTGGACCGGCCGCCCTCTTTGGTCTTAATGTTGTTGGAAGATACAGGTTGGTTCTCGTAGTCGAACCCCGTTGAATGGGCCACAGGCTGTGCTGCCATGGCTGCAGTCGAGGCGCGCGTGGGCAGTGGTGAGTCTGCGGTTCAATGTGCGGGTAATGGCGTTGGGAGGGGGGTGGGATGTGGTAATGGTTACACCGGTAAGGTAAATCCAACATGCAGGTTCAGATGCAGAGCGATATATACTCGATACACCTATTCTAGAAAACAATACTGGTTGCCTCTGGGTTGTTTGTTTGTTGCAATCGGCCAGGCGCTTTTGGGGTGAACGGAAAGATGCAAGCAAGGAGGATGTCACCGGGAAAGAGTGTCCTTGCAGGGAAAGAGAACGCTGACGAGATGAGAAGAAGTAGCTTTCGTACTGTAAACTTTTGCCAATTATTGGGGGAGGCGAGTGTGATTTATCGAAGAACAAACATCCTAACTACCACTGGTAGCTAGGCCATGTGGCTGTAAGGTAACCTTGCAATCCATCGCAGGGGGGCGATTCCCTGGGATAGGATAGGTCAGCCAGTAGAGCATGGGCTGGTTCACGGAGTTGTAGCTTGACAGATTGACAGTCCACTCAAGAGCAGAGTTTTCTCTCATCAGCAGCATGACGGGTGCCAAGTGTAGCGGGGACGTGGTTATCTCTCGAGGGTGGTATCGTGTAAAGATGGCGCATGCTCGCCAATAAAGTCATGTTCTGACTGATAAATAAATGGAGCTTGGACCGGGATTGATCTGACCTGGGACCCAATGTGGGTAGGACGCCGTCGAGGAGCTCAAGCCTGCAGAGAGTGCCCCATACGAAGCACTCCATGCTCCGTCCACAGTGTAGAGTATGTATGTACGGAGTACCGCACAATAATAGGCAGCACTCGCCTGTATCGCTAGGACAACTGCTTCGTGTTGCTGTGCCTCTATCAGTAGACAAACATACGAACGGTGGGCGAAAGATGGTTGACCCCAGCTGTCACTAAGCTGCTTCAGGTAAACGCTACCTATCTCGGTGCAAACTAGGACAGAAGAAGCGACAAACTTGAAGGCTGAAGGGCTTTGATTATCTTCAGATAATCTCAGTGCAATACGGATACTCCGTGGTCACGCGAGGCGCAGCGTTTGCCTATGTAGGGTGTCCCTCCCGTTGTAGCTCGTGGAGTCTCTGCACGAATAAGTGCACGCCCGACGGTGCCGAGGTCATCACTACTTCGTTCAATCGACGCCCAGATTCAATTGCTTCCTGGCGTGATGCTTGGTTGCTTCATTGGAGAACGCGACTCGACACGAGGAGGGTGTACCCGTCCCCTGTAGATTCCGGATAGAGCTGCCTTACTAGTTAGTTAGGTCGTTCTCGCTCCCTCTGCAGGGATTGACACCAGTCTGTGGGGTAAGTTGACAATCACCTGGCGAGGAATTGTGGAAACCAATTCCACACTCGTGGTACGTAGGATCGAGTACCCATGATTTATGACATAGTACTCCGTACTGGCCACGAGGTATTCGCTATTCAGGTGTAGGCAGGTGTCGAGAGGTGGAGGAACGAAGGAGACCCAAGGAGCCCTTTTCCCTTGGCGGACCCTTCAAGGGTCATGGATCGCAACAAAGTTCGGTGGAACAGTGGAAAATTACAGAAATGATTGTGAGTGGCATCCGACGTCGCTGCATCTTTTCCACCACGTGAGGCAGCCTGCATAATGGCCCGAATTGCTTAGCAAGTCAAATGTTGACCATTCAAGATGACTCTCGTGCGTCTGCTCAAGCCTCACACTATCCGAGGTGCTAGTAGTGATACTGGGAACACACCGCGACAAGGGGACACAGACACCCGAATGCCTGATAGTCTCATAGTGGAATTCTCGGTTCTTAGTAACCAAGAACCTGGTCACGCAACACTACACCGCTTCAAGAAGTGTTATACCTCCTTGACAAAACCCACTTCAACAAGCTTGTCCACGGCAATATTCAGTGCTTGCACTTTCGTACGGCTGTTTTCCCTGATCCAAAGGAACAATTCCAGCAGTGCTCGCCGGGCGATGTTAGTGCCAGCTTTGATCCTCATCTGCTCCTTGCCCACGATGTAGACTACCTGGCTGTCATATGCCTGACGGAGTTCGGCCAATTTGCTCACCAACTCCAAATTGGTGGACTCAAAGGATGGGCGGCTTGCGTCGATAGACCGCTGATTGAAAGTGACATCCTTGATGGTGGCATTATGACGTTTGTCGCCGTTTGTGGATGGTGAGAACGGTGCGACTACACGTGCTTTGCAGATGAAGTCACGCACCTGCTCGTACAGGAGCAAACCCAGATTATGAGTGACGACTTCGTCGGTGTATCCATGTCTGATGATAATTCGATAGCAGTTTGGCATCGGTCGTCTGCTCTGGCCTTCAGATCCGACATAACATTGGGTAACGGTATAACGCTCTCCAGGTGCCACCGTCGGGATGTGGAGTGGCCGGAGATGGAAGAAAATGATGACGTCGCATGCTGCATGAAACTTCTGCAGGAAATGTATAAAGACAGTTGGGGTTGTCGAAGGAGCACCAGTCTTGTCGAAGAAGACTCCAATGCCGTTGATGCGAGTAAGTTGATGGCTCCCAAAGGCGCCAGTGAGTTGAAGAGCTGCGTTTGGCAAACCATCCGTCGTTCGAAGCATATGAGATGGTGGGAAACGATCTGATGCTTCAGCATGCCACTGTTGCTCCTTGCCAAACCGCCAGAGGATGAAAACTGAGGAGAGAACGACGGCAAGAACCAGTGTAAACCAAGCCCCTTCCGGCACTTTGGTCAGAGATGATGACAGGAATGCGCCATCAAAAAGGGCGAATATAAGCCAGACGATGAGAATGGTGATTGCCGGTACTTTCCAGACAATCAACGCAACAAGCGCCACCATACAGGTGCTGAAAAAAGTCACCAGTATGACACAAACACCGTAGGCATGGCCGAGATTTGTAGTGTTATTGTAGACAGCTGTGACGACGACCGTGCCAATCATGAGGAGCCAGTTGGCCATGGGAATATAAATCTGGCCGAAGAAGACTTTCGATGTGTGCACTGCCTTGATCTGAGGAAAGTAAGAAAGCTTCATGATCTGCGACAAGAGTTGAAAGACTGCAGTAATCATAGCCTGACTGGCAACGACTGCTGCCAAAATCGCAATGACAAGTGATGGATAAAGGCAGCCAGGGGGGACAGTGTTGTAAAATGGGTTTGTCCACGCGGTAGGATCTTCTGCGATGTAAGAAGCCTGGCCTACATATCCTAACAAGAGGCAGGGAAACGCAAACAACAGCCAAGATAACTGGACAGCTCGTAACGTAAATGCCCCCAAGTCAGCAAAGAGTGCCTCGCAACCTGTAAAGGCAAGGAGGATACCACCCAGACTCTTCCATCCCTCAATCTTATTCCTGACCAGGAAGGCACCAGCAAAATACGGAGAGAATGCTTTCAACACTGTGTGATCGTGTTGAACCAAGTTATAGATCCCAAAGACTGCATTGAGTAAGAGCCAGATGATGACAATCGGGGCAAAGCTGCTGGCGAGCTTGGTCACGCCGAAAGGCTGAAGGAGAAACAGGAACACCAGAATGGTACATGACACACCAACAACGGCGCCGTTAGAAATACCTGGAGAGGCAACTGAGATGCCCTGGATAGCACCAAGAACAGATTGGGCAGGGGTGAGAATGCCATCAGACATGACCAGAGCAACCCCGAAGACGCCCATAATCTTCAATATCCACTGTAGAAACCGGGAGCGCTCCATAAGATTTCGAGTTTTTTGGGCAGGCTTGCCAAGTTCACGAGTAATATGCCGTTCCATTCTGACCATCTGTTCTTCACGAGGGTCGCGACGCACAATATTTGCGTGGCGCGACAAGAGTGAAAAGAGGGCAAATGTACCCCCTTCTCCCTCATCGTCTGCCCGAAGGATAATCAAACAGTATTTGACGGTGACCATGATCGTAACGCTCCAGATAATCAAAGAGAGCGCTCCGAGGAGATCTTCGTAGCTTGGATTGGCGGTGAACGTAGAGGAGTACACGTATAAGGGGCTGGTACCAATGTCTCCATAGATGACACCGATTGACTGATATGCAAGCCATGCCAATGGCCAGCCAGTAAAGGACTAAGAGCATTAGCAGTTTGTCATTAGATACAAAGGAAGATCTTCGTACTTGCTTGGGCTTGTAGTCACGATCTTCTACATTGGTCTCTGACTCCATGCCATATGCTTCGTTCTTGGTGCTTCGAGACTGACTGGGTGTGTGAATGCTTCCGACTCCGGCCACCTCCCTGCTCCTGAGTCTATACACTCCAGCGCTTTGCGATCGAACAGGATGGAGGCCATCATCGAATTGTATACGGGGATCAGACATCGAGAATTGAGAGCTATGGCGGCCCTATCAACAGATATTCTTGGCCACGGGCAGGAAGCAGGCAGCTGTATGTCCTTCACTTATCACAGCCACCGGGCCGAGCATGGAGAGGAGAGAAAAATACAAGTCCCATGGCGCTGAAAGGAGACATATGAATTACCTGTTATACTCACTGCTCTAGAAGCATGTGGGCTCTTCACATCCGTTTCTACTGTCCCCTGCAAACTGCGTGCTTGGAGGATTGCAGCTTGCTCGATGCTGGGTGTTTGCACCGCCTCCTAACTTAGTTAAAACATGATCGAGTCACCTACCTGGCCAATGGAGAGAAGGGAATGAGGAAACATGAAAAGATAAGATGCTCAACACAGTGTCATAGAATAACATCAAATAGGATAATAGAATCAATCATTCAAGACGTGCTTCATGGACGTGTAGGGCATAGATCTGGGATGACAGATCGTTTGGAGGCCAATAATTGGTCGTTTCGCCCAACCGGCAAGACGGAGAAGAACTGTTCAATGGACGGCCGGCATATCTCCTGGATTGGACTAGACAACGTGCATCCCATTCAAAACTGGAGACCGATTGCTAGCAGGCAGTGCTCCGTATTTCCATCATGTATGTGAACCAAAGCAAAAAATACCTCGTTGACATGGGGGGCGGTGGATGCAAAAGCTGAGGTTGAATGAAAGCCGTCCTCGACGGGGTTAGCGGGAAGCCAAGTCGCGATCAACGCAGCATGATTGGCGGCATCCCACATCTCTAAAGTTGGCGTACTCCAGCCCTGACTCTGAGCATTCCATCCCACATCCTCAGTTGGCTTACAACACAGCAGATGCCATTGTTCTTCCATAGTTTATATCACCCTGTGTGACTAGTGCCAGCACTCCACGCGTTCTTCTCAGGATGCTCTTGGGGCTGAGACTTTGCAGAACACAAGTTCCTGGCAGGAATGCACCAAAGGCGGTGAAACCACTCACGTCAATGGCCGAGGGCTGGGTTGAGGAAAAATTCATTGTCGACTGTCAAATCCATAGGCTACTGCAAGGGATACAAGGCGAAGCGAGAACACAACCCTTAGGCTGGAATAGCTGGCTGCCACGTCTGAATCTTGTGAACGAGGCAACATTAATGTAATGTATTTCCTATAAGATCGCAGCCATGCGCTCACGGGTACTCTGCGAGGTTCGGCTTATTCTATTCGCTTCTTGCCTTCCTCCATATATCCCATGTTTGCAGTGCTGATATTCCGAGCCCGCCTATCCTTGCCACTGGTTGTCGCGATCAACGGGCCGACCACTGGATCCCTATTAGCACGTGCGAGGGCATCTGTGTACCCTTCTAAAGTGAAAGATGGTGGGTTGAGCTTTGGCCAATTGACATAGAGAAGGCCATGTCCGTAGATGAATTGGAAGGACCATCCTGCGATGATAAGACACAACAGGGTAAAAAGTCGAAGTGGCCAAACTGCCGAGTCCGGCGGGCGACGAGTCAGAATGGAAATCATGACAATAAAGATGGAGGCAGCCAAAACATAAGGAACGGCTTGAACGATGAGTGGTCTCCGATCTATGAATTGCAGTGATGAGCCAGCACCGTACGTGGACGGCAAATATGTTCCCAAGAATAAGTCGAACCCATCTTGCCTTGGGCCGTCAAGGAAGTTGTTGCGAACATATCGAGTACAGGAGTTGTTGAAGTCTTGGAGCATGCCAGCTTTGGTACGTTTCCCAGTGCGAGTAAAATCGGTCTTTAGAGCGCCAGTACCAGAGTAAGAGTTGGAGACAACGTCAGCGTTGTCAGCCCAGATGTTGCGGAATAAGGTTTCAAATGCCTGATCGTCGCTAGCTCTCTCACCAGGCTGTAGAATGCCGATATCCTGGAATTGTTGGGTCAGCGCCCACCTGCCCAGCATGCTTTGCACGACGTTGGTACGGTCGAGACAGTCCATACAATTCGTGCGGACAACGGCCGACTGCTGTGTTCTGACCTCCAAGGCTCCAGATGGGTCACCCGGGTTTTCTACACCACGGAAATACTGACCATTCCTGAGACCATCAATAAGCTCGTCGAGAAGAAGCTCAGCACGGTGCCACTTCAGACCCTTGGTCTCATTGTGGAAGTCGAAGTAAACGTAGTGTAGCCTATCCATTTTCTGGCGGGGATGGTCGGTGCTGATCTCGCGGAGCTTCTCGTCCGTACGTCGATCGGCCTCAACTACTTCGTCAGGCGAGCTGACGAGAATCCGGACCACTTGCTCATAGGCCTTTTTGACACGTTCTTCTCGTCCCCGTTGGTTTACTAGATTGACTAGATAGTTCTCGCCGTATACTCTGATTTGCTCGTCGAAATGTCGTCGGGCGGCCTCTACAGCTGTCTCGACCCCTCGAATTTGTAGCTTGGGAGTGTAATGCAGGTCGTTGATTTCGGCCCAATACACGGGAACACTGCCCCGAGTCTGCAGATAAGATAAGACCTGGGTCTCGGAAGGGTTGGCACCCGCTTTGCCATTTTGCAGGCCTTGGGACCCAGCAAAACCAACAGGCTGACCGGAGACGTCATTGAGGAGGGCAATCTGCTCAGTTTCATTGAAGTTTGACACATTGCCCTTTTCATCTATCCCACGCGACAGATACCTTGTGCCCGCCCGAAACCTGGATCTCCGTGAGATGAGAGCGAAGGTAAAAGACGTAGATTTGACCTTGGCAGGAGTGATACGGAGCATGCCAAACATGACAGGAAGAATATAGGGATCTGCACCAGGTTGCTGGTGGCCCTTGACAGTACCCGGTGCCCCCCACCCAGAACGAAAGTCAATCAAATCGGTTTGGATGAAACGGTTCCAGAAGAAGCGGTCGTCGGCTCTTTTCCACAAGGGATCGGATGGGTTTGCACGGGACTGACGCTGGAAGCTGGAAGTGATATCAATAGAATAGGAAAAGTACATGGGTCCCTTGGCTAGGAGAGCTTTGACATAGGACAGATACGTGTCTTCGTCCGGGTCGTGGACAGGTCGTTCTCGCAGAGGAAGGAATTCTGTAGCGACGACCTTGTAAAGCATATGTCCACGCAGTCTGCCCATGGGTTGAGCTTTTGTGATGACGATGACATATTTATCGAGTTTCAATTTGAGTATGCCTAAGATACCAGCAATACTGGAGACACGCTTGGCTCCCAGCAAGGAGCCATCGTTGAGTCTGATGTCTCCGGAGGGACGCTCAACCACAAGTGTAGGGGCGGAAGGGGTTGAGGGAGAGGTGAAGGCATAATGGGAAGTGGAAGCGTGGACATTGATATCGCGGAAAGGCAACAAATTAGCCATCTTGGACGGACCTGGTGGGTTTGGAGATAAGCGAAGGAGGTGTCGATGCGCGTGTGATTGATCCTAGGCCATTACCGGGGGGAGCTTGAAGCAGATGACGGCAGGTCGCTGCACAGAAGTATAGCTCTTGTCGGGAGGGAGGAATGATCAGTGGTGGTGGTGGTAATTGTTAATTTGTTGCACAATAAGAGGGCGCAGCGCAGGTACGTACTCGCTACAGCCAGGATGATGACAGAGTTGAGTGGTGGCTGGTGGGCGTAGTCCGCCGCAGAAGATCTAGTAGCTTAGCGCGTCTGGGCATCGTCATCCGCTCTTGAGATTGCACTGCTAGTGCTCCTATCTCGCATTAGTGGTCGGCTAGAGGCATTGGCTCCTAGGCTAGCTACTAATGCGTGGTACACAGGAGTCGTCATCAGTCCAACTCTCAATACTTCTTGGTCCCCCCCAATGCAGCATACCTCGCCCCCCATAAAGCTGACCCTGCCCACGTCTGAGTCCTCATCAGGCCTGCGCCCGCGCCTGTGCCCGAGTCTGTGCCCGTGACTGGCGCCTCCGCCGCAACAACATCACCTGCCATTATCTCAGGCTCTATACAACTTTCATCATACAAGGGTTGCCCTCCTCCCATCCCCAACCAACTCCTTATCCCACGTACCGATTCATCATCTGCACTTCCCGCAAAATAGTACAGCCCTCTCCTTCCTCTACTATCCTACCCAACCATTGATCCCCTTCCAACTCTTCCCTCCATGGCCACAAGAGCTCCCGCAAGCCGCCCTGGCGCAGGCGGCAGGTTTGCCCAGTTCAAACTCGTTCTACTCGGTTTGTTGCTCTAGTCCAACTCCCGTCCAATTACTAACCTGATTCTAGGCGAATCTGCTGTAGGAAAGGTACTACTTCTCTTCATTCCGGCTCTTCCTTCAACTCTAACTCGACCCTGCAGAGCTCGTTAGTTCTCCGGTTTGTCAAGGATCAATTCGATGACTACCGCGAATCTACGATTGGAGCCGCCTTCCTGACTCAAACGATATCGCTCGACGAAAACACAACAGTTAAGTTTGAAATATGGGATACTGCTGGCCAGGAGAGATACAAATCATTGGCCCCCATGTATTACCGTAACGCCAACTGCGCGGTCGTTGTCTACGATATCACTCAGGCCGTAAGTTCTTTGCTCAACCTATGATACCTCACCCGCTGACATCTGCTCCAGTCATCATTAGATAAGGCCAAGTCATGGGTGAAGGAACTACAAAGACAAGCCAACGAAAACATCATCATCGCTTTGGCGGGGAACAAGGTTGACGTTGTGAATGAGTTCCCTGATAAACGCGCCATTGAAACCGCAGACGCTGAGGCATATGCCAAAGAAGCCGGTCTTCTATTTTTCGAAACTTCCGCAAAGACGTCCACCAATGTCCGGGAACTCTTTACCGCAATTGCCAAAAAGCTGCCGCTGGATCAAGCTGGCCCACGAAACCTCCGATCCAATCCTCGGCCTGGCGTCGATCTAAGACCAGAGTCTACCAACACTCAAGGCGCAGGCAATTGCCAATGCTGAATAATTGAGCCTCAACGCATCTGCCACATGATTTTTGGCGTGTCCACAATCCCAGGTTTCGGCGACCAGGCGTACGGGGATGGGGTGGATTGGACGTGGTTGTGGTACAGGTATCATGCTGGATAAGGGACGACTTCTGCTATTTTTGTTCAATGAAAACCTGCATAGATACGTGCAATCGAGGTCTACAACCGGTCCGGGTCCCAGGGGAAGCAAGCGGAAGCACACGGTTTATTCACCGTCGAGGTCAAGTCCCATACCCAACAGGCCGGCTTTCTTACCAGCCGTTGCGATCACACCAACCGTCCATGTGTCTCTTCATGAAAGGCCGTGATACGCAATCCACGCACAACAATGGCGTTTGTTTCTTTTTGAAAGAGAGCACTTCTCGCCCTGACTAAACGGGGCGGTCTGCCAGCTCGGTTTCTATCATCAAACCACTTCTAATGCTCTTAGAGAGATTCACCAATGTCTGAACCCCAGCGTTTCTCACTCAGAACATCACTTTCTGAACATGGCAGATGGCCATTGATTCCTTTTTCTTCGTCCACCATTAAACCTTATGACCCGCGCCTCATACAAATCCTCAAACGTGTGTTCCTCCCCGCCCTGCTACCCCAATCACTTAAGGATAGAGTATTATAATCTGCTCTTTCCCGTGATCATTCCCTCCTATTCACGCTTGCCCGTGTATTGGCGAAAATCCGTCACTCACAGCTCGGCATCTCATCCCTCGCCCTCAGGGGGAAGCCAGCCAGAAGAAACTGGCCATACACAAAACATAGAAGCCCGCGTTACTCTATCGTCCAACTTACATAACTACTGGGTCCTGTAGCTATGGTGGATGGATCCACATCCAGACTACACGCTCCCACCACTGCGATTACCCTGATCGCCCACAATGCCCGCCATCTCAAGCAGGGCCCTTGCGCCGTCCTTGTCACCGCCGAAATTGATTCCTCGCCGCCTCGCCGCCTCCGCTTCCTCCCACGCCAGCAGCTTCCGCCGCTTCGTCACCTCATCCTCCGCCGACGCCGGATCTGGGATCGAGACGCCCCACACTTCCAGCGCGTCAATGTCAAATTTTACTTTCCGCGGAATGGAAGGCGGGATTTTAGTGGAGGGGGACGATGTTGACCGAGCTTGAAGTTGCTGTGAGCGCTCGAGACCCGGATCCGTGACGAACGCGCCGCTGCCTTGCGAGCCGTCGTGCTGGAACGTACAGGTCTCGAGGTCGCTGTCGATGAGGACGGCCACTGGGCCGAGTACCGGTGGCGTCGCATGCTGGGCCGTCCGCGACTGTGCCGTGGGTATCACGCAGCCCAGAGCGATGCCGATTTTCGTGCTGAAGTAGCTGACCGGCATGTTGTGGCTGTACGGGTTCGCCGGAAAGAGGGCTTGGCGCGGGTGGAGCATCAAGAGGCTGGCTTTGGGGGTTGATGGGTCGGCGCTGATGGTTGCCGTGGAGTGCGAGTATGACTGGGAGGAGTCTGTCCAGCGGGCGGGGATGTAGGCTGCTAATGTGATGGTGTGGCTGGGGCTCTCGCTCGTGGTCCCGGTGATGAGGACCATAGTGCTTGCTCGCCAGGACAGGACCTGCCGGGAGAAGGAGCTGAGAGAGGTGCCGTGGCTGGACGTCGAGTAGAGCTGGTCGAAGCAGGCGCCTGATGTGAATATATTGGACTGGACTCCATTCGGTGTCGTGAGGTTGAGGCTCGTGGAGATCTGGGAGAGGAGTGTGTCGTTTAGAATCGAATCGGTTGAGTCGGTGCTCGAGTTTTTGTTGTCGTCATCGTCGGTTGAGCCTCTGTGAATAGGTGAGGGTCTTATAGGGATAGGGGCATCTTGGTCAAGAGACGCATCCCGGTGTTTGGATAAATTGATGTTCTTGCTGAAGAGGAAATGCTCGAAGAGCGCATTAAACGGGTCAAACAGGTCTGGGAGTGTGGAGGTGATGGTTTGCACAAATTTGGAGTATCGGATACCTTTCGTCTGTGGGTCGGGATCAAATGCTGCAACAATCGCGTCGGCAGATGTGTCAAGGGCTTGAAGCTTCGCTGGTGTGAGGCTCTCTCCATAGATGCCAAGTGGAGTCAACGGTTCCATCCCTGCGAGAAGGAGGAGAAGCTTGACCAGCTTCTTGAAATTATCTATGGGAATCATCGAGTGGTGAATCTTGCGGTCAACTTTTTGATCCTGCTTGAACACTTCGATGGCATCTAACGCGTCAAGTGCGGCGAGAGCAAGGTCATCTTCGTCCTCTTCCTCGTCATCATTGGCCGGTTCGTCAATTGCAAAGCCAGAGACATGTGAGCCGATGGATTTCTCCGCCTTCATATCATCAGGTAGTTGCTCGTTGACGATATCATCCATCTTCGGCTTCTCCAAAGGAGAAGAAAGGCTGGCGGTGCGATCAAAGACTGCAAGACTTCGGAAAAGTAATTTGGCTTTGTCCTGGTCACCTCGTTTGAGAATCTTCTTGTACCTACCAGTCATAATCGTGATGACCTTCAACATCGCCTCCCGTGTCAATATACATGGTGCAAGGCTGGGAAATGGGAATGCCCCAAGATAGATACACATCTGATACAGGACTGGACCCGCCTGTAGGGATTCTGGCAAGGCGAGAAATCGACACAATGTGTCTTCCTTCCAGTACTCGACGTCTTCCTGGTGGTCGGCCAAAGCCTTGAAGTTGTCCTTGTAATGAGTCACTTCCAAATGCGTGAAGCTTTTGGCTGCAAAGCGAAGTGCCAGTTCATGGCTCAGTTGTTCTGAAATAGTTCAGGCATCAGGACAAGTTTACCTGGTTTGGTTAACAGTTCGAACTCACCGATCGGGACCTCTTTAGGCGGCTCTGAAGACTGAGATTGGCCCATTTCTGACGGATGAATTGCTCATCAGCACCTCTGCAGATCGTGCTGAGTTTTGCCAGCGTTAAACAAAGGTTGTCTCAATATCAGATGAGCGATTCCGTAATATGTAGTACGGAGTACGAAATACCTACATGAGTCTGACAACCCCCATGACGTACTATCCCAATTAGGCAACATATTGTCAACCCCCAAATATGCGCCATACCACCAAATGCTCCACCGTAGCTATGCACCCAAATTTCTAGACGAGCATTTTCGTTCGTATATGTTCTCATGAGTCTTCACCAGATAGTTGGCTTCTTGGCCATGCCTCACATATGACACAGGGATGGACTCGGCGTCCTCTAGTACACCTCTCCCACTTTGCCCGTAGATTTGCGACCAAGTCAACCGCCATGGCCAGGACATATGCTGTGAGCTACGCCAACCTCCCTCACTTGATATCAAGTTAACGATAGTCCAGGACGCTGTCGCGTCGCTCAACACGCTGCAATCAAACTTTGCAATTGTTGATGCGATTCGTAAGTCGGGTCGGAAGATGAATGATCAAGCCATTCCCGAGATGGTCGAGTGGTGCAACAAGATTGGGTACAAAGTATGCAACCATTGAGAATACACACAGAGCCACGTCGTTCCCTCGATCGCGCTGACTCGAACGCCGGTAGCCATCAGACTTTGATGCGCTCAAAGCTATCCATATCGCCGGGACAAAGGGTAAAGGTTCGACCGCTGCATTTGTCTCCTCGATTTTAGCCCAATTTGTCAAGAATAATGGGAATAAGTCGCTGTCAAAAGTCGGGTTGTACACGTCGCCACATTTGCGGTTTGTTAGGGAGAGGATACAAATCAATGGAGAACCACTTTCGGAAGAGCAGTTTGCCAAGTACTTCTTCGAGGTCTGGGATCGCCTCGAGCAAGCTGCAAAGGCCGACGGTCAAGATCCAGCGGCGCCGGGAACCAAGCCGGTCTATTTTCGATATTTGACGCTCATGGCATTTCACACATACATCAGTGAGAATGTCGATGCTGCAGTCATCGAGTGTGGCATTGGCGGCGCTTATGATAGCACAAATGTGATTGAGAAGCCTTTGGTTACAGGTATCACGAGTCTCGGCATCGATCACGTAGCAATGTTGGGATCCACAATCGGCGAGATTGCCTGGCACAAAGCTGGCATTATGAAGACGGGTGCAAAATGCTTGACGGTTAGCTCTCAACCAGAAGATGCAAAAGCAGTCCTAGAGCAGGTGGCCAAAGAGAAGGGTACAACCGTCGAATTTGTCGATGTTGACCCCGAAATTGCCAATAATCAAATCAAGCTTGGCTTGCAAGCGGAATTTCAGAAGACTAACGCCAGCCTTGCACAGGCCGTCGCCAAGCAGTGGCTCACTCAGCAAGGCTATAGCACTGATGCGGACGCCGGTTTCGAGGCAAAGGTCCGTCGCGGTTTAGAAACAGTGAGGTGGGCAGGACGCTGTGAAACACGTCATGAGACTGGAATCCAATGGTGCATAGACGGAGGCCACACTCTCGAGAGCATTGAACTGGCAGGGAAATGGTTTGCATCTCAACTTACCACCACCAAATCTTCCTCTACTCAACACGTCTCTCCTTCACAACCACGTTTTCTCATCTTCAATCAACAAACCCGCGACGCCAATGCTCTCGCAACAGCCTTATTCAATACACTTTCTACAGCCCTCGGAAATTCCCAGCCTTTTACACACGCCATCTTCTGCACCAACACCACATTCAAGGAGACGGGCTTTAGGCCCGATCTGGTGTCCGTGAACACCAATGCCTCTGATGTCGAGGCACTGAAGGTCCAGAGCAATCTAGCTGAAACATGGCAGGGCATTGATCCACAGGCACAAGTTCAAATAGTCCGGACAATAGAGGAGGCGGTGGCCTCCGTCCGACAATTTGCCCAGAGCCACGCCAATGAAGAGAGACATGGGCATGAAGATGTCACCGCTCTTGTGACTGGAAGTCTCCATCTAGTCGGCGGTTTCCTCGAGGTCCTGGAGAGCGACCCGTCGTCTTCAGCAACAGCATAAGGTGCCAATTAAGATTTTATTTATCAGCATTGAGGCTTCCTCGATTTCAAGCCCACTTAAAACAACCCATCAACTGGGGTAAGTATATGCCATTAACGTCATTACTAGTAGTAGATTTATATATTCTAGAGAAACAAGGCCTCATCGCCAGCAGAAAAGAAGACATACGACTGAACCGCATGTACACGTGATATCGATGACCGCTTAACTCCTGCAACCAAGCAAGTATCACGGGGTCATCACTCCCCACATCATCGCTCAATTATCACCAAAGAACATATGACAAGGTTACTACATGTATGAGTATGAACGGTTTCATCACAGTCATTAACAGTCATTTCTCAAGGACGAACCCGCCTGTCCGGCGTAGAATTCACGGGACTAATGGTGTCAAAGAGGCTCCGCTGATGGGGGTTACCGTCGTGACCGGAGTCCGCAAACCCAACTGGGCTGGGCAGGGTGCCGACGCCGCTCGCCGCGGAGTCGTTGGCGTGGTGCGTGGTGTAGCCGTGGCCGTAGCCATCGCCGCCGAGGCCCCTGGCATCGCGGGACTGTTGCTGTTGTTGTTCGGGGCGCGATTCTTCCATGATGATGGGCTGCAGCGAGGAGCTCTCGCTGCCGCCCTCCCGCTCGACGCGGGCACGGTGCGTGCGCCATCGGTTCGTCGCAGCTGGGAACGGCCATGCGATTGTCTCGTTCGTGCCGGATGACGATGACCCGTACTGACTGCTGGGGTCGGAGACATCTTCGTGTGGTCCTGCAGTGTACTGACCTGGTGCTGACGTGGGGCCAGCCGGGTAGCGTACGGTGCGCAGCGGTGAGGCGCCGTTCAGGCTGTCACTATTGAGCGTCGACGGACGGTATTCGCCTGACGAGGTTGATTGGGAGTTGTCTGAATGAGTATGGCCATAGGCCGCGTTGTATGCGTAGTCTGGGATCGTCGAGTGCCGCGGATGCTGCTGGTTGTTGTAGTCGGTGGCAAGCTCGTACGGCGGCTTTGGTCTTTCTGTGCCTGCCATCTCGTGGCGCTGGGGTTGGAGGGGTGGTGTCGACTCCTCAGAGATGTGCGCATAGTTGTGGGCTTGTTGCATCGGTGGTGGGGATATCGAGTCGTGCTTGGATTTGGCTGCTGCGAAGGTTGCCCCATTGAGCCAACGGCTCACTCGGCTGTTACCCGATGCAACTGATTTCTCGGACGATGTGCTGCGGATGATTCGGCGCCGTCGGATCAACAGCGCACAGAGAATGAGGACAAAGCAGAATATGGTTCCTGCTGCGACACTGATGCCAATGATGGCTCCGTGGCTTATGCCTGAACTGCCACTGGGTGGGTCACTGCTTGTACCATTCAAGGCACTACTGTTGTTGGACTCATACGGGTAATAGTGGGTCATCTGTCGAGGGTACTTTTGGCTAAAGATACCACCTAGTGCGTTGTCGGACCAAATGGCTGTGTTGGTTGCACCGCCTGAGGCGTCGCCTCCTATGGCCTTAGACACGATGGTTGGGACTTTATAGTCAGACCAGATGACCGGGTCATAGGTGTTTTGGAATTCCAGCGTATTGAGATTGAACACCTGAATGATACCGCCCTCAACACAGTTGGCTTGGTTTTGATAAACGCCTCCAATGACGAGCATTTGATCTGGATAGGGCGCCACACAATAGTGTCCAGATCGTCCATGTGTTCCGGTACCTGTGTATGCCTTGATCCAGGTAAATGATGGAATTGAAAGGACCCATACGTCGTCTGATGGAACATCGCCAGCATTGAGGCCATCATAGCCTCCGTATATGTAAATGTTGAAGGAGGACGAGTCCTTCGCAGGAGCAACGACAGAACAAAACTCTGTCAATTGTCCTGGAGCCTCGCCTGTGGTATTCTGCAGATACCAGTCGCCCGATGCAACATCATATACAGGTAAGGATGTCATGAAGTTGGGACTTTGTTCCCGACTCTGTGAGGTCTGCGAGTCATTGAGCCCAGTTGCCCAGATCTCTTCTGGGGCGGTGACACCACCAATGGCAACCAACACACCTTTCTCAGATACTGGAACCCAGGCCAGTTCAGCATTTGCCCGTGGTGGTATATTGTCAGGTAATGTTGTGTTGGTCCATTTTTCGCTTCTCATTGTTGACATGTCTACGGTGATAAGTGTTTTGGCCGTAACATTTGCCGACGAATCTTCGTAGAATATTGGATCCCATTCTGGTGCTCTCATGCCGCTGAAGTAGAATCCAAGATTCTCACTTGGGGCAGATGTTCCTGCGCCATTACTGATATACCGAGTCACACTATCTGGCAGATTTCCTTGGTAGAATCCCGGTGACCAACTTGGACGATCCGTCCCGTATTGAAAAGCTTCATAGCCGAGGACGGAGCTCTCGCTTTGGGGAGCGACAGAGTCGGTGAGGCGAGGCAGACCACTAGAAAGACGATTAGTTTCAAGTGGTATATCCTTTCGCTAGGCAACTTACCCATAGAGGTACAGCTCACCATCATTGGTGAACATGGTTCCATCGACATAGTTTGGAGCAATATTGTTGCCTGCTCCTCCAGCTTTTGACATTTTTTCAAATAAAGCAGACAAGTTGGTCTTTGTCGTATCGAACAGAGTCGAAAAGTTCAGACGAAACATATCGCCAGCAACATTGCCATCACTACTCACTACTGGAGTAGTACCATCGGCGAAGGCAGTCTGCCACCATAAAAGACCGCCGTCGAGATACACCGAATCTCGAATAGCACCGGCTCGCAGTCGTGCCCAGTTACATATTGTGTAGTTCTGCTGTACATCAACAGCACAGGCCAGTCTTACGACAAGCCCGGCCACGATGGTGAGGGTTTGAGTGGATGACCTCATAGCGGTTGGGCCGGTTGGGTCATTCTCGTGCGCTCGATCTCAGACACCGACGGAGATATGATGTTCGAGTAAATAGCAATATGTTGAGGTTTGCACTTTGTACCTCATTGATGTTGCGAGATTGAAACGAAGAGAGTTCGACCACTACCCACGTGTGTGTAAATCATATCTCATTCACAACCGGCATCCAACAGCAGAGCAGAATTTGCCACCCATGATGCCAATTCTGTGATACGTTCGCTGCCATCTGAACAGAATAGGATCTCTTCCGCGTCCAGGGTCCTCAGCAGAGCAATATGGTTCGATATCGTTTCTCTCGGGGAAGAACTTACTGGCTAGACCTACCAGGAATCTGCGTCATTGGGGAAGGGAAGAGGCTAGAAGCGGGCAGGACTAAGGATCCAGGCTTGATAGCAGCTATGATAACAGGTGATCGACGTAGAAACCCCTGGCACGATGATGGAGGGACTTTGGAAAGTCCAGGAACAATCCCATTTATTGTGGATCCCAACGCATGCCATTGTGGGTGATGTTTTGCCTTGATGGGCCGGAGGGTGTGGACGATTTTGCGGTCAAGCGAAAGGTGTACTTGAACATCTGTTGTTAGAACCTGCCTAGTGAGGACGGGAAGGCGATGGCCTCAATAACTGATGCACGACGCCAGCCGCAAAACCGGTTTGGGGGGCAGTGCTTGACAAGGGTTCAGAATGGAAATGATTGTCGAAGTTGGAACAAGGTTAGCAAAGGCTCCACCGGCCAAAACCTCCAGATTTCAACCACCACTCAGTGGCCACGATGCTTCGTATTCTCCGTTACACTAAACAACATTCGGCAAAGCTCCCGCGCACGCCACACGGTCGTCGAGCTCGATCCTGTCATCGATTGGCATGCCACGGTGTACATTTGGCAAGGCACGGTCAATCCCAAAGCCAGGAACGTGCAAGACAACGGCAGGGAACCCCAGTGACGGCTGCCAACCACTTCCCAGGAAATCCGGCGCCGCCATGTGGCATGTCCTGAGAGCGGGCGGGTTGGATGATGTATTCCCGGGTCTCCAAGCCTGTGTTGCTCGTCAATGACGGTGAGTCTTTATGAGGGCGTTGGGAACTCTTCTGTCCTTCTTCTATCTCGAGGATTGAGCGCAACAAGCTCTCGGAGAACTCACTACCAGAAAGCCTGTTATACATTCGTTTTGAACTCACCCTCGCTACAATGCGTTCGCTTTAAGTTTGCGCCTATCATAGGTTGAAACATCCTATGTGTGGAACCAGCAGAAAGTCCCACACTTGAGGTATAGCTTTCACGATGTACTCCCAAACTCTTTGTCTCTTGACGGGGCTGTCACTCGCTTCCGTGACACTGAGTCAAGTACCGAGCTGTTATCCTCATCACTATCCCCCAGGATCAATTATCATTAGCACTACCACTCTCAATGAGACCATCGTACTCACATGTCCCCCAGCGCCAACGATATGGGTCAACGTCACCCAATATGTGCCAGTCACTGCCACTACCACCGACACTGACTACGAGACTGACAGCACAACTACCTCTATCTGGAACACAACTACCCTACCAATTACTATTTACCAGACAATCATATCTACAACTATTCTAACATCAGTAAGCCAGCTTCTTACTTCCCTGATTTCAGCCAAGCGACGACTTACTGAGCACGTCCAAATTCAAACCTTGTACCGTGGCTTGAGCACCAGTCTGTTATGGACGGAAGACTCTTCCTCTCTTGTGTTTTGAGGCATCACCTTGTGAGACACAATTTGCTAACTACCTTAGACGGAGATCGTGACCGAAACCTCAACAACTGTTAGTCCTACCACGGCGACCGCAACGGAAAAGTCGGTTGTGCTCGTCCCCACAACCGCAACTGAGACTTCCATTACTGTAAGTCCAACGACTGCAACAGAAACTTCGGTAGTTATTGTGCCTACTACGGCGACCGAGACGTCGATTACCGTCAGCCTCAGCACCGAAACAGACACTTCAGTAGTCATTGTACCTACCACTGCAACTGAGACTTCGATAACTGTCAGCCCGACTACTGCAACTGAGACGGAAACTACTGTTAGCCCTCTAACGCTGACAGCCACCGAGGAACTTCTTCTCTCAACGATCACGCAGAGGGTTACAAGTGTTACATTATGTCCTGCTCGTATCGCCAATCCAACTTACACTGCCCTGGGGCCTTATCCAACAGACTGGACGTAAGTAGGATTGAATCCGAACTTATTGAGCTCACCAGAACTAATTTTGATGCATACAGATGGGGCTGTCCTCCAGGCTGGCTTTGCAAGCCGACGCGGGAGAATTGCAATTTCGAACCCGGGATCCCCGATAGAAATTTCCTATGTCCTCCAGATCAATGTATCCCAGCAGAAGCACTTCCCGTACCATTGGCAACCTGGGATGCTACAATCTATGGCAATTCCACCCCCGCATTGAACCCTGGTTTAAGCGTGCAAGCATTAGACGATTATTTCAACATCAATCCCGCGGAATTCGGTCTCAGCTATGAGATCTTCGTAGTCGACGAAACAATTACGCTCACTTCGACCACGGTTCGCCCGCCCTCTCCAACAGTCGGAGCTAGGCAGGCGCAGACCAGCATTCCAGGGACATGTTTCCCTTGGTGTAACAATTGTCTGCTCGAAGCTCAAGCCAACGGAAAGACTCCGGCGCTTTGCGTCCCTGGGTCCGCGTTCGGAACATCCTTGGAACAATGTGAGCAGTGTATTCAAGTGCATGGGACCGACGACAGCGGGACTTTCGTCCAGATCGCACCACAATTTCAGCAGTTCTTGGATTATTGTGACCAGTTCTCAACCGTTATCGTTACGACATCAATAACTGCAACGACGACGAACAGTGCCGGGTCGACTTCGAGCTCCATATCATCACTTCTATCAACCACTGTAACGCCGCGGACTTCATCTTCTACGGCTCCAAACCCGACAGGACCTCAAACTTCCACTTCGGCTGTCGTTGCTCCAACAGTCACCTCGGTGATATCGACAAGCTACTCGGAGAGCACCGTCATGGGAAATGCCTGGTCATCGGCAACCATAATCCTGCCGCTGGAAAACAACAGCACAACAACAATCTACGGCTCTGAGCTGACGAGTGGGGCGACACTTGTGCTCCCAATCGCACAAACTACCAACTCGTACACCACAACCTTGAGTGGGAGCACAGCTGCAGCAGGCGCTTCATCTAGCTCAACCGCAGCTGGCAGTGGAAGCCCATCGCAATTCTCGGGCGGCGCCTCGAGGGACAAGTCCTTCATCAGCGAAGACTTGCGCTGGTGGACGCTGGTGCTCGGGATGGTGATCCCTCTGTGGCTCGGTGTCGGCCTTTGAAGCACACCAAACGATACCAATGAATGAACAAATCGTGAGGGGATAATATATACACGGAAATCGGGATACCCAGTGGACATGCACATGCACATGAAAAAGACGTCCACTTATGACTTTTTGAGCCTCTGACCACCATTGGCCGTAAAAGACTATTGGCCACTTGGTGTTAGTCAGGGGCGGGGGAAGATTAATATTGACTCGAGCAGGATCCCGCATAGCCCTGCTACAGCTGCAGAGGACATGTACGTAGTCATGCCAAATGCTAGAACAAATGATTGTATCCACTCACTAGTGGGATCTTTCCTTTCTCGCTCGAGCTCATGGCAATTAGGGGATCTACGAGTACAGGAGTAAATCCAGCGAAACGAGAAACGAGTCTGAGGCTTTTTACTCCAACGATAGCAGGTTTTCTCGGCTCATCGGCGAACTCATCGCCCTTATCTACTACTCGTGAATACCTAGCAATCGCCAGCGCTGACTGGTGATAACCTCCAAGGATGCGACACACCCGGTGGCATCAGGCGACAAAAAGTGGTCCTTATCAACTTGAAACATTCAACGCGGGTCTGTGGATCGCGTGAGGATCCTAATCGAAGGTGAAAAGCAGCGCTTCGTACCTAAATAGGAAGTTAGTATTGCTCGATGTCACTAATTACCAGACTACTCGTATACGACGGTAGGTAGGTAGGTAGCCAAGGTTGCCTAGGCACTCGGTAGTTATAGAAGTTGGGGACACTAGGGGATCGTCATGCCCGGAGAATATTCAGAGTGCCAATCTTTTATGTCGATCTCGGCATTTGAGTGCATCATGTAGGTGTCTTTGTTCAGTGTGCTTCTAACTACGACCCACGATTTCTTGCATAAACAGTGGGTATTTCATCGACGAGTACGCCTTGGCATTGGTAAATATGTACGAGTACTTGGCCAACTGTAGGGACCCCCCAGCAGCTAATGTCAAACCGTTACATCGGTGAAGTCCTCGACTCCTCTGCTCTCCTCGACCTGCCAAATAGAGCTTCTTACACGGATGACGTCAAGTGTTGAACCTTGGCTACCACCGCTCCACCTCCATCACGCACCAAAAGGGCCAGACCACCAGGCCAAAGAAGCTAGCAGGACAGGCTGTGCAATTGCCCTCATGGAGAAAAGTGTGACAAACGGTACGGGAGAGCTTGGTGTTATTTCCATCATAAACCTGCAGTCTCCCGCGGCATTCTGTGAAGTTATCTCCCACGTGGGCTACCTAATCCCGAGTTATCCATCAGCGACCTCAATAGAGACAATGTCGAGAAGACCATCCCTGCAAGCTCCGCAACGGCGGCGCAGCTCGACGGGCCAGCATGCCGAGAGCGACGCAGCGCTGGCAAAGCTTGGTTACCAGAGCGAGCTGCCCCGGAACTTGTCCATGCTAAGTGTCTTGGGCCTATCGTTTGCCATCATGGCCGTGCCGTTCGGCCTTAGCACGACTCTCTACATCACCTTGACCGATGGCCAGGCCGTGACCATCCTGTATGGTTGGATCTTCGTCTCGATCGTTTCACTGAGCATCGCTGCTTCGCTGGCTGAGATATGTGCTGTGAGTGGAACCCCATTTTGCTGTCTCTAGGTGTCCTTTCTGGCTGTATGGATGGATACATGGTGTATCGGAATTGCTATCTGGTTGGCTGACATCTGCAAACCATGACAGGTATATCCGACCGCCGGAGGCGTGTATTACTGGTCGGCGATGCTGGCGACCAAGGAATGGGCGCCGATGATATCCTACGTTGACGGCTGGCTGACCTTGATTGGGAACTGGACGGTGACCCTGAGCATCAACTTCTCAGGAGGCCAATTGATCCTGTCTGCCATCTCTCTGTGGAACGAAGACTTTGTCCCCAACGCCTGGCAGACGGTGCTGATGTTCTGGGCGGTCATGCTGATCTGCGCCAGTGTCAATGCTTTTGGATCGAAATATCTGAACCTCATCAACACGATTTGCATCTACTGGACCGGAGCCAGCGTGATCATCATCCTCGTTACCGTTTTGACCATGGCCGATGACAAGCGCAGCGCCAAGTTCGTCTTCTCGCACTTTGACGCATCCGCTTCAGGGTGGCCCAGTGGGTGGGCGTTCTTCGTGGGGCTCTTGCAAGCTGCGTACACTCTGACCGGGTACGGGATGGTGGCGAGCATGTGCGAGGAGGTGCAGAACCCTCACCGAGAAGTCCCCAAGGCCATCGTCCTGTCCGTCGCAGCCGCCGGGCTTACGGGGATCATTTACCTCATTCCCATTCTCTTCGTTCTCCCAGACGTTGCGACCTTGCTCGCCGTCGCGAACGGCCAGCCGATCGGACTCCTATTCAAGACCGTGACAGGTTCTGCAGCCGGCGGCTTCGGGTTACTGTTCCTCATCCTGGGAATCCTCTTCTTCGCGGGCATTGGCGCCCTGACGGCCGCTTCACGCTGCACCTACGCCTTTGCGCGGGACGGCGCGATCCCGGGCTCGAAGCTGTGGTCGCGCATCGACACGAAACTCGACGTCCCACTGTGGGGCCTCGTCCTCTCTACCGTAGTTGACTGCCTCCTCGGCCTCATCTACTTCGGCTCGACGGCCGCCTTCAATGCCTTCACCGGCGTCGCCACCATCTGCCTCAGCACCAGCTACGGCATCCCGATCCTCGTCAGCGTGCTCCGCGGCCGCAAGGCTGTCCGGCACTCGACTTTCAGCCTGGGCAAATTCGGATTCTTTATTAATATCGCCACGTTGTGCTGGATCTGTCTTGCGGTGGTGCTTTTCTGCATGCCTGTTGCGATTCCGGTCACCCCGACGAGTATGAACTATGCCAGTGTGGTGTTTGCTGCGTTTTCAAGTGTGGCAATTACGTGGTATTTTGTCAGTGCGAGGAAGAGCTTCAAAGGGCCTCCCGTCTTGAATGATGTCCAGCCCGAAGAGGGTGTTGCGGTCGCGACACACAGTCCGAGACGTGGTGAGGCTGAGAATGGTTTGAAGGATGGAATGTCGGACGAAACTGAACCCGAGAAGCCGTAGAAGCGGCCGGGTGCTGGAATTTCTTGCCACGCGCGGTAAAGTAAATACTGTGCCGGAGATTAGCTCATCACGGTCATATAATATGGTGTCGGTGACGCCCAGCCTACTCTTTGACACGCGCCCACCTGCCCTAGTGATCTCTACAATTCTAGGTTCTAAATTGCCAAGTTGAAAGTTGGATTGAGTACCATTTCTTCCCACTCGGTTCACAAGGTGATTGTAGCACTATAGTACTTGTGTCTTCCGATATCACCTATCACTCCAATCGGTAGGTACGGTCTGTTCCTTGTCTGAAAAGTTCTTGCAGCGTTTCATGTGAGAACGTGTTTCCAAGATTCTCCTACCCAACCCCAGTTGCTTTGAACCAAGACTCGGCCCCGATGGTGCTGGATTTAGTTCATGGAATTACCTATGGAGCCATCTCCACTGAGAACCCATAATTCAACACTCCGCATTACATCAAGTTAAGAATGCCTCCAAACATCACAGCCCCCAAAAAGAGAGGAATCGAAGCAAACTTTTGCACAAAAGTCTTTGCACTGTTCTTAAGCTCTACTCCTTTTGGATCAGGGTCAGCCTTAGCAACAGACGATTGGTTGTTTTTCCCATCCGAGGGTGGTTGAAGTGTGCCATTGTAAGTGAAGACCAGTTGCATACCCCCAGATACCGAGCTGGGATGATTAGTGCTACCTGCGACACAAGCAGCCCATTTTTCCGTGTTGTTCAATCCAAATGCTGTCCCAGCCACAAGGGACCAGAGAGTTGTGGTGTCAAAGAAATGCTCGGGCTTCCACCAAACTCGACAGTCCGCAGCTTCGTATACGAATTGCAAAGGTGTCATGGTCACATCGTCCTTTGCAATGCCGTTCCCGAAATTCACGGCGAACGTGCCATCACTTCGGCGTGAGAGGTACTCGCCGTTGTCCGCGACTTCTTTGAGCTTTGTTTGATTTGCATTCGCTTGAATGTCCGGTGGCGCATGCTGGTAGAACAGGTTAACCATGTACATTAGATAACCAATACTGAGTTTTCGTCTTCCTTTGACTCCACCAACAAACTGCATCGGGCCTGGTTTGGGTCGGCCTCCGCCAACAATGGTTTTGACTCCTCCTTGCCACTTCATGAGATTCATGAACGTATCGCATGTCGATCCACAGTTTCCATTGCTGAGAACGATTATGTTCTCAGTCTGGAACGCTTGCCTTGGAGGTTTGCTGAAAACAAACCCGCTTAGATAGTCCTCATAATCGGTGTTTTCGATATCAAGGAGAGCAAGATTCGTGAAAGTGTCACCATGGCTCAGAGTTGGACCAGTGAATTCGCTCCACGAATCGAACCTCTGACCACTGAGATTGTTCAGCCCTCTACCATCAAATGCGGAGAAGCCACCTGCCGCGATATAGTTCGTAATGTTGCCAGTGTCCTCAAGCACGCCGTGCGCGAATTGTGTAAAGAATTCACCCATTACATTCAACTGTTCGTGTGAACGTAAATTTCCTGCTGAATAAGGCTCGGTATCCGGGAAGAGCTGCTCGAAGACGTCGTATCCAAGCCCAATATTTCCGCCTCCGTTACTTTGAATGTCAACAATGAGATGTTGCTTACCATTCAAGACGCATGTATGCAAAAACTCAGTCAAGTTAGAATGAAACTCTTCCGTGCTCCGTGGATTGAAGCTTCCAAGTCTGAGAACAGCAACGGTTTCAAATCCGAGGACATTCATGAAATATCCCTCGATCGCACCGTCATCCGTGAAGTAAAGGGGAGCAGGGTATAGGTCGTTGCTATGATGAGACGCAGCAGTCTTCCTCATTTCGTGGATTGTGTTATGGCCCAAGGCTGAAACTGTACCTCTGGAGGACAGTGCCCGCTTCCGTGTAACTTCTGTAACGAATCTGCGGTAGAATGACCTACCATCGACGACGCCCGTGAAATCATCAAGCAGCACTGCTGTGGTAGGGTGATTCAAGACTGTCCCATTTTTAAAGAGGATAGTCGTGCTCGGCCCTGGATAGCTCCCACAGAACAGAAATCTGCTTCCAGCAGCAGGCGACTTCACGAATGTGTTGTACCTTAAAACATTAGCAAAAATTGTGGAGTTGAGTCTTGAGATAGGGCTGTACATTGCATCAGGATCATGTTGGCCACTAGTGGTATTGAGAGCTTGATAAAGAACCCAGCTCTTAGCGTCTTGTCCATTGATCTTAACTATTGGAGAAGGGTTGAAATTATTATCGGCATTTCGCTGTTCAATATCTCCTATCAGTCCAATTAGTAGGTATAGTGGACAAATCAAAACACCTAGTGACCTCACCGTAAGCAAATATATCTGGTGTTGATCTACCATCCAGCGAGACAGAAACAATGCCGTCGATAGTCCTTATATACCCAAACACTCTCATTGCAGGCAAGCTGGTGTACAGATGGCCATCATGAGAAGATTCTAGTATGTCGGTCAGGGCCTTTTCGAAGGCAAGCTCAGAGGTAAAAGCGTCATTCTCGACTGCCACGCGTAGCGTTTGGGCATCAGACATGAGATCGGTTGCTGATAGTAAATACCCTGGCGGTGGGTCCTTGAGGTATGCCAGTGTCGATTGCCATTCTAGCAATGCCATGACCACGTTGATGAGGCGGAGAGCGTCGGGTTTAAGCAAGGGAGCAGACATCGCACAAGAGTAGGCTAGCTCAGCAGGAATCGGAAAGTTGACCTTTTCTGGCGCTGTAAGCCATTAGGATCTTGCAACTTCTGGAACTACACCCATGACGCACATAGTTTGCTACCAGGAACTACCGTCGTCAGGTAGTTATGCAATTTTGCACATGGCTCTGTGCCGTTGATTGGACTGTCTGGCTCCGACAACTCCTGAGGCGTCGGTGAATCAATTCTGTCGATCGCAATGGCTCGCGCGAGGAAAAAGCTCAAAAACAAAAGCGAGAGAGCGAAAGGGGCCATCATCGCGTCGTGCTTCTCGCGCGACTGATGGCCAGATATGCTGTGTTCGTGGACGTGTCCAGTTGCAAAGACCATCAGACAGCAGGAGTTCAGCTTGACGACTTCGAAAAAAGAAATTCGATCCTTGAGCTAGTGAGAGTCAGACGTGAGGCGGGAATGAAAAGTGCAGGCCACATTCTAGTAGATGTGATTGTATTTCACTTCACTCTTACCGTTTACGTGCAGAAATCGACAAGGGACACCTTCTCTTCCAACCGATGAGGACTCACCGTGCGTTCTCTTCGGAGAGAGCTTCGCTTGCTGCTGGTTCCTCTTGATTGCCGATCATGACAGCACAATACTTTGCTCCCTTTGCTCGAAGGTGGAACTCAGGGCTTTGCTATGAGTTGTACAATGGGGCGTAATGATTGATCCATCGGTAAATCTCCTCCCAGCCTGCCCCAGCACATCTATATCATCAATGAAGCTAGGTGGGTCGTGAAATGTATGACAGAGGCATAAACAATACCAAGTATTGAGCCCTTCTTTTCCCCAAGGCAGGGCCGCCCATCACTTTTGCTATTCTTCAATGCCTTGCATGATTAACACTAGAGCCTGTCGAACTTGGCTAGTGAAAGGACATGATCCATAGGTTTGCCCGATCCTAGAAGAAACAGGTCTGACATTGTAGCAAACTTGTTGCCAGATTTGAGGGGTGGCCGCTCCATCCATTTTCGTCGTATCAACGTGGCGCCACAACGTGCGTTCGTGTGACGCTCAGGGCTGGCCATCACGTGGGAATTTCAATGCAATGGGAACGACCTGGAGTATGGGGATTTCTAAACTCTCAAGCAGTGTGTCACTAAAAGTAGATCCAGACATTGCTATGAGTGTCATGCTCATTGCTCAGGTTCCTCGGTGAGAAGAGACGATGAGAATTCTTTGTGAAGGCGGGATGGCATCCACAAAGCCACGGCAAGTACGGAGGGGGTTGTTTGAATTCCATCCCAGCCTCCTGGCGCTTGGACACAACCTATGGACAACTGAAAGGCTAGCATCATTTATAAATTCTGCATCTAAAAGACTGTTCTATGGAAACCGACTCTATCGTGCCATGGGCTTTGAACCGTCTCTTTGCTCTGGGGTCTATTTTGATGAACAACACTGATTGCCGTTCGACGAAAGCTGACCTGGGATTTGTCGAAGGCCCAGTTTCAGTCATCGAACGGCAAAGGTATCCAAGCAGCCTGCAAGTTGAGAGTAGACCTCTTGCTTGGACCTGTAACGAGATGGCGCAGCCCCATCTAAATAGTGTATCTAAAGGACGGATTCCCCTCCAATACCTTGCCCTCCTTATCTGCCTTGCGGTTCTCCCGTCTAAAGTAGAGTGAATTGACTACAACGATGGTGATGATCAGCCCATTGCATGCCATTCCAGCGTAAATTCCTGGGCGATAATGAGGCGAATCTTGCGAGCGGAAGATTAGAGAACCGGCGACGCCGCCAATGCCACCTGGAGGCATAGACATTAGCTCAAGGAGACTGATGAGCCCGACATGAAGACTTACCAAACCCAACAAGAGTTGCGGAGCAGAATGCTCTCTTCCAGTGCCCTCGGATGTTATTAGCCTAGCATGTGTCAGTAAAGTTTAGCCTTGGGATCAATAATCAACTCTTACTTGATAGGCCATCGCTGTAGGTATGCTCGAATTGCAGCTTGCGCAAATGAGGAAAACTCCAAAGTATCGGACCCCCGCTTGCGACGCGAAACCCTGTATTTATCAGTAAAGATTTGAGGTAACAGAAGAATTTCTCGTGGTGACGTACCATGATTGGCAATCCAATCAAGCCCAGCACAGCATTCCCTGCCAGAAGTGGTCCACGAATGTGGTATTTATCTCCCACCCAGGCAATGCAGATCATCACAATACCAGCAAATGCATAAGGAGGGGCGGCAAGGCATTGTGACTCGGCAATTGAGAAGCCCATGTTCTCGCGCAAGATAATGGGAAGAAAGTAGGAAATGGCATAGGCCATAGTTGTAAGACAGCTGTGGATATGTCAGTAAACCGAATTCATCGAGCTATTCTTTCGAAAGTGCATACAAGAAGACCAAGGCGAACGCCCAGACTTTGGGGTCCTTGCCTGAAGACGCCCATTTCTTGAAGTTCCACTCTTCAGCGTCGGCATCACTCCTGTCCTTGTTGATTCGTCGTATGACGAATGCGATCTCCTCCGAATTTAGGAACGGCGGCCATGACTTCTTCTTCGCAAGCTGATCCGGGAAACCAACAAGAAAAATGAAGCCAATGAATGCGATAACACAGGTGACCTGTTGGCCGTCAATATGTATCTGTGGTGTTGTCTAAAATTCAAGAAACTTACGACGCCTTCGATAATGAAAATCTGTTCCATTCCTTGTTAGCGTTCGTACATTGTAGATGTAGGGAATATAAACCTACCCATCGCCATCCCCAGTATCCTGCCAGACCGTGCTACGCAAGTTAACTGGTGTCGATACCGTCGAAATGATAGCGCTTACCATTTGTTGAATACCATAAGCAAGGATTCCAGAGCACGCAGAGGCCAAAGACCCGATCATGTAAAAAACTGCATATCTCTTCTGCATATCATAGCGAGAATAGTACGTTGAGATGAGATATACGCAGCCCGGGAAGAAGCCTGCTTCGAACACGCCCAGCAGCAGGCGGAGTGGCAACATAACCACCCAGTCTTGAGGGAATCCAAATCCGATCTATTCTCGTCAGCGTTTGACTCTCACGTTATGGTGTGGAGAAGGAATCGTTCAATGATGATCTAGTGTAATAGGAGATCGCGAATAAATTCTGCGTTCAACCATTGGGCTGGAGCATCGTGACTCACCATGACGAGCCCCCAAGCCAAACAAATACCGGCGAGAAAAGGTCTAGGACCAATCTTTCGGCAAAGAAGCGTGGCTGGTGGCTGAAACAAGGTGTACGTTATGAAGAACACCAGAGCGATGGTCGACTAACGAGCATTGGTTAACAACAATTCGATCGACGAGGCAGAGAGCGCTCACGTAGCGGAAGCCCACGTTCAAGTCCAACTCAACGTTCATTCCCGCAATAGCTGCATTGGGCAGATTGGTGCGGTCCATCAGACTAACACAGTACATTGCCCCTGTTGTCGTGATCAGACGGCGGTCGATACGATGAATGATTTTCCGCTGTTCTGGTCTGCTGAACACAGGGTCATCGTCGAGGGCCTGTATCTCACGTTGTTTGGCATCCTCGATGAATGAATCATCTGGACTTTTGTCATCGACAATCTGTAGGTCATCCGATCTTTGTACTGGAGCCGATGCCATGGTGCTGAATTTTGGTCGCGAGAAAGCTGCGGAGATACAGACATGTCACATAGGGGTTCGTGATATCATTTTATATATCAATGTGAACGATAGGATTTGATTTCACGTGGGCCTTTTGGTAGCATCCCGGCTGCCACATGAAAGTATCATGGACGTACGCAAGATCTGGAGCAGCACGTACATGGAGACCATTTTCTTGGATATGCCGATGTCAAGGATGTGAGTGGTCGGGGTGGAGTTGCCCAGCCTTGTCTTGCTTCCGCTTTTTGCCAAGGCCAAGCGCTGGCACTGCCCCGGATCTCTGGGGCGGACATTGGGCAGCCCGGGGTATCAGAGGATTTTGGCCGCCATAACGGAGATCTTCCTTCTTCTGGAAGGCAGCGGGACCCACCGGAGTTTTCATCTAAATAGTACTTCGCAAAATACAATCAATCGCTGGTCACTCGTTGAATTATGAACCGAGGCTTCTACTCCCACTTCGACGAAAAGAGTATGGTGACGAAGACCAGGGTGACGAAGACAATCTGGGCACTCCACGAAGAATATTGAATTTGCCATGGCAGGATATTTACCTAGGTAATTTGAAGTTATTACCACAATGGGATATGTTGGTGCGCTGCGCGTGGTTGATCGGGAGGCACTCGTCGTGATGACGACAAGCTGATCGACCTCCTCACTCCTCACTCCTTTCAACCCCGGAATGTATCTGAAAAGGTCGAATGATCTTATTATTGAAGAGCCAGCACATGTAAGTATCGTGTTGTCAGCTTGCCCCTATTGTTAGACTCTATCTCTCTGCATTCTCAGGACAACACTCCCTTTAGTAGGCGCACACCTGAAATCCCAAATTAAACGTCGTGGTGATTCTTGCATCTCGCCGCCGTGAGCAGTGAGTAACCGTGTGAGTACGAAGAGAAGGAATGATCATTTGCATTTTCACCGCATCATTGAGCTCAAGGTACCAGGCTCGATAGTAGGATGGGCTGCATCAGCAACTTACGGACTGGGGAATGTCGGCGAACAGTCACCAATCACCAGTCCGTGCACCGAACGTGTCGGGGAGCTGCACATTTGTTGAGGAAGGAGTCTCAAGGATCCATAGTCTGAGATCCAGCCCAGGGATTATAGGGTTATGGGCCCCTATCAATGAAGTTGCCAACGTTCAAAGCGAAAGAGCAAACAGGCTCGTGGCCTCGAACCGCTATGCTCAATTCGACCATGGAAGTTTTGTTTTGCAGAAAAGTTGGGACAAAAGACGGCTACCATAGGCTGAGTATTTTCCATCGATGAGAGGCCCCTGTAAACCATGGATTTTGGGGCAAAACAAGTGCTTGATGTAAATCCCTAAGCATACTCGTACCTCGGTCTCGAATTTTACAAAGTTTGAAGGGGTTGGTGCTCATGACAGTCTTGGCAACAGGTTGCCGCTGATGTCATTCGCCTTCCTTCCGGGGCTCAGGTCACGTGATATTGCCCTTGTACCTCAAAGATTGGCTCCAGCAGAGAGGCAGACATGCAGGCAATCAGTTTGGACCCGGCATGAGCAATGGTAGGTCATTGAGCAGGAGGGCTGAAACAGTCTGGTGGAATAGGTCCCTAGGCAGGATGGTATTTACCTCTGCTAGGATCTGGATGCTCCCATGGCCCAATGGCTTCCCCGCATTCAAGAATACGGTCCGAGATAGAAAGCCCATGCTCAGTTCTCCAACACCGGCTCCTCACTTACTCATAAAGGGATCAAATTGTGAATTTCCCCAATTATATCCAACGTAGAGGTGTGTAGCAGCGCGGCTGAAATCCGCCTGGCATTCGAGACTACCTCGGTATAGCAGAAGCTTATGTGAATACTACCATGAGGTCTACAGGGTGATAGGTCGTGCAATCTCGAAACCGTCACCGCCCCTCGGACTTGGTATCTGAGGCTCCGAGTTTGGATCGTTGTCCTGCTCTTCTCTGTACAGCGTTTGTGATTGTACATTGTATTGAAGGTGGCGATCAGTCTCCCTGATCGATCGGGAAATCGTCCTCACACGCGCTTCGAACGCCGGCGATAGCTCATCGTCTACGTCTTTAATCAATGAGCATAGGTTTACTAAGCCTGTTTCTTGATATTGATAACTTTTAGCTAGATGGAGTATGACACATCTACGATCCAGGCCGATCCGGTTCGGTCTGCTGCTGGGGTCGATGAGAGCGACAATAGAGGCCGTACTCGCATCGCATCTCATCCCGTCGACGTCTCTGTCCTCAAGGCGCCAATGACCTTTGCCTTCTCCGGCCGGACGGTGAAGAATCGACTGCTGAAGGCGCCGATGACTGAAAGGCTTTGCCGATGGAATAAAGAAGGCGAGGATATAGTAAGATTTAACCTTGGCCTCAGAAATTTTGGTTGAGCCTAACGTTGTTAGTCTGTACGAGGTTTCCCAACACCAGAGTATTTAAATCTCTATAGACGATGGGGTGAAGGTAGGTATCATGGTTTGATTTGATGGTTGCACGGTCTGGCAATCCAGACTACGGTTTGCTTGCATCTTGATGAGACTGATCCGTGGTGCTTTGCAGGCAACATTGGCATCATTGTCAGTGGTAACACCATGGTCCGATATGATGCTGTTGAAGCTTTCGGAAACCCAATTATTGTGGACGATCACGACGGCCGTATTGCCAAGTACCGCGAGGTTACAGATGCTGCAAAGGCTTACGGTTCACTTATCGTTGCACAACTTTCCCATCCTGGCAGGCAAGGAGGAAAGTATCTGAATCCAAATCCCGTCAGTGCGAGTGATGTGCACTTAGCAATTAAATGGGCCGGGAACGAGTTCAACCGACCCAAACCACTTTCGATTCTGGAGATCAAGGAGATGGTGAAGAGTTGGGGCGAGACTGCATATCTCTGCTGGAAGGCAGGCTTTGACGGAGTACAAGGTAAGGCTCTGGCTATAAATGTCCTCCAGCGCACTGTTTGACGCGAAAATATCGTAGTGCACTGTGCACATGGGTACCTTCTAGCACAGTTCCTGAGCCTCACGACGAATAAGCGCACCGACGAGTACGGAGGTGACTTGAACAACAGATCGAGAATCGTCTTCGAGATTATCGAGGAAATTCGGCGTCGCGTGACTGATCCAAATTTCATCATCTGCGTGAAACTCAACTCCGTTGAATTTCAGGACAAAGGGACTACCCCCGAAGACGCGAGAGACTTGTGTCTCAAGCTGGAAGAGGCGAGAGTCGACTTCGTGGATCTGTCTGGGGGCACGTTCGAGGGAAGGGCTTTCGAGCACAAGAAGCAGAGCACAATTGCCAGAGAAGCTTACTTCATCGAATTTGCGGAGATGATCCGGCCACTCCTTAAGAAAACCAAGGTCTACGTCACTGGAGGTTTGAGAACAGCCAGCGGCATGGTCAAGGCCATCAGTGCCGGTGCAACTGATGGTATTGGCATCGGGAGACCCCTAGCAGCGGAACCATTCCTCGTCAAAGAGCTTTTAGCAGGGAGAGTTACGGGTGCAATCGAGAATTTCGTGCCATTGCCAATGAACACGCAAGCGAGTGGGACGCAGCTGCACCAGATCGGGCAGGGCCACGACTTGATCAGCGACTGGAGCGTAGAGAGCGAGGTCAAGAGATGGGTGGAGGCGAACGAGAAAGAAACCGAGAGGAAATTGAGCATCCTTCCTAAGGTCGACAGCAGTGGTTACCCTCCTTTGAAGGCAGAAGCAGGCTTTGCGTACCTACAGGCTTGAAAAATGATCTTCAGGTTAGAAATGGAGCCGCAGGAGACAGCCAGTCTGGTCATAGATGCACATAGATGACAACATGTCCCAGTGTAACATGATGTACAGTGGGGAAACAGGAGACACAACTTCCAGGAGAATAGTAACTGCTGAAGAACACGAGTAGAGTTTCGGAAGGATGGTGGTTGAACTGAATATGTTTGATCAATGCTGTTTTCATTTCGCATTTGTCACTGGCCTCGAACCCAGTGGCACACTCTCTATTCGTGCCTTGGTGACGCTCATCGGCCCATATTCCCATGCCGGTTCACACGATAAAATGCGGATCTTTGGGGATGGTCAACTCCATTGTCGAAGTTGCACTCGTCTTACTGCCACAGAAATCAATTGAGTGAACCTCCATCCACGCCATCATCTTTGCTCTAGAACTTCTGGAAGGACTTGACAGCTTTGCCAGTTCGGGGAAGCACACGCAGAACGTTGAATCGGACCTAAAGTCGATACCTGTCAGTTCCAGTTCACTCCATTCGATGGCTGAATCTTACAGTCTTGCTGAGAGGTCTGCATTGTCCAACGGTAACGGTGTCACCATCTTCAACACGGAATGCCGGCGAAACGTGTGCGGCGAGGTTCTTGTGTCTCTTCTCATATCGGGCGTACTTGGGGACGAAGTGTAGGTATTCTCGGCGGATGATCAAGGTTCGGTGCATCTTGGTTGAAACGACTTTGCCGGTGAGGATACGGCCACGGATGGAGACCTGTCCGGTGAATGGGCATTTCTTATCTGTCGGGATGTCAGAACCAGTCCAGTCTTCCAATGCCCGCTCCGTAAAATCTCATGGCATGTGTAGAGTTTTCGGACAGTGCTAAAGCCTGCCTTCCAATAGAGAATCTACTGACCGATGTATGATCCCTCAATGGCGGTCTTTGGCGTCCTGAAGCCCAATCCAACATCCTTATACCATCTTCGTCCACCCTTACCAACCCTCCTGCTCTTCGCAGCCTTGGACTTGTGGTTGAGGAAGATATGTGGTTGCTTCTGGTAAGCGCGCTCGGACTGGACTGTCAACTCGGTCGCCATGGTTGCGGTTGTGGTTGATGGAGGGTGCGCAGGAAGAAGGAGTCGTCGTCGGCGGGAGTCAAAGTGATCTGGAAATTCCTTGAGGTTTTAGTGCAAAGCCCTCCAAAATCCGCTGTGTGTGAAAGCTTGGCGGTGAGTGCCAAGATCACGTGATAGCGCGAGATGCTTATTATGTAAGTCGTGTGTTGACCGTCTGTATCCGGTTAGACCGATGTCGACGCGATTGACCGGCTTCAAAGTGGGACGTGGGCATATCCTTCTCCCAACAACATTGTTACAATCATGTTTCACTAGACTAATCACCCAATATCGTGATCTGAGGGCTCAACTCTGCAGACATGGACGACCTGACAACCGAATGTCGGCCTGCGAAACCCAGAATCAGACAATCAATTGCTCATATACCATCCTCCAAGTCGCCGGCATTCAAGGACAATGCGACCACAGACATAGCTGCCCTACAGGCTGAGCATGGCAAAAACCTGGCGGCGAAGAAGAAGTCGCGAGGGAAAAGTATTGGCCCAGGGGGGCTGGAGGCATTGACAGAGACATCCGCAAATTCTGTAAAGGTGAGAAAATTCTACCGATATATTGCGATGGGTTGTTGACAACAGATATCTACCCCGTTTCAGATCAAGTCTATCCTCAAACCCGCGATCCCACTCACTCCCCCGAAAGTGATCCCAACTTTTGATGAATTGAGAAAGCGAAGCACTGGCAAGGCCAAGTCACCCAACAAGCAGAATGCTGAAGAGCTTCTGATAGACTTCTCCACCCCTGGGCCCAACACACAGAACGGAGCGGATCTTTCGATTTCCGGTACAGAGGATGTCTCGGATCCTTTCAGCCCGATTGCGCGAAAGTCGCCTGCGAAGGATGGAGCGAGCAGTAGCGACCTCGAGCGAGAGAAGGACGCAGAACGAAAACATCAGGAGGAAAAAAAGGCAATACTTGAGCGAAGAGCAGCAAGACGGAAGTCGCTCGCTAATCGTAGGGTGTCCTTTGCGCCAGAAGCAACCCTCCACACGTGGAGTGTCATGGAGGTCGCAGAGGATTCCACAACCAGTTCTGCTTCGAATTCAACCCGGAGACAATCATCTATAACTGTGTCACAGTCGCCTACGAAACCAGAGGCATCGTCTGGAACTCCACAAACAGCCTCGGCACAAGATGGACTGGTTGAAGACCCGCTAGTCAAAGAATCTCCCGCGCATCAAAAAGCACGGCGGAGAAGGAGCTCCGGTCTTCCGGGTCCTATGTTGGATGCTTCACAAGACGATGTCTTCTCTTCCAGCCCATCCGGGGATATCACAACAAACAGTAGCCCTATACGAGTTGAGGAGGGCATAGAGTCTTCCGATGAATCGGATACCGATGGTGACACTGCAATGAGCATGGACGAAACCACGTCTCATACAGTGACTTCCCAGGAATCTGGATCTAGTACTCATTCTAGCCTTGAAGAACGACTACGCCAAGCCGCAAGTCAAGCCGGCACCCGTGGGATTGACTATGATGAGAACGGAGAAGAACTGTCTATGGAATTGGTGACTGGGACCGTAACGCATGCCTTTCAACCTCGGGCACGCAATCGTGAGATTGGCTTCGAAAATAGCGCACTTCATGATCAGGAAACTGGGGAACCATTGTCGTCGTCTCGTCAATCACCGCCTCTCCAGCCTGTGGAGGATGAGGACGTGGAAGAACAAGATTTGGATCAGACTGAAGAAATGAGTATGGAAGTGACTAAAGCGGTCGGCGGGATTGTCTCCAAACAGTCTCCACAAACTAAAAGCCGGAAGTCGCCAGCACCACGCCGCAGAAGCAGTATTCGACGCCGTCGTTCATCAGGGGCTGAGTCCGCGTTAGACAACACCATGGAGTTCACGGTAATGCAAGGAGGTATTATCGACCATGAGACTGAGGAAGTCACTAGCAACCTGACAATGGCTCAAGCGGCTGATGACGGGATGACTATGGAATTCACCAGCGCAGTAGGTGGGATTCTGGGAAGCTCAAATCGCAGAACATCTACTGCATCAGACCAGATGGAAGAAAATGATAGCATGGATATGACAGCTGCGGTTGGCGGAATTCTGCCGCCAATTGAGGAGCAGACTGAACCACAAACTGACGTGGATGAGGACCAAACTTCTGCTATGGAGCTAACCAGAGCTGTGGGATCTATTATTCAGCAATCTTCAAGAAGGCACAGCACAACTCGAGGATCCTCAGGTGTCCGCCCCGACATAGGTACTGATGCACCTTCTCCTTATCATGCGCAACCAGTTGCTGATCAAAGTACGACCCCAAAATCGACTCCCAAGCCTTTACAAGTTGCGTCTGTTGCTTCCGAAACAGGCAGCCCCAGCTTAGCACTGAAACCGAGACTATCAAGCAGGGCGCAAAAAAAGTCTGCTTCCATGATATCAACGACGCCACCTTCGAAAGCTAAGAGTCTTTCTTCGGTCAAGTCAGTAAGGGGAACGCCAGGTGGCACACCCTTAAAGCAGATGACTCCACTTCCATATCGTGCGGAGACTCCCAACAAGACACCTCTACGTACCAATATGATTGAAAAGAGTGCGTCGCCAAAGAAGCTTTTCAAAGCAGAACTCCAAGCCAGAGCCTCACCACGGTCGATCAAGCGCGAATCAGCTGTCAAAGCGGCTTCTCTTTTCTCCCGAGATGCGGAGACTGGTCAGCAAACTCCTAGTGTTATCCTTCGTGCCACTAGACAAGGTCTTGCTCGTCGCAAGTCAAGCGGTATAGGGATAGATAAAGAAGGGGTTGGGTCTCCTCGCATCTCTGAGCTACTGGACCGTAGGTCTTCAATTGGTGATGCAGTCCCTCAATTCAAATTGGGCGTCACTGATGCACCAGGCACTCGCTCTGAAGATCCCCAGCAACTAGCGCAAGAGGTGGAAGCAGACCGTGTCGAGGAATATCGCCGTGAAAGTGGCCGTTTCATCATGGAACAAGAAGCCGACGAGCGAGTGGGAGATAACAGCACCTTGCAGCTCAAGGATATGATTGAAGCAATGTCCCCTAAAAAGCCAAAGGCTGGAAAGATGAGAGGTCGTAAGAGTCTCGCTGTTGGTGGCGCGAAAGGTCTTCTAGGGAAGAGGCCTGCAGAGCTTGATCTAGATGAGGAAGATGAAGACGAAGCAGAACCAACACCAAAACGCTTGAAAGCAGTGTCTAGGGAGGTCAGCCCCGTGAAACAAGTCCACTTGCCCAAGCCCCCCAGCAAAGACGAAACTACAGGTAGGCTCAGTGCGAAGCTGCAAAATTCGCTACCAGGTTTTGCCAGCAATAGCAAGGCAACACCGAAAATTGGATCTTCATCGCCCGTCGAAACGGCCGCCCCCAGCAGTCCGTCCACAACAGGACGATACAGAGATATACGCATTGACGCAGATGCGAGACCAACATCATTCGAAGACAAGCTTGATAATGTTGTTGGTGCAATTGATATGTCAACTGCCCAGATGCTTGAGCAAGCCAATATTCCTGATGAGCCAAAGATTTCGTTGCAAGAATTCCTCAATATGACCAATATTCATTTCATTGAATTATCAACAACCAAGAGGAGACATACAATGGCCCAAACTCTACCAAACAGAAAATCTCAGGAAAGCGTTCATGATAACACGCTGGAAGAGACGTTCGTCGCAGCCGCCACGACTCTTCCCCTTCTTGAGCTGTATCAACACTCTACTCGAGAACTCAAGTCATACATCTCAACAGGGCGGAAAATCGTTCGATCAATTGAAGCTGAGACGTTAGCTGAGCAACCACCTCTATTCCGCGAATACATCGACGCTCGACCGGATGTGAAGCTAGTTATGGACAACCAATTCCGGAATGGCAAGGCCAATGCGCGTCTCCAGAGCAAGGAAGGCTGGTATCGGTGGCGGAGCCAACTAGTCGACGGCCTGAAAACTGGGTTGCAAAGCATCAACGGCAATTTATCCCATGACCTTGAAATCCTCGATAATCAACAGCATATGCTTGACAGTGTTATCCCCGGGTTGCTACAGCAGCAGACAGCGCTGCAAAAGCTGCAGCCATCACTGCAGCAAAGCATTGAAGAATTGGACAGCATTGATCACGAAACGCTGAAAAAATACCGACAAGAATTACAAGCTGCTGACGAATATTTTCTCCAGCGAACAGCGCTGCTAAGTTCTCTCCAGGAGCAGATGGCTGAGAAGGAAGAGACACTGGCCGCCGCCGCCGAGCTCCAGGTAGAGATAAGAGATCAAATCGAAGAAGCTGACCGAGTTAGAGAAGAGCACAAAGGCTGGTCAAGCGCCGATGTTCTGGCCCTCAAGATGAAAGTAGAGCAGATCCAGAATGAAACTGGTTGGCGACTGATCTCAGCCGAGGAGGAGGCTGACGAGCCGAACGAGTTCGGTACAGCACTCACAATGATGTACAAGAACGAACTGCGCCTCTTCATGTACCCTCAAGTCTACCAAGCGACACATCCTACTCGGCGAAGATCAGGAAGGAGATCAGCATCAACGTCGGGACCTTCCGCCCCGATAAGTCTAACATTTGCGCCGGCAATTGATAATGATGCGGAATTTCCAGTGCCCGAGCTCTCCACTGAAAGACGCTTTTTCCTACAATTGATCAGAAGTCAGCTTCATGCGTTCTCCATGATGCCAAATGGTTCCATTCCTCCCAAATCCTTGCTCTCTACAGTTTCGCAAGGGTGGAATCTAGCTGCCAGAATCAGTCAGGAGCTACGGCTTCTAAATATGGTCGGAATCACAACAGCATCAATACTGGGTGATGAGAAGCTGGGAGTGAAAGTTATGCTAATTCTTCCGAAACAGGGAAGGGTAGACATTGAGTTTGCTGTATCTGTGACGATCCTTACCGATGGCAATATTGGCGCCAATACTATTGTGACTGCAACTGCACTATATGGGGATGCCACGGATTGTCTAACAGGTTCCAAGTCCAGAAAAGTGCAGCAAGCGCTGAGCAAGGAGATCGAAAGCAGACATCTCGGTAATGGAGCTTGGGTAAATGCTGTGCATGGGTTTGAAGCATGGCTAGCTGCACAGCAGAGGCCAAAACAGGAAGCGAAGCAGCAGGAAGAAGCAGCACCAGTGCCAGCTGCTCAAGCTCCTCCTCCACCGGCTGCTACATCAACAGTCACGGTCCCAGTACCTTCCAGTAAGCGCTCTCCGCTCGCCCCAAAGAAGGCGAACGTGCTACAGAAGAAAGCTCTTCCTGTACCAAAGCAGCGCCTTGAAAAGAACAATTTTCATCTTAGCACCAGTTCGCTACCAGGTACTACTGTGCATGAGAAGGAGAATTTCAATCCCTCGCTATCTATGAGCAAGGCAGTGTTCGACACCAGCCATCAGGAGCCAGCAATCCCGCCTGAGATGCAGGAGGTTATGATGCACACGCCTATTAAGCGTGTAGGAGCATTGAGGAGGAGCCCGATTTAGGGAAACCCCATGCGAGCGACAAAAGCACGGCACGATGCACATTCATCAAATAGAGGGTAATAACCCGGTATCAGAAAGCACGAGAAGAGAGAAGTTGGAAACCAATGAACGACTTACCGCAACGAAAATGAAACGAAACGACTCTGGGGACTTTGCAATCTGGAGTTCACACTGGATGGAGGAGTTGGCTGCCTGCATCTGCGTGCAGGGGATATTGTCGGTTCTTCAGCACCCATGGACGCCATGCGCCTTGCAACTTTTCCTTGAAGGCTGGAAAGAGTGTATTTTGTGTATTTTGTTTGGATTCTGTTCTTGTCGGACCGGGTGCTTGCTCCAGCCGTTATACATGTCGGTGTGCATGATGCTTTGCCCGCAGGCTGCAACCCATTGCTGCCGCCCAACCGAGGCTACACCAGCTGCAGCTCTCGCAAGCAAATCTAGATTAGGATCAAAGAGCCAGCTATCAGCCTTGGGTAGGTAGCTCGCTAGCTAGCTAAATGTGACTGACTCTTCTTCGGAGAGCACTTGACCTTTAAGGAACACAAATCGACAAGCAAGGATCTGGACATGATAAAACTACCCGTATTGTCACGTGCCTTGCGCTCATATGCAACAGAACCTCGGTTTCTTCTGCGTGCCCAACTAACTGGTACAATACTCTAACAGGTGACGAAGTCGTAGCGGTGTAGGCACATATATTGGTGGTTGTTTGCTCTACCAGCCGCCGCCACCACCATGACCAGGGCCGCTTTTCCCCATACCAAAGCCGCCAGATTCGTCACCAGCACCGACGGCACCCCTATTGAACCCTCCCTTCGAGGCACCACCTCCTCCACGCTGGGTCTTCTGCTGGGCAGCTTCATGCTTCCGAAGCTCCTCGGGGACGCGGGAGATGCTGCTCTTCATGAGCATCTGCTTGAGGTCGTACATGACATCTGCGTCCTCGTTGCCGAGGAACGTGATCGAAATACCGCTCTTGCCCGCACGACCTGTACGACCAATGCGATGGGTGTAAGACTCGATGTTATGTGCCATGTTGAAGTTGACGACGAGGCTGACGTCTGGGACGTCGATACCTCGGCCAGCCAGATCGGTGGCGACCAGCACGTCGGTCTTGCCTTCGCGGACGGAGAGGAGCGCCGCTTCTCGCTGCTCCTGCGTCTTCGAGCCGTGGAGCGTGACGGACGAGAAGCCCATGTGTTTGATGTCGCGAGCAACGGCGTCGCAGTTGCGTTTGATGTTGACAAAGACGATGATCGGCGGGCGGAATTCGCCTGACGAGAGGATCTCGCCGAGTCGCTTCTTGCGCTTGTCCTCGCCGGCGACGAACTCAACGCGCTGCTCAACTGTGTCGACGGCTTCTCCGATGTTTCCGATTGTGACGATCGCGGGGCGGCGAAGGTATTTGCGTGCTATACGCTCGACTGCGACAGGCATGGTGGCCGTGTACATCATTGTCTGTCGGTATCGGTCCTTGCCGCCAAGGTGACGTGACATGGCGCGATAGTCTTCTGCAGCTTCTGAATCAGGCTTTTCATTTCCTACAGGGAGAGCGTCGAGGATTTTGTTGACGGGTTCTTCAAAACCGAGGTCGATCATGCGATCTGCCTCGTCCATGATAACGTAGCAACATTGCTCGAGAACGATAATACGGCGATCAATACAATCGACAAGACGACCAGGCGTGGCGATGATAATTTCAGCACCATTGCGAAGATTATAGGCCTGCTCCTCAATCGAATGGCCACCAACGATGGACACCACGGTGAAACCCAACGGAGAAGCAAATTTTCGTGCTTCCAATTCGATCTGTTGCGCCAATTCTCGAGTGGGCGCCAGAATAATCGCATAAGGGCCATTGTTTTTCCGCATGTCGTCTTCGTCTAACCTTGGTAGTTCTGAGATGTAGACTAGGAGAGGCAGTAAGAATGCTGCTGTTTTACCGGAACCAGTGACAGCCACGCCAATGAGATCTCTATTCTGAAGAGCGATGGGAATGGCAGCTCTCTGGATAGGAGAAGGGTCAACGTAGCCGACCTGGTCGATGATTTCGAGTAATCTTGGAGGTAGAGATGATTCTTTCCAATTCCGCATGGGATTTGGTATACCTCCACCCTTGGTGGCAATGTTGAAATCCTCTTTGAAAATTCTCCAGTCTCGTTCACGCATATGCTCAAGTTTCTTTTCGCTCCAGTGCTTGTCTATGGACATACGGCCCGCATCTTCTTTCCTCCTTCGCTCCATTTCGAGGATTTCTTGAGCACGGGCAGAGCCAGCCACGATATCCCTGGATTGCAAGGCTGCAGCGTATTTCTGTGCTGCGGCATCCGCGACCTGCTCATCAAACCCACCGAGACGACCTCGCCCAAAGAAGTTGGTTTCTGCGCGGTTGTTGTAGATTGGATTATAGTCCGGGGTCGTATCTTCTTCAGCATTCCATTCGAAATTGAACTTTTTCTCCGTTGTCCTCCGCCTTTTTTTCAAGGCAGAGAAGGTCGAGACATTCATCTCAGCACCCATGTATCTCTGACGAATCAGGTCGGATTCTTTGTGTGCGTTTCGCTCATCCTCAGCTGGCCGTTTCTGGCCCTTGGAATCACCACTAAATGCAATGGACTTCGGAGCGGCCGGAGGTTTCAGGTCGAAATCCTTATTTTGGTCTCGAGAGCGCATAGCTGCCGGGCCTGTTGGGACCTCTCCGTTACGGAATGCCTTGGGTCCTTTAGGTGCAGCATTCGACTTGGGCGGTTCAGTCTTGGTGGATAGCTTCGAAGATTGGCGCCGCGGAAAGCCATTCTGTGTTTTGGAGGGAGTCGCGGCTTCAGCTTCTTGTGCGCGCTTCTCCAAAGCGATGCGCTCCCGCTCAGCTTTGGAAAGAAACTTGGGTTTGCTAGCGGCCAGGTCGGCCTCTCTCTTCCTCCTTAATAAATCTTCCACGCTCAGTGGTGTAGCCTTTTGAGATTTGGTGGTGCCCCATCCTTTCTTCTTCGGCGGCTGTGGTTTCAACCCGTCTGCCGACAGGTCTAATTCACTGGCGGGTGGAGGTGGCACAACATCTGGGGGTGGCGGAGGAACATTCGAGGCAATCGGCGGAGGCGGTGGGGCCAAAACAGTGTCTGGTGGAGGAGGCGGCGGCAAGAGCTCAGTAGAAGGCGGAGGGGGAGGAGACTGTGGTCTTGGTATAGGGTCAACAGGCGGAGCCGGAATGGTTATGTCATGGTGGTCGTTCACCATGTTGTTAGCCATGATGGCATCTTTGTCTCGACCAGCGGCAAGGGCTGGGAGACTAGGTTTGCAATTGAATTCGGGCAGAGTAAAGCAAATATCATGGGATCCTGGGGGCTTGCGAGCAGAAGATGGGAACGCTTGTAGGACGCAGAGCAAGACTTGCACATTCTGCCTACCAAGGTATCTAGGTAGATGTCAAGCCTGATGCCAAGACATCCTCCGCGCCACCGTGGCTGTGACGCTTGTGGCGTATTGTGACGTCCGCCAACGAGGAAAGAGTGGGGCTGTATTAGAGAGAATTCTAGAAGTGGAGGACTCCAAACAAGTACGAGGGGCAAATAACTAATTACAGCAAGTATTTGGCTGGAAACGCCCGGAGTATGCTGGGCAATCTAATATATGACCATCTCATCTCATGATCCATGACCCATCAATAGAATCAAAAGTTCTTCAGGTGCACCTTCCTGTCGATTTCGCTTTTTAGACAAGACATGTACTGGCCATATGAAAGGCTGCGCCCAGAGGCAGTAGCCGTCATGCCCTTCCATCTGTTGTTCACCACCTCACGCCACCATAGCTTGTAGCCCACGAATTCCTTGGTGCTGTCATCGAATATCAGTTGATAGTCGCGCCAGCGTGCCTCCTGCGAGCTCGTCAGACATCAGTTCGAACCAAGGGCCTCCCCTTTAAGTGTAGAAGGACGTTTGGATGAAAGAGAGTCCAGGCGAGGTACTAGAAAAACAAAGCAGTGGGAAGGAAATTGAGGAAAGTGTCAGTCTCACCTCAAACGAAAGCTCATCCTTATTCCAGTCTCGAATGTATGCTGTGAGACATTGGAAATATGTCAGTTGTGTGCTTCCTCCGAAGTTAGGGACTTCAATGTGGTTTCGTGCTTCCACAATGTGCCTCATCAGAGCAAGGACTGGGGGCGGTACGATGAGGGTGGCACCGGGTTCGAATGTTTTGGGGAAATTTACGATGGTCTGAGAATCGCTGAAAAGTCCGTCTGAATGATATGAGTTAATCGTGGTCTACAACACAATCTGATTAATCTGCTTTCCTACCCTCTTGTCGTCCGTAGCTGCTATTTTGAGCTCCTTCCGAAAACACTGATCCGCCCTTAGAGGGCGTTTGAGAATCGAGTGGTGCTGCAGAGGAAGACCTGACAGTTGGATCTGTCTTTGACCCCCCCGGAGGGTCAACTAGTGCCGCAAAAGGAGAGTTGGGCTTTGGCTGCTGTGCTTCATTTGAGAGTCCCTGAGCAACAGTTGGCGTTCCAAAGCTAAAATCGATTGCTGTTGGTTCTCCCCTAGAGGAACCACGAGCACTAGCTGGATTCCTCCAGGGCCACTTGGCTGCTTCGAGTGGTGAGTTGGATCTTTTAATGTCCCGGTAGATAGGAAGACCAGCAGGTGGTGTTGCAGAAGATTTGCCTGACGGCTGCGAGACCACATCTCCAAACAATTTCACTGGCACATGTCCTGACAAGCCAGGTGGTGATGTGGAAGGAATCGGGCAAGCAGGCGAAGGGATGTCTCCATTGGACATTTGGTTCGGCAGGTCGTCCGGAAAGGTCTGGGGCGTTTCTTTGACTTTGCTCTGATCAATTCTGCCGGTATGCCTCCGACACCTCTTGAGAGACAACTCAAGAGTTTTCAATTGAGCGTTCAGGGTTTCTCGCTCGTTTTGCATGTCTACTGACTCGCCTCCTACAAGATCCACTTTATCTTCTTTCATATGTATGACCATTTCCGATGTGAAGATAGCTTCAAGTTTCGAAAGTAGGCATGCCTCAACGCCAAGAAGAACAACATTGTCGATGAATGTTTCAATTGCAACATCATAATATGCTCCAGAATATTGGAGCAATTTGACCCGAGTATCCTGGTCCGAACCCGTGATTTAAGGCCCAGTAGCTGCTGCGGTTGTGCGGTTGTACCAGCTTTATCTTTTTGAAGGTATTGGTGCTCAATTTTCTGAAGACTCGTCTGAAGGCGCTTCTTGGTGGAGAAGAGGAACGACGTCGTATAGGGGCTCAAAAGTTCCCTAGTTTTTGAATCAAGATTGCCCTGACAAGCTTCCAAAGTATCCTGAATAAAGTGTTGAAAGACGAGCTTAGCCGTGTCTCCTGTGGATGGACAAATGAAGTCGATAACCATGTTCAGAAAACGACGCACCGCGTCGTTTATGTCCCTGATATATTTTGAGGTAAGCGATTCCCATCCCGCCGATTGCTCTTTAAAAAGCTCAGCAACGAGACGTGGGTTGAAAAGAAATGACAGCTCCGGGCCCCTGTAAGTTTCTAGCAGCTCCCCGACTTTGCGCAGAGCATCTGATTGAGTGATTTGTTCCGGCCGATTGGAGCGACCATCCCAGATTTGGTGCTTCGCTTCGAGCGCATCAAACCAATGACCTTTTGTGCGCATCGACTGGTCATATTCATCAGTCAATGCCATTGTCTTTGCCCTCAGTCTCGTGGGCGAGTCGCCGTCTCTGAAGAAGGCATCACTGTAATTGCCTTCCAGAGCATCTCTGACAAGCTCGCCATAACGTTTGCTGATCCGACTGAGGTAGCCCTTGCGCTCCTCTAAACTCGATCGAGGATCACCTAGTCTCTCCAAAGAAGACTTGGCGTCTTCTATGCCCTTTTCCAAAGATGTCTGAAGACTTGGGAGAACTTGAAGTATGTGCTCATGGAGATATTTGCATAGAATCGTTCGCAATGATTTAATGCCAAGTTTGTTAGGGTGAAAGATGTTTTTCCATTGCTCCCGACGGAATAGGGTACTCTCGATGAGATCCCGATCCACCCCGTCTGCCCGTTCTTTATCATTCAAGCACCTGACAACGTGCCAGCCACGTGTGAATCTGTATGTTGGATGTTGATTTCTTGCCAGCTGCATCATCTCCGGTTTCAAGCTGGATTTATCAGGACGTTCCAAAGCATCAGGTTTGGTGAGAACCCCAATACTACGGGTGCCCTTAGGGTCGAATTTTCGTGAATAATCGAGGATGCCTTGATTCTGGGTGGGGTTTTCCGCCGAAACAACTATCAATATGATGCTTTGCTCTTGTTTAAAATAATCCTGGATAAGATCTCTAACCATGTCAATATCATCGGTGTTCGCAGATGAATGGATGAGGCCTGGCAAATCTACAAGTGTGAGGTTTGGGAGTTGTTTTCCGTCAAGTCTTAGGTGCAAGACGTCTCGACTTATCCCTGACGCTTCTGCGAGACCCATCTTCTTCCTCGCGTCATTCATCAGAGCGGGAATAGCATCGAGACTGGTGATGTCTCGCTTGAATGGTTCAACTGCAGTCCCGTGGCTTTTGGACGGGTTTTTGGCATAGGGAGTGATAAAGGCATGGCCGGTAATGGTTTCTGCAGCAGAATATCTCAAAGAGATTTCCGTGGCAAACCTCGTACAGATGGTACCAGACACCGGAAACTCAATTCCGGACAATGCTCCCAGTACGGACGATTTGCCGCTGCTTGTATCTCCACATACCACGATCTGAGGGAGGTTCTGAAGGCCACTTGTGCGAAAATTATCGATGTCGTTGAGTAGCTCGAGTCGTTCCGGTGATTGGAACGAGTCGATGGCGCTCTTGCTGATGTCCATTGTTGACGGGAAGAAAGTGACATGACCAAGCGACAAAAAGGACGCAAGGCTTGCACATCCTTTTAAACCCACTCCATGCCTACAGAGTACTTTCAACAGTCAATCCTTGAATTGACTTGCTCCGCTAGTCAGTCTCCTCCTTCATCTCTGGAACCGGTGTCGACGTGGGGGCCACAGTGTCCAGTTGCCTAGGCGCACACAAGGCAGACATCAACTGTGTATCGGAGCGATCCCCTGCAGCGACGTCCAGGTTGCAAGGCCATCACCCTTGGACGCCACAAGGGGGTGTTCGCGACAGCCTGGATGTAGATGAGCAGAGGAAGATAGCTTCGAGTCTAGATTGGTAACGGGCTGGGACAATCATTGGCGTCCTGTTCAGTTAGTTTGATTCACGTCACAAACTAGTGAATACTAGCTGCAGGTAAGTCGGTTACATGGCGCGGGGGTTATGCAACAGGCTGGAACGGTCCGACTAGTACTCGCCTAGGTCCATGTGAGGAATTTCTCGACATGGGTTTGCTTCTAGGCTTCGAGCGCATAACGTTTGGGGGATGGATCACCCAGCAATGCGTCGACTGGCCGGGTAGGGATGAAGAATATCCACAGAGACAGACTTTCCCAGTGCTCTCCTCTCGTTCAAGCTTCACATGACCAAACGCATTCGAGTGCGTAGAGCTAGACAAGGACAAAAGGACCAAAGCCTCAGCAGTCTGTGACAGCTGGAGACGAGATATCAGAGGGATGGCCTGACATTAGTGGTAATAGCTATTCGGTAATTATGTATCGACAAGATTTGACTTAAGTGGAAATTATTATGACTCGTGTGCTGACGAATCATTCATGGAAAGGGTTGCTGCTCAAGAGTCACCGATTCACCGGTCGTTGCATGTACTAGCTACTTCGCATGTAATTACCCGGAATAGCAATAGACGAGTCGACCTGTTTATGAAGGTCCCGACAAACTTCTTCAGCTCTCAAAGATGAGTTGGCAATTGTCAAGTCCTATCATGATTGATGTTTAAGGCAAGGTAAGTCCGAGATACCAGATCCAGCTATGAGTGGGCGGATCGGCCGCTGTTCAATATGCTGTCCTACTAGGTCTATAAGCAGATTCCAGAAACAGAGCTTAGATCAAAGCAAGAGTATTTCAGCTCCTCCAGAGTATCGCGATTGGATTTGTCCCGTGAACCATCCTCCCGTAAGCCACAAGAGAAATCTTATGCGAGAAACGGGGAATTGTCAAGTTCTACCGATAGGCCAGTGTTCATCAGGATTCTGTTTCCTTCACCTACATGCCTGAATCTTGGGTTCTACGAACATTATCTCCCCTCAAGCCGTGCGCGATGCCCACCACTGCTCGACCAGCCTCTTGAAGAACTCCTCAAAGGGCGGATTGACCTTCTCCATCTCATGCGCCGGACCCTGGACGATCGTGTATGAAGCATTCAAGCCTGCAGCCTGCCAGTTCTGGAATAAGGCCGTGAGCCGCTGGACTCTAGTCTGTTTCGCCTCCTCTGGTGTCCCAAAATTCGAGCCGGGAACATTCAGTCTGAACCTGATGCCGTCCGCGTCTGTGTCGTTGCTGCCCACTGCTCCAGCGACAGGGACGTGTTTCAATTTCTCAATGTCAACATGCTGGCCAAAGATCTCGTGGAAGTTCTGCAGTCCGGTCGGCCACGTCTGCGTGTAGTTCAGCAACGTGGTCGAGCCGGGAGAACCGACGCAAAGACCCTCGAGCCGCTCTGGGTGCAGGTAGAAGAAGCGATGCACAAATTGCCCGCCACCGGAGAAACCCATGAGGAAAATCTTCTCCGTGTCGATCCCCGGCCACCGGGTCGAGACTTCCGTCAACAAGTCGAGCAGAAGCAGATCATACCTCATGTATCTTTCTGGATCTACGGGCTGAATATCAACGTCCGGCCCGCCGGGGACATCAACGACATGGCTCAGCCATGACTCGGCCGTCTCGCCACTCCAAGGCGGCGGACGCCCGAGAAAATGGTAAGCGTCGACATCAAGCGGGTCCTGAAGAAAGGAAGGGAATAGAGGCGCAATGACAGCCACTTTATGCTTGTCTGCGAAGTCTTGCCAGACGTCGACGTATCGGTAATTATCACGACCCGTGCCGTGGACGGCAACAAGAAGAGGCAGCTTTGTCACAGTGTCGTTGGCCACGGGATAGTGTGCGTCCGGGATGTATCCCGAATAGGAAATCCGATGGTCTGCTTGGAGGGCTGCCGCAGCTGGCAGCCGGCCCGTGAGCGAGAGGGATTCGAGCGAAGCTCGAAGAAACGTCGTTACCGGGATCACTTTCATTGTCTGATCACACACTGGCCCATCCAACAAGTGGAACGAGCAGAAAACGATGAGGCATTTGAGTTCCCGAAGGGTTGAAAATCTTTCACATGGCACGAAATGTTCCAGAGGGCTGGGCTTTGCCATATACATATATAGAGAATAAGTTTGCCTCCAAGGACAACAAGGCTGAGCCGCCCCAGAGGTTCTCCAGCAAACCCTTCATCTTAACCCACAGATGCTCCGCTCCTGCAGCAACTTTGGGGTACAATGTATGAACTAATTCAGTAATGAAGTCTAGAAAATATAGTTCTATTGGTGCCTGGTGACTGACGACGAGTAGGACAGGTATTGTAGTCCGTTGATTGGCCATCCTCTAGAGCCTATATTCGCTCGTTGTTGCGGGATCGCAACGACTTGCGAATCTAATTTTGAGGTGAACTTTTCTGTAAGGGTTGCTCCAGCTGGGATCTGACGTGAAGCGAACAAACGCCAGCCAAAGCCGAGATCACGATTGCAAAAGGAGGGCACCTGGGAGCATCATTATCCTTCTTACCGCAATGATGGTGCTGCGGTATTGGTGATTTAGACCAGCTAGTACCTCTCGTCAACCCATGGTCGGTGTGTATTTCCCAAGATATACCACCCAAGTAGATTTACATGGTGGCAACTTGCCGAAGACGCTTTCGCCTTACGAGTGTGATTTGAAGTAGGAAATTTCCCACCCGGCTCTGAACATCAGCAATCGCTGCCGTGCAAATAGATTTCTGAATTTAATATCAACAGCGAAGCTGTGTACAGCAATCATACTTCTCTCGAATGCAGCTTCATCTGCAAGACCGAGTTTCGTACGCTTCTGACCTTGAAAACCTGCTATACCGACCCATCCTAGAATCTCCGACAGAATGGTATCCTTGCATTTCAGGATATCAAAGCAAAGTGCACTTCTAAAAAAAAAAGAGCGAATACTAGTGAACGCTTATGAGTAGCGAATTGGGGGTGGCTATATGTCAAGTTAGCTGCGAAGCATTGTTCAAATCAATTTGCAACTCACTTGTCCATTGATAGCTTCCGGGATTTTGCCAAGATCAAGATTGGCCTTCAACGATTTTTGTACCGAGGTAGGTCCGTTGATCTCCCGATCGAGGCTCATGTACTCCTTTGTAGCTTCCTTTGTGCCTCTTTCCAGCAGGTACCTCATGTACATCGACACAAGCTCCTGAAGGGTAGCTTCAGGCAATCTGCTCTTGGTCAGGATTTCATCTACAACCTTTTTGATCTCTTCATAGTGAGTTTGTTCCGTCGCGCTACTTGTTGGCTGATCAATTTCGAATCGAAGGTAATTGCTCCAGAAAGCCGGACTTTCTAAATACCAATGTTGATGATTCTGGAAGACCTGCCGTGCTTCTTCTGGTGAGCCTTTAACTTTCCAAAGAAGCTTGGCCCATTCCGCTACCAGTGATGCTTTCGAAGATATATCGATACTAGGTTGATCGAGCTGAAACTGATAGACAGCGACGGCAGCTTCGAGTCCGTAGTGTCGACGAGTGAGGTTTGCCAGTGAGACAATGGTGCCCACGTGGCCAGGCAAGTTGAAAAGAATGGCTTCATGAATGTCCTTTGCGATGTCAACACGGCCCGCTGACTCTTCGAAGTATGCATACTGCAGCCTCGCTACAGGTAGGGCGATTGGGACGAATAGACAAGATGCTCTCTGGTAGATATTCCGAACCTCTTCCTCCTTCCCTGGTTGGGCCAACATCCATCTCGCATATCTCAACCAGAACTCTTCATGAAGTGCACAGGTTATCAAGCATCGCTCATAGAGGAAATGAATACGAGTGTAGTCGCCTTCTGTTTCCTCCAGATCTAGGTACTTGCGCCAGTTGGTGACTTGTGCCTCGTCTAGGTCTGTGACGTGGAAATAGGGTCGCTTGATCTCGGACTCGTAAGTCCACCGCTTCGTCGTCTCTGTCTGGGTTCGCCTGAAGATTTCGAGATGATAAATGTCGATTCGAGCACGTAGTTCTCGTTCAACTTCAGGTTGACTTCGGCCAGCCTTATAGCCAGCTCCTTCATTCTCGAGGTCTAGTTGGAGTTGTGTGAGATGACTTGGAGGAGCGGTGGCAGCGATAGGCCGTGACTGAGCCATTTGCCTATACTTTTCAAAATATCGAGCATATTGATGCATGGGAATATAGATAATTCTGCTCAAGATAGTGAAGATCCGATCGAGAGACTCGAGCCGTTCCTCGAACTCGAGATATTTATCCCAGAAAGGATGGGAGAGAAAATCCAGGCCAACAGATGATGCGCCTCGTTCGAAAAGCCTGCACATCACGGTGTTAGCAACTAAGATTTTATGGTAGGGGTCAGAAGAATAGGGCGGAAAGCAAAGGTGGGAATAGGTGGATGTACGTGTTCGTGGATGTGCAGGTCCCTCAAGCAAGTGGCTTTTGCTGCAACACAATAACGGCCCTGAGGAATAGGATGACGGACACGAGGTCCTGTTTCCGGGTAAAAGCAAAAGATCAAAGCGCCTGAGTAGTGAGTTGTGAGAAGCAAGCTCGAAGGGGATATTGGCTGAATGTCCATCTCACCAATCTTAGGTGTTATCGCTGATGACCAAACGAGACCCAGCCAGAACGAATTTCCCGCACTAGGATATGTGTGGATGTATGTCTCGCGCTGTGTTTAGGCCTCGAGAGGGGAAATATGGCTTGGTACTTGTATACTTACTCTCGGATGATGTCGGCATCGTGGCTTGTCTCGGTTTTGAAGGAACAGTAGTTTGTCCACAGGTCAACCGAGTTTGTGACACTGGCAACTCCACGTTCATAGACCTATCACATCCTCAGCAAAGTGTTCGTCTTTTGCATTGCGCATGGTGTATATCTTACCATTTCCGCAGCCTCAGTGCCGGCTATGGAAAACTCGAGGTCGGCATACTTCTTCCAGTAGCCAAAGAACAGAGGAAATCTGCCCAGAAAGCGATCGTAGACACTCCTGAGAGTAGTGATGGCCTGAGAACTCGAGTTCCTGTTGATGCCCCCCTCCAGCGACTCACTGGCGCGGACTAGCTTCTCCCAAGTCTCGAAGCTATCCGGATCCTCGGTCTGGAGCAGAGAGAATGAGCATCGAGTCACAGAGATAGGTTGTTGGATGATTGTTGGGCACGTACCACCTCAGCGAGGAGCTTTCTCAGCTCCCCGCTGTCTTCATCACTGCCACCAAAGGCGTCCATCTGGACGCAGTCTGTCGAAGGGTGGGACAGTCGGAGAGTGTCACTCGAGAGATGATGGTCAAGGGCGGTGAGGAAGACTTGATGAGTGATCCGGGGACCAAGCTGATCAGGAAGGATTCGACGAGAAGATGAGAGAGAGTAGGTATGCACGCGGGTTGAAGCTGAAATGCACGCGGGTTGCGAGAACGAGGAGGATTTGGAGATGTTCAAGTCCGGCTGGATGCCGCCAAGCCTGAGCCTTTTTTGGGAAGGCATGGCCCGTCCATTAATTAATTCATTATTGGCAACTTCCAGCGGCCCATGCAGAGGCGCAGGGCTCCTCACAGCACAAGAGCACCACAGCACAGAACCACTTCACCATTGACCAACAGGCCCTCCGGCATTGCCCTCGACCTACTCACTCATCGCTGACCTGACTTGCCCTGCTTCTGAATTGGTCAATCTCTGATTCTCCATTTGCAGCCTCGTCACCTACTGCCACAACCACAACCACTGGCCTGACCTCTTCAACGCCTTCACCACCACCATGGCCACCATGGCCACCGCAGTAAAGCCACCCAGACTCCACTCGCGTCTCGTTCAGTTCTTCGCCCGCTACCCTCCTGAGCTCTACTCGGCCAAAAACACGGGAATCACCATTCCCTTAACCAAAAAGGCGGCAAAGCTGGCTGCCGAGCGCCGCCAGCCCTCTACAGTTCTCGGTGAAGATGGAGAAGTCTTATACCAATACCAACAACCCATCAATGTCCCCGAGTCAGAGCCAACGAGTCCTGCGCCGACAGGCGGAGTGCTCGCGCTCGAAGGCGGAGTAAACCCATCTACACCACCCCCCAGCAACCACTTCCCTCCAAATCCCTTCCTAGCCCGGAAAAACTTCAAGACGGGGCGATGGGCCGGCGCGACCATTAGCCTGAGGCGGCAGGCCGAGCTTGTGAAGCTGGCCAAGAAGGACGGTGTAGAGGACCTGTTACCTCCGGGTCCTAAGTCAACTGCGTGGAAGGAGCAGCGATTACTAGAGCAAGGTTTGCGCGTTCGAGGCACTGGTGAGGGTCAAAACGTCAAGGGTCACAAATGGGAGCGCACGATGGGCACCAGGCTCGACAAAAGAAGGCAAGCCATGGAGAATATGCCTGCTTTGATTCGGGAATGGGAATCGGTAAGAAGACCAACCCTGATCACAATGTTACGGATTGGTGCTAACGATTCATACAGAAAGGTCACGGTAGAGGATGGAGCAAGTACCCGAAGTCCCGTTCTTGATCGCATTCTAGAACCTCTATTTACATTGTACGCCATGACTTTGTCTAGAGCACTAAAGCGATTACCAGTCATTTCTCCCATCAACATAACACTTCTCTACCACTGTACTTCTCTATCCTTGGAGCCATTGTCCTCACCAAGAGCGAAACCCATCACGACAGCTCTATCATACAGAGCACTTCTCATGTACATATATATATCTACAAAATTGCAGCCACTCGACTGGTCTGCTTGTACCATCTCCAAGACCTCATTAACTTCAGGTATGTTAGGGGGATAGAGACAAGGACAGAGGGAGTTTCCCTCTGCGACAAACAAAATCGTAATCACGTGATCTTCATCACTCTTGAGGAACCTGCTGCTCGACTACCTCCTAATGTACTCTGCTCTTCCTTTTACCACTAACATTTCACATGCCCCCAACCTCCTCGACAGTGTAAAGCCTTACCTTGAAGCTACACTAGACAACTTTTGGGACATGGTGAGGATCCTGGCGCTTCCAGCTCAGATTTTGCGGCAGAGCATATGCATCTTGTATCAGGAAATCAATAGGCACATCTACCCACTTGTGAGACGGGACACTTTCTTTCTCTTCTCCCTCCTCTTCGTCCTACTCCGACACATGCACCGCCGCAGCCAACGACTTGCTTGCCCTTGTCGCTGCCGCTGCCACAGCTGCTACTGCCTTCGCCATTCTGTCCCGCCGATTCTTCAGCGGGCTTGCATGGCTGGAAGGCGAGCTATTTATCACTCTCCCAATCGTCATCCTCCGCTTCTGCCACAGCCACAGCAGGTAAGGCAATCTGAACCTCGGGTGCCTCCCCCCTCCCCCCCCCGGTAGCATGCAGGACGACTCCGCTCTTGACCAACGGCGGTTGCTTGCCTCTACGTTTCGGAAGCGGCGCGACAAACTGCTACCAATGCTGGAGGAGCCTCGCCTCTAGTGAGTGGGCTGCTCCCCGGCCGCGGAGTTGGAGACGAGCATGCCGCCATTCTGTCCCATGTTGCTGGTACCGAGGGCAGTGATCTGATCTGCTTGCGACTAAAGTCTAGGGCATCTACACGCTTTCACGGAAAGCATGATATGAAGGACCCCCTGCAGGTCATGCGTTCTGTGTATTCTTCAATTTCCCAAGCGTCAGGCTGGCATTCGGCGAAAGGTCCGCGTGGGAAAATTCAACTCCCTGGTGTAGCGAAGGTTTTTACCAAATCCCACCCATTCCAAAAGACGAAATGCGGAAGGCTTGGCCGCACATGAAGCAGCACTCAATTGTCCGTAGCAGGAAAATCAGTGGTACTCTGCAGATTTGTTGGTTTTAGTGTTTCGTAAGGGATAACAGCGACTCAGATGAGAATATTAGTCTTCCGCTTCTTGACCAAGTAGAACCACAGCGCAGCCAGCAGCAACGATCCAAAGAGCATCATGCAACCACAGAAGAGCTGTAGACCAAGGTAATCATGGCCAGTGCTTCCATCGCCTCTGACGAGCGAGCCCGCGATGGGACTGCCAATTAAAGAGGCGAAGGCACCGATCGCCTGCGCCATGCCCAACCGAGCCCCGAGCACCTTCGTGTCGGGACATACTGTTGGGAAAATCGTTGGAGGCAGAGGGATGAGCGCACCGCTGAATCCACCTGCATTATTTTTCCCTTTGTTAGTTTCTTCCGTATAGTAAATATCTTCAAGCAGGAGGGAAGGAAACTAGGGCAAGTGCCTGGAAATTTGCGGCCCCAAAGGACAGGGCACACCAGAAGGAGAAACTTACCGTAGAGAGCAGCAAAGACTAAAAATGCAGCAACGCTGTGAATTCCTATCCAGCTCAAACACATGATCGCAGACACGACTACGCAGGTGATCCAAGGTATCATGGCCCCGGTTCGCTGCGCCACCATTGCTGCGACCAGTCGCCCGAACACAGACGCGCCTGAGGCGATCACTATGGAGTAGAGAGCGAGAGATCGAGACATTCCAAGCCCAAGCTGGCCATAGCTAGGTATGTAGAAGAAGGGAACTAGATAACCGCAGAAGATCTACAAAAACACGAGAGTGTCAGTGATCTCGTCTTGGATCTTAAATCTAAAACAATCTCGTATAGCTCCGAACTTACAAAGAAGTTAGACCAGGTATACAGCCAGAAGCCAAGGTCTTTGAATGCGTTCTTGTCAAAAATCTTTCTGGTGGTACCTCTGGCGATGTCACCAGTATTTGCGGCACCCCAGAGTAGCAGTGGGAAGGCGGTAGAGAAAGTGGCGAACATGATGAATCCCATGACGCGAACGGTCCAGCCGAAGCCAATCTTATCGATGAGCTCGTTGAATACGATTGTGTAAATGATCCCACCTGCAGGTCAAAGTCAGGTTTTTGGCCATATGGAATGGGGGCATGAGATCACCAACCAATAGGTGCACCACAAGTTACAATACCCAAGGCCAATGCTCGTCGAGTAGTAAACGAGCGGCTCACCAAGGCAAGGCCAGGGACGTATAGGACGCCACATCCGAGTCCCATACAAAAGCCTTGAGATAGGAGGATCTGATAGTATTTCGTGGACAGACTTAACATCATGGCACCGAAGGTCGAGGTTGCAGCGCCGCCGAACAGCATCACACGATAGAATCCCAGGTCGAACAGGGGCCCCGATATGACGCCGGTGACAATGAGCAGGTATGAGCCCACCGTCCCGACCCAGGAAATTGCCGAAGGATTCATGTCAGATAAGAGAACAGTCTCATAGTAATTCTGGAAAAGTCCGAAAGCAAATGTGAACCCCCTAGATCGACATTAGAGATATGTTTCAATGACGACGATGATGGAACAACTGTACCAAACATTGAAGAAAACTAAATAGCAGCCGAGGACCTGAAGCCAAGCTCGTAAACCACCATCAGGTGGGGGAGCAGGCGGTGGGAGCACATTTGCTCTCTCCTCTATAGGGATATCAGCTAGAGGAGGTATCTGTGGTGCTTCTGATTCTATATCAACTTTCTCATCGCCATATGTTCGATGCGCCATGACGGTTCAGGATTGGTTAAAACCGAAGACAACAAGTTTGAAAGATATGATATTTGGTTTTTAGATTCCAACTGGGATAATTAACAATGATTTCGTTACATCAGCAAAAGGGCAATGCAGTAAAATAGTGAAGTCAGATGAGTATGGGAGCACGTCAACAACAGAAGAAAAACACCTCGAGGTTTGGATAAAGTACTCCAAAAAAGGGCGCGCAGAAAAGGCAAAGTGAGGGCATATGGGCAATTCTTAAAACCATGGGGTCACCGACAATTGGGTGTACTACTAGCTCACCTGCTGGATGTCTAAGTCCGTACGTTACTTTGTGGTAGCTGGCGCTGATGGGTCCATCTTGGTAGACATGCCGAGGCATTGGACTGATGTGGTGCATGATGTGATCCGTTGATGTCGTAGGAGCATCCAAGCCAGGGATCAGAATTATAAATCCCGCCGAGTCCATCAAGGGGCTTCTTTAAGGGCAACTTTGTTCAAATTCAATGGGGATTGTCCAATACCATGCCGAAGATCGAGCTCTCATCACAAGATGATCTGTCCTCAGAGTAATGAAGGTCGCGGAAGGCGGCCGCGACTTCTTGATGTCGACAAAGAACGCTGTTTGATTGCAGAAGGAAGCGATGAGATCTGACCAAGAGAAAGGTTTGTGCGGGGATCCAAGCAGGGGTCCAACGTTCCAAGGAGCGTCGAACTCCGCTCGAAGCCGTCTTTGCCGGCAAGGCTTTGGGCATTGACCGCGAGGCTCTGTAGCTTCAGGTACTTCTGACTTCAAATTGATCTAGCGGCTACCTTACCACTCTGAGAGATATCAAGCCAGCCATTCTCGCATCCACTGGCAGCCATATGTATCATGCACTGATACGTACGCATCACATCACCTCGAGAAAGAAAATCGCTCGTCTCAAAGCTGCCGCTAAGACCTACCGATGCTGCGCCTTGTTGAGGACAGGTGGGATTCCAGGGGTGATGTACGTCTGTGGAGGCACGAAGCCTGACGTCCAGAGCTGGGTAGATATTGTCCATGAGTTGCGTTACAAAGATTACCAGCTTGTAGCACCCGTCAGAACTGTTGCTACCACAGACCAAGCTTGCCTGGAATCCAGTTATGAGTCACTGGGGGTCCTGGAAGAAGTGGCCACGGTCAAAGAAATGGCTGCACACATGGAGTCCAAGGGTGTGATGCATTGGTGGCGCGTGGCGATGGGTTTTGCTCGAGAATGAATATCCTGTGGAAAAACGAAAACGAAATGTGCTTTGCCAAAGAGGCAATCTTGAAATGTGGAAGCATCTCCCCAACAATTCGCGTCACTTTCGCAGGCATGCATCAGGACCAAGGAGCCCAGAAACGAGAGACAGAAGACTGGAATCCCTGGTGGAATGCATCAAGATGTCTGAGTCTATGCACAAGAGTTGTGGAACCTCTGTCACGTGGCATAAGTGCACAATGGCACAATGGCACAACAATCCCTGAGACTATGAAGCTGTTGCGGCTGCTAGTATCCAGCCCCACGTCTGCAAATCGAGATCACTTCTTGGATCTTGAGAATAGACGGTACTCATGGGAACCTGAACGCTATGCATCTTCCCAAACCACTTTGAAATATATATCTTACAGCTTTTGATATTCCAGTTTGCCTTCCAGCTTCTTGGATTCTGCCACCTTCCTCACAGCCTTGTTGAAATCATCTTGATTTACAGCGTCACGATAATCTTTGATGGCGAATAGTCCAGCTTCAGTGACGACGTTTCGCAAATCAGCACCGTTGAGACCATCACTCATCTTGACGACACTCTCGAAGTCAATTTCTCCTTCGGTAACCACTCCTGCTGCATGGATTTTGAGAATCTCTAATCTTCCAACCTCGTTGGGAAGAGGTATCTCAATCTTTCGGTCGAGTCGACCTGCACGAAGCAATGCAGGATCCAGCGTATCCGGTCGATTGGTTGCCATTATGATCTTGGTCTTGCCCAGGTAGTCAAAGCCGTCCAACTGATTGAGGAGCTCCATCAAAGTTCTTTGAATCTCGCGATCCGCGGATGTTCCTTCGCTAAATCTTCGGCCTCCGATAGCATCGATCTCGTCCATGAAGATGATACAAGGCTCGTGCTCCTTGGCATAACCGAACATCTCTCGGATCAAACGAGCAGATTCACCAATGTACTTGTCAACGATAGCGGACGAGACAACTAAAATGTCAATTAGCCTTCTGGGAGAGAGATCGTTTCGAGGTCTCAACAATACCTTTCAGGAAGTTCGTGTCTAGACTGCTTGCCACTGCTCTTGCCAGTAATGTTTTGCCAGTGCCCGGGGGTCCGTAAAGTAAGACACCCTTGGGAGGTTTGATGCCAACCCGCAGGAAGAGTTCCGGGTTCTTTAGAGGCAGCTCTATGACCTCCCGCAATTCTCTGATCTGATCATTCAATCCACCAATTCCCGCAAATGAAACCTGGCCAGGGTCTTCCAGAGACATATTGTAGACAAGGGGATCGACTTCGCGTGGGAGCATGCGCATGATCGTGAGAGTGGTCATGTCCAGTGCGACTCGAGTACCTTGCTTGAGTTTGGCCTTGTCAACTTTGGACCTGCAGCCGACAACATATCTAGGACCTGAAGAAGCTTTGACAATGACTGCAAGCGTGTTAGTTTCCTGTAAACCCTGACAAGCAGGATCGAAACATACATCTTTCCTCATCAAGCTGCTTCAGGACTTCACCGATAATTTGACCGACACTTTGTAACGCTTTGATGTTCTCTTCTGTGGTTTCGAACTCTCTTTGCAGTCCCTTGATGTCCATCCTTAGTGCTTTCAGTTTCGACTCCCATTCTCTTGATTCTAGTAGTTTGTTCTTGTACTGTTCAAGGGCTTGTTGCCGCTCCGGATCTCCACCGCCATCCATTATGCTAGGTGGGTTGGAATGTAACGGTTGGCTTCTCAAGGAGACTCTAGGTTGTGAGCTGAACTTTTCAGACCAGTGTTCGCCTTCGGTATCGTTCGAATGAACAAAATGGGAAAGAGGGAGTGGTGGATTTGCGAATTGTAAATTGGTGATGGAGATGGAAATGCAACGGCAATATGAATCGGACGCAGGTACCCAAGGCACGACGCGGCAAGGCTTCGAGGATCACGGTCACGTGTAATAGCCTCCTGTTCTGAGATTAGCGTGCCTTGTTTGGCTTGGCGGAATGACGCGAGTTCTAGGACAACTATTCGAAGGCGGTGAGATGGGACCAGGGCAAAATCAGATCGGCTGAGTTGGAGGGGCACCAGAGACAGGAGGGGCCAGGTCACTGCTTGTCCTTCCTGTCCCCTTCAATCCTACCCATTGGAGAGGACCCTCCCCGATTCCTGAGAGTGAACCGTCCGTCACCTTGGCTTGTCCCCCGCTGGCAGCTAAGCCTTAGCTACTCGTTGTCCCAGTAGTAATCCCACTAGATCTCCTTGCTGGTTTGGGTGAGTGACTTTTGTAGCGACAGATCAACAGCCAATTGAAGATACCCCACCAAGAAACATCGAAAAGTCCAGCTATTGCTTTCTTCTTCAGTTCCTTTCCCTTTCCTGACTTTTCTTCTTCCTCATCGATATCCTTTTTAAGCAGAAGCGACCTCTACTCCTTGCCTAGTCCGCCGTTTCTTTTCAACGGCCAACTTCAACACTAAGCAACTCGTCGCTGACATAAGGACTCATCACACCACCACTCCTTCCCAGTAAGTAAACCAGCCCTCTCCAAAAGCCCAACAAAGCTTCACCTGAGGATCTCTTCCCACGTCTCCGCCTCCTTTTTCACGACTCTTGTTCGAATCATCCGTTTCTTTGTTTCTCCCTCTCATAACTACGTCTATTTGCACCTGTCCTTCGTCATCCCGACTTTTTCCACTGACCGACCCACCGCAGCCATGCCAATCGTCAAGATCCACGCCCGTTCGGTCTATGACTCCCGGGGCAACCCGACAGTCGAGGTTGACGTCGTCACTGAGACTGGACTGCATCGTGCCATCGTTCCTTCGGGTGCTTCCACTGGCCAGCACGAAGCCTGCGAGCTCCGAGATGGTGACAAGTCCAAGTGGGGTGGAAAGGGGGTGCTCAAGGCTGTTGAGAACGTAAACTCAGTCATCGGTCCCAAGCTGATCGAGAAGAATCTCGACGTCACAGACCAGCCTACCGTTGACAAGTTCTTGATTGACCTTGACGGAACCGAGAACAAGACCAATTTGGGTGCCAACGCCATTCTTGGTGTCAGTCTCGCAGTTGCAAAGGCCGGTGCAGCTCAAAAGGGCGTGCCTCTGTATGCCCATGTTTCAGATCTTGCAGGTACCAAGAAGCCATATGTTCTTCCCGTGCCATTCCAGAATGTCCTCAATGGAGGTTCTCATGCTGGTGGTCGTCTTGCCTTCCAAGAATTCATGATTGTCCCAGAGTAAGCTTAACTTGTGATGACACAATTTGCTTTGCTAATCTTGCACGCAGTCAAGCACCCACCTTCACCGAGGCTCTTCGATGGGGCGCTGAGGTTTACCAGAAGCTGAAGACATTGGCAAAGAAGAGATATGGACAATCTGCAGGCAACGTGGGTGACGAAGGTGGTGTCGCCCCTGATATCCAGACCGCAGAGGAAGCCTTGGAGCTCATCACAGATGCCATCGAGGAAGCTGGATATAAAGGAAAGATGAACATCGCTTTGGATGTCGCATCGAGCGAATTCTACAAGGAGAAGGAGCAGAAGTACGACCTCGACTTCAAGAACCCCGACAGTGATCCAAGCAAATGGATCACCTACGAACAGCTAGCGGACATCTACAAGTCTTTGGCCAGCAAATACCCCATTGTTTCGATCGAAGATCCCTTTGCCGAGGATGACTGGGAGGCATGGAGCTACTTCTACAAGACCTCTGACTTCCAGATTGTTGGGTATGTTCTCGTACAGAATTTACGCTGATGAAGCATTGCTGATGAGCCTCTTAGTGACGACTTGACTGTGACAAACCCAATCCGCATCAAGAAAGCCATCGATACCAAGGCGGCCAATGCCCTTCTACTCAAGGTTAACCAGATCGGTACGCTGACCGAGTCTATTCAAGCCGCCAAGGATTCGTATGCTGCAGGTTGGGGTGTGATGGTCTCTCATCGTTCCGGCGAGACTGAAGACGTCACTATTGCTGATATCGTTGTTGGCCTTCGTGCTGGTGAGATCAAGACTGGCGCTCCCGCTCGGTCCGAGCGTTTGGCCAAGCTCAACCAGATTCTGCGCATTGAGGAGGAACTGGGTTCCAACGCCATCTACGCCGGTTCCAACTTCCGCAAGGCGGTCAACTTGTAAAATGACCTGGATGATCGACCATGACTTGACGACGGGGCAGCACATGGGAGGGAGAGATACCACAGCAGCTTGTCGTTTTCAGACATTGAATGGATTAGGGTCGGCAGTATTGAGGTTAGGTCTTGCAGACCAAAAAAGAGGAAGAAACCCTGCAGCCAGTCGAAGATGAAAATTATGAACAACACAAGGTCGTGAAGCCTCACAGTAGCTATTTGAGCACTTGGTGCAGATACAATAACACGTGCTTGCCCTCGTACAAAATGCACATGTTTGAACCCATCATATACGAGTACCTATGTAGTACTGCGCTAGCAATGCTAGTTCACTAAAGTGACTGTTGGGGCACCAGTTAGGCTAGTGCTGCCGGTGGTGCGACGGGCAATTGGGCAGCAAGTCTTGGCTCCAGGAAAGGGACCACGTGAAAATGAAACTTCGGATGGCCTAAAAACAGTCATAACTTTCCCGCTGCGGGTAGTTGCCTGCGCTTCGGAAAGCCAGTGGCACCAGACCTGACCTGCCAGTGACACACAAATTCCTGTAACCACCCACGACCCAACCTTTTGTTTCATTTTCCAGAACCACTGCAAGACTTGCCCAGACTCTTTGTTCCTCTCTCCCTGACTTCCACGCACATTCAACGATTCTGATACGTATCCTGAAACCCTCAGATAACTGCATCCATAATGCCTCCGAAGAAGTGGGGTAAGTCGCTCTTTTTCGCCTCCCACACAATCCTTTCATAGAATAGAAGGGCACGTAGAGCAAATGCTGACCTTTCTAATTGGCAAAAGACGAGTCTGAGGACACATCCTCTGAAGACGAATCTGTTGATGTTCCAGTCGTTCGGCGCAAATTCGATGATGAAGAAGACTCCGATGACGTATGGCCCTCCGAAAACAACCCCTGACCCATATCATTGACGCCCAATAGGTCGCCGACAATTGGGATGAAGAGGAAGATTCCGATGCCGAGAGAGAAAAAGCTACCAAAGCAGCAGCAGCCAAAGCCAAAGCCGATGCAGAAGCCGCCGCCAACAAAAAATCCAAGTCTCAGAGAATAGAGGAACACCGCGAGGCCAACCGACGAAGACGCGCTGCTGAGGAGGACGCTGAGAGCTCTGAGGAGGATGAAGCCGACAAAAAAGCGCGCTTGCGGCAGACCGAGCAGGATTCCGACTTGACACATGCACAAGATCTCTTCGCAAACGCGGGGTTAGGGCCGACATCTCGCTCGACCAAAAACAAGGCTGTTATTATCGAGGATAAAGCAAATCCTGGCCAAACCATCGATCTCTCCACACTTCCTCTATTCCGACCAGCCACCAAGACACAGTTTGATACTCTCTCACAGACATTAGTACCCTTGCTCACAGCATCCTCCTCCAAACCTCATTACTCAATCTGGCTCTCTACTTTCGTCAAGCAAATCGCCGCCGACTTGCCAAGCGCAGAGATCAAGAAGGCCGCCAGCGCCTTGACAGCTCTCAGTAACGAGAAAATGAAGGAGGAGAAGTCCAGTGAAAAAGGCGGCAAGAAGTCCAAAGCAGCCAAAACCAAGATAACTCTGGCAGCCACGCGAGATGTGGGCAGAGGTTTGGCGGATACCACGAGTTACGACGATGGCCTCGAGGAGGATGACTTTATGTGATTGAATTTTCTTTGTTTATCGGGATTCCGGGCGTTGTCTGGAAAACTTGCATCAGCGTTCAAAATTGGGCAAGCCTCAATTACTATTCTTGCTTTGAAATAGGTGTCACCGAGATAGACGGTGGCTAGATCATTACCTTCACGTGGCTGTCTGAATTCCAAATAAATTATTAGACAATACAATGAAAGTCTTGACATGTGACAGTGAAAATACATAATACGAATGGGTGTGGTAGAACCGTGGGAAGGAGGGAGCAATGGCATTTCTGGTGGAATGTTGCACACCCCAGCCCAGCCTTGTGCCTCGTGGGAACATTTAGTCTCCATCCGGAGCATTCCTCTTTTCTTCTCGTCTGTAGTACATCTACCTACAGAACAATTATTACATTTATCGTCCATAACAAAGGACGATGCCTTGAAGATCCACCAATGGTTGGTGAATAGAATCAATGCGAACGCCCACTTGAATATCTGATAAAAACCACCACACAGATTGTCAAAGCTGTTAAATACTCAAGGGACTGCTCAAACCAACAGCCTCATTTCTGGATTGTCGGTGGCAATCAACATGGAATCCCTTTATTTGGACAAAGACCGGCACATCAAATACTGGAAAAGATGTGCTCAACTTCTGCCCGAGCCGTACACGGCTGGGGAGTCGAGCCGCATGAGTTTCGGCTTCTTCATCGTCGCCGCTCTAGATCTACTCGGGTGTCTCGAGACTGTCATCACCCTAGCAGAGAGGCACAGCTGGATCGAATGGATCTATGCTTGCCAAGTACCTCATACTGGCGGCTTTAGAGGTTTCACAGGTACGGCACTGGCAGGGCTGCGAAGTCCTCACAACTGGCACTGGGATCCAGCGAATTTACCGAACACCTACTTTGCTCTGGCTACATTATTAATATTAGGGGATGACTTGGCAAGGGTAAGGCGACAAGAGTGCCTGGCATGGGTGAAACAATTGCAACAGCCGGATGGGAGTTTTGGTGAGCTTCTAGGCGAAGGTAATCAGATTCAGGGTGGAAGTGATCCCAGACTTTGCATGTGTGCTGTAGGCACGATCAGGATATTGATGGGAAAGGAAGGGCAGGGATGCTCAAGCGGAATTGACCAGCTCAAGCTACAGCAGTTCCTCGCAAACTGCCAGGTAAGCCATCCATGTTCTTTTAAGACCTCACAGTTGTTGATCGTAAGAACAGAGTCAGGAGGGAGGGATTGCTCAAGCACCACTACTTGAAGCACACTGTCGGTTGAGAGATTCCTCAAAGCTCCAAACCCCTTTCTAACTATCAAATAGCCGGCCTCAACTACTGTGCAATAGCGACGCTCTCCTTCCTCAGCCAGATCCACAACGAGAAACCGTCGATCCGAGAACTCACGGCCCACACGGGATTAGACATTGCTAGCTGTGCTCGTTGGATGTTGGAAAGGCAGACAACATGGATCGAGGACGAGGACGAGGACGAGGAAGAGGACGACGAGGGACAGAACGCGACAGATGCGCCAATCGCCAAAGACCAGCCGCTAGACGAACATTCTTCGAGGGACACCGACTTGCAAGAGCTTGATGCAATTGCTGGGTTCTGTGGGAGGAGCGGGAAGATCGCCGACACATGTTATTGCTTCTGGAATGTGGGAGCTCTAACGGTAGTGGATCTCCAAAATGCCGGATCACGTCGACTGACAACCAGCAGATTCTCGAGAAAGAGCACCTAGTTGAACTCGATGCATTAAGGAGGTATTTGTTACAAAAGGTGGCACATATCATCGGTGGATTCGGTAAAGGGCCGGGGGCTCTTCCAGGTAGGCGGACATGCCCCGTGTTTACTTCGTATGGTGACTGCCAAGCTGAAAATCGTGTAACAGACTTACTACATTCGTATCTTGGACTCGCCGTGCTGGCGGTATACAAGGAGCCTGGCTTAAAGGAGCTTGATGCAACATTTTGCTTCAGCTTGGACGCGGTCCAGAATTTGAAGCGAGTGGCGTGGGCACGTTAAGCTGATGAGACGAGCCCGACGCGAGAGGATTCTCACTCATTCGCTTTCACCCTTCCACGCCAATAAGTCACGCTTAGTACTCCGTACTCCATACCGGTATGGGGCAGGATGGTCACCAACCACTTGGGCCTCGCCGCGCCGGGACGCTGCATCGGACATTCCTGTCACAATTCAAGATGGCCGATGTCCTATGGCTCAACCACAAAATCACAGCGATATGCAACCTATCGCCGTAAACGCTCAACCCCTCCCAGCTCAAGTATGGTGGTCGGGATGTGAAGACGCCTGTGCCGGGAAAAGAACGGGTGTGTTCGCTTTCACACATTCATTCCAGTTACCGAAACAACCAGAGCCGCAGGCTGTCACAAATCGCTCGCCAAACTCACGGGTGATGCGTTAACCAAGAAAAAGGAAGAGCAAGCGGTGGCGATGGCGATGACGCAGAAAGGCCTTCAGCCACGGTTGCGTGGAATCTGGCGAGGTGTATTTCACATTTATGATTTCGCTCACTTCCAAAGCCGAATCCTTTGGCTGGAATGCAAGAGGTCTAGCCTCATATTGATAAGCACTACAGTAACTATTCTTAGCGGATCGATGCCTTGACCCGTACGATGCCACTTACGAGTAGGTGCCAGTCCATGCTCAATCGGCCACTCTATCGGATCAGCATGGCTGTCACAGACTCAGGTGGTGGCTGGTTAGTGCAGGCTGCGTTCCAGGCACCATGCCAGGGCCCAGGAGTCGCTCGGAGCCTGGGGTTGAAGCTGAGCCGGAGCCCAAGCCTGAGCTAAAGAGCCTGGCTGAGTCTTTTCATGTTTGGTCTGCGGCGTGACCTCCCCTCACAGAGTCACAGCCCTACTGGATACGCAGTACACAGGACTGAGTACACGACTCCGTACTAACTCCCTCCTGTAGGCCCTTGACATATCGGTGTCGCCAGTCGCCATTCGCCATTTTCGTTGCCTTCCACGACACCTCGATTGTTCTTTTCCCCGGAGGCCGTTTGAGTAGTCGGCGCATGCTTTGAAGATCATCAAGTCGATCGCCAATACGAAGACGTCGCCAGCTTAGATCCTCATTCTCATCGTCATCCTAATCTTCTGCATATCACCGCAGCCATGCCGAAACGGACCCTCTTTACCAACATTACCCCTCTACCACCCCAGGTGTCCCGCGAGGTTGCGATCGCCATGCTTCACAACCATGACGAAATGATTGAGCTGAATCCTTTGGTGATTGAGCATCATCCTATTAAGACACCCCGAGATGCTCCAGCCGACGAGTTTCTAGATTGTGTTTGGCAAGAACTGACCGACAAGATCAACTACGGCGTTGCAAAGGGAAAAGTCAGCTATAAGGCGTGTTTTCACGATACGCCAAATGGGTTGCAAACACACATCTACGCTCCACTGGGACTGGACATCCGAGAAAAATGGTCCATCGGTGGTTCGTTGCCTGGCGAGGCACCTGAGGCAAGAGAGCTAGGGGTCGAAACTCCTCGCCAGGGGCTCTACATTCGCGAAGATGGCGACATGAGGTGCAATCGCATGTTGACCTCCTTTGTGAGAAAGAATCTCGACAATGCCCACAAGGTACTGGTCGAGCGAATCCTCAAGAAAGCCGAAATGGTAGAAGAGCATGTACAAGCGATATCGGCATACCCTACCTCTCCTGGCCCTCAAGCCACTCGATTTCAACCCGGCTCGCACATGGCCAAATCGGCACTGCTCAACAACGAATACCAACGCCCACTCTCCCCCCAAATGCTATCACCCCAACAGGATTACGGCTGGCAGAACATGGCCAACCATCCTGCCTTCCGAAGCCAGACCGACGAAAAGTCTGGCTACCACCAAGGGCAACGGCCAATGAGCACCGCAACTCTTCCACAATACCAAGGCCAGGACCAACGGATGAATTACTACGCACACCTGCAAGCACAGCAGCAGCAGCCGCAGCCGCAGCAGCACATGGCCGCACCGAAGCAATTTGTTGCCGAACTTCCCGGCTCAACATACCACACAGGACATCATTTCGCGGCGACGCCGGGACAGCCCACGCCTCCGCCGTCCGATTACCGCATGAGCATGGTCTCTGAGCTGTCAGGAGGTTCAGGAGACCCCACGCCTCGCGGATCACCCAACACCCAGGCCATGGGTACCAACTACTCCGACCGGTCGAGCATGATCTCCGAGCTTCCCATGCCTCACCAACAGCAGCAACAACAACAACAACAGCAACAACAACACCATGCCTATAGATACAACAACCCGAATGATCTAGGGCACGACACGGTCGCCCAGTCCGCAGTATCCCCGAATCCTTTAGACCGCTACAGCATGGTTTCCGAATTGCCCTCAGATCAGTTGCAGCAGCTGAGGAATTCATGAGTCGCCGAGTGACGAAACGACAGGAGACATGAATCCCACAAAGGCGGGTGCTGCGCGCCGTCTGATACTTTTTTATTATTTTATAAACTTTGTTCTAATACCATTGGTATTTGTGAAATGTGTCATGATTTACCAAACACCACATCAGCGCACCTGAGTACGGTTCTTATGTATAACGTACCGACCTATTGTCGTAGAAAAGGCGGGAGACGAAGCAGGGTGTTGAAGGATGAGCAAACTCCTGGGATGGAAAGGGGAGGAGGGCAGGCCTGGGCTTCATATACTAGATACAATAGTAGTCTAATTTCTACCCTACCCTTCTTTTTTCTTCCTCTGGATCGAGTGGACGCCCTGCTACTGGTTGGTTGGTTAGTTAGAGTCAGTCGGCTTAGCTGACGGGATTTGTCCTTATGAGATTTGTGGCATCCTACGCGTACATAAGTTAGTTGCTCCGGATGACGGAAGGCTGAGGAGGTCAGGACATATCCTATGTATTGAGTACTGTATCTGTACATGCTTTTATAGGATAGATTGAGTTGATTACATTTCATTTCGACATTTCGTTCTCCAAGTCTATCCCATATTTACAGCCGCACCAAACGAGGTCTGGAATCGCATGGACAGCCAGACAGGCAGGTAGGGGGTGAGTACATCGCTGGCGGGAAAAGGACTGAGCCAGCGCGGATGGATAGCCATTGCGTATTTATCGTGCTTGGGATACCCCGGGTCACCCTTCTGTTGCTGCGCATTGTTCCCAAAGGACTTTGTACACATCCGTCTTGATGGACGGAAGGGTAGTGCTGGACGCGGCATTCTTTTCAAGCCCGAAAGCTCGTTTTAGGCTCTCGGCATCATTGTGGTCGTAGACTTCTCGGGGAAGGGTCTGTGAGGCTATACGCCATTGGTTACTCCATTTGTGATGCCATTTGTGTGCGCTGTGTGAGCATGAGCTCTATCTGAAACGCCGTTGGCCGTAGGCCTCTCCTTTAGGAAAACATCCTTGACCAGACTCTTCTTGTTGATTTTCCCCATGGCATTTTTGGGGATGGATTCAACTACTTTTAATTCCTGGGGAATCTTGTAATTTGCGAGTTTATCTTTCAGAGCGCGTCGCATGTCCATGACGGCCCATTGCTTGCCGCCTTTGCCTGCAGTCATACCCTTGGGTGTAAGTACAATCACGGCGGCCACTTTTTGTCCCCATTGTTCATTGGCGAGACCAACAACCGCTGCTTCTGCGACTTCAGGTAAAGATAGGAGCTCTCGCTCAATCTCCAAGGCCGAGACTTTCTCACCTCCAGTTTTGATGATATCAACAGATTTGCGTCCACGGATGAAATACATTGGCCCTTGAGCCCATGACTGACCGCTGTGGCCTGCCCCCGAAACTAGTTGGCGGGTTGCTACATCTCCAGTTTTGAACCATTTGCCCGTCCCGTCATCTCCGGAGACAAACTCTTCAGCCGTCGCTTTGGGATTGCGAAAGTACTCGGTGAAAATGGTGGGCCCACGCAATTGGATTTCTCCTTCGCGTGGTCTACCGCTTTGATCTGTCTCTTGACCAGGATGAATAACCTCTCCAGTCTCCGTGTCTACCAGACGGGCCTCAACCGATGGTAGAGGCCAGCCAACACTACCATCCACACGATCTTCGTAAGCCAAGCCACATGAAAGGGCCATGCCAACCTCGGTCATACCATATCGTTCTAGGAGGACGTTTCCGCTACTCAGTTGAGTCCAGGCCGACTTAGTGGGAGTAGGCAATGCTGCTGAACCAGATATATTCAAACGCATGTAACGAGGGGTTATAGCCGTGCGTGTAGCTTCTTGCATGTCTTGATCCAGACCAGGATGTGAGGTGAGGAGTCGATTGTAGATCGTAGGAACCACAGTCAGAAAAGTGATGGGCCGTTTCGAAGGAGAGGAGCCGGGCAGGAAAGGCGCAGCTAAGCGCTTCCACACTGTATCTGCATTGAAAGGGTAGGCAAACTCGATAGCGGAGCCAGCAATCAGCGGGGTAAAGAGCGCGTTGACGGTGCCGTGGATATGATGCAAGGGAAGCACATGAAGGAGCAAGTCCGATGAGCTATAATTCCATGCTTGTATCAAAGATCTTGCTTGAGCCGTAATTGTGGGGATTGATAACACAACACCTTTGGGCCTGTTTGTTGTACCGGAGGTATAGAGCATGAATCCTCCCCTGTCGACTGATTTCGGGCTAAATTTTACATTCTCTGCCGAGACAGCACCCGTTTCAATCTTGGAGAGTATTTCCAGGTTCGGGACATGATCGAGGCCCTCTTTGACCACGTCTTGAGCCTTTTCACGGAACTTTTCCGTGGCCAGGAAGAACAAGGCCTCACTATTCTCGAGAATATACCGTAGTTCGGAGTTGGGATGCATAGGTGCTAGGGGAAGGGCGATTGCATCATGAGACAGAATAGAGAGGAAGGTCACTGTTTCCGATGGTTAGGATCTGCTGAATCGAACGGGTAGAACGAGTAGTGCGCACCTACATAGTCATAACCATTTTCGGCCAAAAAAGCTATCCTCTCACCAACTAAGGACTTCCCGTTGGCTAACGCAGCCAGGTTATCTTTGGCGGCAGCAACATCGTGTAAGAGACTCCCATAGCAAAAAGTGCGGTCTGAGGCGCTGTGGATGATGGCCGGTGACCTAGGATCATGCTTGGCAATTGCTTCAAAAATGGGGGAAGAAGGTAGAGTAGAAGCCATTCGGAAGGGTCGAAGAGGAGATATATTTCGCGTCTTGGAGGTGAAAGAAAGACTATGACCTGCTGCTGGTGGAAGGAAAAAAGAAGGTGTTTTGTTGAGACGGTTAGAAAGGAACAAAATGGGGCGCATCCCAAAACATTGTTGAGCTCCTGCAAGGAACTCCCTAGGCGCACATTTAGACGAGACAAGAAACGCAAGATGGGGATCCAGTCAGATGAGTGTGTTTGATGCCTGTGGTGCGGTCGCAGTGGTGCCAGGTTCCGCGAGGACAAGTGCTAAAAACGAGTGACACTGCACCACATTGAGATACTACTCGGCAAAGAGAGCGGGAGGAGTGGGAGTGGATGAGATGGGGCTCCGGTGGCTCCCCACATCAAGGGGTACAGTCACGTGCTACCAGATCACGTTTCTCTCACGTGCGACGCGCCACGATGGTTGTCTTTCCCCAGGGGCTGCATCCCTAACTTCAGAAATCCCCTAGGCGCTGGGTCCTGGCCCTTGAGTCCCTGAGCTGTTACTAGATGGATACTTATGTGGTCCCTGAATGGTCCCTAAAGTGGGTGGCCAGGGTGTATCCTTAGGTGCCACCGTGCCAGTAGCGTTCGGTCCTCGCTTCTCCCCTTCCCGAACATTGCCCGCACCATCCACTGTCCTCGGGACGCGGCACATCCTCCGGCACTGCTTGCTACTACGAGTGCTTGTCTAGATTTCCCCAGATACATGTGTAGATACGGACACATGTACATACGAGTAGGCACTCAAAGCGCTGCATCTCTACTTACTCGGTACAGCTGGTGTACTACAGATGCCTCGCCAGTTGGATCTCACCGTTCGCCACTCGTCAGGCGATCTCGGATCAGAGCTGCCAGAGTGCTGCACTCTGACTCGACAGACGGTACAGGGTACTCGGTAGGGAACACTGACTAAGGTGCTCGTAAACATATCCCTCGTCACCAGCCCAGCCATTCCTGCAAGCCACCTAAATCTGGACCATGGCATTTTGAAGAATTCGATGATGACTTCTTCGCCAGCGTGGCCCACAATCGCAACCTGTTTCGGACCCTGCATTATTATAATCCCTCGTAGAATTCAATCAAGTTCCCTGTGGAGCACAGGTATTGCATAGTTTAGGGACTCCTATGAGTCCGCCAATATCGGTATCTACCATCTGCAGCTCGCTGCCCCGCGTAGCTTCCTGCCGCCACAAGTGAGAGGCCTCGGGCCTAGATGGTACCTTCCCACGGCGGAAGAGGACGATCGCAAACTCGAGGGCTAATTCCAAGTCTAATTTCTCGACCATCGAGTTTGGCCTTTATTTTACCTCAGCCTAATCAAGTGCGATGTTTATCCATCATCATTCCTCATCCAGCAAATCCTCTATCTATCTCACTCGCTAATATCCTTCCCATGTCACCCACGGTGTCGCCCAGAGGCCTGAGTTAGGTCGCACCTTAGTAGGGCTTGCAATCATACCCATGCAGACCCTGCGCCATGTCACAGACCCCTCCGCACTCCAAAGCACTGGAATTGTTTCGGGAGCGTGTTGTCTCTAGGTTGGTCAACATTGCTACATTGCATTTTGCGATTCGTTGTTGACCTGTTCGCTGTCAACAGATATACTGTTGCCACCAAAGATCTTCCCCGACCTGAGTCCGGTGTTGATGTCACCGTCCCCGACCCAAGCGCCTCTCAAGTCTTCGTCCCCAAGTCTTCTGGTGACCCTGCCCTTACGGCCTTTGCCCAGCTAGGTGCCTTGCGGCTCGACGCATCCCGTGCTTTGATCTCTCTCATCGACACCACTCACCAGTATGTCCTGGCCGAGGCCACTAAGTCGCTCTCCTCGCAGTCGGACGAGCGCCATGATCTCAACGATGGCCTATGGATCGGCAGCGTTGTTCTTCCGAGAGAAAGTGGCATATGCGAAGTTGTCTTGACCAGCGATAAAATCCACTCTACCAGAAATTCCGAGGAGGGGCTTGCAGACATCACAGACAAAGATGAAATCGTTATCATCCAAGATTTGCGGCAAGATTCACGCTACTGCATGCGCCGCTATGTGAAAGATGGTCCGCAGCTACGTTTCTACGCTGGTGCTCCCATTCGAAACGTTGGTGGCACAATAGTCGGCGCTTTCGCTGTTCTTGATGACGTGAGCACTTTTGGAATACATTCCTGGCCCATACTGTTGCTAATGCCCTTCCACAGAAACCTAGGCAAGGCCTACCTGCTTCCGAGAAGATGTTCATGGTCGATATGTCCAAGACAATCATGAAGCATATCGAGAGTATAAGGATTCAGGCAGAATTCCAGCGTAGGGACAAGCTCGTTGTCGGGTTGGAGTCGTTCGTTCAGGGGCTGTCCGAAATTCCTCGTTCTCAGCCCACCAACCCAAATCAGAACGCCCAAGGCACAGTCGTCCAGGGAGTTCCCATCACCGAAGAGGCCCTTCGGCAGATCAGCCACGGTAGCGATATCAGTTCAATGCGTTCGCTGTCCATGTGGGAGATCGCTCTTCCTAGTGGCTGCAAATCTCTGTTTTCACGAGCATCTAATATCATTCGAGAATCTGCTGGCTATGATGGGGTCGCTTTCTTCTACGTTTCTTCGAGTTCAAGCACTGGAAGCTCATCTCGCCGCCAGTTTCAAGCCTCCGAGACTGGAGGCGAGAAATCTCGATATTCTTCCACGTCCAGCACCAGCTCGGAGTTGAGCCAGTCAGCCCTACCTGCAAGCACTCCAGATCCACACCAATCAGAGAGTTCGTTCGAAGACCTTTCGGGCAACGAAGAAACTAACCTTGATGGACTAAGCCCGATCCTAGGATTTGCCCTTAGTAAAACAGATGAGCAGACACGACCAAGCGATCAGACACGCTTCCCACGCTTTCGTCTTCGCGATCTGCAGAAACTCATGGGCACCCGGCCTCGTGGGCGGGTGTATTTCCTCGACCGATCAGGATATACCATGCCAGGCGATAGCTCAAGTTCAGGCTCCGGGGCAGACATACCTGCAGGCAACCCTGGTGAATCTCTTCCGCCGTTAACCACGGGACAGCCGGGCTCTGGGCATTCAAAGAAGCGATCTGCGCAAGTTAATTCTCTTCTAAAGATCCATCCCCAAGCCCGGACTTTTATCTGCCTACCACTGTGGGATCATAATCGTCAACGCTGGTTCGCCTTTTGCATATGCTGGATTGTAACACCGACCCGTGATCCAACTGTGGATGGCGACCTAAATTTTATGAGGATATTTTGTAACAACATCACCAATGCATTATACCATTTGGATACGCTTGATTCAGAGGAGGCCAAATCATCATTCGTTGCCTCGATATCCCATGAGCTTCGCTCGCCGCTGCATGGTGTGCTGGGTGCCACTAACTTTCTCTATGACAGCGAGCTTAATCGATATCAGCTAGAAATGGTAGATTCTATCACAAATTCAGGACGTACCCTCCTTGACACTCTGGAACACGTTGTAAGTCGATCACTTCAATTTATCCTGCTTACCTCCCAAGTCTTGAGGCACTGCCAATGTGGACAGTAGACCCACCAATACTAATACAATCAATATTTCTGGCAGATGGACTTTACGAAAATCAACAACTTCACGAAATCAAAATCGACTTCCTCTGACAACACGAAACTTGAGGACAAAAAGTCATCTGCCACTTCAAGGAAGAACGATATTCGGCGATCAAGTCTCACCACCAGTGTCGACTTGTGTGAATTGGTCGAAGAGGTCGTGGAGGCAGTCTTCATGGGTTTCACTTTTCAACACGATTTCCTGTATTCAGATGATACATCTGAGACAGACCGTCCAAACCTTGTCACGCGACCGAGCGACTTGGCCAATAGTCGTCGGTCACTTCACCAAAGAGGACGAGTCCGGCTAGCATTGGAAATTCCGCCTATCGACAATACCGTGGCTGCAATACAGCCAGGGGCTTGGAGAAGAATTGTCATGAACATTGTTGGCAACGCCTTGAAGTACACTAATCAAGGGCTCATTACCATATCCTTAACACTGTCAGCGTTTGAGGATGATCCGCAACAGTCAGGCGAACAAGGCCAAGATGTGATTACCCTGACTGTAAAGGATTCTGGAATAGGCATGTCAAACGAATTCTTGCAAAATCGACTATTCAAACCCTTTTCTCAGGAAGACTCCTTCTCCTCCGGCACTGGTCTAGGCCTCAGTATAGTTGATCAAATCGTCAAATCATTGGGTGGTTATGTAGATGTTTCGAGTGCAAGAGGTTTAGGCACGACCATCACTGTCTGTGCCAATGCATGTCGTGGTACGTCGCGGTCGAGGCGGTCAGATCACGCGAGCCCCCAGGCTATCGCAAAATCATTATCGAAGCTCCACGTTACTGTTCTTGAGGATACAAGCTCGAAGGCTTCCACAGCTAACCCTGAGGGCCAACGGGGGGCCGAGGCCGAATTTTGCCGAATTCTACTTTCCAACTTGAATCGATGGTTCGGGGTTGAGACCGCTATCCAATCCACCTGGATTCATGGATCGGCCGATTTGATTATCTGTCTGGAGCCATCCTTTCGCCTGATCGAATCAATTCGATCACAAGCACGAGATCAAGGGTCACCTGCCCCACCGATTCTGGTCATTTCTCACGATGCTTTAGAAATGGCTGTTCTTCGACGGGATGTACGAATTCAAAGTGAAGAGTCTGTCATAGAAATTACCCATCAACCGTAAGTTTACTCACTGTATGCATAGTATCCTATGTTCGGAACCTTATACATGTTTAGGCTTGGCCCACGAAAGCTTTCCAAGGCCATCTATCAATGCCTTGAACGATCTAGACTCTTGAGCCCCACACGCTCGCAGGATTCAGTACCTACAGATGAAAGCGCTGCACGGACAATACCGACATTGCAATCATTTCCCTTCCCGGCCGTTTCAAGTGGCACATCACGAACGGCCGCTCCAGCTTCGATCGCCAGCACCACCGAGGCAGCGCAGCAAGTGACCATGCCTGCCGTGAAAAGTGATTCCGTTCTTTGTGTGGACGACAATTCTCTCAATCGAAAGGTAAGTTGGCCCACAACTTCTCTATTCGTTGCAACTCGTACTTAGGCGGCATAGCTTCTTACGAACTTTATCAAGAGCAAAGGCTTGACGCCTGTAGCGGCTTCTAATGGTAAGGAAGCAGTCGATCGTTTCAAAGCCGCCAATGGGGCTTTCAAGTGCGTTTTGATGGGTTAGTCTCCAGATATACTTGACACTGTCTCTCCCTCCCGAGATTACTAAGCGAGGTCAGATATATCAATGCCAGTCATGGATGGAATGACTGCGACTTTCCTTATTCGAGGGTTTGAAGCTAGTAACTCGTTGCGTAGAGTACCTATTATCGCTCTGACCGGCCTGGCGTCCGCAACTGCACGCAATGAAGCCCTTGAATCCGGCATGGATCAGTTCTTGACAAAGCCGTTTTCGTTCCTGCAGCTAACTGAGATCATCAGCGGTCTACCACCTACCCCAGCTGCGGACTGACAGGCCTGTATCTCAGTTCGACAACATGCACAAAATTAATTGCAGCCGAAAGAATATGACATTCAAGCCTGCATTGACATGCCGCAAAGGCCCTGTACCAAGATCCAGTTCGAGATGCACTGAGACATGTTCAAGTTCCCTTTTGGGAGACACTTGGAATCGTTGCTCTACCATTCATGTCACCAGACACTGGACAGTCGTATATCAAACCCACAGAATTCATCTGAGCCGACAAGGATAGTCGAAGGATGATAGGCACGTGCCGGCTGTGATGAGAAGGATAAACGAACTCACGAATTAGACGGCGCGGTGGAAAGGTTAGAAAAGGCCGGATCTAATCTGAATAGAGAGCCAGATTCTCCCTACGCTCATATAGATTATCTCAGAATCATCGTCCAGCAAACAAGGCCGATGCATACCGACCGTGACAGCATAGCCTTCAGGATAAACACGTTTACGAGTATCCGTAAAACCTAAACATCAACTTGCAACAGCGAGAACTCCACTAACGTTCCTCTTATGGACCAGTGCCGAAGTCAGATCAGCTGTTGTTCTGACTACATGTCTAAGTATCTATAGCTAGAGGTCATAGCCAAAAGAAATGGACAGATACACCACCTTGATGGTGTACCTAGTACATGGGTCAGGGTCAAGCTATCCTTTCCCTTCATGAAGATAATCATTGGAATGACTGCTGACGCACTCGACCGCGTTCGCGATCGCGATCGAGGAAGGGAAATGGGGGCTGGGAAAGAAGCTGCACTCTCCATTCCCTCTCTTTGCCGGTCTACAGATCGGTCTACAGATGATGGCCATCGCGCCTGCGTATACGCAAACCAACGGCTCGATGCGAAGCGCAAGGAAGGATGCCTGGTAAGATCAGGCCCAGGCAGCAACGATGAAAAGAAAAGCTGGGCAGGTGGTTTGACTTCGTATCGATCAGTTGGTGGTGAGAGAGATAGATATTATTATCTTTAACAATATTTACAATGCATTGTATTTTGGCACGCGACGGGTGGAAAGTGCTTTGCTTTGAGTTGACCTGTTAGACTTACTTGGTGGCGTTTCTTCGTATCGAATTTGGGAGACTTGTAGCATCTCAGATTGGTTAGTTCCTGTCTGCGAGCGCGGAGGGGGAAAAGGACTTTGCAGCGGATATTGCGCATGTGGCTTGGTACTTTCTTTCGTCCCAGTTCGATCTCAGCTGCACGTTGGGGGGTTGATTTTGGCATTTTGGACCACTTACCCGGTTGCTGTCTACGGGAGGGTCTTTTTAGGCTGTACTCGATGTTGAAGAGCGTTAAAGAAGTGTTTGGGCTAAGTAAAAGGGAAGTGGAAGAGGAAGATGTTGGTCGGGTCAGTGACGTCGCAGAGGATCGTGACTATCGACCAATATTTGTAGACGGTTGTGTAGAACTCTGAAAAAGATCATTTTTCCTTTGCCGCTTTCGCTCGTAGGCAAAACAGGGCAAAGCACGTAGTTTTCCATGAGGAATTCGTCGCATGTTAGCGCCGCCGCCGCCCCACCGTTCCCTTACCTTTCGGTCCAGACCAGAGTCCTATCATCCAAGATGAATGATTCCTACGATCTCGACCCAGCTCCTAGCCAGGCCTAGCTTCCTCTCGCAGTCACTTCGGATTCATGAGAGCAGCGTAATTGCGGAAGCACCGGCCTTCCTTGAGAGGGAAGGGTGCCCCGTTTCCAAGCTCGTACTCCGCGAAAATCCCAAAGTGAGAAAAGTTGCATGACTTCCGAGAATTCATGCGTGGTGATCGTCGAACCTATTGGGTTTTTGTGTGTTTCACTTCTTCTGCGAAACCACAAGCAGAGGAGTTCTGCCGTTCTCACCCCTGGAGTGAGATGTCGAATAAAAGCGCAACACCACAGGCATTCAGGCGGCGTCAAGACCGGCCGATATACCTCGCCTAATTGGATGAGACCTCAAAGGTGTCACGGGATAATCCGATGCATCTTGAAGAGGCCTTCTTCCAGGCCTGGATTCTCGCTCGAATTGGACGAATCCAGCCAGTTGGAGTTGCGAACAGGGACTCACGATGTAAGTTGGCTGAGAAAGCTGCGGCTAACAACACAGGTCAGCAGACTGTTAGTGGTTTACGAGTCAAAGCAGCTGATAAAAGCAGGCACGATCCATGCAATCCTGTCTCTTTCGTGACAAACTTCAAGTATTCTGGGAACAACAGCACCGCACCGCGCCACACTGCTATCAGCGTCAAGTAAACTCTTCTTCGTTATCTCAGTAGTTGAGAGTTTTGATTCATCAGCTGTGCACCGTGACAACGTCGAGAGATTGATTTGGCCATACCTAATTCACTCAAGCAGCAGTCAACAATGACCCAGTTCAATACAACTCAAGGTGCGTGGGCCATTTTCGTGAGGTGCAGACTTTGAGAAGACATCTAGCTGATACCAGGAGCCAGCTAGCAGGAGCCGGCCCGCAGAAAACCTAGACCTGTACACAAAATCAAAGATCAAAAATGATCCGTGGACTCAATGGTCCGTTCAAATCATAGATGTTGACCATCGAAGGCAGCTTGCAGAGGTCTCTGAGAAGAATCTGAGAGCAGTTGGCTTGATATCAGCGGCGCAATCGCGTTCGCTGCCCTCGGCATTGTGGTGAGTCTACCGTGCTTGCTACCTACTTCAAGTTCACGTCTTCTGTCTCCAGATTGCTTTCTCTCATTGGCGACCCCATAAATCTCCCAAACAGAGCAGGGCGAGGATGAGAAGCATTCGTGGCAAGGTTTTGATGGATCTAGTAGGCCGAGATGGACTTCGGGCCGCGGCGGCTGATTTCGTATTTAGTTCGGGACGAGCAGGCAGCCAAAAAAAGTGATGGCATGATTGATTGGACGGCTGAAGAAGTCCTCCGATTTTCATCTAATGGAATACAGTACCAGCCTTCCGAGGTAGTAGCTTGAGGTATGATTTGGGCTCGACCCCTGCATCGGCTTGTGGTTCTTAAAAGGAAAAAGGTGAAAAGGAAAAGGTGAAAAGGTCAGGCGTTGGGTTGATAAAACAGAGTTTGTACCCAAGATTTTTGATTGGTCCTCACCGCGTTCCCCCTCGCTCAACTTTCTACTTCTGGCAAGGGCGATTGCGGGCGACATCAATCAACCCTTCCTACCTCTTATGCAAGGCTTCCTTCTTTCCTCCCATTATATGGCCATAAAGGTGTTGCTTCATGGCAGTCCTCCCAAAGAATAGCAGCGCCTTGGTAGATATCACGGTTTTGACCTAAAGATACAGGTCAAAATCTCGTGCAGGTAGCGACGTGACTCTTAGGCGATCTTGATATCTATAGACATCTACTAAACAGATTGTTCTGAAACAATGAAAGGCTCTCGTGGGGGGATTATTGTCACGGTACTTTGCCACACGTGTCCCAGACTGTAGCCGTACTTTCGCTGTGGTGGCGTAGCTTTGATTCCTGCCTCGGTATTGAAGTGTGGCGGTGAGCGGGAAGTGGGTGTTGATGAGAATATGCTTTAGTACATGTAACGATAAGAGGGACTCATGTCGCCCAATTCGATCTTCTCGTATTCCGTGACACCCACATCCCGAGTCTTAGCGCGAGACCTGTTCTGTGAGACGACTGCAATGAAGTACAGCACGCAACTCACTGCGCTGAGGCAGATGAATCCCAAGCAAATACTATAGCCTCGGTGGAAGAATGACGATGCATCGCTCGCCTTGAAACTGTAACTCGCGATGATTCCTGTTCTTTGGATGAGCATGGTCCAAGAGCTGTTAAAATGAAAGAATCTCGACTTACCGCCAATATTGCCAAATCCTATGATCCATCCACTACCAACAGCCCGTCTGTGATGGCCTCCAAGATTCATGGTGAACCAACAGACAATAATGGGCATGGCACTGTAAGTTCCACAAGTGATCAAAAACAAAGCGGCGTATTGAGCGTTTCTGTGGTGGTGAATGACCATCAACATTGCAAAGCCTGTTATGGAGATGCAAATAGGTCCGATCGTGAAGAGGAATCGATGACGAGTCCAATCGGAGAATGCAGCAACAAACATACTAAAACCGAAAGCAGCGGCCCAAGGGGGAACTGAGTGCAACTGTGTCTGAATTGGACTGTAGCCATAGCTTTTGATGATGGTGGGTGCAAAGTAGGCATAACCGTAAGCTTAAGGTAACCATTGTTAGATCAATTTTCAAAGCTGTTGCTTCACGGAAATGTCTTTGCTTACCTGGTACAATAAGGCCAAAGTACATCAATCCTCCAAGGAACAATTTATAATCCTTGAAGCAGTTCACCACATCTTTAAAGGTGATAGATCTTTCCAGAGCAGATTTACCTTGATCTTCTTGAAGACGCGCCTTGACGTACTCTCTCTCCGGTTCGGTCAACCACTTTGCGTCCTCTGGAAAGTCCGGGATGGCAAAGAAGATAGCAAAGGACACCACACAAGTAAGTAGGCCCTCGAGAATGAAGACCCATCTCCATCCAAGGTAGCCGCGGATACCATCCATCTTGCCAATGGCAGAGGCCAACAAGCCACCAAAGGCGCCTGCCAGAGTCGTGCTCGCAAAAAAGAATGTGTACCGCTTCTGTGCTTCGTTCCTCGTATACCACATTCCGATCAGATAGAACGAACCAGGAAACATGCCCGCCTCAAATAAACCTAGAAAGAAGCGGGTCGCGATAATGCCCCCATAGCCTTGTACCAATCCCTGACAGACTGTCACAAGACCGAAGCCAAACATGCACAGAGAGAGCCAAACATGAGGCTTGAGCTTTTTCAGAATGATGTTGGAAGGAATCTCAAATATAATCTGTAGTACAATAATGAAATTAGTCATGTATACTGGGAGCGTGAAGGGTCGCTTGCAACTCCTCCAAGAGACTTACGTATGGGACGAAGAAGATTGTTAATGCGGTCGAATATTGTGTGGCAGACAAGCCCAGATCCTTCTGGAGACCAAAAATCGCGGCGTTCGCGACATTCGTGCGGTCAAGGAATGCAAGTAAATAGAGAATACTCAGAGCAGGGATGACCCGAAAGTCGATCTTGGTGATGAGTTTCCGTTCGGAGACTCCTGGTGGTAAGGTGACGGGGTGTTGGTCTCGGTACTCTGCTGCTGGATGCGCCATGTCTGGATCGTAATCGAATTGATGGCCCATCCCATCTCTGGGCTTCTCGCCTGAATATGTTAGTTCGCGGTCTCCCGAAGTGTGGAAGAGCATACTTGAAGCATCGGAAAGCCCCATGTTGATTTCGTCGCACAAGAAAGCACACACCACACCTCGCTTAATAAGCTGGCCAAAAGCTGTACCGAGGAGTTGGGTTGTTTGACTGCTACAAATGTGGACAATGGAGATACTTGTAGTTGTGGACCATCACGGTCAAGGCGGGTATCCATGCCGGCTGAGGACCTCTCAGCGAACCTCGAAGAGGACTTTTGACCGAGGAGGCGAGGCGGTGGCGCACAGGTTGAAAGCCTGCTGGGTTGAATAACTGGAGTTGAGGGGTTATGGACGCTCCACATGGAGAAAAGATCTCTAAGCTGGGACCTCGATGCAACATTAGATGGACCATGACTGGCCCGATAGGCAATTGAGGACGGAGAGAGACCGTGACTCTGGCTGGAGTAACATGCTTGGCGTAGCGGCAAGATTAAGCTCGGTTACTTAGCTCCACCGGGTGGCCACTCTTAACTTATTAAGTTCTTGATATCTTGGTATTACTCGTACAAGTAGTATTACCTACAGGCTACGGATTACGGAGTACGGATATACGTTACGAACTTGCCTTGGAGAGGTAGGCGTAGGTCCATGGGTACTCCGCATTTACTGGCCAACTACTATCACTGAATTAGTTCACTGCTCAAGTACCCAGAGTACCCAAGTACCTATTAGGTATGAACGAGGAGTCGCCCAGCACCAACCATCGGCTCGGCGTAAAACGAGCGGTGCGGTTGAAAGTAAAAGTCACATGTTTCGAGTTGAATTCTTTGGGTACCGCGCTCAGCGGCCGCCTCGAACAAACCTGTCCTTCGCTAACTGGTAAGGTGGTTCTGTAAGTTGTAAGTTGTTACTATCTGTTGACTGCATCCTTCCTTGGTGTACTGTGACTGATTGATCACCTGACTCCTGCAAAAACCGGGTGGAATATCCAAACTCCGAGCCCTTCCCCTTTTCGGTGCCTTGATTCCTCCTTCCCAAGCCCGGATCGGATTATCATCAAGGCCGGCTTAGCCACCACATTCCAATTCTGGATTAGCGAATATTGGCCGATCCATTCTAGCCCAAAGTCTGGGCTTGCCATCCGCCTGATCGACCGACGACCACTGGGCACGGATCGCTGGACATTTGTGCTCCTAGAGAAACAGACCTCACGCTGATATCCTTACAGTTCTTCGATACTGGAGGTCCGCGGCCTGTCGTCCCTTGTGAAAGTCTCTTCCAACGCTCCTAAGGCATCTAGTTGGACGCCCTTGAGGTGCGCAGAGCATGGAAACCGCGACTGCCCTCTGTTTGACGTGTGCCGACTCATCATTGCCCCTCTTTCAACAACCCAGTATCGAATCCACAACTCACCATCTTCTCTCAACAAACTTCTGCTTCACTCCGCGACAACTTATCTATTCATTATAAAGACTACAGCCATTTATCCCTTGTCTTTCGTTAATTTCCAGGTTTGACCTCTGAAGCTACAGGTGCCACAAGACATTTCTTCTGCCCCATCAAGTTGACGGAATCTGCCATTAATTCATGCAGCCGCCCATGGCCGGTTCCTCTCATGGACCCAAGCGCGCTGCCGAATCAACATGGAAGTACAGCAATGGGCCCCTGATGAAGGTAGAAAAGCAGATTCGAAATCTAGATGGCTCTTCTTACCAAGTCATTCCGACGGAGTCTCTGGCACACCGGAATTTCGTCTTCCAAACCGATAAGTCGTCATTTCAAGTGACTTCGTCCCCGTTGTTGGGCTCTGTCGATGCTTCTCGAAGCAAAGAACACAAACCTGCACCTCCACCACCAATTACTGACCACTCTTTCGTTGTCAACACCGTTGGTAGCATGCAAAGTGGCGAACGAACAACCGTTCTGCTCGACTCGCCTAGCTTCAATAACCCGGTTCTTGAAGATGACTCTCTGGATGGAAGACGGCTACACTCGGTGGGCGATCCTCAAATTCTGCGGAAACGGGCCTTGAGGAGCACTCGTCCCCTCAAGATCTCCGACAAGGTCAACAGTGACATCTGGCAGATCATCCTCGGTTACTGTGAGCCCAAGCTCCTGCTCGAAGCGAAAACAATCAATAAGGAGTTCCGCCAGCTCCTTTCAGATCGCACCGCGATATGGAGAGCGAGTCGGCAGAACTTCTTTGGCTACGATATGCCCGAATGTCCAACTGGTCTGACGGAGCAAGCCTATGCCGATCTCTTGGTGGGTCGGGGTTGTCAGAACCGAAGCTGTCCAAAAGAGCACACGGCTGGGGTCTACTGGACCTTTCAAGTCCGCCTCTGTGCCGAATGTTTTAGGCAGAAGACTATGCGGGTCAGTAGTCAAGTCTGCTCGGTCCGAGCTGTTGCTAACCCACTTGTATCCACAGGCTGATGAGTTACCAATACATCGAAGACATATTCTGAACCGCACAGTGGAAAGTGAAGGAAGACCTCTGTGGGAATTGCTGCCGCTTGCACGAAGCGATGGGTAAGAGTCGCCAGGCTCATTTTCAGTCTTGTGGATATTAACTTGCTGTAGTCGACGGTACATGCGGCCGAGATCGGTAGATACAAGCACGAATGGATGGGCCAATGCCCATAGCCTCCGCCAATATGTTTTCCTCAAGTCGGCGTATACGCAGCTTGAGAATCAGCACCACGACCTTCTCCTATCGGAACCCTCTCCAGTTCAAATGACCACATGGATCGATGGGATTCATAGTAGGACGATGGAGTTCATGGTCGAGGTGGACAATCTCGAAACCTGGTACAAACGTCAAAAGATATCGGACAGCGTCGTGCACAGTATCCGGGAGCGATTCTTTATTGCCCGTGCGGCTCAGTTATCACCGCCAATGAAACGGAGCGTGCTTTGGAGGATGGCAGCTTTCCGACGAATATTGAAGGTACAAACCCCGCCTACAGAACGGTCATGGAAGACGTTGAAGGCCAAGATTCTGCCTTACCGACTACATGCAGAAATTGTTGAGCAATATGAGCTTGACATGTTCCAGGGCTCTGATCGATTCTCTCAGGCCAGCTCCTCTTCAACTCCTACTGCTATAAAACTGCACCGGCAGTTGCACGAACACCGTTCGGGATTGACGATGAAGCCAGAGCAACGATTTGTGCTTGAGCTTGGAGAAAGGGAGCTCACGCGATGTCTGGAGAAACAGGTGGCAGATGCCGATCTGGTCCTCTTGTGCCTAAAAAACGTCTTCGAAACCTATGCAGCATTGAGCGAAGTACCTAACGGATTGAATTACGATGGTACCTTTGGCCCTTATCGGTTAAGCCTGGACGATGCTCGGATGATCGTGGAGGAAGTCATGGAAAAGCGGATACCTAAAATGTCTTTGAGAGGTGGTACAGTATTTCAGAACCTCCGATGCAGAGGCTGCCGTCGGACAGACTTCATTAGAAGCTGGTCATTCGTTGAGGCGTTCGAACACATTCTCCAAGTGCATGCAACTGTGGTAGGTCAAGGGTTGGAATTCTGGCAGTTTGCAGTTCCGTATGTCCGCGATCTAGACGAATTCTCTCGACGAGATCATGGAACAGCCTTTCCTTGGTATACTGTGGCGTGGCCTCGATGTTTGCCGCTTGTCCCGGGCCACCAGGAGCCTTGGGCTCTCGACAGTTGGCATCCAGCCATCAGCATACCCTTCGTGGAGTATCCTCGAAACACAATTGTCTCTGCCTTTGAAGGCCGAATTCCTCGCCCCACAGAGATTCCACATGACGATTTTACTGGCAATCTGTTACACGCAGCAAAGATACTGAACGGGGTCTGGCTTGAGGGACCGTGTCAAATGAAGATTGCCCTTAAATACGCAGTCGACCTATTCTCTCCTGGTCAGGTATCGGAACCATCGCTGTCGAAGTTTGCAGCAAGCCTGGAACTATTCCACGATGCCAATCCGGCAATTGAACTCAGATTTCGGTGCGGCGTTTGTGTAGGAGAAGCAAGTGTGTATCGAACAGCGAGACATGTTAAATATAAGATCTCTCTAGAAGGTCTCTTGAGCCACTGGGAAGAAAAACATTCGGGTGGCGGGTACAAGTGGAGCCAGAGCCTACTGCAATTACCCTCAGAAACAGAAGTAATGCAGCAAATTTGTGAAGCAGATCAAAAGCTGCAGCAAGACAGAGAAGCAACGCGCGAAAGGACAGAACAACTACATCTTTCTGAGAACGTCCGAAAGCGACCGAAGCTCAAAGCAAGCTTGGTGATGACTGCACGATCGGCGGGTGGAATATTCGATCAATTGTTTGATCGGGTCAATGACTCTGGGTCACAAAACTGAGGTCCCATGGGGAAGAATGAATTGACGAGTGGAAGTGGTGTGATTTTCATGGCTAAAGTTACGAAGAACTTGGGCATAGCAAGTAAGCAACTCTTTGGGCGTTTTGGTACCAATCCATCCGCGCACGGCGTTCTAGTTAGCAAGGAGAATCCTTGTGGGTATTGCAAAGGAGAGGAGGCGCAACGGTCTGGGATGGAGTTTGCACAACATGGAGTGGTATAAATTGCTGCCTTGAGATGTGCGACTGACACATTGCGATGGCAAGGCAATCTCCCCTTTTATGAGAAATGATGGAGATTAAAGGGAAAATGTCTTAAAATGGCAGTTTGAGCGCGAGTCTCTCTTTCTCGGTGCGAGATACCATACATGGTTAGCGCCAACGGAAAAATGCTCATGGTCCCTGACATCTCCGATCGAGGGCAAGAAAAAGTGGCCTGTCGAAAATGCGACATGTGAATCAGCGTGGATATCGCTCCTGGTCACGTTTTCTTCCCTAGTATTCGGTGCGAACGACTCCGTGCGCAAGGTACGAGGGAATTGAGACCTTCGCCGAGGTTTTGTGCTTGTACAAAGCTCGCCAAAGACCCCGAAACCCCTGCCAATATGATCACCGGCGCCTTGATATCTTAATTTTCATTGGCGTTATGCCCGATTCCAGTCGCCGGGTAGCCGGATCCGGCGTTGCCGCTAAATCTCACGCGACTGGTAGCGTTGGTGGCTTCGAATAAAAACCACAACACCAAAGTCAGCAAGTGGCGTGGAACCACTTTACGGAGAACAGACCAAGGCTTGCAATTTTTCTGGTGCTTCCTACGCTGTCATTCACTCTGCCTCTGGCTCGGAAGCATTCGCTATCACTATTACTACGAGGCACTATCGCGCCTTGTGCCGCTCAAGCTCTTAGTTCCTTCAATGCTTCTCGCTGGCTTCTTCCGTATCCAGGAACCTTCTGTGGGTCACTATGTACTTCCGCGGTGGCCATTCAACGGCCGTTGGATGCACCATTATTCAGCTAATTTCAAGACCACGCTCTTCTTTATATAGTCGGTGTTTACCTTGTCAATTGTCATCAATCTCATCCACAGCATAACACAAACCCGGCAACGGCTTTTTGCTTTGAATCTTTCCTCGCCATGGCGGCTGCTACTACCACTCGCACACTCAGCAAAGCCCTCCAACGAAGTACGGCTTCAGCGGCCTCTTTAACTCGTGTCGCGGCTCGCCCTGCAAGAGCCAATGCCACAAAACAGTTCTTTCAACAATCTTCCCGTCGTCATTACTCCTCCGGACCAGCCCCATCGAGGTCAAATCTCCCCTGGATCGTTGGTGCCACCGCAGCTGCAGGGCTTCTAAGTGGGGGGCTTTACGCCTACAGCTCGCAAGAATCAGTCCCAGAAACTCACTTGAAGCAAGGAAGCGGAGGACAGTCAGCTGGCGTATTCAAGCCTACAGTTGAGGACTATCAGAAAGTTTACGATGCCGTTGCAAAACTTCTGTGGGAACATGACGAGTACGAAGATGGATCATATGGCCCGATAGTGCTCCGCCTTGCATGGCACTCATCTGGAACATACGACAAAGAAACGAAGACCGGTGGCAGCAATGGGGCAACGATGCGATTTTCCGCAGAAGGCGGACACAGCGCCAACAATGGGCTCAAAATCGCCCGCGATTTCCTGGAACCAATCAAAGCACAATTTCCATGGATTTCTTATGGCGATCTATGGACTCTGGCTGGCTGTGTGGCTATTCAGGAAATGCAAGGACCAACTATGCCCTGGAGACCGGGCCGGCAAGACCAAGATGCCTCGTTCTGTACTCCGGATGGTCGCTTGCCCGATGGTTCCAAAGGACAGGACCACGTCCGCGCGATCTTCGGTAGGATGGGATTTAATGACCAGGAAATGGTTGCATTGTCAGGCGCTCACGCTCTTGGTAAGTCTACATCTCAAGCCTGCAACCACTTCACTTGTCTGTATATATTCACTAACAGCCATAATTTAGGTCGCTGCCATCACGACCGCTCGGGCTTCGAAGGACCGTGGACGTTCTCTCCAACAGTCATGACAAACGACTACTACCGTCTTTTACTCGAGGAGAAATGGGGATGGAAAAGCTGGAGTGGACCGAAGCAATATGAAGACAAGACCACCAAGTCTCTAGTTATGTTGCCCACCGATATGGCACTCATCAAGGACCCCATCTTCCTGGAGCACGTCGAGCGGTACGCCAAGGACAACGATGTGTTCTTCAAGGAGTTCGCCGATGCTGCTGTCAAGTTGTTCGAGCTGGGTGTGCCATTCGAAAGCAAGCCCGAGGATCGATTTGTATTCAAGCCACAAGTCGATTCTGCATAGTTTGGTTGTGTCGTTGAGCAGGTTTTGAGGGTTCTGACTTCCCCTCCATTCGTCATCATGTTCCTTTCTGAATTGTCGTTGTCATGTCTCTTTTGCCACGTCAGAATTATCTGGCGTAGGCTTTCTGGGAGGTCAGACAGATTGTGAAATTTCAGAGTGAGAGGTGTGATATCTGTCTATCATAGCATGGGTTACTTTTGGAAATCGGCAGTTCGCGTCGAAATGCGATGCCCCATTGTTGCATTAACGTATCCGCGGCAGGAGTTTTGTTCGACTTGATAATGGTCAAGATGGGTGGAGGCATACCCCTGATAGAACATATTGCTTTGCTTCGTCGAAGATTGAAGATACATAATCCAGAATCCGGCGCTTTTTGACGGTAGTTCCGTTGCTCATACTGCCTCCCCTGCTTCATGTGTAAAACCTCGATGGATGGGTGAGAACCGCCTTCAATTAGAGACTGAAATAGTTTGTTATATGAGTACGCTCAAACGCTCCGAGATCTGGAGGAGACGGGCTTGGATGAAAAGTGGTCAAGCGTTAATGGCCACAGGGATAGCTAAACGTTCTCGACAAGGATGCTGTTATCGGCCAGTAGGAGCGTGTTCGAGTGGAAAACGCACAAGCATCAGACTTGCGGCACTTGCCAAAGCGAAATCCTGATTCGTGACTCTGTGCTATCTGAGCCAGATATGCCTTGAGCCTGCGACAACGACATCGCCGCGTGCTCAAACATGTTTGGGCCCTCCTCAATGTCGATATGCCGGCAATTCGCTGACAGGCTGACCACGGAGTTCCTTGATGCCGGGGCGCGGAGGATCAGGTGTTGTTAACCAGACAGGTTTCCCGTGTAACTCATTGACTCCATGGCCCTGATCCTGAAGCTCACGTGTTGCAACCCAGGCAGGATCTCCTGGTCCTGTTGACTTCTCGGCTTGCGGGATGGCGGTTGCATGCTGATGTCCGGGCCGGCGGGAATTACAGCGTCTGAACAGCCACCAAAGTAAGACTACCAGAGAGATAGCTCCTAGACCTGCTCCAACGCCGATCCCAGCGGCTGCTCCTGTGCTCAAGCTTGATTTCGATGCGTCACCCGTTGGCACTGGCGAGGTTGAGCTACTCCCTTCGTGAGAAGTTGTTGTAGATGTCTCAAGGAGAGTATTGGTCGGCGCGGAGGTGCGGAACGACGTCCCTGCAGACGATTGGGAGGATGTAATTGACTGCGTTGAGGATGTTGCGGAGGAGGATGTAGCGGAGGATGTTGCGGACGCTGTTGTCGCCGGTGCCACCTTTATCGTGCGTCAGCCTCCCAATATCAAAGGATTCAGTCCAAACCATAACTAACATCCCTAAAAACCTCAATGCCAAACGCATGCAGCGCGCCACCAGATGGGTTCGTCATAAAGGTCGTGTACGATGTGTGCACCGTCAGATCGGTAACCGTCACCGTCCACGAAACAGGTCCGGTATGCGTTGTCACGCAGTGGAGCGTCGACAGCGTCGGGGCATTTGCGCTTCCACACACGAACGGGAATACACTGTTGTGCCTTGGTATTAGCTAGTCTAGTCCTGGGCTAGATATCGAAAGGTCTCTCCTCACTCAGGACAGCAAGTTGTATATAGCTGAGTCCCCTGTTCTCTGTCGCACGCGGGAATATAACCTGTCGGGCAGCCAGTGGCTGATAGTAGAGACAAGGCGCCAGTGGGATCGTATGAAGGCGGGAAGCAGCTATCGGTCTGTTCTGGCGACCCCAATACACCGTATTGAGAGTTGCCGGCAATGACCCAGCGCCATATATTAGTACTTGTCATGCATTCTGCCGGAGCTTGAAATCCTGGTGTTAAGGTGGCTAGGGTAGACATCGCTGGTGGAATCTCAGAGGCGAAGTGCTCTTCAAAAGTACTATCCTCTGCCTAATTTGAACTGTTGAAAAGGTTTGAGAGAGGTGCCAATACCATTGAGAAGAACGATAATGCTTTTGTTCTTCACCGAAGAGGTGCGCCCGACAGTCTCAACCCACGAGATTTAGGCCAGATCGGACCTGCTGGTTAGCTGATTCTATGAATGGTAAGAGGGGGACTTTTTAGCGACCTTTTGTGCCGGAAAGACCGGCACCCTCGCTAGTTCTGCACTACTGAGCTCTGCCAGCCAGGCCCAGACGGCTTGACCAATAATGATAGCACCACATCCAGCGCATCTTCTTAAGCGAGCCAACAGTATGAGTTGCGGCTGAAAAGGGTTAATGATGTATCCATAGATGAATCTAGACAACGAGGCCTACTGGAAACCAGTCCCCAGAGCCCCACTTATCAAAAGCCTAGGGATTGTTGATAATCAGTTCCAGGATGGAGGCTCAGCCTCATCGCAGCATCATTTGAAATGCGACAGGTGGTACGAGAGGAGACTTTTGTGTTCGAGGATCAACTCATACACCATTTGTTAGGCGCTAGAAGGGTGATTGTCCTGGAAGAGATCCATATCGTGACTTGGTTCAGTCTCAGGCACCCAAACCCGTTTTTGCTTGTTCCGAGTATGTGCAATTCATGCCCCGCGAAGGCGTTTTGAGGATATCTTGGAATGATCGCACCATGACCTCAAGCCACACAGAAAATGCAGCACCTGCCGTCTTTCGTGGTGTGAATGATGCGCCACGAGGAAGTGCCCAGCACCCAGCAGCAGTGTGGGAAGCGCACAAGGCTGAAATACGGCGGCTTTACATGAATGAACGAAAACCACTCAGAGAAATCATCAGTATCATGGCTGGAAAGGGGTTTTGCGCAACGTCAGTATATGGCATACCTAGCCAGCACCGGGCCTTTATCTTTCCCGACGATTGCTGATCTATTGATCATTAGACCACATATGTATAAGAGGAAAATAAAGCAATGGGAGCTTGTCAAAAACAACAATACACGCACTCGCCTACCACAGCGACCGAAACACAGCAGAGCCTCAACAGACGACGAGGATGCGTGTGATGACAAAGAAGGTTCGAGATCACGAGAAACGGGATCCACTCCAGCTGGAGAGACTTCCGGAGCACCTCACGGGTTGATCCTTGCCAGCCCGCAGTATGCGTATGACCATCATCCAATGACCATTATATCCTTACCAGATCCTATCAAATTCAGGCAAGGTCTAATTGGCGGTTTTCGGCAGCTTCTCCTGCGCCATTACAGTCTGGAACCTATCCTGAACAGTGGAATCGCACCGTATCTTGGCCACATTGTGAGCGAGTCGCGCCAATCCATCAATGGAATCATCCAATCATCTTGGTTTTTTGCAGGCAAGCAAAACGAAGATGGGCGCAAATTTGCAGAAAGGGGCTTCAACACGCTCTTGGATCTTTTTCGAGACCAAGACTTCTATTCCTTGATTTACCTGTTCATCAGTCTTCCCCGACTCAAAGACTCTGGGTTGATGCAGCTCCTTTGGAACTGCCTGGCTTACAACGCAAGCGACAGTAGGATTTTGGGGAGGTCACACTCGTTGTCCATTCTTCTTCAATTGATACGTGATTTCTATCATATCCGTGGTGCTGCCGAACTCACATTTGCCGTCCATGATGCGATGAAGGCAATTTTCCAGATTGTCGAGAGCATGGACAACGTCGACGATTTCGCCATGACTTGGCTCAAGTGCGACTATGCTTGGAGTATGGCAGGCTTCGACTCTTTATGGGTGCAGAAGGTAGAAAAGGAGATAATGTTTCTTCGTGACTCCTTGTGTGGAGAAGTAGGGCAGAGGGAGGTTCAGATTTGGTCTGCCGCTATGAGCCTCCATCTCAAGTACGTTCAGCGCGTGGAGGACAACAGCAGTCCCTTGGACGAACTACGACCCGAAGATTTTGTGAACAGCTTACATTCGCTAGACGGTAAACCTTATGATAAGGATACCCTCCAGCTGATGTGTTTCCAGACTATGAGCCAGTATCAGCGAGCACTTTGGGCGAGTCGACAACTCGGCGGCTCTTCCACAAGTGCCCGAATGGAGAGCTTCTCTCTCATCGATACAGCAATTGACAAAATGAACTCGCTTGTGGGACGATCGATCAAGATCGACGATATTCGACGGCTGGAAAGCCATCGTGGGCAAGCAGATCGATGGGAAGAGGTAGAGTCAGCGAAAATTAAGTGGGTTATGGGGTTGTGGATGCTGCAAGAGTGAGTAATGATGATCTACCAGAAAGTCTCATCATTCGAGAGGTACTATTCAGAGATTATGCATCATCCATGATGCTGGATTCGAAATCGAAATCCTGCCGCCATCAAAAGGAGGTCGTAGAACTGGCCGAGCTGCGAACGCGGATGGTAATGGCAGGAAGGAGAGTTTCTTGACGAGTCACCAGCGGATATCAATGTTAATTATCGATAGCCTGATTCACTGGGGATCTGCGACCCCTACTGCTTGCTGGGCATATGAACGAGTCCATGATTGTACTGTACAGAGTACAGTACAATCACAAAGAAGAGTCTTGACTACTAAGATTGAACTGGGAGCAGGGTACAGAAATGTGTCCTGCTGTTCCTTCTTCTCGAAAGCATGACTCTCATATAGGGCCCACATTGACTCTATGCTTCCCCATTTTCATTCACAAAAGACACCATTACTTTTGTTGTCGAGCACTCTCCTACATGCCACAAACCTACAAGTTTATATAAATGCCAATCGACGAAGGGTGTCCCAGGAAGACAAGCCGAAGAGAAAAGTCTTTCAAAACATAATAAAAATTGAACATTGTGAAGGGCCGTCAAACATTCCTTCCGAAGCGGGTAACTTCAAGATGTGTCTACCTTCACATGTCCAACGAAGGTGGTCTTATCTCCGATAACTGTCCACCGCAACTGCTTTGCTATGAAACTTGGCCACTGGGGTGAAGTCATACGACGAGTTCAGGCATCTAGAAAGCTAAAACGGCACCGGCCATGATTCCAGCAGCACCCAGGGCGAAGCTGCTCAGCTGAGTACGTCCTGCAGCGCCAGTGTATGTGGCAACCGCTGGTTTCACACCTGTTCCGGTGTAAGATTGCACGGGAGCAACAGCTGTCACACTAGACTGCACTGGCGCGACCGTGTAAGTTGTCGCAACTGTTGCTGTTGGTGCAGCCCCGCCCCAGCCACCTTGATTGCCTGCTGGAGTTGTTGTTGCGGGCGCGACAGGCTTCGTGGTACTGCTTGACGAAACCCAGTCGCTCCATACATAGTCGGCGCTCGTGCTGGTCGTCTTCGCGGGGTCAACCTGTTTGGTGGTTGAGCTTGAAGCCACCCAGTCGCTCCATACATAGTCGGCGCTGGTTGTCTTTGCGGGATCTACAGGCTTGTTGGAGGTGCTGGATGAGATCCAGTCGCTCCAAACGTAATCAGCGCTCGTGCTGGTCGTCTTGGCAGGGTCGACATGTTTAGACGAGGTAGTGGAGACCCAGTCACTCCAGATGTAATCGGATGAGCTCGTAGACTTGGTTGTTACGGGGTCAACTGGCTTGCTCGAGGTCGAGGAAGTCCAGTCCTCCCAAGGCTGTCCATCGGAGGTGGTACCGGTTGGAGAGCTAGGCTTGGTGGTCGTCGAGCTGCTTGGGTGTCCACCAAAAGAGTAGCTTGAAGAAGAGGTCCCAGGGAAACCAGGGTGGGACCAGCTTGAGGTTGTCGACGAGGGTTGTGCTCCAGGGCCAGAGCTGGTTGTGGGTTGAGAAGCACTAGTTGTCGAGAAAGTGGGCATTGTGTAGCTTGTAGGAGCGGAAGTCGTCGTGGTGATATCGCTAGTGGTGGTGGTGGTGGTGGTGGTGGTGGTTGATGTCGTGGTAGTTTGAGGAGGCCTCTCTGTCAGTTGATATACTCTCAAATAACTGATGTCCCAGTAAGTCTCAGAGAACTCCTGTGGGTTCTCACCAACAAAGACGGAGCACTTTGCCTGTCCAGTAATGGCGGAGCACCCATTGTTCCATGTAGCGTCACCGAAGTCACCTAGTCTCATTAGAAAGGGGAAATCGCGGTTGAAAAAGATCACTTACCGCAGAAAGTGTTGTCGAAAATAACTTGGTTGTTCTTGAAGTTCGCATCAATGTCGGCATCAGGTCCGTTAAAGATTGATGAGGGAAGTCCCCACGTATCTGGCTCGGGGGAGCCTGACGAGATGTCGGATGGGATCTCGCTTCTTGGGAAGAACCAAATCTTGATAGCGTCGGACTTCCACTCCATGGCGTAGACTCCACCACCGGCTGCATTCATACCAGGTCCGTAACTGCTAGAGCGCTTGTCGAATGATGCGCAACCAGCACCGTTCGCGTTGGCTTGTCCTGCATAGTACTGGCAGTCATTGCCGTTCGGGGTGCCAGTCTGCTCGTTGGGGCTTTGCTTGACGGTGAACTGCTTGCCAGTGTGTAGGGCTGACAGACCGGTCCCTTGATTGTTGGCTCCTTCAAAGATATCGATCTCGCCATTGTTCGGCCATTCGCCGTCGCCCAAGGTCCAGAACGCGGGCCAGGTGCCGCACCCTTGGGTAGTCGAGGTGGTGGGGACATGCTTGAGATCGACAATGAAGAGACCGTGAGTCCACCTGTCGGTAGACTCGATCCTGAGTGATGGACGGCCAACACCGTTCTTCAACCAGTAATCAGCATTACCATCGTATGTGTGTGACGAATCAGCCCTCAATTGCACTGAACCACCCTCGAACCCGACCAAGCCGGTCTTGATCGCGGTGTCCTTGTCGATGTATCTAAGAATGGTTAGCCTAGCAGCATGGCTTAGGGTTGGTCAGCATACGAGACAAAGCCATGGGTCAGGTCGGCATCGGAGTTGAACGTAAAACCATCGAGGAACTTGTCTCCGGAGTAATCGGACTCGAGTGCATAATAGGTGTCGCCGGCGCCAAAGGTATTGACACTGGGAATAACGGAAGAGACAGAAACGGAAGCCAGAGACAAAACAGAAATGAATGTGGTGCTCGACCTCAGAAAGAGTGATGAGGACGGCATGGTGAAAGAGTGACTGTGCTTAGTTTAAGCAATGAATGACTGCGACAAAGTGTGGAAGGAAGGAAAGGGAGAGAGAAGAGGATAGCCATCACCGCTATATCGAATTCAACATCCACACATCTATCATGTGATGCAAGCGACGCCCCATTCATGACTGGGTTTACGCTCAGCACCGCCTCACCGGTCATCAATACTATGCAAGCTGGGCAAATTTGAGGGTGGTTCGGTAGACCCCCATAGCCGGCACGAGGGAAATGAGCAAGAAGCGAAGAAAGGAGGCCAGATGAGGTCCCAGGCGCCGAATGGATCCGCAGGGTATGAGTGGGTTGAGGACAGCTCAAGAGAATAATGCTCAGGTACCAAGGAGGCCAGCCTGGTACTCTGTACCTGCATTAGTCCGGTCCCATCTGGAGGAGAACGAATCATGATTCAAGGAAAGATTCCCAAATTTAGTGCCTCGTGGTCACAATGATGGATCTTTGTCCGCTCTGACTCCATGTGGTTGTGTCCCTGTTCGGAGGGTTCCGTCCGTGGACTCAAAAGAGGATAGTATGCATTGCAGTGAAACTTCGAAGGTGTTAAGCGAAACTACCGAGTGGCCCGTGAAGTGGCAACAATAGAAGAGTCGGCAGACGTTACAAGATTGGAAAATTGGCTGAACCAAAGCCGTCTGTTTGTGGAGCTTATTGGGTCTTCAGCCAATGGAACCTGGATATTGAAGCCGCGTTTGGCCCATATGGGAAAAGGGTCGAATTTCCCCTGAGCCATGGCTGAGATGGTTTGTTGCTTGGTTGCTTCTGCCCCAGTCAGCCGTGGAACAGGCAGACACCTGCTCAAGGCTAGACAAATGTGTTGCAAGTTGCAGCAGAGTCTTCCGAATTGGTCTCGATTGCTCGACACGTCGAATCCATCGTGCCGTTCTATAGAAATGTGGCTGAAGGCAAAGTCTCCTTTGTCAAATAATCGCGCAATACCCGCCATTGGCATGTGAAAAGGAGATGGGATATCGAATCCACAGGAGGCTATGGAAGGTATGTACCATAGAGTACTCCGTACACCGTACCTATTCTCGGTAGACTGGCGCCGAGCGAAACTTGTGGATTGCATAAGAGTCAGATACACGCAAACGGAATAGCGGATTCGAGATGTTCCCTGGTCAGCGGTTTGAAGTAATGGTATACGGAGTACTTATACTAGAAGCAATTCGGCGAGATGACGGGGGCGTGCCGAGGACAGAGCAGTGCACCAAGGATGGCACTGAATAGTCACGTTCAAGGAGGATATCAGGCTCCACCCCTTGCAGTCGGTACGAGTCCGGAGTATGGAGGAGTACTCGTACGCGTTCGGGTTTGTTGACAAAGAACTGAACGGCGCGAATGACACTAGCGGGAGATATCTCGAGCTAAAAACAAACGGATCACGAATCGTGGATCATCCTAAGGGATCTAACGGCAGACATCACGGATCCACGGCACTCAAGTTCTTGATCAAGATCATAAAGCGGGAGGATCACCGCAATGGCAACGGACGAATCCTGATAGCGTGCATTGCGTTTCTCAAATGCTTCCCAGTAACCATGCTTCAGCGGACCACAAAGCCTCTAGTGCAGCTATTCATCTGTCCACGTGATGAACCTTGCGCGGACATGCACGAGCCATTCAAACCCCCGCTGCAAATGGAAGGGGGGCGCCAGTCGTACACCATATCACTTGCACCTGCCGCCCATCGACAAGTGAGGGGCCCGCTCGATACTTTGAACGCCCCGCAGAGGCAGCAATAAATGCACCTCACACTCAAAGCAACGTCGTGCATAGATGCACCGGCATCCGCATCCACATGTCCAAGTCCATGGCCATCTGCTCCAGACCTCCTCAGAAAATTAGGAAGAAAGAGAGAGAAAAGAAAAAGAAAAGTGCCCGCTATCTGGATGTTTGCCCAGCAAGCACCAACTAAGGTACAGGCAGGTACAAAGACTTATCTAACACTACTATGACTATTCCTATCGTTACCCATTATTATTAGGCTGCAACTCTTCACTCCTTTGTTTATTGACCTTCCTCTCCATTACCCGAACCAGGCATCCTGTTCTGGGCTTCGACTTTGACAAATTGCCCGCCGCACTCTGTCCCCCTACCATTTCCTGTTATATTTCTCGAGTGCCAGAACCGACTGAGTACAGCCTTGAGGTTGCCCATGGTTAGGCACCAACCAGCATGAACCTTGCTCAGTCAGCCCTGCCTCGCTGTTCGTTCCATTTCTTGCCATGCTGGTCTGCTGTGCACCACGGTGCACAGCATTCTGATCTACCTGGCGAGTGTTTGATTGATTGATTGATTCAATCCATCCCTCCCCTCTTTGGTCTGTCCAACCCAGCCTTATCGTTCACCTTTTTTCGAAGCGCATTCTTCGCCCCTCTTCTAGTTAGAAGTCCACTTTTACAGTCATCAACTATATATGTGTCGTGACCCTCCCAGATGCGATGCGAGACCGTAAAAGGGTCCAGATCCAGGCGTTACGATGCAGCCAGTGGTCGTCGGCTGGCTGGTGCCGTGATGAACACGACCGCCTGATCTTGATGCGTGTGCCAACGCAGGTAAGAGTTCCACAAGCAAGAGGAACAATAATTGAAACTTGACGGCTCATGACTACCCTCGACATAACCAGATCGACTTGAAATCCACCACCGAGCCCAACCAGCCCAAGTCCGAGCTCGAGCCGGTCAAAGCGCAACCACCAGCGACAAAAGACACAGAGAGCGCCTCACCACCACCACCACCCGCACCTGCACCGACCCATCCACCTGCCTTTATCACTCTCCTCCCACCAGAACTCATCCACGAGATCGCATGGCACCTGCACCCTGTCGACCGGGTATGCCTAGCATTAACATGCAAAACACTAACCTCACATATCCTCTCGGCCCCGCTCCTCTCGCCAACAACATGGACGCGGTTCTCGGATCACCGCTACGCAGGCTTCCTGCCGGAATCATACTCCTTGATCCTCCGGCTGGCGCACGGCTGGATCCCGAAGGACAAGCTACGGTATTGTTCGCGGTGCCACAAGATCCTGCCGCGCGATGAGTCCTACTTCCGGAGCCGCATGTCGTTGAAGAAGACGCCGCGGTGGAACATCAAGGTGCGCATCGAGAAGGAGGTCTGGGACGGGATGAGCAAACGGGCACGTTACGCGCAGCTGCTGAACGACTGGTGCCACACCAGCGTCGAGGACAGCAGCATCCTGTGCTGTGACATCTGCCGCACCAAAGCCATCAAGGAGACCGCAGACGGCAGAGCTGATGGTAACGCCTCGCGCCTCCTGCACTACCCACCCGTACAGTGTCCCGAATGTCTAGAGAAGGAACTGACCTATGTGTGGCGCCCGCCACGGCAGCCGTGGTTGAGACAGAAGCTGGGCCGCATCCTCCTGGCCGTCTATCAGCCTTGCGAGTGGGTGGTGTGCTTCATCTGCTGGTGCTGCTTCTACGGCGTCCGCTTCGCCTACAGGGAGTGCAAGCAGTGCTGGCGGAGGTGGGTCGCGCCTGGTCCTGATACTACGAGTGTTTACCCCTGAGCTGCACTTTGCGGAGGCAGCCTGTGGATCGAGAACTCGGCCGCCGGATAAGAATCACCCCTGGGCCAATACGACAACAACGAGGTTTGGATTGCTTCTAGGTAGAACGAGTTTTATACATAATAACACGCCAAATTAATTAATAACCAATTGTCCTTTCCCCCCCGCCCCCCTCTCTGCCGGAAGGTGTGGATTGTTGTGCTTTTCCGTCTATCGACTTCGAGAAGATATGTCAAAGAGCAGAAAATGATGTGCAGGTTCATTGACAACAGAACGGGATGGGCAAACAGTACGAGATGCAGTGAGTGTGATATACCAGAATTAGAACGATCAACAACTAGGCGGCTAAGCAGGAGAGCTGTCAAGAAAAGAGGCCACTGTAGGCTAAGCGCACATGTCCAACCTCTCACTCCCTTCCTATTACGATTGACATAGTCATATATCCTTCTTTCCCCACATCATGATTATTTGAAAGCAGGGGATGGATATCATCGTAGACTGACTGCACCACCACCACCATATAATAGGATTTGTTTTACTACTCCCTTTGAACATTCAGCAGACTGTGAGTTCAATCTGCTCCTACTTGGGTCCGTGCCCTCCTCTCTCTTTGGGACGCGGGAGTGAGCTTTCTCAGCGTCGCTCGTCGGGAGCCACAGCGTCGGGATCTTCGTAGTTGAGTGGAATGGTGGTGTTCGTGTAGGGCTTGTGGTTGCTGTCACTTGCACCATTCGACGCGGGTGGAACCTCAGCTCTGCTCTCGATCGGCTCGAGATTTTGTCCGTGATATCGGTTGTGAGAGGCGGCAGCTGCAGCGGCGTCGGGGGCTACAGCAGAACTGCGACGGCGGGTTGCCTCCGCGGAGGCGCCGCTTGCCAAGCCAGACACGGATTGTCGATGGCGGCCAGCAATGACATCGAAAGGATCGGACGAGAGCTGGAAGAGGGATTGCTTGCGCTCGCGAACTTCGAAGGCCTCGGCCGGCGTCATCATGGTCTCACCGATGCCAGCGGTTTCCTTGGCTGCATACGGAAATTACGGGTGTCAGCCATGCAGATGGACTCATTAGAGGAAGGAGAGGGAGAGAGAGATGAGTAGTTTGGCCCTTACAAGAGACTTGTTTCCGGCCATAGTATGGGTCGTTCTGAGGTTCCATGCCGCCTGTTTTGCTAGTACTGAATTTTCGAACGTCCACACCATTGACGCTGTACTTGCGCTCTCGGTTCCAGTATTCCTGCTCGGGTGTCAAGCCGGTCTGTCCAACGTCCTGGATCTGGGCCTCTGCAGGGAGGTGTCAGAGTTCAGTCTCGCACCAAGGGTTGAGTATACCAACTGGAAACTGGTTTTCGACCGTAGTAGGGGTCGTCTTGTGGTTCCATGCCACCTTTCTTGCTGTTGCTAAACTTCCGAACATCTACGCCGTTGACGCTGTACTTTCGCTCACGGTTCCAGTACTCTTCTTCGGCGGTGAGGTTGGTGAGGCCTACATCTTTGATGAGCTCGTCTGGAAAGCGCGAGGATCAGCAACCAGCCAAAAGTGGCGCGGTCAGGGCTGGGTAGAGATGGAGAGTGGTGCATATTTACCTGGGACGGGTTTCCGGTTGTAATACGGATCACTAGTACCGACCATATTGATCGATGTTGTGAGAGGGTTCGGGGATGGTGTTTCACTGAAGAGTACGGGAGAGCCGGAAGGGAGGAGACTTATAATGACGAAGCTAGGGCTAGCCTTAGCCTTACCATTGCTCAGACCGAGGACTCTTGAGTCGGACTCGAGCGATTCCAGCGAGGAGGGCAGAGGTCAGCTAGGGAGTGGTGGCACTGGTGGGGGATCGGAAACAGACACGCTGAGGAATCAGAGCTGCCGACATGATGGCACAAGGCTTGAGCTTGGGCTTGGGCTGGATCTTGAGGCAGCGTAATTCGGCGAGAGAGTTGGCAATGGAAAGATCGCTGATTAGCGGGTTGGGTATCGTGCAGGTTTGATGACAGGAAGAAGGGACTCGCTGTGCAATCAGTGGCCTGACCCCGCCCGACATGGCAAAAAATATCAAGTGCGAGGAGGTGAAGCTGGGGAAGGAGCGCGCAGCTCGAGCCTAGAGGTGAACATGGGGAAGTGCAGGCGAGGGAGCGGGGAGATGATAAGCTGGGAGATGTCATCCGACTGCCTTGTGGGTTCGCGGCCTTCCTGTTAGGGGAATAGACTGGCTCCTTGTGCCCCTAGTGCCTCTAGTGCCCCCCAATATCCAAGTTGCTAGGGGTCCGAGAAGGTGCAATTCGGTCCCCCGTCCTCCCTTAAAGAACCGAGCGAGCCTGCAGGCTTAACCGCATCAAGTTGTGAGGCTATTAGCCTTGTTCAGCATTGATCTGCTGATCTCTGCATCCAAAGAAGCCATGATTCGTCGCTCGTAGATGGCCTGCATGGCTTTGTTCTCGCTCGATGTGGCTGAACGGAGACACAGCGGTGAAATTCATGTCGCAAAATTGCTCGGTCAAGCGTTGGTAGATGGAGTGACTACGAGGAACAGCGATCAGTCGAGGGTCGAGGGTCGAGGGTCGAGGCTGCTCAAACCGTTGTCTGAGCGAGCAAAGGGCCGATTGGCAAGTAGAAGCCGAGGCTGAGGCTGAGGCTGAGGCTTCGGGGCTCTTGGTTGACTTAGCCCCGGGAAGAGGTCGGGGGGCAGGGGCCCCGGGCATAGAGATCGAAAGCTTTAGAAAGACCATGTCAGCACCATGTGATGCTATGATTGGAGCCCCACCAACGTCAGCCACTGCCTCGATTCATCATAGAACACTCGCTCTCACATCTGCACGTGTCCGTACCGAGTACTCGTGAGTCGTACCATGGTGATTACAATCCAGCCTCGCTCCTCTAACATTTGTGACTAGTTACGAATAATCTCACGCTCATCTGCTCGATGAAAACCCATACAGCCTTACGCTAGTCACGTGACGCTTCTCTGGGCTCTTCTCCCGATCTTGCTGCAGCGATAAGACTCCATGGATGATTTCGCCCGCGAGTTGAACTTCCTGTGCCTTTCTCATCAAGGAAACATGGGACGCACTTCCACTTCAATTGCGCCCTGAAACACCAGCTGTGTCTGTTGCACATCTCTGGCATATCTCTGCAAATGAACATTTTCCTGCTTCCCCGGGCAGACTGAGGCGACGCAGATCCATGCCGTTGACAGTGTCGTAATCGTCATCTCAGAGCGCGCCGGCCTAGTCGTTGGAAATTCCTGTACCGATCAGCAGGTGCTCAACGTCCGTCCTGATCTTGGCGATGGCTGATGCATCGGGCCCAATAACTCATATGGTGACCGGCTGAACCCCCCAAGACCTGGTCTTGAAATCCAGGCACCATCCTCGTGGTTATTTCGCAATGCGTCGAGATCTGAAGTGATGATGGTTCATGTTTTGTGGAGGGCCCGAGTTCGGATGGTAATTCTGGGTTCCGGGTAGATGTTCGATTTGATGTCTGCCCACCCGGTCTTGGATGGGTTCTGCCACATACATGGCAAAGTCGAAAAACGGTCTTTTTCATGTCATCTATTCTATTTCGGACCCTCCACAGTAACCGGCGGTTCGAATTGGACGATAAAGCATGGAAAGGCTGAAGTGGGCATAAAGGCTGGGCTGCCGCCAACAGGGCCAAAGATCTTTGTGCCCTGTGTTTTTGAGGATTTTCACTTTAGTTTTTAATACCTTCATCGCCACCAAAGACAAGTCCGCAAGTTGCTAACAAGCGTGAGATCCGACTCATATATGCAACAAGATACCCAAGTAGTGTATACACTCGTGGTGGCCGGTGTAAGGGCGGTGTCAACACGGCATAAAACCCTTCAAGATTTCATGTGCAGTCAAGACGTAACATGCCACCAGCTCACGAAATGGGAAGATAGCATCAGCATCATCATTACGATGCCCGTATTCATTGCTGACTTTGGATGCCTCGTACATACTCTGCTCAATCTCTCAGTACCCGGACTGATTGGCAGGGTGCTCAAGGATCCAAACTACCTAAACTAGGTTAAGAGTACATTTTGGTTTACAGAAAAATAATTTCCCCCGCAAGGCCAGGCAAGGGATGTTGGAATCCGTTTCGCGAATTCCAACCTCCCCATTCCGCCCTCGTTTCCCTTTCGTTTCCCGGTTCGATGAGTTGCGGTATGGAACAATGCCGAAGCAGTATTTTTTTTGGTGGTGTGGAAGAACAATTTGCGTTTGGCAATAGCTCTCTGCTTTTAAACGTGGTCTTTAAGTAACAGTGGGGTATCCTCTTCTGCAAAGAAATGGGAATGGGAATGAAAATCAAGCCGTTAAACCGCTGATACCTCAAATGTCCCAATGGTGGGGATCGGGTATCAGCAAAGGCGCCGACTCTTTCTTGAAAACCAGGCCCATTCTACCGCTTGAAAATCCCATCAATAACAATTTTAATCGCCAATGATCCAGCTTGAAAGACCAGACCATCTTCCCCTGCAAATGCTTCATGACTTAGATGAGCACAAGCACCGGCCACATCTAGAGAGTGTGAAGACAAGTCCAGGTTTTCTACCGCTCCACACCTGCATTAATGGAAATTCACCAATAGTTGTCTGTGAACTTTCTGATGGTTGAATGCTTAAATCGAGACGCTTGCAATGCAAAATAAGCCCTTAGAAGGACGATGAGGAAACAGAACGATGTGTGCTGACATACTAGAACGATCTGAACAGACATGTCGCTGGACATTTCATTTCTTGATCAAGATCCTTGCTGAAGAACCCTTCAATAGGCAAATTGGTGTGGGAATTGCTGATCCACTGCATTAGGCGTCGGGGTTGGAGGAACATATTGGTTGGGGGCGTTGAAAGTCTTCTGGTTGGCACCAAACATCTCACCTTCCGGGGTGATAGGGGGAGTGTAGAGGCCATGTTGGACCATGGACGGAAACTGAGTCTTCTGAGGTGTCGCGAATGTCTGGAAGTACTCTTCACCTGATGGCTTGATAACAGATACAGGTGGCGTTAGCTCATAGGTGGGTGTGATGGGTGCTCGGGCTGCAGCAGCTATGGCAGCCTTCTGAGCAACAAAGTTGGTCAGAAGTCTCGTCACGTTAGAGTACCGAGCCGATGCGTACTTCCGCGACAAAATGCTCGAGGGTTGGTGGACCTTCTGCAACAACTCCATGACTGTGGTGTTACAGAATTGAGAGCCGAATTCTGAGGCACGTGCTTGAGGGCGGCCAAGGATATGTCGAGCCAGGACCAGAGCTGAAAGAGCAAGAGTAGATGACCGTTTCGATACAAACTCTCGGTGATAAAGGGCGATTTCTAGAATGTAAAGGGTTAGATTTTCGGTCTCGGGATCATAAACGTTGTCCTTGACGACGAGTCGCATGAAGGAGTCCACAGTGGGATGACCAATAGCCCAGCCGAGAGTCGACAGGACATGCCACTCCATCTGCAAAAACATATCGTCGTCGTAGAGCGAGCAGCACATCGACTTGAGCTCCTTGATGGTAGGAACCTTCTCTTTCTTGTCTCCATACTTGGCAGCAATGAGTAGAGCTGCACAGCCTACCAGTTGGTAGTGTCGTTTGTAGACGACTCGTTTGGAGCAGTATCGGTCGAGGAGGTTGATCGTTAGGAACAAGGTCTCAGGCAAGAGTTGGAATGCCGAGTGAGCCTCGACCAGGAAATCCAACAAGTATGGTCTCATGAACCATTGAATCTCAGTTTGGATATCGATAGAGTCGACGTCGGGCATGGTATCGAGCTTCACCAATTTGTCAGTGGATGCAACATGAATCAATGGCTTCTTGTCTCCCACTCACATCCATCTTCAGCATATGCTCTAGCATGTCTTGCTGGTAGTCTTCTGCGTCGAGACGAGAGAGTTCAGAAGCCATGAGGTGTTGTCGATGCCGGGCAATGTCCTTTGCATGATCAGGGTTCTTGGTAATGGGTCGATGAGGTTCATCGAAGACCTCCACGATGCCTCCACTTTCGTAGCCGCTGTCGTTGGACCCGAATGATGAGATTCTGTTGAAAGCCATGTTGGACGTGGATTGTAGCCGAGACTCGAAGTAGTCTCAGTAAGGAACAAAGTGGTGGAGAGGGCTGGATCTGGGTGTTGAAAATAGGAGATAATTAACGACGAAGATTAGTGAATGACAGTCGTTGGAATTGATTCTTCAAAAAGAGTGGAATGGTTGCACAATCAAATGAGCAAGACTGGAGGTGGCCAGGAACCAAGGACTAGGTGAGGTCTTCTAGACTGAAAATCTGGGACGTGCGCAGACACGTTAGCTGCAATTAGGATGGTGATAGGACAATGAGACTAACCAAAGAGGAGGGAAATGGCACGATCCTCGTTACTAGGAACTCAGCACGAATGCTTCATTTAGTCAAGGATCGGAATGGGCACGTAGATTAAAGTGCTCGTGCGCCGATAGAACGAAGGTCGAATGAACGCCTCCGCTAGGTTGAGCTTGGGGCTCCTGCGAGGAATGTGGTCTGAATTGGACACCTGCTGTATTGCTCCTGCGACAGGGTTAGGTTGACTTCGTGTTGGCAGCAGGGCTTTAAGTAACGAAAGCACTGACCTGGGAGATTCAGAGGCAATTGAGTATTCTAGACTTCGTTGACCTCGGATAGACAAGAGAGGTGGAATCTAAATACAAAATTCATCAGTCAGTCAATGGTTCAGAGACGAGAAATAGTCAGGGCATCAGTGCGAAGGCCGAGAGTTGGATATGCGTGACAACTCAAGGGGCAGTTGACGCATGCTTGTCACTGTCCGCTTCCGTGTCAAGAAGCTCGAGTTTTCTTCGAGAGATCGCCTTGTCCTATTTTTCTCCCCTCGAAGCTTGATTAGGGGCATGACGATGACGATATATGGGGTTTGATATCCCTTCAAAAGGACATGGCCGTGACATTTTGTTCCCACCCGCAACACTGTGATGTGCCCAATTGATCCAGGGTAGGCCCTCCTCTTCATGCTCCTTGTTCTGACGTACAATTATCGACACAGGTTCGACTGGACCGGGTAGGGCTCAAGGTCAGCAAACCGGGTGCAGTGGAGAGGTAGCGAGCAGAGGCAGTGGCCAGCCTACCAACACACGCCGGAAGCAGAGAGATAATATCTCAGTTTTAAATCGACGATGGCTTCGTGTTTCGGATCCAGTTTCCCAAGGTACTTTGATACGGGATGCGGAGCCCCATTTGGGGGGGGGGATGGGTGATGGTCCCAGCTGAGGGAAGAAATTCCAAAATTGTAGCACCTCACCTTTTATTAACACGAGTCTCTTGAACTGCTTCCAGTTGACCAAAGCAGGACGTTATCCAGAACGATCTCTGCGAAAACGAGTGCAGGGTGGTGATTGGAGGAGCAGGAATCAGGGTCCCTGGGTGTTGGACAAGGCTCAGGAGACGTTGGTGGTAGCTGGGAGTCGTGGGAGGGTTGTCGAGGACATTCGAGATAGGGAGGTATCTGATGATCCAACGACAGAGAAGGGAAAGGGCCGAGGATAAAAGGACGAGGTCAAGGCCCTCGAAGGTGAAGGGAAAAGGGAGAAAGGAAGGAACAGGAGATGGCAGATAAGATGAAAGAAAGTGAATGTCTGAGTGTGAGTGAGTGTAAGTTGCAGTTGGCTTGAGTCGAGTTGAGTGGAGTGGAGTTGGTTAAGGTGAGAGGTTGACGGGAGGAGCTGGCACTGATTGGACGCAGGCCCAGCCCAGACGCTTGCAGGGATGACAGGCACGGTCGGCGACGACGACGTGCAGCCTCAGTTGCAGCAGCGATGGGGGATGGGATGGGGGACTGGGGACACCTGCACCGAGCGAGGCACGAGTATGAGGCGCTCCGTACGGATACTTGGTACTGACACTGACACTGATACGAACATTGTACCAGAGCTAGACCACCTGGACGTGAGCACTGAGAACGAGGCCCTGGCGGGTCACTCCTAGCTACCAAGGCAGGTACCAAGTGGCGGCCTACTGCCCGCCTCCTAGCTGGCAGATTAACTGGCAGCCAGCTATTTGCCCACTGTCCACCGCCCGGCTGCTCCTGGGAAACCCGCCTGTTTTCTCCCGCACAGGTCAACGCCCAAACGCCTATCGCTGCCTATTGTCTTGGTTTCTCCAGGTACAATCTTAAGCATCCCCTCCTCCTTAACGTTACAGGAAACTCTGGTCTCCAGGGCACTTACAGAGGGCCATCAATATTCAATCTGTCCTCCACCATTGAAGCTCCCCTATCTCTGCCCACCTGTCACAACCCAGACACCATAATTTCCTCTGCTCCCGCTACGGTACGAATGACGGCATTTGTGGAGGAATCTCCAGAGCTTTCCATGCCTTGCAGTTGATGCCTCTCTTCCTCAGGTCCTCTTCCTCAGTATCTTACCACTGGCACTACATGCTTGCTTTTGTTTTCAGCTTCCATGTACGGGGTAACATTACCCACCACCGACATCCGCACTTGTCAGAACTTGTAAATGTTTCGCTTAGCTGCTGAACAACGCACCCGGCTGGCTCTGTGGTCGCGCGGCTGGTGAGTTTGGTCAAAAAGCGCGTCAGGTCGCGTTATTGGACTGTGAAGGTGGACAGGTTCCTGTTTTTTAGCTTGCCTAATGCAAGCCCTGACAGTGCCAAACATTCGGGGCCAAACCTCACCGGAAATGTTCCAGGTCCCAGACTCTCCTTGGACGAATCTCCTTGCTCAAGAGGCCCAGGAGGAGAAAGTGCTTTGCCAATCCCCAGTGAATTGACGTGAGCTTGCCACTCAGACTTCCCGTCTCTACGCCTTGACCGAGTCGACTCCTCTTGAATATGTGGACCACTGGACCTGCATACTTGGACTTGACTTCCCCGTCACGTCAAGCAGTCCTAGCAGCTCCTCTGACTCTCTGAGACCTGGTCCGTTCAAGTCTTATTCAATCAAACAAGCGAAGAAGACCCAGTGTTGCATCACCGTGCTTGGAATAATCAACCATTGTGCGACTGGTATCGACAGGGGTCTGGGCAGGCTTGTCCCTGGCTCGGCTGTCTGTAAGATCCAGAGATCTGCCCTATCGTCATCACCGTCTCCTTCTCCGTACTAACCATTCCTACTTTTCCACGCGACTTTCAGGTGCAGAGCTCAGGATGTGGCCCCTCTTCTGTCTGACGCCTGGTAAATAGGGTCGGTCAATCTTCAAGCCAGCCTTGCTGAAATCAGAGTTGCTCATGTCAATCACGCGAATCCGCCGAACGCCGCCATCCTAGGGTGCCTACTATGGCTTGCCAAATCCCTGGACAAGGACAGAAATACATTCAATGATCGATCGTCCAATCTTGAGCCTTTTGAACTCTAACGAGCACGTTAGTCCTCCGTACATGTTTGCCATTGTTCCTTCTCCTGCATCGAACACTTCGCTTGCAGCTCACAAACAAAATTTAGAGCCAGTGATCTTGCCTCTCGACTTGGGGTTCGAAATTTCCCAATGCCCAGAGCGGCTTCAGCTCCGTGCAACGACGGGATGCATGAGATATCTTGACCGTTACTCTCCGCCCTACGTGAGATCTCCACTGTGTGACCTTGAACGGGGAAGGCGAGAATATGTTGGCGTGCTAGGTTACGTGAAAATTCTTGTGCCATCGCGTACCAATTACTATTGACAGCTCTTCGCATATATTACGGTACCCGGTGCTGCTTCTTGTTGAAGAAAAAGAGCCAAGTGGACCTTGATGACATGATACTTGACATGCGAAGCACGGAGGGAGCGGGTTCGGCGTTGCCCAGGTGTGCTACTAGTGCGAGCTACTCCATAGTGAGGAACATACGAGTACTCGTACTCCGTTCAAACCTAGGTAGGTAGATGTGACGGATGAGAGTGAAACAATACTACTACTGTTGATTCGGCTTTGATGGCCAGGATTTGATATTTGGTATTCTCCACCATCGGCTGACCAGGTGGTATGGTAATTCATGTCTTTCAAACCCAAGGCAGTTTCATACTTGCTACTTTAGCGGTAGATTCGACCATCAGCATGAGAAACCAGAGTGGGAAGGCCATCGCTCGATCTGGGAAATTGACTGCATGCTACAAACGCAATTCCAAACCAGGGAGTCGCGACACGCGACACGCGAGACGACTTGGCACCCATTGCCGACCAAGGTAGGTACCGAATAATTGTAACCATCTTAGCAGCTACCATACGGAGCATTCGTATTGTTACTACTACCACTTAGGAACTCCGTAACTACAAGTGGTGACGCACCGAACGAGAGTCGTACTTTTCCATTTGCCTCAAAACACATCCCCCCCCCCGCCATTCCCCTCTCCTCTGCATCGAAGGAAGGAAGGAGGTTCACGGCATTCGCCGGTGGGAAGGGGGTATGGGGCCTATTTTTGTCACTACTACCGGTTACTAGTACGAAGCAAAACTCCTCCAGATATCCATTTTCCTCAAGCATGTCATCATTTTCAATCCTCATGGTCGGGTCCCTGGATCACCTGCAAATCCTGGTAGGTACTTAACCGAACAAAATCAACCTTTGCTGTCCTCATGCCATACGTAGACTGCAGCAGCACCAGGACCACCAGGGTCACCAGTCCACCAGTCCACCAGTCCACCAGTCATTCCACATTTACTGCACCAATTCTCTGGCTCCCGATGACATCAACCTCCTAAATCTGAGACCGACAAATTTGGTGGGTGACACCTGCCAACTGTGAACCATTTCCATCTTTTCAACGCTGAGACTCATCCTTCATTTCACCTGAGGCACGGCTCGATCCCCGCTCTCATTTACAGTTCCTCAAATGCTAGAACATCATTCCCCATCCCCATCCCCCATTGCGTCCTGTGTTGACCTTTGTGATCAAGTGCCTTCCGAGACCAAAGAACAAAGATTGAGAAGAAAGTTCTGTCGCGACTGCAATGGCGTTTCCCGTCCCTGAAATTTGGAGGCCGGATCAAACGATGCCCTGTTCATCCTTGCTAAGGTACTCCGTACAGAATTACCTCTGTCTTAGTTGTACAATCTTCATAGGGTATTGTCGGAGCCCTCCAATGCCTTGCTCTGTGTAGCAGGAACACGTTCAATGCTACTGCTGGAGACTTACTTTGAGGATAGCGATTGAGCGTGCGCCATTGCGACCTCTTATGGTCAGATGAATGTCTCTATCGTAGAGAATCGTATCGCTGGAGCATTTGAAAACAATGGCTGGGACTATTATGCTAAACCCCGAGCTGCCATCCGACATCGCATTCACAGTCATGTATGGACAAACGAAAATGTCCAGCCACAATGGGCTCCAGGCCTGGTCTGTATCCTCGTTAGCGTCGTGATGTCACCCTGTCAGGCGGTTTGAGACCTTGAGCTAGGCAGCCTTCAGAATCCATGCTCAAATCAGCCCCACAAGGCAAGGTCTTCGAAGAAAATATATGCCCAGATTGCCCCGGGAAAAGGTGTCCCAGGACAGCTGCCGGACCTGCCTCCGGACAATACTGCCTTCTGGCCAACAAGGCACCTAGCTTCATTGTTTGGCACCAGTCCACAAACTATCCTCCTCGCCGAACCCGTACCATGGACGGAGTACCTCGTAGCGTGAGTTGTAAGAAGTACTCCATACACAAAGCCACATGGAGCTCGACCTACGAGAAACGAGCTATTGCAGTTCGGTATCGGACTCCAAGACAACCTGAAGCAAGTACCAACATTGATGGACTGGCAAGGTGCTTACCACCGAGCCGTAGCAGCAAAAGATAACATTTATCCCTGCCAAACTAACTCACAGAACGTGCTCACCTACCAGTTCAGGAGCTTGGCGAAGATACTTTGTGACTTCAAGCTTGTATCGAGAACGCTCTCTTCGGTCTAATACAGGTACGCTGGTGTTGGTTTGCCGATGTTTTCTCTAGCTGCGTATATTCGTACATCGCGGATGATCATACTTGCATCTTGGTGGGATCAATACGTTCATCCCATTCCTCCATTTTCGATGCTGGTATATAGCAGCGTGTAGACATACAAATATGTATACATAGCAACCCCACTGTAACCCATCGTGTTTGTACTGGGTTCTTGCCTGTTATCTTACATCTGTCCTGATTCCCACCCAGATTTCGGAATTTTTCAGTAAATCCACAATAGTGTGTATCTTTCAATGGCCCGAGGGGCTTCCCAGAGCCATGTTGACAGACTGATCACAGAAGCAATGGCCCAGTGGGCTCCGTCTCCTCTATATGTGGCTGGTATCCACGCTACTTTTGTCTTAACATGGATTGCTCTCTCGAAAGCGTCAAGCGGCTTCTCTTTCAGACGCACACACACAACAAGTGTAGGGGGAAGACGAAAAGGATCTATACCACCCAATGCGTGAGGAGCCTGGCACAACCTCGCTCGCCTGAATGTGTGTGTGTGTGTGTGTGCTGGTGATTCTTGCCCTTGGAGCAGTCCAGAACTGTTTCCAGATGAGGACGACTCCAATCCATGGTATAAACTCGCGCCCGTGGCTGCCTCATGGAGAACACCATCGTGGCATTGCTGCAAGAGCATGGGCCAGCAAGCATGCTCCAGAGGCTTTTGATGCCTAATAAGCTGTCTGGAGAAGGACCACCTTGCAGTCTTCGAAAGAGCGAAGCCATCATGGTTGCGCGAAACAGGCCAAAGAAATCCCCTTAACAGACATGAAATGTTGCTAAACGCCTCGTCTACTGAGTTGCCGGAGAGGCTGCGTCTGAGACTTTATATCTCGCCACCTGTTGCAGTCTGGATTCTGAATTGCGCAGCGAGGGCAAGTGAGGACAGTATTGTCTTCACGAATCAAAGCTCGGGTCGTCTTATCATCGCACTGGTATCCGCTGAGACACCATCGTTCAATCCAATATCGGAGCCAGCCGTCCTCTCGGCGCTGCCGCCAGAGTTTTGGTACTCTCCCTGACAGCTCCCTGCTATGCTTCTCACTGACCATCCTCCAGTACCCTTGGCTTGTCGAGCGAAACTTGCCACAGTCCGGGCAATACTGCAAGTCCCTTGGTATCCAGCCACGCCCAAGCTGGAATTGGAAGAAGTGCTGAAGTGCTTCCAGGTTAGGAGGTTGGGTGAGCAGGTAATCGAGGTGTTCCTGGGTCAGGGCCACTTGAGAAAGTCGTCTCGAGCATAATGCCAACGCACAGCGGTCTAGAACGTCCAGCTCGTCGAAGATGCTGTTCAGAATCTCAATTGGCAATAGTAGTATAACGGCATGTGGACTGTTGTTTGGTGGTGGGTTCTTCAAAAGAGCGCCAAGCATCTGTTCGCCTCATTTTAGCACTCATTTTGAGGAGCGATGAGGGTCGGAAGGTATTCCATACCCATGGCGGAAATCTCATGAAGGCACGGAACATGTTTGTGTGAACGAACACGCAATCCTATCTCTCGCTTGACCCAGACAAACCACTCTATATCAGCAACAAAGGCAGGAAGGATAGCTGCATGAATTTCAACGAACGTAGGCCGAATCTCGAGCGGCGAATCTTCGAAAGTCACTTCCAAAGTCCTCCTCAACAACTCTTGGTCTTAGCCGATTCGTGTGTGCTGAGGAGAACGAAGAAATAACAACATGATAGCACAACAGAGAAGTTTAGCATAGCACGGGAAACTGCCACACGCACACAGTTGTGCTGACCACTGTTGGCGCCGTCGACGAGGGACCCCCACATGGTCCAACGCACTGCAAAGAAATAGAAGGACCCGGATGTTTCACTCGAATCCAGTCGGCAGAAAGTACCCAGTACCGTAAGCTCGATAGCAAGGACGATGCCTGGGCTTACTCTATAGCTGGGAGAGGCTGCGGGCGGCGACTAGCGCAGAGCGAGGACGACCGGGTTGGTTTCACAGCTCCCCCAATGCACCAGGATTTGCGGATTTGGGGCGATCCAAGTACCTAGACCTACCCTGTAAGTCCGCGCTGTAAGTCCATGGGACGAACACTCACTAAGGTGTACCTAGATGGATTGCTACAAGCACACAGTTTTGTGGAAGAAGTTGGAGCTTCGACTTGAACGAGAAAGATCAAGTCAATTATCGTGGTTCATGTTCAACCGAGCTGTGCTAGCTTGAGATTGGCGAGACGCTAATTAGTAACTACAGTACTTGCGAACAGCCTTGAAGTGGGGAGACGAAGGCTCTCCGAGAGAGAGAGAGAGAGAGCGCCGATTACATACCTGTGCTTCAGACAGTCGGGACTCATGGCTGATGTGGTGAGATCTGAATCACCCGCAATCATGGTGAAGGCCCTCTTCAGGTCAATGGGCCTGCTGGGCTAGTCTAGAAGTCCAAGATATACGAAGTCAGTTCAACGTCTGCATTTCCATCGGTCATTGGGAAATTCCGGTTCGTCCATTGTAAGCCTGATTCCAGCCTCCAGGGTTCCCAGGCGCCCACCAGGTACCCCCTGGGCCAGCGAAAGGGCTTTCTCAAAAAGAACCCTGCGGATGAGTGCCGATTGTCACCACCAGGCCAAACCATGGATGGAGTCTGTCGGCCGTGCCTACCGAGACCAGGTGTTGAACAAACCCGTGATTGGAAAATGATCGGCACGCCAACCCAAGCAAAGCTTCCGGTCAAGCAGCGGCTTGCCCATGGACATACTATTTCCCTTTTCCTCAACTTGGAGTCAAAGCAGATCTAGAGGAACACCTCTTTGAGCTGACGTGGCGCCAAAGGCCTAGTTGTCTCTCCTTTCAGAACTCACCAGCCCGATCCACTGAATGACAAGCGCTACTTCGTAATTCAGGAGCCGTTGCACTATCCGGAATCTGAGGGGTCAGTTAAGCACTTGCCCTCGCTGCCGGATGTGCGGTTGCGGGCCGACCAAATTTCATCAAGCCAATCACTAGCTAGGGAGGTAGAGGGACCTAGCTATGCGGATCGCCTATATGGATCTTTGATTGGTTCTAGGATGCTGTAGCCTCTGGACTCAGTGGCTAGCAGGAGGCACCGATGTCTTTCACGCATCCCAGGCTCCGCGCAGTATCTTTCCCATTATGTTGGACTCCGTGGCATAATTATGTACCCATGGTAGCGTTGGGGAGCAGCCGGGCTAGGATATCATGATTAACCATCACGCTGTGGCCAAAGGAATACTGTGAAAAAAGAAACGTTACAAGGTAAATCCCAGGCAGTGGATCACGAACATGTCACTGCCGATGAGCTACTCTGCAGGTCTGATATTGCGGCCCCTGGTGAGATCAGCTGGCGAAAAGCATATCTGACTGTTAGAACGCCGAAACCATGCCTGAAATTCGCAACCATTTGATCCAACAGCTTGGAAACCCAAGGCAGCAGGGTCTGAGGTTAGACTCTAGAGTTCTGAAACCATATATCTCGTATGGACCAGTAGGATCTCCACTGGTCCTTGATTCCTAAAGCATTCCTTCAGAGAGGCCCTTCTGCGAAGATCGCTCCTTGCAGATTCTCTCTTCTCTTCTTCAGAAGGCGTAGAAGGCGTTCATTTGCTGGGAAAAGTCAAACCGGTGTCCAAGACAACCCAGCGTTTGCCAAGACAATCGATCGAATTTGATATACTGTGAAGGACAAGACAATGATATGTAAGCAAAAGACTAAAAATTAAAACACAGACATGGCTCAAGCCCTTCTCCTGCCACTGCTGCTGTTCGGCCTTGCGGTAGTTGTCGCTGGGGTGCCGGGAGCTTTCTTGATGGTCTCCTCTGTAGCCAACGCAGCTGAACCTTTCTGCGCAACGCCCTGAGGGCCCTTTTTCTTCCCACCCGCCCCACCAACCTCCTTTCCATGTCCGGCCGTAGTAGGACTGTTCCAATAGTAGAGCATCTGGACCGCCAGTACAGCATTCAAGAAGAGCCCCGCGACGAACCCATACAGAATAAGCTTGTCATCCACCTCCTGCAGCGTCGTGTAGATCCTTGTCAGACTTCCAAACAAGTAATTAAACACCGCAAAAGCCGACAATTGGCCCGTCCCGCCCTGGCTATACACAGTCAAGATCTGCGGCAGCTTGCTGGCGATACTCAGGGCGCCCGCACCGGCCTGCAGAGTGGTCATTTGCGACTCGCTGACCAGCGTTTCCGAAACCATAAGCGCATACACCGCGCTGCCGACGGCCACGAGGAACGTACCGGCCTGCGCACTCCTCCCTGAATACGCGAGGATCAGTACGCTGATCACTACGTCCTGCACGGCGATCAGGCTCGTCTCGCCGTACGTGCTGAACGGGAATTTATTGCGAATGTTGTACGCCAGCGAAATCACGAAGCTCGCGGTTTCCAGCAGGTAGCTGCTGAAGGATAGGCCCTCGGAGGAGTGGGAGCGGACGAGCTTGAGAATTTGGGGCACTTTCACCACCGAGGAGGCCGTGATGATCCCGATGCCGAGGGCTTTGGAGATCGCGAGGGAGACGCATTCTGGGTGTGGCGCGAAGTCTAGGTCTAGGAGTAAAGCACTGTGGCACGGCTCGCCGAGCAGGTTGAGAGCGAGCGAGTTTAGGGGCCCCGGTAGGTTGGTGGTGATGGGGAGGAGGTAGGGCTTGAGCGGGTCGAGGACGTGCTCTTGGAGTTGGTCCATTGCTGCTGTCTGCTTGCTGAGCGTCAGGAAGGGAGGGAGACTGCCCTCTGAGTTATCTGATCCCTTTGGGTATGATGTGTAGAGACAAGCAAGCGGAATGAGAGTGTTTGGGAGGCACAAATCGAAGAAACAGCCTACTGTTCGCGGAGTACCGAGTCAAATGCGGGCCGCCCTTGGTCGGCCCCGCAGTTCATCCGCAAGGCCAGCCTGGCAACTTGCGAGGTTGCTTCGTCTTGGCACTAGAAATCACGTGACTACTCGTTCTGGCGGTTTAGGAGGCTCAGCCTTGGGAGAAACATCTTTGTTGGTCAATATCGCCTGGCAGCCATGGATCTTCAAAGAGAACTGGGACTCGAGTCTCATTCCTCAAGACCCTTAGAAATGCCTACGTACCTTTGATCCATCGTTATATGAGTTAGTATACGGTAACCTGAGTACATATTGCGAAAATCGACCAATATGCCGGCCAATCGATCCTCACGCTGAGTTATGGGGTCGTCAAATTCGACTTGGCTGATCGGGGTGAATGATGCATTAGAACGCATATCAACGTCTTTGAGCTGGTCATTCAACGTGTGAGATGCATGTAATTTACAGGGGTATTTCTAAGATAACTTTTGTACAGGAATAGACAAAGTTCAAACTTTGGTGGGCGTCCTTTTTTCGACATTAACTTTCCAGCCCAATTCAAGCTGGCTTAAGGTGATATGTTGCCAATTGATCAGCCGTCAATGGCGAAGGGGTTCCAGCAAATTTGTCTTGTCCGTCCGCCGTCTTGGGGAATGCAATGACATCTCTGACACTTTGGGTCCCAGTCATCAAGGCGATCAGGCGATCGAAGCCAAGAGCAAAGCCCGCATGGGGTGGACAGCCACTGCCTAGGGCGTTGAGCAAGTGTCTGAAATCCTCAATTCGCTCTGGCTTCATCTTCAGTACATCTCGCAAGACAAGTTCTTGCATATCAGCAGTATGGATACGGCGAGAACCACCACCAACCTCCACACCATTTATGACTAGATCGTAGTGGTCTCCAATGATGCTCAGGGGGTCCGTTATGAGCCTTGGCAGATCCTGTCTAGGTTTCGGGGCGGTAAATGGATGGTGAGTGGAACAGAATTCTGCCTTACCTCCTTGACCTGGGTCGCTTCCCTCCAGGGGTGAGAAGAGGGGAAAGTCCACAACCCAAAGAAGTGCGAAGCCATCCGGTGCTTTGACGAGGCCCTGCTTAACAGCAGCTGCATGAATATCACGACGGATATTGCCAAGTGGAGTTGACCCCCCTCTGAGTCTGCCCTGAGGCCTCGTCTGAACAATGATAATATCACCTGGTTTAGGCTTTAGTACATCTTCAATCTGCGCAGCTCCTTCATGCTCAAAGCTTGCGAGACCTCGCAACGGTTTGCTAGGATCGTAAACTGCGACCCCTGGCATACCGGCCGGGTTGCTTATGAAAGCGGAGGAGGTCGGGCTGTCTAGAAATGATCGAACGAAGGCACCGGCTTCATCTGGACTGGTGCCTTCCATTTCTACCTTCATTGCATCAACATAGGGATCCTCAAGCGAGGATAATCTCCTAATGACGGAAGAAGAGAACCAACCATTGGCTCGGTAGATTATTGAGTTGAACCGAACATCAGGCTTATCAGAACCGTAGGAAGCCATTGCTGTTTTATACTTGATTGGATGCGGCATTATTTGTAAAGGCAGCGAAAAGACTTTGAAGATAGCCTTCAGCAATTTGGTAACCCTATCCATCACTCCTACCGAAGTGGTAAATGACATCTCGAGATCAAGCTGAAAGATAGTCAGAATACATCGAAGCGGAAGCAGAACTATAATCCGCCTACCTGCGTGAATTCAGGCTGCCTGTCAGCCCTCAGGTCCTCGTCACGAAAACATTTGGCAAATTGAAAATAGCGCGACACTCCCGACGCCATAAGGACCTGTTTGTACTGTTGAGGACTTTGCGGCAGCGCATATGCCAAACCTTTTTGCCGTGTAGGAATTATAAATTCTCTTGCCCCTTCTGGGGTGGATTTGAATAGAAGAGGAGTTTCAACTTCCTGGAACTGGAGTGCGGCAAGATGTGAGCGGCAGAACGAGGCAACACGTGCGCGGTATTGAAGACGTTGCCGGAGCTCTCGATCGGTTCTGAATTGTAGATACCGTTGTTCCGGGGGGAATGCAGTATCTGCCGTGGCAATGAGGTCCCGCGGAACTTCATTGAGTTGCCTGACAGAGGTGGCCTGGACCTCAAGATGAGAGATGAGCTCGACAGTTCCTACGAACGGGTCGAAAACAGGTATAGTGTTTGGAGGAGCTTTTCCTTTTAGCGCCTTTTGGACGGATGGCACTTCATGATCGCGCCTATTGTTCGTCGAGGAATCCGACTCGCTCTTGTCCGCGTTGGCTTTAGGAGGGGCATATCGCTTGATCGCCTTGCCAGTGATGATCACGGGAGTATGTGACTTGATATTTTTGATGTCATCCAGAAGTCCCATCTTTTGACCAGATGTAGATACTTTCGGTTCGTTCGATAGAGAACCGGTTGTGGCATCGTTGGTCTCAGAGCCTGGTGTGGTGGCTACAACCTGGATGGCAAGCTTGAGGTCAGGGTCAACAAGCTGCAAGAAGTTGACCTGCCGCCCCGGACGCTGGGATGTGAGATACCCGCACAATTGGACTTCTCTTGCATAGAACCCGTTTTGATCGTAGGAGGCTTTGACAAGCTCGAACCATTTAGTACAGTGTTGGGAAAGTGCTATGGTCGTTAACGGTGTTACTAGCTGCGGAGGCTTCACAATCGCTTACAGGCGTTCTCAAATGTTTTCAACGTTTTATGCTGCTCAACAGACAGAGCACGGGGTTTGCGAGGGGGAACTGGATCTCTGTATTCCAAAGAATCCTGACGTTGAGCCTTTGCTCTGGCTTCATCCTCGGTCTTCGCAGGGCTGGTAGTCGTGAATCTGTGTCCTGTTGAACGGGGATTGAGCAGAAGGCTGCCGTGTCGGGTATACGTGGGAATCGCAATATAGCTATCTCTTTTGGGAAAAATACGGGAGAGGCGTGCTGGGCCAAGCATACCGGGAACCTACAAGGTAAAATTTATTCTGCTGGTTTCGCAGTGCTTTGTAGATGCTGTTCCGGACAATGTGATATTCGATGTCTGCGGCGCGCGACTCGCGAATATCGGAGCCATGGACCGAAGTTTTTCCGGCTACGCCTTGCGCTCGCCGCACAAAGTGCAACTTCTTCTCTCCGACTCCTCTTCTCTTCTTCTCTTCTTCTCCATCCTTCCAAGTTTTGAATAAGTGAGTCATCACCTATGAAGGAAAACAGTCGATATGATGCTAATTGCCATTAGATGATGAAAGCCTAGTGTGTTTAGTTTGACTCGGCTCTGCCCCGAAGCCAACATTGCTCTCTCTTCGGAGCTCAAGTGGCCTGTTGGTGGATGGGGATCAGAGTCGATGAAATCTGCGTTCGGCACAACCCTTCTTGTTACAACTACGGACGCGATTAAGGCATCTCTGACTCGTCAAGATCTTGGAAGGATAGCGGGAATGTATTGTCTAAAATGGGATTTAGTGATCCTTACCACTTGATTTGCTAGCCACCGTTGGCACTGTTTCATAGCTCTCCTCCATGAAGATTTTCCATGCTTCCAACGCAGAATGGAATTCAGATGTCGATGCGGCGAAGGCAACCCTTACGTGGCCACGCAAATCCGAGCTGTCACCTACAGCTCTGTTCGCTGGGACTACTAGAATACCTTGTTGAGAATGTAGCGCTGAGCAGAATGCCTTCTCGTCAACTGGCTTTCCCATTTTGTGAAATTTGAGCAGGACCGTGGTTCCTGCCAATGGTTTGACCCAGGAGCATGCCCAGTTATGTTCGTCGATAAACGCTTGAAGGGCTTCAAGGTTTGTTTGGCAAATTTTGATATTTCTGGCCAGCAAGCCGTGAATGCAGCGCTCACTCACGGCCTCCGCAGCGATGGTTTCATCAAGTTTAGAGACAGGTCCCGAGGTGAGCCTTGTCTTGTGCTGGCAAGCACGAATGATGTCCGAGTGTCGAGATGCAATCCACGCAGCCTTGATGCCAGGCAGACTGTACGCTTTGCTCACAGAGCCTATGACAACTACTCTTCTGTAGCCCATGTTTATGGTCGATGGCGGAAAATCTTCGCTCGAGGGCAGTATGGAGTGAAACAGGGGTCGAAGGACTTCGTCAGCTAGTATGACGAGCTTTCGCTCCAGGGCAAAGTCAACGAGCTTTTCGAGGACCGGTCTGGGCACGATGGCACCAGTGGGATCACACGGACTGTGAATGACGATCAATTTCGTTGACTCCCGAGTCAGGCCGGTGAGCTCTTCGACATCGAGCTTCCACTTGTTTGAAGGCTTAGCCTTCCAGAGACTGACTTCCGCACCGAGAGCCATTGGGATTTGGTATAGTAGCTCATTCGCCGGGTGTTGACAAATGACATGGTCACCCTTTGTAAGTAATGAGGACAAGACTGTGTAGATTGCTGTTGACTCTCCGCTGGTTATCACAATGTCATCGCGAGTGACCCCGATAGATCTAGCAGAGTACAAAGCTGCTAGATTGCCTCGTAATTCAGCTCCGCCTGCCAGGGGATCGTTGTCCTCGAGCCTGAGTTCTGGCAACGCCAAGACCTGCTGAGATATCTCTCGATGTTCTGAAATGTCGAGTAGATCCCTTACAGAAAGAGGGGAAGGACTTGAAGTGGCAAGGTCGTATTTGGCGGCAGCGCGATGCTGTTCAATCCACTAAGGTCGACGTGTCAATTCATCGCCTGAAGCTACAAAGTACGACGAGTACAGAGACAGGGGCTGGGAGCACTCCTCACCTCAGCCGATTCAACCGGAGGGTCGCTTGCCATGTTCGTGTCCCAATATCTATATGGGTCTGCCTCTATCTTTACCATGGACGGCTACGGGGTAGAGATGCCTTGTTATAGCACGGAGCTATGTTTTCCTTTGGATTTTTTGAACAAATTATGAACGCTGCTATTTTGCGGTGTTGTCCCGAGCTGCGGCCATGTGGAAGCGAAGTTTTCCCCGCTGCCCCGTGTAACTTGGCATTCTAGGATGACTGCGAGTGACCGCCCAGGGCGCTGACGGTGGTGGTTGGCAGTGTGGCTGGTGTCGGTGGCTGCCAACTGCCCTGGGGCTCTTCAATACTCGTAAGCTCGTAATCTCGTACGCTAAACCTGAAGCCGCAGGAGCTTAAAGCTGGGTCCTTGGGGGCTTTGATTGGTGTCGGGCTGAAGCCTAACTTACCTGGGTATCTTGGCGAGCTTACGAGTAATTAGCTTTGTCCTGTTCAGTTTCGGGGTAGAGATAGCTTAACCGCGCTGGTGGTTGGGCGGTACGGTACTGTAGTTAGGCGGCCGGGCTCCCCTCCAAGTATTTTGTTTTGCCGTGCCTGCGCCTGCAACCCGTACCACCACCATCGCCTGCGTATCTCGTTTCTACCCGCCATTTGCTGCTGCTACTCTATCTCAGTAACTAATTAGTCGGTTTCGACAATCACTTCCATCCATATCCGCAGATGGTGTGACACTTGGACAGATCTGTTCTCATCCTCACTAGTCTTTCTTCCCATTATCCTCTTGTTCCTCTCACCTTACCTCTCCTTCTTACCCACTTCCACCGAGGCTTTCCTTCAGACCTTCTACTGCAGCTTGCTGGACAAGCTCCGTCTGAGCAGCAGGCTCCAGCCACATCAATCTGACCATTGCCACGTGCGAAACTGCCGCCCAATTCCTCAATGCACCTCCATGGCTCTACGACCATCCTTCTGCTCACTGCCGCTGCCGCATCGGTAGCTGGCTTTCTCAATGACACTTCGCCGGCCTTGATCCAATCACCATTTTACGAGCTCACCGACGGATGCCCACCATGCCCTCGATGCTTTGACTGTCACTACGACGAATTCCGATGCCAACAATTTGCGAATTGCAGCAGTGCAAACGGTAAATGCGTCTGTCCCCCAGGCTTCGGTGGAGACGACTGCTCTGAGCCACTTTGCGGCTCCCTGGCGGATGGCAAGAACAGATCACCCCGCAAGGGCGATTCATGCGATTGCAAAGATGGATGGGAAGGCATCAATTGTAACGTCTGCACCTCAGATGATGCCTGCGACGCCATGACGATTTTGGGAAAGGGGGGCGTGTGCTATCAGAAGGGCCTGGCCGTCCATGAGAACTATCAAATGTGCAATGTTACTAACAAAGCGATACTCGACCAGATTAAACCAAGAATTCCCCAAGTCACCTTCTCTTGCAACACTGGGGATGCCACCTGCAATTTTCAGTTCTGGGTGGACCAGAAGGAGTCCTTTTATTGTGCGTTGGATACCTGTTCATGGTCGGCTACCGACACCACCATGCGCAACACCACAAAATATACTTGCGAAAATATCAAGTGCTCCTGCATCGAGGATCGCTTTCTGTGTGGCGAGGATGGCTCTGTCAATATCGATGACTTCCTCGCAGAAGAGATCAAAGGTCCTGCTTCCTTCTTCACTCAGCATACTTACGGTGGAAGTTCAAAGGACGGGAGCAGATTTGAAGAGCCTGCGATGAACAACTTGATTTCCATGATCTTTGGCGATGAATATATCTCACTCGCATGTCGCTCAGGGGAGTGTCTTTACAAGGAGGACGTTCCCGGTTACGTTGCACCGATAAAGGAGATCAATACTCCGGTACTTGCAGGTGTGATATCCGGCGTTGCCTTACTCATTCTCGCCATCATCCTCATCTCGTGGTATCTCTCTCGAAGAGCGGCTTACAAAAAATGGGGTGCGATTCGACTTGGAGAGGGAACCGAGGATGATGCTGCCAAGTCGATGGTAAACCATACTCCCATGGCTTTGCAATTTGAGAATGTCTCGTATGACCTAAAGGGTAAAGAAATCCTTACGGGAATTTCAGGCGTGGCACAACCAGGCCAGATCATGGCTATCATGGGAGCTTCGGGGGCGGGAAAATCAACCTTTCTGGACATTCTCGCTCGCAAAAATAAGCGAGGCCATGTCACTGGCACGATGTATGTGAATGGCGAGAAGATCCTAGACAACGAGTACCGTAACGTCATTGGTTATGTTGACCAAGAGGACACTCTCCTGCCAACTCTTACTGTGCATGAGACCATTCTCACTAGCGCTTTGCTGAGGCTTCCTGCGGACATGGGAGTTCCTGTCAAAGAGCAAAGAGTCACTGAAGTCATGCAGCAACTTGGAATTTTCCATATCAAGGATCAGCTCATCGGTTCTGAAGAAGGGAACGGGAGAGGCATCTCTGGTGGTGAAAAGAGACGAGTCGGCATCGCCTGTGAACTCGTGACCAGTCCTAGCATTCTCTTCTTGGACGAGCCCACCAGTGGATTGGACGCTTTTAACGCTTTCAATGTTGTCGAGTGCCTGGTAACCCTGGCCAAGACATATAATCGAACCGTCATCTTCACCATTCACCAACCGCGGTCTAACATCGTTGCGCTATTTGATCAACTCGTGCTTCTTGCCAAAGGTAAAACGGTCTACTCTGGACCCTTTTCCACCTGCCAAGCATATTTCGACCACATAGGGTATTCATGTCCTCCCGGCTTCAACATTGCCGACTACTTAGTCGATCTAACTATGCATGCAAGCCTGCCACGGTCACCCATATTCGATGAAGTGCAACGAGACTTTTCAGAAAGAGACGGCCTTGGAACGGAGTCGAGCAGTACACGAGCAGTCAAATCGATTGCAAGTGCATCAAATGTCAGCGTGGAAAGTCGTAGGGAGCCTTCGATAAGGCCAAAGCAGAAGCGTCGGATTTCAATCAAGCAAAAGCAGGATCGCCAACTTTTCACCCGCAAGAGGACCGGAGATGATACACCACCGACGCCCAAGACCGACGATGAAGACAGTGTTCTCGGCCGAGCAACTGGGAGTATGCGCAGCTGGCTCCAAATGTCAAGGAGGGATGGTCCCAACCCGCCACAAATATTAGAAGATCCTGATGACCTGCCGCCGGATGTCAACACAGATCTCGATGCCCTTGTGGCTAGCTTCCGTCACTCTGACGTTGCACAGACCATACATGATGAGATCGCCCTTTCTGTCCAGGCTGCTTCCTCGGCGAATGGACATGGTCCCGAGGAAGGTTCAACGGAGGCAGTGACTGGTACTATCAAGGGATTCCGTCGGGTCAGTTGGCCACGACAATTTCTCATCTTGTCGCAGCGCACTTGGCGGAATCTATACCGGAATCCCATATTGATGCTGACGCACTACGCTGTCGCCATCCTACTAGCAGTATTGTCAGGCTATCTCTTTTACGCCGTATCTGATGACATTGGTGGCTTTCAGAATCGACTCGGTCTTTTCTTCTTTCTCTTGGCTCTCTTCGGGTTCAGCACTCTTACCAGCCTGAATGTCTTCTCGTCGGAGAGGGTCATCTTTGTGCGAGAGAGAGCCAACGGATACTACAGCCCAATCACGTACTTTGCGGCCAAGGTAGTTTTTGACGTGATCCCATTGCGCCTCATCCCTCCGATCATCATGGGAATTATCATTTATCCAATGTCAGGGCTTGTTCCGGCCTGGAGTAATTTCTTGACATTCATCCTAATCCTGGTTCTGTTCAATCTGGCTGCAGCGGCAATCTGCCTTACGATTGGCATTGTCTTCAAAGATGGAGCGGTGGCCAATCTGATAGGGAGCTTGGTGATGCTCTTCAGCCTTCTTTTTGCCGGCCTCTTGCTCAATCTCAACCACGATACTGTGACAGGGCCAACACACTGGTTACAATTCGTAAGTGCACACCCGCTACCTGCCTAAGTTTTGCACTAACAGTAGACACAGTTGTCGATCTTCCATTACGGCTACGAAGGGTTGATTGTTAACGAGGTCGCCAAGCTACGATTGAAAGACCGGCGATACGGTCTCGACATCGAAGTACCAGGGGCCAGCATTCTGAGTGCCTTTGGGTTTGATAATCTAGCACTTTGGCGAGATGTGATCGGACTGGCGATCTTTGGAGGATCATTCATTATCATCGCATACGGAGCCATGCATTTGCTCCTCGTTGAAAAGAGGTGATGACAAGTCATGGCTGGATTTAGCACGGCTGGGCCTGTAGGCGTGCATGCACGATTCCAGTCAGGTCACACTCGGGATTGGGATCTGCATTGGTTTGGATACTGGGTACATATGGAAAAGGATCCAAGGATTGGTGTGTTTAGATGTCCATGCACCTAATAATATGATCACTGTAAGAGTTTAAGTAGTCAAACCCGGTCGTGGCCCCAGCATATCTAGATGTTTACGAAAGCTCTGTCCACCGGATCTAATGGGCAATGCTTTTTTGTGGCACTGGGACAGAGTTTGCGAGGGAGGGTGCATCTCGGAAGAAGAGGAGTCTCGAACTGATGGGTATGAGCAAACCATTTCCGATCTCGGAGATTGTCTCAGTGCGGGGAAGTTATCCGAGGTGGCAGGAGCGGTATTTACGCGGTGAGGAGTGAGGACGAGGTCAGGTTAGGTTAGGTACTTTTGGGAAGGTACGGAGTAGATTGAACCACCTTATTCACTTAAGAAGGGGCTCAAGCCTGGCTTCTTCCAGTTCCTTGGTGTCGATGCTGTCACCAGATTTGACAGGTGCTGTCCCCTCGACGTTCTGACGATACCACAGTGCCAACACGCCAATGCTCGTTGCTGTTCAACCATCAAACCGGTCAATCTAGTCTTCATTCCTCCAAGATTCAATGAAGCACTGCCTCCCAAGTGATTCGGCATCATGAAAACTTTGATCCGCACATACCCGGTCCATATGAGGCCGTCGTCTTCTGCGAGTTCACGGCTCCTCGTGCAGCATCGGAAGCTTTCCTCATCGAGACACAGGAGCTCGGCAGGGGATTCTCGAGCTGTTGCGGACGCATTCCTCAACAAGTTTTCCAACGGTCAGACATTTATTCGCAGGCAGTTACTCGACGCTAATCAGCTACGGCTATTTTCGCTAACCTTGGATCGTGCCCATCTATGGCCCAGCTCGACTCGCTCCTCCAAGACTTTGGAGGAAGTTGAGCCGCCTTCCGGCACGCCCATACCGCCGGGGTACCATCTTATCTATTTTACTCCAGCACAGTTGCCTGGTATTCTGGGCCGGGACGGGACAGATGCCTCCTTCAACCCAGAGTCCCCCTTTACGAGACGGATGTGGGCAGGGGGTTCATGCCACTGGCCTGGAGCCGTTCCAAATTCGACCCCAACGCTCTTGAGAGTCGGCGATATTGCCACCGAGGTGACCAAGGTCCTGAGCTGTGAGCCCAAGGTGATCAAAAAGACTGGCGAGAGCATGCTGGTCGTGGGGGTCGAGAAGGAATTCAGAAACGGCAAAGACGAGCTTTGCGTGCTCGACCGGCGCAATTGGGTGTTCAGACCGGAGCTTGACCCAGACAAGCCCGCTTCATTAGTGCCAAAGCCTCCTGAGTTGTCGAGCGCCGACCTTGACGAGGCGGCCAAGGGAAAGATCGTTCGAGAGTACACCCGTAGCGAGGCGACGCTATTCCGATTCTCCGCCCTGACGTTCAACGCACATCGGATCCACTACGATAAGCCTTGGGCAACGGAGGTGGAGGGCCATCGGAACGTGGTGGTCCATGGGCCAATGAATCTAATTGCCATCCTAGATCTATGGCGTGATGAAAGCGTCAGTCAGGACCAAGGGGTGGAGTCGATGGCGCGAGATAATGTGCTGTTCCCTCATAGTATCGAGTACCGAGCGACCAACCCCGTGTATGCAGGGGAGGCATATCGAGTGGTAATGGACGAGGCAGCCGTTGGGAAGAGGAAGGCGGAAGTGCAAATTGTCAGCAATGACGGGACAGTGTGCATGAAAGGGACAGTGAATGGTTGGTGAAAGGTAGCAATGGGGAGTGAGGTGTGTCAAGCTACAGCAGAATGGGAGCGGAACATGCTCAGCTAGACCGTAGGAGTGCCCTTGTGGAGATATGCTGAAGATACTGTACCGATGGAAGACTCCGTGCAGACACACACAATTACGAGTTACTATAGATTTGGTCCATGTTGGGGGCTGATGTCGTTGAAAGGAGCAGACTGCTTCTACTTAGGCGAACAAGGACAGGCGAAATGAAGTATCACAGTGATACTAGCACTTTGACTTGCATCCTCGGTAGAAGGCCCACAGTACCTCGTACGGGACTAAATCAGGTGTGGTTTTCGCTTGAGCTATTGCCATTCTCAGTCTGTTCCCCGGTCAATAAACGGACTAGGCAAGTTGAAGGAAGCCAAAGCAGAGTTGCGTCAAAATGTCAAATGTCAGGATGAGGATCAAGACGAGGATGATGAGAATGGATGGGGAAGGGAACTGTTTTCCGCCGCCCGGAGGCTGTCCCCGGCTAATCTTCGTGCCTAATTTAACCGAGCGAGCACCTGGGAGGGCACCCTTGCCTCGTGTTCGTCCCTCTTACTCATACAGCCATACCTGCTCCGTGTCCAGGCGTGTGCTCCACCTGGAACCCGGGTAGCAGGTAGGGTTGCGAACTTGCGACTGTGTGCCCGAAGTGGCCACGGCCAAGCAGCCTTAGGCTTAGTTTGGTTAAGGTTAGCCACCCGGGACGCCCCCTTCGCCCTGTAGTTAGTTAAGGGCCCTCGCGACCACATCCAGGTGCCACTCCCACAGTCCCAATTAACCACCCACGAACTGCTCAGTTGGCTGCTCGTTACCTGGAGCCAACTAAATGACCAGTCCTCGTAGTTGGCTATTTCTCTATTTCTCCCACTGCCGCATCTCACCATCCATCAGGACAAGGGTCTCGGGACTCGATTCGGCTGAAACCCCAGACTCGCAGTGCCTCATAGAGTGGCATTGCTTTGCCATTCCTTGCTACTCACGCCGCATGCAAATTGTTTCCTCATCTCCACCAACATCACCACTACTACCACCACCACCACCAAAAACCTACAATACTACCCACTTCCCTCTGCTCGCCATGACACCGACCTCGCCGCAGTGCTTGCAATGATTCCGCCGACCCCGTCTGTGACAGTCCCTCCCGACAGCTCGGCCAAACAGCTCCTTCAACTCGGGAAGCCCTTTGTCGACTTTCCGAGATTCAGCATTCTCGCACTTCAAGACCAGAAGGACCACGACGGCAACCCCCTCCCTTTCTCCGAATGGTTGACCAAACGTCTTCAGCTCGGTCAGCCTTTTGTCATTGCCGATTTTGACAAGCTCGACATCTGGCGCAAGGCGGGCTCGGGTTCAGGCTCAGGTTCACAAGATGGTGCTGCCTCTGGCTTTGGGATCGAGAGCCTGATCGAGTTGAGCACCAAGAAGAACATACCCATTCGCAATTGCAGCACCGGGCGAGACTTGTCCTTCACACTGCGCAAGTTCGCGGACAGTGCAAGACAGTCGTTCCCCGAGTTCCAGAACCTGTACGCCAGAGATCTACAATGTCCCCCGCAGTGGTTGGAACTCTGTCGCCAACTCCTCCCAGCCGAGGTGCAATGGGGAGGTCGGCTCGATCTGTTCCAGTGGCTGCCCCAGTGTGCCAGGAGCGAAGTGATGATGGCCTATGTGGGTAGCGAAGGATCTTCTTCTGGTTTCCATCGATGCTTTTCCAGCACAGTCGCTCTGAACCTTCTTGTCGAAGCAGATGATCGTCCAGTGGTCTGCATCGGCACCGACTTCGACTCGCAGCAGAAATACAATGCTTTTATGACTGCTCGCGGTGTCTCACCTCATCTGGACTGGTTGAATATTGGAACGGAGGACCTGCTTCAGGCGGATTTCCCGCTGTACGCCTACGACCAACGAGTGGGCGATCTTGTTGTCTTCCCTCCTGCCACTGCCCATCAGGTTTGGAACCCCTCGACCCTTTCGGCCAAGCTGGTTTGGAATATCCTCCATCCCCTGTCGCTTGAGGTCGGCTTCAAGTATGTCCAAGCACCCTTCAACCGATTGTGCCATCCCGACGTCGCTCGCACAAACTTGTCCTTGGCATGTGCTATGCTATCGTTACTTCAAGATGACCAACATTCCGGGACGTCGCTCCCACTTCCCCCGGACCTTCCCCTCCTTTCGCACCTATTTCGACAGATGGTCCACGATGAATCCATCGAATCCGAACCATTTACGCCTATTACTCTTGTGCCCATGCAACCAGGGACCATTGCCACGTGCAACTTTTGCACCACCGCTATCTGGAACCGGCATGTACGATGTACCCAGTGCGCCGACTTCGACCTCTGCCTGCTGTGTTATCTCAATGGGAGATCTTGTGAGCATTCCCAATCTTACGCATGGGCCGAGCTTGTTCCCGCCGACCAATGTACCAGAGTATTAAATCGGGCACGAGAAATCCTGGGCTTCCAGCCAGAAGAGCCGCGGTCGCTCGATCGTTCCAAGACATTAGGCACGGCCGTCAACGATCTCATGCGCGCCAAACTCTCTACCACTGCTCGGTTGTGTCACCTGTGTCGGATTGATCACCAGGAGTGGAAGGGACGTCGCTGCGACAAGTGTACGGCATTTTTCTGCTACCGAGGTTTGTTCCGACATTTCGACACATTCCCAAGTGACGTGATCCGGCACAAGGGGTTATGGACGTGCCCGAAATGTGAGGAGAGTTGCAACTGTCGGTGCTGTCATTTCGTGACTGCATACGTCAAGAGCGAGAAGCCTGCGAGTAAAAGGAGAGTCAAGGCGTGCGATACACGAGGGAAAGTAATGGGGTTTGCGGACAACGTCTTCGACCAACGGCGTGGCCGCAAGGAAAGCACGAACAGCGCAGGACAAGGTGCGATACTACCCGGATTGGCCCAAATCACTGGCAAAAAGCGGGCTATCTCAACGTCGGCTGAGCCAGGACCTGCGACCCCGTTGAGGAAAGTGGAGCTGCCGACTCCAGAGCCCGATCTCTCTGCGCATAGTCGACTCATCAGGTCGCGCGAGGGATCCGAGTACACCATCGACACTGCGTTTACTAGTCTTAACACCAGTCTACCTACATTGTTACCGAGCCTTAAATCATTGGCAGACGGAGCGGAATTTATGATCAGTCCAACAGATGAGAGACGATCACGAGTGAGCAGCTCGCCGTCACTTGCGACCTTGTCATCGGCAGGATTGGGTAAAGGACGGATGGCACCGACCGCCCATCACGTGCCAGACAATGTACTTCCACCGATGTTGGGCCATACGACAGCCAATGGGATCTTTGTGCCGCAGGCGGCCGCTAATGGGATGTCGGCGGCCATGTCATCGCCAGGCCAGTTGGGAATTCTTCATGAATGCAAAGCCTCGACGACAGAACTCGATGCGTCGCTTGCCGAACTCGAAACACGGCTACGAAGTTTGAAGAAATACGATGACGACTTCATCTCCCTGGATTTGGAGGACAGCCGCAAACTGCTGGCTGAGCAGTTGGCGGAGGTGGAGAATGAGATCCGGCTGAAAAAGAAAGAGAAGGGCCGGATACTTATTCAAAGGCTGAAAAGAGAAGGATTTGGAGGGCTTGCGGCCAGCGTGGGCAAAGAAGTCGGATTAGGGCTGGATGGCGGTGGCGAGGGCTAAGTCGACCTGGGTAGGGATGCAATGACTGGTGTACCCCAATAGGAACACGAAACATGGCACGCGGCACAAATGCCTATGAATATGCTTTGGAGTTGGAATGACTGATGCACAGGACAGATTGGACTATAATGAAGGGACAAAAGTTAACAATAATGCACCGACGATGGTTCGGCGCGTGGGAGCGGACATGATTTGTTTACGGGGCTGCAAAGACTTGCTTTCGCTCATGGACTTGGGATGGGACGGGCCAGGATCGGCTTTACTGAAGCGTTTTGAGCTGGCATTTTGGGAAGCTGATTCATACCAGTCTGGGTCTGGGGCTGATTGATGATAGGGGCGATGGCCGATGGCCGAGGACGTCAATAGATAATATCCTCTTGCGATTCTGACCTACAAGGCCGCTTGGGCGAGAGGACTGAATATAGGACCTTCAACTCCAGGTTGTCATCTATTACCATCAGGGCCTTTAGCCCTCCGTAGATGGGATATGGGCTGTGGGATATGGGCTGTGGGATGGCGTACGAGTATGGAACTACCATCAGCGCCAGGGACAAGGATAAGGGCAAGATGAGCTGATTGGCGGTGCAGCCGCGAGTATATCTTTAGGGGGTGACGCCGAGATATGCGCATCACCTTGAGGTTGCTTTATGCTCAGGCAATTTGCAGGGCCGGAATATCTCTGCACGATTGATATGAAGAGACCTGGGTGGTGAGTGAGTGACACCCATAGGTCGATGGTCCCTGGTCCTGCAAATCTTGTATTTTGTTTCCGTTGTATCAATGGATCGAGGAGGATACTTGGTTGAGCCGGCCAGTTGGTCGACTTGGTCAACATGGGCAGTTTGCGCGCTCCACTCGCCACACTTGGTCGTCCATCTCATCTTAAACTCGACTTACCGACAGGGACTCAACTCGTCCACACACAGCATCTTTCTCTCTCGCCTCCTCTCTGCGTCTCCTCTCCCTCGCCCTCTTTCTCGCACTCTTTCTCGCACTCTTTCTCGCACTCTTTCTCGCACTCTTTCTCGCACTCCCCTTCTTGGTCGTTTCCTGCACTGCGTGCTGCTTACTACGGCTGTTATTACGGCTGTTACCACCACTACTCTTGAATCAGTATTTGTCGTGTCTTTGTCTTGCTCTACCCAGCCGGCCTGTTCGTTCTTTCCTCTTTCGCGCACCTTCGCACCTTCGCCTTCGCCTCGCTCCTGCCTCCGAGCACTGAGCCTGGTCTACCTTTCCATCCCACCTTCCTCTTTTACATAAGCATATATAAACATACATACACCCACTCCTACTCGTCCTCTCCATCCCTCATAACCTTCAATTCTCAACTGCGTCATGTCCGAATCCTCAACTCCCGTCACTCCCAAATCTCCCCTCGTCCCAGACACTCTACACTCAGTCACCGCCCTTGCTCGGTTCGAATTCGAGCCTGGGAAAGGGAACGAGGGCACCAAGGTCATGATGGTCGAATGGCAGGATGACGACCCCGCGCGTTCCAAGGCTGGAAAGTGGCATGTCTCCTGGACCGGGAAGCGCACTGTCTTCCCTGCCGACGACACTCCGGCCGATAACATTCGCCGTTTCTACTTTCTGCTTCCTCCCGCCGCCATTGTTCCCCCCCATCTCACTCTCGCCTACCATTTCCCTAGAACAGGAGACTCCTCCCAACCGGAATCCCCGCCTCTGACAATGACCGTCAACCCCCTTCCCGCCATCTTCACCCCAGAGCTAGGTGCCACCGCAAAGACAAGCGGTAAGAAGGGGGTCCTCCATACTATCTGGGCAAAGAAACGGCTGTCCGTCCTCGAAAAAGAGATCAAGCGCGAAGAGGAGTTGAATCTAGAAGGTGTTGCCCTCGAGATGGCCATCTCCGAGAAATTGTGGATAGAGGCCAACTTCGGTCTGGCCATGAAACCTCTTGCTCTTGACCTGTCCAAGGTCTCCAATTCTCCCGCCGCACCCATCAGTCCGGGCATCCAGAGTCCCAGGTCGCCTGGCGGTCGGCGCTTGAGTGAGAAGCTCAAGGGTCTTAGTCTTGAGACAAGTGAAAAGGAGCTCGCTGTTCGCGGCCTGAACACAACCATCCGCGAAGCTCATCCATTGTCGCCTGAGCCTTCCGACGTTGCAAGTTCCGCATTCGGTGCTTTTCGAAATGGGCCTGCCCCTACGCTGTCTGCCCCAGGCAAGAAAATCATTGCCCAGGCTCCACCAGATCATATCAGGAAACAACAAGACTCGCGAGCAAGTTCACTCGATGTCTTCTCCGACAACCTTCCTACCCAACCTGCAGATGATGATCTTTTCGCTGTTGCTCTTAGCCCGAGATCACCAGATGGGCCAAAAAGTCCGTTTTCTTTATCAAGTGCAGAAATAGGCGCCTTCTCCAAGATCAAAGGCGAACGATGAAATCGAGCTCATTTTCACCTGTCTTGCTCCTGCACAATCACCTGCCTATTCGAATGTTTCCATTTAGAAAAGATTTCCTCCAATACCCCGATTTGAAAAATGATCCATGACCGATCCCAGAAGCCTACCCTAGCTGAGAAATGCATACAATTTCCGTCCATCTTCAAACTCTCTCGCCCGGATGATACACATGTGGCTTCAATTCCTCCCCTTTGGATCACCCTCCAGCGACCCTCCCCCCTCCCTCCCCACACACGCCCTCACGAGCTCATTATTACTGGCCTGGCCAGATCCTTCAACCCCTAAGGAACAAACAAAAACCCGTCTTCGTGGAATTTATGCAAGGACCGCCGCTGCAATAAGAGCTACAACTGCAAAGCTTGAGCTTATCAGCTTGCTCGCATCACCAGTCGATCCCGAAGGAGCCGGAGTGGCAGGCGCAGGAGCCCATGTGGATGCGGCCGGTGGTGGTGCCGGTGGTACGTTGGCAGTCGGTGCCGGTGTGGTCCAATTCGAACCTGGAGCAGCTGTTGGAACTGGTACCACTGCACTCTTGGTGCATCCGCAGTGTTCATCCCACCAGCTGTATTGAGTACCAGGAAGATTGGTTGCAGGGGCCGTGGGTGATGCCATGGCTGAGGTCTTGGAGCACCCACAAGCATGATCCCAGTAAGTAACCGTCACGGTTGGGTCAAGGGACGCAGAGATCAGAGTTGCATTGGCTGATGGGCTGATTGTGGGCCAGCTAGTCCAGCTTGTGGTGGAAGATTCTACTGGAGGCAGTGTAATGGCAAATAAGGGAGATGCTGTCAATTGATTGCGTTGAACCAAACCAATATGGTACTCCCCAGGCACGGCACCTGGAGGAAGACTGACAGTCCATTCATATGTGAGAAGAGCTGCGGGCTCATTTGCTTTGCGAGAATCAGCCACTGACAATCGAGAACATGCCTTGACGACATACCGAAGATATTCCATTGCCACGTATCATTCCCCAAGAACAAAGAAACAGGTGTGCCATCACCCACTGTCCAGTGAATTGGCCAAACCGTTCCGACTACGGCACTACCCCAGGTAGTATTCGCGAACGAGGCAGTCTGTGCCGCGACACCGTAAGCCAAGGCGCTAATGGCGACGTATGACAACGGAAGCATGGTCGATCTGGGCGAATTGGGATCTTATTGTAGAAACGAGTGTGATAAGGCTGAGCAACCTCGAAGAAAGTTGGTGGCACGGCACGTACTGTACGTGACCTTTAAGATGATGCAAGGTTCGAGGAATGAATGAACGACACGAATAGCTTACAGGAGTGACTTGAGGCGAGCAGAGAAAGAACTAAGAGTGCAACAATCCAACACCAGCGTCCAGCGCCGTAAATGAAGGAGGCCGATCACCGTTGAATTGTTTGTTGTGGCGCCTGTCGCTTTATGCCTGCATTCCAGAAGTCCGCATTCTTTGACATTCCTGCGGCGCCCGGGGGGCGCACATACCCATGCAAGACTGGCTACATGAAGTCTTAGATTCGCCCGAGCTCGGAATGGTAGCTCCAGAACGTAGAGTAGAGCAGAGATCTGATTAACCTGAGCATGAAAGAGACGCTAGAGCACTGACGAAGTTGAGGTCTTCCGAGCCTCTTAATCTCCCCACGGAATCCTGTGCAACCATACTCGCGAAGCGAACAATTGATCCGACTAATCGATCGAATAATCCATACCTTCTTGTGAAGAGCAAAGAGCAGTTCCTAGAATCGACACTGAGCATAGCATGATTCGACTACTGTATACCCTCTGGCATAGGCTCGATATTCCGTGCATTACCCACCTCGATATACACAGCTAGGGGCACACACTTGCGTAACAACCGTCAATCTTTATCAAGCCGTGCCCGTGAGGGTAGGTACCAAGTAGATAGGAGTAGATAGGTTAAAATTTCCAGTGAGAGCTGGAGGATAAGACGAGAGGCTAGGACGTCGGACAGAGGCATATAGTACACATATGTATGGCCCGACGAGAGTCTATTTTTATGTTGAGGTATATCTTGATGGAAGTGTCAAACGATCACTAGCTTCGTAGCTTAGATCGCTTCTTCTTTTTCTTCTTCTGAGTGAGTTTAAAGGATGGTGTTTGTTTTCAGGGTATCAGCTATATTGTATCTAAGCACAGTAGCGGTAATGGCTAGTGACCACCAGAAACGGTGGTACAGGTCAACAGCTGTCTGGGAAGGCGGGAATCTGGGTTTGTTTCATGCGTCCTGTCGAGCAAGATCTCCGCTTAATTGGGATAATACCTGATGGCTAGGCCAGGACGGATTTTGATCGTAGATAACTTTCCAAGGTATCAATGCCAGTTTTCCGCCGAACCAAGCAAAGCACGCCGCCACGTATCTTTGCACCAGTACGGACTGGGATTCCCCATTGATGTGTTCCGCATATAGAATCAAACCCTTCTGGTATAAACTCAGACGAGATTTGGGTCAAGATATGATCCTTCCCTCCCGTTTTAAGAGATATCCACCGTATGTGTAAATCAACTCCACAAAGCCAGTCTAGAGCATTGCAGCCAGGCCCAAGATTGCAGCACCGAAGGCGCCGGCAGCAGGGAGAGCGACTCTATCGACACCATTGCCGCTGCTTCCACCCGTGGTGGCGGTTGCAGAAGATGGACTGGTGCCCGTGAGACCGGTGGCAGCGGTGCTGATGCCACTTGCAATGCTTCCAGCAGCCGAGGTGGCAGCATCCACGCCGGATGAGATTTCTGAAAGAACAGACGAGTATGCAGAGGCGTCGGTCAATCCGGAAGCGGCGCTGTCGACAAATTCGCTGACGCTGGAGAGCACGGATGCCAGGTCGGTGTTGGTGCCCACAAACTCGGATGCCTCAGAAAGAAGCGAGTCGAGGTCCTGGGCATAGACTGCGGTGCTGGTCAGGGACAGCGCAGTGAGGATGTATGAGAAACGCATGTTGGATTCTGTTTTTAGGGAGGAGTTGTTGTGATGTTGGGTGCTTGATGTTCTGGAAGGAGCTGTGATGCTGACTGAAGGCGATTGACAAGGAGCAATCAGGGCTGATGCTCAAAGGAAGGTGGTGGTGGTGACTCTGAATGAACAGTTGGAAAGAGTGAAGGTGACAAAATACGAGTAAAAGTGGAAAGAGGCAGTGGAATTCACGTTTACTTAACGTCTCCTCAACATCCTGTCACCTCAAGTGAATTCTGCCTTGGCCCACCTGATGAACGAGTTTGATGACTACTCGTACTTCCACATTTCAGGAGAATGGTTCGGTGCTCATCAATTGGTCAAGGTGAGAAGGCCCATCTCCCATCTAGTCCAATATACGATTACGGACTGCCTTTTGCAGGACGGATCGACTGTGAGCGGCATAAGGCTGGGGACAAGAGTTCTCTGTGGATCATTTGCCCTTGTTTCAAGGCCAAGTGACAGATGCAAGGACTCAGGAGTGTCAAAAGCGGGTCGTCTCAAGGGGTCGAAACTTGAACTTCTGGATGTCCATTGCCCCTAAGGCCCTACGAATAAGCTTCTGACCAGGTCCAGTTCCTCGGCTGACCCTTTGGATCTTACGACCAATCTCGCAAAAGGGCTGGATACGAGGAGCTCGTGAGCGTTAATGCGAATCGGGCAAGACCAACGCCCACTCAAGCCTTGCCGTTCTTCTGGCTCAAACGAGTCGGAGTCTGGCTGTGGATATCTTTCGACAAATGACGTGCATGTTCATGCGGCTCAGAGTGGAAAATAGGGGGATTTTGGTCTTGGCATCAGTGCTTGGCTGACAAGGCTGAAATCGAGAGCCTCGTCCCTTGAACTTGCTCATAGCCTAGTATCAAATAAGTCCAATATCTCATATCACGCAAAGCTAGGGCAAAGTCCATCAATACATGCCGATGATTATCCTGTTCCAACCGCCATGCCTTTGCCTTGGATTCGCGTAATTGCCAGATGATAACAATATTGTTCATCACCACTTCGACTTCTGCGCATCGCAGCCCTCGAAACATGCAGCTCTGCCTTGAATGCTTGTTTACTCATAAAGTAATACCCTTTGAAGATATAGATCGTATACTGAGTACAGTGTATATCACTGATTCTCACATTCGCGAGTCATTTCGTAGTGGGGATGCTTCCCTCAGTAAGAGTAGCCTGTTAACTACCTAGGTAGGGACGTGACTGGAACACACGGTCCTACCTAAATGTTTGTGGAGAGCCGCCACACACCAAATTCGTAGAATTTCTGTTACGTGAACACTGGCACCGTCCTCGGCTACAACTATAGTCTGTGCCTACAAGCAAGGGACTCGTACATTGGGTACACTACTGTAGGTGCAGAATGTCTTGGCATTGTACCTCTAATTACTCGTACTGCACCTCACCAGTTTAACCGGGGCATCTGTACGAGATGGGCGGCCTAATCAGATGATTACCCTAAACCTTACTCTATCATACCAAATTATATGTGTAAGACACCTACTGGCAACGCCATTCCTCGAGCACATTGTCGATCAACTCCAAACTCGAGTTGCCCTACCTCTCTCACTCACAACAACACCCGCACCAATCAACACAAAGCAAACAAACACCATGTCTTCATCTCTATCCACCTCTCACTTCCGCCCACTACACATCCCGCCCCTCCTCGCCGCTACATCCATGGGCATCGGAGCCGTAGTCCCGCTCTGGAACCCTGTGGCGGCGATCCGAGCATTCGGGCTTCCGGACCGCATCGCGACATCGCCTCCTGCGCAGGCGGTCTTCAAGGTCTACGGCGCCCGCAGTACGTGTTTCGGGGCGGCTATCTGGATCTTCTACCTGCAGGGCAAATTGGAGGCTGTCGACACCATCCTCGCCCTGCAGTCCTACGCTACTGTCGTCGATGCCTGGGTCTGCTGGCGTGAGGGGGTGCCACGCACGGCACTCATGAGAGCCCTCGCTGGCGTGCTTGTTGGGGGTTGGGGCCTCTTGGGACTGACGCAGAGGTTCAGGTAGCCAGTCTTGATTGATTGGTGGTTTTTCATGACGTTCCTGGGCCTAAAGCCCGCCGTCGTAATCGTGTGGACAGACGGCCGAGCCAACACTAGGTTTAAATTATCTGCAGTGTCTGCTTAGGCATTCCGCTGGTTGGCCAAGTCTTGAAGAGAAGTTGGGAGTATGCGTCTTCATTCGTACTTGTTCACGAAAAATACCACTCAACTCACACAACATCGCCTAGAATCGGCCTTCTGTGAATTCAAAACACATGTATATTCAATGACTAGATAACAAACTTAACGAACATATGTCTCCCCCTACGTCATAATTCCAAAACATAAAAGCAAACACATAGTCTTCGTTGTATGGACTCCATTTACGATCAAGAGCAAGAACGATCAATGAGATCGTGGCCTTCGTAAAGCAGTCTCCGCGGCTATGGGAATATCCGAGACCCACAGGTAGGCGTGTGATGGGAAGGGGACATGATCATTCCTAAGACGGTACGAGGGACTCGTCAGACTATATAGTATCCTAAGTACGTACTAGATTAGCGCCTAGGCGCTCCGGGTTCGCTTCGGATAGCGTTCGAACAGCTCTCGGAGCTAGTTCGGATGCGGCGAAGCGATATTGTAGACTACGATCTTTATAATCGCTTAGTATTAATAATTATATCCTCCCCTACCTAACCGGACAACGGCCTCGTTATAATATCGAGGATAATACCGTTAACTTACTAGCGTAGTCTCCCGAATGGATTATATCTCCCGTAATAAGTCTACGGTACTATCTATATCGTAGTAATAACTCTAGTATTACTTCGAAGAAGTTTAGCGGGGTAAAGAGGCTTATATCTAATTCCGAGTTAGCGTAGGGCGTCGGGGAGTATACATCGCGATAGAGTTAGGCTTAAGTTCGCGCGTATCTATAAGGTCTTTTCGAGGCGATATAACTAAATATAAATAGTCTCGGGCGTACTAATAAAGTATATAATAGCCTTATATATACCCGAGGGGCTAAGGTAAGGTATAGATACCTTATAAATTATCTTCTTTACCTTATCGGCGCTAGACCCTTATTTTTAACGTTAATACCTAAGATACTCTTTCCGTTATTATTTTATAACTAGCTTCGTAATAGACTAGCGTTACCGAGACGTCCTCGAGACCTTACTTACGATAATAGCTTAGTATATATAATTAGGGTTAATTCGGCGTTATCCTAAGCCTATATATTAAGGCCTCGTAACTACTCTTCTCTTTCTATTTCGTACTATATCTCTAAAGTCTCCTCTTTCTTCTTCTTTTACCTCGCTCTCTTCCTTATTTCCTACTTTTACGTATTCGAAATACCTACTCGCGCTAAAAAGAACTATTAGGAAGTTAACGTTAAGCCGGATCGTTCTCGATTCGACGACTAGCTCGAACCTAGCGATAGTCGTCGTTCTAAGCTAGCTTCGACTATAATTACGAAGCGTTAGGGTAATACTTTAATACTACGTAATATTTCTATTATATTCGTAAGTCGGTTAAGTATTTCGAGATCGCGCTAGAGCTAACTTATTTTATAGTATTATTAGTAATTAATTCTAAGTTTAACGTCCGTAACTAATACGCCTTCTTTAATATCGATTTAGAAGTTTATCGATAGCTTAAAGAATCGGTATTATAGTAGTTTCTATATTCGCCTTATAGTTAATTATTTTCTACTTCGATTTATCGAGTACGCTAGTAAATTAAATCTTAGTACGCTTAATTATACTATATTAGCGATTAGGTATTCTATTAGTCTCGTATATAATTTAAGCGATACGTATAACTCGTACTAGAAAGGCTTCGACTCGATAAGCTATTCTTAGTAGGTATTTCTAAAGTACGTTATAGTATCGGTAGATCTATCTATTACTAGCTCTAATATCTCTACTTTAATATTACTAGAAGGTAATTATATATTCTACTTTAAGAGGGGTTAGATTTATTCCCTTCGATCTCGTAATAGCTTTAAAGTAGTTACTTAAAATTAAGAAAAGGATTATCTTTCTAAGGCTAAGTCTCGCGAAGTCTTCGTAGTCGAGCCTATACCTACGATAATAGGTCGTAAGTTAGCTTAAATTACTCGTCGACCGGTCGCTACTTTTATTCGTAAAGCGAAGGGTATATTTCTTATCGACGTAGGTAGTTATATCGTAGTCTATATTCTAGGTTCCGGTAGAAAGTTAGTTAAAACTAGTAACGAGATTATTATCGCTACGAATTCGGGCGAGATTATATTTAAATATCCTAATCTTTAAGGTCTAGATTAGAATAATTCCTAGACGATTCGGGAGAATTAGAAAGCTATTCGTAGTACCTTAGTACGTTTCCTAGATAAAATTAACGATAACGAGGACTAGAAGCTTAAGGCTAGCGAGAAGAGTAAGTTCTATATTACTAAAAGTATTACTCCTTCTTTAATAATCCGAGAGTTAATCGAAAGCTAATCGCTACTATAAAGTAATATTCTATACGACTCTATTCCTCCTTTAATTATAAGTCGTTAACCTTTTCTCTCTTCGGTCCGTTCTCCTAGCGATAGTTCGGCCTTAAGTAGTATTCCTCGAGGTCTTCGGCTACCGCCTCCTTCTTTATTTCCTTCTTAATTCTACTTCTAGTAGCCTTTAAGTTCTACTAATCTTTAAGGCGATACTAGTTTCGAAGCGCCTAGTTATTTCTTCGATACTCGCTCTAGTATATTTATCTATCCTCCGAGTAATCCTTCCTCTCTCGACTTCTAAGCTCTCCTATAATAGTAGGCTTAAGCTTATCGAATCTAAATAGAAGAGATACGAGCGGAATTACGAAGAAGTTAATAGGATTAACTTATAATACTCGATAAGGTACGATAATTATAATAATTAATAAGTATTATAGACTATTAGTTCGAATAGCCGCGTCGGTTCTCGTAATATAGTCCGCCTTCGCCTTCTCTTCGACTACCGAGATCTAGTTAGGGTCGGTATACGTCTAAGGTCTTACCTCGGAACCGTCGAGCTAGTAAGGTATAGATAAGGACGCGTCGCGGTACGAATATACGAAATATCGAGGGAAATAATAATAAAGCTATAAATCTAGATCGTTCTAGTCTAAATACGAGGTTAACTACGGTCGCGTCTTCTTCGTTCGATTTAGAGTTCCTTAATTATCCTACTTCGTAGTCTTAAATATAACTCTAAGGACGAAGCGTAGATCCGTCTTCTTAATTTAGTTTATAACCTTCCTCGGCCGGTTCTCGACCTTTATCTATAGTACTATAGCGATAATTACGTTACCTATTAGTAGCGTCTTAGTAATATTCTACGTCTCGATAATCTTCGGTCGCTAGTTCGTATTCGCTATAGTAGAGTAGTTTAATAGCTAGGTTTTTCTAGGGTTTAAGCGTTTTTAGCGTCTTTATATTAGATTCCGTAATTAGTTAGATACGATAGCGATAATTCTAAGGAGGGATTTCGTAGCTCTAAGGAAGTTAGTTCGCCTTTTTATAGATAGAAAATACTAAAAATATATTCGAGTAATCTCTATTCCTTATTTAAAGATCTCGAATAACCTTCGCCTTTAGGTATAGTCGTAAAGAACGGCCTTCGACGTATCTATCTCGTATCGATATAGCGTTTACCGTTACTTATCGTCCCTAAAACTATATCGAATAAGTTTCGTTACGCTAAAGTCTTCGCCTCTATAGCCGTTACTAATTTTCCTTTATACGGCGAGATAATTTAGCTCGGTTTATTCTCTACGAGTCTTACGTCGCTCTAGTCGATATCGGGCTCGATTATAAGACTTTAATAGTATCGATATCTATACTTATTAGGCTATCGGAATCTAACTTAGGAGGAGAGGGGAAAGGTATTAAATTCTATAGTACCTTCGAAGCTATATTACGATCTATAGCTTATTCTTCTCTTCTAACGTCTATCGAATTCGATTCCCTTAGGAAGCTCGTCGTTATCGAGTCGGCCTATAGTATATCTATATATTTAAGGGCTTAGGGGCTACTCGCGAGTTACTCTTATAAGGGTCTAATAGCGCTTATAGTTAGTTCCGAGCTACGAAGGAAGTCTTTAAACCCTATAATTTAGTCTAATTTAGGTAGATCTATCTTTAGCTTTCTACTTTCTACTAGTATCTAATTAAGTTTAGGGTTCTCTCTAAGTCCTAATACTCTACTCCCTAGTATTCTATAGTCTTTCTACGATTTAGGTCCTAGAGTTATCGGCGTTCGCGTAAAGGTATACTAACCTTCCTTCGTCGGTACGATATCGAGACTATATAGTATCGACGGAGAAGAAGTCTTTTCTCCTCTTATACCCTTCGGTACTACGCCTCGATCTCGAGTATCTAGAAGAACTAATTACGAAGAGGCTACTCTATTATCGGGCGCTCTTTATATTCCTAATCCTACTAGGACTATATCGTAAGTTATTTCTTTCTTCTTCTTCCTTTAATAACGGCGTTTTTCTCTCGTTAGAATTTTAGCTATATCGTCGAATTCCTCTCCTACCTAGCCTTAACGATTATCGAATCGTTTTAACTATTTCTACTTTAGTATTAGAGCGAGTTTATAGTATATTAGGAGTATTTTCCTCGTATTAAGGACTTCGAGTATCTTATTCGAAGAGTTAATAATTACTTTCTTCCTTCGAAGTCTACCTTATATAGTAGGTATAAGTATTTACTCGTCCTCTACGGGACCGCTAGAATAGTATCTTAATAGTCGGCTCTCGTAGGTTAGGTTTCGAAAGATTCGACTATTATTAGTTTCTAGAATATAAGTTCTAAACTAAAGCTTTTTAAGAATCTTAAAAGGTTCGAAGTATATAGCTTCGAGCTTCTATCTTATATTATTTCGTAGTATAATCTATTCGTTTTCCTAGAAACCTATATCGACTTCTCGAAGTCATATAGAGCGAAGTCGTTAAGTATAAATACTTCGCTCTAATAGTAATCTATTAGTATCGTACCTCGCGGTATAGAGGTTTTCTA